TTGCTATGTATAGAATTACTTAAACTCTAACTTAAAAAAGTAAAAAAATGTTAATAAAAAAAATAAGCTGCTTTATATATACTTGCAAGGCTAGACTTAAGTAAAGTACATAAATATAAAAGGCGTAAAAAAAAGTAAAAAGATAAAAAAGAAATTTAAAACTTTTATTTAAATTTAAGATAAGCTTTTTAGTAAAAGATAGAAATAAAAAAGAAGGTAAAGTAGGCATAAAGAGTGCTAAAAATTACCTTTTATAATAAAAAATATTATTTAAGTAATGAATAATAATAAAAAATAATAAAAAGCAAAAGTAAAAGTAGTAAAAAATATTAAAGAACTAAGTAAAACTATAAAGTAAGTAAAAGTAAAATAAACTAAAGTAAACACTAGCAAAATATTAATAAACTAAAGAAAACTAAAAGTTAAGTAAAGCAAATACTAAGCTGTTAAAAGTTAATATTAATAAAAAGTAATAGTTAAAAAAAATATTATAAACTATATACTTATAAATTATTATTTTACTTATACAGGTGTAAGCTGTGCAGGCTAGTATGTTAGTAATTAATATACTTTAAAAATACTTACTAGGTAAAAAGGCTGCTAGTTATATGGTTTTTAGTAGATAAAAGTAAGAAAAAAAGAAATATAATTTAAAAAGTAAGTATTAAAAAAGAAGTAGAAGGCACACAAGCAACTAAAAACTATAAAAACTTTTATTTATTTTAAAATTTAAAAGTTTTATTATAAAAGTAAATAGTTACTACTATTACTTTAAGCTACTAGTTTTTTTAAAGTTTAGTACTAAGTTAATTTACGCGTACTTTTTTTTATTATTACTTTTTTTTTTTTAAAAAAAAGGAGTTTAGGTAATCCTACACATAGCAATAAGTTACAACAAGAAATAAACTAAAAAAATAAGCAATAACTAAAAAGACTAAATAATTTTTACTTTTACTTAAAAGTAAAGATTAGAGAGTACTTTTTAGCACTAGCCTTAATTAAGTACTAGCGCTAAAAACTAGTTTTTCTACTTTATTTTTTTATTTTAAAATTAACTCTAAGTTTTTAATTAACTACTACACTTAAAGCAGAACAGCACTACAACTGCTATATACTAAAAATAAAATCTAAATAAAATTCTAAACTAAAATATATAATAATATAAGAAAACTAAAATAAATATTTAAAACTTATAATAATACTAATGCCTACTGCACCTTTATATATAAAAAACTTTTAAGATCTTTTAGCTCTATTTTTTCTATATTAGCTAATCTATTATAAAAATAGCTTTATTTATTATAAGTTTATTTAAAAGTTAAATTAAACTAGAGTTAGCATTAAAGTTAGCATTAAAATTAGTTAAGATAGTAAATATATTTATAATTAATATTTACTTTACTAATTTAGTTATATTTTTTTTTATACTCTATAATAATAGCACTAGTAAATATCTAGCTTACTTTTTTAAAAAGACTTATTAGAGTAAATTAATAATATAAATAATTATATAAAGTATAATTAGTAAAGTAGTAAAAAGCATTTTTATTTTAATAAAAGATAAGGTGCTTTATATATATATATAAAGTTAAAAGTAAGTAAAAAAGTATTATATATACTTACGTAAGCTTATAAAATACGCGCGTATATAAAGCTATTTTTTAAATTTAAGCCTCTTTAAAAGGTATTTTAAATTAAGGTTAGTTTTACTAATATAGCTAAAATAAGTAAAAAAAGTACTATTTATTACTTAAATAAATAAAAGTTATTAGCTAATAGTAAAAGTACTAGACGCAGTAGTACTAGACGCAGTAATACTAAGTAAAATAAAAAGTTAATAGTAAAAGTAAAAGTAAAAGTAGTTAAAAATATTAAAAAATAAGTAAAAGTAAGATTAATTAAGATAAAGATAAAATATTAAAAAATAAAAGTAATAAACAGCAAGCAAAAAATAAATATTAAGAAGTAAAAGTAATAAATAGTAATAAATAGCAAGTAAATAATAATTATTATTATAAAGTACTATATATTACTATAAAGCACTTTGCCTAGCAGCTAACACTTATATAAGCTTAGTATAATTAGTAATTAATATTTAAAAGCAACTTACTAGTATAATATTTAATAGTTAAAAAGAAAAAATAATAAAGCAACGCGTAATTAGAGTATTAAAAAAAAAGTAAAAGGTATATAAACAAGTTAAAACGTCTTTTTTTTTGTATAGTATAATAGTATTTTACTTATTTAGTATAAAAGACTAAGCTCTTTCTAAGTACTTAAAAAAGTTTATTTAAATAGCTTATTTTTTTTATTAGTAAAGCTTTTAATTACTAATAAATATTTTTATTTAATATAAAAAGTGTCTTTTTTAGTAGTTTAAGTTAGTTTTTTAGCTATAAATGCAAACTTAAATATAGACTTTATTAAATAGTATTTTTCTATATAATTATAAAATAGCTTTATAGTATTTTACTTATTTATACTTTTATTACTTTATATTTTTGTTTTAAAAGTTGCAGTATATATATTTTTTATTTTTTTTTATTTTTTTTTATTTTTTTTTATTTTTTTAAGTTAGAGTTAAAGTAATTCTACACACAGTAATAGTTTGCAATAAAAAATTTATTAAAAAAAATAGGTAATAACTAAAAAAACTAAGTAATTTTTACCTTTACTTAAAAAAAAAGATTAAAAAGTACTTTTTAGTACTAGTTTAAATTGAAATAGCTTAAAGCTTATCTTAATTAGGCACTAGCGCTAAAAACTAGAACTTTTTTTATTATAAAAGTTATTTTTAAAAGTAACAAAAACTATAACTATTATTTATTTTGGCAATAAAAAAATTTATAGTTTATAATAGTATAAAAATACTAAAAAAATAATAAAAACTTATAGTAGCGCTAGCTGCCTACTACACTTTTATATATAAAAAATATATAAAATTTTTTTTATCTTTATGCTACAGCTAATACTATATAAAACTATAATTATTAGAACTTAAATTAAATTTACTAAATCTATTAAAATAGTAATCTTTATTTAACTAGACTTTTTTAATATTTTTTCTTACTTAGTGCCTATTATAACTAAAGGCTAAGTAAAATAACTATACTTTTTTAATATAACTAAATTTTTAATAATATTATTTAAAGTATAAAAGCTAGTTAGTAAAGTTAAAAGAAACTTTACTTTAAACTTAACTAAAGTTAAAGTTTTATAATTATACTTATAAAAATAAACTTAAGTAAGCGCTGCGCACTTAAATGGTATAAAAAAAAATTGAGTATATAATTTTTAACTTTTATTTAAGACTAGCTTTTTAGTAAAAAGTAAAAATAAAAAAGCTAAAGTAAGTATAAAAAGTGCTAAAAATTAAGTTTTATAATAAAATAAAGTTTAAGTAATAAAAAAATAATAAAAGGCAAAAGTAAAAGTAGTAAAACTAGATATTAAAAGACTAATTAAAATATATAAAAAACAAAAAATAGCAAAATATTAATAAACTAAGGGAGACTAAAGGTTAAGTAAAAAAAACACTAGAATATTAAATAGCGTAGGCAATAAATAGTAATAAATAAGATGTAAAGAATAGGTGTTAAAGATAGCAAAGTAATAAATTAAAAATAAAGAATTATAAATTGTATAAATTAAGAACTATTACTTTACCTTTATAGATAGCTCTTATAAAAGCTAGTATTATTAGTAATTAATGTAATTTAGAATTACTTACTAGATAAAAAAGCTGCTAGTTGTGTTATTTTTTATATATAAATAAAAATAAGAAAAAAAGAAATATAATATAAAAGTAAGTGTTAAAAAAAAGTAAAAGGCACACAAGCAACTTAAGACTATAATACTAGTAAAAAGCTTATACTTAAAGTATATAGTATAAAGTACTATAAGTATTATAGTAAAAAAAAATATAACTTTTATACTTATAAAATAAAAATAGTAAATTTTAAAAATAATAATAAGTTTAAAAAATAAATTAGTTTACTATAATTGTTAATTAATAGTATTATATCTTTATAATAGTTATATATAAGTAGTGCACTAGTTAAGTATTAGCAACTTGCTTAAGTTAGTAACTTGCTTATAAAACACGTTATATGTAAAATTACTTGAACTTTAACTTAAAAAAATATACTTTTAAGTTAAAATATTAAAAGTAATACTTTTTTAACTATGTACTATTTATTATAGTAAAAGCTTTATAGCTATTTTATTTTTATTTTTTTTAAGTTAAAGTTTAAGTAATTCTACATATAGTAATAAGTTTATAATAATAAAAATACTAAAATAATAAGTAATAACTAAAAGAACTAAATAATATAATGTAGTATAGTTTATACTAATAATTATTTTTTATATTTTATTTATTACTATTTATTACTATCTATTGCCTTTACTGTTTAATATTTATTTTTATTTTTATTGCTTTTTTTTATTTAATATTTACTTAGTTTTTTTTTTACTTAGCCTTTAGTCTTTCTTAGTTTATTAATATTTTACTAGTTTTACTTAGTTTTTTAATATTTAGTGCTTTAGTAGTAACTTTTTATTAAAATATATAATTTTAAAGATTTTTTATACTTATTACTACCTTTTTATTATTACTTTTTACTAAAAAGCTTATTTAAATAGATATAAGTAACTTTAATAATAGTTGTATTTATAAAGAGTTGTTATTAATCTAGTTGCTAATATTTGCAAAGAGTTAGGAACTGCTAATAAGAGATTGTATCTTACGTACGCAGAGCAAGGCATCTCACGCACTTAGAACAAATGCTACAAAGAAGGTAAAGCAGACCTTAAGAAAGCGCTACGTATTTAAAAAGCCCTTAGTAATTACGTCCCGCGGTCTAGCAAAGCTAACTTAAGCCGGGCCCTTCTTGCACAAGGAAAGCTAGAAGAGTGCAATACGCTTCTCTTAGAAACTCTAGCTGGCAGAGAAAAAGCGTTAGGCAAAGACGACAGGGAGTCTGTTAGAACAGGACTAGTTCTGTATAGCCTTGGCAATCTTCGTGCTGCGCAAAATTAGTTGGATGAGAGTTTTGAGTATTACTAGCGAGCGATGCGCCATATGCGCGCGACAGTGGGTGATTAGGATTTCTATACTGCGAATGTCGCTCACAAGATGGCTGAGCACTTTGCTCGATTGGGTAGGAACGAAGAATTGATGTAAGTTCCGCATTCCCAAAGTGTAACTGGGAATTACTGACTTTTATCTAGTGCCATGGCCAATAAAGCACTGGATATCTGGTCTGTTGATCTGAGTGCACACAGAAACGAGATTGCTCGCACAACCTTCTTTAAGAGCCGCCTCTTTGAGGCAACAGGTAAAGCCTAAAAAGCCTCCGTTGCTCTCAGGGTCGCATGGCGTCTGAGGAAGGAAATAACTTGGCAGGATCGAGAAGTGGGCAGCTTGACTATGGAAGACTTCAACGAGATCGTTGCTTTTTGGACTTAATGATAAATCTAGTTCTATAGCGAACATCACCGGATCTCTAAACCATACTTTCTGTAGTCAAACTTGTTTAAACTGTGGATCCTTTCAGCCTAACCGTCATCGACTTTCTCTAAATGCGAGTCATCCCTAAGCGCATCTTTCGTCATTCTCCCAGCTAACACGAGCTCTTGTTTGCTTTCATACTCAGCTCCCACGTCTCGATTTGGAACCCAAACAACCCTCATTCCCGCTCGTCTGCCTGCCTCCACTCCCGCTACACTATCTTCGAAGACTAAACACTCCTCAGGCATGATAGGTTTCTCCCCTGTGCCAGCCGCTGAGTTCAACGATTGCAAGGCAAGTAAGTATATGTCAGGCGCTGGCTTTCCTCGACCGTGTGGCAGTCGTGTATCGTCGCCCAGAATCCGCTGATCGGGGTGGAAAACATCAAGTAATTGCTTTGTCTCCGGTCTCGATGTTTTCAGTCTGTAACTGTGGGTCTTACTACTAGATGCCAGTGCGAGTTTGATCCTTTCCCCAGAGGTGTTTTGCGCACAACTTAGGTCTGAAAGAAGCTTTTCTGCACCAGACAATGGCACGCAGCTTTGGAAATCAAGCTGCATTTGTTCCTTCAATTCTCGAGCCCAAGTCTCACGAGGAATGGGCAGCTTAGCCCATTCGTGGAAAATGTCGCCATTTGTTGAGTTTGGGACACCCATAAGCTGGACTCGAATCGACCGAGTGAAAGCGGGTCTACCGTACTTTTTGAGCAGTTGGTTCGTGCAATGTGTAATAACATCCTTGGAATTGATGAGAAGCCCATCCATGTCGAAAATGCAAGCCTGTATAACTATAGGCGGCAACATTGTAGTAGAGCTGTTGGTCATGGGCGATTGCTTCACGGATTCTTGTTCTAATGATAATGTCAGAAATGCACGGGCTCAAGTCGAGATATGCTCATCAGATTGAGGGAGCTTACCTATGCACTCATATAGAGGCTAGGCCATTTAGTTGCAAGCTGTTAAAGTTGTTGTGTATCCAGCATGTTGACGTAAAAGAAGTGGAATCTACCCACGCCACACAGACCATTCAATTTGCTAGAACATACATGTACATGCAAATGTGTGTAGCACGGGGATACGAGTGCGGGGCATGGGTCACATGACTGTACGCGCATGATGGCGAACATTCAATGTGAGCCAACGCTAGTCTACAGGAAGGATAACATACTAACAGTGACATGCCAATAATGACATGCTCACAACAACATACTAACGTAGGATGGCAGGATTGCAGAGGGCTAGTCCTTATTCAAACAAATCTCCTCATGCCACCGCCTAATAACAGTAGCTATGTCCGCTGGTTTCCTTCGCCTTCTGTTCCTCTTCTGCGCGTTCGAGCCAGGACCCCCTTCTCTTACCTCTTACCACAGACACTCTTCTTGGGTCGCTGTAGTGGCTAGAGTATTATTCCACCATGGTCCATCTTTGCACTTTTACTACTCTAGCATATTTGTCACAAGTTGCCTTTCTGGGTGGCAATGCGCAGACCAACAGTTCCCAGCTTATGAACATTATCCCAAAGCGCGAAGTTCTCTATGTTGGTGGACAGTACACAAATATCACGGCAAGTTTTAGATACTACAACCTTGACGCACGTCTAACACAGAGAGCAGGACAATGCAACCAATTCCACCTCAGTGGCTATGATCGGCCAGATCTACGTCGAGAAGCTTTCTCCTAACCCAGCCCCGAAAAACCCACCACTGCCCATAATCTTCATGGCAGGCGCGGGGCAAACTGGAACCAATTTTCTAGATACTCCAGACGGACGACCAGGATGGGCATCGTATTTTCTCTCCAAAGGTCACACAGTATATCTCTCAGATCAGCCTGCACGTGGTCGCTCCTTTTGGTTTCCAGGACAGGGGACGATTGGGTCTCTTGGGCCCCCCAATGGCGTCTCTGACCTCTTCACTGATGTAGCACACAATGGTGATCAATGGCCACAGGCGAGACTCCACACACAATGGCCGGGCACTGGTCGCATTGGCGACCCCACTTTTGACTCTTTCTACAGGAGCCAGATGCAATTTCAAATTGACCGCTTCATTAGCGAAGAGCAAAATGCGCAGGCATATTCAGCTCTCGTTGATATCGTAGGCGACTGTTACATTATCAGTCACTCACAAGCGGGTCCATACGGTATCTTGAGCCAAATCCTGTTTGAATCGCTCAGTGGTTAACCGTGAATAGGTTGGAGGGTCGGAGACATGCGCTCTGACCTTGTTAAGGGCATCGTTCAGCTCGAGCCGGCCGGTCCCCCATTCACGTTTCGCCCGCCACTTGGAAGTGGTCCAGCTTTCGCCTTTGGCCTTACCGACCTCGCCATTGCGTACGAGCCATCTGCTGGCGAGAATGCCGAAGATATTGAGACAATTGTTGAGCCGGCTATCGATGCTGAGCACTACGAGTGCATCATGCAGAAGTCCCCAGCGAAGCAGCTGACAAATCTTGGGAAGATTCCGGAACTGGTGGTCGAGGGTGAAGCGTCCTTTAATGCACCACACGGTTATTGCACTGTCAAGTATTTGGAGCAAGCTGGCGTGGATGTGGAGTACGCGGATCTAGGCAAGGAGGGCATTCATGGCAACGGACACATGCTCTTCATGGAGAAGAACAACCTTGAGATCGCAGATCGAGTATACCGGTGGTTGGAAAAGCACCGATAGAGCTTGTCAAATATTCAGGAGTGTCAATGTTTTGTTCTTTCTTATCTGAACTTCGCCACCCCATAGTCTTTGATTGGAGACAAGACACGGGGGGGGATGGGGCCCGAGGTTCTGCAGCGCTCGTTTCCGTCATTCAACAAACCCCTAGGATAGTCTACCTCGGGTCTTCAGCTAATAGATACAAGATGCAAGCTGCGCTAATGCGCCAATGGAAACTGCATTTTGCGGTGTATGCGTGTACACACGCATAGTATCGTTTGATGTTGGATTTGCAACATTCGTACGCGACATCTAACCTCGTGCCTCTACGTTGCCTTTCAACGCCTTCACCCTGACTCTTATCATCCAACAGGTCATCATCAGCCCCCAAGGCGTGGTTTCTCTTGTCCTAGCGCTCTCAATCTGTCAGCCTTTTAGATATTCCTAGACCCAAGCGGTTAACGTCAATGACGGGAATCACAGAGACGTAATGCTCTTCTGTGAGAGCTACAGCATCTTAAGTCTAGTTACTCATGTAGTCTGATAGCTCACCTCTAAGCGACAGGTTAGAAATGGTACATGAACAGTATGGACTAGGTATCTTAACTCTATTCTAGTCATCGGAGGCCGTGGCTTCCTCGGGTCTCAAATTGTCGATGCGCTCATCACCAACAAGTTCAGCACTGTTGCCGCCTGCCGAAATCCTCGCCGGTTCCTTAATCCTGACGCTCGCTGCGGTATTCTTGATGTATACAGTGCAGGGGCTCAGACAACATTCGCGGAAGAAACGTACATTTCAGTTGAGTGAGATTCGCAAAGAATGAGGATCAACAGGATACTTTTCAAGTCAATGTCCCTCCGCGTTGATGGTTTCGTTTCTGGCTGTCTCTCTCGACACCTTCCTATATACAGGTATCGTGGTTTACATCCGCTATTCCGTGAAACTGAACAGCTCCCAACATCTACGCATCCCTGTTGACAGCGTTTCGTCCTCCATCTTGCATGCAGGGGTCCACTTGGTACGCTGTTGGGACTGTGTCTGTGTCTGTGCCTCACCCTCTTCAACACTACCACTATCGTTCCCTTTCTCCCTGCGACCACTAATGCTGTTTGGCTGCTCTTCTTTGATATGACTCCTCATTGAGATACGGAAATGTAGCACATGCATGGTCAACCTTAGATGGCTGAACACATGCAACAAAGATCCCATATCGGCTATATAATCGGCCTGCATCTCCCCACCTGCTGCCATTTTCTTGTTTTCGTTTCCAATTTCTGTGCATGTGGTTGTGCTAATAGAAGATTTGGACAATAGGCCAGCTACGAACTTCGTAGCTGCGGCTCTCCGCAATACAGGGGACTCCGCTTCGGCGGAAGAGAGCGTGCATTGGGGAAATTGCCACAATGAAGCTAGGAGACCTTTATCCGGGCGTTTTTCGATGAAGAATTTGCTGTCATTCTTGTTAGTTATGGCTCCGGGGGATGCCAGCTCGAGAAGACAAATGATTGCGTCCTGCTCTGCTGGTTTCTTCTTGGGTACTTTCTTCGGGAAGAGGGCAGCATATGTTTGGATTTGATTTTGCGATGATTTATTCCGTTGGGTTGATGGTATCGGGGAAGGTGACGGTGAAGATTTATGTTGAATCGTTTCCTCATCTTCTTGTAGTAGAGGAAGCGCGGTCGTCGCCGCGGTCGCCGCGGTGCGCCTTGTTCGAACGGCAAAGTAGTTTGAGATTGTATTGGATTGTTTTTTGGGTTCGACCTTTCTCCTCTTCTTGGGCGGTGATTGCTGGTGAGTGCGGTCGGTGGATTTCGTAGCCGAATCCAAACCTTCGTCCGATGGTTGAGTAGCAGTGGCTATGTCTTCTGTATACAATTCCTCGCAGAGCGTACACAAATCCTCTATATCCAAAACGTTGTCGTCGTATTTCGGCTTGTCGTTGTTGTGACCCAATTTTTGCTCGTTCAAAATCACTCCCTCCGAATACGCCCTACACGTACGTTGTATAGGGCACTCCTCGCACTTGGGCCTCGGGATGCATATCGTAGATCCTAGCTCCATTAGTGCTTGATTCCACTGTCCCGGCACTTTACTCGTTTCCACCTCTGGAAATCCAGACACGCGTTTCACTAGTTGATCCGCGACTTCCCAAAACCTGTCGGTGATCTTTTTGTCTTTGCCGTCGGCATAGACGCCTAACTGTCGACTCAGCACACGCACGACATTACCATCCAGTACTGGCTCTGGAACACCAAATACAATGCTAGAAACGGCACCCGCTGTGTAGCGGCCAATACCTGGAATTTGTTGCAAGGCTTCGGCGGTGCTGGGGATAGGACAAGCAGACTTAGATTGGGAGACTATCTGTTTGGCACCTTCATGGAGACGCGTGGCTCGCGAGTAGTAGCCCAATCCTTTCCATGCGGAGAGGACATCGTCATGATCTGCTTTGGCGAGATCTTGGACGGTAGGCCATTTAGAGATCCAGGTGTTGAAATAGGGTATCACCGTCGAGACACGCGTCTGTTGGAGCACTACGAATATGATTAGCAATGAAGATTTCGTTCTAGATACAATATAGATCTCTGGATGCGATGATGCACGTTTGTACGGTCATGAGCACTTGAGCGTTTAGAGGTATCGGGAGGGGGAGGGGGGGTTTAAAGCACGTAGACACGTGACCGCGCGTCCGGTACATGACCGTGTTGCTTTGGTATTCACAATATTTGAATCTTTGATTTCAATCGTCCGAGCAATTGACCCCTCCCCCCACGGAAGGAATTACCGATAAAATCTGGACACTCACTAATCTCGCTGACCCAAACCTCATACGCCCTCTTGGCCAGAACATCTGCTACATCGTCTTCCTTGATTTTCTTCGGATCAACCCAGTCCTTCCGCCACGGCATGCTTCGCTCGCTCTCTGTCGCCTCAAACCACCCCAGCAATGATTTTGCTGTTTCTTCATCATCGAGAAGAAGAGGGTAGTGATAAAATGGCGCGTGCAGACGCGTGGGTGGAATTGCTGGCGCGAGAGATGATGGTGGTTTTGGGAAGGGAAGTGATGGGGCTTTCGTGGAAGATTTCTTTGGACGCGGTTGTTTGCGTGAGGGTGGCATCGCTATCGATATAGATAGACCAGTGGCAAGAATCAAATATTGAATATTAAGAACAAGAGGATGATCTGTAGTTGAAGTACATCCACATGCATGTGGACGCCAGGTGATAATCACCCGTTGCACTAAATATTCGATGCCAACTTCCATATCCACGCTAACCACCTTTGGAATGTATACAAGGGGTGTGTAAGGATCAATGCTACGGATACGTTGCGTACTAGAAACAACATCACCTGGGACTCGAGTGTCCGGACCAAAAGGAAAAACAACGAACGCGCAACTCCTGGAGCCTTTTTTTTTGGTTTGGGGGGGGGGGGACGGGAGTCTGAACCACGCCAAGCTCCATCATAATTATGCTCCCACACGTTTGCATTGGGGATTGTTCATGAGGAAAACCCGAAGGGCGTGGGTATGTGACCGACTACGTATTGGAGGACTAAAAACAAACACTACGCTATTCTCGAGCCCGCAAAGTGCACGCACGCATGTACCAGAGACTTAGCAGCGAACAACCCGATCGCAAACCCAAAATTGTCCCCAGGGAAAAGAGAGCCCGCTCAGACTCAGCATGCGCAGGCAAGCGGAGCAAGAAGAGGAAATTCCAAACACCGATTGCGTCGTATTGGTAGGAACAAAAGATATACAGCTGTTCAATCCGAAAAAGAACCTGAAAATAGTAATGGTACAATCAATGCAGAGAAAACAAAAGGATAGACCGAATGACGAGAGCGAACTGGAAGAGACAGCAGCATAGGTATCGTGAACGAGATGAAAACGCAATTGATGAAAGCAGACAGAGAAAAGGCGTAAGTGCGTCATGATGTACCGTCCGTCCATGGGGTGGTATCTCGAAGTCCCAATCCCAAGCGATATAAGGATATATATGTACCCCATTCCCTGACTGTGTAGTAGAAACGCCCGTGATGACACACTTTTTTGATAGGCAACAAATGAGATGAGGAAAAAAAAGGTGGTAGACATAAGTGCTATACCGGAACCGCACGCTGCGGCTCGCCGGGACGAAGAGGTAAAGGCATAGTTGGAGGGGGGGCCGGAGGTGGCAGCCCCATGTTAGGAACGCTGCGACGAGGGGAGACGCTCTTTGGGGGAGATAGCTGCTGACCTTGACCTCTTAATACAGGGATGCTAGGAGAAGATGATAGGGTAGGAGTGGCAGGTAAAGTGGAGGCAGTGGGAGCCGCAGATGCACGCTTGCCAGGGACGAACGAAGGTGTGTTGGAAATGGCGCGCGCCGGGCGCGACTGAGAGAGAAAGGGTGCAGTGCTCGAGCGAATCTGCACCGAGTTTGGACGACGCAGTTGCTGCACAGGTTGCTGATTTGAGAAAGCATTGGGCGGGCCCGACTGCTGCCTCGGGCTAGTATTAATCCTGGAAGGCGGTTGCGCTGGAGAAGTCACAGCGCGGTTGACCACGATGCCAAGGGGGAGGGGCGCCGGCCCCGAATTGACGGTGGAGGAAAATCGTCGAGGGACAACAATGGAGCCGTCCTTGTTGGTTGACGATTGAGGGCGCACGGGGAAGGGTCGGATGAAAGGTTTGGGGGTTGCTGAGACGCGACGTTCCGCATGGTTGGATTGAGTATTGGGATGCGGTAGATTGCCCAACGTAGATGGAGGACGAGTCGCTGAAGGCGGTGCGGGAACTGGGCGATTCGGTGGCGGCGTGATTGTCGTTGAAACCCTCGCAGGCGGCGCGCTAGAACTCCTGTTGCCGTACCTGATCAGATTGGGATTGTGAGCGGGACGTCCTGCAGGGGTACTGCTGTAGCGAGCTGTGCTTGCAGGGCGCGTGGCGGTCAAGGACGCAGGCGCAGAAGAATTCAGGTAAGGCGCACTTGAAGGTGTGGAGGGATGTGAAGTTGGAGTCCAGGTTGAGTGACGATGAAGTGCCGAGGTTGGGGCGGCGGATAGCGAAGTATCCTCATTGGTGACTGGCAGAGGTTGCATGGATCTGCGACGGGTTGTACTCATGTGAAACGACTTGAGAGATGATGCACTTCGCAGCGGTTCTGCATCTGCAGGAGCAAACTTCTCTCTGAGTGGAGAAGTCGAGGCTGGTGACGAGTCTCGCGATGTGTTCACAGTTGCCGTACCCGACGCCGGTGCTGACGTTGCAGACATGTACGAATGCCGGCTGTGGCGGAGCTGGTCAAGCTGCAATTGGTCGTGTGACGCAGCCGTCGTAGCGATAGACGGGGCTTCCACAGACGTACGGCCATTACTATAGCGGGACCGTACACTGGAAGAGTCTGCCACGCTGGTACGTTTCTCGTGGCGATCACCCTCCCATTCGGAAGTGATGATTCTGGGCGAGTCTGAATATTGGGACTGAAGCGGTGAATCCACCGGATTGATTTTGCTGATCCGGTCCGATTCACGTGGAACAGGATGGTGAGAGGACGCCATGTCGGTTGTCATCTTCTCAGAGGCATCGTCTGTTGAGGAGGAAGCTCTGCTGGAATCATCACCGACCTTGATGCCACCCAGATTTTCAATCTCTCGTCGTACTGTAGTCATCCATGATTCCATCTCTTCTGCACTGTCCATCACGAGTAGGAAGCTCGTTGCTGTTTTTCGTGCGCTGCTTCCTTGCATTCGAAGCCGCGAGAAGATGGAATGACGGGGTGCTGTTACTACGGTTCCATCCTCGCTGGCGCTTTGCGATATCTGCAATACCCAGTGCTTTCCGGGTATTAGATCGCAAGCGAAAGCAGCAGACTCGTTCCCAAGCCTCAAGACTTTCTCGGGCAATCGTTCGGGAGCCCCGTCGGAAGCATACTGCAGGATGTAGCCGGAAGGGATCAACGCGTAGAACTTTTTGGTCAGCTGGGGGGACGATCCCGACATGGGGTTTGTCATGATTCGCCTATTGGGCTTTTCCAACTTCTTCTGCTCCGGAATATTGTCCAGATCAGGTCGGCTGTTGTTGGACCTCTCACGTAGCAGCTCGGCTTGCCTTCTTTGGCTTTGGGTCCTCAATAGCACGTCTGGAGAAAAGACGCATGCTTGCACGGTAGCGTGTTTGATGGCCTGCTGGTAAGCTTGAAACAAGGGCAATGGTTGCCAGTCGTCCTCGATCATACTCGTTGGGCGATCGAAGCTAGAGGATCGTGAGGATACCGGGTTGAAGATCTGACTAGTTCGCATTCTCTGGGGTTGTTGGGTATGCGGTGGAGGGTTTTTCCTTAGGGAAGACTTGGGAGGGGACGGAAGGGGTTTGTGCGATTCTTGCGGTGGTATCGGGACGGCTAGGCCGACCTCTGTGTGACCCCTCGCCCTCTCCACCTTGGGTTTGCTGAAGAGATTGAAAAGAGACATCTTTGAAGGGGTCCGTTCAAGCTTGGGTGCGACTTTGAGTGAAGTGGATTCTTGGGCGGCCTGTTCGCGCATGTTGGCACTTGATTTGGATCGCCGCCATAGAGACGAGGAGTTATCGTGGGCAAGGTTCCTGAGGGCATGACCAGGGGTCAGCCTGGACTTTTCGTTGGGAGCCATGGCGTGTACAACAGCCGATTGTGTCTTCCTGCTGTATCAATGCATGAACGATTCCCAGCAGAGACTGTGAGGGCGATGGTGGGCAAGGCGACTGGAGAAGAAATGGGCAGACGATGGCTGGAGGGTGGACACGAAGCAATAAGATGGGGAGAGGGGCCGCAACACGCAATGTGGCCGGTGTGGGGTGGTGAGAGAGATGATGATGGGGCCCAGAAAGGAAAGTATGTGGAAGCGAGGGACACCAGGGCCCTTGAAGGTTTCGAGGGAGTGATGGAACGAGCGACTGTGCAGAGCGGCAAAGGCAATGTGTCGGAGAGGGTGCAAAGCGGGCGGGGCTTATTATCGATGCAGAGGAAGTCGGATGTGAGGGCAATACGGAAAGTATCAACGAGGGGACGGGGCATTTAGTAGTGCCCCTAGCTAGCGGAGGAACGAGCGACGATGATGACAGCTCAGGCAGGCAGAGCGCAGAGGTAGACAAAGGGAGGGAGTGAAGGAAGGGCAGACATGCAGACAGAGACCGACTCGGAGGCGAAGGGGAGAGGAGAGGAGAGGGGCGGAGGGAAAAGCAAGAGACTGAAACGGGTGCGGAAACGTTGATTGCAGGGTAAGCGGACGTCAGAAAAAAGGACCGTTGGCTGCGAAGGGTACTAAGGGTACATGACAGTAGTACCGACTAGTTGAATGACTGACACAGGCACACACACACAGAGAGAGAGAGACGTGAGTTCGCTCGGGCAGCCGACGACGCTCCTGTGTGTATTTAGAGTACGGTACATGGCCGGCATGTCAGCACGGTGCAATGCGCGCACCCCTTTCATGGGCTGCTCGAGTATGGACCCAGTCAAGCAGTCAGTCGCTAGGTGTGGACGGCGACTAAGCCGGGGGCCGTAGAGCACGGTATCGTATCCGTGTTTTACTACACACCTTAGCACGCTGTTGGCTGCGGCTCCACCTGCTTTTTTGCCTCCATGTGGGATATTCAGGTGCTTGCCCGTCGTCTGAGGATTTGTTTTCTGTGCGCACTCGAATCACGCAGTCGCCCGGTGGCGGTGGATGATGAGACAAGACGATGCCATCTAGGTACTTGACTTGTTCATCCAGTGGCTCACCGCAGCCGCCTCAAGGCCCAGCACAGCACAGCGCAGCGCAGCGCAGCACGGCAGGGCTGTTGGCCCGCCGGCCCCCGATTCGCTGCGACGCTGGTGCATCGTATCGTATCCGCAAGGCGATCATCAACTAGGAGCAAAATAAATAGCCCAACGCGTCTAGCCACCGGTGAGCTGGAACGTCGCCGAAGGATGGGTGCACGCCCGCCGCGCCGCCCTTGGTGCCATCCCCCCTCCATCTACTTATCCATCCATCTGCTGTATAGTATTAATTGTCCATGGTTGGTCCCGGTGCCAACAATCGTGCGTGCGACGTGTTTCGATTAAATCGGCAGAATAGATGCTTCTCTGCACGCGTGGATTGTTTCGGGCATTGTTTGGGTTGTACAAATCCGTGCTGAGTGCCGTGTGCACACTCAAGGTCCTAGTCCTCAATCACTGACTGACTGATGGATTGATCATTTGATTGTGCAATCACAGCCCGGCCGTCTGCAGAGAGAGTTGGGAGCAGCGAAACTGTTGATGCCGCCATGGTCGTCGACCCGACAGTTCAGCAAGCCCGAGCAAAACTGCACCGCGCACGGATAAACCTGCGCCGTTGACGGCCGATCACACGTTTCTGATTCGATCAATACGAGCAAGACGAGTCTTCGGGCCGTGGGGTTGGAATTGGAATTGCAATTGGAATTGCACCGCCTGAAGAGGCAAACGTCGCGTCGCGTGGAGCACACGTCGTCCTCCAACAACAGCAGGCAGCGAGCATGTGGAGATGAGGTGCAGGCTGACGCCATGGACAACCCTGAATGACTCTCCACGACGACGACCACGACGACGACGACGCCTCCAACCCGTTCCGTCCGTCTGTCCGTCGCCCGTGGTGCTGCTGACCCCGTGCCGTCCCGCGCCGCTGTTGGTTCAAGTGTGCATCTGTATCCAGGTGTTGGTTGGTTGTGAGTCTAGACAGGCAATTACCGGAGAGCTTGATTAGTACCAACTAAACAGCAGTGTAGGTAGGGTGGGTAGATGGATGCCTTAGTAAGTACTTAAGTAATCAACCATAGAGACCCTCTTGCTTACATCATCCCCACACACACGCGTGCCCAAAGGGAAGCTTCGACCTACCCCGCGCCTGTGCAAGTCTCCCCACCACCAGGCCACTTTCATTGCCCACTTTTTGGTCGCATCACATCATATCACCACCACCACCACCATCACTATTACCTCCACGCCCACAATGGCCCCTGATCTCAATTCGCTCTCCCCTTCCTCTACACCTCTGCCCGCCCGTACCTCCATCGTGGCTTCATCGTCATCGCCGTCGTCAACAGCAGCAGCAGCAGCAGCAACAGTCATGTCACAGTCTCCGCCCTCCTCGCATACCCCACCCCACACGTTAGCTGCCGCAGCGAGCCTCAACGCCGGCATACAGAACGACCATCTCCGCCGCCAATCTTCGGGCAGTACGTCGCCCCGGCCATGTCCCCTACAGCTCCATGTATATGTTCATACATCCACATGTACATGACCATACCCTTTCGGCTCCTCGCTGACCACCACCCTTTTTACTTCTAGGTATTCAAAGGGACGCGGAGCGCGCACGCCGCCGATCGAGCATTCGAATGAACCTCAATCTCAACGATCCTACTCTTCCTTCTCCCGGAGAGTTGCAAAGGAGCCCGAGCTCGAGAAGCCGAGCGGGCATCTGGCCGCACAGCCCACACCACGAACGCAATCCGAGTCTGGGCGAGTTGCACCAGGAGCTGGAGTACGAGCAAGAAGGTCAAGTGAACCGCTTGCTCACTATGATCCGTCAGCAGCAGCAGCAAATCCAACAATTGCAGACTGCCAACCCGCAATCTTCCACCTCTGCCGTCGATGATAGCACGCCAACCTCCGAGCGCAGCATGTCCATTTCCCATCCTCCCCCAACCAACCCCCAATCGACTGTTTCGCCGCTCCCCACGTCTACCCCACACAGCTCCAACTCACCTTTCTCCCTCAACCCGCGCTCCAACGTGAGTCGACAGTCATCCATGGCTGATCGTTCGCGCAACAGCAGCCACCACGGCTCCCCTGCGCTGCGCCCTTTATCTTCGGGTCATGGTTTTGGGCAACATGACAGCTACGATGTCTTACCCACCCCAGCCCTGCATACCAGGGACGAGAGCGCCTTCTACCAAGCCGAGACGCAAACACTGACTCGAGAGAATCAGATGCTAAAGTTACGAATACGTGAGCTGGGTGAGCAATCTATCAATATCTACATTTGAGCGAACCTCACTTCCTTGATGGCTAACATTGATCTGTGATTCATAGAGAGACAACTCTCCGATACGAACCCAGCAAACCCAACGTCACCCCATTCCCCCATCCTGTCCTCCAATCTGCACAACAACCCAACTGCTGGCCGAACACGGCTTACGAATAACACTACTCCCGAAACACCTTCTGCCACACGGGCGTCGGGTTGAACTTTTCCTTTTCTGATCGACTTGTAATTGCGTATGTTTTGGGATAGACGTGGAGTTTGAAGCGATTTCCGCATGTAGCATATCACAACCGGCGTTTTCCTTTTTTTTTCTTCCCCTTTTCTGTTCCTCTCTTTGCTTTTCAAAATATGGTGGCACGGGGTCTTGTTCCGGTCCAATATCAATGCACGAATGAATGAATGAATGAATGAATGAATGAGCATGGGGGTCCACGAATCGAATTCATGAACTTTCTAAACCCCTCCCCCCCAGAAAAAGAAATCAAGCCCTCCGTCTGCAACCAACAAGGCTTGCCGAGTGAGACGCTTGCAACGAGATATGATCACGTGTAACCCAATGATCTCATGCAATGTAGTCTAGTGCCGCTTTTCCAAGATAGGGCATAGAAGTCCTAGATGAATAACAGTGGGGATATCCGTATCACAGAATCGGCAAGGGACGGAGGGGGGACAAGAGTTTGATTTCAGGTAGTACAATAGAAGAGTAATGCGACAAGATGAAGATGGTGGAGAAGAACAAGTAGAGAAGCATAACAGCGTCCAGTTTTTAGATGCTGGGTAGGCTGAGATGATGACCAGAGACCGCGGCATCCTACTCCTCGTCCGACTCTGCTTCCTCCACCGTAGCCCGCTGCGGTCGATGCGTTACATCGCCCTGCGATGCGGGAGTGGTTTCTGCACCTGTTGGTTGCGGCGCCTCGTCGACAGCCTGTTGCTGTCCTTCGTGCGTCTTGGGTTGTGCTTCTGCCTCGGCCTCGGCCGCGGGTGTGGTAGCACCTCCTTTCTTCTTGTTCGACTTTCCTCCATTGACGGCAGCCTCGGCTCTTGCGGCGGCTTTCGCCGCCTTCTTTTCCTTCCTGGCACGTTTGCGGTTCTTGATGTCCTCGAGCGTCTGTATTGTTTCGGCATGATTAGTTGGTGGTCATTATTTGAATAGAAGAGCATATTCACCTCTTGCCACGCCCATACGGGTCGGAAGGAGTCAAAGAAGCCCACATCCTCAAATAGATTGGGGTACAGCCATAAACCTGGTGGCGCCGCGAACATGGTGATGATAAAGAGAATGAGGCGAACAATAGCCATTGCGAAGAACAACCCGATGAAACCCAGCATGGCCATACTCAGATACCATACACCCTGGCGCATGAACAATGGCCAAAGCGGGAACAGAACAACAGCCAGAATACCGATCAGTGCACCGACCGCGTACAGTTTCTGCTTCCATTGAGAGCCCTCAAACAGCCATATGTAGTAACAGTCATCGTTGGCCTCTTGATGTTGCTGAATGACCACAGTCCACTGACCCTTGACGCGCTTGGGTTTGGCATGATTGTGGCCTTCATGGGCCGATTCCGGGTCGACCTTGGCCACGCGCAGTGCGAGTAGGGATAGTGGGAGAAGCTTGAATGTGTTTTCGGCTGATGCGCGGTCATGGACTTCTGGAAGGAGAGGATTCTTCGCACGGGCTTTCTGGTAGGCGGGGGACAGGAGAGCGCGGATGGCCCGTTTGACTATGGTAGTGGGTTAGTTTGGTGAACAATAACCCCCGCAAGACGGAACAATGGCGTAATACTACCTCGGAACATTTCCTTCCTCTTCTCGTCGTGAATAACAGTTCTGGGCTTGAGCTCCTGGCTCCTCAGCCAGTTTGCAACAGCGATCGCCTCAGGCTTAGGGGGACCGGGTTGGATGGGTTGTTGCTGGGCTTGTTGTTGCTGCTGCTGTTGCTGCTGTTGTTGCGCCTGGTGTTGCGCCATTGCTTGTTGCTTGAGTCTTTGGATATATTCGGGTACTGACATGCCATGCTTCTCTGCCTCGGCGGCGATTTGGCGCTGCATGGCTTGGATCTGCTCTGGTGATGGCTGCTGGCCCTGGGGAGGCATGCCCTGTGGGGGACCCTGATGCTCCTCGTCGCTCATATTTGAGGAAGAGAGGAACGCAGATTTTTTGGCCGGTGGAAATGCAGGTGAAGTTCAGTCACGGCGGTGGATGGTATAGAAGCAATGTTTGGGTGGTGGTTTGCGTCTAGGTAGCTGGAGGGGATGAATACGTCTCTTATTTGGAAATAATAATGCCACCTTGCCCGCAACCAACCCCGGCGTCGGAACAAGGATTTTCCACCCCGACGTAGGGTTGCAGATGGTATTTGGTCTTGAAATCTTCCCAAGATTTCTCATTGCATATCGACATTAACCACATTGATTCAACCATTAGGCTTCACACAGTACCTACTAACTACTTCTGTCTGATATCACAGGGTTGCTGCTGTTCAAGCAGAAGCTCCCTACCCACATTCCCCACCCACACTCCCCATTCACTCATCATCGTATCAGTCACTGCATTGACACATAGCAGTATCCAAGTCCTCAAGATTGAAGTTCACGCGAGAACGGCACCTTCTGACAGAGGACCTCGTTCTTAGTACTGCTTAACCGAGCGTTTCGCAGCCCATAACGAGTTACGAAACTACTACTTTGATTGTCATGCCTAAGGAAGTCAGATTCGTATTGTATATCTTGGCGACCTGATGGTGGTGCAAATCTCCACTTCTCAACCTACCAAAGTTAGCTCTCAACTCCCAGGACCAGGCGTAACAATCGTATAATTACAAGTCGGGCAGTTGGTCTTCGTGTTGTTTGTCGCTGGGTACCAATCATGCCCGTACGTCGCATTCAACTCAACATCCCCAACCACGTTTCCGCTTTCCAGCCTAATCCACGAATGGGCCTCAAAAAGACGGAGTTGTGATGCTGATACTTTAATTTGACGCGAGCCTCTCTCCCAGTTACCATACCCACCGTATCCAGAGTGCTGTCCGAAACAGAGGTTGACGCCGTTGCCAGCGACAGTCATGTTGGGAAGTTGGGTCGACCATTTTGCACACCAAGTGTCGCCGTGGTCATGGCCCGAAAAGACAGCAATGATGCCGGGTATTGTGGTCAGGGCTTGCATGAACGGAATGTCCTGGCCGCCATAGTCACAGCTTCCATCGGTCGTGCCGTCTGCGCACCATCCTTGTGCTTGAGGGGAGACAGGCACGTCGTCATTGATTCCCGGTTGATAATGGGGGCTTATGCCGGCATTCTGGTAGGCAACCGACGCGTAAGTTGGGATGTGGACGAAGACTAAGGAAGGTAATGTCTTTTGGTATTGGTTAGTGAGCAGGGCGTGGGTTTGCTGAAACCATTGGACAACGGAGATATCGACCCAATTTGCCTGACCAACTCTATCCCCAGCGGAATCTTTTTCTTGATGCTTGAAGCCGCCACGCGAGTCGAAGAACCAAAGGAGGAGTGCTGGCACACAGTCTTCTGTTGAAGCCGCATCGGTACAGCTGTTGGCGTACACGGGGAGGTAGTAATTCGAAGTCCCAGCATCGGGCGAATCAACCATTTTTTTTGTCAGCGCATTGGGCCATCGCTGCTCATGTGCAAGCAAGTGTTCGGCTGACAGATTGTATTGGTGATCATGATTGCCATAGGTAGACGCCCAGGGCAGGTCTCGTTTTACGAATGGCCCTACAATCTGCTCGATGTATACGGTGCTGTTCTCTAAAAAGCCATTGTCGCCAGTGATCAGATCGCCGTTCAGAACAACGAGATTCGGTGACTCCTTTTCGAGCACTTGATTAATCACTTTTACAGAGTTGATGTCCTGCTGCGGGCTGCCGAGAACTTAGCCGTTGCATTCGTCATGGGAAGAGGGGGGAAACGAGACAGGACTGCTTGCCCCCATGAGTCCCAGGCATTCTCGCCAAAATGCAGATCCTCTGTTCAGCCATCAGCGACCTGTTTTCTATTCGTACATCAGCGGCGCGCACCAAAAATGCTTATCTGGAACGTATCGTCCGCACTAAGTCGAAGCGGGACGTCGGAAATGGTGCTGTTTGTGTACCGGTAGCGCTCAACAGCGTTCCTGCATTCCACCAAAGATGACAAAAGTGTCAGACATGCCAAACGTTTCGTCATAATGTACTTGATAAATGCGAGCTTACCCACACACATGACGATAACAAGTCTGCGAGTATGAGGAAGATGCTTGCCCTATAAATACCTGGGACATGATGACGGGTTATGCGACCGCAGTCCCGTTTGACTTTTCATTGTGAACTTCCACTTATGGCGAAGTATCAACACATGGGTTGAGAGAAAACCCAAGGAATGATACAAACGCCATACGCGACGTGGCTGCAGCTTGAACTTTGATTGGCTCAAATGCGCAAACTTCTGTTCAACATATCCGCGGATCTTGACTGTTCATCATGGGGTGTGCCGCACTCTGGAATTAACCATCAACAGCCTGTGATTGAATTTTGAACGAAAGAACCATGCCCAAGTAGATGGGTGATTGAATAGAAATTGTAAAGAGAAGGAAGCTGATTACATGCAAACAAAGACGTAGCCAAGTATCAAGAAGCATAAAAGCTACACGCCGGTTGATATCATGACAAATAACTATCAAGCAGGCTTGAATGCAATCTATTCAATATCATATAGTACACGCACACACAAGTCTTGCTCATCTCCACAGCAAGTCGGCGAACTCCCCCATTACTCCTTCCTTGCCTCCATCAAACAAATCTCCTAAACCATCCAAGCTCAGAAAAGCCTCAGCGAATCGCAAACCGCGCCTCCGCTCCTTCTCAATAACATGCCAGTTCCACTCCTGAACCTCGTTGTCGTCCGCTTCCACAAACTCATCGTCTTCCTTGTAGATCCATCCTTCAGGCTTCTCGGGGACCATGTCTGCCTCAAATAGTACCTGTTCGGCAGGAACCGTGATTCTGCCTTTCTTGATAACGTACTTTGCGATGGCTGTAGCGTACACGGCTTTGGACAGATCTTCCTGGCTTCTTCCCTTATTGCCCTTGACTGTCCGCCACGGTTGTAGGGTAAAGGAAGACGCCTGCCCAAAGCCTGGCTTCACAATCCAGGTGACCAGATAGAACCATTTGCGATCCCAGGTCAGTAGCCTCGTCCACATTTCGTACTTGGTGTAGGGCAAAATCTCCCGCCTGAAGTTACAGCTGACTCCGCCCAAGGCAATCATATGGCCTCCATCAGTATTTTCGGCAGCTCGGGGCCATACGCCTAGACTACCAAATAGCTTGCCGATGGGACCACGCTTGGCTTGTTGCTCAATGTGGCGCTGCCGAGCAGCTTTGAGAATAGCGTTGCGCACGATGGCTGTGAAGAGGTGGGTTCGCGAGATGTCCATGTCGGCGAAATAGGTCGAGTTGGATTTGTGCAAGTTGTAATCCATTTCGGTGATGGGCGAGTGGGTCGAGGTCACTATGGGCTGGAACAGGGCCTGGGGTGGCAGTCTAGTAGGCTGGCGATACAGGTGATAGGTGAAGGCTTTGAAAAAGCGAAGCTGTTTGTTTGCGCCACGGCTGTCAGTACATCAATCAAACGTGGGTGCCTTGTAGTTTTGGGCCATCATGTATCACCGCAAGCGCCAATGAAGGTGTGACATGGGGGACGCAAGAAGGTACATGGATGAGTCCCGCGTACTCGATTGACTTTGAACGTACATGCCATACGAAGGTGCCGTTTTTGAGGTTCCCCAAGGCGAATAGGATGGCCAGGAGTTTCCAGATGGCCCCAGGCTGTTGTGCAAGGCCCACTACAGCTTTCAGCCAGCGCGCAAAGGTGCTCTGCAGCGAGGCAGCCATGGTGCTGACAGCAGGCGCCATGTCTGTTGTGTTCAGGATGGCGACCGCTGCCGCGAAAACACTGGTAATGGCAGCCAAGAAGACGAATGAGAAACGAAGGGAGTGAGGTTGCTGGAGCATGAGGGACAAGCGGACAAGGCTCAGAAGATAACAAGAAGGAATACCAAGAGAAATCTCACATTATCATCATCATCATCATCATTCTTGTACACGACAAACGCACATGCGAGCGTACGTTTTGGGTGAAGCCGATTTTAATTCCTCAGGCACAAGTAAACTCGTGAGTGAACCGAGGCTCGGTGGTGAACGAAGCGCCGGTTTCCGGTCCAGGTACATGCTCCAACATACATGGCAATCGACGTCTCATCACAGATGCAGACATGCCAAGTATACGCGCGACGGCATGCCCGGGACAGGAGCGGAACTTGTACAGGGCCCGATCCCGTCCGAGTGCCGTGTACGAGTGAGTTGCTTCCAAGGTTTCTTGATCGCTATCCACGGCACGGAAATCCCATCTCGATATAGGCAATGGGTAATTGTGGCCTATATGATATGAACTGATGATGACAACGTGTGCGCTGCATGTCGGCACCAAGTGACCCTTCGCAAGGGATTATGTAGCTTCGTACACCCCGTATACGAGAGTAAAGTTGTTGTGGGCTCTCGCTTGAGTGCTATCGTAGTAGGCCTGCCATTCAGGGGGATTCGTGTACATGACCCGCTGGACCCACCCTTCAGCTCACTCAGCAACCGCCACCAAGATGATTTCGTGAATCTTGGAGTATATATGCTCTGAAAATTGACATTCTCTCATCAATCATCGATCCACGTTCAGAAAATATGATTAGTCATCAAGCATCGGTGGTTTAGTGGTAAAATTAGCCGTTGCCAGGCATTCATCTGAATGACGCAACATCGGCTAGCCCCGGGTTCGATTCCCGGCCGATGCATTACTTTGATTCTTTTTATTTGTTTTTTGGTTCTGCTCTCTCTATATCATAGCTGTTGAGATTATACGTAGTACCCTGATGATGTATTTTTGGAGGAGCACATGTGTGCTAGCTGAAATGGGGCTAAGCGGGACATGCTTGAGCCACGCTCTGAGCCACGCGCAGCCTGCCACCTTGTTTTTCCAGACTCCACTTCCTGGCGGTGACGCGCTCTCTAGGCGACTTTCACAACACATGTGCGTAGCCTTATAATGCACTGCTTCTTGTCGACGCGTTTGCCCTTGCATATATTCAATTCACCTCCATGGCCTTGGTGATTGCGGCCCGCTGAACACTAATACTCCCTTCCTTCACTCTCTCCAGGCAGCAGCTATATTTAGCACCCTTTCTCCAAGACTTGTAAGATACTACATCGTATCGAATACTGCCACTATGGCCTTCACCGGCGTCACACCCGAGTCTCTCATTCCTCGCTCAGACTCGAGAAATCCTGCTACCACCTGTAAGGGAATTACCAAGTCAGGTAGGCCTTGTCGTAGAGCAATCGATGCAAAGGATTCAACAGATGATGGCGTGCTGGCTGTGATATCTGTAGTTGGTGATAGCGACGAGGAAGAGACTGGTGCGGCAGCATACTTTTGCTGGCAGCACAAGGATCAAGCCGAGCGATTAACAAGTGGAAACGCGCAGGGTCAGGATACCCATCTCTATCCACTGAAGGAGAGGAGCAGTATCGACACTCTTGTAGCTCGCCTTGGCGTGTTGGACGTCGAAGATCCTGCAGAGGCACAGAAACAAACACAACAAAAACGGCGAAGACAGAGCCGGCAAAATGGAGCAGCTCGACCACCGCGCAGGATCAATCGACCGCCAACCTGGGATCATGTCCAAGGACCATTGATGTCTGTTCCTAGTGACCTCATGGGGCAACAGAAACACTCGAACAATAGGCCCACCGCAAGACCTCGAAACAAGAAGACTTCGTTTTGGAGGTCCCTATGCTGCGGTGTTGCCGACAACCAGGATGACGATTATGTGGAGGTTGTAAGGCACAAAACCCGAATACACAACCAGCAGCCTGAAACATTGATGAACTCAAACGTGGATGACTTTCTGCGGCCACAGGGGGGTGGACTGAACGGGATTGGGACTGCCCCTAGACCAGTACCAACGTCGCGGCCTCAGAGTGGCAGTGTGCCTAACACGAAGACCACTCGGCCTTTGAGTAAGGCTTCGACCCGCCCATCGGAAACAGCAACGCTTTTGTCTTATATCCCAAAATCGCTACCCCCCCAATTAGCGTCTACCCTTCTCGCCGAGGCATCCAAACCGATTTCGCAATCCGAGGAGGAAGGTTACATCTACATCTTCTGGTTGACACCTGACGACCTCGGTCCAGCACCTTCTTCTACGGCGTCGACCTTGCTCTCCCCACCATCTCGACCAGATCAAACCCGACGAACGTCTGACGTACTGCGACAATACTCGGTGAAGCACTCCCAACGGCCCCGTGGCGACGCCCTGCGGCAGCAATCTAGTAAAGCATCCACTCCTGAACCCGAGAAGAAGACCATTTTTCTCAAGATCGGCCGTGCGAACAACGTCACTCGGCGCATGAACGAGTGGAAACGGCAATGCGGTTACAGTCTCTCCCTTGTTCGCTACTATCCCTACGTACCTTCAGCCTCGTCTCCTTCGCCTTCCCCCAATGCCTCGCCCGCGCACTCGCGTCAACCATCGTACAACGACCGACGCACATGGGAATCGAACAGGCGTGCTTCAGCCGGCGTAAGGAAAGTCCCTCATGCACATCGTGTGGAGCGACTGATCCACCTTGAGCTGGCAGACAAACGGGTTATGAAGCAGTGTGAGGCATGTGGGAAGGAGCACCGGGAGTGGTTTGAGGTTGAGGCCAGCAGAGAAGGGATTAAAGAGATTGACGAGGTGGTCAAGCGGTGGGTGGATTGGTCAGAACGTAGTATAGAGTGATGTCGTGATCTGTCTGTGTGTCATGACTCTGGAAGTAACGGATGCTTCCTAATAAAACCCGACTATGAGCTCTCTATACATGCAATGTGAATCGTATCTTGCTCAATGTTGTCCACGATGTGATGGTGGTGGGGGTCCCCAGACAGTTCTCTATCGGGCCGGGGAGGCGCTATCCACCCCCGCCCCGCCCATCATCATCATCATCATCATCATCATCGATAGTCAACGTTTGCTTATCGCAGCCCAGTGGACAAGGGCATTATGCAATGATATACCTGCCTAGGTAAATACTAGCACGGCGAGTTCGGCGTGTAGTCGGATTGATACATACTTGGGTAACTAAGTAGATTGCGAAGACGGAGGATCCATCATCTACCTATCTGGCCATGTTAGTCTCCGAGTACCTATCATATAACATGTAGCCACCCCTCTTGAGCCGGTTCATGCTTGACTTGATCTTCGCCTTCCATTCCTTGCGCCCGCAGCTTTCCGCACCGATCCCACCTCCAGCGTCATGGCTCTTGACCGTCTCAAGCAAGCTGCCGCACACGTCACGGGCATCGGCCAAGCACCGCATCCCTTCGACCCTCTTTCCGAATCCGAGATCGAAGAAGCCGTCGCCATCATCCGCAAAGAGTTCAGCCATGTCTTTTTCAATGCCATCACTTTGTGGGAACCCCGCAAGGCCGACATGATGGCGTGGATAAGAGACCCTGAACATACGCCGAGGCCGCACAGGATAGCAGATGTCGTGTGCATTGGTGCAGGCAGTAAAGTATTCGATGGGACGGTAGACTTGAATGAGGGAAGGATAGTGAGCTGGGAGCAGACAGATGGTGTGCAACCGCTGGTAAGGAGGACCTAGGGTCCATGCGTGATCCATGTCTATCTAATTCGGCGAGAGTTCAGATCACCATGGAAGATTTGCAAATCGTCGAGTCGGTTGTGCGTAAAGACCCAAAAGTCATCGAACAGTGCGGCATAGTCGGTATTCCTGCTGAAGACATGAATAAAGTCTACTGCGACCGTGAGTAATGCAACATCATACGCGGTTGGTTTGCTGATCATCCACGCAGCATGGACGATTGGATACGACGAACGATTCGGAACAAACGTTCGCCTTCAGCAAGCCCTCATGTACTACCGTCCTCATGTCGACGATAGCCAATACAGCTACCCGCTTGATTTTTGCCCCATCTACAATTCTGATACGCAGGAGATTATCCACATCGATGTTCCCGCAGTACGTCGACCGGTTAATAAAGCTCCGCCAAACAATTACCATGTGCAGGCCATCGAGGCCGAGGGAGGCTTCAGGAAAGATTTGAAGCCAATCCACATCTCCCAGCCTGAAGGCGTATCTTTCACCATGGACGGTCGGTATATCAGCTGGCAGAATTGGAAATTGCATATTGGCTTCAACTACCGCGAAGGAATGGTTCTCTCCAACATCACATTCAACGACAAGGGTAACATACGAGACACTTTTTGGCGACTTTCGCTCGCCGAAATGGTGGTGCCATATGGAAATCCCGAACACCCCCATCAACGCAAGCATGCATTCGACCTGGGCGAGTACGGAGGAGGCTACATGACCAACTCACTCAGTCTGGGGTGCGACTGCAAAGGCGCAATTCATTACATGGATGCAGCATTCGTCAACCGAGCTGGGTCAGCCACAACCATTAAAAACGCCATTTGCATCCACGAAGAAGACGCCGGAATCTTGTTCAAACACACTGACTTCCGCGATGACAGCTGCACCGTCACGCGGGCACGCAAACTCGTCATCTCGCACGTCTTCACTGCGGCCAACTACGAATACTGTGTGTACTGGATCTTTCATCAGGATGGCACGATACAGCTTGAAATTAAACTTACTGGTATTCTCAACACGTACGCTATGAACCCTGGCGAGGACCTGAAAGGCTGGGGTACAGAAGTCTACCCGGGCGTCAACGCGCATAACCATCAACATCTGTTCTGTCTCCGAGTCGATCCCAACATCGACGGCTCCAACAACTCGGTCTTCATGGTTGACGCTGTTCGCGGCGACGGCGAGGTGGGTAGTAAAGAGAATCCATACGGTAATGCCTTCTACGCCAAGAAGACGAAGTTGGAGACGCCCGAGCAGGCCAAAACGGATTACAACGGTGCCACGAGTCGCACATGGGAGATGTGTAACGAGAACAGACTCAATCCTTATAGTAAGAAGCCTGTGTCGTACAAACTGGTGAGCAGGGAAGTCCCGGAACTGCTTCCCAAGCCAGGCAGTCTGGTATGGAAGAGAGCTGGGTTCGCCAGACATGCCGTTCACGTGACAAAGTGTAAGCCTCGTCCCGATCAGCCTCTATTTTTTGGAGTAAAGAGACTACTTCGAATCCGTTTCTATTTTTTCCCCTTTCATACTTCTGTTTTCAGCTGCTAAATCTTGACCATAGACAACGACGCCCAAATCCACCCAGCGGGCCGCCACGTGCCGCAAACCTCAGGCTCACCCTCCCGCGGCATCCCCGAATGGATCGCGCAGAATCCGTCAACATCTCTCGTGGACACCGACGTCGTTCTCTGGCATACTTTTGGTATCACACATTTCCCTTCGCCTGAGGACTTCCCCGTTATGCCTGCCGAGCCCATGACGCTCCTTCTACGTCCCCGTAACTTTTTCACGCGAAATCCATGTCTGGATGTCCCACCTAGCCATTGCAGTGTGCCAAGTGGAGCACGCCAGGGTGATGCATTGGTGGATAAGATTAGTCGATTGGCGTTTGGGAAGGAAGAAGAAGGAGGTAAGAAGGATTGCTGTTAGAGGGTAGAATTGTCTGAGACTGCTTATCTGATGAGCGTTCGCCATCTTCTTTTCGTAAATTGGCATGTGGCAGTATGTTCTCTCTATTGTTTCGCCTCCATACATGCCTGTTTTTGTCCGCGTTACGTGTCACATTCATCCCTGTTTGTCAATTTTTCTAGAAGCGAAAAACAAGCGTTGTGAGCGGATACCGCAAACAATTTAATTAACCACATTACACATTATATGAGAACGATCGCTGTTCCGTTTTCGATTATTAGCGTCCCTCGGAATCATCATCATTACATGGGACAATTCCCAGCATCTTCCCTGGCTTGCTTCAAATCAATCTCTCCTCTTCCTCCCCATCCTCATCATCATCCTCATCCTGGTCATTATGGATTATATGCGGGGTCCCGAAACTCCTGGGAGTTATAAACAATCCCGAGAGATAGATACCAATGGCACTCGTTGGCCTGGGTAATGTTAACGCGTAAATGGGTTCTCAGTCCGCTATCTTCGGTGAAGCGAGCGTGTGACGGTCGTGCCGTTGTTTAGATATAGTGAGCGTGTGTTGGGTTGACTGCCATGACAAATCGGCTATACGATACACTTTGGCATCAGCAAGGAATCTCGGGGATTCCTAGAGCCCACGCCATAGCCCAAAATCTGGCTCGCCCCTCACTCATGCTGGTACGGAGTGCCTCGTCGACTGACCTCCTCCGCAATATGGTTCGTGGCGAGGAAAAAGGGGCATATTCAAACAAAACTTGCAAAAACGACGCCCCACTGAAACTTCCCTTGCTGACCGCTGATTTTATTTGCCCTGGGGCTTCCGAGAACGACAACAGGCGGACCTGTCGCGCGCTCATGGTACGAGATTTAGCCAGAACATGCCAAAAGAGTTTACTGAGTGTTTCCTTGCGCGCAAGGAAGGCATCGTCAAATTGATTGGGGTCACTCGATGCAGAGCGAAGGAAGTAAAGATAGGTCTTGAGCAGCCTCACTGCATCGTTGGCGCGGCAGTCCGTCAACTGCCTGTTTTCTGTCCAAATGCGCGTTGTATGGTACGGGTGAGCGACATGGCGCACATTCCCTAGATCCCCCAGTGCCCAGCGATGTTCCTTCTCGATGAATATGTTACCTGGCTTAACATCGTCGTGACAGTAACCGTCGCGGTGCATGGTGTCGAGCGTCTCGAGCAGGTGGTGGAATGTAGAGCGGTACTGGGTATCTAGTTCTTGGAAGGTCTGTGGAGAGTCGCTCTCGCGTATTCGTCTAGCAAGAGCTTTTAGATTGCCTCCTGGGATCAGGGGAGTTACGAGATGCCATTCAGTGGGAGTGGTGAGAGATGTCGCAGCTTTGAAGTAGGCGTGGACGGGCAGAAATCCTCCCTTTGCGATCATGTCCCCGCCTAGAGATGCGTTGGACGGTTTGAAGTGTGCTTGGGATGCAAAGTGGGCGGTAGCAGGTATTTCGGTAGGCCATTTCGATTCTCCCACACAGTTGCGGAGCGGGCTTTGTCCGATCTTGAACGTCTTGATAACCTTGTCATGGTAAGTGTATATTGTTCCTTCCCATCCAGATCCAAGAACCTTCCACGAATCACGATTCGCTAGAAGCTCGTCTTGCAATGATGCCATGTGCTCCTCAGAGGATTTGCCGGGCTGCGACGATAGCTGGGTAGCATGGGAGCTAAAATACGTCGAGGAATATTTTGCCGTAAGAGCGGCCTGGTAGCTGTAGAAGAGGCGCTGTTGCTGCAGAAAACACAGTATTATAATGGCAAGGAGTATCCTGTAGCGCAAAGAATGTAACGGACGAGTGGCTCGGCGGACTGGTCCACGAAAAGATCCCATCTTGACTCTGGTGATGAAGAAGTCGTAGTCCTTGGAAGGGAGGTGTGCAAGAAACTTATTATCCATGTTGCTGGTATTCTGAACCCGCATACGAACTCACAAGGGTGAGTGAGGCTGTGAAAAGACGAGGGCGCCTTGTCCAGTGTCGATGAATATATCTCGTATCCTGGTGGGCGATGCAGACGTTCAATGTTGATGTTTGACACGCGAGCTACGCCATAGGGGCACGCGAACGTCTGGAAGGAATCCATAGCCACGGCTTGCGGCACGAATGATATCAAATGTGAAATGGTTCTCATGTTTTGAATTTACTTGCCAACAGCAGTGTCGCGTGCAAATCAAGGCACAGTGGCTTGGGGGGTTGACGTGATTGGCTCGTGTAGATTGCACCGCCCGCTAACGGCTAACGGCACTCCGGTTGATATTGGACTATTGATATGTACCTAAGTAGTCAGTCAGTAGAGTGCTCGTCATTTCAAGCTAGAGCACTCGTTGCGAACTGCTCAAGTACTCTACCGAGTAGTGCTTTGCTTGGATACATACTCGAGTAGTTAGTACCCATCCTACACTACTACTACACCATCTTGGTTGCACTGCCCTGTCGAGACGCCAACACTATACCTCATCCAACTACCTAGGTATGTGCATGGCGCTGAACCAACTCATTTGAGTAAAAAAGCTACATGTTCCATCACTATCATGGTGTAAATGATGCAGGTGGGAAGCCCCCAAAGCTCCGTGGTGGGCATGGCAAGCAACCAATCTTGGACATTCCATTCAAAGCTTGTCTATGTACTAACCACCCACTCACGTCTTGCAGACGCTACCAAGTAAATCGCCTCAATCTCGTCTACTCCTCCCCCTTCTTTCCCCTTCCTTTCCCTTTCCCACCACAAGCCCCCCTCAAAAACCACCCCGCAAGCCCTGCAAACATGACGCTCAATCCGACCCCCAGTCCAACCCCCAGCCCCAACTTCTTCTTCCATGCCTTCTCCTCTTCCCCCCTCGCATACCCAACTGCCTCGGCAAGCTGTGGCTCCGAAACATAAAAGGGCTGTGTCTCATCTGAAAGCGTATCCTGACCACCGCGTTCGCGTGCGAACTGCGTTTCGTCGTCAGCCACCCTACCATCAGAACCGCGTTGGAGGATGGCAAGGTACGTTTGGCTAGTGAGGGCGAGGGAGCGGGCAAGGGGTGCCGAGATGTTGGGGGCAAGGGGATTGGGGAAGAGCGAAAGGGAAGGACGAAATGTGTAACGTTGCGAGGGGGTTGTTTGGTCTGTTGCGTGCAAATACACGGTCAGTCTGTGTAGGCCTTTTCCCCCTTTTTTTGCAGCATGTGAACAATCTTACTATACTCCCAAACAACCCTCCCGCTGAGCCCATTGGACAGATGCTCCCTATACCTTGTTCCATTCCCATGGCTCTCATTCACATCCAGCGCATCCAACATCCACCACTGAATAGTAACCACATCATCTTCCAACTCGCTCTTCCAAGTAATCTCATATTCGCGATCCCAAATCAGACTGGGAACTGCTCGGCCGCGCTGCCCTGTCGCGGTTTGTGGGAACACATTGGGCGGTGGGGTGCACAGTCCTGGCCTGTGGGGTCGCACCATCGGAAGCTGTTGAGGCAGAGGGAGGAGGAGTGGCATGTGTGGTCTGAGGGGGACCAGGCATAGGTGATGTTGGGGAAGAGTGTAAGGAGGGCGAGGGGGTACATGTGAAGCAAGCCTGATGGCTGCATTGCCGATAAAATGAGGGTTGTTCTTCCTTGATCTTGGGCTTTTATTTTCGTGGTCAGTGGTTGGAATATAGTTGGCTGTGCATTCGACTCTTGTTCGTGGTTATGCTTTAGAATGTGGCCTCTCTGTGTGTATTCTCAGGTACGGTGTGGAAAAGCGTTGTCGATTCGGATAGATTGACCAGGTAGTATCGAAGTCTGGGAGCTCGAGTAGAAGCTATTAGAAAAAGGAGAGGAAGACATTATATCCCATACCGCATTCCATACCTTATATGAGCGCTCAACAAGCATACGCATGGCGGCCTTAAAACGATGAGATCCCATTTGCTACTCCATGATGACGGTCGACAAGACCTTTGGTTGTGGAGACGCAGTCCATCAATGCGAAAAAGAAGCGAACCATCGGGTTTGGCAGAGCATGGTATGCCCCATCCCAGCATTGGCAAAAGAGCGGCACTGGGTCGTGGTCGTAGACATACAGGTACTCTGTTTCTCTATCCATGATGCAATGTTTGCAGAGTTTATTGACATACGTTCCATTCCTTTATGCGTACTTTAGCTCATCTAGGCTAGTAATTTGTTGGATTCTAAATCACTTGGAAGTATATTCATCCCTGTCTTGTATGGGTGCGTATGAATTGCAATCAAGGACAATGCATGGCGGTGCTTTTCCCCAACAGTAATGCAATGAACGTACTCGAAAGCAGGGTATATGGGAGGGAATCTCTTCACACTCCATCACAGATACCCACATAGTGCGGGTCTCCGAAAAGGCGTAGGGCTTGGGCATGTCACTCAACACAGATGAGTTCCAGGTAGATGGCTGAAATTTGGGATCCAAGACGACCTATGCGTTTTTACCATTCCAAGATAGCTTTCAGAATCGGCACCGACAGTATGTTGCATGATCGGAGGGATGCTAGTGAGCCCAATACACACACCAACCCGACTTCCGAAGCGACCCTGACTCAAAGACTGGGTCGAGAATGGACGCCTTAAAAGATGTGCCACTAGAGTCAGATTTAAATGACGTCAAACTTGCGTTATGGTTTTGAATTCACTGGGAAGTATGTGATGGGTGAATGACTGATATCGGTCTCTCGACTTCTTTGCGCAATGTTTGGGGTGGATGTGTTGATATTTCTAGTGTATACGTATAATGATGTTTTTTATCCATGGATTGATTGGGAAGTTGGGTATCTCGAATGTGAAAAACGGCGTGTGCAGCGACAAAGAAGTGAGGAAGAAAAAAAAAACCCCCCAAAAGAGGGAAGACGCTACGAAAAGAAGATTAATTACAATGTCAGAGATGAAGGCTCTCTCCTTGAGGAACGTTCCGCCATCGGTGTACAGCATGACCAATACTTATAAGTTGAGGGGGAAAATCAAGCAAAGAGAAAACGTCGAGAAGGTCATATCTTATCCCTGAGAGTCGTGATGGGAAATGCGCATCGTGTCCGGGTAATGATATCTCAGGATGGTGCGTTTGGTCCATAAGATAGCTAGTTGGCGTGGCGTGGCGATATACTTCAGGCATGGGGTGACGCAGCGCGGCATTGCTTCCCCTTCCCCTTCCCCTTTCCCGTACTCTACGTCTAGAGCTTCGTGTGCTTTGCGTATTATCATTTCCTTCATCATCCCTGCTTCAGACAGGTATTTGACCACTCATCTCACCTGCTTATGTCTTGCTTCGAGACAATAGCAGGCCGGTGACTCTCCAGGCTCTTAATGGGGTGCCTGTTGAATGCGCCTCGAATGCTTGTAGGCGTAGTGTTGAGGTGCGCGGCGAATGAGCAAGATGCGGTGCTTCTTCGCCTCTGATTTCCTTCTCTTTACCAATGTATGTACAGTGTGTCCATGACAAATATAACACACACATGTCGAACCCTTTTTATGTGACCAAAGTTGCTTGGTATGGGGACAATGCGACGATCTAGAATATACCCATGCGCGGACCCCACGCGTTCTGGTCGGCGGCGATTTTGGGGTTGACGAGTACTTGGTGAGGAAAAGGGTTGGCGTCGGTGGTGGTGATGGGAGGAATATGGTCCTTGTCGCGATTGACGATGGTGATGATTTTATGGGCGGCTTTCTCGAGGGACTTTGTCATTGCGCGGCGAACCTTGAGGACATCTGATGCGACATGGTCAGTATGCAGAGGAGAAGAAGAGAGAAGGCAAGGTGTGAATACCTGTTTCGGTGCGCGGGGTGGCTATAGTGACATCCAAAGTCCACTGCTCCCAACACACATCCTCGTCGGCTTTGCCGAAGAAGTAACTCTTCCGCCGCCTCTTCTCGAAAAACTGCACGACAAGCTGCCCCCTCCCACGCTGGTGATGGGTTCCTTCTATGGCACGCATGAGGGCCATGGTGCGCTGGTCGATCAAGGTCTCCAGGTCGACATCGTCGATGGCGGGAAGGGTGAGGTCGAGGAGGTCGCGGGTGAGGGGTAGGATGGAAGTGAAGTATCGGTGGAAGAAGATGGTGTGAAGGATGGCTAGAAGGGGGGTCTGTTAGCAGGCAGACGGGCACGACAGCCAGTGGTGATTTACGGACCTTTGACGACGTCTTTAACGCAGGCCAAATCGGCAAAGATGTCGATGTGGTACTCGGGTCGACGCCTGGGCTCCATGGTCGCATCAGGCAGGCAGGCAGGCAGGCAGGGCACGACGATGTCAAAGGGTGGTTAGGTATGTACCGACTGACTGACTGTACCGTAGTGCAGTGCAGTGCAGTGGGATGCCGTGTAGTGCGGGAGCAGGGCGAGGTAGTTAGCGTAACAAGGCGCGCGTCTTTGAACCCCGCAGCAGAGAAGCCGTGCTGGAGCGGACGCTGCCGCGCTCTGCCAGATGCTATCGTATCCTTTTGTATCCGTGTTTCAGCTGCTGCTGCTGCTGCTGCTGCACCGTCCGAAAGGTGTCGAGATGTTGCGTGCAACGTCTGCGTCGACGGTGGCTGTTGGTGGTGGTGGTGGTGGTTTGGGGAGAGAGGGGAGAGGGCGGGTGTTGAGGGTGGCGGGAACGGAATGGTGAGAAGAGGACGGAGAATGCGGAATCGGGTGATGGCGGATGGGTTGAAAGAATACATATATTATGCGCATAATACATCCATTGTCAGTGCAGGTCAGTCAGTCAGTCAGTCAGACAAACAGTCAGTTAGCAGTGGCACATGGCACACATTACATGGATAACTGGAGTACTTATGTACGTACACACACACACACATCGTGTACATAGATACATAGACACATGACGGTAACTTGCCGCGGGGCATTTCATCTTTACATGGCGCGCGTGCCCTATCTACACCGTTCAACCAAAGAGAGCCCCATGTAAGCCCTTAGCACTTGGCACATCTTTTTTTTCTTTTCTTTCTTTTCTTCCGCCACTTCTTTTTCCCAGGATTCAATCATGCGCCTACCAATTACCTGCATGCTAGAGGTCATCCATGTTCATTTGCCCATAGCCATATCCTACCCTCGTCAGACATCCAAATCCATTTTTTCTTCTCCCGGAAACCACGAGAAGACTCCAAAAAGTACTACCGCACGACGCTATCTTTTCCATAGCAAACAGAAAAAGAAAGAAAAGAAAAAGGTTTCTTGGGTCTCTTTCCCTCCTAGCGAGAGGGACTACTGTCCCATACATGTGTAGTCTACTGCATCATCCCTCAGGCCACATGGCCACCACCCGGGTTAAGCGCAACCCCCTTCTCTTCAATCTGCTCCCCTCGAATCCGCGCAGCCTCGTCATCCGAATCGCGGAACCCGTACTGCGTCAACATATCCTCGACACCGCGGTCGTCCAAGATCGGTAGTTCCTTGGCTGCCCGCACATATGACATGTTCTCCACAAACCCTTTGGCAAAGATGAGATCGATTTCCTCCAAGCTGCGCTGCTTCGTCTCGGGGTAAAAGAAGTAGATCAACGGGAAGAAGCCTGCGTTAACGCAAGCAAAGAAGAGATATGTGCCCCATCCTATGCCGTCAAGCATCACAGGCGTGATCATAACAACAGTAAAATTAAAAAGCCAGTTTGTACACGTCGACACTGCGTTAGCCTTAGCACGAGTTTTAATAGGATTAATCTCAGCAGGGTAGAGCCAAGGAAGCGGAAGCCAAGTTGCTCCAAAGAAGCCAATGTAGGTGAACAGCCCAACAGCTGCGCCTTTGGCCGCTTGCTCCGTACCCGGGATCAAGCAAGCGAATACAAGAGTCATGGACAAACACTGGCCAATGGTTCCAATGAGAAAGAGTTTCCTTCGTCCTGTCCTCTCGATGATGAACCACGAAGTCGTAGCGAAGATGCTGTACACGATCATGTTCACACCACCAAGAAGGAGCGACAGTTGCTTGGTAGCTCCGATCGATTCCTCGAACAGAAGCGGAAAGAAGTAGATTACGGCATTGCAGCCACCGATCTGCTGGAAGAGTTGCGAAGAAGCTCCGAGCATCATTCGTCGGAAGTGCTGTGTTTTGCCGCCAGTCATCAGCGCGCTGAAAGGTGTTACGCCGCCCTTGTGGCCCGAGGCGTGGATACTATCGACAATGATGTTGATTTCCAGGGTGGTTTCCTCGTCGTCAATAGCGTTTCCACGAAGGGCGGCAATGACTTTGGTGGCCTCATCTGTTCTGTCCTTTGTAAGAAGCCAACGAGGGCTCTCGGGAAGCCAAAATGGTACAATCATGACAACCAACGCAAAAACCACTTGGAATGTGATGGGGAACCTTTCGAAGAGTTAGCGAGGCAGGTTCCACCCGCATGTACAACGTGCGGTACCGATAGCGATGCAATGTCATGAGATATATAACATTGTTGGCCTTGCACCCACTCTGTGCCTTGAACAAATGTAAAAGCAGACATACCTCCAGGACAAGTCTGGCGGACCGTACGCACACCCAAAATCCACCCAATAAGCAATTAGTGTACCGAAAGCGATGACGCCCCCCTCGATGCAGATGAGCAGACCTCGATTTTTTGTCTTGGAACATTCCGCTTGGTACGTGGGGATCGAACTTGTGTTTATTCCACTAAATTCGCCGTGACATGGTCAGTACAATTCAGCTTGATGCGTCCCAGAAGAAGCATGTCAAAAAACGGTATCGGGGCATGCGGCTTTGAACCTCGTGTGCACTTACTTTCCCACGCCCATGACGACTCGACCGACAATGAATTGGGCAGTCTGAGCATAGCCTTTTACCGTAGCCACCTGGATAACAACGCCGACAATCATAATAAAGGCGCCCCAGATCATCGCCCGACGGCGTCCGAGAATGTCGCCAAAGAGGAGTATCATGACAGCCCCAAAGAGACACCCAATTTCGTAGATGGCCGTAACAAATCCCTGCCATGTACGGTTGTCGTGTACTTCAGGGAAATATTCCATACTGCAAACAGAATACCGTGGTCAATACTCAATCATCACTCATTTGGGGGACTCGCCCGTTCTCCCGGTGCGCGCTCGTGGATATGGAAACGTACAAGGGATCCGCAGCGATAATACCAGACATAACGCCCTCTGGTTACCATTAGTATATGTGCATGATGCTTTGCGATTGCAGTTTGCCTTGATGGGGTGAGCGTACGGTCGTAGCCAAACAGCAAGAAACCTGTGGTCGCAACAAAAGACACAACCCAACTCAATTTCTTGCCCCTCAACCCAAGAAAAGTAGGGTACTTGTGGCTGTCCGCAGGGGACGTAACGTGAGCGTCCGAGGACATGGTGGATAGAGCTAGCCTGCGTCCTGGCGATTTAATCAAACGTGAGAACCTAGCACAACGCGGAAGAAAAGATGGGGTCGCACTCCACAGACTCGGAACAATGGGGCATCAACGTTGTTGCGGGGAATCTGGGCCTTTTATCTACGTGACCACCTGGTCATGTTTCCAGGCCCAGGACAGTTCTGGTGCATAAGGTGCTGTGCAAAGATTGGACCCATTCGACATGATTGTTCCCCACACTTGAGCACAGCGACGTCATGCGGAGAGAAGGCGGCCGGGGGCTCTCCATATGGGGAACCTGAGAGGTGCTCTTCATGGGGAGTGTGTAAGCTAAGCAGGTAGACAAATCCTGCTATGAGCCATCAAGAAGTCAGCAAGCGTTGTCGGCCTTCCTCATTCGTTTAGTCAAGCGTGGTGACAGACCCTGATTGCATGTGCGGAGTACGGGAATGGCGCTGCAGATCTTCAGATGCTAGATGGGAGGCTGAAGTAGCGCCCGCCAATTCTCAACGGTGTGCAACGCAGAACATGTTGAGATTGCATCTAGGTATCCCTCCCAGCCACTCAGCATGATTGACAGCGCAAAAAGGAGTATCGACGACTGGCCAAATCGTAGAGCATGCTTGATTTCTGTGTCGAGTGGCCATCTCGGACGCGGGCCAAGCCTATGGGTTTTTGTGAGAGGGGACCGATTATAAACGAACAAACTGCATTTCCCCAGCAACACTCGAACAAGACGATATCCTCGGCTTCCCTCCGCTGATTTATTCAAAGAGATGGCGGTCAGAAGGGATTGTACCATGTAACGTTTGGGGGCGGACAACAGTATGCCTCGGTAACTTTGACGTACGTATGTACAGGCCGGCATTGGATGTGACTCTGGACGAGATTGGCCCTCTTCTGAGTATAGCTCGGCATAACACGGCTGTACCAATCCAACTATGTTGCAACGCATCTTGTATACCCTGGTCATCCTGCGTAGAGCAATGTACCTCTGGTTCGATTCACCTTTGCTTAGTGGTCATCGACACTGCATTGGTGTCTGTTCATGGCTCAAGCAAAATAAAATCCGTGGACGCGTTTCGTAACAGGCATCATTCAACGAGAATTCCCCAGGGCTTTGTGTGCATGGTCCCATGTGAACATGTCGATAGTTGATGCGTCCAGGTCGAGACGGGGCTACATGTAATGCCAAGGTCGGAGCGGCAAAACAACAGCTCCGGCTTGTCGCGTCGTCGCGTTTCAATGGACCAGCACACTCTGGGCTGGCTGCTATCACAACTTCAATGAGCGGAAAGAGTAATGGCGATCCCGAAGAGGAAAAGAGAAGAGAATGAAAATCTTGAAACAGACGCGACTCCACGAAAATTGCGCGCACAAGCTCCTGATGAAGAGAGTGCAAACGAGCCCGAAATACAAACACCGTCCAGGAGAGAGCGAGGCCAAATCGCGCCAATAGCTGCAACACCCAAGTCAATTCTAAAGAAACCCGGCATCTTCAATGACGCCATCGTGTCCACTCCGAAATCCACTCGAAAGCTCGTCTTCGAAACGCCCTCAAAGTCGACAAATGGCACCCCGGCCATTGTTCGCAACGCAGACCGCAGCGCGCGTCGAAAAAGCAATCGGAGACTTCTGGAGCTTACAATCAATGGTGTAGGCAGTGATGAAGAGGATTTGGGTGAGGAGGACGCGTTGGCCGAACAAATCTTGAGTGATGAAGAGGAGCGGACGGGCATCAACGTAGCAATCCCGGAGGAACCCACGGTACCTGATACACCTTCAAAGAGGGGTCGAGGGCGACCAAAAGGTTCGGGGAAGAACCAAAAACTGCGCAAGCAGCGATCACCCACGCCGCCCCAGGAACTCCCGCCACACGAGGAATACTTCTGGCAAAACCGCCCAGGGGGCACAAAGACATCCAATAACACATTGTCCTCACAAAATTTGCTGAATCACGATGAGTACTTCCAGGCTATGCAGTCATATACCGAGCGGCATGAGCCCGAGATGGACTTGTTAGTGGAATTGCATAGCCGCGCGTACGACCAATGGCTGTTTGAGCTTGAAGAGGGTTTCAATCTTTGCCTGTATGGCTACGGCTCAAAACGACCAATCACGGATGCCTTCACTAAGCATATATACGAGCGATACTTGACTCTGTCGCCCTACAAAGGAACAAGGAAAACCCCAAAAATTATAGTGATAAACGGTTATGCTCCCAATACATCTTTGAAGGACATTTTGGCAATGATAGCATCCATTGTCATTCCCACGAACAAAAAGGTACCTAATCAGCCGTTGGCGTTGCTCAACAGTATCCTGAATCATCTCACTGAAACCCCCCCGCCGCTTCCAGTCCCGGTCGTCATAAACTCAATAGACTCACCTTATCTTCGCAAGTCACCTACGCCATCCATGCTTGCGACTTTGGCCGCACATTCCCATATCAAGTTGATCAGTACCGCCGACACCCCAAACTTTCCTCTGCTTTGGGATATCGGGCTCAGAACTCAATCCAAGTTTCTGTTTCACGATGCTACGACCTTTGCACCGTACGATGCTGAGATTGACACTGTTGAAACTGTCAATGAGTTGCTCGGCCGTAGCGGGAGAAGGATTGGTGGTAGAGATGGCATCGGTTTCGTTCTCCGGTCATTACCGGAAAATGCGCGCTCGTTGTTTCGAATCTTGGTCACGGAGCAGCTTGCGTTACTTTTCATGGACAACGCAAATGATTTTGATGATGCTCCAGCAACTCCTAAGAACAAGAAAGTGGCAGCTACAAAGAACGTTCCTGCAGACACCGTCCAAGGAGTCGAATACCGTGTGCTATATCACAAGGCGGTAGAAGAGTTTGTTTGTTCAAGTGAGGTCGGCTTCAGGACCCTGCTGAAGGAGTTTCACGATCATCAAATGATAGAAAGTAGAAAGGATGCTATGGGCACAGAACGGCTGTGGGTGCCTTTTAGGCAGGAAGAATTGGAAAGTCTGGCTGAAGACTTGTCCAGCGATATGATGTAGTTCTAGATGCACAATATCGCATTCGTGGTTGAACGCTTCTACAGAGTTCGAGGTGTTCCTCACATTCCCTCCCCAACCCCTCGGGGTGAACATTCCATAGCACTTAGCCACATGGAATGCAACAGCTATTATGTTACTGCATGAATATCCGCGTAGAGCATTGTCGTCCATTGCAGATGATATATTAAACAGCTGCGAAATCATCTTCGATATTGTGGCCAAGCTTATGTTGTTATATTCATCATTATGCGCCTTCTGACCATTGTGTACCAAATATTGCTCCTGGCAATGCATGGGGCCTCGGCGGTCGCCCAGAATGAAGCGAATCAACTCACTTCTATCCCTCATGTTACTTCGTCCGCCCCGCTGGTCTGCGCCAGCGGTGATGGTCGATCGTGAGTACATATACCCATGACTGCCAGCAGCGAATATGTAGACGTATCAGAAATTAACCGCTTTTTCAGCAAATTCGAGTCGTGCTCCTCATCCATCTCCACGGAGATTGATAAATGCAAAGACAGTGATCTAGACTGTGCTTGTAAGTTAGCCAGCTCAGGATTCAAGTAAGGACATTATGCCTTTCCAATTAACCCCCATCCCCCCTCACATCCTTGCAATCGTTCTCTACAGCTAACATCTGCCCCCTTCCCTTGAGATGCCTGATCTCCAATTGCCCGGCCCACACATCGGCAATATGCTCCAACTCCCAAGCCCTACACGAGCTTTGTGCCTTTCTAGGACCGACCGTCCTTCCTAGCCTCAGCGATATAACATGCACCTCACAAACTCCTCTCCTCCCTTCCTACTTGGCCTCCCTGCTTCCCTCCGATATCCTCTCCCTTGTGCCAAGTGATATCCGCAACTTCCTTCCTTCAGATATCAACCCGAAAATTCCGGATGATGTGCCGTTTTGGGGCGCGGGGCCTAAAGAGACCGGCACAATCACGACAGCGCCGGCGAGGGACAGTGGAGTGAACTCACAGGGTGAGGTACCGTCTGCGCAGACGGGGGCGGGTTGGAAGGCTGGGAGTGGCGAGGATGGATGGGTGGAGATGTTCATTGCCGTCGGTTGTTTTGTCAGTGTTGTCGTTGGGGGGCTTGCTGCTTGGCTATGATGTGCTTGGTTTGTATTGTGGAGTCAGGTTAGTTGGTAGGATACGAGGGTTTTCCATGATCGGACGCGATTGAGGCTCATGAGAGATAATGTCAATGCTCATGGTCTTTCCTTTCCTTAATGTCAGTGACTATACGTGGTGGGAGGCATCGTCCACTGTATTTTCTTCCGTATCTGAAAGCTGAGGCTCTTCACCTTTCGCTTCTGCAGGTCCTTTATTACCTGCTAGCTCAATGTCATGATACTCCGTGAGGGATTCGGTAGGTCCTTCCGCTACAACAACTGGATGGCTATCTAGTTCCGAATTAGTCTCAACCAGTCCTTCCAGGTCAGGAGGGACGGGAGCTACTCGTCCGCCAAGCTCAGCTTTGTATCTGTTTTGCATACGGCCTTCCGGAATCAACTAGGGCTTTCAGACTTCCATCTATCCGTGTAAGTAAAACAGCCCCGCAATCCCGCACATTTGATGACAAGAATTATTATTTTTTTGGTTGTCGCCTGTTTCTTGATTCATTCATCGCTTTAAACCCATCGCTGTTTGTAGGATCACCCAAACTCCAACTTAGAATTTATCTACTCACGAAGAAGGTAAGCACACATGCATATTATAGCAAGTTGCCCTGTTTTGGATGTGTTATCACCCGGCTTCTAGTTACGCAGGGACCATGGAGATGCAAGGTAAAACAATTATTTCGGATTTCTTCGCTGCTACTACTCTCCGCAGCATGGTGGGTGGGAACAATGGTGATCTCCATGAGCGACCTCTCAATGCTCCTTCGTCTCTTCACTATCCCTCCCATTTCTTTTGACAACTTGCAACCCTACAAGTCGCATCTTCAAGCGCTCTAGTAATTCAGCTTCTTGGCTATTCAGCGCCAGACCAGTCGGTAGCGAGACGCCTTGGGAAGAAATAAAAATCCCGTTATTTGCCTTTCCCCCCTTTCCCGTCTCCAAATTAACATCACCGTCTTTACTTTCCACATCCTCCTCGTCGACCTCACTCTCACTCTCCTTTTCACCTCTAAACTCAAAACCTCCCCGAGCATCAGGCGCTACTTGTTCGTTCCGCCTCCTCGTACGTCTCACATCCAACGGCGTCCACCAATACACTGGAAACTGCCTGTGGATATTATTGATCAGCAGGCCGATTCCGAGCATGAGCGTAGTCCCTAGCATAACAAGTCCAACAAAGTACCAGCCCATGGCCGTAACTTCGGGGCTGGTCGCTGCGATGACAGCTGATGCGCCGCCGGGCGGGTGGACGGTACCAGTGAGGAGCATGAGGGCGGAGGCAGCGCCACAAGATACTGCTCCTGCAATCCAGCGGATGGAAGTGAAGTCGGAGTGGTATAGGAAGAGTTTTGTTATGCCTACGCCGACGAGAGCAGAGAGAGCGTGGCCCAAAAGAGCGTTGCGTGGCTGGCCTAAGGGCGAGCGAATCACGTTGTATTCGAGGATGGCGGATGCGCCCTGGTACAAGCATATCAGTCGACTGGCTCTACCGGAGACGGGGATGCGTGATCACGCCATGACACGGATAATGCTAGGGAATTTGAATCGACTTACAAAGCTCGCGATCAGAGCTGGTGGGTGGTGGGCCTGTATCATCTGGACGTTGTTGAATACAGCTGCGACTATGGCCAGCCCACAAAATGCGCCCACAAAGGACCAAAACGCGCCCAATACGTTGCCAACGTCAGGACCCTGCTCCTTTCTATACCCCAAAAACCTCGATAGGGGCGTGGGCAGTTTGTGCAGCGGCGATGGAGGGATGATGGTGTTGATGTATTGGTCGATGTCAAAGTTCCACTCGTCTGCTTTGAAAGGCAGCATGATTAAAGTATGGCTTCCAAGCTCTTGGTGCAAAAGGCCATGCGGATTGATGACCTGGGTGTTGGCTGTGCGGCCATGGAGACGGGTAGACGGATGGTCGAGGAAGGGTTTATTTGACGGATTGCAAGACGGATCACGGTACCTATCTATGCAGACGCAAAAACCACAAAGGTATCAGAGGGCGTCTGCTGGTTGAGGCTGCGGATCATGACGATGGCGTGCGGTTAGTCTTGGGCCAAAGGGTCAAGTGGGCGTACTGTACTGCAGCCAATTCGAGCATTCTTTGTACGTAACGAGGACCAAAGTCACGTAACAGAAACGTTGAACGTCGTCCATCTCCTCGGGTTTCCGCGGGGAAGCCGCTCTGTGTAGGTATTCCATCCTGGATGGCATTGTCGACCTTCGGACATGGCATGGCATTGGCAAGGCTCCGGGGAACATGAGTGTGAAATGGTCCACGGTCATCCTGTCCTGAGCTCTTGGCACGCTCGTTCTTCGACAAGACCCACGGCGGCATCTTGCAGCAGGAAGACCGTCATTCTCGCCGTGTCGTGGCCATGCCCCTGTCGTGAGCATGTGCATTCATGGTTTGCTCCAGGCGTTGATGGTTGCACCGTTGGAATATGCATGGAGCTTATGGGGCCGGTGGAAATCCATCCATCATGGCGCCTCCCCCCGCATCATCATGATGCTTGGCAACTTCCCTACATTCGGACGTCTTGGACAAAACTCGTCACTAAGCCATTTGTTGCCTGTCCGTGTCCAAATGTCGTGGACAAGCAGACTTGGTCAGCTGTTGGCATAAACGTCATTGCCTTTTTCGTACTTGATACCGCCTATCTCTGCTATAGTACATCATGTCGTGATCAGCGTAATGGCCGGATAGCACCAAGCCGTCTATCCCACTGGCCTTGGAACCCGTCCAGTGTCATGTCTGAACAATCTCCACGAGTGGGCCTATTGATACATATCGTGCTATTACATATATTGTCCTTGGTTGTGCGCATAGTCCGATACCATTCCACCGACACCTTGCAATTTCCACCCCCTCAAGTACCGCGGAAAAGGAACTGCAAGTCTTCTGGACTGAGGCGGTCCATCGCCACCTTGTCATTGTTCACCGTGCCCGCAATCATGGCTGCTTTCTTCTCCTGTAGTGCCACCATTCGCGATTCCACGCTGTCTTCGATGCACAGCCGCGTGATGACACAGGGGCGCTTCTGTCCAATTCGATGGCATCGGTCCGCAGACTGCCACTCAGCCGCTGGGTTCCACCATCTGTGCCATGTCAGCAAATCAATCCCATCTTCATCCAGGGCAACAACTTACGGATCCACAATGAAGACCCGCGAGGCTTCCGTCAGGTTCAGAGCGACACCGCCGGCCTTGAGCGATACAAGAAAAACCTCAACATCAGAGTTTGTCATGAAATGCTCAATGCTTTTCTGTCGCTGAGCAGGTGTCATGGACCCGTCCAGCATCACTGTGTTGAAACCAGCGCGTCGCAAACGCCATTCGATCAGTTGCAACATGGACGTAAACTGGCTGAAAACAATCGACTTCAGCGTCTGCTTCTTGCTGCGCAACTTGTAGAGATCATATACGAGCATCTCAATCTTTGTAGAAGAAGTCCAGTTCTCCATCTTGATGCGGTTGATGATCGATGTCTTCTTCACACTCTCTTCATCTTGCTCGAGCTCCGGCTGCTCAAAGTCAATGGACAATGCTATGTGACAACGCGGACAGTCTGCATCAGTGCCAGAGGCTTCGCAAGTCTCCACAAAGTCCTTGACGCAAGCGCGACAGAATTCGTGATGACACCGTGAGCGGATGGCATCTTCTGCCGGCTCGTCGCAGATATTGCAAACGTAGACGTTTTGGCTACCCTCGGCGGCGTTCTTCTTCAGCAGCAAATCTGGGTGGTTTGCCACTTGACGCATCTGCATAATTAAACCAAAAATGTTGGCATAGTTGTTGAGCATGACACCTTGTGCAACGTAGGTATCGAATTTTCGGGCAGAATTAGACATGATCGAGGACGAAAAATCGCGCTCAATTTCGCTGAAGAATTCGTTGTGGATAACGATATCCTTCATAGGCAACTCCATTGAATTTGTATGATCTCGCTTCATACGACGCAACATGATCCGGGCGGTGATCATGTGCAACTTCGTAAGAGCATCCTCACGTAGTTCCGGATCGTCGCCTGTTATCGGGTTGAGAAGTTCTTGGTTGAAAACAGAGATATGCTCCGAGGCTCCATGGTTGCATGCTGTGCACATGTGGTCATCATCGACAGACCAGTGGAGTTGCTCACAATCGCAGCTCCGGCAGAAATAGTCTGCAAACGGTCGAACTTCTAGGAACCGTAAGAGCGAGAAGAACTCGCCAATGCGATTTTGCACGGGAGTTCCTGACAAGCACCACTTATAGGTGCCTTTCAACGCGAAACAAGCTTTTGCAACGCCAGTAGTTCGTGACTTGATGCTGTGAGCTTCATCAAGAATCAGGCGGTGATAGTGTATAGCATGCAGCGGCGATGCTTCCTTGATGATATCTTCGCCACGAGTCCAGCCTTTGGTTTCCTTTCGATGCAGAGACTCCAAGCTGTTATACGACACCATGATCACATCGAATTTTTTCAAGTCCTTGACGGTCATCTTTTTGCACTTTGCGTTGGTGCCGTGGTAGACGAGCACTTTCAACTTGCCATCCGTGTACTCACTGATTTCGTTGGACCATTGCAGCAATGCGACAGGAGGGACTAGAACGAGAGTGGGACTCTTTGCTGGGAAGTCTGACATTATCAGAGACACAGCTTGAATGGTCTTGCCCATGCCCATTTCGTCTCCTAGAAGACCCCCTTTGTATTGCGTCTTTTCTTGTCTGATCATCCATGACACACCTTCGAGTTGGAAAGGTTTCAGTCGCCGATTAATAGTGGTGGGTTGCGCAATTTGCTCGACACAAAGTACTGGAACCTCTGACAAAGTTTTCCACATGGTAGTGAGCTTAGGATGTGACTGCTCTGCACGTTCGCGATTCATGGCGCGTTTGCGTTCCCATTTATCGTGTATGTGAGCAAATCTGGCCCGGCGAGCAGCATTCTCTGCTTTTTCCGCGCGGGTTTTCTTTTTGGGTTTCCCACGTGAAGCCTTGGGTTGAGGACGTTTGATGGGAAGAACAACAGACTCGTCTTCGGAGCTACTGCTTTCGATCAGCTCGAGCGAACTGCTGTCCAGCGATAAATCGGTTGCGGGATCGGATAGATCATCAGTGAGATCATCGTCTGAGCCAATGGACACATGTGTCTTCATTGCACTGGAACGCAAAGACGGTCCTCCGGTGGTTCCTACTCTAGCTTTTCCTTTGCCCTTGTAGGTAGGGATACCCACCGATGAGGAATCAGTGTCGTTCGCGATTGCATTCTGGTCTAGGGCCACTTCCTTTCCTTTGCCTTTGCCAACAAAAGTTTGCGTCTGTTTCTTTTGTGGGGGACTGGTATCGTGAGCATTATCATGAGCCCCAGCATCGGGTGTAACTTTTTGGCGTTTATGAGTGCGCATGCCCTCTTCGAGTTGGATCTGCATTGCAAGATCCTCAACTAAATCATCCTCATCAGCCTCCTCATCAGTGTCATTAACCACCATAAGAGGACGTTTGCGCGAAGATGAGCTGCTTAGGCTTGCGTTCACAGCCTGATTGAGACCACTTTTGCGCGTAGATTTGCGACCTCGGGCTATGATCACGGGTGTGGCGGAATGACTTGTGTCTGGGGTTTCATAGTCCGATTCGACTGTTGATGGGGACCGGGTTGAGGTGTCGTTGCTTTTGTTGGCCATCTTCGAAGGAATTGCCACTTCCTTCAACACCCGCCTGATGGGCAACGACGTTCGTTTGGGTGGGTCCGGATCGACAGATTCGTCCTCATCTTCGGAGGAATTGGGTACGAAGCGAAGAGAAGCTCGAGTGCGTTTAGCGGTCGAGCGGGAATTGCTGCGGGTATTCGGTGCGTCCATGACATCTATGGAACATATTAGCAGCCCATTTAAGTTGCAAGTAACGGCATCATTGCTCACCATTGTTCGCTCCAACAAGCGAAGCAGTGTCTTCGACGACCGACTTTCGGCTGGAGCGTCGTGGTGGCATTGCGAGGCTGTGAGATGGGCGTCCAGGTGGGGGTATAAGATGAGTAGAATCGATCTAACAGTGAACGTGAAACAGGGCTGTAGGCTGCCTGTATTATTATTAGCTAAACACCACCAGGACTATCAACAATTGAAGCGAGAGTATGCGATAAAGGCCACTCAACAACGTACAAAGTTGAAGGGTGAAAGTGGGATGCAGGTGGTGAACCAAGGAATGGAGGGCTCCTGATCTATCCGCCACCGACTGGCTCGCGTTGAAAGTTTCAACCCGCGTGACGGTGGCAAATGTTGGTGGACATGAAAAATAAAGAATTCGACGGGCCCAAGATCAGCTTGGTGGAAACTAAGTAGCTAGGTAGGCAGCGACAATGGAGGACAAAGTCACTAACGTCCGTTGTTTGCCACCCAGTCTACGGTGATGATGCGCGTCGCGTCTACACGCAATCACGTGACTTTATTAGTCATGCATCTGCACATGTGCGCATCAATCCGTTCATGTCCTACATGTAAGTACCTAGGTACAGACCTTTTAACCTGTGCTCGTCTGATCCGGACTATTGACCGAAATGTACATGTGCTCACCGTGCACATGCAGATCTTCACAGGTCAAAATGCGTGCGATGCACTGGACCACCTAGTAATTGTTCCAAAACAGAAACCAACTCGTTTGAGTGATTGACAACATCCAATACAATATCTGCCAGATTATCCTAGAATTCATAGTTGGCCAGTCTTCCAAGGTCGACGACTTCAATGTGGAGAACAACAGTCCAGGCCCTCTCATAAGCCACTCATCCTGCATTTTCAAGCTACTTACCTAGGTATGCATAAGATCTTAGTAGACATGGAAAATGACAATAGCACTATCCTACCATGACATACAAATGTGTTTCGGCCGTCTATGTAGTTTCCACATCAACTCGCCTGGCGAGCTCGTCCGTTGCCTTCCTCTGGGAGCTAGATTTTGATTTTGAATTTTGGTTGAGGAACTTAAAGCAAGGTTGTCGGTACATTCGTAGCGCTCAGGGAAATTACAAGGGCTGCTTTCTTCATGGCTGTATCCGCGTAACCACCAACTAGGCGGCCAATCCATCCTTGGGGAGTGACTGGGGAAAGCTCGGATCACAGTGTTGTGATTATTTTGTACATTGCTTGCCTTGGTAAAACTAGCGTTGGGTCCATACTCGGGTCTCCGTATACTCGGGTTCCGGATTCACTTATACTGCCATTCCCGGTAATGCCCTGGCCGATCTAGTGGTGTTTAGAACGCGCAATCACGCTTTTTTTTTTACGAGCAGAATCGGTCACTGCAACAAAATTGCATGCTTCTGCTTTATTTCGTGAGCGAAGAGTTCCAATGATTTAGAAATTACCATGTAAAATTGCTGGGATGCCGAAGTCTTCGGGTGGACGTAAGCTCAGTTAAAGTACAATTGGGCCAAAATGACATCAACGACAACAGACTTGTCATCGTCTAAAATCACCAGATTCTGCAAAGCGCTTTTAAGAGCCTGTTGTTCTAATAATAGGGGGGGATGGGGGTAGAGTTTGGGTTGCACGCCCTACCCAGTCCTTCGCCTGTCTAGTGGCTCAATCCGTAGTCAGTGAGATGGTGATAAGAACCAGGCTGATATCATCCAGCCACCGCCCCTAAACTCGTATTCTATCCTTCTGCCTACTAAAAATTTTCCTGTCGTCCATCTGGGAAGGAGGGTGAATTTTCAAGATACCAAAACTGTACATACCATGAATGCATGTGCACCTGACTGGTGTTGGTGCTCTATATCGGATTATGCCTATTGAAAAGCACATGGTGCATAAAGCACCAAGTGTTGTTATCTCATCGTGAGTTTCTTCCCCGAAAAGCATCATAGAGCTCCAAACATAGCGCGGAGTCAGACCACGATGTCCAGGGTCTGTCTCATACCCTGTTGGTGGAATGTGTTCCAACCATCCATGAAAGGTAGCATACGATTTCCGAGCAAGGCTGTGCCGCATGTCTTTCAGTCAGTCCCAAATACCATTTACCCATAGGTCCACTCCCGTTAAGCCTATCATTCCCTGGAAAACGTTTCCTCGCATTCTTCTCTGATTTCTTTTCGCTGCCTGACTTCATACTCTCTTTTCTCATCTAACTCTTATGATATCTCAATACAACAACTAGCGTCGTTCGTTTCCTCCAAACTTTGACGGTTACGTTTTTTTTTTTTTTTTTTTTTTTTTTTTTTTGCTTTTGCCTCGAAATGGCGGCCATTGAACACAATGCTCAGAGTGTTCAAGGGCATCTTCCCGCAATGCTGAAGTCCCGGCGCATGCGCACGGTATTTCTCATGATGTTCTTATTCTGTGTCGTCATGTATACACTGTCGTTACTCGCGATTGATATTCACGACTACTCTTCGCCACAGCATGTCTACGAGAAACTGAAGAACGGTACGTTCTATCACAGTGGTGACAACTACCAAGAGCATCATGGGATCGACCACATCACGTTGCCAAAGCCTGTGTCGAGTGCGTCACCAGATGATTATCTGCGCACGCACAACGGAAAGGTTAAACTGCCTGGAATGTTGCAGAGTGAATCTTCACAACAGCAAACACCTGTCTACCTTCAAACAGAGGCAGTAGGTGCGACCTCGGATCAGATGAAACCTACTTCCGCACCAGTCAGTAGGACAACGCAACTATCGGACCCATCATCCATCACCTCGTCTGCCAATCTTGACAGCACATCAACAGTGCCGAATCCACTGCCTACATATACTGATCATGTCAATAACGATACCGAAATCGACTGGTCGTCCTTCGCTTATGTACAATACGTTACAAATCCAACCTACCTCTGCAACTCCCTGATGATTCTCGAGTCGTTATATCGCTTGGGCACCCAAGCCGACCTCGTCATGCTTTATCCCAGACAGTGGAAAGTGCCTGCCTTGCGAGAAGACGCCGAAACTCCGGAAAGTTCTCAGCTCGCGAAAGCCAGGGATGAGTACGGTGCGAAACTTGTTCCCATCGAGGTGCAAAGCTATGATAGGGGGGATATAACTTGGACAGACAGTTTTACCAAGCTTCTGTTGTTCAACCAGACGCAATACAAGAGGGTCATTCATCTAGACTCGGATGGAACAGTGAAAAAGGTGAGCTTATTGCCTATCGTCGAACCATCATGGGTAGAATATACTGACTGGTTGTCATCAGCCTATGGACGAACTGTTTCACCTGCCTTCCGCCGCATGCGCGATGCCGCGCGGCTACTGGCTTGACCCCATCCAACTTGCCAGTATCATCATCGTCGCCGAACCATCTGCTGAAGAGTTTGCCCGCATTCAAGATTACATCAATACGCATGAAGATTCTGGTTTTGACATGGACATTATGGATTCCATCTACCACGACTCCGCCTTGATCTTTCCACATCGCAATTACCTTCTACTCACTGGCGAATTTCGTGGCGACCAGCATGCGAAGTATCTAGGCAACGAGTATGAGGAGTGGAATGCGACGAAGGCGGTTGAGGAGACCCGATATATCCATTGGAGTGAATGGCCACTACCGAAACCGTGGATTAGGCCGCACGAAGTGGACTTGAAGAATAAACAGCCCAAGTGTCATGATACGGATAAGGAGGGTGAAGACTGTCGAAATAGGGATGCATATCTCGCGTTGAGAGAGGATTTCACGCGACGAAGGAAGGTAAGTTACTTCAAGACTAATGGCAAGCCTGGTCGTCCTTGCTTGGAACTCTATCTGGATAAGCTCCGACACTGTTGTATGTTACGTGTAAGGAATTTCATGGCTAATAACTGAAGCAGGAAGTTTGCGGGCGAGAATTTGATCATGAAGATAGAGCCAAACGCTCCATGGGGACAAAACGCTGAAAGGAACGTTTTTGAAATTGGAATGCCAGAGCAACGACACCGACTTGCTCGTATCAATGGATGCCCACTCTAAAACAAGACAGCAAGATTGAGAGAGATGGAATTATTAGCTTTGCCAAAAAAGCACGAAGCAGTTTCCGAGAATTCCGGTCCGCTGGCAGGCTCAATCCATTCGCGGAAATCAAAGCACAGTACATGTACCCAGGTATGATTCCGGGTCACGACGGCCCATTCAGGTAAGATGTACGTAGGGTAGATGGTGGCTCAAAGTAAGCTACGAGCTGAGATTTTGTCGGTGGAACTTTCAATCATGTCCTCTCACATCAGCTTATCATAAGCTGTGAGATTGCATTCAGAGAAGGCCGGCTGCCTATATTGGGTAAAAATGTACGTGAATGAGTTGGTGTATTGTGACTACACTCTGCTTGTATCGGATATCGCATGTCGGATATCGCATGACGAATCGATCTATCTCAAGTTGCGTACATGTGTAAACCTACATATAAATATGTGCTCACTGGTGTAGACACAGCACGTGCTGTCTAGCGAGCCGTGCGGCGGCCGGCGAGTGACGATGTGTGGACGGTCGTCACCCCGCGAAAGCTTGATGCAATACTACCACAATACACATGCTATCTTCACCACTTCACGCTTTCGCTACACCCTTGACACTCAAAACCCCTCAACAACACCCAGCTGACGAGCTGGAAACCGCAATCTGCCCACAAAGACGCCACTGAACCCTGCACAGTAGCAAGTCGAACGAACCCACTGTTCGTCCGCCATGGCGGAGCTCACTACTACGAAGCTCAATGCTGAGTCGCACCTCATCCTGGTATGTATACTCCATACGATTCACCTAACTACATGTGGACACAGAGAAGAGCTAACAGCACCATCCTCAGGATCAACCACTCCTCCGCATGCCTTACGAGCTCTCTCGGCGCAACCAAAAAACAGCCCAACGCTACATCGAGAACAGCACAAAAGACGTCCTCTCGAACCTTACGGCCGCGGTCAAAGCCTCCACCAAGTCCGCTTCGCCCGATGCCACACTGGCCTCACTCGACTCCATCATCACAAAAATGCAAGGGCTCAAGCGCAAGATGGAGAACCTGCACGAGGAGGAGATGCGGATCCACAAAAGTAATCGCGCGCGACTGGAACACTTACAGGATCTCTACGAGGTGCAGAGCTTGGTAGATGTTAAGTACGACGAGTGGAGCCGGGTGCGGCTGTCGCGGCTACTCGTCGACTATCTCTTACGGGAAGGATATTCGGAGAGCGCGGCGCATTTGGCGGCCAGCCAGGAAATACAAGATCTGGTAGACGTGGATGCCTTCGTGGCATGTCATAAGATCGAAAGAAGCCTCCGGGAAGAGAAGAGTACCACACTTGCGCTTAACTGGTGCAAGGAGAATGCAAAGGAATTGAAGAAGCACGGCAACCATCTCGAGTTTGACCTCAGGTTACAGCAGTACATCGAGCTAGTGCGGCAGGGTCACGAAAAGGGTATCGACGGCGACATCGATATGTACGGCGACGGCGTGGACGGGATCAGCTTAGGGTCCTCGCGGGCGGGCGGCGGAGAGCAAAAATTGATGGAAGCCAGAATACACGCCAAAAGGTATCTCAGCGGCAGCGAAGACTTTAAGCTACTGGGTCGAGCAGCCGGGTTACTTGCGTACAAGCCATGGGATCAAGTCGAACCCTATGCCGTAAGTTCTCCTCTTCTGGACAAAAATGCCTAGGGGTGAAAGCATCTGACTTCTGAGCCAGTCCCTCTACTCCCCAACCCGCTGGACGTCCCTAGCCACCCTCTTTCTAAAGACACACCACACGCTCTATTCTCTCCCACCCCGCCCACTTCTGCACATTGCCCTCTCTGCTGGCCTCTCCGCCCTCAAAACCCCTTCCTGCCACTCTGCCTATGCCGCTTCATCCGGAAACCTAGCACTCTCCTCCACCACGTCTGTCTGCCCTATCTGCAGCACTGAACTCAACGATCTTGCCCGCAACGTTCCCTACGCACTCCATACAAAGAGCATTGTCGAGGCTGACCCTGTTGTGCTGCCGAATGGTAGGGTGTATGGGAAGGAGCGCTTGAAGGGATTTAATGAGGGATTAGGAACTGAGAAAGGGTGGGTGAGGGATCCGGTCGAAGGGCTTGGTGGGGAGAGGTGGAGGGAGAGTCTGGTGAGGAAAGTTTTCATCATGTGAATGTAGGGACGAGTCTGGGTTTAGAATGTGGTTTTCCCTTCTCAGTTCTGAGAATGTCTTTCTTTCTTTCTTTTGCATAGCGGCTGGCGTTACTTTGTGTGTCTTGTGATCACCAAGAGAATACAAGGAGTTTATTGTGCCATATAACATGCCATACTCGAGTTTCTTTTTGCTCTCCCCTGGCATGGTGGACTTATGATCTTTTATGGATTGCTCGGATTGCAAGATATTCAAACCGTCTCTTCATTCTAGTGTACATACACTCTGTGTCGTTCTTTCGATACGTATATCCTGGAGATCTTCTGAAACACGTCGTTCTCGCCTTCTGTCACGCTTGTGAGACAGCAACTTGTGGCATGCAAACTGACACTCCAGAAGATTTGAGGGGTGTTCTCTTGTAGGTCTACTTCCCTTTTGTCTTTCTGTGTGTAGCGTGTGCGAGACAGTTGACGCTCAGCTATGTTTCCGGGCAGAGGAGCAGGGCATGCCAGTTTGCGGTTACAGGCGAGTCGAATACTCCTCCGGGAGCTGTGCGAGTTGACCTTGTATTGTAGCGAGATAGGTGACTCCCAATATTATTTGACAGCCCAATCTGCTGTCTTGATGCTGAGCAACGGTGGTGTTGGGAATCAATGAAAAATAAAACCCGCTTCAACCATCGTCGCTGTCCTCACTCTCACTCTTCTCCCCCAAAGCTCCATCGCCCTCTCTCTTCCTCTTCTTCACCTTCTTTTCTTCCTTCTCGCCACTCCCTTCCTCCTTCGCCTTCTCGAACACGAACATCCTCGCTTCTCTCTCTTCCCCCTTCCACCCTCCACCACCTTCCACAACGCCCAGGGTTCTCACGTGTTTGTACCCGGGATAATCCTTCCAATCGAACTTATAACTCGTCTTGCACACAAGCCCGACGTGGCGGGCGAGATTGCGAATGCACCATCTATCATATTGCTCGCCCTCGAAGAGCGAGACCAAAATCTTGCCACCCGGTTTCAGGAAGGCGGCGTTGCTGTGTTTGGGGGATTTGGGGGGTTTGTGTGTGAGGCAGGAGGTGAAGAAGGACACGATTAGGGATTGGTTTGCACGGGCTTGACGGTTCACATCGGTGGAGAGACCGCCGGTGTGTGGAAACATGAAGGCGATTGTGTCCCATGTGCCTTTTCCTACTGACCCGTCCGCGTTCGGTGCTTCATCGACATCATCGATGTTCTCGGATGAGGCGGGCTGCACAGTCTTGTAGGTTGCAATTTTGGTGGCGTCAATGCTGTGGTGGAGCGGTACGGGAGGGACTAAGGCGGAGAGCTCGTCCTGAATGGACGAGAAGCGTGGATATTTGGAGGTAACTTCTTCCAGGGAGTCGTAGCTTGTAGCAGTTACATTGGCGCATCCGTGCTCGATTACTAGGCTGCGCGTGAAGCTGAAGTCGCCTTCACCGACGAGGAGGATTTTGTCGTAGACGCCGAAGGGAATGGGGTGTTTTTGAGAGGCCTGAGAACTTCTGACGCTTGGTTGCAGATCGAGCTTGGAGGAAGAAGGTGACTTGTTGGTTATGGCGGTGTCGAGTTTCTGTTTTTTTGCTGGCGGGTTACGCGCGTTGGAGGTGGTGATGTTTCCGGGTGACGCAGCATTTTTGCGGTGGGAGACAGCAAGTTTACGAGCAGATTCGCGTTTGAGCTCTCGGTGACGACGCTTTGTCTTTGTTTTCGACATCTTGTTTGGAGATGCTAAGAATGTTAGAGGACTCTCGGAGGTGGCTGCGGAGAGATCTCGAGTCTCTGGACTCGATATTATTTTGAGCTTGGACCACTTCACAAGATTCGTTTTCAACATGACTAGAGCAGACGCTTCCAGAAAACCGTGCTGTTTCTATTGATGCAGATGGGTAACATTTCTCTAAAGAACTAAATGTACAATGGATGGGAGTAGATACAGACACCATCCCCTTCACGCAACAGCTATCAGTTTCCCCATTCCGATCGCTTCGAAAATATGCCCACGCTCTAAACACATTAACAAACCAAAAGGAAATCACACCCCTTCAATCATGATCTAGCGATTTAAACCAAATCGCGCTTCACAAACTCATCATACAGAGTTTTTCCGAGAGACGCAGGTGAGCGCTCAACGATAACACCAGCGGCCTCAAGAGCGGTGATCTTAGAGTTGGCGTCACCCTTTCCGCCACTGACAATGGCACCAGCATGGCCCATTCGCCTGCCTGGGGGCGCAGAAATGCCGGCGATGAAGCTGACAACGGGCTTGTTGGCAGTGTTGTACTCCTTGAGGAAGTCGGCCGCATCCTCCTCTGCGGATCCACCGATTTCACCAATCATGATGATACCGTCCGTCTCTCCGTCCTCGAGGAAGACTTTGAGGCAGTCAATGAAGTTGGTACCGGAGAAGGGGTCACCTCCAATACCGACAACGAGAGACTGTCCAAGACCAGTCTGTGTAGTCTGGTTTACGGCTTCGTAGGTGAGGGTTCCGGAACGAGAGACGATGCCGACGCGACCACGCTTGTGGATAAATCCAGGCATGATACCAATTTTGCATTGACCCTAAAATTCATATGTTAAAGGGGTATGAGGAGAAGTTGGGGGAAAGAGTGCTACTTACAGGAGCGATGATACCGGGGCAGTTGGGGCCGACCATGCGGGTCTTGCCCTGAGTCTTAAGCATGTCGGTGATGCGAACCATATCTGCACCGATTAGTATACTGCCCTTTCCTTCAATACAGGAGAGTCCACATACCATGCTGAGGGATGCCTTCGGTGATCCTGCGTGTACGGTTAACTTGTGTTCTAGCCGGAATCTTGCCGTTCACCTACGTTACGATCAAAGGAACCTCAGCTTTGATAGCCTCCTCGATACTCGCGGCAGCGACGGGCGGGCTGCTCAACAGTCAATATTGAAATGCGTGAATGTATCGTGGGCAGATATCTCACGGGACGAAAATAGCAGAAGCGGTAGCGCCAGTCTGCTTGACAGCGTCTTCTACGCTGGCAAAGACAGGTTTGCCAAGATGTTCCGAGCCTGCTTTTTTGGGGTTCGTTCCACCAACAACGTTTGTGCCTATTTGCCCAAGTCAATCGCCGCCGTAGACATGCTGTTAGGATGAAGGTTCGAGGCGGCGCATACCATATTCGATTGCCTGTCGGGCGTGGAAGCTTTGATGTTGTCAGGTCCATCCCTTGTTCCAGCAGATGTGGAATGATACTCACGTTCCCTGCTTGCCAGTAAAGCCCTGGAAAAGGACCTTTGTGTCGCCGTTGATGCGGAGGTTCTTAATCGTGTTCGCATACGGAGAAGAGCTTGTCGCATACTGCCTCGACGCAGATTTGGAGAGCGCAGAGCTCAGGGGTCGTCGGATAGCCTGCATCGCGACTGTAATTGTGCCACGAGAACAAGCTGAAGGAAAAGAGATCGGGATGGGTATACGGGGGATGGGGTGAATCTATGGTCAAGCGTTGATGGGAGAGGTGCTGGCAGCTATGCCGGTCGCTCTTCGGAACGGGTCTCCTTGGCTGACAATCTAAAACTTTTGTTCAAGCCCTGAGCCGACTAGGTCTGTTCACCCGGATTGTCCCAAACACTGACGATTTGAAGGATTAATCCCTCATCAGTGCATTCCGACTCATTGATTCCTCTCGATATCACTTCTTGCACCACAACATCTAGAGTCACGTACGATGTCTGTCGACATTCCACTAGACACTTGAGTGCCTGGGCAAAAACCACGTGATTAGACTATTTACATGCACATGTGCGCCCCAGTTTTCCAAGCATGTAGCTACATATGAATGTATTCGAATGACCACATCTCACAGGCCCCATATCGAACAGCATTGCAAACCCATGTTGGCGTGCTTCTATAATCGAATTCGTTTTGTCATGACATAAAGTGCTGTCTAAAATAAACTCCTCTAAAGACCCAATGCAGCCATGATACGAACACGCACAATCCAGATGTCGAGTCTGCTCACGCTCTCGAGCGGGCAGGACACTGAAGCTGGTCGCGAAGGGGCTGCTAGCCTCCGGCATATGCGCGCAATTACCTGCATCCAAACAGCGCTTTTTGGTCCCTATCAGGACCCTCCCCCTGGAGCATGCATGCAATTTACGGACTCTGGTTGACTCTCCCTCTAGATAGCGCCAGTGGAGTGCATCTTCTTCTGCAGATGCTTCTTGTAATCACCAATAGAGCCATCCCACCTGCGGACAGTCTTGTGTTCGCACACCATGATGTCCTTTGCAATCTTGTCAAGCAACCTGATCATCGTTAGTGAGGTTATTCAATTTGAGTTTTGCGTAGGATTGAACTGACCTGAAGTCGTGAGAAACAACAACAACACCACCGCTGAAGGCGTTGATAGCATCCGCCAAACTGTCAATGGTAGGAATGTCCAGACCGTTGGTAGGCTCATCGAGCAGCAGCATGTTGGGACTCTCAATGGCCAACAGGGCAAACACGATACGACTCTTCTGACCTTCGGACAAGGTGGCCATCTTTGCCGTCTGGGAGTCACCGCTCAGACCGTATTTGCCAAGCTGTTGGCGCCAGTATTGGTAGTCCTGAGATGTACTGGCATACTTGTCACGTACAAAGTCAAGAGCAGACTTTGTGAGATCGAGCGCTTCGGCCGAATGTTGGGTGTACATGCCAAGCTTCAAGTGGGAGTGGCGAGAAACGACACCCCTAGTAGGGGACAGCTGGCCAGTGAAGATTCGAAGTAGAGTCGATTTTCCAACACCGTTGGGGCCAACAAGTGCCGTTCGGGAGTCCATGTCGACACCAAAGTCGAGGTTCTCGTAAAGGGTGTCTTCTAGGTTGCCAGAGTAAGAAAAGGACATGTCATCGAGCGACAAGACGGGTGGAGGAAGCTTCTCCACGTCCGCGAATCGGAAAGTGAAGACTCGATCTTGGTGAACGGGCTGAATGAAACCGTCTGCCTCCATCTTGTCCAAAATCTTCTGGCGAGACTTGGCTTGACGCACCAAGTTGGCATATGTACCGGCGGAAGCAATGAACTTCTTGATGTGCTTGATTTCATCTTGCTGCTTCTCATAGGCCTTGGTCTGGTTGACCTCCTGTTCCGTACGGGTCTTGATGTAGGTGTCGTAGTTACCACCGTAGTACATGAGTTGCTTCTCACGCATATCGATCATGTTGGTGCAGACACCGTTCAAGAAATCCATGGAGTGGGAGACCAGGATGAGGGTACGATCCCACTTCTTCATATACTCTTCGAGCCACACACAGGCCTCCAAGTCCAAATGAGCTGTAGGGTCATCGAGCAAAAGGAGAGAGGGCTTGACGAAAAGAGCTTTGGCAAGAGCAACACGCATCTTCCAACCACCAGACATGTCCTTGGTCTTCTTGTGAATGGTGTGTTTGTTGAAACCGAGACCGGTCAAGATGAGCGAGGCGCGGGTGTGGAAGGTTGAAGGATCCATTCCTTCTTGTCGCTAGGGAAGGTCAGCTGAGCGGGACTTTGGATGGCGGTTGTGAAGGTGCTTACCTCGTAGATTTCCTCAAGCATGGGAGCCTCGGGACCATCCTTCTCGAGGATATCCTCGGCCAGTTTCTCCAGACGAGCGAGCTCGTTCTCAGCCTCCCTTACGACCCACTCCAGAGCGCCCAAATCGGTGGCGGGGGCGCCCTTGTCCAGCAAGTAGATGTCGATGTGCTCGGGGAAGGGAAACTCGCGCTTGTCAATGGCCTTGAGCAGTGTGGACTTTCCGCAGCCGTTCTCTCCCAACAGGCCGTATCGGCGGCCATAGTTGACCTCGATGGTGGTGTCGTTGAACAGAACGCGGCCGTGGAACACAAGCGAGGCAGAGGTGATTTTGACATCGCGAGAGGCCTCAAGCGAAGAAAGCACACCAGTGGTGACGCGGTCGGACAGGCCGTGTTTGTCTTCCTGCATAGTGAGCTTCTTGACCTCCTCGTTGAGTTCGAGGTCCTCGGCGTCATCGCCGTTGACGGATGATGCCTTGGAGGCATTCTTGGAGGCGTTTTTGGAAGAGAGCTTGGAGGCAGCAGTCTTCTTGGGCTCCTTTCCGGCGGCAGCGCGCTTAGCCTCACGGGCGGCTTTGGATGCGGAGACCATGATGAAATGTGGTTGTGGGGAGGGTATATGGGGGAGTTGTGGTGGAAGAGAGGGAGTGATAAAATTCGGCGGACGGTTTTCATTTACGTATTGGCTGCCCCGCCTTAGCCCACAGCCCACTTTCGCCTTGTTCTGCACACCAAAACGCAGCCACTCTTATCGATAAGTCAAGGATCGCCGCCGGAACGCCTCAGGAAAACCATCGAAACCCCCCCGAGGAAAAAAAAACCACACTTGCGCAAGGACTTGTTCAGACTAACATGCATAGCCGGGGAATACTGGGTGGCGACGATGGAGAAACTACTTGCTGGTGGTTGGATGAACAATGGATTGATTCGCTGCACAAAGCCGTCGCGCTCCCATATGGTCACTGCCAACCAGTAGCCCCCGACTCGAGTTTTTTTTCTTCTTTTCGTTTCTTTCTTCTCATGGTGGCGGCAGCATGTGACCAATCACAGCCCTTGTGAATCTCAGTTTCCAAACGGTATGTATATGCATATGTATGTATGCATGGAAGGCGTCCTCATCAGCGAACAAACTTCGGCTTCGGGAGCAATCTTTATGTACCGTCTAGATCGTGCACGGTGTAAACACTCTCATGTGATTGTCTCGTACATGCCTTCTATCGCATATCAGCATGTTGCTTCTCTAACACCATGACCGAAGACTTTCCTTCATCTTCCTAGAAACCATTGCTATGATTTTGGATCTGGCCGTATTGGCTGTAACCTACACACATCATTCTGCAGACTGCGTACGGAGAAGAAAGACCGTAGGCAGGTATTTGCCTCGTTTGAAATTGGTGCAATGTAAGGACAGTAGCCCTGTCCTGACAATAGATACATGTGTTCTTCTCGGACGTGGTGCAAATCGCAAGGATCCCTCCCGAGACAGATGGCAAACCATCACGTAGATCAAATAGAGCTGGAGCCAGCAATCAAGACTGGAATTTCGAACAACAGCGGGTGTAATATTGAGAGACTGATGCAGATACCTCTACCTCGAACATGACGTTCAATCAACATCCACCACCACCCTTGCAAGCGAACATCTCTAACCCAGACCGGACTAGTCACTGGCTTGCTATACCCCAAAATTCAATGTTTCCAAACTCTCCACCCCACCCGTGACTTTGCCCCATCACTCCCAAGATCCAAGACTGGCCATCTTCTTCTCCCACTCATCCCTTCTCCACCCGACAGCAAAAATCATAACCATCTATATAGATATACTCAAAAGGACAGAGGAAATCCTTGGAAACCAAAGCCATGGCGACCCAAACCCTAACAGCGCAGCCATCCCATACCAAGAACCGGCTGCCCAAGAACGTGAAGCTAGCGCCAGAGAATGAACGATACATGCGGGCGTGCGCAGACATTGCGTCTGCGTTGATTCAGGACTATGAGGCGCAGGCAGATCCCACGACCCCAAAGAAAGATATCAATCTGAACCATCTGCGTGGGCAGATCAGCAAGAAGCACTACTTGAAGAGTCAGCCACCATTGACCGCGATTATCGCTGCCGTACCTGAGCACTATAAGAAGTATATCTTACCGAAGCTGATCGCGAAACCAATCCGTATGTCACCATTTCTCCTACGGGTATCTCGGTTTTGCCTATATGATGCCTGCAACGATTTGTATGCTCCATTATCGGGATTAGTCCTGTGAAGTTAGAAACAACCGGGATATATGAACAACTCCCGTAGATGTACCTGGTGGAAAACAATCATGACTAATATATCTCATAGGGACATCGTCCGGCATCGCTGTGGTGGCAGTAATGTGCAAACCGCACCGCTGTCCACACATATCGTACACTGGCAACATTTGTGTCTATTGTCCAGGAGGACCAGACTCCGATTTCGAATACAGCACGCAATCCTATACAGGCTATGAGCCCACCAGCATGCGGGCCATCCGTGCGCGCTACGATCCTTATGAGCAAGCCCGCGGGCGCGTAGACCAAATCAAATCGTTGGGGCACTCAGTCGACAAGGTTGAGTACATCATCATGGGCGGCACCTTCATGTCGCTCCCCGTCTCGTATCGCGATGAATTCATCTCTCAACTCCACAATGCGCTCTCGGGTTACCAAACCAAGGACGTTGATGAAGCCGTGGCGGCCGGCGAAATGAGCAACATCAAATGCGTAGGCATCACTATCGAAACGCGCCCAGACTACTGTCTCGATACGCACCTCTCATCCATGCTGCGCTACGGCTGCACGCGCCTCGAAATCGGCGTTCAATCCCTCTATGAAGACGTCGCCCGTGACACTAACCGCGGCCACACCGTTACCGCTGTCGCCAAAACCTTCTGCCTCGCGAAAGACGCAGGCTTCAAGGTCGTCTCCCACATGATGCCAGATCTCCCCAATGTCGGTATGGAGCGCGACCTCGATCAGTTTGTCGAATACTTCTCAAATCCGGCCTTTCGAACCGACGGCCTCAAAATATATCCGACCCTCGTCATCCGTGGCACCGGCCTATACGAGCTTTGGCGCACAGGGCGATACAAGAATTACACGCCCAACGCGCTCATTGACCTTGTTGCACGTATCCTCGCCCTTGTGCCCCCCTGGACCCGCATCTACCGGGTCCAGCGCGATATCCCTATGCCGCTCGTCACCTCGGGCGTCGAGAACGGTAACCTCCGCGAGCTCGCGCTCGCCCGTATGAAGGACTTTGGCACTTCGTGTCGCGACGTGCGCACGCGCGAAGTCGGCATCAACGAAGTCAAGCACAAAATCCGTCCCGACCAGGTCGAGCTCGTGCGCCGCGACTACGTGGCTAATGGTGGATGGGAGACGTTCCTCGCGTACGAGGATCCTAAACAGGACATTTTGATCGCATTGTTGAGGTTAAGGCAGTGTTCGGCCGAGCACACTTTCCGCGAAGAACTGGTGGGCCAACCGTCAAGCTTGGTCAGGGAGTTGCATGTTTATGGCAGTGCCGTGCCGGTGCATGCGAGAGATCCAAAGAAATTCCAGCATCAGGGGTATGGAACGCTGTTGATGGAGGAGGCAGAGAGGATTGCGAGAGATGAGCATGGGAGCGCGAAGATCAGCGTCATCTCTGGAGTTGGGGTCAGAAGTTATTATGCCAAGTTGGGCTACTGGCTTGATGGGCCCTATATGAGTAAAAATTTGGAGTCGGCGTGGGTAAGAGAGTGACGGGCTTGGATTGAAGAGGGGAAATGGATGGACGAAAGGATTGAAGGCGCTTATGGCTGTAAATTTACATGCATTGGGATGGCGTTTTCTATTCTGCGCCAGATAGATTTGCATACATATATCAATGATAGGGGCATATTCTTTGCAAATTTGACGCTGCAGTGCTGGTAACACCGTTGTATGATAATTGTGACTGCTGTGAATTGAACGCACATATACACTTTACCCCCGTCCGCTTCATTCATATACGCTACATCTTATATCGAATACAAAGCCCATGCCAATTAAACGCCTAATTCTCTAAGTCAACGAGGAGATGAACCGGACTGTGCTCCCGCAAGTTGCCCGTTATCAAGGAAAACCGTGGTGTGTGGTAATGTGGTGAGACGATCCCGTGTGTCGAGACTGCTCGGTGAGAATATAGCTATATATCCTGTATTCGCTTCATTACGATCGTTCGATCCATGCCGAAGCTGAAAGATCATGATAAGGCGATGGCGCCTCGACGGCTTTCGCGGTAGTGAAGAAGGGCTTGGAATCCACAGAAGACAAAGAAGCCCTTTTCAAGGCGTTAGCTGAGACTCTTTTCGTCTTCGAAAGTGGTGCAAACTTACGATGTAGATGAACACGGCACCGAACACGGCGCCTGCAACGGCATTCCCATCCTTGGGATCTTCCTCGGAACCCATCATTACAGGGGAGCCAGACTGTCGAATTGAGATTTCAAGTCAGCCTCTGATCACTACGCTGATTTCCAACGAACACTGTTTGCCCGATACATCGCGTCGCATATTCTCCCCATGAAAATCATCTCAAGGAGGATTTCACATACCTTGAACAACGAACCAATGACTGACAATATAACGATGGCGAACACAGATACGACAACACTATAGGTAAGTCGTTAGCTCTTTCTCTCTAGCTTTTGCCACCCTTTATATCTGTTCATCGTCTTCCATGCCATCCTCTCACCTCCTTGCTTCGTGTTGACTGTTCTTGCCATGCCAACCAGAAAAGAAAAGAAAAGAAAAGATTATGTCGCATACCACGTCCACGCATTCATAGCAGATACAAGCGGCTTGACCATGTTGGGCAGGCTATGTGCGTATTTCTTCCGGATGCAAGCGTATCGGGGGCCGAGGCGGCTGCGCAAGGCGTCGAGAAGGAGAAGACGGATATCGGAACAGCGAGATTAGAACTTTCGTAGCAAGAGTGACTCGACGGGGTAGTTCGGGCTCTTTCTGGCGATCCGGGAGGGTGAAACGGCGTGACGGGGGGAGGAAGAGAGGGGGTTGATGATGTTGATGTTGCTGTTGCGGATGAGGAAGCCTGGCTGCGGCGGGCGGAAGCGTCGTCACGATTTGGGAGGCTTGGCGTTTTTGCTGCTGCGTCTCTTGCTTGGTCCAAATGATGGGGGCGGGAGACCAAGATTAGAATATGGTGGTCCGTGCGCGTTTGACTGCAAGCGGGCGGCGAGGACTGACCGCTGCTAATTAGAAGTATTGTGGTGAACGACGAAATTCATCAGCAGGATTTCACCGTATATTTGAACCTTTGTTCGTGTGTACGTGCTCAAGCTTGCAATCGATCTATATAGACCCGGGGTATCTTCCTAATGTGCTCATGACTGGCGTATGTACTCGACGGTACCCCGTCCCGACAGAAATAAACGCCAACGCTCCCTAATGCAGACATGTGTGTATATGCGATGCCGACAATAGGCATGAAATAGAGAACTAAGAGAACGCACAAAGAGAACACGAGACCACGTATTGGCCGCATAACAAACACCGGCATAAGAAGCTCACATTACAAGACACTCGCGATCAGGCCGTTCCCTAGCCTTGCTCTTGCCCTTGACGGCCACTCCATTGATAGGCTCGAGACTCTTGCTTTTTCTGATCTTTTTGTCTTCTTTGCTGGGCTTCTTATTCTTGCTCTTGGAGCGTCCTAGCGAGCCGCCATCTTTCTTCTTCTTGCCTGGGCTTGAAGGCTGCACAATCTCCGTGGATTCTAAGGTTGGCACATCCTGCACTACGATGACAGGATCCTGAGGAGCCGGGTCTCGCGTGTCGGTCACTTGCAATTTGTCTTTGCTAGCTCTGCCGGCGAGACGCGATATTGTCACAGACAACCGATTTTCGCCGTTCTGACTTCCGGGTCGGCTGTTCTTACCACCAGCCAGCCAAGCTCTCGAGTTCCGGCGGGAGCTGGTCAAAAAGCCCCCCTTTTCATCACCCGGTGTTGATGGTCCGGATCTGCCCCGACTGTCCAGCTCTTCAAGTACCGTACTGCCATCGGGCATGCTGGATATACTGCTGCGACCAGGGGTTTCGGAGATGTTGATGTCTGTGATGGGAGTCATAGTATCTGCCGCCGTTACGCTTTCCCATTCAACAGCAGGGTCTGTGGTAGTAGAGGCTACCTCTGTCTCTGAAGTAATCGTTTCTTTCGACGGCGTCGCTTGAAGAATATCGGATTGAGCCTCGGCATACGGGGGCGGGTCGCCTCTCAGTGCTAACTCTTCGTCAATTGGTTGAACTTGGAAGAATAGAAGGTAAGGTGATTCTTCTTTGAGAGCTTTCGTGATATCTATTGTTGACGTCCGTGGATTCGCAAGGTCATCAAAGCGGAGCCATGTATCTGACACTTCCTCCTCCTCTGAGTGTGCACTGCTTGGCCGATTCGTTTTGCGGGGGCTGTTTGCTCGCACGAGAGCGACATAATGTCCCGAGTCGACAGTGACACCTCTGTGGCATACAACGGACTGAAGTACTAATTTGAAGTTACCAAAGAGCGGTCCGTCCTCGCTCATTCGTTCGTCAGAGATGAAGTGTGGCAGTCCGATTTCCAATGGAATGTCGATGTAGGTGTCGAGCCGTTTGGGAGCACCGTTGAGTGTCATCATGTAGCGTTTGAGGCATATCCCCAGCACTGGGCGTTTAGAGGAAAAGTGAGCGGCAACTTGAGCATCAGTCTGTGGGGCGTTGTCCGTGTACCAAGGGATGAGGTTGAAGAACTGCCATGCGGGCATCATGACTTCTTTGCGCAGCGATGCTGATCGGGGCCGACCTTCGGAACTCTTCTCTAGCATTTCATCTAGATGCTGTTTCTCGTCGAAACCTGGCTTGCTGCTGACAGTGTATCGTTCAGTGAAGATGCTATCTCCTCTTCTTCGACCTGACATAGGAGGCCTTGAGGCTGCTGTCACGGTGGGGAATTCGAGTGTGGTTGGCGTAGCGGCCGCTGGAGACTCTGATCCAGAGACCTCAAGGGCTTCAATGTGGATGGCCTGACTCTTTTCAGGATCCTTGGTTGTATGTGTCGAGGAAAAGGTATTCTGGCGCTGCAGGTGGCGTTTTACTTCGATGCGATTGTTGAAATATTCCTCAAGGCATTGTTCTAGAGTTACAATCTTACCATCCTCTAGCTCAGGAATGGCCACTTCTAATAAACGCTCATTGACAAACTTGTGGTCGTCTTCTTTGTCCTCACGGCCGGTGTGGAATATGTCCATTTTCAGAGTTAGCAGCGGTAGCTCGAGAGCTCCTGTGATGAAAGTGAAGGCTTCCGAAGCGTCTTGCTGGTGGAGATGCGCAGCTTCTTCCCACCCACATTTTGCCAACGAATCCTGAAGGTGTTTTGTAAGATCGGTCTTGATGAGCCACCCCGATCTGAGGAGATTGACCCAAAGGCGCAAAACACCAGCCAACTTCTTCCTTGGCTCATCATTGAAATCGTTGTAGAGCATGGCCTCGAAGCTATCCAGACATGCGAACATGGCGAAGAGGAGGGCATCGAGATAGCAAGTGACCATGTTCCGGTTGACGGCACCTAGCATTGTAAGGTCTGGGTTGTAGTCCTTCAACTCGCCCTCGAAAGATTCATTGACCAGCACGAGCAAATCATATGCTTTGTCTAGATCGTCGGGGCACCAGCGAAGGGCATGTTCGGCCTGTTCCTCGCCCAAATCCGCGATGCCGTTGGATTGAAGACGGTGAAGCAGCATCTTGACCTGGCTGGCTCTTAGCATGATGTATCCAGGGAAACAGAGATGGGTATGTGCGGACCTTCTTGTCAAGATCCTTGTCCTTGCTTGTGGCATCATTTCCTTCGTTGGTGAACACTTTGTAGAGCTCGGAAGAAACGGTGGATGGAGTTGAGCGCGACTGCACCATGGACTGGTTAGAAAGGGTACTTGTAGAGGAACTTTTGAAGACAACGACATGAACTGCAAAAGAATGTATTGTAGGAAGTGATTTATACACGAACGGTGGTGAATCGGAACAAAAGAGCAACGCCATTGCTGGGAGCTGCGGGCAGCTGCAGCGCACGATTCGGAGATGTTGTGCGTTCAACGAGGACAATGGTAGGCCGGCAGCAAGTCAAGGTATTGAGTGCAGTCGGCAATAACTCATCGACGGTGAAGGGAAGGGGGGAAAAGCCTACTTTGTTGCGCCAGTGCCTCGAAGTCCGTTTCTCGTTGTGTTTGTCACGACGGCTGAGGAAGCGCGAAACGCCGTTCATATTTGCGGAGCGGGTGTACACCCATGCACGACAGGGCGGGCGGTCGCGGCGAAGAAGGTGCGACCGTAAGAAAGATGTCTGGTGGTAAGTAAACTGTAACTGCGTATGTACCTAGTAGTACTTAAGTAGTGGAGTTGTGGGTAGCGGCCGTTGGTACTTTTGAGCTGGCTGGCACTCTAGCGGGGTTGTTAGTGATGTTAGTGATGTGCATATATGTACGTAGAGCGCCGTGCACCCAGAACATGGCAATACATTACTTGGGGGCGGTATATGTATGCCCATGTACCTTGGCTACTTACGTAGAGAGCTCAGGCGGGGCAGTGGTTGATTGCTTGGTTGATTGTGGACAGCGGGCGACGGAGTGTTCCAGTACAGGTGGTTGCCAGTCGGTCGGTTAGTCAGTCACGAAGTGTGCGTAGGTACATGAGCAAGTTGGTGGTGCATGCAATGACGGGAATGGTGCATGTAATCCAAAGAGAAGAAGAAGAAGATGATGCAGACGAAGGAGGAGGAGAGGATGAAGAAGAAGAAGAAGAAGAAGAAGCGGCAGGCTGGTAGCGAGAGCGTGCGCGGGGTGACGCAGAGATGCCTAGCAGAGATGCCTAGATATACAATATATCAGTGGTATGTTCACATGTACTGTTTCCCCGAGGCGCAGGCAGGCAATCTACCAGCATATGCAAAGTCATTGGAGTCACGGAGCAATGCATCGCATCCCCAATCGACAAGTCATTGTGTTATCAGAATTGAAGCATCGCGGTCCTCTCAGTCGAGCGCATGCTAGAGCGGGAGGTGCGAGCGGAGTATGGGGCTGCTGATTGGCCGATCCCCATCTAATCAGATCAGCTGGCGGCAGACAGGCATCACCCTTGCAAGCATCAATGCATCCGAGCAAGCGAAAGATTTCCATCCATCTCGACACCTCCAACTACTCGTCTCGCGCAGATACAACTGCCCGGCCATCTTTCCACCACCCCCACCACCATGGCTTTGCGGGAACTGCCATTCCGCACTGCCTCCACCCTTCTCAGGGATGCGCGGCCTGCCATCTGCGCTGCTCCACCTGCATCCTGCCGCTATGCCTCGACCGAAGCTGTCAAGCAAGTCGAGGACAACTCCTCCTTTTCCATCCCTCCGCCCTCCGAACAACTTGCCAAAACATTCGATCCCATTGCGCGCAGCAGGTTGCGGAGACGAGGCGGAAAGCAGCTCCCACCAAGCAGGTACGTGGCAAATCCCCCCCCGTGGGCGCACCGCGACGTGCCTAGACAAGAGCCAGAGACATTAACTGCCCACCAGGTATCAATTCCGCCCTCCCAAGTACTACCGCGGTCCCCTCCACCCGCATCAGCCTCCCCCGGTGTCGGACCCTGCTTCACGACTGTTCGTGCCCGGCCCCTTCAGCCTGCCCCGCTTGGAACAAACCTACCAAAGCACCATTGCTTCGGACCTCCTCACCCTTACCTACCAACACTATCCGCCAGGATACCGTGCCCCCAAGGTTACTCAGAGATTGCGCGAATGGCAGGGCGACCACCCATACTTCAAGAATCGTCCCTTGCGCCCACCCCGCGGAAAAGGTGATGTCCTTCGCCTCCTGACCCCCCCGCGAACCTTCCGGAACATACCCAAAATCACAAAGGTCACCCTTCACTCCATGGTGCCCTTGGCTCAGTCCAACAGTGCTTATCTGCATATCGCTGGTATGGCTTTGCAGGCAATCAGCAACGTCCGCATAACCCCTCACAAGGCCCGCCATAGTGTAGTGCAGTGGGAAGTGCGCGAGGGAAGATTTGTGTCGGCCACCTCGACAATGGAGCGCGAAGATGCCCAGCACTTCTTATCCAAGCTGATTGATGTCGTTCTACCCAGAATCAAGGAATGGAAGGGTGTGCCTGGGTCCACGGGTGACGGTAGTGGTAATATGAGTTTCGGTATGACTCCGGACCAGGTAGCTTTGTTCCCTGAGATCGAGGTCAATTACGATGCGTAAGTTCAGTCCCAAATTTTTCAAGTCCAGTGCTCGGCTAATCAGCATGTAGATACCCCCCAAAAATGATCCCTGGTTGCTACATCACCATACACACTGACGCCACCAATGACAAAGATGCTCGTCTGCTTCTCCAGGCAATCGGCCTACCGTTCTACGGAAAGTTAAAAGGTTGATTTGAGCACGTGCGCAGTACCCATCTGTATCAATATGTAAACAATGTAAGACATTATGTAACCAATAGACTGGTCGACAATGCCGGCAACTCGTTTTCGCCGCTTTCATGTTGAGGATTTCTTTGTTGCGAGCATGCACTCACATGTTTGTCAATCATGGCTTTCAACACGCCAATGTAGCCGTCCCACTTGATGTTTGCCTCTTTCGTTGACTTGCCTTTGTGGCCACCAATACCGCTGATTTAATTCTAGTCTCTCCGTGTTTTCTTTGTTGTTCTCGATGCCTCTCGATGCCATGCCCACTATGTCTTAAAGTAAACAACATTTCCAACTTCACCTTCTTCCTCTTGTCATATTGCAATTTTCGTGTCCAGCTATAACGCGCGTTTTACTCGGTTCCCGTCTTTGCGTTATCTGATGCTCGCTTCTTGTCACTAAACGTGGCATTGTTCCTCGCCAGCAAACGACATCGCAAACCTTGTATCTTGGAGACAACCTCTTTCTTGACAGCTAAGCTTGCTAGGTCATCTAATCAATCATTAGTCTTCAGAATGGTGACAACAAGAGCTCAAGACAAGGCAAAGAAGGCGGCTAAGACTCCTCTTCCTCCCTCTCCTCGGGGGACTAGATCTCGGGCCAAGGAAGCGGCCGGTGTTCAAGTGCTCCCTCCCCCTTCTTCTCCTGTTTCTCGCCCGCGAGGTGGAGGGCGAGGAAAACAAAATCCTCCCAAAGTTCTAACTGTCAAGAAAATCGGCCGCGATAAGGCGACCACTGCCAAACGCAAAGGCGACGCCACAGGGAATACAACCCCCTCGGCTGGTAGAACTCGATTCGTGTACCGCTCGCCGTCTCAGAATCTTCGACGCGCCAGAGTAGAAGACCAGAGACCACCCAAACGAAACCCCCCGCGACTTCTAAGTATTCAACAGATTGAAGACTACGTCTTCTCCCCCCGCCACTTCTCCGACCAACTCATCCCCACGTCTTTCCCTACGGAAACGTCCGTCTGGCCGCCCCAAAACCCACTTGACATCATGCGGGCCCTAGGTGAAGAAGTAGATGATTGTGCCGGCGAAACGTGCTACACAGACGAGCTGTGTTTCTCGCCAGACTGCGAGCATTCCTTCGACAAATGGCGCCAATCCTCAAGCGCCAGCTGGAAAACCCACTTTGAACTCCGGCAGACGCAGGATAGGGGCATCGGTGTCTTCACCAAAACTGCCTTCAAGAAAGATACTGTGTTGGGCTGGTACACCGGCCAAATCGTTCCATTCAACAACGCGGATAGCTCCAACAGCCAGTACTTGATGGATTTCGCGATTGGCGGATCCGAATCTTCTGGAACTGACGGCTCTCCGAATATGGTGTGGGTTGATAGTGCCACCAGGGGGAACTGGACGCGTTTTATGAATCACTCGTGTTCGGCCCATTGCTGCTTTTACCCCATGAGGGTTGGACGCACGCGTATCATGGCTGTTCTTGCGAACCGCAAGATCCCCGCTGGAGTAGAGTTGACGGTGGATTATGGTGCGGATTACTGGGAGACCAGAGGTTGGGATTGCTTGTGTAACGCACCCAAATGTATGAGTAAAGCGAAGAAGAATGCACCTACAGGATCGAGTGGGGCCAAGAAAAAGGCTCGAGAGACCACTCAAACGAACAAGAAGGAGGGTAAAGCTACAAGTAACGTCTTGGGGGAATCTAAAGTAGGGAAGAAAAATAAGAGGCAAGCCAAAAAGAAGAAAAACTTGGAACGGAGGATGTCGATTCTTGATTATTTCCTAGGGAGGACGCGGGAGTTGGCGTACTGTTGAATTTCCATTATCATCTTTTGTGTATATTATACGTCTCATAGTTGTTATCCTATTTTTGAATTGCGGATTGTCTTTGCTATGACGACCAGATTGCAACCCCCTAAAATTGCTGAAATGGATTTCGCGTTGCGAGAGAATTGTCAAATGCACTTATACATCTGATGGGCATATCCGCTTTCACATTGAAATTGGTATAGACTACTATGCCCTTTACGTTGATTCATAACAGCAAACAGATTCACCATGAAACCCATCTTTATTCTCTGCTCCCTACACATATAATCACTGACCGCAGATCATGTGTAGCTTGCTCTCGTTATTTGCCAACTTGCGGAACCGCAAAACCCAAACCGATGTCTAGCAGTAATACAAGCGGCAACAACAGCAGCAACTGACATGGTCTTTTCTCTCACCTAAAGGCACAAACAAGAATACTATCCTTTATCTCCCCTACTACACAAACGACACCATGTATATAAGATCGATTCGCGAAGGTTTTGGTAGTCTGTACACATCAACCCCCTTACTACAAGCCCCTTCGCTGTCCCTCCCATACTATCTGAGAATGGACATTTTCAAGATATTTCGAGAATTACCACATGCCATCACACCCTCGGTATACAGTAAATCTCCCACCAAACACGCACAGAACATAAATCCCCATAACACGACTTGCCAACCTACTCTCCCATCCCCTCAGAAAGAACACACCAAGGAAGCATGGCCCCATCTCCCCACCATGTCGACAATCCCGAACCTTTCCGCAGATATAGATATAGTCCAAGATGCTAGCAACGAGGATGAAACATCAGATGAACATCGGCTTATTACTCAAGAAACCACGTTCGCAACTACCAAATCAAAAGACCCGCTACCTCCCCACTTGAACTCGACCTTGTCAAATACAACAGCAACAACGCTGCACTACGAACAAGAACCGTACGCACTGCGCTCCTCTTCCTCTCCATGTTCACCCTCACCTTCATCCTTCAAGCAGGTTTTAGGTGCCTCTTGTGTGTACGACGGGGGTGAGGAAGAAGTGGGAGGGGATGGCGGTGGGTGTGTGCGAGATGCAGAAGATAAGGAGAGAGGACGGACGAGGGTGCGGCAAAATCAACCTTCCCCCCGCCGCCATCGCCAAGAAGGATCTGGTCGGGTGAGAGGGGGGAGGAGGACGCTGCTCAGGAGGTCCAACTCTTCGTCGTCGTCGATGTTGGTACAATAGGAAGAGGACTTCGGTAACCGTAATGATGGAAACTATCTCAGTGTTGTGTCTGCACGGGAATGATGCGCGGGAGTGGTGGAGTTGAAGGGATGGGAGCACAGGAGGACAAGTGTGCGAATGAGTTGGTTGAAGTTATGTATAGCCCATCCTGTTCATGCATCAGTGAGCGCACGTGTTTTGCTGTTCTGTTCGATTTGTATATTCGGGAAGATTTGTGCGATGGACTCCTGTGGAATAATAGATCATGTGTTTTGATGTGTAGTTATATTGAAGGGAACTCTTCCCTGAAGCTCTGCCGCATATCTTCGCCTTCGTTTCAAGATGGTGATCGTGGGATGAGAATATACCATGTAGATTAAGTTCTAGTCATACATGTGCAATAATGAAAGTTCCCTTTACAGTGAATTAAAACAGCTTGTCGTACAAAACAATTATTATAACAAACGTGATGCATTCAATTCCATGCAGAAAGCCAATCATGTCGGAAGAAAACAACGGGTCCCAAAAGGTCCGCCAGGCGCTCCTAGCACTATTTTCTGCGAAAGCCAGGTTCTTGATCACGACCAATACTTCCTATCCTAGATCATCGACCAAAGACGTGATTACAAATTGCCAAGATGGTTGTGGGCAGAAGAATATGGAGGAGATATTGCGCGGGCCTCTTAAGGTAAGGCATTGCCAAACCCCACGCATGGAAAAAAAACTGCGCATTTTGTCTACTCGTCCTTGACGCCTCCACGTCCAGCACGCTCAGCAGCCTCAATGCTCTTCTTATCAGTTTTGATCTCTCCACCCTGCATAGCACCCATAAGACCACCGCTCGCCTTGAATGGTCTTGAGAGATCACCGGTTGCTGGGTGACCCAAGAGGTGGATCTTGACCAGATTGCCCTCGAAGGCGCCCTTGAGAGGAATGATAGACTGGATGAGGAGCGGGTTGGTGTACTGCATGTAAAGGTGCATGAAACCCATCATACCCACACCCATGAGCTGTGCCTTGAAGAGGGACTTGAGCTGCTCTTGGTCGTAGGCCTTGACGGTGGTCGCGACAAACTTGGGGTCTTCACCAGAACCGACGGGCGCAGGTTCGACGTACTTGACAACGGTCATGTCTGAAGTGTGGCTGTTAGTACTTGGCCAGTGTGATGCATGTTGCTGCCACTGGTTGATCTCGACGCACCATTTTTCTTGTTTATTTGCGCCTGGACGTAGAAGTAGATGCCCGCGATGATGACATTGGAGAGAACGTAGAGCGCACGCACGCCGTTGAGGACATTGGGATCGTCGAAAGGCACCTTCTTGGAGATTTGCATAAACGCCCTGTAAAATCATTAGCTGATTGGCAGAGCGAAGATATCGGTCGGAAGCCGTACAAGATGATGACGAGGTTGGTGCTAGAGTGCGGATGTTAGCAAATTGTGCATGCGGCTTCAATGGAGTTTTCCTGGAACCTACATTTGCGGGTTGAGAGCCATTGTGGAGGATGTGGAGTTTCTATTGCCTGGGGAGTACGGGGGACTGAGTTGTGGGCGAACAGAGAGTAGATGGTGGGAAGAAAGAAGCAGCGGCAGCACGGGACTTTTGTGGCGGAACAGTGAACATTTGAATGGCACAATTAGCGCTTGGCAACCCCAAAAGGACACCTCCGCACCAATTCGCAGGGTCCGCTTAGTCAGCTAGTTGCGCCCTCCCGGCTCTAGCTTCTTCCAACGTCTTCTCTTACCACGTCTCGCCTATCTATGGTAGACCTCTCTCCTATTCATAGTCAAAGACATAAGGCGCCGGCACGCCCGACTCTACCTCCCTATTAGGGCGATATCTCGAATGCCTCATCCATAGCTTAATACGCTTGATAGCGCTACTCCCCAGCATGGCGTACACCTCATCTGCGACAGCCTTTAGATTTTCTGGGAATGTGCCCGTGTCGGAGCTGGACCTCCCATCTGTCACCAATGGGCGGAAGATAACCATGAGCTCTTCCAAATTCAGCATATTCCCTAGTCTCCAGAACAAGGTACTGGCTTGCTTCTTGGTTTCTTCAGTCAGTGAGCCATATCTCATGAGCTCTTCAATCGCTGAAGCTCGGAACCCCAATCGCTTCAGCCCATATAAACTCTGGGCCGCATCAATGAACTCCAAAGAGGGAGCAGTGTTGTTGGTGGAATACTCAAAATGCTCCAAGTCGGGGTGTTGAGAGATAATTCCCCTCAGGTCCAAGCTCCACACAGAGTGAACGTGTATAGCGAGATATTTAAGTCCTGAGAGGCTGAGCAAGAACGCCTGTATATTGTGTGGATTATTGTGATCCACATCTTCCTGATGATTCCACATGCAGCATTCGAATGACTCCAACTGGAGGGCCGATGCGGATCCCATGAAGTGCTCGAAGAGATCAGGTAGACTGGAGCAATCGCGAATGCTCAGATGTCTCACCGAAGATGCATCCAGTTGATCAAAGTCAGACAATGGCAAATCCTCGAAACTGAAACCCGCGAGGGACAGATTGGTGATTCGAATCGGCAATGAAGGGTAATGTACATCTAGAGCGTCCATGATATCATCCACCGATGCAGTGAGAGACTGGTTGCCTGTGAGATTGATCGTGTCCCACTGGCGCAAATTGCCAATATTGCCGATAAGGCTCTGGAAAGTTTGGAAAGGAGTGCCGTTGACTCGGTAGGCTGGGAACTCTATTTGTTGGCTACCCCATGCGCGAATCTCGATATTTCGAGTCGACCGCTTTCTTGTCGCGATATCTTGAACCTCTCTCTTTGTCGAGATATAGAAAGTTCCGTTTAGAGGCTCGTAGAAGCTCTTGCCCATATCTTCTGCAGTTTGGAGAGGCAATTGTATATCTTGAAGACTAGACATCCAGAGGCTCGAGGGGTTGGAGAGAACATCGTTCAACCTCTGATATGACCGAGGCTTTAGGTGAGCATTCTTAAGGCGCAAAGAGACGATTGGTCGGTGCCTTATAGCATTGATCACTTTACGGAAGAATCTCTGAGAGATTGGATCGTCAGAAACAGCAAGAGTGAGACTCTCGGTATGCTTTTGTAAAGCAGCGCATATACGGGGCCGAGTGATTGCGTCGATCTGCCTTCGGTCGTCAAGATCTAATATGTCCGTATTCCAAAATCTATGGTCGACAAGAGCTTTTACCGACGAATTTACTCTGGAGAGTCGTGACAAAGTTGGTATGTCTACCTGTGTTTTTGGTCAACTGAGAAACCTCATAAGATGGACTTGAACTACCTTGGTTATGATGACGTTAAACAACTCCATGGGAAGTCCCTCGATCCTGGACACCTCTTTCTCTAGAACTAAACAACTCTCTAGCTCAGGTTTGTTGCTTGCTTTATCGGGAAGAGGGTTGGTTTCAGGCATGATGTGTTTTTCGATGAAAATACTCCTTTATTTGGATGTTCGGAAGATGCTCAAATGTGTGGTGGAGTTAAATTAAACAATATGATATGTAGAGAGGGTATCGATGTTGAATTAGTTGAAGAGTATTGCCTGTAATTGCAAACTTATAAGTGAGAGACTAGCGCCTGTCATTGCGTTTGCGTTTTGATGAGTTGGAACACTCAGTTACCCATTCTTTCACACTGCCTGGCCTCGTTCACTCCCCCTTTGTCTGCCTCGCTATATCCTTTCGACCTTCTACCATACTCTTCTTGTATAAATAAATTCTAAGCTGGAGTTTAGGTAATACTACACACAGTGATAATTGCAATGATAAAATAACCAAAACAACAGGCGATATTCGTTTCGTATAACAGCTACGGTATCTAAGATTTCCACTTGTATATATGATGATCATGTAAATTTGGACCCCTACAACTACACCTACGACATATAGTGAAATCATGGGTCTAAGTTCATGAGAAATTAGAGCTCGATTTCTTCTATAACCGTTGCGTTATCTACTGAAGATGCAAAAGACCGTGTTTGAGATTATAGGACATTGAAGGTAATGGCAATTTGGTCAGAAAAATTCACTCTAGACCAAGCATATACAAAATATCACGATTGAAGCATGACGAGCAATTAATGAGAATCATAGAAGGAGGACTTAGTGGCGTACATCTAAAGAATAACAAAGTATAGGGTATATACCCACACACCTAGCAGCTAATAGCGCTTCCAAAATCTTCTATCAATGAAGGTAATGCATCAGTCACATGTACAGATAATTCCTCAACTTAACAATCTCTCACTATCAATCCTGTGGTGTATACAATGGTTCATCCCTCTTAATTCTCTTTCTTCTCCATTCTCTTTATTGATATATCTGGCTCTCCATGCGAGTACAGGCTGTCGAGGAAGAGTAGATATCTTGAACCTATAAAAATGCGAAGAAACTATGGGAATGTGAAGCATTCTTCGTTTACTTCCTAAACTGATCGACAGGAGTTACGAGATTCCAAACGACTGATTCATTTTCGAAGACCTTAGAAAGCTAGTGGGCCAATCTGACGAGCGATCGAAGGCGTGGGGAGCAGCGGTGTGTCGGCAGTTGAATGGGTGTCATACCAGTGAGCGAAATTGGGCCTTTTGTGAGACTATCGATGGTGTTAAATTTATGGGGATGCGTTTTTGTTCCAAATGATTCGCTCGGTAACAGTGAGTTTACAGAGCATTCGGAAATCAGAAGGCGCCCATGTATATGGCCAGCCCGCAATCGAAAAGTTATCTTGTGAGCATTCAGTTTTACTGGACCTCTTTTGGAACAGTAGTCGTCCTAATCTTCGATTTGCCCCGAGTGATTTCGCAATCACATCGCAAATATATCTGAGAAAGCTCGTACGCCTTATTCCGGTCATGAATTCATGTAGAACATAAGCAAGCTAGGAAGACTTGGCTCAGCTGCACATCAAGGGTCACGTTTTCTGTATCACAATATGAGAGCCAAATAATCTAAGTGTACCCGTCGTCGAGAAAGGCCCTGATGAACGAGGATCCATTATCCTGTGTTTCAATAACAATCAGCAAACAAATTGTGCGCAAGCACTTCAGGCCACAAGCATCGCCTGCCTCGCTCACAACCAAGTACTTCCGAGTTTCACCTTCTTCAATATCACACGACCGTACTGATAAGCACATGAGCAAGCATGAAAGAGCAATCAGACCCCCTCACTGACCTGCCGCGTCACTCCTCCGCAATCAACCAGAGGTATAATAGTGCTGCCGACCCTCTAATTCTGCTTCCTATTTCCCTTCACCATAACTCCGTTCTCACTTCGACATCTTCCAAATTGCTCTAGACTATCTTAACCACCACAAAGAAACGCTAGCAACCGAGACAATGTCATCCAACAACAACCAATCCTCCAGCACTTCGAACAAGACCCCAATGACGAAATCAGACTCGCAGAGGATTCAGTCCTCTCAGGTACGTAGACTTTCGTCTCCATCATGAAAATTTGCCATTGTCATCATATATACACTTTTCTAACTCTAATGTGGCAACCAGGCAACTAGCGGCAAGAACACAGGATCCGGATCGTTCGCCTCTCGTGCCCAGGCCGCCGGTGACAAGAACACCAATTCAAGCTCGAGTGGCGGTCAGCAGCAAGGCAGCGGATCGAAGTAAGCGATGTTCGAGTAGATTAATATCCGGTGACGGAAACTTTTTCTTTTTGGATGGGTGCCAATTGGTACACGAGGGGCGTCTTATGTAAAGTGCAGTCTTAGCTAGTTTACATGCAGATATTCAATACATAGAAGACACCAAACTCGAGCGTGCATATCGGTATTTATCCTGCTCAAGTGATATTTTTTCAGTTATGGTGATCGATTTGGCTTGGGACGGCACCTGTTTTCTTCTTCCTCCCAACACTGGAAGAAATTCAAGCGGGATAGATGCTCTCATGATACAACTTGTTGATGGCACACATATAATCCTTGGCAACCAATTTGAATGATTTCTTTACAGAAACAGCGCTCTAGAGTTTATACCGTCAAAAAAGATTTAGAGAATGTTAATTTAGGGTAGCTTAATGGGTAGGGTAGAGAAATGAGATAGATGAAAGCCAGAGTTGAAACATACACTGTCATTATCTTTTTTTTAAAGTATAGAAGGTAGGAGAAAGAGAAACTATCCATGACAATGCTAAGCTAAGATTTACCAGATGACCAAGAAGAGAAAACAAAAATCGAGTACTAATGAGACGTATATCTCACCACAGGCACGCACGAACATTTACATTTCTGCTCACAGTATATCTATCCAATACAGTTGGAATAAGATAGAGATAACAATGTGCAGAGTATGCCAGGCCAGCCTGAGCTTGAGATCAAAGATGAGCATCGTGAGGATCATCGTCAAAACCCTCCCCACTGATGCAACGTCAACACTACACCGTTCAAAAAGCCAAGGATTCCTTAACACACCCTACAAAACCCCTTCAAACAGTAGCTTGACTAATTGCCTATCTACTTAGTCCACGGCCCTCATCGCTTCTTCATTTTCCTCGGTCTCGACACCAAGTTCACCACCACGCAATAGAAGTACACCAACAAGATCGTCGGAATCATCCACGAGCTGCTCATATACTTCGCTTTCAAGCTCGGGTTATACTTGACAGCTGCGACAAATGTGAGCCCGAAGCCGCAGAGGGCGTTGATGCCCAGACGGACGTATTGTGAGTTTATGCGTTGGGAGGGAGGAAGGGAGAGGAACCCAAGAATGGCCATGACGACTAGCGAGAGACCGCCAGAGATGAAAACGTATGATACCTGCAGAGATGGGGATCAGTAATTGAATAGTCGAGGTGGGTGATATTCCAGTGGTGATGTTGAATTGCACAGAGGTTTTGGATGTGCGAAAGCGAGAGTAGGGGAGATACATACGACCAACCCAAAGAACTTGGTATACTGATCGAACACGGCTTGGAAATCGATGCGTACGCCCGAGTTCTTAAGCTTCTCCATGCGATGCTCTGAGATGCTGACTTTGAGGCTGTCGAAGAGGGTTGTGGTTGCTGCAGACATGAGGTCGTTCATCCCGTCGATGTATTCTGCTTTTGCGGTTTCGTTGGTTTGGTCAATAGCGAGGAAGTCATCTAGAGTTTGAGAAATAAGCATAGTTCATGCGATCGTGTTCGAGCTTTCAGTAAGATAGGCTGCTGCACCGTGTGGTGTCTAGGCGTGCAATGACTTTGTATTAGGGATATACGCACATGCTTCGGTGATTTGGCTGAGTGCTGTGTTAGAGTCTTTGATGGTTTTGGAGGTGTCAACGCCTTTGGGGGCCACACCGAATGTCTGATTGAACACCTAGATAGCCGGAAAAAACATACAAAGTTAGCTGAGTTGAGACTATGACTATATCGAGAAACCAAAGATGTGTTGGACCAGTCTGATACGTTTTTCAAGCACATTTCGGAGATGGGATTTGACTCACCGTTTGATTTAGAAAGTTCGCAAACTCTGTCCCATTCGAGAACTTTGAGGCTTCCACGTCATCGACAGAACTATAAAGTTGTGTCATGAGTTGCATAGCTTGCGTCCAGATGATAAGTAGACTGATGCCTTGGAGGACTAGAACAAGCACAACATGCAAGGGGAAGTGGTTGAAGCTCCATATCTGCTGCTTGATGCTGCCAAAGTGCTCTTCATGAAGGCGATCAAAGTACAGCATGTAGAGAAAGTAGATAACAAGCACGGCACCAATGATCTGTCCAATGACGGCAGATGACCACAGGAAGTCGTTTTTGACAATTTCGGATATGGCTTTGCATATCACAATGATGCCTTCGCCGAGAATGATCAAGGTAAGAAGAGACATACGTTGTACCAGATCTTGGTGGGGTATTGTAAGTTACCGTACACATCATTAAGGGTGAGTGAAGCTTACGGGTGCCTTTGAAGCTGATGACCCTCCATACACAGGAAACAGCGACCGTCAAAAGCGTCTCGAGGATGGCAATGACGTACCACGCAATATAGACATTGCTCTTCTGAAGAATGGCTTCGCCGGTTTCGTCGAACTTCATCTGGGGAAAAGCTGTATATAGACCACCGTACAATACAGCAGCCAATGCCGTAAAAACAATGACTAAAGAGAGTGGCAGCACAGTCTTCTTGTACTTCTTAGTGTACATGAGTGTGACGGAGTACTGAACAGTCAGCGTCAATCTCGAGACGGCGAGCGCTATGCTAAAGGTTCGATAGACCTTGAAGTCTGCTATGGATTGGCCCGGATGCCACTGTGGACCTATGACAGCGAAGCCGACCATGATGCCAAAGTGTATCGACTTTGCCACACGCTCGAAGACAGAGTCGGCAGAGAAGCGAACATCGTATAGCGAAACTTGATACCACGTCAACCAGAGCAGGGAAAAGAAACCGACATATGAAGTGAGCGAATCTTGATCGTTTATTTCGATGATGGAGGTGAAGGTGGTAAGATTTGCGACAAAAAATAGATCATAAAAGAGTTCGGCGGTTGTAGCCTCTGCATGACGGTGGAAAGTTGGGTGTTGATCAGGGCGATGATGCTCAGGATACTCGACGTGGTCGAATGACTCTACATCGCTGCTGCTACTGTGGTGATGATGTTGAGGTCTGAGCGGTTTCTGGTCCAGGGAACCGTGGTGATGATGTGCGGGTGCGTTTTCCAGAATGGTGTCGGAGTGTTCATGGAGTGGAGAAGCGAACAGACGAAGGGAACGCCGCTCCTCAACGTGGTGCGCCATGATGATGTCGACAATAATGAGGGCAGTAAAGCGGTTTCAGCGACGTGATAGACAGGTGGGAAGCAAGCTCCATAATAAGTCCCGAGTAAGTTGTGAATGAGGCATTTGGCCAACCCGGTGCCGTGAAGCAGCGTAAGCACGGTCATTCAAGAATGGTCAACCAGGGCGCAGACAGTGACATCAACTAGGGGTCTTCGAGAATTCAGCTAGGTGAGCGGCCCGAATTGGGAATTGGAATAATTGGAATCCGCCAGCGCCGGATCTTGCTTCAGCTGCTTCTGAAACGTCTGACTCCCGACGCCGACTGATTGACCGCAGGAGGTCGTATGTCCCGAGCAACAATCTTCTATTCTAGTCCATTGGTTGACCTGACACTACGCCACAGATAGAGTCCTTGGACACATAGCCCCAAGGGGTTGCGGCGCCCGTAATAATAACTATTGTGGAGATTTGACGATGCCGACGGTCTGGAACCTGAGTCGACACATGTGGCTGAGCAGGCCATCGACATCGGGTGCCCTGTGGTTTTGCAAGTGTAAAGAATAGATCGCCGACCCCTGTTACCATCAAAGCTTCCAGATGTCCCCGTCGGCGTGTGCATCTGGGCTTTGCGAACACGTTGAACGTCCTCCTACCCTCATCTTCATTGGCAAACATCAAACGATTGGTGGCACCGTGTTCAGTGGCTGCACACCGCCATGACCCGGATGAAACCAACTAGCTAATCGTGTACAAGCTCTGGCCATCGATGGCGCAAGTGATTCGCTCCATGGCACCTCATCAAGAAACTCGTAGTGGGGGCGAAGTTAAGCTTCGCGGGCTGGTAAATAAGCTTTGCTGACTCAAAGCTTGGAGGGATGAAGATGTGCAACGGGGCGGCGTACAGACGTGTCTCAGTACTCGCCCAGCCGTCGTCCACCGATGTTTTGTGACTGAAGGAATCATGGAAGGTATTCGCGCGTTCGTGGCTCCATGGGCTCTTCGAAAGTGTTTCTCCTTCCCCCCTGTACGCGCAAGCCCGCTAGATGACGTTGAACTTATCGGCTTCCAGCTTGGGTAATCAGCCTCTCTCGCACAATAGGCCCGGATTCGACCGCAGCATCCCCCGGGTATACCTGCATAGGCATAGGTATGCTGTCATACTGCGTCCTGTACAAGATCAATACAAGTTGGTATTCTATTCGTGCTCGGGCGAATTTCGACGTCCCTTCTTCTCGTATTTACAATAATGCCCCCTTCCGGCATCAGCTATCCAGCTCATTGATCTCCATTTGAATCCGCATAGCCTCTTGCTCCCAGAAGTCCGCAATCTGTTCAGCACCTCTCCGTCCACCAAACTGAATATCCCCCTGGGCCATATCACCTTCTGCCATGTCCATCAACCGTTGATAACACCCCTTGTTCTTCGGATTGTTGAAATGTTCGTAGGGATTCTCGGGGCGCAGCCACGCTGCACATAGATAACAAAAATGTGACTTGCACTGGAAACATGTCATATGGTTGCAGCCATGCGACTTCTGACACGGGACCGAGCAGGTTGGGCAGGGTGAACAATTCTTCATGATGAAGTTGAGCGACGCCTGGTCCTCCTCGGTGAGCTGGGCGGAATCGCGTGGTTCACACCGTACAAAATCCCCGTGCCATGACGCGAGGCAAATCTGGCAGAATGCCAAGTTGCAGTCCTCGCACACAGCCAAACGATCCATCCCTGTGATGCCTACTCTACGCTTCTCGAATGCGGCTACATCCTGCGACTCCGCCACCTCCGCAACGGGTTCGTCAGCTTCGGAATCCGACTCGTCCATTTCAGATACGTTGGTGATTTTGGGGTATTTTTTGGTCCGCATCGCACCCTGGCACCAGGAGCGGGGACAATAAATGATTGTTGGATCGGCTTCAATCTTTTTCTTCCGCTTGATCTTTGCGTAACGATCTACATTGTCGATAGATATTGGAATCTGAAGCAGCTCCTTGGGTGAGATCAAGCGATCTTTCTTCTTGCTCGAGCCATGCGCAGACTGACCACAGTCGACCGACATACACTTGACGTTGTTGACGTCGCCCTCCTTGATGCAGTTGTTGTAATAATCCTGCAGACAAGCTATGCAAAATACGTGGTTGCAGCGCTGCATGCGGTAACAGACAGACCCCTTCTTCGGTTCCAGACACACCTCGCATTCAAAGGTTTCCTTGTCGAAAAGCTCACGCTTGGTCCGTATGCTGTAAGCCAGTAGATCAGGTTTTAGATCGGAGGGTAGGGTAAGCTCCGACAGGCCGAAAGTCGTCTCCGCCGCCTCTTGGAGATGGCTGATGTAGGTAAACAGCTGGCCTCCGCCGTACTCTTCCCACAACAGTAGCGCCTGATTTGCCAGCTTGGCTGTTACATCAGGCGGCAACCACGACGGAACGGTAGAGACGGTCACGGATGGCGGGGCTTCGGGATATCCAACAGGTAGTGTAATATGCAGATGCAATGGGGGCAGGTACGCAAGTCGTTCGACCACCTGCTCAAAAGTGACAGGAAGAGGAGTGCTCGGCTTGACCATAAGTTCCATATGTGCAGCGAATGGATTTCCCGGGTCGATCTCAAGTTCAGGATAGATTGCTTGGAGGACGGCCCACTCTTCGGCACGCTCCTCAGATTCCTGGTGCGCCATGGTGAAAATGCAATAGCAGACTGCGAATGGGGACCAGAGGTGTTGTGGGTATCGAATAGCCCACGGGTAGAGTATCTGGGTTGGGAGGCGAAACCTATCGGTCGAAATATACCGGAAGCTGGGGTGAGAGGCAAACGGACGTGATAGGCGTGCTGTGATGGTTCCAACCAGTGAAAGGATGTCTGAGACGCTGCATTATGAGTCACGGCATCGCCTTGGATATGTTCTCATTGCCAGGACAGAAACGCAAGTCCCATGCCTGATCTGCATCACTACGGCTGCCTATCATACAGGCGTACAGCTGCGGGAGACTAAGTAATATCATCACTTTGGCCGTTGCCATGATGACATAATCACATCTTGCCCAGCCGCATCGTCATCGTCGTCCGGGTTCTTGCTGAAAGGCAACTCCAACCCATCTCTCCTCACTCCACTGCCAACATGGACGGCCCGCCGCTTGCGTCGCTCTCCTTGACCCATGTTCATTATGTGAGCTCGCCTGGCTCAATTCCTTCGCCTCAATACCATTTGCTCACCCCCGTACCTAGAACCCCGCCGATCGCTTCTCGTATCTGTGTGCATGGCTAGCCCTCGTCCCCCAGGGCCTTTGCGTCATATACGCAACTCTGATATGGTCCAACCGCGAGATTGAGATTATGCTCATGTTTGCGGGCCAAATGGCTTGTGAAGCGTTGAATTGGTGTTTGAAGCGGTACATCAAGGAGGAGCGGCCACGCGGTAAACAAAAAAAATCAAGTAGCCAACGATTGAGGATATCAAGAATGCTAAACCAGGCGCAGAAATGCACGGCAAAGGCTACGGCATGCCTTCCTCGCACGCCCAATTCGTGTCCTTTTTCTCCCTAACACTCGCCCTTTTTCTCCTCTTCCGCCACGTGCCACACCCCACCGAAACGCACACCCCTTTCAGCTTCGTCCAGCGCTTTTTCCTATCCATCGCTGCGCTCGTCTCCGCTGCCGCTGTGGCCTTCAGCAGAATCTATCTCAGCTACCACACCCCGAAACAGGTCCTCGTCGGCTGTGTCGCCGGCGCCGTCTTTGCACTCCTCTGGTTCGGCTTCACGACCTACCTTCGGAGAGCTGGATGGGTAGAGTGGGGGCTCGAGACATGGCTGGCACGTGTTTTCAGAGTGAGAGATCTGGTTGTACAGGAAGACCTTGTCGATTCGGGGTGGGCTAGGTGGGTGGAAAGAAGGAGGGGAGCCCGAGACTTCCGGACGCAAAGCAGCAAGAAATCAAGATGACGTCTTCGTTGATTTCAACCACCAGTGTGGAAGTTTGATAGAATCAGAGGTCGATTGGCTTATTTGAACTCTCGATATCGGGTGCAGTACAAAATAGAGGGTCTAGTCTGCTATTTATAGACTGGGGAAGGCCATCGATGATCACTAAAACATTCCAATCCTAGGATGGAGCGTTCACCATAGTAACGCCGGACTCCTAAATTAGTTACTCTTCTTCCAAGTATATATGTACATATTCCAAATCGAGGAGTTTGGGAACCAAATCAAGACGTTTGGCCGAACTGGCTGCATCTATTCTCTGCAGGCAGGTACTTGTCTCTATCATCAGAGGAAGATGAGAGGAGAAGAGGATCAGGCCTTTGAACTCAGCATTTGAATAGTCCTGTACAAAGAACTGTGGCTGCTGGGCATAATTACCTGCATACATATGTACCTAGGTAGGTATATCATTGATTCACTGGTTCCCCCGCCCGCACCTCCCCTGCTTGCGAGCACAAATGGTCATGTACATGCTCATTGTTGTTCGTGGTCTCGTTTGCTTGTCTTAACCATTTTCGTTGTTAAACATTACGAATAGTCGTCATTTTTTCTATATATATACTTGTATGAATTGGGACATGAAAATTGAACTGTGAAACCTGCTAGAACGCCTCCGAGGGAAAAGTGCATGAGCAGTAAAAAGAAAGTTGCGTCAGGGGCTCGGTACAATCATATCGCCCGCAGTACCCTTACCTTTCCTAGATGAAGTACCATCAACGAAGAGGGCGGCAAAGGCCCCAACACAAAACGCCGGGATACATAGACGCAAGCTTACAAGGCGCGAAAACAGGTCACGCTTACTATCAAGACACACAAAGCACCTCATTGCGAAGATTAAGCCGTGCTCACCAGCCCTTCCGCAGACCCCTCGGCATCGACACCCTTCTCATATTTCTGGAAAAGCGCCGTATCGGTATACTTCATATCCTCAAACACGTCAATCTTGGTACTGCTAAATTTGCGCGCTGAGACCCCCTTCTCAAACAGCAGATCCAACTCGGCAAAAGTACGTCCTTTGGGTTCAGGAAGGCGGAAATAGGTATACACGATGCAAAAAAAGCAGATGCCTGCCCAAAAGAAACCCGTATAGTTTTTCCAGTTGAGTTCGCCGGGATTAAGCATGTAAGGCGTGACGATGTTGCAGACGATGCCGACAATGTTGTAGAGATTACGGCCGAGGACGACGGTTTTGATTTGTAGTCTGCGGGTTGAAAGCTCGGCAACGAGCGAGTAGCACACGGTGCCGACGGTGAGCTGGTAGAACATGGCCCAAACAATCATCATGCAGCCAGTTGCCATGGCGCCGTCGGCACGATTTGATTCGGGGACGAGGCCTAGAAATCCCATGATGAAGAGCATAGTGCAGAGACCGCAAAGACCGCCAACGTAGAGTGTGCGGCGCCCTAGTCCAGCTTTCATGAGCCACCACGACCCAATTACACCGGCCATGTTGATGCCGTATTGGCCGAGAGCAAAGTCGTACGAGGTGGATGGTGGGAGACCGGCCTGTTGGAGAAAGTACGAGGAGTAGCCCGAAAAAGCATTGCCACTGAGATTCTGGATTGCCCAAGCCATGCAGACGATTTCGGTACGACGGAGGTCGGTGCCCTTGAAACAATCGAAATAGCTGGCTCCACGGGTGATTTTCTCCTCGAGAGATGTTGTGTGAACCATCATGGCAATGGTTTCATCGGCATTGAAGTCGGTTTCGCGGTTGAGGCTGGTTAAGCGGAGGAGAGATTTCTTTGCATCGTCCAGACGTCCCTTACGAACGAGCCACCAGGGCGACTCAGGGGCGAGGAAGACACCAATCATCAGGGGAATTGGCCACATCCATTGGAGAGCGTAGGGAATGCGGTAGGACCATTCGTCTTCGCGAGAAAGCATGGCGCGGATGACGCCGATTCCAATTGTCTGGCCGAGGCCCCAGCAGAAGTTGACATAGGTTGTAAGATATCCACGCAATGCCACGGGACAGACCTCGGAAGCATAGGTGATAGTCAGGGTCTGGAAGACGCCCCAAGGCACACCGCAGAGGATCTCGGCAACCAGCAGATGCTCGACCGTCTGAGCGGTGAAGAAGATGGCGGTAAAGGCGATGATGAGGGTCAAACAGGCAATGACGGTGTATCTGTAGCCAAACCTCTCGCTCACCCATCCGTTGATCATCAGGCCGATGATCTCGCCGACGGTGACACCGTTGGACAATCCAGACTGCCAGGCGGCCGAGATCTCGTAGGAGCCATCGGGGAGCTGAGAACCGTACTTTTTCTTGAACTGGGGGAAGCCGAAGAAGTTGGACAGCAAGCACACATCGTAGCCTTCCATGGCAATGCATGTGCTGATGAGGACCGACCATCCTATGGCCTTGGGGTAGAGTCTCAAGCCTTGCATCAGGGTCATGGTATGCTCCTTGTCGGTAGCGAGGCGGGCATCGTTGATGACTTTGGCACTGGCCTTGTTAACCTCGAAGGGGTGCTCGCCAGGTGCGGTGCCATGACCACGACCGGAACCGTCGACAGGCTGAATCTCCTTCTCCGCCATGGTGGATGGGACGGAGGAGCGGTGGGTCTCTCTATCCGGGAATCTGGGGGAGAGTGGGAGGGGTGCTGGAAACCTGGCAGAGCGAGCGGGCAAAGAGCATGGTGAAGCGTCAATGGCGCCAGCGCAGGCAAAAGGTTTTAAGGCTTCAGGATTTTTTGCGGGGAAAGCGGTGTGGCGGGGTCCCTGGCCACATGTGGTTGTTAGTTCGTGATCCCGTGCCGTGGGCCATGGTGGAGTTTGGAAATTTCCTCGGCTGATCGATCCTTCTTGCGCTGTACGCTTGGTGCAGGCAGTCGCGGTCCAGCTAGCGGTGGTCCTGCAGGTAGGTGCACCTGCTGCCCTCGCCCGCCCACCTTCCCGCTTCGGGCTAGCGGTCGCCGTTGCTCTTGCCCGGCCATCCATCTCGAGTACGTACCGAGGGCTCGGCACGGCATAACGCGAACCGCTGCCTGCATTCTTTCCGTTTCTGGTATTTTTTTTTCTTTTTGCTTTTGCTTTTGTGCGTAGGATGCTGCATCATCTCGCTAACCATCCTGCTGTGCGTACATTCATCCGCCGTGTGGTTGTTGTACTGATCCATGTACATAGGGCATCTCAAAGGCTTCTTTCTAGGCGCTCTAACATGGCGCCAACAGCATCCTAATGCCATGTTAGCGGCTGCGTTGCCCCTGAAGCTAAAGAGCAAGGTCGGATCCCAACTTCTACTAGTCACTCTGAATGTCCATGTGCCATAACAGAGCGTGGGCATCGGCAAGCTTCGAGACGAGGCCATCATCTCTCGAGTACATGCCGTGTACGAATGGTGAGAGTACATGCAATCGAGTCAAGTACACACCACTGTACACTTGGGACAATGCATTCCCACCAAGTTGATTGCTCAGGGTGACTTTGAACGGGCCCATGTGTGAGAGACTATCCTTCATCTATACCGCCGGATTCTATTGCATCAATTCTACTCAACATACATGTACATGGCGTGGTCTATGTCGGCCTGACTGGGTGTGACCCCAACTTCATCACATGCCCTTCTCCACGTCGGCACCTCTCCCACGTACGGCAACACCCACCCCCTCGTTCCCCACACCCTTAACCTCATTCTTCCGTAGTCTGCCTTCGTCTCCAGCATGACCCTGCGTCCCGATCTTCAAGAACGGCACAAGAATTACACCAATCACAGTCACCCCGGTTGCGAGCCACCAGACCGCCGCATACGGCTCCACCGCGTTGTGCGCGTAGTAACCAGACGCCGTCGGATTGCGTTGCACCGAGTCGAAGATGGCCGTCCCAATCCCATACCCAACAGCGGAACACAGACGAGTGATGGTTTGAATGAGCGAGCCTGCAATCGACTGCTTGTTCGGTGGCATGGACGAGAGCACGTACATCTAATCTCCATTAGCTGAATTTTCTCCGCTAAAACATCATTCTGGCATGGGTAGTGGGCTACTCACGTTGGCGACAATGAACTCAAAGTCCGCACCTACAACGCACAAACACAGTGCAGGGAAGCTGAACGCCCAATAACTATCTCCATTTCTTTGCACAGCTGCCAGCATGAAGGCCACCACATAAGCCGCAGCACCGATGCCTACCAGCAACTTGTTGGAAACTCTGTGCTGGATGAGCGCAGCCACAAGATTGGCGAGAAAGCCGCAGATAGCCATAGGCAGCATGTAGACGCCCGTCATCAAAGCTGAGAGCTCGAGCACCCGCTGGAAGTAGAGAGCTATCCAGAAGGAAAATATAGGGAAGCCAACGAAGCCGACTGATATGAGCGCCAGTAACTACAGAACGAAATTAGCACTGCATCGTTTGCGTCGAGACCAATCATGCTTACAATGGAGAAGTCTCGATCCTTCCAGATATTCATATCAATCAACGAGTACGGGTATTTGATCTCCCAGACGATGAATGATGCAATGAGTACGAGGCCCAGGATTAACAGAACAAGAACGTAAGGCGTCCTCCAGCCATTTGGTGCGTCGGCCCCAAGACTAAACGATTGTTAGCAACTGAGCTGCCGACGTCTAGGCGTAGAGGAAAAAGCTTACGAAAGGGAGGCACAGAAGCATCCTATCCCAACAATCGTCATACTCGTCCCAACTAGATCCAACCTCTTCACCGTCTCCCCATCAAATTTCACCTTCTCCGTGCGATCACTGGGGACAGTAAACGCCGCCACTAGGCTCACCACCAAATACACAATAGCTAACAATCGATAACTGGCGCGCCAATTGAACAGTTGGGTAGCCAGTCCACAGAAAATACACCCAAAGACGAAGCCCAGAGGGTTTCCGGCACTGAAGCACCCAAAGGCCTTGTTCTTCCGCTTCGAAGGTTTGGGATAGACGGTGCCCAGTATACCTTGTGCTGGGGGCACGACGGAGGCGCTGAAGATGCCGAGAACGCCATTCATGATGTCGAGCGTGATGCCGTTGCGCGAGAAGCTGGCGCCCAAACAGAAGACGGCGAAGAGAAACATGGACATGACGAACATGCTTTTGCGACCAAAGACGTCGGCGATGCTTCCGAAGAAGAGAAGGAGTGCTCCTGCTGATAGTCTGCAATAGACTGAATCAGCCGTTTTGTTTTTCTCTTTTGTTCTCCAACATTTCCTTTCCCGCTACTCCATTCAGGCTCTAGAAGTTGATGACTTACGATGTTGATGCAGCCATCCAAGTGATTTCAGCATTTGTCTGTGATTGGTTCTGAATTAGTCCGGAGTAAAGTGATGAGTGGGCTATTTGTTCTGCAATCGCCTTACCATGTTCAACTCCCTCGCAGCAAAACTCGACATGACGGTCACTCCGCCCGTGAGGAACGAGGTCATGGCGACCGCCAGCGTACACGAGAGTAGACACAGACATTCCTGCAGGGTGGATGTGAAGACGTCGGGTCTGGCATTTGGATCGCTGAAAGTTGGTGGCGTCGTGCTGCCCGTCTCCGATTGGGCCTCCGCCGCTACCGCGTCCCTGCCCATTGTATGCTCGCGTGCAATCAATTGACGGTGATGCTGCTGAATGGTATTCTACTCGGGGTTTACAACAGAAACAAAGGACGTCGGAATACCAATTCAATCAGTCATGACGAGAGAATCATCGGCTGCGGCGGCAAATTCGGTGCGGATAAAGGCATTTTGAACAAGCATGCGTGGAATGGATTCCGCGTCCATGTACCTAATCAGATGATTTGCAATCTTGCTCCACCACATGCTCTTCACTTAAGCGAGACTTGCTTATCAGATCAACCATTGGTAATAAACATTGAACGCTCCAGCCTTCCAGCCTTCGTATATACAGCACAGTCTATGTTACAAATATACATCTACATGATCAACTAATACACGCCAGAGTCACCTACAGCTTAATCACTCTCCAGCCGTTGAGATCCATTTGGCCCAGCACCCCACCCAACGGACCCTGCACTTCGCGACCCCCGGTCCACACCTTCTTACCCGCCCAGTACTCGATAAATCCTTCGGGACCCGACACCAAGATGATCTTAGAGCCGCCTTCATTCTTATTTTGAGCTTGTAGACGGGTCGCCACATCACTGGCCTTGATGAATGTCTTATCCTCGTCAACATAGTATTGCACTTCAAGGCCGTTGGAGCGTGCTTTGCTCTGCGTTTTTAACGCTTCAAGCTCCTGCACAATGACACCTTTTTCGCTCCGACTAGTTTCGTGAGCAATGGCACCAGCAGGCATTTGCGCGGGACTCTGTCCCATGAGACCGAACAGATTCTTCCATCCTCGAGAGTTGTTCTGAACATCTCCGGTGGGCACAACATCGCCGACTCCGCCGACGCACTCCTCCCTACGCCTATTAGCCCACAGCACACTCATTCTGGTGCCAGCTGCCTGCCCAAGAGCCTGCGCGACCTGCATCGCCGGCGCAATCCCCGTGCCTCCAGCTAGGAAAATGACTTCCTTGACATCCTGCGGCAGCTCGCACTCTACATGGGGGCCTCTGAGTTCGATGGTGGACAGGTCCGGCAATCGATGTAGATACGTCGAGACCTCTCCACCCTGCTCCTGCCGTATAAGTAGCCTTATATCATCGACATCGTCCCCATCTTCGCCATGTGTTTCCGGCTTCGGGGGGAGAGGTGTATACGCTCTCGCGATTTGCAACTGTGGCTGCTTGACTTGTAGACTCCATACGCCGCGCTTCCACACCTCGCTGATGCTCTCCGGGCTCGCAGCGTCCTCGCTGTGGCGTAACGTGAAGACGGAGCTTGTAGACGAGACGCGCTGTTTATCGATAAGTGTGTAGGGTGTGAAGTCGTGGGGATTCAGCGACGACGAAGGCTTGAGCCACCGGTAGGCAGCGCCACCAAAGGCAGATGTGCCGAAGATAAGGGCGACAACGGGTCCTCTGCGGAACAGTCGGGGTGGCATTCTCAAAGGTTGCGCGGGAGAGGCGCGAACCGCCCGTGGAGGATACAAAGATTGGGTACAAGTCTATGAAACCGAAGCGTCGAATCTTCGTGGCGGATTTGCTGTGGTCCGAGCTCTACCAGCTAATTGCCTATTTGGGTTATGCACTCAATTGACCGACTTTAACCAAAATCGACAGCGAAGGTTCTCACGAGTATGTTCATAATTTAGTTGGCTAAACAATCACAGGCTTCTGTGCTGGCCTTGAGAAATATGCTTGATCAAGTTGACCGGGTTTTCACTCGCTAATTAAGACAGCAGACCAAACCCAGATTACCGCCCAGAACCTGCGACAAGACCCTCACAAATATTCTGATGAATTGGAAGCTCCGGAAGACCATAATGATTGCCTTGAGAACAATGATGCGTGTCTTCTGGGGGGTTTGCTTCCCCTATCATCTAAGCTTTCATCTTGTTGCGAACTCTTCCCCCAATTTGTCCGTCTACGACAATACCACTGCATAACGTTAGTAATCACGATCATGGACAACGAATAGAAGACATACCGTGTCGTTGCAGCAGGTGTTTTTTGAGACATTTTCGTGCTTGATGCTCGCATACAACTCCCAGCCCTCTGCATGTAACGCACAAAGCAGACGTGAAAGTATGTATCCAGCATGCTTCTCTTTTGCCCACGGCTCCTAGTTGAGGGTCATCTTTCGCACGGTTATCCGCGTTTCATGCAAGGCGATATTGTAAACCCAGGCTCTGATTTTGGCTGCCACGTGATTATAGACTGTAGGAGGGGCTGCCTATACGTTAATACTCATACATCCGTGTTTAACCTGATATGGAAGGACATTGCTCACAATCCATAAAATAAATTCCATTCGTATGGGAAAACACCACGGCTGCCCAATCGTATCTTTCAACCTGTTCTTGATATCGAAACACTAACGTGTCCTTGGCATCGTTGAGATTGGCAGCGGCCGTGAATACCCATCCATACGCATATAACACCCGGAGTAACTCGCGCACGAATATCTTTGACTGGAGATAACTTTCTTCTTCATCCAGCGAAAAGGGTTTCCCAGAGAACATAACTTGGTAGAGGTCGTCATTCTTGTACCTCTGGTCTTCATGTATTCCCTTGGGCCAATATCTGGCGACAGCTTGCCATATGCTGGGTGTTAATGTAACTGGGAAATCATAAAATCGTAGGAGGTTTTCTCCTACGAAAGACAGAGATGCGAAACCGGGCGCATGAGTGACTGGTGGGAGTTGAAGGTTGGACGGGGGAGGAGTTCTAGATCTTGTATAAGGCTCATCTGGGGGTCCGGAAGACATGATGGGCGTTTCTGAATGAAAAGCTGTTGGTGACTGCCGGTAGGTTAGGAATACTATACGTGATGGCTGATAGCCAACACTGCACTCACAAGCTTTCTGTGCGTGCGAAGGTGAGAAATATTGTCCTGGTGTAAACTGAAAATGGATGAGTGATGATAGATAGTGAGGTGCTTCCCGGCCCAAGATTTCAAGGCATAGTTCCATTGTGAAGGAAGGAGCCGCCTCGCTTCCAAGTTTGCACTTGGAAGTGACACTCGCAACGCACCTCAGTGACATCACATTGCGAAATAATCATCGAAAACTGCAGTGCCTGGGCTCTGGTTCTTTCGTCGTGAGTGGCATACATATATAGTTGCGTCTCGCGAACATCTCACGACACCAAATTTGTAGTTACACTTTTCGACTAAATATATTCCCTGGTGGAATTTATTCATAGAAGCGCAGAATCTCACATGGTCTGGTATAGGATGACTGGCACGCGATCAACTTAGGGCGTGAGTCGAGCCAGTAGGTCGACAGACAATTGCAAACTGGTACCCGTGGGACTCGCCATGGTCCTCGAGTGTTATTGAAACCACCACAACTCTCACGGTTAATTCATAGATCCCGGGATTGATACATCGACTTCGGTGACTGCAAACACCATGTATCTGAATAGTAATGATTGCATGAATCTAATCCGCGGAATTATTAATCGACTAAGCTGCTTGCTTTATGTCTCAACGATAGACAAATTCTAAGCACTATTTGAACGTGATGATGAGCACCGTCTACGCAAGCATAATTAACTTGTGATCTGGTCTCCACTCCTGTCTTCCGGAAAGCGCTAAACTATAGAGCGTCGCATGAAATGAAAACAAAGCGTGAGTGAGGAATAGGGCGAACTTGAACGAGATATCAAGATAAAGCGTTGGGGTGGTGCACGACGAATTGTGGGTGAGTAGATTGGAATGCACGAGAGATGATTGGGTATCCTGTTGTTCCATGATGTGCTATGCGACTGCTGTTTTGGAACACTTGAATGTCCGAGAGCCACGGGAACAGAAAGAACACAGATCAAGATTACGAGCAAATGTGTAGATAATAGAAGACGATTACTTGATCGTGAAAGTCACAACTCTTCGGAAGCACATCAATCAAGCGAGGAAGGAAGACGAAGCGTGACTTAGTTCAACCATCAGAACTGCTCATCCATCCAATCGCCTTATTTCGAGAATTGGAGTGTAGCCTTGAAAATAGAGGATAACCTCAGCATCTATTGGTCAAATTGAAAACCTTCTCCATAGTTTTATGACTTGTTCATCTAGTTCAACACCAAAAAAAGTACGAGGAACAGAACAAATGACGGTTTGTAGATTTCAAACCAACAAGTTTGCATTCGATCGCAAGGGTGACTGTGATTATTACTCAACGTACAACCAAAAATCATCAACCACTAAGATCTAGTACGCTTTGTATTTTAATCGTGGGAGTAGTTTCTCCAATGTCGGTAGTCTATTTAATTGTGACCATGGAAAGAAATTCACTCAGTTTCAGTATTTAACTCCCCTGTATTTCTTTACTGGTGGCTACATATATAAGGGTGTCGCATTAGCAAAGTAAATCATCACCAAACTACCAACCTACTTGATCAGGGCTTTCTTTCGCCGCGAGGTAAATCTCTTTTCAGGGTAAAAGCAGAATCAAACATCACCAAAACAATAACCGATCAGAATATCTCCACTTCCGATCATCACCCCACAGACAAATCACAATGGGTAATTTTTTGGTCCGTCTCTCTGAATCCCCAAGAGATTCAAATGCACTGCAAAGCGTTTTATCTCACCCTGGAAACAATTCGATCACATGGAACACGACTGCCACTTTCCCCAATGTCACCTCTACGTCCCCGATCAGATGGGCACACGACCCCACGAGCATTACAATAACCACCACCACTGCCGTCCCCACCCCGAACTCTACCCTCTCTGCTCGGTCATGCAATCTCCGAAACTGTTCGGATTCCCAAGCTTCATACGAGATGAGTCTCCGCGGGGACGTCTTCGGCGTGAACCCATTTTTGTACGCCGACAAATCCTTCTTGCATATCAACTCCTCGCACTTACCGGAACCGAGAAACACCTACTTCGATGCCCTCTCTCACAATATCACGGTGGACCCCTGCAAGAAGACCAACGATGCTTTAGCAGTCCTTTGGGATATTTACCACCAGAAAACAAACGTTCCCGAGAGTTTACGCAAAACGATGGTCACGTTTTTCCAGTGGTTAAATAAGCATGATCCGTATGTGTTGGGTTGCATGACCCACGTCGATGAATCACGTAAGTTTTGTTTCCTAGTTTTAGATATGATCCTTTTTATTTGGTGTTGTTTTTCTCTCTGACGTCTCCTCGCTCGAAATTTTGATTCTATTCTGTGTTTGCTTGTTCAAAACAAAACTAATGCACTAATCATTTAACCCCATATAGTTATATACCACTACCAAGGGGCATACTTCATGGAACTGGGCTTCTTCCACGCAGCTCACAATCTTGTCGGCAATGCGCTCGCGGAGTGCGACAAGATACCTAGCACAAAGCAGCAGAAAACCGTGACGTGGATTGAAGTCGGAGTGCGAGGCAATTTGCCTGAAGAGGTTGATGGTTTCAAGGACCTGCTGGGGAAGTGCGAGCCGCGTACAGATACACATGTAGACAACGCAGTTCGATGACTAATTAGCCAGTAAGATGGAAAGGGGTTTTAAGAAAGTAACTTCCAATCTAAAAAAACTTAAGAAAGTATGTTGAAGGTCTGTTGAAGGTCTGTTGACTGTTTATCGTGAAACTCGTCGTATACTTCTACTTCTAGATAGGTAAAAATGCCAAATTTACTTTTGTCAACTGTTAATCTTATTTCAAAGACACTCAGTAATATTCGTTACTGCCAAAAAAAAGAGAACGGGTAAGTCTTGCATCAACTTCCAAGTTATGTTTTTTGGTTATCGCCAGTTGTTTGGTCCTTTTATCCTTGTACCTGTCGCTGTGTGCAGGATCACCCAAACTCCAACTTCGAATTTATTTATTCGAGTTACATAAAAGTTGGGAGAACAGTGCATGGCCACCTACACTGTATATCTAGATTCATTTTTAGAAAAGGTATTTGTCATTTGGCAAAGATGGCAACGCAGTTTGAACACGACTGATTGATTTGCTTTTTTCCAATAACAGACTCAGAAACGCCGCTCATATGCTCGACTTTACAAGGGTATACAAAAACTACAAAAAATCACCTTATTTACAACAGTTGTCGAAGATGAGCGAGATGCAAAAGCCTTATCCTGTTCCACCAATCTCCTTCTTCACCCAGCTCTCTAAACCGCCCAGCGCGATGATCTCTTGTACATTCGGCGGGAGCTCTCCGACCTTGACGCTCCATTTAGGCCCGTTGGGGCCTTCCTGAACATTGACGGTGCTCCTACGAACATCCCACTCGAGAGTCCAGCCCGTACGCCTAGTGAGCTGTTTGGCTTGCGGGGGTTGAGCGACGGCGCCCGGGGGCGGTGAATCGAGAGACTCGCTGTTCTGGGAAGGCTCTTGCATGTTCTGCTGGGATGCAGCCGGAGTGGAAGAGGAGAAAACTTCACGTAAACGGTTCGCTAGCTTGGGGACTTCGACACCCATAAGGGCGTTGTTGATGCTGTTTCTGCTGAAGATGTTGCCGAAGCTGCCTGCGACGACCAGGGGAATGCCCTTGGCGAGAATGGCAGTTGCGGCTTGCTCTCTGCTGCTGCCACAGCCGAAGTTGAAGCCGGATACGAGGATATCCCCTGCTTTGGCTGAGGCACCAAAGGATGGATCGTAGTTCTCCATGCACACTTCAGCCATCTTCTCACGGCTAACATCGTCTTGGTACGTGTATTTGCCGGGGTAAATGCCATCCGTGTTAATGTTGTCTGCATCGCAAAAAACAATCTCACCACCTATTCTCTCGGGGAAACCAGGAAGAATCTCAGTGAGCGACTCTGATCCAGCTGCGGCAGCGGTCTCAGGTTGTTGATCAGCAGCACCTTCGGCGGTTTCGATCTGGGCGTCCGCCTGCTTGATGACTTGTTCTAGCATGTCTTCAATAGTCATCATACGTTCCTCCTCGACTACGCCGTCGCCCTCACCACGACGGACACCGGTGTAGCCTATTGGCTCTTCGTACCATCCGGGGCCAGAGATCTTGCCGGACAGTGCGCTTGCGGCAACCACTTCGGGACTAGCCAGATAAGCTTTCGCATCCGGGGATCCCATGCGGCCCTTGAAGTTACGATTGCTTGCACTGATGCCGACTTCGCCTGGCTCAAGAAGACCAGTGCCCAGTCCAATGCATGGACCACAGCCAGATGGAAGCGGTTGCGCTCCAGCCTCGAGCAGAGTCTGCCAGTCACCGGTCTCCTCAGCGGCGCGCTGTTCAGGGATGGAAGCAGCGGCGATGTAGAAGTTGACATGAGAGGGTATTTTGGGAATTTGCCCGTTATTGTCGGCAGTAGCATCTTTGAAAACCTTGGCTGCTGCTGCTAGGTCAGACGCTCTCGAGTTGGTGCACGAGACTAGGTAAGCCTTGTTGACCTTGATGTCCTGAGCCTGAAGCTCAGGCAATGGCGTGGCGATCTTGACCGAGTTTGGGCCAGAAACATAGGGAGATAGGGTAGAGAGGTCCAGGAAGAGTTCCTTGGCGTAGGTAGCGCCTTTGTCGGCGGCCAACGCAGGTTGGAAGATGTGGCCAGTCTTCTCCCCCACGATGCCGGTAGCGCTGAAGAGCTTATCGATGCGCTCGTGAAGGAATTGCTGCTGGTGGTGATCCTTGTACTCGGCCTGGGCTCCGAACATGGCAGCGTCTGTGGCCCTAGCCCTCAACCAACCGTGCAAGACGGAATCGATTGGGAAAAGACCAGTGAGGGCACCCCATTCCGTAGTCATGTTTGCGATGGTGAGGCGATGATCGATAGGAATACTGCGCAAAGTTTCATCGCTGCCCGTGAACTCGATAGCATGGTTGAGCACCTCGTCGTTGTTGAACAAGCCAGCCAAAGCAACAATCACATCCTTACCGGTGACACCTGCAGGCAGATGGCCCTGAAATGTAACCTTGGCAACAGGTGGGATCTGCCACCAGGTCTTTCCAGTAGCCCAGATACTCGCTGCATCTGTTCGCACGACTGGTGTCCCCAAACATCCAATTCCTCCATACATGTTGGAGTGACTGTCGGAAGCTACTGCCAGCGTACCAGGCCAAGCGTATCCCTCCTCGACCATGATCTGATGGCCAATTCCTCGTCCGGCCGGATAGAAGACGACATCCTGTTTCTTGGCGAACTCCTCGATCTGGTTGTATTTCTTCAGATTCTTCTCCGTCTTGTTCTGGACATCATGATCCAAGGTCATGACGATTTGGTTCGGGTCGTTGATTTTTGTGGCGCCAATGGACATGAACTTGAGGGCAACCGGCCACGAATTGTCGTGGGTCATGCATCGATGGGGCTGGAGGGTGACATAGTCGCCTGCTTTGAGTGTCTTGCCTTCGGCGACACCGACAGCATAGCGCTGCACGATCTTCTCAGTGAGCGTCTGGGGTGTCTTCTTGGTCTGGCTCAGGGTGGAGAGAAAACTGGCAGCAGGTCCCTCTGTGAGAGAATGGAATACATCGGGCGATTGGCTCTCATAGCGCGGCCTTGTGGTGGAGAAGGAGCGGTGTGATGCGATCATGGGACGCGATACTCGGGTTGCCGTTGGGATGCGAAGAGGTAGACGCGTGCGAGTCTTTCCAGAAGACAATCATGTCAGATGTTTGCAGAGTCACAGGAAGGAATTGACCTACCAAAGCCGGCCTGAAGCTCAATTGGCGCATCGACCGCATTGCCATGGACGACATGGTGTCTTGAGAGATTGGGCTCTGCAGGCGTGAATCAATCACTCAATCGATCAATTCCAAGCCGAAACCCAAACAAGTCAACCAACGAAAGCGATGCTGTTTGTCAGAAGCTTGCATGGATGCGTGGATGAGTGGATGGACGGAGGCATCAATTCCACTCTGGGCATGACTAAGCCGACTTTTTTCTGCCGATCTCGCCGCTCGCCGTCATCGGCTCCGTGGCCGGATGGAGTCAACCATTGCTTTTTTCTCTCTTCACGACCACATCCTTCAGTATGTATGTAATCAAGTAGATGGATGGCGAGAGTACGTGCAGGACGACTGCACATTGAATGCACATGACCATTGATATTTGGAATTGTTTCGTGCACGTGCAAAATGTCGCTCGTATATCGACATGAATGAATGAATGAACCCCCACCAAACCCCGCGGCGTGTGGCAGAGAGGTACAGTAGAGCTGCATCCGACGCTGTAATAGCTATGACTCTACGGAAATCAATCAATCCCTTGCAATGATGAGTCTGTTCGACCCAGTCACGCCCACCATTATTTAAGCACATAACTAGCTACGCTTCCTACCGATCGAGCTTCAGTGCTTTTCTTCTCCCACTGCCTCCTCACTCATCGCTCTTTCGTCTTTCGCTATCCTCATCACCACCATCAATCATCATGGTCAACCGCTCAGACGTTCACTACTTTGGTGCCGGCCCAGCGCCTCTTCCCACACCGGTCCTCGAGAAGGCAGCCCAGGTGCTCTTGAACTACAAGGACAAAGGCATTGGCCTGGCCGAGATCTCTCACCGCTCGCCCGAGGCCAACGAGATTCTGGCAGAGGCAAAGCAGGCCCTCACCACCCTGCTTGACATCCCCGACGACTACGAGATCCTCTTCCTTCAAAGTGGAGGTAGCGGCGAATTCAGTGCAACCGTATACAACCTCGTATCCATTTGGGTTGAGAAGAAGCGAGCCAAGATTGCCAGCGAGGTGGGCGATGACGAGGCCGAAGTGCTGAAGCGCCTGCGCAAGGTCGTGGACGAAGAGCTCAAGCTCGACTACCTGGTAACGGGCTCATGGTCGCTCAAGGCTTCGCAAGAGGCTGCGCGTCTGGTCGGTGCTAAACACGTCAACGTGGCTGTGGATGCTCGCAAAGCCAACGGGGGGAAGTTCGGTGTGATCCCTTCCGAAGACCAATGGAACCTCACACCACATACGTCGGGAGGTGGGCCGGCGCTGGCCTACTTCTGCGACAACGAAACAGTCGATGGCGTGGAATTCCCTTCCTTTCCACACAGCCTCGAAGGCGATGATGCCCCACTCGTGTGCGGAGACATGTCCTCCAACTTCATCTCTCGCAAGGTGGACGTTCGGAAGTTCGCCATCATCTTTGGCGGCGCCCAGAAGAACATTGGCAACACGGGCATCGCCATCGTAATCATCCGCAAGTCGCTCCTCCCGCCACACTCGCAGCCTGCATCGCCCGACCTGTTGAGGGCCTTGAATCTCCCCGTGGGCCCTATTGTTTTAGACTACCCCACTATCGCGAAGAACAACTCGCTCTACAATACGCTGCCCATCCTGGATGTGTGGGTTGCAGGGCAGGTCATGACAGGGCTCGTCGACAAGTACGGTGCCCAGCGTATTGGAGGGCAAGAGGACATTTCAAACACAAAGGCCCGGAACATCTATCACGTGCTTGACAAATATGCCGACGTCTACCAGGTCGTCCCGGCCAAAGACGTCCGCAGCAGGATGAACATCTGCTTCAGGGTTCACGGAGGCGATGCGGACAAGGAAAAGGCCTTTTTGGCCGGCGCCGAGAAGAAGGGACTTCTTGGTCTCAAAGGCCATCGTAGCGTGGGCGGCATTCGTGCGAGCAACTGTAAGTCGACCACCTTTGTACCCTATACCTGCGCCTGCCGTGTGCACGCTTGTGCAATCGACGTCACAGAGACCGGTCGGAAGTCGAGCTTTCCAGAGCGGTCCGATCGGACTTGTTGGATTCATTGATTGTCGAGCACAAGTGGAAATCAGCTAACCCGTCTCGTGCCATAGACAATGCAGTATCGCTGGAAGGCGCGCAAAAACTTGTGGCGTACCTAGAAGAATATGCGACTTCTTAATTCAGGACCGTCCAATATGATACGGGCGGCATGAAGACGCCATTGCGATCGGGGGACACCCTACCGGTGATAGCCCTTGGATATATCCCCAGCGGTGGCGCAGATAGTCACGGCCACTGCATCCCGCCGCATGATACCCTTCGTTGCTAGTAGCGATCCTTCAACAGCAGTCTACTTGGTGACCCAATTTCCTATTATCCAAACAAGTACTACGGGCTGGTGAGGCCAGCCCACGACGCTGATGCCAGCGTTTCCAAATCAAAGAGTGTGTGTTTTGCACGAGTGTCTATTTGCGAGGTTACGTATCATTCGCATAAGCGGTTATAACATGGTGAAGCAAGCTCCCGTTGACCTCTGTGGCCAAACACGGCGGCAGGCAACAAGGCTGTTCTCGAAGGTTTCCTGATAGCGAGAGGCATTATTATTATGCCTTGGATGGGAGGTGGCCGGCTGGCTGGCCGGGCCTTTGTAGATCCAATCTCCACAGGGCTCGCAACGTGTGAAGCATGCAAAGGTGCGAACCCTGCACCCATAATGGTTCTGCCAGTATGTCCGCTGCGCTTTAGCATATGCACTACGGGATCAAGTGTTGCAACAGTTGGTTGGTGTTGAAGAGTTGGGGTGCTTGCACGATGTGATTTGCTGGTAGCTGACATTGAAGTACTTCAAAGGTACATAGCTACCTGGTGGTCAGTCAATCTGCCAGTGCTGTAGGCATGCGCACGCGAGTATCTTTTTTGCTTTGGCGATATTTTTGTCTTGACGGTTTCAGTCGATGTGATTGAGATTGCATATGGCCATGTTCTATACTATATATATACACACATCCAAGTACACGCAAACGCTCGCGCTCAGTAGGGGAAGGGGGAAGGAAACAAGCCGCCGAATTGGAAGGGCTAAAAGGGAGGTTGCGTGATGGCGAGCGGCTGATCATGCCCCCCCCCCTCTCTCTCTCCAGCCGGCGAGAACTGTTGATGAACCACTGAAGCTGGAGAGGCTCTGACGGCCCTTGCGCCCATCACCAGGTGGCAGCCGAGGGAAGCTGTAGCGCAGCCAATGGGCGTCGGCCTCGGCGTCCTATCGAGGGCCCGAGCGCGCATTGACGTGCAACGTCTCAGACATCCCTGAAGCGAGCAACGTGCAACACACTCGATGCTAGCAACGTCACAACCTCACCCCATCCCTCTCAACCCTCATTCCTCATCCACCACCACCACCCAGCCGTTGGACCTCGCCAGCCGCCCTCCTGCCTGTCGTCTGTCTGACTGCGCTGCCAAAGAGCAGCCTGCCACACACGAAACCCTCCATGTCTTCAGGGCAAGCGCTCAACGTTGGGTTTCGCCCCATATGCTGCTTCTTTTCTGCTGTTGTTCTGCGTTGTCGACATGGTGGGTACAGTGGATACATCATGATCAATCCAAATGCTCACAGTGTATGCATGCTATTAACCCAAAAGTGACCTACCTGCGCAAGTGCTTGGTATATACATACATATACATCTCTATACACGCCTAGGCATATGGAGACGCAATGCCCTGGCTCCGCTGCAACAGTTGCCTCGGTGGCTTCATGTCCAAGTCAGGAACAGCAAGCAGTAGCCAGTGCGCATACGGCCTCCCTCCCCACAAAATGCTTATAGCAGCTACAGGCCTACATTCGGCTCGTATCAGGGCGGGTCCCAGTGCTTCCGTGGCCCAGGATTCCCGGGGTGCTGGAGGCGTGCATGATTTTGAAACTCCAATTTTCCCTAGTCGTCAATATCGCACCTTGATATGACCGGAATAGTATGGGCGCCAATGCTCCAACACTGCCTGTCGGGATCATAGACGCCTCAGGACCGCTGTCTCGAAACCCCACGCTACCAGGTATTCTTACAAATGTCTTCATATACTGTTTGATGTCTGATGTTTTCGCCTCCTGGCTCCACGCTTGCTTCCTCGCGCCGGTCACCTCACACTCTTTTTTTCTCTTCTCTTCCACTCTGCTGGCAGGTTTGGGCTTCGACTCTTTTGGACGGGCAGGTTACACTCTCTTGTTCAATTCTAGTCGATTTGCATCCATGAATACGTAAACTTTTTTTCCCTTTCTCCACCCGCTGCTGGTTACCAGCGAATCTTCCTATTTTCTTGTTCATTTCTTGTGCGGGACCTGGCAAAATGGAAAGATGGGCACCGCACCACCCTCAGCTCGACACTAGGTCGCATTTCAACATGACGCTCAACACCACGGCAGCCAACACAAACACCTCGTGGATGTCCAACAGCAGCACGCGATCCATCATCGCTAGCCTCCAGCTCGCCCAAGTCCAGACCCTGCGAACCATGCATATGACCTTGGGCGCCTTCAGTCTGGCCATGTTGATGTTGACTGTCTTGCGTATCGTGTCGGATGCGAAGAGAGCGGCCGCGTTGGCGACTCCTCTGAGAAAACGGTCAGTACTGCAACATCTGGTTTGCCTACAAGCTGGTGGCTAACGGCCCATAGTCGATTCAGCGCCCTCTCCAACGTCCATCCCGCTGAGACATTCCCACTCGTACTGGCTTGCGGGGCGGTTATACAGCAGATTTTCTTTGTATCAGTGCAGAGCACTGCCCTTAGTAGTGTTTTATCAAACAACTGTCGAGGATTGGCCATGATCACTTTCCCCGGTAGGTTAACGTTGCCATTCCCACATCTTTCCAAGCTAACACAGCTAGCAATCTTTCTCATGGGCTACATCACCCTCGTCTTTGGAATCGAAATGACCGTCAGAGCCTTTGGCTATGATAGGTTCGCCCCCCGCGGCAAATGGAACTCAACCATTTGCGTTGCCATCGTAGCAGGCCTGGAACTCGTTACCTGGATGCCCACCGTTGCCTGGCCTGCGCCCAATGTTTGCTTTGGAGGTCTGATCTGGTTCCCAGTCAAATACGAGGTCATTGCGATGGGCATCCTCATCGCCATGGTCTCACTCCTTCTGATTTTGGCTGCCATGATCAGCATTCAATTGATGCGAACGGCAAACGTGGACCCCAACGAGCGCATTGCAGCCTCGAGAATGTGCTACTTCATGCTGATGGCTGCAGTGGTTTATGTAAGACGATTCATGCATTGCTCGTATGCGCTTGCTGACCCTAGGAACAGATATTGGTGATCCCCGTCGAGGTGCAAGCTCACCGCAAGGACTTCATGAACACTCTGACCAGCTCGCGAGTCGCCGAAATCGCCCTCTTTACTTCGGGAATGGTTATCACCTTCTTCCATCTGTTCCTCCGCGTGAACGCAACTCGATTGATGATCCAGCCCGTCAACGAATCCAAAACCGTACCTAAGCAGAACCGCCCCAAGATTCGATTATTTGGCCCTAGCGATTTGGAGATGAACATCAGCGGACCCATTGGTCTACAAGGCGGTCGTCGCCCCGAGAGCCGCCAAGGACTCATCGATGTCGGTCCCGAAAAGAACCGCTTCGACTTCGATCCCGAATACTTTGTACGCCCCGACCGCCCCCTCACTCCTGCCTCAGTCAACTCCAATCTTCCTGTCGACCCCACCAAGTGGCCTCTGCCCCCAGACCCGGTACAGACTAGCTACGCGCAGCAGAAGGAAGGCCTCCATAGGCGCAGCAAATCCAACTACTCCTTGTTCCCTACCCGGGCCGAAGACGTTCCCCGTCTCCCAGCCACCGTCTACTCTCCCGACAAGCCCACTCCCAGCAAATCTCCATTCTCCAGCCTTGCCATCCGGCGTCAAAACCGCCGAAGCTCTCTTGGAGATACTAAATCAGTGACTGACGTTAACGAAGCGTTTGGTTTCCTTGCGAAACCTGCTCCGCTTTTTGCTGGACGACACAACCGCGGAGACAGCACTGCGAGCAGCGCGACTGTGGAGATTGGTCTTCGGTTCTCTGTCGCACCGGCTACACTTGCAGCAGCCAAGTACACCAAAGCAGAGCGTCCAGGGGAATCATCCAGTCTTCGTCAGCCTCTTGGTCAGGAAGGGAGCAACTCTCCTGTCCGGTCCCCCACCACACGCATATCACCCGCGAAGGACGCCGCTCTGGAGAAGAAGCTCAACTCGTATGAGTTTCCAAACCCGTCTCCAGCCCATGCAAGCCCTGTCCGAGAACACATTTTCCCGGTGCTCTCCCCCGCTACGTACCTCCAGGATCAGCGTGAAAAGATCCTTCCACCAACACCCCCAGTTGCAGCAGCAACAGCAACAGCAACAGCACCTCAGCCAGTCGCTACTACAAGCGGACTGAGAATGAATCCCATAACTCCTACAAGTCCGCCTATAAAGTCACCATCACCGACCAGTTCCGGCCGAAGCTCGCCCATGTCCAGCAGATCAAGGTCCCCGACAGCACCATCGCCCACTGCTCGGATACCCCTTGGTGCCGGCACTATGGCGCGCAGCCCGCAGCAGAACGGCTGGATATGAGACGTCGGCACTATCTACTTTGTCGCTAATGGGAGGCTCGAATGCGGTGCTTCGCAGCGAATACGGGTGATTCACAGCCCCTTGTACTATTACTTTTAGCGTCTGGAATTCCATCGGATTTTTGCGGCACTTTCTGCACTGGTTGTCACAAACACGCGGGAAGATCGGGTTGTGCTTACGGCGTTCTAAGGTTGTTTCGTATCTCTTTCAGAAGAACCCCTGCTTACGCTGTTACCCGTACCCTTGCACGCACCCTCAACAGCCATCATCACTTTTCCTATCGTATCCTTTACGCTCCCTGCTTCCCCATCCCCGTTTGTTCTTATACAACCCTCCCGTTGCCCCCATCTTTATTTTTCTTATCTCTCTTTATTATTCTTTACGTTTTTATGTCCCCATGCATCCGTCTTCAAGCACCTTGCGTCGCCTCTTAATTTCGAGGTATCGCCGATATGGTCGAAGACATGGATACTCTCCACGTTATTTAGCTTTTCTTTTTCTGTCAACGTTAGTTGCCCGACCATGGAAGGTGTTGTTGGAGCTCTGTCGGAGTTCTCTTGTCTTGGTAGAGATATAGAGATGAGTCCGTGTTGATGAAGAAAGATTTGGGGATATATATACAGGTGCTATCTGTTGGTGGGAATGTTGGCAAAGAGAAGGAAATGGAATGGCCAGAACGGCTCCAGACTCAAATAAAATGAAAACCGTCTACCTATATACATACATATGATTCATTCCTTCTTTTTTGGGTGATTCCTGTCGCTCATGTCTGGGCCAAGTAGATATAGTTATATCCATTCAAGCAGCCTCACTCTCTCGCGTGAATGGAATTTCGACGTCAAGTCTTTTGGATTCTACACCTTGTCTTACAGGACTCACTAAGAGATTTTTTTCTCATGCAGCTACTTACCCACAATCCGCGTCTTGATTGTCCTCTTCGTGAACCCTCGAGTATAAGACACGAATGGGCATTAAATCACCTCGAAGTCATAAAACCAGGGTCCACCGTTGTACTGCAGGTAGGCACCTATCTCCACCCTATCTCCGCTCCGCAAATGCGTCATGTCCGAACCGCTTCCATTCATCTCGACTTATCTTTTTTCTATTAAATCCGTCTTCGATAGTCAACCACCTTTCTCCATTCCGCAAACCACATCAAAACCATGCCAAGATCCCAATGACCAGAATAACACAATAGACGCGCGATAAGTCCACTCTGTCGTCTATACGCACCACAATGCGCACCCCCGTCCGTCTTCGCATCCCGCGCACTCCTACCCTCCTCCCACGCCTACGCACACCTTTCTTCCGCACTATATCCTCTATATCCACCTCCACCTCTCCCTCAAACATCGCATACACGACCAATTGCCCCGCGCAAACATGTTCCTGTAGTGTTTCCACACCTCCCGACCTCGACATCGACCGCGCTTCGCCCCTGTTGCATACGGTGCCACAATATGCGCAGCACGTGGTGCTTTGCACGGGCAAGGATGACTGGAGTAGTAGGATAGAGGATGAGGAGGGTGTTTCTGGGGAGTTCTTAAGGGGTATCAGAGGGGAAATCGGGAGGGGTGGAAAGGGATTTGATGTATGTGTATCCTCTTCTCTTTTCGCCTTGTTTGCAGAATATAGAGGTGAACGGGTTTGGGTTCAAAGGAAAATGGAATCGAGTACTCAAAGTATCAATGCTAATATCAGTGTTTTCTGTGTCGTTAATTAGCCGTTTAACAACATCCTGCTCACAATGGGAAGCTTCCCCACTACTACCTCAACTTCACCAACACCATCAGCTACCACGGACTCGCAGACCGCAACGACAGCCCTCCTCTTCCCCTCTTTCCTCCGCATTCCCTTGATACCAACCACCTCCCCATCTCCCTCGACCTTCGCAACCGCATACCTGAAAGCCGAAAAGCTTCACACCCACCACGCCTCCCTCACCCCCACCCAAAAAGCCGCCCTCACTCGTGACGCTTCCCAAGCAAGCCTCCTACCAGCCGCAGAACCCATCACGAGACCAACCATCTTGATCTGTGGCCACGGCAGCCGCGATTCGCGCTGCGGCGCGCTGGGTCCCGTCCTACGTACCGCGTTCCAAGAGCTATGCGCGCGCAAAGGAGTCGATGTCGATGTAGGAATCGTGAGCCACGTCGGGGGACACAAGTTTGCAGGGAACGTGGTTTTGTATCTCCCGCCTAGTTATCAATTCGCACATCGACATCAGGAGACTGATGCGGGAAGTGGGCTAGCTGGTGCCGGGGTGTGGTATGGACGCGTTGGGGTCGAGGAGGTTGAGGGGGTGGTTGAAGAGACGCTTTTGAAGGGGAGAGTCATTGCGAGTTTGTTGCGCGGTGGGGTTTTAGGGGACGGAAGGGGGGATTTGGGAAGGGTTGTTGAGGGGATGATGGCAAGGGAGAAAGGAGATGGTGCAGGGGATGCGTTGAAGTTGAAGCCTAGGGTTCGGCGGTGAGTGATGGTGTGAGAGGGAATGCATAGAATTGTGTATCATCATATGTATATACGTAGACAGACTTTGGTTCTCATTGTACAACTACTCATTCAACTCATTCAACTCATTCAACTCATTCAACTCATTCAACTCATTCAACTCATTCAACTCATTCAACTCATTCAACTCATTCAACTCATTCAACTCATTCAACTCATTCAACTCATTCAACTCATTCAACTCATTCAACTCATTCAACTCATTCAACTCATTCAACTCATTCAACTCATTCAACTCAAAAGGCATTCATCAGGACGCTCATATCCAGACTATAAATAATGATCTTTACATTATCTTACAAAGAAAAGTGGGAGTTCGTATATACAACACATCCGCAATGATCTATCATGTAGCCAAAAACAACCAACATAGTCTTACACAGAATGCACACGTTCATAGAACAGAAAATAAAGAAAGAAGACGCCAAAAAGGAGAAAGCGATTCTACACCATCATCTACTCCTTCTCCTTCTCTGCGCCGGTTTTTTCCTCAACCTTGTTTCCCTTCTTCTTTTTCGCAAAACTGATCATCCCCCCAGACTTCGCAACAAACACGTTCCATCCAGGCGGCACAACCCCCGGAAACTCATCATGCTCCTCCCCATCGTTACCGACGCGGTCCTTTTCGGACATTGCCCACAGCTTACCCTCCCCGCTCACATCTAGCCACTCCTTGCCGCGTTCCGTCTTCAACAACTCAGCGAGCACATGCTCAACCTCCTGTTTTCGACGCTGCTGCGCATCCACTACTGTGTCCGCGGTGACAGGTTCGGGCTCGAACTTGCGGATCTCGGTATGAAAGCGGTTTTTCCCGTTGACTTGGAAAACGCAGGGAATGACGGCGCTCTTGAGGCGAACGATGGTATCCTCATACGCGGGGAAGCCGAACGAGAAGATAGAAGGTCCCTCGTGAGTGCGAATAGCGTGCAGAGGGTGGCCTTTTTGGTCGCGGACTGGACCGTTGAAGCGTGCGTGTAGTAAGTGCCAGCCCTCTTCTGCTACAGCAGGCGCGATGGGCGCGGCTAAGCGAAGAAGGTGCAGCGTCGCCATGTAGCGGATGACGGGCGAGGCATCGGAGATGTTTGGCATCTGCCAGATGTGGTTTGTGAGCTCCATGAGGTCGCTGACGACGGTGTTGAGCGAGTGTGTTTCCGTGTATGATTTGGTCACACTCGCAATTGTCTTGTGCAATTTGGCTAGCAGATCTTGCTCGCGAGAGTCTAGAAGCCTGAGGAGACCTTCGTGGTTTTGCTGCGATAATTTCTGATCGCGGTTCACCTGGTTCGAGGGCTGTACAAGGAGCCCGGCATGTATGCACTGCTCAAGCCAGAGTTCGGTGCAATCAAGGCTTGTAGGAGGCGTGAATTTATAGAGGCCAGGCTGGTTTTCTGGGTACCAAAAAGCAGTGGAGAGTTTTAGCATTCGCTTGAGCCAGCGTTGTGCGCCTGTAATCTTCACCTCGTCCCATTCTAGCACCTCATTGATGGGAGCTTGGAAGAGCATGTGTGCTCTAGTGACATCGGCACCATACATGTCAATCACACTCGCTGGATCCACTCCGTTGTATTTGCTTTTGGACATTTTTTCGTAACTGACCGTGGCATACAGATCACTGTCCTTGAGGTAGGGACTCGATTGGTGAGCGGGCCTGTTTAGATCAAGCTCGTCCGGTCGCAGAAAACGCCCAGTCTTGGGATGTGTATACGTTTTGCCGTGCACCATGCCTTGAGTGACCAGTTGCTTGAAGGGTTCGCCGAGAGATCCTGTATCGGGTCGTTTCCCCTTAGGCCACCAGAGACGTGAAGCCAAAAATTTGGTGATGAACCGGGCGTACAACAAGTGCAAAATGGCATGCTCCACACCGCCAACGTAGATATCAACGGGCATACCTTGATCGGCTAGTGCAGGCTTGAATGGTTCCTCGGGATTTTTGGAGTCCAGAAATCGGAAGAAGTACCATGATGAGTCCATGAACGTGTCCATTGTATCTGTTTCGCGATGCGCCGGCCCGTTGCATTGGGGGCATTGTGTCTTCTTCCATTCCTCGTCGTGCTCTAGAGGATTGCCGTTCCGCCCGTCGAAGTAAGAAGCAGGGAGATCGGGAAGTTTTACAGGGAGATCCTCTACAGGGACAGGGACAGCGCCACATGTACCGCAGTGTACAATAGGAATAGGAGTGCCCCAATACCGCTGTCGACTAATGAGCCAGTCCCTCAATCGCCAGTTTGAAGTCGCCACCGCGCGCTGTTTGTTCTGTAGCTTCTCAACGACTTTGAGGATAGCTTCCTCTGAAGATAGGCCGGCGAATAAGTGGTCAGTGGTCACGACATAGCCTTTCTCCACGACAGGACCCCTCGAGGATTCGATTGCAGCGTCGGCATGGCTGCTACTTGGCGTGATCACATATTTCACGGGTGATGTAGGCTCATTGCGTCGCCAAAATGCATGGTCTCTCGCATCATGCCCTGGCACACCCATAACAGCGCCAGACCCGTACTCGCTGAGCACGTATGGAGCCACAAAGACAGGTATTGGCTTCGTTACACTGGGATCTGTTGTCAGGCCTTGGAGGGGATTCGTCCCTTCGATCGAGGAGAGCAAATAACCCTCTTTGGTATCGGGCGGCAAAGACTTCGCGCCCTTTACAAACTTCCGAAGTTTTTTATCTTTCCTAGCGAGCTCTGCCACCACCGGGTGCTCTAAGGACAAAGCAAGATACTGCACGCCGAACAAAGTGTCGGCTCGGGTGGTGAAAACATGTATCGGTTCGTTTAAACCCTTTCTCCTTGAATTTCGCAATCTTCTTTTCACTGACGGGAATCGGGTGTTGAAATCAGGAGGCAGCTTGGAGCGAATATGAAATTTGAGACTTGCGCCCGAAGAGTGTCCTATCCAATTCTTCTGCATGGCGATGACCCTTTCTGGCCATCCACCTTTTTCAGCCAGCGTATCCAGATCTTGCAGCAACGCAAGTTTGAAATCGGTGATTTTCAGAAACCACTGCTTCAACTTCTTCTTTTCCACCTTGGCACCGGACCGCCACGAGCAGCCATCGGCATCTACCTGTTCGTTGGCGAGAACGGTGTGGTCGACGGGGTCCCAATTGACAAGAGATTCGGCCTGGTAGGCCAGTCCTTGCTGGTGGAGCATGAGGAAGAGACGCTGTGTGTGTTTGTAGAATTCGGGGTCGCATGTTCGGAATTCCTTGTCCCAGTCCCATTGGCCACCCATGGCCATCATTTGAGACTTCATAGTTTCAATGTTGCGGGCTGTCCAGTCGGCGGGATGAACATGGCGTTCGATGGCGGCATTCTCGGCAGGCAGACCAAAAGCATCCCACCCAATTGGGTGCAGAACATTGTATCCCATCATACGCTTCACGCGAGCTAGGACGTCAGAGATGGTGTAGACGCGCAGATGGCCGAGATGTAAGGTGCCCGAGGGGTAGGGGAACATGGGCAGGATGTAGGCTTTGCCACAAGGGTTGGGGGGTTTGGCGCCCGCATCCCGATCCCAAAAGGGCTGCCATTTCTTGGTGAGAGCGGGCAGGTCATGAGTTTCAATGTTGCTGTCGCTGGCGGTTTTGCTGCCGAGGGAGCGGGACGAAATGGCCCATGGCGGGCATCGAAGGCGGAACCGGTGGACGTGGAGAGCGCATGGCACACCTCGGGGGTGCAAACTGAGGGTCCGCATCAGCCGTACCTGCTAGACATGCCGCCAATGGCTGAGGGGTAGAGGGAGAGGGAGGGAGATGGCTGGTGTATGTAGATGCAATTGATTGATTGAATGGAAACTATGCATTGGCTAGCGGAGCTATCTCGAGCGCGCTAGTCCGTTCCCGGCACTACCGCTCAGTGCATTCGTTTCAACTCCGCATCAACACCACCAACTTGGTCCTTACTCACGCCTCACAGCATCATCACCAAGCACTGGGCCAATACCTTACGTCTAATATCAATTGCCATTTTCCCATGGCTTCAACAGCCCGTGACTATAGGTAGCGCCTTCCCTTCCACTCTTTCCTGCCCTTGTTTGTTCTTTGGCAAATCACCGCCGCTACACCGCATTACCATGGCCGGCCGTTATGCCAATCCCCCGCCCACGCGCGACTCCCTCGAACTGGCCTCGCTGGCCTCCTCATCGCATGTCTCGCAGCGCACTTCCATCGAATCCTCCGAATCGGGCGCCCGCTCGTCCCAGCGCCTGTCTTTTGACGATGAAGATCCCCTGTCCGAGCTAAATCCAGCCGGCCACGACGAGAACAGACCGCGTCACAATCGCTCCTACAGCGTATCCTCAGCCTTCGACTTCGCCCCGAATCTATTCCCCCTCTCGAGCACTGCCCAAGGCTACACTGCGCTTGGCGCGCCCTCCAACCCAGCACTCGATCCCTCCAATGCCCTCAACGGGGGCGCATCCCTGGAAAAGAACAAGAGCTTGACCTACCTAAACGGTCTGTCGCTCGTGGTTGGCCTGATCATTGGAAGTGGCATCTTCTCCTCGCCCTCGCAAGTGAACCGAAATGCTGGATCCCCTGGCGCTTCTCTGCTCGTGTGGGCCATTGCGGGCATCCTGGCTTGGACCGGTGCCGCGAGCTACGCAGAACTCGGCGGCGCAATCCCTTTGAATGGAGGGGCTCAGGTCTATCTTTCCAAAATCTTCGGCGAGTGGGCTGGTTTCCTTTTCACTTGGTGTGCCGTGGTTGTGCTCAAACCAGGATCAGCAGCCATCATTGCCATCATCTTTGGAGAATACATCGTGCGCGCCTTCATGGGCCCCGATGCCCTCGAAGCTGTCTGGCTTAATAAAGGTGTGGGGCTTGCCGGTCTAGTCGTCGTTACTCTCTTGAATTGCATATCCACCAAGCTGGGCACCAGAAGCGCCGATGTCTTCATGTTCCTGAAATTCGTGGCTCTCCTCGGCGTCACCATCATAGGCATTGTGGTCGCTGTCACCGGCTTCTCATACACTGGTGAAGCCAACGACGACTGGAAAACGAAAGGGTGGTTTGAAGGTACAAGCACCAATATCAGTAACTGGGCTGTAGCGCTTTACTCTGGTCTCTGGGCTTTTGATGGCTGGGACAACGTATGGATCCGTTCCCCTCATGTCCCTCTTTTATTGTATGGCTAATAGAATCAGGTCAACTACGTCACTGGCGAATTCAAAAATCCTGCCAAAGATCTTCCGCGTGTAATCCACACGTCGCTTCCCCTCGTCATTCTGTGTTACATCATGGCAAACGTAGCCTACTTCCTCGTCCTCCCCACGTCGCTCATCGAGTCCTCCAACGCCATTGCAGTCGCCTTCGGCCACCAAGTGTTCGGCCCAATCGGCTCATTCATCCTCGCCCTCTTTGTCTCGGGCTCGTGTTTTGGCGCCTTGAATGCTACAACCTTCACTTCCAGCCGCCTCGTCTACGCCGCGGGCAAGGAAGGCTACCTCCCATCTGTTTTTGGTAGCATTGGCCTCGGAAAGAGCCACCGTGCTGTCCGTCTCCACACACTCAATGCCAACAGCACCCCAAAATCCAAAATCTCGTCTAAATTCATAGACTGGTTCGCTGACGCCGATGCCGGCTTCTTTTTCACTCCCATCTCAGCCATGCTGCTCAATGCCGGACTTACAGCCGTCTACATATTTGTTGGTTCGTTTGACACACTTGTCACCTTTTACGGAGTCGCTGGCTATTCGTTCTATTTCCTCGCTGTTTTGGGCCTTATTGTCCTTCGCGTTAAGGAACCGGAGCTTGAGCGCCCCTACCGGACGTGGATTACCACACCAATCATATTCTGCTGCGTCAGTTTGTTTCTGCTGAGTAGGGCTGTTTTTGCGGAACCCGTGCAGACGCTTGTGGTGGTTGCTTTCATGGTCGTTGGGCTTGTGGTTTGGTTCGGATGGGTGGGGCGGCGGAGGAACAAGGAGGAGAGAAGGTTCAGGCGGATTGGGGGAGACGAGGACGAGAAAGTGGGATGGAAGTTCTGGAGACGATGGCGGAGCTGATGAACCATTTCCACGGTTTCGATGTCTGTGTATTTCTTACTCGTGTAGCGATTTTCCACCTCCATCGGGCTCGCGTCTTGTGCGCTTATGACATGTAACGACGCGATTGGGCTGTGGTAATCTGCAGCCCTCCAGGTACATACATATGTAACAAATAAGTAGCATGTGCCTTTTACAACGAGGAATATGTCGCCAATGGCAAGCACCATTGACGTGAGGCTTCGTCGCGCTGGGGGATCATTTTTTTTTCCTACAGTCACATAACAAACAATGATTGTGTGGAAAACAAAGACAACTGCCGATCATTGTTTCTCCCCTTACTATCGATAGAGTGTTGCAACTTGTTTCTTAGATCGACACACGTCTAATCTCGAAAGACTTGGCGATGATTTCCCAGTGATTCCGGTTCTCTTTGGAGTTGTAACCATTGAGGACTATACGAGTCGATCGGGCCGCGAAGTCTGATCACGCGCTGGACGACTAACACCGACCATCCATTTCATCCTAGCTGTGGCGGGTTATCAAGTCTTGTACTTGCGTCAGAAAGTAAGCACGAAGCGGCTAAAAACCACCGCCCTCACATGTATACAGCCGCAATGTATCTCAAACCGCAAAAGGCACTAGCCCCGGGGCATCCAAGCCGTTTAATTAATCTACCCAAAAGCCACGCGCGCAACCCTGCAATTCATGTATGAGCGAGGAGACTCCCGGTGGTTGTTTGCGTTGCGTCTTCTTCCATCATCTCGACAGCCATGGCGGTGGCGCTGGCAACCATTTATATATGACCTAGGGCGGTTTCCCACTTTCTTCCCCGCGGGTTTGGAGCTGTGAGCGACCACATAAAAGCAAAGAAAAAGTTATAGAAAGCAAGGATCGAAAGACCAGAGTTTTATTTTACACGATATTCGACAGTCTTGCCATAGAACTTCACGATGCGTTCAATCTCCCTCACTCTGCTCGCGGCTCTGCCGTCGGCCATGAGCGTCAAATTGCTGGCCTCGCACTACACCGGGAAAATCTTTACGCTCGACTTCGACTCTTCAGCCACAGCCCTCACGTCGGAAGCCAGCGTCGAAGGCTGCGGACGTCTCCCGGGGTGGCTCGAGTACTACTCGGACGACCAGACCGTCTACTGCTTCGATGAGTCCTGGTTCGGCAGCGGATACATCGTTAGCTACAACATCAGTGACTCGGGCGCTCTAACGCAGTACCAGCAAGCCCCTACAACCGGTAACGATGTTCACGGGCTCTTATACGGAGGTGCCGACGGCAAGTCGTTTGTAGCAACTGCACAGTACTCCCCGTCCACTATCACGACCTACAAACTCCCCCTCTCGGCCTCCACCAAACCCCTTCAACTAGAGAAATTCACATTGGCGCAACCGGGGCCTAACCCGCGTCAAGACGTCCCGCACCCGCACGAAGCTCTTCTCGACCCAACCGGCAAATTTATCCTCGTACCCGATCTCGGCGCAGATTTGATCCGCATCTTCAGCATCGACGCCTCAACAGGCGCCCTCACCGCTTGTGGAAGTGGCCAGGCCAACCCTGGAGACGGTCCCCGCCACGGAAAATTCCTCAGCACCTCGTCCAACGGTTCAGTCCTTTACACGCTCAACGAGCTCGGCAACTCGGTATCCGCGTGGACTGTTTCCACAGGCTCGTCCTGCCTGGAATTGACCCTCACCCAGACGCTCTCGACCTATGATGAGGGCGTTACCCCGGGACCTACGACCAAAGCCGCCGAACTACACATTCGTGATAACTTCTTGTACGCCGCGAACCGCGCGGACCAGACGTTTGGCTCGGCGCAGGACTCCATTGCTACGTACTCGATCGATCCCGCTACTGGAAAGCTAGCTTGGATTGAGGCCGCGAATGCGCATGCGTACTACCCGCGTACGTTCCAGATTAACAAGGCCGGAGATCTCGTTGCCGTTGGAGGCCAGACGAGCTCAAATGTCGCTATTGTGAAGAGAGATGTTGAGACGGGAAAACTTGGAGAGTTGGTGGCCAGCCTGGTGGTTGCGACCCCTGGAAGGCCTGGTGAGGAGGATGGATTGAGTGCAGTTGTCTGGTTGGAGTAGAGTTGCTTTTCCCAGAACCAGAGTAGACTCGTGAGAAGTTAGTGAGTCTTGGGGAAGAAGTTTTGTCTGTTTGTAGATTGGTGTATTTGTTATATGATTTCACTCTGTCTTTGCCTCGCTGCTGATGGATGATGTTGTGGTGCCAAAGGCGATTTGTCATTCGTAGCTGCACCGAAAAAAATAGAGAAAAGTGCACAACACGTGCCTAAGAATATCAAGCCTATTGTCTCGACGTCAGATTTGACGGTACGTCTGTGTTTTTTTGATCTTGATCAAGAGCAAGGCCAGTACTAAAGTTTGTGGACCGAAAGACTAGGTGATTCTTGCCTGGAAAAAAGGGGAATGATGTCGGGTGTTGCATAATGATTTTCTCGGAGTAGTATCTCGAGACGCTCATACTCGAAGAGATCAGTTCGTCAGGCTGCCTTTGACTCCATCGATCAAGCCCTCAAGATCTCATAGTCCCAATGCGTTTACTGCCAGTAGAGCATCGCTCATTATCTAGGTAAGACTTTCCGGGGGTGGGATCTCAAGTAAGTGAGAGGGAAGAAGAGTCTACACACAGTGTTGTTGCTAACGGTCGTCATCTGTATTGAGGAAGGCACGCTAAGCGTGCTCGCCGACACCCATTCACTACATGCTCTTGCTCTCAAACTCGTCACCTCCCGGTCACTCTCTCACTTCCCATATCACATAGTCTCGCTAAATCCCCGGCTGTTTTGTCTTCTCCATTGCCATCTCTCCCGTCAATCTTCATCTAACCAAATGGCCCCGCTACCAAAGCTCTCCGAAGAGTGGTGGCTCAGAAATGTGGATTACACCGAGCGTCAAGTCAAATACAAGTCAAGATATGAAAACCTTGCTCAAGCCTGCCGTGACTTCAGGACTCAGCTCGCTAGGTTGGAAGCAGAGGGCAAGTATCGGACGCCTCGACCAGGTGCCAGGCTTTGGACTCCTTCAAGGGTCAAGCAACGACTGTGCTGGCGGTTGGCTTGGAAGCTTTTCACCGGAAATATGATTAGCCTCATAACCCTCCCCAACTTTGCGTTCAACAGCAACGTTGGCGAGCATATCAACCGTGCCAACGATGCAGGCGAGACGGGCGATTATGACGATGGTGCAGCCGAGAGAGCTGAGACTGGTGTTACAGACTGGCGTGCTTCTGGGGTACGAATGCACTGAGGATTACATGGAAAAGCGATTAACATCTTACAGTCCGATCGTCTGCACCTTCCGATGCGTGAGAATCTAGCAAGGACCTCATATTCTCTAGAAGACGCAAACACGAAACGGAAAGCCTCATCGGCCATCGAAGTTGAGCCTAAACGATCCCGCCTGGGGCAAACACTTGAAAACTATGGAGTTAACATGACTCTTAATCATGTGCGTCTTGCGTCAGCCGACTTGCAACTCATGCTAATCAAGACTCCTAGGAGCGCGGCCGTGGTAAAGAAGAGGGCCACGCCACGCTGGGTCGCAATCAAGCTGAACCCAATGATCCGACCTCAGCCAATACTACGGGACATATTCAGTATCTCCAGATACATCTGGCTCAACTACAGGCAATCGCTGAGCTGAAGGAGCTAGTGAATGGGTTGGATACGCCATCTTATAGTAGATCATGGGATGTTGAGGGTTCCCACGAGAAGATAATGAAGATCCTGGAAGTCTCTCAGAAATACTCCGATGAGACTAATTCTGTATTTTCCCCGAAATGATCATCCGGATTTACGTTTGCGAGATCTCTACTGTGGAATTGAGTGTGAGGGCTCGAAGGGCACTCCTACCACGCTCGTCAAGGTGATAGTGGAGGGAATACGTCGAGATAATTTGTAGAATAGCCTTGTTCAATATAGCAAGTTTGCAGTCTTTGTCTCATTCATGGTAGACCGCTCATTTTCATCGCCATGGAGTGATTCATATGTCCTTCAACAACACTGCTGCCGCTGTCTCACTACCACTGTTCAGAGAACTCAAAGGTTTGCGCAAGACCAGCGGGATTATTCGAGGATATGTCTTGCTTGTGAGTTGACACAGCAAATGAGTAAGAAACGCAGATTTAAAAAGCATATTTTCTTTCTCTTTTTGTTATTCAGAGTTGGAGTTTAGGTGATCCTACACACAGTGGAGGGCTACAGCAATGCATAGACCAAAAAATGAGCGATAACCAAAAAAAATCAAAATCAAGCGAATTTAGCCTTCACATAAGTTCAAAAGCATATGAATATATGATATCTCAGTATATCATCAGTATATCCACTTGTCATCCTGGCTGCTACTTTGACTGATGTTCATCGCCACATCACTGGTGACTTCTCTACATGTATAGCTCTTTACAGCTGGTGAGATATCAGAATTTATGGTCGTTGAAACGGACAGAATTTATCATTTCGTCCCGTAAGAGCATATCTGATTGTTGTTTGCTGCGAATAGTGGTCAGGGCGCAAAAATAAGCCAGCTGCGAGTTTCCGACATGTGGCACCAGCAAACATCACTGGACTCCATAGTAGTAAAGTATTCTATGACACAACAAAAACCATGTCGATCCTGCCGGACATTCGAGTTGCGTGTGTGAATGAGAAATACTAGGATAGTGTAATGATTATAGTAATAACCAGCGTGAGTTGCTACTTAGACAAAGATCTGTCCACTACCATTCCCGACAGAGATGATTCGAGTAATGGATCACTTCCACCTCACCGACTCCAAGTCGTCGGCGTCAGACTCCTCCCACGGGTACTTCTCTTCACTCTTTCTTACCAAGTCTTCGTGCTTCTTGCTTCTTGGCCTCACCTCGACTTTGAATGGCATAGGTTCGGTGATAGCTCCAGGCCTAAAGTTTACGTCTGGTTCCACCACTTTGCCATCAACAACCGGTTTCTTTACATCGAAGCAGGATAATGTTTGAGCAATAGTCATGAAGATTGCGTTATCTGCGACATAGCGGCCGGGACAGATTCGTCGTCCGAACCCAAAACTAAAATTTCGCGGATCGGGCTCGGCTTTGTGGGTCGCGGTGGTGATGTGTCGGTCTGGATTGAAGGCCATGGGGTCTTGATAGACGGCAGGGTCGTGTGTGAACCACCTTCGATGCGTTAGCGTATACATCCATGCCCATGCAGCACCTCATAAACTCACCAAATATTTGGCAGTAGCATGGCACCCTTTGGAATTCTGTATCCACGGTAGATGTCTTCTTCTGTGCTAGAATGGGGAATGCCCATGGGGATAATCGGATGCCATCGATGGGTTTCTTTCATGATTGCTTCGATATAGGGTAGACGTGGCAAATCAGCGCTAATAGGAAGCCTCTCGCTGCCGATTACACGATCCAACTCCTCTTGTGCCTTCTTTTGCACATCTGGGAACACCAACATGGCTAGAAAGAAGGTGATGATCGCCGAAACAGATGTATCAGACCCGCCCAAATACCTTGGAAAGTTAGCGACGCTCTATGCGATCAAAAAAGATAGTGCTTGGGTGACATACAAAGCCAAAGCACTCCATTTGTGGACAAACTCCATCTCCGGATCTGTGCCAAATTGCTCAATGGACTGTGACATGAAGGATGTCCTAGCTTTCTTGGCCTGCATCTGTTGTTTTACGAAGTGATATGGCTTGTCTGTCGTCTCACGCAGATGTTCCGTCATAGAACGGGCAATCTTCTTGAATCCTGTCGCAGGGAACCAGTCAGGCAAGTGCCTCACTGTCACAGATTAGTACAAGAAACCTGAACGGTGGTGAAGCTGTGAAATACTCACAGAATGGCATGACATCAACAATCCATTTTCCAGGAACAGTAGCTTCCTTAAACTCCATCATTGTCGAATTTGCCAGTGAAACCAAGGGGTCCTTTTCTCGTTTTGTAGTATATCCATATGTTATCTTCAGTATGACGCTGCCGGCTTCTGTTCTCACATGCTCCAGCACATCGCTGGGTCTGTCAAGAAGATTGAGTAGGAAGTGTGCCGCCTCAGTTTCCTGCACCTTGTTGAACATGGAAATGGAAGTATTGGCGCTTGCGACTTTAGTAACATTCGTGCGGTGCAGTTTCCATGTGTTGCTGTAGGGCACCAATGCAGTGGCATTGTTCCAACCGACCATGTTGCTGAAGGTCATGCCCGGGCGGGAGGAGTGAATGTTGGAGCGGTCTCGCATGAGTTCTTGTGCAACTTGAGGGTCGGAGATGATAACGAAGGTGTTCCCCATCACCGTGATGGAGCTGATGGGTCCTGTCGAATGGTCAGTCAGTCATCAGTGCTTGCATTTGTCTCCTGCAAGCGGGAGAAAACAGTCAGAGTGTGTCGATGAACTCCATCAAAACCACTTATTCACGACAACCAAATCTCTTGTGTTCATTAAACATGCAAGCACCATGAGAGGACTGGAATGTCAGCTCAGCTTGTGTTGCTTACCATATTGGTCCTTGAACTTCAGCCAATGCTGATACTCCAACTCGCCAGGTTTTGGTAAATCATTGATGTTGCCCAGTATCGGGACGCCCTTTGGACCTGGGGGCAATGGTCGGCCATTTCCTTTTGAAGTCAAGAGGCGGCGCAGTACATAAAAGACTGCAGTGATAGCGAGGACAACCAAACTCAGAGAAGATACAGAAGTCATCGTGCGAAGCCGCTGCCTTGCGTGAAGGTGCAGCGCGAAATAAAGCGGGTTTGTTTTCAACTCCATCTTGTGTTATGTGGTATGTTAATTCCAGATGGCAAAGTCAGGTCAGGGTTGGAATCCTTCGTGCCAAAATCAGTTAACATCTAAGTAGGGGTGCTTGTTATATGTGAGCTGAGCCGTGATCGCCACTCGAAGGAAGAAATTGTGGATCAAGGTAACCCCAATCAAGAACATGAGACGGAACAGCTAAGCAATACTTGGCTTTCTTGAAATGTCATTGATCAATCCGACTGCGACGCGACACTGCAGCAAGAGCCCATGTTTCTGCTTCCCCACGCCAACCATTTAGTACGCAGCACGGTTGCATACACATCTGCAGGTTTATTGATCTGACACACCCGTACGATAAACAGCAATGACTAAGTAGCAAATGAGGAAAAGGTATTGGGCTGCGGATTCAACAAGGCAGCCAGGGGCGATGGCAGTGGTGGTATTGTGAGCAGGTCCTGTCATGTTAGTTGGATACGTGAGGCCAGTATGAGCTGTCTGCCCATGCATGGAAGTTAATGATTGCGCCTGGCTCGCGTGTATGCTCTCTTTTACGAGAATAAACATGCCATTGAACGCCGGTAGCTTGCGGTCGCGCACGTGTACAAGGCAGGGTAAGATTGCTATGTATCCGCCTTATCAATCATGCAGCAGGAAGCGAGAATAGGAGATCGCTCATCGTTGGTTGATAATAGAAGACGCTGCCGTGCATCTGACACATGATGGACTCGGTGACGCCAACAAGGCCCAATATACATAGTATAGCGTGCAACTTGTCGCGTAAAGCCATATATTCGTAAGCCAAACAGGATGAGAAACCGTTGTACGTACTTTTATAAAGTGTCAAGGTGAAATCGTGTGGTGCGAATCTTTTCAAATCAATCTACTTGACCAACGAAAAGAACATATTCGTTTCTCAGTCCATAAATTGAAATCCAATGGGTAGGAGCTTCTGAAGGCATGCATCTGCTTGCCCTAAAGTCCTCATACCTTGTAGACTGTAAGCTGTAAGCTGTGGTTGACCCTTGTCGGAATATGCGACCGCGGAGAAGTCTTTAGGCTCCGTGCCGTTGTCAATGTTCGGCGCGGGCCACAACAAGAATGCCCTTCTTTCTTTTTCTCCTGCTCACAGGCTCGCTTGCGCGAGCTGGTTGATCTTTTGTCACAGGCTAACGCGCATACAGAGTTTATATGCTCAACTTAGAGCAAAGATCGGCATCCGACTCCGCGTCTGATTCGACCATCGAAACTCATCACTGCATCAAACCCAATTTCGCAAATTCAAGGAAGAGATATGAGCTGATTTCTAAACCTACACGCGGCATGTATGCAGTCCTGCTTTGACTCCTTGATCTGCATAGGAATCACCTCGAGTACTACACAGTTGCAAAAGACAACACCAGCAAAGCTATACACCACTGGCTGCATCTGATTGCCCTTAAGCTAGTACTTAGTCGAGACGGCATTTGAACTCAATGTTGCTCGATATCACCAGCCCCACGTGTCTGGGCCTTGTAACACGTGGGATGTATATGCATGGCCTTTCTTTGACGCACGTCGTCGATAAACTAAGGGTAAGTTCACGGTCGTATACTTAGTTAGCTCAACCTCGCGCCACGGCAGGCACCATTGGTGAGCCTGCTCTTTGAGTGTGCCTGAGAGCCCAAGCGGGGTGAAAAGGCTTGACACCCCTTAAGACCCCTTTCAGGATGAAAAGCGGGACTATCGAAGGATCAGAATGCCATCATGCAGCTTGCTGATCAAAATATATTCCTTCCAGCAATTGCCACAGTGTAACCGCCCAAACCGTTGGAACTGACTTATGGCGGATGTCTGCCGCGAGGGAGTGATGGAAATTCCCGAGGAAGCGGTGAGGTGTCTGTGCATGTACATGTAGTCCTATCAACAAGTGTCAATTTTTCACTACCCTTGCAGCAAAACAGGGGAACGTGCAGGCATATTGGTCTGGTACATCACCATGCAAACGTCATTTCGTACAAAGTCTCTCCAGTGTGCTTGTCATGAATAGCCACTCGATATCTTGTTTGATACGACGAACCAGACCTGTGCTGCCTCACTGATGGCCAGCGCAGCCTTTCAAGGAAATCCGATACTTATGTATTGATGGCCGAGCTTGAGAGTAGGCGACTACCTATCACCCCATGCAGATGAAGCTTAGGTCAATAGGAAGGATTTTATGACCTGACATGGCCTTGAAACGTTGTCAAGTACGGCGTCGGGCCGTTAGAGTGAATATATGATGTAGCCAATCGAAAGTGTAGGAAGTACGAATTGACTAACCTCCGATCTGTGAGACGCTTCTGGTACCCTAACGGGACGGAATCTTGCTGGGTGGCTGAAGCTATGCTTCTGGATGAAGTGACTCCCTGATCACAACGATTATCTTTGTCGAAAAGGTTCATGTTCACAGTGCCCCGTTACCCCCATGATATTGAAAATTGTGGGGACTATCCTCACTTAAAGACTTGATACAACTCTCTAGAGAAGTTGTACTTTGATATCGCCCATTTTGAAGTCATCGTCGTGGTTGCAATGCATCTACTCAGTATTCTTACGTCGCTGGCACTGTTGCATGGCGCCTTCGCGCAAGAAGAGCTCTTGCAGCGTCTACCTCTGTGCGCGGTACACAACGCTCACTCCCAGAATTTGGCAAATCACTGAACACTCCGCAGAATGAATGTCTTGAAGCAACTCTTCCCCTATCGAAATGCAGAGCAGACGACTTAGCCTGTCTCTGTACCGACACAGATTTCATGGGAGCAGCGCAACTCTGCAATGCGGGCAACTGCACTGTGGTGGAAACCATGTGTAAGTCAATTCTAGTTTCATAGACGACCGACACTGTCATATGGCTACTCGGCGTTTCGAAGAATAATGCGCTGACTTGGTAACGTAGCTGCAACAAACACCACACTCGCTGCTTGCGGTGTTCCCATCAAAAACAAGACCGGTGAAATGGTTGGGGTCACTGCCTCGTTCGGTGCCCTCGCCGTGGTAATGGTGGCATTTCGCCTGATACATCGTGCAGCTTCTTCAAAAGCACAGTTGGGATTAGATGATCTTCTGATCGGGCTCGCTGGCGTAAGTCATGTTCTGGACGCTCCGAAGAGAGTGGAAAGCTAACAGTTGGTTGCTGTAGATTGCGTCTTTGTTCCAGAATGTACCTGTTGTCGTCGGTTGGTATTCCTCAGGGTGTTCATTATAGCTTTTGCTAACTCAACACAGCTGGTTGTCTTGGATTCGGTAGGGATATATGGTCCATACCCCCTGAAAACTTGACCGCCAGTCTGAAGGTATGCCAACCCTTCACAAATTTAGGGGCTTCACTAACTGACCATGATCTTAGTGGATGTATGTCACCTACTTCACCTACCAAATAGCCGAATTCCTCTGCCAACTCTCCATTCTCGCCTTTTACTTGCGCATTATGACAGATCCGAAGACACGCCGTATCGTATACGGCCTCGCCGTTTTCGTCGTATTGTTCGGTCTATCGAATACTTTCACCATGGTATTACAGTGCAGACCAATTCCTTTCTTTTGGAATGGTTGGAGAGGCGATACGAAGGGTGTGTGTACGGTCGATGTGCGGCTTTGGGGATTGATACGTGGCGGTATTGAGATTAGCCTTGATCTGGCTATCATCATCGTTCCCCTTCCAATGCTGTCCAAATTGCAGATGTCTTTCAGGAAAAAGGTTCAGATCATGAGTATGTTCTGTGTCGGATTTGTGTAAGTATTGACACCCCCCACATCTTGCTTGGCTAATATGATCCAGGATCACGATCGTAGGCTGCCTACGTATTTGGTCTCTTTTGGCTTTCGACCAATCGACCAACCCTACTTGTACGTCCCAGCCATATCATATTCTGCTGGTCCCTTACTTACTCTTTTCGTAGACGACAATGTTCCCGGAGTATACTGGTGCGTCACTGAAGCCAATTTGTTCATCGTTGTGGCCTGCATGCCTGCGATTCAAGCGATCTTGCAGAAAGCGATCCCCAGTTGCTTCACTGGGTTCCGCAAAGGCACCGGATACGACAGCAACGGAAAATACGGCAGTTCGAGTGGACTTGGCAAGAAAGGTTCTTTCATGGAACAGAGTTCACGGAACATGAAAGGTGGCATCACTAGATCAACTAACGTTGACGTGTACCGGACGGAGCGCACAGCTTCTGATGTAGAGCTCGTCGATCAGCACGACTGGAAGCAAACCCAGTAGAGCGCAGGACCAAAAAGGTGCGCAGAAATAACAGATTGCCTGCCGAATGTATATTTCTTATTTGAATATGAATTGGTTGTCATGAAAAGTCTTGTGTCGGTAGTCAAGTTAGCATAGGTTATCGCATTTCAAACATGCGAAGAGAATACAGTCTATGTGTTCCATGTCGTTTATATCAAAGTGAAATATTGCGCACTGTTTCCAATCGCATTTCATGTTCGTACGCTTCTCTATCTATCTGCTGTCTGGGATTAAAACGCTACTGCAGCGTTGGGAATATTCCCGAATTTGGATTGGGATGTGAGGGCTTAGCGTAATGTATGCACCCCTCCCGTTTACATTTTCCCCGCAATTGTATGCGCACATGAGCCTTTGTATATTGATAAACGCATCAACGAACAGTGGAATAAGAGTAAGCGATTTATCGACTAACCGGATAAACCTCAAGATATGTGGCCCACCTTCAAATCTCATACCTTAAATCGAGCGTTTCCAAATTCACGAAAATGAATTCCATGAAAAACCTCCCAGAGGGCGTTCAGTCCGTCCCGGCAAATGCTTCTGCTGAATATGTCATTCGACTACTAAAGCGTGATGGAGGAGTATTCGTAAAAGGGCTGGTGTCCGAAGCAGATGTCGACACCGCCTATGCTGACTGCCGAGAGAAAATGGACAAAGATGGTGAATGGGAAGGAAATTTCTTTCCTAGTAGGTAACACCCTATAATTTTAGTTGCATTGACTGACCTTATGGTTTGTTCTTTTGCATTGCAGAGGAGACAAAGCGAGCTGCAAGTCTGTTAGCTCTCAGCTCGACTTACGCTCTCACTCAAGTGATGAACCCACTGTATCGAGCAGTGTGTGACCACTTCCTTACAACACGAAGTTGGTTCTGGTGGGGCGACGAAAGAAAAGAGTCAGTGTCTAGGCCGTATGTTCATTCCTGCGTTGCAATGCGAATTGGACCTGGTGGGAAAGCACAACCTCTCCACCGCGATGATTATATCGGCCACAACATTCATTCAGAAGTCTCAGAATGGAATGAAGAGCGTGACCAAAATCGCGAAACTTCGATTGGGCTCTTTGTCGCAGGATGCAAAGTCACCAAAGAGAATGGCGGCACGCAGTTCATTCCAGGCAGTCACCTCTGGGGTAACGATCGAAAGGACCCACCTAACGTGGACGATTGCATCTTCGCAGATATGGACAAAGGTGATGCGTTCATCATGCTAGCTTCTGCGTATCATGGGGGTGGGCACAATCAGACTACGGATGAGTACCGACTTATGTTCTCTACCTTTGTGACTAGGGGGTATCTCAGACAAGAAGAGAATCAGTTTCTGGCGGTACCCCTCGAGAAGGTGAAGCAATACCCAAGAGAGTTGATAGAGTACATGGGTTATTCTTTGAGTGATCCCGCTTGTGGAACTTGGGAACAAGTCGATCCCATCTACTATGTCATGCCGGAGCTGGAAGCAAAGTACAAGGACTTTTGAACAATTTTTGACTAGCTACAACTATAACGAACTAACGCTTGACTATAGTTCATGTGCTCATGCGCATCGGTAGCAGTGTCCATCAACTTTGACCCACCTGATAGCCTTCGATATTCAATTGTGAGGGACTCGTGCTGTATAGATACAATAAGGATCGAAACAAGCACTAATCTGGCATGATCCTCTTCTAAATCAACACAAGATTCCATTGACAACACAGCGAGGGATCGATCATGGTGGATGCGGGGCAGAACTGGGCACAGCGACCAACCCTTGTAGCTTTGCCATCAAATCAACTTGGCATATGTACGGCGGATTACCGCTTCTGGTAATAGTTGCAACTCCGACTGGAAGAACCAAGGAATGGTGTTGAGAATATTCCCTCAATCTGGAGAGCTACAATAGCCAGAGCGCTAATAGGCTCGACCCAGACAGGAGATCGACGCAACGTCGTCCATCTTCGTATTCCAGCTGATTATCAGATTTAATATTCTCGATCGCTCTAAGAAGCAGTGAAATCTGGTTTGAATGCCAAATCAAAGTATAGAATTACTACATTGCTCGTCTTCGATGCAGGATGTCATCATGGTGTTGGATAAGCAGAATCTGTACTAGTGGCATGCACAAATTGGCTCTCGCTCAGAAGAAAAGATATTGAATTTGAACGCGGATTAGGTATGATGATCGGATCCCATGATACCTGGTGAAATGTGGCAAAAGATGGGTTGCGGGAAGCATGTTGAGACAGTCCTTATTGATACTTCCTCAGACACACAATGTGAGGATTCATGTCTATTCTATAATCTGTATAATCTAAGCAATGTTTGATCCAAGTTCCAATGCATTCCTATGACTTATTCACATTCTTTGATATGGTACATCAGATACTAATTACATATTTTCCTCCTCCATGTTCTCAACCACATCTACAACCCCGACACACGCCACAACCCCCCTCTCCCCAACACTTTCCCAGATCACTTCCCTCTCCCTCCTCCTTATTATCTCTTCCTCTTCCTTAGCCTTAACCAGCTCCCGCACTTCTTCCTTCAAAACTTCATCAGCACCTTCTTCAAGCTGTTTCACTAGCGCCTGAGCGCTCCTCTCACTCCTAAGCTCCGCCTTGCGCTTCCACCTCAACGGGAACTTCCCGTAGCGACGGACGCGGCGTGTAGATGTATCGGCGAGAGGATTGATGTGAGTGGCTAAGCCAGTTTCGGTGATAATATTTGGGTAAGGGGGTGATGTTGAAGTGGTTGTTAGGGTTGGTGTTGGAGAGCGGGAGACAGAAGGGGTAGAAGTAATAATGCTAGCAGTGGATTTAGGAGGTGTGGAGGAGATGAGGGAGCCGGTGCGCGTATGGGGAAGACTATGGATGTACTTTTTAGAATCAAGGACTTGCTCCCAGCTGCGGAGGACTTCAGAAGGAGGGAGGATAGGCTTGGATGGTGACAGGTTTGGGTGGATTGGTGGAGAGGAAAGCATTGCGAATACAGTAGTGTTGATGTGACTGGGACTCTGTCACTTTGCTTATCCAGTATCTGGAATTCTTACGTTGTACAGAAATGGGTTGGGGTTTTAAAAGAAAGGTTTTCGGGATGGAAGTGTTAGTGGATGATTTGTAGTCCACTTCACAATGTCGTGTTTGTTCAACATGTTCAAAACTGTACTACACAATGCGGGATCTTGATCAGTGAGACAATCCGTCCGAATGAATCCACGTTGAAACAACCACGATGTAAAACGATCTACAAACTCTTCCACTTTGTTGGGCTGAAAGGAAAATGTAACACTTCTTAGAAAGGTATACCGCCAATAAGACCAGCATCTAGCTCCGAACGCCCATGTATTGTAGTGAATACGACAGTTCTTATGCTTCCATAGCATGGCGAGTAGAAGGTTCCCGCTCGATTTCGTATTCAATGTTCCGCCGCGGCCCCTTGGTATCCTTGGATGACTTCTTCTTCGGCTTAGGTGGCGGGCCAGCAGGTCGTTTCCGCTTAAGATTGGCCAGCGTCTTCTTGAGTGCGGCAGCGTCATCTTCCTCCGACTCGTCCTCTTCAGCTTCGCTGTCGCTAGCATCCTCGCTTTCATCGTCGTCATCTGATGCTTCATCCGGACTTTGGGCACCGACCCAATCTTCAAAGTCTTCCATATCATCATCCGACTCGCCCTCAATATCGCTCACGTATTCGACATCTACCGCGCCATTCTCAGTCTCAAACTCGTTCTCGACCTCGTCTTCGTCTTCGATGCCCTCATCCAGATCCTCATCCCGTTGTGCCTGCCCTTCTTTCTCCAGACCGCGCATGACCTTCTTCCAGACATTTGGCTCGACATTAAGCGGGCGGTCACCGTACGCGCCGGAGCGGAGACGGTCGATCAGTACTCTCTCGATGGCGCGTTCGACCTTGGCAGCGGCGAGTGCCTTCCTCTCACGGCCCTCTTCTCTTCGGCGGACCTTTGGTGCCAGACGCGGTACAAGCTTCTCGCCGAGGCGATCTTCTTCCTTTGCAAGGCGTTTGATGCGCAAGCCGACTTGTGTCAATCTTGTCAAACGCTGTTTGTTTCTAAATCACACGGTCAATGATGTTCAAGTAAGTGAATCTCAGCAAGCCGTAGTGGTCCTGTGTTTCGCTACATGTCTATGCGCTTTGCTGACGGGACAAAACTCACTTGTGGATCAGAAATTTAGGAAAGTAGGCAAGGTGCGAATCAACTTGTTCTAGGGCCTGGGTGTAGTTGCGGCTCAATTTGATCTTCTCCCACCATTTGGAGGGCAGGTGTGACCGTTCGATGGCCTTGATATAGAGGTACAGGTTGCCGGTAGCAGGATCGGAGCGAATGGTAGCATATCGGCTATTGGCGAGAGGGCACGACTGGCGTGTGCATAATCCACTGACATTGTGCTCGTTTCTGCAAAAGGACTGATCCTGCTTTTTGTTAGCATGCGCCAGCCTCGCTCGTCAACAGCAATTTGCTTACTTTTGTGGTTTTGAGTTTGAAACTGCAAAAGTCAGTTCCTATAACGGACCAGACCAGCTCGTCGCTGCAAGACATATTGGAATAAGGTGAGGGCGAAAGGCGGAATCCAGGTTCGTATCCGTCGTTGTTGGTGAGAGCAGACTTGCGGGCGGATATTTTTTTTTTTGGAGATTCCAGGTCTTCTCGAAATCTTGGCGCCAAGTCAAAAATCGCTCCCACCAAAAGTGGGTTCGGCAGCAGCAGAGAGCAGCGCCCGGCCCGTTCGTTCACTTCAACTCCACCATGGAAAGTCATCGCCATCCTTTTCTTCCTACTTATCATTACAATCCATGATCGTATACAGGGTCAACTCTCGGAATGAGAGTTTCCATCTCGTCGTTGCGATCATCCTGCTCTCTATCGCCTAGAAGAATCCTGCTGTTGGCAACGCACACCAACGGCCGACTCATTCAAAGTACCATTAGACGATATGGCGTCGCACCACTCAATGCCAGTCGAATCGCATTGCGCCAACGGAGAACGAATAGCCTGAACCTCAAAATCCCCCCACCTGGGTATCGCCAACTACATAGTCAAGCTATAAGCGTGAATGAACCGACCATCTACGCGCTTTCCACGGCATCCGGAAAAGCTGCCATTGCCGTCGTCCGCATATCAGGACCGGCATGCCGACAGGTTCGTCTACATCAGGGCAAACCACTCTAGATTACGTTCTGATTTCACGCAAAGATATATGAGCGTCTTTGTCCCTCAACCGCGTTTCCGAAGCCACGGTATGCCACGCTCCGCAAGCTGTATGCGCCCAATGCGCCTCCTTCGCCTACAACTGTTTTGGATTCGGGCGCTCTAATGCTCTACTTTCCTGCCCCGAATACAGTCACAGGCGAAGACGTGCTCGAGCTTCACGTACACGGCGGACCGGCCATTGTCCGCGCCGTTCTTGCCGCCATACCCCAATGCGCCTCCAAACCCGATAGTTCAAGTCTGGAGACACCGCAGATCAGGTATGCCGAGCCTGGCGAGTTCACCCGCCGTGCTTTCGCAAACAACCGCATGGATCTTCCGCAAATCGAATCCCTGGGGGAAACTCTATCAGCAACTACGGAGCAACAGCGCAAACTCTCAGTGCGGGGAACTACATCCTCACTAGCTGCGCGCTACGAAGATTGGCGGATGCTTCTTCTCCAAGCTCGTGGGGAATTGGAAGCATTGATCGATTTCTCTGAAGATCAACATTTCGATGAGTCGCCAGCTGTCCTATGCGCGTCAGTTGCCAGTCAGATACAAAAGATATCAGTTCAAATGAACGCGCATATAGCCAATGCGGTACGAGGCGAGCTTCTTAGAAGTGGTATTAGCGTTGCGCTTCTTGGTGCGCCCAATGCAGGGAAGAGCAGTCTTTTGAACCGAATTGTGGGTCGCGAGGCTGCCATCGTCTCGCAGGAGGCAGGTACAACCAGAGACATTGTTGAGGTTGGCATCGATCTCGGAGGCTGGCTAGTGAAGCTGGGGGACATGGCTGGTCTTCGGAAAGCTGGTCTCGTGGGTGGCGAAGTCGTAAGCCCTATCGAGCAGGAAGGCATCAAACGCGCTAAGCAACGGGCACTTGAGTCAGACGTCCTCATTATCGTTCAGGACGCCACAACCGACGTCGATCCCGAGGTCTGCGAAACCGCCAGACAATGTGTGGAACTAGGTATCGATGTCGTCGTAGCCATCAACAAGACCGATCAAGTATCCCAGTCAAGATTGGAAGAGTGGAGGTGCAAGGTACCAACGACGTTTACCGTTCCTACCCAGCGCGTCTTCTTCATGTCTTGTGCCGCTACTGAAACGCTGGCATCCCGATCAGTACTGAATAATGACTCTGGAAACATTCAAACTTTCCTTCGTGGCCTTCAAGATATCTTCCAAGACATGACAAGTGCACTTGTGCCAGACGCGGAGCCTGATCCATCACTATGGCAAGAATCTTTGGGGGCGACCGAAAGGCAGCGTCTACTTATCTCCGAATGTCTGGCACAGTTGGACACGTTCTTACTGGCTGTCCAAAGCCCTTCGGAGGACAACGGGTCTAGTGTTGACTCCGATCAGGCAGACGAAGTTGACATTGTCGTTGCTGCTGAGTCACTACGACAGGCAGCCGAATGCTTAGCGCGCATCACTGGGCTTGGGCAGAGTGGTGACGTGGAGGAAGTCTTGGGCGTTGTATTTGAAAAGTAAGTGGTCTACATTGATTTCTGGCCCCCTTTCCACCACAATCGGGTTTCGACTCAATGGCAGGGCACACTGCGGTTTAATATTAGACCCCCTAATGGCATGGCCCCAATTCTGTGCAACCCGAGAACACCACGGACTCGCGACTGTGCCGTTCACACGAGCAAAGCCCCATTGTTCACGTCGCATGGGGCATTGGGGTCGTGTCATGTGGGGCGCCGCAATCAGAAGGCCTGGGTCGTGATTCGGCTCCATGTGTCTCGCCCAGGTGGCAAATTCACAAGCGAGTAAGCTCAAAGCTAACAACATTCAATAGGTTTTGCGTTGGAAAATAAATCGTATGCGGTCTCATGATATAGAATGTCAAGAAAGAATTTCAATATAGCAGCATGTTGAGATTTCTAGATGATTGCTAAGATCATCATACGACTAAAGACTACGCAAGTCCAGCTTGCCAAAAACAAAGAAAAACAACTCTATCGGCCGATTCCAATCATGAAACTGATGAACAACTGGAGTAGAAGAAATGAAATCTCTGAAGGGAGATCCCTAGACCAGGTAGCCTGGCCTCCAGCACTCAATGAAGAGTGAGAATCTGCTCCTTCCCCACCAATCTAAGAACAATAAAATCCGAAATCTTTCCACCCAAAGTCTATGTTGGTGAAAAGGAAATCAAAACGCCTCCCAGAATGTGTACCCCATATGTGTCGACCGTTTGTTCGTGATATCCCATGAAATAAAAAGCCATGACTGTATATCTCTTGAATCCGTCGTGAAAGAAGAAGAAACCCAGAGGAGAGTGAAAACTCCGCGCTCGAGAACAAAATCGCTAAATCCGTCAAAAGAAAACAAAAATCTATCAGTCCGTCGAAGAATAAGAAGAATGAAATCCTCCGATTGCGCTATGCATGAAGCTCATACCAAATGACCCTAGAAAAAAGAATAGGAAAAAGGAAACAGGAAATGGGAAATGGGATGAAAGGAGATCTATCTATCCAGGCAAAGAAGTGTACAAATACAGAGGATCGTTCCTCTAGAAATCCATGGTTCAGGAATTTTCAAGAGGCGGAGAGGAGAGAGGTCGAAATCGATGAGCCGAGGTGGGTGATTGAGTGGTGATGTTCCTTTCTTTCTCGTTTGACCCTCCCTCCCTCTCTCCCTTCGTTGAATGAAGAAAGATGGTCGGTCAGGGTGACGAGCGCCACCGCTCCACGCGTTTTTTGCGGAGTGTTTTCGTGGGAGTGGAAGAGGCGTCGAGGTTGAGGATCTTGCGAGGCATGATTCGCGTTTCCCGATATTTGTGTAGTGGTTGTTTGCCCTCGAGTACAGAGCATGTGGTAGTCTTGTAATATGCTGTGGTTGCGAGGTGGCGATGGCGAGTGATGTTGCCTTGCCACTTAGTTGTAGCCTCCGCGTCCGGCCATGTTTGAGAATGATGTTTATGATATGTAGAGGTTTTGAATTCTTTGGTGGTGGCGATTGTTGTTTCGAGTGTGGTTGTTATCCTTAAGTTAGGTGGCGGGATGTTGAGGTCTTTATAGATGTCGCTTAGTTGTAACCTCCACGGCCCATTTATGCGGTTTGTGATGGAAAGTGTTTGTGATTTGAAGAGGTCTCTTGGTTGGTGGTAGGTTGGATGTTGATCGAAAGCAATGGAATAGCAACGAAAGGCAGGAATGAGTCTTTCGAGAGTGCTTATGTTTTACTAATGACGATGATGGGTGGGTGGGATGACTAGGAAGATATAGAAGAACGACTGACTCAAAGAGAGAAAGGTTGCCTTATAAATCAAAAACAGGATGAGGAAATAGGCGGGGATGTTAGAAAAGCTGCTTGGAGTTCTGGTTTGCTGAAGCTATTCCAATTGAAGGGAGTGTGTGTAGATGGTTTGCGGGTAATAGTATAATGTAGTGATGGTATGCGAATGCGCGCTATCGTAGACGAAGATGGTGGAATTGAAGTGACTGCCTAACCACTACGGCCTCCCGTCCAGGCACCTTTATACAACACCTCTTTTGCGGTACGATACCTGGTCCCCTAGCCTTCCACACCCGTGGACACACACGCATGCTCCATCATCCATGTTCCAAAGGCGTTTACGCAACGGCGGAAGAAGGCAATGCAAGCCACCCAGGCGCTCGCGCTCAGGCAGTCTAATCCATCCTTACCGGCCGCTGGTACCCCTTCACCATCTAGTAATCTCAGCCCCTGTACCCTGTCGGGCACAAGAGTGAGAACAAAAATAATGTCTGAATACTTGAGCAGGGGGTGATTACCGGGGGAATGATTTTTTTTCCTTTTCTTTCTTTACCGTATGCTTTGCGGATTGGGCTGTTCGTTTGGTTACTCGGGTTCCTGGGGTTGCAGGTAGCTGCTCATCATATTCGCGATGGACTGCAGCAGCTGCAGCAGCATACATGCCATGACCCATTACCCAACACGAATGAAGTGGTTATTCGATATTCTAGCGCTGTTGCACATATACATGATTTCTTTTTGTGTTTCTTTATTGCCATTTCTTTATTTATTCACCGGTAGTGCACCGTTTACGTGGTATCCACCAGGAGTGCCGCCGCCACGACCCATGGACGGCGGACCGACGGAGGAGGGACGGAAAATCAGGGTTCGTGCGTTTCCAAATATGAAATGGGGCACGCAGGTGCTTTCAGCAAAGCAAGGGGAGCAAATGGTTGCCAGCTGCTGCATGGCAATTGTATGCGAGGAAGCCAGGAATAGAGAGCAGAACAGTCATCCTGAGCCTCTCTCGCTACATGTGCGCACGGACGCTTCCCCTGTACTAAGTATGCACTGTACTGCGTAACGTTGCTTATGGGTGGGCGCTGGACATGGACTCATCGCGTGGGCTGCTGGGATGGACATCCGATGGTGGGTCCCCGGTGTGCTGGTGACAGTGGCGCAGGGATTATTGGGAGCCGCACTTGCTATGTGCTTGGTGACCATCGTTCACTGCGTATTCTCGCACTGATGTCCGCGTGGTTGGTGGTCAAGGATGACTGGGGATGGGTTGGAGATTGGAGATGGGAGATGGGAGATATTGGATGGATCCGTGGGTTTGCTGAACTGGGAGATTATTGACTACGGCGGCGTCTTTTTTTAGGAGCATCGTGCCCATCCTCTTCCTCACTTACTTGCACAAGTTTCCAAGTCACGGACAGCTGTTGAAGCAGATGGATTCTTCACTTGTGATGACGGTCTGACGGTCCAACACGCGGCCACAAGGATAGGCAGCAATTCTCCATTGGAAACCGTTTCAATCATCTACATCATCACCGTCATCATAGTCAGGCCCAGACTGGCAGGGGTCAAAACCACTGTACAAGGCTCGGCCCCATTACGAAACACCTATCATGAGTTTATACTGGCGTGGGGTTAAACCGTCGTCTACAAGAGGCACTGCGTATATACCGCTGATTGGCTGGCAGACATACAGTCATACACCTGGCATCATAATAACTCATCAGCAACGACCCATGCCGGCGACCAAGGGCACCTCGACCGTCCCGCTGCCGCAATCTTTTACTCGTTCAGTCGCGTTACTATCCCGTTTCGAGAGAAAAGGCTGACGGCACGTGATTGTGTGGCACACCTGCATACATACATAGGCACTTATTCCATGTACATGTACATAGGTATAGGATAGGTATACAGGTTGCTAGTTTTCAGGCCATTTCTCCTTGTTGTATTGCGGCACCTCATCATGTATCAATGAGGCATACGGTGCGCTGCAACCCTGTATCGGGCACCCCGTATCATTGCCGGTTCTCGATGGTGGAATTCAATTATCGCTGTGAAACAGAACGCATCATCGGCATAGCTATGTATCGATAATCGCACCGAGCCAGTGGTTCGGGATGAGCCAAAAAAGGTAGCCTATCACCACGGATTCGGATGGAGCCACGGGCGGATTTTCTGTCATCTCTCTGTTGTTCTATCTTACGATGGATTGTGTTACAAAAAACAGCTGCGGAAAGTTGCAGTGATGACAAGCCCCCTGGCCCCCATCCCTTGCCCTGTATGCGCGGTTTTCTTTTTTTTTTCTTTTCCCCCGTGCTTCAGCCAAAGGTACAGAATATCCCTCAACCCCAACATCAGAGTTTGTAGAATCATGACTTGGTGAGAGCTGGAAACTGCTACACCGTAGAGAGCACAGACGTCGTCTAGTCCATTCCAGCTGCGGTGGTACCTTTGGTCCCGCTTCTCAGGTTCAGACGCAGGTCCAGGTACGGCTAAGCACATGGGACGGGGAAGAAAGGCTTTGCGGTCAGCCGTTAGGTCCCTCAGTACAGCAACACAATACGAGCGCGATGATTGACGATGTATCGGTGACATCGCTTCCTCTATGCACGCGAGCTCGGCGACTTTGCGCTGGCCCCTAGGGTCTGTTCTTTCAGCCCAGCCGGGGAGGATGTTGCTGTTGCTGCTGCTGTTGTTATCGGGAACGTAGGGCGCCGGCCGGCCAACTTCAGCTGCGTCGACGACAGTGCGCAGTTCGAGCTAAACATCTTTGGAGCCACCCTCTCCCAGATCGGAATAGATGCCGCTTCTTATGGGGAATACGAGATCGCTAAGAGCACTAGAAGGCGGGTCTGTTTCCCTTCGAGTATCTGTCCGTGCGCCACAGGTGAGTGTTCGTGTTTGCGCACTTGAGTTGTCACGAAGCTCACTTCGCGTGTTGCATTGCATGGTCTGTTTCTTTCTCAAACACCCTGGAGGGTGTCGAATGCTTTCTAGGGGTCGAATCACTTTCACAAATCCAGCTTGACCGGTCCAAAAGTTACTCATAGGCCGCGCCATTGCAGAAGGACAGAACAGTCATGGACATTTGCGGCATCTGCCATTGACCGTTCGAGGTCAGCGATGCACGGTCTCTGGGCAGGTATCCCACCACAGATAGCAGTTTTTCTGGCTGTCAGTGCCATTTTGGTTCCCGTGAGTTTATTCGTTGACCGGTAGATGACCTTCGGAAATCAAAGACGGTATCTGCATCCCGTTGCTGCAAATTACCACGCGAGATCTACAAGGGGCTTCGCGCCATCAGCATTCTTGGGGTACCCACATGCACAGTAAGCTTGCAGTTGATTATTGCATCCGTTTGACGGATGTAGGTACAGAGGTATTTGCAGCCAATGTTTCTACCTTACTGGTCATACAGTAAACAAATCTAGTGCGCGAAGCAGTCAAAACGCCGCATTTTTGTTTTCCAGGGCAGTACATCCCTGCAGTACCTTGTTTTTGCTTCCTTGTAGGCACACTCTATGCGCTCACATCATTCTCTTTATCTCTGCCCTGCCCCCTTGTCAAATTATTCTCTACCCTATCATGGGCTGCCCTGCGTATGCTGCACATAAAACGTGTCTTCAAGGCACACAGAATTCGTAGGTACAAGGGCATGAAATCTTCGGACCCCAAATTTAGGTGTGTGATGACATGAGGGACATGATGATGATGATGATGGTAGTGGTTGATCAGGGGCAACGCGTGGGCAGCACACCATCTCTTTGAGCACCCTGGCTGGGATTTAGATGCATTCCCATTCCACACTTTCGGGCTGCCGGTTGCCTGCTCTACTGCATCCGATACGGGCTGTTTCTCGTGGCATCTGGGGCGCAGACTTGGGTACCCGAGTGCGAAACAAATGTAATGGATGGGTGGCCGCCGGCAGGGCATAGCGAGGCAAACCACTGTGACGGATTGGAACACAACGGCGAGCGAGGAACGAGTGATGATGTGCGCAAGCAGGCAGATAGCATGTTGTGGAACCTTCTCACAAGCTTGAGTTGTGCTCCTACGCGCCGTTTCAATAAACAGCCTTCTCCCCCAATGATCTCGGACTCGAGTTCGGCTGCTGGGTGCACATATTCCACATCACCAGCCCCCCGAACAGTTTTCCGTAACTACAGCAGCCTCGCCGACCTGTACGACTCGAAACCTTGGGACACCCAAAAAAAAACTCCAATGGGGTAAGCTCTCGCTAGTCGTTGCCCTATATTGCCTTTTCCTGCCTCGCATCTCACCTTTTCATAGTTCCGTTCATATATTATCATTCTCTCGTTCTTCGCATCCTCTTCTAAGTTTCTCAATGAGCAGTCTAGTCTGACAGTTGATTGGCTGAGCAGCTCCATCAGTCATCCCCACGCGAGAACCCAAAAAAAGACAAGCATGCAGCCCTTTCTAAATATAGGCACCACACTTCATCATCGGCATCGTTCCTTCTCAATAGTACCCGCGATTGGCGCCCGAGAACTAAACAACGTATTCGGGAAAGTCTTCAGCGAAAATAAAAGACAAAACACCAGGCGGCGGCCACTCATAATCGTGAAACTAATTATACCAGTTGACCTCATCTCATGCACACGTGGTCATTGCATGTACATATGTAGAGCTGATGCGATTACCTCATTCTTCACGGTTGAGCATGCAACACTTATTTATGGGCCTGATGGGATACAGCGCTAGTCGGGCAAACAGTCGATAGTGTCTAGGAGGCCGCTGGACCATCCATGTGCTTGGAAGACCGTACGGAACGGAGCAACTGAAACAAACCCCATGTGCTGATATTGTCTGATTGGCAATGCGTTCACCATATCTATCTAGACAGGTTAGCAGAAAGAGACCAGATTGGATCGTTTTTCTTATCACTTGCGCTCTCATCCGTCTCAAGGATGCGGAGATCTGCGTTGCATGGATGGACATGTCAGTCATCGCGACACAATCATCGGAATCCCGATAGTACGTGGCGTCCTGACATGAGATTGATCTGGGCTGTACATGCTGCGAGATCTAGTGGAAATATCATCCTCATGTGCCTTCGAAACGCGCAGTTGAGCGCATCAAGGTGTTCAAACGAAAAGGGCTCACCTAGGCATTAGTCCCACCCTAGGACGGTTCGACATCGAAGTATGTGCAGGTAGCTGATTCGGAGGGTTGTTAAATGTGCGAGCAGCCCTTTCAAGCCCTCTGTTTGCTGTACATCATTGGTTTTTCGGGAAGAGCTTCCCTAGCTTCAAGCCACGCGCATGTAGTGGCGCCGCGGAAGCTCCCGAAGGCATTGCTCGATTGGTGATAGATGCAGGGCATTAATTTATAGTACTTGTTGATATAGTTCCCGTTCAAAGCGTGATATTCCGGGGACATGGATTTGGGTAGACAGAACGCTTTGTTCCGATGCACATGCACACCAATCTTCTGGTGCATGCTTGAAATTTGTATACGGGCTAGCACGCAGCTATTCTCAATAAATCATGTGGACATATCCGTACAGGTCACCGACAAGTTGGTTCTCGGAAGACTGGCTGGTAGCACGACATACATATTTATCAGTCATTCTCTCTTCTCGCGGCATTTTTTTTTTGATTTCACAGTATCCCCTGGCTTAAGAAAACATGCCTTACCGAGAATTTTACCCTGGCCATGCCTCCCCGTCGTCGATTACTTTCCTTCTCCTTTCTCCTTTTTTTTCCGGTCAAACTACTCGGCTTAGTATCCTATCATGTTTAGTGAGACACTAAGCATACTTGTGGGTATCGAACCTTTCGTGTTCATAGAAATGGTTGATATATTGTGATGTAGTCTTGCAATGTAGCTTCAGCGCTCCCCGATCGTATCGATAACATGAGGGGCCTTTAGGGTCCAGTCCAATCTTATATGCACCATTCTGTGACCCATCCTGCCTGTTGCTTCTCTTGATACTCCAAGTAATCAACTCATGATTTATATAATGTTTAGTTCGCTACCGCTGCCACCCCTTGCGCGTAAATGTGGTTTTCGAGTACAAAGCCGACGCGATCCCACTGGTTTTTTCACCTACCTGTGTTTACCATGAATAGCCAAAGCCTGAATAAGGCTGATCAAATCTCGTCGGGTTTTCGGTCATTGTGGGCCATTCAATTCAAAATTAAACAACGATATATAGTTGTTCAATAATCACACGAGACACGGATGAACGTACTCGAGGAATAGAAGGTAGACCCACTTCTATGGTCTAACGAGAAACCCCAATATGCCAAGTCTGTCAGTTCAGGGAAGGTGGCTAAAGACAGAGTGCACCGCCTCCAACGTAGCTAATCAGAGCCTCAGATAACAGCCCCCACAGTACTAAAATGAAATATTCCCTAAACAGATCCGCTCGCAACCCCGACTATGGGGCGACTAGACAGATTCTCCATGTCAACCCCTTTTGTTTACATCGATGGACTGGACAATCCTCGTTATGTGGATGCCCGTCATGTTTGCATCACCCCTATGTTCGTACGTGCAAGCCCGACTGGAGCTACTCGTTGCCCAAAACCCCCATTTTCATATCAGTCGCTGGGTTTATATTGTATTGCCGAACAGAAACCTGCGCAGTGCAAACCTGTGTTATGCGAAGGATTCCACTTCAATATTGCCCAGCCATTGATCTGCGCGGATGTCTAGCAATGCCGCATCCTCGGCAAACTCGCATACGGACTGAACAGTGGCTTACATGTATAGATAAGTCCCCATGCTGTGCGCCAATTGGTGTTCCGTGAGTACTATTCCATTTTTTTGTCCTCAAAAATGTCTACGTCATCACCGGCAAAGAGTTTGGTAACAGACCCAGCTTCGATTTCTGGTGCCAATCGTGGTCCCATTACCACACTTTTCCATCAGCCGACTTCGTGTCTCTCAGTCCTTACCACAGATACCCAAAGGCGAGCTCTGTATCCAGCTCACGGAGTGTACGGTTACTTTGACGATGATTGCTTACCTCTGGGGTCATTAGCATCGGGTGACCTTAATGCCGCTAGAGCTTGGAAAACATACTATTGTAGGTAGCGATCTTCGTTCTCGACAAATTCACCTCTCGTTCGAAAAATCACTGTTCTCAACTCTAACCCGCATTCCCAGATAGTCCTGCATTATGCCCTTCGGGGTGGGGGGGAGTAGCTACCTTCTCACATAGACTTCCCGTCGCTGATGCGGACCTTGAGCTTGGACCTGAAACGTCAGCTGTTCTTTGCTGTCCTCCGTAAGTTTTCATTTCAATCTAAGGGTCCGCTTTCTACGCGTATGTCGATTTCGAAGCATTACTATGCGCGTTTCAGAGACTGGAGAATGGGATGAAATACAGTATCAGTCCAGTGTCTGGACTGCATGGAGTACTTAAAACAAAGCGTACTGACCAAGCCATAGCCAATACACTTCTCACATAAACGGGCATGGTTGCGGGTCTCCGGTATCCGAGAGCCAGATGGTAACCTATATAAATCCAGAATCTCGCGACGCAGGTGGTTGGGATCTTGGAAGTCTTCTGACAACTACTATCTCGTCAAGTAGTAATATTGTGGGACACGGCGTTGTTGCTTTGTGGCAGAAGAGTGATGAAGCAGTCCTCAAGGCGGCAGCTCTAAGCGCAAGCCCCACGGAAAAAGCATCCAGTGTTGAAAGCACACCAGTCCCTGCTTCCAGTTTCACAAGCTCAACTGCCAGCTCAACTGCCAGCTCTGCATCCGCCGGGGATGCCTCGCCAAACGACTCAATCGATGGCTTATCAGCTGGTGCTAAAGCTGGTATTGGTGTAGGGGTCTCTCTGGTTATATTGATTGCATGTGTCGCTGCATTCTTCCTGTGGAAAAGAAAGAGGCCCGACGCATATCACAATAGCGAGCATCCTCCGCCGGTAGAACTTTCCGAAAGCTATAAGCGATACGAGGCACCCACTAAAATTGTAATCCCCTCTCAAGAGCTCTGTGGGAAGCCGGTGGAGAAGCAATACAGATATGAACTTCCTTAATTATCAAATTTCGAGGGCAAAGAGTGATACCCGAAGAATATGTGGATTGCCCAATCTTATTCTTCGTCTTAAAAGTAGTAGATAAACAAAATTTGCGTGTCTGAGCGCTGAGAATTCTCAAACGATGTCTCCAGAGCGCCCCAAAAAGAAAATACCCACTTCTTCAGGCCTTAGCAGATCAGACATCTTATTTCCATTTCCCCATCGGCTTTCAATCATAGAGATGGTCAGTGTAAGGACTGAGCTTCTCGAATACGATAAGTAAATTAGTCATCAGTATCCTCCAACCCGTTGGATTACATGCTCGAAGATAGTCTGTATTGGACGCTAGACCGCGGGTGGCTTCAAAAAATAAGCAAGAGATGCCGGGTTTGCCCTTGTTGATAGGTGACGCAGACACTGGCACTAAAGCCGGACAAAAGGATATGCAGAAGGCTAGAGACTTCAAAAGGCAACAACAGGGCCGGAGAGAGCGTCCTTTTCATCCTTACTGTATGTATCACGATGATGATGTGCCCCTTGATCAGATGCGCTGCTTTTCATTCCCACGCAGCTGGTCGAGGTTGTGGCCTCGCTTGGACTCTTTTCACTTTGACGTATATCACATCATTGACAAGGACAGGGTGTTTAAGTCCTTAAATCTAAGTCTCCCCAGTTGACCTTGGCAGAGCTAGGACCTGTCACAAACGAAGACCCCGTGGTGGCGTAGCAAGGTCGCGTCCCCAGTGATGTGGGCGTTTTTTACGATACCATGAATATTGCTACGCTAGTGGCTTGTCTCCGAAGGAAAGAAGAAGTCGACCTAGAACGATCCAACAACGTCTGAAGATATGTGAGCGTAGGATTGTCTTAAGCCGTATCGGTACCAAAAGAAGCTGCTCGAGATACTTCAATTCCAAATTACTCTAAGTAGCTTTGCCCTTCGAATATAAGGATGACCTATGGGGATTGCCTTTTCCATGATGATGCATAAGCTCTGTCCACATCGTTCCAGATTCCGTCTATATTCGACGGCCCGTTCCGCTGTCACTATCACTGCAACAGCAGCGATGCTATAGTCGCTACAGTTCTTGATCTGATGAGTGGCAATGCACGTTTCCGCTAGTCTCTTTCATGGCTCATGGAGTAGCGTCACCTAAATTCATTCCATACTCTTCTGAAATCGCACAGTGACTAGAGAAAAGATACCAACCGATCTGCGCAATATACATCAATCTTCTGCACTAGCCTTGTCTACAGTAGTGATATCAGTTAGGGAATATCCCATCAGCCACTGTAGATTGTCCTCCAAAGACATTAGGGTTATCTTTTTCGAATGAGTACAATAATAGAGAAACTCGGCATTCTGCTCGAATAACATAGGCATTAGTAACGATTTAACATGTAGAACACTCGGCTTTTACTAACTAGTGACTAGATAATTCCCGTTCACACTATTCCCGACACCACCGCACTGAAATCCGTGCCGATTGCTATAGAGAACAAAAACGATGCGTATGCAAAGCTCATACCCTGCACGTGGGTGGCCCCCAACTGAATACACAGAGCCCATCGGCATCAGCGTCAGCATCAGCATCGGCAACAGAATCAAACGCATGACCCACCACCTTTACGTTCCCACCGATCAAAGACACGAGGAAAATGACAAAAATATCATTACAGTTTACACTTTCCATTCTCATCCACATACGCCAACAGAAATCGATCTACATGAGCTGCTCCACGCAATCAAACTCGGACTCCGCACCCACGTGAGAAGTTCTTAACCTATTCATACATGTATAGATGCATGCCAACCTAAAACTTCCTATCTGATACAGTAAGCATGCAAGCCCTCTAGCCTAATCAAATTGCAAACATCTTGTTATTTTCTGACACCCTTCCTAAACAGCCATTTCCCGCCACATTCCACCCACCAGACCCCTGGGTCTCCCGTTTGTGGATAGAAGCTGTACCTAACCCGTCACCGGGTTACTGGGATCTTCGCAAGCATGCCACGTTTATAGCAGGGCGGAGTGTGATGATGATGACAATGACGGTATCGGGGAAGGATCGATGAGCATGTTTTGCGTGATTAATGTTGAACGGGTGTAGAGTCACACGCTTGAGGGGAAGAGGAGGGGTGAGTGTACGCACCCGCTCGTGTTAACTAAACGAGTACACGCGTTCATGAATATCCAATCCACAAGACTGCGACGTCAAAGCTCCAATACGATACATATACTCGAGCACAAATAACTCACGTGTATACCTGCAGGCGCAAGCTGCCTCGTCAACAGTGGTACATTGGTTGACCTGACCTGCAAGTCTAATAGCTGCCTAGGCACAAGCACGCTTTGCCTGATCGCTAGTTCATCATTCCATTCACCCTCTGAGCCCAGTACATAAGTCCTTTTTTTCTCGCAATGACCACCCCGTGTTGATATGGGACTCTCGGGCGCCGAAGAAGATGTCCAGGGGTATACCCAGAAGCAGCAAACGCTGATGGAAGGGACAAGGCAAGCAAACAACGTGGCGGCACGTACGCCTTCAAAAGCTCGCACCATACCGCACTCTTTCGTCCCCATGTTCGTCCTTGACCCCTGGTCTTGACGACGGGGACCCACGTACGCACTGTGCACAAGATGCCAAAATTTCGAACCTCGAACAAGCGGGATCCAGAAAAAACTGTATAATGAACGAGGCCTGGTTTTCAATGTATGAGGTGAGGGAGCTTCGCGGACACATCGGCTGCGCCCCACTCGCTTGTCAGTGACATGCATGTCAGCACCCCCCAAGCGGAAGGCCTTCCAGAAGAATGCCATTTCCAGACGATTGGAGTAGTTGATTGGGCGACTGGTTCGAAAACATCATTTCTTAGACTGCGTGTGGCGGTAGCCATTAGATGTTTAGAAACTAGGGGGGAGTATTATTAAATTGAGGTACGTGTGTAGTTGCCTTGATTGGTGAGTGGATAATTTTATCTCGGTGATTGGGGAGCCAGGAAGTGATACGTATCATCTCTAACCTCGAGGTGAGTGTTGACGAGCGGCTGCCTGTAAATGAGCGTTCTCGATATAGCGGACGGACTTCATGAGCCCGCACAATAAATTTTCTGCTCCGTTTCTTGGGATTGAACGCGGAGAGGCGAAGTCGACCATATTTGCACCCGACCGCACAATCACTGCCATATTTGGTTGGCAGGCCGCTGCATATTGGGGGCTAACATGATAAAATTCTACTAGAAAGTGGAGAAGTTTTTGATTGTGGTGGTTGGGGGCGAAATTACATGGGACATGAGACATATAGGAAGTTGGAAGTGTATTGCAACCTCGCATGATTGCGCCTCAATTAGAATACCTGGGGTATGGCTGTTGTGAATGTAACATCGGATATCATGTGACACAAAGGAGGATGTGTGCAGGAAACCTGGTTCGCATGCATGCAGTTCATGAATACGTTTGAGAGCTTGAAGTGCTTGATCGCATTCGACGCGACACAGAAACGCAAACGCGTCAATTATAAGTAATTGTATGTGTGGGCGAATCTTGGCTCAAGCGCTGTATGAGCTAATGTAATACTATGAAGATTCAGTGTGAGTCCCCCGAAGATCAACTGATGTGTTCGAACTTACGGTGAGAACCGACTCATCTTCGTCTCTTTCGCTTGGAAGATAAACATAAAGAATCAAAGCGTGCTCATGACAGAAACCTACGCAAAGCATTGGTGATTGGATCAGAGTTGTGGAAGCGACACTGTTTGAGGATATGGACTTACATGCAATGACTCTTCCTCCTAGCCTTCCCACGCTCATCACCTTTCCCCAGTCTTTTCCATCGATCCTGACTGACGCCCACCCTTCTTCACTCTGACCATCCGCGCTTCCCAATAGCTTCATGCGTGTACTTGGGTGCTCTGCTAAGCCTATCTCGCCACCTGCCACTTGATTCGGATCTAATTCTGGGTTGCTCAGATCAGTCCACACGGAAGATATGTTCATGGCATCAGTTTTGATGCTCATCCGTAAGCAGCCGTGCATATTCGCAGCCATCTCTAGTCGCGTTCGCGCGGACATGCCGGAAGCTCCCGCCAGGGCCAGTTTGGTGAATCTATCGCTGATACTCTTTAGCTGCATCAGTGGTGGGAAAATGATATGTACGTCGGGTTCCCGGCACTGTGGTTCGTGTAGACCAGCCACAATGTCGGGAGCAAGCACTCTAACAGGTATTTCCTGCGTGATGATTGTATCACGATTGGTGGCGCTAGCGTGATCCTCATCCAGAAATGAACCGAACTCGTCGTCGTCGACTGAGCGCGTGGGAATGGCCGAGATCGAGCTTGAAGATGAAGGATTGACAACTGTGAGGGCTAGCAAAGGCATGTTGTCGGCTTTTTTGGTCAGGCGGATCTGTGCCGAGGTGGCGTTGAGAGCGGACCTGAGGGCGCGATTGAGTGGACCAAGCGGAACTTCAAGATTGATGATATTGTTCGCAGCGGATTGAACCATATAGGTGCTGAAAATGGCGTCCTTTCACAGTCTTGTGTCAGTTGTGATAGCACAATACTGATGTTGCCTGGCTTACAATAGCAAGAACACTATGCGATGTTAATCGTATAAAACATTACATATGCTCATTGTAATGAACTCACGCCCACACTTGTGTGCCCTGCTCCGGAATGATCGTAAAGCATACTTTATCATCACCAAGCTTGAGCCATGCGAGCGGGCCGAGTGAATTTAACGATGCCGTGAGTTCTATACACGCAGCAATTAGCCTCGAAAATCGAACCAAAGGATTTCATATGGGGGAACCAACTCGTAAAAGTCGTTATGTTATTTATTGACGCCTTGAACCGCATCGCATACCTCCTTTGGAATGTAGTCGTGTAGGTAAAAGAACCGCGTCAACTGGTCGCGTCATGTAGGCGAGATGTGGGGCAGCTAGCCGGTCACGTGATGCTTCGAATCCAAAGGTACATATGTACTCCCAACATGCAGACCTGGACTCTAAATGTTGTCTTGAATTGTTTTGTGATTCGCTATTAATAGGGAGTTCTTGAATCAGCCCGTCTATAGACATGAATGTGGTATCTTGCTAAATGCATATGTATTTTGATGTCTACCCGCGCTTACAAATGCATTTGTACGTGCCGCAAATGTGCACGCAATAGTCTAGAGCACTGACGCCTACAATATGATGAAAAAAAAAACAGGGGAAATAAAGAGATTGGGCAAAAAGCTGTAACCGCGTGAACTCACACTTCGTGACTATCAATTGACATCTAGTCACGCTAATCTTGAGTTGAGTTTGGCTTATCATCACCGGTACACTCAACATCTACAAGTATACATCCACCTTGTTATAAGTCTTGTAGAATGAAAAGCTAGAAATCTGGACCGATCCTGCGAATCATACCAATCGGCATAGGTTAAAGTACGAGTGATCTTAAAAGCCTATTGAAACTTCATACGTGGAAGTTATCCTCTCTCTTAACCAGACAGCATCCTGCTGAATCTCGGCGCTTCACTCTAGTTATGTGTTCATTCTTCTTTCTTGTTGTCTGCTTTGCTGCTCCCTTTGTCTGCAAATTATTATTCATCGCTTAAATAATGACAAATGAAACATGCACAACCAAGCCAGTGTGGACTAGCTTGTGAAGCTTTTAACCCCGATTCGTCCGTCTGGGCAACACAACTATTGTGCAGAACCCATCTTCAGGTGCAGAATGTATACATATATCTCTTATCAGAACCCTACCTTCACTCTGCTTACTATTAGTAATTCAAAACGATAACATAGATGCAAAAAGCTCGAGAAGGCATATAAGACTCGAGAGACGCACGAAGAGCCGTCCGTCACTGATTTCAAATTCTTTGCAGTTCACTTCAACATTTCTTATCATTGAACAGACAAACTAATTGGAATCGATTCGTAAATATACACAGCTTGGTCGCGCAAGAATACCAAGTAAATCACGGTACAACATTAAGAACAAACACAGAGAACATGTCGACGTATCCATCAACCTACACCGCCTATCGACGAAGCCCTGGCACTTCAGCGCCTCCGAATGGCCGCCTCACCATTTTTCCCAGTACTGAAGAATCTCTTCCCTTGGCATCCCAGCTGCGTCCCGACGATGTCATTGTCAAGATCCACGCCATTTCCCTCAACTACCGCGATGTCGGTATTCTCATAGGCAACTACCCCCTTGCCGTCGAAAGTGGCGGGATTCCATGCTCGGACGCTGCTTGCGAGGTCGTTGCGGTTGGGGAACAAGTGTCTGCTTTCAGTGTGGGGGACCGCGTGACGCCCATTACGTCTATTGGAGAGCGAGGTGGGAAAGATGACGACGATGATGGGATGGATGTTCATATAGGCGTGGACACCGCGGGAATGATGGCAGAGTTTGCGGTAGTGAAGGAAAAACATCTAGTGCGCTTGCCAGAAGGTCTGAGCTGGGAAGAAGTAAGTTGTTGTTCAGTCTCACGCTTACCCTTCAAATTCTGGTTGAAAGAACAGTGGAATCATTCTATTCGCATTTCGTCTATTCGAAAAAAACGTCATGGCAACATCCAAAAGTTTGATGCTAATTGTTGAGAAAAGGGATCAACCCTAGCATGTGCGGGCGTGACTGCCTACAACGCCCTCTCCAAGCTTCAGTATGTCCCTAAAGATGCGACAGCTGTTCTTCAGGGTACCGGTGGCGTAAGCATGTTTGCTCTAGCTCTCTGTGTTGCTGCAGGCATTCAGGTACGTACATCTCGCATGAAGTCGGATAACAGGAATCCCATCTCACAAGATAGTATGTCGTGGTTTGGGTACCACAATCATTAGCCTCTTTCAAGTTTACTGATTTCGGGTCTGGAACTCTAGCCGATCATCACGTCGTCCTCGGATGCGAAATTAGCCGCCATTGCCAGACTGTATCCGACCGTCCTCGGCATCAATTATAAGACGCTTGGTTCTGACGCCGCTGTTGCAGCAGAGGTCAAACGCTTGACAGACGGCCGCGGCGTTGACTTTGTGATCAATAATTCAGGGCCAGGATCTCTCATGCACGATATAGATATGCTGCGTGACCGTGACGGCGCAGTTTCCCTGGTAGGGTTCCTGAATGGATTTCAGGCAGATTGGTCGCCTAGTGGGCTGATGGCGCTGATGGCGAAGAGAGCCAAATTGCAGTGAGTGTCTTCCAATAATTTTACAATTATACCACTCGAACGCGAACTATAGTTATTACTTTCGTGTAGGAGTCACAGCTAATTACGAGTCAAACGTTAGGGGCATCGGTATGGGCTCGAAGAAAGACTTCGAAGAAATGAATGCATATATCCAGGACAAGAAGGTAGACCTCAAGCCACTACTTTCAAAACCATTCTTCGACTTCAAGGACACTGAAAAGGCGTTTGACAAGCTTGAGTCTGGAGATTTCACGGGAAAGATTATCATCAAAGTACCTTGATCGTGTTGATATCGAAGTATTCACGAAGATCAAGTTCACAGTGGTCTTCTGAGAGAAAATCCTTTGTGGTCTTTGTATCTGTCTTAAGCACAACTGGCGATATTTGCGGTAGTTTTCGTAGACGGCAATGGAGTAGTGCTACGCCGCGCCTATCTATGTTTGTGTCATACATATATGTTCTCAGTGCTTCGTTTCGTCTTATGCATGCAAATCTCTTGAGATGTTCGAGATCAAAAGTTGTATTTGGTCAGAGTTCACCCATCTTGAAAAAACTTATGATTTTGTTCTGTTCTGGCCAGACCTATCTGGTATTTACATTCACAAGCGATCTAATGGATCATGTTATTTCAAGGAAGCGACATTTTTTTCTTTTTCTTTTCGATATATTTTCGATGTAGAAGTTTGTTGATTACGGCATACATAATAGTGGTAATAAGAGCTGTACAAGACTTTAGGCGATGACCTGAAAATCCAAGCAAGATTACGATTTGTTTGCACTGGAGGGCCTCGGAGCAGGGTGTGGTGGCTGTGCAAGCGACCATCCCTTTCGGATGCCAATTAAATTGCGAGATAGTAAAAATCGACATAGCCTCAAACTATTCACAAGTAAAATATTCAATCATAGTATACTGCAAAACAAGTATTTTGAAAGCCGACAAACCAGTTTAACAATCCATTTGGACACCGATGTCTATCAGTGGTCATCCTTACCCATAAACCCACCATTGGCCAATATTGTATATTGAATTCTGAGTTGGAGTTTAGGTGATCCAACACATAGTAAACAACGATTTATACGTTGTAATAGAATCAGAATGGATCTTTGAGTGGATGACTAGATATTACTACATATTTCAATTTGTACAGCGATAAACGTTCCAAAAACATGCGATGACCAAAAGGCTGCATTTGTGTACGTTGTGACGGCTCTCCTACCTAGATTGCCTACCACTATACCCGGAGTGTATGAGAACACTCGCGATTAGATAAATCAACATGTTCTTTTTTGTACTTCGAGGAGTTGTACCGCATCTTATATGCGATGAATCTCGATTAAACAGGCTCAAGTTTTCGGGAAATGTGGTAATGTGGCAATGTGACAGTGGACACAAGTTGAGGCCATACCAAACGCAGTCATCATAATGAATTAGTAAAGTGTTAAGCCCAGCTTGCGGAACTCCACACCCGGAATTCTTGTAGCAATCATGTTGGCCCACCTTTTTACAAAACACCATACTTTTAGAACAAACGTCAGTATTTTTTACCCCAGTGCTCAGCACGTGAAAGATTGACTGCGGAACTCCACACGACGCAGCCAAAAGACATAAGAGTGGGGAGGGACTAAACGGTTAACCACTTCTTAGCGAGATTGAACGTAAGATGACTGAACATTCGCCCTAAGTAAGGCTGACTTCAAGAGACCCAACATCTAGACAAAATCCTTCTCGAGAAATTGTCGCCGCTTACTTGCTATTTGGGATACGGAGATAAGACGTGATACCACATACGGTGACGCTTTACCCTTTTTGGAAAGAGGAAATTTGAGAAGAAATTCAGAAATTCCTGTTTAGGAAAGCTGACATAAGTGTGGAGTACCGCAGCTGGAGCAGGAAATGAAAAGTGCAGAAATAGTTGGCCAATCTTGGTTCTGAGACATCAAGCACGACATCGCTAACAGTTTATAGTGAAAGTTCGAAGATGCATGTGTACGCATTGTATGACTCTTACGCATATCCTATGATTTTTGCTTTCTTACCGTGCATGCAATCTCACCTTGGGCGATCCTCTACCAATTTCGAATCTTTTGGCTTATTTTCAGGCGACTGAGACATGCGGGTAGCCCCGGTAAAGCAATGCGGGTAACCTTTATGGGAATAAAAATATAAGAGTATTTCCATTATACCGGTATCCCGCCTTTTCGCCTCCAGTCAGCGGAGATGAGGGATGCGTTTGACCGGATTCCCGTCGTAGATCGGAGACCTCAATTACCCGAAGGAACTAGGCCCGTTAATCAAGTATGCGGCAAACCGTTTAGGGCGTATGAGATCAAAAATTCTAGATTTCAGTGAATCGACTTCTCGTGCTGCAACGAAACATTCCAAATAGTAAACGATACGTATGACTGCATAATTTCTCTTTAGAGTATGCATGTAAGAATGAAGAAACTTCAACACCTAGCAGGATGGCTTTATCCCAGAAAGTCTTGGAAATTCCGGGGACGCCGAATACGATCATAATGACCGTGGCGGGATGTACTCAACGGGTACGGCTGGAAGTATGCAAGATGAATCAATTGGAATCTTGACATATGCTAACACTGACTGTGCACAGATAGTGGCAAGATGACCGAGAGGAAAAAAGGAAGGAAGGAAGGAAGTTTGTGCTCCCGATGCCTAAGGCGTTGGCATACTAAATGCTCCCCTAGATACTCATGAATTCGAATATATTGGAGCTTGGACATTGTATTAGACGGCTGGTCATCACAAGATAGATCCAGTAGGCGCCTGTTATGCAAACTCGATGAGAAAGAAATATGATTTAGTAAAGGGACTTTTTTGTGTTCAATGGCCTGCCATACAAGTTGCTCTATATATTCTTGTCTGTCTAGTATCAAACCAGTCAGAGTGAATCTAGGATGCTAAAAATTAAAGATACATTGAGGGCTATATCATGCCCGTAGACTGGATAAGAAAGTGACAAACATCGAAATTCATTGCGCAAAATTTGCAGAGTAAAGTGAGGGAATATTGATGAGAAAGGAGAGGCGTACAAACTATGAGAAGACCGGAAATGAATGAAGAGATCAACAGTACTGCGATGACCAAAGAAGAAACATTTGCTTGATTCAAGGAAGAAGGAGAGGGGGCGGGGCAGCGTAGATACATGTCCTTTGAAAAGAAAGGTATTTTGATAGTGTAGCTTGAACAAATACTCGCATTGGCATAGTGCCCTACGATGGGTGTGTTGGTTGCATCCAGCTGCTGAAGCATTCTTCTGTCAATACCGACGATAGAATTTTGAATGCCCAATAATCTGATCCGCATTCCAGACGAGAAGTTCCAGCGGAAATCGGCCCTGTTGGACTATTAGTCTTTGTATTTGTAAAGTAGGTTGAGCAATCCAAGGAACCAGCAATCCCACCGAGAATACTTACACGTTAGATTCATATCCAGAGATAAGAGCATATCCCACCAGTTCCACTCTGGCGCGGAATTTACCAGTGTGTCTGCTTCTGGTAGAAAAATGTCTGTGACTCCCCGGCTTATCACTTCCGAGTACGCATCGAGTGCTTCCCATGGAATATCAAGTCCTAGCTTCTCACCACCACCAATATTGGTCGGGGGATTATTGACAGAACTTTCGAATCTGGCATAGTATGACAGACAAAGAGCACGCTCCTTACTGCCAGGCCGGCTGACCAACCCAAGAATGAACACTGGGAGGAGGACGTAACGTGCATAGGCAGGCTCTGTATTATCGTGCAAGAACATAAGAGACGTGAAAAGACTGGAAAAGGCTTCCTCGTGAATCTTGTACCGACTGTTCCAAAGCTGCTCGTTGGGCGACTCCATGTATGATGGTGTGGGTGATGCAGACCTAGAGAAAGGGTCTTCGTGATGGGGTCCAGGAAAAAGATAATCCGCATGCTCTTCGTTGATTCCAAACTCGTCACCGGAATCACTGAACTCCATCTCTTCCGTCCCTTGATTGTAGGGGTTGAGATCTGGCTGCGAAGTAAAGGACCGTCTTGATTGGTTCATGGCCGATGATGATGAGGACAAGACTTGAGGAGACAAGTTTGGTCTTCCAAGGTATAAGTAGCGAATTATGAGGACTGTAATCGCCGCTTTCCATGAAGCATTGAAATTTTCCCAGAAAAACGGGATCCTGTTCATACTACAAGACGGTTAGTCACGTCAGAGGCTTGTGCAAAAACACTTACAATTCCGGGTTTTGACTGTCAAAACCTGTATTCGTGGGTTGATATTCAAGAACTTCTCGCAGTACTTTGTCTCTTCTGTACATCTCAGCAAGTCCAGGGCCGTCGTTGCTAAGGAGGTTCTGAGCGCAAACACCCATATCCCACATAGCCAATGTCAACACTGTCGGACATAGATTGGATGTCTTTCTTTTCACGAGGGGTGAGTGACATAGACCCTCAAGAGCCGCCCGCGTTGTATGTTTCACCTTCGTCATCGGAATGTGGGAAAGAGCTGCCCACATCTGTAATTTCGAAGTTAGTTTAGTACGATTGGAAAATTTATATATTCTTACCGTTTCGAAATGTGCCAGGTGATAAACCAGAACCTGGAGATGTGGGTAGTAGAAACACAAATTTTCTATCCCCCCATAGGACGAGATGATGTGTAAGGAGCCCATGGCGTGCACCACCCATCTATCGACCCCATTCTCGAGTAACTGAGCGTGGTAAGTTACGAGTATTTTGTTTAGAGAGGACCGATGACTCACATCCATGGCAAATATCAAGCTACCAACGCATATGGCAACATCAGGCCTGATGTCTGTTTGATCTCGCGGTGTGACCATTGTTTTATTATGGCTTTGATAAGCACCGACTTTTTTCTCGAGTGCCAAACGCTCTAAAGCTTTATTCCCTGGGTTCTGCAATGACATGTGGACCGCAGAGATTGCGAGTATGCAGTCTACTATGATTCTCGGCAGTCTAGATGCTGTGTCGACAGAAAGTGGGGCCAGGTGACGGTCCAAAGTTGTGGTCTGCCCGATAGTGACACGCTCAGCACAAAGTGTATGATTATCTAGTATTGATAAGTACCTAAGCTATGAAAGCATCTATGGGCAAAGGATGAAGGGAGATGGGGATTAGGTGGCTTACAATAACCCATAAGTTGCATCCATTGCGAATCGGCTGGTGCATTTTGGGTCTCGGGCTGCTCCGCAAGCGGGACACCAAACTGAGCTGCTTTTTCATAAGTGGAATCGGCCTGTTGCTGAACATTTTTGTTGACCATCTCTATGACATCGGCATCAACTACTGGTTTGGATTTGCCCTTTAGTTTGCCACGGACAGCAACGCCGTCTGCCCATCTCAAAGGTTTCTGATAGCCGAGACAGGGAACGCCTTTTTTGTCGCATTTTCGGCATGTTGGAAGAGTTCGGTCGCATCTAATATGTCGCTTCCTGCAGGTATAACACTGGACGTCGGCGAGTTCCGAACCATCTTTAGGTGTAGAAGAGGCTTGCATTTGGGTTTTCGAATGGGTAGAGGATGACGAGGCCATTTTTGATTTGTTGGATGTCTTGTGTTGTTTTTGTATACTGGCGTATCTGTTGTGTTATATCATGAGGGTTGATGGCGAGGGAGAATGGTTTTATACAGTTGTGTAATATCTGGTAGTCTTTCGAGAACGAGACAACTGTGAAGCGTAAGGCTCGCAATGCCGGTCCAATCTCCACATGCTCATGGTAACGCTGAGAAGCACTGCAGTGGGTGATTGACGTTTAGTCTGTCCGGCACCAGTGCATGCGGAGAAATAAAACGGGATCTTGACGCTATGAATCTGGCCGCTATGACGACGCAGTGGGAAGCGGGTAGCATCCATGATTTGGTGAGGTCTCAGCTTGCAAGGCTGGCAAAATGATTAACGTCTATAATTGTGCACAGGGTGTACCGAGAAGTAATAACCTTAATTTGATTGACAGAGGACCTCTACATTTCGTTACTGAACCGCCTATTTGGGACTAGTAGGATGTATAGGGTAAACCAAACTCTTGGCCATTGCTTACCGTCGTGCGTTGTGTAGATGTGAGGGTAGCTGATTGGGGGCGCAGGAGGTGGGAGCTGATGCACCAATCATCTGACATCCTGAACGATGCTCTTGTCGACGACGTTTGCATTCTCGCCTATTGAGCAGCCCTCGAGGGCGCAGTCCACGCCAAGTTGAAAATATTAGTACCAAGCAGGTTAGAGTGCCTACAGGGTGCCTGTATGAATCTGACCGACGCTCTAAATATTCACAGCAATTCGACACGACTTTGGCCACACCTGTCGCGAACACCGAGGCTGGGTACACATAAGCAGAGGCGGTGTCGACGTTGAGTCTCGAAAGAACCGTTAATTACACGGAACATCCAATCAACACCGGCCAAACTCTTAATCATCGCTCGAAAACCAGATAGCAAGGCTGCCGTGCATGCCCACAGTCAGACGGAGCAACTAGATAGCTTTGCCATCGGTGCTTGCTACTCAATCATCTCTATTGCCATCACTGTCGCACTGCTAATCATCATCTGGGTATATCCAGCATGTGGCGCGCTGCAGCCTTTCTTCACATCGATATTTTCCTCATCTCGTACTGCGCTCGCGAACGCGAATGCGATTACATGGTGATGAACAGATGAGGCTTGAGGTGCGCTTACAGGTACCCGACGCTCGAGCCAGCGCTATGTTCGTGCTGTACTTGGACCAAATGAGTCATTGCCGGCCATCAGGTTACTTAATACGAGTGCGAGGGACGCTGTTCTGTGTCAATTGAATGACGGCAGCAAGTTGGCCTGTCAAGTATTCGCCCAGACATATGGGACACAAGTACATAGTCGGCCTGAACATCCTTCCTTCATGTGCACCATTGGCCTGTAGGGTAATTTACACGGAAAATAAACACTGCTCAACGCAACCTCATAAGGCTTGTTACTCCTGCCGTTACTCAGAAAAGCAACATTTCCCATCCAACTATTTTTATAAACGTGCCATCGAGGTCGTAAGCTCTAGTTTCCGCACGCTTTACCCTGCAGATCCAACCATAAATAACTGAGCCTGCAGGACAAATTTCACAACATACAGTGTAGAGTCTCAATTCTTGTTTACAATCTGCGAAAAACATTACCTGCTCAAAGGTTTTGCGGGCGTGCGATGTGGTTCACGATCCGGAGATTGCGCACTGGAGGTTGATATCGATGCCAATGCCCATAGTTGGAAAATGACAATGATCACGACTTCTTTGCATGACGGAATCTGGTGTGGTGTACAACGGGATTGCCAACGTGTAGCGAAATTGCCAACAAACATGGAGAAGCAGGAGTAGAGGCAAGCAAGGCTCACATAAGAAGTTGCTCTTCTAGCACCGATTTCTTCTGGCGCGGATCTCGAAACGAACAACTAACGTACTCAATCATGTTCGCAATGTAAATTTAGAAGAGACGGAAGAGAGACATATCAGTTCTAGAAGTGGCTGCGAGTGGGAACTGCGTCGTGCAGTCCTGGTACTTAGGTCTCACGACCATGGGAATAGATGTTCCTGACGAGGAAACACGATTCCCAAAGTCTGCGAATAATCCAACGTAGTGTATTGAATTCTAGGTTAATAGTCTGCAATCACAGTACGACCGAGTTGCTAGGAGCTTGTGGATAGCTCACACAACCAGCCGCGTTATTTCATCCAACACAAACTCATTAATCGATCTTTCTACAAGTAGAGAGCTATAACCCAATTCGGGTTTATTTGATATAGCACTATGAGTCCGCGAACCGTCTTTCCGGGTTGCTATTGATTTGTGGTCACTTACCCAATGTCTAATGTTTAATGTCCTACGTATGGATCCAAGCATGTACCTATTGAGCATATGTATGCACCTACATATGTAGGTATCATGTTGCAGAATCACGTTGCCGACGTCGTTCCCCCTAGAGGCAATGTCGACCGCGCCTTCCCAAACAACACTCTCCGCCTTCGGCCCTCAGTCAACCGCTGATTTTTAAATCTTCACCCAGCTCTCCTCCATTCCACATATTCCACATCTAACAGCCTACTTCACTTCTCGTCACTCCTCGTCTCCTTGCTACCAACACTACAAATCCAATGCCAGAATAGCTTACAATGTATCTTATTATGGCCCTCATTGTTGCTTTCGTTGCAGCCGTGATGGGTATCCCGCATAAAGCCATCATTGACACGCCCTCTATCCGCGATGTTGGCCTCGCTTACACAGAAGCAAACTACCAGGGCATATCCCTCTTTCTCCTTGAGAACCGCGAGGACACGTCCTGCTATCCGCTCAGCCTTGACGCTGCCAACAAGCCCCAGTGAGTCATACGATTCTCCATGGCCATGCTACATCACACTCGCAGCATCGACATCGGAGCCCTTCATTTGCATCTCCTCTGTTTTCTCTGCATTCTAACGATGATCAAACAGAGGTCACCCCGTATGCTCGATCAGAATCTGCATGAAAGATGTTGAGTGCCTCTTCCACACCGGCCCGTCTTGTGACCCTCCTTCCTCTGCAAGCTTCGTGGCCCAAATCAAAGGCGGAGGCGACGTCGCCGATGTTAAAACGCCTACCGGTCATGTCTTCAAGTCTTACTTATGCCGTGCTCTAACGAAAAATGAGACGGTCGCGTCGAACATGACTTTGCCGACTACGGAGCATGTTGAAGGATGGTAACTTTGTGGTAGCGGATGGCTGTTGAGGGTATGTTAACTCCCATTTTCTCCTCTTTAATGGGTGGGAGTTGCTCCCCATTGTTGGTGTAGGATGCTATTGGCAGTGGCTAGCTCGGGATGGACAGCAGAATAGCTGACCGTTTCGAGGGGCGAGTGCGAAGACCTTGGCCTGCTCTGTCTCGAGTCTGAGCTATTAGGCATCTCTAATGCGGCACTTAATCGTTTGCATTTTGCGTGCGCCGTCAGATTTTGGCAATGTTGCCCGGGAAAGCACAGAAGACCGTACTGGGGGGGACTCCTCGGGGAGATGGAGCTTGAGTTTGGCGGAATGGCTTCTTCTTCCGCACCTAGGCTAGTTACAGACGACATATGCCCGTCTCCTTGTTGGGGGAGACTCCCTAGACTACTATACACTAAGAAATGAAATCTCAGATAGAGATCAATGAATCAAGAAGTTCTCAAAGATAGTGTTGCTTCCACAGCACTATTGACGATGAAACATTGGCTCGCCTGACGGGGCTAGCCGTGATGATGATGTATGCGTCGAGGTTAGTCTTGTTGAGCAAAATTGTGCTGTACGACGCTGATTGTGTGTGTGGTACAACGCTGATACCATTCTACCTCTCTCAATATGCAGCATGGGTGAATTCTGCGTTTGTCGTGGAATAGAGCAAGCTCGCTTGGTCATTTACAGACGACATTCAAGGAGCAGAGGCTCCTCAAAGAGGACAGTGGACCGAAACAGGTGAAATGCACAAAAGTCACATGACCTATAGAGCAGTTGGAATTACAGTGGTTATTAATTAATACTATCTAGAGAAGTGCAGAGGACACAGATGCCGTGGTACATAGACACGGGGCAACTGTTTGTCGAATGCACCACCGAACGAATCCCCGGCCCGTCTATAGTGACGCGCGCCAAACGATTCTCTACCGCCCAAAACATTAGAAGCACAAAAGTGCTTTTTGGGGTCGACACAGTTTAAGCTCCATCGTCCCATCTTGAAAGAAAGGGAAATCTCAGTTGAAGACCCTCGTGACCTGCACCTTCTTGCAGCTCGGATTCTGCGGCTCGGCTTTCGCGCCCATCTTCCAGACGAGCGTCTCGTACAGGTACGCGTACCGCGTCAAGCAGACGTACCAATTTGTGGCCTTCTCCGTCTGATCCAGATACGCAGGCGGGCTGACGGTGTCGTCTTGAGAGCGCGGGATATACAAGTCCTCGCAGTCGGCGGCGACGGACAGCGTCGTCGCTTTGGCCTCGCCGGGCGTGAAGATGGGGATGGCGATGTCGGAATTGTAGTTCACGGTGAGCTCAAGCGCAGACGGAACGTCGGTGCCGCCTGCGATGGTGAGGTTCCAGTAGATGAGGCCCTGAGTGTCGTAGGGGGACGGGGCTGAGCTGGAAGTTGCGTACGTGAAGGTGGTGTAGTCAGTTGGCTCGGTGGATAGGGTCTGCGTGGTTACGCAAAGACCTTCGGTCGCGGCGCCTTGATGGCACGCTCCGAGAGCTAGATTGGGCACATGTTAGGATATTGAGTGGGTGAGTGAGGGGGGATTGAGAGGAAGGAAGTACCAGTGCCGTTTAGGGCTGGGTCATCGGATTTGAGGATGAGGCGGAAGGGAGCGGAGAAGTTGTCGTACTGGGCAGCGACGAGGCCGATGAGGACGAGAAAGATGGAGAGCATCTTCATCTTGAAGAATGGGTGGTCGTTGGTAGGTTGGTTGGAACGAGTTTGTTGTTTGTTGTGGAGGATAGGGTGGACGTAGGTACTGGCCCGGGGTGGATGTATTAGAAGAAGGTGGGTGCGAGAGAGAAACCGAGGCCGGAGCTCAAATACAAACAAAAAATTAAGTAAAGGTTGAAATAGGTTAGGTAGGAAGAGAAAACAGAAAATTAAGGTGAGAGAGACAAAGCAAAACACAACAGGAAAGAGCAGGTGGTACCAACAGCAAAACCTTGCCCGGCAGCGGGACAGAGGATATTTATCTCTCCCTTCACACAAGACACGCACTCACCGGAGACCAACAGATCTATTACCGCAAACAAGCGAGGCAACAGCGGTGGGATGCCAAACCTTAATGCCAGAGTACCAGCAACCAAAGAAATCAATCGAATGGAGAGAATATTGATAGAACCACAGAAACAAGGCCAAACCGGGGTCAAGGCAAACCCTATTTAAACCTTGCTCTCGCAGCTAGCCCATTGCACAGAGAGGCTCACACGACGCATGACGTCGGGTTTTCCCTCTCTTCCCCAAGACGCTTTCAAGATACTAAATAGCCCTTGCGTTACGGCATCAGCTACACTCGTTAGCCTACCACACTTTGCTATGTTTCTTCTCTCTCTTCTTCCCTCCTTGCCACCATAACCGCCACGGGGTCCCCGGAAGCCGGCAGGTAGACAATATATCGGTGCAGAATCTTACCTCATCGACTTCTTCTTCGGCTATACTCAATGGTTCTGCACCGGAGCACGAGCGAAGTGGATTCTGGGGTAAGTGGGTACCCGTGTGTGTGGCTTTTGAGGGGAAGCCATCACACAAGTGAACTACTACTCACGCCGCCAACCTAGACAAGGTAAAAAAAAACTTGTCGTGGGTATAACAAAGTACCGTGACCTCAGACGTCCCGGTAACATTCACGTTGCCTTTTTGTCATGTTTCGAGGTAGCGCACTTGCACTCGGCACGTATGCACCTCACACAGAAACGGCACATGGTACTACGAGACCGACTCGGACGCACGCACACAGTAGATGGAATCCCGGTTTGGTCCATGCACTTGTCCATCAGTACATGTACATGTACGTTTCTACCGCGGGCAACCGCTAATCACTGCTCGGGGATGTACGCACCCCACGCCACCAAACCCATCGAACGGGTATGTGCACCAATTGATGAGTACAATTGAGTTCTAGAAGTAGAAGAAAAGAGAGAGAAACTGAGGTAAGGTTGCACATATCTACATACAGAGTGACATCGCGTGTGTGGAGGGCGCATATGAAGTTGTAGTAGCACTCGCGCCTGAGTTTCATATATTGTAAGTTGAGGGCTCTGTGAGACCGCACAAACACTGAGTGAAAAATATCTCATCCTCGTCTTGGAAGATGAGTGGGTGACACATGTGCATCGTGGAGAAGAATGCAATCAAAGTGGACCAAGGAGTGAGCGACCCAGCACGTTGTCCCTTCTCGCCATCACCTGGACAGCCCACTCCTCTCTCCCAGATCAGATACATGACAGATAAATGACGGGAACAGAATATATCAAGATCGAGTGTATTGGCGAGAACTTGTGCAGGCAACATGATCGAAGACAAGATTCGATATGTACATTCGTCTTATCACCCCCATTTGTATACAATCCTTCTCTGCGTATCAGCACGTTCGAGAACCGTCGTCCGACCTCACCCCCAGCAACCAGGAGCGATCGCGCTTCCTCTCGCCGCTTTCTATGCGTGTGTATATATACACATATATACCAGACTTCCCAAGAAGTCAGCCATACCATGGCATGCGATGATCCACAAGTGATTAAGAAAACAAAAAACGAAGCGAGGAAAGATCGTTAACATGACCACAGTAACATGCCCTTTTGAAGAAAAACAAACGCCTTCCCACCCAAATCAAAACATGAGAAAGTAAACGCCGTCGAATGCAGAAATATAGCTGGTCGTCTATCGAAACAATATGCAAGGTGCAGATGCAAACACAAGGAAACAAAGTAAGAACATCACGTCGAAGTGTAGGAGCTAGAAGCCGTTGAAACCTAACATGACTCCTGCGCCTGCAACTGCCACACCCGCAGCGTGCCAAGGGCTCGCAGTGATGGCCGGCATGGCGCCAGCACTGGACGCGCTCACAGAAGGTCCAAATATGCGTCCTATGGCATACGAGTTAGCAAACTTCAAAGAAAAGGGGTTCCAGTACACAGTCGCCATAATTCAAAACGCCACATTTGCAGTGTGAAACTGACGACCCTGTACCTGAAGAGCAACTCACCTCCACCCCGACCCACGTTTGCAGTAGAGACGGCATTCGGCACGACCGTTGCACTAGGTACACCGCTCGATCCGGTTGTGATTTCCTTGACATCGGATCCAGTGGCGTTGAAGTTGGTCTGCGCGAGCCCAATTTGGTTGTTCTGGAGATCGTACACGACGTAGGCAGATCGTAAAAAGGTATCGCCCAGTACAGAAACGCTGTCGCCGGCGGGACTAACGCCTAGAATGCAGACGGGTCGCCCACGCTGAAATCCGGCAGTCACGACAAGTTCACCCAATTCGACGGAAATTGTTACCCCAGAAAAGGTGAATTCGAGTGAGCCTTGCCGGTTGGCTAGATCGCAGTCGACAAAAGCAGCACCCTGGGAAGAATCGTACTGAGCTCCATAGGCTTGGTACAGAGCTTGAGCCACGTTATCGGGAAGATACATAAGCGACGATCCGGAGTCAAGCAGAACAGCGATGCTCTCATTGGTGAAGATGGAGTTTGCTTGTCCGTTTTGGCCCATGCCAGTTAGGGCGATGATAAACTCGGCATGTACACCCTGCTCTTGAATAACGGGGAGCAATTGCAGTGTGCCTTGGAACTTGTTGGTATCTATCCCACCGAAGAGAATGCTTCCTGTTGACGCATCCAAATCGTTCAACCACAAGGAATAGGCATTTGTACTGATGGTACCGTCGTCGACCAGCTTTTGCGGCAGATTGGGATAAGGCTGGAGACCGGCGCGATTGACCTGTACCTCGTTGATGGTGTACCCGATGCCGAGAATGCCCTCGGGGGAGGTGGATTCGTAACCGATTCCAAACTGCAAATCTTCAATATCGCGACCTCCGAAGCGGAATGTGTCTGTAGCATAATCGCCCGATGCACCCGAGCCGTCGACGTAGCTTATGTTGAAGACGCTGTTGACATACGAGTAGGTAGACGAATCGTTTGCGGTATACGTTCCGGATTCAGCACACGGGCTGCCACGGGAAGAGCATTGTCGCGAGTTTCCTGCATTAGCCCAAAGGTCACTGCTGCCCGTGTCGATGTGGAGGCGGAGGTTTTGCGGCGGCGTGCCCAAGCTTGCGTTTGCGAAATAGAGAGTTTCCAGGTTATCGAGCGTCTGTTGGAGGGTTTTTGACTGCTGTCTTTTGCGCAGACGATCTCGCTCGACGGGGTTAGGCACGTAGCGGCGCTGGATGTCGAGTGCGACGACCTTGGGTTGCTATCGGAAAATATTAATATGGGGATGGATTGGGTAGAGGTTGGCATGATGTGGGGAGGGGGGATGATGGTGCAGTGCATGAGTAAGTAGATGGATGAAAAGCCAAGGGACGCTTACCTCTCTTTGCACCAGCTCCCATGCCGTTACCGACGACGACGTCACCAACAACTGAGCGACCAGCGCCAACGACCATGATTTCATTATTTATTGCTGTTTCGCGGGTTTAGGAAGAGCGACGAAGAGAGGACTGCGCAACAGCGCGGCGGCAATCTATGTATATAGACGGTAGCGTGAGACGCCTCAGCGCTGTGTGGCTTGTGGAAGCTGAAGCTCGTTCGGTTTTGGATGATACGCGACAGGGTCGGAATCCGCGACGCAGCTGGCGTGGATGGATATGTAGTATGTAGACGAGGCAGAGGATAATACCGCAAAGACGATGATGGGGTGCGACAGCTAAAGGCGAACAAAGGTTGGATGGCAGGTAGGTAGGTAAGCAGGTTATGTAGGCAACAAAGGGCTCGTCCGTTGCAAACTCTCGGGCAAGGACCGGGGCTGGGAGGGCAGGAGTATTTATGAAGAAACAAAGAATCCTCTGGAGCATTGAGTTAGGACGCACACGCACACGCACGACATTGAATAGACGAGCTGGATACAAAACATGCTTCGGCCTTAGTATGTAATCACAAAAAAAGGTTGCCGGGCGATGACGCGGTCTCCGACTGCTTGCCTGGCCACAATAGTGTTTCAACACCCCTTCCTCCACCATCTTTTCACCCGACTTACGCGGCTGCGCCGTGGCGGTGCACCGGCCTTGTCTTACTCATTGAATCTCAAGTGCTTTCGAGTGCTGGCAATTCGCATTGACGCAATCGAAATTCGTACGCACGATAGCTAGTCGGCCGACGAAGCCCAGTCCAGCTTCCGTACGGCGTGCGCCAACCCGCTTGGCCACGTAACCGCCATGCCTTTTGATTCCAGCCCGCCAGTGTGTCTGACGGCTTGACAAAAGAACCAGGGAAACCAGCCCATCTAGCCTTTCCACCGCCTGGCGAGGAGCGACGAGGAAGCGCTGCCGTTTGTTCACCACGAGGACAGCATACATATGAAACTCGCCCCCATCATATCACGAATGGTGCCTTGCCAGTCCCGCGTCCTTCTCTCCGCATTTGAAGAGAGACAGATATAGCAAGGGTTGAATCCTCCGACATTTCGTATCCGTTGATTAAAGGAACCTTCGCCGGCCTAATGTCTTGCAATAACTCCAAACAGCCTGCCTGCAGCGCCTGTCATGCCCATTGCCCTGCAGCGCGTACCATTTTAGAACATGAGCCAGCACTTGAGCGCTTCCGAACCAACCGGCGTGACGTACTGTAGCACGCAAACACTTGAATTTCGAGGGCCACGGCGCTTGCGTCACTGTTCCTCCGCGGTGAAGACGCTCATGGATCGAGAGTGCTTGTTGCCGTCTGTCATGTAGCCATGTATCAACATGTCGAACGTTGTGCCCGTGTGGAAACCGTTTGTTTGACCGGATGCTTGATGATCCTGAGCTATTTTCTGGGGCTCATTATGTAATCAGCCCATTTGATGCATGCGGCCTAGCGTGTCGATTCGCGTCAACCCCAGCCTGACTTGCACGCGTCGAGATTGAACAAGTTCCCGCACAATTGGTTATCATCCACAATATCGCAAGACCCAGACACGCCATGGTGACCAAAGCAGAATCCTCAAAAGGTCCCGCCAGCAATGGCATCACGGCCAATCCCAACACTGCAGGAGGAGCCAACTACGAACTGCCTTGGTACTTTCCTGCCCTCCGCCGTCTCGCGTCAATCGCTTGCTTGATTGATTGCATCGCTTACTCGCTCTCAGGGTCGAGAAATACCGTCCCGTGTACCTGAACGATGTCGTCGGCAACACAGAGACCATTGAGCGCCTCAAGATTATCGCGAAGGATGGCAACATGCCACATGTCATCATCTCTGGTATGCCCGGTATCGGAAAAACTACCTCGATCCTCTGCCTCGCCCGCCAGCTGCTGGGTGATGCCTACAAGGAGGCCGTGTTGGAGCTCAATGCTTCCGACGAGCGTGGGATCGATGTCGTCAGGAACAGGATAAAAGGCTTTGCACAGAAGAAGGTGACGCTGCCGCCCGGCAGGCAGAAGTTGGTCATCCTCGACGAGGCCGATAGCATGACCAGTGGCGCTCAGCAAGCCCTTCGACGTACCATGGAAATCTACAGCGCCACAACCCGCTTCGCATTTGCTTGTAATCAGTCGAACAAGATCATCGAGCCCTTGCAGTCGCGCTGTGCAATCCTGCGCTATGCCCGCCTAACAGATGGACAGATTGTTAAGCGCTTGCTGCAAATTGTTGAGGCGGAGAAGGTAGAACACGCAGAAGACGGTCTCGCGGCCCTGGTATTCTCGGCAGAGGGAGACATGCGTCAAGCCATCAACAATTTACAGTCCACACACGCTGGTTTTGGGTTCGTCAATGGGGACAACGTCTTCAAAGTAGTCGACAGCCCGCATCCCATCAAAGTCCAGGCAATGATCAAGGCATGCCATGAGCAACGCGTTGATGATGCGCTCACAGGGTTAAAGGAGTTGTGGGATCTTGGATACAGCTGCCACGACATCATTAGCACCATGTTCAAGGTCACCAAAACCATTGATTCCTTGAGCGAGCACGCCAAGCTAGAATTCATCAAGGTAAATTCGCCGCAGTAAGAGAAATACACAAATCGCCCAGTACTAACATTAGTACAGGAAATTGGCTTCACTCACATGCGTATCCTAGAAGGTGTGCAGACTCTTCTCCAGCTTTCTGGCTGCATTGCACGACTCAGCAAGATCAACATGCAGCCACAACTGTTTGTAATACCCACGAAATAAAACACTGGGCTGGTGGAAACTTTCTTTCACTGTTTAGCATAGCGCACGGCGTTTCTATCTTTAGCATTAATGACAGACGTGTCAAACGACACAGGAACATCAAAATAGCACCACTATTCGACTGGGTGGGCTACACACAACAAGTATCAGAGATTACTATCATAATGGTCCACGGATGCATCCCTTTCGACTCTCTATGCAACGTGCTGAGCATCGTTTCAAACGGATTCTATAATCTCACCTCTCTCGACTCCAGATGCCTCAATCTTATAACCATCGACCGGTTTTACTTTGTCTCGTGTGCTCCTGCAAAATGTCTACCTACATACCCCCGTGATCCGCATAGACGGAAGGGATCAAACAGTCCAGCAAGCACCCCTCTCTTGTTTTGTTTCTTTTCTTCCCTCATTCTGGCCAGTTCTTCGTCGCTCATGTCCCAAAATTGGGTCTCTTTATCCTTGCCTGTGACAATCCCCCATACGTCGAATGGATCAAAAACCGTAACAATCCACGGCCGATCGTCGGCCCATCCAGGTCCACGGCGTTCTGTGACGCCGTCGCGGTCCAGGAACACCGAGTTGGACCGTGGCAAGCGTTTACCCGGATGGAACAGGTTGAGGAGGCAAGTATTCAGCAACATGATGACGGCCTCGAAAATCCAAAAGAACACTTCATTCTTGTAGATGGTCGAATTCCAGCCTTGAATATACTCGACCAACCGGTAGATGCAGCGGATCGTCACAATCGACGCCGAGATGTACAGCACGACAAGCACAGTGCGTAAATCTCGAGACAAGACCCCGCGATGGCGAGCACGGCGGTGGAACTGCGCTGCTAGCAGCCCAAATGACCCAAAAAGTACAACTTGAAGCGACAGAGAGGCTGTCACCAGATTCGCTCCTAGCTGCCGCTGCTTCTCTGTCATGGAGGAGTTCACCATGCGCCACGCCCCTTGTCCGATGAGAATCTCGCATACAGCGTCGAGCCCCACAAATGTGGTCGCCACTCGACCCGGATGGAGCGGTGCAAGGTATGGTATGTAATATAGCACCCGAGAGAGGACGAAGTAGTTGATGAGGGCGTACACGGGCGGACCGCTCATGATCAGCACCGTCGACGCGACTAGGTATCCGAGGTTGTCTGTCTGGTGGGCGCCCAGTTCCCGCATCACGAAGCCGGCTATCATCAAGGCCGCTGCCCATGGGAGGAGAATTGTTGTTCGCCATGATTTATGCTTGATCGTCTGCCAGGCGTGAAGGATGCCTGAGATGAAGAATAAGACGATGAAGACGATGGGTGCAACTTTGTTAGGCGCGTAAAACCAAATCGAACCCGGCGCTGGTGAGCTATTAGACTGGGTAGGAAACTGGGAATGGGTTTAGAAATCAGCTACTTACAGTATTTTCCCATGGCCATGTTGATCTTCAATATTCCTGCTAAATCGAAGATGAAATTCACTTGTAGATACAAAATCCCATTCAACAACCAACACAAGCAAGCTGTGATCTAGACGAAAACGCAATCAAACATGCACGAGTATGTACGTTCCGCTGCTGTTTATTTATGTGCTGTCTTACACGAAAGCTCTATCTGAATACGAGAACATGCGCCCCGCTACATTCAGGCATCGGTCAGCCGTTGATGCATCAATAGAAAAAAAGCCGCATACATCTATAAGAGACTGGTACATTCTACCTCGCTTGTTTTCTGAATGGTATGCCATGGCATTTAACTATTATCTGTGTTTTCCACTCTCTCGGTGGGTGAAAGATTTGGAATGCGAGGAATGCGAGCGCTCATCTTGGTGTTTCAATATTAGTGGCTTCGAAACCCGTGCATCAAGGATTCAGCCTTCGACGAGCTTCACCGGTGTTGTGACTATTGTGCGCCTACTTGTAGAGAAGACACGAACTGACGATGAGCGAAAAGCAAGCCTTTCCTTTGAGCTGATTCTGATTGGTGAGGGATCATCAGCGTAGCCCAGAATGTACCATTTTGCATCGTGTACATACATAGGTAGGGCTGGGGCAGTGAGCCTTGGATCCTTGAATGGTGTTACTAGACTAAAGCGGGAAAGCGAGTGTAAGGGGTAAGATCACGTGGCATAACTAGTCCCCGAACTGACAAGCGTGGCACTAGTGCACCGACTTCAGAGTGAGTGCGACGTTCGGCATCTTCAAGGCAAACGACAAGAGGTTTGCGAGAAGTAACAATACACCCAAACAACTTCGTTCGAGACTAATCTTATACGCTCGTGCGATTGAATATTCCATCCGGAAATGGTGGGCCCGGTCAGAGTGCCGTAGAATTGCTTACTAGCGAAAGCGATCCACGCTCAGCGCCGGCAATGATGGACAGACTATCGAGCTCCAAAGTCACGGGTATATGAGCTCCGAATCACACTTATAGGATTTGCTTAAGTTTAATGTTAATGGTTAAACAGTCGAGTATCACGATCCGTCTGGTCTCTTTCCACTTGTTCAGGAGCAATTAGTCTCACGGTTTCCACTCAGAAATCTACACTGGAAGTCGCCCACCCGACCTCTACGATCCATCGACTCATTACACGTTGATCTTGTACCAAGTTCCGATTCTGTTCAAGCACCTGGATCCAGTTCGACAGGTTTGGCTGCTCCAGATGTAGCCCAAGGCACCTCTACACCGACAACTACGGAGCATTCGCGGGGCCCTTCAAAGGAAAGACGACATCAAATTCCAGGCCTGCGGAGAACGCCCTATTTAAAAGTATACCTTTTGAGATGTGATGACTCCGACAGTTACAAGGCTAGTGTGCGTAAGCAACTGCGAGAATGGGTGAAGACGCACACGCCGCCTTCCCAGAGTAGTTCGTCTGCTAGCACCCAGGAGAATCACGATGCTTTTGAATGGATGATTCTGCATGTCGTTGTTCCGGACACGCCTGCGGCCAGTCAGCCTCGGGGCTCCTCTAACGCAGCCACCGGAGAAAAGGAAAAGACCAGTAGAATGTCGCGATTTACAGGTGGAACGACGACCATCCTTGAGAAAATCCGTGCCGATTTCAACAACGCTTCGAAGTCTGCTCCTGACCGCGTAGCCCAGATACGCCTTCCGAAGGAGCAAGTACCACCGCACATACTCCCCACCACCGCGTCGGTAACGAGCCCGCCCATAGCTGAGAGCCCACAGGAGCAGGAGCGTGTATGGAATGATGTTATTGCCAAATTCAAGGTCCTAATATTACTTTCGTTTGATCAACGTGTCAGTCACTACGAAGAAGACATCCGCGAAAAAGACTCACAGCGGGTTCTTCCAGGCTGGAATTTCTGCACTTTCTTCATGCTCAAGGAAGGGCTAGCGAGAGGGTTTGAAAGTGTCGGTTTGGTTGAAGATGCACTCCTTGGATACGACGAGCTCTCTATTGGCCTTGATACTATAATTCGTGACCAAGCAACTGAAGGAGGCGTGACCACAGGCGGTGTACTATCGGATTACACCGAAAATATTTATGAGCAAGCCTCAGACATTCTCAAACGGTCTCAAAAAGAGAATGGGTCTCGTAAAGAACCTCAGCCATATCTTCGCGACGAGAGCCCGATTAACGCGACCAAGAAAGATTATCGTGGACTCATTCTTTCCAATAACATCTCCATCTTCGACTTCCATACGTACATATTTGCGCGGCAAATGTCGCTCCTGTTACGGCTGGGCAATTCTCAGTCGGTGAGATCAGATTTGGCGGCGAAGTTGCAGCCAAGACCGAGCGCTGGTATGCTCCAGCGATCGGCAGATGACAGCTCCGTTGGAACGAAATCAACTACGTCCACCAACGATTCGGAAGATTTATTTTCGCTGACAGAACTTTGCTCGCGGGCTCTTCACTTCATCACTTTTGCGGGGAGGCTTCTGCGTAGTGATTTGATAAACGGGTAAGCTATATGCATCCTCTCCTGTGTACGGATTTTAACTCTAAGAGCAGTGCGAAAGCCCATAACACCACCTTCTCAGATCGCTTGGTAGACAATATCGTTCGATCATGGACATTTGCTGCACTTGAGCAGATATTGACAGAGACTTCTACTTCCTCGCTACCGTTCACAAAGTTTACATCCGCGGAGGGAACTGGGTCATCGAGTAAAACACTCCCGTTTGGGCGAAATGCCAAAGAACAGAAGTTATCCCTTGCTGAGCCCAAGTCTATGTCGCATCCAACGCGTTCTTCTTCGTTGAATGCAGGTCAAGGTGGGCGTCCACAGTCCGCAATGGACCCACCTTACTCCCAAAACCCCCCAACTGGCCAAGTGGTTTTCGAAAATGGACAGTATCGCGACCGCCACCCGAACCAAGATAGTTCACTGCCGCAAGCAAAGAATGGACAGCAGGAACTTGCAGGCGCCCGAGCCCAATTGCTTGTCGTTCAAAGACGTATTCTAGAGCATGTGGGCAAATCACTAGGGTGGAATATCGGTTGGGCGGCAATTGTGTTGGTCCTCAATCCAAAAGAAGAGCTCAGCGAAGTTGATCTTAGCGATGAAAAGAGTGGTTCAGATGGAGAGAGCGAAGCTGAATCGGACACCAAAGAGGGTGAATCCGAAATGAAAGAGGAAAGTCCTGTCACAACTCCTACTGTCGGCCTTTTTGCTACTAAGATAGTGAATGCCGTTCTATCTATCGATCAATTTCGACAATCTTATGAGGTAATTCATTTTCCGAGGGAAACGCCCAATCATTTTTGCTGACCAGCGATAGGCTTTGAGCGACTTGATTGTCAAACACTACATGGCAGCTGGCCAAGCCAAGTCAGGAGAGAGTATTATGGGTGATTTGGCCGCGCTTCGATTGTCAGTCTCATGTCACCCCCTTAACGCTCTAACTGACACTGACGAAAACTAGTGAGCTCGGGGATTTTGCTGCTGCTGCCATGTATTTTGGACGGATGGCCTCTATGTTTGCAGAAACAAGATGGAATACCGTAGAAACTACCATGCTCAAGATGTATGCACAGTGTCTGAAGAGACTGAACCGCAAGGACGAGTATCTCCGCACCCTTCTCGACCTACTGGCCAAGTCCGCTGCGAGCCGGATAATGACCCAGTCTGCCTCCAAAAGAGCGAGTGCTGAAATTGTACCCCGCGACTTACCAAGAGATTGGCTAGACGACGATCGGGTTGACACTACAGGCGTTCTAACAGAATCCATTGAGTATTCGCAGCAGCTCACGTACGATATGAACGTGCAGATGGTTCAATACTTCAATGACATTGCAGTTGAGCCATATGTGCGACATTTTGAGGACAAGGACGGCTTCCAGCTGAGACTACAGTTTCGACATGTTTTGGAGGACGATATAGAACTAGATCAAGCAAGAGTGCGCTTGATCAGTGCTACATCAATACAGGGCAAAGACATCTGGCTAGAAAGTTCAGGCCCTATCCAGGTCAAGAAGGGACTGTGTAAGGTTTGGGTGGGCAGCAATGTATGTTCGCTTCTCTTGACTGTCACATTGCAACTAATCAACTCAGATCAACACCATTGGCTCGTATTCCGTCGACCGGATTGTTGTACAATCAAAGCGAGTTGTCTTCAGTCATGAACCATTTAAAAAGGCTGAGACATCCACGCCTCTTGGAATCATGACGGCCGTGCCTACAGTATCGGCGCAAGTTGCTAAGAAGTCCAGAGTGCACTGCTTCCCTCGCACGGAGGCCTTCCGCGCCCGACTTTACCTGGCACACTTTATCCACATCGACAAACCTCGCCATGTCGAGATTGAGTGTGCAAGTGGTTGGAACAACATACAGAATATGGAGATAAGACTTAAGGCTGCATCTGCAGGACTCCGCATCCGAACTGCAAACGCATCTGGAGATTTGAAAATCGACGGAAAGCCTACACCTGGTGTCATGACAATCGGTGCTATGCCGGCCGATGGTAGAGCGACATTCAGAATACCTTATGAGACAGAGTCTATACTGCAAGACTTGTCCATAAAGCTAGAGATTGACTACACTACAGAGAACGGGTCATTTCAGTTTTATGATTCATTCACCATTCCAGTGGAGCTCCCTCTCGACGTCAATGTGCATGATCATTTCAAAAACGACTCTCTCTTTTCGAAATTCAACATCAAGACTGCGAGTCAAGTGCCGCTGGAAATACTCAATGTTTCCCTGGATGGTGCTGGCGAATATGAGGTCGCAGCCCCAAAACTGCCTCGAGACCCTGTGCACGTTTTTCCCAAACAGCCTGTCGCGATTACATATAAGATCACAAAAAGTCCCTCTGATTCTCAGCAGCGCCAAAAAAGTCAAGCTCCTAATAGCGGAAGTCTTGCACTGGCTGTGGAGTATCGCTGCCTCGACGAAGATGTCGTGGATCGATTGCGGGTGATGTTTTCGGACGCGGTAGAGAACAGTTCGGTTCGCCGATTGGCGCGTCTTCTTGTCAGTGTTTTCGTCGATCGTCTGTTTCAACGTGTGCTTCCCAGTCAATACGAGAAGATTGCGTTACTAGAGAAGATAGATCTGGGCCTGTTCAACGATATGGGATGGGGAGAATGTATCGAAAGTCTGCCGCATGCATTGCGTGATGACACTCGAAACTGGCTCCAACAATGGCACGAGGTATGTCTTCCGTATTCTATCTTTCTCCAGTCTGTAGAGACTGACTCCCGCAGACTCATCGGATCATCCTGCTATCCAAGGCAACGGACCTCGCAACGCCTCTTCCAAATACTGCGCCCCTATCGCCTCATCCGCATCGGCGCATGATCATAACCGTATCAGTACCACAAACCCATATTCTTCACACAGCCTTCCTAGAGCCGATATCATCAGAGGCGTTCTCGCACGGATCAACCGTCGCCGTCGTGGGGCAGCCATTAGTCACCGTGCTCCGCATTAAGCACACTCGTCAATGGGCGCCCCCGGACAGCCTCATGTCTGCCGCAAATCTCGCCTCACCAACCGACCCCATCGAGTTCGTCTACAGTCTCGATGCCAATCCCGAAATTTGGCTTGTGGCGGGGCCCCGCCGCGCCCATTTCAGTGCTACAGAAGGTGAAGAGCATACGTTCTCGATAATGCTCATTCCGCTGAGAGCAGGTACGGCGCTACTACCAAGTATAGATATTAGGGCACGGGTTGCACCGAAGAGCGAGGAAAAGCGCAAGAGTCAAGCGAGTTCTACTGCTCCTGGCGTCGATGCTGAAGACGAAGAGCAGTTGAATTGCGAGACGGACTTGCTCAGCTCGGGCGAGGTGGTGCATGTTGTTCCGGATGTTAGGGAGAGTACGGTTGGGATTGGAGAGATGGGACGCGCAGCCAGTGCGGTCTGGTTGGAGGCGGAGGGGAGGTAGTTTTGCGGAGAGCGAACTGTTAAGTTTGATGCCTTCATTTGGGTGTGCAATGATTAACAGAATGCATATAGAAAAAAACGCGTGTTTGCGTGGTAACAGCTCTTTTGACTTTCCATTTTCTTCCTTCGGCAATTGAAGTTCGGTCGGCTCTCAACATTCACAGAATGGGGTCGCGAATCCAAGATAGGCAAGATAAATAGCTTACAACAGTTAAGTTGTACCAGCAGTACTATCCGATGTGTTACAAAAGAAACAGCCAGTCTAGTCCATACAATTGCAATCCTCCACCTCACTTGTACCAAAATACATATACCGCCACCCATTCTCCGAACTCCTTCGCATCGTGTCGCCCTAGTCTTTCATTTCACTATTGACCAACAAATGGAACTTCAAGTACCCCCCTTCCCCCCCTCTTATCTCACCGTCGCACACTCTTCTCCCCACTTCCCCAACTCCCACACACCGAAACACAACTACCCCCCTTCCCGCCATCGCTCTCCTCCTCCGTCCCACAAACAAAAGCATCAAACGCATCCACACTAACCCAACCCCCCAGAAACCCCCTCTCTTTGAAATTAAGCTCCAGATACCTCCCCTCGCATTCCCCACCGTTCTGTGAACGCACAGCATCATCGTTGCCACCACCGCCACCACCACGACTAGCCATGTCGAGTTCAAGTCCCGATCCGTTGAAGTCTAGATCCAGATGCGACATGCGCTCTGCTATCTTATCCACGGCGATATCGTGATCGTGCTCACAGTCGTACGCGCACGCGCTCGTGCAGCGGAAAGACGCCGGAGGTTGGGGCCGCGGGAGGGCAAGGAAGTTTGGCGTCGTGGCGTAGCTGCACGAGTAAAGCGATGGTGAGGGTGGTGGTGGTGGAGTGCTGGGGTTGAAGCGTAGGGATCTCTGTCTCTTGTGGTGACCTTTTCGAGTTGTGTGGGATGATGGTGAGGATCTTGACGTTGACTTTGATTTCGAGCTGGGCTTCGATTTGGATTTGGATTTTGTCTTGGGCTTTTCGCGGGAGAGGTGCTGGGGTCGTGAGTGTGAGCGGTGGTGTCGGATGTTTGGGTTCTTGACGGGGACGGTAGGGTGTGGAGGGCTTATGTTTGAGAAGATGGATTTGAGGAGTGTTAGGCAGGTTGGTGACATTGTTTTCGTCTTAATTTTTGCTTCGAATCGAAGAAGAATTTTATCTGGTGTTGTGAGGATATATCGTGGCGATGTCTCGGGTTATTATTGGCTTTGTGTTGTTGTTTCTTTCGTTTTGTTGCTTCTTTGCTTTTTCGTTCTGTTTCACGGACTTTGTTCAACTTTGGTCGGCAGATGTGGTGTGCAGGATTTTGTATTTTTTTGGAAAATGAGTGAAAAGAGAAAGAGAGAGAGAGGAAATTTGAGAGAGAGCAAACGACTGAGGAACACACCACTGTCGCGCATAATATACCTTTCGATTCATTAAAAATCTTTTCGCCAACATGAAAACAAAAAAATATCGCGCGCCGTGTTTGTTTCTAATCGGGAAAAACGAATATATGACGGGTTGTACAGGTACACCCATCTGTAACACGCGGCAGATATCACGGTCCTGTTGTACTCTCAACGATATGTTGTGTATGCAACCGTGACCGGGAAAAGAGAGATTGCAGTGTGAAAACGACGTGAGGTCACTGCATTCACAACTCGGATAGGCTGTGGATTGAATTTTTTTTTCCCTTGAGCAATGTTTGGTTGTTCGTTAGGCCTTTTCATTTTTCAAGGATGTTCTGCATATGTATCTTGATTTGATCTGATGCATGTTCCCGGATTGATCGTTGTATGCTGTATGCCGTGTAAGTGTTTGCTGCCGCGTTTCCGGCGTACTGGTGGATGCTTGCATTGGGGAAAAGGAATACAACTCAGATCTTTGTTTCATAGTTAATTAATTTTACCAACCTTGCTCCTTGCATCAAAGAGCAATCAACAGTGTGATTGCATCAAGCTCTATTTGTGTGACGCTGATTGGATCTCGCTACGTGCTTTCTGATCATGTTCCTAGTCGGCGAGATTGATGGTGGTGGAACCACCCTTGAACGCATCATCTACCATTTCCCCTGTTTTTGGAGCAGGTAAGATCATTCGCAATCCCTTCCTCATCACTTTTTCGCTGTGCTTTTCGCCATCGATTTTGAAGTCATATTTGAACACTTCGGGTTGTAGAGCGTGATTGGACAAATTAGCCTTGCGAGCTGAAGAGCACTCGACAGTTTTTGACAAGTCTTTTATGATGAAAAGTATATGTAGAAATTGACTGGCATGTACACAAGCCGACAGTCCTTAAACAGAACGCGAGATTTATCATCACGTGGGGGCGCGCTTGTAGTGGCGTTTGCGCTTGCTTCGCGCCTGGGATTTTTTCCCTTCAGGCTCCACTTTCTCTCAGATGCGCTAGTGCTGTAGGGATCTCTAGCAGATCGGATCTATATCTTAGTCGGAAAGATAGCTTCAATAAGATGGTTTGTGGATACGATTGTCAATCATTGGAGCTAGAGTTGAAATCATGACGGAGTCGAAGTTATGGATTGTCACTGACATTTTGTAGACCATGTGAAGGAAAAAGACTTTCCTCTCGAGAGGATTGCTTTGCTTCAGACTTAGGGCAGAAACGCTGCGCTCTGCATGAAAGATGGCGTAGGATTGCGCGAGATACCGTTTGAAAGTTGATAAACCTTATGCAACTGCGAACCCCCGTCAGAATATCGACTGTGAACGTGGAGACAATATTACTCAAGTCCAACGATTGCCGAATACATAGTTTGAAGGATCGGAAACTAGGGTCTCGCCCGAATACCGTACAATGTCACCACTTCCAATGACCTCCGCGGCGTCTGATTGCCCTGCCGCCTGTGTACTGATCCGCCGCGGAACGATAGGGAAATCTCTTATTGTTTCCAAGCGAGGCAGTTCCTTAGGCGCCCTGCAGCTCGAGTATTTGCTGAAAGAGATTTCTACTTAGCGTCTCCCTGCCGAGAGTGTTGTTGGAAATGTTTCTTTGTGTCGTCATACACATGTATGCACGTTTGTTCGGCGCGGCCGTCACCTACTGCATCAGGCCTAGAGGCAATGCTTCATTGGATACAAACTCCCAAGTAACAGCCACCGCGCTAGAATCTCATGAGCTTGAGCCGTTCGTCCCTAGATCTGTCCGTCGAGTGAGAGAACAGTTCCCCGCATATATTAATTCGATTCCCTGATTCCTGCAAGGGCACACCACCGCCTCTTTACCGTGAAAATCATCTCCCAAGGATCAGGATGGATCGCAAACTCGACGATGAAGTTCCCGCGCGCATTGACAGCAACGAGGGAAAGACCACTGAGAAATCTCATCCTGGAGATAAGGCCCCCGCATACAATGATATGGAGGAAGAGTACGCGGTCGGTGTCACTCTGGGCACTATTCTGAGAGGGACAGCTGAGAAACCACTCACAACATTCGAAAAGAAGGCTGCGTTGGTGAACCACGAGCTAGACCAGTTTGGCATGGGAAAGTATCAGATCTGTGTCTGGTTTCTCTGTGGTTTTGGCTATTTCCTCGACCTTGCATGGTCGCAGGGTGTTGGCCTCATCGCCTCGGCTGTGTATCAAGAGATGAACGTCGCAGAGCCTGATCAAGGAACGATATTTGCGTGCGCGAATGCCGGCCTAGCTATTGGGGCACTGAGCTTTGGATTGATCGTCGATGTCATTGGCAGAAAACTGGCCTTCAATCTAACTTGCTTAATCACGAGTGTTTTTGGAATGCTTTTGGTGAGCCAGACGTCAGCTCGCTCTCTCGCTCATACACTAATGCAAAGGCAGGCTGCTCCGAAATACAACTACGGCGCCATATGCGGCATCTACTTCCTCGCATCTCTAGGCCTTGGAGGCAACATCCCGATCGATGCTCTCATCAGTTTGGAATTTATACCCCAGAATCGCCGCTTTCTTGTTTCACTGCTTTCGATGTGGCAGCCAATTGGTGTCGTAGCTGCGTCAGGAATCGCCTACGGAACTGCTGCAAAATGGCGTTGTGACGCTACAGCGCCCTCTTGCAGCACTGTTGAAGCAGGGGAACCATGCTGCACTGTTTCCAGCAACATGGGATGGCGTTATGAGGTCATAATCCTTGGTGCTATGACTTTGACAGTCTTCTTCCTGCGATACTTTGTATTCCACTTCCACGAATCTCCCAAATTCCTGGTCAGCAGAGGTAAAGAGGCGGAAGCTATTGAAGTACTACACAAGATCGCAAAATTCAATAAGGCTCCTCCTCCAAAGCTGACGTTGGCGATGTTTGCAGCGATCGATGAGACGGACCCAGACCGCTCGGAGACTGACACCCTCAACAACCCTCCCCAGACGTGGATGGAGACAACCAAGCACGTTGGGAAAGGATTTGTGAGAGAACTTGCTCGGTTGAAGGGTATTTTCACGAACAAACTATCATGCTTTACTTTCGTTCTCCTTGCGATTGCGTATATGGTAAGTACCTAAAAGTCCGCAAGATATTCAAGAAACACTCACTGACCATGCGATAGGGTGACTATTGGTCCTTCAACCTGGCAGGATCCTTCCTCCCACTCATTCTCCTCCGCAACAACGTCTCTGAAGGCCGCGGCACTGTTCAAGACACGTATCAGCAGTATGTCATAATCTACGCCCCAGGAATTATCGGAGCCGTTCTAGCTCTCGTTTCTGTACAAATGCCTCTCCTTGGCCGCAAATGGTCTCTGGTATTTTCCGCCATATGCCAGGGTCTTTCTATGGCCATGTACACGCAGGTCAGAAACACAGCTGGCTACGTTGGTCTAAATGCTCTCGAGTACATCATGCAAACATACTTCAACGCTGTTCTTTACGCTTCTGCGCCTGAGCTCTTTGATACGGTCTACAGGGGTAGCGTCAGTGGAATGCTTTCGTGTTTAGGCAGATTAGCGGGTATCGTGGCTCCGTTTGCCGGTGCAAATCTTCTAGCGGACAACAGCTCCGGTATTCTCTGGCTAGGAGCAGGTGGAATCTGGTTGGCTGCTTTGATGATGGTTTTCCTTCCTGTAGAGATGAGAAATCGGCAGATGTATTAAGTGCAGAGCCTGTTTTTAACCTTATCATGACCTTAAAACATTTGACTGTAGCATTTTAAAGCTGTCAATACGAATAAAGAACTAGCCTTGTAGAACTGGGAATAAAGATTATGGTACTTTTGTGTATCCGTTCGACATACTACAATGAAGGTTTATGTTCGCGTTACGTATAGTAGTCTTAGTTTTTTAGTTGTAAAATAAGTTTTTCCTAACACCTGCTAACTAGCCTCCACAATATTAAAGAAATTGTGTTTCGTCGTAAATATGGCTATTGAGGATTGATGGTAGGACAATATGGTCTAAGGAGCGCTCAGTGTGCGCTTTTTTTTTTTTTTTTTTTTTTTTTTTTTTTTTACCTAGAGCAAGCCTCAGTAATTTAGTTCCTTTATCGCGTTGTACATTCACATCAAACCACGGTTCTTCCAAGAAAACAACCATCAAGAAGAAGCGTTCTATATGAAGAGGCGCCAAAGCTTTTTTTGATAGAGGCTGAGGCTCTACCAGGCTTAGCGCGAAAGTGGATTCAACGCCCGCCTATTCTCCCCTCCCCCTTTTCACCCCTCCCTCTACTTGCACACCCCTCTCGTTCTCTATTGCCTACCGTGCCTCTATAGCCCTGCGCTATTTGCAGCAGGCGCAACGCCACTCCTTTCTGCTCATGTATATACAATAAATAGATATCTGTCTTTACTGCTATGCTTTTGCTTATTCTTACGCTCACGCTCCTCGTCGTGTGTACACACGCGTCCAACGGCGCTGTCTGGGCCACACCCCACGACAGCTACTCATCCTCAATCGGCGTCCTCGGCTGCAAGATCAACACGAACCGCGTCGCGTACTGGCCTAGCCCTGTTGACTGCACCAACTTCTGCATCTCGCTATCCTACCAAGGTCGCTCAGTCAAACTACTCCGCATTGACCAGTCCGGCGGCGCACACGATGTCAGCTACGATGCCTGGAACTATCTCTACACGGGCTACGCTGCAACGGATAAACCAGCAGCGGGCGGCCCCGTCGCAATGGAATATCAGGATTTGGCGCCCGAGGAATGTAGGGATTTGATACACACCCCCGACGGGAAGATGCCACTGAGCGCTTCCAACAGCATGAATTTCGTGGCGAGCTGTTTGGCACAGCAGGGCAGCTGGGTGGGAGGCCATCATGCGCTGTATAATATCATCGATTCGGTCTGCACCATGGGATTTGATGAGCAGTGTTCCTTGGATTTGAGTGTGTCGAATCAGCCGAAATGCTCTCATACACTTGGCCTCCAGGACAAGCTGCTATCCCAACCCGTTTATAATATCAGGTATCCAACGGGAGTGGTGATGGAGGCGGGGACGGGTCAAGTGGTGCCACCGAGCACAGTGTCCGGGTCTGTGGGACCGAACGCAGACAAGGGAGGAGGACTGTCGTCTGGTGCAAAGGCCGGAGTTGCCGTCGGTGTGGTGTTTGGGGTACTCGCATTAGCTGCCGTGGCCGGGTTCTGGTGGTGGAAAAAGCGTCGAGATACGCCTGCACAAGAACCGACAGAAACCACACGTGAAAACTCGGGTGTTTCAATCGCAGAGGAGATAGTGGTTGTGTCTTTGGTAGACAAGCGGCTTGACCGTAAGCCGATCCATATTTCGAAGGAAACTCTTTGAGCTGTGTGTTCAACGAACCCAGTTATAATATCCGTCCTCAACTCCTTGTGTGATTGACCCACGATCGGGCAAGACGCGCCGACATCATTCGCCCCGTATACGCCTACGCGGATATTCATTTGTGAATGCCGCACGGGAGGTTAGATGTCAATCTTTCACCCTGCATCCTTAAAGACATTGTTTTATCTTTTTACTCTACTATATTTTATAGTAATCTGCTATATTACTACCTAGAATACTAGGTTTATAGCTATAGAATAATGTACAGCATGATAGTAGAGAATGAATTTGTATTTTCTTATGCTACCCTACTATTGTACACTCTATATCTTAAATGCCTGAGTCAGGTTGCTCTACCTCGTTTTTCATTGCATATTCGTTCCAAGACGTGCAAGAGTTAGTAACTGCGTTTGGGATTAGTGTGTCCTGAATGTCGGCTTGTCTCTCCAAAATATTAATGTAAAACCCCAAACTCGAATGCGAAAAGATATGGCAATGGAACGCCCAAATCCCCGGATTATCCTGCTCCCATTCGATGACCGCGTACCCTGGTTTGTCATCCACCATGGGTAGGACTTGATGCGTGTCCCTTCTGATCGGATTACTTGGGTTGACGACAGAGCCGTCCCATTCACCGTGACCCTCGGCAAGAACCCAGAAGTCATGACCGTGTAGGTGCATGGGATGGGGGCTTATGTGGTAGTTTCGCATCAGCATACGCACGCTGGAGTTTGAGCCAAAATTGTAGACGTTCCACTCGGGTCTCTCGAAAGCAGTATCTCCAACAGCTGCACGTGCAAGCAGTGCCTGGTTTATGTCCGCGCGAAAGGGACTCCCGTTCATGTACCACTGGGTGTGACCAGTGTCATTGACGCCCACCGTGATGTCGAGGTCGATGTGTGTTGCAGGTTTAGGGGGCGGTGCGATCGCGTACACGGGAGTGGTTTGGGAAAGCTCGTATGTGGTACAACCGACGGCCGTGTATGGTGTCGCGGTTGTGTTTGGAATTGCACCATGATCTGCTGTCTCATACAGTATTATTGCCCGGGTCTTGGGATTTGTCGCGGTAGCACAGACGGGGTCAATGTCTGTGCGCATCCAAACTGCATCGGATGGTTTGCCAGTACCCTGAACGACAATGTTGGCTCTTTGTCCGGGCGAAAGTGTAATCTTATTTGTCTTGAATGGAATGATCGATACAAAGTCGAGCTCAACGACCAGGAATTCGTGGTTGTCGATGGTGAAGTGCTGGAGACCTTCAGCCCCTGAGTTGATGAGGCGAAGAAGATGTCGCTTTCCAGATTGAAACATAAATTTGGAGTATCCAGCATCTGGCTTGCATGGCAAGGAAGTCGTGGAGCAATTGAAAGTTCTTCGTCTGTCAGCTATTGAATGATCCAGGCATCCTTCTCATCATGGCGATTGATGAGAACTTACCCTTTCCCATTGATGAGATTACTGTCGCTGGGTATTAGCTGCAGCGGAACGCTCAGATATCCTTGGATCAGTGTTCGATAGTCTATGTGATAACGATCGCTCTGTTGCTTTCTTAGTATCATGCCGGCCAGGTGGTGGGAAACCTTACGAGTAAGACTGGCCCTATATCTACGTCGTATTGCGCCCCATTCTGTGGAGGTCTACTTCTTCAGCGAGCGTGCATAGCATAGATCAGGGTTGCCGCTTACCCATGAATTACAATAGCACCATGAAGCCCACCTGCAGTTTGGGCTGCAAAATGTCCATGCCACCAACTAGTACCAGGCCTGTCTGCTTTGAATCGATAAACAAAGCTTTTTCCGGGCGCGATCGGGCATTGAGTGACGCTAGGAACACCATCCATAAAAGGCGTATCATGTTGCAAGAGGCCACTGGCGATGTGTAAGAAGCGTGGCCCTCAGTATGAACCAAATGCGATGAGAATTAAGGACTTACTGCCAATGTATGCTTGTCCCAGCTTCCGGGCCTTGGATTTGGTTATTCACTGTAACTTCAATGATATCTCCCCAATTGGCCTCGATGGTCGGCCCAGGGAACGCGCCGTTGACCACAATCATTGGCGAGGTAACGCCATCTGGAGCGAGTGATACCCTAGCGACATTGAATGTATATCGTCGCACTACAGCGTCCGAGAATGTTGCAGTATATACGTTGGTGGTCTCGAGCGACATATCTCCCCATGACTTAATCCATTTGTTCAGCTACGAAACAGTGACACAGATAGGAACTACTAACTGAACCTTCCAATGGCTCTAACAACGGTGAGTCAACAGTACCAAGAATGGATTCGCCTGCACAAAATTAGCGCCAGCTGAAGTGTAATCAACTCCCATTATCACCAACCATTAGTCTCCATCTGTGGCAAGGAGAACGCGTTTGAGAACGCATTGAGTAAAATCGATGCGCTAATTGCAGCTACAAAGAATACAGTCATGATTCCTTTCTCAACTGATTTCTGTCGTTTCAATTGAAGTACTGATGATGGTGGGTACTTGCAAATGGAGGGCTGATTGAAGGTTACTATCGGGGCATTCCTCTTTATTCTTACAAATCGACATCTCACACCGCACGGCTACATCTAACCATACCCCTCGGAAGCCCGGACATACACCTCGGAAGCTCGGAGGAAGTAGGCGATCTTCCAAGATATGCGGGCGTACGCGAGAATCCGGCAGGGCTGCTGCTTGACGCATCTCGCTTGCTGTATCAATGACGGGCTTCAGAAATATGATCGGTAAATCATGCTATCAACTGATCCCCGCTTACTTGTCCAAGGTGCAGAACATATCGCCAATCAATCACCCTATTGAGTTTGACGTGCTGAGTGAGCACTGAAGTAAAAAACTTGGTGTTTCAAAAATGGTGTAATCAATCACCCCCATCATCAACCCATGTTTCCTTTCCCCTTTCGGTAAAAATCAACGGCACGTCCGCTTTCGGTTCCAATGCCAAGGTGATGCCTACATTTTCGCTAAGCTTGCGTGCCGCATCCCTGCGAGCTAGCTCCCATTGCTGCTTTGACTTAGCCCCAGTCTTCAGTTCGACACTGCAATCTTTCATCAAGCGCGCTAACACAGCACACAGTTCGGTCTGCGCGAAGCGTTTGCCTATACATGCCCTGATTCAGTCCGAAAACGAAATGTAACTGCCGGCTTGTCGGCCGCTGGTAATCAACGACGTCAGCTCCATGTTGTCGCTGTTGAGCTCTTCCGCGGCTGTGCTTTGTGGGCTTTTTAGCCATTGCCACGGATTCCAGCCAGAGACAGCAAAAGGTTCGGGTTCACCTTCAAATCTTTTCTCTGTCTCAGGCCAAAATTCTGGATTTCTGTGGACTGCCGACGTGTTGATAAGAGCTAGCGTGCGTGGTGGGATCATGGCTTGCATGGTGCCGCCGCCGGGTGTATCTACAAGAAGGGGTGTTGGAGTGCTTCCTGTGGTTTTGGGTTTCCAAGGAAGAACGCCAAAGCATCGCAGTGTCTCGGCGACTACAGCCCCGACGTGGGAATTCAAGAAGTCGGGAAAATCGCGCGAATGAGCCCAAGCTGAAGGATCACGATCGAGCGTTAGCTTATGGATTGAATCTTGAAGCGTGCGCTGGATTGATGGATATATGGCGAGCAGCACGAGAATGAAATGAAGCGTGTTTGCACTGGTGTGAAAGCCTCCGAGCACAAAAACCCAGATGTTTCCCAAGACTGCTTCATGCTCGAGAGGGTCCTTCGCGTTTACAGACGCAGAGTAGAGAGAGTCTATCATCCTGGTTAGTCTTCTTGATTTCATTGTGAAGTTTCGCAAGATTGTATTGCTCACCCAGCAGGTTCGGCGACGCCGGCATAGCTCCGTCGTTGCGTTCCATTCGCTTCTCCTGGATCATATCTTCCATATATGCCACCCACTCCACGTTGCTTTGATGAGCTTTCTTATGCATTCTGAATGGAATGTTCTTGACCATGTAGCTACATTACATTGCCACCAGCCGAAGATATTCAATTGAAAATAAATAAACGCAACACACAAGATGTGACTACATGGAGATTCTGCGGTCGTAGTTCACAGGGGCGCTGACTCCTGCGTCTGTAATGTTAGGGAGTGGTGGCTAGGTCGGCGCGTGTATATCATCGTCAAGCACTCATCAGGATACTGCTGGCTTTGGAAATTCATAGTCTCAAAAGCATTAGTGGTGCTTGTTATGCTACTAATACCAGACATGCAAGTACAAGACATGTTGCCCAAAGAATTAATAGTTATAACCTTGAATCTAACTCTATAACCAATCCCATAAGCGGCTATTCTTGTATACGAAAAGCATGTTTCCGATAAAGACCCACGTAATACCTCTGGAAAGAGAAATAGAGAAGATATATGGCCTTTCTTTACCTCTTTCTTCGCAGCAACGAGGCGCTCGCCCCCCAAACGCCCCTTGCCCGCTTCTTAATCTCACTCCATCTATCGTAGAGCGGGTAGATAACGACGGTAAAGAAGGCCAAAAGTTGCTAAAAGATAGCAACGGTAACCAACCCAAAAAGAAGCTCTTAGAGAAGATATAGTCGCGATACAGCGGCATGGGCCAGAGAACGAAGGTAATAAGAACAATAAGCCGAACCAAATCCATGCAACGCTAGTCTAAACATTTATTCTAAGATTCTGCAACAAATTGCATACCTTGTTGGGTGCCCTTCTAAGCCGTATGCTTACAAGACTTACTGTGCAAAAGGTTCATACCTAACCTTGCATAACAATCGGGATGATCCTTGAGTAATCGGAATAATCATCGGAGTAAGCGGTGTTATCAATCCATCAGATAAAAGCTGCCGGCAGGACCCTAAACCATTAATCTGAAAAACCAAGACTATATTACTTTTCCTATTTGCAAAAATGGTTGCATCTTCAACAAGTCCAAAACATGGCACAACTACTCAGCCGCAAGAGCTCGCGCAAATGCCTCCAGCGCACGTTACAAATGTAGACACATCGCCCACGAGCAAACGAGATCCAGATCATGACCCTTTCCTGGTCGAGTTCACACCTGGATTTGATGTCCGGAATCCCAAAGATTGGACTACGAGCCGCAAGTGGTCCGTCACAGACGTCCTATCAGCATCCGGTTTTAATCGTATCATGGTATCCACAATCATGGCTCCCGCACTCACCACAATCGCACACGAGCTTGAGATGAGTCCGACAGAGTCTGCTCTTGCTCTTTCGATATACCTTCTCGCATCTGCGTTTGGTCCCATATTCATTGGTCCCTTGTCCGAAGTGTACGGACGACAGACCGTTCTACACGTCACTGGCGTGTGGTTTTTGGCGTGGAACGCGGCCTGCGGATTCGCAAAGAACAAAGAAACGCTCATTGCTTCGAGGTTTCTGGCCGGGTTTGGCGCAAGTAGTATCTATGCTCTGGCGGGAGGGGTTCTTGGGGATATCTGGGGACCCGAACAACGAGGTCGGTCGCTCGGTCTCTATCTGCTCATTCCCATCATCGGGGCAGCTGTCGGTCCCATTATTGGAGGTTTCATGGCCGGAAGAACGACGTGGCGGTGGATGTTCTGGTCCACTTCGATTTTCCAAGCTGTGATGGTCCTTGTCTCATTCGGAGTATTCCGCGAAACATATGCGCCGGTTATACTGAAACGGCGAGCGGCGATGCTGAGGCGTACGACCGGCGATAGTCGTTACTATACTATCCATGAGCGCATGGAGGAAAGCCATTCCCTGGCATATATCCTGGCGAAAGCATTCACTCGACCAATGCGCCTTCTTCTACTACAACCTCTGGTCCAGACAGCGTCTCTCATCTCGGCACTCTCGTACGGCATATTGTACATTTTACTGTCCAGCTTCTCGGATCTTTGGATTCAACACTACAACATGTCCGTTGAGATGAGTGGCCTGCATTATATCGCGCTGGCCGCTGGGGAACTAACGAGCTCCACGCTCGGTGGTTATCTCCTTGACAGTATCTACAGCCGTATGAAAGCCCGCGACCCAGAGAATGAATTGGAGCCCGAGCACCGCCTTCCTTTCGCCCTCCCAGGGTATCTCCTCTCCGTTCTTGCTCTTGTATTTTACGGCTGGACTGCGCAATTCAGAGTTCATTGGATTGCTGTGGACATTGCGATATTCCTTGTGTCTTTTGGCCTTCAATTGGCAGGGCTGCCGCAGCAGGCATACGTCATGGATGTCTACCAGGAGCACACCAGCAGCGCTCTGGCCGCATCGCAATTCCCACGAAGTCTGGCGGCATTCTTGTTTCCGCTTTTCGCGCCTGCCATGTACCGTAGTCTGGGGTATGGGTGGGCCAATAGCGTGCTTGCTCTTTTGGGATTGATGCTGGGACTTCCGGGTTCTATATTCTTCTGGCGCTGGGGAAAGCGGATGCGGATGAAGTTTGTGGGTAGCTATTGATGGTTAAGCTGACGAGGAAACATGCCGAAAAGGCTATAGAGGTCGAGGAGCAATGTGCAATCTGTGACCTCTATGGTTGGCAAAGGCTGCACGTCGAAAGATACTGGTAGAGATTAAGGCTAAAAGTGTAGCACAGCAAGGGTCATTGCATTTGATATGATCAAGGCTATCAAGATTGGCGAGAGGACTTGAGAATTCAAGATATCTTTACATTGAGATACTAATATCGATTGATACGAAATGTTCCATCCTTAAGCATTATGCTCGCGCATTGAAAAAACGAGAACCCAGCAAGAGATAAAGGGAAAGAGAGAGTTGGGTGACCACGGCAGTAAAGCATATCGATCTGCACTTCGTGATATCCATTCAACACAGGTTCAAATTTAGCTGAGTACACTACACCATGCTCGGGTGGCCGTGTTCCTCGGCTTGAATCTGCATAGAGGCACCGGCGCCAGCCATGGACCCGTTGCTAATGGCGGCGGTAACAGCCTTAGCCATGATCATATTGTCGCCAGCGGCAAAGACACCTCGCTGGCTAGTTTGAAGAAATGGCTGAGACACTTCAATATCCCCGAATGGACCACCTGTCTTCAGGCCCAGCTGCTGTACCAGCGGGCCGCGGGGGACGGTATTGGGAGCGTGCGCGAGAAAAGCTTTGGTGACAGAGGAGCCATCCTCAAACTCGATGGTGATGCCGGCATCAACTTTGACGAGGCGCTTGATCTTGCGGCTATCCGTCTTGATCTTGTCGATGGCGCCGCCAATGAGCTCGATGAAGGTCTTTTCAAGGGCCTCGTCGCCGTCGGTGTACATGACGCACGATTTGGAGAGCTGGATAACATGCCGGGCTTGGTTCATAGCCATTTGTGGCATTTTGGTGGCAAATTGCACACATAGTACTCCTGCATCGCGGCCACGCTCCTCATAGCCGTGGCAAAACAAGCAATGGAAGCTGTGTCATGATTAGCTGAAAATTGCGGGCGAGTAAAGTAGAAAAAGTCCAGGGAGAATTACGTACATTGTGTAACCCCAGTTCTCCTCATAGCCTGGAATCTCGGGGAAGCGTTCCTCGACGCCCGTGGCAAGAATGACTTTCTTACCGGCCCACGACTTTCCGCTTGCATCACTGACCTCGAAACCACCTTCAATCTCCTTGATTGATGTGATTTCGGTATTTTCGATCGAGGCCGTGTCATAATGCGAGACCAAATCTTCGCGAGCGATGCGGCGGAAGTCTGCAGGGTCTCTGTGATCCCACGAAGGCACGTTGTGCATGTGCTTGGATCTGATGTTACGGTATTTGCCCGAGTCGAAAAGTACGACGGTATGCAGCTGGCGGACCAGACCTGTGGCGGCAGCGAGGCCACCAGGGCCACCGCCAATGATGAGAACGTCGGTCTCGGGTATCGTTGACATGGTGGTGATATTTAAGTGGGATTCGGGTAGGGAAGTGGATGAATGTTGAATAGTGTATGTGTGTTGGGTTGGGGTTTTGCAGTGTTGACTTGATTGATTGACTCCAGCGCTGCACCCACGCAAGGTGATGGTTTATATAGTTGTATATGAGTTTGTATTCATCCGTATGACTCCGCCTCGGTCAATGCCTTTTCACTTAGTTTTGTAGGTGTGCCACTTTCCGAGCGGTGTCCGGTCTCTAGTGAGGTCCTCCAGATGCGGCACGGTTGCTCGCCAACACACGGATTTCTAGCGTCTAACTGGTTTAGATGCCTACGGAACTATTTTATCGTTGGTGTAGATCTCATATACTCGGCCATTCTCTTGGTCTCAATCCTTCAATGATATTATTGCAGGTCCTTCTCTTGCTTGGGAGGCGTCAGCTCAGGTGGGGTAGGTAACCATGCGAATCTGCCCGCAAATGTCTCCGTTGCCCCCAATCTGAAATGTCTCCGTAAATGTCTCCGTCATCTCCCCTCAGTGAATATATCTTAGCTATCGTCTCCACCACTGTGAATTTTATTCAATTAGATAATCTTTTGTCGAGTCACGATACTACGCGTCGATTGTGTCTCATCATGAGTGAAGTCCTCCTATAGTGTTTGCTCGAGATCGCCGTGACATTCAATTCTAGAAGACTGGATCGAATATTTTACGTCTGGTCAACACAAAGAGCCCATCGCACTGCCACTGTCTATATTTCTACGAATCGCCTTATTTCCGTGCTAAAGGGAATAATTTGGTTCAACAATTATCAATTGATGCATTCGAGTGCTGGACGCCCGTTCACCTTCACATATTGTGCGCCACAGCATGAAGAACATCAGCAAAATTCTTCCACCATCTTCTACAGTCAAGATTACATTTGATAATATTTTTGTCTCGGATCGTGCCTCTGTTAAAAATGGAAAAGGGATGCTGTCAACGACATGACATTGCGAGCATAGAGTGAGGGCTCATGGCAACCAGCGGTAACTAGCGGCAACTAACGTCTAGCGTGTTGTGGCGTGGACAGCGATTCAGAAGAGCCGGTCCTGTCAACCTCGACACCACTGCGCTGTGCCTGGTGAAGACAGCGGCCTGGTCTATAGACACCTGATATTCAGTAATATGAGTGCAATTTTGGAGCTTTACGGCAACTAGTTTAGACAATATGCACCCTCACTCTCTCTTTCCATAAAAGGAAGATGGAAAACCACGCAAAGGGATCAAAGTGCTGAGACACAACTAAGGAGTACTTGATATTATAGCAGTCTGTCCTAATTTACAGAAGAATTCCGACCGCATCATTCGCCATGTACAACGTAAAAATTCGTTTTCGGACAGCATCATTAAAGTTCCATGATTTCTTCCTCTTCGTTCGGGGATTCAGATTGCGCGATGATACGAGTGAGCTTGACTCTGTACGCAGGCAGCTCGATATCATTGAAGGAGGCGCCGTCTTCCGCCCGCCACATTATCGCTTCATTGAGAACTCGCCCCGCATACATCAACTTGTCCACATCGGCAACACAGAAATCGTCCCAGATTCCGGGACCTTCGAAGGGGCGGTCGGAAATGGGTATGAATCGCCATTTGGACCCTCTCTTCGCATCAGCATCCTGATACTGTAGCGTTGGAACCAACTGAAACCTGGGAGTTCCGCTTTCTACCAGATGTGCGTGCTGCAGTTGGTACAGAACATCTGTGCTGTTTGAGATGAACGATTCGATGAATAGTCCACGGTGGTCAGCGACCAGTGTGATAGATGAATTAAGGGTTGGGTCTGAAGACACGAATTTCCCAGCATAAAACTGCCTGAGTTCGGTAATGGCATACAGTTCGGCTGCCTGTGTAGCATGCACAGTGACGATCTCAATAAGCTCCGTGAGAGAACTGAGAGGACCAGCCAGCAGCAAAGTAATACCAAGATCGTATTCCGGCATCAGAATTATCTGTGTGATGTAACCTGGGAGCCCGCCACCTTTGGTTACGAAGCGGACGTTGCGTTGTGATTCGGATAGGATGCGCTCAGTCTGGAATATCTCCCATGGCATGCCGTAAAAAGTGTTGAGATTCAAGGATGAAGAAACAGCATTCATCCAATTCAAGCTCGGTGTGATGTCATTGTAATGTGTTAGGACATAGCGCAGGAAGATCGATAGGTCGCTTGAAGAGGTGTATATTCCACTTGTCGGCTTCCGCACTCCCTCATCGACATCCCAATAATGAAACCCTAACGGTATTACGCCTGCACTATCCGGAGGCAGAGACAGAGTACTTTTGGACATGCCTAATGGTGTAAGAATGGCGTCCTGGATGTATGTATCGTAGGTCTGATTGGTAACCTTTTCGATCACTAGTCCGAGCATCTCAAAAGCGAGGTTTGAGTATGTCGATTGTTGATTCGGTTGGAATATTGGGTCCAAATTTTTGACCGTACGTAAGAGGTCGTCGCCTGTGCAAGGCGTCTTGAAGTTCGGTGAATATTCATGACATTGCAGCAGACCTTCGCGAGAGACGGGAGGAAGACCCAGGTCCTCGGGTTTCCAGAGACTGTTCGCGTCTGCATTGATCAGATCACTTTGTCCGAATTCACGCGGTATGCCGCTAAGTTGGCTGGCGAGTGAGCGCAGTGTGATCCCTGTCCACGGTATTGTGCCGTTTTGCTTTTGCGACAAGCCCGGGAGATACTTATCCACAGTGTCATCTAGACTCAAATTTCCAGACTCATGTTGCTGAAGGATTGCAAGCACGGTAAATGTCTTGGTAATGCTAGCAATTCTGTATAATGCATCGCCATTTACTTGGGGAATGTCGGGTCGGGTTGCGTTTCGTTTGCGAGCTGTATGATGGTGGCTCCACAAAGTCTCTTTCGATGATGTGATCTCGATTGAGAATGATGAGGAATCGTATTTAGGGTCTTCTGTCGTAATCTCCAACAATGCGGCGATGTGAGCGAAGGCATCGCGCAATATTGGGTGGCTGGGGTCATAATCGGGTAGTGGATGGGCAATGGAGGAGTCAAAGCATGTCGTAGAGACTGGCACCAAAAGAATGAATTGAGTAATTACGGAAAGCAATTTATTCTGTGCAATTTTGACCATTTTCAAGACAATCCACAAGAGTCTGTGAATGAAGACTACAGCAAGGCAGCAATGATCAATACTATGTATACCAAGTAACCCGGTGGAACTTTGCCCCGCAAATACGTAAACGACCAGTCCACTCCTAGATTAGCGCGCGCATGCCATTCGTATCCAGCTGCCCCACGGGGAACAAGACGCATCCATACTCAATCTGACGAAAATATGGAAGTCACAAGCAGAAAGCTCAGTCCACAAGTAATGAGGTATGAAGATAAGATTTAGGCTGAGGTCACATTTGCTACAGTTCCACTACGAGCTTCGTAGCACTGACCCCAGCCTTCGACTTCTCCAGCGCCGTCTGAACAAACTCCAACCCTTTCCCAACGATCGTAGGAGGTGGAAGACACTTCAATTGCCCAGCCTCTAGAGCAGGCGTGACAAAGTCCGCCCATACAGGCGTCGCAATATCGTTGACAGCAAAGATCATTCCCGCTGTTACGTTCTCTGCCACATCTGTTGGTGGCGGATGCGAGCATGCAAGATGTCCTCCACCCAGCTCTGCCAGGATAGCTTTGTCGTGAGGGAAGGTTTCTTCGGTGGCGATGGCATCAAAAATTCCGACAAACTCCTTTCCTGAAGAGCGGACTGACTGCACAACTTTCTGCACAAGTTGGGCATCTTTGTAGTCGAACACTTCAGTTGCTCCACAGTCCTTGCTGAATTGGAGATTGCGGGCTCCGGCAATGGCAATGACAGTGATACCAGCAGCATGCGCTACTTGGGTAACCATGGATCCGATTGAAGAGGATCCGCCGTATACGACGACGGCTTTTCCTGCGTCTGGTGCTGGAACTTGAAGAGAGGGGTACGGCAGTGCAAGAGCTGGAGTGGCCACGCCAGGCAATGCCACTCCAGGCACTTTGAGGGATAGTGCACAGACGGCTCCTTCGAGTGCGAATGGAACGACTACACCATCGGTGTAGGAGATATGCCCAGGAAGGATCGCGGCTTTGGCCGATTGAACAACCGTGTAAAGAGCGTAACCACCATCCTGAGGGCGGCCGCTCACAAGATTAACGGTATGTCTAAAGACAAGAGTTAGCAACTAACTGGAACAAGGGTTAAAAGGATTACAAACCCAATGACACGATCTCCTTTCTTGAACTTTTTCTCGCCAGGGCCTACTTCATAAACCTCACCAGCTACATCGCAACCGAAGATAGATGGCCATTGCTTAACGAAGACACCGACATCCAGCATATGACAATCAAGGGGATTGATTGCCACAGCTGCATTCTTGACCACAATTTCGCCGGGGCCTGCGGTGGGCATTGGTGCTTCACCCACTTCCAATGGTCTTCCAGCTTTTGTGAGCCAGGCAGCTTGGTTCTTGGGTACTGACATATTGGATGATAAGAAGAGTTTCGAGAAAGAGATACCTGTGAAATAGATTGTAAACTATTGTTGGATTGTTTGTATGGACTGGAGGCGCAAGAACACTTGACTTATATACATGCATGTTGACTAGTGGATGCTTCTTTACCTGCTGGAACGGCATGTCTGAGAAACACCTGCATCGTCACCGAAGACGACTGTAAAAGGCATCACAAAGCGCGGCGACATTCCGTGCCTGTCTAATAACTGAGAATCTCTAATATCATGTGCTGATCCAAAAATTGGGGTCCTGTTACTTGTCCTTATTCCGTGACTTCCATCCATTGTCATCAGCACATGGGAACGGCATATGACGTTCCGTCCAAAAACAGATTAGCGCGGCCAAGCGCTTTCGTCTTGTCCTCCCTTATTACCTATCAGATGCCCAAAATTATTGCAAATTTCCATATCCCAACATGAACATTCGACTTGGCCCAAACGATTGCTTCGAATATGTCCCCAGATATGGCGTTCTCATCTGCCGAGAATGTCGATATGCAATCCAGAAATCCGCCTTACAAAGCCACTTGCTCCGTCACAAGATATACCGCGAAGAGAGGCAGCAGCTTCTAGTCTCCATCGAGCAATTTTCGATTGGAGAGCCTGATGATGTTCCGGTTCCTCATCCGACATCTCCTCCTATCGATGGACTGGACGTCATTCCAGGCTTCAGCTGTATCAAGGCAGGATGTGGACATCTCTGTGCCTCAGTAAAACGTATGAGGCTTCATCATAGCGAGGTGCACGACCTTGTAAATTCCTCTTCAGCCGATGCTTCACGGCCGGTCAAACTGCAGACTTTTTTCCGGGGCACCAAGATACGATACTTTGTGGTGACTCCGGGAGGTGAAATTGAAACAGGCCAGGTAGAACCGTATTCAAACAGCAGCGGCGAGAACGACATATCGGATAAATCACTTGATAGGATCGGTGATGTTATAATGAACGAACACGCAGCTCATCCCACCTCCACAGGACAAAAGCCTCGACAGCTTGACGCCAACAAGGCTTTTCAGTCTGTCAAAATCGATTTGGAAACACTGAATTATTTCCACCACTTCACCACAGTCACATACCAAACACTCCCTCTGTCACGAAATAGAAATCCCCCATATAGTACCCAGACATGTCAACATGATTTTATGTCATTGATTCTTGGGTCTCAGCAAGAATGGTTAATGTGCGGCATACTGGCCATAGCGGCTCACCACCTGGCCGCAACAACGCAAAATACCGAACAAAAACTCCTCCACAGCAACAAAGCCAAACAATACCACCTCACATTCACAAACAGCGAAAAAGAGATAGATGCTCTACCAGAGCCTATCAAAACCGCAGCCCTCCAGGTCGAAAACACACTGCTACTACTATCCTCGACTGTCCCAGAACTCGACTCCTGGAACATACACACATTCCTCGCTGCAATCCGCTCTCTCGCCAATGGCGGGAAAACCCCAGCCCAGCCGGGCCATCTATTCCCCAACCACATGGTCAACCAAGAAGCACCCTTCGACCACGCAAGAACCATCGCAGCAACACGACCGTCAAACGACCTAACCGTCATCCTCGACCGTCTCGAAACGCTACCAACTTGCTGGTCGTTGGCCTTTGGTCCACCCCACGTTGCGCACGATGTGATTGTTACTTTCACCGCAATGGCGTTTCTGGTGCAGTGTTGTGCCATGGGGTTTGAGACGGACGACGCGGCGAGGGTGTTTGAGGCGATGGCGCTGTGGGTGGTTGAAATGCCGCTGCATTTGAGGAAGATGGTGGAGGAGGAAGCGCCGGCGGCGACGGCGCTTGTTGCGCATTGGGCCGTGTTTATGGTGGGTAGAGCTGAGGAGTGTGGATGTTGGTTCTTGCAAGGGGGCGGGAAGAAGTTTTTGAGAGAGGTGGATCGTCTTCTACGTCCACATGGGAACCTGGTAACGAGCCTGATTACTGGTCTAGACGATCAATGAATGGGGGAAGGGAAATAAGTTGGGAACCATCACCGTTGCCTGACCTGCCTCTCACGTCGGGTAGTTAGTAGGACACACATAAACAACTCAAATACATCGCGAGTGTTGCAATAACCACCTATACAAGTATGCTATAAATACATAGATTCTTTAGTAATACTAAGAAAATCTAATTGCTCTAAAAGAAGACTAAAATTTTATTAATCAGCAGCAATTTGTGCAAAGAAGTAGTTAGTTGATGGGATGCTACATATGTCCCACTAATCACCCGACGTGAAAGTCTGCTACAAGCAGGTAAAGAATGGCAGAGGGTTCTATTGTTTCTTCGTCCTATTATCACATTTCATTCTTTGTATTACTCGCCAAAGCTATCCACGCGCATTCTCGTGCGACTGTAGTAGCCGGCGATTATGTCGCCTTGAAGGGCGCCGGGCACAAGTGCAAGAAAGCAATTAGTTATTAGCCACGGTGTAATGTCTGCGTTTAAACCTTATAACAGATGGTTGTATTCAGTCAATAATATGTGTGTATATATTATACCGAAAATTCTCATGTAAAATCATGAGACACAATTACTTTTGTTTTCCTTCCTTTCCAGTACCCTCCTTTTCCCCCAAACCCGAATATACTTTGATGATGACCTGAAATAGGGTTACAAGGACTGCGCCGTGCAATGCGGAAATGTGTAAGATGGAGAAGTTCGCGGGGACAAGTATGTAGGTCATGATGGCCATATCTTTATAGGGGAGAGTGCAAAGGGAATGGGCCCCAGAAGAAAAGCAGAGCAGAACAAAACAACTACCCGGCTTTTGTGAGACATGCAGGCAGCTCTTCAACCTAGGCTGACAACATAGCATTAGTGAAAGGTGAGGAAATTAACTAAGGGTATAAATGTGTAAACGCAAAGTCGCAAATAACACCACTGATGAACAAAGACTGATTTCTTTCGTTCCCTTGACTTCACTCATGGCATAGCGTCATGGGAGTTGCTGGTGATGCTGCTTCGATTCGTGTTCTCGCTGATCTGAGTCACAATGCTGGTGCGTTGGAACTGTGTTGCCAGACTGTTATCCCGGGATGGGGGGCTCGAGAGACCTTGTTGTTGACTAGGAGACGAAGGACTGATGTTTGATAGCAAGGTAGCTGCCTCGTTCGCACCGTATCGCTCTCTCAAGCGATTAATTTCCCGAAGTCGATTGCGCCAAGATGATACAGAGTCCCCTCCGTCCTTGATGAACCATACTTGAGAGAAAACGCAGGCGTTGATAGCAATGAGACGGCAGTAGCTGGCAATGTGTTTGCCGGCAAGGATCTTGGTCTCAGCGGCTGGTGAGATGTCTGGGAAGCCTGGTTTCGAGATGACTTGCACTTTGTAGTAGCGGTTCTTGCCCTCGATATCCGAATCCAATCTTCGGTCGACAAAAGATGCTTGTGACTCTGGCGAAACGACGATATGTACATAATTGAAAGCGGAAGGAAAAGTATCAAAATTGTAAGGGAGTCCTGAGTCGTTGAAGATGATATTGACAAAGTCATTACCAATATGCTTCTTCTTATTTGGGTAGGTCATATCATCATCCGGATTCGTAGGCATCATCGTGGTGACATGAAACACAAGTTCTATGCAGCGATCGCGCCAAGCATAAGTGAACTCGCCATCCGCGTCGTCGCGCGTGTCTAGTCCACCCGTGTTGAATTTGGCGCCTTTCAAAGGGCATAGCGTGCCCAAGTCGCTGATAAAAGATGTATAAGCGGGCGAGCCAATGTCATTCATGAAAATATCTCTTTCGTTAGTTTGCCCTTGCCCGATGTATATGACGCCGACTTTGTAACTGTCAATCGCAGAAATACGATCGAAAGTGGATACGGCGCGACGAGTCATATCATCGTCTGGTAAAGGTATGGGGGGGTCGGTTATGTTATTCATGCTCGCAAAGAACGTTTGGAATATATCGTCAGGCAGGATGCCGATGTAGGTCGTACTGTAGAATGCATCCGACGCAAGACCGAATGTAAGAGGGGCTTGGTGCCGTGGAGCAGGCGCAAGCAACGGGCGTAGTGAAAGGTACCGTGTACCGCATGGCCTTCTGCTGGTGATTTGCGAGACGCCGCTCCGCGCTGCCGTCTCAATGGTTATCAGGCTCTGACCCACAATCCACGTCTTCTTCCAGATCTCACCATCACCGGGATTGGCGAAATTTGCGTCGCGTGTTGTCTCATCCCGGTCCGTATGAGCCATCGAGCTCATCATGTCCATGATCACTTGACCTTGCTCCTCCAAATCCGCCTGTTTCCCCATACTGTCTGTGAAGCGTAAACTCCGTGCTATCCAGGCCATGAATTTGGGTCGATCTTCCATCTTGAGTGCCATAAACCAGAAGGCAATAACATGATAGGCAAGAGAATACAGATATTGGGGTAAATCTTCTTCAACTCCCTTCTTGCCATTGGCACCCAGTTCCGGTGAAGCCGCTTGATCGCGTGCGATGCCACTTTGTCGGAGTGATCGATGATTGACTTGAGCAAGAGTTGAGGACGTCATACGATCTCGCTGATCTCGAATATGCTGTAGATAGCGAAAGCTAACTCCGAAGACCATTTTGAATTCATCCTCACGGAAATTCTTGAACAGATCAGGCATGCGAGCCAATGACGTAAGGAAGTCAAGGATATGTAAAGCTGTGGTCGGTTTCGTGACAATCTGCGACATTTTTTGGACAATTGTGTCGAGTGACTTGCTGACAGAAAGGGGTACCTCAAGGCAGCAAACTGATAGAGCATGGATACACCACTTGGATGTTCTATCCCAAGACCCAATACCGTGGATGAAGGCTTTAACCAAATCATCTTCCTCGCTCTTTTCATAGTAGTCATGGTAACTGATAAGTACAGTGAGAATGTGGAACAAACACACAGCCACGTCTGCCTTTTTGAGTAGAGTATACTGAGGCGGTTCCCGAAAAGAGGAATTTCGAATTCGTTCGCAAGTCACGCTGCGAAGCATCTTCAACTGAGGGATGCAACTCCGTACAAGTGACTGATTGGACAATTGGGGCCCCAAATGGACAACAATGTAACTATAGATCTCCCAGTCTGTAGACTGTTGTAGTAAAGAGATGCACAGTTCAAGCCACAAGGTGATTTCCATGTCCAAAACATCGTCATCGAGTGGGTATCGTTCTGCGTCGATATGTGAAAAGACGACATGGCTCGCTTCGGATGCAGGCTGTTCTGGAAGACCCTTGGGGCCTGGATACATCCATAGAGACGGAAGCGGCTTGAGTACGCGTCCAGCAACGCTCGCATAACGGCCTGATTGACGATTGAGAGATGACTGAGGGCTCCCTGACGTTTTGCGCTGCTCACGAAGAGATGGCTGTTCTTGAACGGCTGTTGCGTAATCTCCACTCTCGGTCGCTACTGTAGTCTCCTCCGTCCGGCACAAAACTGCAGCCAAGCTTTCGCCCTCGGAAGATTCATTGATGAAAACTGCATGTGTAGAGTCAGCGCGTAAGCGGAAGAGGAGTCTCAGCACAGTCAGACGAGCATCCGTCTCGTATTTTTCGGCACCGGCGATGCTGCGCAATATCTCATATAGCGTACGAATTTTTCGAGCAGAGGTCTTGATGCTTCGGATGAAAAGCCGCACAAAAGCAGTGGCGATGACATTGCAAGAAGATCCTAGCGATCGTTCGGTCCTTAGACGAGGCGTTGAAGAAGGAGCCGAGGGTGTGCTCTCAAGCAGTAGCGGATTGGATGTGATAGAACGCTCTAGCCGCCTGTTCAGGAGCTCAACTGTAGCAAGAAATCGGGCATAAGGAGCCCGGTCTGCAACATCTACAGCAAAGTCGACCAGTGCATCCAGGACTTCAATATCGCTTTCGGATTCGAGGTTATCCAGGAGTAAAGACTGACATTGAAGGACAGATTCATGAGAGCCCAGAGTTTCTATTGTGCTGTAGGTTTCTCGTAGAGTGCTGATACTCAAAAGCCGCAGCGCTCTCGGCCTAGTACTGTCCCTCAATACCCCTGTCACCATACCACGGCAGACATTGAGCCAGTCGATGTTCGAAGGATGGAAATAGCGTTCTTCCACGTGGTATCTGATGAGATTTTCAGCTGTGGAGTCGCTTAGACGGTGTGCGAAATGCATGAAGAGTTCCATGATAGAGTCCTTTTGGATGTAATCCAAGTTTCTACTAATATTGTCCAACTTGACGAAAACGCTGAAAATGCGACCATCAAGTTTGCGAAATTCGACCTCGCTGCGGGCAATAGGCGAAGCCAAATCGAGATTAGAGATGGAATCAAGATCACGATCGTCTGTAGAGGCTACCGATCCAGTTGAGCCATTCAGTGTGGGTGTGTGACTGTCGTGACCATTGACAAGCTTTGGTTTCTCGTGCTGCGAACCTTCTGCTTTGGCCTGTAGCCGCTCGTCGTCCCGCTCTGTGCAAATGTGGATGATGTCGCGTAAATCGCTCCAATCGACTTCTGTGATGAGTAGCTGCTGCAACCTATCCTCACCTAGAATCTCATCGATGAGGCCCATGACGAAGTCTTCCTGGGTCTTGTGGGGCTTGCTGATGGAGGACTTGAGGGCAGGGAAAAGTAAAGTAAGGGGAACCGTGGGCAGTCCGTTTCGGCCATCCTCGAGAAGGAGTCGAGAGAGAACTGTGATGATTCCCCTGTAAGCGCTAGATTCACGGTTCTTCTTGATTGGACCCTCTATGAGAGTGTGCAAGAGAGCAGATATAGCAGATTGGCCCACGTGTGATTTGAAAAGGTTGCTTAGAGTGTTCCATGTTTGTTTTGTCAGGGCATGAATCTTGTCGTACACAGCACATAGGACCTCCAAGCAGGGTCGCAGGGATTTGTTTGGGATGTGGACGTAGGTGATGAGGGTGTCGAATAGGCGAATGCAGTTTTCAATGTCATACAGTTGGGGAGTCATTTGGCAGATGGTGATGGCCTTTTTGAGCAAGATATCGAGGTCATCGTCGCTGAATATTTTAGAATTGAATTTGCAAAGATCGATGGTGTAAGCAAAGAGACGGGCCAGATTATCAGCTTCCTGCAGTGCTTCCCCGGATGTCTTGCGGTGATGTGCCTTGTGAGCATCAACCGACTGTTTGAAACAGGTGTGGAAGGAGGACAGAAGAAAGGGCGGAAGGGATGATTCGCAGGCCTCGACTTCACGGCCATTCTTGGTCAAGTCGCAAATGATGCGCAGGCGTTTGTGAAAGCTACGGTCATGCTTGCGCAGGGACACAGCATCGAAGAAGACGCTGCGCTCAAGAGCTGAGAGCTTGGGATTGACTACACAAGCCTGAAGCAGACGATATCCGACCTTGGCCGTCTCTTCTGGTTGCTCGGGAAGGAGCAGATCACTCGCCCGGGCCCATAGATCCAACATGTGTTCGACAGGGTACTCAGCGAGAATGGTACATATCTTATCCACGGCGGCAATTCGCTCAGAAAGTGAACGCTGATCGTCGAGCTGGTCCACGAGTTGGGGCAGCTCTGGTGGGCCTCCCACCACTGGGCGGCCATGCCTCTGCCTCGTGTGCTCCGCAATACGCCGCAACGAGCCGTCAGCTGCCGGGTGGGCTGCGCTTGCCACCGACTCGTCCAGAGAAGATGCACGTGAGGGTCTGGATATTGGCGGGGGTACAGAGGCGGGTCTGGGTATGTATGTCGTGGACGAGGTCGCGGGTGGTGGGGTTGGACTCTTCAGACGGCCACTGGTGAGTGAGCGGAAGGCGCCGAACAGGACTGCCGAAGAGGAGCGGCGATCGGGCGTGCTTGGGCCATGGTCTCGCGGGCGTGGAGGCGGAGACATAGGTCTCGATGGCGGAGGCGACGGGTGGTGGTGAAGATGGGGGTGGCGACGGCGATATGGTGGTAGGCTCTACTAGTATTATGGATCCAGCAGCCGCTGCAGAAGGACATTTACGGGCATGGGCGTAGGCGTGAAGGCGAGCATGGGCGTATGCGACAGCGGGAGAGAGTAGTGATGGATGATGTCGAAGAGGGAGAGGCGGCCCATTTACTCGTATGTGCTCAGACCGCGATGTTGAGGATCAAGCGTGGAGGTGGGGACTCATAGCGGCCATAGTGTGCGAAGCAGAGATGAGAGGCGGGGCGCAGGTGGTCATGGGACGGGACGGGAGTGATGGATCAATTTATGGGAGTGTGGTGGTTGGCGGCGGCGGCGGTGGTGGTGGTGGTAAGTAAGTTGGTAGGGAAGCAAGAGAAGGGGCACAAGTCGGGTGCTAGCCGTCCATGTCGTTAGCAGCGCGCTTAATTGCCAGGAAGACGACAGCATCAGAGAAGAAAAAAAAAGTTTGAGAGATTGGGTACTTGTGCATATGTAGGTACGTTGGTTGTTAGTCGCCTAGCGAGTTCCTGCATACTTTTGCCATCAATCATGTCAAATGTACATATAAACCTTAATATTCTGCTATATATTTGCATGTATGTGTACATGTAGGCACAAACAAAGTCGCTGAATAGAATCAATCCATCATGGCTGGGCTTGCCTCATAGGATGTCGTTCTTTTCAACGACCCCGGATTGATTTTCCGCACACGGACCGCAAAACGGCTTCAGCTTTTTCTGCTTGCCCGCTCTGCCTGCCTGCTCGCCGGTTGCCATTGAACGGGCGGGAAGTGTTTGTGGTGGTGGGTGGTTTGTTTTGGTGATGCTTGCTCTATCGACCTTTTTTCTCTCTGGATTGTTTTTGTCCGCCCATCATCCTCTCCCCCTCCCCCCACAGCCAGCATCTAATATTTACTTCTCTCTCATTTCCCACCTATCTACTTTCACCTGCTCCCTCGTACCATCCCGGCCATCTCGTGGAATCCTCTCCGTCCCGTCCCCTCCTCACATCACCTGCGCCTTCTAGCGCACCATGGCCGCCGACATAGCACAATTATCTCAGTTGCTCGAGGCCAGCTTGGACCCCCGCCAGAACAAGCAAGGTATGTCCTGTTCTTCTTTACCTCGTACACCATCCCCAGCATGTCTCCATGGGACACGTCTTCACCTCCTCCCCGCGAGCCTGAAGCTACACCGGAATCTATTCCTGCGCCATATACACACGCACACCGGAAATGTTATGCGATGCGCTGCCCCACTGAGGGGCACTTCCTCTTCGTGACCGCCAGCAATGCCCATGGTCTCCAATGTGCTTCTTTTTCTTGATCACATGCTAACTATCCATGGCACATAGCGGAGGCTGCCATTGCACAGGAACAGACCAAGCCGGGCTTCTCGCTCTCCCTCCTCCAGATCGTCCAGAGCGACGCTGTTCCCCCCACCATCCGCCTCTCGAGCGCCCTCTACTTCAAGAATTTTGTTAAGCGCAACTGGGTCGACGAGAATGGCACATACCAACTACCCGAGGACGAGGTTACGGCCATCAAGCGTGAGCTGATTGGCTTGATGGTGGCGGTTCCGCCCAACATACAAGCACAGCTGGGTGAGGCTATCAGCGCCATCGCCGATAGTGACTTTTGGCAACGCTGGGAAACACTCGTTGATGACTTGATATCTCGCCTGACTCCGGACAATGCTGCCGTCAATAATGGTGTCCTCCGCGTCGCCCACTCCATCTTCAAACGCTGGCGCCCGCTGTTCCGATCCGACGATCTCTTCACTGAGATCAACCACGTCTTGTCCAAGTTCACCAAGCCGTTCCTCACTCTACTCGAGAACACAGACCGTGTCATCACAAGCTCGCAAAACGACCCCGTTGCTCTCAAAGCCTCCTTCACTACTCTCGAGCTGATCATCAAGATTTTCTATGACTTATCCTGCCAGGACTTGCCCCCCGATTTCGAAGACAACATTGCTGCCATCGCCACCCTTCTCCACAAATACCTCGTATACGATAATCCTGTTCTTCACACGAGCGACGACACCGAGTCGGGACCTCTGGAATATGTCAAGGCGGGAATTTTCGAGGGTCTGATGCTGTATGTGCAAAAGTACGAGGATGTGTTCGGCCCTCAACTTGGCCAGTTCGTCGAGTCTACATGGAGTTTCCTCATGTCAGTGGGTCTGGACACAAAGTACGACATTCTGGTCAGCAAAGCTCTCCAGTTTCTCACAAGCGTGGCCACAACATCACATGCCGAAGCTTTCAACAACCAGCAGGTGCTAGTCCAGATAATAGAAAAAGTCGTTCTGCCTAACCTTACTCTCCGAGAGTCGGACGTAGAGCTTTTCGAGGACGAGCCCATCGAATTCATCCGGCGGGATTTGGAAGGGTCAGACAATGACACCAGGCGTCGTGCTGCTACCAACTTTTTACGGACACTCATGTCACGTTTCGAAGCCCTGGTCACAAGCACTTCCAAAACCTATGTCGAAGCATATTTGCAGGACTACGCTAAGAACACCAAAGACAACTGGAAGTCCAAGGACACCGCAGTCTATCTTTTCTCTGCCATCGCTGCTCAAGGAACAGCAACGAGCGCTCAGGGTGTCATCAAAGTCAACCCCAATGTTGACGTGCTGGGCTTTTTCCAGACCAACATCGCCTCAGACTTACAAGGCGAAGACGTTGCACCCATCCTCAAGGTGGATTCGATCAAGTTCTTGTACAGCTTCCGGAATCAACTCTCAGCAGATTTGTGGCGCGCCGCATTCCCACTGTTGGTCAACCACTTGGGCAACACCAACTACGTCATCCATACCTATGCCGCCATAGCAGTGGAGCGCGCCTTGTACTTGACCGATGACAACAAGAATCCCATTATTCCTAGAGATCAGGTTGTCGGCGCCTCTAGGGATCTGCTCACACATCTTTTCAAACTCATCACGAAAGAAAATGCTCCAGAGAAAATTCAAGAAAACGAATTCTTGATGAAGTGCATCATGCGAGTCCTGGTCTTCATTCGCGAGGGCGTCCTCCCCCTTAGCGAGATGCTCCTCAATAATTTTGTCGGCATTCTCAAGGTGATTCGACACAACCCTAGCAACCCGAGGTTCCAATACTACCTGTTCGAGAGCATCGGCGCCCTCATCCGGTTTGCTGCCCCCAAGCAAAGTTCCGCATTCGAATCAACACTGTACGAGCCGTTTTCACTCATCTTGCGGGAGAATGTTGAGGAGTTCGTGCCGTACGTCTTTCAGCTTTTTGCTGCACTGCTCGAGGCAAATCCGTCGGGAGGACTGCCAGACTACTACCGCAGTTTGTTCGATGCCATCATCCTACCGACTGTTTGGGAATCAAGAGGAAATGTCCCAGCGCTGGTCCGATTGATCTCGGCTATGATTCCTCGCGATGCGCAAAATATCATCGCGAAGAATCAGATCGAGCCCATCCTTGGCATCTTTCAAAAACTGGTCTCTTCGAAGGTCAACGAAAGCTACTCTTTCGAACTGATTGAATGCGTCATCTCCAGCTTCCCCGTCGAAGCACTGCAGCCGTATTTCGTGACCATTGTCCAGCTGATGCTTACCCGATTATCTAACATGAAGACGGAAAATTTCCAACAACGCTTCATTGCATTCTATCATTTCATCTCGGCGAGGCAAGAGAAAGGTCTCGGTGCAGATTTCTTCCTCGCCGTTACTGATCAAGTTCAGCACGAGTAAGCGACATCCAAATCCCACTACCCTTTTGCTTGATTCTGACAAATTACCAGTGTTTTCAAGGCTCTGTATTTGACAATAATACTTCCCGAAACCCAGAAGCTATCCAAGACGACGGATCGCAAGACAGCAGTGGTCTCCTTCACCAAAACTTTGACCGATTCCCAAGCCTTTGTCGATCGATATCCCAAAGGTTGGACATTCACCACTCAGCGCCTTATCGAACTACTCGTGAACCCACCTGTACCCGCAGCGGCCGATGATGTTATTGCCGACCAGGATGTTGATGAGGTTGGCTTTGGTGTGGGCTTTACGCAACTTAACACGTGCAAGCGGCCGCCCAAGGATCCTTTCCCAGAAATCACCGACGTCAAGGCGTGGGTGGGACAATATCTGAAGGAGGGCAACACTCGGCATGGTGGTCGGATCGTCAAGCTCGTGCAGGAGAGGTTGGACGTGCAGACAAAAGGGGTGTTGGCGCAGTACTTGGAGTAAGTGAAGACGAGCACACGAGATGGGTGGGAGAAAAGCCACGATGTATGAATGGAAGGCTCTTGCTTGCATGCACTTGTTGGGAGGGAAGCTCCGGACGAAAGGAATGAAAATTGTGGCACGGGTTTGATTGATACCAGCATTAGTTGCGCAGCCAGGGAATGTTTAGTCGGGCGGTAAATTCAGGTAGGTGAGCAGGCCAAGTGTTCTCATGTATGTACGTACATCTGCACATGTGGAATAGCTACTCTACTATTTTATGAGCATGATGTAGCTCTCCTAAACACCAAACCAACAAAAATCTCATTACGTGTTCACGTTTTGCATGTCCACGGCTCCTAGTTGGCTGGAAGAAACACCCTTGTACCTGATGTTATCGATTATCGATTGTCGATAGGGTGGGCGAACCGAGATCTGCCTGCAGCATGCGTATCCGACGTCAGCCACCCCGCGACGCTTACAATGGTCGCCGCCGCCATGCTTTCGGGTGAGCGAGAGCGAGCACTGCAGTGGTATCCATCACTCAACGCTCTCGTCGAAGCCATTGCGACGGCACTACACGATCCGCCTCACTTCACCATGATACTTTCCCCGCTCTGAACATACCCGGTCTTACTGACCTTGTACATCATTTCCTTCACTCACTAACGGCCACTGTTCGTCCTTCGTTTTTCCCAGAGAACAGGCTATCATCACCAGGTGCAATGAGCCGCTCAAAGGTGGCCAACATTGCACTGGGCGTTCTTTGCGGACCCATTCTTTGCTGCTGGATCGCCTTTGCATCGTGCTGTTGCCCGGGACGGCTTCATCGACATGGCGAATCCGAAGATCGAAAACGCTTCGAGCGCCGGCAGGTCATGTCACCGCGTCCGCTGGCTGTGAGGCCTCCTGAACGTGCTCTCACGATTCCAGTGCCCATACCCCCGACCGAACGACACAAGAACGCGCGGGGCAAAACGTTGAATCAATCCCGCTCGCGACTGCTATCACTTCCTCTGGAGCTGCGCCAGATGATCTGGCGTGCGGCCCTCGGCGACTCCACCATCCACATGGTGTTGAAGAAGAACAAACTTGGCCATTTGCGATGCAAGGAATCTCGCACGGTAGATTGCCCCCTGGGTTACAACGGCAAAACATTGAGTCGAGCATGTTGCTGGGGCGCCGTGGACAGAGCGAATATCTGGCAGCCCAAGGGAGGTAACGGTCCCAAGCATACAGATGGCAACGTTCTTCCTCTCCTTCAGTCTTGCCGGCAAATGTGAGTCTCCTGCTTGCTGCACTGACGGTTCAGTCGACCAACTTGACACAACAGATATTCCGAAGCAATAGAGTACCTCTATACGACCAATTGCTTCTCTTTCTATGACCTCGACTGCCTCCGTTACTTCTCCTGCACAACCCTCCCGTCTCGGTTCTCTCTGATTCGCACCCTCGATATCGAGTGGTGCCTCACCTGGCCCATCTACGATCCCGTCGCGCAAAGTTTCCTCCTTACCAGTCCCGCTTTATATCCTCCACATGATGAAGCTACGTGGGAAGAGACATGGCGCGTCATTGCTGCGATGCCAAACCTCAACTTCATAAGAGTCAGCCTGTTGTACTTTGACGGGTTTCGGGATCGAAGATGCGAGCGTAAGATGCTGGCACCGATGCGCAAGGTGACGAGACCAAAGGTTTTTGAGGTGCATGTTAGTTGGCATGGTGATGAGCATGCTGAGGATGCACCTTTCACGCTGATCAGGCCAGTCGCTGAGGATGGGGAAGGCCAGTGAGAGTCGCGGTTGAGAGCTCCGTTTTACTTCAGCACTGTATACATGATTCAGTTTCAGCAAGCCAAATCATCATCGATGGCTCTTTGATGTGACTGCGCTAGCACATCTCGATATTCCGATCTACCCACGATTGCGACTTCTTTTCTGTACATGTACATGTATATCTATATGTCCGTACTTGTTGTTGTCCCATATATACCGACCTACATACATAGGTATGTATCGAATTGTACCTTCCTAATCTAGTTAGCGCGAAGAATTACACTAGAAGCTCTCATAGGGCGCGCATACATGTACATTTCCTCCCTGCTCACCCGAACTCGAAGCTTCCATTGAAAGAAGTGGGAACTGCTCGGAAGTATAAAGAAGAACGCGAATCGCTAGTTGCATGAGAAAAAGAAGACATAAACCCAAAAAGAAGAACCTCTAGATGATTAGGACGCCCCCTTCCACCATCGCATCGATATACAAATATAGCCACATCCTTTCTACGCCCATAATTTTTGCCCATTCCCAGCACCAGTTTCTAGCTGCCCGACTCGCTCGCTCTTCCGTTCATTATTTCACATCAAAGTCGATAAAGCCTACTACACCCATCAGGAATATGGCGACTATCTCCTCTGCAATCCCGATTTCTCTCGAGAAAACAGATGCCGTCTACCAGAAGGATGGCACACTTATTACGCACGAAACCACACTTTCATCCCTCACGCCATTGTCGTCTTTTCCTGAAGATGTGCGAGGGCTTTTCAAGGCAGTCTCAGGCGGGGAGAAAGGGGAAGCGGAGCCATGGGTAGTCACTGTAGCATCTACGATATTCCACGCACAGGGTGGGGGACAACCTTCTGATACAGGCGTAATCAGGTTGCTGAAAGGGGAGGACGGAGGGAACAACGACGAAGGGTTTACTGTTCACCAAGTCCGCAAGCTTCCCTCAACAAGCACGATACTCCACCTCGTTACCCCCCTATCGTCATCATCAACATCATCACCCAACTTTTTGCAAACCGCAAAGCTCCACCAGTCCATCGATGCAGAAAAACGAACACTCCACTCGCGTCTCCACACGGCGGGCCACGCTCTCGGGCTCGCAATCTCCATGCTCTCACAATCCGGCACCTTGCCCTCTGATCTTCAAGACGGAAAAGCATCGCATTACCCTTCCACCGCATTCGTAGAATTCACTGCCACGGCCGGCGGGCTTATCATGTCATCGCACAAAGACGCCATCCAGGCAAAGGTGGACGAGTTGGTCGCTGCGGATTACCCAGTCGGGATCGAAGTGCTGAGCCGGGCGGAAGCAGGGGCGCGATGTATCGGGGGAGTCGACGGCGCAGATGTTGGGGAGGAAGAGGGGGTTAGGGTCGTGGATTTGGGGGGGCTGGGGTGCTATGCTTGCGGAGGCACTCATGTTGGAAAATTGGGTGAGATCGGGAGAGTGGTGGTTAGGAACATCAAGAGACAGAAGGGAGTGAGCAAGGTTGGGTATGATGTTGTTTGATGGGAGAATTATGATTTTATTTCGATGAAACCACGAGTTGGTATGTGGAGGGTTATAGGGATGGGTTCCGAAGGGACTGAAACGCGTGATTTCATTATAGATTAGATCCATTGTCAGATGGTAGAGTTTTGGGGATTGCTTTAGGTTGTCAAATGCATGTTCTCTTGGTTGACATGTGGTAGTCGCATGCCCTCAATGTCTCAAATCTAGTAGCCCATACATACGTAAGGTTCACCAAGTGGGGTTGTTTTGTGTCCGACCTTCCTCAGCCAAGCAGACGGATCAGTCGGCTTGAGAGGGCTGTGGGCGTCTCTTTGCAGAGGAAGAGAGTGTGTCAAGAAGCCAGTAGGCATATTCGTCTAGCTGTCCTTATGATTGCATGTGGGGACACAATGTGTGCAGGGTCATATTAGTTGTTGCTACGGCTGCTCGCTTCGGAGTTTGGCTGGGCTGACTTGGAGCTAGTCAACAGGTCATCTACGATTCCATTACTGCCCAATTCACTGCTCACTTACTCTCCACTCAACCTGTGCAGCTTTCCTTTACCCTTCCCCATCCACATACAACAGAAGGCGAGACACTCCGACATCTGCGATACACAAAACACAGTCCAACCCAGCAATCCGGCTTTCAGGTGCGCCCCCGCATCGGTCACCATCAATCAACCACCATGTCGTCGTACCTGAACAACCTTCTTACCACCACAACTTCGCGATACAATTCGCTGCGCCGACAACTACTCTCCGACGAAGTGGACGGCGACACCGAAGACGATTCACACATCTCTCGGGGCCTGCGCGCCTATTACACCGAAAAAGGGCGTCCTTTCCCCCCATGGCTGCCGCCAGACCCAAAAGCCCCGCAAGCCGCCCCCGCGCAGATGGTTTCCTCGTCCGGGCGGGGATACGGCAATATGGGACCACCACAACAGCAGATGGGCCGCGGCAGTGCAGCCATCAATGATCTCTGGGATGGCCCCTCCCAACCGCAGCAGCAACAGGAGCCTATGTCGCTGCGACGTGCGCAGTTAGGAAGAGGAGGAGGTGGCCGTCAGGGACTAGCCCCTTCGCGCTCACCAGAACCTCAAATGCAGGGTAGACCGCTTCCCAGTCAGCGCGCCGGCAGCTATCAGACAGGCGGCGACAGGTTTCGTCCGTCAGAGACATCACCCCCGCCTAGCGCCGGGTCTGGCGTCAGCGCCCAGGATCGCTTGAAGGCGAGGCTTTGGGGCTCGGGCAGATCATCTAGCCCTTCAAACACTCCTTCGCAGAGCAGCAGTCCAGCACCTTCTGGAGGAAGGCAAAGCCCGTATGACCAGCGTGGAGGCGGAGGAAGGTCACCATATCCAGACGATCGCAGCGGCGGGGGATACTCGGGAGGGAGATCAGGTGGAGGAGGCAGGCAGCAGGACGAGTCGAGCTACAAGATGTCTTCTAACTCGCCGTGGACGGACAACGACGATCCATACGGCCCGTCATACAATTCAGCACCCCCGCAACCGTCTAGTGGAGGACGACGAATGGGCCTACCGAGCGGGCCTCGCATGCGATGATCAATTACGCGAAGCACTCTGTTTCTTCCCTTATTTTCAGCATGGCGCACAAGGATTGATGTAGCAGGGTGGTTTATTTGCTTGTTCGTGGCTTCAAATCTTGGGTCATTCTGCGGAGCATGGAGTTGGTGGAGGATGGGCGGGCTCGTTATACGGTTCTTTGGCGGCTGTATGGCGTTTCAAGGGCATATGTTTGCAAGTTATAGATGGAGCATGAGATGCAGCGCACTCTTCACGGCGATGGATAGGAATGACATCCTTGGACTACTGCGTATATTTATTCTCTGCAAAACCATGCACTCGACAGTCCATGCATCACATGTGAGCTCGCGCGCGTGGGCGGTTTAGCTAGGCCGTCCAGTCCAGTAGTGGTAGCTTGCCCCGCCACAATGAGCCAACGTCATGTCATGCATTGCCCCAACCCCAGATGACTACGCCCACTACCTTGCATTACACCGTCTACCTACATACACCTTATACGGTTAACCACAGACAGAATTGAATCGGCTCAACACTTCTGACCTCTATTATTACTCACTGCGGCCGCTTCACCACAGCCAGAAGTTCCTCCATCCGCTGTGAAGAGCTGCCCGCTCTCGCTCTTGTTCTTGCCCCGCGCGTCTACCTAGGTACCGGCTTACCATGGCTTCCTCCAACAACGAATCGCGCGCTCCGCCCTCTCCTACCGCCTCCTTCTACGATCTTAGTGACGACGAGGAAGGAGAATACAATACCATAAGACACTCAAGCAGTGGTCGAGGCGTCAAGTTGCTCTATACCAAGAGCAAGGTACGTTATTGCCATTCTTCCTCTGCGGTGGCGTAGGTATTAATAGAGCTACACGTACAGGTCTACGTACACCCTACCCCTTCATCCAAAGACAATATACCGGGCTTCATAGCTCTTATACAGCAAAAGTCCGCCGCTCAATCAAATGATGCTCGGCCCACATCTTCCGCTTCCGCCCGGAGTACCCATTCCTCGTCGCTGCTCCTCGCCTGGATGCCCGAATCACAGCTTGGTGACGCATATGATACATACGTAAAGGTCGATCTTTCCGATTCATCCTCGCCTCCCAGGCAATCTTATCTTGTTCCACCACCACCCACAACCAGGACAAGCAGCTCTGCCACGGGATCGTATGCTTTTGCTGTGCCGTTGAGCGAGATATACTCGATATTGGTTCGGCCGCCTAGTATAGGTTGGTGGTTTGGAAGTGTCGTGGTGAACACACGAGCGGGCGAAAGCTTCCCTGCACTCTTCTTCCACGATAGTGAGTGCCAATCGACTATCATGCAGCGGAAGAAGCTGGCGAAGGAGAGTTTTGACCCTTTCGGTGATGGCGGAGGAATGTTTTGGGGTGGTGATGAGGTCTTGAGGTGGTTGAAGAGATACGTTCATGTGGAACGCTCAGGCGCGGAAGCCAGCATCTATCTTATTGAGCCGACCGAGGAAGATAAGAAATCGTTTGGAAAGGATGCCCCCAGCTCACCAAAAGCCAAAACCAAAGAGGACGACCAGAAGAGAGATGGCGGCATGGATCCCGTGACAAAGGCGCTGAAGGAGGCGAGATGGAACTTCCTTGAGAAGCTCAGTCAAGTCACGACATTCACCCGGAGAACAGCACAGGCTGTTGCAGAGAACCCAAAACTCCCCCCTCAGGTGCGACGGTTGATTCAGAACCCCGAAGTTCAAACACTACAAGATGAGTTCGATAGCGCACGATTGTATCTGGCAAGATGGGCTATGGGCATCGCGGAACAGAGTGAGCGTGATCGCAACCAACGCATCTGGACCGCCAAGGATGTTCTGGCAATGGAAGAGAGCGATGTTGGCGACTTTGAGATCCTAGACATGGACAAAATGTCTTTGGCAGACCGGAAAAAGCCCCTTACAATCACAGAGTGGAGGGAAATGTTTGACGGGCATGGCCGGCTGCAGATCACGCCAGACGAAGTGAAGGAACGCATCTTTCACGGCGGGCTACACCCTGACGATGGTGTGCGGAAGGAAGCCTGGCTATTCCTCTTGGGTGTGTATGACTGGGATAGCTCCGAGGACGAGCGTCGCGCCTGTCTCAACAGCAAGCGCGATGAATACATCAGACTCAAAGGCGCTTGGTGGGAGAGGATGGTCGAAGGGCATAGCTCTCCCGAGCAAGACGAATGGTGGAAAGAGCAGAAGAACAGGATAGGTTCGTATCCCCTTATTAAAATGGCAAATGTTGTTCTTCAGCTGACTTTAACCTGTGTATGGGGTACGCTGTATAGAAAAGGATGTGCACCGAACAGATCGAACTATACCCATCTTCATGGGCGAAGATATCCCCCATCCTGATCCTGACTCGCCATTCGCGGACGTAGGGACCAATGTGCACCTCGAACAGATGAAGGACATGTTGCTTACGTACAACGAATACAACAAAGACCTGGGCTACGTACAGGGAATGAGCGATCTACTTGCTCCTATATATGCAGTCATGCAGGACGACGCTATTGCATTCTGGGGGTTTGTGGGGTTTATGGATCGAATGGTAATCCAAATCCTTGTCGTTGGAAATGTCAGATACTAACACAACAACAGGAACGCAATTTCCTTCGGGATCAGTCTGGAATGAGGAAACAGCTTCTCACACTTGATCATCTGCTACAATTGATGGACCCCAAGCTTTACCTCCATCTGCAATCTGCCGACTCGACCAACTTTTTCTTCTTCTTCCGTATGCTTCTTGTCTGGTACAAGCGCGAGTTTGAGTGGGCCGATGTGCTAAGACTGTGGGAGTCGCTGTGGACGGATTACTTGAGCAGTAACTTTCACATCTTCATCGCACTGGCAATTCTCGAGAAGCACAAAGAAGTTATCATGGCGCATTTGCAGCATTTTGACGAAGTGCTGAAGTATAGTAAGCAGTCAACGAGATTTCTTCGTATCTGCTCCATGGAAGCTAACTTTGGCTGTAGTCAACGAGCTGTCCGGTACCATGGATCTCGAATCTACTTTAATTCGCGCCGAATCGCTCTTCCGCCGCTTCCAGCGCACCGTAGAAACTATTGACAAAAAGGGAAACTTCCCTTCGGCACCGCAACAGCAAGCGAAACAACGCAAATCGATCACTTCCTCCTCTTCCCCAACACCTCCTTCTGCATCATCGACAGCCGATCAAGGCGTATCGTCCGCCACGGACAAGGGAAAGCAGCCATCGACATCTGCTGAAGGAGAAGAAGAAGCAAGAGTCATCAGTCCAGAGCTGAGGGCACTACTCAGTCGCAAGGTAGATAAATTGGAAAAGGAAGAAGTTGTGAAGAGTGGCGGTGGCGTTGGGTCTTGACCGTGCTGGTTTGCCTCGACGTGAGAAAGCGGAGCGCACCCCTCGGTATCGGAAATTGGAGTTTTGCTTGATACACAATTTTTCTCTCTATTTTTTTTTCCTCTTCTATCTTTTTCTATTTCTCGTCATCTCTCATCTCTCCTGCGCGTTTGGAATGAAGCTGGCGTTATTGGGCTGCAGGTTGTTGTTGCCTGGTGAATGTTCCATACTGCTGGGTTTTCGGAACGGTTACAAGCTGCGTAGCTAGTCAAAAGCACGCCACGTGTTGGCGTCCTCCTCTATTTGCCTATGCGTAACATACAACTATTATATACCTGGCGAACTTTGGAATCGGTACTGGTCGTGATTGGGAGGGATGGATAAATGGGTGAAGGCAGACGTCAAAAGGGATAGGTCGCATTCACACGTGCATACGTGCACGTATGGCTACATGTACATATGTAGGTATGCGTCGAGTTCACGTAGCTGCTGAGTCTCTCTCTTTCCCAATAGTTGCCTTTTCTTTGACGTGTCTCAGTTCTTTCACCCTATCTATTTGTGTTTGGTCAGGGCCAACTAGATTGGTGGGTTGTGTTGACCAGGTTGTGTCACTCCCCCTCTCCCGTGCGCGGGTTGCGTTTGTTCTTGGAGATAGTGGGCATAGAAAGGCAGTCACCTACGACACGTACTTCTTCCTCTACCCCACCTACTCGAGTCTCTCATGTCGCCCAGCATGGCCGCTTCCAAGTCAGCCAAGTCATCGAAGTCTCCTTCGTGCAAGAATATGATCGAGTTCCTGAAGGCTATCAAAGGCATGCCGGCATCTTACCGGCAGCATTTCGACGCCATTTCGCGAGGCACGCTCGAAAAGGTCACCAATGCGAACGCAATTGGAGTCTGGGAGGTTAGCGATGACTTGGACGGATTGTTTCAGCTCATGGAAGTTTTCTTCAAGTTAAAAGGTGCCGCAGCCTCGAAAGACGAGAAAGGTTGGGGTTCCACGACCAAGAGTAAGAGCAGGAAGGCGATGCCGAAAATGGTGATCATATCGCAGGAAAAGAAAGAGCGGAATGCGTATGGGAGGATTGTCGAGTCTATGCAGCACTGGACAGAGCAGAAAGGAGACAAGCATCTCAATGGATCAGTCGCCGCTTTCGAGTCCGTAATTGTCGTTCGAGGTGTGAGTTGCGATAGGAAAGAGACGGAGAACAAGATGAAAGAGGCGGTACAAAGAATCGATATCGCCATCGAGCAAGTCATCAAAATGACCTCTAAACGGTCCTCCTCCAAGATAATCTGGCATCATGGCCCGGTACTTTCTCTTCTTCTGACCTGGATTAACTTCACATCCGCATCCCACCGTAACGCTCTGAGCTCCATCACTCTCGCTGCGCCTCTTATTTTCACATCGGGCGCCAAACCCTCTCCACACGGCCGACAGAACACCCCAAAGGACTTCACCCGTCTCTCCGAGTACGCCACGAAACTCTCCATTCCTGTCCTCCTTCTAGATCCGATCACCCAGCTTTTGGACTCACCCTTCCCTTCCATCTACATGGTCTATCTTGGCTTCTACATCACACTCTTCCTTCCACCATCGGTAAATATTCCCCATTATCACACCGCCCTTGATGCCCTCGTAACCTTTGCCTTTGCCCTCCGTGCCCAATTCGAACGCAAGCACGGCAACGCCGTCGTCTCAAAAGTCAAATCGCACCTCAACGGCGAGCGGTCCCAGCGCTGGGCCAAAACGTGCATCGATCCATCTTCGTACAAACTCTCCCCCAACAGAACCGCTTCATTCCCCACCTCCGAATCATCCCTCAACATGGCAATCGCGCTAGCAGATTGCCCTTGGGCCCCCTTCGCTTCCAACGAATCCGCTTCGTCCTCCCCTTTACCGGCTTTCGCCCGCGTCCCCATCTCGCCGGCATCAACCGCTGATGCCGTCGCGGACATCTACGTAGCAGCTCCCATCGCCTTTGATTTCTCCGAAAACACATTCTGCGTCAGCCCCACGACGCCATTCCGCGTGCTGGTGCCCCGTCCGGGCATCGAGATTCGCCAAGCGACGGGCGCTGTACAGAAGAGTATGTCAGAAGCTCTGCAGCGGGTTCGCGAGACCAAGCGTTTGCCCAAGATTGGGGACTTGGAGGCTAAGATGTGGAACGATGCTGTCGGAGCAATTTCGTGGGCCTTGGGGAAGGAATGCGTCATGGGATTAGAGAAGGGAGTGAAGGAGAAGGTGGAGTGTTTTGGGCGTGGGTTAGTAGTTAGTGGGTGTTGGGGTGCCTGTGTTAATGGGCTCGAGGCGGGAAAGAAAGAAAATGAAGCTGGTTGGAGCAGTTGATTTGCTTGGATCAGGAGCTCATAGTTTCTGAGCGAGTTGCTTCAAATTGGTGAAGATTGTTCTTTTTGTGTCTCTTTTTTTGCACCTTCATTGCGGTTTGGGCGAGTTCTCTACTTGGCTGTGTTTGTGTGCAATTTAGCGTTGGGCATACTTCGAGCGAGGCCGTTGCCTATCAACAATCGTTTCTAGTAAGCTGGGCGAAGGATAATTCGCCTCTTTCTTCTCCTACCAATGTTCTTAGTTAGGCCTTCCAAGCAAAAGGATAGTGTAAGTTTACAAGCAAATATTTGAAGCAAAGAAAGAAATGATAACCCAATCATCCAAACTCGCTTACCGGTCGGTGGTCATCTTACCCCAACCTCGGGCAATCACCCACCGAAGTCTCTACCTCTGCACGGGAAAATTAACCTCACTCGCACCATCACTTACCATTTGTCCCCGCAATGTCGCTATATCAGGATCACGACACCAGTTTCCTTCCGTGTTAGCTAACCTAACTACTGCTAATTCAACTACTAAGCGACGGTCGATATATCTCGAAGCAGCAACCTCTAGCCCCCTCCTGGTTATGGCGAAGGGGAAATATGCGAGTTTCGCAGATCGCGTTTTCCCCCGCGCTGCTTGCTGCCCGGTCAATTTATCCATTATGCCTGGAGAACGCGGATGGCGAGATCTCAAAGAAGCTGTCGTGTATGCAAGGTACATTCCATACATGTGCATGTAATATAGTAGGATGTCCCGAGTGGCGGGAGGAGAAGGGGGGGTAGCTAAATGTTGCTCCGATTGTATAAATGATTGTTTACCCATCGGACTGCTCTTCCTTCTCGCTCGCCCTGTTCACACTCACGTTCTCCATTCGCGAAGAACTTGAAGGAAGACAAGCGGGTGTATTTACCCAGCGAGAACAATGCGGACCCACCCCTTCGCGCTCTTGGGCCTCGCTCGCCTTGTAGCGCATCCCTCTGTCGTCGCTGCTGTTAGTACCTCGGTCCAGGTGAAATGGATCGATGAGACTCCTACATCCCACACTGGAACGACGTTTGGTTTACCGTGGGCCCGTGGACGCCACCTTGCGAACGCGACTGAGTTCAGCGCGGATGCGGGTACGCTTCAGTCGTGGGTTACAGCGTACTGGCCTGATGGATCGATCAAGTGGTCGGCGCATGCACTGGGCGGGGAAGAATCTGTGAAGGAAGGGTATACTGTTACAGCGAGTGGCGCTGGGAATTCGAGTGTTGGTGAGAAGGCGAGGAGGCAGACTGGTGGCAGGAATGGGACAGCGATTGAGATCTCAGAGTCTACGGATGAGATTGTAGTGAAGACGGGGAAGATCACGGCCAGTTTTGCGAAGCAGGGGAGTGATCTGGTGAAGAAGATTGAGACTGCGAGTGGGAAAGTAGTAGGGAAGAACGGACATTTGGTGCTGCTTTCTCAATCAGGCATTCCGGAATATGAAGGCGACTCCACAGGTATCCAACACTACAAGCTATCCAGCAAGATATATAACACGACTGTGTCATCGGAAGGAGATGGCTCTGCTCGAGCGCTTGTAACAGTTCAAGGCATCCACTCGACGCCTGCGAATTCGACTGGCTCTCGTGGCGACTGGCTTCCATTTACCGTTCGCTTTTACCTCTACGCCAATTCCGACGCTATCCGGACGATTCACACTATTATATATGATGGTGACTCTAAGTCAGACTTCATCTCTGGGCTCGGTATACGTTTTGATGTACCATTAGCCGGAGAGGAATTGTACGACCGTCATGTGCGCATCGCTGGTGTTGATGGGGGTATGTTGCATGAGGCAGTACAGGGAATTACGGGACTCCGCCGAGATCCCGGTGCCAGCGCTAGAAGTGCACAATACAATGGCACAAAGACGCCAGACAAAAGTACTTGGGATACTAGGGTATCAACTCGACTACAATGGATCCCAACGTGGAGCGACTTCCGTTTGACGCAGTTGTCTCCCGATGGCTTTAACATCAAGAAACGCACGAAGGCTGGCCAAAGTTGGGTTAAAATACCAGGTGGAACGCGCTCAGGCGGTTTGGCTTACCTTGGGGGTGCTACTGTCGGAGGACTCGCTGTTGGCCTTCGTGATTTCTGGAAGAAATACCCCACAAGTCTTGATATTTCCGATTCTACCACCGACCAAGGTTCGATTACGCTCTGGCTTTACAGCCCTTCGGCTGAGCCCATGGACCTACGGCCTTATCATGATGGCCTAGGTCAGGACACGTATGCTAAGCAGCTCGACGCTCTAGAAGTGACGTATGAGGATTGGGAGGAAGGTTACAACACACCGTATGGAATTGCGAGAACGAACGAGGCCTTCATCTACGCTTTTGACAGCACTCCATCTGCGGATAGACTATCTGAATTAACAAGCCAATCGAATGAGCCTCCTGTTTTATACGCAGAACCGAGCTATGTCGAAGAGACTGGCGCTTTAGGAACTTACTGGAAAACTCCCGAAGCTACTTCAGGGTCAGCGGATGCCGCCGAGATTGAATCTCATCTCGATTTCCTGATCAAGTTTTACCACGATCAAGTTGAGCAACGTCGCTGGTTCGGCTTTTGGGACCATGGAGATATCATGCATGGCTACGACACAGATCGCCATCAGTGGAAGTACGATATCGGCGGCTATGCGTGGGACAACTCGGAGTTGAGTCCTGATCTCTTCTTCTGGAATCACTTCCTTCGTACAGGTCGAGCTGATGTATACCGTCTTGCCGAAGCACAAGTTCGGCACGGAGGAGAAGTCGATTCCTACCACCTTGGAAACTTCACGGGTCTCGGTACACGGCACAACGTGCAACATTGGGGCGACAGTGCAAAGCAAGCCCGTGTCTCGACCCCCGTTTACCGCAAGACCTTCTACTACATCTCAGGCGGTGACGAACGCACAGGCGATCTCATCCACGAAGCTCTCCAAGCAGAGAAAGGCTTCTATCTCGTCGACGCACGCCGAAAAGTCCGCGCCCCAGATGTCGTCTACAAACCCGACCCAACCGCCCTCTACCTCGACTTCGGCACAGACTGGGCCGGCGTTGCAGCCGCATACCTCATTGAATGGGAACGCCGTGGACCCCGCTGGGAAGAATCGCGCTCCAAACTCCTCGAAACCGCGCGAACCTACCCGGACCTCAAATTCGGTTTCGTAACCGGCGAAGCCCTCTACAACTCTCTCACAGGAACATGGAGCCCGCCTCCCACGGACCCGTCCAACAACGGCACGGCATCCATCTCGCATCTGTCAGCCGTATTCGGCGTCCTGGAAACCCTCGACCAGCTCTTCTCCCACGACCCTACCCTCCCGTCTGCCTTCAAAGACGCCTGGCTCGACTACTGCTACTACTACTCGGCATCCAACGCGGAGCAGCTCGCGCGCTACGGCAAGAGTTTCGGGAAAGTCAACTTACGCCAAGGCCACGCGAGATTGACGGCGTATGCGGCGCGCGAGCGTGGGAATGCATCGCTGGCGGCTCGTGCGTGGGATGAGTTTTTGAACGATAACTCGGCGGATGAGTTGGGGCCGGACGATCCGTGGAGTACCGTTGTATGGAAGGGCAGCGATGTGCTGACGCAGGTTGACGAGGCGGATTGGATCACCACGAATGCTGCGGCGCTTTATGGGCTCGCGGGCATCGAGCTGCTGGCGCTTGTTGGGGTGTCGGAGGGGGGGAATGGGACGGGGAATGGAACACTTGTTGGAAGATAGAAGCAAAGAAGCGAGCGGCTTGAGATGGTAATTATATCACGAACTTATCCGTGAATGACGATGATGTGATGTGTTTATTGCAATTATGAATAGTTGAACCACATCCATGCTTTCGACAGTTCAAACAGTTCTGAATTCATTGGTATTCACGTGACTCCCTTACTCGCATGTGGTCATCTGGATTGTCGTCATAGTGTTATTTCGTTGCTTGTTGTGTGCCAATGATCGCTACGAGAAAGAAATCTGTTAAATTGAAATAAAAGTCTGGTAATCATGCTTGAGCAGAAGCTATGTACATGATAAATTCGTCGTAGTCGCTCGTTTTTCATAATTTTATCATTACAAACCATCGCTGTGTGTAGGAGCAACTAAACTCCGACTCAAATCAAGTACATGCATGTGAAAATAGACTTTTGAGATGGGAACCGCGTGATGATGACACCTGAAAAACAAAATATGACTGAAGACTCCTAAAGGAAAATCCACGAGTGTATCTCTATATATAAAATACGAAAGTCATTCAAACGCTCGTTCAAGCATCTATATCTTCAATATCAAGACTAAGCCTCTTGATATTGATGCTGACAGGTTCGCGGCGGTGCGTGGGTGTCAAAGTGGGTGCCAGGATGAGTGGCATCGTGGGCAGGTAGGGTATAGCAGACACTGCTGCCTTTGCTGGGCTGTAGGAGCTCTGACTGGGCTAGACAGGGTTAATGGAAGTGGAAAGCCTTGTGAGAACTCTGCTCTCTTATAGCAGAGGGCGACGAGCGTACCATGGTTCATAACCTCAACCTCACTCAACACTACAAATCCGTACATCTCCACTGGATCGTTGGGACGTCGTATACGTCACTACGTCAAATGCGCTCAAAAAAGCATCTATAAAGGCGAAACCCCCCCCCCCCCGAATGCAATGAAGAGAAGCAGCGAAGACGACCGCGAAACTTCAAAAGAGGTAGGCAGCACTTATGGGTCAGCACTTCGAACTCTAACGCTCTCGTCAAGTCCGTCATCCTCATCGCTGGGACCATCCAGAGTCAGAAAGGCAGGGTTGGCACATTCAATTGGATAGCCAGACACTGTGGTAGTAGCACTTGAGTATATAATTTGATAGTTGGTCAAGGTGACGTCCAGTAATGTCTCCACTCCGCCAAGCCAAAGATTCGAGGATTCGAGACATTGATGTTTGTCTGTGCGTATTTTTGCTTTTATTTTGGGATTCCCGACTACGGCACTCGCCCGGGTTTTGTTCCGACCGCGCGTTCTCACACGGCAGCGCGTCATGCTGGATAAAAGGCCCCTCTACATACTACATCATCCATCACACACACAGCGAATTCTTTCCCATCGCAGCCACCGCTCACATTACACTGGGGCTATTCACTCCACTGGCATGCACGTCATCAACTTCTTCAATTTTCCGTCCTCCGGCGCTTCTTCGAATGCGGACCTTGTTCTTCTGTGCTGGTGTGGTGCTCTTGTGCGATGCTGAGGATTTTGAACAGTGACGGAAGAACGTCTTTTAGCGCCTCTTTGATGTCTTGATCGATGGCGGTAAGTGTTTCACGATGGCTTTCGCGGTTTTTTTGGATGCTCTCCAAGTCCATGCTTGCCTTCCGGTATCCCTCCTCTAATTCTTTCTTCTCCTTCTCTAATTCAATCAATCGATGGTTGGCTGCATCCTTGTTCTTTCTTGCGACTTCCAACTGTGCTTGAAGAGCAGCACTCTCAGCCTCATGATAGCTTTTTTCAGCATAAAACTCTTCGATGAAGGTGGAAATCTCTTCTAATGAACTACTCGAGTCGAATGGTTGATTTTGAGCTCTGGACGGTGGCTTGGGCGCTGGTGTTGTCGCTGGCGTTGATGAACTAATCTCGATCTCTTGAGGATTAGGGGTAGGATCTTGGGATGTCGTCTCGCACGAACCCAGTTCTCTCTTTACCCTGTTTGGAACAACGAGTTCAGATGCTGCCGATTCAAGGGGCGACGCATCGACTAGGTCGTAGCCAAGCTCAGAAACTGATTCTAGTTGCTCCCCATACAATCTGGCTACCTTCAGAAGATCGTGCTTATACGTAGATCGCGACACCACCAGCTCATGTGCCAACATCAATTCCGTCTTGAAGAAGAAATAACGTATGACGGCTGACAAGTGAGATGGCCGGGTTATGAACGAAAGCTCCGGGCGGAGTATAACCTTCTCGTCGACATCTTTGTGGCTGATCTTGGAATGCTGACCCGATCTGTTATCGAAAGCATGATATCGTATCGTGGGCAGATGCCCAATCACTTTTGAATCTTTCTTTGGGCTGTTGATGGCTATACCGGCCCACACGTACCCAGCGGCATTATCATCCATTGTCCCAATCATGATAGCAAAATATCTGCCGTCTTCTTGGGTAATCAAACCGTCAGTCCCTAAGGTTTGTACACCGTCTTGCTCGAAGGAGACTCTTTCGATTCTTTCATAAGGGAGAGTGTCAAGTAGGACATTTTCCTCTGGGCTCAGGAGCTCTGAGAGACTGTTTGCCATATGCTTTGTCCCCGCTGGAACGAGCACGGTCTCTCTTGGCTTAGGCGACAGACTTCCCATATTAACTTCGATAACTAACATTTGGTCAGCGTTTTTCCGCTTGCAAGACTCAAGTTTACTTACCAATGTTGTGCGCAATCGAACCTCCACTGTAAATCCTACTCCACCCACTGACTGGTTTCAAAGTGCGTAGAATCACGAGCACAGATCTTCGTGTGGCAGTTCTTAGTCTGAGCTGCCTGTGATCTTCCACCCGGACCCGACACGATCAGAAGTACTTTCGCTGGCTAGGACAAGAAGCAACCTTCTTCGTCTGTGAAAGTAGGTCCAGAATGATGAAATGTGCAGAGTAAGAGCAGAAACGATTGGGAGGTTGGGAGGCAGAACAGAACGAAGTAGATGAAGAGTAGGGAGTCTGCTAAGGGGGTATTGAGAGGAGGTGGTGTATACACAAAAGGCACGTAGGCAACAGCATTTCGGACCGCTCGTGGTTCTTTCCCATTCTAGAAGACATAAACCGAGCTAAATCTCGAATTTTCAAATACACGCAAGATTGGTGTGAATCGCAACTTGCAGAACGTACGGAATATTATGTGCGGTCAGTACTTCCGCAGTCAATATGGTCCACCTTCTTCCAAGACCCGCTCGCATTTCAAATTCAATGCAGTGCCAAACAGAGAGTCAAACGTAGTAGGTAGATGCAACGCCAAACAGAGAGCCACAACCTCCTGATCGCAATCCCTTCAATCCGTCCTCCTTCTCTTGCGCTCACTTTCCTTGTGGCCTAGATCAATACCAAATTCGATGGCCTTCTTGATCTCAGGATCAGCCTGACCAGCCAGCTGTTGCTTCGAAGCTTGGGCGATTTGCAGCTTTTGAGCCTCAGATTTCTTCTGAGCATTCAGCTTTTTGATATCAGCTTCGATATCATTCAGCTCGGCTTTAAGTTCCCTAACTTTTGCCTTGACGCCATCTCGCTTCCTCTCCTGCTCTTCCCCAGCAGCAGCGAGTGTCTCGAGTTGATGTTTAAGGCTTTCCTCTTCCTCATATGCTTTGACTAATTGACTGAAGAGTGTGTTGCGAGAGCCGGTGGTGTTACGCTAGGAACTTGTCAGTATTTCTGAATGAATGATTTGCCGAGTCTCATACATACATCCTCAAATTGGGTACGCTTTGGGTACATGTTTGCCACGGGGACCTGGTTTTCCTGGTCAGAATCATTGCTTTCCTGTACTGTAAACTCAGGAGACGTGGTCCGTGGCATCATAGACTGGTTTTCGTTTTCTGGGAACAAAAGGGACGAAAGATCCCTAGAAGCACCCAGTCCGACCTGAGATTTACGGCTCGGAGCCCGGGTCTCTCGTCGAGCAAAGGGCACAGAGGTATCGAACCTGCCGCAAGCACGAATAAGATCCTCTGCATTGCTTTTACTGAAAGTTGGAATGAAGAGAAATTCAACCTCCGTCTTGTAGAAGTAGTACTTGACGAGAGCTGGAATCATGCCGGCTGCACAATTTGCAGGGAATATGTCGCTCAGCGTGGCATAGCGCACAAGATAGCGGTCCACGTACTGCACAAGTTCATCGTCAGCGTTAAGTCCAAGATAGCCAACTCGGGTTGCACGCTCGGTGTCTGTATTCTGGAACAAATAAGCCCAAATGGTGATGTCGATGTTGTTTTCCAAGTCACGATCGGTTCCTAGCAGCAACTTGATGCCGATGACCTGCGCAGGCTTCCCGCTGCCTAAGCTCACATCATCCTCGTGAATCTCGAATATGGCTTTACCATACGGCGGCTTATCAAGCATGTAGGCTTTATCACCACATGCTCGCTGGATGACTTCAAGCGCAGTCTCCGGGGAACCGCCTTGCTGGAAGAAGATAGAGCCTGAGGTACTCATGATGATAATTCCTGATCTTAACATAATCAGTGATCAATGCGTATTCTTGAAGCTATATCTTGCTCACCAGTTCTCAGCTTCAATCTCGGAGGTGGAGGTTAAGAAGAGGGCAAAGCTTCGCCAGCTGTATCATGTGTTGACAAAATATAGGTGGTCTTGGCAAATACTACACTTGATAATTGCTATCAGAAGCGCGAGCGTGTGATTGGACGTTAATAGTCGGAAGTTGTGTTGTAAACAAAGCGTGACATTGGGTGAAGGCTGAAGAGCTTAGCCCTGCCCTCCCTAGACTTACTTGGTCACACAGTCTACGCGTGGTACCCTTGTATGTCAGCATTCACGCACGATTCAGGCAAGATCAAGAAAACTGTTCAAAGTTCAACTCTACGTGACATGGAAATTGATTCTTCAATGTCTGCTTTGTTATTTGTCGTTGGAGCTACCAAGACGTACAAGCTGCGCGCCGCACGTAGTTGACAGCAATAAATCACGCATTACAAGCGATATAGTATAATATGAAAATCACCATCGCATAGATAAATAAACGGTAGAAACAGTGGCCAAGAAAGACCAAAAATACAAGGGAAAATATGGAAGTAACCCATCATGACCGCTACTTCAACTTAACTATCATCCGCATAAAGCCTCTCTATCTCCTCCGCAAAAGCATCCTCCGTCTCCCTCCTTGCAACAGTCCCTTTAATAGTCCTCACAAACTCCTTTCCTCCTTGAACAGAAAAGCACAAATCCTTCGTCAACCTCACCAGCGGAGAACAATCCCCATTCGCTTTCTCCACAAACGGCCACAACCTCTCCAACGTCTTCTCCTCATCCCCAACTTCTGGGATCCACTCTACTAGTAAGAAGGGCTTCGCTCGTCCTTGCCCGCCTACAAGCACGCCTTTTACCGCTTGACAAGAGGAAATGACCTTTTCCACACCCGCGGCATAAAGATCCTCGCCGTGCGAGAAAACGATCATATCGTCCGTGCGCCCTACGTATTTCCAGAACCCAGGTTTGTTCGGATGAGGGGAGAATAAATCTTTCGTAGGGAACTCTGCCAACTCGACATGAATGTGGAAAACGAGCTGATATCTCTCCCATTCTGGTTGGCGCACAAACACCAATTCATACAACTCTGCTGTCCTTTTGCGGAACTCGATTCCCATAGCTGGTCGGAAAGAATAGTACTCCCATTCGTCAGTGTCGTGCATCCAGTAGAGTCCAGCTTCGGTGGAGCCCATGCCGGGTTTGAGCGTGACGTTGTTTTCGTTGATGAGTGTGTGGGCTGTGGAGGGCTTCATGGGTGCGCCTGCAAAGTAGAGATATTCGAGATCGCGTAGCGCGTCCAGACCTGAGGGAGTTGCGACGAGACTGTCGATCAGTGAGGGGGGAAGAAGCGCGCCTTGAACTTTTGCGTGTTTGAGAACTGAGAGAGCGGTTTGAGGAGTTGCTTGGCCGCCTGTGCCGGAAGGACCGGCGACGAGGATGGCATTGTGGTAGATTGTTACTTGGAGGGAAAGTAGCATGCCGACCACCTTTAAAGTTATAGCTGTATTAGTTCGTGATGTTAAGCATGGGTATAGATGACTTACGTGGAGTGTTGGAAGGGGAGTGTACCATCTTCTGTTTGCAAAGTGTGTGAGAATATTATCTTCGTTCGCATCAGGCATGAACTTTGCCGTGTCGAGAGCAGCCAACATCTGGTGTGTGTATGGGACGAGCTTGGGCAGGCCTGGAAGCACGAACGTCAGTGACTGCCTTTTCATGGACGGTACTATGTTTTTGGATACGGACCTGTCGTTCCTGAAGTATGGAGAATAATCCAAGGCTCCAACTTTACTTCATCCCACGTTCTCGTATAAGGGATGTGCTCTGCAATGTCATCCGTAAGGAAAGTTGGCAACCCCGGTAGTTTGATAAGAGCAGGCTTCGAGCCCTCCACACCTGCTACAGTAGCTTCAACGCCTTCTTTGAAAGAAGAATCACCGTAGAGAAGAACATCTGCTTTCGAAAGTCCCAATAAATGAGACTTTGCCTTCGTAGACGCAAAAGGCGAAGGAAGCAATACCTATACACCACCCACGATCGTCAGAAACCAAACATTCTGAGCACAGTGGAATCAAATGGCTGGCGGAGAACTGCGCTCAAGATTTTTACTCACTTTCCTTCTGAGCTTCCCCACTGCAAGCGCAACAATAGAATGTCGGATATCCTTCGGTCCAACATACGCTACGGTCCCGAAGGGCTCAACGGCCGGTGGGAGACTCTGCAGAAGCCAATGAGCAGCATGGTTAACAGCATTAGAAAGCTGTCTATAAGTCACGTCCCTGAATCCCCTGGATAAATCGTCATCGTCGTTTGGGAGCATGGCCCAGACACGGGGTGGCTCTTCTTTGCTGTATGCGTCGACTAGGGAGATTAGAAGATTGGAGTTTTTTGTTCGAGATGTCATTGTGAGGATGTATAGAAATTGCTTCTTCTTTTTCTTTCTGGCTGTGATTTGATGTAGTGCAATGATGATGAGATCTTGGGTGAAGGTAAAGAGCGATTGTCTCTCAATTATATATAAAATCTGTACTCAGGTACTCTACGACATGACCTTGATGCAGCATTCGTTCCCAGTGAATCATCTTCTGTCATCAATTGGTCTTGTATTCTAAGTGGTTAAGTGTTTGAGTAGTAGAGCGGCGGGTATATGGGAGGGCGGGAATAACTACGGAGAAGGCTCCGGGCAATGCGGTGAGCATATAGCATCAATACTAATTGCACCACTGTGAGCGATGCGTTACGTATTCACTAATACTATCTTGCTCGTATTCTGATGGGTCAGCCTTTGTGATTTGGAAACAAAAACAAAGCGAGACTGAAGGTGGGCAAAATCATTTGTTACTAATACCTCTAGTCTCACGTCACACGAGAAATAGACTCGATGCTTTTGCGCAAATGCTTACTGGGTGTTTATACACGAAGGAGTGAGGGAAGTATGGGCTCCGAACTCGTGTCATGCTAAACCAGTCCAGCTCTAGAATTGCTCTTTTTTCCATGCATGCTAGCTTCGCGCGAAATGGAAAGATCACACTCAAAAGCGGTACTGAAAGGACGGGAATGAATAAACAGGGAATGAAACGCTTCGACTGCGCAGTTTTTTTTAAAGAATATCTTCTCACGAGAAACATCCACTTCATCTGCACTTACGTCCTGTAATCGCCGTTAATGGTGACATACTCGTGGCTGAAATCGCAAGTCCAGACTGTCGCATGCTCGCCTCCCTCTCTTTCACTCAGCTTCACAACAATCTCCAAGTCTTCACTTTCAAGAATCTTACCCGCCCTCTCCTCGTCTACCTGTTCGGGCTCGCCTCTGACCAGCAGTTTCAGCTCGGGACTTCCATCAGCAGGTACAAAGCTGACACTCGTCTCCTCAGGAACGATGCTATTGGGTCCAACACCCTCAGCATACCCAGTGGCGCATAGAATACGGCCCCAGTTAGCATCTTTGCCATACAGAGCCGTCTTGACGAGAGGAGATCGAGCGATCGCGTTGGCGACGGCTTTCGCATCGGCATAGGAGGTAGCATTCGTGACGCGTATTGTGACGAATTTGGTGGCGCCTTCGCCGTCGCGGACGACGAGTTTGGCCAAATCAATGGCAAAATCGGTCAAGGTGTCCGCGAAGGCGTTGAAGTCGGGTGAAGACATCGAGGAGATTGTGTCACCGCCAGCAGCGCCGTTGGCCAAGATGGCGACGGTATCATTGGTCGAAGTGTCGCCGTCTATGGAGATGCTGTTGAAAGACTTGGTAATGGCAGAAGTGAGGGCATTTTGAAGGGGAGCAGGGGCGACGGGGGCATCGGTGCAGATAATGCCCAGGAGGGTGGCCATGTTGGGGTGAATCATGCCGGCGCCTTTGGTCATACCAGCGATTCGATATTCCTGGTCGCTACTTGGAAGAGTAAAAGTCCGGGAGACAAGTTTAGGAAAGGTATCCGTGGTGCATATTGCACGAGCAGCACTGAGCCAGTGGTCGTGTGTACCACCCAGGTTGTAGTATGCCGTGGGGACTTTATCAATGATCTTCTGGATAGGCAGACGCTGGCCAATGACACCGGTGCTCATGACGATACTCCGACTACCACGGCCATCATCTTCGCCGTTGCTGTCATCTATAAAGCATTTATCCGTCTCTTGTCCCATCCGTACAGCGTCCTCGATGCCCCCTCTGCCCGTGACGGCATTCGCACACCCGCTGTTCACCACCACCGCGCGAACACCTTCACCGCTCCGCTTCTTCAATGTATCTCGGCTTACTGTCACAGGGGCAGCTTGGAACCGATTGGTGGTAAAGACGGCAGCACCTGAACATGGTGTATCCGAGGCCACGAGAGCGAGATCGTCAAACCGCGTGTTAGACGGCTTCACGCCCACATGGGCACTGCCTGCGCGGAAGCCGAGAGGGTAGGTTCCTGAGTTTGGCACATATTTTCTCTTCGCGGCGGGGATCGTTCCTTCGCCGGGTGCTGCGTAGGTGCGTACTTGAGTTCTGGGCGTCCAGGTCTGCTGGCGGGTGCAGGTTCGGGCGAGTAGGCGTGCATTGGGGCGAGCGACTGACATAATGGTGGCTCACGAGAATTTTACTCCTATTGTAGGGACTGTCAGTTCCAACTGGGAGCTATGGGGCTGGCGGAAGCCGTTACGTTCTCTTGATCCAGTTTTCACGAGAGGCACGAGACAGGATGAAGTATGACGCAGCGCTGCGCAGCAGGACACTGGGCGTTTGCAGATTTATAGCGCAAGGTCTGGAAAGAAAAACTCACCTTGAAATCAATCAATTTTCACGCCCTATCGGTTCAATTGCTACAGGAATGGGCAGACGGCGCCCACTCAGACGCGAAGGAGTCACAGAGCCGGCTGATCCTGTGGAGCTTCAAGCTTCGTCCAAATATTAAGGTCCGTTATCGCATCCGTCCCCGCTTCAGCCACTGCACCCGCCACTGCACCCGCCACACCCATTTTGGGACGAGCATCTATGAGCTAGGTTCAAGAACTGGGATTCATATAGCAGAAGCACTCTGTATTGAAAGCAGTCATATTTTTTCTACAAGATCTCTAGTATATACTATGGGTTGGTAGTATATACCTTCACGACGTTATTGTTGGTATCAACAATGCGGCCCCTCCATACTCTCCCTACGATTCACCACCTCAAGCTTCGCCATCCAGATTGCTCATAGGCAGCCCTATCAACTCGATGAAATGTTCAAGAATGGCGAGAATCTTTTCATCATCAAACCGTCTTCCAACTAACTGCAAGCTCACCGGCAGCCCATGAAATTCTTCTGCATCCCACAAATCTCGATTGCTTTTATCAAGCCCGCTCAGCGGTTTTCCTTTCTTCTCTAGAACATCTTGGTTCTTGTCCACACGCGTGACCGGAAACACAACGCCTGGATAATTCAGCAAATTCCACTGCGAAGTGTAGCTCCAATACTTGGCCGTGTTATGTTTGGGTGCCACACCGGGACCAACGGGGCAAAGTAAGGCGTCGATGCCGAATTTGTTCCAGTGCAACGCGTATTCTTTGCGGTACACCTCGCGCTCCTCGAGCCAATACGAAAGCTCGCCGGTAGACAGCTCCTTCACAATCTCGTTTTCTTTGAGAATGAATGCGGATAGGGGTCGGAAGGGCTCGCCAGATGACTCAATAGCTTCTATATCCCACGCACCGCCATCAGGGAAGTAGAGCGACGCTATAATGGCCCACGCTTCGTCATGAAGATGCGCTGGAAAGTCCACTACCTCAACCCCATGCTGCTTCAGTTGTTCTGTGACCATCTTCAGACCACGGGTGATGGGCGGGTGCGGTCGCACAATGTCATCGTGCCAAAGCACACCTATACGTAGTGGACGGCAGCTTGGGACTGTAAACTCGCGCCAAGGCATAGGAACAATTGCTGGCTCTGTCAGCCATGGCTGCGCATCAATCACGGTTTTCATAAACAGTTTCAAGCCGGATAGACTACTCGACAAGGGCCCCAGTACAGAGTCAATCGCGTCTGCGCCCGCCATGGTATATCCCCACCCATCAGTTGGGATGCGAAAGGCTGTCGGTTTGATTCCATAGATACCACAATTAGCTGCGGGATTGCGAATGGAACCTCCGACATCTGAACCAATGCCCAGGCAAGAACCCCGCAGTGCAATCAAGGCACCCTCTCCACCAGAGCTACCTCCTGATGTTACGTTCCTGTTATACGGATTGTTTGTTACACCGTACAAGTTGGAATCCGTCTCCAGGTGCATCATGGTCTGTGGTTCAGTCGTTCGACAGTGGAACACCGCACCCGCATCACGCAGTATCTGGAGGACATGTGCATCCTCCTTTGCGATTCGGTCCCAACTCGACACATATCCCGTCGTACAGCGGAGACCTTCAAAGCCGATGTGCTCTTTGACGCTGATGGGCAATCCGTGTAGAGGACCAGTAGGACGCTTATGCTCTGCGAAGTAATCATCCAAGTCTTGGGCCTGTTTGATAGCTTGCGAGGTGAGGAGTTCGGTAATGCAGTTGACGAGTCCTTGACTCACTGCCGCCTGCTGGAGAAATGCATTGGTAACCTCGACGGCGGACAGCTGGCCGCTGCTGAGTAAACTGATCAACTCTTCCACGGCTAGATTGGTGATTGAAAGTATGCTCTTGTCAAGGATTTTCGCAGGAACAGACGTGACATCTTTTGGAAGATCTTCTGGGATGTTCGGTGGTGGTGGTGAGAGCTGGGAAATGGTGGATGCACGATAGTCCTGGGCTTCCGCAGCGATATCTTGCCACGGCCTTTGGGTTTTCGCTTTCTTGGGAGGCATTATAGAGTCTAGTGATTTGGGAGTGGGAAAGGCCCCTGATGTCGGCAAAATTCGTTATCAACTCATGAAAAATCACACTCTACCGGAGACGGTCCAGAGGGTCAGCGGTACATCTTCGCCAAGAGTTGCATTATGGCTGCCTTGCTGCTGTACAGGGTATAGATCGTGGGATGGTGCTAAAGTAAATGAGAGATAAATCTCCAACATGATACCCCGGCCTTGGAGACACACGAGATAATGTTCGGAATTTATAAGAGGTTCGAGGAACAGAGAGGTCGACACAGATGCGCAGCTATCAGCCCCTCCCAGAGGCTCAGTATGAACACTGGAGGCATAAGGAGGCGCGGCGATAAGCGGGGATTAGATGGACCGGATAATTGTTCCACCACACCGCCAGCTTTTCTGCCCCTTGCTTTCAACTTTTTTTGTTAGGGTAGAAAGTAAACAATCACTCCTGCAAGAAATTTTCTCTTTTCTACGCTTGATTTTCACTTTCTATTACCTCTGTTGATCATCGGGAAGCTGTACGTTAAAAACACTGGGCAGTCGCTCTTGTTCTAGTCAATGAATTCATTGTCTCTCCGTCTTTCTTTGCGGCCACTTTCACGTTCTGCTTTGTCCTATGCGCCCCGGTTGTTAACACGCCCACAGCACATCACCGCGCTCGAATCCGGATCCACTCACCAGCAAACAAACTCTTATATCACTGTAGCAAGCATGCCGCCACGCAGAGGCGGAGGATTCAACCGGAGGGGCCGCAAACCCTCGGGCGCTCCCTACCAAGTTCCTGAAACTTCACATGCAGGATCCAACGCCAGGATGTCTACACGCACCCAGAATCAGGCAGATGCTCCTACTGAGTCGCCCGCCGTACAGGCCAAGACCCTCACCCCAAAAGAGGGACAGGAGCTTACACCATATGCCTCGCTCGAAGGAAAATTGGACAAAGGCTTGCTCGCCGGGTTGAAGAACATCGGTTTCGAGTACATGACGGACGTACAAAAGGCAGTTCTGACCCAGCTTCCGTCAAACTCCGCCGACTGCCTCGTACAGGCAAAGACAGGAACCGGAAAAACCGCTGCATTCCTCTTGCCAGCTCTACAAAGCATCCTCTCCGGCAACGCGCCACCCAAAGGTAAGGTTGGTATCTTAGTCATTTGCCCCACGCGTGAACTCGCTCTCCAAATTGCCAAAGAATGCGAAGGTATCACCTCCAAACTGTCTCCTAAGATGGAGTGCCACACGGCCTTTGGAGGTACGAAGAGGGATTCCAATCTCAAAGTCTTCCTTAGAGGTCAGCTAACAATTCTCGTGGCGACCCCTGGCCGTCTCGACGACATCTTGGGTGACGAAGACGTCCGCGAGAAGTTCTCTCACCTCAAGACCCTCGTTCTGGATGAAGCCGACCGAATGCTTGATGCCGGCTTTGCACCCGCCATCTTCAAAATCCTGAGAACTCTTCCCCCCAAGAGCGCCGGCTGGCAAGGGATGTGCTTCTCCGCGACCCTTCCCGACAAAGTCAACGATGTGGTCAAAGGCATCCTCCACCCCGGCTATACCTCCCTCTCCACCATGGACCCCAACGAATCCCCCACCATTGACCGTGTCCCTCAATTCGCCATCACCGTCCCAAACGTCAAGCAAACCTTCGCCGCCCTCCTCGCCCTTATTGACAAAGAACACTCCGCCAGCCCCGACTCCTCCAAAATTATCGTCTTCGGCACCACCGCAAACGGCGTCGGCCTCCTGTACGACATGTTGAAAGTCGCCCTCCCTTCATTCCGCGTCTTCGAACTCCACAGCCGCATGTCACAGAGCGCACGCACCCACACCACCGAAGACTTCAAAGCTGCCACCAACGGTATCCTCGTCGCCTCGGACGTCGTCGGCCGTGGCATGGACTTCCCCAATGTCTCGCTCGTCGTGCAACTTGGTCTTCCCATGAACACGGAACAATACATCCACCGCGTTGGTCGCACTGCGCGCGCAGGCCGCGATGGCCGGGCCGTCATGCTACTCTTCGAAAATGAGGCCTTCTTCCCCCGCGTGAATCCTAGTCTCCCCATCAAATCCTACCCCGTTGACATGGTCGCCGAACTCCCCAACTACCAACCCACGGTCGACTCGGCGCTCACGAAAGTCGAGGAGAATGCGAAGGTCAAGGCGTACCAGGCATTCCTTGGTTACAACAAAATGTACATCAAGAAGTTGAACTTGACGCCGGCGCAGCTAGTGCAGGTTGCGAATGAGTACGCGAGGGCGATGGGATGTCCCGAGACGCCCATGATTGACAAGAAGGTTGTCGGAAAGATGGGATTGAAGGGAGTGCCTGGGTTGAATGTTGGAACGTATCAGCGGGAGCCGCAGCAGCAGAGGAGGAGGCACTGATTGATACCCTCGTCTTCTTCTCCATGTGCATCTTGTTTTCCTCAAGAACGAAGGCAGCGTGAGATGTAGGGGGAAAAGTTTGATGTTTCATTTCTTTCTTGGTAGAACTAGTTTGCCGGGGTGGAGGATCCGTCTGGTTTTGTTACCGCTGCGTATGAGATGGGTGGTGTGGTTGAGATTAGATTTTGATATCCCTTCTTCCTCTGCTTCCCTTGTTTGGCCGTCTTTCCTCCCGATGAGTAAAATAGACTTGCAAACTATGGTACATATGTAATAACTAGACGTATATTCAATGTATTGTATTCAGACACATGCATGGGTGCATACATAGATGATGCCGAATCAGCACTCGAGGGTACCTTACCTTGACTTGGCTACGAGCGTACATGGACAGCTTACATACATAGTACATACATACATACATATGTAGGTACAGCACACAATGCACACACATGGACACAATGCAGACTGCATTGATCTACGACATGAGCGATGATGACCTTGCTCAGGCACAGGCACAGGCACAGCACAGCGATCAGTACAGTGGCGCTGCATCCATGTATGGATTGGTACCTATACATCTGTCGTGTGCGTGCATGTTTCTGTTTATATAGGAACAAACTTAATGAGCATGGGTAGAGGGCGATCGCAATGACTACATGTAGCAGCAAAGAACTTTATCAACAGCATGATGCAGGCAGTACAGCATTGATTCGATATCGGATAGGGGCATAGCAATACTGCAGTGCCTTTTGTCCACGGAGTGGGGTAAGATGAATACGTAGCCGTGTCTGATCTGTGAGAGTGATAAGCTTACCCGAAGGCTAGTTCTCAAAGTACCCAACAGCAGTAGTACTACGCACGGGAAAGCACATTTAAAATAGAATGAGGAATGAGGGGGTCAAGTGGGGCGAGGGGGAATACACATTTTTCCGTAGTATGATTTTCTCTTCTTCTTTCTGTTAGAGTAGCGGTGGACAGGTGGTGGACTAATCTTCACCGGGTGCCCGTTAGGGTGGTCCCGGCGGTGGGAGAGTGGGGTTGGAAAGTTTTTTAGTACAAGACAGAGAGAAACTACTGGTGGTAATGGGCCATTAGAAAGGGGAGAGGAGGGAAACGGGGGAAATGAAACGAGGAGCTGGAGAACGATCGATCGGAGGATACGAGAAGACGAAGGATGAACGGCTAGGCGAGGGCTAAGAAGTGTCGTCGGAGACGGAGAGGAGGCTGAGTTGGAGGTGGATCGTTGGTGGTGAGGTATGGCATGGGCTTGTGTGTCTCTGTGACTATCATCATCATCATCACCATCATCATGTACAAGGCTCCGAAGCATGCATTTTTCCAAACACACCGACCTCTGAAGTGATGCGAACTGCGGTGACTCACGGCAGAACTGGATAGGTACTTGGATAGTCGAGCACAAGCGTAGGTAGCAGAGTACACAAGGTGTACGGTGTAGCGGCAGTAGGTGGCTAGTGGCCAGTGTAGGGCTGCTGGGGGACTTGGGCTGGCTGAAAGTCAAGGAAGAAGCAAGGATGCGCGTGCGAGCCTGGCCATGGCGAGAGATGCGTGGAGCAGCATGGTTGGTGGAAGCGGGGCAGCGCGGCCAGGATGATCCGAGTCGGGCGTGCTGTCCGGGTTTCATGCTATCGTGATAGGTGCTGGCACGATAGGCTGTCTGCTGTTCTCTACGACTCCGGCGAAAGGATTTGCGCATCCAAGTTGGGGTGAGGAGGGCATCGACGGATGATTCGCAGGGTCGTCATGGAGTGGCTGCTGCTCGACGCGTCGTCGGTAATCAGGACGTGTTGCAGCGACTGACGGGCACTTTACGCGTGCTTGGAACCCTCTGGACCATCGGACACGACGGGAGATGACTTCGAAGAAGGCGAAGAAGCGTTCATAGGAGAGCAGGCGCTCGACGGGCAACTTTGTCTCCTGGGGCATTGTCCACGGCGGTGCTAGAGGGCGAACAGCGTTTGATTGTGCCGGGCTGTCAGTCGGTTGAGTGGGTGCAAGTGGACCGCAAAGGTTCCCCATGGCTGGCGCGTCATGTTTCGCATCCGGCCTAGCGTGCCTGCTGCCTCTGCGGGCACGCAAGGCAGGCGCAAAGGGAGAGCCTGCAGCCCGCCCTTGCCCCTTGCAGACCAGCGAGCAGCCGGTCGAGTCGTGCCTTCCTCCCCCCCCCGTCCGTGATAATTCTAGGCACTCTCTCTCACTCGCCCTTGCTTGCTTGCCTGCCTGCTTTACCGCTTGCTGGCTTAACCGGCTGCTGCCAATCGCCAGCTGCTGATAGGCACACCAAGTCCCCCCCATCCCCTCCCTCGCTCTCTTCCTTTGCCCTGCTCGTTCGTCTGCACCTCGACCCCAGAGCTCCCTCCTCTTCCTCCTCAACAACCAAACACGCTACAACCATCACCATCACCACGCAATCCAACGTCCATTGCTGCCTCCCAGTGCCCGAATTTTCAAACCGCAAATCCAAATTTCCCCCCCGCCAGATCACCGATCGATCGTGCTATCGTAAAACCGTCACTTTTAGCGCCACCCGCAAGCGAGCTCTCCGCTGCTTCACTCGCCGTGCACAGGTAAGAATGCATTGCAAAATGACATGCCCGCCCAAGAACCTCAACTCCTTTCTAACCTCACCAGGCCTCCCCTCCTCTTGACTTGCAAACCCCCAAAGCCTCACCGCTACCGTTCCATCTGCTCTACTAGCTGCTCCCTGGTGCCCAACCTACCATTGCCGTCATCGCAATCTTATCTGACAGCCGCCCGCCGACCGCACCCCGTAGCTTCAACCCACGCATACACCCAAAACTCACGCGAATTTACGCGTCAAAGCGCCCGCACTCTTATATTCCACCGTTAAATCGACCGTGGGAGCCGTGTTCGACATGGCTGCTACGCGTCAACAGCCCCCGCTGCAGATTTTCGAGGACAACCTCCCCTCTCAACCAGCCGACACCGCAGCTTTTGAACCTCAGTACTACCTCGACACATTTCCCTCCGTGACCGACGTGTCGTCTCAACACCACACTCTCCTCGAACCACCCCAGATCCTCCAGCGCGAAGTCTCGCCTCAAAAGACCCGTCACGTCTCCAGCTCACCCCCTCCGGCTGCTTTAGTCGAGAAGGGCATCAATACTCTCTCCATACCACCTCCTCAGGAGCAGTACTTCCAGACGGACGCGCCCCAGAAGAAAACAATGCGTCCACTATCAGCCTCTTCCATGATGATGAATTCATCTTCACGCTTTCCTTCTGGCTTTCCCGCGCAATTCGACAAGGAAAATGTCTACTACGCGCCAAATGCCAACCTATCATCGTTCATGGCCTCGGACCCGCCGCAAAAGTTAGGCCACAAACGTGCCATGACGGACACGGCGCCTCTGAGAGACCGCTCCAAGAAGCAAAAGACGCGCCCTCTCCAAGGCCAAGACGTGGTGGAAGACAGCCAATTGCCCGAGCCCGAGGACATGCCCATTGTGGACGACTCTGACTCTGGGAAGCCACCATACAGTTACGCAGTTCTGATCGGAATGGCCATTCTACGCGCCCCCAACCGTCGTTTGACACTGGCCCAGATTTACAAGTGGATCTCAGACACGTTCGCATTCTACCGCAACTCTGCTGATACCGGCTGGCAAAACAGTATCCGTCACAATCTCTCGCTTAGCAAGTCCTTTTCCAAACAGGAGCGCCCCAAGGATGATTCCGGCAAGGGCAATCTCAAAGGCCATTACTGGGTCATAAATGCAGGTTTTGAGAATCAATACTACAAAATCAAGTCTAACCGTCGACCCACTAACCCAGAAGGGTTCGTGTCGGCATATCCCAGCGATCTTGGACGTCCGAGCACCTCGTCCAACAACCTACCTCCCCTGAGCTCCAGCAAGGGGTTTGACTCCAGCAAATTCCCTGACGAGACTGAGTTGTCATCTGATGCCACCATCCCTTGCTCCGACCCAGCTGCGCATGACGGCCATGAGCCCAACGCTATGCCTCCACCACGTCAGATACCATCCTCGCCTCCACCAGCAGACCTCCACTCATCGCCTCCGCCGCCTGTGTCGCGCTCCCTGCGCGAAAATACGCCACCGCGCGCTGCTCGTTTTCCGTCCAGCCGGTCTGGCGGACGCAAGCGCAAATTCAACGGTCTCGGTGACAGCGGTTATTACTCCTCCATCGAGTCATCGGCCACCAAAGGAAACCCGCTTGGACCTCTCCTGACCTCCGAGGCCGATCTCGATCGCCCTAGTATCAAACGCGGTCGAGCCGAGCTTGAGATTGTACGCATCCGCGGCTCTTCTTATGACTCTCCAACCAAAACGCGGCCGTACATGAAGCAACCGAGTGCCGCTGCTCTAATCTCGTCGCCGTTCCGCCCTACTGACAAGCCTCACGATCCGCTCACCCCTGCCATTGTGTTCAAGCGGCCCGCTCTGCCACCAGCATCGGCGTCGCCCAACACCAACTTGCGCAATCACAGGAACAAGATGCGCGAATTAGTCGGTGGATCTCCCGACAAGAGCCTCGACATGTGGGTTGACACCTCGTTCCTCGACAACAAGTCGTGGAGCCCAGCTGTCAACGTCCCCAACGAAGAGAGCGTCAATCTGCATGGCAACGGTTTCGACAGCACTTTTGACATCTTTGGTGACTTTGATTATCAGCAGAGCCCGTTGAAACCCAGTGCCAAGCGACCACGGCTCGAACGCGCCGTTACCTCTACCGGCATTCTTGCCGATATCACCGGCAGCAAGGCCAACTTGACGTACTCTCCCACTCCAAACTGGAAGCTCTCGTCTTCTTTCTTGAATATCCCGACCTTGTCACCAACTCGCCACCAGTCTCCATCCAAGGCTCCAGTCTCTAAGCCCCCAACTTCGACCCCATTTGATGATCTCCCCACACTGGATAAGGAGAATGGTCGTATTGGACTTGGTATCATCCCTCCCCAGTCTTTTGCTGCGCCCGCCGCAAAGCCGGATGATGATGACGAGATCTTCCGTCTTCTGCACAGCGATGATTCAGAGCCCGGCATCGATCTGCTGCAGGGATTCCAGAAGATTGGTGCGAGGACATCAGCTGTTGCTCCCAACGGCTCCCCTCAAAAGATGTCACGGCCTGCTTCAAGGCCTGGTCTCTCGCGCAGCTCAACGACACGCTTCTAAAAATACCAGCTACCGTCTTTCACGAAGTCATGATAATGAATAAGCTTTGCAGATCATAGCGTGTTGGGTATACCCCATCATTTGAACTTCATTTTTCAAAACCGCCCTTCTCATATCACCAATCCTCGCTGATATCCAGTCACGATATCCTTATCCCCGCTCTCCTTCCTTCCATCTATTATCCGCTCTTCTTGAACGAATTTTGGGCAGTATCCAAGAGATATTGTCCTCTGACGATGTCACGAACAAATGATACCCTCAATTTATCGCATACGATAGCACGGCTGGTCCATTTTAATCAGTCGATTCACGTACAGCGTGTGTAATGCAACCAATCGCTTTAATGTCAGGAGGAATAGGCGCTTGTTTGGCGAAATGTGTTTGTTTTGAAATTTCTCGTCTTGTCTTGTTTTCTCCCTTGCTTTGCCTTCCCCTACGTTGTGTTACAGGGGCACTTTCTTGCCTTGCGAGTCTCTGCTTTTCCCTCTCTAGGGTTATGTTTCTGTGTCCTATAGCAACAAGGGACTTGGTCGAATTCTGTCTTCTTTATCCCTTTTTGAACTTTCTTTTTGCTGTCTTGTTCAATCCTTTTTATAACTTTAGACTCTGTTCATGCTAGGAGCACTTTGTTTAATGTCGCCATTTGCGTTGCATTGACATGCGCGTCGAGCGTTCTGGATATACCGGGAGAGTAGCACTATCTGTGTTCTGCTCGGTTTCAAAACGAAATACACTTGTTGCGGCTTTTTGCCTTTTATCAATCTTCTCTACTTCTTTTCGGATTCCTGCAACTAATGATATTGGTGATGTTGTAGACGACGATCGCAATCACTGTCGACGAAGATGATACTGTATGCCATCGGGAAGACAAATTCTAACACCCAACCCCACCTATCCAACACACTCTCGGGATCTTTGAGTCTCCGGCGACCGGCTGTGTTCCCAGTGCTGCGTTTTGCCTCAACTTGTTGACGTATTGAGAAGTAATGACTTGAGAAGTGATGACATTCCAAAACGAATGCATTTGTTGCACATTTACGCAAGTGCTGTGGCAAGTGGATTTTTTACCTTGATTCAACATGCTCCTATCAACGCCATTCCTTGAATCTTTTAAATATTCTCCAACAGTGTATGCTGTAGAGAATCACTGTTAGCAACAGCGAAACTCAGGATATGAAACATGGTCCGCATCACTCACATTATAGTAACCTAATTGGGGGCTAAACGACATCTCTCTCTTCTCTTCTAGGTAGGCACTTACAAACGAGAGCTGTGCAGAACCTGGTCCGCACGCAAGCAGAATAATATAAAGTGAAATGCGGATGCTTGTGAGAGGGGGGGGGGGCGGCCGGGTAATATAACCCTCCAACCACAATCGTGCCGATTAATATCCCAGAGCTCTGCAAACACGCAGTGTAAACCTCGATGATTTTAACGAAGTCCGATCATTGGTATTGCCATAAGTCCCCGAAGAGGAAGTTTCGGCTGGCCCTTTTTTGTTATTCGGTACGCTGAGTGATGTTCCTGCTTCTTCTTCTTCTTCTTCTTCTTCTTCTTCTTCTTCTTCTTCTTCTTCTTCTTCTTCTTCTTCTTCTTCTTCTTCTTCTTCTTCTTCTTCTTCTTCTTCTTTTTTTGTGTGCCCCTTTAGCATCAATATTGATGGGCTTCACCTTGTATTTTATTCACTTTTCTTTATTACTATTATGGGTTTGCCTTGTCATGGTATTCGAAAGTTTGGCCCCGCTCACCAGGTCGTAGGCCACTGAGTGCTAGGATGGGGAGGTCGATCGGGGTTTAAAACTTATTCCCCGGCGTGCGAGGGTAAATAGAGAGTCTGCCTCTTTTTTTTTTCTTGAACGGTTGCCCGATACATGAGCGGAGAGAGCGCTTTACACTTTTCTTACTTACTTACTTTCCGCTCTTCTTTGCTTCCTAGCTCCTCGCCACGAGCACCTTCCTCCTTGCGGAAAAACAGTGAAACACTGTCATTCCATACAACTATTATCCACGCCGAACCGATCAAAAGTCACACAATCCAAAAGTCCTGAATCGATATCCTATATTTCTATAGCCCGATCAAAAAACAACAACATCTTGTCCAAGTCCTCACCTGTCAATCTATCCAACCCACCTGGAGCAAAAGCAAATGGCGAATCCCAATAAACCACCAACCCCTCCACCCCCAACACACCCACACGACACACACAAACACCTCGCCGACAACCCTCCCGATCTCTCTAAGCCAGGCTCCCCCTTTGCCCCCGTACAGCAGCAAAGAAAACAGACATCACAGCATCTTAAGCATAGCGACGACGATGAAGAAGCGGCAACAGGTGGTGACGGTACCATGACCACCACCCCATCAAAAAGAGCGCGGGAGAATGCGTTGTGTTTTGGGGCAAGGTGGCGGACTGTTTGGATGGTGTTGTGCGCTGTTGTTATTGTTGTTGCGGCGAGTGTTGGGGGGTCGTTGGGGATGAGGATGAAAGAAAGGAGGAGTGGGTAGGTAGATGCTCTTTTTTTCTTTCTTTTCTTTTTTTACTGTGTCGATTCGGGTAGTGAGATGGATATGAAATGGGATAAGTAGAAAGATGGGCCGTGTAAATGGGGTGGTGTTAGATGAAGGGTTGAAGAAGGGGTGTGAGGGTCGTTGGAAGGCGGATTGTTGGCTGGAGAGTTTGGCTGGTGGGCATGGAATGGTGCTTACTGTGCTTGAGGAGTGAAGTGTAGGGAGGGTTTGTACCTACCTAGGTAGGTATGGTTGTTTGATTATATGGCGTGTATGTGTGTTATGTGGATCATGATATCTGTTTGTTGATGTTTATACTAATCATCGGTACACTGGAGTGATGGAATTGTTTGATTGAACCGAATTAGATGGGGTCCATAAGCTTGAAGAACCCTTGCTTCCTCATGATGGAGATAGCTCGTATTTTCTCTTCTTTCGTTCTGTCTCTTTGGGGTTGTCTGCTGTAGAACCATGCTTCTCTCCCTCCTGTCGCCATGCAATCTTTCTCGGATCATATGGCCAACTGTGAACGACTAGGCGATTGTGTAGTTCATGAGATGCTTTTCTTGACTATAATTATTATTTTCTTTTTCCGTTTACCTCTAAGTTTTGGTAAATGGAATGCTAAACCAGTATGCATCGCAGCATTCGTTGAATCGTCCAAGTTCAAACTCAAACGACCCAATTTACAGCCCAGCCACCTAGTATAATACACCCTTCGTACTCCTGACCTCACCCTTCCATGCCTCCACCACCGTCGTGGCCTGACGAATTGCAACCGCAAGCGCCTTGAATGCCGCCTCAGCCCTGTGGTGATCGTTTTCACCTCTCAGCACATCAACATGTAGCGTAGTCCCACTTGCCTGCGCAAAACTCTGCAGACAGTGCGGTATCATCTCGCAGCTCAGATCTCCAATCTTCTCTCGCTTCAACCCAAGATCGGTAACGCAGTACGGACGGTTCGACAAGTCGATGACAGCACGAGCAAGAGCTTCGTCAAGCGGCGCATGGGCGGAGCCGAACCGCGCGAGCCCTGACGTCGTAGACAGCGCGTTCTTGAAAGCCGAGCCTACGGCTAGGAACGTATCTTCGGCAGTGTGGTGGTCGTCGATGTGTAGATCGCCGTGGACGCGGATCGAGAGCGACCAGCCTGCGTGCTTGGCCATGGCGTGCAGCATGTGGTCTAGGAAGCCGATGCCGGTGTTTACGGTGATTTGTTGCGAGGCTGTAGATTGGGTGGCATGGTCTTGGGTTTTGGAGGGGTTGGAGGCATCGTGGGCGTCCCAGTAGGTGGAGGATTCGTAAGGAGGGACTGCGCCGCCGTCGAGGGAGAGGGAGACTTGGATTTTGGTCTCGTTGGTGTCGCGGTTTAGGGTGCTTGTTCTTGCGGGCATTGTTGCGGTTTGTGGAATTTGTTTGGACGGGTGAGTGTGAGGCTGCTGTGGTAATCGAGGAAGGGCGGTAGGAGGTGTTGTTTCTTTTTTGTTGATGGGAAGAAAGAAGAGAGGACAGAAACAGTGAAGATGAGATTGAATTAGTCTCTTGTGGCTAAGCAAGCGATCTAGCTGAAGCGGGAATCGGATGCAATTGGAGTCGCTGGAGTCAGGTAATTGGCCATTCCGATGACGAAGGCTCAGGTAAATTTGTTGTGCCCCACCGCTACACCCCCACGTCCATCATTCAGGGCTGCATATCGCATCAGCCAATCAGCGGTGCGCATAGTTTTTTTCTTCCGCCGACCGACAAACTTCTCGTGACCAGCAACAGACAAACATCCAAAACAGACATATCGACACCTACAAATACACTACGTATCCAGCTAGGGCCACCACTTTGAATATACTGGAACTGGCACCACACCGACAACAATTCGCCTCAACTTCGGAATCGATCAAGAAACCCTCAAACACCAAGACCGCTACATCGGTACCCAACTCTCGGAAGAAATCTCCCAAAGAAAGACTTAAAGAGAAGGACATCACACAAAATGCCCGCACCACCCCAACACATGCAAGTCGAAGACGAGGTCATCATCGACCGCGGCGAACTCGTCGAGGGCAACGACGACGAGAAGGATCGCGAGAGGATCCGAGTTGTATGTTCACTCTAGTTTCCGAGCAACTGGACAAAAAATGATCAAGAACTAACATCTGGGAAACAGCTAGCAGGATCCACCGAGAACGCGGCATCCTTCCAATTCGACGGCGAGGATCACACGCTGGGGAACGCGCTGCGTTACGTGATTATGAAAAAGTAAGCTCTCCTTTCTCCCCTTTATTTTCTATTCTTAAGAGACTAATTTACTTTTCTTTAAAGCCCTGACGTTGAGTTTTGCGGTTACTCTATTCCGCATCCTTCTGAAAATAAGATGAATCTGAGAATTCAGACATATGGTATGTCTTGATTGTCCCCCGTCGTGTTGTACTAACAGGCAACGACATAGACAACGTGAACGTGTATACTGTTCTGGAGAAGGGCCTAGGCGATCTGATGGACATGTGTGACGTGGTTTCGGAGAAGTTTGTCATTGCAAGGGACGAATTTTATGCCGGACGTAGTGCTGGTGAGGATGGTGATAGGATGGAGGAGTAGGGGAAGAAGATGGGTGGGATTTGGAGAAACTTTGCATCACGGGCGTTTTCATCTGGATTCTTTTCTCTCGGCTTCAATGTTCACAGATAATGCAGCATGTTTTCTGTCCGAGTAAGGATAAGAGGCGTAAATGGGTTTAGGGACACAATTTGTCCATTTTTGTCCATAAAAAGGAGTAACAATACGCTGAAGGTTTAGGGAAAAAGGAAATGGTATTGTCTCAGACTATATACACCGCTTGTGCTGGTTTTGTTTATCAACTCTACTGCCTCCACCTACCCGTGTTATCGACCTTCTTAGTTGCGACCCTAAAGACAGATTAATATCATGTGGTCCAGCATCCATTTAGCTGCAAATGTGACATACCTCAAGGAAACCGTTGATGAAGTTACTGGGTAGTCTGGCCTTGGGGTCCTCTTCAGCGCGGAAGTATTTGAGTACGTGGGTGGCTTGTTTCCAGTAGTTTAGTGTTTCCTATCCACTTCCATCAGCAGCCATATCGTGTGCAAGCAATCCCTATCTGGCGCTTCTTCTCCTTCGTTGGCTGAAGGCATACCTGGAATTCTTGGTGACTGTTGAAAAGTAACACATCGACGGTTTTTAGTTGATTCACGTATCTATGCCGCTCGTATTCCTGTCGCACTTTTGACCGAAGGGTGGACACGGGGAGGTTGAGCGAGTACATGGTCTGGACTTCCGGGGCCTGTATGGTACCATGTGTTAGCCTCCATTATTTCCCGGTTTCCCTCCTCCGCGTTTATTGTATATTTGCGTGGGTATAGTGGAACTCGTGGAGCATCTTTCCGTCCATTACGACCATTCTCAGCCCGCCTTTCACCACACCGCATGACACCACGCAGCGGATTGAGGAAGCCATAGAAACAAAAAGACGTGATGATATTAGGCGCTCGAAAATCAGTAACGTACAGCTCGCAGCCAGTCCCGGTAGCTGTGGATCACCCGACGCTTCGCATCCGACCAGTTGACCGCTGTAGGCGCGTTAGCTTCCGTCGATGTATTTCAATTGCACAGAGCAATGTTCCACTCACAAGAGCGCGTGCGCTGGGCAAGGTATGTAGGGTTGATGACCATGATTGCGGTGTTGAGGAGCTTGAGACTTGCTGCGGTTGCTATGCGTGAATGATGCGCGAGGTGGGAGCGGAGCGAAATGCCAAGACTTTTGGGCTTACGTTAGGAAGGAACTTTGGAACATCATCTACAACGCTTGACCTACCAAACGTATAACACAACTTAACAACTTAACAACTCAACAACCTCGACAAAACCGTCAACCCGGCCCTAATTTGAACCTGGGAGACTCTAAAACCCGTATAACCCGCAACTTCACACCCCGAAATCTACCCACTCCGAGCAATATGCCACCCCTCCGCACCGCCCGCGCCTCCAAAAAAGCCCCGCCAGAGGGCTTTGAAGATATCGAGGACACGCTTCTCGAGTTCCAAACCCAGATGAAAGACGCCGAAAATGCTTCCCACGATGGCAAGAAGAAGTACGAAATGATATGGCCTGTCTTCCAGATCACCCACCAGCGCTCCCGATACATCTACGACCTGTACTACGAGAAGGAGGCTATCAGTAGGCAGCTGTACGAGTGGCTGCTCAAGAATGGCTATGCGGACGCCATGCTCATTGCAAAATGGAAGAAACAGGGCTATGAGAAGGTATGCCGCATTGCATCTATCATCTTATGCTGTACATATGCTAACTGTTTAAATCAGCTGTGCTGCACAAGGTGCATCCAGACCAAGGAGACCAACTTCCGCTCAACGTGTATCTGCCGCGTTCCCAAGGATACACTCAAGGAAAATCAAGACATACAGTGTGTGAACTGCGGTTGCCGAGGCTGTGCTTCGAGTGACTAAGTGGTCATTCCAGAGAAGAGATTGGACACCACGGCATAATACTGGGAATGCAGAAGATATGAAAATTAAACAAACAACATTAGATACCCATAGGGATGGCGATAGCGGCGTTTGGGTCCACTTCGGTAGCGCTAGGATGCTCACAGCAGCCGGTCGGTCTCGCAAGATAATATAATGATATGCTCTATTAACAAAATTCCAGACGACTATATACACGGGGCTTAAAAATTAGACCACTAACTGAAATTGCCACAGTAATAGCCGGCAGCAAGATCTGTATCCAACTCCGCGCAGATCGCCGCATCATGAGGAGAATACTTAACGCAGAAGGTAGATGAACGAATCGGAATACCATTAGCCAATCACTACATTAAATTGTCGCGCTGTTCCAAGTCACCCGTGCTTAAATGGATTTGATCTGGGCCTGACTAGGAGGAGTAATCTTGCCCGCGGCAATGGCTGCTACCGCAGCCTCAATACTGTCATGCTTCTGCTCGTTGTCCTTTCGCATCGGGTGGGGGCTCTCGCTTTCCATCACCGTCTCTAGTCTGGAAGGAGATGGCATGGGGGGCATTGGCGAGTCTCCATCATTCCAGCTCAGCACGCGTGTATCTCGAGACACATCCGTGTAGATGCTGCTCGCTCCTGTCTTGGGACGTGCAGGCCTTGGACGAGAAAATGAATTCTCTCTCTTTAAACCATTGAATTCAAACTCACTTCCCTTTGGAGAGGGCTGAGAAGAACCGTAAGATGAGGAAGCCGAGTCGTTGCGAGTGTCGTAGGAAGAAGCAGCTGATCCACTACGAGAATCGTCGGACGAACCGGGCGATCCACTGCGAGCCAGTGGGGATGATGCTGCACACCCAAAAGACAATGGAGATGATGGGTTGGAACCATGCTTGTCTTTTCCAGAATCGCCACGCTTCAGTCGGAAAGGCGAGGTGCCATCAATAGGCGAATCGATACTGCGTTCATCCGTGCATCGCGAAGCAGTACGCGCATGCCCCGCTACGACATTAGGCCACGAGGAAGACGGAGTATCTGGTATTTGCATATCACGCTCATCGCCGTAATAGTGCATCGCCTCTTCTTCGGCACGGCCGGTGGTTCTGGGGACGGCGGCGGCAGCAAATGCTACGGGTTCTGGTACCATGGGTCCGGGGCCATTTTTAGCCATGCTGACGCTGTAGGTATTGACGTTGGCGACGTTGAACATTCCCACGCTGTCTTTGTTGACGCTACGGGCCATGTATTCCGGATTGATGTCGTCAGAAGCGATGTATTGCAATCCACCGTTGGCCATGGCGTCCTCGTTATATGGACTGTTTTCCGTAAGATCCAGCGGAGGCAAAAACTCGGGAGGTGGTGTCTTCTCGGTGTGCTCAGGCTCTTCGATGGATTTGTCCTTGCCTTGCTTCTGTTTGCGGTACAAAAGATAGGTGATGAGCATGGCGGCCGCCGCGATGGGTACAAATGCAATGCCCACTTTGCCACCAGTGCTCAAGGCAGGGGCAGGCTCGGGAGCTGCACTCGCAGATGCACTGGGGGCACTGGTTGGTATGGTAGGCGAAGCCGAACTGATTCCGTTCGATCCAGACCCGGCTCCAGCTCCAGCTCCTGCCCCTGCGCCTGAACTTGAACCAGCACCAGGGCCCGCTCCCACGCCGCCACCGGCGACAAAGGTTGGCAGAGCGGTTGCTCCACTATATGAGCTGGGCAGAGATGAGAGAATGCTGGACATGATGGTGCTTCCGCTGAGTGAGACAGAGGCAGAACCCGTCGTGATTGCAGCGCTCGAGGTACCTGAAACGCTACCACTCACGGAGATTGATGAGCCTGCGCTGCTCGAAACGCTACTCGAGGATCCAGACGGCGCAGTCATAGCAGTGGATTGACTCGCCCCACCTGCAGAGGAACCGCTGATAGAGCTTGTCGAAAGTACAGTACTCTTCCCACCGCTAGAAATCACCACACTGGTTGCACTCGAGCTTGACGAACTCGGCACACTGGAAACAGATGAGTTCTGTACGCTGGAGCTCGATTGGCTCGATGAAGCCGATGAGCTCTGTGCATTTGAGCTGGATGAGACAGCTGAACTCGTCACAATCGCCGAAGAACTGGACGGTGTAGGTGTCGGTGTAGGCGTGGACGTAGGAGGCAAATCAGAAGCTTGGTGGTGGATCTGGACCAAGGGCGCCCAAATGTTCAAGGTTTGCACCGGTGTTCCTTCGCTGGTGAAAGGTACCTGTAGAGTATTCACATCCACAATCGCAACTCCATTGTTACACGTCATTGCATCGATCTTCGTGTTCGTAGCAACTTGGTGACAAGCCTGGGCACCTCCGTTCATAGCACATGTGTATCCCGTAGGACAACATCCGACCGCAGTCTCGCCAGCGACCAGGGGGAATTGGAATCCAAACTGCGGAACAGGAGCTCCGGTAACTTTTGGGGGCGGGGCTCCTGGAGTCGCAATAGCGGCAGAACAAGCGGTAGCATAGCCTTGAGGACACATTACACCGGGCGAGTAGAATCCGAGGCCCTGCAAAGACGAGGCACTGGCAGCAGCAGAGGGATATGCAGTAGCTCGCGGCCAGCAACCCGTGTCGTCTTCCGCCGTGGGTTTAGCATCGCGTACTCGGCAGGTCTGTCCACGGACGGCCAAAGTTCCCGAGACGGCGACGCGCGAACAGTGCGATGGGAAAGCAAAAGCAGTTGTCAATGGTCCTAGGTTGGCGCGCGCCGGTGCTGGTTGTCCTGGGAGAGCGGTCGGAAGGGGTGCTTCAGCTCGGGGAATACGGACGGGGGCGGTTGCTGCTGGGGCCATTGTCTTCCTCGTATTATCCTCCTCTTTTGGTGTGGGGTCCTAGGGATTTTCTCCTTTCTTTTCGATTGTTGGTATTACAATGGTTGGGGTTCGAAAAGTTGTTACCGGAGTAGGGCACAATGCATAACCAGCTATCGTTCGATTTCGAAAGCTTCTGGAGGGCCAGATATTCGTCCTTGACAAGGGGTGATCGTCGAAGTTCGGAGCTGAGAGTAGGCGATGGCGAGAAGGCCAGTAATAAATCGGTCAATCGTAGAAGGAAAAAGAGAAAGTAGAAATGAACAAAGACAATAGCGCGGGATAGAAAGTAGCAAGTATATATCAACAGGGAAAAAGAGCAAAATCAACAGCTAGGGGCAGAACTAGGGGTGATGGAAGAATACAATAAAAAGCAGAAAAAACGCAACGCAGAGTAATCAGATAGAACGAGTGTATGAAGTTGAGTTTGTAGAAGCCGAAGCTCAAAGGGAAAAGAGTGTAATAGCGAAATCGCAAAAGGTCTACCGTCGAGTGACGAACAAAAAAGAGAGAAGAAGAGGAAAGAATCAGCGAAACGGAGAACCTAGAGAAAGAGAGATGTCCAGAGGTAAGAGTAAGAGTAAGCAGAACACCCGAGCAGGCGGACAGGCAGGCAGGCAAGCAGGCAAAGTAACGGAAACCCGTAAACTACTACAGTACCATCTGTACGAACGCAAAACCGCAGATTTGGGTGGAGACTGGGGATTGGGGCCCTTTCAAGACCAGGGGTTGCGGACTAGGTTTTGAGGAAAAGCAACATCAGTCGTAGAACGATGAATACCTCCGAGGTCATCGAAAATCTCTAAAGAGGACAAAGGAACGGGGACATTGCGCCGTTTGAGCAGGAGGACCGAGCGAACGGCGGCGGCGGCGGTGGCATTGCTGCTTGCCTGAAGTTCACGGATGCGCAAAGGTGGTCAAATCTCCAGTAAGCCAATGATTATATTGAACTTTTCGTGCTGCTCTGCGCTGTGCTACAGTGCGGCGTTGTCCTCTTACTGTTGTTGAAGGATTCTATGCAAAACTTCTCTTGGTGTGGGTTGAGAGGTATTATTCGACAACTGTGCCTGCTATAATCAATAGTTCACACGAATTTTTCCTTGCTTGCTCGCTGCGGTGATTGTATGGTGGTGATGGAAGTTGCGAGGGCCAACCCGGACGATGATGTTTCGAAACGGACTCCGGACTTCGGGCGTGCGTGGGTTGTCTTAGGCTTAGGTAACTTCTGCGTACATCGGATATGGTATTATTCGAGCCAAGAGGCCGATATTGATTTGAATTCATTTATTATGAGATTTTATGTTTGAAGAGTGAACGATGAGTATTGATGTGATATGTAGGAGTTGCGGCGGCGATGGTGGGTTGGGTGGGGATGGGTGTGCGCGAACATCAACTTGTGAGAAGAAGGCAGACAGAGAACACGAAGGACAAGTAACATGAACGTGACTTTCAAAAATCTTACGATAGGTGTTACTGCTTCGATGCGGTAGCAAGATCTAGAATGGTGTTGCAAGGCGTGCCTTGCGCTCCCTTCTGCTTGTTCGCCTTGCAATATGCCTACACAGCTGATCTTGCGAAGGATCAATTAATTGCAGTTGCAAATTTGAACAGCGGCACGATTTCAATCGATACAATTATAACCAGAACAGCCAAGAGAAGATACAAAAGAGGATATAAACCCTAGAAAGATAGAAAAGCTTAATATTGAAGAGGCTGAGGTTTCGCTAGTTGGACAAAGCTGATATTATGACATCTCAATGACTTGCGCTCCAGCCCATCAACTCCACATTCTGCATTTTCCTTTCTTTCCGGACATGACGTGTGAACTTAAGAAATTACCTACGCCATGTAAGACCAGTAAACCCAAGAGGATATTTCAAGATGTACACGCTGAGGTAATGATTGCCGGACAAGGGCGTATTGAGGCTGAAGCTTCGCTGAGACCAACCCATGGGTTGATCATCTGACGAATAGATATAATTGGAACCTTGCACGAGTCAAGAATCCGGGAATCATCAATTTAATATCCTCTTTAGCACATCCGCTCCCCACACCGAACGTATGTAACAGATTATCTTCAGTAGTATCCGACCATCTCATAATAGTACACCGAGATGTCATCCGTCAAGGCAGTTCGCTGGTGACACGCTGCCGATACGTTGATCCTGCGATATAGCACCAGTCCTACCGTTCGCCTATCTCAGCACTCAGCACCATGCTGCCTTCAACACTTCCACCAATCCCGCCAAGTACCGTCCGCTCCAACATGCACCCATACATATGTATTCTAGAAATCCATTCAACTCCGTTACTCTGTTACAGACCTTCAGACATCCAATTATGCTCCACAGGAGGATGCACAACGGGAGCGTTTCACTGCCGCCTCCAGCGCCGCAATCGTTTTTATTAGAGCGATCCGTCTCAAGTCTGCCCACAGCGGAGGACAAAAATTGTTTCGATCTTTCCCAGGGGCTGTGTTAAGTATGTCACCGTCATTGAATACGTCTGAGAACGAATTAATTGCGGAAGGACCGACGGTTGGTTGGCCTGAACTATCGTTCCACAGACTTTCAAGACCATCAAATGACAGTGAACACATTACACTGGGTTTTCGTAGCGCACTGAATTGCACCATTTTTCCAGTGGGGCTCAATTCTTGTCACTTTGAGATTCGGTGTCCCTCGTTCAGTATCGTTGAGTTACATATTGATAATACTCGCATTGGCAACCAACAAATATCTCAAGATGTATCCAACGCCCTCTATTCTACACACCTGCAACACCAAATATCCGTAACCCAAAACGACAAATCACCAAACTCTTAAGATGATACTACAAGAGAAGAGGACGCGACGGAAAAGCATCGCGTTCGCCTGACTCCTTCTAGATCTTTTGTGTTTCGTGGGTGTGAAACCGCGCGTAGCGACGGTGATGACTATGTCCGATGGCCCAGTCAACGAACCCGTACCGACTTTATGATCTCAACCGAATTGGATGTGTGAGAATTGTGCGCGAACAGGTCTTGCGGTCTCCAATGGTTGGTGCATAGGTGTGTAGAAACGGATGATTGGGTAGGCACAACACTGAACTTATCAAAGAAGTTAAGCTGTAAGACGAGCTATCATTTGGCATATTCCAGCTCGATCAACTCATAGTACAGGGCGATGACGCATTATGATCTCACATGGTGGGAGCATAGTGTATCATAACTATTCACGCAAATATAAGAGCTGAGAAGAATCTACCGGAACCTTCTATTCGCAAATAACAAATAGTACACCTAACCTCCCGCCATGCAATGTCCTGATGCTACATCCCCCTGTATACATGTGCGGGCTACGAACAGTTTTACTTGCTTTTTAAAAAGCGACCCCTTATGTTGCAGTGGTGTGGACCGTGGGTTTTGAATGGATCGTGAATCACGACAGATCAAAAGTAGACTAGTTCGAGTGCATTACTGTGAGATAAACGAGCTCTGTACATAAATCTTACTGGACAGAAAAACATATGTGGCCAGTAATGTTCCACTGTCAAATTCTTTTAGTAGAAATCATCTAGCTGTGGTGATCGCAAAACGTGCAAGACAGGACAGCGGATTTGCCGCCCATATCTGACCCAAATATCCTAAAGTGACTGAAATTCCTGGGCAATCTCAACAATTATGGAAATCAACTTCTCCGGTTGAGAGATCTGAGGAGAGTGACTGCTCTCGATGTCCTTGACAATCCACTTCACGCCAGAGCCATCAAGCATCATCTGCTGGATAGATACAGGAATGGCGGCATCATTCAAAGTTCGAATAAACGCTACGCTTCCTTCATACTCCTTGCTATCCCAGCTTGCTCTAGGGCACGGTGAATTGAACGATGTCATCCCTTGAGCGGTTTGAGAGGTTCGGCGAGGTTTTTATATAGAGGATGTGCAGAAGAAGATTAGGGAGGATGAGGAGATGTTTGTTTATAGGAGGTTTAGGATGGTGTGTCAGCTTGAGGAAGGGGGTTGTTACTGGGAAGGATTGAGAGAGGGGGTAGGTAGAATGGTAGTGGGGTCAGTGAAACACTGAATTCATGGAACAGTGCTTATCACGCCTGAACTCTCGAACTTAAATGTTTCAGTGGGCTATATGTGACTTGGATTGATAGAGGCAGCTGAGAGCTTTTTTTTTCTCTTTTTTTTTCAGTCAGATCTGGAATGATCTGGCGGGAGTAAAGCAAGCAGTTTGGGGTGCCCCTTGATTCCTGCTTTTGTCTTAAAAGCTTGTGTGAAGGCAAAATTTGTTTGTCTTTTTAATTATTGCTTGTTTTTTTAGTACTTTTATTGCTGTAAACCCTTCGCTGTGTGTAAGATTGGCTAAACTCTAACTTAAGAAGAAAAGAAAAAAAAGCAAGCAAGCAGTAGCAGGACAGCTTAAAGGAGCCTAATAAGAACACCGCGAGCAGAGATTGAACGGGTAAACCTCAATTTCATTTCTATCTGTCATTTATGTCTCCTTGTCGAAGCTTATCTGCCACGGACGGTTTGTTAAACTTTTTAATAGGCCTTCAGAGTCTGGGTAAACAGCTTTGATCTTATGCTCTAGCTCTTCTTCTGTTGGAATGAAGGGTAGAGTTCCCATTAAATCAGGATTACCCAATTTGAAACCCTTGAAAACTGAGTCAAACTTACAAAGCCAGTCCAAGATCGCGGCCAATCTTAACTCACATGATATACATGCTATACATGCCTGCCCAGAGACATCGCTTCTGGTAGGTGTTGGATGTATAAACCAGCAACCCTGTCGACAGAAAAATGGGCATGACATATAGCCGTTAAATCTGCACCCCGGGATAACAACGCCTTCAACGTCAAGGAGAGAATAGTTTTGTTTCGGAAAAGCTTGGTCTGGGATTTCAGCAAATCCATAACAAAAATAGCCCATGGTGTATTTGGGGTGTATTGACTAGAAGCATTCGGCTCAGCTCCATTCTCCAAAAAGAACTCCAAAATATCGAACCATGCTGCTGTACGTATGCACGATCTATTGCTGAGAAGAAGTATCAAAATTTCTGTCGCAGTCGATTGGAGCATATTGTGCTCACGATCACCTTCATATCGGAGTGCATTCAGGACATGGTCCCAGCTAAACGTACCATATTCAATATAAAGATGAGAATTCGTGGGTACGACAGATAGCGGGTAACTGTGCCACCACTTGTCGAGTGTGAAAAACAAGTACGATATCTCTTTTAGCTCGAGCTTGCCTTCAGATATCCATTGCCGTATCAATTCGTGTATCTCATCACAGAATTTCGAGATAGGCTCAGGGCCCAGCCATAAAGCTTCACGGAAGATAGAGGATACAGTCCTCCAAGCAAAAGTCGGTCCCTTACGATCGTGAATATGTTCCCCTTTAGCCATCCACATAGCAGCTTTTAGAACTACTATTTGAGCTTCGCAAAAATACCAAATTTCATCATGTATAGTACCAGCCTGTTTCATGAGCATTTCTCGGACGTTGGGCCGTGATATGTGCTCGGCAAGGGTCCTATGGATTGGCTGTACCGTATCATGAATCATGCTTTTCATACGCCCGGAAGATCTGTCATAACGCGATCGCGACACCGTTAGAAGCGATCTGCATCGCTCATTGATGGCACTGGTCATATCTTCAAGCGTATCCTGCAAACACCCTAGACTGAATGTTTCCTGAAGCTCAGCTCTATGTCTTACAGCTTCGTCTTGGAAATAGTGATTAATCAATGTCCTTGGGTCCCCAACAGCCAGAAGAAATGGCCGAGCTGCGATCTTACGATCATGCCCATCGATGGATGCAATTATAGTGTCGTAGAGTTCTCCGAGCTCAGGTGGTATGTCCCGCAGACGCTGTAGGAGGGTGTGGCTATCGTGACATCTATCGATACCTCTTAACAATGTTCGCAGGGCCAACTCCACCCAAATAAAGACACCTTCCGCCGTGTGAACCATTTCCTGAACGATTCTGAAGTACTGGTCATCTTGAGAAGATAGCTCAAGAAATTTCGAATTCTTGGAAAGCTTGTCCTCGATGTAAGACTGAATGTCATCTCTGGTCATATCGTGAACAGCCAAAGATCGGTCTGGGCATCCGTAGCGCACTCGAAATTCCTCGTATGGTCTGCTCGACACACAGATTTTTACATGAGAAAAGCCCTCAAAGATGGTCAAAAAATCGATGAGCTTCTCTGCGTTCTCAGTTTCTTGGCTCTGACTGGCTTGGTCCGGTCGATCGTCGAATTCGTCAAGCCCATCAATCATGATGAAGATGCGCAAATTTTCCTCGCCCACACGACCGAGAGTAGTCTCGAGTGCGTCTTTCAGTCTTTCCATTGAAAACTCGTACTTGCTACCCACGCTGGCCCACTCTTTTCCTGGGAAAATTTCGCGCACGAGATTGAGATTTTTGTCGAGGATTTGGTACAGGAGTGATCGCATCAGCCCACCCAAAGTCTTTTGCAGATCTGAGCCAGTTCTCCAAAAGTAGTGGGTAACCAACAGAACAGGCTGTCCTTCTGACCAGACTTTCAAGTTCTCCTTCAGTTGTGGACTACTGGCCATAAACTTCATGAGTGTGCTTTTGCCGGACCCTGGTTTTCCTGAGATCCAGAACAAATTTCCTGTCGGCTCTTGCATTCGTAACCAATCGCGAAATTTGAGTTTCTCGCCTGGATGCTTCCCATCCTCCTCGAAAATCCAGCGGAATGTGTCTCGGTGCGCTTTATGTATCTTCCCCTCGCGCAACTTAATGTGCCCGTAATATAGGGCACGCATACACTTCAGATATATTCTATCGTCTTTCTGTTTGCGAAGCCATTCGGAGAGAATGTTGACAGAGTTTTTCGTGGATACCGGTGCCCAAAGTCCTGTCGTTGACAGGAATTGTGTCTCATGAAGCTGCTTCTCCATCGTGCTCATGTTCTGTTTGATGGCGGTAAGACTCCTTTTCATATCATCAGTGTTTTCGTGTACTCTTTCTAGCATGCTCTTTAGATATGACTCGGAGATACGCTGCGCCATCTTTTCAATGCGTTGTTGGGATTCGTCGAATTCTTTTCTCTTGTAATACGCTAAGCAGGCCATATAAATGGCTCTGGAGTATCCGATTTTTTTCCCAAGGGGAACTGACGGAATGCAGTTTCTATGTGCACGTACGAGAGTTTTGCATTCATTTGCCATGTCCCGGAGCGTGTCATCATTGCTAGACTTTGAAATAGACGCAACATTTTCTTCTATAGATCGACAGATGATGTGGAATCCATTGTAATTGGCTGTACTTCCGGTGGCAGATGAGCGTATTTCTCTTGCAGTTGTGTGCAGCTTATGCGCTATAACGATGACTTGAAGGATATTGCAAACAAGCGAAAATGTGGTAATTCCGTCCATGATGGCATCAATCAACTGAGTTGCGGGATCGAGTAGCCCGCTTGTCTTTGGGTGGACATCATCCAGAAGTTGAGGTTTCGGAAGTTTTTGCATGCGCTTCACTCATCATGTCAGCTGCGCAACTAGGTAACCAACTTGAAGCATTGCCAACGCCACCAAGCGCCCAAAGACTTGTTGGGACTCTGAACCTCTCACAATAATAAATTGGAGAACAGAAAGCATAATATGCGTCACCTACTCTGCAGTCCCAACAATATCATTGTCATACCATACCGTGAAGCTCTCCAAATCTAATCTGCAGTCGCGTCAGACAGATGTTACATGAGCGGTAGAAGTCAAATGCATTCTTGTCCGCAATCTGCTCTCATGACCGCAGCCACTGTGATACCCTTCCCCCCTCACCATCTATGCTGTGAAGCATCCATCCGTACTACCCTTGCTAACCTAGCGTTCCCTTTTGAGAATTCGCGTCAGGCAGCAGCTCTGCAGCAAACGACATCCATTCCGATCCCACCCCGCCTTCTTTTCTTCCCTACCCACCACAAGACAGGTAATACAACGCAAAACCCAGAGTATCGCCGGATCTGCATAATCACCATGCCTGCCCGAATTGATAATTGCTAGACTCGGAGGAACGCAGGAAATGGCTTGTGAAACAACCCCTAAGAATCCTTGATGTTCCAAGGATGAGTTTCACTGATTCGATCTCTCATACATAGAAAGAAGAGCAATCCAATGTCTGTAATTTTGAATGACTTATTGACCGAGATAGCCCTTTGGAAAAACGATTGGAAAAAGTTCGTTTAGATGACTTTTTTTTTTTTCACTTTCTGGATCTTGAGAAACATACCAGGGTAACCACATAAAAAGCTATTTTGCGGAAGAAATGAATCGTACATTTGTGTCCATCGTGATATAGCTTGATCCACAAGAGCAAGAAGACAAATAGCGTGACTTCCGGGAAAAAAAAGATCTGTTCAACAGACCCTCTTGCGAAAGAAAATACATGAGAAATGTCATTGAAGATCCATCATCCGCACTGCTCTTTCTTCTCTTTGAGTTTCTTCCTACGTTCCTCCCAAAATATGTTCCTTGCTCGCTCCACAATGTCCGCAATGTCCTCAACTTGTCCATTCTCTAACTCAGCGAGGTCAACAGAGTTCAGGCCAGATGGTTCCGTGTTGCTCCTTCGAAACCGGCGGACGATATCATAAAATAATGATTTGGTAGGGGCCGTGAATTTCACATCCCATTCAGACAACTGTCCGCGGGAAATGCGGATAGATGCCGGCATACCAGTAGGTCCGCATATCAAAGCGCATGAACCCCCCACATCTACTCCACGACGAAGGAACAGTTCAAGAATAGCTCCAACCCTATGAAGTAGCGGCAAATCCTCTTCGGAAAATTCCCCATCTCGCTTGACGCAACGATTGATATTCTGGTACGCAGTAACCAAGATTTGTTTCCATGGTGTGACGCCCTTGAAGTCCTGATTTGGATTGGCCCCAGCATCGAAAAGAATTTGCATCCTTTCCATCTTAAGCACACGTCTCATACAAGTAAGGTACATCAATCGGGATGCGGATGCTGCCAGGCCAGGTTCTTCGCGGAGAAGCCTTTGTAATATCCACTCGTTTTTATCAAAACAGGCAACATAGTAGATGACGTGATCGAACGTGAATGAATCATCATGGGTTGTACACAGATCCTTATGATCTATACGCATCATCATCAGGGCCAAGAGACTCGACCACTCGTCGTTGTTAGGGATTCGTGCGCAAATTAGGGAGTTGAGGTGCTTTATCAGATTCCAGTCTCGATCTGGATCTATATTTTCCAACAATTGATACGTTGTGAGGCCTACCAATTGCCACAGATCATATATTCCGTCGTGATAGGCTTTTTCGCTGCATAGACAGATGGACATTTGCAACGTTACAATCAATCCATGTAGGAAGCAGGTTTCGAAATCGTCCCACGTGTAGTCGATTTTAGCATACAGGTGCGCGACTGTTGCTTTGCGAGACAAGTAATCCCATACAGTTCGATGACTGAATACGAATCCTGAGGCAAAAAGTCTGCGTTCGGGGTTGTACCTAGGCCATGGACAGTAGTCTAAGAGACCTGCAAAATAGGCATTTGCTAAGCGAATCATCTTGTCGTGGAGCTTTTCAAAGTAGTCTAGACTGCACTTGTTTTCCCTCATATGGGGTTCAATTCTTCTCGGATTCATAAAGGCGTGTATCAAGGGCGGCGTTCCGAGCTCAAGATTCGGACGAGTTTCTGCAAGATGTATCATGGAAAGCAACAGCATGATAGCATCATCGTTTGCAAGAAGACGCGGACTGGCAAGTAGGTGTCTATAAAGGTCTTCGAGCTCCTGTGGCATTCTACGCAAATGTTCTTGAAGTCCAGTGAATTCTGCTCCGTCAAGCAAAGCCCTCGAAAGATCCTTCAAGACTAAGTGCACCCAAAGGAAAACGCCTTGAGCTGAGTCGATCATCTCTCGTACTAGTTCGGCGTAATCTGTATCATCATCATGGGACAGACGACGAAAAATCTCTTTCTGTTCCAGTTCCTCATGGATGTATGCCCGGATGTCGTCTCGGGTGAGATTTTCGATACGGATCCAACATTCTTGGTTCTTTCCGAACTCTTCAATGAAAGCGTTGTATGGACGGCTAGATACGCATACCTTTACGTTCAGTCTGGCCCGAAATTGTTGGAGAAACTTCATCAGTTCATCGGGGTCGCCTGTTTCTTTACTCGGCTTTGGATTATCGTCGAACTCATCCATACCGTCGATCAGAAACATGAAATGTATGCCACGACTCTCAGCCATCTCCAATATACGTGGCAATGCGGCCTTCAGTGATGATACTGAGAACTTGACATCTGAACCACCATATAACCACTCGGCTCCTGGAAAGGCAATGTTGATCATGTAAGGATGATTCAACAAAATTTGAAACAATATTGATCGAAGTAAACCTTCCAGCGATTGCTGTATTGGCGAGCCCTGCTTCCAGAAGTAGTCTTTGATTAGATCAATTCTCCGAGTACCGGCCCATTCCTGGAGGTGGGTTAAAACCCGATGTTCCTGATTTGCGAGGAACTTCATCAGCGTGCTTTTGCCTGCTCCAGGCTTGCCTGAAACCCAGAATATATTCGCATTCCTATCCTTGCAAGCCAGCCATTTTCTGAAGTTCGACTCCTTCTGGCCCTCACTCAGAGAATCTTGCGACTCCAAGATCCATGCGAAAGTCTTTTTGTGAGCATCTGCCACTAAATCGCATCGACTCCAAATCTCTGGGAAGCAAAGTTTGTTTAGACACCTTCGCTGTGTTTTTCCGTTTTCCCGACGCGTAAACCAGTCCTGTATGGCCTTGTATATCTCCGCAGTGGTCTTGTCGGCAGAATCCATGTTCACTTGGACCAATTTTCGCAACTCCTCCATTTTATGTAAAAGATCGGTATCTGATTGAGCACCTTGCTCGAGAAAATCTTTCATGCTCAAATTCATTGCTGGGACGTAGACTGCAATGATATGTGCCGTAATTTTCGACTCAATTGCTTTTATGTCCTCCAACGCCTCGCGCAACTCAGCTTCCTTCCACCACATTGTAATCGTAGCCTTGCAGATTGTCCAGTAGCGAGGACCACGGCTATTCAACTGTTTCTCTCGCAGGTTTTCCACCTTGGAAATGTATGCATCCATACATATTTGCATGCGTTTCGCATAGTTGTGAAATTCGGTTTGTTCCGTGTCTTGCGCCGAAGAAGATGTCGCTTTCTTCAAGTTCTCTTTCACGATCGCAGCACTCTCCCGCAGCCGAAGCGCTTCGCCAGAGAAACCGCTGTGTGACCTCCGGATATCGTTTGCAATGGTTGCAACATGACGACCAACTTCTACGAGTTGGAAAATATTCGATACCAGACCGATGGCAACAAGAGGTTCCATGGTAAGATGCAGCGCTATGGACGAGGTGAAAAATTTCAGCGACAAGAGAGGTGCAGGCCCTACCCTTAACAACCAGACATTGTGGTACTGTAAGGAACGAGACGCATGTCCACTCATCAGAATGTCTTCCCGTACTACATTACGTATCACTGTGGCGTCACGGCAAACTAATTGAGAGTTCACGTAGGTGTAGAAAGAGTAGTGAGGGGGATCATCGCGAGCAGAACCGTCTGCACCTAGTCAGCGAGAGAAGGAAAGAGTTAGCCAAGTGGAGTGACGAAACTACTGCACAGGAAGGAGAGAGGAGAAACGTGACCTTCAGCTGATGGAGGTAGGTGCGACTGTTGAGGACCGATACTACCACACATGCACGTCCCTGCGTGTACGTGAACCGTAATACTGCATTCTTTTATATCTTTCTTCGTGCCTAATTAAAACCCCAAATTTCGAATCGTTTTTATAGTGATACGACCTTTCATCTGTAGTTCGCCGAGAAATTGTTTCGTCAAAAACCCGGGATATCATACGCCGCCGCTGACCATGAGGAAATAATGAAACTGGAAACTGGAACGCCTTCTATGCAAACTTTCGTCGCTATCTTTCTCTCTCTTTGAAAAATGTGATTTATGGAATAATTTGGTGCGCATATGTACAGTGGGCGCTCATGCATTTAAAATCTGGTGAGAGAAAACCCGTTAGCGCTTGTTCTCGTCACCGTATAGTTTATATGGAAAGGGGAAAGGCTTACCGTATCTCATAATTTCCTGCCCTCGTCATATACCGCACCCACTTGACGCTGCTGTAGTTGCTCTTCTCAAACACCTTGAGGTATCGCACTAGCAACCCGGAGCTCGTGAACATGAGCAACGAGAAGCTAAGATTGAGCGGTGGCCTCGACCACGCTTTCTGGTTCGTCATGCTCGTCAAGCTGGCCTCGGCGCTCAACACAAACTCGCTCTGTCCCGTAAAGCGAGGTATCTTCCAGACAATATTGTTGTGCTCGGGTTCGTACTTTGCTTTGCCCTGCGACGTTCGCTCCGTGATGCGTGCTGTGTTCAGGGGCGTTGGTATCCGTACAACTACGTTGGTGGCGAACAATTTCGAGCCATAATTGGCACGTATGGCAATGCTGTACTCCACCTTCGTCTTACCCACTTCGTTGACAATGGCATGCACCTTGAACGGTAGGTTGACGTTTTCTGTGGCTCGGTAACGCATCAATTCAAACTCGCCATCGGGGGGTATGAAGGAGATGATTCGATCGGTATCGAACTTTCCCAGTTTCACACATTGATGGAATTGGCAATCCTCCAATGTGACACTGCCTGCTGCCGCTCTTGTAGCCTTTGCGCCAGCTCTGTTACCAGACGGGCCTTGCAAATTATCCTCTCCCAGCGTCAACCTGTCATTAAGCCCGAACTTGCATTCCGGCGTTCCAGATAGATATGCGCGCATAATGATCTGTCCGTTGACATCCGCCCGCAGTACTGCACCAGTTGCCGACATGAGTAAATTGACGTCTTCTATCACGTCCACGAAAGCTTCGTTCTTCCGGTATTTGATGTCGGATCGTCGCCAAGACAGAGCTCCGGTGGCTTGCATAGTGATTTTAGAAGAATCCTCCTGTGTTACATTAGTATACCACCTCGTCAAAACAATGCTTTTAGGGGATCAGCCTTACAATAGCCCTCTCACTCTTAACCCCCTCAGTCGTAATGTACATCTTCAACGTATCCGTCTCCGTATTCTGCGGATACCCAAAGTCCAAGATTTCATCCAACAGCTCATACACGAGCACAAAGTTATTCTTCACGGCCTCTTCATCGAACTTGCCAAAATACGCTTTGCCGAGGCCGATGAGGCGGTAGATGAACTCGAAGACGAGCGCGGCATTGGCGTTGGATTTAGTGACGGCGACGAGGTAGATGTTCTCGTGCTTGACATGGCTGAATGTGGTTGAACCGAGGGTGAGGATGGGAGAGCGCACGGAGGCGTTAGAGATGACTTGGATGCGGAATACGTCGGCGAGGCGTGGGCGGCAGTCGTTACGGAAGGCGCGGAAGATGAGATTTTCGCCTTTTTGATTGAAGATGAGGATTCCGGAGAGCATGGCGACGAGGGGGCGAGGTAGGTGGCTGTGGGCGAAGAAGGGGGGTCAGTGGGTGTAGTTGCGGTTGGGGGGGCATGTGGGTGGATTTGGGGGAGCTGCTTAGGATTGCGGGACGGACCCCCCTGTGCGTGGTGGTGGTGTACATGGTGGAGCACGGGCTTAGGGTTTATATGTTCGTGCCAAGCACTCTTTACACTGTTGTGTGTATGCTCAGTCTTGAACTGACTGGAACTCGAATGCAGCCATATATCAATAGGAGAAATATAAATTAGTATGATTTGCTGTCTGGCGCATGGCGCATAAGTGTAATTATCGTAGGAAGTTGTGTTCGACCTAATCTATCTCTATATAAACAATCGGATTTGTGTTCAGTGTCTAAGTATGCAAGCATATATAGGTAGGAAACAGGGAATCTCTGTATTCGCCAGAAAGCGTCATGTGTATGCTATGGAAAGGTAGAAAGTTCATTTTTGATCATAGAAGCGCGGTCGTTGCCTTTTCCACACACACACAAACGCTCAGAATACCGCACTTCGCTACAATGGAGTAAAGGAAGAAGAAGAAACGCCAAAGCCATTGCTCATTCCGCTGCTCTATGAATCTCGAACTCGCTCGCTCGCTGGCTTCGCATGCTTTGGTTATTTACTCATCTGTGTAGCTTTGCTTCTTGAATCATGCCTCCCCACTGCCGCCTTTGTCTATGCGCAAATAGCCGGGGAAAACAAAAGTCCCGCATGTGTCATATCATGGGAAAGGGTATCGATCGGGACCAAGGGGAGGTTTTATGGTTGGAAAATGAAAAGCTCTTTGGAGTGGAATATAAGGGAAAACGCGGAAGAGATCAAACCCCCTAGTGGCTGCCGTTCTTGCGGAAATTGAGCAGTTGTGCCAAGGAGTTGAGGCTGCATCCACTCTTCAGGAACTCGTGAATCAAAAGTTCACCCGCGCTCGCTCGGGACTTGACGTCAACGCACAGGCAAACCGAGAGGAAGGCCTTGAGCTCCTTGGAAAGCTTGTCCGGCTTCTTGAGGCGGGGCGTACCGTTGGTGGCGATAAGATAGAGAGCTTTGAGTGGTTCTTCGTTGAGGTACGGTGGCTCCGACTCGATCATTTCGATAGCCATGATACCCAATGACCAAATGTCCACCTTGTTGCCATACTCCTTCTGTTTGACAACCTCAGGGGCCATCCAGTAGGGCGTTCCCACCATAGTTGCGCGCTTATTACGGGTCTCGGTCAATTTGGCACTGAAACCAAAATCGGCTGTGCAATGATCAGTAGTGTGTCGCAGAGAACCTATCGATCTTATAAACTTACTGATTTTCACGTTGCCACGACCGTCAAGAAGGACGTTGTCACTCTTGATATCACGGTGGATGATGTTTTGTCGGTGCAGATGCTCGAGACCTTGGCAGGTCTATCGCTGCTGTTAGCGTAGGAAAGGTGGATAGGGTTGGTTGGACTTACTTCTAAGCATATGGTCGCAATCTGGTCCTCGCTAATGGAGGGATTGTTGTCAATCACGTCGGTTAAAGCTCCCCCTTCCATGAATTCCATGACTACCCAAAGCTCCAACTGATCTTCCGTCAAGAAAGCATCCAAGAAGTTGACAATATTGGGGTGTTTGCTGTCTTTCATAACGATGATCTCGTTCACAATGAGCTCCTTGCGAGGCTGAGCACGGAGATCCATCTGCTTGATGGCAACCTGAGCGCGTGGACCATTCTCCTGTAACAGCCTACGGGCTGTCGGGGACGTCGCAGTCTCACGAATGCGAGCAACATACACGGAACCTGATGCACCTTGTCCAATCTTCTTTTGCTTGTTGTACGAATCCAATGGTTTGTCTTTCGAAACGACTTCGCGAAGCTTGGTCATGACTTCGGCCTCGGACATGCTCGACATACGCACATCCTTGCGCGGAGCCTCCTCTTTCTTTGGCGCCGTAAGAGCCTGCTCGGCCTTCTTTACAGCATCGCTCACGGCGGGTTGCTTTGCGGCAACGTTCAGAGGCTTAGGGGCAGCAGCGGCTTGGTATTGCTTCTGTTGTTGCTGCTGCTGTCCATTGGCTGGCCGCATTTGCGAACTGCTAGATTGACCTTGGTAAGAAGAATTCTGCTGCACAGCCGGACGCTGTTGCTGCTGCTGCTGCTGCCTGGCCTGAGCGGGAGCACCGTAACCACTGCCATTCTGGGTTTTGGGTGCTGGAGGGGCCGGACGCTGGGCAGCCATTTGACGCAGAGACGATGGCGCTTGCTGCTGTTGGTTCCGTGAAGCTCCTGGAGTAGAGGGAGCCGGGCGGCTGGGGTTGTAGCGCTGTTGCCCGGATGGGCTGGAATCTCTCGAATCGTAACCAGGACCACCACCTCCAATCTCTTGCTGTGCCATGGGGGTTTTCTTTTGTGGTATCGATGCATTGTATGCCGCCAACTCTTCACGCTCACGCCTCTCATACTCCTCTCTCTCTCGCTGCCGTTGAAGATCACGTTGCTGCTGTGCACGGACTTCCTCGTTTCTTCTCCTCTCCTCGTAGCGTTGGTCTTGCTGCGGGGCTCCATAGCCACCTGATGCCGGTGGAGTGTTCTGGCGTGAGACGCCGTAGTTACTATCCTGTCGCTGGTAGCCACTGGGGGGTGCAGGCCGCGGGGGTGCGATGGAACTGCCGCCATAACCGAGTTGCTTCTCCATCCCAGAGCTGACAGGGGGAGTAGGTGTCAAGCTTGGGTATTGCTGAGGGTCTTCGGCGCGCTTAACGAGCTTCTCGGTGTAGAATTCCAGCACTTCGAGTACGGCTTTGGGGTTCTTGGCGTAATCATCCTTGGTGAGTGCGGAGGCGGTGAGTAGCTTTTCCCACTCCACAGGCAGTCCGACGAAGGCGCCGCTGTTGGGATCAAAACCAACGTGCACTCGATGGGTGAAGTTGGTGGGGTTGCTCACTCCGCCCATACTAGGGCAGCGCTGGTATATGCTATCTATCCAAGAGTAGACTTCTTCGTCGGTCTCGACCTTGCATGTGATGATCTTGGTTGGGCCATCCCGGGGTGGCGACGAGCCTTTGTTCGGGTTGAGAGAGCGAGTGATTTCGAACGAGAGTGGCTGGGTATCAGAGCGTTCCACGCCTAGGACGTCGCGAAGGAGGATGGAGTTGGATACCTTGGTGGAACTCGGGCTTTTGAAGAAGGCCAGCTCAAACTCCTTCAGGACCAGCCACCGATCAGCCCAAACAAAAGACTTGAACAGACCTTCATCCTTGACTTTGACGTTGCCCTCCTTGACCGTCCCTGAGGTGGACAGACTCTTCTCGGACTGGGTGCGGACGAGCGAGGTGGTGGAGCCGTTGTAACTGTTGGCATAGCTGTTGGTGTTGCTGTAGCCGTTGTTATAGGAGCCAGCGCCGCTGTTGCTGTTATTGTATGCAGGTGACTGCAGACTCATGCCAGCCATGTTGCCCGGTAGGGTGTTGCTAGTGTTGGGGGTGAGGGCAAGACGGGGGCGGTCGGTGGGAGGCCGCGGGGCGGGACCCGGATTCATAAACTGATCGCGGGAATACATTATGTTTCAGGGATCCACCTGATGAGTGTGTGAGTGAAGGGAAGGGGAGTGTGTATGCTGTGCAGGGCTGGCAGCGTTACTGACTCGAGACGTGGAGAGGAGAAGGAGGCAGGCGGACGGGCAGGGTGCGGCAAGGGTGGAGGAGGCGGTTTAGGGCTGTACCTACAGATAACTGGACGCTGCCACGATCATGAATGATCTGGAATTCGAAGGGGGTTTGCGGACGATGGAAAAGAGAGTAGCAGGTGGCGAGTGGCAGTCGTGGGTGGTGGTGGTGGTGGTTGTTTGTCGTGGTTCAAAGGTTGCTGCCAGTGCGTGAAGCGGGGGAGGCTGGCTGTAGCGGGCAGGGCAGGAGCGAGCGAGCGAAGCAGTGCACAGCAAAAGCAGTCTGTCGCGGGGGCAAGACGAGACAATGGCGCCGACGCAAGAGTGAGGTCGCAGCCAGGAAAATCAAACAAGACCCTCTGCGGTGGTGGTGGTGGTGGTTGGGTGTGAGGGTGTGGGTGTGGCCTGCACTGGTGTAGGAAGTACGTCCACTGTGTACACAGTATAGCAGCAGGCGCAGTAAGGTTGGAGGGTGCAGGGAAGAGCGGGAGGGTGGTGGAGAGCGGTGGGAAAGGGGAGAGATGTTTGTCCGTCAGCGCGCGGATGGGTTGCCGGTAAGAAAGTCAGTTGAACTGACTGACTGACTGACTGACTGCGAGCGGGCTGAGCGAGCTGAGCAGCTCAGGCCAGGTGGATATCTAGTTATTTCTAGTCGCTTGCCTTGATTGCCAGCTATTGCTGCGCCGTTGTGTTATTATGCCAATGTCTCAACATGGGCTGCGCGCTTCTTTTTGGCTGTCTGGGGCTGGAGTACGGCCGTCGGTGAAGAAGAGGCAAAAGCGACAACCCGGCTAGGTTGGATGGAATGCGAGCAGTGCTGTTTCGAGGGGGAGATCTGCTGTCGTCTCCGTCTTTCTGTTTCCTTGTCGTCTTGGTTGGTCACTTGGATTGGTTGTCCTGTTGGCTTACTCGACAAAGGGAGCCCGAAGACAAAGAGCTATGTATGGATGTATCTGATGAAGCGGCACTCCCTCAATGGCGGGGGGACAGCTAGGAGGAGAAGAAGAAGAAGAAGAAAAGAAATCGAAAAACAACATGTGCCAACCGTACAAGTCTACTACATATGTATCTATGCATCCATGTACCTCTGCATATGCAATCGTTCGCTCAGGTAGCTATTGATTGATATTGTCCTTCATTCATTCACTATAGCGTTGGTTCGTCGGACAGTATCAAATCACTGTTAGCCTCTCCTGTCGTCGAGTCCGTCGCCCCTCCGCCGCCGCTCAGCTCTGATCGTCTTTCTTCCAATTGGCCCCGCCATCGCCCACGTGACCGTTACGGCCGATCCCGACAACAACATCAATTGATGCTTCCCTCCCATTCATCCAATCCCACCTCATCTAACCGCCTTCCATCCTCCAGAATCCATTCACTTGCAATTCATGCATGCTTAAGTATGTGCACATCCTGCATTTGGCCTCGATACCAACCGGCGACATAAACGGATCGACACTAGAAACACTACCCAGGTACTCCTGCACATCGCTCTTAGCCCTCTCCGCCGCTGTACCCTTTTCGCTCCAGCGTTTCACATGGCTATGCAACCCACCACCATCAAAACCATTGCTTTCCACCAAGACAGCGAGCCCCTTTTCACCCTCTCCACGTCCCGGAGAAACGGCAAATCATGGATCCCACTCAAACCAAAGTAGCATGACAGCAACAAACTTTTCTGAAAAGATTCCTTTGGTCTTCCCAATCATGGCTCGCATTACTCCGCCGGACACTACATTGCCGCCAGCATTTGTTTCACTCCCATCTAACCCCCACAGTGAATCAGAACCTCGCCTTTTCTGAAACGCACCACCAGACGTCATACTCACTACACCGCACAGCTCCGTTTCGTCATACAAATAGACTTGCATGGTGAATGCACCGTGTACACACAGCAGACGGCCTGTCCTCCGCTCTCTCCGCGTTTCAAATCCAACTATCGCGAAGCTTGTCTCATCGCACCTTGTCTGACCTCATATATCATTCCACCCCTTACTCCCTTACCCAGAGTCTACACCCCATACTCCCAATACGTCCCTGCCACCGTCCCTTCTAGCATCCTGCATCTTCTTCACTCTGCGAACCGTCAAGCCAACGCCCAACGGGCCAAGAACAGTGCACAACACAATAGCCCATGTCACCACGAGAAACAACTCTGATTCCGACGACGAATCGCCACTCGTTGGGGAGAAGACCCCGTTGGATTCGGCAACGGCTGAAATGAGGAAACCAATCTCACCTCGCGCAACCATGGCGCAAGCCAGAATCAATGCAGGCTGAATGGAGACGGGTTTTGACGCCGAGCATGTATGTGAGGTTTCTTCTCTAGCACGTAGAGACGGCACAGTTTCTTGCTGGGTGGTGGTGTCGGGCTCTGCACTATGACCTGGAGGTCCAGACGGTTCGTTTTCAGTGTTCGAATTTGTATGTTTCTGCCAAAAATGCGTCACCGATGGCATTTTGATATTTGGCTTGTACTTGTATAGCAACTGCTGGAATTTGGCAAATGGTAGGGATATTCGCACAAGCCATAATCCGCAAGCCATCTTGGCAAGCACCATGAGGACGGTATAGACAATGCCGCGCCAGACAATCGAAGCTCGGAACAGGCGGGTGATTGGGATAGAGAAGCCGATAGACGCGAAGAAGAGCGGCTGCAGAATTCGGGACACGGCTTGATGGTAATATCGTTCATAAATGGCCGACCCTGTTGTCTCTGGCTGGGGTTTGGTGCTAATACCGGGTTGCACGTTCCTGGCAGAGGTTTGTCTAGCTTCTTGCTCCTGATCAGGAGCTTCGTCATGGTGAGATGGCGTGTTTTGAGCTGGAGGAGTATTTATATGCTCTGATGGGTGCGGCACTTCACTGTCCCACCAACTGACAGTTGCCCCAGCAATGTACGCTGCGAAAAGGTTCGACGTCCCTGCATAACTAGAAGCAGTCACTAGTGCTATCAAAAGCAGAGTGTGTGTGACAAAAGCCGTTTGATGGTTCATCAGCGACCTGCTCACCACAGCATCGGGATGTGATTTACGGTACGAGGTCAAGCGTACAGTTACAGGAAGAACAACATATCGACACAGCAGGGGAATGACAACAGCAAAAGCCAAAGACACCAGGACGGGGCGAACTATAGTTACCGCGCCGATATTGTCGCTGTTGTTTCCAAGATTGGAGATGACCTGAACCATGACCAGGCCAACGACATCATCCATCATGGCGGCGCTCGAAAGAACAACACCCAGTCTCGTCTTGGACAAACCACTAGAAGAGAGCACGGTGAATGTAGTTCCGAGGCTGGTGGAGCATAGTGCTGCGCCCGCGGCGAAAGCCTGGAGTGGTGTGGCATTCAGGAGACCTTGAAGGGTGTAAGACAGCGCGATGGGAAGAGCAATGCCGGTCAAGGCGACGGCGGAGGAAAGGGGGAGGTTAGCTTTCAAGGAAGGGAAAGAGGTCGAGAGACCGCCTGTCATTCTAGTCAGCAAAAGTCTAGGTGGAGGGAGCGTCGGACACCTGTATGCGTGCAAAAGAGGAAATAACGTGATAGGAGATGCTTGATTGATCGAACACGCCCATAGATATATATGTGGATGTACGTATTCAAACGTGCACGTTGACCATTCCAATTTAATGTCTCCAGATGTTTCTCTTTTTTCTTTCCAATCAATCAAAGGGTCGAAGCCGTACCTTCATAAACAAGGAGAATCAGACCAATATATCCCAACTGAACAACGACTTGCTCGACTTGAATGGAGAGCCACTTGGCGCCAGGAGTGCCCCATGCAATGCCCACCAAGACCTGGCCCAGCAGGCCGCAGTATAGCAGTCGGTCAAACAAGGCATTGATGAGATTGAGGAGGAGCAGAAAGGATGACTGAACCAGGATGGTGACAATGTCGGGCTCGTGATATGGCAGCGAGGGCTGCACGGTGTCAAGGCCAGCAGCCATGGTTTGATTTGTTGATTCCTGCAAGTAGATGGAGGTTTAGGCGCAATAACGACTGATATATTTTTTCCCTTCTTCTTGTTTATTGGCGGAGCAGGGTTTCGAGTGCTAACAAGCTTCTGTTCGAGTTTATTTTAAAACCTGTCAGAGCCAGCGGCAGGTGTCTGCCGTAGACAGAGCAGCGAATGAAGGGAAGGGGATGGGATGGGATGGGATGGGAGGCGGAAAATATCCGGACGCAGCGGACCCCCGCGCCAACCCCTGCCTGGCCTGGCTGGCTGGCTGGCCTGCTTGTCTGCTGTTGTTTGGTGGTTGCCCGCCCCTCTCTCGCTCGCAAATACATAGCAACCACCAACAAGTACATGTACCCTCGAGACATATTCCTCTATCCATACCGCCTCTTCCAACCGCCCGCAGCCAACCCCCCTCAGATTCTCTACAGCCTGATGCTCATTGCCTCGCCATGGCTCCGCTTGACGAGCAATGGGTCAAGGTCCAGCAGAAGACCTTCACCAAATGGTGCGCATCTGCTTCCCTCTCCTTCCTCCTTCTCCACCTCCCCGCCCCCCGTACATGCCCATGTCCACGCACGTCGAATGCGGTACCGCTCTGCACTGCAACCACTCTTTCGACTGCCAACGATATTCTTCAACACTGCGGTCCATTCGCTAACCTTTTTCCTTGTCCTGCAGGCTTAACAGTAAACTCAAAGCCGTCAATGTCGAAGTCAAGGACTTGATAACCGATCTATCGGATGGTGTGAGTCCAAGACCCTTCCGCTTCTGCCCTTCGACATCCTGACCCGCTCCAGATCGCACTCATCCATTTGCTCGAAACCCTCAGTAATGAATCTCTTGGCCGCTATGCCTCACGTCCCAAGCTCCGCGTTCAAAAATTCGAAAATGTAAACAAATCGCTCGACTTCATCAAAGGGAGAGGCATCCAGATGCATAATATCGGCGCCGAGGACATTGTGGATGGGAATAGGAAGATCATCTTGGGCTTAATTTGGATATTGATTCTGCGCTTCACCATCAGCGACATCAACGAGGAGGGTCTGAGTGCAAAGGAAGGTTTGCTGCTGTGGTGCCAGCGCAAAACCGCCTGTTATGACGAAGTGGAAGTGCGCGATTTCTCTTCAAGTTGGAACGATGGCTTGGCTTTGTGAGTTCCTACCTGCAACACTGATTGTGCCACTATCGTGAGCGCCCAGAGGCTAACAAGAGGACCAGCTGTGCCCTTCTCGACATCCACCGCCCCGACCTAATTGATTACGATAGTCTCGACAAAAGCGACCACCGCGGCAACATGCAACTCGCTTTCGATATCGCTTCCAAGGAGATCGGCATACCTGACCTTCTAGATGTAGAAGACGTGTGCGACGTGGCAAGGCCAGACGAGAAGTCTCTCATGACGTACATTGCCTACTGGTTCCACGCTTTCTCTCAGATGGAGCGTGTAGAGAATGCTGGTCGTCGTGTAGAGAAGTTCGTGCAGAACATGCAAGGAGCCTGGGAAATGCAGAACAACTTCGAAAAGCGGATGCGTCAACTGCTGGATCAGATTGCGACACAACGGAAGCAGTGGGAGGAAGCCACATTTGATGGATCGTACACGGATGCCAAAGACCAGTCGGCCAAGTTCACAGAGTACAAACGCAAATACAAGAGAGCATGGGTAGCAGAGCGATCGGATCTCGTTGGTCTGCTTGGAAATATCAAGACAAAGCTTTCTACGTACCGGCTGCGGCCGTACGATCCTCCCGCTGAGCTGAGCTTGGAAGCGCTGGACACGGCATGGGCGGGCCTAATGAAGGCAGAGCGCGACAGGTCACAAATCATTAACGAAACTATACGAGACATCAAAAATGCTCTTCGCAAATCCTTCGCAGACAAGGCCAACGATTTTGCTCTCGCTTTGAACACTCTATCAACCTCTTTATCAGGCCTCGAAGGCGAAGTGGAAGACCAATTGGACCATACTAAGAAAATCAGCGACAACCTCGCGCCACTTGACCAGTACCTAGACATCATTGCTTCGCTCGATGATCAATGTGCGGAAGCTAACATCGAGGAAAACGACTTCACAACCTACACATATGACGAGCTAGAATACGAACTCGGCCTGGTGCGGTCATCAGTGTCCAAAAAGCTCGCTTTTCTCGAAAACCAAATGGTAGCACGCAGCATGACCAATCTCACGCCCATCCAACTGGAAGAATTCGAATCCGTATTCCGACACTTCGACCGCGATGTATCCAACTCCCTTCAGGAACTAGAGTTCTCCGCTGCCCTTGCCAGTCTTGGTCTCGTTTACGATGAAGACGAAATGCACGACAAGTTCCGCGAAACAAGCGGCGGCCGCGATTACGTTACCTTTGAGCAGTTCATCCGCTTCATGGTGGACGAGACGGAGGATCAGAACACCGCCGAGCAAGTTTTTGAATCGTTCAAAGAAGTCGCCGATGGAAAGGTATGTAACCTCACCTTTTTCCCATGTTTACCCAGTAAAAAATTCATCCCAATCATGTGTGCGCTCTTATGGATTCCATCCATCAATGCTAACAATCTAACACAGCCCTACGTCACTGAACTCGATCTCCGCCACTCACTCGTCCCAGACGAAATCATTGACGACCTCATCGCCAGCATGCCAGAGCACAAAGGCCCCGACATGCAAGAAGATCGCGACCTCCCCAAATTTGACTACATCACCTACATGCAACGCTACATGGGCGGTAACGCCTCCGCTGCTGCCGCCGCTGGCGACGATAGCAATGGTCTTACGAATGGACAATGATTTTGAAAGATACCTCCCGTCTTTTTGCATTTCCAAAGTCGCCTTGTCGTTTGCTGAATCATGGTTGTTGAGCGTTCCTCTTCTCTTTGCGCTTCTTGTTGCATAGCAGATGACCAGCGTTTCTATTTCGTATTCCATTAATGTCTTTGTTGGGATGCTTCGGAATAGAGAAGGGTGTTCTTGTTCCTGTTTCTTTTTGCTTCCCAGCTTTTTGCATAATTGTGGGCTACACCCTCCATACATTCATCTTGGCGTTTTCCGGCTTATCTTTCTTGGTTTCTGCTTTCACCTCCCGCTCCTTCCACAAGAAACCCCTTGGTCCACAACATTGGAGATTATCCTCTTCATGCATTCGCCCGCTATCTACTTTTCCTTGTTCTAGCGCCTACATCTTTTCTTCCTTTCTGTGTGCGGAGATCACTCTGCTGCTGTTGCTGCTGTGGTCATCGAGTCTCTCAGTCCCCTTCGCATCGTCTGCGTTAGAGAATGTTGGTACTTTCTCGTCTCCATCTCAAGTGCAAGGCGCAGGCGGGTAAGAGAGGAATAATCGCTTCGGAACTCGATTAGTGAGCAAGTAGGGGCACAGCGATACATATCAGAGGCGAAGAAGAAAAAGAAGATGATGAAGAGGACAGGAAAGAAGGAAGAACAATCAGTTATAAAAAACCATATATTAATAAGAATAAACGTAAAACTCGGAACATGATTGACTTCCTTTTTTTTTTTTTTGCAAGTTTTCAGTGGTAGAAGCTGAGTTCTTGAATGGCACTGAGGACGAGGTCAGATGGATTTGATATAGAGGGGTTGTGGCAATGGCCGTAAAGAGGAACATGTAAATGAACAAATGGACGGATGTGACCAAGATGACGAGAAATAACACAGGTTTAGTTTATTAGGTCTTAAAAAAGTTGTGTATAAAGTCAACGACGCATACGACACTCGAAACAGCATAAGAAGAGGGAGAGAGAGAAAGAGAGAAAAAGAACGGGAAGGAACATGATTTTTGATTTTCATCGATCGATTAGTGATTCGGGATTCGATTCAGAATTTCTTGTTTAGATAAAATAGACAAAGTTCCAGTCCGTGTCGGCAGGTCATCCTGACTTGAATATGACCTGACTTGACTTGAAGAAGATTACCTAAGTCAAGTCAAGTCAGGTCAAGTCAGATTAAGTAAGCCAGATTAGGTCAAGTCAAGTCAGGTCAGGTCAGGTTCACTCAACCATCTCAAATGATGACTCATCAGTTTGGTAGTGTTTTCCTTCCCAGAGCTTAAAGGCAGATTTATTGTGTATTTAAATCTATGTGTTTGTGCTGCATGAAATATGCGATAATCAACATATAGACTTAGTCAAGTCAGGTCAGGTCAAGTCAGATCAGGTCAAGTCAAGTCAGATCAGGTCAAGTCAAGTCAGATCAGGTTTTAGTCATCAGGTTGGCCCGCCCTTTTGAATCACCATTGTTGAAACACAAGTTTTTTTACTTCAGTGCTCACTCAGCACGTACTATCAACAGTCAGGCCAGGTCAGGTCAAGTTAAGTCAAGCTTTTCTTCATTGAGCAGTAGCACTCGCAATGAATCGAGTGAAATACATAATACCGCTTGAGAACCGAACCACAGCGTTATCCCCTTCCAGTAGAATTACGAAAGAGAGGAAGGACATTAACAACGCCGTTTGATAATGCTAGCATCGTAAAGAAAACCACCCACCCTTGCGAAAAAAAAAACACCAACCCAGACAAACGCCCAGTTGATAAGCTATAAGGGGCCGAGTAAAGCAAGTGTCCACGGCCAGGAAAGCAGACCCAGGGAGCATACGACCAAAAAGAAACCAATACTCCAAGGTTCTGCTCTGGTGGTGCAGGGAGGAATGAAATAACAGTTCGAGTTTCCGTGATCTCTTCTCCGTGTTGCACTCAGGACGATGCAAACCAACGCCAAGTATGTTTAGGACTGCGGCCGGGAGCGGAAGTCTACTTCGCACCATACCTGAATTCTCCAAACGTGCCGCCAGCACCGCCAGGCGTCATTATGCCGCCGTGGGACGGCCCAGGCGTGGACGCGAGACCGGCAGGGTGACTCGTTGGTGTACTTGGGCCGTCGCGGTGGGACGCAGGGTGGAACATCATGCCGTTGTTGAGACCCTGGTAACCACTGGGGACGTTGGGTGCACCCTGGGCAGCGAGTGCGGCAGCTTGAGCAGAAGCGCTGGCTGGAGGGCCGACGCCCGTGAGACCCCACATCTGGCCGTTGACTTCTGCGGGGACGGACCCGTTGAAGACACGTTTTTGAAGTTCCCAGAAGGCGACGCCTGTGAGCCATGCGTCAGAGCCGGCTGTGTGCGATGTGCCGACTCTTTGGCAGCCAAGCTCGTCGGCGAGGTCTTGGAGACCGGATTTCGCGCCTAGGTTCTGGAGTATGTTGTGCGCTTGTTGGCCAATGGCTCCACGACGTAGCATGCCGTTCGCGTGACGCCATATGTACTTGACATCTAGGAGACGGGGGAAGAAGATCTCGACAAGTTTGCGGTAGGCTTCTTCGTCTTCGGGGAGGGGTTTGCTGGTGAGCATCTTGATCAGGTAGGCGAAATCGTAGCCAGAGTGGAATGATATCCAGTTTACGTCGTCCGTAAGGATCATGCCAGACGTTATCAACAACGATCCAAATTCTTCTGTATCGATGCCCTGTGTCGCGTGCTTCTCGAAGTCTGCTCCAGATTTCTTCAGCATCTGGACCGACTCTTCATTGTACATATCATCATCGAGCGAGAATTTGAAGTTGAAGGTCCAAGTGCAGGGGCACGGGATGATGTTGTTGGCGTATTGTTGCACAGTCTTCGGTTGGTAGCTCAACTGTGAGATGTCGAGTTGTGAAGGGGGAATCTCGCCTTGAACAGAGAACAGTGTAACACCTAATTGAATGATCTTCAACAGATCAACATTGCACCGTACGGTCTGGTAGTGGTATGAAGCCTTCGATGTGAAATCGCCAATGGGTCGGGCGACGACACCCGGGAATTCAGTATCCTAAAAGTATTGTAAGCACATTTCTCCAGCGGTAAATCGGAGTATCACAGAGATTACGGACCATGCTAATGTATGGATATTGCTCAACCAAAGACCGCAATAGATCCATCTCTTGATGCAGATTCGACCTCCATACTTCGCGTATACGCTGACCGGCGAGTCCTTTCGCACCATCTTGTCCACGGCCCATTGCGGCATCTTGCTGGGCGCCCTGAGCAAAGCGCATGCGAGCTTCATGTCCGTCTAGCCCGGTGCCTCCACTGACCCCGCCGAGGGCTGCTGCTGCGCCCAATCCGGGGCCTCCTAAGCCAGCACTCGACTGGAAATTGCTTTGATGAGAGCCGAAAAGGTTGATGTTGTGCGCTTGATTGGCGCCACCGAAAGCGGGATGTTGCTGCATCGACGGTTGCTGCTGTTGATGCTGCTGGGGAAGCTGCTGCTGCTGATGAATGGGCTGCGAGAGATGCGCGAAAGGATTCGAGAGATTATGGCCGGGGAATCGACCCCCACGTTGAGCCATGGTGGGCGATTACTGCGATGCTGGCTAGATGGTTGGGAAGCGGGTGGCTATTTGGGATGGTTGTGTGGTAATTGGTATTGTTGCGATGGAGGCCACGGGCAAGAAGCGAGGGGAGATGGGTGTGGGTGGTGTGCGAGGTGAGAGACGTTGAAGTTAATCGTTTGACCAATCTTAGGTTCCAAAGTCTGTCGAGGGAGGCGAAACAGATTCTCGGTATTATCAATCGGGTTGGCGAGTGAGAGTGAGTCTACGAGGGACGAATGTTGAAGGAACGGATGAACCTCTGGTTCCGAGCTTTGACGTTGCCAAGACTTGTATCGCGGACCTCGCTCGAAGCTCTTAAGACGACATCAACACCACCGACCGCACCCCGCCTCAGTGATATCCCACCATGAGGCCCTCACTGTAAGCAACACTTTTCCAATGGCTGATGCGCTACAATTTTACTTTGTTCCAATTGCTGACCCTGTGACTCAAGCATCCGTCTGGCCCAGCGCCCCAACCTCACTGGCTTCGACCCCAAGAAACTCGCCGCCGCTTCCAAAAGCGCAAAAGGCGACCCCTGGGAGCGAAAGTACGCATATTACCTTTGCTACAGATTTCCCTACCACATACTAAGACTGCCTCAGTGAACAATGGCGCTATACAGGCCCTTTTTCCCGATGGAACCGTTTCAAGGGCAGTTTCCCCGGTCTGGGCATAGCTACTGTCGCATTCGCCGGATACTGTGTCGCCGAGCAGCTGTTTTTCCCTGAAGAGCACCATGGTCACGACGATGGGGGCCACCACTGAAAGATGGCGTGAAGGGGATAAGAAGAGGACAGCAGCAGGTCGAATGCACGTAACAGGCGTATCGGTTGATTCGGGGGAACTTCAATATCATCATCATCACTGTGGGACCTGTATATATGGATCGTATCACAGTAAGAAACGTAAAAGTAGGAAATACAAAAACAGGGTTTACTTTGTCGCCTTCAACCGCTTTCAAACCAGGTCACATCATTGTAAGGAATAGTTGGTCATCCACAATCATACGAGGTGTGAGTGTAGGGTAATGCTCGTTATTTCTTAAGGCAATTCTGTGCACCAATACGGGTATCCTCTCACTCCTCTTGTGCGGGTCGCGACTACGTCACCCAGGCTTTGTACTCAATTCGAAGAGATCGCAAACCAAAGGAACCGATATTACAATACATGCCAATATGAACATGTTCCCCTCCCCCACCCCTCCCGCTACTCACAAATCTCTCTCGAGTCTATAGGGAAACTGTCAAGCCATGGGGTGCGATATACACCCACATCCTAGGAACAACAGAATCCGCGGGTATAGTTCGTTCTCTACCCGTCTACTTCATAATTCCCTACCTTCTTCTTCCCATATCAAGACCCAATTATACCCGATTCCCATATACCTAGGTTCTACAATATACCGCTCACTTACTTAACTGTTCCCTTACTATCATCATCACCCTAACGCCGCGTCCACACATCCCAAATCCGTAAAGCCTATATCAACCCTCATAACCCCACACCAACAAGAACAGCCTACCCAAACCATCCCTATATCAGAACGAATATACAAGAACGCATCCATCGCATACGAAAACATACCCGAATACAAGTAACGATCTCCCCGTCCCCTCCCCCATTCAATCACGAACTCCGCAAGCGATACCTCGATCCACGAACACTGGGGGGCCAGCAGCGCTCACCACATCGAACGCATAATTAACAAGACAAGGGACTCTTATAACACGGAAAACGCAGCTCCCCTGGAAACAGCAAAAACAAAACACCCCGTCCACACACACACACACATAAAACACAAGACTCTCGTATCCCACCCGTCCGTGAAAACGAAGTCAGATGTCGAAGCGAAGATGCATGATCAAGGGGGTCATGCATACATATACATGCGTGTGGTTTTCTTAATTGCACTCAGATAATCTGCATGGATGGAGGGGTTTTGATAGTTCCCCTGCGCCGTTCTTACACAGGTGTAAGCTGAGACGGGATGGAATACGAGAGGTTGCCGGTCGTTTATGCGTTGTATGCGTGGCTTACATATATGTTGGGCTTGCATGGATGGAGGGGGGTGGGGCGAAAGTGACGCGAAGGTCGCGCGTTTGCGTGGAGGCGAGGGAGTAAACAATAACAATGGAGGGGTGATTGCTTTTATTTGTTGGGGATGACAAATTCGTGGTAGAGAGGGGTTGTGTGGATGTCGATACTTGTGGGTTGTAGAAGACGGGGATTCGAGAGAGATGGGAAGGGCGGATACATAAGCTGTTTTTATTTTTCATTGAAATATCAAGTCTGGCGTTTTTATAGAGGAAGAGAGAGTCGAGGGATAAGAATGGATTGGATTATCTGATACTTTGCATTTTTTGATCCGCGAAACATGAGATCAAAAATACATTATTGAATCACTTCCTTTTTTCCCCTTCCCATGTAGTCCTCTTATTCGCATGATCCCCTCATTCATTCCCCTCTAGACAAAGGAAAAGATTCAAGGGCGGTGTAAAAAGAAAGCACCATAGCGACGTGCGTTACGCTCTGTAGCGTTTGTAGCGGAGACAACTAAACAAACAACAATAGTAATAATAGATACCCCAAAAGGTAGGTAGCAATAAGGATAAGACAGTAATGAGATGCTGACACAAGGAGACTTGCGGGCGCTTCCACGCGCGGAGAGAGACGATAAAAGGAAAAGTGCGAAAGAGCGGGTGTCTAAGCAAGACAAGTAGAGGAGCAGGAAGCGACTGGCTGGAAAAATAGCAGGTGAGAGGATGAAAGAACGATAAACCGAAAAAAAAAAACAGGAACATCAAGATCAACAAACAACGCTGAAGTCTCGTCCCTGATGCTGTGAATCCCAGTCCGAGATCTTAAAATGAAAATAGGTTTTCCCTGTTTTTTTGTCTTCCCAGAGATGCAGAAAATAGCAGATAAGTTTGACCTCGCAGAACCTTGTCGCGAAATGAAAAAAGATGATAAAAGGTGGAACTAGGCAACCCTGGAAAAATCCTCGCCAGATCCAGGTCATCAAGTATAAACAGTGAAGATAGAGATAAATATTCGTGGGTCGCATCAGTGAGAAATCGAAAAGTGGGCCGGCCAGTGTTCGAAGCATGAATAGGTCGAGTTATCCGGTGCAGATCCGATGATAACGAAGCTAGACAGCTGGAGGCGTGGGGAAAGAGTTCATATTTTCACGGTACCTGCGGTGCATGTTGGCCGTGCTGGCTGCGCGGTGCCGGGTTAGTGTTTGAGCAGGGCGCCCAGAAACACTTTGTGAAGAGGCGTATTTGTGGTTGGTAGAAGGAGGAGTGCGGGCAGTGCCTCGCTGTGCAAGTTCCAGAGAACTCTTCATGTCAGCCTCGACAGAGCCACGGCGCTCATCGGCTTCATCGTCAGACGTGAAGAAAGTTCGGTCGTGTGAGGCGTGCACTGGTGGAGTGGCCTCGTCCTCGTCGTGTTCGCGCTCTTCCATGTCGTACTCATCGAATGAGTTGATGGAGGCTACCTGATGAGATAGGCGGTCAACGACTGCGTTGAAGTCTCGGCGAGCATGACGCGAGGAGTGCACCAATTCCGGAAGAGACGAGCTGCCTGAAGAGCTGCCCGACTGCCGGGCGCCAGACGCCCACGAGCCGGAGACAGGTCCGCTCGATACCAGGCTGCTCTCATAAGAGCTGCGCTTGCTGGAACGCATGTGGCTGCTACGAGTGGAGCTGGCAGTGCTACGGGCTGATTCGAGCAGCGGGAAGTGTCGATCAGAACTCTCGTATTCGGCGATGAGATCTTGATAATCGTCTTCATGGGACATTGCTTCCTTGTACTCTTGCGGGATCAAGAGCGAAGGGGTTAAACTGAAACCTTCAGCCTCATGCAAAGGATAATGGGGCGCGGCAAGAGGATGGAAGAAATCAGAGGGTGTATGTACCCCGGTAGTATCGATGGTGGAAGCAGAAACTGCTGACCGCATCTCTAATTCTGGTACAGTCGTCGCGTTTGGTACCACCAAACTGGGACGCGTCGCGCCCGTTGGAGCATCATGAGGGATTGGCTCCTCTTCAGGCATTATTGAAGAGGCGTGAGTGCTATAACAAGACGAGTCCGAGGTACGCTTAGGTTCCAACCGCTCGGGGGTGCGATCTCGACTCGTTTCATCGCCTGTTCCGTCAGCATAAGTAGAGTCCCACTCCAGATCACAATCCGCTTCTAGTGCGTTATCGTAAATATAGTCAATGTCATCTTCCCAAGACTCCTCCATGACACGCCACGTGTTCGACTTTCGCCGCACCGACATCCTCCGACCTGAAGATCTTCGCGGCATTGCCCCAGAGGATCCTAAAGTATCGGAGCACTGAGACATTGGGCGAGACATGGAAGGACGTGTGTTGGGTGAGGTGCTGAATGAGACCATCCGGCTGTGCGATTTCCCTACAGGCGACCGGGGGTTGGTGAAGGAAAAGTTGTCGAGAGACGTTTTGACAGGGGGTAGTGGCGCCGGTCTGGGACTCGCGAATCGTTCTGGTTCTTCGGCGACGTCATCCAAACCAGGACTGAAGGGCGGTGTAACGGGGTGAATGGCCGAATTATCGGGGGTAGTCAAGGCATGTCCGACGTAATCAGACTCTTCAATCATGCTGGGGAGGAGTCCACCAGGACTTTGAGGGCTCAACGGCGACTGGTGATTCCACGCCCCTGAGTTCCTTCGGCTGCTTGTAGGAATAGCTTCGGTTGAGTCCTCTGGAAGGTCATCAATAGGTGCCATGGCTAGACGAGAAGATCCGCGTGGTGGTGGAGGGTTGGTGTTGGCCGATTGTGTGTGACGATGTACTCGGGGGGTGACTCCTGGCCTAGAGAAGCTTTCAACTGATCGAGCTGTGCGAAGTGGTGGTCGCGACGGTTTTTCTGCCGATCCAAAGTTCATAGGCTCCTCTTGAGGGAAGCCAGCGCTCATTGGGGGTGACTTCATTGACATGGGTGATAAAGGGTTTGCGTCCGAGGTGACTAAACCCTCCGCAGACAAGTTCCGGAAACGCAGGTCATTAACTTTGATGCCAGTTAGATCTCTGCAGGGAGTTTGCGAAGAGCTAATGTTCTGGAAACCAGCGACGAGTTCGTTTTCAGATGCTCCGGTCAGCGCGGCGAATTGATGTCGATCGGTATGCGTCAAGTGCTTGAAATCGAACGGACTGGAAATTCGCGGCTTCAGATCTACACTCGTAAGTTAATCACAGATTTTCAACATGTCGATACAATACACGACTATGATAGGTAGGCGCAGGTGAGGAAATCTTACCAGATGTCTCTGATGGCAAAGACGGTCTTTTGGTCTTGCGTAAAACCGATGTTCTCTTGAGTATGGCATCTGCCTCTTCTTGTGGTTGTGGAGGAGAGCCAGGTGCAAAGGAACCGCTCGCTCGTTTGCCTTTCTTTCCGCGAAAGATCGATCGTTTGGCACTATTCATTTCCAATATACTCTGACCTGCTAGGTGTCGGAGGTCTTGCGACAATCGATGCGATGCATTGTCGTGTCCAGCCGTAGTAGATGAGTTTAGCGGCCCCGATGAAGACGTAGTCGAGTTTGAAGTGTTGCTTCTATTTCTGAGGCCGAAGACCGAATTCCTCTTTGCCATATGAGCTCCAGTGTGTCGCTCAGGCGAAGGCTGGTCAGTGTACGAAGATGCATCTGAGCCGGGTGATGCTGATACGGAAGGATCAATGGTCACCAACGAATCCACAGATGACTGCACCGACTCTGGTAAAGCATTCTTCTTATGAGAGACAAATACTGGGCGACTATAAGGCGCAGTCGCTATGTGACCTGCAATCTCCATGTTGACAGACTATTAAAAGACGTGCACGAAACCCCGCAACTCGCTGGACGAAATGATGAAGCTTGTAACCATGGATGAGGCAAGCAGATACCAAGGAGTCGTACTATTGTCCTCGAAAATGATTAAATCCGGTGTGCGTGTGACTTTCTGTTGTTGTTGTTGTCGTGGGGAAGGCGACCCTGGACGTGTCAGTAAAGACAATACTCGGTCGTGTCAGGCCCCGAGGCGTAGTTAAATAAAAAGACAAGCGGAAGCAGGGGTCGGTGCGAGGACGCCGTAAGAGGCGGCCAGGAAAGGAGACGGAAGAGGATTGGTAACAACAAGAGGAGACGTGTAGCTCAGCTGCAACCATGCTCGTGTGCACTATATACGTACCTTGTAATGCTTGCAGAGAAGGACAGCGGATTGGTTATCGAGCCAAAGCAATAGATGATACGGGGAGATGGGACAGTAAGATCCCTACGAGTATGAATACTAGGCAGTATTAAACACGGGGATGGAATCTGTTGTGTATGGCCGGCCCAGTGGACAAGGGAAGGCGGCTGTTATGGCTGCTGTCAAAGCTAAGGATAAAGCCGCGACAGTCGCTTGCGGGAATACGATTGGCTCGTACGATCAGAAAGGGAAGAAGGAGAGGATGGGGTTGGTAGCGAAAGCGGAAGCGAAGTGGTAGAAGAAGAGTGATTGACGATGGCGTGGAGGAGGTTCAAAAGGACTGGCGGAACGGCATTGCTGTGGATTTGGGAATGGAAGAGCAGCTTTTGGCAGAAGTAGGAAATGTCATCAGTAAGTACTAAGGATGTGGACAGCGGACGCAGACAAGCAGGTGGCAGTGGGGAAGGGAGTGAAGTGTGCTCCATAGTCACTCGCCGAAGCTAGCATGAGAGCAGGGGCAGGGTCCGCCTCCCATAGGAAACAGGCTAGGGTGCGCGTTCGAGGATCAAATTGCACATGGATGGGTGGCTGTCAGCGGTGGAGTCGACGAGAAAGCGGGATGCAAGATGGATGGATTGAAGGCGTCCAGGGGGGGGGAGGGGGTGAATGAGAAAGGGTACGAGTGCAGGGAAAGCCATGCTCAGCCTGGGCTACAAGGCGACGGCCCGACGCAACGGCGCAAGCATTAAAAGGACATGGATATGCAAAAACTTGGCCCGTTGATTGGCCTCTGTTGTCAAAATACGGCTAAAATGGCGACAAACATGGCGCACTGGATGTTCAGAGGCCTATGCCGTCGTCGAACGGCTGTAATTGTCGTACTGCTGTGTGTATACTAAACCGTGGTGTCACACTCGCGGATATGATATTTCATACACACACACACACACCCTCTCCCCCCCTAACTGACGAGGGCCGAGGGGGAAGGGGGAGCATGGACAGAAAGAAGGTGCGTGTCAGTGTGAGATAGATGGTGAAATGATGTGGGATAAGCTACTTGAGACGTCAAGTCCTCTGGGGGCCTGGATTGTGCGACAATCGCAAAGTCTTGCTCTGTTGCTTTTTGTTGGGTTGGTTGGTTGGACATGCACTGACAGTGCTGGTAATTTTCTTGCCTACATGCACCAGACATGGACGTTTACTTGGTAATCAACCGTACGGTGTACCCAATGCAAGCGGCTGGCGGGGTGCAGCAAGACGTAGGATGACGGAGGTCGGACGGCTGGCTGAACACCATGCTGCGTATATGTAGCGGCCTGGGCCGTCAGGCGACCCTCACCACCGCCGCTGGGCCAGTGGAAGTTGACAAGAGCATCGCAGATAGTCTCCGACCTTCTCTTCGGGGTCGCGCTGGAATCCTTTAACACGGTGCTAAGAAACTGCCCACTGCCAAAGCCGGGGGCCCGTTCCCTTTTTCGCAATCGTGCACCGATTGCCATGTAGAAACCCTCCCGGCTATGATGATTGCTCGGTATTCAGAAATGCTGTTACCATGCCGGATCGAGTCCATCTGCTGGCCCCGGGACAAACATTGGGCAATTCCAAATCGCCTGGCTGCATGTACCTCTCCCAGCATCTGGCGGGCTCACGCATCTGGCGGGCATGAACAACACCCCCCAACCAAGAGTAGGCCATCAAAACGAGTCCTCTTGAAGTTAGCACACCGTTCAGCCACCAGCGATCTTGCCCGTGTACTACAAAGCGGCCGGGCGGCGATGAAACAACCGAGTCCTGCTCGGCGACATTCGAGATGCCTGAGGGTGGAGGCACAGGGGCAAACACCCCGCAATCTCAACACCAGAGCCTGCACAGCAAAGAAGCATGCTGTCACAGCAATGATTGTGGAAAAGGGCAGAAGATTCCTTCATCGTTACTCGTCCCTGGTGTTCATAATCTTTGGGGCCTGTCAGTTAGTGAAGCATAGATCTGTTTGGCACCCGGCTAGCAAATGACCACCGCACACTTTCTCTGCGTACTTAATATAGTACACACACGGGCTATCCCACGCCCAAAGCCACGTACCGTGATCTCGTTGGCATCTGGTGCATAGATACGGTACGATGCATCATGTAACCAGTACCTAAACACTGTTGAGAGATGTGTAGCATTCATATGCTCCATGGTCCCATGAGCACTTGGCATGGCACACACCAAGTGCGTGTATCTAGACATGAAGACCCAACAGTTCTGCATTCAATGTCATACATAGTCCACTGATACGAAGAGGTTCTGGGGTCTGTCTCCTTTGAGTGAAATCCATCCTCTGCACTTGGGGGATAGTCCACAGTCCGCGCAGCAATCCAAGCTCACGTGTCGGACTGTTCGCCTTGTCCAACGCCCCATGCATGAGTCCATTTCAATCGCCTGAGCAGCACGCGGCAATGGTGATACCTCGTGGTACCTGCTAACGCCTGTGAAACTTGCGCCTTCAGTCTGGTCACGCTGTGTGATATGTTGCGAGAAACTGGGAACACTCTGACAGAAATTGGTTGGGGCTCGCGGTCCACCCCTTTCCCCAAGTCGAAATTGCGCAAACGCTGATCATGAGCTTGGCGAGAAGGGCTTCGTGCTGCTTTTCCCACTTTGACCCTCCTTTTCTTGCGTTGTGCTTGCGACGACTCTGACAGGGTGCCCCATTGGTGAGCTCAAAAAGCAGGCCCTCTCCTACCCGACCTGGTATAGCAAATGCTGTAAACATGTGGGTACCAGGTCCTCCAAGTTGGAAACCAACTACACCCACACACACACACGCAGTAAACTTCCAGTTTCTTGCACGGTCTACCCAGTATGACGCACTGTGGGACCGTAAAGTCGCTGAGACGCTCGCGGTGGTATTCCGGCAACCTCGTTGATCCGACTGATTCCACCTCGGTCGCCACGATTGAACCGCAACAACGTACATGCTCGTACCGGCCGGCCCTGTTGGAAAATGGCCAACAGAGTCTCTTCAGGTACCACATTGTCGGGTCAGTATCAAGAGATTTCCTAAGATTGGTTGGGCGCCACCAGTATGACTGCATCAAGTACCGCCCGTACCAAGGAAAGGGTCGCATTATCGCCACCAACACCAACCCCACGACCTGGCCGCCGGTGGAGCGGCAGCCGTGCCGTGCTGCCTTCAGCTCTTCCTTTGGGGCGAAGGCTGTTTGCCCTGCCATTGTTTGTTCGCATTTGCCATCTATCTTCTAGATGAATGATAAGATTGTCAATTGGGTTCGCGTTGCCCCCTGTGCGTACGAATGAATGCACAGGGCAATATTGATGTATGATGCTTTCCAAGAGGTCATTACACAGCACAGCAACGCCAGCAAATTGCATACGCCGTGCGCCTACATACATGAGCTGCGCAGGTACAGAGAGTAACGCTGAGATGACACCAAAATATACTGTACACGGCACATGGAGTAGCACAAGGAATATATGCACAAAAGCCTCCCTCAACCGCCCGCAAGAGCGTGCCGTTCCTGGCTTGGACTACCTATCGGGTCACATACAGCTACCGTCTGTGTATGCAAGAGACGACGTCTTCTCACAAATCGAACCTGTACCTGCATGAAAAATGACGCCCTTGACTTTCTACCTGTCCAATACCATTGGTTTCCATTTTGGCCTCCGCTCCGTATTCTCAGCCCCAAGCTAATGGCAATTGCCACACATTCATTCGTCAATTCCATCATCGAACAAAATCCAATCCCCCAATCACACATCGCCATCTCTTTGGAATGCAATACATTGCCATTGGTTTTTTCAGCTCCTGCAGACGCAGTCTAGAAAAGCCATTCCGATATTGCATGCACAAATGGGCCGGGGGTGGGGGTTAGTCCATGGCAGATGATGGAAGACGATAATTGATGAAGCCGCATCCTCGGAATCCATTCGTGAAGCCAGCCCTGGTACCGAGTCCTACGCGCCGGTATCACTGCCCATCACTGCTCTCCGTTTTGTCAATCGACACCTCCCGCTAGATGGGTTGTTCCATGCTCTCCGAACTACGTCACGCTAGATATAACCGCAACATCCAAGCTGTAGAAAGGATCATGACGTATACGAACGTACACAGCATGTGCCTGTGTCCAGATGCTACCCTCAACAACCGTGTAGAATAGTGCACAGATTGCTGCATCTTGGTAAGACACCTTTAACCCTCTCCCCACAGCTGGCCCGATCCAACGTGATTGGACACGATTGCAAACAATCGAGGGACAGGAAACAAAAAGAAACAACAGTAACGGCATCCGTTCGACACTCTGCAATCTCAACAAGTCGGTGAGGATTCTGGATTCATACACCGACAGTCTACACGTGGAATATGCGCGTGCCCTGTTACACCAACTACGTGCTATGTATTGCCTTCAGCGCTACGCGGCACCACTCAACAGTCCTCGATACGCCCATAGCACTTGTACCTTGTGTACTCACAGCATGGAGTCGTGGCAGTCACACAAAAGGAATATACTCGAAGCCGGCGACACTGCAAGTGTTGTCACGCAGCGCGGATGTCTCATCCTCTGGTAGGACGCAGGAGTCGTCAAAAGACTAGCTAGTAGCTTTCCCCCCTTTGACTGAATCTCCAGACAGCGGCTCGAGAGACAGCGGCACATGCAGATAGGGCTACCAAACACCCCACTACGGCTGTAGTCGAGTGATCAACATGCAAGTGCGAAGACTTTCACAAGCTCGAGGACTGTGCTTTTGGCGGTGGCATCATCAATGACACGATGGCGAAACCTCATGACCAAAGCGTGAACTTTGTTCCATGTGGGTAAGTGTTTGGTTATTCGCATATGTGCACAATTGGACAACCACTCGAGGGTCCGCGGGCTGTCGATTCGTGTTTTTATTCAGTTATTATTTTCCCTCCTTTATGGCTCGGGGTTGGGGCGAACGCCATTCCGAATTGATGAAACACGCGACTCGTTCACACCGTGCGTGCGTTTGTTTCTAGATGGCGTTTCATCTGCCGAATCATCCAACTCTTGGAAACAAAAATATGCCGAAACATCAAATACTATTCGCCCAGATGTTTCTTTCCAAAGTTGAAATAATTGTCAACGATTCAGAAATGCGATTCGGAGATCTGGAGGCTGATGACTGACACATGTGCTCTGATACTGAGTCAAGTTACATGCTAGCTTCCGGCGCACACGAGTCTTGGGACACCATCGAGGCGAAAACAAAAAAGGGGAGAGAGAAAATCCTCACCAATCTCAATTTCATGATAGGTGCTCATAATCTATATAAGTCCTTTGTCTAATGTGATTGTAGTTCTACCACAAGCATGGTTTTGCTTTCAACTCTCATAACCTTCGATGCTCGATTGCGAAGCTCATATTGCTTCCAAATCATTGATATGCTCATCACGGGTCAATTTCCACAAAGAAAGACCTTGAGCCGAATTCCTGAATCATCTCGCTATCACGGCTCCATGTAGACGGCGCACACGACGATAGCTACAACGTCACAGTGATAGTGATATCCCCGACATGTCAACCTTTCCCTACATGTCCAGCCGCCGACCCCAAGCTCCGGTGAACGAATTCCCAAGACCAACGTGCATTTGCTTAGGTAGAAAAGACAAGAAGAGCCCAAGCCACTTGAAGTAACTGACGGGGCTCTTCGGCACTGACGCTTCAGGGTGCGCCCCGGACGTGAGCATGCAGGCACGCAAATAGACTCTGGAAACAGTAAAGTAAATCTGTCATCGTCCCAACGGGCGAGCGAGCGAGTGACTACTACCATTACGGGAATGTTCACGATGCCAGTGAGGATTTAGAGCCTGGGAAACGGCTCCCATAATCGTACACTACTCATGTCCGGAGATACACATGTCCCAATATGGTCAAGAACAACGCCTCCATCTTAAGGAAAGTTCAAGACGTTTTTTGTTCCGCTGTCTACGGACGCCACACGGAAGAGAAACAAGTATTCCGCGCGACTGACAGAGGAAAGTAATTAGGCGCTCTGCCAATAGCCCAGTTTCCTATTTTCTTTTCCACAACGTTTGCACGCCTCACTCAACGTTGCATTTCGCAAGGTAGAAGAAAGAAAATGGCCGTAGCAGGGTCTCAAAGATGTCGCAAGACAAAAGGCCATCATCGATCATAAGATCCACACGTAAGACTCGGCCCATGGGCCACCCACCGCACAGATCCTCCTCCGTCCAAAGTGAGGGCAGAGCTGAGCAATGGAAACATTCCGCTCCATTCGTTCCCACCCACATCTCGCTCCACGCTTTCGTCACCCAGCTCCGCCGTGCGTAGAATACCGACGAGCGAGCCCGTTCTCCACGTTACCCTCGTAGAATAGCGTGCACCGTGGAGTCGTCAACTCCGTTCCCCTCGGGCAGTATACGTCAATTGACCCATACCGTACCAGGAGATGATAACTAACGATAGCCGGGATGAAGGATTTGGGAAATGGACAGTGGGATTCGGGAGCGAGCGCTGACGAGAGCAAAAGGTGAGCCTCGCCCGGGAGCCTCCCTAACTAGGCATAGAAACTCTTACGTTAGAGCGGAAGCGGGTGCACACAAAGAGAGGTCGACAAGCAAAACGGTAATTGTAAACGGAGTAGCGACATCTCCCTCTCGTGTTTTCTTTCTAAATCTATGTTCCGTCACTTGTGTGCGTCTGGGTCGAGTAGAAATGCTACCGAGTTTGGAAGGATTTCCCGCAACCGGTGATAACTGTTCAATTTTTTTGAGGGGATGGGGAAGGGGAGGACCTGTGTCGATGACCGAGCTTTTCTCGGACCGCGCGAAATGCGATTTCGGAGAGACAGACCCTGAGTTGTTCAATTTTGGGACTCTTTTCTCGCACGCGCGTATGCGTGGGCCACGGATTCCGAAGTAGTGGAGTAGAAGGACCTGCGTGGTGTCTTCTCGGCGACGAACAGCAACTACATGATGCCTGTTGGACAGGCAGACCTGGTGCGCGTACTAACCCACCCTGAATTCATATTTTACTGCGAATGGTGAGGGAGGGCTGCAAGGCCCCCCAAAGGAGTGTGGGCGGGTTCCCAACGCTTGAGAGCCGCAGTGCCGTCACACCGTGTTGTGGACTGACCAGGGCGAGCGTTGGATGCTAGCGGTGAACATTTGGAGGGACGAGCTGAAGGTCGAGACTGTCTTGGGATTGTCTTTGCTTGAATGCTCGTTGTAGTTAGTTGCCGTCCGTATGTATTGGGACACTCGATAGGTCAATGGTGAATTGGCTTCAAATTCGTGTTCCTGTTCATTTGTTTATTTACATGCTGGACGCGAGTCAGAGAACTACACCATCGAGATCTGAATCCCCCAACTCCCTCTGATTACAATTGGGCGACATTGTACTCTTCATTCAATTTTTCTCTGTTCCTGATTACGCTGCTGATGAATACATATCATAATGGACACAGGATTCACGTCATTCGAACCTGAATCAGTTCGGCGCCGTTGCGCGCTGTCAGACTCGGCGCCTTCTATATGTGCTCGGTACTATAGCTTTCCAATATCACACAATTGTATCGCATCGCACCATAAATCTACCCACTCACGCGATGTACAAGTCATGACTTGGCTTCATAATGAAGTCAAGTCACAAAGTCAATCCTTTCACCCATTCTACAGGAACCAACAAGAAAACAGAAAAACAACCACCAACGCGGCCCCCAGCATCCTTCCAAAAGAAAAGAAGGGAAAAGAAAAGAAGTAGATAACGAAAGAAGGACACCCAACAATATACCCCACCCCCATCTATAAGATCAACCCAGCCCCTTCAAACGCATCACCAAGTGTCCTGAGCGCGCCTCGCGTCTAGACGGCACGGCTCAAGCCTCAGCGGACGCGGGAGATCAGACTCGCTCGCTTTCGGGCAAACATTGTTCTTTTCTGATTCGATGCGAGGACCTTCTTCATTTAGCCTGTGGATAGCATGTGTTGATCGTAAGATTTCGCGGCTTAGAGGGGGATGCGCGGTTCGGTATATCGAGATGACCCTGGGGTATAAGATCGCTCGTTCTGGGAAATCCCGATGATAGCGGGATAATAGGATGGCGAGGCGAGGCGAGGGAAAGAATGAATGGGGCGGCGCTATTGTTTCGGGTGAGTTTTTTCTCTCTTGCGATTGTTTGTGGGCGAGAGGAGGGAGGAGTGGGGTGATTATGTGGGGGTAGCAGTGCGTAATATGATGGTGATTATAGAGAGCGTGAATAGTCAGGAACGGCAGTCATGTCGGAAGGACTAGCAAAGGAGTCGGTTAGAAAGTGGGTATATCAGGCAGGAGTTATATTATAGCAGTGAACCGATATCATCAGAAAAAGAGCAAGGTGTTTTTATTCATTGTTGAGTTTAGGACATAATTCACAAATGATTTCTATCCACTTGACTTCGGATACAGAGGCATCGTGACCGGACATGCAGTCAAAACCGCCTTGATAGTGCTGCTTCATGTCGCCATGATCAACATTGATTTTGAGTTGGAGTTTAGGTGATCCTACGCATAGCGAAAGGTTATAAAGATCAATCGGGATCAAAAAAATAGGCGATGACCAAAAATTCATACAAAAGAGCCTTTCATGATCAACATTTTTGGACTCTTCTTAAGAAACAGCATGGCAAACTTGCTTCTATTTTATCGAAAATGAATCATCCGTCTATCAATCACCTGTCAACTACTGGTTGCAAACACCCACCATAGCCAGGATGGAAAAGGTCACAACCATTCGTTTCGATATCTTAGATACAATACAACTTTATGATTTCTATGATTTCTATACTCTCTACATGAAAGATCTATTGGTCAAATTCAATACTCCGAGCAGCAACTCAGCATGTCGCTACTTAACAACACAGGAACGCCTAGTTTACAATTGATATCTGTACCACACCGGGCGTCTTTGATCTCCATATCAAAGAATGAATACCCAAAAGTCACACATAATCACAAGATCCTACCATTCCAACTCCTTCTTGTCCGCAAGACCACTTGCGCAACCACCATCCTCCTTACTCCAATCATATACACCACCCCTCCTCTGAAATGCCTCCTTGTCCCAGTTGATCCCCTCCATTGCCTTCTTGACCCCAATATCCAAGATCGAGCCACTCCGCTTCATCCTCCCTTCCCCCTTATCCAAGAAGCACATATCTTCGTCCAGGTTCAGATAGCTATTAGCCATAGTCTCGTTATCTTCAGGAATGTAACACTCCAGATGTTTATGTCTCTCGCAAAACGTCTGCCACTGTTCGTCGGTAACCAAGAAGCGCCTCGCATCCCTCACTCTAGTCTCGTCCTCGTTCTCCCCCTCTACAATCAGACACTGAAACACCTTCCAACGGAATGGCGCGAGCTCGGCAATATGCGCCGTCATGTCTTCGTCCCAGTTATACGCGTTGACGACCGTGTTGATCTTGAGCTTGATACCGTATTCCTTGCACCATGTCGCAATGTTACTGAGCTGTTGAATATGCGCATCACCATCTTCTCCCCTTCCTATCTTCTCGTTGGTAGCTCCGACGAAGGAATCGCATGAGATGCCGAGAATGTCGATGTATTTTCCGTACTTGGCAAGGAAGTCTCGTCTGATTTTGCTGCCGTTGCTGATGATGCTGACACTATCTACGTGCAGTTCTTCCTTGCAGTATTCAAGAATCTGTGCCAGGGAACGGGGGTGGAGGAATGGTTCTCCACCGGCGATGTTGAGTTTGCGCATTCCGGCTTCTTTGAGGAGGCGGAGTCCTTGTTTGGCTTTGTCGAGCGTGAGCATGTTGGAGGTGGTTTCGGTGTGGAAGCAGAAGCCGCAGCTGTAGTTGCATTGGCGCGATGGGAAGTAGTTGACGGATACAGGAGCATCTGGATCGGGCTGATTGTGGTAACGGTAGACGGCCACGGCGGCGAGGGCGAAAGAAGTCAGTGACACCAGCGGCCAAATGACGTCGAAGATTGCGAGGAGAACCATTTTTGCTTGGTCGTGCAGTTCAGGAAGAATCACCGTGTAAGATGTTTTAGAGACTGTTTTATAGACTCTGATGATGGTTGGATATGTAGCGCGGCTGAAGGCAGCAAAGACAATCGTGTAACCAGGCACTCTTGTTTGATACCCACAAGCAGCAATTGTCTTACTTCACCGGAAATATAAATGCGCCCAGGTCTTCTTCTTTCAATGCCCACATGTTGACATCACAGCTTCACAATCACTGTCACGCATGTCTGCTTCAAACACGCGAACAATGGCATCTGATCAATCTTCACAAGGCGCCCAGGCAAACTTCCCGATCATCTTCGTCATTGGTACGCCTCTCTATGTTCAATATCCCGTGCTATATCACATTGACGCTTCACAGGACCTCCCGGAGCCGGAAAAGGTACCATCTGCTCTATCCTCTCTCGTGAACATAACCTCTCCCACACCTCCATCGGCGACTGCCTCCGAGCACATGTCCAAGCAAACCCCGGGAACCCGTTTTCCTCCATCATCAGAACCAAACTTGCAAAGCAGGGATTCCTTTCTTTCACTGAGCTTTGCCCATTCATCTCGGAAGCAATCCAGTATGCAGTCGACCGTGGTCACAGGGGGATCTTGATTGATGGGTTTCCTAGATCGATGAAGCAAAGCGAGGGTTTCGTGACATGGGCGGTGGAGTCGGGACTGTCGCGTGAGAAGCCTGATATTGCGCTATGGTTGCAAGTGGAGAGGCAAAAAGCAAAGGAAAGGTTCTTGGGACGTGCTAGAGATACAAATGACAACGAGGAGAAGTTCGACAGACGGTTTGATGAGTACGAGAGGGAGAGCGTCGAGGTGGGAGAATCGTACAGGGGAAAGGGAATACTTGTTGAAGTATGTTGGTGTTGACTTTGTTGCTCTTCATTGATCTTGCACTGACGACTTTGTAGGTTGACATGAACAGAACGAAGGAGGAGAATGTGGCTGAGATGATGAAGAAATTGGAGGAGAATGAAACGTGGGTCAAATTATTTGGGAAGCAAGTTCCGACCTGAACGCGGATGGGGTTTTCTTGGTAGACGTTCTTCCGAAAGTACGCAGCAGGCGCTCTTGTCAGAAGAATCGGTGGTCATTCGAAAGTGATGATATTCATAAACAGAAATGTATAGTCTAAAAACTCATGTTTCTTTTCCGGATGATTGAGCGAAAACTGATCGGAGAGTTCGCCGCGGAAAGAGTAGCTTGTATTCTGAATTCTACTGGTCACACGAGAGGTTGGTATCAAAATAGAGGCTGCGTCATAGGTGCACTTCAGATCTTGGGCTTATGTGCAGTACACCACGCATTCCGGGGAAAGCGGAGCCGAGACACATCAGACGTGTGTCTTAAACATACGAAAGTGCATAAAAGTAAACCCCAAATTCACACATTCATGGCTTCCTCCAACGTTAGCGCATCCTCTCTCTTCAGTGTATCCGGTCTCGTTGCCGTCGTCACTGGAGGAGGGACAGGTAATCACACCCTGTCCGCCTCATACTTTTCAAACGGAAAGTTGATACTGATCACACCAAGGTATCGGGTTTATGATTACCAAGGCGCTGGCGGCCAACGGCGCTCGTCGCGTCTACATCATTGGGCGACGTCAAGACAAGCTGGAAGAAGCTGCAAACGCCATCGACCCAAACGTTGTATCCCCATTGCAGGGAGATGTTACAGACCTCGAATCGCTGCTCGAAATCTCCCAAACTGTAGAATCCTCAATCGGTTATGTAAACCTCGTCGTCGCCAACGCCGGTACAATGGGCCCGCGACCTCTGAAACCACCCCCAGGCTCAACAACACTGCCCTCGTTGGCCGAGTACCGCGAACACGCCTTGAAAGCACCCATGCAAGACTTCACCCAGACGTGTGCTGTCAACACTACCGCGGTCCACTACACAGCCCTTGCGTTCTTGAACCTGCTCGACGAGGGTAACAAGAAGCAGAACATGGGCGCAGACTGGCGCAGCCAGATCATAGCAACGGGCAGCATTGGCGGATTCAGTAGGCTTTCAGGAGCTTCGTTCGCGTACAACAGTAGCAAAGCGGCCGTCACGCACATGATGAAGATGATGTCTACAGCGTTTGTGCCTTACGGGATCCGTTGTAATGTACTTGCGCCAGGCGTTTTTCCTAGCGATATTACGAACGGCATTTTCACGGGCCAAGGAGATGCGAGAGGAGAAATAAAACGGTTTCCGAGAGAAATGATTCCAGCAGGAAGGGCGGGCACTGAGGAAGATATAGCGGGCGCGATATTGTGGATGGTGGGGAGGGCGGGGAGTTATTTGAACGGGAGTGTGGTAGTCGTGGACGGGGGAAGGCTAGGGACGCTTATTTCGACGTATTAGCAGTCTCTATGAATGATGAGTAGGCTGCGAGCATGGCTGGTAGTCATGATAGTAATAATTGGTGTGTGTGTGGAGAGTGAAGTTGAGATGAAATGGTCGGAGCATCTATGTTTAAAGTCGGCGAAGAACGGGCCATGGGCGCGTGGGGAAACGCGGACCCCCGAAACGTGCGTCAGTGCTAGCCAAGTGGTCGTTAATACTGTAGGTAGCAAGACGTTGCAAGACAAGACCTCTACATGCTCACTCCATACTGACATATCCCCAACATGCCCCCCGCGAATTCATCGCGCAGACTGAGCAATGACTTGTTGCAGTCTCAGGGCTTCATTGGGTCTGTAGCGCGCTTTTGGCAGGTATGCATGCATCCGTCCATCCATTCATTGAAGCCAGTTCGAAGCAATGTCGTGTGCTTTACTTCAAATGATTCCCATCTACACAATTCAAGAAAATTGGCTGCTAATATACGTCCCAGCGCTCATACGCCTCAGATTATGTTGGCCTTGCTATGCTGATTGCCGGATGGATAGTGGTACGTGTATGGAATGAAGCATACAGCAACTCCCCTCGAAACTCTAACACTGTCCTCCAGATCCAATTCTTCGGCGACCCTTTCCACCGCATGTTCTCCCTAGACAATCTCGCCATTCAATATCCCCACGCCGAAGTCGAGCGCGTCTCAGTCTGTACGTGACACCCTTCCAACTCCTCAAACCCCACGTCAGACATTCGGAAGCTGACAACTATTCGCGAATCCCCCCAACAGCATGGCTCTTCGTTTACGCCGGCGCCATTCCCCTGGGCATACTCGTAGCCTGGGCCCTCATCTTCCGCCCCGGAACCCACAAAGCGCACGTCACGATCCTTGGCTGGTTCATCTCGCTCCTCCTCACAACCTTTATAACGGACCTGGTCAAAAACGCCGTCGGACGCCCTCGTCCCGATCTCATCGCGCGCTGCAAGCCCGCACCAGGCACACCCGACCACCAGCTCGTCACGTTTGAAGTCTGCACCGAGATAAACCACCACGTTCTGCACGACGGTTGGCGCAGCTTCCCGTCAGGTCATAGCAGCTTCTCCTTCAGTGGCCTCGGTTATCTGGCTCTCTTCCTCGCGGGCCAATGCCACGTCTTCCGTCCCCGTACTGATCTTGCTCGTGTTCTACTGGCGCTGGCGCCGCTGCTTGCTGCTGCTCTCATTGCTATTTCCCGCTGCGAGGACTACCGTCATGATGTTTACGATGTTACGACGGGATCTTTACTGGGGCTGCTCGTCTCGTATTATACGTATCGTAGGTATTTCCCGCCATTGCGCAGTGCGAAGTGCGCAACGCCGTACTCGAACCCTGCGGATGTGGTGGGTGGGGGGCTGAGGGCGAAGGATGACGAAGAGGAGAGAATTCGCGGCGTTAATGAATTTGAGTTGGAGGATAGTGAAGGCAGGGAGGACGAGGATGAAGACCACAGGTTGTTGAACAATCGGAGATGATTCCTCTGTCCGCGAAGAGGAGGGCACGAATTTGTTTTTGTATGGTGTAGTTCTCTAGGACCGCTAGCGGCATTATGTCAATCGTATTGTTAACGGAGGAAGAATTATCAATTGGTTCACCTGGCGCATGAAATCCCTTTTTGAGTACCTAGGCAGTTGGTATCCGCCAATTCGATGCAATCCTTCACACCAATTTCTCCAATCCATATAGGCATAAATCGACATGAACGGAAAAGAAGAAAAGTACAACAGCAAGAAGAAACACCAACACTCTACATATTGAACCTTGTTCTCTGTTTCTCCATGCCGGCCTGCCATTGCCATTCCTGCCCACTTCTCCACTGGATCCCGCGATCTATCCTCCTCAGTTTCAACGTGCAGCGAGGCCCGATTTCCTGCATGCCGACCCTCAAATTTTCCACGCCTAGTACAGGTTTCCCGCTTGCGTCTGTGACACTCTTCTCGCTCCCACGTTTTTCTCTAAACACGTATCGGTGCCGCCGGAGGAAGATGTAATCGCGTTGATTGTGTAATGTCACCGCTAGAGCCAGAATTAGCATACTGTTTAGTGTAGACGGAAAATGCGATAGGTTTCTTACCGGTGCGACCTTGTAGCTCTGGCGTTGCGGGGAATAGTGATTTGAAAAGGTGGGCAGTGAGCAATCCGAGAGGCGTTTTGAAGTTGTTGAGAATCAGTTCAGGTTGGAAACCTTGATCCACACCATGTCCCGGCAGTTTTTTCCCCTCGACCCAATTTGAGATTGAGAAATGTACGTGAGGCCCGTTCGGTAATGTCACAACGTCGAGTCCGTCTGGTTTCTTTTCGTGCATTGCTTGCATTAAGATTACGACTTGTGTGAAACCCCGTGCAGCTGCATATGAAGATATCTCGCGCACTGAGTAATGGTGGGCATGGCGGTGGGCCGTTCTCCGTATGTAGGTACTGTTCGGGAAGAAGGAAGTAAGGATTTCGGCTTCTTTGTGAAGAGAGGAGTTGATTGAGGTGGTGACTAAGACTTTGGGGGTTTCGGGAGGTGAGAAAATCGCCGGAAACTTCTGTTTGAGAAATTCTGGGGAGAGCTCCATGTTTGTGGCTGTGGATGTTGCGCCAGGGCTGGACGCGCGAGCTGGCGGAGGCGCAGGTTTGCGTTTTCGAGAGCGGTTGGTGGAGGATGATGAATCTTCGGAGTCAGAACCGGAGTCGAGCATACTGTCTGCGTCCTCATCTTCGTCCTCGTCTTCAGAGTTGTGTGCTTCTTCTTGGTCGCGCTTCTTGAGTTTGGAGAGTAATCCTTCTTCGCCTTCTTCTTCGTCTTCGTCTTCCCCGCGTTCGGCGGCTTCTTGTTCGAGCTTCCTCTTCTTAACCATCCTCTCCCAGTCTATTGACATTCCCAACAAGTCCTCCTCATCTCCGATATTTCCTGAATCGTAAACGCGCTTGGATTCGATTGTGGCGGGTACGTTGCGTGCCTGTCGTTCTTCGCGGAGTTCGGGATTCTTGTTTTCTTCACGTTTGCGCTTGAAGCGCTCATCTCTTTTGGCAGCCTCTTTGGTCTTCTTTAACTTGAGATAGGCAGACTGGCGGCGCAACTTGTTTTTGGGTTTCAGTCCATTAAGCTGGCCAGAGGATTTGGACGACGCCATTTTGGGAACTAACTATTGTGTTAGGAGTACTCAGAGAATATTATACGATTTTATTTCATCAACTTTACTTACTGGAGTCGTTGGTCACAAAATGTGGGTAATTGTTGCGGTCGCAAAGAAGTTGTCGGCGATCTTGGAAATTTTGACGGGGCCGGGATCACTTTTCTCCGCTATCCTCTGAGCGCGCAGCGCATTGGACAACCAGTCATCGTCCAAAGAGTCATCGACGTAGTATAATCTGTATTTATATTGTATCATATAATTTCCCTGAGTGTCTCCTCCTCTCATTTATAGGAGGATATATTTGTGCATGCGCACGCTGTCGAGTTTAGTGCGCGCCAAATGCTGCCCTTTTTCCTTTCGTAAACCCTTTTCTAATACCCCACCTTACCTTGTTTATCCCACCAAAAGCTTCACCACCACACCCATCCACCACAGATACCAGGCGCCCAAGCGAAAGCAGGAGCCCATCATGTCCTCGGATATGACTACCCTCAAGGGTAAGCCCTTTGATAGGACTTCTCTCGAGTCTCTGATGAGGGTGAGGACGCGCCGGATCTTGGAATGTGTAGAGTCATGCTGATCATGTTACAGCGGCGCATGTTCTATACCCCAGCCTTCGATATATACGGTGGTGTTTCCGGTCTCTATGACTATGGCCCTCCGGGCTGTCAACTCACCAACAACATCGTGGATGTCTGGCGGAAACACTTCGTACTCAAGGAGAACATGCTTGAAGGTAAAGCGCATGCGACCTTCCTGGGCAGACTCAATCTAATGCAAAATAGTGGACTGCACGATGCTCACCCCCTACGAAGTTCTCAAAACGTCCGGCCACGTCGAGAAATTCGCCGATTGGATGTGCAAAGATCCCAAGACCGGCGAGATCTTCCGCGCCGACCACTTGGTTGAGGAGGTGCTCGAGGCACGATTGAAAGGTGACAAGGAAGCACGCGGTCTGAAAGTTGAAGTGGAGGAGGAGGACCCCAAGAAGAAAAAGAAGAAGGTCAAGAGCATTGCTGTGGTCAAGCTAGACGATGCAGTGGTTCAGGAATATGAGGAGGTATTGGCAAAGATTGACAACTACGACGGCGAGGAACTTGGCCTTCTGATGAAGAAGTACGATATCCGAAACCCCGCAAACAACAACGAGCTGAACCCACCTGTCGCTTTCAACCTCATGTTCCAAACCTCCATTGGCCCGTCCTCGAACCTTCCCGGCTACCTACGCCCCGAAACCGCGCAAGGCCAATTCCTCAACTTCGCCAAGCTGCTCGAATTCAACCAGCAGCAAATGCCTTTTGCCTCTGCCTCCATCGGTAAATCCTTCCGTAACGAGATTTCCCCACGCGCTGGCCTGCTACGAGTGCGAGAATTCCTGATGGCCGAAATCGAACATTTTGTAGACCCCGAGGGTGGCAAGAAGCACCCATACTTTGAAGAGGTCAAGGATGTCGAGCTCGAGCTGCTCAACCGCGATGTTCAACTTGCGGGTAAGACCAAGGTCGAGACAACCAAGATTGGAAAGGCTGTCGAGACTGGCATCGTTGACAACGAGACTCTCGGTTACTTCCTCGCGCGCATCCAACTCTTCCTTCTCAAGATTGGTGTGGATCCCAAGAAAATCCGCTTTAGGCAGCATATGGCCAACGAGATGGCCCATTACGCCGCGGATTGTTGGGATGCTGAACTGTTGACGTCGTACGGCTGGATCGAGTGCGTTGGCTGTGCTGATCGAAGCGCGTACGATTTGAGTGTGCACATGAAGAAGACTGGCGCACCCCTGGTGGTACGAGAAGCACGGAAAGAGCCCCTCAAGATTGAGGAGTGGCAGTGTGACATTGACAAGAAGAAGTTTGGTCCCAAGTTTAAGAAGGACGGCAAGACCGTGGAAGCTGCCATTGAGGCACTTAGCCAGGATCTGCGTGAGAAGCTATCTCTCGACCTCGAAAAGGAGGGCAAGATTGTCATCGACGTCCCTAGTGTTGGTGATGGCAAAGTGGAGGTACCAAAAGAGCTAATCACGATCGAGAAGCGCACACGAGTAGAAAACGTCAGGGAGTACACTCCCAATGTGATCGAGCCCTCATTCGGAATCGGTCGAATTGTCTATGTAAGACATTGTGATCTTGACGTGCTTAATAGTTTACGCTAATGTTGGTGACAGGCACTTTGCGAACAGTCCTACTGGACCCGTGAGCAGGACGAAGCTCGTGGCATCCTATCATTCCCTCCCACCGTGGCACCAACCAAGGTCCTTATCGTGCCATTGAGCTCACACAGCGACTTCAAGCCTTTTGTGCGGAAATTGAGCAACCGACTCCAAGAACTCGGCATTTCTAGCCGTGTAGACGACTCTGGTGCCTCCATCGGCAAACGATACTCGGTAAGCAGTCCCAACATATACTATTTTTCGTTACTAGGCGCGGTGCTAATTTGCGATGCAGCGAAACGACGAACTTGGTACACCTTTGGGTATCACCATTGATGTGAGTTGTCCTACCACCAGATGTGCAGACCCTAATACTAATACAATGCAGTTCCAATCTGTCAAGGACAACACCTTCACTCTCCGCGATCGCGACTCAACAGAGCAAGTGCGCGCCGGTCTCGATGAAATCGCCTCCGCGATCTCTGGCCTGGTAAACGGTACCGAGCAATGGAAAGATGTGTCGAGCCGCCTACCCAAGTTCGAGGGTCAGGAGGTTGATTGAGCGCTCTGTATCTCGCACACGAACGCGGACTAGGAAGATTATGCTGTTCGGGTGGGAGCATTCCCTGCCCAGATGCCAATGTATTAGATTTGTCAGTTACGTGCCAAAGTTGAGAAAGAAAGGAAACAACACAAAACAAGAAAAGTTTGCATGCATGTTCCATTTCCATTCAGAGACTATATGAAATCAGACCACTATCAGATTAGATCGAATTGGAAGAAATCAGTGCGAAAGGAGAGAGACTTTGGTTCATGAAAATTGCCAGCAGCAGTGCCGATTGTCCACTCTCCTTCACAACAACCCCATTTCCCCTGTCCAATTCGCACCGACCGCGCCTCCCTCCCTCCCTTCTCTCTTCCTTCTCGCAATTTGGAACACCTCATCAATTCCTCACATAGCGGCGTAACGCATGCATGCATGTCTCCCAAAGCAGCGTCTGCAATGCATGTGTGCGGCGGGGTCGGTGTCGGACACTGTTAGGGGGGTGTGGTTCGGTTCCATGATAATTAATTGAATGGTGATCCTACGGACGGAGGTAGGTAGGTAGGCAAGGTGGAAGGGGATCGGTCGGCGACGTGCATACATTCTTACTGTGCCTTGCTCCGCGGCCCCGACGATCCGGGAAGATGGATTGAGATGGGCGACACGAGTTTCTAACCGCGGCTTTGGGTTAATTTGGGGAGGGGGTTTTGGTGAGGGAAGGAAAGGGGGGTGGTAATGCGTGTCAGACGTAACTGATTTGATGTTTCTTTCTTTCTTGTGGAGGGGTATGTTGGTTTGGAGAGATGGGTTCTGTTTAGATACGAGATATTCCTGCTTTGACTGTTCTTCTTTTGTGGTTCCAGCATCTTTTACCTGTGTGGGTTTCGCTGCCTCGGTCGCAATGATTGATTGATTAATTGATTGACTGACGGTGGGACTTTTTCACAGTAAGGTGAGGATGACGATCACAGGTGTGCTCACCACTATTACCCAAATATGTACCTAGTTATAAAACGGACGATTTTTTCGGATCAAGCTGACGCTGATGAAATGAACTGATGATGATGATGAACGATGATGCTTTCTGACTACATGAAGGTGGATACAAATGGGTACCTATGCATCAACTCGCCCCTCAAACCGTCATATGCATCGATACCCAGAGCGAAAATCTTAGGTACATACATATTGAACCTTGCGTCACCTCAAACAAGCATACAATCTGTACAGTACAGTATAGTACACATATCATACATTGGACAAAGGTGGGCTCGGCTACTTCGGTTCGCTTCGGTTCGGGCCAAGGACTTTTTTTTTTTATCTCTACTCTTTCTATGTCTTGGAATTTCTTCTGGGATTACCCCACGGTTGATTGGCGGTTATGGACACGAGATTGCTGCGTCGCGCCCGAGGGAGAAGCGCGAACATGGCAGTGAATTGCAACATATTGTAGGCAAGGTAAGTAGAATCAGACGGGCCGATTCTAGTTCCAGAAGCAAAAATACCTACTGTTTAAGCTTGCTGGACTAACCAACCAACGGCGTTGTGTTTGGAAAAAAGGGTTCAAGGATCAAGTGTAATTTGCAGATCTGTTTCTCACCCCATCCCCTTTCCAAACCAGCGTGTTTCTGCGAGCCGAGGCGAGGACGATGAGGATGCAAAGTCGGCGAGGAGAGGGGTCAAGGGAAGGGTTGGATGGAATCCTGCCTCATACGTATGTGTGTAGGCGCGCCGGTCTGCTTTGGCTGGGCATCGAGTCTAGCCGACCGAGTTGCGAAATGCCACTGGGCGGACACACAGGCCATAGACTCCATGACGGCAGCCATCCACGGCCGACCCGGCAGGCGTCTGTAGGAAAAAGGGGGGTGCCTGGTCCCTTGGAAGCCTGGTTGCTGCTTTGGGGAGCTGTGGTACATGTGTATATGCAGTGCATCATATACATGTAGGTATCAATATTATATAGTAGGCGAAGTCATGAGGCTGGTTCTCCGTCCCACCGTCCGCCTGTGCGGGATGACCAGTGAATTGGACCGTGGTCTGGCCGTGCGCTGCATGCACGTCCTTTTAAGGTTTCGACGCCTCAGGGTTTTTTTGAAAGTAGGATGGACAGGAGTGCCGGGAAAAGAGATTGCCTTGATCCTTTGGTCTCAGACTCTGTACAGACATGTTTGTCTGATCAATTAGTCATTCTCGGAAGAAATGGCACGTCGTGAAATCTGCCCCAGTACGTATGCTGTACGTAGTAAGGATACAGATTGTCTGTACATGCGAACTGTTGGTTCCCATGCGTCTCGATTTGGAGGAGGGGGGGCATGTTCTAGAAAGCCTACGGCATTTTTTTTTCTTCGAGGCTAGACTATGCTCCGTCCGCTTTGTGTGTAGACTAATAATTATCCCGCGTGCACGCCAATCAAGCCATACCTACATGGCCAGTCCATACAGCAGTACATATGCACATGGCCGTCCCTACTTTTACCTAGGTACACGTACATGCACCAGTACCACTGTTGATGTTCACTTCACTCCACACCACACCACCACACACCACCTCCCAACTGCATACCACGCACACGCCCACTGCCGCATCCCCTCACGCCCTCTATCCCCTTTCTACAGTTCCTGCATCTCCCCCTCCTTCTCCCTCGCCTTCGGCCAAACACGGTGCGCACATCGTAGCTACCTCTGTGTCTGTGTGTGTGTGTGTGTGTGTGCAGCGCAGCGTGCAGAACAGAACAAGTGACTGCAGGCCACGCTGTCATATCAGTCCAGTATTATCGCATCCATCTTACACCCATCCATCCATCCAGCCATGCCGATTCCCATGAGCGACACGACGTCTTGCTGAATGAGGCAATACATTCCGCCGGGCCCATTCTCGGACGAATCACGTTCCCTTCCCAGGGACGACAATCATCACATATCCTTGGTGTACCTTTGGGGAAGATCATTTCCCTCTGCCCCCCCCCGTCCCTGCAAACCTTACCTTTATGCTGGGAGCGGGCGTTCGGGACTGACTGAGCTGTCTTCTGCACACTTGCACACGGGCACAAGCAAATAACTCACCCCCCACACCTGCGCCAGAAAGCCACTCAGCCATCCCCAATCCTTCGCCCTTCCCCCCCCCCAAGCAAGCTTAGTAGAGCTATCAGCACATACAGCGCGATAGATTGTCTCATGTTGGTCCGGCGCGGTGGGACTCTTGAGACATCTGTTTTCGTATTCTTGCCCTCCCATTACTCAGTCATCTCTCCTGTCGCAGAGCTGCAGCAGGACGTTGCACCCATTCATCCACCACCCATTCACTCCCTTGCGCGGCGCGAATGTCGTACGCGGCACCAATCACACCATCATCCGTCTGCAAAGTCACTGCAGTGCCCCCTATTCCGTCACGGCCCTCTTGTGCACTGCAAGACATTGAAGCCCCGTCATCGTCCGATATAAAGTGAGCCGACCCAGCGGGTCGACGTTCCAGCTGTCAGTCACCCTCTTCCAGCTTGTCGGGACCATGGAGGAGCCGCCACCACCCGATATTCTGGTCACAGCCGCAACACACAAACGGCCCAGGACCCTCTCGGCCAGTTCCAGCCTCTCCGCCGAATCTCTGTAAGAATCATTTCTCTTCTTTCTGATGCTCTCGTTTTCTCCTCTTCTTCTTGTCCCCATCCTTTGTACTCCGACCGTCTCCCATGGCGACCATATGTGGGTCGGGAGGAAAGGAAGCAAAAAAAAAAAAACACGACCCATCCCGCCTCACCGATGTCGCATGCTCCCATCCATATCCCGGGGCCTGAAGCGCGTTACACGCCTCACTCCTACACACATCCTGTGTAGTGGTTGTCCAAACACCACTAACAAACTTTTTTCCAAAGCCACTCCACGCGCACCCTCCAAAATGAAGATCTCGAATTCGTCTATGAGAATGGACGAGTCTACGGAAACGACAGCTATTTCATGCCCTGTGATGAAGCAGAGCAGGACCGCCTGGCCCTACAACACCAAATCTATCTCCTAGCCCTAAAAGGCAAACTCACCACAACAAAAGTCTCCCATTTCACACGAAGAATCCTGGATCTGGGAACCGGACCAGGCCATTGGGCCGTCGCCATGGCTCAAGAGTACCCCTGGGCCGAAGTCGTCGGCATTGACATGGCCGTATGGGACATCGAAACGACCGAAGAAACCGCCGGCGACGCAGACGTCAAATGGGAACTCGACGATCTCGACGTCTGGGGTGTAGAAGATGAAGTCGACGACCTCACCCTTCAACTCGAACGCGCCCACCTCGCCCGCGACCTAGGCAACCGCGACCCCACCGCCTCTCCCGCCCGCCAGCGCGCAAAAACAAGTCCTTCACAATCCACCACCCAGCCACAGACCCCGTCCGAATCCGCCTACGACCTCTATGTCCTCAATCCAGATGAACAGCCGGGCTGGCACTTCAGCGACACGTACGACTTCATTCACATGCGCGGCATGAAAGGCACCTTTGCGTACTGGGAAGGCGTATACGAAGAAGTCTACAAAAATCTATCTCCGGATGGCTGGATCGAAGTGGTCGACTACCACCTCGAAGTCCCCGTCATCGAAAAAGAAGATGCAGAAAGCTCCGTCGTAGACCGCGACCCTTTCCCCTTTCCCACCCTCGCTCAATTACATCTCTCCCTTTTACAAGCGTCCGTGAAATGCGGGCGCCCTATTGGCACGTACTATATGCATCCGACGTACCTGACGGACGCGGGCTTCAAGGACGTGTCGACTACGTACGTCAATGTCCCTGTTGGGCAGTGGCCTGATGATGAGGAACAGCGTCGTATCGGAAAGTTGTTTCTCGTTTGCGTTATGGAAATGCTCGAGGCGAACGTTTTGCGCTTGCTTACTACTCATGGTGATACCCAGCGCGTGTGGCCTGTGGAAGAGGTGCAGGAGGCCATTGAGCAGAGCAAGCGCGAGATTCTGGAGTGGAACACCAGGATGGACCAGAGGAGAGAGGCGGATGGTAGAGCGGGGACGCAGAAAGGGTGGGAGTGGAAGGCTAGTTATAAGTGGATGACCGGAAGAAAGAGTTGAAGCTTTGTGTCTGGTTGTTTTGGAAGAGAGATGGACGTTTTGCGAAAGAAAGGGGGATCGCTACGCAAGACACATGCTGACGACGCTTTTTTTTCTTTTCTTTCTTTCTTCGTTTCTGGGATGATGGCATGTTTTGGTTTACATATACCTACTGTGTTTGGTTTTTTTTATGAGCGTGCGCGCTTCTTTTCGCCTCCCCCCAAAGGCTCTCCCCCGAAAACCCCCGATGCGGGTGTGGGGGCTGACATGGCAACGGCTAATTTTCTCCCTAAACCACCGACGCGAGCATGGTTAGAAATGAGTATCTCAGCTCCATCAATCTTCATAAAATAACGGCAACTTCTCAGTCTGAGAAATTTAACAATAATGACTGGTTCACAAAGATTCATCAACATCTTTTTTAAACGGAGGAATATGGGAGTTCAACACATCAAAACTCGATTCGCAAGTCAAAATTCGCTTGCTCTTGAACCAAGAAAATGTCACGATGTGACGGATGGCGCCAGCAGCGTTGCATTTCATTACATGTACGAGTATGCACAATCTTAGGCAGAACAGTGCATCCGACAAAACCCGACTTGGGTAGCCATCGTAACACCAATTCCTAGATAAATTTTCAGCTTTCTCTTCGCTCATTCATCTCAGCAACCCAAGTTAAAAAGTAACAAACTCGCGCCCGCACGCGCCCTCGAACCACTTGACCATTTCCTCCCAACACCATCCTCAACCAAATCCACTTGACAACACCCAAAATACAAGAAGAAGCAATGTCAGAAGCCCTCGAAACAACCCTCCTCCTCATCCCGGGAGCCTGGCATCTGCCTTCCTGCTACGAAACCCTAATCACCCATCTAAAAACCACCCACAACCTCTCCAGCACAACTATAACCTTCCCCACCACCTCGGGCGACCCAAACGCCACCTTCTCAGACGACTACAACACCGCCCGCACAACCCTCATCTCGCTCCTCGCCTCCCCAAAAAACGTCGTCGTAATCGCCCACTCCTACGGCGGCATGGTCGCCAGCAGCGCCATCAAAAACCTCACCTCCTCACCCTCCTCCTCCTCCTCCTCCAACGACCCACAGAACCCAAAAGGAAGCGTAACAGGCCTGATCCTCATAACATCAGGCTTCACACTAACAGGCCTAACCTTCATGGACCACACATTCAATATCCCGCCACCAGCCTGGCGCCCCAACCCGCAAACCGGCTTCGCAGACCTCGCGCTCCCACCGACCCACCTCTTCTACCACGACGTTCCGCCCGTCGACGCCGCGCGCGCGGTAGCGCAGCTGCGTCCGCAGAGCTTGAAAGCGCTGTATGAGGGCCGCGACGTGGCGTATGCAGGGTGGAGAGACGTGCCGTGGTGTTTGTACGTTGGCGCCAGCGATGATCGGGCGTTGCCGGTTTTTGTGCAGAGGTTTAGTGTTGGGTTTGCCAGGGGCGTTTTGGGGAGGGCGGGGAGGGGCAGGATTGCGCATGTGGAGATGGAGACGTCGCATTCGCCGTTTTTGAGTCAGGCGGAGGTGCTTGCGTGCGTTGTTGCGAAGGCTGTTGAGGCTGGGGGGAAAGAGGTGGAGTGGGATGGGGAAAAGGGGGTTAGTGTGCCCAGGGTGAGGTTGGGGATGGTTGCGGGTTGGTGGAGGTTTGGTGTGCCGTTGGTGTTGGGGTATTTGATTGGGAAGGTTGTTGTTGTGTGTCAGTGGTTTAGAAGGGTGTTTTGGGGGTGATGAGGGTGGGTCTTGCGAGGCGTAGGCGGGGGGGATTGGGAATCTCTACTCTTTAATTGTGTTTTTGGGCATCAAGGGGTGAGGTGTGTATTCGGTTTCTCTATATCTAGGCAGTATTACTTCCTAAGTCCACCGCATCACGGGTATTCAGACGATGCAGAGCATTGTATCTGAGAGAACAGAAAATAAGACTTTATAACAACACCATTTCTAACGTATATATGTTTGAGGTTGGAGTATCTGGATAATACTTCAGAATTTGAGGGACACTCGATTAGGTTCTTTGTAGTGGAATTTTAATGAATGAATGAATTGTAAGTTGGAGTTTGTGCGATTGTACACACAGCGATAGATTACATAACCATAAATGAACCAGAGAATAGATGATTACCAAACACCTGGAGTTCCTATACATGAGGATGAAAAAAGCCATCTCGTTCCTATCAGTGTGACAGTGTGACATGTCCAAGTCCAGGTGCAGAGCTGTTCTAGATATTAAACAGCGCCTCACGTCCCAGTCTACCCTCTCAACCCAAAGTAACAATCACCGCGCTTGCATCCGGCACTTCAACAGTAAGTCTCCCATCCCCACCAACCTCCAAAACCTCAATATCAGTCACGTTCTCCAACCTCACAGCTCGCCCCTCGTCCAACTCCAAATTATAAGAAAACCCACCATACGTGACCCCAGAATACTGATCCGTTCCATCAGCAATCAATCTCTTCACCCTCGCTTCTTTCACACCCCCTTCGATCATAAAGTCGTATTTCTGAACCGGTCGCTGCTCGGGAGTGCCAGTAGCATTCCACTGTCTCAGATTCACCACAGCCAACCTCTTCGCAACCCCATCAATATAAGCGGCATAAACAGCTTCTTCCTCTCTTTCCGTAGTGTTCCGCGCCGCCAAATCGAGCTCTACCACTTTCAACTCGCCAGCCGCTCTCCCGACAAAATCCGCCGTAGCCATATTCCCGTAAAACGCCGGCTTCGTGGCCCGCACGCTGCGGTTCGTCTCAATAGGCTGCCAGGACCCGTATCGGTAGTTGACCCCCTGATGCATATGGATCCGCTGCACACCGATACTCGCAGCGTGCAACGCGAAATCAAGGTTCCAGAGCGCAGCGCCAAAGGTATCGGACACGAGGGGAAGGCCTTGTCTAGCTAGCGAGTTTGTTTCCGTGAGCATGAAGGGTGTTTGCGGGGGTAGTGAGATGGCGTTCATGATGTCTGCGCTTTTAGCGAGGGATGAGGTCGTGTGAGTGTGGTTTAGGAGGGAGGAGCGGAGTGTTAGGCCTGGGTCTGTTGATACGCCAACGTAACTGATGGCCACTTTTAGCGGGATTGCAGGAGCGGCGGGAGATAGACGGGAAGAATGAACTTACTTATGCTGAGCGAAAGAGTAAATGTCGGGATCATTGTTGAAACCCGCCTGCCATGCTTTGATGGGGTCCATGAATTTAAAAGGGATGGCGAAGGATGGGGCGAGGTATTGCACTGGTTGTGGAGAAGGACAGTTTTCTTTGAAAGCTGTGGTAAGTGCTTCTTTGCCCTCGCGCCAATTCGGGTAGATGGATTCTTCGTTCCAGCTTTCAGGCCGTTCGCCGATGAAGCCGTACATGTCGGGTTCGTTTCCGTATTCCCAAGCTAAAGCGCGATCTCCTAGAGCCTTGCATGCTGTAATGGCGTGTTCCAGGACTTGTTCTAAACAAGAAGCGCAAGTGCCGCCGACTGCAAAGTTGAAGCCATGGATGGCGGTGCTGTTTGGAAAGTTGTCATAGGACTCGAAAAAGGCAGGGCCTATCTCGACTTTTGCTGGGTAGTCCAGTGAGACTTCGTCATCGTATGTGTTGATGATAGCCTGTGACTGATTCGAGTAGAAGAACGTCTTATCCTGCGTGTTGCCTCCCACGCGGAGAATTGGCGCTGAACCTTGAAGCTCGGCGAGACTAGCTAGCAGATTGATGCTGAAGTTGTTGGGGCTTGAGGCATTGCCTAAGACTAGATTTAGTTCTGTGATGGCAGCAAGAGTGAGAGTACATACCTGCGAAGTCTGGAAAGAAACCGAATTCGAAAGAGTAGCTAAGATACGATTCTGGCAGGGCAACCGCGGTTGTATCATCCAAAGACTTTGGTAATACGATTGCTGAGTCTCTTGGTATAGCATGCGCATTGGTAATTTGAATTAAGCACGTGACTAGTACTGGTAACAACTGAGAGGGAAACATGTTGAGAGAAGTTTCAGCGCATGAATTGGCCGAGCGGACAACGAAGTCTTCGATCTTCAATACTAGAAAGAATATATTGGTTGATGCGCCTACTCGTATTTATATATATATGCACGGCTATTAATGGTAATCGTAATAACACTGCCGTTATTCACTGCCAGATCATCGCACTGCTAAGCACTTTTGTGCTGGGCCGAACCCGTCGGGCTTTGCACTTGAAGAGCATGTGAATACTCCAAATCGCGCTATAATTTGCACTGTTGGTATAAATGCCACACATAACTTCTCAATCTTCAAATAGTTCGCCTCCATTCAACCACTATGTCCATTCTCCTTGCACTGCCCACTTGCAATGTTTCTCCACCGCTCAAGCCTCCAAAACAACTGATATCCTCATTCCTCCCATCAACACATTCCAAACCATCGGCAACTGTCCGCTTGCAAAAAAAATCCTATCGGCTTTTGAATGGATAAATTGGGGGATAGCATTTCAAAAGTTGCATCCACCCATGACGATCTGGTCGGCTACCCCGCATTCACGATTCAAGCCATCCCCAGGAATCCTTGTGATAGCCCAGATCTAAACGTCTCTGTACGGGGGGGGGGGGGGGGGGGGGGAATCCTCATCGGGTATCCAGACCCGCGCAACAACTTCCTTTATAGTACAATTCTTTCTCCCGTGTGGGGTTACGCTACTTTCGGCCGATATATCTCCACACTCCGCGTTCGGCTCCCAAACAAGAGATAAATCTGGGGAAAGGAATGGGGGACGTCTGTGGGGGGAGATGACGTTAAAATCGATACAGGAAAGTATCAGGCCATTTTGGGTGGGCTTTTTATTGGACAAACGTGAGCGGAGATCCAGTTGTGGTTGAACTGATATGGCGTCCGAATGATCACTGGCGAATGAGAGCTGATACGGAATGGCTTGTATTTTTCCCTCGTATGCGTCTATGCTTATGGTACTCTAATGATTCGGGATGTCGCTAGTTCTTTGCGTTCTTCACGAGATGAAGATAGGTTTTAATCGCTCGACGGAGTATACCAGTATACAAGAGATATTCAAAGATAAAAAAAATCACCTTGTATGGTATACTGATGTCCCTCACGCCTCCATGCTCCAGTTCTGCAGAAGCTCGCCCTGTTTTTTTACGACTATTCTCGTACATGGACTTACACGAGCTGCTTTGTTCATCTTTGTTTCAACCATCTGCTTAAATGCTGGTACTCGGAACAACATGGCCCAGGTTTCGGGAAGCTAACCATGTCCTTCAGCCCTACCGCGTGGTACAAACTTACATCTTGTCATTTACACTACTAAACTCAAACTTAATAGCTAGGTAGCTAGAGATGCATACTTGTTCTATCACGTGTTGACGCGTTCATTTTGGCAATACAACAACGCGTCTCGCGACGGAACATCGGCCAACGAGGGGTGCATGTTTATCTTTTCAAATACATACAAGCCCACAATGCCGGATTTTCCAACCTATAAGATCTGTGGCTGCAACACTGCAAAACTCTGCGGTGATTGTCGCTCAGCAGCTTATCACTCGACTGAGTGCCAGCAAATTGATTGAGACACCCATCGATACCTCTGTCGTGCTTTTAGCAAGCTCGACCCTCGCCCCTCTCCATCTCACTGATTACTATTTTCTTCCTCTATGATCGACCGCTCCGGCAATCCGCCGGAATTTTGCTGGCTTCCGACGAGGAAGATTGAACCTGGATTTTTTGATCCAGTGCTTGATCAAGTCCTCGCATTTCCCGGCCATAAGGTGGCGCCGTTTAGAGATCTCCAGATTGTAAGAGGCAGCAATATCCTGAGAGGTAAGGCCGAAATTTCCTGATTAGTTCGATATTGGCTATGTGGAAGCAAAATACTCCAGAGAGAATGGATGTGTGGTCAATGAGACACTTCACGGAGGCCATCACGCTGTTTGTGCACGTGGCCGGGGAAATATATTCTGGCGAGGATCAATCCTTAGGTACCGAATAGCCAACAATAACTCTAATGCACGCAAAATAAAAAATATGCATCTGACAGCATATCGTGCCGCTATCGATTATCTGGGTTACTTCCTCTAGACGATCGGCAGTGTGATTCGATTTCCAAGGCTCGAAGGCGGTACTCAGTAGGCGGGTCATAGAGGATAAATGTAGTAGATTACAGTAGACTGCAGTAGATAGTGATTCGCAGAAACTAATCTTCTATTATCGCTCTTATATACCCATATAGCCTTCTAGCAATGAATCTTTAATGAAGAAGTGTATGCAGCAATAAGCTAGCAAAAGCAACACTGAAGGTAGTTAGACAACAGTAGTAAACATGAAGCTTGCTCTCATGACCGTTGCAGAAGCTCTCTGATTTGAGATGCTTCAGCATCTCGCAATATCGTAATTAGATCACGCCTAGCGTCCCGCTCCCACCGCTGTGCTGGGAGATACAATGCCTGTGCTGGAGTCTGTAACATGCGATTCACAACGATTGCAGAAGCTCTAGATGTCAGCAGAAATTTGACACATTCCAATCTCTGGGGATGCAACCACTTCTGTCGTTTCTCAGCATTTGACCAGCTTTTAGCAGCCAGGTGCAGTGGGGTGTTGCCTTCGTGGTCAGAATCGCGTACTGATGCCCTGTCCTTGCTAATCAATAGCTTCACAATGTCGAACATTGCTTCACTCGCAGTCCAGTGTAGTGGTGTTCTCCCCTTGTTGTCAGTGATGCGGGCGTCCGCACCAAAGTCGAGCATCAGTGCAGACAGCTCTAGCAGATATGGAGGAGGACCTGCCCAAGTAGACCACGGTGTTCTGCATATGCGTGAGAGCGGGCTAACACCCGCATCAATGCCTGCCTCAGATATGTGGTTGACGTCAAACTTGAAGTGTGTTAAGAGTCTGCGTAGACTCGAAGAGTATTTATTCCCTTGGTGCTCGCTGACGTTGGGTTGACATGCAGTGAACACGTGGATGGAAAACAGGGTGTTTCCATTATTGTCCCGCAAGTCGCTGGGATCAACAGAACGAAGCGAGGAGAAGTGCTGAAGGAACCGCAAGTGCAGCTCAAGGTGACACCTTGTGTAGAGTTGAAAGTGAGGTTTTTGACCAGATAGATCACTCAAGTTGAGGTCGGCGCCGTTCAAGATAAGAATGGTGATGAGTGGGAAGAAGTGACCTGAGGACGACAGATGGTGCATAGGAGTTCTCTGCTGAGCATCAATACTGTTGACGTCAGCCCCATACCGGAGCAATGCAGTGATTATTAAACCCATCTCCATATATTTCGGCGTCGAGCTCCAGCCGTCTCTGTCACAGTGAAGGCGGCACACCGTCTGACAGAGTAGGTGAAGCGGCGTGTTGTTTTGCCGGTCTTTCCCGTTAGCATCAACTCCTGCGGCAAGTAGAAAATTGAAAGCTCTCAAATTTGGGGATTTGGACGCGGAGATACCATGTAATGGATTTCGAGAAGAATTTGGCCGAGGAAGAATCGGCCTTAGATTTTCCGGAGTTGTTATCTTTTTAATGAGCCGAGACAAAACGTGGAGGCATTGTTCACTCCATTCGTCCACAGACGCACACAGGCAGTCAATTGGTGTTTCAAGATTCCCGTCACGGAGGTTGGGATCAGCCCCCATGTCAAGAAGCTTTTCAATAAGCACGAAATCTTTACGCCGACAAGCTTCAAATAACGGGTTGGGACAGTCTTGATTGATTGTGGCTTTTGCCTCGTCGCTTGTAACCAATCCACGGATTTGTAATCGCTCGCAGCAAATTATCCAGGCATTCACGAGTATTTGCTTAGTCATGCCTATACTTCTCATGATGTCTGGGTCTACGAACAAGCTGTTAATGAGTCCGGAATACACTATGTGGGAGGCATCTCGAGGAGAATTACGTCCACTCTTTATATGACGCAGCACCAAGTCTTCAAGACCGCGAGTTGCTCGATGTAGGCATATGAGTATGAACACGGCGGCCGCAGTCATTTTACAATGGGAGCTTTCCAGACTTGGAATGATCAGAGTATTCAGACTGGATGCCTCTGCACAGAATCCGATGAAGTTTGCGTTACGCCTTAGATCCGGACGCAACAGCACAATACGGTCCCAAGCCTGAAGCAACGTCTCTGCCAACCATCGAATATCATGGCATTGCAAATCTTCAGTACTTGCATGAACAAATATGTCGCTCGTAGCATACTCTAGGAGTGCAAAAACGTCTCCTTCAATCCTCGTCGATTTGGCGCCTGTTTCCAGGGAAGTATTCACCGAATTATTATCTGCATACAGCTCATTGGCGTATGTGTTAAATCCGCTCTCGACCGAATGCAGCTCTTCTGCGTGAGCAGAGCGGGTTGCCTCGTTCGGCCCATCTTCCATGATAGTACCTCTCGTGCGGAATGGCAGGCTTATTGTTCTATGTGACGACGATTGATGATCGCCGAATGCCGGCTCCCCTGCAAGGGAAAGCCAGCTGGCGATCCTGCTAGTATGATCGATGGACAATCGCCGTTGTAGTACAAGATCTGCAAGGCCTTCAATATGTCCTGTCTCACGCTCGAATGGAGCCATGGGCAGCCCTGGCTTGTGTGCTTCATCCGACAGTTTGTTAAACGATGCTGCGGAGGCGTATAACGGATACTCATCTGGCTCTTGGATGCCCCAATCACCTCCATAGTTAATGGATGATAGACCTTGGCGGCGCTTTGCCCAACGGTCAAGCTCCGAGATGTGAAGATAATGAATGCAGTTGTTGATGATGGTTGTATGCCCTTCGATCTTTGCAAGCTCCGTGCTCCGTAATGCGGGCGCGAGAATTAAAAATCCGGTCTTGTGAAAGAATTCACGGACTGTCTCATGGATCAAGTAAACTCTTCTGCTCTCTCCGCTGTGCAAGGTTGCCGACCCGGCTGTAGCGCATTGCGTCGATTCGACCTCTTCCGCATTGGTTTCAGTAGCCTGCGAGACCTCGACTAGCCCCCTTGACACTCGCTTGATCCATTTCTCTAACGTACTGCCAGCTACTGCTTCGCCAGCGTTTCTCGGGAATTCTTTGGACTCAGTCCACACTTTCATAGATTTTGGAGGGACTTCTTGTATCAGACCAACTACCGCGTACCATTCCCGAAGTTGCAGAGGTCTGTTACTGAAGATCATCCAATAGAAGAATCGTATAGCTATTCTCCGCTCTTCTTCGGAATCATTCATGGTGGAGAGGATGTTCTTGTAGATTATTTCAAGGTCGAGTGGCAGCCATGCGAAGCGATCCTTGATCCAATCAATGGTTCTTCCCTGGTCCCAATATCTCAACGATAGGTCCATAACAAGCTTTACCCAAAGAAATATACCAGAAGCTCGAGACAGGATTTCAGCCGTTACACTTTCGAGCTTTGCTTCTACAACTGTGGCGCCGTGATTCTCGAATCGTAATTTGACGTAAGTTGCAATGGCTTCCCCGTTCAACTGGTCGAGGACAACCTCGCACAACCCATCACCAACCGTGAAGAACGTTCTACATGAGACGCAGATTCTCAAAATGACACCATGATTTTTCGCTATCGCCAAGATGCTCCGAAAGAAGGAAAAGACATCTCGAGCCTCCTGCGATGCATCGTCGTCACCGTCTGAAGTCGAACACTCATCTAGAGCGTCGATGAAGATAAACGTGCGTCGAGTCAGTCGCGATGAGAAAACTCTTTCAAGAAAGGTCTGAAGATCTGCTTCATGCCATTGATACGCGGTCATGCCTTGGTCTTCCTCTTCAGCTGTGTCTTGTGATTTTTCGCTCCAGAGCTTAATGAGTTCTGTTCGCACGCTTGTGTCATTCTTCGCAAGTTGGTAAACTAACGAACGAAGCATCCCAATAGTACTTCGGTGCAGCGTGCCCACCGAAGGTCTGCTCTCCTTGCTGTTGAAGTAGAATGAGGCGACCGATATAGACTTTTGGTCCTGCGCATGCATCATTGCTGACTTCAACGCAGTTGATTTTCCCGATCCTGGTTTTCCTTTGATGAAAAGTAAGTCGTGGCTCACGAGATTTTCTTGACTGAACCATGATTTGTATGCATCCAGTTGTCTCAGCCACGCCGTCGTTTCAGTGGGTGAAAATATCGCGTTCATGCGACCGTGTACATCATCGAATAACAGCGACTTCTTAAGGCGGGTAGGCATAACCGTGTTCGACTACAATGGTTGTCAGCGACCCGTTTGCTGCTTGTAGCTAATCTATTTCTCCCAATACCGTATTCATCAGTGGGACACCATGTTCTTTGGCCTTTGCATCCTCCAGCGGCGGCAACTGTGCTAGAACTGACTTCGCGTATGCTGCAGCCTTCGCCGCAGCATGGGGCTGCCACTGATCGTTCTTCTTCTGATCACCGTAATCGCACACGCCTCTGATCATGGCTGCAGGCACTACCGCATTAGTCCCCGCTCCTTCCATTTCGAGACCGATGATATTGAACTTATCCCGTAATTCGTCCCGTTTCATTCCATTTTTCAGAAGCCTATCCCCTGATCCGATGGGCCCGTACCAGACTCTGGTTCGTTTAGCCGACTCACGTGGCTCCCGGGGCACCTCGCAGCCATCCGCGCCATACAGCTTATCTTCGCCCTGACCTGGGTCGGGTGACCTGGGTCGGGAAAATCCGCCTCATCGAACCTTTTCAAGAGATTCAGATAGTGGGTAGGAGATTTGACGTTGGTGAACTTCGCTTTCGTGATTGCTGCCATCAAGATTTGCTTGGGTGGGTGTAGGACATGCCCTGATCGAAGTTGCTGCAGGCCAGCCTCCGTCTCTTTTCCTTGCCCATAATGAACGATTGCTGGCGTTCCGCCACTGGGAGCAGCGACAAGAATATCGCCAAGTCGGATGTCGCGAGTTGGATTTTGTGACAGGTCGGGTAAGCCAGCCGCGATTCCAACGAGAAATACGAGCCATAGATTGGTGAAGAAGTGTTCGACTTGGGAGACGAGCGCAGCAGCACTGTTGATGCCGTAGAGTGTGCCTTCTGGTAACGAAGCGATGGCGACATTGTGGCCACACATTCGACCTGCGAAGTATACATAGTTGTCGCCACGTCTAACAGGAAAGTTTTCGTTGGATTGCTCGTCTAACATTTCCAGAGCTGCTTGAAGTTCAATTTCCAGAGGTGTGATCCACACCACCTGGTAGTCTGCTGGGTTTAAGACCATGGCAGCGGTGAACAAGGCCTTAATGCCTTGTGTAACTGGGATCCAGATGGCTATTGGCCGCGAATCGAAATATGTAAAAACGCTGGCGCCTGGGATGGCAAAATATCGGAAAGCCAGCGATTCTTCAGATCATCATCTGGACTAGCTCTTGGTAGAAAGTGATTTTTCAAGTGTGTTACGCCACACCTAAAGCGTGATCATCATTATCAGATAAAGCCCGGGCGTCCTTCACAAAAATCACGTGGCGGACAGAAAGATACATGAGATAAGTCGTAGTTTGCGCGATGTGCACGAGTGAAATGTCTACAGAGGTAGACAGTGAGACGGCGTCCTGTATTAAACAACTATCACTCACCGGAACTCGCGTCTTTCCGTTGCCACTTCACGGGTTTGAAGCCAATGAGAAGCTGCGCTCAGCCTGCACTTGCCCTCACATGCCCTATTCCATGGGCGGGTAGATGCAGGGATGAGGCGATGAACTGTCGACCAAATGACACATTCTGCAGTGAGCGGAAGCGCTTCGTATTCAAACCCAATCAAGTCCCATAGTCCCTTGATTCCTTTTCTCGTGGGGCCAAAAGATTGTCACATGTCCAATCTGGCACTGAGCTGTCAGCGTTGGGCCACTAGAAGATGCGTGATAGGCTGCACAATCAGCAGTTTCGAGTCTTGAAAGTCGTAAGATGGTCCACTGGATATTGTGCGAGAGCTTGACGAGACGTGGGTCATGAAAGGCTATAGCAGCACGAAATAAGCGGCCGTCGATGCTGAGGGCGACCGTAATCCATATGCGTATATGCTGCTGATAAGCATGTCTGAATACCATTTGAAGAGCAGGAAAAGGGCCAAGATCCTGGAGTGGCGGCAACCGCTGCTATAGAACAACATGTGGCGTCGCTGCTCAGCGTACCTAACATTGAGAGAGAGAGAGAGGAATTATTGGGTGGTCTGTCCGAGAATGTGATTCAGAGATACATGTTGCATTGTCTGACATTTCTTTAAATACATCGGTCCTAATTCTTTTTGGGTCAGAATAAGTCGAAGATCAACTACGGGTAGATGATTTCAACAAATTTATCTGAGAGAAGATCTCGTCCAACTCTAACGGCGTAAGGTAATAATTGGTATAGAATACGATAGATTCAATAAAGCAAAGAAGCATAGGGTATCCCATGAACTAGGCCGATAATACTCAACTTTTCTCTTGGTGTGAGAGCAGAGCATGCTCTCATACAGTTGATTGAACGGCGACATGACTTCCATACCTTATTATTCGAAATTGTTATCGTCACATATTCGCATTTTCCGATTGATTCCGTCATTTCTTCTTTCCCTTGGTCTTATCCAAAACCTCCACCCAGTTTCGGTTGACGCCTCTCTTTTCCAGAGCCTTGATAATGGCATCTGATTGTGGCCCCTGTACCATGACTTCCATGACCGGATTCTTTGGACTGCTGCCCTGAAGCTGATCCACACTTGTGCTACCAGCGCACGTCTTCTTGAGTTCGTCCGCTAGCGGTTGCGGCGCAATATAATAGACTTCGAGTCCGCTGACTCGTGTAACCGTCTTAGAGCCGCTACGCTTCTCCATGGTAATGTGTACCTTGGGTGGCGCTCCTGCTTTTGGCTTCGACTCGGAAATACGAGCATCGTTGCGGAGGATCGTATGGAAAGGCGACGAGGCGGCCACCATCCGTTCAGCAAGCGCGTCGCGGGCTATAGATCCAGATGCAAGTGCCGCGTTGTCTGCAGCCGATGATCCGAGAAGTGCATCAGCAAGTTGTGGGTTGATATTGATGAGACGCTTATTTTTAGGAGATACCAGGTTCTCCGCCTCGATGTATGTGGTCAAGATTTGCTTGAGCTCTGATGGTGTATAAAGTCCCCGCGGGTCTGATTTTGTGGCGACCAGAATCGGCGCAGCCTTCTCCTTGGGCCGGAGCAAAGATAGCACTTTGAGTTTTTGACCCACTGAGGACTCAGCAGCTAGGGGTGCTGCTGGTTTGCCATTCACAGTTGATGAAGTGGGGTCATCCTTTTTGGGCAGTCGATAGGGTACAAAGGCCTCGACTTGACGGTCTTTGAAGTCGATATCGAGAATTACTACTTCATTGCCGTTTTGATCCTTGGACTTGATGATTTTTTGTTTGTCAAGATATTTTATGAATTTCCGGATATTTTTCCAACTTGTCTTCTTGATCTGCAATGAGGCGGTTCTGGAGGCGGTGTATGTCGGTAAGAAGGGCTGTACCAGAAGGGACATGACCTTGGACTGTGACAGAGGGAATTCGAGACCGTGGGAAGGGTGGTTTCTATGGTGCTCCATGTGATATCGTACTCCAAAAAGGAAAGCGTTTCGGAAAGCGTCATCGATTTCTAGGTGGTTGTCAGACCTTTGTCCGCAGAGTTTGACCTAATGGCCTACCTTTTTGTGACAACTCTTGTTCATCCACCATCTCAGCAGAGTCCTTTAGTGAAGGCGGGTCTTCGCCTTCAAGCCCTTGCGCCTTTTCCGCATCTGATCTCTCTGCTGGCGAGTTGTCGAGGGTTATCCCGCCATCTTCGTTCTCCAGATTCAAAGTTTCAGTCTGGGACGCAAGTGCTCCAACCTGGTCCTTCGCGTCATTCCAGCCTTCGATATGTTGGGGTGGATTAATTCCGGACTTGCTTTCCGAACTCCATGCCCAAAGCTCATCCCCTGCCCAGTGGAAGGTAGAAACGGCATGACCCTTCATTCCTTGTACGTTGTCCAACGAGCTGACGTCGATTTCGCAAGTACCGACCGCCATCGGAACTGTCGGTGATTCCAGAGACGCAACAGCCACTATAGCGCCTTTTGTTGCCCTGACTGGGAAAGGAGGACCGCGTTGCAGACCGGGGGTCATGAGGTCTGCACCGCCCTGGAGTTTCTCGACGACGAATTGTGGGGTGTAGAGGAGCGGTAGGATACGAGGATTGTGCCATAAGGTATAGACTACTCGAGGGTAAGTAAAAAGAGACGAGAGAATAGTTGATACTCGACTGACCTGTAGGATACATTTTATCGTTGTATTTGACCCATAATATGCGGGATTCGTTGTTGGTGCCTTCGTGACTGCCCACGTATACAGTGCCCGAGACCTGCTTCAGATCTGGTCCTGCAGTAGTGGTGAAGCGTGCCGACAATGCATTTTCGGGCAAGAGGGACTTTCGCAGGGCTGTTAGAGCAGGTGTAGGAGCCGTCTTGTTCTCTGGGTTGTCGGAGCTTTCATCAACGGGCACCTCGATGCCGAATTCTGAGATGATCTGGTCGGCGGTCCTCCGGCGATCCGACGACTTCAGCGGGCTGAGAGGTTTGATGTTGGGTCTCTTTTTGAACATGACGACCAAAGGCGCGTAGATGGCGAGAGAAATTTGTGGTTGAAATAACCTATGCAGGTGAGTAGAGTGATGGAAGGGTACCTGATGACCTCAGCGGGGGAGAGGTGGGAGCTAGTGCGGGGCTTTCTATCTGTTCTATGACTGCGACAGCATCACAACTCATTGTGAGTCTGAGTGATGCAACTACCAGTCATTTTCTTCATACTTCATTTTCATATGACTGGCTTCATGTTATTACCAGTCTTTCATTTGTCTTTTAGCTGATGACTTGATAGTACATAATGTTCTAGCCGTGGAAGTTAGTAGTTGGTTTCAGGTACAGGGCAGCCTACACCCTCAGCACACGTTACAATGACAGATGGGGTGCTCGTGTCTATCTGATGCACTGTCCAGTGCACATGCCAACTTGTGTTCCTATTGCAAATAATTCATGTATCAGTGTAGCAACACAAAAATGCAGGATATTGAGGCTGCCGTCGTAGATGAGAGGCACCCATGGAGCTAGCTAGTGAGCAAATAATAGGCCGCGGTTCAAGACACTCAACGCGTCGTCGCGAACGGACCTTTACTGACGCGCCGCCGTGATTATATTGCCCAAGTACCACATAACCTTACCCGCTCATATCTGCATTATATCAACATCTCTATCGAACAAGTCAAACCATAACAAGAACATACATACATCACAGTCGCAATCTCCAGACATGGCCGAAGAAATCCACATGGACACACAGGAACAGGCCTTGGAGACACCGCCGTCAGACGTCTTCGTCGCACCCTCCATCGACAGATCCCGTCTGCTCGACGGCCAATCGTATTCCCATTTTTCGCCTTTGCCATCACTCGTTGCCGATGACCAGACAACCGAATGCGTTCTCGGTGTCGACGAGGCTGGCAGAGGGCCTGTGCTAGGTACGTATCTACTGTGTACATACCCGGGCAATGGATGATGATTGAATGCCTCTCTCCACAATTCTACACGCGCTCACTCACGCGAGCAGGTCCGATGGTCTATGCACTGCTGTACTTGCCTCTGGAGATGCACCGATCTTTGCTGGCCGAAACCCATCATTTTGATGACTCCAAAGTCTTGACCCCTCAGGTCCGCTCTGACCTCATGCGCAAGCTTTGCACAAAGGACACGGATTTGTACAACTCGTGTGGCTGGGCAACGAGGCTGCTATCGGGCCGCGATATTGGTGCACACATGCTGCAGCCGGCCCAGTACAACCTCAATGCCCAAGCAATGGATGCGACCATTGACTTGATTAAAGGTGTCCTTGCTCAAGGCGTCAACGTCAAGGAAATATACATTGATACCATTGGCAAACCCGAAGTGTATCAGAAGAAGCTGGAAAGAATATGGCCTACAATCCGTATTACAGTCGCGAAAAAGGCCGACAGCTTGTATCCCGTTGTTAGTGCTGCGTCAGTGTGTGCCAAGGTCACCCGCGACGCTGCCCTCGAAACATGCTGGGAAGCTCATCAAACCCCGAGGGACGGAGCCGCAACAAAAGCTGCGGTGCCTACGTGGGGCTCTGGGTACCCGTCCGACGCTAGGACGGTTACCTGGCTCAAACAAAACATGGACCCAGTATTCGGATGGGGCAATGAATGTCGCTTCTCGTGGGGAACGGCGAAGCAGGAGTTGGAGGTCAAGAACAAAAGCATCTCGGTTGACTGGCCGGTGGAGGATGACACGAACGGCGCTCTGCGGATCACCAACCACTTCATTTCAAGAAGCGACCAACCTGGAGACGAACTGGTGGACTGGTTTGGTAACCGCGTCACCATGGAGATGGAAGCCTTCTAATCTCAAAGTAAAGAAAAACTTGGAAAATGGCACCGGCTTGGTGAGATTGCTCTTTTAGTTATAGGCTTGTGCTCCGGCACCGCACGTCAGAGAGTAATCAAGAGATCGGGAATTGTTCGAGGCTCGTGACCTGGTGCGTACTGTCTCCAAGGATACGAAATGCTCACTGTTGCCACCCAATCCGGAGCTAAGAAATGACATGGCGACCGTGCCCACCTACATGTCCGACGCTATGACCAAACGCCAACAGAGCGCCAGATCCCCCAGATCTTGACAGGCTGGAATAGTCCTTCGGGTAGCGAATGGTGTGCTCGGGTCTGTTCCTTTAAATAAGGCAGTCACTGGAGTGCTGCGGTCATGGTACATCATCCCTCTCGTCCCTCCGCTCCCCTGTAAATATATACCCTTCATCTAGCGACTTCTAGCCACCCACTTGTCTTGGTATCACGAATTACTATCTTCTGCAATAGACTCTGTTCATTGTCCTGAAGAGACAACCAACACTAGGCTTTCCCTTTCTCGAAGCACAGTCATCACCATGTGCATTGCCGTTCCGGTCGACCACACGCGGTGTAATCACACCATCGCCCTTTGGCAACATTGTGCAAATGCATTGAGGTCGCTTTCTGGATTGAAGCCATGCTCCCGCGTTCGACAACATACCCGCCCGATTCTCATAAGGAAGCTTTGCGTTCACTGCGGCGGCCCAAGACACTTTACTCGAAGAGGAGGCATAGCTGCACGCGGCACCGGAAGCAATACCATGCCGAAGAAGGTGGAATGGGCCTCACCGTACGATTCGGGCTACGCCAGCGATGTTATACTTGAAGAGGAAGAGGAGGACTATGATTCCGATGAAACGCTCTCCCCGCGTGCTCGCAAAGTGCCCTCGAGAAGCTGGCCCTCGGTATCGAGACAAAGCTCTTCGAGTACTCATCGGTCGCAAAAGCAAGAATCAAGCTGGAGCCCAAACCTTAAGCGCGAGCTCACCCGCCGTGATTCCATCAGCTCCGGCATGTCAAGAGAGGACGACGATGCGGAATCACTGTACTGTTCGCAGTCTCCCGACGACGCCGGTCAACTGGATCGCTCGACATCCCCAATATCACGAAAGTCTACACCGGACCGAAAGAACTCTACACTTTTACATCCATCCTCGCCTGTCGAGTCCTTCACTGATGAACAATATACACGCGATGTCACCATGGGAGCAACATCCATGGACCACGATATGCATATATCAGACAAGCACCCGCGAGTGACCATCATCTCGATATCCGAACCCATCACTCCGCAACCCAGCCACATGTCAAAGACACCATTGCTCCTTCGACCTCGTGTGCCTCCACGAAAGCCAAGTACACTTCTGCATCCTTCGGTACCCAGCGACGAGGTTTCAGCGGTGCCTTCTGTATCGACACTCTCCCTACAGGATCCGGAAACAGGGTATCCGTTCCCAGTCTTCACACAGACGCCGCCTACGCCGCTGCCCACAGACACAAAGTTCCAGCGACGAGTATCAGTCCTACACTCGGCGCTCTCGGAGGATGAGTGGGAAGAACCACTCCACTCCAGCCAATCTGACGTAGAGTCCGAGTGCGAAGATGACTACGAGAGCGATACGGACATTGGGCTTCCCAATAGTCAGAACGCCAACGAGGCCATTGCTGTGGCGAAGTCGGGGCGTAAGGCGCGCGCAAGTCGCATCTCATTCCACGGACAGCACCTCCGAATCGTGGTGGATTGAGCCCACGATGACCACGACGCTAAGGCATCGGGTCTCGTCAAGCTTCATCTAGCGTTTGGTTCACCACGAGGACATCACGACAAGTGAGCCAAAAATGGGCATCCGAGCTGCGCTAGCCATGCGCGCGAGGCCAAAACCGAGGCTAGCCCCCAGCGAATCATGGCGCGACCGTCGTGGCGGATCCTAGTCAGAATCCTTCGGTATTCTAGCGAACTCCGACGCTCCTCACGTCCCTTTCTCCTCTTTCGTTGGTCAATTACGCGGCTTTTGGTGACATGTGCACTGGATAAGAGGGCCATTTTGGCGGTCTATCGGGTTCCGCTGTGCAGTTTGCAGCAGATAAGGCCTTTTCCACCTCCGTTTTGGCCCACTCCCTCACTCCACTATACGCATACTGCGGCCTTTCCACCACCAAACTTGCTTCCCTTCGGGGTTTCTTCTTTTTGATGATAGCGACTTTAGCGACGGCGTCATCCTTTTTTTTCTTCATGGGTCTTTCTTTTCGGCCTCCCTTTTCCCTTCTTTGTACATAGTCTGCGAGGAGAAAAAAATACCGTGTATATATATATATCAAAACCTGTTCATACCACTCCAATCTCGTCTACCTTGGTGCCCTCGATAACCATTCGCTGATGTTCGCCTACCCTTGTGTTTCGTGGCTCTTCATCACAGCGCCTGCGTGGCACTTTTTGAATCAAAACTGGAATGAATAACCGGATAATCCTCCAATTCAAGCAATACTTTCACAGTCAATCAGATGTTCCCGTAGGAACCCTGAAACTCTGACACCGATAGCCACCCCACGTAAACAGGTAAACCAAGCGCTGATCCAATAACGTACGTACATAATCATGTACATCATGCTACATACTGGGTACTTCGAGCGGGACGATCTTTCCTCCGCTGCGGGATGTATCCATCATGTCACTCGTGCCGTGGTAGGATACTGAACAACACATGCCGCATCTGAGCTCTGCGTATTCCACACGCAATGCACCAATAGAGTAGGGAATTCGAGATCCGCTTTGGCCCCAAAAGCAGTAACAATCCCTCATACCTCACAATCGTACATCATCGATAAAGGACAATCGCTCAGGCATACCCTTCGTAAGCAGCGAAAATCGACCAGTCGAGCGAGCGAGGTGATGTCTTGTTTCGGAGTAAGAGAAAACAAAACGTACATACATGCATACATGCATGCATATACACACCTAGATACATAACACACCGCTACGCTACCTCCGGTGCCGGGTGCATACATACCGTCGACATACATGCATACGTTGATGTACCCAGGATAAAATCGACAAGGGTACAATGTACGCATACGTATTAGTCCATACACGCATACACTATGTATGTAACAAGCAGCCCCCACCCCCATCTCGCGATACCCCCGGAAGGGAGGGTTTGACTATCTTCTCCCCTACCTACAGCGTGCTTACGAGCACTCTTAGCAACACACCACATGTCTTACACTTTGTCCCGCAACGCTAGTAGAGCAAGGGGAGGACGACGGGCTAGACCCGGGTAGAGTAATGGTACGTATCATGTTGTGGTTTGGCTGTGCGAGTGCGGTGCGGGTGTGCACTTGACTTGCCTTCGGGTCAAATCTTACTGTACACAACGCGCGCACGGTAGGCTAACGCTAACGCTACGATAAGCAGGGCTGGGGCTACGCACAGTCTCAACAACTACCTCACTTAGGTGCAGTTCTACTCTCTTTGCGGAGGCCCCGAGTACATGCTCTTACTCTCGGATCCCGGGTATCGGACACAACAACGATAGCTTTAACTAGCAGAATTGATATGGATTCCATAAACCTCGCTCGTTGTTAACCAGAAACACGAACCAACGATTGTTGTTATTTTTCCGTTGCCGATCTCTCCTAGCAAGAAAACTTGGGCTTAAGGTGAACCCGTTCATCGAGATACGTTCGTTTTGGTGTTTCGTGCACGCTCAGCGCCTGTATGAGACCGGTGCTTTGTTTGAAGCGTGAAAATCAAATCGTTGCGGGTAGCAAGACCCTCTAAACAAAACCCCCTCCCCCCATTGAAACACATCCGTCTCTTGACGGATTTCTCCCATTTTCTTCATCTGGCTCTATTGATAGTGTGTGCCTTGATCTATTTATTACCTCTAGTAAAGCAAAGCGGGAATCAATGCAAAAAGAAAACGAATGACCTCTCGCCCATTCTACGCACGCAACGCAAACGCACGCGCCAGCCTCGCCTTAGGAATCCTCTTTCTTTCTCTCTCGTACGCAAGGCGCGCGCCCACAACACCGACATGCCCGCACGCACCCTCGCACGTGCCTCTGCTTCCTCTCTGTCCCCTCGGGGAATCCTTTTGAATAATATCCGTACGGCACATGCCACATAGACGCAAACCGGTATGTACTTATGCAATGCGCTCATAGGTTTCCGAGTCCGAGCGCGTCGTATACCGGGACTCTTTCACGTCTTACGTAGGGCTAACCTTTTTCCTTATTCGGGGGGTAGAGTGGACGGGCGTATATGTGTTAGTAAATAGGTAGGTAGATAGGTTGGTTTATGCGCAGTTTGGCGTTTGGATTTGTAATGTTTGATGGGGATCTGTGGAGGATGCGGGACGGAGGGAGTGTGTATGTGTATGTGTGATCTTGGTGGAGGTCAGATCTCCATGGCAGTCTCTTGAAACGCGGGAGGTAAGCGGTTCAAACGTTTGTCGGGCTATCCGAAAGGACTAACTGCACGGGATAGAGAAAGGTACGCTTTTGATCCTGTTGAGGTAGGTCCTTATGGCGACTGACCGTTCACTGTTGTTTGTTGAAACGTGTATTACAGACTGCCTTGAATGCATTGTTGTTTGTAAGTGCGTTTGTCATGGTGCTCGTGCTTTGTTTCTTGCTCAGTCAGTCAGGCTGCGTCATCGGGTTTTGAAACAGCCGTTGAGATCTCGGAGAGAAAAGGTAACGTTCTAGGGGGATGTGGACTTTGCTTTTGGGGAGGGAGGAGTGAGGCAGTGTAAGTCGGAGGTAGTCAGTCCGCGCACAAATCGCAGAACTGTAATACACTGTGATGTGATGTATTATCTATCACTCCGTATGACTATATTTTATTGAGCCATCGCTTCGGTCGTAAAGAAGGGGAAATACCTGTGCCTGCATCACGATGGACATGCTCAGGGGATAATTTTGAGCATCACATTGCCATCGTCGAAGCCACCGAATACGGCCAACTGGGCATGAGTCCCTTGACCTCGACACCGCGCTCACACTTACATTGTGAATACGAACGTCAGCCTTGAGCCACGCATAATCAAAGCCCCGAATCAATCTGTACAAGTGATATTAGAAATCAATCGCGAAGGAAGTTGGGCTGAAAGTGGAAGTGTGCTTGCACGGGCACATCGAGATTATGTTACAATGACCTCTTTGAAATCTGATCAACTGTGTGCGATTTTCTCTTCTATTTTCGTCGAGGGATCGAACATGAAGATAGCTTCAAATTCATTGTGCAACTTTTAGATTGCTGCGTCCATTAAGTGTGGGTTGATGTAAGCAGATTCAACGTGCAGGCTGTGAATATGTTTGATGATATACATGCCCCCCCTCGATCCTGCTATTTCCAGTGTTGTGCGTAAGGTTTCTGACGTCTGGATATCATCAAGCCAACCATGATATCACAGCTGCTGGGGCACTCTCGTAGTATCGTGGACACATGTAAAGATAAAAGTAAATCATGCTTAGTATGGGTATCTAAAGTGAAAGACTGCACGAACAAAGGAAAAGAGGGAATGACCAAGAAGCTAAACAAATGCTTACTCCAAAACGCCAATGCTGAAATAACATGTCCTGTTCGGATCTTAACATACTACATACTGTGAGGACTTCTAATTTAGTTGAACGGGGCCAGTATGCGCTGGAAATAAGGAATGGCTTGATTGATTTCTGCGGGAGTAAAGTATATCAAGTTGTTTTCGGAGACGGCATAGGCCATTGAGGCTCATCTTGCTGGTTCGGCGCTACTGCGTATTCCCCTGCAGCACTACTGGGCGCTGCATTCAGATCAAAAGTATCGCTCCAGTGGAGATGCTCAGATGCTGCAGGGTTTACTCTGGTGGGATGGATGACAGTAGGAACAGTATATCCGGGAGACGCATATTCGATATGCTCAACCGAATTCTTAGTCAAATTGAACTTGCGCGCGCCGTCGAGGTTGGTGGGGGTCGGGCCATCAAGGCTATGCTCCACTTCTTCGAGTGCCTTTGATCCTCGCCGTTCTCCCTGACGAGGTTTTGCAGCCTTTTCCTCATCGCTCCACGATTTAATTTGATGCGAGGCGTTAGGGGTCCGTTTATCGCTGTGATCACCCGAGAAACTGCCCAGCCGACTAATCTTGAACGCTCGAAGTCGATCTAGAGCAATCTTGAAGTCATCGAGGATCACAGAGTCGGTCAGGCATTTGAAGACAAAGGCAAGCTTCCAGAACGGGTTAATGCCCATGTCGCTGGCGAGTTTGATGGCTTTCGTGACGGAGAGAACATCGCAGATGACGAAGACGATGGCGACTAACATTGACGCAAGCATGATGCCGAATCTTGGAGAGATGCGGATGATTTCTTTGAGCTTGAGGTCGTATTGTGTTTTGATCACGATGAATAGATAGACAGTGGAGATGATCCACCATGGATCGCGAAATAGTAATTCCAAAGGTCTTGTCGTATTGAATATCGCGTTCCCATAGTGGAAGTATGCGAAATCTATCAAGAGGTAAGTTTGATGTCTTTCTGCGCAGTGACGTAATAGGCAGACTTACTTGCGTATACCTCTACGATCCAGTAGGGAATGGATAGTACGACAGTCCCAATATAAACTTTATTCCAGAGAGGCGAGAAGAAAGGTTTTATTTTCATCCAAGATACGACATTGTGGAGAATCCATGAGACGTTGAGCGGGATAGCAGCCACCGACAGCCACCACGTATCGATCCGACGATTCGGGGAACTCTGAGGAAAGAGCCAAAAGCCTTGCCAGAGTCCAAAAACAAGCTATTGGAATTGTTAGACGAGATACTGAGAATGCTGGCGAAGAGAATTGTGCTTGCCTCGATAAGAATCAGCTTGTGTAATCGCACACCTCTCCGCATGTTTGCCATCGTGATAGCAATCATGACAACCAGCGACCCGACCATGTATCCTTGAGCCCAAGCTTCGAGAACCAGAGCATCGGATCCGGGAGGCCGTGGATCGGTCTCGGCCACATTGCGCGTTCGAGGTTCCAAAGGTAGGGGAGACATGAAGGCCACCAGAATGCATATCTACATTATAGCAAACATGAAGAAATAAAGGGGGAGTGTGGAGAATAAGTGCGGACGAGAAGACCGAGTAATGACTGAGTGAATACGGGGGGCCAGGCAAGTGACAATCTATGGCGGCGCTCTTGTGGCTCTCCGCCATGCTGTGATGCGGAGAAGCATGGTTGGGGGCGTTCAATGACTACCTAAGTCCAGTGCTAGCGGCGAGCCCGTAGCTGAGGATGGACCGAGCCGGCTGAGTCGCACGCTTGGCTCAATCGGTAGTCACGATGAATTTCGTGACCAGCAGCAGGAAGTCAGATGTGGCGGCGGCAGCCGTTGATTCTGTGTGAGGTGTATGTATATGTAAGTGCGCAGTTGCGTTCGATCCAGCGAATGTCCGCAAGCCTCTACGCAGCCGTCGCATGTCACTGGCGAGGCGCAGCCGGGTAAGTAAAGAAAAACAAACGAAAACACCACAACTTGTCGATGCACACAGCCAACAACACGCCAATACCTACCGCACTCCGACCAAGGGTGCCGATATCCATCGTGGGGCTAGCTGCATCCCATCAGCCGACATTCATTGTCGGTGGCTACCCACCAGTCTATCCAGTCGACTAGTCGATGTTAGCCCTGATAGACCCGTATGTAGCTATCAAACTACGTAATCACCTACGCAAGTGAGCTGTCGTGACTCGTTGGAAGTGTTGATAAATCCCAAGTGCCCAGTTATGCCTGCATGTAGCTAAAAAAGACACAGGAGCAGCAATACTTTAATCTCGTTCCGAGAAGTGACGAACAAGATAACTTTTTCGATGATGGAATGAAATGAATTCATATTTGTCCATGAGCAATCGCGAAGGCATTTCCAGGCACATGTACTTGCACATGCCATTGCGTCTAGTTGACTGTCAGTGTATTCACCTGTGGGTTACTGAGTACAGCCCGAAGGCTGAGTCCTCCCGAAAGTTGAGCCTTCCACCAGTCTGTAAGCCGAAATGTATGCATTGCACCCTTCCGTGTCAGCTATACAGAGAAGCGCAGCTTATTTGAGGTCAGCGCTTGATTGGTAGTCAGCCAGTCGTTCCAGATCAAGCTGCAGCACCCCAAAATAGCCAGCCGTTGCGAACATCTACCTTACGATATCATTGTATAATGCGAGAAAGAGTCTCCGATTCTTATGAATCCCGTAGCAACACCTTAGAAACATCTTCCCTGATCTTCGATTGAAGCCAGTGTGGCCAGCCTCGCAAGCCGCTGATCCTCGCAGAGTTTTCTGGTAAGAAGACCTGCCCTCCTGAACAGCTGAAAACTTTCTCGGCGATAGCATCTGCAACGTCTGAAGGCTCAAGAATTGGACTCCCTGCAGCAGTGAGTGCTCCTGCGAACGGTTCAAGTAGAGGGGTACGAGCCCATGTTGGATGGACACTTGTTGTCTAGACATTCGTACACGCAACGTTAGCTAAGCTACGCATGTGCGCAAATCGACAATGAGCAGTACGATAATACGTACCAGGACATTGGGCGCCTTGTGCTTGATTCGAATTTCGTGACTAAGACCTACGCCCAGTAAGCTCATCGACGTTGGTAACCAGGATTGAAAACGCACCTTCATGAAACGCAAGCACAGCTGCTTTTGTTGCGCAGTAGGAAGTAATGCCTCCAATTCCAAGATAAGAAGCAAGGCTCGCGATGGACATTATATGGCCTTTGTTATTTTCGATCATGTCTGGGAGAAATGCCTGAACAGTGTAGTAATGGCTCAACACGTTGACGTCCATGATTTTTTTCAGGAATTGAGGATCAGTCTCCATTACAGTCTTCAGTTGGGCGATTCCAGCGTTGTTTATGAGGATCGATGGTGCACCAAGTGATTGTTTTACCAAGGCGGCGGCAGACTTGACGTCTGAAGGTTTTGTAATGTCGCACGCGAAAAACCGGATATTAGCATCTGAAATAGCAAGTCAACGAAAAGTCTTCATATAACGGGAAATATATACTCCTTACACCCTTGCAGTTCAGGTGGTAGCTGTTGAATGTCGAGTATCGCAACTTTGATGCCTTTGTTGATCAACCTCTTTGCCACCAATGCCCCGATTCCAGAGCAACCTCCTGTGATCACTGCTACTTCTTTGGGGAAATTCCATCGCCTCTTTTCGTTGTTCAGCCTCCAAGAATTCAATGCAAATCTGTTGAGCGCGGCGTTGGCGATTCCAGCCACTCTGATGGCCAGAATCCACTTGAGAGCTCTTACGATACGGGCATAAACAGTTGGGTCCCGGAGCGACTTGAAGGTGTCGATTAGACGATAGCGAAAGCCCGCTGGTCCTTTTGTGAGTGCCCACAATAGTGTCGCAACTGCGACTGGATTAAGCGCAACTGTAGACGATAGGCGCGTTAACGAGGAAATCGATGTGGTGATGCTTTTGGTAGACATGTCGATCCAAGTGGGGAGGAAAGGTTGTTAGTGTGCTTGATTGTGTTCGTCGGCAGTAGTCGATATATAATGGCTTATGTTTATTCGTCGATTGGTGCTTCAACTGCCTGCATCCCAACATGAGGGGCGGCGCAGGGGGGAGTCCTATGTAAGCTCCTGATGGTCAGGGCGGACCTCGGCATCCTTCACTGTCCTTAACTCGGTACTTTCAAGGCTTTGTGCCTACAGTGGCGACCTGATGATCCCCGACTGGAGTTGGGAGAGCGAGTACTCTGAGGTGTTTTGCGGTAGGCCGATGTTGCTACAGTGTTGTTGCAATGGTGGAGTAATCGCGCCTTCCCCGGATTGACCCCAGGATAACAGACACGGACGCTAGACGTATAGAGATCACACATCCGAAGGCTAGCCTCTGTCCAGTGGGAAGTAGGAGCTTTGGCTGAGTAGTTGCGAGGTAAGATGTATGTTACTGCTTTTTGCTTAGAAGGACCTGGGAAGAGAAAGACACATAGACAAAGATGATACGGAACTAATGAAGCCACCAGATGCGCCACTCGTGGTTAAGTACAACGCAGTAGTATACCCACGCATTTCCACCTTCTAGGAAGTCCCCAAGATGAAGCATAACCATGCTGTTTATCACTCGGCATGTATAACATTAACCGGCGTGCCTTTCCAAACGCCACACAAACTCCTCGAACCCAGATGCATGCGTTCCCAACCTTCCCAACCTTTCGAAATTCGCCTGTATGATACAAGGTGCCTGGTGCCTGAAACTCGTCCATCAAAGGCTGTCTGTGCGGTGGAACCCGCGCGAGGACAATGGGATTGAACGCCGGAATCTAGACGGGCAAGTTGAACTTCTTTCCTTGCACGACCCTGTACAGTAACGTGCTTTGTTAATGACTGAAAGACAGGAATTGCAGAGGAGCGGAAGATGAAGCAAATGTACGTACTTTGTGTAGTAAATCCAGAAGAAATCCGAGTACAAGATCGTTTGAATGATTCCGGCAATAACGGCGATGGGGTCGTAAAAGCGAGGCGTCTCAGTGAAATACCTGTAGAGCCAATTGGGGATGTACAGAGCACGGTACGCTCCGAGAGCGAAAAGATAGTGGGTGGTGATCGTCTCTGCCTCCCCGGTTCGCTGGAGCATGAAGAGCTGGGGAAGAATGGCAACTGACTCCAACCAAATGGAAAATGCCCAAAGAATCTAGAGTTCCATTAGCACGGACCACAGCCCGAGTATGCACGTTCTTGCGTACCTCTGTGAATGTGTATTTGTAAGGGAACACAATGGCCATGATGGCGCTCGCTCCGATCAGGTATTGGACCTTGAACGTGTCCAGATTTGGGTCATGGGTCGGCTTGTAGTCGTTGAGCATGAGGTAAACCGTGTACGCGGATGTGCTTATGAAGATGATTTTGAAGCAAGTGTTGTAGAGCGAGTTCGGGTTGTAGAACGTCCAGAGAAGGTCGACGTAACGTGTCACGTAAACGATGAGGTAGAGAAACTGGGATTTGAACGAGATGCCCGAGGCGCTCTGCTATAGTTAGACCACGCGTGGAGGGCGATACGGGGTGAGCGGTGGGCATACGCTTGACGTCTTCATTTTGTGAAGAAGAATCAGTATCGAAAACAGATGGGAAAGATCCCCTGAGAAACAGCAGTCAGCAAGCGCATTCTATCGTGAACCACCGAATGCGATTCCTGGTGCAGCCCGTTGGAGAGCCATTTGCACAACTTCTCGCGTCGGCAATTGAGCAGCGGCAGCGTACCTAGCAATCTGAAAATGTTCATCGTGATGGTAAGGCCTTTTTCGCTCCAGGTAAGGCGCAATGACGGTGCGATGAGGGATTGAGGTGTTGAGAATGGAAACAGACGATTGAAAACGAAATGACACGTTTGGGAGCTCGAAAGGCTGCATCGTATCCTTGCATGCCAAGACTTTACCCCTGCACCCGCTCGTGGTAGCATACATGTAGTCGGGACACACTTGCTTATCACTCAAACCTACCTATACGCTACTCTGCCTCGATCTCTGAGATTTGACAATATATTTATTACAGCACGCCCGTTACTTGAAACGTGCTGGTTACCCACTTTCCATGTATACATTATTGGGATGGAAGGACATATTGAGACCGATCCGGGACGGCTACCGTCATCTGTTTCCGGCCCCAGATACATGGCCTACGCCTGAACAAAGGAAAAAGCAACGCGAATTAGACCGGTTGAAAGGCTTCGCTTACTTTGATACATTCGATCAAATAGAGAGGTGGACAGCGAGAGATTCCGATCCTATTCAGCGAGCCAACACCCCACTGTTGGCAAGATCGCGGACAGCCGGATCAGACTCGGATCAAAAGGCAGCCGTACTGTTGTGCCATGACTATTCGGGAAATTATCATGACTATGAGTCTGTCCAAGGTACTGGTATTGATGAAGAGTTCTACACCTGCGAATATCTGCAGTACGTAGACAAATTTGTCTACTTCTCACATAAGCTTGTTTGCATTCCTCCCCCCTCCTGGACCAATACACTACATAGAAATGGTGTTCAAGCTTTAGGTACGATTCTTATCGAGTCCCAGACCAAGGATCCTGGCCGTTTACTGTCATGCAACCAGTCTACAGATACGCCAGAATCCAAACGCACTTTTCCATTGGCCCAAAAGTTAGCCGGTATCGCTGAGCACTATGGATTTGATGGCTATCTCGTCAACATTGAAAAATCGTTTTCGGATTCAAATTGGGATCCCTCTGTGCTTGAATCTTTCCTCCGCCAACTCAAAGAGGATCTGGGCGCGAGCAGAAGCCTCATATGGTTCGTTATTTTCGCTTTGAATCTGAAGTAGATGTCGTTGACATTCATGATGCGTAGGTATGATGCCTTGACCATCGAAAACAAGGTTTCTTACCAGAATGCCTTGACTCTTAAAAATGTCGTATTTAGTCAAGCATGCGGGCAGATTCTCACAAACTACAGTTGGAGAGAAGCTGATGCGCTGAGCTCTAGACAGCTTGCTTCGACATGTGGGGAATTGGATTTTGAGAACGTCGTTTTTGGTGTGGATGCATGGGCGCAGAACAAGGCTCCTCTTACTCGGCGACGTGTGACCTACCCTGAACACAAAGGAGGTGGCACATACTGTGGCATAGCTGTCGAAAAGCTTTCCAAGATTGGTCTCTCGGTGGGGATTTTTGCCCCAGCTTGGACTTTTGAGCACTTTCCTGGCCAGGCCAGGAAAATCGAGAAAGCTGTGTGGGAGGGTGCTCCGTTTGACGAAGTCTCTTGTACTTGTGGTGATGCTCACATCCAACACCCTCCGAACAGGGGAAGGCACATCACACGAGCTGCTAGAGTCTTCCCGGCAGGATCGGACAATTTCTTCTACACCGACTTCAGTCGAGGTTTTGGCCGCCATGCAAAATTGGAGGCAGGACTTTATGGTGGCAAATTGATACATTCGCAACTGTCGTGCCAATCAATACTACCGCAACCCTCCAAAGATGATAGAGACGGAGAGGATATTGCAAACGCTACAAACATTTTATCTTACGACCTGGAAGACATCGTCGGTCAAACACAATTGATCATCAACGTACGAAGTGTCACATCGCAGAATGTAGATGAGAGACAGAGTTGGAAAGAAGCTTGGTTGCCCTTATACTCACTTGACATGGCGACTCACGCAGACTTGCGTCTCCAAATATCGTTCAGAGTCCTGTTGAAAGCTACTGATGCTTATCCGAGTTTCTTTCTAGAATTTTCTAACGGTAGACAAACGATACCTTGTTCACATGACAACTTGGTTGAATTCACGATTCAGCCCCCACACAAGACTGGAACAGGCGGACGACTTCTTGGAATAGGGATACATCTGCGAGCGCCTTATATCAGTGCAAAAAAATGCCGCATCATGGAGGTTGAGAGCATCAAAATTGTAGGTTGGCGCCGCGCATGCCGTACGTTGTCAACAAATGATATTTGCTGATCTAGCTCATTTCACCTCAGATGCCTCGATATGAGCAAACTTTGACAGATACTGCTACGATTGATGATCTAAAGATAGTCGAAAGCAAATACACATATGGCGTATACTGGCGGTTGTGTTGGACATATACGGGGGACAAGCCTGCTGCTCACGGCTTACCGTATAGTGCGGTCACTGGACCATTTGCCTATTTCTCAATTTGGGTAGACGGACTCAGCATAGGCCGGGCTCATGCTCTGGAGCATGTTCTTCCTGATGTTCTGATGAAGGATCGTACTGATGACGAAGTGAGCGTTGAAGTGATTGGTATAGGGTTTGATGGGGGAGAAGTCGCACGGAGATGCTTGAAGTTGCGGCACAGGAATAATGTGAAATAAACCAATTAGAGAGATGAATTGAGCTGAGCCAACCAAATTATGGATTACCATTATTTGCATATGTGCATAAGTAAGTCATCATGTGGAAAAGGCGATACCTGGTACGTCGACCATTGATTCTACTGAAGTGAGCGCCTTCCCGTATCGGGCCTAGCGTATTTTCGCCACAGCAGTGAGTAAACGCGCCAACGCCAGTGACAGCTCTCTCAGTCCGTTTGCCAACCCGATCGCCTGCGATTGTCGCAGCTTCTTTGCACCTCCATCATCTCCCAACCTGCCCAAAGACTGCGAGAATTAGCGGCTTCATCCAAGTCAATCCCTCTACCTTCCGGCGCGCTTCTAGTGGCTGGTGTGGGCTGCCCAGCGCATCCAATTTCTGGCGAGTGACTAGGTAAGTAAAGTTATGAGACAGATCCTTTGGACATAGACTACCCTCTCGATCATCGCCATCGACAGTCCTCTCACTTTTGCTGTTCCCATCGCCAGTCATTAACATCCTGTAGACAGTCTCGACCTCTCTCTCCATGGCCGACCTCCAAGAGCTTTTTGCTCGGTTGAGCAATCAAAACTCTGCCGCCGGCAGTCAACAGGCTCAAGGCCAACCTCACGGTTACCAGCAGCCCTCCGTCTCCTCGCCCATCTTTTCCCCATCTCCAGGTGCCCCGCAACCTCACCACCAGTCTGCCGTCTTGTCACCCAACTCGTCGGCTGCGAACACGCCGGCACCCGAGGGCAGCGTACCGCAACAGACGCAGCAGCAACAATCAGCCCACCTGCTTAACCTTCTGCGCTTCAATTCCCAACCCAGCGTTGCACAGGCGACCAGACGGCCATCGCAAAACACTCAGTCAGCAGAGGGTACTACTCCCCGCGCTGTCTCCGCGACTGACTTGGTTGCATCCTTTATGGGTGGCAAGTCGTCACATGCGCCTACGTCTACCTCTGGCCCTGCACCACCAGCCGCTCGTCCTGAGCCTGCCTCAGTGTCAGCCCAGAATCCTCAAGATCTCTTGATGAGGCTACTCAATCACCCAAAGCCTGCCCAGGGTGATCACAATTCCCCTCGGGCTTCGGTATCCACCTTCTCCCCGCCTTCGCAGATGCCAGAAATGGCTGTGGAGGACGTACTTCAGGATCTTGCTGAGGTCAAGTTGGACGATACCCCGTCTTCCTTCTCTCCAATGCATGTCTTCGGGTCGGATGGGCCTAGTGCTTCACAATTCGAGCCAGATTCGGCCGCTCGATCGAGCCCCAGTGGCCCACCCAAATTCACTTACGTCAATCCATTCGACAAACTCGAAGCAGCCAGTCCACGCATTCGCACACCTGCTCTCGAGAGCTCCAAGCACTCTTTGCCGCAGATGCAGATCTTGAAGCCCAAGCATGGCTTGGATCGACATGCAGCCGTTGACGCAACTGAACAGCCTATGCTTAAATCTCGCAAGCTATCGCCTGCGGTGTCAGCTCACTCTCACCCACACGAAACTGTGGCTGAGGCTGTTAGCGACTTGGGCGAACAAGTCGGCAAGCAGGTGGAAGAGGCTCTAGAGGAAGTCGAGAACCGGGTCGAGGCTAAGGGGACACCCGCTCATACAGAGATGGAGCAAGTCGTTGTTGAAACTGCTGTAGAGCTCAACAAGGAGCTTGCTGACAAAGAGGTCACGGAAGCTTTGGAAGAATCCTTGCCCAAACCGTTAGTTGCTGCTCTGAAAGGAGTGGCCGCGGAAGTTGCGCAGGGTGATGTTGTCGACAGTTGGGAGAGCGCTGATGATAGCCCAGCTAAAACTGGAGATCAATCAGTGATCGTGTACAGGTTCCCAATGCGTGCGTTCGCATCGATCACAGTTCAGGACTCCAGTACCTCCTCTCTTCAGCGCGCGTCGTTCAGCACAGATTTGTTCATGGATGTCGCTCGTCTCAAGAAGGAATTTGACCAGATTGACCGCTCACTTGTGTCAGCCAGCAAAAATTTCATTGTTTATGCGCAAGTTAAAAAGGGCGGCTTCCGAGTCATTCGCCAGGAGAATGGCCAGTTCCGACAAGTCTTCGAGGATCAGAAGGAGCGTCTTTTCAACGTGGGGCTTTGCGTTGCTGGCGAAAACTCAAACCAGCGCTCTACCCAGAGTGTTCTTGGTATCGGCATCAACGGCTCTGTTTTTTGGACATCTATCGACACCGATAGGGACGACAAATTTGGCCCTGATATTGACAGCCAGGGCCTCATTCTTCCTCCTTCTCCAGCCCAGGATGATAACACATCTGGGGGCCAACTCAAGACACGCGCAAAGCCGTCTTCCCGTCACCCAGAGTTCTTTGCTGTGGGTCGTGGTAAGGCTATTCACATCATTTGGCCTCACGTTGCGGCTGAGTACGTTCGTTCAAAGTCTCGTGTCGTGCAGACTGAGAAGTTCTTGAAAGAGCGTTCATTGAAGATTCTAACTGGCAAAGCCGGCAAAGACTTCACCTTTAGTGAAGACGACACTGTTGTCGTTTCCTTGGACAAGGCTGGCCGCATGCGCTTCTGGGACATTCGGCCTTTGATTGATCCTAAAGTGGCTGACCTGGGTAGCGAGCCACAACAAGTCGAGGTCTCCCAAACTATGCTGGAATTTCACACCACATCCGCCAATGCGAAATCATGGCCCACTTCTGTTTTCTTCTTCGACAAAGACAAGCCGTTCAACAAGGGCATCGCGCTACGATATGTAATTGTTGGAATGAAACAAAACCATTCTTTCCAACTGTGGGATCTCGGACTGGGGAAAGCCGTCCAGGAGATTAATCTACCTCACGAGAAGGAATCGGATGCCATTTGCAGTGTCGCATTCCATCCAAAGACAGGAGTTATGGCAGTTGCGCACCCTACCCGCAACTCCATCTTCTTCATCCACGTCTCCTGCCCTCGATATAATCTACCAGTTATGAATCAGGCTACGTACATTTCGCGCTTGGCCGATAAGCACGAGCGATCTCAGCTGCCTTCTGTCAATGCTACTGCCATCATGACTAGCATCACCGAGTATTCGTTCGCTCCGAAAGGACAGATTAGGAGTCTCCATATGCTCAATGAGCCTGCTGGACCGCCTGATGTTGATGAACCAGAGAATACTTCTCTTTTCGAACTGTATGTCATGCATTCAAAGGGCGTATGTGCTCTCCGAATCCGACGAAGTGACTTGGGCTGGAAGAAAGAGGGAGAACCCATCAATCCCATGGATGCTGAGAAAGAAGGGATCATTTCGATCACGCAGTTGAAACCCCCTCAACCTGTTGATGATGCTTCTGTGTCAACCAGCGGCGATACGCAGGCCCACAAATCTGTCTCTGAGAAATCTGTCCGCGAGACCGTAAAGAGAGAAAACAGCAACATGTCTCGAGCATCCATGACGCCCGAAGCTGCTGCGCGTGCCAATTCTTTGGCTAAAGTAGAAAGCAAGCAAGACGCTGCTCGTGCTGCCATCATCAATGGAGGAGAGAAGTCTGAAAAGAAGAAGAAGAAGCGCTCTAATGCTGCCGAGACAGCTTCACAGGCTTCGACATCCGCCTCTACTCGAGCCCCGCCACCGTCGTATGCGCAGGCTGCGCAGTCCGTCTCACGCTCTAAATCTCCCGCCCAGGCTGAATCTAGTGTTGAATCGGCTGAAGCGAGGTCTGCGCCAACGTCTAGCAATGAGATGCCCGAGTGGGCTAAGGGCTTTGCTGACCGGGTGCCCGATGTCAAGAAGATTGAGGAAATCATCCAGGCAGAGCTTACCAAGAGCCTGTCCCGTGAGCTCGATGGTCTCCATAAACGCATCGACGAAGACAAGCGTGTCATGAATGCTCAGTTCACCTCGAAACAAGATGCTATTTTGCGACTGGTGTCAAGCACGTTGACAGAGAATGTTGAGGGTGTCATCAAGAAAATGGTCAACGAAAATATGCGCGATGTTCTGCTCCCTGCGCTCTTGAGCCAGACCGCAACAACCCTGGAGAAGAACATAGGGGGTTCTTTGAAGTCAGCACTCGGACCTCAGCTTTCTAAAGAGATCCCAGAGCAGGTTACACGGGCGCTGAAGGCCCCGCACGTTCTCCAGTCCTTGTCCGACCAGGTATCTAAGAAGGTGACAAACAACATTGAGCCATTGATTACCGCAGCAGTCGGCTCTGCTATCAACCCCGCGATTTCCACTGTCACTAGCCTCGTGGAGAACAAAATTGGAGAACAGCTTCGGGAATCTCAGATTCAACAGCGCAACGACATTCTCAAGATTACCCAGCTTACGGACACCGTTCAGACCTGCCTTCAAACCATCCAAGGCATGGTTTCCACCCAGGCAGAGCTCCAGAGCCAGATCGCCAAATTACAGCAGCATGTCTCACAATCGGCTCAACAACCTGGCGGTCCCGCTCGTGCTTCCCCAAGTGCGACTCGTCCCCCCGCTAAGCAAAAGACTCCCGAGGAACTCGAGGAAGAGGAGATTACTCGCTGCATGTCACAAGGTAAACTCGAGCAGGGCACCATGTTGTGGTTGCAGTCCGCACGCTCAGATTCTCTTTTCGACACAGTATTCGTCCACTGCAACCCGCAGTACCTAGATCATGTATCACCTTTGCTAGCACTGTCTACGGGTGCAGTAGTGACAAACGTCCTTGATCGCAACTTGGTCGAACGCCTGGTCTGGCTGTCTGCCGTGCTGAAGAATGTGAACCCTCATGTAAGTCTGTCTATCGAACTGTGTTTACTTGCTTGCTAATCGAGTCTAGGACCCGGAAATCCAGGATGTCGTCCCTAAGATCATGGACGTCATTCGCGACCGCCTCACACAAGCCTACATGTCGCTTAATGAAAGCTCTCCGGGCGATCAATCTCTACGTCGCATCTCTACCCTGGTTACTAGGGTCAATGAGCTCTGCCGTGCAAACACTCCTTATGGGGGTCGCGCCTAGTTTCCTGCTGTCAAGGACTGCTGCATCAAAGCTACCATGATCTTGTGCTGAAAATGCCCTGGACATGTGCTTGACTCCTCCATAAAAACTATCTGCACAATGCATGTGCGTGTCGAGTTGGAACCTATTCAACCCTCTCTGCTGGGTTCGATATAGGCGGTTACGGGGTAAGAGGTGGTGAAGCACTGCGCGACACGTCATGGGCTGGGGGCGATTGATTCTTTTTCTTCTCCCTTTTCTTTTCTTTGCTTTCCTTTCTTGTTCAATTTTTCGGGATGGAGAGTTTCCATTCTACATCATCGTGGAGGGGGCTTCGCTTTTCCGGCTGGCACATGACGGTTTTAGCAGTTCTTGCGGCGCTGAAATGCTCGTTCTTACGCTAGATACTATCATGTAGAGTCATTCGTGATTTCGAAATGAGGCCTCAATTCCTCGTAGGCCGGACTCTCTGAGCCTGGCACATGGGGGGAACAGAATCGATTCGACATTCTGTGATATATTGGCAACGGCTCACTGAGCAATATGTAGATTACATCCCGGCGAAATAATGGTAGCGGCGATTAAAAAAAAATCTTCGGCGTTTCAATTTCGTGCAATTGCCGTGATTGCCATGTCTTGGACTGCAAACAATATGACGTTTCCGACAGAATCGCGTAATAAGTCATCAATACTCGGCATAAGTGACTATTTGCAGAGGTGTTCGTATGTTTGGCGTTGACAACGGTTGATGCCCCGCCGTTTATAGTAGTGATAGTATACTTGAACCTCACCACGCTGATATTGCTGTGCATCAACTCGATGGCGTTAGCTTTGTCTCTCCAAAATCAAAGGGCAAGGGCTGCAACATTGCCGCATCAGATTACTGGGACTGACCAATGGCGCTCTCGGGGTGGCGGGTGAGACAACGGGGTGTAACTTCTTCTGAAACACGAAGATGGCACCGGTGGAATGATTGTAGCGGCCTTGGCCCTGGGCGAGTTATGAACGGATGTGATTGTATGCGAGCGCATGATTCTCCAGCTTTGGGCATTGGAGGATTGGTGCCTGCGTGGCCTTGTTTGGTGAACAGGCTATTCCGGGGTGCTTGAACAGTATAGGTGGGGGAGCAACGATGCATGATGGAGGCGAGAAGGCAGAGGGAGTTCTGAGGCTAAAGTGGTCGCAGGTCAAGACTGAAATACCACAGTACATAATATCTGCCTAAAGCGCTCGACTCCTTTCATTTTCTTTCCACTTCGTATTTTGTATTCTACATCACTCCTTTTCCGAACCACCTTGGTTTCTTTTTGGCTCTTTGTTCGAGTTTGTGGATCTTGTTGATTAAGTTCCACGTTACGCTCTTTTACACACCTACCTACTTCAACTACTCCTTCCCTGGCGCTCTATTTTCGGAAACGAAAGTGATATTTTAAATTCTTGTACAGCCGACAGTACAGCCTCCATCCTCGACGCCCGTTTCAATAATCAATCGCCGACAAAAGAAGAGCAAGATGGCTATCAACTGGGTACTTCCGGTGCGGGGTGTTCAGTTCGCCCTATCAGCTACTGTGCTGGGAATGATGGCATACGGTATGTCGACCACATTCACCTCAGATCCGAGCGGCGATTGACATGTATTCAGTGGCTTCGTGGTGGTCATCGCACTGGCGGCAAATGTCACCCGTCGAAGTGAACTTTATGATCTTCAGCCCCATCTGGTCCATCCTCGCGCTCGCCGCCCTCATTGTCGTACCGATGAAATTCCCTTCCATGGCGGAGCAAACCGGTCCCAAGATTGGGCTGTTTGTCCTTGAGCTCGTCACGTCCCTATACTGGTTCGGTGGCTTCGTTGCGCTCGCCGTCTTTTTGAACGATCGCATCTGCTTCGGAACTGTGTGTTCTATTGCGAAAGCGGGAACCGCAATCTCGGCGATCAACTGGGCGGCCTGGGCAGCTACGTTGGTGGCTACGGTCATCAGGGTTTTCTTCAACAAGGGCGCAAGCATGAGCAAGGCGCCTGGCGCACCCAAGGTGGAAATGCACCAAGGAGTCTAGATTGAACACGGCTTGAATGCAGACGTCAGACACGAGGAAGGGGGTGGACACCGGTTTGCTCTCAATTTGTACATGGAAGGATGGTAATGAAACAGGCGGAATCCATTGTCATCATCGGGGCTGGAATCGCGATGATGGCAAAGGCAGTTTATATCACGGCGCGGATGGCGAGTTTTGCAGCTATTTCAGGCTCTCCAAGGACACGATGATTTCTGTTAATGGGGGCGGAGCGCATAGTACTGTAATGCGTACAATCATAATGAACATGACATTGCGGCTTCACGCTCGACTCATTCACACGAGTTTATTCATGCGGTCTGGGGCTGACTGACTTATGTATGTACATAGATAATGTGACCTGAGGCACATGAAACTGTGAAGAGGCACCTCAAACCCATGGAAGGTGAAACAAGGCCTGCACCATGGCGGTTTAGGCTAGCCCATCCCCCACAACACGGCATGGCCAACGTCGTCAGCATCTAGAGTTTGAACATGTCAAATTGCATTCGTCGACTTGGACCATCAAGAACAAGCCAAAACATTGTCCCTCTTGGGACCGAGCCCGTCTTGCTGCAGGGGCCTGGATGGTGTGGCTCTCCAGTTAGACAGGCCATGGCAGTCGGCTGTGAACAAGTACCCTACATACCCCTCCCACTCTTCCCACTCATTACCATCCATACCCTCGTCCACTCGTCGTTTTGATTGTGCTTTTTATACATCTGCAATTGTTTGGCCAATTGACAATTCCACCCCGCTTTCTCATCTATCTCCATCGCAAAGGTCGGATTCGAATCATCCGGGCTATTTCTGGTCGATTGGGAGAGAGGAATAGAGTGTTGGATAGCAGCGCGAGATAACACCATGTCGAGGACATCCGTCTTCACCTCCATCACCCCTCTACCTTCGGGTATCACAAGGCAGAGTGTCTTGGACGCCTACCATAACCATGTTGAGATGATTGAGTTGAACCCGCTGGTCGTCGAACGTTATCAGTGCAAACCCCCAAGCTATTCACCCGAGGAGGAGCGCAAATCCACGTGGTACACAATCAAAGGTAGCTAAACGACTCTCTATACTAGTTTTGTCCTTGATTGATTGCTCGCGTTCTGTGGAAAGTGCTGACTGATGGTATGCAGATAAGGTCAGTTATCTGCCAGGAGGTTTAGCAACTGGTTCAGTATCGTACCACGCCTGCTTCCACGATCTTCCCGAAGGTCTTCAAACCCATGTATACGCACCCCTTGGACTCGACATTCGCGCCAAATGGACGGTTGGCGGATCCCTACCCGGAGAACCCAAAGAAGTTGTTGAGCTAGGCCTCAAAGCGCCTGTAAGCGGGCTCTATATCCGCGAAGATGTGCGCATGAGGTGCAACATCATGATGATGGGATTCGTCAAGAAGACGTTCAAAGAAAGTCACGCCAAACTGGTAGACAGGCTTGTCGAAAAAGCGCATGTTTTGGAAAGCGAGGCCGCCAACATGCGATTAAAGATGCTGAAGAACCTCGCACCGGGTGACCGATCAGGTCATGGGAGCATTTTCATCGCACCACCCCCTGGATATCAAGATGAGCAGTTACACGAACAGCAAATCCACTTGGAGGAAAACCAAAACAAGCACGACCATACCAACAAATCGGATACGTCCAATTCCTTCCAGTATCCACCATCGCAAGCATATTCCGGCCACCAAAGCATATATTCAAACAGCAGCAGCCAAAGCGGCATCCACAGCCCAGGTTCATCCCACGCATCCTCCACAAACACATCTGCCCGTGGTGGGGGGGGCAGTAGCTACCTCACAAGTCCCCCCTACTCGTCCAGCTCCTCCCAACGGCATTCCTTCCACCAACATTCGCACTCGCAAGATTGCGACCACCTCCGCCTCAACGACAAACACATCAACTCGTCCTTGTCCGAGCAAGAAAAACTAGAGCAGCAAATCAACTACCTCCTCCCTTCCACTCGATACGATCCCCATCAACCTGCTGCCGGCGCCCCCACCACCGTCACAATCACCACCCCGACCGCCAGCGAGAAACCTGAACCGCTCGCATCCCACCCTCCCGCATCCTCGCAGTACGGTCTTCTCCCCGCCGTAGCGTATAATCCAAACCAACAACAGCCTCAACGGTCGCTATCTAGCGCGCGTCGTAGAGCGAAGACGGAGAGTAGCGTGAATCGCTCGTTCCAACCCCCTGGTCCTCCCCCGACCGCCGAGTTGCCCGGTCCACCCGTTCCGCCAAAAAATCACATCACCGTCACCGAGTTGCCTGCTTGAGAGGCGACGTAGGGTTCGTCATGACATCACTGTATCTTGTAAGAAGCACTCGCACCGATCCGAAGTAACTGGTTCAGGCGTTTTTATCGAAGATGAAACACCTTCCCTACTACCCACATTCCCTTTTCTGTATTTCATTTTCTTTATTTCTCCACCGCATTGCCGCTTATCCCGTTTTTTTTTTCGTATCTGTATGCTCTCGCATTCTCCTATCTTTATTTTCTTCTTCTTCTTTTTTTGCATTGTTTGTTTCCCTTGTTTTCTTGCTTGCCTGGCTGGCTGGCACCATCAAAAAGAACTCGATAGATACCCGCACGCCTTCGGTGCATACGACGATGGAGAGAGAACGAGCAAACAGAGGGGTTTGAGGGGTCAAGGGTAGTAGATGTCGTGTTCATTTCAATTTATCCTCCTTCCCTTCTGGTCCAGCTTTTCCCTTTACTGGAAGATGGGAGGGGAGGGGAGGAGGGGAAGTGGATTTATGTATTTGTAGTAGTAGTCGTAGTAGCATAGGATAGAATAGGATCAGACACGATAAAGAGTGTTGCACCCTGGCCTGGCGCTGAAAGCAAAACGATCTCCTGTGGTGCATCCTTTTGAGTTACCGCCTGCTTTTTTGTGAAATCTTTTTTTTTTCTGTGTCTCAGTCGTTAGGTGTGGGAAAACACTTCGGCTTCCAATAAAAAGAAATTACAAGATAAAGATTTACGGTGTTGCGTTCCTTCTCCCACTCTAGTCGTGTGTGTTGTTGTTGTTGTTGTTGTTGTTGTTGGTGAAGGGTTCTAGATGATGCATGCAGCCTGCATCTATATATGTGTTGTATTCGTACTGCCTCCTCCCTTGTTGTTTTCACTCTGGATTGGAAAACAAAGTCATCGAAGACATCGACGGCAAGAACAGGATAAAAAAAGGGAAGCAATAGTCATAATGTTACAGTGTTAAATACGGACCCAAAGGGCAAAGACAGACAGTGGAGTAAAAGAACAAGATGAGCAGAGAGAAAAGGAAAAGCTTCACACCGGATCGACATGCGCCACCGAAAAACACCCATTTTTTTCTTCCTGTGATTCTTGAAAGATACGCATCGCCCTCTTGACTTATAATGTTTACCGCTATCAAAACATAAAGGAAAAAAAGATTTCCGTTCCCCAGCACCCTCCTAGATATCTCTCACACCCTCCAAGACAATCGAGGAAGATTTATCTTCTAATCTGTCATCTTCCAACTATCAAACCACTTGAGATGGCTCCATTGGGAACTTGGTCCGACCATACCGAAGCTGATTGCCCTGAACAAAACGAACAGGCCAATGACTGCCACATACAGAACGCCATGAATAGCCCAGCTGATCTGCTTGTTCAGCGTCCTTGTCATCCAATCGACACAGAAACCGGATGTCAAGATAGCGAACCAAAGGGCGGGATAGTAGTGGTGGACGTAAGTAACTCGGCCCATGGCAACGAACGGAATGTAGTGAAGGAACCAGCCAATAACTGGGTAGATGCCGGAGTAGTGGAAATGGTCAATGTCAGCGGGCTTCAGGTCTCCGTAGCCACGTTGCCAGCGGATGAGATACCAAACAACCATGAGTCCAAGAACACCAAGACTAGCAGTGCTGCCCCAGTAGACAAGAGGGTTGCCCAGAAGGAAATATTTGACGACTGATCTCATAGTTAGTGTCTGTTCGTGTATATGTTTCTATAAAACTTACTATCGTCATTCCACCCGCACATCCGAAGACCGACATGAAGGATGGGCCACTGCCAAAAGCTTGAGGCCAGGTCATCCTGCTTGTCTGGGTCAGGAACCAGGGCGTTATTGGAAGTCATCATGGCAACGTTCAAGTGGATGAAATCTTGGAAGAAGGGCGACTTGTAGGAACCAGGGTCACCGGCAGGAACTACAACATATGTGTAAGTGTCGTGTCAAGAAGTAGGATGAGGTAACTTACGCTTGTCATTGACGTGACTCTCAACATTCCAGTGAGTGTAAACGTCGCGGGGATTGTTCTCCTTCACACAGGTAGTCTCAATCTGCTTGAAACCCCATTGCGGCAAGTTAACATTGCCGGCCCGAAGGTAACAGTTCAAATCGGCGTGTCGGAGACGGAAAGACGTTGTCAGCGTGCGGATCTTGGAATAATCTCTTGAAGCAGCATCGCGAACGACCTCGATAACCCAGTGATCCTTGGTATCGCCAACTGTGGTGTTACCGTAGCATGAGACTTCCCAGTCGGCTTTGGTGACAGGAGCAGCAACTTGATGCGAGTGGAGGTTTCGGCCAGTCTGTGCATGAATCAAACGGATAGCATCGCCATTAGAAGGATAGCGGAGGGGCTCTTCCGTATCATACTCCGTGTCGTGACGGTTGGGATAAAAGAACCAGTCATTGTTCGAGTCCTTGTGGTGGTAGCAAGTAATCTGCTGTTGGGTCGAACCTTCGGGATATGTCTGGTGATGGGAGTGAAGGAGACCGCCTCCGTAGCCCATGTTCTTTAGAGTAGCGCGAGAACCATACGCAATCTCGAGCGGGCTATCTTTGCCCACCTCTGTCCCGCGAAGGTTGGCCTGGAAAAGCGAGCTCATCTGAGCGTCGCCGGGGCCGCTGTTCTCCAAGATTAAGAAGTGAAGGTAGAACGAGAACAGGTAGACGCAGAACGGAATCAGAATGAGACCAAACACGCGGAAAGCTAGGTGGGTGAAAAGCTCAATCTTGGGCATCTTCAGGTCGCCGAATTTGTTCCACAAGTCCTCAATGGTGTAGAGCCCAACCAGGGCAGTGACGAAGAAACCAACCCACTTGACGCTGGTCACACAGCCAATCGATACACCAAGAAGCATCAACCACAGACCCCATTCAGGAGAGAATGGATCATGCTGCTGACGGTGGAACTTGGACCAGCAGAAGACGGTGGTGAAAGTGAAGCAGAGGAGCATGGAATCGAGCAGGATGAAGCGACTGATGGTGGTGTACGAGTTTTCGAACAGAACCATCATGGTAACTAACCAAACAGTCGGTCTCCGGAAGTTCAGCTCTTTGGCTGTCCAGTATGCCAATGGAACACAGACAGCCCCGAAGACCGAATTGAAAAGACGCATGAAGGTGTAGTTCAGCTCAGGAGGATACGTTTCTCCAGATTTGAATTCAAACGACCCATTGTATCCAGCAAGGTATCCCGACAGACCGACCAGCATTTTTCCGAGCGGGGGGTGGACGTCAAAGTAGAACTCGCGCTTGAGATAATGAGAGCCAAACTTTCCGAAACTGCGATATATAGATTAGAGATATACGTAAATTGGCTCGGAGGGTAAATGCGTACTGAGCTTCATCCCAGGTTACGATTGGCGAGAGACCGATTTTCCACATGCGTGTGAAGAAGGCCAGCGCGGTGAACAGCAGTGGCGCCCAAATGAACTCGTACTCGTCAAGAACGGTCAGGATGCTGAACGGCTACCCATTGTCAGTACTCGAGATTCCGATTTGCTGGGCGATGCTCATACCTTCTCCTTAGACTTCTCGGCCACTGGAGTGCGCGCAACTGCTGGTGCGCCAGCAGAAGGTTGGCCAGCTACGTTCCTCCTCCGCAGCTCTTCCGCCTGAGGATCTGCGCCTGTCGTTTGCGCCGCGTTCGCCATGGTTCTGTGTCCGCCGAAGATACAACCCTCTGTAGCACAGGTTCCGTGGGATGAAGTAGTTGGACTCGGGGTTCAAGGGGAGAAGTAATTGGGTCGAGTCGAGTGGTATAGTAGTCGAAGTTGTTTGGGGGCGGAGGCGTATACTATATAGGCGTCTCGTTGCCCACGCTAATGAGTGGAAGAAGAGGGGTATTAAAAGGTGGATAAGAACCCGTCAAAGAATTGAAGGCATGCAAAGGCAAGGAGCAAAGAAAATGGTATTTCACTCCCTCTGCGAAGTTGAAGAGAGGTGGTCGGTCGGCTACAGAAATAGAAAATCGACCTAGATGTCGTGTTGGGGTGAGGGCTGAGAGCAAGGGAGGGGCGCTAACCATGCGCGGTAAGGGGGACGGACGCCGAAGAGGAAGAACACCTGTCATTGTCATCGCCTCACGTGTGTGAGTGTTTGTCAACCTCCGACGATTGCAGCAGCGTTGGACTGTTGGATACAGATGAGCGGCACCGTTTGGACAATGGTTAGATGAGAGACCTGGTGGTTACCAATCATGATCTTGGTGCACCATCCGTTCCCTGGGGAAGCCACTCTCACGAGCAATATCAAGGCAACTCTGCCCATGCTTATGCAGTCATTAAAGTAATCTATAATTGTATTCGTCCATTTCTACAGCCGCCCGGCGGGGAAAGGCCGGGGGGCCAGCACCCCGATATCCAGACAGACAAACTATAAAAAAAAATACGCTTCTACCATTCCTTATGCCCAGCAATAGATGTCGTGATCTGTTCTACTTCTTTCTTGTCTTACACCACCCATGTAATGCTCTACACAAGCCGCGGGTCAAGCATTGAATGCATGCTCTATTCGTCGTTATCCTCCTGTCCGACCCTGCGATACTTGCCGCTGTCGCCCTCCCCATTGCCTTTGCTCTTTTTCACAATATTGGATATCCATCCACCAATGCCTTCACCCTGGTCTGCTTCCTTCGACGAGGGCTTTCCGTCTTGGCTCCCTACCGTCTCAGGTGGCTCGATATCCAGGTTGGGAATAGCGGCTTCCGCAGCTCGGTTGCTTCGAATATCTAATGAGGGTACGGGCGAACGCGCGCTTCCGCTGAACAAGGATTCTGCTTCCGCAAGAGTTTGTGGCGTGGGCATAACAGAGGTGGCGTCTCCGAATATGGAGTTCATGTCTTCCAAACGAACATTGGCAGTTTCGGGGTATATGAACCAAACTGGTTTGACGTCAGTGAGATTGCATGGTTCGGGGTTTGAAGCAAGAACTTACCGATAACAAAACTGACGGCACAGAAAAATGCATGTATCAAATACAAACGCCATTGAATATGCTCCTGCAAGATGGGAGTCATTTCTCCCACCAACCAATTGAACGCCCAGTTGGTAGCTGTACTGAGACTGGCCCCCTTTGCGCGGATGCTCAAAGGCAGAATCTCGGGTGGGTACAACCATGGAATGGGGCCCCACGAGAAACCGAACGCGGCATTGTAAATCATGACGAAAATAACCACGAGATTGGGGGTCCAGACTGCTTTGAGGAAGATGAAGTACGATATAGCGGAAAGAGAGATAACCATGGCCAAAGCACCGGAGAGCAGAATCTTTCGGCGACCCAGCGTATCTACAACATACCAAGGCGGAATGGTGGAAAGCAGATAGGTTATAGCATTGATACCAGTCATCAAAATGGCTTGGCGACCGCGCCAGCCTGCTTCTTCAAAGACAAGCGGAGCGTAGTATGAGATGACGTTGATACCGTTTAGTTGCGCGAGGGCTTGAGCAGACATGGCGATGAAGACGCGTTTATAGTAGCGTCGGAACATATCAGCGTACGATCGTTCACCTTCCTGGCGTTGGAGCAGAACGTTCATCTTGATTTCTCGATATTCGTCACGTGCTTTGGGGTTATGGATGTCACCCTTTCCGTACAGATTAGCTATCACAACGATACCCTCCTCGTCGTGGTCATTATCGAGAAGCCATCTGCCTTTGGTCAGTCAAATACTGGTGCATTTTCAAGCGATTACGGACCTGGGAGATTCGCAGATGAGCAGACTTCCTGCAGCTAGTAGAGAACCCATAGCACACTGCATGAGCAGCGGAAGTCTCCATGACCAGTCATTCTTGATGAAGCTGCAGAAATAATCCACCCAAACACTGGCCGCATAACCGGTAATGTTGCCAGAGAACTCGATACAGGCGAGTTTGCCTCTGTTGTGGGGAGGGGAGATTTCTGACTGATACACCGGTACAATGGTGGACAGAGTACCAACACCTAGACCGGCAATGATTCGCCCCAACATCATCAAGGGCATACCGTTTGCAAAGGCTTGCAAGGCACCGCCAACAACGAAGATAATGGAACCCCACAGGATGGTTCTGCGTCGACCGAGAACATCGCCTATACGGCCGACAAGCAAAGAGGAAATGAAGGCTCCAATCTCGAGAATAGCAACCATCGTCCCCAGCTCGGTGCTGGTGGGCTGATTGAAGTAATCCTTGAAATATATACCACTGCGACCGTTCGTTAGACCAATTCGGGAACGAGGATGGAGGAGGACAGGACGACGCACGTAATGATACCGGACATGACTCCCTGATCGTAACCGAAAAGAAAGACACCTAATGAGACGAAGACGCTGGTGAAATAGCTGGAGTGCAACAATTAGTTTAAGCCTTTGAGGCGACTACCACTTGATCTCGACTCACATCAGCTTCTTGCCGTGTAGCCCGTGAATACGGGATGGCCCATCGTTGGGTGCCATGACGGCAGCGAGTATTTTTTCCGCCTTGGATATGGATCGAGGCCCGGGATCAGGTATTTCGATGTCCTCTTTTCGTAGCGTCGAAGTTCCTTTCTCGTTGATGCCGTCCTGGTAATGGACTCGCTTCTGCTGTCGTTTGCCCTTGGGTGCGTCGCCTTGGAGGCGGATGCGCAGAGGGTCTTCCTGATCAGCAAGCTGGTCGACGAGATCGCCCGTGTCACTCCAGAGGGAGAAGTCTGAATCTGAATCGGGGGTGTCGAAGGAAGAGTGGAGACTGTCTTTATCGTGGTCGTCGAGCAGATGGGCGGAGTCGGCGTTGCGGTGCCGCGAGGAAGAGGAGAGGGTGTGGAGTGGGATGTTCGCCGGCCTCCTGCTGTTGGAAGAGTGGGAAGGAATATTGAAGACGGAAGGGCTGGGTGGGAGCAGCCTCAACTCCACGATCAGGTGAAGGGTAGGGTAGGGCAGGTAGTTAGGGTAGCGAAGGTGGTTGTTGCAGCGGGTCACCTGCGGGCAGGGTTTGGACGAAGCGGTCAACTGGTCAGTCCGGTTTACATTGGGGTTGGCAAGCGTGGAGTGGGGACCAGGGGGATTAGTATGTAGGTAAGTTACAAGCGGGCCTTTCGTGACCAGAAAACCGAAGGTATCGAGTTAGTTGACTTTAGCTGGATGGATAAGTGAGTTACGTGAGTGGTTAGCAGCGGAAAAGTTGCATGCCATCAGCAATCGATTTCACTCCTGGCTGCTCCTTTTGCTGTCAGCCTTCGCCGCCAAGCCCTGGAGGACATCGGCCCGGGCTGATAAGCGGGTTGGGGAGACGCACAATGATGTCGATGTCTGTACACGGTGCATCCTGCCTACAGGCTACAGCATCTGTGTACTTGCTTGTCCAACCGCAGTACCCATCGCACGCATGCATTCCATGGCCATCGACGGGCCATCTTCTTTGTCATTTACAGTTGAGGATCAATGTCCTTGGTCGCGGGTGCAAGAGAGACGGACTGCGCTGCCATGGAGCTTCAAGCTAGAGGTACAGAGGGACAGTAGACAGGTACATGCACATCTAAATACATATACTGTGTGTACCTAGGCACTTATGCACCTGGAAATAGAGTGTGCTGGAGAGAGGTTTGCTAACAAAGATTGACTTCCAGTTTCCGTAGCGACAGGTACCGTGTCACGCATTCAGAGCAAGAAGCTGGGTGAAAGTGTAAACCAGTTTAGATGAGAAGCTTTCAGTACCTGCTTCTGCGCGTGATGTGCACGCATGCACGGGTCTGTTGCCCTCTGCGACAACGACTGACGGACGACCATATAAATATTGACCGGAGGGAGGATTGAATGCACGCGCACACGGGCCGATGACCTCAAGTGCTTGTGATGTCAGGCAAACATGCTGGTGATGGAAGGCGGGTAATGAGCGAGCTAGCTGCAACCACAGTTCATCGTATCCTTCATGCAAGGCATGACAGCTGAATGCGATGTTCCAGGGTCAACGCTGCTGGACGAGAGGTGGACTGGAGAAACAAACGAGCGGGTATATTGCGGTGGAGACGCAGCACATGCGTAAACTGGCACTTTGCCTACACGGTGTATAATGCCGAAACACGCATAACGTCGTTGATTGATCCGACTGTCGAGGCTTGGACCGACACACATTAAGGGTGAACGATGCGAGGAAACGTGCCACGATGTCCAACTAAGTGCACAGCATATACCCACATGGTGAATGGGGGTTTTTTTTTCTCTTCTTTTTTCGAGGACATGAATATGAATGATATGAATGACCAGCAATCGTACGAGCAATCAGAGCCCACCCCTTTCTTGGTGGCAGTCACACAGTGCCTGTTATGTACATGCCTGATTTGTACACTGTGCTATGATTAGTTGGGCTCTGAAACGAGGCTACGGCGGCTACGATTGGGTGGTGCACCTAAATCAATGCCTCTGGCCAAGCGAGCGACCTCAATCAATCTTCTCCCATCGTGCCACCGCGCCCTCGCGCCATCCAAACACTCGTTCCCTTTTTTCTTGCTTCTTCTTCTTCGTCGTCGTCTGTGTTTTCTTTTTCTTTCCCCTCCCCCAGTCGCCACGATCCATCGTTCATCTGCGAAGGCCGCGCAGACAACAAATCCTCGACAATTGATTGATCGACTGACTGATTGATCCAATTCGCCAACGACGCTAGGCGGCTCACTAGTCATTAATACCAGCCCCCCCTTGTCTGGCTTTCCCATCCCCCAGCAACCGCACAGAACACAAAGCAGGATTCACTGCCACGGTCGTCGGCCAGCCAGGCGCACATCATTGTCCACCACTCCCCCAGGCCATCCTCACACATCCACACATCCACATCGACCCAAACTCGCACACGTACCTAATTCCCCCGCTGCCGTTACCCTATCGAGCGACCGACATTCCTCTGCATCCACAACCACCACAGCCTTCTTGGGAGCATTCGCTCGCTCACGACACCACGCGCGAGCTTACGCGCCCTGAAATCGAGGCGAGCGAAGGAGCTCCTGCATCGTTCGATCCACAATGTCCGACTATGGCAAGTTCGCGGATTTCTGTAGAGATACTGGCAATCGCTGGTCCACCCTGCCTGGTATGTCTCTCCCACTGCTACATCTTCACTCACCATCAAAACTCCTCTCGCTAACTCCCGATAGTATGCTATGTATGTCGACGCCCATATCCCCCATCTGGACACCCCGTGCACCCATTACCATACTGACCTGAATGCGCAACAGCTCTTTGACCAAGCATCCAGCCGCGACAACACTGGATGGATCGGAGGCTGCGAATTGACCGGTATCCCTTTGGGAGGAGGTCGCAACCTGGCCAATCTGGGTCAGTCACAGCATCGCCGCTTGACCAACACGTCGTTGACATTTTCTTAGGGTCCATACTGGTCTGCGGAATTGCCATTTTAATTAGCGCCTTCTTGCTGTGGAGATCCGAACGGAAGAAGGCCGCGGTCGGAAGAAGGTATGCAGTCTTGCCGTCCTTTATCGCTCGCCCTCGAGTACTGACTTGCGCCCAGGGAAATGCAACTCTTCCTGCTTGGTTATATAATCGTTTCCATCTGCGAAATTTTCACAGTCGGAGGCTTTCCCCTCGATGGGGGTGTACGAAGGGTATGTGCCAGCCGCAAACATAGCCGAACACGTTTAATTGAATGACTAGGGATTCGTTGCCGCTCATCTCGCCGCTGTCGTTGCCACTCTATGGATTCTTATGCTCAACGGTCTTGTCGGCTACCAGCTCTTGGACGACGGTACCCCCATATCCTTGGGTCTGATTGTTGCATCTGCTGCTGCCTTCTTCATTGGCGTCGGCTATGTCGCCCTCGACACAGGCTTCAGCTGGACTGGGTTTTGGGACTCGAGCTTGTCAGGTGACAACCAAAGCTACGCTCTCTACACGTTGTACTTTCTAGGACCTCTCGTCTTCTTGGTCGTCTTCTTCCTCCTGGAGGCTTTCCTGGTCCTCCGTATCCTTGGGGAGCGCAAACCCATGAGTAAGTCATCTCCCAGGAATGTGTTTTCGCGGCTAACCACTGTTTGTCAGTGTATCTCGTTGGAGCCGCCCTGCTGTTTGCAATCGGGCAGATTTTCCAATTCGTGGTCAGCGTACACATCTGCACTGGTACCGACGGGAAGATTAATGGAGGCCTTTTTGAGACTTTGTTCACATTGCTTTCAGTAGTAATGATCTGGGTGTTCTGGTCCAGCATCACCGAGGACGACTGGCCTATGCCGCAAGTTGCAGGTGTAGGCGGATATTCGTGAAATGTGGAGGAAAGCAACAACGGGAAGTAATAATTGTAAAAGGAAATGGCGAAATTAATGTTTTATGATGTTCTTGTCTCTGCTTTTTTGTTTCCCAGCATAGCATTATACCACTCTTACAGGGGTCTGTCCGTCTTTGACGATACCTAGCGCAAGTAATGTAGTACTAAATGGAGAGGCGATGCAATCAATTGTGGCGCTGTGTTTCCTTGTCGATGGCTCAATCGGCTCATTCATGGCACGCGTCGGATTCGCGAATCACATGTCGAGTTGGCGAATCGGACCCTTGCGTGTCCGTCCCACCCTTCAAACCCCCCAGCCTACTGGCACAGCGCGAGCTTTTTGTTCCACAACATCGCAAGACCGCCGTTCGACTTCTTGGTCGCATTATACTAATTCTACTGCTGTTTGCTCTTCTTGTGTCGGAGACTGTTCTTATAAGAATCCTTTTTGAACATCATATTTTCAAGTTGGCCGGCTGAACGTCATTGGCGGTTACTTACTTTTTGTCCAACCCAATTTCAACTTGAACCCTTCTCTCACCTCCCACCGCACTCCCTTCACTCTACCGCTTGATGTCACACGCCGTACAACCGATGACCAAATAATCACCTAGTCGCCGACGCTTGTCTCTGTGTAGCACTGGAAGCATATACACATATCTGCTTGCCCGTAAACGCTCGTTGGCCGCTGGCTCCCCTCCTCCGAATCAACACTTTTGCCACCAATGGATTCGGACTACGACCAAGAAAGCGACGACGTTTCCGATGACGAGTATCTAGGAGCAAAGCCGACAGCTGCGTCAAAAGCAACAGAAGCCGGAGGCAGCAGAGCACAAAAAGCGTCCAAGCCGCACGCGTGGGCAAGGAGGGGCAGCACACCGCCTGATAATGAAGATGAATACATCCCAGAGGAGACACAGGGGCTTGAAGAAGAGGCGGTGCCCGAGAAGAGCATACAGCATATGGAAGAAGACAGGAAGCGTAAGCGGTACGTCACAATGCTGCGCAAACATCTGCGGTTGCGAAGGCACTATGAGCAAGTCTAATAACATGGGCGGATCAGGTTACGGAAAGACACAAAACCATTTCAGCGTGGAATCATTCGTCACGTTGTCCTAGTACTCGATCTATCCGAGGCCATGTTGGAGAAAGACATGCGACCTAATCGATACGCCGCCATGATCAAGTACTCGCAAGAATATGTTCGGGAATTCTTTGAACAGAATCCCATATCGCAGATGAGCGTTCTTGGGATGCACGACGGCCTATGTATAAGGGTCTCTGAGCTTTCGGGAAACCCGGCAGAGCACATCACGGCGATACAAGACCTGCGGACCCCACGGAATCCCGACGATATTCCAAAGGAGCCAAAAGGATCCCCGAGTTTACAAAACGCGTTGGAGTTAGCGAGAGCAACGTTATATCACACTCCAAGTCATGGAACGAGGGAAGTCATTGTGGTGTTTGGGTCGTTGTTATCACTCGATCCGGGAGACGTGCATCAAACAATCAAAGCTTGCGTGCGTGATCGAGTGCGCGTCAGCATCATTGGCATGAGTGCAAGACTCAAAATTTGCACAGAGATTGTGAGCCGAACCAACTCTGGCGATGAAAGTGAATACGTAGTCGCCACCGACCAAGAGCTTCTACGTGAGCTACTGCTAGCTACTACAACGCCCCCCGTGGTCCGCGCAACTAATGCATCAAGAACAGCACCAGAATCCGCAGCTGCGCTCATGATGATGGGCTTCCCGTCACGAGTCATCGAAGACTTGCCATCAATGTGCGCCTGCCACGGTGCTCTGACAACGGGAGGCTACACATGTTCGAGATGCAGCGCGAAAGTCTGCAGTCTTCCTGTAACATGCCCAAGCTGCCAACTTACGCTCCTCCTCTCCACCCACCTAGCCCGAAGCTATCACCATCTTTTCCCCCTGCGTAACTGGGCAGAAGTCAGCTGGCACCGCGCCCGCGAAGTAAATAGCAAAGAATGCATATCGTGCCTATCCCCGTTCCCAGAGCCTCCACCACTACAAGATGATGGGCCACTCTTCCCCACCACCGACTCCCAGGCCGGGCCCAACGGGCACGGTGTATCTGATATCAGGACTAGCAAGAACACAGCCCAACCAGAAGATGAAGACGCCGAGCAAAAAGCAAGTGAAAGCTCTCGATACGAATGCAGGGTGTGCGAAAGCCACTTCTGCATCGATTGTGACATGTTTTGTCATATGGTACTGCATAACTGCCCCGGCTGTTTGAGTAAGGTCAATCCGGTTGAGGTGCAGAACGGGGATGTGGACATGGCGGGGGCTAGTTGACGTGTATTGCTTGCCATTGATTGAGGAGCTGATGTGTGGATCACTTTGGACTTGCAGCTAGATCTAGAAGGGGTTTACGTGGTTCATTTTGGATTGGGGGATGGTTTTGATGAGCCGAAGGCGAGATGTATCTGATGCATGTGAAATTCAATGGCAGATGCCTTCTACGTTCATCCTGTTGTTTTGCACACGTATCGTATAGTGTCAACGTTACATTCACATATACAGGCGCCCGAAGGGAATGAAAACTCGGCGTCTTATCAGACCAGAATCTGTCTCACTCTCCCATGGTTGACAGAAAGCATTCGTCTTTCACAACAGTCAATGACAATTGTAAAACGGCGTAATCAACAGCACGACCCGTGTGAATCGCCCATCCATGCTGAGATCTGAGATATAAGGAATATTAATAACCCGGAAGACCATTCGTAGTGCTAAGTGACATAGTTGATTACCGATTTGGGTACTTAACATTACCCTCCGCTGCTTCCCCACTCTGTCAACAAGGAAACAGCGACCCATGGAAAGAGTTACCTACCTAGGTACATACGTACTTACCCATGGATCCCATCCGTCATTCCATACATTCGTCCAGATCAAGATCTATTTCTCACTACACCCACCCATCGTTATCTGTTCTCCATGACAGCATTACTCGAGTTCACATTTCTATCGTTAAATCCCGCACACGTTGATATCTACCTTACGCCGCCTATATGGAACAACAGTCCGATCTTCCCGAAGAAGAAGACGAAGAAGACTACCCCGACTTCCCAAGCGTAGAATACCCCGACGTTCTCTTTCTCACGGAACTTTGCTTGGGAAGACTCCAGTCCAGTATCGCCATTGTCGAAAAACAATTGGTCGACTTGAAAAAGCTGAAGGAGAATCCCTCGCCGACGGGATATATCCCCCCTGAAAAAGACTACATGGAGGTGGAAGAGAGACAGCAGAAGCTGCGCGAGTTGATGGAGGCATCAAAGGCGCTGTTGGCGAAACGGAAATTGACTATGCAGACGCAGCAGAACAGTTTGGCCAATTCGCGATTGGGGGCAACAGCGGAGATAGAGGAGGGAGTTGGCAGTCCGACTAAACGGCGACGGCTGCAGTCGAATACACCGGAGCTTGCGTCTGCTGAAAAAGACGCTGGATCTTCTGGTGGATAGCAATCACCCATTCCCAGTAAGTCGTGTCCCCAGTATCGTTTGCGCTGAACCTGTGCTGATCTAAGTCCACTACTCAGGTGAGCCGCACGAGGTACGGTTCCTGGCCTGCGATGAAGAACACCGGTTGAAGGAAGTCAAGACGAACGAAGAGGTTGATCCCGACAGCGAGCTGGTGGTTACAACGCACAAGATCCCCGGTCGGTTCGATGGTCATTGCCTTGGGCTCGACCGCATACACACGGATTGTATTCTCAGCAACGATACGATTGAAAGAATGAACCTGGTCATGGATGACATTGAAGAAGCAGAGTTGCACGAGGATCTCGGCACCTGGCTGGTGGGCTATGCCTCGCAAATGTTCAAACTGGGCTACCGAGTCACGGCTACTCTGGGGTGCATGGCGGATAAACGACGTGTGGACATAGTCCGCATCAAGCCGGATGCAGAAGCTCGGTACCATGCTAGAGGCATGCTGCAGCTCCCGGACATGTGCATGGAGGATGGTTGTGATGATGGCTGCCCAGTCAGTGCGGAGGTGGGCCAAAGGCGGCGGCGGATTCTACAAAGACTGGGGCAAGTGCACAAGGAGAATGAGAGGGAAAGGGAAACGCAGAGGGCAATAGTCAAGGTTCGAGCAGCGGCAGCGAGGTGTCTGGAGAAGGCTAAGCAGCAAAGTTGGGTGCAGAGTGATGTAGGGGGAGAAGAGGGTAATGCAGAGAAGGATGAGGCTGTTTGAGAGACAGACAGCGAAATGCTGGGTATGTGGGCTCGGTTAGGCAGACTACATGGATGGCATATTGAGTAGCAAAGCCATGAGCAATACAAAGTACATGTACATAATGTTATCAGCAAGGTGAATGGCGATAAGGAGGGAGGAGCGGGGCATGAGGGGTAGCTCAAGCAAGCCTCGAGCGGGAATGGTTGTCATGTCATCTTGCATGCTATGACATGCCACGGATGGGAAAAGCAGCGTGCAGGCACTTGACAAGCAAGGCTGCCCAGACGGTAGGAAGAGTAAGTAAGTACATGGACGGAGGTGGCAAGCAAGCAGTGCGGGGAAGGAAGTGAAACACGAGTCGATGGCCTCCTGTTTGGTGGATGGATAGCCGCGGAGGTAACCCCATGCAGCCTAAGAATGAAAGCGTTTCAACATGGCGGTGAGCTGTAGCCCGCCGCACCCTCTGCTGCTAGGCTGGCCCGTTGTCAAGGCACCTCCAAGTCGCTACTGTCCCGTCCCATGGCACCGCCGACGAGTAAATGGATACATAAGTATCTAGGTGAGTAGTTTTGGATACAGTTATTCACGCTTCCATTTTGTATTTTGCACTGCTGTGCTGTACAAATCCACGTACGGTGCTGTATCATGCTGTTGTCGGGCTGCATAATAGCTGCGGTGTGGCTGGTCAGCGCGATTGGTGGGTTCCATGATGGCAATCCTTCGTGGCCTGGGGGGGGAGTCTGCGGCGGTGGATGCGTTGTAGCACGGAATGACGCAGGCCCGTATCAATATGTACGTGTGGATGTATGTGCCTGTGTATTCGCTGGTGCTGGTGATGATGTTGACGATGCTGCTACCTGGGCCACAACCAGACTCCCCGTCGAAAGAAAATCAAAATCAAAAATTGCAACCCGGTCATGCTGTTCCCTGGTGATGGTGGTGATGGTGGTGGTGGTGGATGGAAATGGAATGAATTGACCAGTCGTCGATTGGGCTGGGCTAGCGATGCAGGTGCGCGGGCAGACAGGCAGGCAGGCGGCAGGACCCTCGTTTTCTTCGGGGCTAATCACCTGGCCTGGCCTACCGACGACGACGTTGAACTCTACATGTCCCTGTCCGTATGCTGCCCTTCCCGCACATACCCAGCCAGACACACTCTCTCACTACACACACACGCTACACACCCGAGAGTGCAGTGCAGCACTACCACCTACTTACCTACCATTTACCTACGCCGACTGCCATTTGCTGACATACTGGGACTTGCACTGACCTAACCATCCTCCTCCTCCATACCCTCCGACGACCTCCATCCCCGTCTCCTCCCTCTCCACACCTCTGTTCCCCAGTCTCTCGTTTTCGGGTGCTCCTTCTCCCCATCTCCCCTCCAGTCCACCTGTACAGACACTCGGACCATATCCAACCCAGTCGCACTGAGTGGAGCGCTAGAGAAGGAAAGGCAAAGCAACCTACAATCACCGAGCCTCCCCACCTCTCCCTCGACAAACCGATCCCCATCCACTTCTCTTTCCTCTGAACGCACCTCTACCGCCGACGAGGGCATTTGCCCGTGTAACTTTACCTGTGTGTGCCCGTCTTCCTCTCCCTGATCCCCCCTTCTCTCGCTGTCTGCCCGTCACCATGCCTCTCGTTGTCAACGAAGCCTAGCTTCTCACCGCCTCACCAACCCCAGTCTCCCTCTCAACCACTGACCCCACCGCCCAGTGTATTTCTAGCCCTCTCCGCCACAGAACCCCTCCTCCGAACCAAAACAAGACAAAACAAAAAAACAAAAAAACAAAAAAACACCTCCCTTGCCATGGCCTTCTCCGTGGGCATTGGGGACCGCATCAAATCCCCGCGGGACGAGTCGTCGTCGTTCGGTCCCCTCGCGAGTCCGCTACGCTCCATCGGCAACCAGATGGCCTCCTCCTCGAGCGATGCCCGCGGCCAGCTGCACCGACGCTTCACCACCAACAATATACCTACTTTGAGCACTCCTTTGTCCCCAATTGGCCAGCAGCGCAGGCAGGCTGCAGAGCCCGCCGAGTTTACAACTGCGGTACGTACATGGCTTCTCCCGCGTACATATCCCCGACAGCCGAGTCGCATGCATTACCGTGCAGCCAGACAGGCAGGCATACATACATACATGTACATACACTTCTTGTTCTCTCCCCATGCTTGTTCCTGCGCATCTGTAAATAGAGCAATATCAAGAATACGAAAGAGAAGACGCGAATTTGAATCCGGGGCTGACTAGTTTACAGACGTATCATAAGCTTCAAGTGGTAAGTTGCACCTCAGTTATTTGATCACCTTTCACCTTCACCTTCACCTTCACCTTCACTTTCATGTTCCCTCTTCTTTCTCACTCTTCACTTTCCTCTTCACTTTCCTCTTGCTGCATAGCAAATAGTGTGTCAATCTCGCTAGCGAGCTACGACAACTATCTCCCCCACTGTCTCTCTCTCTTGCTCTCTCCCCCTCTCTTTCTCCAACAACAATCTGTCTCTCTTCTCTTTCAATCACTCTGCGTCTTTGAAGAGCTTGGAGTCTCGTCTATATATTCCAATCCTTTGTCAACTCTCAATTATACCTCTTTCTGCCAATGTCTCTTTGGCTGTGCGATTCCACTGCTGATAGCGACCCTCAGCTGGAGAAGAAGAAGCTGGAGTACGAATATCTAAAAGAGCAACGCCGCCGATTCGAAGCAGAGATGGAACTCATCGATCTGCAGTCTCGTCGCGACGAGGAAGAGATCAACCGCCTATCGACCGATATACGATACGGCAAGCATAGCCAGCCGACTACTCCTCCCGAGTACAGCAACGCCAGCAAGGGTTTCCCAACTTCTCTGTCACGCCCCAACCGATTCAGCATGTCCAGCATCAACGGATTGACCACTCCTCGTAGTGCCCACTCGGGTTCCCAGCTTGCGTCTCCTCCCTCGGCGCCTGCCAACACCAATGGCTTTCTTTCAGCAAAGTCTATGCCGGGCTCACGCCGCAACTCGGATGAGGATGGTGATGACTTTGACAACGACGATTTCAACCCTCCCACGCAGTACAGGAAGTAAGTCAATTTCCCAAATACCCCGCCTTCTGGTGTGTGCAGTTGCCAGCTGTCATGCTCTACAATCTCCTTTTACCTTTGTTTGTTTGGTGAGCACGTGCGGCTGCCAGCTGTTGGCTGTCGTGCATCCAATCTCCCTTCACGTCGTCTTTTTGGCATGTGCAATTGCAGCTTGCTGTAGCCCCTCTGTTTTTCCCCCTTCACCCTCGATTTCTTCCCGTGCGTAGCTGCCAACTACCGCGGTCAGCCCCTCTTTACCACTGTATTGACTTTCGAAGCACCAATCGCATGTCTATGCCTGCCAAATTCGAGCGAGGACTTCCTGCTCTGGCTGACGTTCTCGGTACCATCGACACCCACGCATATCTGTTTGACGACGACGAAAACCAGCAAAACCATCTCTCGTCTCCGGAAGCAAAGTCATATCTGCAGATGAACACCACCGACGACAAGTTTCCAATCCTAGTACGTCGTAACGCAAACGGTACCAACATGGAGCTATCTGCTTCGTCTGCCGCTCTTGATTTGGCCCTTTCACAGTCACCAGGTCCAGACAATCAGCCCAACGGATCGAATGGATGGTCTGCCCGCCACCGTCAGGCCCAGCAGTCACTCCCAACCAACACCTATCGGAAGGCCTCGCAAGTCGAAGAGTACGAAGCCTCCAAGGATTCTACCCCACCATCCAAGGCTAACGGCAATCGTCGTTCTGTTGAGTTCAGTCTTAGTCCAATGGCGTCTGCAGGCAAGCGATCCAGCTTTGCAAAGCTTCAGCAGTCTTTCTCTAGCAATGACGTCCCGACGCTGAAGAATGGAGAGGGTGCGAATGGCATGAATGGCAACAGTGTCAACGCCCACGCTGAACAGCATCTACACAATCACAACGCTGGTCTTGGTCGAATCCCGCCAAACGTCATGAATCGCCACAGCCGTGAGCTCTCCAATGGTTTCAATTCTGGTCTCCATGCGAGCGCAGCTCCATTTGGTCCTGCCATTACCTCAGCTGCTCCAGGCTCGGTTGCTTCCACGATTGGCTCGCCTACCATGTCACAGTACTCTACTGCCTCTACCCCAGCTCCATATTACGGCTATGGCATGTCGATGCTCAACAACGCAATGGGCGGTATGTCTTTGGGTGGTGCGCCTGGAAATTACAACGGAAACTATAACCAGAATGCCATGTACAATCCTCAAGGTGGTATGACGACTCCCTTCTATGGAAGCCCTTACGCTGCCTATGGTCCCAATGGTCGTGTTCAAGACAGCCAAGCACGCGTCATTCAGAGCCGTCGCATGCAGAGCGATGCCAATCGTTTCGTCAACTACGATCTCAAGACGATGCCCCGTACAGAGATCTACGCTCTTTGCAAAGATCAGCATGGCTGTCGTTTCTTGCAGAAGAAGTTGGAGGACCGCAACCCAGAATACCTCCAGATTATCTTCGACGAGACTGCTGGTCACGTTGTTGAGCTCATGACTGGTAAGTCTACCGCGATTGGTCTCAGAATCATGTTCCGTATTAACAATGCTTGCAGATCCATTCGGCAACTACCTGTGCCAGAAGTTGCTTGAGTATACCAACAACGAGCAGCGCAACACGCTGGTTCGCAATGCCGCGTCTTCTCTGGTCTCTATTGCTCTGAATCAGCATGGCACGCGTGCTCTCCAGAAGATGATCGAGTTCATCTCCACCCCCGAACAGGTATGTCTCCGTGTAGCATCTTTTGAGAGGTTGGTCGCTGATTGAGTCTAGATTCAAATGATTATGAATGCTCTACGTGATCAAGTTGTCGATCTCATTCAAGATCTCAACGGCAACCATGTCATCCAGAAGTGTCTTAATCATCTCAAGGCTGAGGACGCTCAGTTCATCTTCGACGCCGTTGGCGAACACTGCATCACCGTTGGAACTCACCGTCACGGCTGCTGCGTCCTCCAGCGCTGCATTGACCATGCTTCCGGCTTCCAGAAAGTCCAGCTTGTTGGTCGCATCACGGCAAACAGCTTCAATCTTGTCCAAGATCCTTTCGGCAACTACGTTGTCCAATACATCCTTGACTTGAACGAACCCAGCTTCACCAACCCTCTCTGCCATGGCTTCCAGGGCAAGATCGCCGAGCTTTCCAAGCAGAAGTTCAGCTCCAACGTCATTGAGAAATGCATGCGATGCGCCGATGGCCCTACCAAGTCTATGATGATTGAGGAGCTCATGGACCCCAACGAACTGGAGAAGCTCATGCGCGACTCTTACGGCAACTACGTCATTCAGACTGCCCTTGAGTTTGCTCCCGCCGAAATGTGCGTTCATCTCATCGACGCCATGCGTCCCATCTTGCCTGGCATTCGGCAGACTCCCTACGGTCGTCGCATCCAAGGCAAAGTTCAAGAGCGCGAGTCTCGCCTTCATGTCTTCACGGGTCGTAGTTCCGGTCACGGTACTCCGCTTCAACTCACAGCACCTCCTTCCGAGCAGATCCCTGCTTTTGCTGGTCAAGTCTCTGCAGGTTACCCTGGCGCTCCGATGTACACCAATGCTGCCACTTTCGGTGCAAACATCGTCTCTCCTCAGCCTCATCGCTTGAGCAACCCGCCCCTTCCCTCTCATCTTCAGAGTTCTGTACAACAACAGGGCTATCAGACTTATGGAGGTGCCTCGGCCAATGTCAACGGCAACGGCATGGGCAACTTCTTCTAAGAGTTTGGTGGTCACTTGACGAAGTTACGATCTAACGACTCACGGCTGCTTCGCTCGTCTACATTACCTGGCATCGTCCATCCGTACACTTGGACCCAGCCCAGTGTTGGATCCGCTATGCCAGGGCGATTTCCTCTTATTTCACGATCGTGCCTGAGTCGAAGCAAATTTCCTTGCGCTACTGTTCGCCATCTCGGTCATTCGCGCCATTTGGTCGACTAGCAAACACCCGTCTTGTATAAGTATCTTTGCGACACAGGAGCATATTCAGCTTCGGCCTATCTTGCCCGTCATGCTGCGGGTGCGAAAAAGGTCGGCACGGTCATCGTGCTTTCCCACTTCAGCCCTTGCGTTCACTGTACCATTTGCCCTTATCACAGCTGCACATGTTCTGCCCCTTTCTGCCCCCTTTCAATACCTGTTTTACTTAGCCTCGCGAGCCCTTGCCTATTGCATGAATGTTTGCCGCGCAAGGGCAGTGCGAGATTTTACTTCCCTTTGTTTTCCCCCAAAATCCACCATGGCAGAGTTTGGAGGGAAGATTGCTGGCTTGTTTAGTCTCACGACTTGATCGTGGTGTCTTATCGAAGTGGTCCTACCTTTATGGTAGAGCTTAGTACGTATTTGAATGACACTACCCATATTGACCAAAAGAAAAATGACGTGAAACAAAATGCTACCAATCATGATATTAATTTGAGAGTGGCCTATCAATGTGATGGAATTTGTTTGGCGGCGCCAAGTAGGGGCATGACGAGTAGCCCGCCACCTTCCGCTTAAGAAAGAATGATGTTATGAATGGCTGCATTCCGTGACGACCAACGCCACGCCGCACCACTCAACATCCCCGTCCAGCCCTGATCCACTATCAGACCCTCCCCAGCATTCGACCTTCCCTTTTCTTCACCACTCCGTGCTATTCACGTAATCCTCCCCCGCTGTCATCTGCGTACCCACTGCGTTAAGTACATAACTGACTAGGCAGCCGACAGCCTATACAGACAGACAGAGTCAACCTACCGCTCGCCCAACAAACACACCATCACCTTGCACAAGCTAGACACCACCATGCGCTTCACCTTGGCCAGCTTCCTCGTCGCCGTCTTCTTCGCCATGACTACCGCTGCAGTAGTCCCCATGCACAGCGTCATCATCTCCTTCCCAGCCGACGCTCCCGATCATCTACTACAGCAAGCCAAAGATGCCGTGATCGATGCCAAGGGCAAGATCACCCACGAATACAGTGAGTCGCCTTTCCGCCTCTCTCCACGAAACCCAGTGAAGCAGTGCGATGGCTAACGGAGGAATCAAAATCAACAGACATCATCAAAGGTTTCGCCGCTGAGCTACCCAAGAGCGCAATGGAAACCATCCAGGCCATGGACGCCACCTGGCCGGCGCTGATCGAGAGCGATGGACTTGTCACGACACAGGGAGACAAAGGAGACAAAGTTGGTATCTTCTAGAGAGCGGATACCGGGTTATGAGAAAGGCGCTTTGGATTTAGGGAAACTATAATGAATTACGGAATAGGCGCACTGGAAATGGGTTATCAACATGGACTTTTTGCTGTGGAGGAAGGACACTCGTTCCCGTGATGGATTCTGATGCGAATCGTGATGGGGAGTATCAGTATGTATGCGTCAACAACGAACTTTGGCACCGCACTTCACAAAGAAAAAAAAACCAAACACATCCATCTCTACATGCATGTATACATGGAAATTGTTGGGTGGTTGCTTCACGGGAAATGACGTGCATCTGCTGCTTACGGACGGCTCCCGCACTGCATCATTGGCCCCCGGCGGTTTAGAAAAGGATGGACCAAACTGGGCGAGAACATCTTTGTTTGAAGGGTATTCTCGCGTCGCAAATATAATATCTTTATTCATAATATTATTCGATCTTGATGAATCTCATTTGGCAGTGGCGTGCGAGGACCCTGCATGCATTCCTATATGCAGTGCTGTGGTGGTGACTCCGGTTGCACTCAAGCATGGAAGTGTGGGTATGGCTTACTGAGGCTCCGCATCCTTAGCCGCAACTACCTTGCCAGCCGAGTACATGCAGTACCCACCTGGCGATACGTTAGCAATAACATGTTGTACCCAGCACAGCAAGCAACTCACATACGATAATCGCCATAGAACCCAATGTCCCCAGTCCAGCTCCCATAATGCATACAAGCCATCCGACCACTGCAATCACGCCTCCGACACGTATACCTTCCATCACCGCCCGCAAAGGCGGCTCCTGAGCCGCTACGCTCCCCCCGCAATTGATTACTGCATCGAGAGACGAAGATCAACATGGACGACTTCAAACCCGATCTGCTCAAGGCCTTGCTGGACTGGGTATGCTCACGTCATACAGCTACCTCATCTTCACTTACTAACGATGGCTGCTGTGTTTCTAGGTCAACACCTTTGACCTGCCTGGCAGGGTCACCGCTTGGAACCAGCTCGAGGATGGCCAGATACTGTGGCAGATCCTCTCCGATATCGACTCCGAATACTTTAATGACTCTCTCCCCAACCTCGACGAAGGCGTGGACCGCCGCCGCTCCATCACCGATAGCTGGATCCCGAAATGGCAGAACCTAAAACACATCGAGCGAGCCGTCTCGACATACCTCCGCGAAGAATGCGAGAAGCTGCCCGTGCTAAGCAGGCGCATGATACCTGACCTGAAGACTGGCGCTAGGGACGGCTCCATGATGCTGACGGCGAAGCTGACCATGGCTGTGCTGATGGCCGCTTGTACAAGTCCCAAGAGCGGCGAGCGTATGTTGGGCGTCATGGCACAATTGGGCGAGTCGGCCAACACAATTGGCCGCGGCATACAGGATCTATTGGAATTGGACAAGCGTATGGCCGACTTGGGCGTCGAAAAGGAACTGACCCCAGATCCAGCAAACCTCTCAGGCTACAGAACACCTACCAGGGCAGTCTCGGGCGCGGGATCGACGGTGGGAAGGGACAACGACTTGGAGCAGGAGGCACAATTGTTCGAGGCAACCAAAGAACGGAACGCGCTGAGGAACCAGGTCAATCAATTGAAAGAGGACACGGAGAAAAGCAAGGACAGGATCTCCCAGCTGGAGGAAGAACTGGTCGAAGCCCGGTTGCATCTTGATGACCGGGGAGCCAAGGGAGCGTCTTCAGACGATGTTGAAAGACTTCGAAATGACCTACTTCGCGAGCGACAATACATCGACCGACTGGAAACGGACCACGCCAATGCCAAGGATGTGATAGAAAGCTTGAAGAAACGCGCTGCAAGATTTGAAGCTGAGCATGATGCAAAACAAGAACTCAAGGATCAATTGCAGCTTGTCAGAGCGGAGCGCGACGAGCTAGAGAGGAAAGCAAAGGCCAACGAGAATCTTAAAAAGAAGATTGAGTCTTTGTCAAAGGAATCTAAAAACTTGGAAGCCGTGAGGCAAGAGTTGCAGCTGGCCAAGGAAAGGTTGCTGGAGCTCGAAGAAATCGAAGAAAAATGTGTGGCGCTCGAGAAGGTCAACAAAGAGAACATTCAAACCCTCGTCAACTCTGAACAGTCCATCTACGAGGAGAAGGGCAAAAGAGGTCGGCTCGAACACGACAATCTCATGCTCATGAAAGAGCTGGAGCAAGCTAAGGAGTTTCAATACAAAGCCGAAGAAGCTAAGCGAGAGCTGGAGGATCGCATTCGGGAGCTAGAATCGTCTCACGGTGGGCGTGGAGGTACGCTGGAAGATGAGCTTGAGCAAAACGATAGCACAGATCATCTCGATGTACCAAATAGTGCCAAGGCATCTGCAGACTACAAAGTCAGCGCAGACTCAATCGCGCTACAGCAAAGAGTCGAAGTACTTACAGCAAGGCTGAGGAGCATGGAGGCGGAGACACTCAAACAGATGCAAGAGAATCTGGGTCTCAAGAGTGATATAATGACCAATAAGGACGATCAGAGCCAGAAGTATGTTTCCTCCTCTCTCATCGACCAGCTTAACGCCGTTTTCACTGCTAATGCCTCTTACAGACCGTTTCTCGAGCAAAACGAGAAGCTTCAAGCTGCAGAAGCCGAGCTTCAGGAGCTTGAAGGGAAACTACGCGACAAAGATTTGCAGGTAGCAGAGCTGCAAAACAACCTCAACAAGAGTATGTTGAACCTGAATAGCAATACCAGAGAAACATGGCTAACAGATCATCAGAGTCCGACCTGTCCGAGGAAGAAAAGGCCACTGCCCTTCAAGCAGAACATGACCGGCTCCTCGCTTTGCAAAATGCTGCGAACCAAAAGTTGCGCGAAGTCGAGATCAGCAAAGACGAGGCGCGGGCTCTTCTCCTCCGTGCCCTTCTCGACCGCGATAATTTCAGCCCTGACCTACTCGAACTGCAAAGAGAGGAGACGTTGCGAAGGATCAAGGATCAAATAGAGAGTGTGGTCAGAGCGCCCAGTGAGGTGCAACCGCAGGTATTGGACGTCACATCGAACGAGATTGCAGAGACAGTGGGCAAGAGTAGAGCAGCCATGGAAACTGTCAAGAGGGTAAGCAGCCGACAGTTTCTTAAAGAGGAGCTCGGGTCGCCAGGGGGAGCGCAGCCTGTGCCCGTAGCGTCGACGCAAAAAGATGCATCGAGTTTTCGATCAAAGCAGCTCGAGGTATCGGGATCTGCTTCAACCCTTGTGTCAACACCAGGAAAAGGAAAGGTCAAGTCAAAGGAGTATGACGAATCCATGTCAACCTATAACGCATCGACTCCTGTATCCATACGCACACCGATGAAGACTTGGGGTGATAGCCTGGCCAGACTTATGAGATCACCGCGTGCTCGCAAGGGACACAAAACGGTGGCAGATCAGCTGGGTCAATCTACCTATAGCTTCGGCATGACAAGTCTTTCTCTGGTGTGTGGCTGATACTTGCGGACTGTGTTGTTCGTTGGCACGGCTGTACTTTGCACTTGCCCTACCGCTTCTTGCTTGCATATATTGGGACGGCAGATCCATTGTTTTCAAGGTACATGGTTCACTGACTAGAGAAAATAGGATCTCGAAGACCAAAAGGCTACCACGGACAAGCTTCGTATGGAGCTGGAGAAAGTCAAACAAGAAAGTGCAGAGAAGGGATCGGTATGTTTAGACCCTCTTGTTCATAGTGGGAGTTATTGGGGCTGTCATGTGTTTTCACAACACTGGTTGCCCACAGTTTATGCCCGCTATTCCCACTCTGCATGTGTCCGAACTGTGCTAATCAAGGTTTCCCCCCAGGCTGAACTAAATGCTGAGGTCGAGAATCTGCGCCGCGAGAACAAGCTCATCACATCTGCCTGGTACGACATGACTACGCGGTTACAGAGCAATACAGTTATCCTACAAAGGAAGAGTGAGGCACCTCGTAGTTGGCTAGGGAAGCAGAGAGCTGCTGTTGGTAATGCCACAATAGTAAGTCTCATCTTTGCTCCAACGCTGGAACGGTTTTTTCCCCATCATGACCCATGAATTGCACGCTAACTAGTTTGTGTAGGGTAGTTTAAGATAATGAAAAGCTGTCTAGTGACTGATGTTTGTTGAGTACATTCTCCATTTTTTGCCGTTTTGACAGGTATTGGCAAGTGATAACCTTGTAGAGCAATCAGGACACTGGGTAGATGGAAGCGATCAGTCTGGACCAGAGTATATACACATGTCCATGCTTACGTCAAGTCTACTCGATGTGTGCCTGACTACGCCTATGGACGTTGGGGCGTAGCCATTGATGCATGGTGTTGAGCGGCTCTACGCTGGCATCGTGAACAATGCCCCACTGTCCGCTTGCCTGTCGGTTCCATTTAGGAAGAAATCGGTAAGAATGACTACATAGGTACTGTATGACGCCCACATGTCCATAACTAAAACCTGAGGCAAATAGACGTTGGCATGTCTTCGCGATAGCCACTTCGAGGCGCCCAATTTACGACCCGCTAGGCCGGGTTCGGATTAGCGTTCCTGCGCGCAGCTTCCTTCAGGGCTTCCAGGTACGTGATAAGACGTATTCACACCGGAATTTGTTGCAGTCCAACAATAAGTCGCAAAGCCCCGTTCGTTGAAGGCTGTGGGAGGCTGTTTCCTCGCTCCTGTGTGTGGTAACATGACATCCTCTCTCCACTAATCTGCATCTATCCGAATCACAGATACCCTAATCGACCAAACAACTGGCTTCTGCCAGCTCCAGGCGTCCCTTACAAATGCTTCTTCACTAACTTTGCTCTACCAAATCCTCCAATTATTCTTTCACTACTAACCACCGCAAATATGGCAGAGCCTGATATGGTACTCATCTCGGAGCTTCTGGAGGAAGTCTCCCGGAACCCTCCCGCCATTGCAGCACGTAAACTACTTGTCGAACATTACTTCACTGTCGGATGGCTCGACGCGGCCTTGGATGAGGTTACTGAGCTGGAACAAGTTGCACCGTCGGATCCCGAGATTGCACGGTTGGCGGGAATACTCAGACGGAAACCACAACCATCCACCCAAAACACACCTGTTACCTCACAGAAGACGCGAGCCAATCCCGCTGAGCTCAAACCGAACATGATGAGAAACAGAACTAGTCAAAAGCCTCCGCAGCTCAATGATGATCTCGACGTCGCAAAGCAGGATTTGAAAAAGGGGTACACAGCTCTTCGCTCAAAAGCAACAAATATACTCGCCAACCTTCGGCGACTATCCCATCTTCAGAAGAATTCGGGAGTCGCACAACGAATAGATACGACGAGAATAGAAGCTGTCAGTCAAGGTGCAGGAACGGAACCGACGGCACAAACGCAGCAGCCTGTCAGCGTCCGAAAAGCTGCTCGCACTATTGCAGCCGACCCAAACAAAGCGACTGACTTCGTGATAGCAGACCTTGAAGCTATTTTACAGCAAGCCCGCGGATTGTATCAGACTGCAGACGACGACACAATTCGAGATATGATGGTCAAGAGGGTCCAAGCATTGGACTCCAATCTACCGGAGAACCTCAAGATACACACCGAACTCGGACTGATGCATGTAGTGCACGAAAACATGAACAAGACATACGCGAATGACGAAACGATGTTGGGCGATGAAATTGTAGACATACCACGCAAAGACTTCTATGTCACGGAAGATAATTATGCTTGGGATCTGACGGAGCTTGTCAACGCGATAAAGGCAAATGGAGGCGTGATGCGAAACCCTCTAAGCAGGGGAATGTTCACACCAAAGGATGTTCGAGGAATTCTAATGCACCCAGACGGGAAATCACTCGCGGCTCTCCAAATTCAGCAGCGCGATATGGCGAAAGGCGTGCGGATGGCGACTATTGACGAGATGGACAAGTTGGCAGTGATCTTACTACAAGACCAAAGCTCGGATCAACTCCCTAGTCGACGAGCAGTTGATCAATTCCTAACATATATAGCGACTTGTGAGTATTGACGCCATTCAGTACTTGAGTCAAGCTAACAATGACAGTGCCTGAGCAAGAGCAGAAAGCCATCGATGGCTTGCGGTGTCCCGCGACAGACTCCCACACTGGAGTTACGTACGACTCCACAATAGGAGAATCTGTGAGAGATGCAAAAGGAAATCGGATCTGTTTCCACAAGACAGGTGATTACATTCAACAAGCGGCAAACCATCTGCGGAAGTATCAAGGCGTCCCTCCAGCCCCGAAATGTAGCTTGATGTAATGTGGACGGGCGGGAGGTTACTATGGGCGCTGCTCAGACATGCAAGATATATCAGTTGGAAGACCTCACAATTCTGATCATTACAAAAGGAATAAAAACTCGATGGCGGAGAGGAAGCAAAAAAACAATAGTCATCCGGCATTCTCGTGGCAAACTACAAATGTTCGTGATGCATATCTCCCAATACCAACCTGCCTAAAAAAAAAAAAGAGCTGTGCCTCAGGCATCGCCGAGCAAAGCGCTTGCCTGATCAAGAAGATGTCTGGATACGCCCAGCCACATTGTAGAATGTGAGCGGTTCGCCTGTCGATGCCGGTGAGGTAGTAAGCCTTGCACCGCCTACTTGGACTGCGCCGTACGCATACGGATTAGTCAAGTACCAACTCAACTATGATCGAGTCCCTTGCAGGATATAGTCACTTGTACTTGGCTAACATGCCATCAATAGCGAATGATCTTTTGTTTATGACCCGTTCGAGTTCTATATGCATGTTGCGGACGCCTGTCGGTACCTCTCTCCTGTGCACCACCAACTCCCACAGTGGGTATTCTTGAAGCTCAACACGACCTGAAAGCATTAATTCAAAAATATTCCTTGATTAAGTTCTACGACTGTCCTTTTCCAAGGTGGTTGTTGCCAGCTCTCCGCATCGTTCTCAAGTCCGGTACAGTGATCTCAACACCTTTGATGTCGCATGTCATTATCCACCCCCAGTGCCGGCCTAGCGATGATTGGTGTGAGTACCATTTCCGATTCAGAGTAACAATCTAGCTGAGTTCCTTAAGGTTGACAACGTCAATCGTTCCATGCAAGGCCATCTTACCCTCAACGGCTATCAAAAGATGGCTCCACAACAGGCACAACTCCATCCCATACTCGACATACTAGAGCCCGGAACTCACATCGCCTCCCTTCCAAGACCAAAATCACTCTTCAGGCGCAAAAAGCCACGCCAACAATGGCACGAAGACATCGTCATCACCGCGGGTACTCTCCTACCATCAGACGCCCAATTCCCTTGGGCATCCCTCCGCCAGCACACCGAGCAATACCTCAAGAGCAAAGGCAAATCCACACAAATCAAGACCGAAGCAAAACTCATCTCGATGATCGAATCCCACGGGCAAAAGGAAATCGCAATCGCGGCCTGCGCGGCCCTCATCTCGCCCTCGTCGCTCCGCGCCCTCCTAAACGTCGAGCTGAGCGTCGCTCGCTCGAGCTACCTCGGTTTGGAATCGTACCTGCAGTCGCTCATCGCTGCGAACTACTACTCGACAAACTCCGTCGCGGTGCTTGAAACCGCGTGGGCGAAACAGACGCTGCCGTATGTGACAAGGGGTGCTAGCGCCGCCGGGTCGTACCTAGAAGGTGTATGCTCTCTGTTCGATTTCACGCGCATCGCGGATCTATCTGGCCTTGCTAATTTCGACGTCCTTGCTCGCCGCGCGATCCGCGATTTTGCCGTCCAGCTCGAGAGTTTGCGGTTGAAGTGTGATTGGGTGGCTGCGTATAGCGCCGTGGCTTGGATGAAGAAACTCGAGCCTTATCTTGATGTCGAAAAGGCTGCTATAAAAGGGAAGATTACGCCTGCGGCGCTGTTGGATGGGCAGTGGCCAGAGTGGAGGGCGTGGACGAAGTGGGAACCAGATTTTGATAATCTGGCCGTGATGACCATGGTTAAGCCCGAGCAGAGGGGGATTCTGATTGACTACATGATGTTGGAGGGGCCGGATTTTTATACTTCGGCGGAGAAGTGTTTGAAGGATGCGGTTATTTCGCTGTATAGAGGGCTGAATATGGTGACGTGTTATCGGAGTCTGGTCTTTGAGGTCGCGATCGGCGTCAAAGATCTTGCGTGGATCATGGGCACCATGTCGAAAGCGTTCAAATTCGCTGTCGAGAACGGAGGGAAGCCTTTTGAGCTGTTTGCCGAGTTGATTCTCAGGCAACGGATAAACAGGCGCACCATGGAATTGCTCGACGCGACCAACAGGGTAAAGGACTCGCCGACGTGGGATGTTCATGCAGCAGTGCTCGATATGACTGTCAACGGTAATCCGTCTCTTGGTGCGAAGAACTTGACTTCGATACAGCACTTGATACGCGCCGTGGACGATCCATCCGGGAAAGACCTACAAGATTTGATCTTGGACCCCAAAATAATCACCGGAATAGAAAACTGCGTCAAGGAGTTCCAGCCCCTCCTACAGACTTCCATCGATCGCGGAATCTCATGGAAATCGCCCGTCGAACGTCTCCACGCGTTCTGCAGCGTTGCAAAAGCATCAAAAAGCTGTTTACTGAGAGTGAATGCGAATGTCAAACGTATACTCGAAACGCTACCTACGCAAGAAGAACTCGATATACTGGTCGATGTCTACGCTGAGGCTTCACTATGGAAAGACTACGAAGCCGAGCTACGTTTTGGAATCGGAAGCTGTGCGGTACCAGAATCCATTGAAGCATGGGTCATTGAACATTTCATCCACGAAGGAGCTGTGTCTACTTCCTCGCGGAGAACCGTACAGTCCATCGTAAAAGTCTGGCAAAGTACAAGGGAGGAAGAGGATGAGAACAGGCATAAACGACAAACACTGGCACTTCTGGCATCGAAAGTCGTTGTTGCCCTGGATAGCGAAGTTCAGATTTCGTGTCTCGAACAAATCACACGGATGCCTGATGACTGTGTTGACCGGTTGCTGGGCTTCTTCAAACTCTACTTCTCCGGAGACAGCAACAACACAGGGTCTTCTTGGCCGTCACGTATCCAAGAAATAAGCTGTATGCGCTTTGTATCTCATCTCGCAAACAACGAAAAGGAAGACCTGGTGCAATGCTGGAAGCCTGTGTTGTTCAAAATGATGGAAGTGCTCCCACACAAAGACCTCCTAGACTTGTCACTGGACATTCTGAGCACGGATGAGTGGTCGCAGTTTATTCTCGGTTTGAATACTCTGTACGGCGACCAGATCGTAACACCAAAATCCCCACTATTTTTTGCTCTGAGTAAAGATTTGTATACTTGGACTCGGCAGACCTCACACCACGTCTCTACTCTTGCTCGATTGGACGAAGCTCTTCCGGACCGGGCGACAGTGAAGATGATTCTGAAAGGCGACTTCGGTCCGGTTAGTGAGCGTAAAAAAGATGTGTTGCAAGCACTCAACTACCTTTCATGGAGTGACAGCACATCCGCGGAGGGTTTTATGCATAGGATTATAGGACTGCTGCCGCGACAGGATAAGAGTGTATATCTTATTTGTGCGTGTTTGGAGCAACTCATGAGCGTGACGGCCGTAGGCTTGGAAGCCTGTGAGCAGATCTGGGAATCGAGCTGCGAGCAAAGCAACACCGAGTATAAGCCGCTGACAATCGATGGTAAGTTCAAACAGGCTCCCCTATCTTAACCCGCACACTTTTCGTTTCTGGGATTAGAATAGTTCACCTAACTGACGTGTTACTTTAGAGGACCGTCCATCATCTTCCCACTTGAATTGCTCGCTGGAGGAGCGCCAGAGAGCCGTCACGGAAGTGTTAGTCGCAGGGTTTCTCCAAGACGACGAGATGGCAGGTAGTAACAAGGCCGCCATCGAAACTCTAGCCAGGCTGTTAGACTTACTGTGCTATAAAACCCGGATCCCGAAATGGAAGCTAGATGCCGCAGCCGAGCACTGGGCTGCTGAGGAGGAGCAAGTCTTTGATGAGCTTGAAGAAATGGTCGAATTGGCCAGGGCGCTGAAAGAAAAAGATCATGCCGGTAAGTTGATGGAAACATCACCCACTCCTACTTAATAAATCCATCGCTCACAACTTTTCCTTCTTCTTTTAAGGTACCAAAGCTTTGCTTGAGGAACTAGGCTTCCCCGATGATAGTCCCCTGGACGAAGAGATCGCCCAACTTCCAATCGATATAGCCGGCTCCATCGAGAAATACAGCGACTCTGAGCTCGAAATGAGTTTCAGCCTCGCATCCTTTACGATGCTGCAACGAACAAGTATGGGGATAGGCAATGCGAAGACGCTCCTAGTGCGATTATACCTCGACTACACCGATCAAGTCCCACCAGCATTCTGCGTGCACATTGACGACGACGACGACGACGACGACGACGACGACGATAATGATGACGACGACAGCAATAACGACATGAAACCATACACACACCAAGAACACACGCCATGGATCGCCTTGGAAGGATCCAAAGCTCCCGCAGTCAGATACTGCAAGGGCTCCCTAAACCCGCTCATCTGGCAGATGAGCAGAATCGTGCACCGAGCCTTCTCGGGGCGCCGCATGAGCCTCGAAGCGTTCCACAAGATGGTGAACCACTACTTGGTAAAGCTGACGACCTTGTGCGTCGTGTGCGGACGAGTGCTGCCGTGGAAGGAAAAACTGCGACGGCCGCGACCTTGCGATACGCCGCCGTGCTGGGGGATATGGGACAACTCGAGCTTCGATGTGCAGCTGCCTGAGCTGCGGAATGATCCTTTGGTGGTGGATTTGATCTTGACTTCTGTGTTTGCTGCTGCTCAGACTGGTATGTCTTCCCTCTCTCCTTCATCAAAGAACAAGCATGGTTCGCCTCGACATCATCACATATCTCCAGATGTCTCTAACATCCCCAAACCACAAACCAAACCACCCTCCCTCCCCAATGAAGAAGAGGATTGACTAACCCTCGCAACCTCCGCTCCCAGGAAACGACTCCCTCCTCCCAAACTGCCCAGTCGCCGCCACCGTCTGGGTAAAAGACATACTAAACATGCTCCCCTCCCTCACCAGCCTCGCAGCCGAACCAAACGTCTCCGGAAAACTGCTCTCCTGCCACCCTTCCGCTAAACAACTCGTACGATGGGCACTCACCCACCACCAAGGCTTCCTCTCCAGCGCACGCGGGTTCCTGAAAATCCCCTCGATGCCCATGGGAGCGCACCAATTCATCCTCGCATCCGCATCCCCGACGCTCGAGGCCGAGTTCGCGAAGAAAGCGGTGAAATACTCGGGATCAAAAGGTGCCTCGTCAAGCGACAGTCCTAAGATATTTTGGCACGGCACGTCGATCGACCGCCTACCGTGCATCTTGGAGCAAGGTATGCGTGTGCTTTCCGGGACGAGTCTGCAGAGGAGCGGCGCGGTACATGGACATGGTATATACCTCTCCGACGACCCTTCGTTGTCGCTCGTGTATGCTCGGGGGGCCGCGAGCTGGAACAACAGCTCGATGAATTGGATGAAATTGCTGCTTGGATGCGAGGTTGTGGGGCCCGTGGAGAAGGCGAATAACAATGGGATTTATGTGGTCAGAGATGAGGGGAGGGTTATGGTGAGGTATGTGTTTGCTTTGCCGGATAGCGCGAATGCGCCTGTTGCTAGGCATGTTATGCCGGCTATGCAGAGTGCGTTGGGCGCGTTGAAGGGTGGTGCGGTTTGAGTTGTGTGACGGGCATGGAGGATGGAGAATGGGGGATTTTGGGAGTTTGTGTATACCCTGGAAGAACTATATGACACTTAGACTTCCCCACATGTATTAGATACCTAGGTAGATTGTAGAAGAGTGAAACGGAATTGTTGAAATTATGTCATATATAGAATCGCCGAACTCCTCCCACCCCATCACAATCGCTAAAACTATGACCAGCAAGCAAGCAAGTAGGTACCTATGAATGCAACAAACAACGACCAACAATAATTCGTTTTCTCTTCCCCCCAATCTACACCAAATTCCCCCTCAACTCCTGCTCCCTCTCAATCGCCTCAAACAACGACTTGAAATTCCCCGCGCCAAACCCATCGAAATTGTTCCTCTGGATAATCTCGATAAACACCGTCGGCCGATCCATGACGTGTTTGGTAAACAACTGCAGCAAATACCCGCCCTCGTCGAAATCAATCAAGATATCCAAACTCCGCAGCATCTCAAAGTCCTCGTTGAGCGTCAACCCAGCTTTCTTCAACCGCATCTTCATATCCTCGTAGTACGTCGCGGGGACCTTGATGAACTCGACACCCCGGGCCTTGAGGTTCGTGATATCGCGCACGATATCGTCGGTGCGGAGCGCAATGTGCTGGACGCCAGGCCCGCCGTAGAAATCAACATACTCCTCGATCTGCGATTGCTTCTTGCCGACGGCGGGCTCGTTGATGGGCATCTTGACGGCGTCGTTGGGCGACGCCATGACGATGGACTTTAGCGCCGAGAACTCGGTACATATGTCCTTGTCGTCGACGGACCAGAACCGGTGGAATCCCAGCACCTTCTCGTAGTAGTCACAGATGTTTTCCATTTCGTCCCAGTCTTGGTTGCCGACGCAGTGGTCGATGTGCGAGAGGGTTACCGGGGGAAGGAATTTGGTGAGGGCGTCGACGGATGATGGGGTTGTGTTGGCTTGGTATCCCGGGAGGAAGATGCCCGTGTAGGATTCTTTTTGGATGAGCGTGTGTGTTGTGTCGCCATAGGTTTGGATGGTTGCTAGACGCACTGTGCCGTTTTCGTCTTTGACGGTGTGGGGGGAGGTGATGGATTGGGCGCCTGCGTTTACTGCTGATGTGTAGATTGCGTCTAGGTTGTCGACTTCAAAGGCAACATCTGCAGTCTGAAAGTTAATACTGATCCTACTTCGGCTAGAACAAGATATGTCATCTTACCTTTTACAGCGTCGCCGTGCTTTTCTTGGTGCTCGTGGATTTCGGCTAGCAGCTTTGCTTCTTCTTTGCTGAACTTGGAGCTTTGCTTCAGACCGCGAAGAGGGGATGTGAGTACAAAGGTCACGTCTCCGTTCCGCACCACGTGAGATGCAATGGCGCGAGATCCCGTCTCCAAGCCGCGGTATGCAACACGTTCGAACCCCATTCTTGTTACATAGAATGAGGCTGCTTGCTTTGCGTTGCCTACGTACCAGTGGACATGATGGTAGCCCCGATACGCCGAAAGGTTCGATGAAGGTTGTGGGGAACCCGGTGGGGAAATCGCAGCCGGTGCCATGATGAATAATGTACAGAGAATATATCGAAAGGCTCAAAATGCTGTTGGTGGTTGAAAGCCTGTTCTGAAAAAAAGACAGTCTTATGTTGCTGGAAGGGAATGGTCGAGAGCAGTGGCTGGCTACATGTCTATTTGTCTCTCATTCACTTCCTTGGACAACCGAGTGGTTTGCCAACAAGGTTTACTCCACCCATATGTCGGCTTTGGGACGCATCATTTGGCTGACAGTATACTTGTGCCGAGCGGCGTTCCTGGAAAGACCGCTGGCCTTTGTAACGCTGGCTCCGTGCTTAGCCGGATTGCCGATTTGACTGAGCAGCAACACGCGTTGCGTACGGCAGTGAAAGCCGAATCATCGAGCGATACGAGAGATTGTAGTGAATTAGAGCTTCCATAACCCAGTAATTTCGTTCTCCGAATTGTTCGCTATACGTTACAAGTCAGTGCCAAACTTGCCGGATACTGCAGGAACCTATATCATTAACTACATATTGATCTCAACGTCACTATAAAAATTGATACGTGTACCACAGCAAGATTATGATACTACATTCACAATCATCGTATCAAGGATGGATATGTCGGTACATTTGCTTGCAATCGCGGTAACAGATTACGATGCGTTCACGCAAACCGATCACCTACATCGCGCTCTAACCGAAGGTAGTCTAGCGTATCCGCGCATCGCCTACCACAGGTACCTACAGCCGTGTCAAGCCGTAAGCCGAAGTCAGATGTCTTCCAACAGACGTCAACAACAATCACGCAAATTCTGAGATAATCTTGAGAGTTACATCTCGACATTCACTGAAAAAGTCATAGTGAAACGCCTTTTAAATCACACGCTGCCGCAAATAAGAGCCGCAAATCAAGCAATCTGATATATTCTCTTCGGTAATCTAATACCCAACCATGGCGGCAGTATCTCTTCCCAACACATCACTCTCCGCAAATGATACAAGAATCCTAAACGCGCTCTTCGACCCAGAAACTCTCCCATCATCCATCTCCCGCTCAAGAGACCTCTCAATCATCGACACCTCTCTCCCTCCGCACCCCACAATCCCATCTTCGCAGATCTCCACGTTGGAAACCGAGCAAAACGAGCTCGTTCGAAGTATCACTTCCGAATCAACACCTGCAGCGATACAAAATGCGATAACCCAAGAAGATGAGGTGATTCAAGAACATCCAACATACGCAAGCGCGTTCTTGAATCGCGCTATGCTTCGTCGCATGGGGATGGAAGCCGCGCTGCCAGAAGGGATGTCTATTTTCGAGCAACCGGAGTCTGATCTCGATCTACTGTTTGCGGATCTATCGCGCGCTATCGCGTTGTGCGTTCCTTCTGTGTCTTCAACAACTGCTGTATCGGCTTACCAAGCGCGTATTCTGCGGACGGCATTCTCGCACCGGGCGTATTTGTACCTGAAGGCTGCGGAGATAGAGGTCGAGGTGAAAGGCAAAGGGAAGGGCGATTTGGAAGAGTTGGCGAGTGGTGATTTTGCTGCTGCTGCGCGGTATGGTGATGAGGTGGCGAGAGAGATGAGTGTGAGGACGAATCCGTACGCAAAGATGTGTGGGGCTATTGTGCGCAATGCGTTGGCGGAAGAAAGGAAGGAAGCCATGTCACAATAATTCATCATTAGAGAATAAGTACGCATGTATAGATACCCGCTTCTCGAAAAAGAGGAGAAAACTCGTAGTAAATGCCACCATTGTGCTCGCTACATGCCCGTCGGAAGGTTCCATATGAAATCTAATGTCCTATCATCGAAGCCTTGGAAACTCTGTGTAGAATCCAGCTCAAAAGGCGCCATTGATGGATCAAAGGGCAATGCTAGCCAATCATCATCCGGCATCATGCCGTTGACATCCTCTGCTAGAGATGCAATACCTGATTGACCGGCATTGTGGTTGTTCAAGAAGTCCATTCCACTTGTAGCACCCTTCTCTACAGAGGTACCGCGAGACGGGATGCGAGGGGGCCTAGCTGATGCGACAAAGCTCTCACGTAGTCGGGCCACGTGTAAATCGAGCAACGTTGCATATCGGGAGGCCAGATGCATATCATCGAGTGTACTTGAACGCATAGCGCGAATGGCGGCGTCCAGAATGTCGAGCGAGGACTGCAACTTCTGATTGCGAGAACCTAAGCTGAGGCCCTTGATAAGATAAATGGATGAAGTAGTGATGCGAAGGAAAATCCGGACTGGAGAGTAACGTAGAGCTCCAGAGTCGTAAAGTTGAACAACCTTCTGGAGGATCTGACAGCTGCCATCAACCACTTCCTGGATGAAGTCGTAATCTCTAGGCTCCAAGTTCAGAGGCAATACTTCTTCTTGCGGGCCGTCGGGATCAGTCTCGGCCAGCGTGCGTTCCACCACAGCTTGCATACCGAGTGAGTTGGTGTATATTCTCACATACTGGTATTCTATAGTCAGCATGTCATGGACCCCGGCTTTTAGTTCTATAAAGACTCAAGTTCAGTGACAGGTCTCGAATGTGCAGTGAGGGAGACTTACTACAGGGGTCTAAGTACTTCTTCCTCCAGGTGGTTAGAAGAGGCTGAAAGTGTTCCAGAAGACCAATATATCTTCCTGTACGCAGAAGACTTCGCGTAGTCGCTGCTGAAGGGTAGATGGTATCCGACACAGATCTTGCCAACTTCGTAAGCTCTACCCAGGCTACCATGAACGATTGCCATTGCTCAACATGAGCAGTGGCTGAGTCTGAGGGTACTTTCTCCATAAGAGCGTGGTTCAAACTTTGCGGGATCATCGATGTACATCCAAGCCTCCATGATAGCTGCTCGATGAACACGTAAAGCAGCTTCCGGACGCGTATCCTCCGTAATACCAAGAATTCAGGCGAAAAGTTGGGGTAAGACAGCTGGTCTTTCTCGATATTCGCATTATCTTCAAACAACCCCAGCTCTTGTGCAAGCGAAAGTGCACTACCTAGTAGCATCCACGACATACGATCGGAGCGTTTAGCAGGTTCAATAACGTCTTCCAACCAACGACTGGAAGTCGTATCTCCTTCTAAAAGCTTCGCGCCTTCGGAAGTGGTGTTATTTGCCCCAATCATTAGCTCACAATCCCAACCGTCAGCCGCAGTAGGAAAGTGCAGCGCACGGGGATGCCACTCGGAAAGAAGCAAGAGAGCTTCGATCGACCCAATGGTACGCGATTGTGCCTTTGAAGGTTTGACCTGGCCTAGCATTATCTTCATGATGAACCGTTGGCACTGCTCCCATAATCGATCGTGGACGAAGTAACCACGCGAAGCGCCGCCAACGCCAGGCAATACGTTGTATCTTGAGGAAACCATTAGGATTGACACGCAGAGAAATGGATCGAGTGCTATCAGCGACCAATGGTTCTCATGATACTGGTACCAATCCGATAGAATTGGAGACAAGGGAGAGCAGTTTTTGAAAAAGAGGTCGACGTAAGTCACAGCTTCATGCGCAGAAAACCAGCCCATTTGCACGAACCGACAGGAAGTCCAGACTTTGAGGATCTCGGCAGAAGGTTGCGACATCTGCACAGGCTGCGCCTTGAATGTAAATGGGGAAGCAGGCACATCTCGCCCTAAAAGAAGAATGAATCAGTGATAGATAATCAAGACACATTATAGACAAATTCACCTTGACCATATCCTGAGGTACCTGACTGGGGTGTTTCGTAAGCCTGGGAATTCGCCTGTTCCTGGTTCTCAATTGCATCTCTATGATGCGCAGCTTCAAATAACAGATTCAAGGCATCACTTCCACTGGAAACTACAGTCCTCATAACTGAGTGCGCCAAGTCCGGTTGAGAGGTCGACACTCTTCGCAACGTAGCAGGGGATAATAGAGATTCTGAGCGACGGCTGTGAGGCGACTCAGCGGGAGAATTGATATAACCTGGAATAGATAGTGGCCTGGCAGTTGGTGGAGTGACGCCTGCCCCAATGCCCTGAGTAGTGGGCGGTGCGTCGTCTGCAGCATTGGGTTCAACATCTCTCGCCTCGCCGGGTTTGCGTCTCTTGACCCAAGAACGTTCAGATCTAAAAACGCACTCTCGCATTTCCCTCTTGCATCTTTGACAAGGGGGCTTGAGCTCGCCTTCGGAATTGGCGTCTAGAATACATTTTGCTTTTCGCTGACGACAATTGATACATGCTTTGTAGGCACGTTTGAAATCCTCTGGGTGGGTCCGCTTCCTGGAAGCAGATGCAGTCTCTGCGCCCAGTGCGGTCGGATCGGTGTCTGGTGGTGACATGGCGCGAGAATGGGTTGATGGGCAGGCTATCGCAGGGAGTCACGGTATTGAGGGGGATTGCAGAGTTCGCTTTGAGGCGGGCACTAGCGCACAATTCTTGTCACGGTCGTGCCGCCGATTGCCGGCTTACTCATCTTGTTGACGCCATGTTCGCGCCTCACCTCTTTTGACCTGCGTGTTAGATTAGGCAAAGGGCAGCTCAATATACAGTGAAGTTATAGAGGTGTTTTCGCTGTAGAATAGTACTCTGATAGCAGCCTGGAAAGGAATCAAGGTCGATCACGACCAGTTTCTACACAATTGGTACCAGTGCAGATTGGTCGCGTGACGTGAAAGTACAAGAATCAAGTAAAACGTATCTAGTGAATGAATCAATTCGTCCAGAGCGGGAAACATCTCGTTGAAATGTTTTTACATCTTGTGATCGTATTCGCGGGAGGGACGGACACGCGTAGAAATAGATCTACGGCAACTGCCCGTATCCATGCAGCCATTTGCTGCACGCGCGGATGCAAGATAAGCCCGAATGAGTGGCGCCCGCTAAAACAATCAAGTAGACCTACTGTGCAACAAAGAAAGTCGGTGTAAGATTTCAGGTCACAAGCTTGCGAAGATCGAATTCCAAAATTCACCAAACTGTGTGTGTGAGTGCGTGTGAATGACGAAGAAGCAGCACTGATCTGATTCAATTCTGAAAGACGACTTCGAACTTTATGTACCTACACGAATACTAGAGGCCAGAAACCAATGTCGATCTTGGCGTAAGTACCCAAAACAGCCTAACACAATCGCTAAAAAAAGGGTCGTTCTTGGCCCTTCAACCCCAAACACCAAACGTAACGAGCAGGGCTGCAGCCTGTAACACATCGTTTCGCACCAACTCCACTGCTGCACTCTCGAAGTCGTCCGGCGAAACGTTCGGAAGTCCTACCACCGTAACATGCGACGCATCACATCTTCAGACTAAAACCATTTTGATCTACAGCATGCCGGGTCTTTCGTCATCACTTAGCAAATGCATAACGTGACTTGTGGGGGTGCGATCTCCAGGGGGAACAGACAGGGCATCATCTGAGACGTTAGAACATCCCCGACCAATCGTAGACGGAAAGAAGGAGGTCCTTCTCTGACAGATCTACGAGGCAGTATCTCTTGGCTCTCAAAAACCTCCGACGTCTTGTTCCCGCCAAGATCTCCGTGATCCCCACCGCCCAGCCATTCATGCATTTTCTATAGACAGCAGTGCCTCTCTTCTGACTGGGACTTGGTGAGAAATGTCCCCGCGACTTACTCGCCCTGCTTGAATATCTCCCCACCGCAGTCATAGTATGTCGTGCTCTGCTGCTTGTGTATGGATGGAATGGATTTGAGTTCACGGCACCCGAGTCTCCCGAAGCAATGCCGGCAACAGGAAGAATTCTTGGCCGTCAAAGAACCTTATTCTTTTCATGAAATCAGTATCTGACTCCTCGTTCTCATGGCCAAGAGCTGTGGTGGATTGGAAGTTGCCGAATAAAGAGGGGGCACAAGAGTTTAGGCAGGAATGAATGCGACGCTGCGAGAGCAGAGAAAAATGTATATAAGTCCGATCGATGGCGCCCCGAGGAAAGAGGGCAATCCAGCGAACAGTCAATGTTCTTGCCCAGTTGTTGAGGGTGGAACCCTGGCGAATTTTTGTTTTTGTTTTGAGAGGGGAACCTCTGCTTCGAAGCTTTAATATATTTACAAGGCGAACCTCTGGTTCTTCGCCTTGCAATTGTTATTATAGAGCGAACCTCTGAATCTCTCTTCTCCAACACATAGCAAACCTCTGATTGCGCATTTTTCTCTCGTTCTGCTCTCCTGCATTATGGGAGAATTGAACTCCTGTGGCAGATTCGACAGTGTTTTTTCCCCTCTTATTTTCTTGGGTCGATGATCCATGCAGCAAGAGGCGGCGAAATGGCCCCCTGCAACATCTTTCTTCTAATTCGGGCTCTGGCTGATTATCGCACGATACGCCTAGTCGAAGCTGAAGTCGAAAGAAAGGAAAGGGCTGGACCGAGTTATGCCTTGAATCGGCACCGGGATCCACCGGTCCAGAAAAATCCCACGCGTTAGTGGGAAGGCTTCATCCGCACATGTGGGGCGGGTATGCATTGATTCATGCAGACAAGGGCTGCTCGACCGATGGAAGACTTGGAATGGCTGCAAAGTCGCCCAATTGACAAATCATTCACCAAGCTTTCTGCCTTGGTCACAGGAAAGTATGAGAATCAGTATAATAGTTGTTACGAAGATAGCATTTGCACACATGTTATGACAGGCAACTGAAAATACATGGCATTAACCTCCTAACCACCGAACTAACATGTAAAAAATGAAGGAATAGTTGCCCCGTTTTTAGACGTTCTTTATATTCGTAAATCAGACACGTAATATCAATATAACCTTGTATAAAAAACACCAAAACCCCTGTTGATGTTGTACAAATGAACCGCCATGGACTAGATCATATGATATAGCAAGCCGCATACAATGATGCAGGGCGGTATGATTGACTCAAAGAAATATGCATGATCATGCTGTGCGGAAGAGAAGCTTCCACTGGGATCGACCGGGAGAGGGAGGAATTGACGCACGGGCCCCAAAGCCGTTGATGGAGAAGAGCTGCACCCTTGCAAGAACCTGATTGTCATGAAATGCAAAGAGGCAAAAAGGCGACCCAATTGCCGGAGCAAGTGGAAGGCAGAGAGCCAGTCAAACCACTCTCTAAGCGAAAGCTCCAACAATAGACATACCAGCAGCTCCCAGAAGTACGTAGATGAAGGCCTTGGTTCTAGCGCTGCCAGTCAAGGTGTGCTGCGCCTCCTCAGACAAGAAATCTTCGGCCAACAGGTCGACCAGCGCGGCGTAAATCAGCAGACCAGAGGAGATGGCATTGAAGATACCAACTATGATCAAACCGAAGGCGCTGTTGGGGTCGTAAGAGCTGCGAGTAAAGAGTCCGATGGCCTGTCCGATGGGTGCGGTAGTGCCAAAAGCGACAACGAGCATCCATGGCTTCCAGCTTCCGTTGGGGTAAGGAACAGCAGCGATACGTGAACCGAGACCAAGACCTTCGAACATCTGATGGAAAACGATCGCAATGAGCAGAATGATGAAGCCCTCGGCAGTGATGGAGATGGTCATTCCAACGAAGACGGAGTGGAACAGGATACCACCTTCGATGAGGGTGATTTGCATCGACTGCTTCTTGAGAACCATGGGGTCAACTGCCTTCTCGACGTCATCTTCAAAGTACGAGTTGTTCTGGGCGCTCGAGCTCTGTTGAGCCTGGTTGTTGTAGTTTGGAAGGGCAGGCATAGTGCGGTTGATCATGTTCACCATCTCCTCACGCTGGCGAACATACTGCTCGTAGAAAACAATGAACCATGGGGGCATCTCTGATTTGGCGTCGAGATCATCCTTGGGGAAGGGGAAGTTGTCGACTGGGTAAGCGTTCTCGGTCCAGCCTTTCTTATCCGAGGGGTAGGCCATGGTTCTCTGCGAGTCGTAGCTTCGTCGAACGATAGGATTGTTGAAAGCTGCTGCGTGGGGATTGGCTCCGCCGCTGAATTCGTCACCCGTTGCACTGCCGTGAGAGTGTCCTCCAGTAGCCGCATTCAACCACATCTCGACGAGGAAAAGCAAGAAGAGCGACCCCATCATGATGACACCAGGAAGAGCAGGGTAGTCGTCGGTGAAAAGATCTGGGAGACATGGGTCGTTGAGGGAGGCGAAGGCAGTGGGCAAGAGCTAAGAATTGTCAGAAACACAACTACGTAGGGGAGGGTGGAGGGCGGTGCTTACATGGACGAAAGCAGTAGCAATCAAGACACCAGTACCGAAATGTTTACAGAAGAAGAAGACGGGAGGGGGAATCTTCATCCACTTGACCTTCTTGGCTACGACGGGGAAACCACAACCAAAAATACTAGCGAAGAAGACGATGAAGACTGCGGCCACGTGGAGAGGGAAATCGTACTCGGCGCCATCAGCGTCGCTTCCGCACACGGGCTTCTCATCCATGACGTCCATAGTGGATTATAAGTAATCAACGACAACGAGTGGGTTGTAGGTGGGAAAAGTCGTCTGGATCTGCCAGCAGGGTCGTCGCCGGCGACGATGACGGGGAAGAATGGAAGAAAGGGAAAGAAGAGAAGGAAACAAGGGGAAAAGGGGAAAAAAAAAAGGTCTCTTCCAGAGAGTGATCGAATGGAAAAGTCGATACAACCACGGATGATGATATTCAGCTTCTGGGCAGAGCGGTATGGGCCTTATATTAAAGCAGTCGTGACATGGAGACGCTAAGGTTCCCTGGCGGATCATCACACTTCAGAACGTTTTAGGTGGAGATGTCAAGAATAGTGAAGCTCTGTTAACGTGGCCCATGCCTCAGTGTCCGGTAATAGCATAGGGCTTGATACGAAACGGCGGAAGGTCAAACTGCCAGGTACCGTGGGCTGAGGGCCATTCTTGCACGTCGGAGCAGCAATAGAAGCATTGGTGAGTGGCTCCAAGACTGGGGTAATGGACAGAGACGAGCGTGGGCAGTGGCTGGACCGTGGGGTTGCAAGCGAGGTTGAGGCTCAAGGGCATGCTAGCGGTGGCCATGGGCAGATCGGCCGGTAAAGCAGAAGCCAAGCGTTGGATTGAAGCGGTTGCGGTTTGGGCGAGGTGACAATTTGGGCCAGGCGATGCACATGGAGTTGGAAAAGTCATGTACACAAATCAGCGCGGCCAATGAGGAGGTGGATGAATGCGGGTGGAGTCAAGTGCCGAGCAGTACTTGTCAGGGCCGGATGCGCGGCAGGCTTGGCTGAAGCAGGAAGAGTCGGTTTCCCACGGTGACGGGGGTGCAGTGGCGTGGCTCTGACTGAACGACATGACATTGTGTCCTGATTGATGAGGTGGAAGTTTCACGGGGCCTTGGGCCTTGCTTTCAGCCTAAGGGGAAGACGTGCGTGTGCATGCAGGACGATCTACCGCGGGAGTTGCTGTTTGCTGAAGCGTGAGATGTATTCTAACCGCTTTGGGATGGCATGTCTTGGCGCCAGTCCCGTCAACGGGCGTACTCGCGGCCAGCGGGCAAGTCTAGCCATGAAATGCCCGTCTTTGCATGTGTCAGCCACTCAGTGGTCATCTATCCAGCCAAGTATGTATGTCGAGTGCCTGCCTGTCAAACCGCTCACGCCATCGCAGATTCAAGTACCTGCTTAGCCTATATATATATATACATATACATATATATATATCTGTGAAGCAGAGCGTAAACAACATGCAAAAAAGATGGGCCAGAAATGAAGTAACGGGAGGTGGCTAGTGAGCGACACTAGTGCTAACCGGGGAATGAGCTTAAGTGCACTCCCAAAAGGCTTCCCCAAACGCTTAGCATGCATAGTATGCTGTTTCATCACCCGCACTCATCACAATCCATCCCTCCATCGCTGGCCCCCGCAACCTCCTCTTCCCTGTCCGCTGCTGCAGATGCTCCTAGTCATGAGAGCCTATTGCGGCCGAGATGGCGCACGCCTTCGTAGCGAAACAATTAGTGCCATTGGCTTTTTCGCCGCTCGTCGTTGTTTTAATACAACGCCCTCCCTATCTATACCTTGACCTCGAAGCATTCCCAAGTCCAGGCATCAATCCACTTCATACATTTCGGAAACCATGACTACCGAACCTCTTCGTAAGTATCAGTCTCCGTCTGGCGATCCATCTTGGTGTTCTTGCTGCTCATACATATTCTTAGCCTCATCGCAGCCAGGCCAAGCTGCCAACCAAACAAGCTCTCCAATGGCGCCTGCTGCCCCAGCTTCCCCCAAGGCCTCATCAAACCGTTCCGCAACTACGGTCGCAGCCCAAGGCCAAGGGCCGGACAGCATCACGTCTGTAGCTCCTGTGGATGCCGCTGCCAATGCCTACGCCAAGGACCAAATTCTAGAAGCCACCACCCTCAACGGTGATGACCCTCTGGATCTTGGAAGGCACAAGCGGCCCGATGTCACCCAAAGACAGATGAAGCTTGACCATCCAGAGGCCAACAAGCGCCGCATGAAGAAGTTCTACACTCGCCAGAACACCCTCATTGACCAATTCCTCCAGAGCGGTGACGAGGAGCGCTTGGCCGCTATCGACACCATGGAAAATGGTCCCAAGGTCAAGTTTGCCGTGAATGCCTCGTTCATTGTGAATTTTTGCTTGTTCATCATTCAAATGTATGCTGCCATCTCCACCGGTTCGCTGTCTCTCTTCGCTACTGCTGCGGATGCCTTCATGGATCTTGTCTCATCCGTCGTTATGCTTGTCACTTCGCGCCTGGCCGCACGGCCAAGCGTCTACAAGTACCCTGTCGGCCGTACTCGCATCGAAACGATCGGCATTATTATGTTTTGCTGTCTCATGACAACGGTAGCCATCCAGTTGATCGTACGTTCTGCCCTGGTACTTGCATCTTTCAGGCATCTTATAGCTAACTCGCGTTAGATTGAGTCTGGGCGAACCTTGGGAGGAGGGGAAAAAGACCACGAGCAACTTCACATCATCCCTATTGTCTTTGTCGGCGTCGCAAGTAAGTGTCTTGGCCTCTGCCCGATATGCTATCTTGGTCCAAGGGTGCTAATTCAGGACCAGTCTTCTCCAAAGGTGTACTTTGCGTCTACTGTTACTTGTTCCGCCGTTATCCCTCTGTGCACGTCTTCTTTGTGGACCATCGCAATGACATTGTTGTCAACGCATTCGGTCTCACCATGTCCATTATCGGAAGCCGCGTCGTCTGGTACCTCGATCCCATTGGCGCCATTCTCATTGGTCTCCTGATTCTGTTCTCATGGGCCGCTAACGCCTTCGAACACATTTGGCTCCTGGTGGGCAAGTCTGCCCCCAAAGAGTTCATCTCCAAACTCATCTATCTTGTCGTCACTCACGACACACGGATCTCCAAGGTTGATACAGTAAGTGTTTCGCCGACCGACGTTTGCACACAGAGGCGCTAACTTGTGACAGTGCCGCGCTTACCATGCTGGGCAAAACTATTACGTAGAAGTGGATATCGTCATGGATGAAGAGCTGCCTCTCAAGATCACCCACGATGTCAGCCAATCGTTGCAGAGAAAACTTGAGGGTATGTTGCTCCGAAGCTAGTGTTCTTCTTTTGAATTGTCAGGCTAATTCAAGATAGGTCTCGCAGATGTCGAGCGTGCTTATGTACATGTGGATTATGAGAACGAGCACGACATCCACGAAGAACACAAGCCTCTGTACGAAGTAACCGAAAGTCGGTCGATCAGACAGCGTGTCAAAGAACTACTTTCCAGAAAAAAGGAGGAAACATCATAAGGCAGGGCTCGTGACTGACAGAACCATAGCCTGCAATGCAGATTGTTTTGACATCTCGCCTGCACGTTGCTGCTGTCTGGTCCACATTTGACCAGCTCTTTAATATTTATCCATGACTCCCACGCCAGGAGCCATTCTTGCATCTTTCATTCATATTATTGTATCCATAGAAAAGTTCTGCATTCTCATTTGGTTGATACCTGAGTGCCTGGAACTCATAGCTAGGCACCGCATCCGGACCCATATACGTAAATACACGATTTCAAATGTTTATCAGTGCCGCATTCACACCGTACCTACACTCTTACATCCGCTCCCCCGATTCCCGTTCATTGTCGCGTCAAGTTTCGCTGTCCGCATTTTCATTCAGTTGGGTCACCTCATCGGCAGAAACGGAATCCACACTGGTGCACTTATTCGTAGCACATACTTGGAGAGGTCACATCGACGACTCTAGATGTCTTGAGTGAGTGTGTGTAGAGGTGGAGATTGTTTCAGTTTCTGACTCTTCGCTCCACACTCTGCGGATGGCCGGCAATGCCCAGAACAGTCATTGTATCAGCAATAGGCACGGTGCAATCGCTCGTCAACCGTCCCACCTTCAACACCCGCTTTTTGTGTACAATCAGTATAGCCTCGAGGGCTGTTCGTTTCTTTCCAGTAGAGGCAAGGGGAACCGCTTCTTGTGTTTTGAAGACGAAACTCCTTCAGCTTCCCCACATTCTGTGTTCACTCTTCGTCTCGGAAGCTCCGCTCTTGCGCAATCGCATTCATGAGCGCCACAGAATCAATGGGTTGAGAGTACGATTTGGTCAGGTCACTTTGCCGCCTCTCCTCTCGTCTTCGCTCTCGTCCCTCGTACTTTGCGCTGCTCAGGATTGTCGTATCCTGCACAGATGCAGTCGCTTCATCCAACTTTTTCTTGCGTCTGATCCTCATCGGTGTTTTGGCTGCTTCCTGGGCCGCTGCATCCGCCTTTACTTTCTCAGCGACAATATCGGCAATCATTTCGTCTTGTATCTTGCCGAAGCTCGGATCCCTCTTCTCCAGGGGTATGAAGAAGCGATATCGTTCGAGATCTGCTAGGTACCAGTTCCTTATGGCGGAGAATTCGGGCTGCGTATACGATTTCGCAAGATGCGATTGAACGAAGTTGTCTCCCATTGCTTGTATGACTGGCGATGCGGGAGGAAACATGGACCACAGCGCTCGCATCTCGGGGAAGACCACAGGCATGCCATACATGAGGGACATCTGCATATGGACATGGAGACTTGCCAGCCCCTCCAGTGGGAGTTCAAGTGCCAGCCACGCTTGCTGTATGGCGATCGACACAGAGAGCGAGGGATCGAAGATGAAGAATTTCTTATCGACTGAAAGGTTGGCTATCTGGAGCATGCGTACTAGAATCCAGGCCAACCCGGTCGCATCGATACTCGCAAGGATGTTGATGCCAACGTGGGGTGTGGTGAGGGACATGCGAATTGCTCGTTGTGAAAGAATTTCGGGCTGAGGAAGAATCCATTTCTTGAGCGCCGGTGCAAAATGAAGGACCAGGCGCAGAGGTACGTCGGTGGGGAGTAGACTGGTACAGTCCTGGCTATTGATGCCAAACATCACGTACGGCGGACCGTTCACGCCTGACGGTAGCGGCATCATGGAGGGCGGAAATTCTAGCAAGTACATGTTGATGTCGTTGCGAGATTGGTGTAACGGTCACCGGGCTGTGGGTTGTTGTGCGGTAGCATGAGGTAGCACCGTGCTTGTCTTTAGAGATATTTTGATATTCGAGGTGATTGGGCTCCTATCACAGAAACGTTAGTTCAAGATCTTTCCAAACGCTTCGATAGCGCTACGTTGATTGAATCCAAGACACCAATGGAGCGCAAGATCCTACAAACAGTGAGAGCAGGCGCAATCACGTGAACAGTTCATCACGCTATTCCCGGCTTCACCACAAAAAGGTTTCCATTAGTGTGCAGTACAGATAAGCTCCAATATGCAAACAATCGACGTCAAATGTCTTAGTTTGTTTGCCCTCGCCGCACACCGTTGAAGCGATACCGTAACAGTGGACGTGCCCGCAATTTAACCACACCAGTTGACTAATTTCGGCCATCCAGTACGACATCGACCCAGCTTTACATTGCTACATCAGAAAAACCACATCCAGCTACCCAAAACTTCCTCGCAATATGCAGAAGAGCAGCCAATCACAAACATCCAGAGCGCCATCTGATATTTTGCGGAAGGGAAGTGATGGCGAAGCTGCGGCCAACAAAGCAAAGACTGATAATGTAGGATCAAAGCGAGCCCCCTCCTCCTTATTCAAATTCCGCACTGATGAGGAAGGGGAATACAAATCGTGGAACCATGACGAGACCGGCAGCACCAATAACTATATTCGCGTGACAATCGAGCGTGAAGGCTACCCAGAAGGCTTCGTTGTCTGCGATTACATCCCTCCTGAACAACTCCTGAATTTCGTGCCTGGGATCAGAAAACTCCTTTATGAGAGCTGCGTCGTGATTCCTGACGTGGACTGCATTGACGAAGATTACGTGGCCGAAGTTATCACGCAATGCATCAAGGCATCCAAGAAAGGCGTGACGTCCCAAACGCTCGAACTCGCTCCATCTATCGGTCCTCTGCCCGCCATCAAGATTCACTGCATACTCATTCTCTTCGACTTGACGGCTGCTGCGGAGAAGCTGCTCAAGACTGCATGGCAACTATTCAAGGCTCACGAACTCCTCCCAGAAGAGGTCATGTGGATCTGGGAGACCTTTGGACCCGCGCATACCCAGAGCTCCTACGTCGCGCCTTTCGCCGACGAATACGTTCAACTCATGTTGTGGCAAATTGTCAATCTAATGGCAGAAGGCAAACTGAACAAGAAGATCGCGTGGCAGTTGGACGTCGAGCGGGAACCCAGAAACTTCAACGCCGCGGTACAGACTAGACGGCATAAATTTGGGACTGGAGCGGGGATGAGGCCTTTTTATCCACCGAGTTGGAGTTTGGTAAAGGCGAGGTCTTTGGCTCCGACGTTTACGTCGAGTGGGAGTGTAAATCCGGTGCAGGATGTTGCTGATTTTTATGAGAAGACTAGTTTTAAGGATTGAATGATACTGTGATGGGGGACAGGCAAGACTGAGCGAGTGCTGGATATCTACTCGGATAGTGTTTATTCGCAATGCTTGGCAAGATGTTGATATTATCATTTTCCGCCTCATGCTTAGATATGAGTAGACAATAGAAGCTCACGCGGCACATGATGTCTTGCAAGCCAGTCACACGATCATTCTTCTTCCATGACACTACGTGTTTGAATATCAGGACAAGAGCGTATTCTCTCCCCGCCAAACTCACAGCCCACACTCCCTATTAATACCTACATAAAGAACACCTCCCAGGCTGCAACGTGTTTGTCAACGACTATAAAACTCCGCGTGACGCCGTTAATATCTAGTCAGAAGCAGGACACGCAGCTATTTGACTTAGCCCTTACGCACACACAACGCTTTATCTCTCATTCAAGCCCCCAAACTACCGTCAATTCAGCATCATCAGAAGACTGAAGAAAACATGGAAGGACAACCTAGCGAGCTTCATCCACTTTACTCCGAGCGAAATTCTACCAGCCCGCACTCCTCGCCACCATCATCACGAGCAACACTACATGGTTCCAATCAACAAGATCGTCAGACACTTAATCAGCCAAAGGGGAAAGACGGCGATGCAGTCAACGAACCCGACCGTAAACCCTACAATATCGCGGACGCAGTTAGTGAAGGCAGCGTACTAGCATTCGCACGATCAGAGGTATCTACATCGACAGCACCAACAGTAAAAGGAAAGGATCATAGAACCCAAGAGCGTATTGAGGATGTCGATGTCGATGCCCCAACCCACGATATCGCCGACGCAGTCAGTGAAGGCAGTGTGCTAGCATTTGCGCGGTCGGACGCGTCAACGCGGATAGTTGAGCGGGGAGGGGATGTTCGTCGACGACGACGAGGGGATCTGCGTACGCGTACTGCAGATACGACGGAACGCCATGAGGAGGTCGAAGGGGAGGAGTCAAAGGGTACAAGGGGAGAAATGGATGACGATGGAAGCGAACGTGAGCAGGATGCGGCTATTGGAACTGCCAGTGTGGATAAGACGGAGGAGGGATATGGCGGAGAAGAGGGTCAGAGGGGGGAAAGGGATGTGAAGGAGTGAGTGGGTCAGCAAAGGAGTAGTTAAGGGAACCTGAGAGGGTTATGCATTAAGTTGGATAGGAGGGAGGAGACGATGGATATCGTTGACTCCTGTTCGTCTTATGAGTTGAGACAATATCATCCATCTTGAACGCTCAGTGATTAGTGATGAAGTTTACTTATTCGTATCGCGCTTGCAAATTATCAAGCGCGGTACTTGAATGCATTCTCATGTTCAAAAGAAAGCCGCAGATTACAATATATACAGTTGAAACTGTCCAAGCTAAGGAGAAGAAGTCAAGCAAGATTTCTTATGGACAGACAAAGATGAAATACACCCTCCTTAGAACTCCGCTTTTCCATATGTTGATGATGCAAGACGACCAAAACACACTGATTCGCAAGACGGGTCTTTAGCAACACCCGCCACTCCACCCCTGCTGGCCTTTCTTGCCTCTCGCTGCATCGTTCATCCCCAAATTCAACCTAGCCTGATTACCGCCTCCAGCCCCTGGGCCTTTGACGCCACTTCTCCGGTCATTCAAATCGTACCTCCCGGCTTCTATGTTCTGGTATATCCGCTCCGCTACCTCTAGAAACGCTCTCTCAACGCCATCGCCAGATTTCGCTGATGTCTCGACGTACTCCATAACTCCATTAGCGCGACACCACTCCTCGGCTTCTTCTTTTGTGACCTGGCGGTTGTTTGCTGAGTCCGCATCATCTGAAGAGACTGTAGAGGATGGTGCGAGATCGGATTTGTTGCCCACCAGAACACACACGATGCCCTCCTCGGCGATTTGCCGCAAATCGTTCAACCAACTCGTAGCGCTAAGAAAGGTGTTCTTCCGGGTAATGTCGAAGACGAGGAGAGCTCCGGAGGCGCCGCGGAAGTAGCTACGTGTGATGCTCTTGTATGTTTCCTGGCCGGCAGTGTCCCATAGTGATAGCTTCATGTGCTTTTGGGGTTGGTCTTTCGCCTGTTTCGACGCGGGGGTGGAGGAGGCGGGGGTTGTTGAGGATGGGTTGTTGATGTTCAAGTCGAGGGAAGCTGGAGGGCCTACAGGAACGATTCGCGAGCCGAATTCTACGCCAATGGTTACGTCGTGATGCGGTGAGAAGCGACCTTCACAAAGACGAACTGTGAGCTAGACAAAGTTAATCTTCTGAAGTGAAAACAGACAGAGTCAACGCAGGGCAGGGGGTATTACACTGGATTTTCCGCAGCCCGAGTCCCCTAGTGATACTATCTTTGCGATATAGTCCCATGGTTGCGTCATTTGGGCGGGGCGCGCCGATGGGCGGCTTTGTGTTGAGAATGTAGGTTGGTTTGAGGTGAAGCTGCTGGCTTGTGCTCCTGATGAGGTCGTGGGTAATTCTATTCTGAGAGGGGGCAAAACAGTATGGTATTTAGTGTATGAATGGAAGCGCAGGTAATAAAATTGTTCACGAGGAGAAGCAGAGTGGAGGACGTGGTTGGATGAGCTGTACGAGATGTAGTGATGTAGGACGGGACAAGTAATGGCAGTTGACCGGGATCATGCGCATGTAAAAGAGTGGCTGATCGTCATCGTTTGTGGCTTGGTTCCTTTCTTGGCGACACGGGGAAAGACATCGCCCCCAACAAGTTGACCCAATTCTGAACTGAACCAGGCAAATGAGAGTTCATAATTTGATATTTGTATATTTGATTGACAACCTTCCAGGAATCTCTATATGGAATGAAAGCATGATAAAGGGATGTCAACAACACTACTGTGTAGTACTGTGGCTCACATCAACCGCGGAAGATGATTTGGGTTGTCAGTGATGAATGCGATGGCTACATTCATGAGAAAGAGGAACTGGATATGCTTAGCGTAGGTAGGTAGGTAGGTAGTACATAGGGATAAGGTGAGCAGCTGGCTGGGCACGTGCGAGCGAGCGAGCGGGCCACTCAGGTACCGTTTGCTACCAAAGGCCACTCACTACAGACGGCCATAACAATATTTACCTCGCTCGAGGCCCTCCCACCCTTGATCAAATCACCCTCTCAACCCCCAACCCCCCAGCTTCGGCACCGACCTGTCTACCCATACCGAGATGTCGGGAGCAGAGGAGCAACTAGGCACGCCCATGGGCTCCCCTCCTACGATGAGCCCGCCTGCGCGCGAGTACGGCCTCATCTTGCGCTTCCACTTCATCCGCGTGCCAGGCGTGCAGTCGAGTTGCATTGGCGTCGTCCGGAACAGCGACCCCTTCAACTGGTCTGGAGCCCATCTCTACATCCCTACCTCCTTGCCCGACTTCCAGACACATGTAGATGACTTTGCCATGGGCCAGCAGCCGCGCGACATGCAGGAAATCCTTTACAAGGGCTTAGCTAACGCCGAGTTTTTGATCTTCAAGGACAGTGGTGAACGCGCCGTCATCAGCATCGAGGACATGGGTTATGCCAATATCTTGTTGAAAACCTCGAAGCCGCTCTTTGACGAACACGGGATTCTGGAAACGGTAAGACCCACACGATGTATATTCATTCTCATCAAAGGCATGGGAGCTGACTGCCTTTTAGCTTCAAGTTCTGCCTCATCTTCGCAGCATTTTCCACGGATCTAATACGTTTGGCACGTGGTCTGATGCCTGCCTCCATAGGCTAATCGGTCATTGTGGCGATGAACTTCAGTGGAAGGCGGTCGGAACTGACAAAGACTTGCTGCCTGTCCAGGTCAAGGCTATCACGTTCACTCAGTCCTTGGAAAAGCTGCTGCGGGCCGAGCGTTTGATATCTTGAAAGTCAGCGCAGGCAAGAGATAGGGGTGGACACATATTTGCAGCACGATTTGGAGTGTCCAAGGGAATTACAAGCAGACTATTGCTCATTGTCATGGACATACGGGAGGCGTTAACCGGTGGTTTAATCCTACCATTTACTGCAGTACAGTTTGATTCCATCATTCACTGCAGTACAGTTGGGTACAAGGGTGCGATACATTACAGGCACATATGATCCGTGCCATAGTGCAATACGAATTTTATTACATGGCACACGCTATGCTGCGTACGATGCCCATAATCCCATGCTCTTTCTTTGATGTCGATAACGATTAATGATGGCTTTGTTGAGCGCAAAAGGAACGTCGGAAGATAAGGGCGGGATCTCCACACACAAAGTGGAACATGTAGGCGCTAAGATCAGCTTGGCGATCATCATCACGTGTGGGGGGCCATCGGGCGGTCACTTATCGCATTACAGCTGCTGGACTAACAGCCTTGGAGGCACTTTAGTCGTTGTTTTTGTGAGCGAATGTGATGTGAAGATTACTTATCTAGCTTCACTTGTTGATAGCTATTCTCGGCCTCTCTGTCCCTCCATTATCCTGCCACCGCCGACCTCGCAAGCAACCCAAACGTCCCAACTCATCCACTCACGAACCTTTGTGTTGTTGTTCGGTATTTAGTGTTCCAAAGTCCGCCATCGGCTGGCTGGCTGGATGCCTCCTGCGCTGCGTCATCCACCGCTGCTGCTGCTGCCTTTCGTCTACCTTCACTACACCCTGCACCTACCGATCGCCGCCCGCCTCACCGACTGCTGACCAGCACAACTCCACCCGCTCCCACGCCGAGGCGGCTGCATCCCAACAACAAAACCCACCTGAGCTTCCCGCAAGCAGTGTTGCAGGCACGCGAACACCTCTACTCCCACCCCATCCGCCATGTTTTCCGAATGTAAGTATCCCGGTGCGCTTGTCCAGCCCATGTGATGGCCATCTACGCCTCATGTCTCAACCTCGTGTGACTGACCAGCTTGCTCGCAGATGCCTCCAAATTCTTATCCCAGTCGCAGTCGCGCCTCTCTTTTGGCCAACAGGACTCGCCTCTCCCTCCCCGCAACCCTACAGACAGACATCGCCCATCTTCACGATCGCGAGCCACCTCGGGCTATCTACCACGACGTACCATGCCGAACCCGTACAACTCCCAGGCCATGTCTCGCTTCGCCTTCGCCTCGCGAACATCGAACGCCCCAGCTCCCTTGTTCTACTCGGCCACCGATGACTTCCGGGAAGAAGACGACCATGTGGAGCACGACCGTGAGATGGCCGACCACTATGCCCTCCAACGATCACGGCGGCAGTTCGGCGCCAGCAATCTTTCTGAATCCTCCGAGGTCGACGACGACATAGCACGAAAGTCGGACCACGAAGCAGATGTGGACAGTGCCGACAATCAGTACGGACTGGGTCGAGGCATAAAGAGCTCCTGGATAGGCAACAAGCCTGCCGCTCGCGGGCGTTCCACCACTGTCACCAAGCTAGAGCCCGAAGATAGAGACCAAAGCGTACCTCTATCCGAGTCAAGTGGACCAAGTAGCAAAGGAAAGGGGAAACTGGTCGATGTGGAGCTCGAATCCTCCAGTAGGGACAGTCTGGAAGAAGTAGACCCGGAGGAAGTACTGCGGGAACACGGTGACAACCAGCCACCGTCATACCAACAATTTCGCGATGTACCGAAAAGGGAGCGCACCCGCATGCCCCTGCGAACTACTCTACCGATACCTCAAGAGACAGACGAAGACACATTCCTCGAAAACCCGCGTCCGACTAGCCCTGACCGTGAATCAGAGGTACAAATGGTAGCTTTGGAGCCTGTGACACCTCCAAGACACAATTTCTTTTGGGCTGAGCTGTTCGTTATCGCCAAATGCTCCATCTTAGGAGTCGCATTTTTATCATTGTTACAGGAATCGCCTCCAGACAAGAAGCATCCCCTGGGGGATACCATATATACTCTTCTTCACTCATCCTTTCACCTGATTGCGGTGTACTCGTTGGTATCCGTGTTAGTAGGGCTTCTGTGGCTCGCTCTATTACGATCTTTTGCGCGGCCTTTGATCATGCTGATTTTGGTCGCTGTACCCACGATATCGTTCTCGTTCTGCCTTTACCCGTTCATATCCAGTTACAAAGGGTCATGGCATGGAGGTAGTCTACAGGACAAGATGATGCGATGGATGTCGCTTGGGCCTTTAATCTTTGCTCTTTCTTGGATTTATACGATCTGGAAAGCAAGATTATCCTTGAATAAGGCCGTGAGCATGCTTGAATTCTCAGTAGATGTATTGAGAGCACAGCCCTATCTGCTGGCTGTGGGGATTGGATCTTTGGCTTGCGTAGTCGTATACTCATGGATCTTCATCCTCATGTTCACCCGACTATTCCTTGGAGGCCATTTCACGAAATCTGGGTGGGTCATCAATCCGAGTACATGGTGGCTCGGTGCGGTATTCTTCCTCGACTACTTCTGGACTTTGAGCGTAATTGCCGGTGTACAACGAGCAACAGCAGCCGCAGCCGTCTCGCAATGGTATTTCCACCGGAACACCATCCCGGCGCCTTCCGCTCGCACGGTCATCCAGGCGTCACTAACTCATGCGATGTACACGATGTCTGGAACGATTTGCCTATCGACTCTGCTCGCTCTGCTTATCAGACTACCACTTTGGGCCCTTCCCCGAAGGTTTTCTGGTATTATAAGCATGTGCGCGTACTCCATCGTTCCGTCCCCCATCGCTGCGATGACGAACCCGCTCACCCTGACATACGCGTCTATTCACGGTGTACCTCTTACAGAAGCAGCAAGGGGAATATCGGACATGACATTCATCTCCCCAAATTCACCCTCCACAACCTTGGGACCAAGATCCTTTGCCTCCCATCACCGCCCGTCACTTCAATCTTACAGCCTAGCCAAATTTCTGCTCCATGCCATCAGGTGGACCCTGACACTTGCTTTGGCATATGGTGGCTGGGTGTCGACTGCTAAGATGTTGGAGTTCAACAATGGCACCGTACCGTACAAGGGCAGTCTTTACGCGTACGTGGTCGGCATCATTAGTGGAGCCATCGGGTGGTTCTCTTTGGGTGCAATGGAAGGCGTGATTGGTGGTACTTTGGATGCACTGTTGATCTGTTGGGGGAGCGAAGTTGGCCGCGACGGAAACGGTCAGGCAAGGTACTGCGCAGACGCTGGGGATCTATTCGGCAATGAAGTGACTGGAAGGAGAAGGTATGAAGTATGATAGTGGAAGAAGAGTATGATTTGCAAGTTTGATATATGAGGATACTGCACAGTGTATTGGTGTTGGAGTTTCCAGTTTTTGTGATTAAAGATACTCAGGCATAGCTAAGGCGCTTTAGATTATTCAAGATTGTGTTTCCAAGATGGATATGCGGTGAAACCCATGCGCGTCTTTTGTGATGTTTTCCTGACTCAATCTTAGACCTAGCATTAAGACAGCTTGTGAGGGTTCAATGAGCACTTCACAATTGATCTACGCTAACACACATGCAGCCTAGTGGAGCCTTGTAGGGACGTCATCGACATTTATACTTTCTGACAATGTCAAATGTCAAATCCCAATTGCCTGGATGAATCACTACGCTCTATCTAACAATCAATGGTCCTAATTCTCAGAAGGATAGTCCGCAGAGCTGTGAGATATCCTCTTAACGTGTCAAGCTTCATACCTACTCTATTTCGACCATTTTCCACGTGCCATTCATTCCTTATGCCACCTTCATTAAAACGGAAAGCTGAGAAGTCACTGGAGTCTTCTAAGCATGGTAAGACAAAGAAGGAAACTGTAGATATTCCTGAGTATCACCTTGCGGAGTCGAGACGGGATGACAGTGGGGAGATTGTGTGGCCGGCAAGGAGTGCACAGATCGAGAGGGCTAGGGATCTTATAAGGGAATGGTACGTCTTCCATGTTTACTATCACACTAAGTGTCATGTCATAGATGAATAAACCACTTCATTTTGACTACTCTGGCCGACCAAACTGATGACATCTAGTGCCCACGCAGGAAAACCTACATTGATCCTCCCTGATAAAGACGCCGATGGCTTATCATCTGGAGCTATATTGCAAAACACTCTCACATCTCTCGGACTCACGAAATCTTTAATATCAGTCTACTTCCCCCCCAAGGGCAGCAATATTCACGACGACACCACCCGAGAAGTTATATCTACATTGCCCCCTCCAGCCTACATATTCGTCTTGGACCAAGGCAGTAGGAAGACCCGACCAATACTCGATACCCCCCATAAATGTCTCATCATCGACCATCACTTCGCAGAAGAAGGCGGATTCCCCGAAGGCGCCGAGTACGTCACCGCTCACGACTGTCCGCCTGTAGCAACCAGCGCCCTCCTCACCTACCACATTTGCCTAGACTTATGCCCAGACCTCCGCGACAAACTCTCTTGGCTTGCCGCCCTCGGAACCCACGGTGATCTTGGCACATCTTTAAAATGGCTGCCTCCTTTCCCAGACATGACCGCCACGTTCAAAAGCTACTCGAAAAAGAGCATCAACGACGCTGTGAGCCGCGTGAACGCACCCCGCCGCTCCGCCGCTTACAATGTCAAAGCAGCATGGACAGCCGTCATCAACGCAGCGAGCCCGTCTGCGCTGGCAAATGACACCGCGTTGCTCGCTGCAGGCGCTGAGGTCCGCGAGGAAACTGAGCGATGGGCTCATGTCCCTCCTCGCTTCTCAAAGGACGCCACGATTGCCGTGTTAACCATTAATTCTGCTGCTCAAGTTCACCCTTTAATCGCTACGCGTTGGGCAGGGTCTCTCAAGTCCGATAAGTTGGAGATCGTGATGTGTGCCAATGAGGGCTATCTACCTGGAATGGTGAACTTCTCGTGCCGTGTAGCACGGAACGCTCGAGCGAGAGAGGGAGGCGAGAAAGTGGACATTATTCAGAAGTTGGAGGGGCTGGTGGCTGGAGATGATGCATTAAGGGAGCGTTTGGGAGACAGTTTTGCGAGAGGACACAAGGAGGCCAGTGGGGGAATCGTGAAGAAGGAGGTTTGGGAGGAGTTGTATAAGTTAATGGGGATTGGGGAGAATGTGAAAGGGAAGAAGAAGGCGGAGGGGAAGGGGAAGGAGAAGAAAGCTGTTCAAAAGAACACTTTGACGAATTATTTTGTCAAGGCTACTTGAGCTTGTTGGATTGGAAGGGGACAGGACGACTGGAAAGCTATAAGTTCGAAAAGCATACAATTGAAGGTAATTCTTCGAGGTAGAGGTCTACTTCTGCGAGCTACTTGTGCCGTATATCATGATGACTTTGCCAGGGTCCGAGATTGGCTGTATCGAGAACTCCACAACATACAGCTCTGTCCAATCCGAGTCCCGGAGAAACATAGCGAATCCAGAACCGACTTATCCAACATATCAAAACACCACTTACACAAAGAGAGTCCAACAACAAACAAGACATTACCACCTATTTTTCCCAGGGTATATCTTACTCCAGCCTTTTATCCGACCGAAAATGAAAGTATCCAACGCCACAAGATTCCCTCGTTCCTATTTCATCACTCCCGCGGGGTACACAACAGACCGGAAGTAGGATTGAGAAGGTAGACATAAAGTCAAACCTACAACTGGTCTTGCATGACTGGCGTTCGTAGCTACTCTAAAATGATAAAAAGGTTGGTTAAAAGGAAAGGCGATGACAAGAGTAAAGTATGGATTGACATACCACCTAAACAATACCTTCTAGCTCTTCGCAGAGTTACCTCTCTCACCAAGTTCCTTAATATCGGAACCGTTCCTCAGTGTCGATTCCCTACTCACTCCTTCGCCGACTGATGAATTGTCCGGTTGGTGTATCTGCATCTCGATGTCTTCCGCCATAGAAGCTTCATTGCCCTGGATCACATCTTGTATAGTGACATTTGCATGGTTACGATACTTCCATGGTCGAAATTTCAAGAGAAGAGTGATGCCAGCTACCAAAAGAGTGAGGGCACCAATGCAAGTTCCGAGGATGCCGAAGATTATGGTGCTGTGGAGTTCGATGTCAGTGTTTTGTTGGAGGGTAGGGATTGGGAATGAAGTCGAGTCTGCGGTAGTTTGGATTGGAGTAAAGGTTGCTGGTGAATGGGAGGGCAAGGCTGAGAGTGTGGATAGAGTTGGATATGAGGCGTTGATCGGTGGAGACATGGTAAGTCACTGTGTTTACCGAACAGGTCTGTGTTAAATAGTTTGAATTGGGTTTTTTTGGTGGTCGACTAATGGATAGAAAAGATGTTTGGTAAATTGTTGAATCGAAAACAAGAGGGAAAACTCTGGTGGTATTTATGCAGTGGCTATAATTATGTTCAGGAAGATACAGGCAAACAACCAAGATAGTCAACTTAAGAGTAACTTCCAATCAAAAAAACTAAAAAACTTAGTCAACTTAAGAGGGGCTTTGTACAAGCTCGCTATTGGCCATTTCTTCGCCGATTTCTGGCCGCACAAGCTCGTGTTCCCATTGTGCTTGGATGTCAGATTTGGATTTGTAGGGTAAGATCCAAGTTCCCACCAAGCTACGCCCCTCAATAGGACAGCGCTAGCCCCTACTGGTGAGCATGCATGCAGCTGCATGTTGAGATACTTATGTACTGGTGGGCATGCATGCAGATGCATGTTTATATACGTGTGTTAGAAGGGCATGTATGCATTTACGCCACCAATAACAGCGATCGAGTCGGAGTCTGCCTGAACTTCAGATTCCGAGTGCGTGCAACTAGTTGACCGGATTCCCGAGGGTTTTAGAATGCTGAACATTGCCTCCCCTAGTTGACAACTGCGAAGTCAAAGCTTCTTGAGAGGCCTTGACTTCAGCCCTGTTCATAGTCTTGCATCATCAACGTACTCATATTTGATTTTGCTTGTGATATACTATGGGTATAGTCCATCCTACAACTTACTATGATCACAAGAGTGAACCGTTCTGTTGAACACTTCCGATAAGATTATCTGCCATATTGATAGGAGTTCAGTGAAAACTTTCGCGAATCGCTGTGAAAGAAAAAAAAAGTGTGAGTGAGGACTTTGACCACTAACAGGATTCTTCTAATACAGTCGGAGCCTTTGTGCCTGAAGATTTTTCACCGGCCTCGCATACTCCTATCCCTCTGCAAAACCGCTCTTTGCCAACTTCTCTGATGCAGCGTTCACGTTTTCATCGATATCATCATTTTTTTCCGGCTGAGTATCGTTTTGTAAACTGCTTCTAGTGTATATATACCCTTTGGGGGCGGTGACATTTTGGTGCTAGGCGAGTACTCGGAGCCAGCAAATCGTGACATAACTTCAGAGCAAGAGATTCTAGTTCGGCAATTTTCTTATTTTGGGCCAGCTCCTGAAGGGAGGGCTTCTGAAGCGAGTGAAAATGAGACGTGGCATAGTGCTCTCTCGAGGCAGCGTCATAAATGACAGAGGATGCGGTCAAGAAAAACTCATCAGTAAGATTCGAGCGGTGGGGCGCAGTTTGGTCCTGGGGCACAAAGTGTGATAACTGAAATGGCGAATCCAGTTCGACGGCAAGTATCACGACATAGCCAATCTTTACGCATGAATGATGGCAGGGAGCGTAGCTAGTAATTTATACAAATAATCGTCCCATTCCCTTCTAGATCTTGGCCAGAGTCAACCCCAGAAACTCCTGTATAGTCAGTCCCTCGACCCATTTCTATATCGCATCACAGAAATCGAATGGAACACCGGTACCGCACATGACAACACTATGAAGCTGATACTCACAACACAAAACATCACGCATTGAAGCAGATTATTCATATCAGAGAATTTCCATTGATTGATCATTTGTTGTTTGACATCTCATCTCGGCCATATCCTCAACAGAGGAAGCGAAGAAAGACAATCATGTGTGTAGGGAAGTAAAACCAGCAGACAGAGGGGCAGAAACAGGACAGAACACAGTGGACTGTAAGTAGTCCCACGACGATATCTCTCTCCACACCTCAACATTAATCGCCGTCGTGAGCAGTCATCTCCTCCACCATTGAGAGAAGAAGCAAGCAGATCGAGAAACAGATAAACAGACGCAAGCATTTGGGGCATGAGAAACCAGGAAGAAGAACAAAGGGAAGGGGATAATAGACTCGTCGTCATGATCATAGAAAACTTCCGCAGTACCATGTACAGGGTAATCGCAACGTCGGAACGATGCAGACACGTTATGTATGGCAGAGACGACGAACGAGGGGAATTAAACAGGATGGGGAGTGAAAGACAACAGCCATTGCAGTCGGAGTTGATCCAGCTTACCAGTCTAGACCATGTGTTCTTTCAGTGTCAGCCGTGAAGACACAACGATGAAGGATCGAGAAGACGTTGGTTGCCGGAACGACCGAAAGATGGGTTTGTCATCGGGGAGGTCAGACGCCGGAAAGAGCCCCACATATAGGAGACCTAATGGCCAGTCGTGCAGGATGAACAAGAAGATGAATCCGATCGCCGAGTACTGTTCAGGCCATGTTGTCAGGGTGGGCCAAAGGGCTCACAACGTTCTCCACACTCATCATGTCCATGTCGCTGTTTCGCTCAAACGCACTCGTAGCCACGGGCTGGAAAGCGCTCATCATATCGTTCTCAGAAGCTGGGCCATGCTGACGAGCACGCTTGGGAGCAGGGCAAGGAGAAGCCGAGTACGAGAAGCGCTTGCGGGGGTTTCCTCCGCCAGTGTTACCTTCATCACTATTCAGACGTCTGTGGTTAGTGCTTCCAGTACAATACATGAGGGGATAATGGAAGATACTTACTCGCAACCCAGCCACTCCGTGACTCGCTGGCGCGACTCGTTACCCAAGAAAGGATCATCAAGGCCAGATGGGTGCTGGACGAATGCATCTGCCGAGTTCTGGCTGGATTTGGGAAGAAGTGGAGCAATCACCTGCTCAGCACCAGTTGTGGAGTTCAAGTCGCGAGGAATTATGCGAGCATTGGGGAGTGGACGTGCAACGATGCCATCCAGAATAGGTTGGTTCATGTTGGCAGGTGGGGCTACGATCGGTGCCTGAACAGGTAGCATACCTCCACGAGCCGGACCTTGGGCATGACGATCCATATGTGGCGTCTGGGGATTGACAGGAAGGTTGGAGATGGGGCCACGGGACAGTCCGCGGGCGACGTTTTCCGCTACATCCCTATTGTGGATCAAGCGTTGGCCCGTGTGAATGAGCTCATTAACGAACGAATTTGGAACTGGGGGATAGGTCCTGCAAGATGTCAGTATCAAGGCATCTCATGAAGTTTGCGTATACACTAGGCACTTACTGGTCACCATTCGAAGTGCCCGCATGTTTGTAGCGACCATCGCCGACAACATAACCGGTACCCTGCACCATGATTTGCAAATTCTCCTGGACGCGAAAGCTGTATTCTTCAGCAGTCATACCCTCACGGGTAATGACGCTATCATATGCCTTCTTGAGCAACTTGTTCTGCTGTCGCTCCGTCAAGACAACTGGAAACTGGACCTGCTCTTGGGATTGACCTTGGAGGGGGAGCACGCCATTGTTCAAATAAGTACCCATGCCCATATCTTGTCCGTAGTGAGGAGTGTAGGCCATGTCGAATCCCGCCGGATACCTTGTACCAGTTAGATCTGTAGTCAATGTGTGGTTGCAGAAAAAGCTTACATGGTATTCTGAATACCAGTGTTGACATATTGACCGTTGGTATATCCGTTGTACGCATATCCATCGTTGGCATATTGACCGTTGGTATATCCGTTGAACGCAAATCCGTCATTGGGATATCCGCTATAAGCAGGTCCGCCGTTTGCGTATCCGGTATTCGCGTGTCCACCATCCGCATATCCACCGCGGGCAAAGCCGTTATAGGCATGCCCACTATCAGTACCCTGGTCGGTCATCTCGGGGCGACGGTGACTACCAAACCCGTAGATGGGGCCGCTCATGAAGTCCAAGATCATAGCTTGATCCATTGCAAATGTGGTAGGGGGATTGGGGGATTGGCTGTGTGTGTATGTGTGATTGAACTTGCCTTTGTGTGCTGAGTTTGAGTATACGCTCGACGGCGTTGGAATTCAGCTTGGTGCTTGTGTTGGGTAGAGAAGAAGAGAGACAAGAGGAAGGGCGACAGCAACGGGGTCATAGCCAAAGCCGCAGTGCCAAGACTGAAAATTTTGGATGAAAAATGGTGAAGGTGAATGCAAAAAAGGTGAAGGTGAATGAAAAAAAGTTAACATGAAGGTGAAGGTGAATGCGATCACTGAGTGAGGAAAGGCGCGACAGCGAGATCACTCTCTCTTAGCCAAAAGAGCAGCCCCGGCCACTGCTTTCGCGAAAGAGAGTGCTGAGCATTGTGCAGAGCAACGAGAAGCCGTGCAACTGGCCGTATTGTTTATTGGAAATATCTCTTCTTCTTGTTCGGCTATCCATGTAAGGGTTGAATGTTTGGGAGGGAGACTGGCCATGCGACGCATTATCTCCGAATTTTGGAAAGCACGGCGCCTGTCACTTGCCAGCAGCAACACACGAATGGAAAGTACGGTGGGAAACGTATTGTCTATTTCTAGTAGAGAGTTCTTGCGTGAACGGCTATCGAAAGCCGAGAGGTATATCTAATGAGAACTTTGCCACGTTGAGCGCAACGCACAGACATATTGAGAGGCATCGCGACCGTTCATTGCAAACATAGTCCTAAATAGTGAGCAAATGCATCAGATGACATAACTCACCTTATCCTGCATTCAGTTCATCTCAATTAAGAGACTATCCAGCGGCACGACGAGGACGAGCAGGAATTGCCGCCGCCCTTCTCTTCCCCCGACCACACAAGACTCTGGCGAATCTTATGCACGGCGATTTTCTCCATGGTTGTCGAGCACGATATCGAATCCGGACCACCTTCCCCGCCGAGGAGCCTCATCCGCTGTAAATCGCCCGAGTACCTGTAAATACTGACGGCCGAGCTCTTGGCCCTGCTTGCTCTTCGACGACAGTGATTGCAAAAAAAGCAGTGTGACAAAAAAGGTGGGCGTGGCCCGCTTTCCACCCGTGAGGGTTTCCAGTACTCAATCGGTATAAACACCGAAAGAGGCAGCCAGAGGGAAGATAAAATCTAACCTTAGGCAGGGTTGGATCGAAAGATCGATCCACTCGAACACCCGCCCAAGGAAGGTACAACCTTCCTCGGTGGGAGTGCAGAGTATCGCAACGGGTGCGTTGGAGCAGTAGCCACGGACCTTGCGGCCTGTCAAAGCGTGCTGGTGAAAGCAGAGGCCCAATAACGGTTGGCATCTTTCCCTCAGCATTCGTCATAAACAAAGCGTTGAGACGTATACTGATGGGAAGGGGGTAACCCCTGTTCGGAACGGCCGCCGGGACAAAAAAGTGTTCAACGAAAAGGGTTTTGCGACGAGCTTTGCGACGAGTTTCAAACGAGATTTTGACATGTTTTTCTTTTTAAAATTTGAAACATAGAGAGTTTGACAAAAAGGTGCCAGAGCGAACCCTGGGCTTGGAACGACGATGATGCCAAAGCGAACCTTGGACTTTGGTGCCAGAGGGTACTCTGGACTTTGGTGCCAAGGAGAACCCTGGACTTGATGGGGTGCGAGCTAACTCGCCGAAGATTTAACCAAAAGATGCCAAAGCGGACATTGAACACAAAGCCGACTTTGGACTTGTAACCAAAAGGGTGTGCCAGAAGACAATCTGGACTTGTTCTCGCGAAATCGCTTACACAATGAAGCATCGACGAGACTTGCCATGACCTGCGGACAGCGCCTTAGGTAAAACACTCGGAGGTGTCACGGCTCCCCAAACACATGAATGGGGTTCGCTCCGTTGTATCGTAAGGCTTGACCAAACTACGCAACGGGGCAGTTTCAGCGCAGTCGACAGCTGGAATCAGTTGTGACGTAGCCGATCCAATCAAAAGTCTTCGAGTGGGTGTAACGGGTGCGCATGAGCAGATTGCCAGGGACCTTTCGGCCTGTCATGACGCACTCGACAAGCTAGAAGCCCGCCAGGGTGACGTCAAATATCTATTGGCATCTTCCAACCTGTTGCACATCTTTTCCGATTCCAAGCGGACGCAGGGTGAAGACCCATGTCGGCCTGGCTCAAAAAGTCGTGTAGACAGGTGGTAGAGGTTACCCTCTGCAACAAGCGGCCGACATCACCCCGGCAGGGCCAGATGGGTCTGACAGCGGGATACAGGCATCGGTCGAGGAACTCGGGTAGAGGCAGCGGGACGGGGCGGATAGGTCGTACTCTTTGGCGGCAGGTGGATGAAGAGAAAAGAAAGGGAAGGGGGGAGGGCCTGGACTTTATACGACATTCGTCTGAACTCTGACCGGCTGACAAGGAGGGAAGTGGAGACGCGCTAGGCTTTAAACGATCCGCGTCGACCCAGCCCCCTTGCTCGAGCCGTATCATTGTCGAATAGCATTTTGATGATCGTCATCTCCCAATTCTTTCCGATTCCTATCGAAGAGGGCGTTGGATAATATGTCTAGGTATTTTTGCTGACTGGAGCCAGCTAGCTCCGCAACCACAGGGCTGTGTTTCTAAGAAGGAGACACGTCAGAGGTGGGATAGAAGCCTAGTGTACACATGTGGGCTACAACAGGTCAGTTGCACGAGACTGCAACAGTCTCCCTAATCGTCTATTGGCATCCAGACATGTTTCAATCTACCTCATAGCTGATCCCTGTTATACAATCGTATGCTCGTTACGCCACAAAGTCGCCGTCCAATCTTGCTCCGTCCCAAGCAAAGGTAGAGAGGCACACTCGCTTCCAGCTACCTGGTATGCTTGTGTATGCTGCGCCAAAAGAACACTAGAATATACTATGTACGCTTTACGCCGGGCCCTGGTGGAATTCAAGTACGTGTCGGTTTCTGATCTCGCTCAAATCATGCCTTGAAGGCCATTCGATGCGTATGCCATGGGCTTGATGTCTGGGTGCGGCACAGCATCAAATTGCGTGAAGTTGAGCTTGTACTCGGGTCCTATCTTGATGAAAGCTCCCTTGTTGCCGGTACTATCACAATAGTGGGGTGCTGAGAAAACAGTGATGCATTTTCCATCGTGCTCGACCTCGTAACCATCCATGCGAACTTCGTGTGAGCGAATGATGGCCTCGAGATTGTTCTTCTCGCAGAAGCGCTTCGTTACATCGGGTCCAAATTGCAGGCCGACACCACGCTTGCTGGGCCCTCGACCTGGCTGTGTCTGCGGGTCTGTCCACAGCATCTCCATCATGAGACCTGCCTGGCCTGGCTGCCTTTGCTTGAAGCGATTCAGTTTCCGCACATCGTCCAAGCTGATGTTGTCGTCCGAGAAAAGCCCTCCGTGAAGAACAAAGTATTTCTTGCCAATCAGCGTCGCGAGAGGCAACGCGGAGAAGGATTCGGAAAAGAGCTTGAACACTCGCTCGTTGTACTTTGCTCTGCACTCTCCTTCGAACCCGTACATTCTGTTCATGTCGTCCGTCTCGTGGTTGCCGCGGTTGAGGAAAAACTTGGAAGGGTACAGCCATTTGTATGCGTACAGCAGGAGCGCAATCTCAGTAGACCAAGAACCTCGGTCGACAAAGTCGCCGTTGAACAGGAACATGTGCTTTTCCGAAGGTTTGCCGGCAAGGCGGAAGATTTCCATGAGGTCGAAATATTGGCCTTGATTCTGCACGTTAGCGAAGTCTCGTGCACCGCAAAAGGTATCAGGCACTGACCGTGGGTGTCACCGCATACGGTGATTTCCTGGCCTTGTTCCACATCGACTTCTACCATGGTAGGCTCCTTCTTGACAAGCTCCATGACGGTTATTATTATCTGGAAGACGTATTTGCGGGCCAGCTTCTTGCCGTTCTTGAAACGCTCAATCATATCTTCGACAAATTCCAACGTCATCTCGTTACCCAGCTTGGCACCGTCGTAGGATGGGTCTACGATCATGTTGTCGAGATCCAGACCTTCGGCGGCTGACGGGGCGTCTTCGACTTCGATGGCTTTGAGGAAAGCATCGCGCTTAACGATCTTGTTGCACTGTTCCAAGCGGAGTTTGGCGGTCGAGTCGTGGGGCGCATTCTTGACCACCAGCTTCCAGTCGCGAACAGCATCTTTGTGGTGCAAGATGGCTGTATTAGCGGACGCACGTCGGTAATAAGCCTGCAGGTACGCGGTGAGCGGGATGGTGGAGGATCGGGGAAGTAGCTGGAGCTGGGAGAAATGGAGTACACAAGTGCACACGGATATTCAGGTACATACGTACTTTGACGTTGGTGGGGTCGAGGGCAATGGCCTTGTCTGCATCTGCTACAGCATATCCGTATGCTTCAAGCTTGATATTGGCCTGGGCGCGGTTGGTGTAGAACGAGGGCTCCTGGTCGTAGGTTTCGATGGCCTTTGTGTAGAAGTCGACGGCGGTGGGCCAATCCTGCTTCTTGAAGGCATCGTTGCCCTTGTTCTTCAGCTCGACAGCCTCGGCGGGTGGGCTTCCCATGGCAGGATCAGATTGGGGTGTTTTGGGCGGAAGACAAACGTCACGGCGGTCGCGTGGGAGTGCGGGAAGGTGCAGCGCTGCGTCGGCGGGGGGAAACGCACCAGCAAACGGAAGTCACGGTGGATGGTGGGCTGGGCTGGGTGCACAAGCAAGCAAGCAGGCAGGCAGGTAGCCGGGGCGGTCAGAGGAGGAAAGAACGATGAGAGAGCGCACACACTCCGAGAGGGCAGGCGATAAAAGCAAACAAGAGGCAGAGGGAAGTTTTTCGCCGCTTCGATTCTTCTGCGTCACAACCGTCCACCCAAAACTTCCACTGTCGGTTGCTTTCGATTCTTTTCGTCTCCCACCGCCGCCGGCCCTACCCTGTCCTGCCCTGTCGCGCCCGCCACCCGTTCTAGCGAGCATACCTAGAGTGGAAAAGCGACCCGCTTCAACATGCCCCCTCGCAAGAAGAAAGGCGTCGCCGCCGTCAAGAAGCCCACAAAGGCCACCAAGTATGTCTACATCGATTCCGCCAGCGATGAGTCTTCTACGCCGCCCATCGCCAGCGAGGACGATCGTGAGAACGAGGACCCTTCGCAGAGGAAGGGCAAGAAGACCAAGTCGCGTCGCAACCAGCAAGAAGCGCAAAAGCTCTCTAGTACCGACGTCCCGTCGCCGGCTACTCCACAGCTGCACCATGGTTCCGGCCGCCCAGATCGAACTCGCCAAGCATCCCGCAGTGGTCTCGAAGCTGCACAAAGCATTCCATCACGCAACCCCGACTTGGAAAACAGCTTGTTTGGAGATTTGAACAAAGCCGCTCGCAACGGCAGCCATCATCCCACAACTTCACATCAACGTACACCGCCTCGCTCCCAATACACTCCTTCCCCCCCTCCAAGCCAGAGCCTTGCACCCAAACCTCTCAAACCTCTCGCAATTCGACCTGCCTCTCACTCGCAAACCACCGACCCACCGGAGAGACCACACTCAGGCCTAGAAACCAGAAATTATCAAGACGAAGAGACCAACGACATGTCTTCAGCCTACGTCCCACCCAACCAGCAGCGTCACATGCGCGCCTGCATGGTCTGCTCCATCGTCCGCACCGAGCAACAATTCCGAACCCACGGCTGTCCCAACTGCGAGCCTTTCCTCGAACTAGCTGGTAATACCGATCAGATCCAGGACTGTACGAGCCAAGTTTTTGATGGGCTGATGACCGTTGTCGACACGAGCAGAAGCTGGGTGGCAAGAGCGCAGCGCTTGGAAGGATACGTGCCCGGTGTGTATGCGGTGCAGGTCGAAGGCGTTCTTCCAGAAGACGTACTTGCCGCTGTGGAGAATGCGGGCGTCAACTATATCCCCAGGGATGGAAGCGTGAACGAGGCACTGCCTACAGAGGCTTAGATGAAGAAAGAGGGGGATATGGGGGGCAGTCTGCAAGTATGCACTCAGTGGCAATTCTTTTGTGGAAAGCAGCATTCCCCTACTACACTCGTATTAATCTCGATGCTGGATACAGCTGCGGTACCTCTTTCCCGACCGAAATCATATTTGACAGGCGTTATATTTTGAAAATGGGCATTGGGACTCGACAGATACCTACAGGTGGGCACCTTTCAGCCATGGAGTTCAAGAACGCGGGAATGGGAGGGTAACATGATGCTCTGGTCGTTGGTGATTTCAGACTCACCGTCGTCACCCCAGTGCTTACACTTAGATGGGGATGTTAGCAATTCTCAGCGATAGATGCAAAAAATATGACGGTTAACAAAAACTTATCGCCCAAGTCAGGAACAGGCTAATCTAGAGTCTATGATTCACCTGCTCAAAGTGCCGTACTGGTTTTTTTTTTTTTTTTTTTTTTTTTTTTTTTTTTTTTTTTCATATTTTGCATTTCATGTTCACAGACGAACTCTTGACTATCTACAATGCCGCACCACATGCGCCAGAGAAAACAACATAAAAAAAGAGGTATACAAATGAGGTATGCTAACCAAAAATATGACTCCCACTAGGTGATCAATGCGCCTCTCTTACCCGTCCTCGCTCTGTCACTTCCACTCCTCACTACGAAGGTATATACATCACAACCCTTAGAACACCCCAACGAAGCTCACTAACGCAGCTACCAGTACCACGCCAGCAAGATGAACCCGCACCGTCGACGCCGAAACCCCAACAAACCGATTCAACCTCTTCACCGCACCAGGGAAATTGCAAGTCAGATTGGTTCGCGAATCGTGACCAACCCCGTACGCGGCACGCAGTGCGTTGCCCTCGGGACACGCAAATCCCAACGCAGCAGGACAACTACGCACGATGTTATGGCAGAGGTAGTCACAAGGAAGCAATTCCTTGTAAGGGCCAGGTTGGATTTCTCTGTCGATCATAGGAACACGGGAGCGATCAAATGCAAACCGGTCACGCAGAGAGGGGTCATTGAAAACCGGGAGCGAGCCATTTGCCAGAGGCTTTCCGATGTTGCGGGGGTGAAGCCAAGGTTCTTCAGCGCTGTAGTCTTCGCAGCGGGGGAAGACGACGGAGCAGAGCCAGTCTTTGTAGTCGTTGCGGCAGTCGTCGCAGTTGCGGGCTAGACTGTATTGTGCAGTTGACGCAGTCTCGCATGCGATCTGGTCGAGACTGTTGGTGAAGTTCTTGTAGTATGCTTTGGCGAGGTCATCGTACAGAGCCATTAGACCTGAGTCGTCGGTTTTGTATTTTGCGGAGGATGGTACGGCATAGGCAACTTTGTCGCAGAAGGGCAGGTCGGAAATGACTTGACATGAATCATCTAGAGTGTACATTGTCAGTACAAGATCGTGTTATGGTAAGAAGCGACATGTATTTGGTAGAAGAAGAGACCGATTAATAGAGAGGTCGGAAGATATTTACCAGCTTTGGTCGTCCAATTCCACATGGCGAACACCTGGCCGCCCTGTCGGACAGTAGAGAAGCTTTCGACGTCAATGTTATTGGGAGCCCAGAGAGGAAGCTGAAGGTCCCCATCACCGCCTCCGACGGCAAGGAAGCCGGTGTATTGTGCGTTCGTCTCGAGGCCTTGGACGTTGAATTGTGCTTTGGGCTGTCCACCGCCAAATTTGGTAGTAAAAGTGGTATTGACCGATATGTTGTTTGCAGAGTTGAAAAGGTTTTGGAGTCCGCAGTATGAATGCTCCAGTCCCCAGTGTTGGGTCGCATTCTTGGTGGAGAAGGTATACATTGTGAATGGCATGTTGTCCTTTATTTTGTTGAACTCGTCGGTGTTGTTGGATTGACTCAAGTTGACTGTGACAAAAACAGCAGAGTCGCTGTCCGTATCGACCATGTATAGATAATCCCTAGCGAGGTAGTTATGATAATATCCGTCCAGGCTCGCAGCAACTTCGAAAGACCAACTGCCTTCGAAGCCCGGAACAAGTTCAGGAGCGGCTACCCCTACGAACAAGTCCTCGTCGGTTTGGGTCGTGAAGTTGGCGAACCCTCCTTCGAACTGGATAGGATCTGCAATCAGTCTTTCTCTTGGGGTATCCGGGCCAGGCTTCTGCTCTGAAGAAGAGACGTATAGACTCAGTTGCGGTGGACCATTCTCGGAGATTTTAGCCGTTATACCAGGTTGCTTGCACGTATTTGCTGAGATCCATATATTTCTTCCTGCAGCTTGCCTTCTGCCCAGAGAATCTTGAGACGAGGTCCCTTCAAATTCATCTTCATGGTCCAAATCTGCTCCCTCAAGGGTATCCTCAGAAACGCTGCCCCCAGACGTGTTTTTCATACCAGGTGGATTCGATGATGGACCCGTCAAGACGCTCGCTTCTCTTTTCCTAGCTCCCGTACCTTTCTCGAATACGAAAAAACTCGACGCTTTCGGTGCCAACTCCCCGGTTTTATTTTTGTTGTTTTCCAGTTTCACCACTTCGGCCTCTTGTCTTCCTATTAAACTCCTGTCAAAATATGTGAATTCTGGCGCGTATCCTGCTTCTTCAAGCCCTCTCTCCTGGATCGCGGGTCCATTTGTATCTATTAATGGCGCTTGGGGAGGCGCATGCGGCAGGGTCTGATCGATCTCGTTGTGGGGAGCGTACTCAGGGGGCACTGGAATTTCCGTGGCATGCACCAAGTGATACGGTTGCAAGCAGATCCACAACGCGATGAAGAATGAGAAAGCAATGTTGAGAACGAGCGGCCTCGACCGCGGAGGCGCCAGCTTTGGGGGCTGCGGAAGCTGCATTTGATGGTGGTAGGCGGTTACGAAACGGGGAAGTCTGCGACGCTGGCGCCCACGCGCACAGCTTAGGATGGCTGTTGGCGAAGAAGGGGATTTAATACCATGGGAATGGCGAAGGTAAAGCTGGATCGTTCCGGACGAGTTCCCAGGGTCGGGGAGGTGGGGTTGGATGGGAATTGAATTCGTGGCGATGCTGATTGAGATGCAGGTCCCCGGCTCTGCCAAGACCTGAAATCAGACTGTGTCTCAGCTGAAGGCGGTCCGCATCTGATACGTACTGCCGTTGGGGCTAACAACGAACATGCCGTCATGCATCTGTCTTGTGCTTTTTACTGTTTGAATTCGAACATGTCTCTCACGGGTGGCATACAATCCCACTGCACTATGTCGTAATTTCCAGCGGTACCTCACTTCAAGCTGTTGGTGTTGTACCAAACAACGCACACGCACATAACGCCTTCGTTACAGACTGATCTCCCACAACTTCCAACGTTAAAACTGCTGTCAATCATGACGCTTCTTTGCACAGGCACCGTATGAACTGTTCAAGGTGGACGATCCATACCCTAAGGGACGCCGTTCGTGGAGAGACGGGTGACCCCACGTGTCAACACGGCTAACCCGTTACAGTAATCTATTTACCAGGGCATGAATCCTGGTGCTTTCCCGAGTCTTGTCAGATCGAGATTCAGGCTCGACACCCCACCACACCTCATATTGCACCGCTGACGCCCATCCATCCATCGCATTCAGCAGCGGCGCCTCTTGACCATGTAATACGAGTCCCGGACCCTTCGAAAATGTCGCCGTATCAGCATATCTTCTCTGCGAACGCCGTGCTCAATGTTTGGCGCAACCTGCGCAACACACGCGACCCGAACGACCTATTCCTTACCGTCCAGTACCATCCGGATGACATACGCGGCCCTAGGGATACCCCCAGAAAATTTGGCAAGAGCAATGTGGTGGAAACAAAGAGCGATGAGACTGGGCGGCGAGGGACAGTGGATGGCAGGGGGGCCCCGGATGGGCGGAGCATAGGCTTCGTCGTGCCATGGCGGAGTATGCAAGCACAGAAGAAGGAGTTGAAAGAGAAGGAGAAAGAGCTGGCAGAAGCGCTTGTTGTGCTAGCAGGAGAAGTATCATACGCCGGTAAGCAGGATGTACACTTGTTATACGGATGAGCAAGGGGTCACTGACCAGACATATAGACCTTCCACCAGCACTCCAGGCATCATTCACGCAAAACCCTCTTGTTCAGGTGCGGCATCTAGCTGCAGGGCTCTCGCGTCAAATGTCCAAGATCGAAATCCAAATGGCCGACAATGCGCCGTTTGCGCAAGGCAAGAACCTTTACACAGGCGGAGAACTCATCCGCAAATTCCTCTCGCCCATACAAACCCTCTTCGAACAAAAACCCGTTCCCTACCGCATGATCTTCGAACTCCTCATGGAACTCAAGGACCTCGCCTATGGCGGAATGACCAGCTGCGAAAAGGAAGTGTTGGAATGGGAGCTCAACAACTTCTCCTCGTTCGAAGATCTGGACGAAACCATGTTCCGCGCACTCACTCATTTACCCTCATCAGAACCCTCCTCCCCCAGCAGATCATCTACCGCCCGAAGACTCCTGAGACATAGACCTTCATCGCTCTCCACCTCGGCCATCACCACCACCTCTTCTCCACGATTCTGGCTCGCTGACACCGACGAATCGCTCTACCATCTGGAATCCTTAGAAGCGACAGCATCCGCAATGACACACCTCGCGATCCCCGTGACCGACTTCCTCGCCAAGTCAACTATAACATTACGCCGCACACTTCCACGGCCCACGCTTAACGATCATAGCATGGAGAAGCGTCGGCGTACGGGACGCTGTGCGGAATACGCGCGCTGTAGCAAGTGGGCGGGCACGAGTTGGCGGCAGGGCGGCGGGTGCCGGCGGGGTTGCAAGAATGAAGATGAAGATCCTGAGGGCTTGCCTAGTTGGCACAGTAGTAGTCGGTGGTTTGACGAGCGTGGGACGTATATGGTTGGGGGTGGCAAAGGGGATGTGCGTGGGGGAAAGGAAGTGGAAAGGTTGGTGGAGGTGTAAGATTTCAACTGTGTGCGATCGTTTCGTGTCTCATGGCGTTCTTCGGATATACAAGGCATCCTTTCTGCCTTTTCTTTGTTTGGTAGCATCGTTGCACAGCATGGTGGCTTCGAGGGTAGCATCAGTCCAGTGTCGGTTCGATGGGCGACATTTCTTTTCTTCTCTCTTTTTTCTTTCTTTCTTGGAATCTTTGGAGAATTTAGCCAGCCAGATGGCTATCGGGATACCCCTTTATTTACTTTATTCTTCTGATAATTCATACAACTACTAGTCGCATATCCACATCCTCTCGGATTTCTTGTTGGTGTGTTTATCTACCACTGATCGATTGGTATTCCAAACACAATCTCAGACATGTGCAGATTTAGAGCTCATTCTTTCATGAAGCAATATCGAACAAACAACACAATTCGATGACCTTTGAATACATCATAGGATCAATAAGTAGGTCCTTCCAAACATTCCGACTGCAGTCGCGACCTACCGATTAGATGTATATTTGCTGCTTACCCGTTGTTGCTCACGAAAGGTTGTTCGTATAGACAGCAACAGGAATCATCTCACGCGGTGTTTCTATTTTACTGCATATGCTTGTAGACAGATCACAACCTTCAACACAATAGTAAATCTCGAAATCCACGAGTTCAGAGCGAATGCGAAAACAAGTTACAGTATTTTAACCAACCATATGTGGCACTATTTTCTTGTTGATCGGACCGTATTTTTGAACACATGATAGCGTATCCGAATTCACTACCTTGCGATGTCGAAAGGTTACTGAACAGTACTACGCGAGAACATGGTGGGTTGAATACGAATATGTGTTGTGGTATCCACAGTAACAGCAGCTTACAAGAGCTTTTATATAGTACAAGGAATAATATGTTTCATAGTCCTCCACGTACGGAAGGATCTTTTTGGTAGTCGAGGGTCGACCTCACTCGCCTTCACCATCTCGACCCGGTAAATTGATGCGATCCCATGGTCGGACTAACTCCTCACAAGGGCACAGTACTCGATCTGGAACTCGACTCTACACAGGCTACGACTACCTATACTATTGCACTGACCCGCAGTAATATAAGCACAAGGCTACTAAAGGCTCTCAAGACGAAGAAGAGTATCCGGAGACTAGCGCAGAACGGTGATGAATCGGCTTTGGTTGGGTGATTTATCAAGTCAGGATCCAGGGGAGCAAGTATCAAGAATGTATGTATTCTGTCACGGGGGAAAGTCCTATCGGAGCATAGTGTCCGTTTTACTGCAGTCGCTGTCGAGACTGTAAGTCACCTTCAAACCATATCAGACTAAAACTCTGATCCCCAAATCATCGCCGTACGCGATAGAATGGGCGTAGTCCCATCCCATTATGAAAACATCGAAGCAGTTTGCGTTCCAAAGCTTTCCTGCTCGACCTTTCGGCCTCATTCTTAGGTGTCGATATTGAGATTGAGACGGATTCATGAATTTGGGTGGATGGTTTGGTCTGGGTGGCCTAAACTTCATCGCTGCTCTGTATACTTTGCGACCGAGCTTTTCTCTTTCTCTCTCTCTTTTTTTCCAGTTTTTTCTTGCCTGAAGGAGATGCGGGAGACGGAGGCCCAGATCATGGAGTCTCTTTTCTTTCAAGAGCAAGTGTGCATAGGAGTGACTTGGAGATGTCATATTGTCCCTACAGTCTTTTTCTCTTCTTTTCTTGTAGAGATCACTTTGTTGTACAGTGGTAGCTGTAACCATTGTGGAGATTGCAGAAAGCCTCTACCTGTCATGTGTTGGATGCTGTGTTTGTACCTGGACATGATGCAGTGCGCCGTTCCAACACACACATGGTGTACCGAAGCATGCCTTGATGCATTATGCCCGAGTTTGTATGTCGACTGTTTTGCACACATTCACGACGACTGAAAAGAGAAAACAAAATATGATTGTATGCGAGAGTCGAATTGCATCACCTTCGCTTACAGCTTGGGGTTAGATTTTCATGCACGCACCTCCGGGCAAGAAGAAGCAAAAGAAGAAAAGGAAAAGGAAAACAGAAGCGAGCAAACAATAAATCGAAAAGGGGTGAAGGTTACCGAATTGACGGGCAGTGAAGACCCAAATAAGGGGGAAAGGGAAGATGCAAGGCTGGAGGGCTGAAAGGCTGAACACGAGGGCGATACGAGAAGCAAAAGGAAAGAATGAAGGGGGGTGGTTAGCGAGGTGTCTCACTGGATCTGGACGGGGTGGAATGAGTAAGCGCATGTTGGTTGTTATAATAACCAAACTATGGATTATCCACATCATCAACAGATGGTGCATTTGTTGAAATTTTCTTCTGGTATGGCCATGATTCGCTTTGCTGTGGTGTCGCGGGCGTCACGGTTTTGGGGAGTATAGCCGTTGAAGAGTTTTAGCGGGGCCGAGGATCCCAAAGACCAGGAAAGGCATACCAAGGCGGATGGGCAGCCGTTGAAGAGAAGCAACAAAGCGAATAGACAGGAAAACTGGGAGGGGGATGTCGTAAACGGGAATAATGGCGACAACGAGATGGGAGTTGGATTCAAGTGGGACATGGGCGAGAGATGCTTCCAGGGAGTGCGCCGAGCGGGACAGCGGGAAGATGGACGGCCGTGCGTCGAGGGTGGTGTGGGCAGATGGACTAGGCCCGGCATATGCGCTGTGATTCGAACGAAGGGGCCTGCGGGCAGGGATCATGGAAGGAGGACCCCATGCCGCGGCGCGGGCGCAGTGCAGAGTACAGCAAGTCGTTGCAGGTCTCCCGAATTCTAGGGACCGGCTGACTCGGGCAGCCATTCGCTGCTTACACATTGTTTGCTACTGCATACATGCATCGGCGCGTCAACGTTTGGATAGCAGACATAGCAGATCAAATACACCAAAGGGAGCGAGGAGCATGGAGAGAGGCGAAGACGAACAAGAGGGCCCAATGGGGGCGCAAGGGAGCGGGCGGGTAGAGGCGCTGCGATCCCGCGTGTCGTCGATAGCGCCGGGGTTTTTCACTTGGGCGCGCCTTGATAGCAAGGAAGGATGCCGATGGATGGTTGTGGTTGAGGGTCGCTGTCCGTTCCGCGGAATCTCGCTGCCCTCTCACTCCACTCCACCATCCTACCTATGATGCGTGCTCCGAGTGTCACGAATAACAGTCACGATACGCACGTCTATGATGGGCGGATGCATTGGTGTCGCTGGCGTTGGGGTGGACAGCAGGAATGACGCAGAGGGGGGGGCAAAGGTGCGACATGGAATGCAGACAAGCCTCATCACGCTCTGTGTACTGTGTAGTAGTTGTGGACAAGACCAAGGGGAGGGAAAAAGGCGCCCGAAGCAGAAGGTTGCAGCGGCGGCCATGGGGAGCCAACCAAGGCGATGGATGGGGGATTCGCAGCGCTGGGAGCTGTGCGTGCATATGAGGCCATAGTACAGAGGTACCTACTATAGTACTCTACTCTACTGTGTGTCGTCTTGGCGTAGAGCACGCGCCGGAACTGCCATGGTTCGTCGGTTCCCAGCCTGCCAGCCAGCGGGCGGTCCTGGCTGGCAGACGGACCCGGGGCCCACCTGTCGGAGCGCCAGGCATGCATTGATGCAGTGGTTAGTATTAAGGAGGAGGAGGATGATTATTATTATTATCATCGCTGTTATCGTATCTGCCCCTTCCTCATCTCCTTCTCACCCTCCGCTGGCTCCGCTTCCGCTCCAGACTGCTCGGCTCGAGTGATTCGCCCCGTCGGTGTCAGGCCAGTCCCCACAATTCGCCGCCGAATCGAGGCCCACCGTTGAATCCACTCGAGCAAATCGGTAGAGAGGGAATCATGAGCAGAACGGAAGACGGAGCAGACAAGGAAGAAGAAAAAAAGAAGAAAAACAAAGGGAAGGCAGACACGGGCATGTGGGCGTGTGGTGATGCATGTGTTGTTCCCTGGTACAAAGTGTGCCAGACCCGTAGCAACCAAAACGTTGTTCCTTCACTCACACCGCGTTGATTGATCAGGACGCGTGCAATCATCCCATCCAGATTGGCGCACAGTCGTGGCAGTTGACCATGATGGAATTCCATGATGCGCACAGCAGCCTCAACAGATAGATAGCTATGGGCATTCCCTCGTTGATTGCATCACGAGAAAGGCGGCTGGCTGGCTAGCTGGTGCAGCAGAGCAGTCAAGCAAAGGCCGTGATGATGGCTTTTAGCCGGCTGGATACCAAGGTTGCACCGCTAGCCCCAAACTACTTTTCCCGAGTGGCTGGTCGCCCTCGCTGATTCGCCCAGATGATCCCCCCGTTGACTGCCTTTGTTGGTTCTTCCAAGAGTTCGTTCTCTCTGCTCTGCCCTGCCCTGGCCCTTGCCCTGCCCGGCCCTGCCTGCCTGCCCTGCCCTGCCGCTCGGTCTCTCTCTCATCTCTCTTTTGTCCTCGCTGCCCGCGGCCCACTCCTCTCCTCTTGCTGCTGCTGCTCTCTGTCCTCTCTCCTCCACGTCCAGTGAACTCCACCTCTCTCGTCCCATCTCGAAGGGACAGCGAGTTTGAGCAGACTTCGCTGGTAAATATCAACACCACGCCCCGTCTCTCTTCTCCGCCTCCACTTCACCTCGCACCTCTCTCAGCCCTCACCCGCTGGCCTGGCTCCCGTCGCTCCCGTCTGGATCCCTTTCGCTCTCACTCCCTCGCGACCTCACCACTCCGCCCCTCGGTCGTCCATCGTCATTTGACCCCAATCCTCCTTTATTCTTTGTCTTGTACTGCCCCCTCGTGTATATCTGCAGTAAGCCTCAGTAATCACTGGTGAGTCTCTCTCTCTCTCTTCGGCCTCACCTCGCCTCAACTCGCTGTCAGAGCCGACAGCCTGGGTGCCAACCGCGCCATCCCACCGCATCGCATTCTGATCCAGAAACCTGTATTGACTCCTTCTCTCCCAGCCATCTTCTCTTCACCAATTATTTCTGCCCTATACGTTGAGCAAATCGTAGCTCGCGTCATCGTTACCTTCGTTGTCTTCGTATCTATTTTTTTTTTTTCACGTGGTGTGGAATGTGAGTGCTCCCATTTGTCTGTCCAGTTTTCCGGGGACTTCCAACGTTCCATAGCGAGGGTCCGCCCTTGCTATAACCAGCTGCGGCAAGAACGATTGAAACCCGCTCACGACTCACGCTGCCATTCTGCCTTCCCAGCTTCACTGCTAAAACCTCGATTAGAATTCCCTCCGACTCTCCACCACCATGGCTTCTATTATTGCCGTCTCCAACGAGACCAAAAGCTCTTCCGTCCGCACCACCAAGGACGGTCGCCAGATCCGCTATGCCCTTGAGGTGATCCAGCAACCAGAGCGTGCCCGTGCCTGCGGTAGTGGCGCAAAGTCGAGTGCCGACCGTCGCCCTGTTGACCCGCCTCCCATTGTCGAGCTGCGCGTCTACGAGGGCGACCAGGAAATCACCTTTGCCTACAACGCCAATTTCTTCTTGTTCGCTACCCTCGAGAATGCCCGCACCATCGCTCCAGGACGCGCTCCCTCGGCCGCCCCCAACTTCCCAGTCCTCACCGGTACCCCTGTCGCAGGTATGGCCTATCTGGATCGTCCCACTCCTGCTGGATACTTCATCTTCCCGGACTTGTCCGTGCGCCATGAAGGAAAGTACCGCCTGAGCTTCGCCCTGTACGAGGAATTGAAGGATGCCAAGGATATGGACCCAGAAGATCGTTCCTTGTCTCCCCAAGGCCAACAAGGTGTTGATTCTCATGTGTGCCACCGCTTGGAAGTCAAGTCCCAGCCCTTCGTAGTCTTCTCCGCCAAGAAGTTCCCTGGCTTGTCGGAAAGCACTGCGTTGAGTCGCATGGTCGCGGAGCAAGGTTGCCGTGTTCGTATCAGGCGCGATGTTCGTATGCGACGCCGCGAAACCAAGTCCAACAAGGAGTGGGATGAGTATGACGATGAAGCTCCTTATGAGCAGACGAGACGTACCGCAACCCCTGATGCCTACAACCAGCAGCCCGGTATGCCTCCACCTGGCCAGAACATGGATGATCAACGCCCGCGCTCCGTCTCCAATGCCAGCAACACGTCGTTTGCTCCTCCGCGTCGCCCAAGCATGGATGAAATGCCACAGCCATATCAACCCTCCAGCGGATACCAGCAGATGCCTCCACCACAGAGCACCGGCTATTCCCAGGTTCCGCAATATGGAACGAGCCAAGCCCAGTACCAGAGCCAGTATGCGCCTCCTCAGCCATCGCAGGCCCCTATGCAGCCGCCGCAGACTCCATACTCCCAAACGACCCACCAGCCGCCAACGCCTGCGCATAGCAGTTACCAGGGCCAATCGTACAATAGCTACATGAATAACCACAGCTACCAGCAGCAGCCGCACTACGAGCAACCTGCACCCGCTCGCCAGGAGCCACCTGCGGAATACACTCAGTCTGCTCCAGACTACCGTCGGCCTTCCGTCTCTCAACCTCCTCAGCAATACTCGGGTCCCAGCAGCCAGATGATGCCGCCCTACAGCCCGATGGATTACAACCGCTCTCAGATACCCCAACCAGTCCAGCCGTACCATACGCCGAGTCATACGTCGCCTCCTAGCAGTATGCGCCTGAACAATGGTCACGCTCTGGCACCTTTGAAAACGTTGCAACCACCCTTCCCAGCGGAAAGACATGAGCATCCTGTCCCTGTCTCACCATCCTACCAGTCTCCTCCCAACAGTCTTTCTGCACCCATGTCTGCCACCTCGGAACATCCTCCACGTAATAATAATTACCCTGATTCTCGTGGCTCCATCTCTGGCTACTCTGCTCAACCCCAAACCCCTGTCCAGTCTGGCTTGGGCCAGAAGCGTTCTTACTCCAGCACTTTCGACACTAAGCATGTCAATGAGCGTCTGCAGCAAGGTGCCCGACCCAATCCGGCAGCGTCCGGCTATGGTTACGACGCAGGTTATGATGAACCCGACATGGAAGAACCCATGGACCGAGCGGCCATGAGTTACCGACGCGCGGACGGTACTCACCGATCTCGTCATGTTCCCCAAGTTGGTCTTTAAACGTCTGAATCTCTTTTCTTCAACGACGTCTACGGCGATAACCTACGAACGTGTTTTACTGGCACTGGAGTTGATGCACATGGGTTTTGATGCCGCCTTATATCCCTGTAGTATTTCCTACTACGCATGAACGCGCGATCCAGCGATTTTCCTTTCTTTCCCACATTGCCTGGGACAAAACATACCACACTCATTAGCACGCCAGTTGCATTCTATTTCTTCCCTATATCCATTCCGCATCTTATATTCCCTTGGGTTTATTGTTTTCGTTTTCCTTACATTCTCCTTGCGTTTTGTATTGTTTTTTCTTTCTTTTTTTTTCGTTTAATCTTCAACGGGTGTGGACGAGGGCGCCCCCGGTGGCAGGCAGGACGGAAATGCACCACACGTATACACACATATGTGATGCCAATGGCCGTCATTAGAGCTTTTCTTTTCTTTTTGTTTTTATGCAGTGAAGGAAATCTTATTATATTAAACTATCCTCTATTATCTATGTGCCAGTGTGTCTGTGTGTGTGTGTGTGTGAATGGGAGGAGCTTGGGTACGGGGTACGGGGTATGTGGATACATGCTCATTCATACGGTACACAGCTGCGTTTATATCATGATATGTTATAGGTGCATACCCTAAAGAACCCCCAACTTTTCTTCGATCATCGGTAATTGGAGAGTGAGGGCATTATGCGTGGTCACTCAAAATCAATGGTTGGAGAGCTACGACGGACATATGAGGGCTATGCAGTTGTGTGACAGGGTAGTAGTAAGTGTGCATTACCTATCCTTACTATAAAAACAATGTAAATGAAACAACCAGATAGACATGTAATCCAACAAGAAGAAGAATGGGCACAACGAAATCATCTTCCCTCGCGTATCCCATAGCATCCCACACAGCACTATAATGTATTCCGTCCGCCGCAAACAATTGTTTGTCCCTGTTCCCACCCCGCCGGGAAAAGCTCAAAAGCTCGAAGCTCTCCCCCCACACCACCCCGCCCCTCTTCCACTTAACCCAACAACCAACACGAATCGCACAATTCCCCCCGAATCCCGCACTAATGGATCGCGGGATAGTGGGGTAACGACACACCATCTCTTGTAACGAGAAACTGGTCATTGGCGGGTGGGGTTTTCGAAGCCTATGTAGGCTATAGATGACGTGACTGCGTTGCTGGATTGTGCCATCGAAATCGAGTAGTTAGCTTGGAGCTTGGAAAAGAGGGGAGGGTATGTAGGATTTTGGGGGGGTTAAAGAGTAGCTCGGTTTGTCTCCTTTTCATTCTTTATAATCACCTTCTTCTTCGTTCTTGATTCTCTCAATTTTTGGTGTTCTTGCGCTCCTTGTTGAAGTTGTTTGGTATATATACGACACTTTTGGTTCGACAATCTTCTTAGCGTATAGCTACATAGCATACCCCCCTCACGAAGCTACACCCTGCAGAACGAACAAACGAAGCTGTATACGAACCAACAAGCAAACAAAGATAAGGAAAAAGGAAAAAGGGAAGGAAAGGGAATTTGCAATGGCGGAAGAACTTTCAAAGAATTTTGAGACGCTGCAATTGCACGCTGGTATGGTGGTTCCCGTTGTTCAAGTCTGAAGAGAGAAAGAGAGAAAGGGACATTTGCCTAGACACTGACATGTGGTTGCGCAGGTCACTCACCAGACCCTACCACCAATTCGCGAGCTGTGCCTATCTATGCGACGACTGTACGTTTTTCGTTTGTTTCTGAACTCATTAGAAGACAGAGGAGTTGTGCTAATGGTGGTCTACAGTCGTTTACCTTCAATGATTCAGCGCATGGCGCCAGGTTGTTTGGGCTCAAGGAGTTTGGAAATATCTATAGTCGGATTATGAACGTGAGTAGTCCTATCATTTGCCTGTGGAGAGGAAGATTCTGTCGCTGATACTATGACCCTTTCAGCCCACGGTCGATGTCTTTGAAAAGCGGATTGCGGCGCTCGAGGGTGGTGTAGCTGCTCTGGCGACTTCATCTGGCCAAGCTGCGCAATTCATCGCTATTGCAACGCTTGCACATGCTGGTGATAATATCGTGTCTACTTCCAATCTGTAAGACCTTGCTTTCTTCTACACCCCGGCAGCCTTGGATGCAGCAGTTCTGACCAGATCAGGTATGGAGGCACATATAACCAGTTCAAGGTCTTCTTCCCACGTCTCGGCATCCAGACCAAGTTCGTAAACGGCGACAGCGCGGACGACTTTAAAGCTGCCATCGACGATAAAACCAAAGCCGTCTTCATTGAGAGTATTGGAAACCCAAAGTACAATGTACCGGACTTTGAGAAGATAGTCGCAGTCGCACACGAAGCAGGCGTTCCTGTGGTAGTTGATAACACGTTTGGCGCAGGCGGATACTTTGTTCGACCAATTGACCACGGCGCAGACATCGTCCTTCATTCAGCGACGAAATGGATAGGAGGCCACGGGACCACGATTGGCGGCGTCATCGTCGACAGTGGAAAATTCGATTGGGGCAAGAACGCGAAACGGTTCCCTCAGTTCAACGACCCTTCAGAAGGATACCACGGACTCAAGTTCTGGGATACTTTCGGTCCCATCACCTTCATCATGCGCGCGCGTGTCGAGATCCTGCGAGACCTGGGTGCGAGTCTAAACCCATTCGCGGCACAGCAGCTCCTCCTCGGAATCGAGACACTGAGTCTCCGCGCCGAACGACACGCGCTTAACGCGCTCAAGCTCGCAAAGTGGCTGCAGAGCAACGATAATGTGAGCTGGGTATCGTACCCTGGCCTCGAGAGCCATCAGTCCCATGAGCTGGCGAAGAAGTACCTGCCACGCGGGTTTGGCGGCGTGCTGTCGTTTGGAGTTAAAGGTGGCGGAACTGCAGGTAGCCAGGTGGTGGACAACTTCAAACTCATTTCGAATCTGGCGAATGTTGGCGATTCGAAGACGCTGGCGATTCATCCTTGGACAACGACGCACGAGCAGCTTAGTGACGAGGAGAAGGCCACTTCTGGCGTGACTGAGGTAAGCACCGCGTGGCCATTTTTGTTGGAGATTATGGATACTGATGTCTTTCTGCGTGACAGGATCTTATTCGCATTTCCGTCGGCACGGAGCACATCGATGACATTATCGCCGACTTCGAACAGTCGTTCAAGGCGTCGGCGACCAAACCGGAAGAGAAGGGTGAGGCGGCCAACGCTGAGGCCACAGGTGAGAAGACGGGCGAGGCTAAAGGCTCTTTATCAGGATCTGTGTAGAATTAACCATACCTTTTGACGGCTGAGTATTGCAATGAAATGATAATTGACATGAGAGATGATCCATAGCAGAGGTAGTTGATACTTGAAGTTGTACCTATGTACCTATGCATGCAATGCAGTCCAGGGTCGACAAGAGAGGCAGGTTAACCGAGTGTAGACTAGCGCGTTCATGTCTGAGCTGGGTTCTCGGAATCCGGTGGTGCAACCATGTGAAACACGCATGTGAGCCACTTTTCATCTCTTGCATCTGACGGATGACGCTGACGGCGATGATGATCTTGCCGGTGATGAATGTGGTGGAAATGCTGCAAGACATCCTGTGTACAATCACCCAAATGGCATGCAGCCGTTACACAGTGGAGCTGAAGGGAAGGGGCCTGCCGACTTCGCGCCGCTATACTCTTTCTCCACCACCACCACCAGAGATCTGTTGAAGCGGATGCCCGCGGGGAAGAACAAAGCCTCGGCGCGATCCTGCAAGAGAACATTCCTCGTCTTCGGGGGTTCCAGGCGCTTTTGATTGGTTCAGAAGCCGAGGTACCGAGGCATCGACTCTTTTTGGACTCTTAGGTCCGTTTCCAATTCTTGGGACCTGGGGTCACGACTCCACGACTCCACGTCTTCACATACACTCCATCTTTCGAGCGGTGGTGCTGCTATCGTTCACAATTCAACATCCAAAGCATCACTGTTCGCCATTTATTCAATTGTAGGTTCACTATCTCTTCCTCCCGGCAATAGCGACGAAGCGCGAATAGAGGAAAGGAGTACCAACGGCGCACTGCAATCTAGCCAAGCTTGCTTGCTAGCTATGTCGGAAGTCCTGCCTGTTCTCATTTGCTCAAGAGTCGGCTTTTGCCATGTTCTCGTTCAACATATTCTAACCGACTCTCCAAGGATACATCATTCTGCGCGTTAAATCCCTGCTCCGTCCCCACGATCACTCGACACCAAGCTTCCTCGTAGCTTCCCCCATTGTCCTCCTTCCCCACAATATATACATCTCGTAGCTGCCATCGCCATGTTCGGCTCGTCGGATCCTCTGAGAGAAGCCGTGGAGGCTTTTGTTGCCTTCCCACCCAAGGGCAAGCCATACAGTGTACCACTCCCAGGGTCTGAAGTCGAGGGCCGATCACCTGTATACCGCCATTGGAATTATACAAACAAGCCTTTGTTGGAAACTCTGGTTCCTACACTCAGAACAGTACACGATGGGTTCGAACATGCCGGTAGGTGAAGATCGCATGTTGATAGTCGCACAAGCCCTCGTAACTGATAGATACTCGCAGCTGCCACATACCCAAAGTCGAGATGCGTAGGTCATCGCCCTTATGATCCCGCCACGAAGACATACGGTGCATATGTATGGGCGGATTACCAGACAGTCTACACGCGGAGGACGAATCTTGGTGCTGGCCTGGTGCATCTCCACAAGCAAGCGGGTGTAACAGAACAGAGCTATGGAATTGGTCTGTGGTGTCAAAACAGGCCTGAGTGGCAGATTACAGGTTTGTGTTGTTTATACTGAATCATGTGTATCGTAAAAACTAATTCGGGCAGATTTGGCCGCCATGTCGCAACGCTTGTTCACCGTCTCCATCTACGACACTCTCGGCCCTGAGTCCACCGAGTACATCATCAACCACTCTGAGCTCACGTGTGTGGTTACGTCCTTGAACCATGTGACTGCTCTCCTCAAGCTCAAGCCGCGGTTGCCCACCCTCAAAATCATCGTTGTAATGGACCCAATCTCCTCTGGCGAGCTTCCAGGAGAATCCAAAGCGGACCTATTGAACTCATTGGCATCTGAAGTGGGTGTTGCCATCTATTCCATCGCAGATGTAGAAGCTCTAGGCGAAAAGAGCCCACTTCCTCTCAACCCACCCTCTGCAGACGACGTTGTCACCGTCAACTATACCTCTGGGACAACGGGCAACCCCAAAGGTGTAGTGCTCACCCATCGAGCTGCTTGGGCTGCATCATGCGTGTCTATGGTCATGTTCAACAGCTCTTCGTCCACAGTTCTTTGCTCTTTCCTACCTTTGGCCCACATCTTCCAGCGATTGGGAGAGAACACCGCATTTTCTTCCGGCTCTTCTATTGGTTATTTCCATGGTGATATCACTCAACTTGTGGACGATCTGAAATTGGTTCGACCCACACAGTTTTCGGGTGTCCCTCGACTATACAACCGTTTTGGCGGCGCCATCAAAGCTGCAACCACCGAACAGGCCGGCTTCAAGGGCACTCTGTCACGTCACATCATATCTACTAAGCTTGCCAATATGAGCGACAAACAGAATCCCACTAACAAGCACGCTCTCTACGACCGTATCTGGTCCAAGAAAGTGGCTGCGGGCATTGGTCTGGACCGCGCCACCCACATGGTCAGCGGCTCTGCCCCCATCGATCCTTCTTTACACCAATTTCTTCGCGTTGTTTTCGCCAATGAGTTTGTGCAGGGCTGGGGTATGACGGAGACATATGCCATGGGCACTGTCCAGGCAACGAAAGAGGATTATTCCACAGGCACATGCGGTGGTTTGACACCGTCCACCGAGGCCTGTCTTCTCGATGTGCCTGATATGGAATACTACTCTACCGACAAGCCTTTCCCCCGCGGAGAATTGCTTGTTCGGAGCAGCACACTTTTCAGGGAATATCTCAAGAATCCGGAAGAGACAAGCAAGGCTCTTGATGCGGAGGGATGGCTACACACGGGCGATATTGCCACGTTTGATGGGATGGGTCGTGTGAAGATTATTGATCGCAGGAAAAACGTCCTTAAGCTTGCTCAAGGCGAGTACATCTCGCCCGAGCGCATCGAGAATGTTTACTTGGCGAATTGTCCATGGATCGCCACTGCCTACGTTCACGGCGACAGCCACCAATCCTTCCTGGTCGGCATTTTCGGCGTCGCGCTTGATATGTTCCCAGCATTCGCGAGCAAAGTACTCGGAGAGAAGATTGAAGTTGGTGATGTGGAGAAGCTCAAGGCTGCCATCACGAACAAGAAGGTGGAACAGGCGGTTCTTAAGGAATTCGATCGTGTGGCGAAAAAGAACAAGTTCAACAGTTATGAGAAGGTCAAGGCCGTACGACTTTTTATCGACCCGTTCACCATCGACAACGAGTTGCTAACGCCAACGTAAGTTGCATTTTCCACGTCTTCATTTTGATGAATCAGGTTACTAACGATGCTTTCTTTCGTAGACTGAAATTGAAGAGACCTCAAACCGCGAAAAAGTTCAGACAGCACTTGGACGACTGTTACGAGGAGGCCCTTGCTGCAGAAGCAAGTGGCAAGAACAGCAAGGCGAAGTTGTAAGAATATGTAAAGAGTACAACGGGGTGGCACTTTTGTTCATGCATAGATTCGTTATATCGTCATATACAATGGGAGGCTATCCACATATGAATCAGCAGGCATATTCTCTTGCATGATAGATGTTGAATCGCATATTTATGGGTGGAACGTATCTTAGAGTAACACTCCATCTGAGGATGTACTTGAGAGTTGTGTGCTGTATACATGTTCTCAATATCATGTTTCTCTACGTGAGATGAACGTGCCCAGATCAATAGTTCCCCTCTGCTCTTCCACTTTATCTCACGTGTTAAACCTGAAGGTTTCATGCATGATGCATGTACCTGATATACTCACACGCAAACATTTCGAGGAGAAATCACCTACTTTCATTCATATCATCACGTCCACGAACTTGGAAAAGCAGGGAGGAATTTATTCATATGAAATATGTCCAGCCTATACATAACATATCATCTCCTGAATTCCCAATTAACTCATTACACCTGATTAACTCCCCCAAAATCGATTTCGAATTCAACTAACTCAATTCATGCGCACCACCCCTAACGTTCTGCACCGGCGGGGCCGTAGGTAACTCCATAGCATTCGAATTTTGCCATCCGTTATGTTGTTGCTGCTGCTGCTGCTGCTGAGCCGCCACTCCACCACCATACCCGTCCCCCGTATTCATCGGTGACACGGGGCCCTGGCTCTGATGCCCCACCGCCTGACCTCCATACAACTCATTCGGCACATTTGGCGGTGGCACGACATTATTGGTGTGAGCGGCGATGGGCACGGGGGCAACGACCGTTGGAGACGGACTCGCGGGCGATGAACCTGGCCATGATGGTGTCGTCGATGTCTGCGGTTGTGGTTGGGCCGGGGGTGTCCACTGTGGAGGCGGGCTACCCAGGGGAGTGGGAGGGTTATCGTAGGATTGCGTGTGTGCGAACATTGTTGGTTTTTGATCTTGGTGGATTTGAGTTGGAGGTGCTGGGGTTATTTCTGGCTTGCCATTGCCGTAGTAGCCTTGGTTGTTAGTGTTGTTCTGGGCCATGATAGTTGCGGTGTTGGCAGCAGCGGCTTTCTTTGCTTTGTTCTTCTTCACTACGGAGAGGAAGAATGTGACGGCAGCGATGAGTGCGATACCCAACAGCGGTCCGACAACAGCACCAGCGATCCAAGCTTTGCTCTTCTTCTTCTTCGTCTTCGTCTTGGAATCGCTCTCGCTCTCGTCTGTGGTCGAGCTTGTCGTTTCGCTAGTCACGGATCGTGTTTGGGAAGCGGTTCCACTTGAAGTTCCTGTAGCTGTAGGGGCGAGACTCGATTCCGCAGATTCGAAGCCGCCGCTTGTCCGTTGGCACTGCACGTACCCGCTTTCAATAACGCAGGTCGAGCCTGAAGGGCAGAAGAGACCGAAGCCATATGCGGAAAGACTGCTGCAGCATTCGGCGCCTGTTGGGAGGCAGTTGTAACTTGTTATGCCACAGCAAAGGGTGTTGATGCAGTAATAGGATGAAGCTGGGGAAGATTGATGTTAGTAAATGGATGGATTAATGAAAGATTGACAAAAGAGAGGGCGGTTGTACCATAGCAGTAATCAACTGCTCGTCTGTCAAGGGGATTCCGTGCTGCTACTGAGACGGCTGGTGTGTTATTCAGGGCAGGAAAAAACTCCTGTGCAAGAATGGGAGCGGCGAGTGAGATCGCCCATGTGAGGAAGTTGATTGCTTTCATCTTTACCGCGTGGTTTTGATGCTCCAGGACATACAACAATCGAATGTGTATAGGACCCAAAGACTCAGTGGATAGAGCAGGATTGAGTGGAAACCAGATTCATTTCCACCCTCAGGCGTTCCCATGTCTCCATCTTATACCTCAATACCCACTCTCGCATTGACAATACGAGCCAGGCCAGCCGTATCTATGGTTCTGTACGACGTCCCTCATACCATCCACCCATGCGCCTCTTCCAACCTGTGATACTACCCACCCGTCTCCATAATAAAATCAACACTCCAGCCTCCTTCGAGCTAGACCACGGTCTATTCCCCCATCCAGGGACCTCACCGGTGACCAGACCCTTGTGGCGCCCACCTTTTTCGCTTGTGTCTCGCTTGTTTTTACTTGACTTTGCGGGTTTTCACACGTGCTCAGGGTTGTTGGCACGTTGTGCTGTCACTGCGGTCCTTCAGCTGCATGGGCTAACCTCGTATTCTCTTAGTGAAGGTTTACCACTTTCGGTAGGGGGCTGTTTGCTATTTTTGGCGTATACGAAAGAACGCGGGCATTTTGATTTGGTGTACGCGGGCGGATTGATCGGTGTCATTATGATTTGTCGTGGGTTTTGCACAAAAGAAATTCGTGGGGGAGTCACACATGGCTGCTGAGGTGAGGTGACGAGAATTGAAGATGGAATCGGATCGATTGTTCATGGATTGGTAATGCTTGCTTTTTTGACAAGCTGAGACTTTGAATCAGATAATAGCGCGTATTTGGAAAGCTTGAGTTTTAAGCTTTAATTTTCGTCGAGGACACAGATAGCAGAAGGCGACGGTAGATTATTGTTCGTTCCTACTTTTGGTGTATTTAGATTAGCCTAACCGCTTCGGGGTGCGTGTACGCTTCAACGTCAATCGTCGTTGGCTCCTCTCTTTCCACGTAGAATTGAGGCCGGATTTTCGAAACTTCCTAAATTACGCACCAAGCGCACAAAATCACCAGAAAATTAATTAAAGGCGGTATGCAATGGACGTGGCAACCTTGAGGTTGTTCATTGACGCGCGCGGAGTGAATATGAGTGGTGGCATATACTGAACACCGACTCACACGTGCCCCCAGAAAGACAATGGACAATTCACGATGCGTATACGCGATAAAATGTTCATATAAAAATGGGAAGAGATATCAAAAGAGACACGATGCCAATTTGATTCATCTATCTGTGGAAACAATCACTGACTGTCCCTCATCATAAGAAAGCCACACCGACAGGCACATGTCCTCAATGAGAGATAGAGTTGGAAGTTGGAAGAAACAACGGACCAAATTTTATACTTGTGAAAGAGGAAGAGCCTCAATTAAACATTTGCGTCTCTGCATTTCGCTCGTCTCAAAGGACGACCCAGGCAACACCACGTGGAGGTAAACAGAGTCCGACTTCATCTTGCCCTTCCTCCTCGACCGGCTCGACGCCTTACTCTACCTAGTGTGGATCTTCGAGCCTATTGCCCCTACATTGGATCGGCCGGCACACCTGATCCATTATTGCGCATCCTGACACTCTACGTGTGTCAATCTTCTGCGACTTCCGCGTCATCGACACCTACTCCCGGAGCCGCCAGCCAATGGTTCTCCCTGCCGTAGCAGTATCCCATTACACCAGGACCTTTCGGCCTATCATGAGTTGTCTGGAACAAACAACATCATATATCGGGGGCATATTTGGTTTACTACTGATGGGGGAAGGCTTAGCACGACAAGGCCCATCAGCGACACGAGGGTAACCCCATGGGTGGTGGTTATCCACAGAGAACCGGCTGGTTGGTTTCGGTGGCTTGACTTGGTAGGCCCCGAGGCTTTCGATCGTGTGCGTCGGGGCCCGGCTGTGTTCGTCCAGGTCAGTCGTGTTCGTCGGGCTCTTCGTATACGTAGTGTTCGCCGCAGCCGTGATGGGCCGCCATATAAATGATGACGGTCCTGGCCTTGACATCCCTCGCAAAATCGGTTGATTTCACGACTTCGGTATGGAAAGCGTCTCGAGCTATGGCCCAGAAACAAACTTTCCTTCGATGATTCAGACTCCCGGGGCCTTGCAGCCTGTCATGACATGTTCGGCCAGTGGCTCAAATGAACAGAGGATCATTATCTGTGGGTGCGAATCATAGAAGTTACAGACCGGATGATAGTTTGGTGAGCCGATTGGGGGGAAGGGAGGGGTGAAGGAAACGCAAGGTTGAAAGGTTGAAAGGAGGAGGTGAGGCCGTGGGGGAGAGGGGTATTTATAGTCGACAAGTTTGGCAAAAAACGCGCCCTCTAGGCGACAACAACGGCCGGACGCCACGTGACCAGCGTCTATCGACGTCACAGCACGATGAGCACGGTGTCAAGGTAGAGAATCTAGCAGCTTCTACCACTGAACGCGCGCACCCGCGTGTGGCCGTGCCAGTACGACCTGGTGGACCGGCTGCAGAGGGTTTCGAGAGTGAACGGGATTATCAAAAGCCGATTCCAGGTGGATGCGGGACAAAAAACATGGAGCAGTTTATAAAGAACAGAACAGTTTGGCTGCCTTCGAGCATATATCGATGTGACTGTTTGCTGCTTGTGAACAGTGCCTGCTACCTCACCTCATCTCAACTTGTCTCAGACATGGATCTGGAAATTCATTTGGATATGAGATTCACCATGTTTCAGGGTTTGTAGCTGGCATCTCTATGTACAACTGATGTTATATGTCTCGAAGTCATCCTCTTATAGTGCTTCTAGGTCACTCATGCACCGAGTCCACATTCCCCACCCACACCACTGAGTGGCTACCAGAGAATCTGAGTCTTGAATGCTCGAAATACATGTGTAGCATTGTAACTAAAAGATCTCCAGCACTCGAACATCTCCCAATCGACCACAGTGCCAGTACGATCGACACCTCAATAAAGTTTGCTCGTAACGATGAATAGTACCAATATCCTTGAAAATACAAACACACGAAAAAGCCATATGCAGGCTCAGAATATCTACGAATATTCTCTTGTAGAGCCTAATACTTTGTCAATCTAGCAAGTATATAGTGCGTACACCACTGACTCTCACCAGAGGAACACATCGCAAGGCTCGAAGCACCGCACAGACAGGCAACCAACCAACTCAATGTTGAAGACGAGATCTTGGGGATTCAAGATGTACAAACTACAAGCCATCATTGATTTTGGAGCTCAGTAACAATAAGTGTCGTTTTCATACGTTGCCAGAAATCGACCAGCACTCGATGCGGCAGTATGATGTACTCCTGGCGTGATTGCGCTCCATTACTGTCCACCGCATACAATCTATGACAGGCTTGATCGTGATTCACGAAGCTAAGAGACACGGCTCAGACAATCTCTTCATTAAAAGTAGATGCTCAGGAGGTATGGCCAGTGGGCATTGAGCCAACAGCAGCCATTTCCCCGTACAAACAACATAATGTTGCCGATTCACAACCACGGACCCTCCCTCCTACTATTTCTTGTTACTTTCCAACCTCTAATTTTGAATTCTCACTCTTGTCATCCCGATACGACTGTTGCTTCTCATCCGCACCTAATCATTGCACATAGTTTATAGCAGCTACGCAAATTGCCCTCACTTCTAGCAACGAGCAGCCGCCGAGATTTGTACAACACCATTTCAATTATGGTGCTCAAGAAGTGACTAGTCACTATATCTATGAACAAGAAATAGTCGAGAAAATCGACCCACTGACGGACGGGGACTCTAAGCGACGCTTGATCGAAGACACCTGGCACGCTTCTGGCATATCTCTCTAATGACTGGGCTCGACATTGCCAATGGCCGAAATTGGAAACATCACAATCAAGTTTTTCAGGCCAGTATTAGATGTTTTTGACAACAAGGCCCAGTGTATATATATCACAAACACTGCAAAAATCAGAGTAACTCCTTCACCAATACTTCATTCCTGGGTACGATAAAGTACTGAATATACAAAATCCCTCCTATCAGGTAGCAGAACCTATATACATCTTCACACCAAGAACAAAATTGTCCTCATGGGAGTTATCGCAACGTGTCTGAGATACAAGTCCTCTTACGTCTACCCTAACCCTAACCTTACGGTCTCAGACTTGCATTTCTTCTCCTACAACCCCCCTTCTAAAATCTATCTTCATGTTCACCTGCGCGAGTGAGGTTCTTGGGCCTACTTTCCATCCCCCCACACTCTCTTCATGTTGTGTACATCCACCCCAGCACACACTCACCAACCTCACTTTTTCTTTACTGTAGCAGCGAAAAAACGTGTGAATTTGCCTCAGTCCTCATGCAATCCACCATGCTCTTGTATAAGGTGTTGAATTGCTCTCATACATCGCCATAACCTCAAACTCCAACAAATAGCAGCGAAGAAGTTCATACGGTAAGGAGGGCTGCTGATTTTAGCATAGGAAACATGAAGGCCGGTGCTTAGTTCTGACTACATACTTAGACCTCTCTTGTCTGAGAAGGTTTTTATCTCCTCGTTAAAAATATCCCGACGAAAGTATTATTTGCATAATGCGAAAGTATGAAGGTGTTGGAGGATGAGCATGTAGCCGGTGTTGTACACATTGCTAAAGGACTTACAATACAAGTAACGAAAGAGACAAAGAAAAGAAAAGAACCCCATTCTGCCGGAACAGAAGCGAAATGGATAAGGAAACAAGGCTGCAATCTCACCGTTGCCAGATGTCGAGCCTGCGCAAGTGACTTAGTAAACATAAGGGGGGCTAGCCCACCTCAAGAGGAGGAAGGGTGCTTTTTTCTTTTCAAAAGTCTTCATGTCGGCGTTGGCAGGTTTGGCGAGATTGTAATAATCTTATCGAGTATTTGTGTGTGTGTGTGTAAACTACCTAGGTACTTGATTGAGTACATACCTAGGTATGTAGCTGGGACTGGTCAGCACTCCGCCCCATTGATTCTCAGCATCAGCCCCCATGCCACGGACACGGAGTCACCGAGCTTACATATTGTATGCAACTAACACAGCCCACTATCGGGCAAGCTCACTAAAAGACATTTAGGCTCCTCCTGGTCTTACACTATATGCACTGAATCTTCAATATATTCGTAACCTCCAAACGCTTTCCACATCGCCTCAACGCTAAATCATCGATCCTCAAATCAATTCAGCAAGGTGAATCAGCATGGATCCCCTCACCGCACTAGGCGTCGGCGCAAACGTCATCCAAGTCGTAGACTGTTCCATCAAAATCATTTCGCAGACTCACCAGATCTACAAAGCTGCCGATGGCATGGCCGATGATCTCCGAGACGTGGAAAAACTGGCCACGGACTTATCCAACCACAATGCATTGCTACTAGCTGATCTGCGGCGTATTGATCCCGAGCAGCACTCGTCCTCAGTACTATTACAGTACGGCGGCGGTAGCAGCAGCAACAGCAACAGCAGCAATAATGCCACGACGACGCTTGTTCCCCAGGCGACGCCCCCTACCAGATCAATCCAGCTAGAGAACGCAAATGCAAATGACCAAGCGCTTGCAGATCTCTGTCAAGATTGTAATTGTATAGCCAACACGCTTCTGTTCAAGCTCGAAAAAGTGCGGTACAAACCCGGTCTGACGTCGAGGAAGAACGAGTGGAAAGCTGCAGGCAAAGCCATCCGCTCTGCCTGGGAACAAAAAGAAATTGAGGCCATCCATTCGAGACTCCGCCAGTACCGTGCACAGCTGGATTCTAGACAGCTGTTGTCTGTGAGGTGGGTATTTACTTCACTACTTATCTCACTTATTCAATCAACCAACAACACCCCCTCCCATTCTCTCTCCACACACATACATGCATACCTAAGTAGATATCTGATCGTCCTCGCTGACCCACGTACCTACCTTACATAGGGAACTCATCACCCGCAGCGCGCAACAACAGGACGGACGCCTCGAAGTGCTCGATGGCCAAACGAGGAAAATAATAGCTGGGTTAATGCAGAGTCGAGATGAAGCCACCGCGGACGCATCCGTCCTCAAAATGACGCTGAGCAAGCTCTCACAGCTCGTCATAGCCGAGAACGAGAAGACGCGCAACTTGTTTCCTATCATCCGCCACGCGTCCCCACTTGACATTGTCGTCGCGCAACCGTACGACGACGATCCAACCGTCTCTATATCACGCGCTAATTCACCTGTCCCGACCATGTCCATATCCGAAGCCGCTGTATCGGGAAATATTGAGCAGCTGCGGAAACTCTTGAAAAACCCCCGCCAACACATCGACCCAGTCGACGAAGAACTCTCAGCGCTCCAGCTAGCCTGCCTGAATCAGCAATGGAAAGCGGCAAAATGGCTGGCGCAGCGAGGAGCGGATCCCAACCGAGAGGATGAGAAGGGGATGACGCCGCTACATTTCGCTGTCAAGAGTGGCGATGCTGCGTTTGTGCGGTTGCTGTTGGAGAAGGGGGCGAACAGGGAGTATATGAACGACGATGGCCGGAAGCCCTTCTTCTATGCGGACAGGAATAATTTTCTGCTTAATTGGATCCGAAGGTTTGGTCATAACGTCGATGCTATGGATCCTGTCACTGGATTCACGGCCTTGATCGAGGCGGCTAAAAAAGGCGATGTGTCGAGTGCAGAAACTATGATAGATCAGGAAGCGAATGTGGATGTGCAATGTGCGAAGAAGAACACGGCTTTGCATTACGCGTGTGAGTTGGGCAACTTGGACATCATCACCTACTTGGTGGGCAAGGGGTGTGCCCTTGATTTGCAGAACGACACGAAGTGTACGCCTCTTCTGGTTGCCGTGAGAAAAGGCCGTAAGTACTTCACATCTATGTCGCCAGATGGGGGGATATCTTCTCTTCCATATAGTTGCATACATGTACCCACCCACCCAGCTGCCTGAGTAGAATTTCTCCAGTCAAACCAACCCGCTGAAATCTTCCTAACCATAGACAATTCCGCGGTAAAGATCCTCATATCCGCGGGCGCAAACCTAGATACCAGCGGCACAGACGACGACCTTAACCCCTTATTGGCAGGTAAGTCCTTTACTCCAGACTCCCCCCTCAAAACAATCTATCATATCTTAACATAAATCGCCCCTCCAGCAATCGAAGCCAAAAACCCGGAAATTGCCCATGACCTTATAACCCACGGTGCAAACCTCGCAACCCGCGATACCCATGGCCACCCACCCATAACGCGCGCCGCTCAAGCCAGACTCGAAACCACCGTTCACACTCTCCTCACCCACGGCGCCGACATTAACGCGCAAAACACGTCAACCCTAGCGCCCCTCATCTCTGAAGCCGCAGCCGCCAACCTCCCCGATCTGATCGACTACCTCGTCGCGCACGGCGCAACCCTCACAACGCCTGACCACCACCACAACCTCCCCCTCCAAGTAGCAAGCATGAACAACAGGCCCCTCTGCGTCGCGCGCCTCCTCGCCCACGGCGCAGACCCCAACACCCAAAACTGCTTCGGCTACGGCTCCCTCCACGAATGCGCCGACCGCAACTTCGCCGACATCACTGAACTCTTACTCGCTAAGGACGCCGACACCGAACTCCGTGTGACGGTCGAAAACGGCCATTATACGCCGCTGCAGTTCGCGAGTATGCATGGGCATGAGGCGTGTGTGCGGGTGTTGCTGGCGCATGGGGCGAATCTCAACGCGGGGAATCGCGATGGGTGGACGCCGTTGGCGGAGTCGTGTTATCATGGCCGGGTTGCGGTTGTGGAGTTGCTGCTCAAGGCTGGGGCTGACGAGACGATTACGTGTGCTAGTGGGATTACGCCGTTGCAAAGGGCGATTGCTGATGGGAGGACCGAGTGTGTGGAGCTGATCCAGAAGTATCGCGGGTGAATGTCGTGGTTGTTGGTTCCTTAAGTATCTACTATTGTCTATATTTCCATCTAGTCGGGTGGAGCCACCTAAGTCGGCATTGTTATCAAGTATCATGTCATGTCTAGAAACACTAACATCCAGATCCGAGCCTAGGTATGCGACCGTTCTCATCGTGTTTGTCTCTGGTAGTAATGAGACGCGGCCTCTAGAAGGTGCATAAGAGAGAGTGCTTGCTCGGCGAGCGCTGAATCGTCAGGGACATCAAAAGCTTTATGGATCAAATTCTAGTAGTTTGTAATACAAGAACCTCAAACTAGCACTTGAATCCTACATGTTCCTTCTGTGAATCTTGGCCTATAGCGGCTCGATGACCTCTCACCCTCTGTACGTAGAAGAAACAAGCATGTATATTGCTTGTTTGGGGCGCTGACGTCTGAATATCACGTCCTAGCCCTCAAAGGGGATGCCCCCCGATCCCTGCTCTTTGCTTGTTGCAAGAAGCTTGTGCGAAGGCATTTCTTCGTGTGAATTTTTGGTAATCGTTTATTTTTATTTTTTGGGAGGGGCGGTTTGCTCTTATCGTTGTAACTATCGCTGTGTGTAGGATCCTCCAAACTCAAACTTAGAATTTGTCTATGTCCCTCCCCCCCCCCCCCCTCTTTCCTAGCCCCCATCACCCAACATCTTCCCCATGTGGAAGCCGGGTAACGGGTAATTTACCAGCACCACAGTAAAAGAAAAGGGAAGGTGGCCAAAAGGGGGAAAAGAAGGCAAAAGTCAAAATAAATAAAAATAAGAAGATAAAATCAGTGCATGACCAGTTTTAGCGGACGGCCCGCAGACCTTCCGCTCTTACTTACAGCCAGACACACCGACATAACACGGACACTGTGCATACACGCAACACCCACCACCTGCCTGAAAAGAAAATAACCACAACCGGGTAATGACCCAAAATAAGGATATACCCATAAAGCACGCTCGAGAACAAAAAAAGCAAAATTGGAGGGAAATCAACTTAATCAAGGCCATTTAGCCGTCAAAAGAGCGGCGACAGGCGGTTGGGAATTTTGGTTGGATGGGAGGCCTTGGTGAATTGGAGGGGGATGTATGTGTGTGTACGGGTACGGGTCATGCAGGTATGCATGCGTGCATATTCTTGATGCCTGTCCCCCCAGCTTGTCTGTCTGTCCGCGTACACAAACGACGGATTGGAGGGTGGAGGGTGCGGGTTCTTGCAGCATACAAGATGTTGCAAGCCAAGGTAACGCAGCGATATGTATAGATCTGCTGGGTTGACGGGGAAATGTTGATTGGAAAAGAAAGAAAAAAAAAAGAGGAGGGAGATGTGAGAGAAACGACCAAGGTTTAAGGAATACAAAAGAAAAGATAAGGCAAGACAAGACAAAACAAAACAGAGAAGACCACAGTCCAACTGATGTTCCATTTCATATGGGATTTGGCTTTGGTGGCGCTTAAGTGCAGGACAATTGTGTGTGGTGGATGGCCATGTTTAGCTGGTGGATGCGAAGCAACCCCTGCATTAGGTCATGTGCAGGAGGAGGGAAAGCAAACCGTCCATGGTGGTGTGCCACCCGTACCCACACCTGAAACGAATTTTGGCTCCCTGTGTCGCTCCCGTGGTTGATCCGAGGAGTTGGAGGTAGATGTTTGTCTTTCCTGTCCTGGGTGGGCTGCAGCCGGTTGCGGGCGTCAGTAGCACATGACTTGTTTCATCAGTCGGATGCATTCAAGTGCAAAATGTAATCTTGAACACAATTTATCCCGACTTGTCTGTAACGGGAAATGTCCGCGACGAGGCAATGATAGACGACCATAATACCGGTGTGTTACTATAGATACTTTGCTAACAAGGGCTTTTGTACAGAGGCCGTTAAGACTGAATGACTGACTGACTGACTGATTGACAGGAAACTCGGGCGACAACATGCCATAAGTGAGACGCAAGGATACTACATGTATCGTACACGGGTTTAGAGCGGCGCAAACAAGGGAAACAGTGAAACAATGCACTCTGAACTAGTCGTAGGATGTCGCTAAAACATTAATTATGTGCTCGTCACAAGCCCACCTCATCATAAAAGCAGTGAAATAGCGGCCAAGGAAGATTTGAACAAGGAAATTTTGGAGCGAGGGGACGCGCTTAGTCGGTTAAAGCGGAGAACGGCAACACAAGAACTGACAGAAGGAAACATGAGAAGATAACGAAGAGGAAAAACAAAACAAGATGGAAAAGGATGAATAACGGCAAGCGAGATAATAGTCTTTGGAAAGCGAGCAACGCATAAAAAGCAGAGCATACCTCCAAAAGACCCACGATAGACATGATGAAAATACCATGAGGAAAGGAAAAGGCCGTCATGACGTGCGTGAATAGTCGTCGAAACGATTCCAAAAGACAAATACCGCCGCATGAGCTTTTTTTTGTAACGAAGGAAACACGTTATATGCCGACCGTGTCTTTAAACGAATGTGGTGTCGTGGTCCGGGGCTGCGAATCTTCTACTCCTTCCATTCTCACGTCTCTGTCTCGCAACTCTGATGGCAAAGGGGCGGATATCGGGGTGAAGGATGAATAAGCCTGGCTCTGATGGGTCCCTGTTGCGGCCGAGCCGTATGCTAATGGCGATTCGGTCTCGCTCTGTGCCTTTTGCATTTTCTCCAGTTCCAGTGGTGCTGGTTTGCTGCGCTTTTTCTTCCCGGAGGAAGATAGCTCCATGGCTTGATCTGGCTGCGTGGGCTGCGGAGTTATAGCACCACTATAGGAAACTGGTGCAGGGGGAGGAGTCCGTTGAGCGGGTGGTGGGTTGTCGCCTTGGGATGGCAAGGGCTGTTCGATGGCCGTTATGGAAGGCCTTGCTTTTCTTGGTGGAGGATAGACCTCACCCCTTGCAGCCGCCTCTTGGGCTCTCTGCTGGGCTTCTGCTTTTGTCGGCCGGCCACGCTTCTTCTTATTCGCTGGCTCACCCAAAGGTGACATGAAATTGGGGTAGGAAGGTCCGCTGATGAAGTCTGCCTGGTACGAGTGTGGGGGGCGCGGTTGGAGAACGCGACCTATTGGTGTCGACGTTTCGGGTTGGAGCGGGCGCTTCTTGGGCAATTCAGGGCCGGGGTACAGGATGGGAGTGGGCATCTGGGGTTGTGGGCGTCTATACTCGGGAGGGGTCGTGAAAGTCGTTACCAGGTCACTGTATGCCATCTGGCACGATCGTACTGAACGACCTGTGGGGGACAATCAGCGAAGGTCACGCGAAATGCAGCAGGGCATGAGGAAGTGCTGTATAGCGGGATAGCATATAGCCCTATGATGTTTCAAAGAACAGGGTTGGAGCAGAGGATGAAGGGAGACAAGGGGATCGCGAGCCTACCGTGGGGCAATGCCATTTCGTTCCACCTGGGCTGGATGTTGGCATCGCGAATGATGTTGTAGAGAACATGGGGTGGAACTGGAGCGGCTTTCAAGATTTCGGCGAGTAGGTAGACCTTCTACAACAAGCAATCAGCGACGGGAAGAGGGAAGGGGAGCAACGGGTAAGGCTTGGGCGGTAGGGAGGCGGCACATACCTCATGCTCTGCCCATGCTGGTTCGCGGGCAGACTCCATGTCGTGACTCTGTATGGAAACAAGAGGGAAGAGGTGAACAAAATACTCGGGGCGACTATTTTTAGTGGAATGCAGCCAGACAGATGGAGCAAAGAGCGATCAGCGTAAAGTAGGTGCAGAGGCGCGCGGTAACAGGAGAGGCGTGGGTCGTCGCTGAGGTGGAGGGATGAAGAGAAGGACGGACGGACGGCGTAACGAGAGTGAAGCTTGAAGAAGAAGAAGAAGAAGAAGAAGCGTGGAAGCATGCGAAACGAGAGTGACGAAACAGAAAGAATCATCAGAAAAGAAGCCTCATGCCAGGCGGCAGAGCAAGTCAAAAGAGAACCATGAGGCTGGTCGCAGAAGAAGACAGACAGAAGAGACGGAAGGGAAGCAAGACGACTACCTACTGATGAAATTAGTTAGTTAGGGACAAGGCCGGGGGGGGGGGGGGATGGTGGGAGTAGAGAGCATTAGCGATACGAGATGACTTGCAGGACGTAATTTGGCCCTGCCCATGATTAACAGCCACCACCCCTCCCCCCCAGTGGGGATCTCGAGAGAGCCGCAGGGAGAGAGGATGAGGAAGTTTCGGCTTGGCCCGTTTGACCCTATTTTTTTCTTCTCTCCTTCTTTCCCCCCCTTGTACGATGACTCTTTCCTTTGGATCGGAATAAGGGGTGAGATGGATCTCTTCGGCCGCCATGAGTCGCGGTAGGAGAGGGGGGGAATTGGGTGGAAAAGGGAATGGATGGGCACGGGCAGGGAATACAAGGGAGGGTACGTACATAGGGCGAAGAATGGAAAAATAAGATATCAGTACGTACGCGACATACAATACTCTCGCACATTGGACGGATTATGGTACGGCGAAATGGATGACAACTAGTGGGGGAAGGGTGAAGGGTGAAGGGGGGGTGGAGGGATCTGACAGCCAGTCGCTTACGATTGCCGGGCCTTGCAAGCTAGGGGTAGGCCACACAGATGAACAGGTACAAAGTGCGGCCGGCATCGCAAGTACTTGGCTGCTAGCCGACAATACTTGCTGCGACGAAGATGCTGTACAGTGAATTGATAGATGGACAGATGGATGGATGGATAGGCAGATAGGCTGGCGCATGGCCGATGGTGCGTTGGTGCGGCGTGGCTGTTGGGAACTTTGTTCTTCGCACGGTACTAGTAGAGAGCCAGAGCCTAGGTTCAAGGCCACATCTGACGGGCCGCCGTTGTCCGCACATGGCTGGCGTGCCATCCATCTTTCTTTCCATCGTGCCATCCCTCGGTTCATGGAAGCAGCATCGATGGTGTGAGATGGAGCAGTAACTCACAGGGAAGAAGCCCTTTCTTTCCTCGACGACTTCAACGCCTCTTTATATCCTACTCCATCCCACGCTTTCCGCCGCTTCTGCCACGTGTAACAGCAATCATCGTGGGGTGAGTTTACGACGACAGGTAGGCAGATAGGCAGGGAGACAGGACAGGACACCATTTGCCCATTTGCCCATGGTTTCTGGATGGACATGTACATGTACCGTGTGCTATGTTTGTATGCTTGGGTTATCTTTGACGCTTCTGCCACCATCGCTGAGCAGCAGCCATGTCTTCCAATAGTACATACATGCATATGAAACATAGATAATATCCATCTCCATCGGTACAAGTGCATGGGAACGTGCGCGTGTACATGTGTTGGAGCAATTAATTTACACACTTACATAGTCGCAGCCGTCGGCCTGGAGCGAATCAGGGGGCCACGTATACAATTTAAGGTTGGCCGTGTGCCGCAAGCCCTCTCTATTGCACCGCGGTTCGAGGTAGACTAGCAACTAACCGTTGCCAAAGCATGGTGGTGGTTGAGACGCTGGTGATGGACGTTGTCATATCAATCCCCCCCCTCGAATTTTTTTCTTTTCTTTTTCCGTTAGTGGGATATTATCGATTTTCTGCGTAGTCGCTGCACCATATCGATACCGCCTCGATGCTAATGCAGCCGTTCGGATCAATGATGCTCCACACAGCGCGAGTATATGAAACCGCACCCTACACGTGCCCATGGCCCCATCCCAGGTTTCGGCACGTTGCTGCGGATGCGTGTATGTATGAATCAATGTACATAGATAGCATGTATCTATGTATGTATGTATGGATATGTACGCTCGGACAAGTCTCCTCTCTCGCTGATATGGCTGGTGTTCGTGCCTTTGCCATTAGGCGCTCTCGCTCTTGTTCGGGCAGGCAGCCATTCCCACGCAGACCTCATTGGCCGTGCGTCGGTCGAGCTAGCGAGGAAGAGGCTAAATCCCCCAGTGCAAGACAACTGCACAGCTTTCGTATCGGATGATTGCTGCAATACTGCGCGGCCGGACTTCCCATCTGCTCCGTCAAACAATGGCTGGCGCTTGCATTGCCCGCCGTGGGCAAACACGCCAGCCAGCCAGCCAGCCAGCCATTCATCCCATCTGCCCATCCACCCCATCCAGTGGGACCCGCTGCACTCCTTTGAACCACTGCTCACTGCTCACTTCTCCCTCGCACTGTACCCCCCCTAGCCATTCCGTGTATTGGTATGTATTCCCCCTTCATCCCCTCTGGCCGTCGTTGAGACGGGTGCATGTCTACACTGCCATTGTCCCTCGCGAGGGGCATGCCACCAGATGACCCGACATGACAACAACATTTGAGCCGACCAGCCCGGGAGCCGCTAAACGTGCGCGATGGAAAGAGAAAAACGGTTGAACAAAGTATAAATCGACCTACAGACAGTGACTTACGTCTTCACCTACAAGCGAATCCGTCACTAGTCGTCTACCCCAACGGCCAGCGCGAAGCACCCTTCCAAACGCCCTCGTCGGCATTGCAACCCTCCGCTGTTTGTGTTCGAGCCAAGGGAAAAGCTTCCATTGCAGTCTTTGTTGCGCCGTGGCTTTGCCAGGATCAATACGCAATTCTTTTTTTTCCCTTCCCTTCCAGCCATGTTCCGTTTCACTTCCCTCTCTGTGTTTCGTTCCTTCATCCATTCTAGTTCACCGTACAGTTGGGATTTTCAAACGTTACCACGTGCCGTTTGGCTGACACTCGTGATGCAGACGCGACTCTGTATTCTGCCAAGCCTTTCCGCCTTCGAACCTTCCGAGATACAAGCCATTCACTCTCTTCCCAAAACAAATATTGGCTTAGGCGCGGTGTTCGTCTGGGGCGGATCAAACTCACATCAAGTGAATGATTCCAATTGTCTCTCCCCATTGTGTATTCTCAAAGTTCGTATATAAATCGTTAGCCAATGAACGCTTGCGCATTGCCTCGTCTCGTTCCCGTCCAGGTCGGGGCGGATGTGCCTGCCCCGTTTTCTAGCCGAAGAAAGCGGTTCTCCATCTTCGATTGATTCACTCCACGATGCCAACGTACATCGTCTTCTCACAGCACCCATAACTTCATCCTCGACTGACTGCGCGCCATTCACCCGCTGCACAGTACATTGCTGCGGCTCAACCACCTTGCAATCCAGACCTCTCAACCCTTCCCGCTCCCGACCTATTTCAGCCTTCGATCGCACCTTCTCTTCGGAAGCCTGGCTACTCTATGTCGAAGCCGAACCCTACGCACCACTTCCCCAGCCGCGACCTCTTTACACACCAGTCTTCTCTTCTCAACCGCGCGCGCCTGCGCAGGCTGTCTCCTGATCAATAGCACCATTGGGTTGTCGCGTTTGATGAAGAGTTGGGTCCATTGCTGTCCGTCCCCGTACACGCGAGCACATCCCGCACCTCGCGGCCTCGAGCTTCCTCTCCACGACTTGCCCTCGACTTCGAATCACCAAGGCTTCTGCTTGTCTAGCTGTGCACTGCCTTGAATGCACTTGTTGGCGCGGGCCATGATTTTCACTGCGGTATAGGAGCAATCGGATCATCGCTTAGCGTCCCAGACCTTCACGCCTCCTCACCACAGTCAGGGATTTCCCTCACCACAACCCCCACCTCCCTCCCCTTGCAGTGCGCACGCTGCCACGAACCATGTCGGAAATAAACCTCGCAGAACCTGTTGCGCCAGAGCCTGAACTGCGTGGCATGAAGCTCGAAGAAGGTGTGTCCTTGGAGGACGACGAGGTGGAAAGCGAACAAGGTAATAAAACACAAATCAAGGTGGAGGCACAGCCAGGCCGCACATCTACCCCCATCCAACTCCCACCACGCTTGAAATCTACTTCCAGTTCACAGTCACCCGTTAAGCGACACCCATCAGACGTCTCTGGATCAGACTCAGACGCGCAGGAAGAGGTGCTTGGCGGCGAAATCACGCTGAAGATGGAGCCCGGCAAAGCGCCCAAACTTTCACGCAAAGCCTCCCAGAAAGTCGTCGCACGGGCTCCACCACTCTATCTGGACCTTCCCGATTCCACTGATGCTGCCAAAGAGACCTTTACCGTCTTGACAGAATGCACCTACGCCAACAAATCTCTGGGCACGACAGAACATGCGTTCGAGTGCGACTGCTCTGACGAGTGGGGTAAGTCCGATAACCCCATGCTCAGCAACCCCAACTATGAGCGCTATTTGCTAAACACATACAGATCCCACTGAAGGTAAAAACCATGCCTGCGGAGAAGATTCGGATTGTATCAACCGCGCCACCAAGATGGAGTGCGTGGGTGATTGTGGCTGCGGTCGCGACTGTCAGAACCAGCGATTCATGCGCAAGGAATATGCGGATGTGTCTGTCATCAAAACCGACAAGAAAGGTTTTGGCCTCCGCACCAACACCGACCTCAAGCCCGGAGATTTTATTTTCGAGTACATCGGTGAAGTCATCGAAGAGCGCGCCTTCCGCCGCCGCATGGTCCAGTATGATCAAGAGGGCATCAAGCACTTTTACTTCATGTCACTGACCAAAGGAGAATTCGTGGACGCGACCAAGAAGGGTAACCTGGGTCGCTTCTGCAACCATTCCTGCAATCCAAACTGCTTCGTTGACAAATGGGTGGTTGGAGACAAACTCCGCATGGGGATTTTTGCCGAGCGGATAGTCAAAGCGGGAGAAGAGTTGGTGTTCAACTACAACGTCGATCGGTACGGTGCTGACCCTCAGCCGTGTTACTGTGGCGAGCCCAATTGCTCCGGCTTCATTGGCGGGAAAACCCAGACGGACAATGCCACGAAACTATCGCACGCTACTATTGAGGCGCTAGGTATCGACGATGGTGATGGTTGGGATACTGCTGTTACGAAAAAGCCGCGCAAGAAGAAGGTCAGCGAAGATGATGAAGAATACGTCAACGATCTCCAACCAAAGTCACTCGATGAAAATGCCGCCCCCAAGGTCATGGCCGCTCTACGGCAATGCACGGAGAAATGGATTGCTGTCAAGTTGTTGCACCGCATACAGGATAGCCAGGACGAGAAAGTTGGTCACCAAGTGATCCGCATGCACGGTTACGATATCCTTCGGAAGACCATTTCCACTTGGAAAGATGATCCTAATGTCGTTCTCCAAGTCCTCGACATTCTCCACAGTCTGCCGCGAATTACCCGTAACAAGATCCAAGACTCCAAAATCGAGGAGGTTGTGCAACAACTCAAACAGGATTGCGAGGATAGGCGCGTAACTGAATCTGTCGACGAGTTGTTGGAGGCGTGGAGTAAGCTGGAGATGGGCTATCGGATACCCCGGATGAAGAGAGATCCGAATGCTGCGACTCCCCTACGTACAATCTATCAATTCGAGCGTCGTGAGCGAGGTAGAGAGCGGTCGAAATCGCGATCCAAATCTCCTGATACGGGCGCCCCAACTGGTGCACCTTCAGGCCCCCGTGGGTTCAACAATGTTCCCAAAGGCCCCGCTGGATTTGTACCAACACCCCGTCCCCCGCCTCGCCCGAGACAGATTTTCCGACCCCTTCCCACTGGCTGGTATGAAGCCAAGGACGCTAACGGCAAGCAATACTACTACAACGATTCGGGTGCAACAACATGGCAACGACCAACTAATCAGACACCACCACCTACTTCATCCAAAGCAAAGTCACACCAACAAGTATTGCAGGACATGATTTCCAGCATTACCGCCAATTCAAGCCGCAGTAATCCCGCATCGGCCTCTACCACGCCACAGGCGGCAGCTGAAGAACCGAAAGACCACAAGTCAAAGAGCGAGAAATGGCGTGATTTACCCCAGGAAAAGCTCGAGAAGCTGTACGAAGGCAATGTGAGTGCCCAAGAACCTCGTATTAAACGTCTCTGACTGTAGTAGATTGTCAAGCATGTTCTCTCCGTCACTTCCCGCTACCGCAAAGATTTCGAAAAGGACGACATCAAGAGGTTATCCAAAGAGGTGCGTTATCATTACCATTTATGAAAGCTTCTACTGACGCTGTGTTCGCAGGTTGCCAAAAAGATAGTCCGAGGAGATTTCAAATCTGGTCGCGTGAAGGACCCTAATGCTCCCCTGGATTCGAAACATGAAAAGACGGTCAAAGGCATCGTGAAGGACTTCATGGACAAGGCTGTCAAGAAGAAAATCGAGCGTGAAAAGGGCAAAGCGACACGGGCCGAGATCAAGGCCGAGAATGGGGCAGACAAGAAGGGAGTGAGCGGACTCCGATCGGACATGGAAGGTGTCAAGGAGGGAGAAGACGAATTGATGATGCAGATGAGTGAGGACGGAGACGGTAAATCCGACAATGTGTCCCCAACCGAGTCATCGTCGGGCGACTTGAAGCGCAAGAGGGAAGAGGGTGAAGACATTGGCTCCCCCAAAAAGAGCAGGACTGGAGCGTTCGAAGGCCCCCCTCCGCCACCGCCACCGCCGCCGCGAACCGAAAGTATGACTCCCGAGGGCGTTGCAAGTGATGGTGGGATGACGAGTGGAATGGCTGCGAATGGTCTTGCCAAACAAAGGGAAGGCCAGAGTGCAGATGCAGGGTATCTTGCCACTCCTCCGACCAACGGATCGGCTTCTGAGGATGTGATCGTGAACGACAAGGCTTGAGAGACAAGAGCGGCGGCTGTGTGCATTTCCCTTCTCACGATGCACAATTCAGTATCTTTGCACTAATGTTTCGGGACGGTTGGGTCTTTATCCACCAAAGCCCAGTGGCTAGCAATGGGATGGAGTTGCTGACAGCCACTAAATCTGTTACAAGTTCATCCTCACGAAAGATCACGTCAACAAGTGAAGAGAAGAGTTGATGGAACTCGTGGACAGGATGATGCGGAAGACGGAAAAGTGGTTACTGGGAGCTGTGACTCCATGCCCTTTTATATTCGGACCTTTGAAAGCCCAATTTTCATACAAGGGTGGGTCATAATTCATTGATTTTTCTTCTTCTTCTTTTTTTTTTCGTGTGCATAGGAAAGCATGAGCATTACCGCCTTTGGTCGCCTGTGCATATCCTATATGCATCTTGGTATGTTTGGAGTTGGGACAAAAGCGGAGCAAAACTGGGGGAGACGGTTGATCCTGTCTCATGGGATATGGTGGGATTGTACAATAGATATAAATAATCTGCAGACAGCTTGAGTGGATTAAACCAATTTCAAGCTGTCTATTCCCAATTCGAACATATCGACTGGAACATATCGAGTGTTGTAGAACCAAGGTGCGACATAAGATCGTAGATTGCGGGGGCGTCGTCTACAGCGTCTGCAGCGTCTATGTTTGGAGGTACAGGTGTTGCAGCTAAGCTCCAACGGTTTGGTGGGGGCTAGTATCATCGGTCCCCCGCCTTCAATGGAGCTCCGAGATGCGAACTCGCGTCGAGGAGACAACAACGCATAGATAAAAGACCAGCAGCCTCCCCCTCCCCCCCTTACAGCCTGCAATACTGATTCACCATTCTCTTCTTCTTCAACCTTGCTATACGACACCCTTGCCTCGTCAATCTTACCCCGCCGTTACACAGCATATTGCCCCCGATCCCTATCTACCCCCCTGCTATAGCGCAACCCAGCTTCGTCATAGGTTGGTTGGCTGTGCGAGCAACAATCTACTATGGCTTCTTTTCTCCGGACGGCGTCGCGCACTCTGCCCGCTACCAGGCGTTTCTCTGCCCAGACTCCGTCAATTGCGACAATTGCTCTTCAGAGGCGGCATGCCTCATCTGCTGCCGCCAATGGCTCTCAGCCCTTCTTCCCTGACGAGCCCGTCGAACCAATCGTGAAGACTCAAATTCCTGGCCCCCAGAGCAAGGCGGCAATCGAGAAATTGGAGAAGGTATTCGACACGCGGAGTCTCAACATGATAGCTGACTACGGGCGAAGTTATGGTAACTAGTATGTGAATAAAGGGATCAGAACTTAGACCACAATTGCTGACGGCTTGTAGCATCGCTGACCCGGATGGAAACGTTCTCCTTGACGTATACGCACAGATTGCTTCTATTCCCGTTGGCTACAACAACCCCACTCTACAGCTCGCTGCCACATCACCTGAGATGGCTTCTGCTATCATCAACCGCCCTGCCCTAGGCAACTTTCCCCAACACGACTGGGCCGATATCCTCGAAACCGGTATTCTCTCTGTCGCACCAAAGGGTCTCGATCAAGTCTTTACAGGTCAATCCGGCTCCGATGCCAACGAGCTGGCCTACAAGGCAGCCTTCATGTGGAAGCGACAACAACAGCGTGGAGGCGCCAACGTCGACTTCTCCGACCACGAAATCACCTCAGCTATGAACAATCAATCCCCCGGCGCCCCCGAACTCTCCATTCTCTCCTTCAAATCCGCCTTCCATGGCCGCCTCTTCGGTAGTCTCTCTACTACACGCTCCAAACCCATCCACAAACTCGACATCCCCGCCTTCGACTGGCCCCAAGCCCCCTTCCCAGCCCTAAAATACCCCCTCGAAGACTTCGCTGCCGAGAACGCCGCCGAGGAACAACGCTGCCTCGACGAGACAGAACGTCTTATCAAAGAGTGGCACGCACCCCCTACCGCCGTCGTTGTCGAACCCATCCAATCCGAAGGGGGCGACAACCACGCCTCCGCCTCCTTCTTCCGGGGCCTCCGCACCCTCACGAAGAAACACAACATCCTCTTCATCGTCGACGAGGTGCAAACCGGCGTCGGCGCCACAGGCCAATTTTGGGCCCACGAACACTGGAACCTCGAGTCCCCACCAGACATGGTCACGTTCTCCAAGAAAGCGCAAACGGCGGGCTACTACTATGGAAACAACGATTTACGCCCCAACAAACCATACCGTCAGTTCAACACTTGGATGGGTGATCCTGCCCGTGCCATCCTCTTCCGCGCAATCATCCAGGAAATCAAACGTCTGGATCTCGTGCGTCATACCGCTGCTACAGGATCATACCTCTACGATGGCCTTGCGCGGCTCGCAGAGAAGTATCCCGGCGAGATTATGAATTTGAGGGGGAAGGGCCAGGGTACATTCATTGCGTGGGACTCGGGCAGGCGCGATGAAGTGCTGAAGAAGGCTAAAGCGGTCGGGGTTAACATTGGCGGGTCTGGAGAGAGGGCGGTGAGGCTGAGGCCAATGCTGGTGTTCCAGAAGCATCATGCTGATCTGCTTTTGGAGCGGCTGGAGAGAATCTTCGGGTCGTAGGGTTGTGTTTTCTTCTCCCTTTGTGCAGGAGTGAGTGAGTGAGTTCTTTTCACACCAGTTAGAGATTCTGGCTTTCCGCCGGCGGTTTCTTGAGAGGTATACGTGAGGCATTGCTGCTGCTTCGAGCCATGCATACATTCTAGCGATCAACTGCAAATATACGACAATGTTAGACAATCAATTGAATCTCTCAATTCTTCCCCCCTCGAACAATCGACAGTGTACCATGTTCCATCTACTCAAGATTCTGCTTCCCGGGAGTAATGTGCATGTATTAATCCTCATGGGTCTTTTCCTCCTGCCAATCCATATAGACAGATATCTAGCAGTTCCTACTACTTCAAAGACTTACACTCATTCTAGACCTAATACACGGCTAAGAGCAATAGGACACTGAAGTCGCTACTAAATACCGGATCTTGCGGTGGTGAAGGAAAGCTATTCTACTATACAACGAAGAGCTTTGGTGTACTGCTGATATGCCATATTCTACGTAGATCATCATGAATCATTCACCACATATGTGCCCGAGAATACATATCGGGGTGTAGTTTCAGTGATGCCTGAGCTTATCGCGGTGTTCGTTCCAAAAATTGCGACACCCTGGAAATATTGTCAGTATGTATTCAATGCAGCCACAGAAAGAGCAATCGTTGTTTTTACCTCTATGCATGTTGACTTGATCGATCCACCATTCTCCGAAGCTGTCTTCCACCCCGTGGTCTGCTACACCAACACGCTCGTCTCTCTTGAGTCCGCACAGCATACAAGCCTGGGGCGCAGGAATCCCACCTTCTGTTTGCTTCAACGTCTTAATGTTCATCGATTCCTGGATGTCAGGTACAGCGCCCAGTGTCCCCGCTTTGATCTGGTTGGCGGCTGAGACTACATGTCGTAGTTTCCCAAGCTGCTCCTTCCACGCGAGCACCACGTCCGAGGCTTCGCGCTCTTCTTTCATGTGTTCGCTCTTGTCTACGCTCGAGAGCTTCATGCCCGAAGTTGCTCGGGAGGATGCGGGTCCTATTCGCATGCCCTGGGAGAGATGTTGATCTCTTTTCCATCGTAGCTTCCGCCCTGCAATGACATGTGCCGCCACGGATGCTAGCATGAGATATCCCTGGAGGTAGGCAATTGTGGCAGGCTCCGCGAGCAGTTTGTTCCGAAGTGGAAGTGCTTGGGTGGCCATCGGTTTGAACAGTTGACTTTGTGCTTGTGCGAAGAGCGGGGAGAATAATGTGAGCAAGACAGCTGGTGGAGGGATATTTGTTGGGGGTAGCTCGTCATGCTGTGCATCTCTATGAGCGGGTGATAATATCGGTGAAAGATTCATCGTGGGTGACTCTTTTCGCTCATCCGTGACTTTCGCTTTCGCTTTCGCTTTGGCGGGGATGGTCGCTTCCCAGTCATCAAATGTGTCCCATGCATCTTCCTCAGCAGCCAAAGGAGGAGCAGGAGCGGGAGCAGAAGTTGGTTTTGAATTCGATGTTACCGCTGGTGCTTGTTTTGTTCGAGACATTGAACCGAAGTTCCCCACTGCGGAGCTTTTCTTCGTGGACGGCGAGGCGATGTTATGGCTTGCACTGGTTTCATCCCCCCGGCCTTGGGGTGTGGATTCAGTAAAAGATAGATCCCCCAACAGATCAGCGACAGCACTGTTGGATGATGCTTGAATTGGAGGCGGATTCGTGATGCCACCTTCGAAATCCCCAAATTCATCGTCGTCGTCTCCGAATTCATCCTCGGCATCAAACAGCACGCTGGGGTCCGCAGATTTCTTCGCCTTGATTATGGGAGCTTTCGTCCAACCCTCTCTCGAGCTTTCGATATGTTGGAAATTAGTAGAAAAAGAGTCGTTCTGAGCAGAGGCCGCTGGCCATGTCTGTTGTGTCGACTGTGACGGCTGGAATGAAAAAGGATCTTGGTTTGTTGAAAGGGTTGGTTGTGCACTGTCTTCAAAATCTCCCCATTCATCTGTTTCATCAGGCACAGCGGATTGAGCCGTACTCGAGATATTGATAGGAGCGTTGCTCGATGTTTGCTGGAAGGATGGGTGATTGCCAGTAGTACTCGTCAGGTCATCGAAGAAGCTGAAGGATGGATCAGGCTGCTTTTTATTTACCCCAGAGTTTTGACTCTGCTGTTTTTGATGATTAGAGGCTGGTGGAGCTGAGAACTCAGCGAAGAGGTCTGCAGACATGACGTGTGGCTTTGGCGCTCTCCCTCGAAGCACGGTGTGAGGACGATGTTCCCATGTCAAGCGGATGTAGCGAACCGAGCTAGTCCGGAACGAGCGGACTAAGTGTATTCACGCTCTGCTGGCAAACATGATAGGACTCGATTTGAACGTATCCAGAAAGTACATATAGGACTGTCAGCTCATGAACAGCAGCCTATTCTTTTAATCAGTGACTCAGTTATTAGATTTCAGGTCTACGTATAGGATACTTGGATAGATTGTACCCAAGTCAAAGTATATCATTTATTGGAATGAACTTGGAGGTGAAAAGCATGGGTAAGCACGTGCAAATCAAGCCGGGGGCTGCAGCAGCGAATGGGAACAAGAAGCGTCAACAAACCAATCAATGGCTGCAGAGTAAAGGCATGGGAAGAAACACAAATGGGTCGATTTTTACGAGCGGGGAAAAGAAACTGGAATTGGTGTTACAGCATACGTAGCAGGCAGAGGTAAGCCAATGCGAAGAAGGAGAAGAAGAAGAAGAAGAAGAAGAAGAAGAAGAAGGAGTATGAGGTAGTGAACGGAGAGGGTGGTGGCTCGTGGGAACGCAACGAGGCTGGCGGGGGCCTGGCTGGCAAAAGCGCGGAACTGCCAACCCGACTTCAGATGGGTTGGCCCTGCTAATAACGTTGGGGTTGGCTGTTAGCTCTGCTACTTCGCACATGCGCGCAGCGCCATTCCATTGTATCGTGGCTCCCCATTTATTGTACTCGTCTCCCAAGCTGTTGTTGATCTGCCAACATTGGTTGCCCTTCTGTGCCGTGTCTCTTGTTTTCCATATACATACAAACGTACATACATACATACATATCTACACATAACATAGTTGCGTATCCCGACTTCATCGCAGCCACGCCCGCACGCAGCAACAAGCTTTCGCCACCATCTCCCACCGCACCACCGCATCGTTTGACCTCCCCGCTATTTTCTCGCAGCATTCAAAGTAGCACCCAAACCACAACTCACCGCATCGCACCCCACCGTAACCCTCCCGCGACCCCTCGCAGAAAAAAGAGCAGAGCGAACAGAGGCGAAGAAGGGAACAAAGAAGAATTTCATCTCCACATCCCACCCCATAGCCCGTGCCCAACGCGCCGTAACCACCGTACATTTCCCGTGTAACACACTACCTTAGACGCAGGCCGCCGGAAAACGCGAGAGCAGAGCCTTGACATTGAACTTTTTAACCAACCGCGACAGGACAGCCAGTCACTCACCCATTCTCGGGCACCTGGGCTGGGGGAATGAGCAGACCACATGAGGATGGTAAGCGTCCCATGACTTCAATCACCCTCCGCTCGTCACTCTACACCCCCTTCGGCCCGCATCGCATTGTTTGTTCGTCGCTGCAAAATACCGTCAATGTAAACCAAAGGCTCCATGTTCCCCTCGCTCACAACCCAGCTTCTCTGCGCTGCTCGAACCCGCGCTGTTGCACGCACTTGCTCATGGACTTCCCCGCTAACATCCTCACCCCTCCAGGCTCTCCAATCGAAGACTCGAAAGCCCCCCAGCAATCCAGCCTCCGCTTTGCTGCCGAAAGCAATGTCTCTCTCCCCAAGAACAAAAGCACGAGTAATCTGCTCTCCCAGAGAGACCCGCCGCTCGCTGTCAATACAAAGCGCATGAGCATTGATGCCGGTCAGTTGGACCGTATGGCGAGGTGAGTCAAAGAAGGTTGCGGAAGGAACAAGCAAACATAGGCCGTCGGCTGCCTAGCCTATCCATTGGAATCAAACGAATATTTACTCACCGCTGCTGCCAGATCACCTATCATGCCTGAGCACGAACACGGTCTGGGCGCATCCGGTTTGCGCCGAATCCGCCAACAACCAGGTCCCCGCCTGTCCATGTCTTCTACCCAGCGAGCTACCTCTTTGAACATCTCCCCTCCAGTCTCGAGGCACCCCTCCGGGAGTGCCCCGACCGCCCCGGCCTCTCCCACCTTTGCCTTCGGCGAAGATCTCACGCGGTTTCCCTCCGAATCCCTACACTCGTTCTCGTTCGCTACACAGTCCGAGGAGTTCATACACAACCGCCAAAACATCTTGAAGCGGTCCATAGACTTTATGCAGAACAAACTCGGCTGGGCTGCTGCAAACCCCAGCATTGCCAATGCGCAAGCAAAGCTGAGTGGTGATCAAGACGTTCAGAGCATGATGGAGCTGCTCACTCGAGCAAATCTGATTGGCAATGAAGCAACGGGGGCACATGGACTTGGAGGTCTTGGTCCCCTGACTGGCCCTGCCGAAGTGGATGGCGAGAATCTGTTCGATAAGAGCTTCTTCCCTGTCGAGAGGTCCGCGAGCCCAGACAGTATGCAGGTTCTGCCGACAAAGATGCCTGCACAACAGACGCCCTCGGAGAATAGCCACGATGGCAGTATAGCAAATGAAAACGACAAAAGAAGCAACCCAGTCTCCGATATCGCCTCAGATAGCTCTGCCACAACGACAACCGGAGCTTCGTCACCACTACCCCAACGGCCCCAACGAATCGCACTAAAGCGCACACTGACGGATGTAGCTCCTCTCACCATAAAAAATCAGCTTGATGACGCTCTAGCACAGCCTTATCTGGCTGGAGACAGTCAGATGAACCAGCTCGTGTCGCCTACGGCCGTTCCTGCCTCGTCCGCACCCGTCTCCTCCGTCCCAAATGTACATGGGCAACATGGTCCTTCGCCACACGGACATGGGAGTCGCTGGGCTCCTGCTGCCCAAGCCATTTTCACGACAGAAGCAACTGCGCCGTGGACGATCACGGCTGCAAACGATTTGGCATGTCTAGTGTTCGGAGTGACGCGCGCAGAGGTCCGAAAATTAGGCATACTTGAAGTGGTTCGAGAAGAGCGACGCAAATGGCTTGAAGAGAAACTTCAGGATCCATCGCTAGGCTCAAAGGCATTCAAGGATTTGCACCCTCAAAGTCAGCGACCGAATTCTCCTCCTGCAACATCACTGAAAGTTGGTAACGGAATTACAGCTCGGCTGCTTAGCAAGCCATCATCTCGCCAAAACCCAACTGGCAGACGGGCACAAACCGACGATGGGAGCGGCTCCTCCATGTACGCTCAACGACCAAACGCGAAAGGTGGTCCCAATCACGAGTCCAAAGGATCAAGGGGTGTGTTACTGTGTGGCGATGTGGTGCCCATACAGAAGCGGAATGGAGCTACAGGATCGGCCAGCTTGTGGGTCAAGGAGAAACGCGGCGGTCTCATCTGGGTGCTCGAGGAGATTGCCGAAGACGTCGTCTACGTGAATGTAGATGAGGTGGGGTGCATATCCAAGGGACACGGCGCAATAGAAGCGGTCTTTGGTAGCGACCGGTTACGCAGGGGCATGGACATTAAACGTCTGATACCTTCCATCCCTAGACTCGAAGGCACTAACACGGGAGCATTGGACTACGAGAAGATACACGCCACTCGATACTTTACTGCACGTACGTCCAATAGCATCAATATCCCTGTGACCGTCGAGCCATTGCCGAATGAACCAACTTTTCGAGTATCGAGCTTCCCGCATATTGCTGGAATCGTGGTGCTATCGTCGGCAGACCTCACCATTGCTAGTTCCAATTCAGTCTTCTCTTCCGCTCTCTTTGGCCAATCACGTCCAGAGGGTCTTCACATCTGCAAGCTCATTCCATGTTTCGACAAGATACTCAACATCATGACCGACGAGGACAAGATCGATCTGGTGGATGGCATTGTAATCCCCGAGCAAAGTTTTAGACGTGCACGGGCTCTACTTGCCATGCGAGAAGGTCGCGGTGGTGACGCCGCAGCCATTTTCCTCAAACCCAGTGGCCTACCAGCACTTCATCATGATGGCTCGGACATCATGGTCGACGTTCAGATGAGAGTGGTCAAGAGCGAGAAGAAACCACGTTTTGATGAGAGCGTCATAGAAGAGGAGGACGGCACGCGTTCGACCCGGGGCCCGGAGCTTGTGTTTGCTCTATGGATCACATACTCGCGACAATTGCATGCCACGAACCACGGTATCGGGCCAGTGACTCCTCTCGTTTCCCGGCCTGGAACACCCCCACATCAACCATCGCCAGGGCAGTCGGCTATGATCAACCCACCAGAAGCCGAGCTAGACCAACAAAAGGGAGATGCACCAGTCTCTTTACTGACTCAGCAGATTCAAGATTCCACTGCGCCACAGTCTCCAGCAGAACCAAAGGCGAAGCAATCCCCTGCACCTCAGGACACCGGACCACCAAAGAAAAAGACCATTTCCGACTTTGTCGTGTTGGAAGACATGGGCCAAGGCGCATACGGTCAGGTTAAGCTTTGTCGGTACAAGAAAGAAAGCAGCAAAAAGGTGGTGATCAAGTATGTGACAAAGAAGCGCATTCTGGTGGATACGTGGACAAGGGATCGGAAATTGGGGACTGTGCCATTGGAGATCCACGTTCTAGATTATCTCCGGAGAGATGGCTTTAAACACCCCAACATTGTGGAAATGTCGGATTTCTTCGAAGACGACATCAATTACTACATCGAGATGGTGCCACACGGTCTGCCTGGCATGGATCTTTTCGACTACATCGAACTGCGCGTGAACATGGAAGAGCAGGAATGTCGGAAGATATTTGTCCAAGTCGCAGAAGCAGTGCATCATCTACACACAAAAGCCAAGGTAGTGCATCGCGACATCAAGGATGAGAACGTCATTTTGGACGGTGAAGGCAACATCAAACTCATCGACTTCGGCAGTGCAGCATACATCAAGAATGGGCCTTTTGATGTTTTTGTGGGCACCATCGGTACGCCGCGACCTTAACCCCCTACCCATCTAAGTGAACCACGACTAATAAAGACCAGATTATGCAGCGCCAGAAGTATTGGCTGGCGAGTCCTATCGCGGCAAAGAGCAAGACGTGTGGGCACTGGGCATTCTTCTTTATACGATTGTCTACAAGGAGAATCCGTTCTATAGCATTGACGAAATCATGGACCACGACTTGCGCGTTCCCTATATTATGAGCGAAGAAAGCATCAAACTCATACGATTGATGCTCGACCGGGATGTGGAGAAGCGTATTACCATCTCCCAAGTACTGGACCACCCTTGGTGTCAGATAGTCGACGGACCACCAGCCGTTGCGTGATAGAGCGATGAACGATTTGGCATATAGTAGATGACCGAGGACGGGCATGGGATGAATCTATGGGTTATTGCATCTTCTGGACACTTAGTTCTGCATCAGGGAACAGCGAGATAAATATACAGCAGGACAGAAACGGTTGGAAAGAAGGAGTCGATATGCTTGGGTGCTTATTCTTTTTGTGGAATACCGGATGTACACTCTCGAGCTATTGAGATGTCGACATGTTCGATGACTGGGATACGTCGGCTTGATTTGCGGGACGAAGGGGGGATGGTACACGGGTGCTTTTGTTCGTCTGTATAGCTTGAGGTAGATGATTCTTGACTTTACGAGTTGATATCAAAAAATACCCCAAGTGTAATTCTTTTGTGGATATCTCGGCGTCGACAAGGTACATGGAACATGAATGCACATACAACGCCACCGTAAGCGGGGTTTGTAAGTGTCAGTAATACATGATAAGGCTTGCCACACCCTGGAACTGGCCATTAACAGCTGCAGAATGGACGCCGATATGCTGTTTAACAGTATGTCAATGTAGAAAGTGTAGTCAATGCACTGTCTCGTGGTGCGCTGAACCTTATACTGTATGATTGACAGACTCAGCTGATCCACCTGGGTATCAGCAGCGTATTGAGACCGATTGGGGGCACGACGGCTTCCTTCGTTCCTCAAATCGCTACAAACATATATGTACATGGATGAGTAAGTACGTAGGTAGCCAATATCTGATATTGAAGCAAGAACAACAGACGGTGCGGGCTACCTAATAGCGCTCCATGAAATGCCCCAATGCACCGATTTTTTTTTGTTGTGAATTAAAGCTAAACGTATGCCCACCTAGGCGCGCTCTGGTTGACATTGATGGTTGTACCGCCTGTCAGAGCGATACAAGCAACCAGCCATCCCCGAAGGCTAGAAGAAAGAGATAACGATAGATAATCTATACCCGAGAAATGCTAAGACGAACGAACGTAACAAGGAAAAGTCATGACGCGTGACATGATTCATGGCTTCATACGTCGGATGTAAAAATGCTAAAAGGTAAAGGAAACGTGAACGTTGACAAGCCGGAAATCTATGGTGGTGAGAAACATACCACGCAAAATGGAAATAGAAACGCTAAATAGCACAGAAGGAATATAAGAAGACAATAGTTAAAAAAAAATATTCAGAAAAAAAGGAAACCTATACATGGCCATCTTCGTAAAGAGAACGAAAAAGAAAGAGCGAAGACGCTGGAAGAAGAGATTAATGAAAACCGAGCATATCTATACCCAATCTAGCCGCTCAACCAAAGCACAAAATTGTGAAAAGGGAGGAAGAAGAAAAAAAAAGAAGAAGATAGAGAAGAGAAAAAAGGCAGTAACCAGAGACGCCAGGCAAAGTGAGATCTATCCCACCGAGAAGCAGGAAAAAAAAAGAAGCAGCCAAGGAAATATGACAAGAAAGAGCAATGCAACATACCGCGCCGCGCAAAGAATCTACTCCGCAGCAGGTCCTTCCTTCCTACCCAGTTTGTCAAAACGTATTGTTTTTACTGGCCCTCCCAAGGACCACCCTGGTAGTTCAATGGGTTACCATAGATGTCGACCCCGCTTAATCCCATATTCTGCAACGATTCCTCGAACTGTTGCTGGAATGCCGCTGCCGTTGCCGGATCCATATTTGCCGTGTTGAAGCCGCCCGTTGGTGGCGCAAGAGGATAGTTCAGGTGTTGATATGGCGGTTGTTGCGTTGTGGGTTGCATGGGCATGGGTGCGGCAGTGGCCGACGTTGTGATGCCACCCCATTCGAAAGGGTTGGTACAGTCCAGCATGAGCGTGTCGAGGGGAGCTGAAGTTGGAACAATGGGTTGTTGAGGCTGTGGTAGGGGGAAGGAGCTGGAGTACGGAACAGACTGGTAAGCGTTTGCGATGTTGGCCTGATGAAGTGGTGAGCTCGGACGTTGTGGCTGGGCAAAGTCTCCTTGGTAGTACTGTTGCTGGTGGATCTGGCTGTATGTTTGTGGTTGCGGCCGCTGCTGTTGTATGGGTGCTGCTGTGTCGAGGACATAGCTATTGCGCTCGGAATGAGATGCAAACGGTTGCCCAAGTCTCCCCATCCCAGCAACTTGACTCTGGGCCCTCTCTTTCCTCTTGCCCTTCCCCTTCTTGCTATTCTTGTCGTCCACGTTTGAGAAGTCTTTCCAAGAGTCCATCTTCAGCCCGTCCTTGAAGTGGTTGGCAATGTGCGTCTCCCGCTTGTCCCAAGTCTCCAGCTTATCACTGCAAAAGCCACAAGTCCAGCCCTCTGTTCCAGCTTCTGCGGCACTCTTCCACCTGGCTTGCACAATGTCGAAAAGGCCGGTCCCGTGGAAGTTTTTCACATGTTGCCGCAAGTGGTCGGGTCGGAAGAAGGTTCGGTCGGAGGTGTCGCGCTTTGCACATTCCTCGATACGATGATGCTGCATAAAGTGTTCTTCGGGTGGATCTACCATCATACAGAAGGCGCATTTAGTCGCTGTTGTATCTGATTGGGGAGAGGGGAACAATAGACGAGGACCACGGAGCATACAGGTCCACTGAGCTTTCGGTCGGTGCTGGGTCTCTTCGTGCCGCCGCCACGATTTGGGGACCAGATGCTTGCGGCAGAACGTGCATTGCCACGATTCTGATTTAGAAGCTGGATCATTTGACAGTGTATCTGCCATGGGAGAATATGATGTTGCGTTGGATGAATGTGTGGTCACACCAAGCCCGCTTTCGAAAGAATAAAGCGCTTCGGAAGAGTTGGCTGCGACTGGCAGTTGTGTGTAATCTGGAGCTGGTGGCGCCGATACTGAGTGGCTCCGACGATAGTCTTTCTTCTTGCCTCTGCGAGATGATCGCTGCCGCGCGGTCGGCGAGAAAACGCTGGTGTCTGGAACCGAAGTAGTGCGATCATATCTGTCTGGCTGTTGGCCATCAGGGATGAATGCGAAACCACCCATAGCGTCGATCGGGGTATTTGATGCTTCGCTTTCGCCATATTCTTCGCCATCGCTACCGCTGACTGAAGAAGCGCCCAAAGGGCTGAGGTGCCGAGCACGAGCATTGGTAAACCACGTCGTAACTTGCTTCTCAGTTATTCCACACTCCTGAGCAAGTGCTCTTTTAGTCTCTGCACTGGGATAAGGGTTGTGTTGATTCGCACTCAGCCAGTTTTGGAGACAATTCAGGGCGTGTAGAGGAAGTTTGGAGTTGCGACCCGCTCTCGATCGTCTGACTGAATATTGTGAATCTGAAGGCGACACTGGAACATGGTAGAGATTGGCGAAACAATGTGCGCAGGTGTCGGGACCGGAAGAGTCAACGAGAGTGTCAAGTTGGCAGACTGAGCAACGTTGTTGATATTGATCAGGTAGCGGAATATCGAGTTTTGGAAGCCACGCTTTCGATCTCGAAGTATTGTCGCCGTTGGAAGTAGCTGAAAGTGATTGTTCTGCTCCCAGATTCTCGTCCATCCCGGGTGCGTTGGAAGTCATGTTGGATATTTGATTCGCGAACAAGCTGTGGTCGGTGGTGACTGGTTCTATGACAGACCCATAACGAAACTAAACACGAATTAGCCCATGCTGTTGTAGGTGAAGCATGTATGAAGACGCACCCAGTTCGCGTCGTCAAGGCCTTCAAGTCCTAAGCCCACAGCTGGTTTCCGGGATTGAGGTTGAGATTGGAAGCGATTGCTTGCTGGGGACGCTGTTGGGTGAACCTGTACTTGGTTAGCTACCGGCTACGAAGGAAATAGATTCAAGTTGCATACCGATTGGAACACACTGTTGTCTTCTGCCATGCTGGCGTAGCCAGAGTCCAATGACCAAACACTTGGTGCTTTACCGTTGGGGCTAAGATCGTTCGGGGACGGCATAGTGTTGAGGAAGGTTTGAATCCAGGTTCCATGGCCACGGGCATCGTGAAGTACATATTCAATCCAGCGACTACGGTGCGTATAGCTACACCGAAAGAGGTGGAGCATTGAATAGGTCTGTGGCTGTTCGCCCAATAGTGAGCGCTTGCGGGTGGGCGCCACAGGCACGCGCCACGACCATAATTCATGCTATAATTGCAGCTCGGATTGGGCGCGGTAAGGCCCAAACCCGGACGATTGTAGAGAGGCTGAGCTCCGAAGCGGTGTATGGGGCCAAAAGGATACTTTATGTGACGAACGAGGCTGCGTGGCCAATGAGAGCAGTCGCACAGCACAGCCATCATCGTGGCTGAGGAGACGCTTGAACAGAATGGAGGTGAAGAATATTTCGGGAGTGGCCGAATGAACGAAGTGACGGCGCAATTTGTTTGTACCGCCATCTCATCTCGTTTGCTATACTGACTCGGTGACATCCAAGTATGCAGGAGTCGTTCGTTGCATCCGATCCCAGGCCGCTTGAAGCATGGCAGGCGATTGAAACAAGAACTTCTCGCACCCTTGCTGTGGAACTGATCCACGATCCAGTTGACCACGTCATTACTGCAGACGGGTTTGATAACATGTTTCTCTCCGTCCCTATGAAGCAAATGCTTCGGTAATCATCTGATGTTTCGCGATGCGACAGTGTAATGAGGTTGTATAGAGACATGGCCGTGCCTCCGCTAGCGAGCGTAACTTGATTCCTTCCGAGAAAGCAGCACCGCCGGCGGGTCCCTGTGCGTTGCCGCATGCTATTGTTTGTTTGATGCGGAAGCGGTCCTAAGGGCGATTGCAGCTGATTCACGTCATCTCAATGTCGCATGGCAGAGCCTCGAATCCCTTGTTCACACGTCGTTTACTGCCCTGATCAGATCGGCCGTAAGCCCGTGGCCATAGGGCTGGCCTAAGCACCGCTTGTCACTGTGACGTTGCGACCGATCCAGCAACCCCCCGGCCGATACGCTGCTTACATAGAACCATCCATCAGCCGACCCAATCCAGTGAAGCGCCTGCCAGCCTCTGTCTTGATAAAGGGCGGTGAATCCCCTTCTCCGCCAGTTTGACATCGTCGCTGTTGAGCGTGGGGCCGCATAGTCGGCTGCATACCGGAGGCGGTCTGCACTTCCACCTACTGCACCAACAGGGCATTGTTGGTTTTGGTCCGCCTTCTCCCTCCTCTTTGTCTGTCTCGTCGTCATTTCAGCTTGCATGTCTTCGTATACACTGTCCGTGTTCCCCCGCTTCATCGTAATTACAGCCGGCCAACCCCGAAAGAGATGAGATGATGAGGAAGCATGACAGCAAGGTGCTGCTGCACCGTCATGGGAATCATGTGAGAGGACAAGAGGGGGGTTCGGTTTTCGCTACTCCGTTGTTTCTGCCTCAACATTAGACATTAACTACTTACTTACTTACTTATCTATATGTATATTGTAGTAATCAAGAATCTTACACAGCAAATCTGGCACCTGTAGCCCGCCAAGATAGAAGGACATGCCACATTTTATAGCTATATCATTAATTTACTAAGCGTAATAATGATTCATCGCATTTCCATGCGGCACAAACACTGGGTATATCATTAATTTACATTAGAACGGGCGTATATTAATGACGTCCATTTTCTGAACAATTGGTGTCTGTGAGAGCCATGGGGAGGGAGCTAAAACGTTCGTGGTGTTTGGTTGATCCCTTGCTAAAACGGCAATGATCGTGCGCATCAAGACCATCGTCATTCAGGTTTGGAAAACAACACCCGCGGGTCATATTACCCGGGACAACATAATTTCTATCTAGAACGGTTGAAGTCATTGAATACGATTTCTTCTGTGATTTCTACAACGCCCACTCCTCTTTATCGTCCGTAGCAGTAATGAATGGCTCATCAATGAGCTTGACTGCCATTTCACTACATAGAACACTATAAGGCATCAGTAAGCTGTTTCACTAGATGGAGAGGAAATTGCACTCACCATGATGACCCAACAAGAGCGTCCAATTCTCGGATAGCTTTTTCTCGTTTAGAACCGACACTGGTACCCTTACTAACTTCGGTTTGCAGCTCGGCAATCCGTTTACCCCTAGCGATGCCTGCCAGTTCGACGACTCTCTTCGCGAGACAGTCACTGTGGAAAGCATGCTGGCAGGGAAACACAAAGAACTGGCGCGCAAGTAAGGGCAATCCGCACACATAACACCGCTCCCCAGGCTCGACAATTGCGTACCGCTGCTCAAGCGCCTTAATGTCAGTCTTGATGTGCGCAGCTGTCTCCTCGCTTTCGTCCATCTCCTTCTTGAGTTCATCGATCTTGCGGGAGTAATCCTCGAGGGCGGTACATATTTCCTCTTTGAAATCGTCAATTACCACAAAGTCGGGGAAGAAGGGAATAAGATCTTCTATTCTCAAAAGATCGACCCGACGAAGAAATTCAATGGCGGTTTTGATCCCTGATGACTGCGAAATGACCTTCTTCGCAATCGCAAGCCATAGCTTCTTGCGCAGCGCTGGCTCAGTATTCGAACGATCTGCAACGGTACTGGCAAGATCTACCTCGTCGTATTTCAACGCAAGATCCACAGCCTGGACATACTGAGCCATGGAGCTATAAATATGAACACAGGATTGGACGCGCTTATGCTGGATGCATAGTCGAAGGGCAAAATCAGCATCGTAATTTTGCTCATTGGCGTAGGACTGTCCTTCGAGGTAACTAAGCAGCGCCGATTCGTCCCTAGTGGGATGCGATGCATATATTGAGATGAGTGTGTTGTGGATGGCGGCATCTATGGATTGGTGTTGATTGATTTCGAAGAGTAAATATCGTACTGCTTGATTTTGATTCAGTGGAACTTTGGTGTTGTTGTTATAGTTGAGGAACGCAGGAATGAGTTTTTGGGCATCCAAATTTGTCTGACGCATCATGATCTCGACCAGATCTACTGGTACGTGAGCCATCAGGACGCTACTGTATTTGTAGAATATTTCCGGGTCCGTCTGTTTTTTCAGGACGTCAAGTGTTTCTTGCCACCTTTCTCTTTGCACCCAGTAGGCAAGTACATAATTGTAGTCGTTCACCACGGTTGCAAAATAAAGCAACTCCTGTTCCCTGCCATGACTGCTGGTGATTTCATAGACAGTTTTCCGGTCCAAGTCTGCTTTATTCTTGGACACAAAATCCTGATATTCCTTGCGGATAACCGATAGTTGATCTTGGGTCTCGGCTGTGTTCATGCTCTCAGAGAGCTCAGCTTTCGTAGTAATCGTATCATCCAGGGTATTGAGCTTCGCCATAAACACTTCGACTAGCCACGTGGCCAGCATCATTCGTTGCATGATCGAACTTTTCTTCAGAGTAGAGAGTTTTGTAAGTAGGTACTTCCTCAAAGCATCCTGCTCTCCCTTGTCAATGAACGTAAGCGCAACCTGCTCAAACGGCTTGGTGCTTCGTCCATAAACTGCTGCAGCCTCCATGTATTGACCCTTGCCGACCAGATAATCACCAGAAGCTGTGGCTACAGCATCTTTCTGTGATGCAGTTTTCGCATATTGAGATGCTGCATCGAAATGCTGATTTTTGAGCATGATTTTCCACACATCTCTACTCTCGTCGGTCAAGACAATTTCGAAGATCTCCTGGTTAGTGAACAACCAGTATGTGTTTTTCTTGAGATCTGCCACTAAGCCGAGCGCACTCTGACCCGGTTCAAGTACAGTCTGATCCAGGACAACAGTATCATCCAACCGGTTGATTGCTACTATCCTGCCATCAACTAGTTGAAGAATATGCCATTGACTAAGTATCATAGACTGGACCGGCTCTTGAGATTTCCTGGTCCTTCCACTGGCGCTCTGCGAAGGGGGTATCTGCGATCGCGGGACCATCTTAGACTCGCCCAAAACCCTGCCACCAAGCTCGGATGTATCTGATGAGAGGTGCAATTTTCCAGTAAGCACGCCTTGTGATGTGAGCCACCCAAATAGCCGTTCAGCATTGGTGTGATCCTGTCCAGGACTTTCCACAGCTTCAGGCGATATGGCCAGACCAGAAACAACCCCAGACGACACGTTGCCAAGTTCGTGAACAGTCGCTGACTCGGTTTCGAAAAGCTTCGAGAATATCGATCCACTCCCTTCATGCCCATGCCGGCCAATCTTGCCCGCAAAGTGCAGGAATGAGGAAGGTGTCACGATGATGACCCGGCGCATGTCAGCCCTACCAGGTACGATGTCTGTCCATAATCCTGTAACTGGACCATCATTCGTTTTGTATACCCCCTTCAAGTATCGCTCTTCGCGACGATAGAATTCGGACGAGGGCTCGATATAGACCTCGTATACATTTCCATCCGATGCGCCGATCAGGATCTCTCGGGTTGATGCTGTAGGCTGTGAGGGGTTCCACGATATACTCTCAATCACGACGCCTTTCAATCTCGACAGAGCCTTAGGTGAACGTGATTGCGTATGAAGATAAAAGTTCTCGGCGAGGGTGGTAGTTATGATCAGGTGGGATGCGGAGGGGTCCAGGAAAAGACGCTTGATAACACCAATCTCGGACGCCTTCTTTGGCAGGTCGATGTCTTGATCACAGTCAGCGCAAGCTATCGAGTGAATGTTCGAGGTGCAACACACCGTCTATATCTGCAGGACTGTCTAAGTCTATTCGCAGAATGCGCCCTGTCGAAAGAGCCAGAACAAGGACGTTATTTGCGACTGCAGCTGCGACAAAATCAGAAGCGACGGAGAACTGCAGCGATACACGTTCGATGTTGAACATGGGAAGCAAGGCATCGTCCTGCAGGCTGGTTGAGCCAGGCGCGGCGTACCCGGCGGACATGTCGTATGCCATGGTGGAATCTACGGCGGCTATTGTTCGGAAAGAGTGCCTCGCATGGCTTGGGATCAAACTTGCAGCTTCAGCTGCCTCTGTTAATTGCACAAGAGCGCACGCACTATGGCGAATGTTGCTTGCTGTCGCTAGGTGCGGTGGTGCGGAGGAGCTTAGGCGGAGCAGTGACGCCTGAGCTTAGAGCTGGCTTCGGAGATGCACCGGAGATATCGAGGATCTATGTGTGCGCCCCCTTTTGATACACGACAACCTTCTTGGGTGCACATACATCACTTGAATATATCACGCCAGGTGCGTCCTAAGCCACACATTCATGACTCTTAATAAAGTATCAATACAATTCATTCCACAGTGCTCAGTCGCGCTTTGTCGACGCTCAACACCATCTTGGTCTTTATTCGATCAGTGCTCCCCGTGGTATCGTATTTTACTTTCGCAATGCTCGTCCAGCAATGTCTTTCCTGTATTGCATGCCATCAAAATGAATGCAATCAACGCCTTGATATGCCTTGGCCACAGCCTCCTCCAGAGTCGAAGCCGTAGCTGTAGATGCAATTACTCTTCCGCCTGAAGTCTTAAGTGTGTTGTCCGAGAAAGAAGTTCCGGCGTGGAACAGTACGACATCTGTTTGCATGTTAGCTCGAACCTTTTCCATTATAGTCCTGCTACCCTTACCCTCTGGTACATTATCCAACTTCATGACTGTGCCCTTCGCATAGCTACCTGGATATCCACCAGCAGCCACAACGACTGTAGCTGCACTCTTCTTCGAGACACGGACCTCTACATCGCCCAATCGACCTTCAGCGCATGCAGTCATAGCTTCGGCAAGATCGCTATCCATCAACGCAAGAAGACTCTGTGTCTCAGGGTCTCCAAATCGCACGTTGTATTCCAGCACTTTTGGACCTGTTTTAGTCATCATGAGACCAGTAAATAGGACCCCTTTGAACTCAAAGCCATCGCTCTTCATGCCGTCAACAGTCGGTTGCAGGATATCCTTGTGTACAGCTTCAATCACAGAAGGCGGAGCGATTCTGGTGGGTGCGTAGGTACCCATACCACCTGTATTAGGTCCTGTATCTCCCTCGCCTATCCTCTTATGGTCCTGTGCAGGGGGGAGACTTTTGATTGTCGTGCCGTCACTGAAGGTCAGTATGCTGAGTTCGTCACCCTCCAAGAACTCCTCAACCACCACCTCATCTCCTGCAGACCCAAATTCCCTGTCAAGCATAATATCTTTTAGTGCTGCATGGGCTTCTTCCTTGCTTTGTGGTATTATCACTCCCTTTCCAGCCGCCAATCCCGAAGCTTTGATGACCACGTTGTGCGAAATTGTGTCCAAATACTCTTTGGCCTTCTCATAGTCCGAGAAATTCTCATAAGCAGCTGTAGGAATGTTGTGTTTCTTCATAAAGTCCTTGGAGAAGGTTTTACTGCCCTCCATCCTAGCAGCAGCCTCGCTTGGTCCGAAGCATTTGATTCCATTTCCCGCGTGCTTCTCAAAGTAATCGACAATGCCTGCTACCAGGGGAGCTTCTGGTCCTGGAATCACAAGATTCACGCCGTTTTCTTTAGCAAATTGTACAAGTGCCGGGAAATCTTCTTGCTTGATCGTCGAATTGTTGGTGACTTTGGGCGTGTTTGCGGTGCCACCGTTTCCAGGAACAACAAAAATGTGCTCAACACGCGGGGATTGGAGAAGCTTCCAAGCAATGGCATGCTCGCGCCCGCCGTTTCCGACGAGAAGAACACGCACTTGAGAGGACATTCTGACGTTTTTGGCTGCCAACTCGAGATTATACCGTGCTCCGGGGAGGTGCTTGGTGTGTGCTTGGAGATTTTTTTTTCCGTAGGGCTGGATACCCCGCCGTGGGGTACCAGGTTAAGGCTGCCAAGAATGAAGTCATTCTAAGGCAGCCACGATTAATTCAGACGCTTGTACAGCAGATTCCAGGCGTAGACAATAGTTGGATCTGTAGAATTATTTTGCTTCGTATCGGCGCATGAAAATTGCGAGTTTTCATCACACCAAAAACAGGCTGTATAGAGTTTCATCTAACGCCAATGGGAGTGCCTTGATCCCTTATGTCCGGTAATCAGTGGGACATGAGAGATGCAGCCATTGCAATAAGTTTGCGTGAAGGCTCTTTCGTTTGCTCTTTTTGGTAATCGATCGTCTAATTTGCGGTTTATCTATCGTTGCAACCTCTCGCTGTGTGTAGGATTACCCAAACTCCAGCTTAAAATTTATTTATAAGGAATGAAGCATCCCATTAATTAACTTCTTCTTGGCACAAATTGCTGTATAATTATAGTTTTTTAAAAATTGAACTGTGTTAGTATTGCTAAACAATCTACGTAGTAGTAGCATACGTGTATAGGTGGTTATTGCAAATACTCGTGACCTATTTAACTTGCTTACCTACATACCTAGGTAGGTATGTTCCACTAATTGCCCGACGTGAGAGCAGATCAAGCGAGAAGTCAGCACATGTGGGGTATTCCAGTGCCGCATTGATCATTGGAGGGAGCATCCCAGGCCATGGAAATGAAGATCCGCTATATAGTTACCATATATTGCAGTAAATGCATTCATCTCAAATACTTCCAGACGAGCGCCGATAGTTTAGTGGTAGAATTGAAGCTTCCCATGATATAAATCAAAAGATTGCTTCAGGCACGGGTTCGATTCCCGTTCGGCGCATTTTTTGCTATCTCCAGGCCTTGGAAGCAGGCAATAGTTTGTGTTTTTTTGTTTGACGCCGAGACGGGCGGTTGTTGATAGTTATGGCGGTCGAAACATACCGACTGATGTGAGGAAAGTGGAACGTGGCCGATGGATACTATGGTGTGGTGTCGGAACTCCAATGGACGTGCATAGGTTTTTGGCTCCAAGCAAAATAGAATGTAACCAATGGCCTGTTCCCTGGAGGGCGAGGGTACCTTTAATATCAAACGCATGATATGAAAGGGGTGGCCGCAGACATCGAGAACGTCAAGTTCATTGGACTATAGCCACTATATAGAGACGAAACCACGATCTTCGACTTAATGCAATGTCCATCGAGTTCTTTGCGCATAACAGCGTACATGCGTATGAACCGTTGGTTTTGGACCAAGAAACATTCATGAATCCCTGCTGCATCGCATGCGAACAAACACCAACTAGGTCCAACAGTAAGCCGCGAACGATTGCGCCATTGTAGCTTGGGATTTTCAGATATAACTGCAAGTGGAATGTTGATTTATAATGTATCTGCAGGACACCAGGCTCACGAGTTGTTACTCGGCGCTTCCTGGCGCTTCTTCTCACGCCGCTCTTTCTTCTCTTTCTTCTTCATTTCTTTCTCCAGCCATGAAGATTGTCCCGCGGGGGGTTCTCCCTTATTTTTCTTGTCCAGCTCCTCTTGCAACCACTGAGTAGGGTCCTTGATGGACAGTTCATTTCTGTCCGGTTTCTGGCCTTGCTGCACTTCTGCATTTGATGCTGGAATATGTTCCTTGCCTGTTGTTTTCGAGTCCTTCACCTCTTCACTTGCTCTAGCCGTCGCGTTCTGAATTTCCTGTGTCATTGCCCTCTTTGCGGCTTGTTTTTGATCGACTATTTCCTGCTTTTTCATGGCTGCAGTTTTCACGACGACATTGTCTCCATTGAGCGCATTCGTCGCTGCAGCGACTGCTGCTTGTGCTTTGTTACGGCCTTCGCCGCTGCCCAGCCACTCATTTTGATATCCCCATCCAGTCATGTACACCCCTACGAAGTATTTCTGAATGCCGTTTTCGTGGACCATGCTTCGTTCCTCGCGGTACTCCAGCGAAACGTCTTTGCCTTGGATCAGACGTGCCAGGTCATCTTTTGCCTGTGGATTCTCAATTATCTTTGGCTGGAAATCTAGCATTTGCGGAGACCAGAGCTTTGTCAGCCAGTTCTCTGCCGTCTCAAACCCATTTTTGGGATCCGAGAGGACAACGCCGGCAACATATGCCTCGAAAACGTCGGCCACGACCTTTTTCCATGCTTTCGACTCTTTGACATGTGCTCCGTGCTTCAGACGATCGGGCAGTCCATACGCGATCGAGAACTGACCCAGCGTCTCGTTCTTGACGAGCTGCTCCCGTAGAGTGGCCTGCTGAGGAACATCGAGATGTGGAAGGCGACTATATAGTAGACGAGAAGCCATTAGTTCGATGTATGCGTCACCAAGAAATTCCAGACGCTCGTATGTGATGTCGTTGGAATTGTCGGAGCCTTTGACCAGGGTACGCGTATGTATACTGACATGGGTAAAGACTGCTTCTTGGAGGTGTGGTTCGACAATAGGTGGAAGTGGCGGAAGGCTTTTTGCCTTTTCAAGCTGCTGTAGAATGTAAGTCGGCACATATACCTGGCCATCCTTCGCCGGCCATTTTTGATCAAGTGCTGTCATCTTCAAGCCAGACGCATGGTTCTGGTTCTGATCTCGGGCTGATAGGAGCTTTCTAAGTTCTCGGGCATGGTGAAGAATGTCCCTATCACCTTTGAATGTCATATGTTCTGCTTCAAGCTTGGAAAGCAGTGCTACCAGGCCTGTGTTGCACTCCGCCGCCGCCAATATGCAGGGCTCACATTTTGCGGGATCTGGAAGTCGTTCTATGTGTTGTAGAACTGGATTGTCTTTTGGTTTGACTCTGTTAGGCACAGTATCCGGATGTTGAATATTGTGGCTCCTGTGCGCAGGCTGGGGTAAGTTGTGCCCGTCAGGATGCTGCGAGCTGTATGTCTTTTGTTGTTTATAGCGGTTGCTCTCGTAGTGATTGAACGTTCCATGCCGCTTGTGAGACATGATGCTTGTCGACTCTGGGCTCTAGGAATGATCTGGGGGTGGGTAAAAGGGCAGACTCGTGAGAATGCGTCCAGACAATTTATTATGCTTAGTCAGCCATACCTGCAGATATCGCTGCTGTGTCGCGCTTCTGGCACCTCCGAAGCACCTCCGCACCAACGTACCAACGCAATTACGCAGTCATGTCAGTATCACGAAAGCGCGTGTTTGATCTCATGAAGGTAGAAATTCCCCGTTATACTAGTTAAACGGATTGCTGACCACCTCAGACGCAATGCGCTGTCTTCAACACGACGTACAATCCTCAGCGTCTCCGTTTAGGTTCTCGTATCCTCCATTCACGCCTTAAAGGTGCCGCCATCGCTTCTTACTATCCACCGCGGATAGGAACTATTGCGCAACTGCGAAAGCTGTACCCAGAAGATGATATCATAGATGAGAAGGAGGAAGATTGGATTGAACATTTGAACGTGGCTCAGTCAAGAGGAAAGGGGAACCCGAAGAAGAAGCGAACCGCAGCAGGTAATTTTTTCCCGCAGAAGAGCCAAATTGCGAATGCTGACCAGCGATCAGAATCCAAGAAGTTCACCAAGAGAAGGTGATCGGATAAATGTTTAGAGGGGTTGTAAGAATACGAGGATCACAACAGCAACAAGACTCAGCGTACGACCAATGTAAAATTGCACTATGCAGATACATATTGAAGAGCACCACCTGCCTTTTCTCGACATCCATCGTTGGGGTTTGTAGGGTTATATCACTTAGTTGGGACCGCATAGACAACTGAAGATTTCAAGAGAGGATGGCCAAAAGACTAGATAACATTCAGCGGCCAAGGATTGAGCTCTAGCACGCTTGTACATAGATAGAGGAATTGATATATGGAATATCTATCAATTCCACCACCCTGCTAAGCGCTAATCAAATTTTTGGGATCCCCGCCCGTACCGCATTGCAATATCCCACCATCCGCATGAGAAACGCTCGACGCATGTGCGCTGGCTATGTTCCGCGCGAAAGAAGCGGAGTCGTGAATTACGAGCTTGGAAAATTGGGCTGCTCTCTCTAAGACTGATTTGTCTATTAGCGATGCCACCAGCTTGACAGACAGACAAACATCTCATACAGGATTCCCGGCCATATCTGATGTGCTTCAAGAAGAATGCTCTTTTTGAAGTTACATACTCATCCTTCAAGCTTTGCCAAGTTGCGCCCAACTCAGAAAAAGCGGGTTTGGTCTTCTACACTTTGGCATGCACACCGCTATTCTTGTCTGGCAATGTTGTTCATGACTAAGTAGATAGAGCCAGGTTTTCAACCCAACCCGTTGTAATCCTGTTTCGCTTTCATAAACAGTTGACTTAATACATCTGTCTGTACGTTCGGTTGTGTATGCGGTAACATGGGTAGGTGGTTGTGAGAAGCCACTTGAGCGGCTGTATGCGCATCGCTGTTATATGATGATGCATCCTGTCGTGGCTGTCCGAAGAGCTCCCTTAGAGACAATTGTCGGCCCATTGGTATTGAATTTTCCATCTGTTCATAGGAAGAAGGTCTATTCCCTTGCATTTGCTCGGCAGCTTCTCTGCTCTTCTGAGCGCGCTCTGCAAGTTCCTGGAGTCTGTCTTGAAGTTCAGCGCGCGCATTCGCTGTACTGCTGGGGGGCGGGTCGTTCATGATCCACAAGCCGTAGACTTGATTCTGGTCGCTTTGCATCATGACAAATTCGCCAAATTCAATGCCATCGGGACTCTTGATCTCCATTGTGAAATTCTCTAGGCCTTTGCGATTGAGCATTATGACAGAGAAACGTTCGACACCCTGGGGTGAAGGGGCCAGTTGGCACACGAACAGACTTCCTTCAGTACCAGTCCGTTCCCATCCCGGCGGATCTAAGGCATATACATAGAGTGCGGCATATGATACGACGTAGTGTACGGCTGTTACTTCGGGGTAGTGTCGACGGATAACAGACAAGTTGAGTTCCTCGTTGGAGCGTGGGGTGACGCCGGTTGCGTTCATGTCGGCTGGCACGTCTATCGTGTAGCTTGAGAGATCGGGTGGCGGCTGAGGTTGTTGAGTGCGTGCCTTGGACCTATTCGGGGCCATCTGGGTGAGTATGTGAAATCCAAGCGGGATCAGGCTGGCTGGGTGTTGGCTCGCGGACGCTTTACGCGCTAACAACTTGAAAGTGAGTGGTTGGAAGCTTGGGCCACCCTTGACCCGGAAGCACTGCCCCACTCAACAGCGTCATCGTCGTGAATTGTGCCCAGCCATGCATCATTCGTGAAGTCTCAAGCGACTGCGTAAAGTAGACGTTGCTCATACTCTCCAATCGTTAAAACATGGACTAAATTCGAAGACGAAAGCTGAATTTTTCCTCATCCACAATCATGCCCGCAGCACCCGATATCAACTCTACAGAGCGCCTGGACGCTGACATTCCAGGGGCGTTCCCAGAGACAAGTCGCAGCCAGTATGTTCGTCTTCTAGAGTGGAAGCAAGCTTGGGATACCACGTTGTGTGGTGTTTGATCCTTTGCTCGCCTATTGAAACACCGTGGCTTTAAACTTACTAACCTTAAACTTTGTTCATTCAGATCACTCATATCAACCACTCATCAGACACTCGCAGATTCTCTTTACGAACGGAGAGAAGAATACACCCGTCCACAGGAAGTGAAGATCAAAGTGGGAAGCTGGAATGTGGCAGGCTTGAAGGGTGTGGAACAAGATGTAGGAGCCTGGTTTGTTGGCGGAAAAGGCATGGAAGAGTCGCTCGTTGGAATGAAGATAAGAGACAATCCTAGAGAGAGCGTTGAGAATCAAGAAGCTAGACGCTCATCTGTTGCCCCCACGGTACCACGCAATGACGAGAAAGCCCTGCCCGGGGATGAAGAGGTGGGCATTTACGCCTTGGGGTTGCAAGAGGTAGTCGATATTACTTCAGCTACCGAAGCCTTGAGACCTTTCACCGACCCCTCAGTTGCAAATCGATGGAAGTTGGCTGTTGGTGCTTCTATGCCTGCGGGCTATCGATTGGTAGCTGAGCAACAGTTGATTGGGCTGCTACTTCTCATTTACGTTTCCCCCACTGTCCATCCGCAGATCAAGGCCGTCAGCACTACGAGTGTAGGTACAGGATTGATGGGGTATATGGGAAATAAGGGCGCTGTAACTGCCCGACTTATTCTCGGCGAGACCACCAGACTTGTATTTATCAACTCTCATCTGGCTGCTGGAGCCGATAAGGCTGCTTTGGAGCGCAGGATCTGGGATGCAGCTCAAATCACAAGCCGCACACGATTCGACCCTATCTCAGAACCAACAGGCTTGGCTCATGGACAAGCAGAGGGGCTTGGAGACGAAGACTTCGCATTCTGGTTTGGCGACTTGAACTTCCGTTTGCAAGGTATGCCCGGAGATGACGTGCGACGCCTATTTACAATTCACACGAAAAAACTCGACTCAGACGACACATCCCCAAGCGATGATCGTAGTGAGATCTCAGAGCAAGCCTCAAGCTCGCAGAAGACAAAAGACGCTGTACCTCTTCCACCTGAACTGGATCCAGCATCTTTGCAAACCACAATCACGTCTCTTCTTCCTCACGATGAGCTCATTCAGCAACAAAAGACTGGTAAAGCCTTCCATGATGGGTGGCGGGAAGGCCCCATTCGCTTTCTGCCTTCATATAAGTACGACGTAGGGAAAGTGGGTGTTTTTGATTCGAGCGAGAAACAACGTTGTCCGAGCTGGTGTGATCGGATATTGTACAGAACCAGAGCAGCGAAACAACGGCACGATGCAAAAGTGAAGGAACAGGAGGAGGCAAGGAAAAGAGATGATCAGATGAAAGCTGACGGGCTTGGCACGACGGACGACGATGATGAATTGCTCTACGACTACGACCCCGACACCGACGGCGCTCAAGATGCCTACGATGAATATGAGGATAGCCAAGACGCAGAGCCCGAAACTGTTGTTACGAAAGAGGGATTCTCGGACGAGATCCTTCTCGAGTACTATACGGTTCATATGCGTGTCATATCATCAGACCACAAGCCGCTAGAAGCAGGCTTCTCTCTCAAATATGACGCTGTCATTCCCAACCTGAAGACAGCTGTTCATCAAGAGATTGCAAAAGACCTTGACCGACAGGAAAACGAGGGACGGCCCTCTGTCACCATCGTGGTTGATCGATCTACCGGCTCTTTATCACCACACAATAAAAGTGTCACCAACAGTACTTTTGATGGTGTGGACTTTGGCGACGTCCAGTTCGCAAAGTCCAAACGACGTAGTTTAACAATAGCAAACACTGGTCGAGTCCCTGCTACTCTTGGTTTCACAGAGCGGCCAGTCGCTCAAAGTCAACCCCAGGGAGCTTTTCCGCCATGGCTGACAGTTCAATTCGATCGAGACCCTGACGCGGACTCCAAAACCCCAGCGGGGAATTTTAATCAACAATTCACCCTCGAGCCTGCAGACGTGTGCAACGTAGAGCTGAAGCTCAAAGTTGACAACTTATCGTTGGTACAGGGTCTCAATGAAGGCACGTCATCGTTGGACGAGGTTTTGGTTATCCGTGTTGATGAGGGCCGTGACCACTTTCTGCCCATTCGCGGCAATTGGCAGCAATCGATCCTCTCGCGTACAGTCGACAAGTTGGTAAAGATACCAGAAGGCGGCGTTCGCAAACTTCAAGGCCAGAAACCGGACCGTAGCGAAGCAGTGAGGTTCTCAGTTCCTCGCGAGATTTTTCGGCTGACGGAAGCCATAGAAGACATGACCGAGCGAACGCTTGCCGAATGGAGCATGCGAGGAAGCGACAGCGATGAAGAGGAGGCGCCTTGGAAACACAATGCCGCGTGGCCGTTCGCTGGATTTGAGTTCAACTCCGATGATGAGGACATGCTCGCGGATGTCTACGATGTCCTTGATTGCGATGAAGCCTTCGATAACGCTTTTCCTCCAGGCACAGCCCCGAAACGCAAACTTGCAGTTCTTACTAGAGCTTTGCTCACCTTTCTGCAAAGCCTTCAAGATGGAATAATCACAAAAAGTTTGTGGGAGAAACTCGAGGAGAGTTTTATTATGCATGAAAAGTCGAGACAGCAGTTTGCACCAGATGACGAGAAGATGTGGGCTCTCGAAATTCTAGCAGAAGCACCTCACCACAATGCTTCATTCCTTCTCATCATCTCAACACTGCAAAATATCGCCATGCAGATCGTGGAGGCATCAAAGCCACAAAGTCCTAGGTCGAGGCCTAGCATAGAGCTGCCTGCATCACCAAAAGCATCCGTGCGAAGGATGACACTGAGTAAAGACCCTCAATTGGCCATCAAGCAACTCGTCAACAAGAACCATGCAGCTATATTGGCCGAGGTAATGTTTCGCGCGCCAAATTCAGGAAGGTTAAAAGAAAAAGACAAGAGCACAAGAAAGGAGAGGATGGCCAACATGATTGAGTTATTCTTGAACGATAACTGATGGCTTTCCGGTGGAAGGGACAGTGATGGCAGATGATGGATTCTGTAGGTCAGGATTCAACAATGATACCCAATTTCCACCAAGCCTTCGTGAAATAGGCTTGACTACCAGTCCTTGCATCTGTAAAAAGTAGTACGTTTTCGTTGGGGGGCGTCGGAATTCCGGGCAAATGATGGTAGACTCACACCACAGTGCCCTCTGATGAGCCACTGATCCTCTAGTTATTAAATGCATATATAATATGTAATGCCAGAAATCATTGTCCTTCATCTCAGAAAAAAAAACTGGGATCTATCAATTGTGAGTACGACAGCCATTCATAAGCTTCGCTGTTGAATCTGTGGAGAGGTGTCTTTGCCTCTATGAGGGCGGCGGCCTGTGCGTCATCAGTTCGAGTCTCCCCATCTATCCACCAATCTACCCCACCAGCACCCTAATACACCCTCACACTCCGCATATAGCGCTTTAGCCCTGGGTCCCGAAGAAGCGCAACTCACCTGAACCTCTATCGTCATGTCGAACAAGATCCAGAAAACGATCGAGCGCCAACAAGCCCGGATCGCCGCCGGCGAGTACTACGAGGCCCACCAGCAGCTGCGCGTAATTGCCAGCCGGTATACCAAATCGAGCAACTGGGCAGCCGCAACCGACATCTTATACTCTGGTGCGCAGGCCCTTTTACAAGCCGGACAAGGTGGTTCAGGCGGTGATCTGTGCATACTATTGTTGGACGTGTACCACAAGGGCGAAGTCAAATGTGACACGGAGAGCAAAGGGAAGCTTTTGGGGCTGTTGAGGGCATTCCCGAAGGGCGAGCCCACGCGTAAGAAGTTTGTGGGCGAGTTGGTCGGTTGGAGCGCGAGGACGAGCGAATACCCGGCAGGCGACCCAGAGATACATCATGTAGCAGGAAGTTTGTATGCTGATGGTACGTACTATCGGACGAAGACCTGGGGCTAGAAATTCGGGAAACAAGAGCTAACCAGGCGATTTTGCAGATCTGGATCCCTACGACGCGGAGCGACATCTCATCTTGGGCACCAAAGATTCCCCTGCCACACTCGCTACCCTTCACTACGCTTGGTACACTTCCGACAGCCCACACACTGCACCTCTATATGCCGCACGCGGTATCATTCCCTACCTCCTAGCCGGGAATTTGCGGGCCGCCAATAAGTTCAATCTCTTGTTCAGCTCATCACTCCAAAAATCGCCAAACTCGGCCGCTCTCTCCATCCAGGAGGTTTCTACTGCTTCTTCCGACCTTCGCGTTTACCCATCCCTCCCTCTATTGAACTTCCTAGGCCTTCTGTTGTTGGCAGTAGAGAGAGGAGAAGCATCTCTGTTCAGACAATTGAAGAGCCACTATGCTGGTCATTTGAAGGATGTCAACTGGAACGAAGCACTGGATCAGATTGGAGAGATGTACTTCAACATCAAGATACCTAGGCAGGGCAACCCGATGATGGACATGATCGGCAGCATGTTTGGTGGAGGGTTAGGTGGAGGCGGAGGATCTCAAGGCAGAAAGTCTGGGCCCCCACCTGTTGCAGGACTGGATTGAGGGAGCGAGTATTCAGCGTTGGTGTCTAAAAGACTATGAGGTTATGATCATTTACTTGCATATATGCAGACCCCTGACGTCGAGTATCAACCTATAAACTGAAGGTGAATACATGTACAATTATCAAATAAAATTTCATGGCTAATTTGATCTCCAATAACGCCGATATGACTCAATTGATGTAATTTTAGTAGTTTCCACCCTACGTAATCAAAGCTTCATTTTTGGATACCAGATCTACGTGCATAACAGGCTTCACCTCTATTGGGGGATGCTCTTCTCCTTGAACTCAATGCCGTACTTCTCGGACAGCGTCTTCATCAAAGGAGCACAGATCTTAGGGCTCATAGGTGCAAGTACACCCTTCTCGCTGATGGTTCCGTCAAGCACCTGCTGCACAGCGACAGCGCAGGGCACACCGACCAATTTGGCCATGGCGGAGTAGCCCTTGGGGTCTCCGTAGTCAGCGAGCGTAGAGGTGCGAACCTCTTTGCTGCCGTCCTTGTTCTCGATCTCGAACCTGTGCTGGAGCATGACCATGTCACGTTCGCCCTCCTCGTACTGCATCTTCTTCTCGAGCGTCGCACAAAGTGTATCCAGGGCGTTGCCGCGAGGAATGATGGGTTCGGAAGAGAGGAGACCGATCCAGCGGAGACCGTCAAGGATACGGTCCTTCTCCTCAGTGGAAGCGAACTTAGTTTGGGAGGAGATGGCCCAGACGATGTCTTCCTCCTTGTCGCTGGCGGCACCGATGATCTTGGCAGTGGCCTCCTTCCATGTGCGCTTCTCACCTTCTTTGAGGAAGTCCTTGGGGTCCTCGGAAAGGAAACCGATGTCTACAAGGCACTTGATGTACTCGGGGAAGCCCTGGTATCTCAGTGTTCCACGGACAATGGTCTGGGCCTCGGGGATGTTGTATCGCTCCTTGTAAGGAGTGGAGTCCCGGTTGGGGTAGGCAACGAAAGCGTAGCCGGGGTAGATAAAGTAGGGCTTCGCCTCGGCCATCAGTTCTGGGCCTTCAACCTCGACGACTTTCCCGTCCTTCCAGTATTTGGCAGCGTTCCTCAGTGCGAGAAGCACACCACGGGAGCTCCACGAGAATTTGTATCCAAGAGGGTTGTCTGACGCTTCAGGGGCGGGAAGGCCACCGCAGTATGACTTGAAGCTAAGGATCTTGCCACCTGCCTTGTGGACCTCGTCAATGGTGAGAACTGCGGAGAGATGGTCGATTCCCGGGTCAAGACCGATCTCATTCATGACAGTGATGCCGGCCTCCTTAGCCTGAGCATCGAGTTCAAGCATCGCCGGCGAGACATAGGAGGTTGTGACGACATGCTTCTTCTTGCGGATGGCCGATTTGATGACAGTGGCGTGGTGCGTGTAAGGGATAAGCGAAATGGCAACATCGACCTTGGCTACTTCGGCATCGAGAGCTTCAGAGTCGTTCACGTCCAGCTGTTTGGGTCAGTGCTCTGACATGGGAGCGGTAACTCTAGTGACATACGCTGATAGCTGTGGTGTTCTTGATACCCTTGGCCAACTTCTGTGCGTTCTCCAAAGTCCTGCAAGCTATATCAATGTCAGCAATGCTCTTCGAGTGGACGAATGCGATACATACCAACTGTGACCTTGATGCCTGAGTTTCCAAGAAGCTCAACTGTAGGTCGGGTACTTTGACAGTTAGCCAAGTAGTAATAAAGCAATGGCAAAAGAAGCTTACACGAAACCGGCTCCCAGTAGAAGAACAGAGCTGTTGAGGAGTCAGATATACACTTCAGCATTTTTGTCGAGAATATGCCAACTCACTGTCCGCTGCTGGCAGCACCGCCGAGAACGGCTTCAAACTTGTCTTCAACATCATTAGCAATTGCGTGATTCTCCATTGTACGAATCTGAATCAACTCACTAATGACTGCCTCCATAATTGCTGGGTATGGTTTCTCTAAAGCAAACAAATCAAGCGCACGAGAATTGTGTGAAGAGATATAGTTCTGGTGCGTACTCCGAGTCGGAATTTTCTCGATGACTGCAGGTAGCGAGCGTCATCGGAGCAATCACATTTAGTACCCCGCGCCGCCACTTCAACGCCGCCAGGGAAAGTGGGATATCCGATCAATCGATGCATGCATCATTAGCGCCTGCGCCTAGCTGCTGGGATGCCATCACACGTGACCCTGGCTTATTCGCGCTAGTTACATAATCCGTTGCCCTAGACAATAGGGTGGCATACCTCCCGGAACACCTGCGACATTGCAAGGCCATGCAGCGAGGCCTCGATGGCGTTGATGCATCGGATTGAGTGGAGAGTATTGTTGATGCTCTGATCCTGCTTGCCTTCATGTGCATACCCATGTAGGCAGCGAGGAGACAGTTTGCACGCCGTGTCGCGCATGTTTCCCTGCCGCCCTTTTCGCGTTCCTCTCTCTCTTTTTCTCTCACCGACATCATCTCTTCTCGGGACGCAACTCAATAAGCACCCTGTCAATCGCCGAATCACTGGCAACGTCGCGCGCAGCCAGCTCAGAAAGCGCCGACGGTTGATAATTATTGCCCACGCAGTGATAAACCTGCTTCCGCCCGTGAACTTCATTCGTCCCTGCGATTGTCTCGCTCCCTGCTTGCTAAGGCGCGCAAGGAGAGCACTGGGACAACAAACACCTGTGCTATAGCCTTTTACTGTCGGTCGCGTCGCGTCGGCTCGATGGGCCATCGCTCGACCGCTGCGTTGTGGGAAGCAACAGCAAGCGAGCATCCAATCAGCACTACCAACCAACATACTCTCCATCCAGCTCGTTATACCAACCTGTCAGTTTTTCTTCTCTCTCATCGTACGCCTTCGTCTTACTGATACACGTTCAGAGCATGGTGAAACAACAAACATCTCTCTTAGGAAATCTGCTATTTTACGAATACATACTCGCCCACCGCACCCCTACTTTCCTTGAGAGAAACAGAGCGGATGCGTTACTTGCCAAGCAACAAGAGGACGCAACTGGCAGCTGGCTACCTTCCCGCTCATCCTCCATCAACCGGGCACTTTGGAAACCGCCATCTGAACATTTCCTTAAAGCCATCATGAAGAGTCATGTCGAACATGAAGCCTTTGTCATTGAATTCAAAGGCATTGAGCCTTTAAAGCATCGAAATGGCTCTTCGGCACGCCCGCCCCGGAAGAAAGCGTCCATTTTTATTGGGTGTGCTGATATCCACATTGCGCTCTTAGATAAAGGATCCAACAAGCCTTCAGAAGAATGCATCAGAGCGGGTGTCAAAATGAGGGGCATGAGCTCTGAAAACGGGAAAGCCATTCCATTAGATGTATCTGCCGTTGAATTTCCGGCTCAAAACTTATTACGGCGAGGATCTAGTTCTAGGATCAAACCATGGGACCTACGTATCACCCTCACGTTTCAAGATGCAAAGGAAGCAAAAGAATTCCATTATCAGATGTCATCAACCACTTCGAAGATACCGGTTCATTCTACAACGCAGCTAACAATGCAATGGAACAATATCTTGCAATGCCCATCCAAGCCGCATGTACATCCCTTCACGTTTGCTGGGGAAAAGCCCAGCAATCTCGGTCTCAAGGTGCTCACGCATTGGAGATCACCCACCGACACATCAATACTCGGGACACACAATCGATGGCTACGTTCGTCTAACGCAATTACCCACACAAGAACAGCACCATCAGACATTCCACGACCCAAACGTCATGAAGTAGTCTACGTCTTTCCCAAAGATCCAAATCCGAAAGTCTCAGCCAAGACAGTGAAGAAGCAAGGTCTAGTGTGCCATTTCACACATTGTAAACATCCGGTCTTTCATGATATAGACCAACTGCGATACCATCTCGACTCTTCACATGATCTGGTCAAATACCAATGCAAAAAGCTGAGCGGGTCGAGAGGGATTCATGTCTGGCAATTCGCCATTGAGATCAACGACCATCAAGCCTTTTACAAACGGGCTAGCAATGCTGCTCCAGACCCACGAGAAGCTAAATTACTGGCGCCAAGTAAACGATTCAATTTGAAGAAGTACCTCGACGAGGGAAATGACGACTTCCAAAGAGAAGCTCGATTGGATATTCCCCGGAAGCTACCGATTAGAGCCTCAAAACCTCCAAGATCAACCCGACTAGCCGCACAGAAATCATTCACGTTTACGGATGACATCCTCGAGAAACGTGTATCGAGAGGGGCAAGGAAAACATATGTGGTCCCTAGGGCGCCACCGGGCATAACCTTCTTCAGATCAGTTACTAAAAGACCACTCCAGGAGGGGGAACTGGTCAGCGAAAGTGAGGACGAGGTCGACACCGAATGGATCGACCATAAACGCAACATGGAATTCGATGCCAATCCCCCGTATCCGAGTTCGGTAAGAGACTTCCTCAAGCTTTTCGACCCATTCATCAGAGACGAGCAGCTGCACTCGCATGCACGTCTTGCAGAATCAATGGTTCGGTTTGCGCATCTACATGCAGATGCGCTATACCGGGACAACATTGTGCAAGAGTTCGAACGTAAGCTTGACGAGCAGGTCGAGGATGGCATGATTCCAGCCATCGTACGCACTCTCTGTTTGGAGATGATAAGAAAGCGTACACCACCAACAATGAGGCCGCCCCCACCAGTGCGCGATTCTTCAATTGGAGGCAATACGCGGCAATTGCAGTCAATGAGTAAGAAGAATCAAGCTGCCGGCGTGTGCCTTCCCAGATCTAGCCACTTAATCACCCACGCGACTGGTTCAGAAGGCGATTCTTCTATTGGAGGCAGTACGCGGCAGTTGCGGTCAATGACTAAGAGGAATCAAGCTGCCGGCGTGTGCCTTCCCAGATCTAGCCACTTAATCACCCACGCGACTGGTTCAGAAGGCAATATTGAAATGCCCGATGCAAATCCAGTCAAAGATGAAACGATTACCCCCAAAGAAGAGTCAGAAGAGCCAAAAGAGCCAGAAGAGCCAGAAGAGCCAGAAGAGCCAGAACAACCCCCCTACGACCTCTGCATATGTGGCGAAGATGCAACAGTCGATACAAGTCGCCCATTCATGTCTTGCGACAACATTGTACGTATTCTCTTTCCACTATCACCCATCTCGCCTTCCACCACGTGAGCTCTTAGCTAACATTGCGGATTCAAGGACTGTATACGGCATGCGTTCCACATCGATTGCATATGGCGCTACTGGGGAACCGCGCTCCCAAAACCGGTACCAAATTCTACGTTCTACTGCAAAGACTGTTATCTTCTACTTAGTCAGAAGTCGAACAGCGAAAGAATACCTTGCAGATAGCAGGAGTAAAAAGTATACCTTCCAACCTTATCATATCCTCCATCAGCCCCTCCGACTTTATTCTCCAATTTTGTACGTTATACAGCGTATTATAAGCATAGCCAGCGTGCTGCGAGTCTTCCTTCTTCTCCTATTCCTCGATTTATTTCTAGGGGGGCGGTCAACTATCTTGTTCATTAAAGCGTGCGGTACGGAGAGGACAGAGAAATGTGGTTGTTTTATCAGGGAACGACCCACTCCCCCTTTCCACTGCCCACACATTTACTCTCTCATCCGCATCTATAGAAACAAACACATGTACATAAGTTTATCTGCTTTCCTTCTTTTTCTTATTAAGTACTTCAGCCTTTTTCGGAAGCGATGTAAATGTTCCTTGTTTTTTCCAACTGATACCAGACATTATGGGAATTTTTTCCTTTTTCTTTCTTTTCAATTTTTACTTAGATTTCACTGAAATGACAATCATCTTGATATGTTCCTGACCCCTTTTGTGAGGTATTGATTGTGTGATGATGGAGTCGGACTCTAGTTATGGGTGAAACCCTCCATCTAATACTGTCCTTTCTCTATTTTACTGATTCTAGATTTTCACTTCTCACCCCCTATGGTGAAGACAAATCCCAGGGCATGAAGGCGTGCAAACAAGCTGTAATTAAAGTAGAGCAGTCTAGCGCAATATCCTTCATTTAACGTTTATCTTATTCAAGCAAATATGCTTCTACTCAAGTATGATATATCTAAGTAAGCTATATACAACTGACAGTTGGTAGCTTAGCAGCACTAAAGAAGGCTGTTGTTCGCGGGCTAATCGTCTTACTTTTTTGACACGTTGAGAGCCATATGATGACTGCCAGCCTCATCCGTTCTTTTCATTCTGTAGATTCAATGCAGAGAAATCGCTACCCTAAGTTCTTCACCGCGTACTGCAAGATCTGGCAACTCGAGGCTGTACCGCCGCACGACAATCGAAAGAACACTTGTGAGAAGGATTTTTGGAATTTTATTGATGGACCCGATCGGCCAGATATAACTCAAGGGAAAGGTTGTTTATAGAGAAGAAAAGAAAAAAAAAGAAAGATTTCCAGGAGAAGAATTTCTCAGCCTCGCCATTCCGAGGGGGGTATCATCACCAACCAAATGAAATAAGTGCAGAGGGGAAACCCATGTATCCACCGTACTCCACCAGCAAAGATTACTTGAAAGAGGCCACACCCTCACGAACTTTTGTTCCGGCAAGGTTCTTAACGCCCGAGATCGAGGGGAAAAGGAAGTTCAGCCAACATATTCGTCGGATGATGATAGGGAAAAAAAAAGGAGATCATTGTCTCGTTTCTCGTTGTTTGTATGAGATTGTGAGAGATGAATAGAGAATGCAATACAAGGCCGTGAGTGATATTAAACCGATCGCCGTGTATCATGATGATGTACAAACAAACATGTAGAGAAAAGCAATGTACCATGTACAAAGATAAAGAGGTGGAGTGGGATTGTGGATAAGTTCAATCTTCCTCACTCCGGTCGATCGAGATTGATGCGAATCGTGTGGTCAACACCCGCCTTCTCGCAGTACTCATGAAGGAACTCAAGGCCGAACCTAACAGCCTGAATAGGCGTCGTGTCGTTGGCGATGGGAAGAAAGTACGGGCCAGAGAGTTTGACACCGTTAGCCTTTTCGGGCATCTTTGATAAGTTGGCATTGGACTCTGCGCCGGCCCATGTCTTGGGATAAACAGTCCGCATGTCGTCCATGGACAGTCTAATCCGTGCTTCCTGGGTGTGTCGTTGCATTTGCATGTAGTGATCCGACAGCATCGCGAAATTCTCCATGGCCTGGCTGCGTTGTTTCGCCAGGTCGGCAGAGGGAAGCGCGTGGGGCGAATCGTGGGCTTTGGGGTTTGGAGCGCGTGGCGCCAGAACATTGCAGATGTCTGCAGCGATAACCGCAGCAAGGTATGATCGGAAGCCATCAAGGTGCTGGTAGTCTTTTGTGAGACGGGCATAAGAAGCGCATAAAGGAAGAAGCGTTATCCAGGTGCCCTCGGCCCCAGCAGGTCTGCCGCGAAGGAGCAAGCCAAGGTCCTGCATATGGTAGGCAACCATGTATGCTCTGTGATACTCAGTTAGCAGAGTCCAGTCCTCGATCCCTCGCCACACTTACAAGATACATTCGACACCTATGACAGCGGCGCGCTCTTGGTTTTTCTCTTTCTTCTCCTGCTCGACTCTCTGACATTCATGCTTAAGCTCCCTGCCTTTTTGATTCCACTTGGCTGACGCATGTTGTAGCAAAGAGATATCAGCTTGTTTCTTGTTGAGAGAAGCTGATGATGATGCCTTGATTTCATGACGCTTTGATGAGGAAGGAACGCTTCCTTTCCCGGGAGTTGAATCGTAGCCATCAACCGAAGTTGTGCGAAGCATACCGACAGCCTTGTCCTTTCGAGGAGTCACTTGCAAGCTCTGGCTACTCTTCTGGCTGCTGGATTTATTAGGCAGTGAAGGCGACGGGACAACCTGTTCTTTTGGCGTGTTTGGATGTTCCTGTATTGACGATGCCCTTGGTCGCTTTGATGCGGTTGGCTGGGGTGCATCTTCTTCGGGTCGGGGCCGCTTTTGCCCCACTTTGACGCCTGTCGATGATGGCTTCAAGCCCACAGTCTCTGTAGAACTCTCGGGTCGACGAGGACCAGGTTTGGGCACTGTCTTTGATTTGCCAGGAGCAACATCTACTGGCTTCTTCTGAGCATGAGACGGGCGGTCTTTCGGCGTCTCTTCGGGCTCCTTTCTCTCGACCGCAGGTTGCTTTTTGGGTTTGGGTGGAAGCTTCAAAAGTTGCTTTATGGTGTCTTTTGTTTTCTTCGTATACTTCAACTTCACCAGCAACTTCTGGGGATCTTCGGTTTGATCGGACAGTTTGGGAATGGGGGATTTTGCGGGAAACTTTGCGCCCGTGGATACAGACCGCTCGCGTACCATGTTTTTTGGTCCGGGTTTCAAGGTAATCGAATCATGCACGTTTGAGACTTGGCTCCTAGGATCCGAAGATGAATTCGAAGTATTGGAATCTGCCCGCTCTCGCTTCATGTCTATGTCCTTGAGCGCTTCCGTGATGCTTGCAGGCAAGGTTGGAGATAATATTGGGGGTAATCCATAAGGGTTCGCCAAGGGAGGATCGACCGGGGAGAGCAGAGGTGGGAGACCATGTGGGGTAGAGTTGGACGGATCTGATTTGTCCGGAGGAGCTGCTTTGGTCTCTGCGGGCTCGGCTTTGTGAGGTCGTGTAGCGGGTGCTTTGGAGATATCTTTCTGGGGAGGATTCTTAGGTTTCTCCGGCAAAGTCGATTCAGTCGCCACGCTATTGAGACATGTTAGTGATTGAAACGCACCGATTTGGGCCTCAACGTACCGATCATGTGTTTTCACCACGTCCAATTTCTTGATATTTTCCGGAGCCCTTTTTTCCGGCGTAGGCTTTGCGCCATTGATTTGTACCGAAGGAGCTTTGGTGGGCGGCAAGTTTGGCGAGACCTTCTTAGAGCCAGGAGTGATGACACCATTGGCCTGCTTCGACTTATAATCAGACAGACTAATCTTCTTCTTGGGTGCTTGACTTGAACTGCTGGTGGCATTGGAGCTTGGGCGGGACGGCTCCGGCACATTGTCTTCGCCAGGTTGCAAGGTGAAACAATCTTGATAAGGTTCGCGGAAGAGAAAGGTGCGATACTGGAGATGCTCCTCGTCTGGGCGAAAGAGGCGGCCCATCATCCAAGCTCGCGATTCTTGCTGAGAGTGGTAGCGATAAGGGAACAGGGAGGGAGTTGACAGAATATAGGGCGCGTCTGGCACGTTGTTCTTGATGCGCTTGAAGGCAATGTCTAGTCGGTCTTGCTCGGCCTGGTCTTCTTCGGAGAGCCTCTTGCGCTTCAAGGTAGTGGTAGGTACCATGGTATCTGGTGGTCGATCGGGACCCGCCATGGCTGGCAGTCGCGCAATTGAGTCGCGCACGCGGGCGTGTTCAAGAAGTATGGTTGGGCAGGATTGAGCTGACTAGGAAGACGTGCCGCGAAGGCGATAGTTGTGCTAAGGTGCGAGGAGGAAGTGGGAGAACATGAAGTTCGAAGGAGGGCGGAGATATTTGAAGTCGGCGGGGGAGGGGTGTGACGGCGACGGCGGCGCTGGGTGAAGGTGGAAATGGGCGGCGGCAAGCGAGCAGAGGGTATTGTGGACTACAGCATGACAATAGGAAGTCGAACAATCTGATGCGCAAGGTGAGATTGAGGGTGAATAGAGCGAGTTGAGCGGGAGGGACTACTCACGGTGACCTCTGATTTCCCGGCGAGTGACAAACAAACCGGGAGTTGATGATGATGATGATGGCGGCCAAGCAGCTCACAGGATGCGCGTAACGGGTCGCGAATCGGGATGCAGACCAGAGCGATGGGAGAGTGCGGTGCAGCGCAGCGCAGAACAGTGCAATGCAGTGCAGTGCAGTGCAGCAGCAGTGGGTGGGCTGGACACGATGGTGGTCTGTCTGTTCAGTCTGCCGGGCCTGAGGTTCGCTGGGTTGGAGATGGATCGGAAGTCAAGTGACGCGAGCGATTGGTTGCTTTTCCCAGGTGCAATGTGCATAACGCGCGACCACGGGGGTCGACTAACTACCTAACCAACCACCAATGAGGGCTTCTGTGTCGCTTTTAGAGTTGGATATGCTTCTTCTTTTTTTTTTATCTGTTTGTTTGCCTATCGATGCAGAAATAGCATGCGAAGGTGCAGACACACGATGCGCGCGCATTCATGGCCGGCTCCCTTTCTGGCCCATTGCCATGGTGTACACGCGGTATAGATACCAGCATGCCGCCCGCTGCAGCGCAGCGCAGTGCAGGTGCCTGGCGGCCTGGTCGATCTTCGAGAAACCTAATGGTAGGCGAGAACCCTGCACGCCGCTAGATCCCGCAGTCCGGATGCAAACAACATGCGGGCTCCACCCTCGCCCAATTCTTCATATTGCCCTTATACGAGTACCAAGTACACACACATACGCACACTCCAGTCCGCCTGTCTAATCAGCCAGCATTCCGAATCGCATTCGACATGATGCAGATACTGGCATGTGGGCACATTATTCATTGCTTCTACGTGGATTCGTACTTCAAGTCAATATCCCACAAAAAAGCAGGCTCCGCGCCAACCGTTTTCAGGGTCACGCCCTATAATTAGGGACGCGCTATCTTTGCAATTGGAAAACTACTTACTCAGAGCTCGTCGTCTTCCGTCTCATCGCCGTCTACTGTGGGACCATGTGCTACCTTTCTTGTACCAGCCGTATTGCGTGCAGACCGCCTTTCGAATGGCAGTTCGCGTTTAGCTGCCATCGTCACTGCCTCTTTCTTCTCCAGCTGTGCCGTTTGCAGATCCCCTTCGTCTTCCGTCTCTGTATCTGTCAATCGATCTGGGGTAACCTCCCTTCCCGAGTCCTGATCCCCATCTACTTCCATGCCATCATTGTTTGTTGACGGCTCTGGTTCAGGCTCAGGCTCCGGCTCCACTCTGCTAGTAGCTTTGCGTTTCGACGGACGTGATGCTACCGTCTTGCCAGTTTTGGTACCGCTACTTTCTCGTGCTGTCGTGACCGTCATTGCCTTAGCTTTATCAATCTGCGCACCTGCTAACAGGCGGCTTTGATCTCTAATCTTGCGCTTCTTTTCATTTAGGAGCTGCATGAATTGTTGTAACATTTCCTTCTCTGTGTCGTTCTTGGTGGCGATGAACTCATCGAGCTGGGCTTGGAGTTTTTTGATTGTATTCTGTTCGCCGCTGGCACCCGACTTAAGCTTTGCCAGCTCCTCGAGGGTCTGTCGATGGTGTTGTGCGGATACCTGTGCCCACTCGAAAGGGTTCAGTTCCTCTGAGTCGTCCATTGGAAGCACAATTTCACCCAAGGTCACCTGTCCGATATTAGACACGTGCATATATATACGTATATAGGTATGCGTGTTGCATCGAAAGGGTACGTGCCTTGATGCCCTCGACATGCTGCTGGAAAGACAGTTTGAGAGAGTCGGCCAGCAAGGTGTATACAAAATGGACGTCGTGTGCAAGAGGTGTATCCTGGTGCAGCAGGAAATGCGACAAAACATGCTCCCACTCCTGACTGGAGCCCTTGTATTTGGTTACAAGGTCTCCAATCTCGTTGTGTTTGACTGCTCGAGGGTTAATTTGAGAAAGGAAATGACATCAATAAGAAAGCAATCTTACTATGGGCCACATAAGGATTCTCCCCCTCGCAACCTATCAGACGAACATCCAGCGGGAGGGAACCTTCCTGTAGTACTTCGATAACAACAGTGTTGTTGTTGTCATTGTTGTTGGCACGATTGCTAGCGGTGGCAGGCTCGACGGGCACAATGTAACGGCTACCCTGCATGGTGGCGGACAGCAAGCAGACAGCGGACGATGACGGTGAATGATTTCCAGGTTACTGCTTGATGGGGGGAAGACTGCAGCCCTACCTAGCATAGGTGAGACAGGATCCTTGTGGAGGTCGGGGTGGCCCTTGCACTGACACTGTGTGTGTCGTTGTGGTTGGAAGGTTTTGGGGGAGCGCGCAAATTAATATGACGCATCCAAAACAACGAGGGGGGGTGCGAAGCTTGCGGCGAGGGAGGGTGAGGGTAACAACAAAGACATGCGTGGTTCAGATATATATGTAGGTCCGTAGCCTCCTTTCATCGACTGAAGTAACTTGGGTGAGCGTGAATGGACTCCCCCGTGGCTGCCTAATGGGAGCGTGTCTGCGTGCCTGCCTGATTATTATCAATTCCATCCATCGTCCATCGTCCATTGATGAACTAACTGACTTGCGCCGCGCTGTTTGACGCGTGCCGCCTCTGTTGGACACTATCCCGTCCGAGCCAAGGGCCACATTATTGTCAATCATCAGACAGACACTACGGGGGTCACAGCTTTGCTCCCGGCACGGACCACATCGCTCGTTCGCTCGCTCGGTAGCGTCAGCAGGGTCGATTTCTTGTTCTTCCCAGCCTTCTTCTCTCGCTCCATCATCACCACCCACAGACACCACCGCCGCACCCACTGCACCGCACCGCAGCTCTTCCAGCACCCTCCCACCGCCATCATGGCTGGAAAAGGAGGCAGTTTCGCCCAGCGCATGAGTCAGATCGCGCCCTCTGTCGAGAATTGGGACGACGATGGGGACTTTCTTGCTGATAGCTCCACCGACCTTTTCTCCAACTCAATATCCACCCGCCAGTCCATGTCCTCGCGCGTTTCCATGCGCTCCGAATCCAACACCGGCGACGATGACTGGCAAGTCCTCATCGCACCCAACGACAATGCCTCCACTATCAATGCCATCTCATCTGCCAAATTGGCCGGAATTCCCATCCCTACCAGTGTGCCCTCGTCAGCACTCCTTGGCGGTTCTATACAACGTCTCGGCAAGAAATCTTCCAATCGCAAAGTGGTCGTTGACGACGACTGGGGGAACGACCTCGAATTACCCGACGACGCCAGCACCGGACTGAAACTCAAACCGCCCATGCCGCATACACCTGCCACCGACGATATGGACGACCTGGACGACTGGGGTGAAGGAAGCTTGGGGATCCGTTTTGCAGGCACCCGACGCGAGACCCGCGGTGCCCGGAGCTCTTCCGTCTCTGCCATGAGCCCCAGCATGGGCAGCTGCATGACCTTCGAGAGCGAGGACGACGACCTCAACGGTCTCGTGTTGCCGACCGAGCCACTTGACTTCAATGCCCGGCTAGACAAACTGAAGAAAACTGAATATCCAACCCCCGATGCTTCTCCATTGCCAGTTCAGCAAACACGCGACCCCCCTCCAACGTCTGCGCCTGTTCTCTCCCCTCCGCCCGATCTCACGCCCTCACCGTCGGCTGTTCAGCAATCAACGCCTCCATTGGACACGGAGCCCCTTGCCCAACCCGGAATCAAAGGGACCGAGGACAACGACGATTTCCTCGACGGCTTAGATATAGAGAGTGACGAGGTGTTTGGTGCTAAATTGGCAAATCGCAATCGCAACGTCGTGGTAAACAAAGCTGCTGCCAAAATCACACTACCGCCTGCTGCTCGCCCAACAGCCTCCATCACCTTCACGGACAAACCTGTTACATCGAGAATACCGAGGCCGCTATCAACCTCATCCCGCTCTCGTCTCACGCCTCTCTATGAGCCAGGCGCTTCGCAGTCCAGTCAAAGTCGGCCAATGCCGACTACTACCAGTTCTCAATATTTACGGGCCAAGCGTTCTGCACCTCTTCTCCGGAACACTCCGGGACATGCATCACGGGCATCTGTTCCTTTCATTCCGGCTGGTAATTCCAAAACACTCTCACATCATGCTGTGTCCAAGGCCACGTCGCAGACACATCTGCGACAAAATCCTTCCGACTCACGTCGGCCTCTCTCTCCTCCCTCCATGCGACCATTCTCGAGGCTGTCCACTGTCAACAACCAACCCGAAACACCAAGTCGCATTGGTATGCGACGGGATGTAGCGGGAGCTACATCATCACGTACACAGACGAGACAGCCGCTGCAGCCAAAGACTAGAAAGCGGGAATGGGGGAGCGGCAACGAACTCGAAAACTTTGACGATCTGCCAACATCAGCTACCAAGGAGAAGATGTTCGAGAAAGTACCGCGCAATGCTCCCAGTAACAAGACTCTTAGACAGCAGCCAAGTAACTCGCGTCTGCCAGTGACGGATCGGATGACAACGCCCTTACCACAGACACCACGGAGTCCCCCAAAGCCAGATACAACTCCACGCTTTGCAAGAGACACGGCAGCAAGTAGGAATGCTCGAGAACAACGCTTAGCCGGAATCAGAGCTCGTGGTGACGGTCCAATTGCTCCCCCAACGCCCAAGAACTGGCAGGTGCATGTTGCGAATCGAAGCCCCCACACGAGTCCTACTGCGCATAGAAAGCGAGGCAGCGGGCAGAAGCCTCAATTGATACAAGGTTTATTCCAACCATATGCCAAGAGTAAGTTGTGCGAAATGACTCGCTACCAAACTAGCGTGTACTAATCTGCCGTTCTAGTTGAAAAAGGAATGACATATAATCCTAACCTTCAACGATGGGAGGGGAACGAAGAGGCGCTTGCTCCGTTCACCCACCCAAACATCTCTACAACAACACTTGCGCTCACAACAGCCAGCACGCCTACGTTTGCACCTCCCAACAACACCGCATCCTACTCTCATGACCGCTCTCACTCCATATCGCACGCTGCATTGTCAAACATACAACTCATGTCGCACAATTTAACAACACGTGCAATCAAGGTTGGCCCAGTACCATCACCTCCTCGACCAGCCTTGATTTCACAAAAGACGATGCCCCGTGAAGTCAAAGTGGAGCAAGGTATGGTCTTTGACCCAATCAAGATGACATGGCGGAAGGCACCCCGCGTTTCGGATGGCTTTTCGCCTGTTGATATGGATGATGACGACGAAGAGGATCCCTTCGCTGGCATGGACGACCTCAAAGACAACGAAAGCATCGCTGGGAACGGTCCTGGTGGCAACACTACTTCCGGCATCGAAGACAACATATTCGTTGGTGAAGAGTTCGATCTTGGCCCTAGCTTCATCCGAAGACAACGAGAGGAAGAAGCTGTGTGGCGTCGCAAAGTTGAAGGCTGGGTTGGCGCTATGCGTGATCCAGGGGAGCACCGACACGGTGGTTGGCGATGGGCCATCCGCGATTTCGCAGCCAGCGCAGCTGCTGAGTCTCAGGGGCGATAGCTGAGCACCTATGTTGTTGCTACGCTGGTTTTACAGCTTTGACCCGGATGATATGATCCTTTGGCAACATACTGTATAGTCATGACTTTACGACTGCATTGAAAAAGAAGGACGCGACTCGATTGCATTAATGGGCATGTTATGATTGCCAACACCAAAAGCTACGGGCGGCGTCTGCACGAGTTTCCTATTTTACGCAAAGATATCCTGAGTGTTATGTCGGGCGGCTTTGGGATATTGCCGCCTCACTCTAGCGATGACTTGATGACCTTATGACTGTTTATTTTCCCGTTTTGGATAGAAATACGAAATGATTTTCTTGTTATTTGTTGCTAGCTGGTGTCGCCGGTGCTTGTGAGTGGAAAGGGCAAGTTCGATTGCGGCAATCGCTCTTGTTTCCTTCTGATGTTGTTGTGCATGGTTGGTTTCTCTTTAGCTCGATCACTATGCTGACTCGATGGCAGACGTTGCTCGAGGGATAAATTATTGGAACATGAGTGCATGACATAGTTGTTGCCTGGACGTCCAGCTAGTATGAGCTTGCATGAAGAATGAAGTGATGGTCACTAACGGAAACTACCAGAGCACCGATTGGCGGACGAGGGGTAAACGCATCTGTACTTAGTGGGGGATCAGCCATTGCCAAAAATCTCCAGGCTCCCATTTTCTTCAAAGCTCTCGTTGTTCGTGCCCGAGTAGCACTTGTCCTTCGTCCTCTTCTCTTTGCAAGAACACCATCTCAAGCAGCATGTCGCGCTCCAATGATCCCAAGAACTTTTTTCAGACAGAGTAAGACTTACGCCTTCTCAATAACGCTTGTATATGCTTATGAAGCTAACACTACGGTGCAGTTCCGCCCTCAATGAAACGGCGCGCAAGGCCTCGAAGTCTAAAAATACAAAAGGCAGTCCCATCAAGCTCCCTTCCAAGTTACTAGCCGTGGCGCCCGATCCGCAACATGGAGCGCAGATCTACGTTGCCGAAGCAGCGGGATGCGTGAAGAGGATCATGCTTGAAGTTGGTGGGCTACCCATCCCCCCCGAACTCAGCACCCCCATGCTGAGCTTCGAACGCAATAGCCCCGGCAATTAGAGAACAACTGCTAACATGGAAACCTTCTTGTTTCGTGCCAGACTGGTGAAACAATCAAGACTTTCACCGGGCCGGCCGCGCCGCTGACGTCTGTCGCCGTGTCGCCGACCTCAGACACACTCTTCGCCGGCTGTTGGGACAAATCGATATGGACGTGGTCCATTAGCACGGGCAAACCTGTGCGTAAGCTTCAAGGCCACTCCGACTTCGTCAAAGCCCTCCTCCTCATCACGCTACGCGGCGGCAAGGAGCTCCTGGTCTCGGGATCAGCAGACGCTACCATCGTCGTGTGGGACGCACAATCCGGTGAACAGCTCCACAAACTGAAAGGACATACACGTGGTGTACTAGCTCTGGCTCTGGACTCGTTCGAGCACGAGCCCGGAACCTCAGACACGGCTGTAATCTTCAGCGCTGGAAGCGACCGCGAGATCCGCCGCTGGTCCATCAGCGTTGCTAATGCCACTCAAGTCACCGATGAACCCTTCCCTATCATCCAGCACGAAACCAATGTCGACGCCATCCACTTTGACTCCGATGGCGACTTATGGACCGCCTCCGCAGATCGATCTGCGAAATGCCTATCACGCTCTCACGCGTGGGTCGAGGACTCCTGTTTCGAGCATCCAGATTACGTCCGGGACGTCGTTGTCGACGAGGAGGGTGGCTGGCTAGTGACAGCATGCCGCGACGAGCACGTCCGCGTGTGGGATAAAGCGACTGGGAAACTTCATCATGTGTTTGAGGGTCACTATGAGGAGGTTACGGGGCTAGTGTTTCTTTCAGGACAGAAAGTCGTTAGTGTGAGCATCGATGGATCAGTCAGGCAGTGGAGTCTCAAGTCTAGAGAGCTAACCGACGCAATCAAGTTGGCTGAGGAGGAGAAGCAGGGATTAGTAAAAGAAGAAAAGCCAGAGAAGAAGGAGGGGTTGATGACTGCGGATGAGGAAGCTGAGCTTGCGGCTTTGATGGCGGATGACGACGATGATGATGAACTCCCTCCACTCGTTGAATAATGAGCTCAATGTTGACAGTCTTAATTATAGCCTATTCCCACCTTTGAGCCCGCTTCTATGCTGAGTAACCAAACTATTGACTGTCAATTGTATATGCTACACTTGGGTTTCATGTACCTAGGTAAAAGTATATCGTTCATTAGGATAGAATCCATGTGAATGGATGTTAGGATGTTAGGACGTTATGCAGCACTGATATACTACTTCCTCTGCTTGTTCCTTGCTCCAGAGCTTCATTTCCTGCTCTGGGATATGTCTTTACTACAGTCTTCTACACCTGTCACTATCTGGGAGTGTGAGGGCAGACTTAGCTCTTACTACAAATGAACTGATTGATTGCTGCTGAGGAATCCCACTATAAGCGTCAGACAGCTACGACACAGAAATACCGGAAGCGCAAAGGAGAAGAAGATGGAGATAGCGAATTGGCAGCTAACTCACAATGACACTCAACTTGGAAACACCTTTTGTAACCCTTTTTGTCCCTCCTTCTTTTTGTCAAATCATTTTTATCAGCCTTTTTAAGTGTAGGAAACACTGTAACTTCCAAGCAAAAAAAACTTGGACACTCAACTTGGGCTGCCCGGGACAAAGACAAGGCCAGTCTGATTGCTGCATCTGTTCGAGCACGAGCGAAAGATACACATCGATTCCGGTGCGATGACTGTGACCATAACGCTGCTACACAATGTGCGCTTAATTATCACAACCAAAGTATTGCTCGTGCTGAGGCTGTTGAGAGTGAGGTGAAGATGTTGAATTTACTATCAGCAGGCACAATGAATCGAAGAGCATCTCGTGCTGCCGCCCTTGAAATTCGAGCTCAATGTTGCAAGACATGCGACAGAATCTTCGATAGTAACCCTTCACTTCAGAGGCACTCCAATAGCAAATCATACGCAAAGCAAACTCTCGTGAGCAGTACTACATGGTAGCGATCGAGTAATTGTCCTTTCAATACTTTTTCTTCATTTCCTACTCAATTCTAGATCCACACTCTTAAGCTATTAATACACTGATGTATTTGATAACTAAAATACATTGGTATAACTTACAAAGTAGAGAGAAGTGGTAGGATACACAGCAGCGGTGTCGGCTTTTAGCCTACTTTACTCATGCTTGACGTACAATGAAAACAACGATAAGTCGACAAGCGCATGGCTACCGGACCTATTCGGAATGCAAAAGCATAGAAATTCTTCAATTTTTGTGGGAGATCCATACTTTAATCGACTTAAGCATGGGTGTAGGTTGTCGAAAGACGCGGCAGGAAGAGGCGCAGCAGCGCGAAGGATGCATATCCTTCCTAGTTGAACAGGTATGGTAAAGCATGGAAACAGCTCCAGCACAAACTATCACGCCAAGCATAGGTGACGAATTTTAATGGGGATTCATTATCGCAATTCCAAAAGAAAAACTTTCTCTTCTCCTTACACGACGTCCTTGGTTTCAATGGTTGGCAATGGACAAAATCAAGGTCGCGTCTGTCGATATCCAATCGATCGATGGCGGGTCGCTACCGCCTTATTCCCCAGCACGTTCCGATGGTGAACTGGATAAAGAGCTGGAGAAGAAAGGAGCATCATCTGCGACGCGTCTCGTTCGATCTTTCACGGACTGCAGTTCGGGCACAGAAAGCGATACGTTTACACCGACGACGTCGCTACGCGACAGGAGTCTATACAGCTGGCGACACGATAAATGGCCCAATATCAAAGCGATACTGTTCACCAAACGACAAGCATGTGCTTTTCTCTCTCTTTTGGTCTTCAGCATCGTCCCCTTCTTCGTCATCGGTCAATTGCTTTCGGATGGCGATTACTTGTTCCACATGGCGTTCTCCGAGAAAGTCCAGGGCTGCGGCAGCGACAGACAATTCGGGCCAATGGCAAATGCCACTGCAGAAGGCGTGGAAGCATTGTTCGTGCTAGACGTAACTTTTGGCCGGTTCTCATTCTCACAAGCCAAAATCATTGACGCTGCGTGGGATTTAGTGCTAGGACGAGGGGCGCAGTTATTGGCGTGGACCATCTCGTACTTCGTCTTCTCTGACGCGGTGTTGAGATTGATTGAACAGCATCCTGCCCCATTTCGCACATTCATGCGACTTACGGTGGATGGACCAAGTTTGAACACCGCGTGGGCGCTCCTTGTTGAGCTTTTCAGGACGAAGAGCAAGCGGACATGGCTTTTGTTCTTCTACATGTTGATATCAACGATACATGTTTTGTCGATTCCTCCGTTCTTCAGCGCAATGGCTGGTTACGATAGTCGTACGGTTCCGTTTGTGAATGTAGGGAAGCATGATAACATCATGCCGGGTGATGATCTTGAATCTGGGTGGATGGTGACAAAATTCCCGGGGTTGGAATTGGAGTTTTCGTCTTGCGAAGCGAACGACCAGCTGACCGAATGGTACTCTACCAAGATCATGTTGCAGAACATATGTAAGTAGCACACGATCTGGGACTATGGGCATTTGTGATTGTGCGTTACTGTTGTACTAACAGAGGCACAGGCGACTGCAAAGCTCCGAACGGGGATGTCATTTCGTCTGCGGAATGGAGGATGACAGCCCATGAAACAAAGTACGACAGACATGGCTATTTCGATTGTACGTCAAACCGTCAAATGGGACTGTTGTATACCGTCACTTACCCTCCTCATAGGCGATTACCGCTATAAAGGTCAGTCACAAATTGTGGATGTGCTGGGCCAGCCAACACAGTGTAAGTAGTCGTATACTCTGCCCCCGTTACTCAATCACCTCTAACACAAATTAGGTAACGGGACCTTTCCCATCACCCTCAACGACACATCTGCGTCTGTGTATGACGTCTCGTATGAACGCGCTTATTGCTATGGCAAAGAAGGCTACGCATTCGATACAGTGTACGCAACGAAGAACTACTCTCCCAACACACGCAACTCCAACTGACTCATGCCCTAGCTATCAAACAACGCGATGCATCCCTGACACCGCCGACCCATCCTACGTCTGGGGCTTCTCCACCATGCTCTCCGCCCTCTTCGTAATGCTACAACTCTTGTGGGGTATCTCCATGTACGCCCTCTGGCAAGACGCCCAATTCAACAGCTACCTCGTCAGAAACGGATTCCGGATTACGGAGCTGCGAGCTGCGTTTGCATTGACGGAGACGGCGAATCGTGAGACGGGGCTTCATGCTGCGGCGTTGGTTAGACACGATGCAAAGGATTTGGAGGAGGATCTCTATGGGAGCAGGAAGAGAAAGGGGGCGGAGGTGGGATTCGATATCTTCTGGAATGAGGAGTTGGAGGTTAGGAGGAGGAGGGGGGTTATGGAGGAGAGGCTTTCGAGGTAGATTTGTGAAATGAAAGTAATGAATATATGGATTAATTTGACGGTTATGAGCGGCGATTCAAATGCGGCGGTCCTTCTGTCCATGTGCATACTCCTTTAGTATTCTCTGGAATATATAGGGCCATCAGCAATTTCGGTTCGCAGGAGAGGTAAACGGAGAACAGAATCAGGGGGGGAGGGGAAAGTATGTTATACATTCACTATACAGGTACACTTTGGAAACGTTTTTTGATGATCGCCTATTTTGTGTACTTATATTGTCATAACTATTTTGCTGGGTGTAGGATCACCCAAACTCCAACTGACAAATTATATACTTTGGATACTTGCCAGACGTTTCCCATTCAATCAATTGAACATTTGAATATTATGAAGCCCACGTGACTTGTTACAGCCTCACCACATGCATGCTTACATTTATACCCAAGCTCGATTCTGCACAAGTTTTCCTCTACTGGAAATCAATAGCGCGATCGAAGATTAGACCGCTGGCAGACGTTGGTATTACTACTCCGGAGCACGTATGCAAGCACGCATTGAGAGCAACGCCGAAAGCCGGGGAAAAGTCCGCCCCCATGAACGGAGCAATAGCACCACAGAGCAGAACACGGTCGCCAACAGACAAGACAAGCCGCACGAGAAGGTGGGTTCTATCGCGCAAGAGCCCCCCGTGCCTTTATCCAAGACTGTAGCTAAGGTATCATCTTTGGCACGGTATGCCAACCCGTCAAATTAGTGTCCGAAAACCCACAGACTCGTGGAAAGTAGCCGTTTTGGCGACACAGCGACAGATGGTAAGGGGGCAGCTCCGACGCTTATTAGCTCCCCGTTGTGGAAAACGAGGAGGGTAATTTGCGAAGGAGTTCAACGAATGAGATGCTGAGGTAAGCTAGGTGTGCAGGAGTCCAGATTGGACGGACGGGCGGACAGCCAATGTCATCATTAGCCTTGAACTACGGGCGCCTCCACCGTGCAGCGCGTCCATGCAGTCAGCAAGCAGACAGGGAGATGAAATAGCGATCCTCTCCAGACTGTGCCGTAGAACTATAGATGTGAAAGTAGTCATATGTTGGGCGGTGATGAGTTATGGCGGCGGAATTAAGTGGAGATGTTGTGAATGTTGAAGAGGATTGAGGGGAGCGATCAGTGATCAGATGGGACGGACGAGGGGAGCGAGCGATTGGAAGGATTGGACCGCAATTCCCCGTACCGCGCGCGATTGATCAGTGCGCACGATTGCATGCCTCGCTTGTTGATGATTTCCTGTGCAGACGCCACATTCTCGTACTTGTGCCGTCTTGGGAAAATGAAGGTTAGATGGCGGGACAGTGACGAATGGCAGCAGCTGAATACGAGCAGAAAAGGAGCAGCGACGGTCAGACGGAACCGTGGAAGAAGCCGAAAAAGGAATAAACAACAACAAAGATGAAGCAAGAGAAGTAAACATTCGGGTAGAGAATAGATGAGCATTGATGAGGGGGGGATATGCATTGTCGCACCTAGAGATGACGACAAGGCCCCAATTAAACTTTGTCGGCGAAACCAAGGACTTGGGAGGCGCGGGAGACTACACCGCATCTACTTGCCAGCCGGCCTCCCACATGGACTGTAGATAGCACAGCCTTAGACGACTTGCACGCATCAAACGGAAAATTCCAAGTTGCAGCAAGGCTGCCGGTAGGGTGTGGTGGAAGGTATATTAATAACGTCTTTCCGATTTCCCAAGGCCTCGAAACAGGGCGTATGGCGAGAGAACAAAGCCGTGGGGCGCGGCCAAGCATGTCACCATGGTTTGAAACAACGATTCGTTATGCCGTCCACGCCTGTGCTTCGGAAACGACCGAACACAGAGCAATTTGTTTAGAGTGTGGATGGCGTCGGATAGTCGATGCAAAGTTGCCGGCGTCAAAGGGTTGTCAAACCTGTGATAAGGGTGTTGTGTATGCATGTCAATGTCAATCATGTGCGCCTTGGTTGCCATGGTTGGAGGTGTCGGTCCGCCGAGGCACTGTACCTCGCTAGCTATCCATATGTACATGTGTACAGTGTAGATAGTACGTCAGCGTCGCACCGAAGGGGGGATTCGAGGTCGACATCTGTCCATTTAATCTGAGACCGACATGTTGTGCTTCTTTCCTTTGGCTGCTTAGCTGGCGTCGAGGTGCATGTAAGCGAATGTTGGAATTACAGGTGCGCGGGAGGTACACGATAGCCTCAAAAAACGTGGCAGGCGGGGGCGAGATGGCCGTGATGAACCACAAGCTGGCGTATGCCACCCGCTGCGGAGTAATTATTTTGCGTGGGCCGCGGTACCGACGCGGATAGCAATTTGTGCTGTGTAGAGAAACGGCCTAGATGATTGATGTTCGTAGGGTTGGTGTGGAGACGCAATGTTGGCACCCAGGGTAGAGATGCAGACAAGATGCACCACCAATTGCCTCAGGACGAGCAGCAATCTTCCATCCATGTAGCCAATGCGTCGCGGCACGGGGAAGTTTGGGACATGACGGAGCATGACCAGGTCAGGCCATGCACCAAACCCAGCCGTAGCTATGTATCAATGTTGATGAGATGGTGTGGCCATGTTGAGAGACAGGCGCATCAATGCTATCGTGTGCGTACACACGCAGACACACATGACAGACGCCCGTGGCGGTGCGTGTAACATCCCATTGCGGGTCGAGCAACCACCACAGAGAAAGCATAAACGGACGAGGAAAGCAGTTTCACGACGGCCGACATTTGGGATGCTACTCCAACCAAGTCAAAAGGTTATGGCTGTGGTTGGCCGGGCGAACGAAACAAGTACCACAGTCGGCAGTTGTTGCCTTGAAGCACAGAGGATCGATGGCATTAATGCCGTCTGTTTCGAGGCCATGGCAAACGTACCATATTTACAAGCGGCCAGCGTCATTCATGTTTTGACAGCGGCGATAACGCGGCTTGGAGGACGGGCAAGTTGAGACGATATAGACATGTCGTGTATGTGTGTGTGCGTGTGTCTGGGTAGGTGGTAGTCGGAAGGCCTCTCTTCAAGGCTTCCCCCGCCATGTCGCGCTGCTTGCATGACGCGGCGGCGGGCATCTGAAGCAGAATGAAAAAGAAAAGAAAAAAAAAAGAAAAAGGAAGCCTCCATGTTCCAATGGTTTCTCCCTGCAGACGACGATCGGACTGGTGACCTCAGGCAGGACACGACTGCAGTTTTGAGCAGCTCGAGTGACGCGGAGAGGAGATTGGGCGGAGGAGTACGACGACGAGGACATGGACCCTCGCCGACTTCAAACAAACGGCTGGCCACAGTGGCTCGTCCGGCTGGATTGGCTGGACGGGCTGGTGGCGTCCAGGCGGGCGGAGCCAGTTTCACCCCCCGTTTGCTTTCCTTCTCCCGCTGGGCAATGGGAGGCTGAGGCGCCGCGCTGTGGCCTTGCGCACAGTAAAATAAGCCTACGGCTGGCCAGGGGGTGCCCTTGCCCGGCCATGCCCTACTATGCCGCCATCCACTCGCTGGCTCAATCAACCTGGGACCTGCCTTAGCATCACCACCTACCAATACCCATTCTCCACTTAACTTGGCCCACTCACCTCCTCCACACCCCCCTTCGTCTCGACTCACCTTCTCCACCACCATTACATAGGCACCTCCTCGCCCAAGTCACTCGTTTTTGTCTGCTCTTCAGGTTCCGGTCCATCCTCTCTCTCTCTCTCTCTCTCTTCCATTCCCTTCTTTCTTCGCCGCCCTGTTGCGTGCCTTTTCCAAAGTCTTTTTACCCCGTCTCGTCAACCACCGCCAACAATCACGCTTCCACCTGTTCACGCCCGGCCTCTGGAGGAACAATACCGCCCGCGCATCCAGCCAACCGTCGCCCGTTCTGGTTCTGCCTTTATTCCATCCAGGTCACCTGCATCCCTTGCATCCGCGACATATTAAAAAAAACGCCTCTGCAATCGCACTACCAAGCTTCTTCTGCACCTGCCGGCTGCTTCCCTGGTGCTTCCACCGCTCCCACATCTGAACCCCAGACCATCACCTCGATCGGTACCCCCCGGTCATTACACTCATTCACCCTATCCACGCATCTTTCTGTACCTCTGTCTTTGCTGGCCAAGGCAAGGACCATACAGTCTTCCCTGTCGCGACGATCCATAAGAGGACCCCATCTGCTGCTCTAGCCTTCATCATCATCCACTCACTGGCCCATTTGTTCTTTGCTTGTCCACCTCGCTCACTTCCAAATCAACCATGGCCTCTACTGCCCTCAACGTCTTGGGGGAGCTTGTCAAGAGGGCCGACGCTGCTGCCCAAGGTGGCAACAGCACAGCAGGCGGTGCTCATGGTGGATCTTCTGGAGGCAAGGCAGCTTACGACCCTGTCGCCGCCCAAAACAACGTTGACGTCCAGCACTATCTCGGTCGCATCTGGTATGCCTTTGTGGCTGTCTTCGCCCTCTACCAGCTCATCTATCACTTCGTTCGTTACATCCGCACTGTGGCATGCTTGAACAACGACAAACAAAGATATTTCGCTGTCCCAACTACCATCTTCGCCAACTTCAGGAGACATTTCCTCAATGCCCCTCTTTTCCGCCAGAGGCACCACCGCGAGTTCAAGATCTCGTCGGCCATCAATGTCGGCACCCTTCCCAGCCGCCTCCAGACCCTCATGTTGCTAGGGTACTTTGCAACCAACGTTGGCTTCTGCTTCTGGAGGATTGACTACAGCAACTCCAACTACGAGGCCATTGCCTCCATCCTGCGCAACCGATCGGGTGTCATGTCCGTCATGAACTGCATCCCGCTCTTTTTGCTCGCAGGACGCAACAACCCCATCATCATGCTCACAAACCTGCCTTTTGACACAATGAATTTGATTCACCGTTGGATTGGACGCATTGTCATTCTCGAAGCCCTCTGCCACACCCTTGCTCACATGGCCAAAGGCGCCCACACCAAGGGCTGGGGGTACGCTGTCAAAGGTCTAGTTGGTTCCGAGATGATGTGGACTGGACTCATCGGTACCGCCGCCTTTACGGTGCTCTTGCTCCAGTCCCCTAGCGCTATTCGACATGCCTTCTACGAGACCTTCCTCACTGTTCACATCATCCTAGCAGGGACAGCCATCGGTGGCGTATGGGTCCACCTCAAGGCACCCAAGCGCAGATCCCAGCAAAAGATGCTATGGGTGGTTGTCGCCCTATGGTCCATTGAGGTATGCTTTAATTGAATTTCATTCTCCAATATCTATGCTAATAACCCATTGTACAGCGCTTCTTCCGTCTCGTTCGCCTCGCCTACCGTAACATGGGCAAGGGCGGCACAAAGGCCGAGGTAGAGGTTCTGCCCGGTGATGCCCTCCGCGTCACTGTTCGCATGGCCCGCCCCTGGACTTTCCGCCCTGGACAGCATGCATACCTGTACATGCCTTCTATGGGACTTTGGACCAACCACCCTTTCTCGCTTGCCTGGAGCGACGATGAGGAAAACCTCGATATCTCCACCATGGTTGCTGACGAGAAGGGTCTCCCCATGAGCCGTCAAGATATTCTCCAGCACAGCAAGACCAGCATGTCCTTCATCATTCGCCGACGAACAGGCTTCACCGACACTCTCTACAAAAAGGCAGATCTTTCTGCTGCCGGTAGATTTACGACGTCGGCACTAATTGAGGGACCCTATGGTAAGTGCCGAGCCTTTTGATTTGATTTTCCCCAGATTTTCAATCTATTTTAGATTGAGGCAATATGCGTATATTCGTATACATGTATATGTAACCCGGCAGCAACCGAACCCCACGCTAACGTCACACTGCAGGCGGAGAAAACCTCAACTCGTATGGTACTGTCATGCTTTGGGCAGCAGGTATTGGCATCACGCACCAAGTACCCCAGGTGCGCGAAATTGTAGCCGCTTACGCCAACGGTACCACGGCTACACGCCGCCTTACTCTGGTCTGGATCATCCAGTCACCTGAGCATCTTGAATGGATTCGAACCTGGATGACCCACATCTTGGCCATGCCTCGCCGTCGCGAGATTCTCAAGATCCTGCTGTTCGTCACCAGACCTCGCAGCACCAAGGAGATTCACTCCCCATCCTCGAGCGTGCAGATGTTCCCCGGTCGACCCAACGTCGATTCACTCATCGACCAAGAGATGCAAGAGGGTATCGGTGCTGCCGCCGTAACCACTTGCGGAACGGGTGGTCTGGCCGACGAGCTCCGTTGTGCAGTGCGCAAGCGCCAGGCGCAATGGAATGTTGACTTCCGCGAGGAATCCTTCTCGTGGTAAACAACACAGCACCATCCTGGCGACAATCCCATCACTGCACGATATGTCACGAATGGTTTCATTTCCCTATCATCTCAAGTGTCACGGAGCACGGTGATTTGGCCTGTGCTCCAGTCGGGCCTTAATGTGCTGCATTCATATCGTTTCGTCTCGCGTTGCCCTCTTTCAGCGTCCTTTGTTTCTACCAACCTTCCTTGTATAAAATTTCAACATCTACTTTCTTTTTCATTACCCTCATTGTGACTATCTATAGGTCGTATCTTTTTCCATTTGGGGCAGACAATCTGCGTGTCTATCAGTACAGCTCGGCGCAGCGACTTACACTGGACGGTGTCATTACCGGAGAGCAGGGGGGGAGTCTCACACGCAAGAGTTGTATATAAATCAATCAATCGGCGTGTAGATCAATTCACAACGTTCAACAACCAAGCTTTTCTGAAAAGTATGAACTGTTGGTCAGACTGTGTGCATCAAGGGTTACTTCATGGACTGCGCGAACCGCGTATCTTCTGGCCTGGGCCATAATCCGTGTCATGGGCGTATACTACCAGGTACATACTCAAATGTATAAGGCCACCTTCCACTCACCCCTACGGATCATCCTGATCTGCCACTAACGCCGTAGCTACCAGATCACAGGTAATTAGGTTCCCACATCCGACGCATGACCACTCAACACGAGTGACATTCTCTCTTCAAAACGAATCGGAGAAATCGACGGACTTTGCTCATCCTTACCCAAATGACAAGCAAAGCGCACGCACGGAGAGCGCGATCTAAAAAGCCCGCGTCTCTAGGTGTCCAGTCTGTCGCGCAAATCGAAATTTGACCAAATAGTTGAATCACCGAAGGATTTTGATTTTTCTCTTTTCCTTCACTATCCTCGCTTCACCTGCTATGTTGTGATGTGTGGGTTCGTTTTAGGCTACCATTCATTCCTATGCATCTCCTTCTCACGTTGCACTTTGAAATTTTCTTTACAAGGGTATTTACCTTGTACGCAGCTCCACTAAGCTGTTTGGTCCGATGGAGAAGAAAAAAAAGATGAAAGGTGTGTCTCTAGTCTCTTGTCAAAGTATGCTTGCATTGCTTTGGCGTTGCTTTGCTTTGCTCGCTTGCCAATTGATGCCTGCCTGCATTGCATGCATGCACATGCAATGCATACCTTCCTTATTTTATCCATGGGCCATTGACGCTCGCTCGCTTGCTTGCTGTACATGTAGTAGCGTTTTAATATAAATTCGGTATGTCTGGTTTGCGTACACGTGCGCCTGGTGTAGCTACAGGCTGATTTAGAGTTCGGCTTCATGTGCTACTGCACATGCCTTGAAACGCATATACCTGCGTACATCTTAAACGCTCTTATCTTTTTGAAGATTGTGTTACACGACTTGAGGGAGTGCACCTGGGTAATTCACCGCACTTACGCATTATCTGTCTGCTGCACACACACGAAGGCCCACGTTCGGTTAAGAAGTTTTTCTCTTCTTCTTTGGCAAGTATAGCGAGGAACATAAGGTTGTGAGTATATTGGCTTGGGGTAGCACACATCCTTCGATTCAAATGTTATCTGCAATGCATGCATGTACGTGTGTGTATGCAACGGCCTGTAGTCAGTCACGTACATGAACAAACATCGTCATCTAGCTGATTTCAATATATGTTGTACTCAGTTACACCTAATTATTTGCTTCTGAGACAATATACAAATACTCGAAAGGGTACTTATCTTACCCTATCCCCCGCCTACTCGTACAACAATGGCCAGGCGAGGACTAGAGGGATAGGTTTATATTAACGGCCGTTCTCTCCACCTGCATACACGAGAACGGAGGGACATGCGCCGCACTATCACGCTGTAAGCACTACGTACATAGGTATCAACACTACGAATTATCGATAACCTCGTTTACACGGATAGGTTCCGAATCCATTCTCATTCACTTGGCGATTCTCTCTCTTCATCTCTGCATTCAGGTTTCCATGAACTGTTCCCATCCGCGATTGCCACAGCCCTCTTCATGTGAACTTCATCGCCTTGGGATCTTGTCGGTCAGTCGGCTCGTTCCAAGTTTTGATCCGAAGCATGCATAGTCTAGAACATACAGCCCGGATAGCGAAGCAGAAGAACACGCAGTATCACAAGTTGCGGCGCACAGCAGATGAGCAATGATATCTACACAAACTTTTTTCGGTTGCTTTACCCGCATCACGCACACACAACCTTATACGACGACAAAGGAATATCCAAAGATTCGAAAGAGAGACCTTGTCTGTATGATGTGTTGTGCGGGTGATCAACCCTTCCCTTCCTCTCAAAATGCAGCTGTAAATTGAAGAACCCCCAGCCACAACAGCTACCAACGCCCCAGCAAAAATCCGCAAGAAAACGAATCAGCAAGAAGAATAAGAAAAAAAAGAGAGCAAAAACAGATAAGAAGCACAGCATATCAATACAACGTCGTGCATTCACTAAGTCCGTGCGCACAGTTTAATATCCACGGCATAACCCAAGAAGACGGAATTTGCGGGGAGGAAGATTTAGATTGGATGGATATACCGCCAGAGGTCCAGAGGTTGAATGTGGAAATACTGAATCTCATGCTTAAGCAAGAGCAGTTATAGACAGGGGAAGGAGCGAAGGGTGGGGAAATAAGGATAAAACGTGCTTGGTACATAATACAAGAGTTGTGAATGTGTGAGTGTGGGTGGGTGCGTGCATGGTATCAACGCAAGATACCTAGGCATGCAGATACGCAGTACATGCCCGATGCGTCGCGGACGTACTCCATGCCCAGTACACGAATTTTCTTTGTATCGCCGACCTGGTCATCTGCGTGTTATCAAGCTGCAGGAGGGAAAAAAAACAAGGAAAGTAGAAAAGAAAAAAAGATTCACACGAGGTTTTGATGACCTGCGTCGACGGAATCGACGATGGAGAAGGAACAAATTTAAATTTGATGGATGCCATGGATGCATGAGCTATTCACTCTCTGGTCCAAAGTAGATCAACATTGTGGGGCATTTGGTGATGAGGGATGGAGTGGTGGGCTGGCATAGTACCGGTACGGTAGATGAGAATGTGTTACAGCCGGGTAACGACGATCGGTGGCGATGCAATGTCGCGGGAAGCAAGGCAGTTGGTTGATAGACGGCTTGCCGATTTCGATCGACGCCGGGATATAGTGAAGTATGTATATGTAATTGGACTGGATGAGGCCTCGTGGTTTCTCCGCGTTCACATACTTGGACGTAGTCACGTTTGATAGTGGAGGCGATGGCGAAGAGATGCTGAGGACTGAACACCTGCAATCTTGTGTTGACCAAGGTGATGTTGAAGACTGATATTGTACTGTGTGCTATGTCTTAGTTGTCAATTTGGCGTCTGTGTTTGTTGCTGTTCTCCTATTTCATGCTTTCTCTACCAAAGATCCCTTCACTATCCCGAAAGAGGGGGGGCAGCTTAGGGGACGAATTTGATCTAGATGAAGGATAGTATAACAGGAAACATCTCATGAGACCCCACACAGAATTTCCACAACATCATTGACCTCCTGTAGCAGCCTTTTCCTCCATACTGTACCTTTCCTGGATCGCCCTCCACCCTCTCAACACCACATCCGCCAAAACATCATGCTTACCCAACTTAACCACAGCCTCGTCAATGGGCACAAGATAGCTCTTATACTCGGCCTCCTCTTCGTCCACGCCCGTACCCTCGTGATGAATCGGTTCATACCCATCGGGCTCCATGGCCACCCTCTCCTTCAGCGTCAGGTCCGCCGGAAAGGGCGGCGGGGGTTTATACGCCTCGGTAGGATGCGAGTGCAGCGATTCCTCGAGTGAGGGAGGGATTGTCTCTGCAACGTACCAGTACAGTAGATATTGAATGTTACGGTGGCCGACGGGCATCAGTTGGATCCAGAGGGGTTCTGCTGTGAGGGGTGGGGTGGAAACGCGCGGGTGCGCTTGCGGTTGGTGATGTTTGGTTGGTAAAGGGAGCAGACGATTTCTGTATCCAGACTATATTGTCGGCGACAAAGAGTAATATTGTCAGTCGCTGCTATCTCACTTCTTTTGTTGTTGATATCCTGCTCCTTGTCTATTGTGTGATGGATGCATGCTGTTTCTTACCAACTCCACCATCGAAAGCCTGCATTGACTCGTAGACCACAAGAAATAAGGAAAACCGTTGCTCACCTCCTCGAATCCTTCCCTTTCGGCGCCTTGACCTGCACTCTCTCCAGTGTCTCTCCTTCCCTTAGGCAAGAAGAAGTAAGTGCGGCCCTTCCGATCCTCAGCGCTGCAGATAACCACCCTCTCGCTCTTGAGGTGGAAAATCGCGACGCCCCCACCTTGCACGAAATTCTCAGCTGCGTACTGCGCAAATGTTGGATGAGGCGACGATTGTGGAGCGGACGGGCGCGATGAAGATGATGACATGGCTGTTGATGAGGCTGTCTTTGGCAATGTAGATTTGGACGTTGTTGCAGGATCGGTCGTTGTTGCGGTGCTCGGACTCGTAGCGTCTTGAGTACTGTCGATATTCCCACCGACACCACGACGACGATCGTCCTTTATATTCTTGAGTAGCTTTGGCAGGCAACAGCGTTCATCAAGACGCCAGGCACTAGGCATTTCGCCTCTTGTTATTCTCTTGGTGAGGATCCGGTGGGCAACATACGGGTGGATCGGCCGCGGTGTTATTTTCCCAAACCGTGTTGACCGGTATTCATCATGCCTCTTGTTTCTGTTCTCACTGTTGTTCACTGCCCCATTGTGCATCTGATTAGAATCATGGAATACTGTTAGGCTGCTAATAGCTGCTGGCAATGGAAGGGCAAGTCGTGGTACCGGTGAGTGGATCCATGCGGCTATCGGGTTGTGGAGAAGCTTGAGTTGCCGCGTTGAATCTAGGGTGGCCCGAATGAAGCCTGACACGAGATGTATGCTCCAGCATATCCCACCGATGCTTCCATTGTTTCCAGCCAATATATATTTGTTTATCAATGCAACCTTCATCACAGGACGTGTGGCCCAATGGCAAGGCGCTTGACTACGACTACAACAGTAATCAAGAGATTCCAGGTTCGACCCCTGGCACGTTCATCGAGCAATTTCTTTTTGCCCTTGCCGCACCATTGCTGCTGCTGCTAGCATTCTTTTTTCCCCCCATCCTCTTCTGCCCCCATTGCAATTACGTCCATGCCACTCTTGCCCAAGAAAAATGGATGCTGGTGTGTATATATACATGTATCGTCAATTTCAATGAACAACGTTTGGATGTTGGACTATGACTTTTTCGTCGCAATCACAAACACGAGCGTAGGGCTTTGTTTGCATTGATAGCAGGATTAATATCCACGGGCAACAATTAGGGAAGTCTCAAATTTCCCGAATAACGGAGTATTAGGGGAGTATTAGCTCTCAGTTTGAGAACTTTTGAGGGTTGATTTGTCGTGCAGTGAGCGGAATAGGGGAAAGATTCTGAAGCAACTCTCGACAACCGCGACTACTACTGCAAGCCACACGACAAGGTCTACGATAGCAGATCCACTATCGACGAACAACACGACACCAAGAAGCACCAGGAGCTGAGCGAGATGGAGGCAAGTTGCCAGGCATCACACCGAAGTGCACATATGATGGGGGGAATGAGTAGAAAAATGGCAATTAAAAAATGAATAGGGGTACCACCGATGGGAACGCGGAAAGCAATAGGTAGCATTGCACGTACCGTTACTACATAGAAGTGGCTGGTCACCAGTATGTAATGGAACATTCAGAATGCATTGGACACATCACTATTCATCACGAATGAACACATTATCACGAACACGAAGGTTGAAGTCGCCCACCCATTTGATTCATTCAGTTCATTATGAAGTCTATGGAAGAGCATGGACATTAATCCTCACCCGACCGTAATGCATTACATCATGAACATTACGGATTTTCCGAACCGACCACATCCCCAGAACCCATTACTGAGAAATTTTGTGAAGAAAGAAAAAAGCCACGTTTTGTGTGACCGCTTATTTCTTGCCGGCCTTGGCAGCAGCCTTGGTGACCTTACCAGCCTTGTCGGACTTGGCGACAGACTTGATGACACCGACAGCGACGGTTTGACGCATGTCACGGACGGCGAAACGACCGAGAGGAGGGTAGTCAGTGAAGGACTCAACGCACATAGGCTTGGAGGGAATCATCTTGACGATGGCAGCGTCACCGGACTTGATGAACTTGGGGGAAGCCTCAACAGACTTGCCAGTACGGCGATCGATCTTCTCGAGGAGCTCAGAGAACTTGCAAGCAATGTGGGCAGTGTGGCAATCCAAGACAGGGGCGTAACCAGCACCGACCTGGCCGGGGTGGTTAAGGACGATGACCTGGGCGTTGAAGGACTCGGCACCCTTGGGGGGGTCATCCTTGGAGTCACCGGCAACGTTACCACGACGGATCTCCTTGACGGAGACGTTCTTGACGTTGAAGCCGACGTTGTCACCGGGGAGACCCTCGGGAAGAGAGGTGTGGTGCATCTCGACGGACTTGACTTCAGTGGTGACACCAGCGGGGGCGAAGGTGACGACCATACCGGGCTTGATCACACCAGTCTCGACACGACCGACGGGCACCGTGCCAATGCCGCCAATCTTGTAAACATCCTGGAGGGGAAGACGGAGGGGCTTGTCGGAAGGACGGGAAGGGGGCTCGATGGCATCGATGGCCTCAAGGAGGGTCTTGCCGGTGGCCTTGGCCTTGATCTCCTTCTCCCAACCCTTGTACCAGGGGCAGTTGGTGGAGGCGTCGATCATGTTGTCACCGTTGAAACCGGAGATGGGGACGAAGGGAATGTGCTTGGGGTTGAATCCGACCTTCTTGATGAAGTTGGAAGTCTCCTTGACGATTTCCTTGTAACGGTCCTCAGACCACTTGGTGGTGTCCATCTTGTTGATGGCGACGATGATCTGTCGAACACCGAGAGTGTAGGCGAGAAGAGCGTGCTCACGAGTCTGGCCATCCTTGGAGATACCAGCCTCGAACTCACCAGTACCGGCAGCAATGATGAGAATGGCGCAGTCAGCCTGGGAGGTACCAGTGATCATGTTCTTGATGAAATCACGGTGACCGGGGGCGTCAACTAGAAAAGTGTGTTAGTGAATATTGCTTGTGAGGGACAATAGAAACAACGCAGAAAGCAGCAGAGGGATGACAACTCCAGAAAAGCCATGTGTTGTGAAAAGCAGGAAAAGGGTGCAGTGGGACAACAGAAACAGTGCAGAAAACAGCAGAGGCATAACAACTCCAGGAAAGCCATGTGCGGATAAGAAAAGGAGAGAGAGGGTGAAGTGAAAACACTCTCAGGTCCGGCAGCAGCAGCAGACTGATGAAACATATTGAGGAGCGTGACAGAAGCAGAGGGAAGCAGCAGCGACAGCAGTAATGAAACATCAGGGAGACGAGAAGCAGTTACTCACTAACTGTGACATAATACTTAGGCGTCTCGAACTTCCAGAGAGCGATATCGATGGTGATACCACGCTCACGCTCGGCCTTGAGCTTGTCGAGCACCCATGCGTATTTGAAGGAACCCTTGCCGAGTTCGGCGGCTTCCTGGAAAGAGAGTTAGCACGACGAACGATTGAGGAAGATGACGTGCATGATGATGAGCAACAATAGCTGGTCAAAGCAAAAGCCTTGTGGGGATTTTGCAGCGGGAGGATGAAGTGTGCGTCGTCAAACGGTTGGCGAAAGCCCCAAAAGGGACTAGCGCTGGCGCGTAAGAATTCGCACACCCCACTCCAAAAATGCCCCTCAGTGCGATAAGCCAAAATTGAGGCTCAGCAGGCTGAAGGAGCAACTGCAGATGATGGGGAAAAAAAGGTGCAGGTGAAAAAGCCATGAGGCAAAGACGTACCTTCTCGAACTTCTCGATGGTACGCTTGTCAATACCACCGCACTTGTAGATCAAGTCTGTATGCCATGTGAGCTGCTGAAAACCCCGCTATCGTTGGAGAGAGGCAGGCTTACGTCCAGTGGTGGTCGACTTTCCGGAGTCGACGTGGCCGATGACGACGATGTTGATGTGAGTCTTTTCCTTACTGTGAACGCTGTTAGTGAAGTGATCTGATGGAGGGTGCGGTGGACCTGGAGCCTGAGTGTGTGCTCGAGGCCTGCTAGAGTGGACTTACCCCATGACGGCGGTTGTGTATTGTCTGGATTGATGTAAAGGTGGTGTAAAATCTCCTGCGGTGGGGAGTCAGCGGATGAAAGAGGAGAAGAGCAGGCTGGATGGCACGTACAGATATCAAAGCGTGAATCTGCTAGAGAGTCGTGTTTGATGGTATGAGGGGACGGAGTAGAAAATTTGGGACGCGGGGAATGAGGGCTTAAGTAGGAGTGGAGGGGCAGCAGAAGGGCGCTAACAATGCCAAGGCCCGGTGATTCAACCACGCAAATTTTCGCAATGCAAACGCCCAACTCGACCTCAATTTTCGTCGCAGACGTAGGCGGGGCCAGGCAGTAAGAGTGCTGGTCATTGGCCCCTCGTGCTCCCGGCCCTTGACCGCCCAGCATCATGTCGCCACAGCCACTCTAGCTCGCCAGCGCATTCTCTTACTTTGGCGACTAGCAGTACCTCAGTACACACTACACTATCTATCGCGACCTTGCCATCGCATATTCTCGGCGGCTACTTTCTTTATCCCGTCTTCGAATCCACCCAGTTCCACCTGCCACTCACCCATTCTTCTTTTCTTGTGCAGAGCCCAACAGTCTACCAAGCCTGTTGCATGGACCGACTACTTGCAAAATGGTCTTACCAAGGTGGGGTTCAAGGTGGGCAAGGTTGAAGCCCCACCATCCTTTGTCTGCGTCATACTGTGGCCAGATAACTATCTTGTGCACATGTGCCCGCTGCCAACGTCTTCACCAAGCCATTGCTCTCCGTGTTTTCGGGCTATTTAGACGATCCCTTGAATAATCATTGCAGTATACCAGCATGCATCATATACTCTGTAAAGAATAGCTAGTTGTCGCACTGTAGCAAGTGTTGATTCTATATACTACGACTGAATTCTGAGTTGAAGTTTGGGTGATCTTACACAGAGCGAAAGGTTTACAGCGATAAGAGGAACCAACGTAACAGACGATATTACATTTGTTACTTGAATAGGTGGGCGAGCCTAGATTTCATTATTGCAGTATACCAACATGTATCATGTACTCTGTAAAGAATGGCTAATTATCGCATTATGGTCATCGTCGATTCCATATACCAAACAATCTTGTCCGCTACGCATGTGTCATACATGCCCCGTCGGCATCTCTCCCGTCACCATGGCAACCCGCATCGTAGGGGATTGATTTGCCTATTGATCCACAAGAAATGTTACCGACTTCATAGTCAGCTTCTCCTTGAGCAGAAGGCTCTCATCTCCCATAGCCCATTGCACGGCGTCTTTTAATATCTCCCTGCTTTCTTCTTCCTGGGGGAGCCAATGACCCGACTTCTCGAGAACCACGACTTGACTCTTCTTGCCAAGACTCTCGTTGATCCCTTCCAGAGCTAATCTACGGTCGAAGCCCAGATCATTGCTGCCATATACAATCGTTGCTGGTGCCCTAAGCTTCCCAGGCGGTCCAGTGTCGAAAAGATCGCCGCTAGAGCTTGTACCGGGACGGAAACGTGATGTTGGTATCTCCGAGAGTGCGACCACGGTCTCAATTGACTTTTCCCATATGCCTTTGAACATACCCTCACGATAGATGCGGATCTTTTCCGACATGCCGTGGTCTGGAATACGCTGTTTCACCGCCTCTGGGTAAACATCAACTTGCGCAATGCCGGGACCTGCAGACATGGCGAGAAGATCCATAGCCTCTTTGACACTCGGCTGCCGCTTCCATTGACCATCCGTCTGGAGTAGCCCGATCTCGCACTTGTGCATCACTTTCAATAACCAATATCCGCCAAAAGTTGTGCAGTAGTTCGAGATAGGATATGGCAGGTTGAAACAGACTACTCGCAATGTCAGTTGGTACACCTGATGTTCGAAGGGCTGCCACAATATGATTACAACATACAGACGTAAAAGGACCTGCCAATCTGGGAAAGGACGGGTAAGATCGTGCGGTAAGCATTTCTGAGGAGAGAGAAGTTCTTCCAGGGCCGTCGGGAATACGTGCGTAGCATCTGCAGAGCAGAATCATATTTCGCGACCGCGTTGTCATAAGTGTGTTGGGGCTTCGGTGAGGTCAGCGTCTGCCAATGGGACTCGGTTCAGGTAGATATACAATAACAGCACCTGCGATGACAAAACGATCTGCCAGCTGGTTGGCTTCAGAAGCCAATCTAGCGGCAATGAGGCCTCCCCAATCATGGCTAACAATCACGAACTTGGCTTCGTCTGCCTTTAGATACTGTGCCCTCATAGCCAGGATGAACTCTGTCATCGCCTCTAGGATTTGATTCGCATTGTACGCTGATAAAGAATCACTCCCGCCATACCCAGGAAGGTCAACAGCAATCAGAACGTGGTCTTTGAGCGCATCTTGGGTAAGTAGATGGTGCCACAGGAGGAATGAATTTGGAAAGCCTAGGCTGCCGTTAGCATGAGATGTATAGAGCATTTGAGTTCAATTGAGTTGAATTGACTTGCCATGAATGAAAACTGCGACATTCCTCGCTTCTTTGACTTCTCTGCAATTGACAGCGTAGTGCAACCTCAAGCCGTTGCGAAGAGTGCAAAACGCATGTCGGAAACCAGGCAGAGGCTCTCTGTCCACATCCCAATAACGTTTCTGGGCTACTAATATAAGTTTTTCTGATTCGAAGTGTAGCACCATCGGAGCCTGACAACGTACCTGCATCTAAATCGGACTTTCCCTCCTTACTGGTCACCTTGAAGAAACCCCCCTCTACAATGCCTCCGAGGATGAGAAGAAAGGTGAGATTGAACAAGCCCCAAGCTAACCCGAAAAGCTGCCACGCAAGCCGTGCTATTAAGCTAGGACTCTGTTGCTGACCCATCCTCCCCTATGAATCAAGAAAATACGATCCAGGTGTTATAGAAGCAGTTTTGATAATGAGCGCGAGTGCAGTGTTAGGTCAGTGTAGATAGCTTAGTGTTGGATGAGCAAGACCCTACGCAGTCTGACTGGGGTGGGGAATGTGCTACAGATCTGCACGGACACATTTGTTTGAGTTTCGTTACCACCATGCCATAGAAACCTCGGTCGAATTATCGATGCACGGACATATTAGAGTTTCTAATGGCAAAATGTTATATTTACATGCCTTGAGCGCTATCTGTGCAGACTGATGTAGATGAAATGTTTTCTATCTGCGGTAGACAAATATCATGTCCTCCAAATGTTTCCTCGAACGTAACAATGCGGTGGCTTTTACTATACTGCATTTTGATCTCTACGAGCGCTCCCGATCAAACGAATAACAGCCCAAGCCAATTCGTTCTTGTGGTTTTCTCTGTAGATCTCAGATCCACTCGGGCGCCCAAGCTTCTCGATGTCGGTTATGTACATTTATATGTTCACGCAATGGTGAGCTAATGTCATGGATTCCGGCTATTAGTTGTGAATTCCTCGGAGAGACCAGAATCAATTTCGTAGTCGCCGAGCGAAGGAATATAGTCCATGATGAATTCACATCCTCTGCACTTCGAGATGTGCACGGGAAAGACCAAGTGCCAGAGTCCATGCTAAGACTTCACGGAAGTTGTTCACCGATAAATCCCCACCCAGGTGTATTGCCTCGGTGCATATGTTTCCAGTGTCAGGCCCTCGTGCGGCGCTAGATCCCCCAGCGCATAGCTCCTAAAGGTTCTATGCGAGTCTCTTTCCTGGGATGAATCTTGCCGTTGCCATTCTTTATTTTCATCACTTCTTGTTTCCACCTTTGATCTTCTCTGCGACCCTCAATTCCGCAGCCCTTTGCATCTTCAGGTTCTCCAACTCACGCTCGACACTTCGATTCTTGTTGACCGCCTCTTCTCTATCCCTCATTCTTTCTCGTACTTCTTCCATCTTTTCCTTCATCTTCTCTTCCACGACCCGTTCCAGTTGACCGGCGTCTTCGATCCCGTATTCAGCAATAAATTTTCTAGCAAACTCTGTGACCGTAGATGGGTTCGGCCCGGGCCCGCCGGTGTAATAGCCTTTTGGGTGCGTAAGGAGAACACCGGGAATTGAGGAGGGATGAGTACGGAGAGGTGACGACAGCGGAATAGGGAGGGACGTCGGGTTGATCACGGGGGTCGAAGGCAGAGGCGTCCGAGGTGCCAATTCAGATTCGTAGAGGATAGCATGCATCAAGGAATTCTCGAAGGCTTCGTTGTAGGCTACTGATGCGGGTGAATATTCGACTACGGGAGAGGTCGGTTCTGGTTCTGGTTCGTCTTCCACTGGCGTAAGAGGTGTATTAGCCATTATTTGATCATTCTCGGCCATATTGAAATACTGCGAAACTCTTCACAGTATGGGAAGACAACTAAGCGATGCGACTGGTTGCGGAATGAAGATGCGGAGATGGTCATGCTCTTGATGGTTGAGCTGGAAGCTTGGACAGTTGATGACTAAAGGACCCATCCCTCCCTCAAGGGTCCTCAACAGCTCACTTTGCGCACCAAAATGCTCCAACAATTAATCATCATATAAACTGCCCACAGAGCGACCAAACTCAACAAGAATTCTGACGTCTACAGATGAGGATGATGGTTCTATTTCCAAGACTTCCAATTTGAAAGGGTTTTACTTCCTTTCCCATTCTTTCTGACAGCAGCAATCGCGGAAGACTATGTTCAGGGAATATTACGAAGCTTCGCTACTCGAGGAAATTGTCACCTCGCTATATACTTCTTTGGTTCGAGCAACGACACAATCATTCAGCGCGTTTAGGGCTTAGAAGTGACAACATCGGGGCTCAGTTATACGAGAGAACATCCGAAGTCCGGACATCGAAGTTCAACCCAAATTTGGACTCCTAGCGGGTTTGCGAGTATGATTCTTGCACGTGTGATCAAAAGTCCGATGCAAGCGATTGGTCTCCTGGCCCGAAATGTAGAAGGATCGGCCCTTACTGCGCTCGGCTCATTTCGATATGGGACGCCTGTTGCCAACTAGCATTGGTGTAGGATGAAAGGCAGCTTTGTGGCGACACATTAAGTATGGGAGAGAGAAGCTCTTCTATGAAACGTTTCGAATGCCGCTCTTATTTTCAGGCCAACAGTATTTTTTGATTGACGAATATTTGCGACGCAGAGCGCGCGCATCGACATGAAGCTCACATCCTTGAGCCTTTCTATAGCGCTGCTGGCAGCGGAGACTGCTTCAGCTTCTTTTATGGAACAAACAGCATGTACGAATAAACAGCAGAGAAAATCATGGTATGATCTGGACCGCTGTAATTCATTTCACAACATCGTTGACAGGTTGCAAGGCATACACTCACTGCCGAAGAGAGGCTTGACTATCTACACGCTGAACAGTGCCTCATGTCTCTCCCTGCCAAATATGGACTCGAAGGTCCTGTCACGCGTTACGATGAATTTGTGAGATTGCATAGTCTGGCCGCGCCGGATTTCCACTTCACTGTAAGTCAACGTCAACCTTTTCTCTTGTAGATGCGAGATCGTCTCACACATTTTCACCAGGGCGCCTTTCTACCATATCACCGCTTGATAGTACACAATCATTATGAAGCCCTAAGGACTGAATGTAACTACAGCGGCCCACAGCCGTACTGGAATGAAACTCTAGATGCGGGAAACTTCAAAAACTCCGTCGTACTTGACTCAGCAACTGGTTTTGGAGGGGAAGGCGCAGCTATAGGAGACTGCATCCAGGACGGACCATTCAAAGATTATATAAGTCCGATTGGGTCATATCGTATCGACACAGCGCATTGCATTTCGCGCAAGATCGATGAGTGTCAGAGCTCAAAGGCTGCGCAAGTTTACATCAACAACTGCATGGCGAAGCAAACGTTCGGCGACTTTTGGCTCTGTATAGAAGAGTTACCTCATGATGGACTTCATCAAGGAATGGGTGGAATAGTAGGTGTCCCGTTGCCTCTTTGTCATGCCCCGTAAACACCATCTAACTCAACCACAGTTGCGCTACTTTGGGTCACCCGGGGATCCCCTCTTCTACCTACACCACGCATATATCGACAAGGTCTGGTGGACATGGCAAAGCGCTGATCCTGAGCACCGTCTCTATGAGATATCTGGTCAAAATCAGCTCTACGCGTTCCCAAAATTCCTCAGCGAGACAGACATGTGTGGCGTTGCCCCAGAAAGTATATTACCTCCCCTCGAGCCGTATGGACTAGGGGCGCCAGGTGACCCAGGGATGGAGACTACGCTGGGCCATGTTTTACACTGGGCCGGTGTGTTGACGAATGTTACGGTTGGAGAGATCATGGACATTGAGGGCGGCATGCTATGCTACGAGTATGATTGAAGAGATGAAGATACTTGTGGTCGATCACTTATCTTACTTATATATAGTTTATCTGCTTCTAATATTCTGGGAGCTTAGTTCTGTTCTAATGTATATATTTTAGTTGTCCGTAAACATTCGATAGTGTTTTTTCACGTCGTATTCAATATTCCAGTGAACAATATGAGCGTAGCTCGAGATTGCATCTTTTCCCTTGACATTCTTCTGCACGGTCAACGGACTATCAATATACTTCATCATATGATGTGTCATCGTATGAGGGAACACTATGAGTGGTTGATTGAACTATTGGTGCACGGACCATATAGCCTTGAGCCGGCCAACTGAACACCACCACATGCGCTTTCTCCCACGATCACACAACAACCAGACCGACTCTAATACTTTGCCCAGACCATTCTCCCCAAACAACTCCTTACATAACGACCGGCAATGGCGGATAAACTACGTGCCCAGCAGCAACTCGAAGCGCTGCAATCGCGCTACATCGGTATCGGATCCTCGGACACGTCCAAACACGAGTGGACCTCGAACATCGCGCGCGACAGCTTGAGCTCGTATCTGGGACATCCGCCCCTGCTTCAGTACATGAGCATTGGCTTGGGTCAGTCGAGGGAGATGACCAGGGTGCAGATGCTGGAGCGCATGATTCAACCAAGTGGAAAGCCGCCCAAGGTACGTCTTCGTAGTTCCGAACGAGCATTGTTTGGCAGAGAGAGGATGTAAACTAATTTCCATGCGTATAGAACGACTGATTGCACTTGCAATACATGGACGAAATCACGATTGAACATGGCTAGTTCAAAAACATACATTAATCAGTACTTCAACTGAAATCATGATGGGGGGCTATGAGGGACAAAAGTGCTCTGAGGAATGCAAATCTCTGCGAGAAGAAGATGGAATTAATGTACGACATTCGTGCACTGGCATATACTCGAAAGCCAGCTAATCCTGTATTCAAGCTATGGTCGCCGGCAATATCGCATCGGCAGTACAAAGCATAGACTCGAGCTCGAACTCGAGCGTTCGAGGAGAGAGAGCTGGTATGCTTCGAATATGCAATCGAGAGAACTATCAAATCATGTCCCATCCGCTTTGAAAGCTTCATAACCCCAATAACGTGATGTATCCTTCAGTCACTATCGCTTGCGCTGCCAGTTGGTCCGTCGTCGTCATCTTGAACAACGTCGCCACCAGCAGTCATGGCAAACTCGCCCTTTTGCAACATGCTCCGCAGTGCTGCATTTCGAGGATCCGTTAATTCGACCGGCTTCAGCTTTGCCTTGTTTCGTATCCTAGGGTCGCAACCAGCATCCAACAGAATATCGACGATTGGGTGGCCAACAGGCTCCCACTCAGATTTATCGAGCGAGTTTACGTAGCGTACGGCTTTGTGCAGGGGTGTGTCTGCCTCCATCCGATCAACTTCGTCGATTTGAATCCCTTCTTGATCGAGGAGGAGATCGAGAATCTCGTCTAGATCTTAGTTAACATCGATTCCTGCCTATAATATACGTGCGCACGGTGTAGAACGCCATGTGTCCTGTGAGAAAGTGGTATTTTTGGTGCTTACAACTTCCATAGGTGGCCGCGACATGCAGACAACCGTTACCCACGCCATCAGCGGCCTTATTCAGGACATCGGCCACATAGTCAGCCGGGTTCTTGTTTCCTTGTTTCTTCGCCGTTGCCTCAAGATCTGCTATGGTTTCCTCAAGGAGAGAAGTGTTGTTGCGACGACAAGCTTCGAGGATCAGTTCGCGGGGGGAAGCACCCTGGTTGTGCGTTAGTCCATCGTCGCCATGTCAAACCATGTCGGCCTCGTACCTCGTCCGCCATTGCAAGTTCCCTCGTTTGCTTGAACCTTAGGGATGTGTTCTAGCTCGCACTTGGGTGAAGATACACTACGTAGAGTAAATAGCTGACCTCACTAGGTGTTTCGTCTTGGGAAAAGCGGGGTGTTGCGGCGTGCAAGTACAAGTGTTGCCGGATAGCGCTCAATTCCGCCTCGCGACCGTTTCGTCAGGATCCAAGAACTGAAGTCTTGGAGTTAGCTTCGACGAGATTCCGAGGAAGTTGATAGCGCACAGTATTCAGGAGTTGAACAACACGAGCAGCACGTAGTCGTCGGAGGTGAGCAGTGGCTGAGGGTTCAGGATTTCCTATTCCGTTAGCCCCGCACTTATCCACCTCTGGTCTAGCGCCTAGCAACGCTTCAAGGTTCCGCAATAACTTTTTGTGAGCAAGCATCAAATGCTAATCTCAAATTCCCAGTCATCATCCACAACACATTGTCGACATGTTGCTCTGTAAGTTTTCTTGTCGCGAACATCCCAGGGTCTATATGCCGTGCTCAAAACTAACATGCCATAGTCTGTCCAACTTGCAGCAACATGCTGCGCGTCTCCAAAGTGCCCCCCGGCGATCCCTCCATCGAGCAGTACGAAGGCCAGAATCGTTTCGAGTGCATGACATGTCCTTACCAATTCGTCATCAACAAGCGATACTATGAAAGGAAGATGCTGAAGAAGAAGGAGGTCGAAGATATTTTAGGTGGAAAGGACGCCTGGGCCAATGTGGACAAGACCAAGGGTTCGTTTTGCGCTCATCCAACATTTCACCACCCGCTCGGATGGATAGTATACTGACGTCGGAATACAGTGCAATGTCCGAATGAGAAGTGTAGAAACGATGAGGCCTATTGGTATCAGCTCCAGATTCGAAGTGCCGACGAACCCATGACGGCTTTTTACAAGGTTGGTCATTGGCCATGGAGAAGCTCTTATATAGTCTGCTAACTGGCTTGTAGTGCACCAAATGTGCCAAAGAGTGGAGAGAGTAGAGATTCCGATCGTTTCACGTTCGCATTTACAGGTGTTCTGGTGCAAGGTTGCTTTTCCAATACCCCGGCGTTTTCATCTATTGAAATGATAGGATATATCCTTTTCCGTCATAAACATATACAAACATTCACCCGGACTCCCAACATCTTCCAATTACGTCACATTTACAGAGAATATACTAGGCTTTCTCCTCTTGGATACGAATCCTCCCCAACGGGATATGCCGAGCATTGTATGGGCTTTGTCTATACAAGCAGTGACGTAGGTGTCTCGTATATGAGTGTTTTGTATGGTATAATTCAAAGCAGTAGATGCCATTTCTACACATACAACACAGTGTTACTCCCACGGCCAATCAGGGGGGATTTTGTATAAGATTCATGGTAACCTTGTAGTGTATGGTATACCCCCTATGGCGCGGGCATGAGGGATCAGTCTGGTGGTTAGTTTTCATCTATATCGTCGAATTTTGGGCGACTTACACCAGGAATTGGAACCAGAGCACTCAAGGTTTCTCGCAGAGCACTGTTTTCGTCGGAAACCTCCCCGAGAGCCTTTCGCCATCTGTTGTTGAGGCCATGTACAAGGCCCAAGAATCCATGATGCCAATATGAACGTCACGATAGCATCGTAAGATAAGACAAGATGAGCACACACAGAGGAGGATTGGAACAAGAATTTCAAGATCAAACACTTTTCTCTCTACATATCGTAAGTGATTACAAATGAATACTCGACTTGTTCTCGAGAAAAGGAAGCGTTCAGGGGAGCAAGTCATAATTCGGTTATATCTCATCGAAGACATCGTCTGCAAAACTATATTTGTATCCGCACGTTGAATGTAAATAGGGGTAAGTGAGTTCGTGGAGGAGAAAACTCAAGCAATCACGGAGATATCGGTGTATAGGGAGATTGTCATAGTATTGATTTTCGAGTTTGAATTTCGTGGCTACGATCAGTGGGTACACTAACTATGCTAGCATTTTTCATAGAGTCTTGTTGATACATGATGCACCAGCTTGCACACAAGTGCGTATACGAGTGCAGACGAGAGGATAAAGCAAACGGTATTATCACGCCGAAACACCGAGAAGCCCCGTATGATCCGCAATGACACTACTGCCGACGAAAGTCTTCAGCCTAACCAAATTCACATTGACACGCCCTTTGCGACAAGTATACCAATTTAGGAGTGCTGTGACACTTATGATGACCTGTGTGTCTGAGACGGATGGAACGACGTCATGGATGGTGCGCTGCCTGCTCATCTTGGTCAGTCTGATGAAACCAAGAGAGGCCGCTTGGAAGTAACCTCATCGATGACCAGGGATTCGGCAAAACAAAACCAAGACGGCATGCGTGCAAAGGGACCGAGACGCATCATTGTAACCTTATGTAGGTCCCTTGACCCTTGGAGTTCTTTCAACTATGCCGATTTCCGCCGCACCTTTTGTGCACTATTCTCTTCAATTTCGTCCAGATGGATATAAAGTGCCAAGTGAGATTATCTTTATCACGAGCGTGAAACTGCCTCTGGCTAGTCTGATGTAGGAAGTAGCAACAGTCCTCGCGGAAATAACTGATCTACCACCGGAGATCATATCTGAGGGCGTTGCCACTCAATTCCGTTCCAAGGCTGTCGCCCGTTTCTTGAGATCAAGCTAAAAGGTATCAGCACAGTAAATTTTTCTGAAGGGCCGAATATTTTCGTTTGGCGACAGATTGACAATGCTCGCCTCCGAGTCCAGAGAAGCGCCGAGTACCATGTCCGCCGTCTGCAGATTTTGCGACTTCTTCGTAAGAATGATCAAATCCATCGCAAGATCATTTCATGCAAGGGTATTCCACCGAGAGGCATCATTATCAGCGCCACATTGCACGGGACGCCCCGCCAGCCCCATTCTACTACCCACAATTTTCGTGCAGACTGCTCTAGCCATTCGGCATTAGAGCCGCAGCCGAGGAACATGTCTCCAGGCCTCCCTTTTCCCCACCTCCAAGCCCGAGGAGTTTGTTCTTTATTAAAAAGCCGAGTCAGTAGACCATGAGGATGTTGCGTGATGAGGCCGCGAGCAGGGGATATGTGGCGACAGACTGACGGCCATCGGAAGTTGCACTGGTTGCGATGTTACGATATTCCTGTGCGTGTGATATAGTGCGATGAAAGTAGTGCAAGGAGAAGGAGAAAATGCGAGAAGTAGTTGGAAGCTTTGAGGGCAACAATGCATGATGGATAAAGCAAGGTGTATTGGTCCATCAACCGAATTCGCTATGCTGTACGCCCTTTCAATGGATGCTCGCAAATAACGAGATAGAATCTGCAAATCTATGCTGGGTATCGGTATCACATCGTGAGCATGTCCTCGTCCACCTCCCAATTCTCCCATGTTGGCTCATCGAACCCGTTTGGCCGAGAGCTTCTCAGGAACCCGTTCCAAGTGCCTTCTACGCTTATTACAGGCTTGACTGTTCGTACTTTGGCGTTGAACCCACGACTAAAACACTCGTGCATGTGTCGGTCCTCGAAAAGTTCGGGGTGCGTTCTTCGCATCGATTTGAGTGCGCGTTTCCCCACTTCATCCACCGAATCATTGTGTCGTAACTCAAAGAAATGATTGTCGTGCTGTTCCTTCAACTGCTGCATAATTGAATCGTCGTAAAGTCCGAGCTGCAACAGGTATATGTCGTACTGGCAAAGAGATGTCGTTCCCAGGTAGCTCCCACCATATTTCGCCCTCTTGTATAAACCTGTCAGTGCTGCTATAGTTCCCATGCATCCAGTTCCATAGTCGCTCATGGGAAACGGCGGGACTACAGGCTCGTTCAGACCCATTCCAAGACCTTGGGCCCAAGCGACACCTGTGACACAGTCTGCAATCTGTTGCCATCCCGGGCGTGAGCTCCAGGGTCCAGTGTGACCAAAGCAATCCTCGGCAACGTACACAATGCCACGTTTGCGATGTTTGATGAGACTCAGAATCTGTGCGGGTCCATAGCCAAGGCGTTTCAAGCTGCCAGGACGGTATCCATCCAGTATAACGTCTGCAGTTTGTAGCAATTCCTCAAATTGCTTCCGATCCCTCTCTTCACGAAGATTCAATTCTGCGGCGTGTTTTCCTAGATTTCCTTCCACTTGGAAGAAAGGAACATCGGAGAGGTTGGGGGAAGTAATCTTGATCACTTCGGCACCATACTCCGCCAACGATTTCGTTATGGCAGGCCCGGCAATGATTCGACAGAGTTCGACTACACGGATGCCTGAGAGTATTTGCGGCTTCGGCGCACTTGATTTCTTGAAAGGAAAAGGCACAGGCGGCGAGCAAGTTTCCAGCGGCTCGACATTCCAAGGCGGTTGTTGTACCAATTCGTATCCATGCTGTGTCAACTGAAAGTCTTCCCATTTCAAGCAGGTGACACCAGCTTGTTTGATTTTCCAGTTCATTTCTTCAAGCTCATCAGCGGTATATTTCTTGACATGGTCTTCAATGACCTTTATACACTGATGGTAATCGGTCAGATCAGGCCGATGACCTTCAAGACCAATCATGTTAAGAGCTTTGGTGGCTTCGAGTGAGCCGTGAAGATGAAAATATTCTCCCGGAATCCTGGTTTCGTACAAATTTGCTGATAATCTGCGGTAAAGTATAGATTGCGCTTGAAGCAAGTCGGTATCTGGTACTGTTAGCACATCAATCAGAGTCGCAGGTTGCGATGTGGGACGTACCCTTCAATAGCTTCTTTACTTTTGGGTGACTTTTGTCCATGCCCCCCACAGTTGTGAGGTAGGTAGAAAATAGGTAGGCAGAAGCTCGTTCAAGATCAACTTCGATGCTTCTTTGCGTGTCATTGGTTCCAAGGTCTGCTATGGAAGCAGCCAGGCCAGCTTCAACCGCCTTCAGGGCGGATATTGCTTCTGTCTGCTTCAAAGGGCTCGGGAAGTAGGGGCTTTCCGTGTTCGTGGCAGAGAACTTGACATTGTTAATATGAGCCAGGGATTCGGCCGGAAGCTGGTCTTGAACTTGGTCAAGAAGGTGTCTCAGTGCTCCTCGTGTGCCATCTAGCAACAGTCCAGAAGCAGAGTCGTGGGGGGTAGAGGGACTGTTAGCGTTTGAGCCACCTGTGGCTTCCATGAAAGGCATCATGTCATAGAGACTATCCTCGATGTCATGCAAGCAAGCAATTAGTTCAGGAAGACGGAAGGGAAGAGAAGTTAAAGTAGAGGCAGTGGCCACAGAGGCGCTGTGGAGGGAGGGCCATGTTGGATGTAAGGCAGGCAGGCAGGCAGGCAGGCAGGCAGGCAGGCAGGCAAGATGCTACCGCAAATCCTTGCCCGCTCCGCGGAAGGCCATACCCCGGCTGGACTGCTCAATGTATGAAGAATTCTCGCAGTACGCGATGTAGGGCTGGCCGGGGAGTACCCACTATCTCACAAAAAAAGACCAGGCATGGGACGCCGATGGATGGGTGGGACAGTTGATCAGTTCGTAGTGGAGGGACCGTGCCCCCCATGCACGTGCTCTCGCCCCGACTTTCAACTCTAACCAGACCTGACGGCTCTCCGCATCTCAGCGTGCAGTGCTTGTTTGGGGGATCCAACCACCGCCTAAGAATCTCGCTGGCAGGCCGCTCGTCGCCATTCTCGCCATAATGCGGTCATGAACCCCCGCAGCGCTGACTGAGGGTTTCGGGCATCCACTTCCCTATCCGCCAGCTGTGCACTCCCTTACCCGACACCTATCCTTGCACTTCTCTTGTCGGGAGCTTTCATCGGAAGGCGAACAGTCATCTAGAATACGAGATTACACGCGCTTAATCCTGTCTCGCCAGCAAAAGGGCCAGCATGACTCGGCCTAAAGTTCCTCCTGGTAATCCTCGTCCCTTATCTTCTTCTTCAGTCTCGAACCAGACGACGTCTGATCCCCCAACTTAGAACAACGCCAGCGGACTGCCCAAGCTTGCGAGAGCTGCAAGAGGAGAAAGCAAAAGGTGAGTACACCTTCCGCATTAGCCTATTCCCTCGTACTATCAGTTCAGCAATGAGGAGATATTGTGGGGGCCTTGGCGCTGTTCGGTTGCTTCGGAGCTTTGCCCAAGTTTCCTTTGCCGCTATGATGCCGATTATCACCTTTGTACTACGTTGTAGCGGCCCTACACATGCCGCTCCATCAGCATGGTCTCACACAGCCAGCCCCTGTCGTTGGACATGTCGCCCCAGCCCCATTTTAACTCGAGACCTGAGCTGATAGCTGTTAAAGTGTAACGGTCTTTGCCCCTGCAATACATGCGAAAAGGTGATCACGCTACCTCGGATACCAGCACCCTCATTGACCGTCTGTAGAGAAAGTTCTCCTGCGTATATCTTGACCGGGATGCTGCTTCGCCTTCCGAGAGCAGTAGACCAAGCAAGAAACGCATCTTGGATGGTGACCTCGATAGCCCTAGTGTGAAAGATACCTCGAATTCTGTTTCCAACACACCTAGCAATGGCCATCAGACAACCTCACCCTTGGACTATCTCCATGATGCCTCGCCTATCAGCCGCCGAGCTGGCCAAAGTACACAAGAGTCAAAATCTAATCCACTGACAGTAAATTCGGAAGATGGTGTGCCAAAGGCCCGTGATGACCGTTCTACCCCTGAAGCAACAGCGAACTCACTGCAACAGGCTGCTGATATTCGGACTTTGGACGATCTGCAGCCTCTGGCCTCTCGTGACTCAACAGTGGCGAGTGGGCAGGAAGAGGAGGCAGTTGTCTACACCCAGAGCAGAATGCTTCAGGACCCGACGGGCAGATTACGTACGTTTGTACTTGTTGGTCCGACCGACACTGTTTCTAACTGAGACGTAGTATATGTGGGCGATTCGGCGACACTATCTTTCCTTCAACTTCTTCGTATGATGGTAGAGAGTGCCGCCGGTACATCGCCGTTCACCAATGATCCCCGTCGCCACAAAATCGTGGAAGGGCAACTATCACTTCCCTCCGGTTCTCGACATACACACCTGCTTCCGGACCAAAAGACGGCCCGGGTCCTTGTAGATGCTTTCTTTGTACACACCCATGGCATTCTTCAAATTTTCGGGCGTCAACAATTCTCGGAACAGCTCGATAGTTGCTATGCCGACCCACTCTCGATTGAACCACCGTGGCTTTGCCTTCTGAATTTAGTTTTTGCCATTGGACTCACTATGGCCACTCCTCTGTCCGGAAGTAGCGACGCGCTTGTTGTGGAGAAGCTCCGCAGTGAACATCTAGACCGCGCGGAAGTGTTTTACCTGAATGCTAAGAGCCTCAATGATCCCATTACTGGTTTCGAAGACCAAGATTTCTGGTCTGTACAGGCGCTGCTACTCATGTCCTTCTACATGCTTGCCAAGTCAAAACGTAACACTGCTTTCGCGCTTCTTGGCATGGCTGCTCGCTCAGCTCAAGCTCTCGGTCTTCACAGGGAAGAAACCATGGTCATATTTGGTTCTGACGAACAAAAAGCGCGTAAGAACTTATGGCGGTCTTTGTTCGTTGTTGATCGATTGTTGTCATGTTCCCTTGGTCGGCCTACTGCTATTTCTGAAGACGATTGCTCTGGTAATACTCTTCATCCTGCAGAGCCATTGACAGATACCTCCTTCGATATGAATGGCAGTGTTAATGCCGATTTCAACCAAACAGGAGAATATGCACTCGAGGCAGCGGTGAGAAGCTGTTCTGCTATCGGGATCATACTGAAAAAAGTGTATCAACAACGCAAGATCAGCACCCGCCTTGCTCAGGAGATTGCAGATACATGTAAGACATGGCCACGAGCTCTCCCAACTGTCCTCCATTGGCGTCAAGCCTCGACTGCGACTGCTAGTCAGGGTATAGCCATTCTGCATGTCAACCTTTTCTACTGTCACTCTATTGTACTGCTTACTCGCCCCTTCTTCCTCTACATCTTGAACATGGAAATTCAACGCCAAGCGAACCAAGTGTCGTCCGGGATCCGGGCACCAAGGCCGTATTTACGAATGGAAAAATTCAGTGAAGCTTGCGTCATTGCGTCGTCGCACACGGTCCTCCTCGTACAGAATGCTTTCGATGCTGGGCACTTATCGCGCCGCAACCCAGCAGTAATTTATTTTCTCTTCGCCGCCGCACTGATCGTTCTGGCGAATGAATTTGCGGGACTTTATCGAGTAGAAAGTCCTGATATGTGCATTGCTAATGCCATTAGCATCATGTCCTATTGTGCGGAAAGCGACCAACAAGCCAGTCGTTTGGTCTATATACTTGTATCGTTTCGAGATGTTGTCACACAACAACGTTTGCGTACGAAGCAAAGCCATGCGGATAACATGAATCTTCCAAGCATATCATCGCAACTATACGGCGCGCCGTTGCCTGACCAGCAGACATTGGGTGTGGACACAGGAAGGGACCCGAGCCAGGCTGCGCCTCGTCTTCATCAGGTTCCTGTTCACATTTATCCCGGAATGCAAACTGCTCCTCTCAACGGATCTGCCCCTCCTTTTCCGCAGTCATCTCAACTATGCCCCATCGATCCTCCCAATCTGTCTGTTCATTTATCACCAATAAATATGCCTCCATCTACATCATCCAGTACAGACATGTACAACATCGATGCCTCGGCGTCTAAGCCCGCGGGCAGCCTTTCCGCCATGCTAGATCTCTCAGGTCTTGATGCCACGCGAGTGCCCAGTCTGTATTCCGAAGAAAGCGGTATCGACGAGCAGATTGATTTCGACGCACTTTGGGCTTGGCCTAGCAATACGCCTGCTTTAGGATCCCCGAGACCAGGAGCAGATAACGCAATGGGCGGAGGGATAACAGACAAAGTCAGCGATAGTGCAGTGCCGTTGTTTGGGGTGATCAACAACCTCGAGGGTATTGAGGGGCAATAGTATGAATTGGCTTTGTCTTCTCGCGTATTAAATGTTGGTGGTTCTCTACTTCGAAACATGGAGTAGATGTGAGAAAAGTGTATGTAACGATGGTCTACACAGCATTTTCAGAGGTAAATAAACTAAAAGAGACTATGTGTTGCTATATTCATATTTTTGAGTTAGGGTATGGTAACACGAAAGGGTAAGCTGGAGATGCAGTGTCCGGTTCATAGGGTTTTCTTACTTCAAGGTGTAACTGTGTAATGACATGACTGTCTACAATCCAGACCCCGGACTAGACGCCGTCTTTTGAATGTAAAATTAGAAAATCCTACTGTATGACGAAAATGAGGACTGCCGACCACGAATGGAATCCTCATCTTCGCCTTTGAAGAGTCTTTTTCTGTTGATTGCGTACACCTCGCTCTACATGTTCCCCACCGATCTGCATGCACATGATCAATTCTACCCAAAATTGACTTGATCACGAAATCTACAGGATACATCCCACAAATCTCGTTCGCTCTTCTCCGGGTAGGACAAAAAGCAGCAACTCACACATTGCATTAGCAGCAACTGTAGGCAGATCAAGCAAGGCTCGTTTGTACATGGAACCTCATAGCCAGAACCACAGCAAGTATATTAATCATGTTCACTCCAGTCCTTTCGCATGCCATTTTTTCTCCCAACTTGGATCATCATCACATTATCTCTCGAGGCAGACCCCAAGGCTTTCTTTTTCAGTTCTTACATCCACACCTCACTTCTCGTAAATTCTCTGCACGGCATGAGGAGACTTCGTTCTCGGTCCCTTCCTTTGACTTTATCCATGAGATAGAGATCTATTTCTAAACACGGTAAAACGCAAACGTCTGTATCTGGCCACGGAGCAAGTCGGAGCCGTATCCGAAACGGTTTGGCGTTCAACGGCGATCTCGGTTAAGATGGACGTACACCGAATGATTTGCTCCCCCGCATTTTGATCTTGAACATACGATAAGAAAGTTTAAGAGTGGGGAAGTCAACGAGGGGAAAGGAAGGGGAGCTGACCATCTGTGACATTCTATGTGGATTAGTTGGGCAATTGTATTTTGGCGGTAAGGACTCGAGGAAAAAAGAAAAGTGCCCGAGACGGTATAAAGAAAGGGAGAAAACCACGGATTGATCTATAGATGTATATCGACGTACCAGTAGGCTCCTACATTGATACGCATGCATTCTCTAGGGAGGGGTGTGCCTTGTGCGTCTTCTTCGGCCCCTGGTAAGTTCTTCCCGTGAACCTCAGTGGTACAATAGGATCTCGGGCGTTTAGCGTAGTAAACTGGCTACCCCTGCCCCAACTCTATTGGAGCTGCATTGGCAGTATTTGTGGAAAAATTCAAGCTTGCTCGGGAGACGACTGGCGGAAATCATCGTGGGGCCAAGAGCTGGGCGGCACAGTATGTCACTTTTTGTACCGCGAGGGACGAATGGCTCGCTAAGAGCTCTACCGATTCATGTTGTGGAGACACGTGTGGTAGAAGCATGATATACTATATAAATAAAGGCAGTACTGAAATTCGAAAGCATGAAGAGCGGAAGAGAGTACAATCACCCTACCTTGTTCTCACCAGATTTACAACAGTATACCGGAGACTTTGAACAACATGGCACCTCCCTCTGCTATAGAGGAGATTGAGGGTGTCGTACAACGAATTGTGAAGGACGACCATGTGAGATGGTGGAACAAGCCCAACCTCCGGTCTCTTTACCTCCTCCTCGTCCCGTTCTGCCTCTTCATTGAATCGACCTCGGGCTTTGATAGTTCTATGATGAACGGCTTACAAGCGCTCTCATACTGGAAAGAGTACTTCAATCATCCAAAAGGTGGGCAGCTTGGCCTACTTGTTGCGTGTTACAACCTGGGGGCAATGACGAGCATTCCATTCGTGTCCATTGTGAGCGATCACGTGGGTAGGAGATGGAGCATTGTATTCGGAAGCACTATTATGGTCATTGGAAGTATCATGCAAGGTCTTTCTCAAAACCGTAGGTGATAGTCCGTCCATCTTGATGATCTATGGCTGCTGACTCAACGAACTAGTTGCAATGTTCATTTTCTCCCGCATCTTTCTGGGTCATGGTATTGTATACGCCATCATCGCTGGGGCTGCTTTGTTAGGAGAGCTCGGTCATCCGAAAGAGAGAGCGTTTCTTGGGGCCATGTTCAATGCGTTCTATGGATTCGGCGCGTTGCTTGGCGCAGGAATCGTCGTCCGTACTGTGACTATTCCAAACGACTGGTCGTGGCGCCTACCATCGACCCTGCAAGCCTGTCCATCGGTGATACAGATTGTTTTTGCCTTCTTCGTTCCAGAAAGTCCAAGATGGCTCGTCTCCAAAGATCGTAGCGACGAAGCTCTTGCTATCCTCATCAAGTATCATGCCGAAGGCGACGCTTCGCAAGAGCTACCTCATGTTGAAATTGCAGAAATTAGGAAAGCACTCGAGATTGAAAACGACAGCCGTAAAAGGGGATGGAGCGAAGTGAGTGGATAGCACAGGTCACTTGAGAGAGCTCTCATAACTGATACCATTTGAAGTTGTTCCAAACCCGCGGCATGCGCCGCCGCTCTCTGGTAGCTGCCGCCCTCGGGCTGTTTGTTCAGTTCAGTGGGAACAATCGTGAGTTTCCTGAATAAGAACCTGGTATAATCCTTCCTGTCAAGACAGCAGCTAATACTATGTCTTCTCATGCAGTCATCTCGCAATACCTCGTGCCAATTCTCGCCAAGATTGGCATCGAGGATTCGCACACACAAGTGCGCTACAATGTTGGCAAGGAAGCTTGGGGCCTGGTCGTTGGCATCGTCATGGCGGGAATCACGCCAAGATTTCCAAGGAGGCGCATGTACCTTATCGGTGCGAGTTGCTTGTTGGCCGTTTACACGGCGTGGACGATTGCCCAGGCGCGGAACCGCATTACCGGCAGCAAGGAGAGCGGAATTGCAGTGCTAGTGATGATCTACCTATACAGTCCCGCATATTGTATTGCATACAATGCGTTGACGTATGTGTACATGGTGAGCATATTGGAGGAGACAACTAGTAGTTCAAGCCATTGTTGACCAGATTGCTAGGTTGAGATATTCCCATACTACGTCAGGACCAAGGGGCTGTCCTGGTTCCAGCTTTGGGCTAGGTCTGCTGTAATGTTCAGCAGCTTCGTCAATCCCATCGGCCTTGAGAATGCGGACTGGAAATATCTCTTGGTATACGTGTGCTGGCTGTGCTTCGAGGTAAGAAATGTTGGCGAGTTTGATCAAAGAGCTTAAACTAAGATGGCGGCGACAGGTTGTGTTCATCTTTTTCATCTTCCCCGAGACGTTTGGAAAGACATTGGAAGAATTGACCTTCCGTAAGTTGGCCCCGGACAATTGGTCTTGGTTGGATTGTCGCCGTGAAGGTAGTCTAACGAACTGCAGTATTCGATGACGAGAAGGACGCGAAAGAGCAGCTCTCAGCCAGTGCCCACAAGGCGTTGGGCAATCCTACGACGGTCGAGATTCACCAAACTGGCGAGAAGGCAGCTTAGTTGCAACGATACGGACATGGACATAGGAGGGTGCTTCGATTGATGCAAATGATGAAGGTCATAACTATCGCTGTGTGTAGGATCACCTTAACTCCAACTCAAAATAAAATAAAATAAAATAAAAAAAAAGATGAAGGTCATGGAATTGGGTGTTGACACATAATAGCCCCAGGTGTATGATTGGCTGATGATGCAAAATGCGCCTTCCCGTCTGAGCTAGGTGGGAACGGGAAGGCAGGGACCGAGGGCGCTTCGCTTCCCCACCAGCTCGTGCACTTGCTGTACAGATGAGGAGACTAGTAGCACCGATGTCCGTCACTCTGCGTTTCTCCCCCAGTTCCACTACCATCTCTTCTCGTAACCACATCTGTGACCTCGAATCTCGTTCGCGTGCATACATACATACACACATACATACTCATTTTGCTCACAATGGTTTCCACGCGCCAGCACCCTCGAGACTTTCCCGCTCCGGAAGCCTCGCCCACCAAAGGCTCTCCACGCAAGAGTCTGCGCAATTCCACCGCCTCGCCTGCGCCCAGCTCTTCTGACTTCGAGTCTTCGCCCTTGACAACCGCGCAGACCGTGACGAAACGCGCCGTGTCCAATTCGGTAGCAGCTGTCGACAAAGCTCTCGTGAATGCTACGACATCCTCTGGCCCATGGTCGCATACCGCGTCCAACCTGACACTCGCTTGGATTGCCATTTCCCTGCCACTTGTCATCTGGGATTCGCTGTACATCTTGTTGCGCCCACACACCATGCAAGGTGGTGTGCTACAGTGGCCTATTTGGAAGCCGTACGAGATCTATGCAGCAATCGATCATGTCTACGGGCAGCCTGGCTGGGACAATAAGGATGGATTCGGTGGCGGACAGGGTTTTATCAACGCGATTGAGGCTATCCTGTATGGTTTGTATGCTATGATTGTGTATCATCACGGTATCCAAGCTGCAGGTGGAAGTGGTATCCAGATTGGCGAAGGTGTCAAAGGATGGTTTGCCGGTGGTGTGAAGGTACAGGGCCGGAAAGGCAACCAGGCCCTACTGATTGGTTTCACGGCAGCTGTAATGACGCTCTCCAAGACGGTTCTCTACTGTAAGTTATCTGGCTTTTGCGGCTCTTTAATTTCTTTGGCAGCTTGAGCTTACCATTATAGACGCGGTGGAATACTATTCGGATTTCAAGAATGTGAAGCACAATGATGTACCAACTTTGATTTTGTTTTACGGTGTCATGAAGTAAGTGGCCATTTCCTCTTACTGCGGTCATTACCCACCCCCAAGTCCAGTAATATACAACGAGAATCACGCCGTCAATTACTAATCTAAGACAGCGGACTTTGGGTCATCTTCCCCGCCTATATGACTTTGACCTTTGGATCCGACATACTCGCTGGTCTTGATGCCGGTGCAGAGTCATCTGGAAAGTCGTCTTAGTCTTACTTTAGTAGAGGGAGTAGGGATGTGTCCTCACTCGATACGATATCACTCACCGCGGCCAATCAACTTCGTACAAGCCACTGTTCCCTTTCTTGCCTACCGACTCCTCCTCATTGTGTCGATCCGTTCCACGGCCACAAAGACCTGGTGTTCATCTTGAACCATTCTAAGCCGGAACTGGTCGACGGTGATGATGGGGCGGTCGGATTCTGATTTTGACGACGGCGACGAGTGCAAACGCAGCAGCATATCCTCTTCCACCAGCCGGGAGGACGAGTTTCTCGCTCTCCACCCCTAGCCTTCACATTCTCACCTTTAGCTTCATCACCTCTCGATACACCACTCCCTGCGCCGCATGCTGGCAGTGGCATTCTGCTCTCATGGGCATTGTCGTAGCTTACCTTTGGTGCTGTGCGTCCAAGCGCATCACCATGGACGTGATGGTCTGCTAGGGCAACAAGGAGGATCCCATCCGTCTCGCGCTCAACGCGTATCGCTGGCTTCTCCCCGCGCCAATTGTCTGCAGGCAAGCTTTCGGACATATGCCGCAGGTTGACGGCCAGGTCGTCGAGCATGCGGGGCCGCTGGACGAGCTCCGAGGGACTTCGAGGCAGCATTTGGCAAGTCTTGTTATTCTGTTCTTCCGTGTCACTGTTCTTGCTGGGTTGGATTGTGATGGTGGAATGTCGGGATTTTGGATTTCGTTTTTCTGGCTGGAGTGGAGTTGTATAGTGTGCCGACGCGCTGTGGGTTTCCCGTCTTGCCCGTCTGCTTTGTTGTTGTTGTTTTGTTGTCGTCGGCGCGTGCTTGGGAGTGTTGGGCACGGAAGGAGCTGCGTAAAGCTATTGTTTTTTATTTATTTATCAGATTCTGAACAACTACAACAACCACGGGCTGCCTTCTTTACAATCAATACGTTTCTCCCTCCTTCTCGAGCATGTGTCTGGCCATCATGTGTAAAAACCATCTGTTGAATACATTGCGTGAAGGTCAGGCGAAACGTGTTAAGATATTCACATTGCACAGATTGGTGTAGTTATGTATAACACAAGTACTCTGATCAAGAGGATTTCGACGCAGCTACACTGCTACGAACAAAGACGGACGGACAGAAATCGAGCTTGCCCAAATCATGAGGGAGATACGCAACCGCACTGTGTGCTGTCTTTATAGACTAGTGGAAAAACCGTACTGGAAACGAGGGAGACGACTTCATATAAAACACCCTCTCGTCCTCCCTCGATTGTCCTTTACAAAAAAAGGGAAACCAAAACCAGCTCTGCAACCCTGCTTCCCCTCCTTTCCCCACACGTTCGCTAACATGCACAACCCTCCTTTGCACCTTCCGGCCGAGCGCTACCCAGATTCACCCTCGCATCCTCTTGCCGTCCTAGATTCGTTTGCCCGCCTACACCACGTGGGCCCTTCAAGCTAGTTTCGGGAATAGCATTGGCGATAGCTGTGAACACCTCGGCGACATTCTGGCCCGTCTTCGCGCTGGTCTCGAAAAACAACAGCCCCTCCTCGTCCGCATACGCCTTTGCGGTTTTGGCCGGCACTCTCCTCGCGTCTGCGCCGTCTTCCTCAGCAGGCTCCTCTCCATCAGCAGTCGGCGCGGCGTCTGCATCTTCTGCGGTTTCCTCGCCAGCGGCAGCGGCCAGATCGGACTTGTTGCCTACAAGCGCTATGACGATGCCCGGCGAGGCTTGTCGGTGTAGCTCTGAGACCCAGTGTTGGGCTTTGGTGAGAGAGGAGGGTTTCGTGATATCGTATACGACGAGCGCGGCTTGGGCGTTGCGGTAGTACATGGGTGCCAGCGAGGCAAAACGTTCTTGGCCTGCGGTATCCCAAATTTCAAACTTGATGGTCCGGGTGGGGAGGTTGCATTTCTGAGTCAAGAATGCGGCTACACGGATTGTTTTGTGATCAGAAAGATATCCCTCTTTTCAACTTGCTTGCGTTGTATACCCCAGGGAAGACATACCGCCTATTGTGGGCTCCTTGTTCTCTTGGAAATCGTTGTTCACGAAGCGCATAACAAGTGAGGACTGTAGTTGGAGTCAGCAATGTTCACGAATCTGTACCTGATTGCATATGTACCTTTCCAACGGCGGCTTCCCCGAGTAGCACCAGCTTAACGCTGCTACTGGGCTTGGGTTGTGCTGCCGTGTCGGCCATTGTGTCGGTGGTTACGAGTTGTACCGGAGGCTGAAGCAGTCAAGCGAGCGCGGGCGCTGTGGAATGGACAGACGGGTGTAGCGTATGGTAAATATTCTTCTTCAGAGGTCGTTCTAACGATTCCGATGATACTCGATAGACGGACGAGGTGGTGTTGCTGTAGGCAGACAGCTTGAGGCAACATGACGACCACCGCCTCCGACCTTCACGAGAACGCTTGGACCCTACGCTAATCCAAATTTAGAGCATTCACCACATACAATCCTACAAACCGAATTTCAAGACAATTGATGGACAACAATTCACGTTCAAGACAAATACCTCCTGCAGCATGAGGGGTACCTCGGAAGCATCTAGAAATTGTTCTGTTGAACCCATACTTGCACAACTATTGCGCTCATTTGTTGGCGGAGGAAGAAGTTGGATAAAGAAAAGAAGCAGATATGGCGATGGATTGTCAAGGGCATTGCCATCGGGTTGTGATCTGGAATAACCAAGCAATATGTGCTGTGAAGACTGGTGAAAGTGCAGGAGACTTGTCAATGAATAAAGGGACATGTTTTCAGCTCCAAAAAGGGCATGCCGGTAATCGGAGCCGAACGAGGTATGAGACCAAGGTGGCTTCAACGCAATGGATTGATGGACCGTTTTGTGCACGACGGACGATGGGGAATTATGCTATGCAAGAAGAAATGGACAAGATTATGACTGGAACAAAAGGCGGTTGGATGACTTTTGGTTTAGTGTTTGAAATGTATCAGCTGTGTGGATAGTGGAGACATGAGCATGGTTGGTAGCTTTGGGTAGATAGAAGATGGTCAACCTGGCGATAAGACCTACACTCGGGCATGGATACCGAGACCATCCTTACATCAGCATGGGCCGAGAAAATGTGACGAGCTAATTGAAATGAGCAGCGTTTCGCTGGTGTTTGAGAGCAGTGGAAGAAAAAAAAAGTCTCGCCCACGCGGGCAACACTCCTGTCATTTGGAAGGATCGAAGTTTGTGACGTCAGGTTGTGAGGCGGGCGAAACTTGGTCGGGAGTGGGCAGCTAAGCGCGCGCCGGAACGGTACAACAGCACATGGAGTTGTAAGATGCGGACCAAAGGGCGGCTCCGAAGTGACGGGCTGTGGACGTGTTTGCCTTTGGGCTCATGGCGTTGTCATGGAATAGGGTTGGCCATGTCATTCATTGCCAGACACCTTTGACGTCGAGCCAAAAAATAAATAATTTTTGGGGGTTGGGCTTATCCGAAGCAGTGGAATGGGGACTAGGCTAAGGCAAGCAGCCCCATGTGGCCAGAATGCCATGGCATTCCATGAGGGGGGCACAGGCAGGCATTGAATCATAGCCATTGCGGCAGTGGGTCTGCATCAACAAACATTTCCCCACAGCAGCTGCTGCAGATGGAAGCAACGCCGATGGCAGCCATCTGCAAGCGCAAAGGTGCGGCACAGCCGAAGGCCTGAACAGAAGAAGAGATTGAAGAAGAAGAAGGCAAACAAACAGCGACAGCGATTCACCGTTTACAGGCCAAGCATAATGGGGTACGGGTGTTGTGCATTGGTGGGAAAGGTGTGCCAATAGCAAGCGATGGCGCAAACCATGTCCTGCATGCATGGGGGGACGCATGGCAGCGGCAAGCAAGGCAAAGGTGAAGTGGATGGCGAAAAGAGATGGAATATCTATGTACGGATCGTACTGTTCAATACAAATTCATCAACCGAGATGAAGAAAGCGGAAGGCGCAATCTCAGTCGGTATTCGACAACCGGCCAATGACCCCACAGCAGCCTCTGGGAGTGCGCGCATACAATCAACCTAGCGGCACTGGTACAGGATAGGACAGGTATTCTATGTACTGCCTGCACTGTGTAAGCCGGCCGATCGCGATGCTGCCAAGCCGTGGCCGCGCATGGGGCATCTGGCACCGGCAAGCTACGAGGTAGGGGGTCAGGGGAGCCCAGTAGCTTGTTCAGGTTCCCGCGCTATGTGTGACAGGCGAATGGGAAGACAAATTTTGGGACACTGAATAGAGGGGGGCGAGCGACAGGATAGAGAGAGAGAGAGAGAAAAGAAAAAGAAGAGTAAGAGGATTTGGGATGGGGATGGGGATGACGGGCAGGAGAGCACGGAGCAGCGGTTCGGGATGAGTGACGGGCCAGAGAAAATAAGGAATTGATTGGCGATGATCTCGGAGGCTATCCTGTTCAACAAGACAAAGGTAGAGTGCAGAGTGCAGTACGAAGTACGAGACAGGACAGGACAGCGGCGAGAGGTGGAGAGGGAGGAGTGGAAGGTCCGGCCGAATGCTCTGGACCGCTGTGACTGGCTGAAAGGAGTACCGATCGGCGTGCCATCCCAAAGCAGACGGGGTCGCAATCGAATCACGCACGCACGCACGCCCGCCGCGCTTGCTTGCTTGCACGCTCTCGCTTTCTCTGCCAGGCCACCCCCCCCGCCGCCCTGCCTACTTACTTATCTTCTGCTGTCTGGCCAAGTGTGCAAGTACCTAGGTAACTATCTATCTACCTATGTATCCATCTACTTATGCCAGGTACCGTGCATAAACAATGGCAACTCTGGAAAAGAGAACAAGGCAAGGCAAGAGGGATTCCATGTCTAGACCATCCATGGCGAGGACTGATGGGGAGGATGGTATACTTTTAGCAACAGGAATCCTGGCTGATCATTCAGGCATGCGCCACAGCACGGCATTCGCTAACTGTGAATGGTTCGCACGGCCTGGCAATTGCCTTGCCTCGTCCGGCTGACCACAGAGTCCTGAGGAGTCCACCACGAGCGACGACAATACCGTACGCAAGAGTCGCTTAGTGATGGAAATCACCTGTGCATTGTTGATTGACGCCATTCACCCACTCACTCCTTCATGTTTCAACATACATACATACACATCCAAACACCGCTGCCGCCTGTCTTCGTCCTCGCTGTCTTGCCCTCTTTGTCCTCGCCCTGAAACTGGCGCGCATCGGAGTTCCAGCGCAGCCGCCCGCCCGCCGTCTTCGAAACGATCCGGCCAGCGACGCAATCGCAAGCAACCGTAGGGTCCACATTCCTCCACATAATTTGTGAACTGTGCCTGCCAACCAGCCAGCCCACACACACTTTCCCCCTACCACCTTCTGCCGCTCTCTACGACCAACCTACATACCTCCACACCCACATACATACCCTCCAAACCTTCTGCCTGCCAACAAAACCTTGTTGCCGCTCTCTTGCGTGCCTGCTGGCCTGCTTGCTTACCACTCAACTCCTCGCCGGGGCTGTGTTACTCACTGCCCGATTGGAATACGCCTCGCTGCCCTGACGAACAAAGCCGGGGACCTGGGGAAATTATTCTGCCACACCCACCATGACTGTCCTCAAGGCAAGTCAACTCTCCTTCTTTGACTTCTCCACCACTCCAATCATCCGCCGCTAACTCTCTTTCTCCGCTGCTCACAGGAACCCATTGCTGTACGCCCTACCAGCCAGCACCGCCATTCGAGCACCATGGCCGGCTCACTCCCCAAGGCGCGTCCGCATTCGCAGTCGCTCTCCGCCACCTCTCTACACCCAGGGCACCGTGTTACCCGCAGAAAGAGCATGAGTTCTACTGCTGCCGGGAACATTGCTGCCATGGCCGCCGCCGCCAAGGGCATGTCCGGCGCTCCGCTCGAGACCAGCTCCTCCTCACGTCGCCCGTCCAAGTCGGCCGCCCAATTCCGCGGTCCCAGCATGGCCCCGTCCATGGCCTCGAGCGTCCCGAGCAGCGGCCCTGCCTTTACAAACAATTCTTATAATGCCTCCTCTGCCAAGTCCGAAGCCATCACCGACGGGCCTCCGCTTTCGGCAATGCCCGATAACGAGAAGGGAAACAATAAATCAAGGATACGCCGCGCCAGCGAGGGCTCACGTCTGGGTAAGGCTGATGGCAAGCGCGCAAGTGGTAGCGAATTGAAATGTGAAAAATGTGGAAAAGGTTACAAGCACAGCAGCTGTTTGACCAAGCATCTGTTAGTCACCCCACAGACTCCCTTTATACCTTCCTCCCACACACTTTCACACTTCAAGACGAATACCCTTTCATCACGCAGCATGCCTCCAATGGTTCGTTGTCGTTGAAAACAAAAATCGCTGCTCTTGACGTATGATTTTTTTTTGTTTGTTTTGAACAGCGTGTTGACTTTTGATTAGCTGGGAGCATACCCCCGAATGGCAGTACACGTCCAAGTTACTCATCTCCAAGCATCAGCAGGTGCAACTGCTCGAAGCTGCATCGGTCCTCGTGGCTATGAATGCAGAGAGCGGCGACAGCGACAGCTCTTCGCCTTCTCCTCCAGCTTCGAGCTCCGGTCTGCACGATGAGTTGAGTTCCACCGACACTACCCCGCCCCCGCAAATTGACGATCACGCTGTGGGCTCGTTTCCTCGCTCTCACTACGGCATCCGTGCTTCCAAGCGTTACTCCGCAAACAGTTCGGCATATAGTCAATCTTACCAGTCCACCGTGTTTTCTGATAATGGTCAAATTGGGCACTATCGTCAATGGAGCAACGTGTCCGATCGACCAACTACTTCAGGCACTTCAGTTGCCGGCTCCTACACAGAGGAAAATGACGAGGCAGATCTTGCTGCCGCCGTTGGTCTCTTAAGCTGTTCCTATGGCACCCCCAAATCGGGCCCTATGACTCTCCCTCCCGATGTCCCTCCAGTCCCGCCCCTTCCTGCCAAGTTTTTGGATTTCAACAACATTCAAATATCGGGCAGCACCGGGAGTACCACGATTACTGCCCAACAATCGAGTCTACGCGGTGGCAACTACCATCGTGAAAGCAAGGATGTCGATATGGACGACGATCACTTCGCTGATGAAGACGATTTCCGTCACCGCAACTCACAAAGTCGTGGTCGCATGGACGAGGACGACGATGCCTTCTTTGGCAGGATGGAGGAATGAGCCCCCTCGTACCGAATGGCCTCGCCTGTGCTACGATCCCACGAACTTGCTATAATTTCTTCGCTTTGTCCTTTCTCTTTCCCTCCAACCCGGTTTTTCTGGCCTGTACTACAACCTATCAGCAATGCAGCGATCTATCTCCGCAGACCACCTGCACACGTTTCCGTAAAGTACCGAGGAGAGGGCCTTCGTCGGCTGACGTCGAGTTCTTGAGGTTGAAGCTTTCGGATCCGGCGGGATTTATTCTAGGTCTTGCGTCGAGAGCCTCACACATGTCACCATTTACAGGAGTTTCCATTACTTGCTCTTTTCTTCCGCCTCTTCATCTTCTTCTCTATTTTTTGCTCCCCAGTTCTCTTGCCATCCATAACTTATAACAACAACAAACTCCATATCGACTTTAGGCTTCTTCGGGGGACGGGCTTGGTGAACTTTTGCGGTGTTGATTACTTGTCTTTGTGTGGCTAGGGGAGAGCGGGGCGTGTCGTTGTTTCGAGGGTGTCGCAATCTACCATCCCGTATATATCCTGGTTGGGCACCGGGGGTTGATAGGCAGTAGCAATTCCAAGTGTGGCAGACATGCGAATCCCGGAAATGTGATCTTGCGTACGTCGGTTGACAAGATTGACTTTTCGAAGGACGGAGTAAAGACACCGTGCGCTGTTGAGTGAGACAGTTGAGAAAGAAAGAAAGAAAGAAAGAAACAAGTATGAAAAGCAATTGATAGTTGCTTTGAAGGAACGAGCAAATGAAGATGGGGATCAAAATGATAAAAGCAGGATGATGAAAAGGTAAGACGACAGTAAGGAAAGAGATCAGAAGCTGTCAGAAGCTGGAGGTCGGCGGGAAGCTATGGGAGCTTAGTAGAAACCTGATGGGCCCGGACGACCGCGTAACCTGCCTTTTTTTTTTCCCTCTTCTTGTTGGTTCCTTGCGATTGCGGATATCCTGCTACACTTTCTTCCCCGAGCCAGGCGGGCGCCCCTCCCCCACTCCACATATCAATGGACGCCCTAGACAAGCCACGAAGAATTGAAAGATAAGGAAAAAACAGACCAATGCTCTCGATGAACAAATTGTTGCGTTGATACAATCTCACGCTGTCTGCCTCTTTCTCCAAACCCGCTCCAGCCCAAGCCTCGAGATGAAGGGATTTTTTGGATGCAATGTGACAATCATGCTCATTCACATTGTGGGGATTACCACTCCATTTATTTATATATACACACCATATGTACACAGACCGCTAGAAATACGTCATTGATGGGGCGGGCCTGGCTAAAATCGTTTACACACACGACGTTGGTGCTACTTGCTGGTTAGATGAGGATCAGCCTCCGTATGACGACAGAGATCGTCGGAATCCGCGTGCACGGTTCGAACGATTTGGAAGGTTGGCCGTGCGTTCTGAATTGTTACCTTTTTTTTCTGTGCTTATAGCGTACGAAATGTTGCTTTACCTTTTTTCTTGTTTTATCCGTCTCGGGTTTCCTGCCTTTTCCACTTGTTATCTATAGTTTGCTGTGCACTGGGTGGGTGAGCCGTGGTGAGTGACGCAGAAAATGGAGCAGCGATCGAAGGATGGAATTCAGTCCCGTCTACCCGTCAGCAACCATCATCGTCATCATCATCGTGATCGTTGATCACTCAATTCTACTTCACATTCTCTGCGCCTTCCGTTTCAAGGCCGCTGTGAGCGCGCTGTTGGAGTGTCATAGCCCGTTCTCCTCGGGGAGGTTGCGTAAGATTCTCGGTGCAAGGTGCATTTGGGGTTGATGGGATCGTCTGGGTTGTTCATTCATGCTCAAGATCGTGAGATGGCGGGTATTCGGCGAATGCTTGTACACGAGTATACTTGAATTTCGTTGATCCCGCGATGTCACGTGATAATTCTCTCAGGTCTCGGTCAATTGATCAAGAGTGATCTGATGCACGGGTCGGCGTTGATGGTGAAGGGTGGCCCCATTTGAAAAGCAAGAAAGAAAGCCCGGTGTTCTGGTAGCTCGTGTGCCTTTGTCTCCATGAAATGGATATGCGTAGAGAGCATTTTTTTACGCGTTCCCATGAAGGAGAAACCACCTGAACCTTTGCCGAGGAACTCTCACTTGCCTCTGCTCGGATGAGGTCATGTATCCACGTCAACGTGGGTAACTAGCACCAAGCCTATCCAGGGAAACCATGTACAGCATTCGATACTCTTTGCAACGAATGCCTGTACCCATAAACGAGATCAATTAATTCTTCAACCTTCTAGAAGAGATTTCCAATGGCGTCGTCGACCTCGGAGTACGCCTCCGAATACCCCGCCAATGTATCGTTTGACCCAGCGTTCAAGAAGTTCTTTGAAGACTTTTATGCCGTTTCTGATACTCCGGATGCGCATGAGCGGTATGTGACGTTCTTCATGCCCGACGCAACGTTGGTTATGGCATCGAAGAAGGCGGTGGGGTCGGATGGTATGTAGAATACATGTTTCCATCACCATCTTCTGTTTCATATCCTCCGCGCATTTGTAGTTTGATATGCGTTCGTGTACGAGACTTTGCTTTGGTTTTTTGTAAATATCGCTTATCTTTGAGGTTGCTGGTAATCTGCTTGACCGAACTTTCTTATACTTCGAGATCCATATGTGCTTTGATCTGCTGAGACTTCAATTCGCATGGCCTCAGTAAACGACAAGCCGATACTCTAGCCCGAGACTCCCTTGCTTTATTTCTTTCTTGCCCCCTTCCTTGCCTTGCGAACAATTTTCCACACAGCTGTTCACTTACACGATCCATCATACAGAAATCCTCGCTCTCCGCAAAGGTCTCTGGGAAAAAGTAAGCAGCAGAGTCCATAGACCGCTCAAAATATTTCCTTACGGCCCAAATTCCGACCAAGTAATGCTGCACGGCACGGTCCGGTATGGGCTGAAAGCAGGCGGTGACGCCAGCGTTGACTGGGCGGCGTATGCGAGGTTGGCTAAGACTGGAGATGGGAAGGTCAAGATGGGGTTTTATCAAGTTTACCTGGTGAGGTTTTTTTCATTGTTGCTTTCCCTGATTTTTACTTTAAGCTTTCTCTGGCTATAGAGTGTCTAGTGGTTGGGGGTAGAACATTCGGAGAAGGATTGACTTTGGATGGTTTGCTTCAGCTAATGGAATTCGCATTTGCTAATCTTTCACGCGTAGGATACCGGTGCGCAGAGTAAATAGTCGGGAAAATGACGAAAATGTTATCTTATCTTTAGAAGAAGCAGGATGTCTTCCGAATGCTTATGGAAGCGGGCAGCTCGTGCAGTGGTGACATCTGGAAAGAATATGCTAGCCCTTCCATAGATCAAATCAAAATTTCCAGAGAACTACGCTGGAATGGCATGGCTGTCTTTGCGTTAACTCAGTGTTTTTGCACCAAGCTCATCAGCATCTATTATTTCAATAGTGACCAATAATAATGTGAAAAAAATTGATGAGATACAGAAGAAGAAAAAGGGAAGGGTCATCCCGTACCGCATATCCCCACAATAGCCCCCCAGCCAATGCTGGTACCCAATCACCACTAGCCGATATTGAGGTCTGGATTCGTTTGCCGGATTCTCTTACTTAGCCGCCCCCAGCTAAGCGGTGTCCCACAATAAGTGAATCATCCCTCAACGCCGTTCACACGTCAAACAGAATGCTCAAGGTATATATACCATATTACTTTGCTTTCATCCCATCAAACAACAGCATACGCCTGGTTAGCTCAATCGGTAGAGCGTGAGACTCTTACGGAGATCACCCTCTCAGGAAGCGATTGATTTAAGCAATCTCAAGGTTGCGGGTTCGACCCCCGCATCGGGCTATCAACGAGTTGTTTCTTTTTTGCATCTTTTTGGGGGGCCGTGGTTTGGTGATGTTGAGGGGTGAGGTCTGGTGAAACTGGGCAGAGTCTTCGCGTTTGCGACTCCACCCTCCAAATATCTGCGGATTTTCTTACTGCGTCCATGGAAACTCATGTTTCGCATCCGTGTCTCGTGCTTTTGGTAGATGGATTGATGGTTTGTGTTGAGGTTTGATATGGTCAATGAAGGCGTCATTTCGTGTCATTGACCCGCACCGAGAATACAAGCTACAAATGGGAATGGATACGATTACCAGAATTCACTATGCTTCTCAAATTATTATTGCACTACACCAGCTTGTTTGGTTACCGAAGCCTTCGACTGACGTTTTTCACCTACAGGCAGACGAGTGAAACACATCATTGTGAACACATAACAGCTTGCCCGTTGCTTATACTCTCAGGGTGACACTCGACTAGACACCTGCCCTAAGCATGTTATGAAAGAAAAGACCTTACAGATCAGAAGATCAGGAGTCATGTAAAACCCTCTAGATCGGGACATCGCCCATCAGAAACCAAATAGAACACAAAAATCTCGCATGAATAGGAACACAAAAGGTGGGTGTGATACACTGCTCCGCAACAGACGTCAGTCTACCCATACACATCATACATAAAAGGGTAAGAGCAACTTACATGCAGGTGACTCTGTATGGCTCTGGTGAATGGAGATGGAATCCTCGCCATCACCCTAGGAAATACATCCGACGTCTGACTGCACCTTCAAGACCTTATATCACGATTTTCGTGGTCAACATGATATACTGTAAGGTCCAGGTTGATGGAAGAATCACAGTAGGGTCTCTGCATCCGTTTTGCTAGTCAGCTCAATGTGTACGCCTAGGATCATTTTCATAATAAAACAAATTCTCATTCAGACTAAACCTATAGAGAGGAGAAAGAAAATAGAGAGACATATTGGGATAACCATTACAGAACAAGCGCCATCAGATCCATTGCGCCGTCCTGCGCCGTGTCCCAGATCAATTTGTAGGGAGCGTGCGTAGGCCATACGCCAGAGTAAAAGAGAGTGATTCCATCCCAGAGGTGACTTTACCCAAACATCACCTCCCATATATCCCGTTGAGCCCTAGTACCCAGTTACAAACTCCATTTCTTTCCGAAGCCAGATGAGACCCGGCCGAAGTCAGCACATGGGCTAACTATACGAGCTCTTCATCACTGGCGTCGAGAATGTCGTACTCCTCATCCGTCATGAACCCATCATCACTGGAGATGGAACGGATCTCCACACTCTCAGCGTCCTCGAAGAACTCCTGTTCAGATTGTGCGGTGGTAGATGCGACTGTAGCAGCTTCAGAGCGGGGAGACTCAGGCTGGGTAGAGACGGCTTCGTGGGTGCTAGAGGCAGGTGACTCCTTGTCGAGCTGTGGGAAGATCATAGCGGAGGACTGGAGCTCTGGCTCCGCAGGCTTCTCAACAGGCTTCTCCTCTACAGGAAGTTCTGCAGTTTCCTTGGCTTCAGGTTCGACCACGCCCTGTTCAGAGGCAGCCTGCTTGAGGGCTTCGTACTCCTTGCGGCGGTTCTCAAGGAGACGCTCGACAGCGGCCTTTCGGAACTTCTGGATGCGGAGCAGCTTCTCCATGTTCGCCTTCTCTGCCGAGATCTTCTGCTGTTCAAGCGTATCTGATGTGTCGGCAGGGCCGCGACTTGACACATCGCGCGAGACCTCGGTGGTTAGAGTGACGGGGAGAGGCGTAGGAGCAACGACCTGGATATCACACCAGAGACGGTGGCCAAAGGGCAAACCCTCCGCAGTCTTGAGACGCCAGTATGAAATGGCAACGCCTTCACGAAGGGGTGCCTTCATGACAACGCGGAAGGAAACCTCTTGGCCAGGCGCGACGGGCCATCCGATCACATTGCTTCCACTAGCCTCAGCAAGATCAGCCTGACTCAAAGGCTGGGTGTTGTCAATGTTGAGCATGTTGTCTCCGCCAACGTGGCGGACGCTGCATCCCGCAGGCCAAGTTTCAGGGCCGGGGTTTTGGAGTGTCCACACTTGAACGAATGTTTGACCCGAAGCAATCTTGGAGCCGTCGGTGATAATATCACGGAGGAAATGGGCGTTCAATGGTTTGATCGCAGACCTTGACGAATCGAAATCCTGCATGTGCGTAGACAGGGGTTTGGCAGGCTTCACCTCGGTGGAGGGAGAGAGAAGATCCTGGACCGTGATCTTGGACTTGGGTGCCTTGGGCACAGCGTGTTGCATAAGCGGACCGTGGGCTACAGGCTTCAAGTCGGCAACGGTCTGCACCTGTGTGGCGGCATTGCTGGCAGGAGATAGGACCTCGGGACTCAGCCTCCGGGACGGCTCGCAATCTCCTACACGGGTGACCGAAGTGCCATTCTTGTCCTCGTTCAGGGTGGTCACGCTGACGCTACGAACAGGGCGCTTGAACTTGATCAATGGGTGAGTGTGATTGTGCCTATTCGAGGGATGAGCCTCGCAATTAGCGCAAAAGTCGGTGTCGTTGCAAACAGCACACTTGTAGCGCACACCCTCAACATAAGACTGGTTCTCCTTGTCCTTGCAAAGGGGACCGTCGCAGTAGATACCATAATGACGGTTACCGCTGTTCACAGGCTCTGCCAATGGCTCGTAGATGGGGACGAAGCGGTGGCCAGGGTGGATGTACTTGGCGCTCTTGATGCAATCTGTGCAGAAATCCCAGTCGGGGCAGTTCAGACATTTGTGACGCACGCCATAGATGAATTTCTCACATCCATCGCAAACGGCGGAGTGGCGAACATTACGGCCTGCATTGCAGAGGAAGTCGCCCAAGGCAGGCATGCTCGTCTCAGGAGTTGCGGCCTTGAAAGCATGACCCGGGTGATGACCGTGTTTGTTGTGGATGTGGCACTCCATGCACAAGTCATAGTCTTCACAGGATGTGCAAGTGACAAACTCCGTCTCTCGGGAAACTAAGAATGGGTTAGGCCAGGTCGCGTAGGCGTGCAAAGAAGAAGTCTTACCTTGAACACAGCAGTTGCATGTACGTGTGGGTTCCTCCTCACGAGTCGGTTCAGCGATCTCAATCGTCTGCTTCTCTTCAGTGAATGTGCCCGGCATCGCCTTCTCGGTCTTGGGCTGGGATGGCTCTTTGTGTGGAGGCTTGGGCCCAATACGCTCCGTGGTGCTGTTTACAACACCGCCGTTCTTGACAAAGCGCTTGACCATCCAGTGATTGGATCCGGGACAGTGGATACCGGTATCAACGCACGAAGAGCAGAGGTCGTAGTCTCCGTGGTCGCAAATGCTACAGTGCCAGTGCTCGTCTTCCATGGGGAGATTGCAGTTGTTGCAATAGACTACCCACGTGGTCTGTAGGGTATCCATCTTGGGCCGGAAAGCCAGGTTGGCGATGCCGGTAGAGGGCTTTGGACCACTCATGAAGCTACCTGCGATTGGGTCTTGGTACTGGTATGTGTTACCTGAGGAGGCGGTGAATGGGTGGGGCACAGGGGCCTCTCCGGAGGCCTCAGGCTCGACTGATTTGACCACCGGAGGGGACACTGGGGATGGAGCAGATTGGGCCTCGGGCGCCTTCTCAGTTGGATGCGATACAGGAGTGCGTGCGATGACGGGCGACACGACTGGGGCATTGAGCAGAGGCGTCAGCGTCTCGGAGCTCAGGTTGTGGAGCGACGGCAGCTTCTCAGATGTCTTGTGTGAAGACATGTTGGTAGTCAGGCTGCGGACGGGAGCGACTTCTTGACCAGGGATGGTGGCTCGGAGGCGCAGCTTGAGTTTCGCCTTGGCAGCACGGAAAAGCGACTTGTAGATGTGAGGTTTGGTGGAGTCGAGAGTGACATAGGCACCGGCGCTGTCGGAGTAGCGCTCAAAGACGATGTCCTGGTGGGGAGGAACCCTGAGAAGAGTTCGCAACTGGACAGGGCTTCAGTCAGTATGTTGATCAAAATGTAGCAGTGTGTTTGCAAGCTCCACAATGTAAGACTACAGCCGTATGGTAGCAGGCTGCCGCGGATGGGTACGCACCTTGTCAGGGAGGACGTGAGCACCGAGATCACGTAGCGGGATCTTGAACTTGAGAGTGCTCAACTGGAACTGAATCTTGATGGCAATCAGTGTGTCGAGCGTCACTGGGACGTTGGTCGCCATGATGATGGTGGTGGTGGTGATGTGAAGATAGGCAGCAGCCGCGGCTGACGCTGTGGACGGTGGCGTGGGGAGCCAGACGGGGAGTGTGGTCCGGAAGGGATGGATGCAAGCACGAGAAGCTGCCGCTGGAGAAGCTCAGCAGCCTCGAAAGATGGCGATGAGGTTGAGTAAGTAATGAAAGGTGGATGGAGGTCGAGGTGGTGGTGATGGTGGTTGTGGGGAGAAGGTGTGAGGGAGGGAGCGAGAGAGTGGAGATGCGGTGAGGTAAGTCAAGGAAGGTACGCAGCAGTTCAGTTGGCCAGTGAGCAGGCTGGGGTGTGCTGCGTTAGGACGTGGGAACCCCGCTTATTAGGTAGACGCCAAAGAGAGAGAGAGAGAGAGAGAGAGAGATCATGTAATGCAACACAAGCGGCTGCCCAGAACAGTTGCACCAAGCTTGGAAGCCTGCAGTGAATGGATTATAAATGAATGCTCTGTTTTTGTCTTGTTTGCCCTTTTGTCTGCGTGCAATGGGTCTATCTATTTTTTCTTTCCGCCGGTGTTTTGTGACGAACAGAGAGGTGCCGTGTCTCGAGGCAGCAGCTGGCTGGCAGTGAAGCCGGGCGGGCGCTGCTCGTATGGATGGATGATGGACAGGTGAATGACGGGTGGCTCGTTTGCGTTAGCCCGCTGTTACATGTTTATCCACCCTCCCTTCCTTTATCGCATCCCCGACGAGCGGGGGCGCAAACCGTCTGCTGGTAGGGTGCCACTAGGCGCATCTGCGGACCACGGCCTCGTCATCCTCTCCAGACCCAGACTTCAATCAACTAGAGCCGAGACACCTCGTCGTCGCTCCTTCACCGGACCTCGTAGCTGCTGCCCGGTGGTGCTTGCTTGCTGGCTGGCTGGCTGGCTTGCCATTGCCGGTGAAAGATGTACTCATGCACTCATCGCCCGGGACACATGATGATGATGATGATGATGATATAAGACATGCAACAAGGCGATGGATCTACAGTGCACCATTGACCAGGCTTTGCGTTGCTTTTTCTGCTCCGCCGTCCGCTGTTACCTAGGTACCTATGCTACCCCCCTTCTCTGTGTGCTGACCGATCTATCCATCCAGTTGCCTGCTTCCCGCCCATATGTTGCTTCTCACTGCCACCACTACCCTATCACGTCAGCGCGGCGCTTCACTGTTGTGCGATGAGGTACCGCAAGGTGCCTAGCTGTATTGGTGGGTACGGCCAGACAATCGCAGTGCTGGACGATCCGTACTCCATCTAGGCAGATTAATTGTTGATTACCAGCGGATTCTTAGCATCCCAATGATCCCATATAGTGCCTGCCTGAGCAATATACCCATCATTCCATGGGACAACCGGCCGACCGGTCATGAGAATGTACCGTCGGATCCTCTATTAATAGACAACCGCTGTAGAGCAATGATGAAACCTTAGCACAGCCCGAGAACAAGAATGAGGCTGATCAAATGTTTTCCTTCATGCCCTTGGAGCTGCAAATGTGAAACTAATCAGCAAGTCGCATGCGCTAGTGAATGGTAAAAGACTGACTAAGCAGCAAATTATCCCATGCACAGAGCTATGATGAAAAAATTAAAAAATTTAGAGAACCCGGACCCTTCTTTCCCTTACAAACATCCCCACATACTTCACAAGAATATCGCAATGTCCGACTCCGGTTCCAGCTCTTCCGATGAAGAGAGAAAGCTCAAAGCCCTGAAAAAACAGGCGAAGAAGGAAAAGAAGGAGAAGAAAAAGTCGAAGCCGTCCAAAACCTCACCTCCGAACTCTGATGCAGAGGAAGACAACGAAGCAACCGAAGCCCTCACACCTTCCTCCAAGAAGCGCAAGCGCGAAATCGTTCCCGATGAAATCGAAATCGACATCAACCTTCCCGAGCCCGCCTCCAAAAAAGCCGCTCGCAAAGCCAAAAAGGCAAAAACCCAGCCCCCCACTGCCAATGGCGCAGCAGACCCAACCGATGCCACCACCACGACCGATGCAGCAGTCTCAGGTACCTTGCCAGACGCTACAAAGCGCTCTGATCACAGTGTCTGGATAGGCAACCTCCCCTGGTCTGCGAACAGAGATCTCATCCTCACCTTCCTGACCACCAATGCCGAGATCAAGCCCTCAGACATCACTCGCATCCACATGCCGGCGCCCAAGGCACCTCCACGACCCAATTGGACCGACGACAAGCCGCAGAACAAGGGCTTTGCATACGTTGACTTCGCAAGCGAGCTCGCCATGTACGCCGCCATCGCACTGACGGAGACGCGCATGGACAACCGCCCGCTTCTGATCAAAAACTCCAAGAACTTTGAGGGCCGCCCGGACAAACCCAAAGACGACGGAACCACAACCTATGCCACCGATGGAACTGGGAAAGGCGCGAAGCGCGCACCTGGGACCCAGGAACCCAAAGCGCCGAGTCGCAAGGTCTTTGTTGGTAACCTCGCCTTCGAGACGAGCAAGGAGGACTTGGAGTCCCACTTTGCGCCCTGCGGCACTGTCGAGCACATCCACATGGCTACGTTTGAGGACTCGGGCAAGAGCAAAGGGTTCGCGTGGGTGTCGTTTGAGGATATCGAAGCTGCGACGTGTGCGGTCAAGGGCTTCATCCACCAGGTGGATGACGCGGGTAAGAAGCGCAAGTGGAAGCTCAACAAGCTAATGGGCCGGGAGCTGAGGTGCGAATTCGCCGAGGACGGATCCACGAGGTATCAGAAGCGGTTTGGCAAAGAAAAGGGCGGTGATGTAAAGATATTCGATGACGGTGATGAGGGGAGCGTACACCCGTCGCGCCGACAGAGACCGGCTGGATCGGAGGGTAGAGGGAGAGGAGGAGGTGGTGGTGGTGGATTCAAGCCGAGAGGCAAAGTCGATCCTCGCTCGATTGCATCTGGAAAAGCGCATGCAAACGCTCCTAGGGCTTCGGCAGCCATCGTGGAGAGTAAAGGCAAGAAGACGACATTTGAATAAGTTGAGCGACATTATATTGAAAATCTCTTGTATTAAATGTTTTTCTCAATTCGCAGGTGTCATCGAGCGACCATAAGACGTTCTTATCGAAAATACTTTCGACCGCATCTGCGCTGGATTATCATACCTGTGGTTACATTCATGAATATGTATACACATCTAGGCTCATCAACGGCCTCAGATGCCGATCACGTCTTTTTCACTCTTACAGCATTGGCACACCAAGACAACAAGTCGGGGCGGAGAGGATGTTTCAATTGATCCGATTCAATATTACTTTCGATTCAAATAAAAGACTACATGGACTATATTTATGTTTCACCCACTCACTGTTGCATGGTGTGAGCGGTTCATTTATGTCTTCGCTATATCTCTCAGTTTGGTCTAAAAGATAGACGAGACTCGTGTGTTCTATGTGGCTTGTGACCATCAGCATGTATGGAGGGAAAAAAGGACATTTGTTAGCCATCCTGACAGCATGCTGCATCTGTCCCCATGTTCCAATTGGGTTAGAGACATGCTTCATACAGTGGCAGTGGACCAGGAATGTGCATCTTTGGGAGATGTCGACAAACGAGCATATACCGAGGATCCCAGATCAAATCGCCCGACCAGGTATGCCTACGTTCAAGAGGCAAGAAAAGTTGGGTATCCGGATACGTGTCTTTTGTTTGACTTCGACCTGATCACCAGATGAACGGTATCATTCTCTTTCTTGTCTGCACTTTGCTCTCACCAAATTTTTCGGCATACCATTTCTTCGTGGCGTCGGCTGTAACGCCCAGATTCACGATGACGAAGATGATTCCGGTAACCATGGTCCAGTTCAACAGACTCCCCTTGGGCGCAGTCAAGAAGGACTGGAGGGTATATATAGCGATCTCACAAGTGTAATGTGGACACACCAGGTTCGGAAACAAAGGGTGGGAGGGAAGCTGGTAGCCGGTGTTTTGCTGGCGCAACTTGTACAAGTACGCGTGGTACGTATGCTGGAGGTAATGAGCTGTGAGGATCGCAGGGACAATCACGAAAGCCTTGGATCCAAAGTAATTGAGCTTGTTGGCGGGTTCAAGCTCAACCCAAATGGAGGCATTGACGGAAAGGTAGTAAAGCCAGCCCAAGACCCAATGGCCAACCCACATCTTGCTCTGGCTGGACGAAGTGTACTTGCGCGATTCCAGCAGCCTGCGGACGCCTTGAAGGAGCATAAGCATCCATGCGACCTGCAACACACCGCCGACTTTCCACAGCTGCAAACGCCATCCCCAGAAGAGAGAGCTGGTGACGGATACGATGTAGAAGTGGGTGAAGTAGTTGTGGGGAACTTGAATGCTGGCGGCGAGATCCAGCGTGCGATCGAGAGGGGTTGGCTGCTTCACTTGGTCGGGCTGGCGAGGCGTGTTTCCAGCTGGGGAGTAGCGTTGGCCATAGACAAGAAATCGGCGGCGAAGATCAGGCACAAACTGCAGACCCAGTATCTAGGGGGGAGAGGGGAGGTTAGTCGGTCAATTCGGCACAAGGGTGGGGTGGTGTCGTGGTACAAGAGCAGAGGCGGCGAGAAAAAAGGCGCGCAGCAGGAGAGCGAGAGTGGCATTGTCCATGTTTGCAGGATTGGCTCAATGCGGGTTGTGGTGGTGCACCTGCGACGTCGATGCACAGATATGGAGAGTGCAGGAGGGAGTACAGACCAGCGCACGGCTGGGATGAATGGGTTGCTTAGTTGAAGGAAGAGATGGAAAGCGAGGAAAAAGATGGATCCTTCCCTCACCGCCAGGATGCCAAGCACAGCGAGGCAAGTGCGCAGCGGATTAGCGAGGCAAATGAGATGAAAGCGGGTTAGGCCAGACTAGGCTGTTGCATACAGGAGCCCTTTGCGGGTCGCGGTTTTGGCGGTGCTTCTTGTTGAGTGCGTGGCCAGCGAATCGATCGAGCGCATCGGCTGGGGCAAGAGGGTGGGAGTACCAGGCGAAGGGACGGCGGAGCAGTGCATACATATATGTACACACCTAGGTATGTATGCACGCAAGAAGTGACAGATGACGACGGTGCGGCCAACTGTGGTTGTGTTGATGTTGTTGATGCTGTAGGTACATAGGTAGGCATTTGCACTTACGCGTAAGTGTGTGGGCTCTCAGGCATCGTTCATTGTGATGGGCGAGGACGGCTAGCAGGTAGCGAGCAAAAAAAGACGGGTCAGTGCGGCGCGCGGAGGGGCAGGCACGCAGGCTTGCTCTCAGCCAGGCCAAGCTCAGGAGAGCAAAATGGCCCGTCATGCATCAGCGCGGCTGCTTACTCGCTGGCCGCCCATCGTCCCCTGCCCGAACTGCAGACCTGATCCTATCCTGCCTGCCCATCTGTGTTTCGCTCCTTCTCTGTTATTAGCAGGCCTGAGGAGCTAGTACCGCCTGCTGCGTGCTGCACCACTCGCTCCTTCCTGCCTGTCTGCTTCCTTCCTGGCTCGGCTTGCTGCCTTCCACCACCATCGATCACTCACCACTCACCCATCTTTTCATCCTTCTTCATCACTCTTCCTGCCATCACGTCCACCACCCCCCCTACAACCACCACCACCACCATTCATCAGTCGCTCACCTCAACGTCCACCCAATCATCCCGCCATCCATCCTTATCGCACACGACCGCTCGTCTCTGCGCCGCCGCCGTCGCCTTGCATTTGCGTTGCCCTGCCCCCTTCACTGGACGGCTCTCGGCTCGTAAAGGCGACTGTTGCTGCCGTCCATCCGTGCCTCTGCCTGCTCCCCAATAAGCCGACATGAGGCAGGCGCTCTCGAGTCCTGTCCTCCTCTCCCTCGTGCGTTATGACCAGTAATGGTGATCATTCTACGTTTACATCCACACCTCCATCATCCATCCTCGTCAATGCTCGCGACGACCACAGCAATCATCGCCCGTCGCGACCTGCCTCGACTGCTACTTCGCCCAAACTGAACAAGCAGATACAAACCGACAAGATCTCGAATGGCGAGAACCATGTCGATGAAGACACGAATCTCTCCGAGGCCGAAACGGTCGTGCTTGAGAAACACGAGCCCAGTCATCTCAAGATGATCAAGACGGAGCGCAGCGAAGATGACCTGCGCTCCATCAAGGAGGATTCTCGCCTTTCGTCGCCCGCAAAAAATGGCGAGATGACCTTGCGCGACGAGCTTCCAGCCCCAAACGGTGCGAAACATGGCTCCGAGCCCGATGTGAAAAGCCCGCCGTCCACCTCGCCTAGTAGCCGCACCACGTCGCGACACACAAAAGATACCAGCTCAACTGGTTCTGCCAGATCTCCTGTATTCTCTGCTACTTCGCCCACGCGACCCACGGGACGTGGACGTAGCGCCTCCACACTCGACTCCCGCAAACGCAAAGTGCGCGACGACTCCTACCCAAAGGGTTTGGAGCCTCCTCGGCAAAAAATCAAGACGGAAGGCCAAAAGGATCCGCGCTATCCCAATTCCCCTGCCACCCCCGGTTTTGGCCTCTCCCACAAGCGCTCCCAGTCCACCCAGTCCCTCGTTACCGGCACCACAGCCCGTCGCCGCAGAGAGCTTGCCATATCCACAGATCGTAAGCAGTGGTCTGATGAAAGCTCAGGCGACTCTTCGTCACCCCGCCCCACACAAACACCCAATATGCTACCCCACACACGAGTCAAACGGTCGGGACATCGAGCGCTGACATCGCCTGCCCGCACCATGCCTCATGCACGAAAGTTGGATAAATATGGAGCCACTCAGCTTTCGAGGGAAAGCGAGCGCGGAAACCTCTCTGCTGTCAAAGAAGCTTACGAGGCGGCTCCGGAGGAACTAGACCATGCTGACTTTGCAGGTTTTACACCTTTGCAAAAGGCTTCGTTGCATGGCTGGGCCGACGTTGTCAAATTCCTCATCGCCAAAGGGTGCAGAACCGATTGCGAATCTCTGAATCGCGACACACCACTTATCGATGCCGTGGAAAATGGCCATTTGGATGTGATTCGTTTGCTGCTAAACGAGGGCCGTGTGAACCCACATCACCAGAACAAGAAAGGGCAACGTGCTATTGACGTGCTAGACAACGAAGTGGATGATGCGGAAGATATCGAAAAGGAACTTCAAGCTGCTATGCGACACCATGTGGATACATCGACCAACGAAGAATACGCGCAATCCAGGTTGAGTCAGACCAAAACTGCGTCCCGATTATTATATAACGAGTACAATACGGAAACCTTGGTCGAGAAAGCAGGCGACGGTGATATATTGGCAGTGGGAGAGCTGATCAACAGCAACATCAAGCCGAATATTGCTTGTGGAGTGGCCGCTTCACGTGGCGGTCATTACGATATTCTCAGCATCCTTCTTGCCAGTGGCCTCAAAGCTGATCCGGATCCCTCGAAGCACAGCGAGACTCCCATGTTGGTTGCCATCGGTCGTGGTCACCTGAAAATAGTAAACCTGCTTCTTGAACAGGACAATTTTGACCCGACACGGAGGAACAGAGAAGGCAAGGCATATTTCGAGATTTCCGAGGACCGACGAGGCCCTAAATGGCAAGAAGAGAAGGACATTCTGAAGGTTGCATTCGACAATTACAAGCACAAGAGCCCTAAGAGGACCCGGAAAGATCCCTCTTTGACATCGGCTGCTCGGTTCAAACGAAAATCTCCACCTGCGCGTAGGGAGCGGTCATCGTCACCACGAACTGATAGCAAGCGTGCCCAAGCGGCCAAAATGTCCACTGGCCATCAAAAGTCGCGGAGACTGATGTCCGGGAAAGAGATGGCAAATCGCGAGGTGAAACGTAGGAGGCGCGTTGTAGACGACGAAACCTCCGAAGATGATGATAGCGAAGACGAAGTGCGGGCGCCAACGAAAAAATCTGCGAAGCCACGAGCCCTTAGCGAAGGCGAGGAGCACAAGCCTGTAAAGAAGATCAAAGTTCGATCAGAGGAGCAGGACGTCTCAAAACGCACTGCGCGAGCCACATCTCACGATACCGATCACGACCGACGACCCAAAACTGGCCCAAAGATCAAAACAAGAGTCGAAAGGGTCTCCAGTGGCAAACACACGCCTGACCCCGACTCGCTTGATGAGAAGAAACCAATAAAATCTAAAATACGATCCAGACCCATCGAGGACGTGAAGGTGAAGAAGCGTCGGGAATCGGATGTTTCCGTTGATGACGGCAGAATGAAGAAGACTCCTACGGTCTCCGCGAAGTCAACCCCAGCACCTCTCGAGAAGGCTTCCACGCCAGATGTTGTTGCGCGAGAGCGTAAGCAAGAGGAACGCAAGCAAGAGGAACGCAAGCAAGAGGAGCGAAAGCAGGAAGAACAAAAGCAAGCCGAAAAACAAGCAGCCGAAGCCAGACGGAAAGCTGCCGAGGACGCAGCACGAAAGCGTGAGGAAAAGGAGAAGGAGGAAGCAGCGCGTAAGGTCGCCGAGGAGGAAGCTAGAAGGAAGGCGGAAGCGGAAGCGGAAGCCAAACGAATCGCAGATGAAGAGGCGGAAAGGGTGCGCCGACGGGAAGCCGAAGAGGCAAAGCGGAGGGCTGAAGAGGAAGAGGAGAAACGCAAGGAAGCTCTCGAGGCGCAACGTTTAAGGGAACTTGCCGAACGGCAGCATCGCATAGCCAATCTTCCACGAGCCTTGCGACGGGCTTGCGAGCTCGGAAACAATCGTCCGCTCCATTTCTCAGGCGAAGAACTAGGCATATCTGCAGTGTTCCTTCCAATCTTCTACACCACATCAGAAGACTTGCAGCCAGGCGGCTCGGCAGCAGGCAAAGTCTACATTCCCTCCTTCCAAGTTGTGGGGATCCTCGGTCTAAGAGAGCTCGATCTTGCTCACCTAGATGCTCCATACTCCTCCTGGGACCGAATTCCTTTCACTTCCAACCACCGCGATCTTCTTCTTCGGCAGTACGACGTTGCCCTTCTCGCACAAGACTTTCGATTCCCGATGGAAGGAACGCCCGATTTCGATTACGCCCGGATCCAGGAAAGCATCAAGCAAGCTCGCCAGCAATTCATGAACATGGAAGGGTTGTACTGGGTTGAAGACAAGGCTCTGTATCCAGAAGCAGAAAAGGTGGAGAGCTTACAGCCTCTGCTCGAAGAGATAAAAGATGTGAGCAAGCGACGCAGAATTCATCTCGTCGAGCCTGAAGCCCAGCTACCAGAAAAGAAGCATAAACCTCGGAAGAGTTTTATGGATACAGCTCTCGCAAAAAACGGCATGAACGGGCTCGTTGGCAGTTGAGCCAACACAATCTTCCCTTTCGACATCCCTTTTACGTTGTTGGCACTTAAGATACCCCAGGCGATCGCGGGCGTTAGAGTTTGTGGATCAAGGATCATCTGATGTCGGTGAAATTCGATTTGTTGTTACGTTATTTCGATGGACTTTTCAAGGTGGAACAACAAAGGCACTACTCGTTACGGACACGATTCTTACTATTCTTTTGTAGCCATAAAGGCGGAGCCAATGATGTGCCGTTGGTTTCGTTGTAGGATGAATATGTATATAGCAATGTCAAGCTCACGACGCAAAACCTGACGAGTCTTCAATGTCAAATCAGGTACGCAAAAAGCAATTCGTGATAATGCACATAGGGCTGCATCTCGCACTGTTCACCGCTTTCCCAAGTTGGCGATTCTGCCACCCCGCACATCCCACTACTGCTCCTACGTAGACCGCGTTTCCAAGTGCTGTGGATATAAAGTCTCCTTGTCACGCCAGCAATCAGACACCAGGCCTACACTCATTCTAGCTCATAGTGCCCGTCCATCAGTTCAATAATATCTCTTGGTATTATATATCATCAGACATTGGGAAGCTCCTCCCAATCAAAACCCTCTCCCGCATTCCACCCATCTGCCAGCAAACGATGGCTCCCAAAAACAAAGGCAAAGCCAAAGACGACAGTGGATCCAAATCTTCGGGAAAACTCAAGCCCGCAACCAGCATCAACGTACGCCACATCCTATGCGAGAAGCACAGCAAGAAGGAAGAAGCGCTTGAGAAGCTGCGCAACGGCGCGAAGTTCGACGAGGTCGCACGTGAGATGAGTGAGGACAAGGCTAGGCAGGGCGGTAGTCTCGGGTGGAAGGTGCGAGGGAGCTTGTTGGCTGAGTTCGAGAAGGTCGCATATGAGCTGGAGCCCAGCACTACGGGGAGTCCAAAGTTGGGCGAGTGTAAGACGGGTGAGGGATATCATATCATCATGGTGGAAGGGAGGAAGTAGGCTAAGCCGAGCGGAAGGGAATTACTCAAACGAGAGGTTTGGAATGTATACCCAAAGCATACGGATTCAGAAATTAGCTTTGTACGGTGTATTTGAACGACATGTATGATACAGAAGAATGCATACAACATGCACGCGATTAAAGTGTGGAAAAACCATGCAATGTTCTATGAATGCGCATGACTCGGTGTGCTTGGGTCCTACTGTTTCGCCCTCGGGACCATGTATACTCCGCTTCACACTCTCTTCATGGAGTCTTCACGGTATTGAAAATTGATTTGTCTAATCAATCGATCATGGCATTCTTGGAGATGCCATCGAATAACCCGGCACACGCATGTTATATCCATCTGGAAACGGCTTAGCCGGGAATCACCTGAAAGCGTGTCGCGCGCCCGTGCACGCGTTTGCTGCCTAATTGACTGGTACATCAATCGCCAAAGACATAAGATGCGCCTTCGCCTCATCCCCAAACTTAACCTTTCCCCTCAATAAACCTCCAATTGCTGCAACCGCGTGCCTGCGCTTCCTATCCTGACTTAATTTGCCATAAAAGAATCAATTACGCTTTTGGTTCGTCAAGCTGAGTCTCCACGTCATTTGCGACTACACCGCAACACCGCAAGAAAGTTCCCAAACGTGATAAGTACAGCGCGCACTATGGCGGGCAAAGAAGCGACAGTATATATCCTGGATCTGGGGCAGACGATGGCGGAAACGAGGCATGGGCGGAGCCAGACGGATTTGGAATGGTCTCTAGAATACGTGTGGGATAAGATCACTACCACGGTATGTACCTTGATTGTTTGGAAAGGATTAAGACTATCATCCAAGGAGTTTGGGAATTTCAAAATCTCAGAAATTGCGCTAACCATACGAAAAAAGGTTGGCTTGAATAGGAAAACCGCGTTGATGAGTGTTGTGGGGTACCGAACAGACAGTGAGTGATCGAGCCATATAAACCCCGTTGTTTCAACCCTAGCAAGAAGCTGACAGAATCAATCAGACACAGAATTACGGGGTACGATGGAAGATGAAGAAGGATATGAAAATATCACGGTGTTCTCGGAGCTCAAACAGTATGCAGCTGGGAACAAACCTTGCTGTGATTGAACTAATCCTACTTAGATACCTTTTGCCGGACGTTCGGAGACTGCAGCATGATCTGACGCCAAGCTCAACTAATGAAGGTGATTTGATGTCAGCTATCGTTGTTTCTATCCAACAGATTGATACTGCTACTTCCGGGAAAGCGGGAAATCCCCTCAAATATGATCGTCGCATAATCATCGTAACGGACGGGAGAGGCGCCATGGACACAAGTGATTTGAGCCACATCAAACAAAAAATTAAGGATGATGCTGCTCCGATTGAGCTTGTATTGCTGTCAGTATCTCCTAACGGGCGAGCTGGAGATGAAGCTAATGAGTTTCTAGTGGCGTTGACTTCGATGATGCGGATAGTGGATACAAAGAAGAAGATAAGGATGCCCACAAGGTGAGCCGTAATTTACAGCGAATGGCAGACCTTCACTAAGTAGATCGATATAGGAGAAAAATGAGATCATCCTGAAGGATTTCGTAGAGGACTGCGATGGCGTTTTCGGTACTCTTGCAGAGGCTATCGACCAACTCCAAATCCCACGGATCAAAGAAGTGAGGGCGACACCGAGCTATAGGGGCACCTTGTCTCTTGGAGATGCCAAAACCTACGACGCGACTATTAACATCGACGTGGAACGATACCCATGTACGATGATTGCTAAACCTCCGACGGCCAGTACTTTTGCGCACAGATCGGAGGCAGTTGGTACGCAATCAAGTGCCACCGTGATCGGAGAAGACCATGCGATGGACGGCGAGCTCTCTGAAGTACGGCACCAACGAACTTACCAGATTGATGATCCTGATGATCCCAGCAAGAAGATGAATGTTGAACCGGACGAGCTTGAGCGTGGATACGAGTACGGTCGCACTGCAGTGCATATTAGCGAATCAGATGCGAATGTCGTGAACCTCGAAACCTCGCCTGGACTTGAGCTTCTCGGCTTTTTGGATGCCAGCAAGTTCGATCGGTATCTTGCAATGTCGCGCTCAAATTATATACTACCGCAGAAGTCAAATGTGCAAGCAAAGCTGGCTCTGTCCTCCTTCATTCATGCGCTGTGGGAGGCAGAATGCTACGGAGTGGCTCGCCTGGTCACAAAAGAGAACAAGCCTCCACTGGTCGTTCTCTTAGTACCACGCATCGAGCCAGATCTCGAGGCGCTGGTAGAAGTAGAGCTTCCATTCGAGGAAGACATGCGGCGCTACAAATTCCCTCCCTTGGACAAGAAGCTCACAGTATCGGGGAAGACGATCACAGAGCACAAGGACCTCCCAAACAAGGATCTGATGCAATCAATGAGCGATTATGTGGATGCTATGGATCTTTCCACATTCGACAGGGACGACGAAGGTGAACCGGCAGAGTATGCAAAGCCGGAAGATGCATTCTCGCCTGTATTGCACAGGGTGCAGCAGATGATCCGTTGGCGGGCCACACATACAGATCCTACTGTCCCTCTTCCTGATCCTCCAGAGATACTCACAAAATACTCAAACCCTCCTGCCGAACTCGTCCAACAAACAGCGAACCAGCTCGCTGCTCTCACCAAAGCCGCCGACGTCAAGAAAGTACCACCCAAAGCCAAAGGCCGCGGCAAACGTTCGCGGGCCGATCGGGAGAAGCCCCTGTCTGGCCTGGACGTCGACGAAATTCTCGGCAATCAAAAGCGCATCAAGATCGATTCGACAAATCTTATCCCCTCTTTCAAACAAACTCTCGCTGTTATAGATGATCTTGACGCTATCCAAGACGCCGCAGACTCCATGGGCGCGGAGATACGCAAGCTCATCAGCAATAGCGTCGCGGAATCCGCTTATGGCAGAGCACTCGAGGCCATGCGCGTTATGCGGGACGAGATGACGGAGCTAGAGGAGCCAGAGATATGGAACGTTTTTGTGGCAAGCTTAAAGAAGGATCTACTCGCTGGACAGCTAGGTGGTGACCGGCGAGAACTATGGTGGAAGATCAGAGGCAACAAGTATGGCCTTGTAGATCGGAAGAAGTGCTTTGCCAGCGCTGTAAGCGAGGAGGAGGCTGCTCAGTTTTACAGAGTGTAAGAGTGTGTGGGTTTGGTCACGGTGGATCGGTTCGTTCAATGTTTCTTGCTCCATGCACTTCCTCTTCTGGGGGGGTTTCAAACATGGCAACGGCAGCTTGCACTTTATTGTATTATATAGGGACCGTCGTAGCGTAGTCCTAGACTTTATATCAGAGTTGAACAAGCTCTTTGAACGTCTACCCACGGAGGATTACGTGACTTGCTGAACGGCCTCACACGGCCCAGGAAATGTTAAACCGTTTCCAACGTGTAGATATCGCCAAAAAAAAAAAAAAAAAAAAAAAAGCAAAAGGGACAAGGGAACCGCCAGTGTAGAAAGAAGCCACAAATTCGACATGCAGCTATTCTTCCCCTGCCTCCTCGCCATGCCAACTTTAACCATTCGTGAAGTTATATCCAGACTGATCTGAGCCTCGCCATTGAAGGTTGTATATGTGTGTGTGCGCGTATCGTCTGACCTTTGCTATACCCAAACCAACGTGAGGTTTCTCATATTTTTTTGTGTACCGGCAATAGCGCTCTTAAGCTTGCGATCGAGGGGAAAGATATGGGAGAGTCAATCGGTAAACGAATTCAACGGGTGGGCGGAGGACGACGGTAGTGACGATCGCATATGGTGTGTCTGACTGAGAGGGGGGTGTGCTGTCTCTGGAGCTTGCCATTTAATGCGGCGCGACATTCGTGCAGGTGGTTTGTTGCACGGGCGAGAATCTCGGGGTAGCATGTAGGTACGGCGCGTCATTGTTGGTCAATGGGTGGGGACCAGTGGAGTGATGCTGGGTCTTGAGAATCTCTGCCATTTAGTTGTAGCTGCTGGAGCTGAGCAATCGGTTAGTCGCAACTGAAAAGATTGAGCATTGTTATTGAGGGCATGCGGCGCAAGCGTGCTCGTTGGCATGGCTGATTTGGCACTGCGTTTGCGCCTAACTACCGTGTTGCCGACAGTGACAATAATGCCAGTATCAACAACAAAATTTTCGCCGACTAACGCCTTTAGTCCAAGATGATGTAGAAGCCCTTGCACTGTATATACAATTCAATGCTGTATATGTGGTTACAATGCGTACGTTGAAAGTTTTCGAGCGTTTGCGTTTGCAGATCATGTATACTAACTCGTAGCAAACGGTGCGTTTTAGGTTCATTTCCATAGGATGTTTATAGTCTCCGCCATTCAAAACAGAAATTTGAAGGTATTATATTCGGGTTACAGTCCGGCGCCACTGTTTCTATATCATGAAAGACATACACACACATAGTGAGACCAAGATCTTTGATACGTATCCATCTTTACAACCAAAATCCCAAGTAGTATTGACCATTTAATGCCCCTCTATGTCCCAGAAATCCTTTCTTTACACGCCGAATACTGCTATTTTCCTCCTCACCTTGACTTTCAACTTCCTCTTCACCTAGACTGCTGACTGCCAAGACCACTACGACGTCGGCGCAAGTCACAGCAACAGTAGAAAGCTCTGGATAGTACTTGAACGTCCAATAAGAGGCGCCAATTGCTTTCCAGCACGTGAGTCGCTCGCACGGGCCACATGAGGTGGTATAAAAGGCCGTCCCCCGCCGCTCTCCCTCTCTCCTTCCTCTCCACTTCAATCGACAATTTGTTGGGCCAGGGCACAGGTGACATCGAGTAGTGATTCAACACGCTCTCGTATGTCGGGGTCTTGTACCTCCACGCAAAGCACTGCACTCGTCTCCGGGCTTCTGTGAAGAATGCAGACCCCCTCTAATTCCTTGGTACAACACTCGGAATTAGAGCCTTGGTCGCTGCCGAGCCAGTGCGAAGAGCGGTTTCGTACCCGCCACTGGTGACTTCTATCTCTGTTTAGAGATATTGGGCAGTTCTCACAGGATCGGTCTTCGGGCGACAAAGGACGAACAGTATGGGCGATGCAAGGCCTGGTGGACAAGTGGGCATCGAGAGCTACGGGGCTCGGACTTGGTGTGTGGGAGGAAAGGTGGGCAAGAGAGTGGAATTCTGAGGTATGGGAGGATGGTTGAGTGGTTGAATGGGCTTTTCGACAAACTTCTTCGACATCTTCTTCGACAATTTCTCGGCAATCTTCTCGACATCCTGGATTCTGGACATTCTGGACTTCTTCACTCTTTTTATCTCCTCCTCCTCCTCCTTCGACATTTCTTCTATATCTTTTTCGATTTCGGTTGTACCCACTCAGTTCCGGTTGTCATTCTTTTATTCTCCTCCCTCCCTCCCTCCCTCCTTCGATCGATGCGAATAACTGAGTTCTTTTCATTGACTATCCTGGCATTCAAAGCTGAGAAGTTGAGGAAGAGATTAACATCCAATCGTTCCCATTACATTATCATTTAGTGCCATTGTTGTTGTCTTTTTTCGTTAACAAGCCTAGCAAATTGCCGCGCCGTTGAGGGAGAAGTCGATACGTTCTCGCAGCTCGTCCTTCGCACTGTATTACTCTGCTTCTTGGTGTTGATGTGACCGGTACCGTAGGCATTTAGTAGTAGCTCGTTCATCCCATAAAACCCCTCTGACTATCTCTTGGTGTTTAAGTGCCAGGCACCTCGCTGCATCGCCGAAGCACACAACCATGTCGACGTAGCACATCCCCACACATGCGCATTGCCTCCTGATGTTGATGAAACTTCCATAACCTGTGCCATTGAAGAGCGCTGCCATATTGTGGCGGCTTGCCCCGCAATGCCCTTATTTCTCTTGGTGTTGACTTGCTTGCAACCCTCGTCGCGCCACCATTCCGGTTCACCTTCCCTCCACGCACACGTTATTTTTCTTGTTGTGTTGAAGTTCCTTTCTATTCTCTCATTCACTTTTCTTCGCTTGTTCAGGTTCACGTAGTAACTATGCCGTTCCACCCCCCGGCTGCGTACCTGCTATGTAAGCACTCTATATTGCTCCCACCCGTGCCTTCTTGATACCAGTATCGCGCCGTTCGTGCACGTTCCTAAGTGAGGAGGTAAACATGTCGCTCTTCGCCACTACAACATTCCGCATCCGCTTTGGCGCAGCCATGTCGGAAGTGGGGCCAGCTTGCTGCCATCGTCCGCATAGCCTTTTCGTTTTCGGGACTGCAAACATGATCATCCCCAAACTACACCAATCCACCTTTTTATTCTTTTCTCGTCGTTCCAGCCTCGCGAAGGTACTGGCGGCGGGACACACAATAGTGTCGACGGCAAAATCAGGACGCCCTCACTTACCAACTTCGAATGTGCTGTTTAACTCTTCGTGCCGTTCGTGCGTGATCCATTGACTACTTCTCGTGAGCCCATGTGTATATGAGTGTGCGTCCGCATAGCTCTTGCCTCTTCCATTGGGAAATGCCACCTCCTGGCTTCTGTGCCAGCTGTGCTTGACACTCTGTTCCGCGGTATGCACGATGAACAGACGGCGCAAGACAGAATATGTCCGTCTGCCACGGCGTATCTTTGTGCTTCAAAAGGTAGCTAGTTGGGACTGTGTGGGCATAGATAAGGCTTACGCTGCAATCCTAGACTCATAAGCAGTAGTTCTTCACTACTTACCCGGTTGTGACATCCTGACGGTCGGATGCACGCATTCGAAGGCAACTAGTTCTGTATGGAAACCCCCAAAAGAAACTACTAATCAAAATTGTTCCAAAAACCATGGCAGCATGTACTCTGTAAGCGCCTCGGAAATTGTTGATGGAGACGAAATATAGCCTTGTTGTTATTTACACCTTGGTATTTTGTACAATTATCTGAATGCCGATGACTTCACAATAAACACTTGTACGCGCCAAACGCCTTTGCTTCAATGTATATATGCACAATTCACTCCTAACGTGGTAGTGTTGAATCCTTTATAATGATGCCGCTGCCTCGACGGCTCCGGCGCCTTTGTATAACTTCGGGTTCGTGACGACTATTTCCACGGGGTATTTCCATTCCATAAATTTAGCCCAGCCTAATATATACTGTTAGTTGAGCGAATCTTCCCTGAACTCGGAGACGACCAGAAGTCTTTTGTCGCTGTCCGCAAACTCACCCCAGTATGCGCATTTCCTCCCAAAGTATTTCCCCACGTACGGCACCACCACCATGGTCAACAGTAACTCCATTTGTTGCAAAGATTCCCTCCATTCTCTTTCTGCATCTGATAGGTATTCCTCATCATCGACGGAAGAGCCTGTGGAAGAAGAAGGCAAGGAAGCGATGTCGTCGGAGTCGTCCGCGCTATTCGGGGGCTCAATGAAGCTTTCGCTATTAGCTAGGGACATGGCGATGCCGGCGGGAAGGTTGTAAAGGGGAAATATTTCGGGGGCGTGATAAAAGACGCGGGGCTACCGGAAGGGCATGGGTCGTGTAGCTCGTTGAATTATTGTGTAACAGATGACTTTCAGGGTTGGTAACGTTTACCGGGAGCTTCGAGCTTCGGGTGACGATGATGTTCGCGGTAGTACGCAGCCATTGGCAACCACCAGCCACGCCAACCAATCAGAAGATGAGGGGCTTAGCGGCTGCTTCACGTGATGTGGATGAATCTTGGCGACATCTGGATGACTGTGCGCAGCGTGCGGCGAAAGTGACATCTTGTTGACTCACCCATTTCATCACGCCTGTAAACCACCTTTCACGAACTATATTCTTGCCGTAAACACTTCTCGAAAGGGTACCTAACAGAAAGTCAAAGTAACCGCAATCATGGCGGACGTTGTACGTTCTCAATTTACCCCACTTGCCCTCAAAATTCACTATATCCGTGTGCATCAAACTAATAAACTATCTGCAGGCTGAGCGGAAACCGCGCAAGAGCGTCGCCTTCGAAGACAACACCACGATCGTTGACGGTGACGGCCAAGTCATGGAGTCTGCAGAAATGAACGGCGAAAAGAACAGCGCCGAGTCTCACTCAGCGGGTACGTCTTTGGCTATTCCTTTGAGCATACCTGGCACACTCGGTATCGGCAATCGTGGAGTTGAAGAACCCCGCTGACACTAGGATAACAGACAAGGAAGTCGATGAGGTGACGGATATGTTTGCTGGACTCGCCAAAAAGGTGCGTCGTAATGACTTTGTCACGGTTTCCCCTACTGACTCTTCACCCAGAAGAAGAAGAAGTCCAAGACCGAAGGCGACGATGCCGATGATGTGCTCTCCGGCCTGAAGAAAAAGAAGAAGTCCAAGAAGCCCAAAGAGGATGTCGCCGACGACTTCGAAGCTCAGCTTGCCGCCAAAGTGGGAGATGAGAAGGAGGGAGACGAGGCCGAGGCTCCGGCCGAGGAATTTGAGGGCAATATGCTCAAGGGCACCGGCATCTGGCAGCACGAAAACACCACTGTTGTGCCGTACAACATGCTGCTCAACCGCTTCTTCACCCTGCTCCACTCGCAGCACCCCGACCTCATGTCTTCCGGCTCAAAGAGCTACAAGATTCCCCCGCCGCAATGCTTGCGTGAAGGAAACAAGAAGACCATCTTCGCCAACATTTCCGAAATCTGCAAACGCATGAAGCGAACTGATGAGCACGGTATGTTGGCTATCCCAGTATCGTCCCCAGACCGCCCACTGACTTCTATAGTGACACAATTCTTGTTCGCCGAATTGGGTACCTCTGGCTCCGTTGACGGTTCCCGTCGCCTCGTTATTAAGGGTCGCTTCCAGCAAAAGCAGATTGAGAACGTCCTTCGTCGCTACATTGTCGAATACGTCACTTGCAAGACATGCCGCTCGCCCGATTCGGAACTTACCAAGGGAGAAAACCGATTGTACTTCGTTACGTGCAATTCTTGCGGTTCGCGCAGGTCCGTCACTGCGATCAAGACTGGTTTCTCGGCCCAGGTCGGCAAGAGAAGGAGACAGCAGAAGTAGATGGGTGCACGATGGGGTGGTAGTAATTGTATTGAATAGACTGCTCTTTATCTGGTCACGACTTAGGGATGAAATCGAACAGTATCCAGCACAATGCAGGATGACGAGGGTCATGATACAATCGGACATGAGGCGACAGGACACGCCAGAGTAGCTTTGGTGCTGCTATGTACCTACATGAAGGAATGCATGATAACAAAAGCAAATAATTCGTTTTACGAAATGGATATATAACTCAACACCAACTAAAACTCGGTTGTTCCAGCACTGATCTAGGCCGCGACATTTGCTGCATTCTGACTCAACCAGGTCGTAAAAGCTGCCGCATTACGTGTTTGCATAAAGATCGCTCCAGGACCTGCAGGGTTGGGAAATTCCCATGGTTAGCAGATGCACATTTGCCACAGAGTGAAGTTCGAACAGCTTACCAGTGAATTTGCACACCAACCCTTCACCAGCCGTGTAATTTGAGACGATACCCCCAGATGCCACGCGTTCCATGACATATTTGCAATTCCACGCAACCAAATAACCGTTATCAACGTAGTACTTCTCGCCTTCTTTCAAATCCTTGCGGATGATGGCACCGAAGCTCATGCACCACAGGATACCCTGTCCAGTGATGCGATATACGAACAGACCCTCGCCACTGAAAATGGCCTTGCTCAAACTCTGCGACTTGTACTCTGTCACAACACCCTGGGTGCAGGCCAAAAACGCGTCCTTGCCGACGCTCCACTGGTTCTGGCCCGTGAGCCCAATGACGGTTATATCGCCGAGAGTCGCAGGCGCAAGGAGCAACTCGCCAGGGCCCGTGTAGGTCGATTTACTCAGTTCGCCGCCTGCGATGTACTTCTTGAGGGTGAATTTTGCTGATCCTTTGAGGGTTATGGTTGGGGTCATTGCAATCAACGCGCCTAAATTGAAGAAGAGTGTGTTAGTAAGGTAGAGAGAGACTACGGTCGCGAGACAAGGAACTACGTACCCGGTTTAGCGGTCAAAGGACATCCACTGGCGAGTTGGATCGTGAGGATGGAATTGGTGTTTCGGTGGCTGATACGGTAGCTTCCACCGTTGAATGTCCCTACATCATCTGATTGTGTGGAATCCACAAATTGAGGCTGAGAAGCCTGAACTGCTTGCTGCTGCGGTGGTGGTGCTTGTCTTTCGGATTGGTGCTGCTGCTGCTGCTGCTGTGGTGGTGGCCCAGTATAACTTTGGTGGCTCACCTGTTGCGGTGGCATTCCAGGATGCGGAGTCGCGTTCGGTGGGGCGCCATATGGGCTCTGAGGTTGCGGAGGAGCACTTCCGGGCGGCGGAAAATGCTGTTGCTGCTGTGGTGAGGGTTGGAATTGTGACTGATCAGGAGGTGGTGGAGAGAAATGCGGTTGAGCATGGGGATGCCCGGCTGGGGCACCACCAGGTGGAGGAGGATAGTGCTGCTGCTGCTGTTGACCGGGTATCTGGGCAGGAGGACTGGAGGGTGGTGGAGGAGGATAGGATTGACCACCCGGCGGAGGCGCAAAGTACTGTTGCTGTTGCGAGGAGTCTATGTTTCGTTAATATAGATGTTCCCGTGAAGCTGCTAGGACAGTTTCCTGTATACCTGAAGACTGGGGAGCACCGTATCCGCCCTTATCAGGGGGAGCTACAGCAGTTGTGAGCTTGAAGTGTCTACGAGCTGTTGAAGCATAGTTACTCACGCGGGTAGTAATTCCCACCTGGTGGGGGCGTGCCTTGATATCCAGACATGGTTTCCAATCCAACGAGTCTCACAGCAACACTCTGCCTCACAACTCCAACGCAGAAGTCGTTAGGGAAAGGGAATGGAATAGGGATAGATTTGTAGAATTGCCTATATAGCTGAGGCTTGGGGGCCTTTCTGCTAAAGTAGTCCTTTTCCACAAGCTGCTCAGCCTCAATGCCAGTTGCCCCGCTACCATCGTCCGAGAGCACTGTAAGCGCCGAGATCCCCGCAAACCTGTTGCGGGCCAATCATCTGGTTCCATCTCGCGCTTCTGAGCGGCTTGGGGGTGGGAGTCGGCATTTTGATAGGTCTCATTGAATTATCCAAGCTCATCGTATGGTTCGTGGAATCAATTATTGGTGCCATGTTCAACATGCAATAAATGTAGCAAGCAGAAATCGGGATGGAGGGAGCTAAAGGGGGAAGCTAGGTTTCGATTGCTTGGCATTTTCTCTATTCGGTGCTCTCTTTTCCAGATCACCCAGTCACTGAAATATTTCAACACCTCTCCATCGATCAAGGAGATACCCTATCAGATAGGTAGTAATTGCTGCCGTACCTCGGACAGTGAGACTTGCACACGAGTACGGATATTGAGATTTGTTCGGCTACCTAGCGAATCTCGTAACTGATAATCGTTATTTCGCTTCACCCATCGGCCTATCTCCAGCATCTTCGTCAACAGCTCCTTGATGTGGCTCAATTGCCTCGGGACCAGCAACGTAATCGTACGTGCCCGTTCGTTTGTTGACAAGAGCATCTCGAGGCCCTAGAATCATCACATTGTTTGGATTCGCGAAATCGGATGGGAATCCCATTTCAAATCCATACGCGCCATCAATTTCCTTCATCTCCTCTCGCGTCAGCTTCAAGCCCAGAGCCTCGATATTCGACTTCATATGCTCAATCTTGCGTCCACCAAGGACTGGGAACACGTAAGGAGCTTTGTGCATGACATATGCAAGTGCAACATTGACGGGATGGACTGCACCATCCCGCTTTTCCGCAATTCCGGATAAGACCTTGCCCACGACATCTTCCTTACCTGTGCGTCCAACTGAGGATGTCCGACCATCTTCATTGCTTTTGAACCCTCCTCCGCCGAGGACTTGCCAGGGCGCAATCGCCATGCCCTCCTCCAAACACATTGGAATAATCTCGCGTTCCATGTCTCGACTCGCTGCGCTCCATCGGCCTTGATAGATGGAGAACGGTCGAAGTCCATGTTGACGAGCATAATCGTTGGCCTTGACCACAACCCATGCAGGCGCATTGGACACACCGAGATAGAGTACGCGCCCGCTCGTGATGAGAGCGTTGAGGAAGTGCATCAATTCTGGGATAGAGGTAGTGTAATCGAAGAAGTGCACGTAATACTGTATAGTTCCTATCTGTCAGACCATCTCCTTTCCTCTAACAAAGGATAAAGAACTTACAATATCAACGTAGGAGGTCTTCAAATTTCGAAGGGAGCGCTCGATAGATGTATGTATGTTCTTCGCACTATTTCCGCCGTAATTCGAATGGATCACCTTGTCAGCCAGGCCGACTTGAGTTCCGGTGAACTTTGTCGCTATCACCATTTCGTCTCTTTTCCCACGAAGCTCCATCCACTCGCCGAGCCATTGCTCACTCTCACCCTCTTGGTAGTTCACTGAAGTATCAATGACTTGTATTCATCAATATTGGTTAGCAGATGTTCAGAAGACTCTCATTCGCATTTCGATTACTTTACAATCAACTATCCCAGGGTACTCACAGTTTCCACCTTGCGAATAAAAATAATCGAGCATGGCAAAAGATTGCTCTTTGCTACATTCGCCTAACGCAGAGGCCCATGTTTCTCCAAAATTCAGCGCACCTAAACAAATGGGCGAAACCTTGACCCCAGCAGTTGGAGCAAGAATACGGTGTCGGCCTAACAAGGACACAGGTTTGGGGGGTGGAGGGAAAGACATGCCGGAGCTCTTATTTAGCGTCTAAAGGGTTTCCAGATAGAATTGCAAGAACAATAGACTTATGATTTGAGGGGGGACGATGGGCTGTCTGAATGAGTGCCCACTTACCTATATAAATACTTCTCTTGGGCACGAAGGAATGTCGTTCGGCCGACTACAAATTGTAAATCTTAGCGCCAGCATCCTGTCTATTTGTGCACTTTTATTACCAATACGCATACACAATGGGGTGATTTTTCTGAAGTTTCTTCACATCTACTGTAACATTCGTATACATAACCCAACGAGTATCTGTTAAATATCGTAGGCTGAGCCGAGGGTCCCACACTACCCTTTAGTTGGCTGCCCCCGCGGTTTAACCCCGGTATCTCCATCTGTTGCCATGCGATCCCTTGCCGCCTCCAGTCTAGAATATATTTAAGTGCACAAGAAAACTTGTTGTTGTGGTAGATTGGCTGTTCATCTAATCGCATGCCCTTCTTTGGATCCTTCAGCATCAGTTCAACGACTCCAGCCGTTACGAAAGAGTCCCTGGTGTTATCACATTGAGCTTGTCCTTCGAGCAATGCTTCGAGCCCGTACAATCCCCGTAAAGGAATACATTCAAATCACATGGAACTCTGCCCATTATCACCGACAGCTTACGGTGAACGGGTTTAGGGGTTAAACTAGCGTCAATCATTGGCAGTCAGAATTCAGCTAATTAACATAGAGTAGCGCTTCCATCAATTGACTGAGTCTTTGCGTGGAGAAGATCAATCTATACGTGACCTGCTGCTGTTTATCCTGTCAACTAAAACATAAATACGTGGACCAAATTACATTCATCCATGACCTCGAGTGCTTTAAGGCGGCGGAAGGGGCCGAATCAGATTAGATGCAGTTTTCCAAACTCCACGCCCTCTACGCCCTCTCCCATTACCATACGAGCTCATTCTGGCAGACTGATATGTACCGCGAGCTAGTGTCAAGGTAGGAACGGGTCATTGACTTGATTATATAGTCACGTGATCTAAATCGTTAGGGGTCGAAAAGATCAACATGGGAATTGTACTGACATCATCAGATGATCATCCAAATCCACCCTGTCATTGACAATTCCATCTGCGCATCGCACCCTGCGGGCACCATCGATTTTCCAATCCTGTACCTGCATAATCGTACCATTCCAAGCCATCCGTGCACTGAAAGTGTATTGAATCAACTGGAAATCTCACCTCCCATTACGACACTTTTACGTATCCCGAAATTGCAATTCCCACACTGATTTCGTCTTTATAAACTGCAACCTGGTGTCATTCACAACATTAATCCTCATCATGTCTTCAAACTTCATCCGCGCTACAAGAATTGCTGCTTCGATCCGCTCTACTGCCTTTACGCAAAGCCGCCGAAGCTTTTCCATCACATCTCGCATCATGGCTGCCCAGACCGTCGACTCGGATTTCATCTCTAAGATCACCGCAGCTGAGAAGCTCATCACCAACAAAGATGACCCCGTCCAGGGTGGTCCTACCGCCCAAGCACAATCGCACGCTGGCCAACAATTGACCAGCCAAGTCATCCACGACATCACCATGGGAGAACGCAAAATCTCGGGGTCTGAGAAACCCATCCAAGGAGGTCCCACCTCAATCGCGCAATCGATCTTGACGCAGATCTCCAAATCCGCCAACAGTGCCTCCCAAGGCTCATCGGCCTCGGGTGTCTTGGACAGCTCGACCATCTCCAAAATCACCGAGAAGGAGAAGGAGCTTACTGGCCAGGACGGGCCGGTACCAGGCGGTCCTACAGCTAAGGCGCAACAACATGCAGGAGAAAACATCTCGAGCCAGTCATTGCACGACATCACCGAAGGGGAGAAGAAGGTTACTGGCGGCGAAAGGGTGAAGGGTGGACCCACAGCAGCTGCACAGAGCGAACTGGGCAAGAGCCGTTCGTAGAATCCTTGTTTTGTACTTGTATAGTATAGCTGTACGATATTGTATGATAGCAAAGTGAAGAATGATAGTACCCTGATGACTTGTATGAGGGCATCAGTCGATTGTACTCACGTAACTCTCTCAATTGTAGCCCGTGCAGAATCGTAGCAAAATGTACTGATTGGTCGATCGGCTACTGTGACTTTTGCATATCCGTATATCACTTTTGATCGTTCCGCATATGAGTAAGTTTTCATACCTTGTCTGCTCCACAATCACAATCTACCTAGCACACAATTGAATGGACACAGCCACATGATACGCCCTCATCATCAATACAAGGATGCAACAGAAACGTCATGCGATGAGTACCTGAATGACATTCACTTTTTGCAGATCTGTCAGCCGCTAAACCAAAACCGCGGAATGTTTAACATGATTCGAATGCACAATTCATTGAGACAGGGTTCAAAGTAGCACAGCAACCACCTCCAGATTTGAAACCAGGTACTCATTGCGTGAATGTAGAAGCATGAAGAGGAGGTGCGGGCCGGTGGCAACCGCCCGACAGCCCGACGATAGAGGTATATATAGATGTACTCCTCCTCTCTTTGCACCTCTTTCTCTTTCCACACACACTCCTGGGTGCGTTCCTCAGTTGTTGGCTCTAAAATGGGCAGATACAATGAGGCATGGCGTTCCCTGGGAAGGGGTGTCGTGAACTCTTAAAAGTCTGATGAACAAACTCCCATGAGCTCTTTGTTCGAGGGATGTTCCAGGACGAGGGAGGGCGTGGGGGCGTGGTTTGCTTCGTGGACACGTGAGAACTCGAAAGGGTTTGACTCGATGATGATGATGATGATGATGATGGGCGTTATCGCTGCTCATTATTACAAGCCCTCACCATTACTGCCCCTTTAAGTAGCAACCTGCTATACGTATCTGAGCATGAGCTCTTCAAAGTGCTACATATATGTGAGTTCTGCAAGTATTGGGCTCACAATTAGATAGTAACCACAAATATGTGGTAGCTATTACTATATGGATATAACTACGATTATGACCAGTATAAGATACCTATACCTCAATGCATCGTTGCGTTTGAGCATTCTGAGTTAGTTTGTGTGACCAAAGCCAGCTTCCACGGCAAAGCGTTGTAGGAACCCCCCGAACCCTCGACTTCGGGATCTACCCCTTGGTACAGAAACCTGAAATTGCAAGGCTCCACATACAGGTTCTGATCCACATTGGTTCTGATCAGCTCTCCGTGGCTGATGCTCTTCGACCATCGTGTTCCCGTTGGAAATTCTACATTGTTCAGGCCCAGGAACGGGTTGGCTTCTGTATCCGCGAGCGGTGTGTAGGGTCCAGCAATACTAGGAGATGTCCAAGAGCGGAAATACCGGCCATTCGCACCGATACACTCTACCAGAGTGAGATAAGTACCGTTACCGATGGAGTAGATGGTGGATGCTTCGAAAAGGTCGTACTTGCTTGCCTCTTCAAGTGCAATCACAGGCTCGTTCATGCCTTTAGGAAAATCTCCGATTGGCGTTTGGGAACGGTACAGTCGACCATTGTCGTCCGAGGAAAAGAGATGGCAGTCTGTCGCGTCGCAAACGACCCACATGTCTACCCAGTAGCCTCCCTCCAGCCCGGCTTCGATCAGAGCAGGCGTACCACTGTAGAAATGCTCAGGCGCTGTCCATCCTGCTGGGTTACTAATATCCGGGTTGGTACTGTATGCTGCGTTGCCTATCATCGCGGATATGAAGTCAGTTCAGTTCAGGACAGACATGCTTCTCAGCAGGTAACTTTGTACCCGGGCTATACATACCATCCTGATAGACCAAATACCACAGACTTTGAGGCTCGAAGTAGAATACCTCGGGGGCAGCGCGGTATCCGGTTCCTAGAGGAGCTTGATCGAGGTAGAAAAACGGCGCGTCACCGGCTTTTTCGAAGTCGGTAAAATTGAAGTAGAGCATGTTGTAGCCTTCGGCATCCGATGCAGTGGAGGCGAAAACATGATAGGTGCCATTGATTTCAATGATCGAAGGGTCTTTGATGCCGTCGATGGGGCGATTGTCGTCTTTGGGGCCAACAAGTGCCTGAGTCGAGGTCCAAGTAAATGAGGAAGGAAGTGCAGACCGAGCAGCAATTGAGTGCGATCCATGCCTAACCGGTAGGCTACGAGCCGCTACCGCAGCGATAAGCGTGGCGAGAAGAGTGAAACCGATCATTTTATTCTATTCAAGTCGAGAAAGACGCCGATTATGAGAATGGCATTGTGTATCTCTCTTATTTATGCCCAACGTTGTCATCGACCTGCAATTGCTTTCTGAAGTCGAATAAAAGTTAATATGGGCGAAATTTACACCACCTGGTTTGGGGAAAAGTGATCCTATCCTCGAAATAAGCATCTAGAATTGTCTGCGGGTGATAAATCAAAGCGGCTAGTTGGTAGAAAAATCCCGGTTTTGACGGTTAATGTATCGGATGATCGGGTTTTACAGTCGCAGAACATATGAGCACATCTAACCCGACCAATCAAAGCGGATGTATCCTTCTACAGGATGCCGAGGGTTCTCCTTTAACATGTACCTACCTCTCATACTTGCCTTGCTGCTTGCATCTGAGGACTAGCGCAGGTAATGGTCCTGGAAGGGTACTTCGATGCCAACATCGAAGCAGCATAATGCAGACAATGCAGGAACAACTGGGCATGGATACATATTATAGGGCTAGCCATGTCCAGTATTTCTATGTGCTAGTCAAGGGACGAAACATGGGGCTGTGCGATGTCCGTGGTAGGATTTCACTCGCTAAACCTGACTGACTGCATTGGTCTGTTCAAATGTTGGTTTCAGCCCCAATACCCAGGAATTCAAGACAAGTCCCCTTGAGTTTTGAACATCATGTTCTCCGAGGGAGGTCGTTGCCAACGGACAGTCGATATAGGCTCTTGTCAGTGAGGACGAGGTCCAGAACTTGACATGATATCGAGGTATACTCGAAGGAAGTTTTGATGTTGGAGTTTTGGTGATCCGTGAAACATAGGATAGTTACAAATACAACTGAAGATAGACTGGAAGTCAATCTGTAAAGAAACGGTATGCCCTGATGCGATCAGTTCATCCCTGCTCCGTCTACTCAACACCCCGGGCTTCACGCACGAGACAACTGTTGGCAATTAGCGTACAAATTCTTGCATTGAAACCGACTCCGACTGTAACAACATCCCCGAACGCCTTGGCAGGCGCTTGAACATATATCAAGTCGGAGCTGTCTGCATCCTATCTAATTTCCCTTTTTTTTGGATTTCAATTTTCTTCGCGTGGCGATTTGGAAGGGCGGAAGATCAGTCATAGCACAGCTGAAGAACTGCACATACTCATGTTGTCGCTAGGCTCCTTGACAAGCACTTTCACACCCCCCTCGGGGTGTGTAGGACCCAGTGCGACATGGTTGCTTTATGATCGAGCGAACAGTGCTTCATATTACCTGCAAGGCCAAACGAGCGCTTCCAGCTGCTTTCCCCCGAACTATGATCCGCAAACGATTGCGTATTATTCTCCTGGTGTTTGTCCTTCTGGATATACATCTGCTCGCCCTCGCGACACTTCCACAGCAACAGGAACGCACACTTGTTGTCCAACGTAAGAGCCACCCAGACTTGAAAGATGGATCACTTTCTTAATCGTTTGTTTATCATTAGATTTGCCGTCTTCGAAGGTCGCGAAACTTCTCAAGATAATCTCTTCATGTCGACGATGGCATGCCAATCTTTTTTCGGCGGTTCTGGCACAATACTGGTGACAAAATCATCCGGGGAGGAAATCATCACAACGACAACAAGTTTTGGCGCTTCGGACGTTCTAAATGCGTACGGCATCATCGTAGCCCTCGCGACCGAAACGTCTTCTTCTACACCGGCTATCACAACGACTTCACAAACATCTAATATAGAACCGATTCAAACTAGCGTTAGTTGCGCACTCTGTGTTAGCATTCCAATCTGTACTAATTCATTAAATAGACCTCCTCGCAGATCACTCCTGCGATTCCCGCCTCAACGTCTCAGCAAACCGAATCCTCTCGCAAACTCAGCACCGCGGAAAAAGTTGGAATTGGCGGAGGTATAGCTGGCGGAATTCTACTTTTGACCCTTGGAGGGGCGCTGGGCTATTACATTATGCTGTCAAAACGGCAAAAAAGCGCCATCGTTGCATCCAAGCTCCAGCCACCCTCGCCATTACACGAGATTGACTCGTGGCCTATACACGAAATGGTCATGCATCACCCAGAAACTACTAGAGGGAAAGTCACATACGGACTCTACACGAGCGGAGCGACTCACGAGCTTTCCACAGATAGAGATGCATCTGAGCTAGCTACAGGCAGACACATATACGAACTCGGTACGGGCAAAGATACGCATGGAGCAATTAAGTAGCGTGGGAATACAATAATGAAATAATAGAAGAAACAAGTAATGACCACGCAGGCTTTGAATTGAGATGCCATCTAAGAATGCTATTACGCGGACTTGATATATGAGTGTACTTCATCGGTGTTTATACGATGTACTCAGCGAACAACGCTTCCGGGTATGTCCAATGCATGTGGTACTGAATGCCAATCATGGCTCGAGCACAACGTGCCTCCCGATTCCCATATGCTCCGCTGCCACCTGAAACGCTGAGTTCCAATCCTCGAGACGAAATGTCTTTGTATCAACAAAGTTCTTGCCTCTGGAAAATAGGCCTGATTCTAGCATCTTGACGAACTGAATGATATCTGCACGCTCGTACATCAACTTCCCCATTAGCTTGATATTATTGGCCACCATTGTCCAGGGCACGACAGGACTATCACTGAAGCCCATCATGCTTACGCGACCATTCCTTCGAAGGGCAGATGTTGCACTTCGCAAGTGTGTAGACTTAAGTCCCTGCGGAGGGGTAAAATCCAGGACTGCATCGATGGTACCAAAGGACTTTAAGGTTGCCGTATCGATCTTTTCATCGCCAGTAATCTTCACAATCTCGATGTTCGCAGTTGGGGATCCTTCGAGCGAAAATTCTCGCAAACGTGCCAGCTCGGTCTCGTTTCTGCCCATAGCAATAACTCTTGCACCCATAGCAAGAGCCACTTGGACTCCAGCTCCACCGAAGTTGCCAGTCGCTGGACAGACGACAATTGTCTCTCCAGGCTCCAAGCGTATGTCTCGCAGCCCACCATAAGCCACCATGAGGAAGCTAATATGTGCTAGATCTCGAATATGATATCCAAGCTCGGTGCATAAGCGAGTTTCGTTGAGCGCATAACAGTTCTCCAATGGTACGTTGGCATATTCCGCGAAGTTCCCATTACGCCAAACGTCACGCATGAGTTTGACACTTCCTTCATGAGAACTGTCATGTAGAGCCGAAAGGAATTGAATGTCGGGGTTGTCGCGTGCATGGATTACACAATCAACATAGATAAGTTGGCCAGCCTGAAGCGTCGTTGCGTCTGGTCCGACTGAGGCAATTCTTCCAATAGCGCTGTAGCCTCCAACAAGAGGCGTTGGAAATGTGTATGAGCGGACACCTCCGTAGATTTCCCCATGGTAAGAAAGTACAGAAGCAGCTTCGATACGAACCAGAGCACTTCCAGATGTAGGTTGTGGTGTTGATAGCAGTTTCACCTCGAACGGTGATCCAACCTTTTCCAAGACGAGCGCGCGATGTTCGGAAGGGATGTTGTGGGCCATGATGTAGACTTTAAGATAAAGAGAAAAGGATTAGATAGAATTGATCTGCTCAGGCTTTCATTGCCCAAGATGCAGACTCTTAAAGTAAATTCCGGGAGTGATGCTGGAGAACAGCATCGGTGTTAAGCGGACATAAAGATTACATCAATCGCGCGCACCCCACATTTCTTCTTCCTTATTTAAGGCTTTGTTGATTTTTCTTCATATTTATTGCGGATATGGTATCGGACTTGCTATATCGGATCGGATGTGAAATCGGAGATGTTAGGATATGTTCTTATCTCAACCGAAAGCGTTGCATTCGTCTATTGAACGAAGGATTGGAACATTACCGTTTAAGCTTAGGACACCACACTACATGCTATAACTACGCTATAGTGCAGATCATTGGGTCTTCTGGATGACGAGAGCACGCCTACATGGCTAATCAGGCTGAGCTGTAGTGACTCAGTGTTGTAGTAGTGAGTACCAACATTCGGACTTAACAAGCACTATGAATCCATTGGTTCTCTATCGTATGACGATATGTATTCTATCACGCAGCTCTGACAATCAGTCTGGATCAATTTCTATCACGGCAGTACTTACTTAACCTGCAAAAAATTCTCACTTGCAATAGGGATGGCCAGATCTCACCAATCGTCATGCCCTCGTAATCACAACAAGCAATGGGGATGTTATAACCATAGCCTGTAGATCTATAAAGGGTGAACTTTGCGATATTCTAGAATCTGAAGCTAATAAAGCTTTCCGCGGAGCGTTCTTATCTCTGAGTTCAGAGATGGATGACCATTAACGGTTCTAGTGTTGGAGTAACAAACACAACCCACACCGTGGTACTTGTCGCCAATGCATACGTACAAGCGACTTATGGTGTCATCGATATTGAATTTCGACTCAAATCTGTGGGTTTCATGGAGACGAAGACGCATGTAAAGTGTAGTTTCTTTATGGGAGGTCAGTGCTGAGCTTTCTTGGGTCGCTTCGATAGTGCACCAAAACAGATCTCACGAATGATATCAGGCTGTAAGACTACTATTATCTGATTTGCCTGAGATTTCTGGTTCATTAACTATCCAACCACATACCACTTATTATCAAGAAAGTCTGTGTGTCATGAATGATACTTCTCGCGGGGAGATGGAGCTCGATTCCGGAAATCTACTCCACCTGGTAAATTCATTGAGGAGCCGTGTTATTCTCCGGATTCCGCGGCTCCCCTAAGATTCAAGTATGTTTTTACGGAAGTTTCAGGATGCCGTTGAAGTCTTACTAGCTTCGGGAAGTTCAACGGCTCTTTCCAAGATTCGCTTCTTGCGACCATTAGTAACTCCTGCCCACTACGAACTGACGTGGCGCTAATAGCTACACAAGGGATGCAGAGTATACGCAGACAGGCTTGTAAACTGTGCTATTTCCGAGCTTTCAGCTGTACTGTCGATGATTTTGTGGCGTCTGACTGTGTTTCGGCCCGGGTCGTCTTGAGTAGTGTCATCTAAGCGACCATGCATTCCAACCATGTACGTGGTACTTGGTCCTTGCCTGGTCGGTCTACTGTGTATACATTGTGCAAGAATTTCATAATATATACTAATGGCGAGAGAGTCAGTTACTTACCCACGTTGCCCTGTGGTAGACTCAATCTCAGTGCAGAGGATAATAATTCCAGTTACGTACAGTTGCCATGTAAATATCCTATACAAACAATTGATTCCGACATCATACTTTTTTTCTCCTGAGTACTACAAATCCTACACCAAGTTGCTCAATTACAGAACATTCGACTGACATAGACACGACGCTGATAATACCCTGTCATCACATTCCGCACTCTAATTTTAAGCCAGAAACACAGCCTTACTCGGCCTTTCTCAACGGCGAATCGAGTCATACCACTCGCAACTATGCATAACCGTTTTGCGCATCATACCCCGAAACTTTACTAAATCAATCATCTTTGCGATGTTTGCTCATCCGTACCGTTCCGTAATCCGCTTCATTCTAGGCATGTGTGTGGCGCATTTTGAACATGCATATCTGAGATTGTAACTAGCAGGACATAATATCCAGTGTAAACAGCCAAGATGCCACTGGCTTGCAGCGAGAACTTGGCAAAAGTAGTCGCAACAAGAAGAGACTGGCTAATTTATATCTCGGTTTGCCAATGACAGGTAGCTTTGCAAGGAAATGTCGGGGGCTGCGCATTCCTGAAGTTATCAAGCTACTATTCGAAAGTTGATACCGACAAATTTCGAGCGCGTGAGTGCGCAACAACGTGATGACCAAAGTATTCGGGATTGGGTTTGATGCGGGAAGGTCATGAACAGAGCCGGGGTGCTGGGTGTAATGGCCTGCCAACTTAGGAAGTCAATGGGCCAAACGAGATGTTTCGGTGTAAATACGCATCATAAGACCGTGCGATCGCCATACAGATTAGCAGTATTATTATTTGGGGAATACGGGACTGGGAAAAATCGTTTGGATGATGGTCCGTGATCCGTGCGACGGTTCGCCGACTACTTGACAACGTGAAATCATGCGGTAACTACCTAGGTATGAGCTAGTAGAAGGGAAGTCATAACGTGACAACGCTATTCTCACCGTCGGTTTTGCTTCAGCCGTAGTTGCCTAAGTGCAATAAGTGAAGAGCCCTGACCTCTCGTATCACATAAGCTTGGCAAATAGAGATTCCGAATAATTTCGAGTAGGCTGTGTTGAACTCACCTGCAGGTCCATAGTCATCACCGCTGTGGTGATACCAAGAAAAGCCAAGCTAGTAGGCAAGTTGGCTTCGGAGTCAAGATCATCCAAATATTTTCCGAGTCCAGGCATGCTTGATAGTAAGACTCCCATGATATGGTCGAGTGCTCTCCATTGACTACTACCTGCACTTGCGGGATGACGAGATGGTGTTTACAGTGAAGTTGTTCTCGGTATGCGAGTTCGGCAATTCAATTCTGGCGAAGGTTTGTGTGATGCAATGCATTGCAAGCGCAGTGGTTGGAACGAATGGGCTGGATAGTTATATTCTCTAGGGGATTGCGTGTCGCATCAGGGATTTGGGTCGTTTTGCTGACAACGCATACGAAACTCGAGGGATGGATTGCCTTTGGTCAAAATAGGCTACTGACGTACATGCAACTCGGGACCAATCAGCAATGTTGCCAATATGCTGACTTGCGAAAAGAGGAAAAAATCCATGAGTTCTCACAAGCCCACGAACTCGGACAGCCGCCAAACGGCCAAGGGATGCGGACCGGGTGCGTCTTTAGTGATTTATGGGAAATCAGCGTGATTTTGGCGAGCGACGGTGAGGGCGTCACTCAACGTGCTGGTAGATTGTTATGTTGAATGTCTAGGCCTGGAGCTGTGATTGTGAAACCAACCCGATCGACGAGTCCCCGCCCACGCATACGGGTAGAATGACGCATGGACAGAGCTCAGTCTGGGCAACACCAACTCATGTGAAGAGTACGAGGCTCGTGATTATTACGCGTACCGTCTCGTCTACCGTCTTGTCACCATCCGCCCGTATGCAAAATAGCGAAGCGCTGATTCGTTGCAGGCTCTAGAGCGCCTTTTGTGTACGTATGCTCAGCCACCACTGAATGTCGATGCCCAAGACCGAACACTCGTCCCTAGCGACCACGATAAGGCCGCTTCCACACCATAGGCCAACTACAGGCTTTGGCACTCAAGCCTCAAAGAGATCATGACGCGTACCTGGTTTCCAGCACTTCCCGGCTTCTTCCTTCCCAGAATCAGAGCTCGCGGCGGATCCCCGCGTTGACCGTATAGGGACAAGACGCCATAGACCCCACGCGAAGCTTATGTTCCTTGTCTGATGCCTGTGTGGTTATGTACTTCTGAGAAAGGCTAGCTTCTACATCTTCCGACATATCACGGTCTAGCATTCTTCTGTTGTCTCTTCACTGGTATGCCAGCTTCACTGTCGAGTATAAAGCGACGCCCGCCCCAACAGTTCAACACACTCAAAGAACGCACAGGTCCAAATACGGGCTTACTGGGCTCAGCTCCGCCTGCGATTCGTCTTACATATTATTATCATTTGTCAGATCGTATTTATATCCTCGCTTGACAAGCCTCCCGACTCCCCCTTTGTCTGCCAGGTACTGGCCTCGCTTCGCACAAAATTGCTCTTTGGTTTCGACATTCCACAACTGTCAACATGGGAATCGGTAAACGTTATCGAGTGGCTGCAAGCCTGCTAGCACTGGGTAAGGCCTATCATCTACATCAGATACGAATATTCACTAACAAAATGCAGCATCGCACGCCTCAGCCCAAGTCGCGAGCGTGTGTCCGAGTACCGACGTGTGCTTCAAACTAAACATTCCAGAAAGTACCACCTCGTCCGGAAATGGAGACATCTTCTTCCAGTTATCGGCGCCTAGCACTTACGAATGGGTTGCCCTCGGCCAGGGAGAAAGCATGAGCGGTTCCAACATTTTCGTCATGTACACTGCTGGCAACGGCAATGTAACTGTCTCCCCGCGACTGGGAAGAGGCCACCAAATGCCCGAGTTCAACAGTAATGCGCAAATCACTCTCCTTGAAGGCTCAGGAGTTTCCAACGGCAAGATGGTTGCAAACGTCAGATGTATGCGTTAATCACTGCTACTCTAGGGAGAGAAGTCGCTAACATTGCCTAGGCGCAAGTTGCAACTCGTGGTCAGGAGGCTCTGCAAGTTTCTCTGGAAACAATGGCAACTGGATCTATGCCTACTCCTCATCAGGAGGTCCCAAAGATACCACCAGCCAGTCGGCAGACATCCCACAGCACAACCAAGAGGATAGCTTCTTGTGGAGTTATGCAAATGCAAAAGGAGGAAACAGTGTCAATCCGTTGCTCAGTGGAAGTACTTCGTCTGGCACAGGGAACGGGGGTTCCGCGTCAAGTTGTATACCTCGCGCTGCTGCAAATACAGGGTCGTCTGGAGCAAGCGGATCAGCGGCCAGTGCATCTGTATCAAGCAGCGCCGGAAGTCCGGCTGCCACGTCTCGTGGAGATGATGACGACGATAAGACCACGAAATGGGGTGGACGTCCGACACAATGGGGTTCACGGGACAACTCGTGGCCTACAGCAGCTCCTACAAGTCAAGGTCAAGGTTACCGGGAGAGTAAGTTAAACCTTACCAGATGAGGAATGATGTGCTAACAAAAATTGAAGAACGGGATGATAACCCCCAAAACCTCCCCTATTGCGAGGACAATAGTGGCTTCACATCCCTCTCGTCCACAGGGGGTGGCTCACAGACGACCAAGATGGTTACAGCGCACGCAGCTCTGGCGGCACTGGCTTTTGTCATGTTCTTCCCAGTTGGTTCCATCGCAATCCGTCTAGCATCTTTCACCGGGGTAGTCTGGTTTCACGCTGCGTTCCAGGTGCTGGGCTACCTCATTTTCATTGCAGCCTTTGGCATTGGCGTGTACTTGGCCAGTACTATGCGCATGGTAAGAGACGAAGCTACCGAACTGACGAAATGTGTATGCTGACATGGTGCAGCTTCAAGAAACGCATCCCATCATCGGAATTGTTGTATTCGTCGTCCTCTTCTTCCAGCCTATCCTCGGGTTGGTTCACCACTCCCTCTTCAAGAAATATCAAACCCGCACTATCTGGTCCCATGGTCACATTTGGATTGGGAGATCTGCGATCACTCTGGGTATTATCAATGGCGGCCTTGGGTTCAAACTAGCTGGTGATGTAGGAAGCAGTGGAATGATAGCCTACTCGGTTTGCGCGGGCGTGATCTGGCTGATCTGGGTCGCGGCGTCCATCTTTGGCGAGACCAGGAGGAAGAAAGCGGCACAATCCCCGCCTGTGTATAAGGAAAGAGACACCCCGAGGGGTAACTCTGATGAGCCATTGGGTCCTGAGACGAGCCATGTGCCACACCCCGAAAACGGTCATTATGCGCCCCCGAAGAATTAAAGCCACCGAGGAGCGGATTTGTTGTTTACGGCCGTGCATTCAGCAGGTAGCGATGCAGTGTACTCACTCCTATGAGATATAGTCTTAGATAATGAATTCTGTCATTTTCAAGTCAGCCTTTCTATCAACTTTTCCCAGTCATGTAGTCGCAGATGAAAATCGATGAAGATGTTTTATATGGTCAACGATCCGAATTGAAATGTAGCCTGATGGATGTAAGCATTGAAGAACTTTACATATGTATGTACGTGTGTTTGCTAGCATGGAAACGTGATAGAATTCTCGGACCGACCCATGGATGCTGAGATGTCTTGCACGCTCTGACATTTTGGCGCTAGTCCAGCACAGGAAAAGCGGGTCTTGGCAGGTCGATGGCGGGGGATTCGTTTGTTTTCCATGCGGGCTGTCCAAAACATCGTCAATAAACATCACAGCCGTATCTTCACTTACGCAAACACTACACCCACGGGTCTCCCAGTGAATCTTCGGTCGAAGCATCTCTATTAACTCCTCTCTGAGTATTCAAATATCTCGTCAACCAGAGCCCATCATGGGAGAATCCAGGTGCGGAGACCCCGCCCCCAGCCAACTTTTAGGGGTTCGATCGCATTTGCTAATTTGCCACGATCTTAACCAGACAAGAACTCATCGCCTGGTTGAATAACCTTCTCCAACTCAACATCACAAAAGTCGAACAATGTGGCACTGGGTACGTCGTTGCAATCGAGGCGGGCGCATAAATGGCTGCCTGGTGGGCGAAGCTGGACATATACTGACGAGGGGTTTCAGAGCAGCGTTGTGCCAGGTCTTTGACAGCATCTTCTGTAAGAATACTACACCGTACGCTCTCTTCTCTCACCTGCTAACGATCGGACAGATGATGTGCCCATGGCGCGTGTCAAGTTCGACGCTAATACCGAATACGCTTATCTACAAAACTTCAAGATATTACAGAGTGCGTGGTGATCTTCATACGAGGTTCCCCGATGCTGATGCTGATGCTACTGCAGATGTATTCGCTAAACATCAAGTCGACAAGCCTATCCCGGTCACGCAGTTGGTCAAGTGCAAGATGCAAGACAACCTCGAGTTTCTCCAATTCTGCAAGCGTTATTGGGATCAATACTTCCCCGGGCACGATTACGATCCGCTTTCCCGTCGCAAGGGAGGAGCAGGTATCTCTACTGGTGCCGGTGCTTCACGACCCGCTGCCTCGACCGCTCGCCGACCCGCCGCTAGCAACTCCGCCGCGCCTCGTACCCGGACACCACTTGGGGGTGGAGGTGGCGCTGCCAGTGCTGCGCTACGTGAGGAGAACAATGTACTGAAGGAGACCGTGACTGGTCTGGAGCGCGAACGAGACTTCTATTTCAGCAAACTCCGCGACATTGAGTTGTTGATCCAGCAAGCCATGGAAGCCGATCCTGAGCTTGAGAAGGAAGACGGACTTCTCAAACAGATCCAGGCCATCCTGTACTCGACCGAGGAAGGTTTCGAAATTCCTGCAGAAGGCGAGGTGGGAGAAGAGGAGACATTTTAGGAATGTTCCATCGATGCATTTGAGCGTTTGGGGCTAGACTGCTGGGTGAAGGATACCATTTCTTTGCGTAATCATGATTGATGAAAATCGGGCCGCGAAGCTTATTAGCTTTGCGACTCAAGTGTAGGAGACTTTGTGTTATATGGGGAATACATCATTGCTGGGAGCCAAAAGCGTAAAGGGAAAGCAAATCAGGTTTGCCTTGAAGCTAGTACTTCGCATGCATGGGCACATATACATGGTGCATTTTATTTCTCCGGTTGATACCGCCAGTATGCATAATATGAGGATGCTTCACGTTGACTTTCCGTGTTATCGTTTCCCGCATCCACCCCCTGGACGTCTTTTCGAAAACAACGTATGCTTTGCACACATGTTTCGATCACCAATGTCATGTGCCCTATAACTATCATACCCATGAGTTCATTTCAATTGACTAGGATGCTGTGATGATTGGTTGGTGGCAATACGAGCCCGACCGAAAAGCAGTTCAGCGGCAGCATAACAAAGGCATAAATATCGTAAATTTAGATATATTCGAAATGGTTCGATATAATTTGATCAGACGGCAATTAGTACGCCGAACTCTATATTAACACTTTGTAACAGGAAGATGTAAATCATGCGAACTCTTCGAAGCCGGCACTTCATCTTCTCATCCTAGCCATCCTGCCGGTTCTAAGCTTTGATATCGGACGAGGCCTTTGCGCTCCGACTTTTGGACTGGTCGCTTTCGGAAGTGACGCCGCGGGAGGAGGGGGTGAAGGCACCAGACCAACGGCGCGGCATTCACCAGTGATAAAATTCGTCTGGGCCGCGGTGGTTGGTCCTTTGAATACCCCGTTGACGGGAGGTGCAAAACAGATTAAAGCGCTGCCTGGCTGTCTCACCGTCTGTCCTGCAGCTGAGCATGAAAAAGGGAATGGCCGGCATGCCGCCCCCTGGCCGATGACTCCAGTGCAATCTAGAGCATTGCGGCATCTTGTCACAGGCGCAGTCACGGGTGGCGCCACAGGCCTAGGTGCAGTTTGGACTGTCCCGGGGTTTTTCGTTCTTCTGCCCGTGCCTTTCACTACTGGGAAATTGACGAGTCCACCAGTGGAGTTAATGAGAAAACCTGCGTCTTTGACGTTCTCGAGGTTGAGGGTGGGAACTTGAGGGATTTGCTCAGGTGGTGGGTTGATTGTTGTCTCAGTTGTATCAGGTCTTGTTGCGTATCCGGTGGAATTCTGAACGCAGAGAGACGGGTCTTCCCATGTTGCCGCTGCCGCATCTCTCCATAGTTGAGTCATATTGTAGACGTTGCCCAGTGTATAGTAGATTCTGCATTGGGCGGCATCATATTTGAATTGAAGTGGGATCTCTTCGCCCTCGCGCATTTGATCTCGGATGTTGAATGAAAGGAAGTCGAGGAATATTCCGGTGTCGTCCCTGTTTGGTAAGCGCGACAGGGCCGACTCATCACCAATTGTGTCGATGAGAAATTCATAGTCGGTCAAGAGATCACCGTCCGTGTAAAATCGTGCTCCTCTTGTTCCACTCGCTGTCTGCATGGGGCCTGGTGTTGGCATTCCACCAACAGTAATTGTCCGTACTCCAGCTTGGTGAGTCATCAGTTCAACGAAAAGGGAGCATGCTGATGAGCATGTACCATCTGTGAGCTGATATGGGGTTAGACTGTGTTTTATATGATATAAATGCCTCCGCATGAACTTACAATAACAATGTCTTCTGCATTCCACACAAATTCTTCGAGACTATGATCTTCGTTGATGAAGTCAAGAGGCAACCACTCGAATAGAGCCGCGTTGAACAATGGATCAGTCAAATTGTAAAGTTGCTATGGGCGTCGCATTAGCTTGAGAGTTCGAAACGTAAGATCATGCATCCCATACCTGTCGCGAAAAGTTGTCGCCATTGGCTTGCACTGGTCCGAAATATTCTTGCCATGAAGAGTAGTTTCTTCCCGTCTCCGGGTTGATACGGTTGTGAATGACCCATTCATTGTCTGCTAGATTCTGGTAATCAGAAGCGTTGGCTGCAGTTCCGTCCGTCTCTAATGACTTCCACCACTCAGAGTAGGCCGTCCCGAGAATGTTCGCGGCTTCGTGACTTCTGATTCGGCTTCCTGTGTATGGTTCCAATCCATTAAATAGTCTCTTGAACAGTGTGAATGCAAGTAGACTCATTCCGCCACTGTTTTGTTGTAAATCGATGATGAGCTGTTTTGACTTTCGTGCTGTGGCATTACCAATGAATTGTTCAATGGCAGCATCGAAGTCGGTTATTTCTTGGTCCAACATGAAGAAACTCGGTATACTGAGTACCGCAGTTGAGATGTCATCGAATATATAACCAGTTACGACGCCGGTTCCGGAGACGCCGAGCCCGCTTTGAGCGACCACCGGGTCGCTTGGGTATGCGCCACTACTTTCAGAGCACCAGCTTGAGCCCAAAGTGTTGTTGGTAGGACACCCAAACACGTCTTGGGCTGCTTGCTCGACTTCAGACTCATCAATGAATTGTTCATCCCCAATCGCCAATGTGTCGTTCAAGATATCGTTGTCGGACCACCATTGCGTCGGCGCCTCAGGATCATAACCACTGGGCACCATGCCCAATACGAAATAGTTGAAGAAGTCTCCAGGGGTACTCATGGGGCCAGTGTTCATGTCGCTCGTATATATTGCCAACCATTCAGTGTTGAGTGTGCTACCGTTAGCGAATGCGAAATCTAGTTCATTCCCCGGGTAAAATGTGCTTCGCTGAAACAAGCTCAGTCCGAACTGAATATCTCTTACGGGGCTGTCCATGAGGGAATTCCAGTCGGCATTGGACTCCACAAAGCCTTCGGAATTGAGAGCAGCATGCTCAGCCAGGTATTCCACTGCGTCTTTGCCGTTGATTTGTGTTATCGGTGATGGATTCCAACCTTCAAGTTGAGAAAATACCGCATCCTCGTAAAGATAGATTTCCGGTGCCTGCTTGCCATCGCTCGAAGCGGAAACGAGACTGTACGGGCTTGCAAAGGAGAAGGCAGCGAGGATTCCAGCTTCGAGGGAAACGTGGTTGTCGTGCATGCGATTGATCAGGTGATGAACCTCGGCTTCGAAGGCGTATTGACTGTTTTTACTGTCAGCATCAAACCCATAATCCGGAGCGAACGAGGGAATTTTGATTACCTAGTGTATTCGCCAGCGTTAATCTTGGCCTGGATGGCCGACAGTCCATCCTGGATATTTACTGGCGGTTGTTGGTAACCAGGCGGGGGATTGGCGAGATAGGCAAGTGTGCTTTGATACTGTAAAGTCTGACTGTAGAATTCGATAAAACGATTGGCGTTTGCCACACTGAACGGGACGTTTTTTAGACATTCGAAAACATCGGATGCTTGGAAAATTATTTGGCCTATTAACACGTTAATGATGCTCCAAGACATGAGTTTTTGAGATTGGTACCTTGCGCGACTTTCGACATGACGTTATGACAGTCCTTTGCTTGAGCTCGTGCTGCGGTCTCATCCATGAGTGTACCATCTGTTGTGCCCGGAGCTTCAGTACCGGCAGGCGCTGACATGGCACATCCCCAGAGAGCAGATGCAATAAACCAAAAATTAAACATGATGAAAATATAAACTGGAAAAGAAACTGTATGGGTATAAAATAGTGTCGGTAGACGAAAGTCAGGAGTGTCTACTCCATGGAGACGAAAATATGCAAATGAATGAATGAATGAATGTCTCGGTGCTATAGCCGTAGAAAACAAAAAGGGTATGTTGATTTCACAGAATACACGCCTATGAAGTCCGGCCAAACTAGTTATATCTCACGTAGTGTACGCTACTGAGGAAGTATCCCTAGTCTGAATCTGACACCAGTATGCAGGCGCAGGGTGCTCGCGGGTACAGACAGCCCTATAATTCGGATACCTACAGATCTGGGGGCCTTTCGAATACGGTTAGCGCTTACGAAATTTCCAAAGGCCAAAGGAAAATGGGGCCAAATGCGATGATTTTGCAGGGGATCATGATGGCTAACTAATGTGAAATTGCTTGTGTGCCACGCATACAGCCACATTCTGAGAATACGGACTTTACACCCCTGCTGAAACTAGACCCAAACCAGGGAGACTTGCTATGAACTTGTACCATCTTGCTCCATATGCCTGGGCCATAATTTAAAGCCTTTCTCCAGCTTATGTACTATTCGAGGGACTGCTGTTCTTGGGGCTTCTGTACAGGCCTCAACTCATGGTCTCGGTCTGCGGCTGACGATGCTTCGTAGGATTACAGACATGAGGGTCACGGGGACCGGATAAACGACACATGTAGAGATGAGACGAGCCTGACATGAATTGAAACTGTATAACCGTCGTCCTCCAGCCGTGCTCTAGGAAGGCCTTATCTCATGGTCGGCAGAGCCGGCACTGCTCAATCCACGACGACAGTTTGGTAGAAATGCATTGCTACACCTGAAACGTATAATGAGCCCACGCATTGGGTAGTCGTTCCGTAATAGTGCTCGAACATAGCCCCTAAAATCTTACAATTGGCTAGCCCTCTTACGAAAGTCTACAGTACCGACGCGATATTTTCAGTGCATTAATTTCCTGCAAGGCCGTTGCCCCCTGCATCTACACCGTACAGCCACATCACGGCGAATGACCAAAAACGCTACATGCGACACGTATCAGATCATCTTCTCGTCTCCAGTCGGGCGGGGTCATTCATCTTGATTTCTCAAATGTCGCATGTGAGCCTTTACCAGCTGTTGCAGTGGGACTTTCAGTAACATTCCCGTACACTTGCCTGCTTCGATATCATCGGTTCTCTGCAGCCATGAATCAAGGTTCCGCTTCAATACCTGCCTACTTCAATACTACCCACAAGCTACCATTGGACGTTTCCGAGCAGTTGTTCTATCCTACATTTTTACAAACAGAGTTTCTAGCATGGCTGGACCCCAGAAAATCTTGGCAGCTGCATATCCACGGTGGCCCAGGGCGTGGCAAGGTAAGCAATTGCATTTTATTGCCATCCTAAGGAGACTAAACATTCTGCACAGAGTACCTTGGCCGCCGTTTTCTCTAGGTATTTGCGAGAGTACACGAAGCTTCCCGTAGCGACTTTGTACATCGAACAAATTACTCAGACCAGCGGCTTGGGAATTTGCGCTGAGGATGTTATGCACATGGTAACCGGGCAGCTGCTCCCAGCCATACCTTCCCCAAGACCGCAAGTCCCGCAGAGAGACTCAAACGAAAATTCATTGCAACCTCTACAAGATGCACTCACTCATCTGTCTTCACAAAGTTCAATCGCATTCATCATCATAGACGGGTTGGATTACCTACCGTCTCCCGTTCAAAGTAGTCTGGAAACTCTCCTGCAAGGATTGCATAACGTCAAGATATTAGCTACAAGGCGATCCCCATTTCTCGATTCACGTAGCGAATGCTTTTGGGCATGCGACAGCTGCACAGAAGGCGATGTGATAGATCCGCTCAATCTGTACTGGGAATGCGAGCTCTGCGCCTCACTGTCAGATCAGATACCGGACTACGCGGAGCCCCAAACGCGTTGGAATCTATGCTATGAATGTCATAACAAGGGTATAGTATGTCCCGTACAAGGGCACGAAAATTCTCTGATCGAACCCTATCGATACGTCAATCTCTTGGTTCGCACTCTCAGCTTGAGCGAGCTTATCAAGCAAGATCTATACCTACAAACTGGAGTATCCACTGCTGCCAATGCAGTAGATCAGGACGAAATCTACAGTCCTATACAGAATATCATGTATGGTAACATCAACCACGCAAAACTTCGGCTTGATCATGACCGAGAGCTGCTGAGTATGCAGAATGACAAGAACGATCGACTCCCCAGTACTATAGTTGCCTACTTTGACACGGAGCTGGAAAGGATCGAACCGAACGACCCATCACTGAGAGCACTGGTTATGATAGCTTTGGCAGCCACTGTGCCTCGCGACCATCTGCCCCCCAACGATGACGATTCTAATATCGATGAGATAGAAGAGGTGCTCGCAAGATGCGATGGGGCAGTGACCGATACAGACATGACCAGTCAGTGGCCAAATCTAATGAGAGCGCTTCGTGCAGCACGTGGTCTCATATATTTGGCCGATCGCGATGTACATTGCTACGACGTAGACTTCGCAAAATATGTCGCCGAGGATTGTAGCAGGGATCTGATTGAAGCGTACCAGCAGTTGGATGTCATACAGAAAGCAATTGCAGCCGAGTGTTCAGAAGCGGATGCAATGTTTGCGGAAAGCGAAACTACGGCAAATCTGGACATAGCCGGCGATTACCGGCCATATCACTCAAGTCTGAACGCACAGTTCTCTTCACTGGATGACGGCCTATATCTTCCAGGAAATGAGAATTTCACATCAACAAGCTCGCCTCCACCTACAATTTCTCGAGGAACGAGTGCGGATAGCGATAACTCTGCGTCGATCTCAATATCTTCAGTCTTTTCGCGTACCAGCACAATCTCTTCGGTCAGCCCTCCAGATGAAGTGGATGATTTCGTCGAAGACAAGACCCCAAGCAATACATTGGAATCCGAAGAGATATCGCGGTCGAAGACTATATGCACCTATTGCACAGAAAACATATTGGAGAGTAACTCGTTGCAAGGACTTCACAGAAAAGATAGTATTCAGTCAACCTCCTACACAAGCTCGCAGTGCTTGTTTTGCTCCACAATCTACGAGTCTGAAAGCATTGATCCGGCTGGAAAACAAGAAGAAAATGCAAGCTCTATCCCGACTATTTGCAATTGGAGTTTACGGACAAGGGGTCGTATCTCAAACCACGGGGACACACACTCGATCATCTTTCAGGAATCCTCATCGCAAGCACCAGCCAAGAGATTTCACATGCTGATGGAACAAGACGTTTGTCGAGTAGCACGAGTAGATGATTTGGGGAATTCCACACATCCTCGAAATACGGGTGAACAGATCCGAACGTGGATATCAGCATGCGACCACACGCATCCCTATTGCGTGCAGATAGATCCCGAGCCTTACACACCTAAGCGTCTCGTCGATATTGATACAGGCTCGAGAGATATGATTAGGGTGGTCAATACTGCTAAACATGGTATTCGAGGACCGTACGCAACCCTTAGCCATTGCTGGGGCAAAACTCGCTTTCTTGTTCTTCTTCCTGATAATGAAGCCCTTCTCATGGGCAAGGGGATATCCACCTCCGAACTTGCCTTGAACTTCCGGGAATCGATCGAAGTGGCACGGTCTATTGGAATGAAGTACATCTGGATCGACTCGCTATGCATCATGCAAGGACCTAGGGGTGATTTTGTAGAGCAAGGGCAATTTATGCACAAAGTTTATCGATCTTCGTACTGTAATATTGTCGCGGCCGACTCGGCAGATAGTGAGGGTGGGCTTTTTCGAGAGCGAAACCCTAGCGATATCGTCCCAGCCACATACGAAGCGGATGACGAGTCGCGGTTTGAGAAGGGAACATGGAGAATTCTCGACGAGAACCTTTGGAATAAGGAACTTCTGGGGAGTCCTATTTACACCCGTGCTTGGGTATTCCAAGGTATGTGTTAATGAGATTCCGACTCTCACCGAAAGAATTCACCCGTGCCAGAGATTGTTAACAAACCTACAGAGCGCATGCTGTCCCCTCGACTCCTCCACTTTACCAAATCACAAATCTTTTGGGATTGCAGTACGCTAAGTGCCTGCGAAGCAATTCCAAAGGGTCTCCCACACGCCGTAGACAGACATGCAGTCGTGGACCGGCACTGGCGCGGCCGTCTCAACGAAACTGTCGACGACCCAAACAGTCCCCCGCTGATAGGCCCCAACGCCGATTCACTGGAGAACTTCTGGAAAACAGCTCTACTCCGCTACACGAAGTGTAACCTCACGGACCAAAAGGATAAGAGAGTGGCAATATGGAGTGTGGCGAAGCTAGTCCGCGACGCGCTGCAGCGCAAAGGTCCGGGCGAGGAGTACGGCGGCGGCCTCTGGGCTCGCAATCTACACGAGCAACTAGCCTGGCGAGCCGCATCTCCATTCAAGAACGCGAGATTGGATAAACTGCAGAGTGGATCACCGAGCTGGTCATGGGCGTCAGTCAAAGGCCCCATCCACGTCCAAGATCGATTAGTGAATGAAAGGGATTACGTTGTAGAAAGTCACCAAGGCGAACATATCGCTTTCAGGGTCAAAACTGGGAGTCGAGACAAAGAGCCGGAATTGCAAGGGACTGGCTCCATCGACATGAACTGTTATCTTGGACGCAGTGCTATCGTTAAGAACAATTCATTCCTGACACATCGACTCACGCTCGGCGAAGAAGTTTCAGACACGATACATGTATTTCTCGACGAGACGCCAGAGCTGGAAAATTTGCAATCGATGGAATGCCACTTTGTCATACTGGCTGCGAGTCTCGATCGCCACCACAAAATAACGCAGACTTCGTATTCAGGTATAGGGCTTGTTCTGGTCTCGCTCGACGCGTACAAGATGCAGCAGCAAGCCAAGCTCACTGCGCTGGAGACTCTCAGAGCTGAAGGGCAAAGAACGGGTGTGGTAGACGAGGAATTAGACAATTGGTACGAAGCTTGCTCGGTTTGGAATCAGGAGCTTTTGGCACGATGCGAGTCGCTTGATGTATCGGAGCCGCATTTCCGCAGGATCGGGGCGTTGCAATTCAGCGGCATGTCTGCCAATACTTGGGCGCAAATTTCTGATCCTGGGAGGAGTAAGTTTTGGTTGGATTGAAGTGAAGAGGGTATATAACTGGTGTCTATATTTGCACTCTTTTCGGGCGTTCCGGTTCTGTTATGCGAGATATCAGTCACTTTGGCAGGCCATCAATGGAAAAGAGCATATGCAGGTTACATGATGTAGAAATTCGAGGTACTATCGCGGTTAGAACAAGCACTTCCCTGTCATACGCTACCATCTGAACTTCTACAATTGTTACATTTATACGTGACGGTGTAGGATGTGGATCACGGTAGGTCAATGATCATATTTGGACATACTAGCCCTGTTGTCTTCTGTGTTACCAGGAGACAGCGGTGATCCCAATCATCACTAATCTACCCCAAGTCCGATCCCAGCCTCATAGTGGTAATGTTTTCACTTCTCACCTGCTGAATATGCTCAATGGCCTCCAGCAAATGCGGCACAAACTTGGCCGGGTTTTCCGTGGCAGGGAAGTGGCCTAGATCTGGCATGGCCTTGTGCTTCGCGCCGCGGATCTTGTCGGCTGTCTTCTGGGACATTTCGGGCGTGTTGGACCAATCGTACTCGCCCGTGAGCATATAGACGGGGCAGGCGTTTGTGTCGATGTTCGCAACGCGCGAGCGGCCATCCCAGCCGCCAAAGTAGAAGTCAAGGTCGCCATGGAATATCTGGTGGAATACTTAGTGACGCGTGGTAGCTGTGAAATTTTGAAGTCATACACCGTACGCTTGGCTACTGTACGTATGCCATATCAGTTGTTTGTTGGCTGAGGGCGCGGTTGGGGACATCATCTGTGGTATGTTAGTGGATGCTATCTACCACCGGGTCGTGGAATTCCATACCCCGTATACCCACTCAGGGTTGAACAACGACTGGTTGACATATGGCGACCGGTCATTTGAATTACGATCCATGTTAAGGTAGTCAGAACTGCATCTTTCAGCACAGCAACGATCTCTGTTGGGGTCAATTTTACCCTTGTAGTGGAATGGCGCCTCCAGCGCCGACTTCCTTGTGCCTGATAGCCACTGCCAAACAAACCTGGCCAGCCATGCTTGCTCCGCAGATAATGGGTCTTCTAAGACCGAGTGCTTTGACAAAGGAGGTGATAATGCCGACATAGCTGTCTTCGGTATTGGTGTGCGCACCTGGGTGATAATTGCGAGATGGAAAGCTCCGTCCGTGACCAGGAAGATCGAAGGCATACATGATGCACTTCTGTCGCATTCTAGAATCATTCATAACGCCATGGTACTGCCTTGAATCACTTCCAGCGGTATGCAAAAATACAATCGGCTGTTTCCCGTCGCCCGAGTACTCATAAAATGTCTTGACGCGTCCCCAGACTGGCGCATCAAGGTATACATACTTGCCCCTCAGATGATCTTGCTCAGATTCTTGCTGGGTGTCTTCCTTGATAGGCCCGCAGTGCGCATCGTGCGCTAGCTCTAGCACGCGTCGCCAGACATGAGTCCATTGCGAGAAGGCAGTCTGATCGCCGAGAACTTCAATGCCCTTCTGCTTGATATTCATCCCGAACATGCCCCAGTAGCTCTGGTATGGCGCCACGGGCACGTCTTTGAAGAATTGCTCCCATTGCTCTGGCAGAGCGGACAGGCTGAACAAGCCGTCCTTTGCAGAGCCTGTCTTTGCTTCCACAGAGCCATTCTCGACAGTGACAAACAGTGCATTGTCAGAGCCATTTGAAGTAATTCCGAAGGTGACGGGCTTGCCAATGGCGTTGGAGTTGGTGAAAGCTTTGAGCTGATGGTCGGATTGGAGGAGCTCGGTAAACTTGTCATGACTCTCTTTGAGAGCAGATGGTAGGTCGGACCACTTGGCCATTGTTTTGAATTGGGGCTCAAATCCGGGAAGTTGCTTGTTTCGAAGTGTATACAACGTACGGGACACACAAAGGGTCTAATTATATGGGAGGTGGAAGGTCATAAAGAAACGCAATGGAGGGAGAGGGTGCCATTCCAAGGCATCCAAAGTCTTGTCTTCCGGTTCCCCAGGGGCGGTCGATGAGGTCAGGAGGGGTAGCAATGGCAGGTCTTGGAGCGGGGTGATGGCACGTGGGACGATATCGCAGCTCCATAAGAGGCTTCGAGTGAGTGTAGGCTAGTGACTTGGGGCGACGACGGTGTGAAGGGTGAATGATAGGATGCGGGGAGATGATCTTGGGTCCGGTGTGGAGTCGCGGCCGGCGGAACGGGTCTAGCCCAGGGTCTCATCCGACGCCTCCCTTGAAACACAAGACTGAAGGCCTTTGGTCATCGAACTTGTTCCTGTGCCAATGAATATCTTCATTTATAAGATGCTCTTGGTGGTTGGCATCGGAATGTAGATGTGATTATCCTCTCTTGGCGCTGTAGCGCTATGTAATCATCATGGCAACGTTGTAATCGCGCTAGATGCAATTGAACAATGCCTGGAAAATGGGAAAACGATACCTGATTCGAAACTAGGAGTAGAGTTACGGGTCGATGGAAACAGCCTTTGCACAACTTGGGGAAGCGTGGAGCACCTTTGATGGAGATGTTTCTTCGTACATGGATAGTCAAGGGACCTACCTGCATGGCATCGGAGGAATTGCAACCTTACGTGCAGTTGCAACAGATGCACATGTGGATACATGTATGTAGGTAGAGTACATCAGACTACAACAGATGCCCGCGTGTATATAACTGATAAGTTTAGTCATCAGGTTGGCCCGACTTCAGTTATATGTACTTTCGTCACTGGTTGCCGGACGAACCACTCCAACGGCCCAAGACGGACTAGCGCAGACGCGATGACGTCCAAACAACAAACTCTTAGGGCCAGCCAGCTATTCATCCTCTCTGTCTGTGCCTGTTCGTCGAGCTCCCCACTCCACCACGCACACACGCACAAGCCCCAGAGGCGCGTTATTTTTCTTCACCTTTGTGCGCATCGCCGCTCTTTCGGCTCTTCTTCTCTTCTCTTTACTATATCTCACTCCCTCTCTAACCCGACTCATCATGGCACCACCCGCCCTCGTTGACCGCGGCTCTCCGAAGGTCATCCCAAACAGCACGCGCCCGCTGAAGCCATCGAGACTTCCATCGCGCCTACGCTTGGTCATCCTGCTTGTGCTGAACCTAGGACTACAGGCAGGATTATTATCGGCCTCGTACGAATATCTGGGCATCAATGAACTGGGTTCCATCAGCAAGCAGACCGACCCAAGCGACCTGATCACGCCTTTGGCTCGCCTCGCGTACAAGGTCGTTGTTGTCTGGCTAGGATGGAAATTGAACTATGATTGTGAGGAATCCCGACACCCGCTGAACAAAAGACAGTTGCTGACCTTGCCCAGTCATCGACATCTCTGCATTGACTGCCATCACAAATCTGCCTTACGCTTATTTGCTTATGACATACTTCAACATCTCCATCACCGCAGCCGCCGCTACGGCACTCAGCGAGATTGTAGCCATTGCGCTGCCTACCTACCTCTTGCGACCGCGCTCAGCCATCAACAACCACAACGCGCCCGTGCCGAATCGCTACCTCCTCAACAGTTTCCAGGTTAACATTTCCAACTTCCTTCTTGCGATTGGCGTCTACGTTGCGGTACTCTATTCTGCTCTCAAGACTGGACAGTTGAATACATTTCTCGTCTCGTACGGTGACGTCAAGACTGTGGAACTTGCTTACGAACAAGCTGCCAACCCATGGACACTGCTCGCGCATCTTCTCATCGCTGGCGCCGCAACCAAGACTTTCATTCTCAACCCATCCATTGGTGCGGCGCCAGCCCCGGGCGACGTGGCCCCTGTGGAGCAATTCGACCCCGCGAGTGCCAACCTGTCGCAAACCCTCAAGCACAACTTCTGGTTCTTCAGCCAACGTACCAGAACCTTGATCAAGCAGACTTCGATTGCGAGCGCGTTCTTGATGGTCAATACAGTGCGCAAGTGCTTGAGTCTCGATGGCTTCTCGAATACAGCTGCTGCAGGGTACGCCGGTCTTTGGGTCGTGGCGAACATCATCTGCGCGGGTTGGTGGGTTTGGGTTGGCGATGCGGATTCGTGAAGGAGTCACATATAAATCGCAGCCTTTTGGCGTGTATTGATGTGTCAGTAGGGGAACCGGCTAACAGTTTGTTACTTGGCGCTGACGGTGGCAATGAGAGTGGGGGAAAGGCGGAGGGATGTTTGCGCGATATGGGGGAACCACTAGATACCACTTTTAGTTGCTATTTCCCTTTGCTTTTCACATTTGTTTAACTGGGGCTACTTTGATAGTAAATGTAATAAGTCTTTTACTTTGACGCTTTCATTCGCGAGATGCCGCCAGCGCAAAAACCGAGGAAAGGCCAATCCAAGGCAGAGAAGCACAGGAACATATACTCAAGTACTTGGGGGAATGCTGCGCAAACATGCGACATGCACGTCGAAACAAGCTTGGGTGAATGCTGGAGCAGCACTAAGCATGAGGCTCGTGTCTAGCCAGATGCTTGGCTTCTGGCGAGTGACGATGGGCTGATCTGAATCTTGCAAGAAAATGTACTGGTAGACAAAAAAAAGTCCCACCCAAATCGCGTCAACGTCATGTATATCCACCCGTACCCCAACTCGAACGACAGGGTGAAGATGGGCGGTACCTGTACATGTACTTGTACGTCACTTGGCCAAATTTGCGGGAACCCGACCACCACACAGGCCCCACGAGCAATGCACTGTAAATCATGACATAACGTACAAACACAAAACCCTCGCAGCATGTGCTCACACTGTAGAGACGACCCACTAATCAAGAGAGGTCAAGCTCGGAGCTTGTACGGTGTTGGCAAGGATAAGCTTCGGTATGACGTCGCGCGTACACCAAAGGGATCGTCGCGACCCGTCATGGGATTGATTGTGTTGTAGTGGAATTCTCTTTTTTTGTTTGTTCCGCATGCGGGCGTAGCACTTGCTGTATTCACTGCTGACGAACCTCGAATGCATTGCCGCGACTGGCTGGCTGTGACGAGCCGGTGCATCCGATCGCTGATGAATAATGACTGAAGGCGGGTGGGTGGTGCCAGGAGGGGGATACAGTTGGGATCGACGGTGGTAATTGTGTCGGGAGAGTCAGAGTACAAGTGAGATGATGGTTAGTCGGAGTAGGTAGTCAGATTATATGTGGGAGCAAGCGCGGAAAGCGTTACCGGCTATTCGCAACGAGATTGGAACGTTGAGTAAGTACGTACCTACGTACCTACTTGTACAAATGGTGCATGCTACCCGACGCCGCCACTGCCTTTTGTCTTGACTTTTCCTTCTCCCCTCTTCTGCTTGCTCTCGTCTTTCTGCCTTGCTGCACTTCATCTGCATTGGTCTACGAGGATATTTGAACAGGACACAACAGAAAAGTTATTCGTTCATCAGTACACTCCGCCTGCCTAGTGCCTATTCCTCGGAGCCGTTATTCACACCGCAAGCATCCATCATCGCTCTTCAACATTAAATCGCCACCACACAGCCAACGTCACCATCGCAATTCCACTACTTCCTTCGACCATACTTGCACCGACTTCGCTACTTGACCATCCCGAAAGATTAAGACGACATAGCCACCACCACTTTGGTCACACATCGTCGTCCCCAGCTGGATATCAGAAAGAACTAAGCAGCCGACCACCCAAACATGGCGGTCATTTGGGGTCTTGATCTCAAGGAGATGCAGTGGGGCAAGTTCAAGAGCGGCTACATGTGGAACACTGAATATCACCGTCGTCGGACCAAGTTCATCGTGTATCAGATCGCCATGATATGCTGTGTAGTGAGCGAAAGCTTGGGTACCGCTGTCCTGTCAGGTAAATACAACATCCCCCCTTGCTTCAATCGGGCCAGCCCAATCCACCCCCCAAAGAAGCTTCTCGGGATGAATGTTAACATTTGTTAGACTACATTGATCAACAAAACTATGTCTCGGGGAACTATCCTGGTGCCACGGTATGTAATTTGTGATCAATTTCAAAATTTTGATAACTTGTCAAAGTGACTCTGCTCAACATTCACTAACTGTGCTTCTAGGTCTATAACAACGACTTCGTGGGCGTAGCTTCCTACAACATATTTGTCGGCGTATATGTCGCGACAATCTTCGGATCGGCATTTTTCTTCGACCTTTTCTGGCCGGAGCGCCAAGAATCCCCCGCCGTGAAGCTCGCCTGGCGTATCTGCTCAGTGCTTGCATGCGTATTCACTCTAGCAAGCGCCCTGGCATATACTGTCATTCTTGTCACGCACTCCGCAATCGTGGCACCTGACGATCCCACTTCGCGCAAGCTACTTGATGAGTCCGGTGGCATGCCTTTGACGTACGTTGCATAGGACTATATATCAAGACACGAATGAACTTTACTGACTCGATATCCTTTAGGTATCGCAAAAACGGACGCGCGGTCGCGAGTGTCGTGTTCCTTTGGGTGGGTCTGTGCGGCACGATTGCGAGCACAGTGTTGCTCTGGAGGTCGCTTGAATATATCGACGAGTTCGGTCCCAAATCGAAAGCGGGAAGGAAATCACAAGAGCAAGTAGCTAAAGAGGAAAATGATGTTGGTATCGATGACACTCGTGCCACTTAGGTACACAGGAGACTACAGTGTTCTCCATACTTACGACCAAATTCTAATGATTAATCACTGTATTGTATAGCTATTATCACGTCGCGCATTAACAGATACCAGAATCAATATCACTTGAGCATTGTGCATAATCAAAATCATTCCTTCCCATGTAGTCAGAAAGTGAGACGACGGAACGAAGAACAACAGGTCTCCCTGATGAACAAAACTCTGTTTAAGGGCTGTTCATGAACGACTGCTGACTCTCCGCGATTCAACACATCATATAGTTTGGGGATGAGTATACTCGAGTTTTTTTCTTGTCCGAAGTAAAAGTGACGCTACCAATGACTGGTATACTCTTTGCCGGTACATTGAGAAACCATGCTTTCTGTCCATACCAGAGGACAGAACGAGGTGGCCACTTGTCCCGCAATATAAAACACAAGGCATTTCATGAACTCGACCGGCAGAGTATATCTTCCTATCAATGATGACAGGCGTAGTAGTGATCTCATATAGAGTCTAGAGAGTCTCTTCCTCTTGATGTTCCTTATATCACACCGTTCTCCCCGGCCAAGGGAGCGAACGGGCGTGGGGAATCTCTTGTAACAACCGGTCCCCAACTACCCGATGAGGACTATATCTATATAATTCCATTTATCGGTTCCCCCCTCGACTTCTTCCCTCTCCCTCTCCCTCTCCCTACACTAATCCCAACCCAAAGAAAAGAAAATCAAAAAATAAAAATAAAAATCTTAAACACGCACGCAAGTAATCACTTACGGCAGCGTGTATCCACCGTCGATGATGGTGTCGCTGCCCGTCTGGTAGCTACTCGCCTCGCTGGCAAGGTACAAGTAGATACCCTTGATCTCGCTCGTCTCGCCTTGGCGGCCCAGCACGGCCATGCGGTTCGCCTCGTTCTTGACGCGGTCTGAGGCGCCCATGGGCGTGTTGAAGAATCCCGGGGAGACGATGTTGACACGGGCGAATTGGCGCCATTCGCGGGCGAGGGATTTGCCGAGGTGGGAAATGTATGCTTTTGTTGCGTTGTAGATCTGTGCACATGAAGGTCAGTTGTTTTGTTCGGGTTATCAATATCTCTCAGAGAGGTGATTGATTGATGGAATTGATTCTGAGATGGATGAGCGCCAAAAAAATAAAGATTGTTCCATACCGGTTGGTCAACAGGGACATTGACAATATGCGCAGAGATACTACTCGTGATGATGAAGTTACCCTTGCCTTGCTTCTTGAACACGGCGCCCGCGAATTTGGCGCAGTACACCACACTGTCCAGATTGACGGCATTCATGTCGCGGACCTCATCGAGCTCCATTTCCAGCAGGGGCTTGCTGCTCGGCTTTCCGGCATTCGCGACAAACACGTCGAGTTTGCCAAACTCCTTGACGACGTCCTCGACGCCCTTTTGCACGGCATCCGCGGACGAGACATCGACTTGATACGCCTGGGCTTTGACGCCGTGCGTCGAGGATAGCGTCGACGCGAGGGCTTGCGCCGGCGCCGGCTTGGAGTTGTACCAGAGGGCGACGTGGGCGCCTGCTTCGGCGTAGGCTTCTGCGATGGCCGATCCGATCCCGCCTGAGGCGCCGGTTATCACGCACACGTAGTCCTTGAGGCTCAGTTGCTCGAAGATGTTGGTGGGGCCAGAGGGAGGGGGGTTGGCGGGTCGCTCCGCGGCGCAGTCTTCAATGGTCATGGACATGTTTGCGGTGGTTCTAGAGTCGAGTCGAACTTCTTCTTGGGGTCGAAAGTTGTTTTGTAGATCAAGAGTTTGCGTTTGTATATATGTATATATTCGAGGTCGGCAGTAGGTTTAGTTTAGATGGATATAGGGTTTCCAGTATTTGTGGAGAGCGGGGTACTGTTGACTTTGAATGAAAGGCGGGGGAGGGGTCCAGATTATGTCCTCGGTATTCGCGCGTAGCTCAAAATGAATGACTACTTTGAGATCTGAAGTTCCGCTTGGCTGGTGGGTATCTGGATCTCTATGACGTTGCGCCTCACACGAGTCCTGCTTTGCGACGGCCTTGGCCATCATTTTATGTGGAGCGCTTCAGGTCGGCATTGAGATGGCGGGGTTGGGCAGACGGCCTGGCGGGCAGACGGGCAGACGGGCAGGGACATGTATTCAGCATGGTGGGATTTCGAACGGCATGGTGTTGAGGCTGCGAGTCGCGAATAAGGATGAGGTATCTATGTTCCACCAATTGCCGAGCGCCGGGAATATACTCGCATAGCCAGAATCGATGTACAGTACATGGTAGGAATCAATATTAGTGGGGCTTTTAACTTACAGGCGGGAACCTTAGCCGAGGATACATGTCTGACAAGCTACTGCGAGTATCTATTTGAATGAGGACGAACTCAACAAGTTTGGAATGTATTGTGTGTTTGTCTACTACTTGCACCAAACCCCGTACAAATCCGCTCACACTGAAACAGTGGGACGGTGTAACCACAAGATACCACCGTTCTGCCTGTCTGTCTACATTTGGGTTAAGTAAGTATATCTATATACACTTTGGGATCTTTGTGCACTTGTTACCCTGTCACATGTCAACTATATATGTTCACTCACAGTCCTTCAGCCAGCCACCCGTGTCCACCAGGAACTAACAGTATGTTTACTGATATTGTAAACTCATAGTTCTTACCGAGAAGTGTCACGCTTAGATATTCCAGAAGCGGGGATCCTGTTTACCCTATCATTTCGTATCAGTTTGCCCCCCGATTACATATGTTGCTCGACTATTCTGGCGGTGGCTAAACGTAGTCCGTAGAATCTGAAGAGGGTGACGAGTAAGGAACACACTTGCATACTCTAATGACCTCACAATTCTCAGATGAGTGGTAGGATAAAGGCAGTCATAGATAGGACAGGGGCGAGCGAAATAGAGAGAGATAAAAGAAAACGGTGAGTACAAGGTAGGTAGCACAGGTGGCAACTTCTTTACATCCTTCCAACCTCTCATTCCTGTCAGATGCTTCTTTTGACTGTCAACCGACATCTCCAATGAATGAAATACAAAATGACTAAGTCTAATATCCACGGTAATAATGATAATGAGTCTATAGTTTCTCGTTGGGAAATGTTCTTGTGCAACTTCCACCCCGTTCCTACGCCTTGCGAAATAGTTCTCCATGTTCAAATTCGTCATTTATCCCTACACCAACAGCGACTCCATGCGAATACATCATTCGTATCTCTATGCCTTTTCCTTGTTGCGATCGAATGTGTGCTAGGAACACATTAGGAACACACCAAAATCGAACTTGAAGATTCATTATGCAGATACATCTCGTTGGTCTACACGCATACATGACGAGTTTGGGTAATCATCAATGTAATAAGGGTCCCAATAACGGAAGTGAGCCACAAATGAGAGTGAGATATGACTATGGGGGATCAAGCAGGAGCGGTGGGGAAGGGAAAAGTAAAGTGTATGATCATGACAAACGACATGAAACCACATAGACCGGTGATAAACGTGTATTTATAAACAGGGATGAATAAGAGATGAATGAACCAGAATCAAGCATATTTGGTCCAGTATTGCATGCAGATCCAAAAGATCGACGTTCCCTCACATCTACAGGACTCAAACACATTCTTAAATGAAAATAGAGATAATGTAAATGAAGACTTGTAAGAATGGAAGGAAGATGTGGCCAGATATCCAGGGAAGAAGCGTCACCATGGTCTCTGGTAAATAAATTTAATGAATTGTAGGTTGGAGTTGAAGTGATCCCACATACAGCGATATTAACGACTATGAAGGTACTGAATTTTTGGGTCATCGCCTGTTTTTTGGTCCATGTATCGTTGCTACTATTGCTGTGTGTAGCATCACCCAAACTCCAACTTAAAATGTATTTGTACATGTATACATACATACATAGGTAGTTATACCTACATCGCGAGAAAAAAAGAAATATGTGGAATATGCCCTATAGTTGCGTGTTCCCATATTCGAGAAAACGCACCACTATCCATCAACACACATATTCATGATCATGTTCACGCCTGCCTTCAACGCAACCCGCAAGCTAAACAGAGGCCAAGCAATACAGGAGAGAGAGATAAAGGAGTGGCAAGAAGTGATATAATTCCCTCAACCCAACCCGGGCCGCCTACCAGCACCCGAAATACCTGGCCAACTCCACAGCTTCGAATTTCGGCCCGAGAAAAAGGTTCGGCATAGAACGTGGCACTCCAGCTGTCATGATTCGAACAATGACTCGGGACCGTGATCCTTTGGCCGCGTTGCTTACGTGTATGGGGCGGACGGCGACCGCGCCTCGTAGGGCCAGCCGTAGCGGCATCACGACTTGACATGCCACGCTACAAATAGGGAAATAGATTCGCACATCTGAAGTTGTCATCTTGGGCCTTGCCACGAGCAGTTATCCCGTGGTGGCGTATTACAAAAATAAGTAGAAAAGATGGAGGTGGGACGATAGCTGACTGTGGTTGGAGAAGTGGGAAGGAAAAGGAAATATCGCCGGACTGTCCAAGCGCAAGCGTAGACGAAACCGCACATAGGATATGGACTTTGCCGTTACGACAAGCATACGTAAGAAGAGGCATGGTCCTTGTCTGATTTGCCATTCTTCCACGCGAGTTGGTAGCAGAATTCGGAGGATGTCATAATGATGCAGCACGAGAAAGGTGGAAAGCTGTATGACTCGAAAATTATTCCAGTTACTCCGGTGACTGTCACATATTCCATCTTGGCTACGCAAGAAACAAATACTGAAGATTTGGAATATGGTATTCTGCACCAATTCTCAAACAGGTGCTGAATAATATTCCATGTAATAGCTTGGGCCTACTAGTCTTATCATGACAGAGTCTCAAGAAACGGCGTGCCCGAGGCGACGGGAACCCGATAGTTGGTGCCGTTGAGAAGGAATCATGATAGGATTGCTGGAAGGCCTAGCCGTGGGATTAGAGTCGATCATGTATGGTTGCGGAGTCATGCTCCGCAAGCTGATTGCGGAAGGTAAAAGCCGTGGGATGCTGATGCTGATGGCTGTGCTGGCGCCAGTGCTGATCAGAGCACGGGCGGGACGGCATGGAGGCCTGGCAACGAAATGGGATGGAATGGGATGAAGTTGGCGAAAAAGCAACAGCTTCACATGTGGGGGCGGAAGGGTGTCGAGACTGGAATTCTCGGGTCGGAGCACAGCACTCAGTATCAGACGAGATGTGTGTTGCAGCCGTCTTAACCAAGGATTGCGTGCGCCAACGTTGGGCATAGCATATGGGCAGGCATATGGCAGAAAAACGTGGAACGTTGTTGGTAGATTGGCATGGAAGAGCCGAGGCGATCAGGGTCGACCAAATACTGCAGAGCCGCATGAGTGGAAAGCCGTTTCTCGCGAAATGAAGTGGGTCTTTGACAGCCCTCGTCCGCAGCACCGAGGGATGGCTGGGTCGAATGGGAGCGCTCCAAAGGAAGGCGGGAGACGTCCGGCGCCATGGGTACAGCATCTGCAATTTTAACTTCTTCTAGAAGCTGATGTTCAGCCAGGCCGCTCACGTGGTATACTATACGCTGTGGAGAAGGCAACGGCGGTGCTGCGTGAGCGTCAACTGACCGCACCAGCCTGGCCACCCAGAGACGCCACGGCGCGAGGTGCTGGCACGAAACATCTCGAAGGTTATGGGCTGAACGAAGCATCGCTGAGGACGTGGTTGCTTCAGCTGTCGGTTAGAAAGCGGTTTCATCGTCGTAATTATTCCATGGTCACGCTAGAGGGCCGATGCGCGGAAGCTTTGCCGTCGGCACGTCTGGTGTGAGTTAACGTGTTTAAGAATGGACAGCAGCATCCTAGTTGGAGGAAGCGGAGCTAGCGAGCCGCTCCCTGACAGTCCCTGCTGGACCCGGAAAATCAAAATTAAACGGTGGCTGGGATGCTTGCTGCTAGGCGGGAAAATAAGGCTGAGGAAGCCTGCAGAACACGCTACTGGAAAGGGGCACGTCAGTGCTCCCAAATGACTGTTAGGAAAAATAGAGGCAAAAAAAAAAAGTTGGCAACAAGGGGCTAGCAAGTCCAATATGGAAAAGTGTTTTGAGCGCCTTGCCTTGCTGCCTATTGGACGGGAATAGGGAAGCTGACCGGGAAAGAATATATTGGTTGCGAAAGCACTAGGAGGATGGATGGTGACTAGCAGAAGGATACGATCATACGGAGATGATGAACAGAATGGTGGTGTGTGTGGATTGGTCTATATGTCTGATGCCTTTTGGCGGCTGAATCGATGAATGGAAAGCTGGCTGTCTATCCTTGGCTGTTTGCCGACGAGTTGCATGTCGAGGGAATATGGGCGACACGCTCACACAGTACGGCGATCCGCCATCACTCGCACGATGCTTCCGGGGCCTGCGATCTCTACCAGCTGCGAGAGTGTTAGCCAATCGAGAAAAACGTGCAGCAATGGGCGACGGGCGACGGGAAGCTTGTTGGTGGTGGGTGTTGGTGGCATCGAGATAGGAAGGAGCACGGGAGTAACGGTTGCGGACGTACCTTTTCATGCCAACTGAGCAAGACGCTCATGGCCTGGCCTCCACCCTCCCCACCACCACGGGAATGGATTTGTGAGAAGCCCGTGGCCTGTGGGGTGAGGTTCCGCGACGTGCTCGCTGCGCTCGTGTTGCTCTGCGCCATTCCCTTGTAGCTAGTGTGCCCTTCCGTCAGTACGAACAGAATCCTTTCTCAAAGCACAGGCGCTGATTTTGCATGGGCATGGAGGAGAGCCCACATACATGTATTTCATCAGCACATCCAGAGCCTCTGATCCACCAGGCGCACTGTATATACGGCTCAATATTGGTGACATGTCGGCCTGGCGTATGGATTGGAGGATTTCAATGACGGTTGCTAGATGGACTTCCTATTGTGTAGACAGATGCACGTTAGCCTCGTTTCCCCGGGGTGAAGACCACAAAGTCAGACCACGCCATGGAATAGACACCCCGTCCTGGGAATTGGGAAGCCCCAGAGCCGCAGAGGTGCGCACGCGCTTGGGGATACAACGGTGACCAAGGGTGACTCGGAACGGCAATAAATAGCCTCGCACAGCGTTCCCCAAAGCTTAGCCCAGCTCCACCCATGGACGTGAGCTAGATGGATGGGTTCATAGATAGATGAACAAGCAGATCGATCAAGAACCAAACAGCAGGAACATGTTCCAGCGTGGCCGCCTGTATGTATGGATGGATGGGAGGATAGGGCGCGGCCACAACGTGACGTGACGTACCTTGGCCTTCTCGTCCCCGCCATATGGCGGATTCTCCAGGGCACCTTGCAGCGCGCCCTCGCTGTCTCCCCCTCTCAGCAATTGACGTATCTGACCGGCAAGGGACTGTACATCGGCGGCGGACACGGGCTGGACGGCGGGCGAGAGGGAGCTGAGGTCGAAGTTGGCGGGGGAGTCGGGGTCCAAGGCGTCAATGTTGATGGTGCGCCAGTTGACGGTAGCCATGGCGAAGAGCAGGCGATCGAATCGGGCGATGTAGCAGCTAGGCAGAGCAAAAGGGGGGGTGTCGCAGTGGCGGGCGAGGCGTGGTGATGGGGGCGTTGGAGTGCTGTGATGCGATGAGGTTGCAAGTTGCAAGTGCCCGCAGCAGCTGCTGGTACATGGGCGGGGAAGCAACAGCTCCACTCTGGGTCGAACTCGTCCCAAGAATGCTTGGCAAAGACCTGCCTGGAGCCGCGAGCGTGGAAGGCCCAACCCACCGGACCACTATCAAGGTACCGATTGGCAACAATCTGAGCGTTGCACAAGCAAGGGCAAGGGTCGGCATCTTCTTTCTCGTCTGTCTTCATACAGCCTGGCGGCCTACACATCACCAGACAGCAGCACCCAGCAACGGTTCAAGGGCGGCCGCCGGCAACCCCCAGCGGAGATCGGCGGCGCCTATGTGCGACCATGGCACTGCAGCGGATCGAATGTCGCGAGAAAAATCGGTGGATTGCAATTATAATGTCTATCTGAAGTCGGCCGGTTGTGTCGCGAGACACAAGGCAGGAACCGAGGCTGCCATCCCATCCAGTCTAATTCCCCAGCAAGGGCGCCTTTTCCGTGGACGAGGCGAGCGGCTCGGCGAAATGCAATAAAACGAAAAGAAAGAGAGAAAGGGAAAACAATAATCAATCGTCTGCTGGTCATGAACACGCGAAGACGCGTCCAACCCAGCCTGCCGAGCTATGTAATACAAAGAGGGTCCAATGCCGAGTATGCCAATGAAGGCAAGCAGAGGATGTTCTACCAAAATGTCCGGGTCCATCGCAAGAGAAAAAAAGAAAGAAACCGATTTTTGGTATCCATTGCCCGAGCCCCACCATGTCTAGTTGAACGCCAAAAAAGAAACTTTTGTCGGAGAAGGAAAGCAAAGTGGTTGCGCAAGCGGGCGCAGTAAGTTGTACAGTGATGCAGGGAGGGCATTCGTGGTGTGTATGGAGGCGAAAGCGAAGGGGGTATTAAGCGTGTCGGTCGAATCGAAGAGGCGCTGAGTATTACAATTGGGGTAATCCCAAGGTACGTGTTGCAGAACCGTTGCGCCAGGAGGGAGAGAAGAACAGAGGTCCGGAAGAGGCAGAGTGGGACAAAGAAGAGTGTGATGTACAAAAGGAAGGTCGTGGTGGGAGGGAGGAGTCTACACTCAGAATGAGCGGCGGGATTTGGCGGCGAGGCAAGGTTCATACTCACGATTGGCATTTGGGCCTCCCTCGAAATCCCAGACAGAGCTGTAAACAACGGAGGCGAAGACGCGCGCTAGCCATCACATCGGCCGCGCGATGTGACAACCACTGCCAGTCGTAGTGGATTCGCTACCGAGGACCGTCGAGGAACAGCTATCTGAGCATCTCTACCGCCTCTTGGGAGGAGGTGGAGGAGGCTTGGGAGTGCCAGTTGTGTCGTAAGCGCCGCGGCCCATGTTGTTGGCGTCGTTCGTCCGGAGGATCATTTTTGGATTTTGGGGAAAAGACGGTGGTTATTTAAGTGGGTCTGCTTTATATGTTAGTGTGGTTTCACGAGATGTCAAATACGACGTCTTGACTCACGAGTGGGAAAGTGTATTATTCGGAGATTGTGGCGTCAGACGGAGCTGAGACGGCCAGTGATGGTGTGCGAGGACGTGTCCAGAAGAAGTGGCAATCGATAGAAGGCGGCACAGTGGTGTGGAATCGTGGACAAATGTGGCAGCGGGCGTGGGGGGCAGAAGATGTCAAGAGGGTGAAGGCGGCAGAGCTGGTCTCGCGCGAGGAATGGAGTCGAGGATTAGAGGAGGAGGAAGAGGTGTTGTGTGGGTGGGTGGGTGTTGTATTGGCAGCTGGCCTTGGGTGAGAGGCGAGGAAAGGAAGGAGTGTGAGTGTGAAGGCAGAAACCCAAGTCGGGCGGTGGGTGGGCAGTATTCATATAAAAATGGGCAGTGGTTAAAGGGGTCTGTTACTGACTGACTGACTTGCACACAACTGGCTTGGCTCGCGACGAGACAAAATGAAATTGGGCGACAGTGCTCTCTCTGGCATCCAAGCGCCTTTTTTTGGGAGCAAAGACACACAGGCACACAGACGCAGACACAGACGCAGACTGCTCCTGGCTTCATGACGTGCCGGGAGACGGGACCTTCGGGGCTTGTTTCACTTGACCCTGGCCCTGGCACCGCGTCCTCTGCCTGCATTTCCACGTCTCCAAAGCCAAAATGCAGGCGGCATGGATGGATCGACAAGCTACCGGCGAGAAGGTTCTCCCCCTTGTTAGCCCACATGCATTCCCCTGCCGCGCCCCCTGCCACTCCACCACCCTCTCTGCACCAGCTGCAGCCCGCCCGGCCTGCATCTCCACCCCAGACAGACAGACAGACAGACAGACAGCTCGACAGCCAGCCATCCCATCCCATTCCATCCATTGATCCAGTCCATGCCGGCCGCCACGCTGCTCACTGACCGAAGGAGAATAAAGGAAAACTAACATGCCTCTCCTTGGTGGGTGGAGCCCGTCTAATCAGATCCCAAGTCGCCAATTCGTCTCTCTCCTGTGCAGTACCTGCAGGCAGCGCTAAAATGGTTAATCGTCCGTCTCCAACGGCTCTCTTGCCCTCTTTCTCCCACCACTCCTCTCGCTCTGTCTTGTGTGTCGTCTACCCGAAGTAAGGTAAGAGACGATAATATCACTCACGCATCGTCGTCATCATCATCTTACCTTGGCCTGCTTCGCGCTGATACTATCCTCCTCGCTTTTGCCTGTTTTCTTTTTCTTTTTCTTTTTCCTTTTCCTTCAGGATTCCTCCTCTGCCGTCTCGGGCTGATCCATCGTCATGTCATCTATCTCTGTCCCTGCCCGCCACCCACGCACCCACCCACACCCACACACCAACACAACGAATAGATGGCCTTGCAAGTGTTTTTGCTCGTGGACAGACGGCCAGATACATGTTGCCCTAATCTGCATCCGCGCGGGATGTGTCCTGATGCTCTGCCTTGTCCCTCTTCGCTCAGCTTAGATGAGACTGTGTCAGCCCTCTCGCGCTGCTTGACCATGTCCGTGTTGCAGCAGCACATCAAAAGTCATGCAAACAGCAAAAGAAGACGAGCTCAGCACGAGTATGAATCAATAGCAGCCCAAGGAGCGCCTATAGCCGCGGATGCTGTTCCCCGGGCGGGTGGGCCCCGTCGTTGCTTTTGTCGCCGAATCCACCAACCCCCATCCATCGTCGCTGTCAAACCCGCATCCATGCCGTTGTTCCACTTTCTCATCCCTAGCAATTCCATGCTCTGTGCTGTGTCCCTTAGCTACACCATGGCCATGGTCGCGGCCTCTCGCCATGCCGTGGTCCACCACCCATAGTCATCATCATCATCATCATCATCATCACCGCCTCCACGACCCAGGTAGTTGGATGCAAGCGTGCGTGCGCGCGAGTGAGCCATCCATGGCCTCTCAGACTTGGCTGTGCCCGTCGCTCTTCTCCCACCTGCAAGATAAGCAAGCCCACGTTGTTCAATCTCCTGCTCCGATTACCTGCCTGGCTGGCTGCTTTCAAAGCCGCGTTGCGATGGGTGAGAACACGGCGTTTCCTGCAGGGCTGCCTTCCCTCCACGTGGGGTCCGTCTGCGACATGGTGCATAAAATTATAATTGGCCATGCACCTCCGTCTATTTTCGGCCCTTACTGTATCCATCCCGCCCTCACCTTTATTACCCCGTCGTCGTCGGCGGGAGACAGAGAGACGCAAAGTGTGCCCTTCATTTGCTTTGCTGCACACGGACGCGGCCCTTGATTGTGTCTGTAGCAATCATCGCTGTCAGCGCAAATGAGCGTTATACATCAGTGCGCTTCCACGACAGGGAGCATCTGGCAAAGACGCCGTGTCGGCGCCACCATGCTACTCGCTTGGCTATTTGCTTCTGGAAAAGCTCTAGAAACGTTCGTGTTTGATCAGCCGCCGCCGAATAGAATATTGGCCTGCCGCTCGCCTCTGCCCCCCGAAAAAGAAGAAGAAGAAAATGACAAGGTTCGTTGCGTCTTGATTCTGGTTGGAGAGTGCAGGCAGCAAAAAGTGACACGTCTCAGGAAGCGCATGCGATGCGATAAATGCGACGTCGCGGCCCAATGCCATGTCGCCTTCTCCACCCTCTGATGGCACTCTGGTCGAAAAGGGCCATCACATACGACGCTCGCATCTCAAAACAACCTTTGTGCTGCCTTGCCCATAGTGGATGGCGAGAGCGATCACTGCTAGGCGGGGAGGCTTGCAGCGTCCCCAATCTGCATTGGGCTGCATGTGCTGGGATGTTGCATCCCGTTCCAACACCGTTTCAACGCACAATCGTGCCTGCCTTTGTTCCTTCACATATGAGACGAGCCGCTGTGACCCAATCGCCATTGCGCCCTTTTGTTTTTTCTCGTCTTTTTTCTTTTCTCTCAATTCTGTTTCTCTTCGTCTTCCTTTGGTTGAATCAGGCGTTGCTTCTTCCGATCTGTCGTTTGCTAGGTTGCCCGCGAAACGATTGACGCGAGTGAGTGCGCCTGCAGACAGACGGTGCTGACAAAGGAAGAGGGTTGCAATTGCTTTTGGCACGGAGCGCTCTACCTTGGCTGTGTTTGGAGGATGCTCCGTCCATAGTAGAGGCTGGGGTGCGGGATGATTGACACCCTGATGGATGGGAATGTGATATGTCTGTGGCAGCTACCAATAATATAATTGCAGCATGTCTGCGACGTTGATTCGCCCGCCCGGCTCGACTGCGCCTTGATCCTTTCAGTATTGCCTGTTTAATCAAATGACATTGGATCCATCGATCCCTTCAGGCGCTCGCATGGCGCCCAACAGGGGATCGATCTCGCATGTATGCGTATACACGTGTATACACGCATCGAGGTACCTGGATGCAGGCGTGCGGCTGCATCGATTGGCAATCAAAGTCTCGATCCATGCCAGCAGCAATGGCGAACGAAGAAAAAGAAGCGCCGACGAAGGAAGAGCCTGGCTGCGGGGAGGCGGGATGCCTGGTGGACAGACACAGACACAGACACAGACAGCATCATGGGCAGGCAGGATGCTGCGCTACCACTGTGAGACTGGCCGTCTCCCCGGTGGTTAGGGTTTACCGAGGGAGATGCAGTTTGCAGGAGCCACCTGGCCCCACCCTTGTGCATTCCCACGTGGAACGACTCACGGTGGAGCCTGCCCTGTTTCGTACGGAGTCAAAAAGCCTGGAGGGCAGGAAAAAAGGGGTGGCCGCAGACGTCCCATCACCACCCATTCTATTCAATGTTGCTGCCATCATGCATCATGGCAGGCTCGCCTCGCGATGACGGATCAGGCAAAAGCTGCCCTGTCTGCTATAGCCATGTATCCATCTATCGTACGGACATGCTGCTGCTGATGATGATGACCAGGGCATCCCGTGCACGGAAAGCTGTCGCCGAGCAGGACACTTTTCACCTCCAATTCCGCGTATGTCGGACCGGTCGACAAGCTCCCAGCAGCCCACCGCAACCGGCCATTAGCCGGTGGAGCGGCGTCCCAAACAGGCAATATGGCTTATAGGATGCAATCCAAAGCACCCTTCACTTATGTAGCAACGTTGTACCGCCCATCACGAACCAACGGAGGCATGCCCTTCCCAGGGAGATCAACCCGGCGCGCGGATGAGCGTCGCTGCTGCCTTTCGTCATCTGGCCAGCCTGTACCTTCTTGCCGTGCAACTGCAGAAGCATCCGCATACCTCGGCGAGAGTCTGTCGATCAGTCTGGTCCGCTTTCTCCTATTCACAGGGCAAAGACAAAAACTCAGTCGCGTGCTTCGACAGGGGCCAACGGTAGGGATCATCAGGGCGACGGCACGTCGGAGAGAATTTCGCCAGCCATGACTGATCGTGGTTGCATTCTCCCTTGTGCTATGGTTGTCCTTGCTCTGCCCTGGCCTGGTAACAGGAATTTCTGCTGTACACCCAACCCAATATGGAACGGCACGGTTCGCCGCGTCATCGCCTCCGCACCGCAGAATGTTGGAATCAGGACAAATGTATACCAACACGTGCCGAGCAAGCAGCTATCCGCTTTCTGCACCCGACCTCTCATCGACTCAACTCTAATTTGGCTACGTACGTACGTACGCCAAACAGTCCTTCTCCTCGTCTCTGCGGGCTAGCGATGCCCACTAGAACATTGATGAAGCACCCAGCAACCATTTGTGTGCGTCTCCAGAAAACTGAATCGTCAAACTCTGCCTGTACTACGTTTCGTGTTCACCAACAAGCAAACCACCGCCACACTGCGCTACTGTGTGATCTTGTTTCCAGAAACGTGTTTGTCGCGTTTCATCCCTCGTAGTGCAACGGTCTTTGCATACTGCATATCTTAGCATCCTTAGCATCCCAATCCCACTTCGCCAACGTCATTCATTACACTGGCTATACGACCCATCTCATGTCACCCACCCATCCACCCACCCATTCATCTTGCAATGATAGGGGCGCTTCGCGAGAAATGCAACCACCTACAAAGATGTAGTAGTTCGCTACCAACTCTGGTACGGATGAGATGGAATGTTTTCCCATTACGCTAGTCGCTATCGGTTGTGATACATAGATAAACCTTCTGCACCCTGTACTTCGATGCTTGTGTGCAGTCACAGTCGCCGTCCCACACGCACACATGACATCCGCAATACAAAATAAGCAATTCCCTCGGAGCGAATCCTCTGTGGGCGGTTCGATACGCATCATTGTCTCTTCAGACGGACTGAGAACCTGTTTTTTTTTTCCTGTACGGAAGCGTTAAACGATCACATGCGGGTTCATTGCCAACATTAACCACCATCACTCCGTAAGCCATAAAGACTCCACCAACAAAATGCTCCTGGGCATGAGTCCAGAATAGGCAGCTCTGTCCCGCACACATGGTCAGCGTTCAACTAGTCACAATTTCACGGCATTTTCTCATCATCTCCCTCACCACTGCATCACAGGGACCGAAACTCGTCCACTTCTCACCACATTATACGAGCAGATAACTCGCCTATACGAACCAGAAGATTGCAAATGTCTTCCTTATCTCAGCATGCATGGTGCACGCACTCGCGGCGGCAAACAAATCCAAATCGTTCTTTTTGATATTCCAAAGAAGGAAGGGCTGACAGTGCCTGTCCCTGTCCCCGAACCGGTGACCGAAGTCAGCCTTTCCGAATGCACAGTGAGCGACCAAAAAAGGGGATCCATTCACGCTTGCTTCCCTCCTTCTCGAAGCCCGTCCGTCCAGGGATTACATGCAGTGAGAATACCACAACAAGCACGCAGAGCCCGAACCGGAACCTGGCAGAGCAGAGCAATCAGAACAACGCATCGGACGTGAGCGAGGAGGCGGTCTTCGTGCGCGTGAACGGTGAGTCCAACGCGCGTGGCGGGAGGATCCCATCTACCCTTCCCTCCCTTCCCACATAATCTCTCACGCGATGGCAACGTGGCTGCGCAGACCCCCCACCCCCGATGACAAGGTCAGAATAAGCAGCAAGAAAAGTCAGAGGGAGAAACGGAAAATGAAAATCACTGGGTTTCGTCTTCTTGTCTAATCGGTCAACCTCAGTGAGTGTTAGTGCTTGGTCATTCCCGCCCGCAGCGCCCCGCCTTAGGCGAACGAGATGGGGGGTGGGTGCGTGTTGAACTGCGTTTTGAGGCGAGATGAGGGGGAGCAAGAAGGAAAATCACACACACTTTCGCTCACACACGCACACATTCAGGCTCAAATCAAATGCTCGCTTGCTCGCTCCTCTCGCTTCTTCGTCACGTAAGGCTGAGAAATCTGAGATGAGATGCCAGAGAACAGGCACAGTCATCGCTCTCGTAGGCCTTGCATGAAGAGGGTGTGAGGGCGAAACCATCAACTGGACGGACGGACGGGTCCGCATCTCAGTCGGTTATGGTGGGGGTATGTATGTGTGTTCCAACAGACGGTGGTGGTGGGTTGCTGGGTAGGGCTGATGGTTCGCGCCAACGTAACGCTGCTTGGGTGCTTGGGTTTCAAAGTGGGGCCCTTGACTTGGTTCGTTCGTTCGTTCGTTCGTTCGCAACTGATTAGATGACCACCCCCTTCTTCTTACACATACATATACATAGCAGCAATATCATTATCATCATCATCATCATTCCGTGGTGTGTGCTGGCATTCTTCTTACCTCAGCTTCCTCATGCAGAGTTTGTCATCTTTTTTTTATCATGGCAGTTTTCTTGATTACTCTTGGTTTGTTCTTCTGTCTTTTCTGTCTTCTCTTGTCTCGTAGCACTTGCCACATGCGGTAGTAGGAAATGAAGAACAAAAAGAAAGATAAATATAGATTTGAAGATGGAAAATAATGCCATCTTAGAAACTTGGTGGCACTGATTGGCTTCACGATTTCGTAAAAAAAGGAAAGATTGATTCTTTACCATCAGATCAGCTACTACGTGTAGAAGAAAAGAAAAAGAAAACCACAGATGATGTTTATCCTTTCCCGTACATGTTCTGGCTGCCATAGGGGAGGGGGTCCTTTATGTTTTGTTCTTCTCCATGTGTGGCTCCCAAAAGGACGAGCACAAATAACTCACTTCAGCCCACGAACCAAAACAAAGAAGGAAAAAGAAGAGAAAAGAAGGGGAAACCTTGACCATTCTGAAAATCCATCATGCTCTTTCTGAGTCAACATTACCAATCCGAAATGTAGTCGGCGTGGGGAAAAAAAAAAAAAAGTTTTTGCGTCCAGTAGGCATCTGTACGTCATTCGATTGATTCTTTCTATTACAGTCGAACTTATTTTTCGTTATCCATGGGAATGTACACCAAGAGAAAGGTCCCTACTGATTCCCTCCCCTAGGAAGAAGTCTGCGCGCGAGGGGACAACGCGAAGAGTAGGAAGAGTAGGAAGAGTAGGAAGAGAGGCTGTGTGTGTATATATGCTTGATATGTGAGAAAGAGGTAACTGCATCATCATCAACCCACCTCTTAACCTATCACCCGAGAAATCAAGAATCAAATTCACTTACTACTACTATACAGATGAGGTCCATCTTGACGGAGTCGAAGGATGCATATCTATTGTAGTTCCTTGACTCTATTCTTGATATTATTTTCTTCGATAACAAACAGTATATCTCATGGCATACTGGCAGTCTTGTTACTTGATCTACATCACTGACGTTTTCACTGCGATATATGATCATCATGATGAATGCCAACTCAGGAAGTACTCCAGTATGATGTTATTTGTATACAATATCACATAGATTCTAATCCTGATCAATGCGATTCACATCTGAGAATATACTCTACTTCTGTTGCTCGTGGTTAACTTGTTCTACGGTGTAACGGTATTCACTGATGCGAAAAAAGGAGAAACAACTGAATTGGCTGAGCGGTGGGATCAAACGAGAATTATTGACTACTATCCTGTACAGCGTCCCTCTGCGTTGGGGTTTACATGTCCTTATTTCTTTCATTGAAATTGGAACCAGAGGTGAGGTGAAGTTGATGCGATGATGGGTGATACATATATTACAGCTCTACGAATCCTTCCACACGTATATCAATCTAGTTACGAGGGAGGTCGTGGGGAAGAGCGGAAAGGAGGACACCATATGAGTTCTTGATCCATATATATGTCAAAGAGGGAAAAGGCTGTTATGAGGGTTGTTTTGTTGGTGCGGAGACTGTATCCCCCTCCCTCATTCCCCCTTCCCCCTTATCCCATTTTGCGGTTCCCCCCTCGTCGGTTCTTCATGGCTCTTACTTTCCATAATCGTTGTTATGGATAACCCTACCAAAAGGCTGGTACTGGAATGGATAGGTTGATGAAAAGGGTTAGACTTGCGTTGCGACGAGTGAAAGTGCAGAACTATCATCAGCGTTGAAGGTATCCAGAATGAATTATACAATGGGTATCCAGATCGTTAGGGTCTGTTAGTCCAACGGGAAGTTATTGGCAAATGTACGTCGATGAAGACGAAGTTAACTGAGTTGATGGAAGTGAGCAAGAAAGAAGCGGAAGTGACAAAGGAGAAGAGGGAAAAAATTGAAACGAGGATTTGGAAAAAAGTTTAGAAAAAAGAGACAAGAAAAGGATACGCAGACAAATACTAATACACCCAGAGAAGAAAAACGTGTAGGCCAAGTAAAATGCGAAGATTGTCAACATAGAGAAGAAGGGTATGCGCGCGCAGTCAAAAAGCCTCCTTGTCCCAATAAATGCGAAAAATAGCAACGCCGACTTGTGACCCTGCATCGATTGCATTTCCATAGCTTGAACCGCACCATACCACCTACCCGTTTATCGCTATCGTACGGCATATCATGCGAATATCGTCGTACGCCTGTACGTCAGACATGCATGCTTTCGACCTCATAGTATATCCAAACCCAACCCAATCCTCATGAAACCATTGTCACAACTAGTCATCGCACCCTTCATCATCGTCATCATCATCCTCTGGCTTTTCCACAGCTTCCACGTGAATCTCTTTGTCAACATTGCCTTTTTGATCGCGCGTGGTGATTTTGTATTTACCACCTTCCCACAGATCCTTGAGGGTAAGCTCCTTGGTACGGCCGAGCGACTCAATATCACCAATACGGTCGAGTGTCGCTTCCAGGAATTTCTCGAACCCGGGCTCGGCGCAAACTTCGTTGAAGGCCCGCTGCATGGGCACGCTGTCGGCGCGCACCATGGCGTGCGAGTCGATGGCGAATATGGATAGATCGTGGTGGGCGCGGATGAAGTCGGCGCGCGTCATGATGAAGCGCGCTTTGTGGAGTGGGAATTCCGGAAGGACATGTCCGCGCTGGGGGTCGTAGACCTCGTGTTCCATTTCCAGGGACTTTTTGTACAACGCAAGGGCAAGGACCATGGCAGTAGACTGACTTCGTTAGTGGCATGTCAAAGGGGAATTGGATATGTATGAGGGATTAGCTACCGCGTATTTCTGCTGGTCCATGACGTCGTCATCCATTTCCTCGCCGAGAATACCGCAATTATTGAGGAACCACGTTTTCTCCATCTGGCAGATTTCGTCGCACTTTTTGACCATGTCCTGAGCCTTGGCTACACGGTTCAAGAAAGTCAGGCGCCCTCCAATCTTGTCATAGACCTCTTCCAAAATCGTTGCCGAAGTCGCTTCATGCCAGTATTTCATTCTGTAGTTTCGCAACGCTTGCATGGCTCGATTCTTGGGAAGATCAGATACTTGGGTAACTTCCATCCGGGTGGCATGCTGCTTCAATCTCTCATAAACCCAATATTTGTCGGAGTTGATGATGATGGTGGCAATGTTGGAGGCGGCCCATTGCTCTGCGCGCTGTTGAATGAGCTCGATAAGATCGCGACCATTCTCATCATCCCTAATCAAGTGCGCCTGGTTGATGATCAAGACCAAAGGGCGCTTGACCTCGGCACGCCGCTTGAGGGCTACTTTCTCCAACTTGTTGAAAGCTCGCTCGATATCTAGCAAGGCACTGGCATCACGAGGGCCACGAATAGAAAATAGCGCTCCAATGTTGTCCTCGTGAAACTCAAAGTCCAGACAGCGGCCCAGACGGATTCGGAAAATTTCGGGATCTGCGTGAGCTTCCATCATGGAAACACCTTCGCCATCAATCTTGGACATGGCCTCGATCAACATGGAGCTCTTTCCTGTCCCTTTCTCGCCCAGGAGCAGGTGATAGCGACCTTTCTCTTGACCGCATACGATCCGATTGATTCGTTGCTGCTCCTCACGCTCAATCCATCGGTCGTGCTCACCACCTTCTTCGGGAGGGTGGTGGACGCCTGCCATGTCTTCCTTGGGTACCTCCTTGCCGGTAGCTGCAAGCTCCAATACAGGGTCCCCCTCTTTGAAAGCATTCTCTATCTTCTTCTGGACCATGTATTTGTAGTATCGGGTATAGCTGTAGCCAACCAGACCAAGAATGAGGATGGAAGCGCCAGTAGTGGCAGCGGCTTCAAACATCTTGAATGCCGTACCTTTCCATTTGGGATCCTTGGAATTGCCCGCGGTTTCTCCATCCTCATTTGCATCTTCTACGGCATCGTCCACGGGGTTCGGAGCGTCATTGCCAGGTGTCGGCGCACCACTCTGGCCAGTCAGACTGCGAGTGAAGGGTGAGGTGGAGGGCAAGCAAGGTGCTATACCAGGGTGGAGTCTTGTGCGGAGAGCATTGAGTTGTGGTGGACGGGGTTGAAACTGGACGTTTGTGCGTACAATGGCTCTTTGGAGGAGGGCAGGCGAGCGCATAAATGACATTATTAGATGGTCGGCGCGTCACGTTTCGCGCCACGACACTGGTTGGTTGTGGCCCTGGATTGAGACACGGGACCCGCCGAGACGCTCAATTGGACGGCAATTAGGACAGGAATCAAGGAAAAGGGGGCAGCGAATGAAGCAAGGCGACTACATGCGCGCAAAGGTTGAAGCTTGGAGGGGGAGGGTCAGGGGAGTGGTAGGTGGGCGATCGCGAAATGACGGACCGTTTCAATGGATGGGCAGAGGTCAGTGCGACATGGATTTTGGGATCGATTGAGGACCGGGCGTCACGTGCTGTCGGACTGCCATGTGTCCGGACGTGGAGGGGATGCTCGGAGAGGACTGGCACGTTTGATACGTGGTGATGATGAGAAGGATACAGAGATGGATACTTCGCTATGGAATCAAGGCCGTGCATGCCACGCCGCTGGTCCATATTGCATATCAAGCTGATACCTCTGGATCTGATTGACTGCGGTGCCTGCTTGTCCCGACGTCTTCCGAGGTTCCGAGCTCCAGGCTAACCGTGTTAGTCATAAAAAAAAGTTTCGCAGCATCATTCAGTCCACCAACTGCAGCTCCATCCATCCCTCAATTGCTTGACTTCCCATCTCTTCTCGCATCCATTCTGACGCGTGCCCCTTGTACATTAATGCTCCTTTTCTGTGCCTGTACATTATTCTTGCTGCCCTAGGCCTTTCCTTCCCTTTCTCCATCTTCTCAACTCGGTGTGCACCCAGCTGTGCAACCACCCATCGCTCCTCCGCCCTGCCAATTAGACATACGTCAACATCATCATCATCATGTCTCCTGCAAACAACAACGCCGCCAAATCTGGTAAGCCTTCGCCACCGTCATCGCTTCCTGTCTCCATCACCAAAACATCCTCGAAGGATGGCTAACCTGCCTACCCCGCCGTAGACTCCAAGGACGATGCCCTTCAAAAGACGTCGACCGATGGAGAGCCTGCAGTAGATGAAACTGCCAATGGCCACGCTGAAAGTACGTAAAATGCGGAGCCCTTCCGCCTGCCGGTGCAGTGCCTGATACAAACGATATAGACATCTTCCAGATTACCATCAAGCTGCCTCACGCCCCCTATGTCCATCCCATCACGGTTCGTTCATCCCTCATTAACTGCTCGTGTGATGTGGATTCCGACGCTAAAACAATTGGCAGATCTCAACAACGGAGCAAGTGCAGGACCTCCGCCAGGCTATCATCGAATCCCCCCAGCTCTACCAATATTCGTGTTTTCACCTCGAGCTCAATGGTCAACGCGTCAACGACTATGTTGAACTATCCGAAGTCCCTGGCCTCAAGGCTGACGCCGTTCTCACCCTCGTCGAAGACCCTTATACAGAGAAGGAAGCTCGCATGCATGTCATCCGCGTTCGAGAACTGATCGGCGCTGCGGGAGACCGCACCGATGCTCTCCACGGTATTACAGCTGGTCTATCATTGCACGAGTCAATTGGCCTAGACGAGAGCGGAAAGCCCAAGTACGAAGGCACCGAAACTACACCCTTGTCGGACTATGATTTCAAGGCCGGAGGTAATGTGAAGACATTGCTTGCTCCGCCTCAAGAGCCAGCCCCAAAGACGGTCAAGTCTATTTCCGTCTCGCCTTGGAACCCGCCGCCCTACCATCTGCGATCCAAGGGCCACCTTCTCTACCTCCTCCTTACCACAAACGAGAATGAGCAACATCACATCACGGCTACGGTTGCAGGCTTCTTCGTGAACAAGTCTTCCAATGCCAAGTTCGATCCTACGCCTCGCCAGGCGCCAAAGGCCCACTCCGCCCATTCCCTTCTCCAATTGATTGAGCAGCTGTCTCCTTCTTTCAGCTCAAACTTCAAGACATACTTGGAGCACACCCAGAAACGCGATCCTCTCACTTATTTCCAGCTATCCAATGCCATTCCGGCAAATCCCTGGCTGGTTCCAGCGTCCAGCTCTACCAACACATCGCATCAACCCGATCTCGCCCGAACACAGGAGAGCTACCTCATATCAGGTGTAGAAACTACCGAGACTCTGCGCGACTGGAACGAGGAATTTCAATCCACACGGGAAATGCCCAAGGAGGCTGTCCACGATCGTGTGTTCCGTGAACGTCTCACCTCGAAGCTTTTCGCCGATTACAACGATGCTGCAACTCGTGGCGCCATGCTGGTCGCACGTGGCGAGATCGCACCCCTGAACCCCACCGAGGCCAAGGACGCACAAATCTTTGTCTACAACAATATTTTCTACTCCTTCGGCGCCGACGGCGTCGGAACATTCACCACTGAAGGCGGTGATGAGGCTGCTCGCGTCGCTGTTGGCAAAGATGTTTCCGGTGTGCGTGCCGTCAACAACCTTGATATCCCCAATCTCTTCACCTCAGGAACGGTGGTGGTTGATTATCTCGGTAAGCGCATTGTGGGCCAGAGCATTGTACCAGGAATCTTCAAACAACGGGAGCCCGAAGAGCACCAGATCGACTACGGCGCGGTCGAGGGCAAAGAGATTGTTGCAGATAATGAGGTCTTTGTCCCTCTCTTCGAGCAACTATCGAAAGCGCTGCGAGTGAAGAAGCACCCAGTATGGGACAAGGACAATGCCCGCCATGAATTGGAAGGTAGTGTTGAGACTAAGGGTCTCATTGGTACGGACGGCAGGAAATATGCTCTTGACCTCTACCGCCTCACTCCCGTTGATGTTGCCTGGATAGAAGAACACTGGAGTGAACCAGGAGAGGATGGTGAGAAATCTGGCGAAAAAGATTACCCTCATCGCATGGCAACGCTACGACCCGAGCTTGTCGAATCGTACGGCCGAGAAAAGTTGCGCGAATATGTCCAGAATGAGCTGAACAAGAAGACTCCCGATTCGAGCAAGAATGGCGAAACTAAGGCTGTGACAAACGGCGGTGATGATTCCAAGACAGAGTCGGGCGATGACGAGGAATCAAAGGAAGCTGCCGAAGCTGCCGAGCAGGAACGCGTAGACATTTCTGGCTTCCAATTTGCTCTCAACCCCGATGTCTTCTGTGGCCAACATCCCCAGACTGAAGAAGACAAGGCGGAATGGGCTAAGGACGAAGCCGAAGTTCGCGCCGCTTGCGATCATCTTCTAAACAATCTCATGCCCCGCCTCATCCAGGAACTCAAGGACGGCGATGTTGGATTCCCTATGGATGGCCAGTCGCTGAGCCTGCTTCTGCACAAGAGGGGAATCAACATTCACTATCTCGGAAAGATTGCTGAGCTCGCTGACAAGGAGGACCCGCGCCTGCAAGCTCTTAAGCGTCTCGTGGTTCAGGAGATGATTACTCGTGGTTTCAAACATCTGGCCAACTCGAAACTACGTAATCTGTCGGCACCCTTCGCTACACCTTGCCTTGCTCACCTGCTGAACTGCCTTCTTGGTAGCGAGCTGAACCCAAAGCCTGTAGCTGAAAGCGATGCTGAACTCAAGTCCCTATACCCCGAATGCGACTTTAGCTTCGAAAAGCTTACTCCCGAGGATGTGAGGAGGGAGGTTCAAGCGCAGGTCGCCTTGAGGTACCGCTACAACCTTGGTGATTCTTGGATCGAGCCTGGCAAACAGCTACAACTTCTTCGTGAGGTTGCCTTGAAGTTGGGTCTCCAATTGGCGAACAAGGAGTACGCATTCACGCCCAAATCCCTCGCCAATGGATCTGCGCCCGAGGCCAGCAGTGCACCCACTCCCGCTGTCAACGGCACTTCTTCCTCAAGCAAGAAGAAGAAGAACAACAAAAATGCCTCGCCCCCCCGCGCAGCCAGTCCTGCTGTGAAGACTGTGCAGACATTCCATGTTGATGACATCATTAACATCGTCCCTGTCATCAAAGAAGCGTCTCCGAAGAGTCTTCTAGCAGAAGAGGCTTTGGAAGCTGGCCGTATGTCAATTGCCCAGGACCAGAAAGAGCTGGGCTCAGAGCTATTGCTTGAATCGTTGACTCTTCACGAGCAGATTTATGGCGTACTGCATCCTGAGGTCGCTCGTGTCTACCATACCCTTTCCAACTTGCTCTTCAGCTTAGATGATAAAGCGGCTGCGCTCGAGCTTGCTCATAAGGCTGTTATTGTCTCCGAGCGTACTCTTGGTATCGATCACGCAGACACAGTCCTCGCGTACCTGAACTTGGCCTTGTTCGAACATGCCACTGGCAATGGCCGTACAGCTTTGGTCTACGTTCGCCACGCGCTTGAGTTGTGGAAGCTTGTTTACGGCGTCGATCATCCCGACTCTATTACTACTCTCAACAATGCGGCTGTGATGCTCCAGACCCTGAAGAACTACCCCGAGTCTAAGGTCTGGTTTGAGGCCTCACTCTCCATCTGTGATCAGATTTCCGGCAAGGACTCGATCGCCACGGCAACGCTGCTTTTCCAGACTGCCCAGTCACTCGCCCTGGTCAAGGACATGCGTGGCGCTGTTCAGCGTATGCGCGAATCTTTTAACATCTTCAAGGCGGTCCTTGGCCCCGAAGACCGCAACACCAAAGAGGCTGAGCAATGGCTCGATCAACTCACGAGCAGCGCTGTGGCACATGCTAAGCAATCACAAGCCATTGCTTCTGGCCGTCTCCGTCATCTTAAACTCGGGCAACGTGGCGGTCTTCGACCGCAAGCAGCTGTGGGACAGACCGCCAGCGAGACTACCACCGTTAACCGTCCACGAGTCGGTACGGTGGACCAGCGCAGCATCGAAGAGTTGATGAAGTACATTGAGGGCGAATCGCCCAAGACGACGCCCAAGAAGCGAACGCCTGCCACCGCCAATCCTAAGAGGAGAGTGCCCAAAGCTTCTTCGTAAGCTGAAAGTAGCGACTACCCCCAATCGTAACAATACCCGATAAAAGTATTCCTTTTTTCGCTCTTGCTCTAGCTGTTTTTCCTCTAATACAGCTTTACCTGTACAATAGCTACATCGCTTGTAATCGACTTGCTTCTCTTTGAATTGTTCTCATTTCGCACATTGGTTTTCATGTGTTACTTTGTATATGCGGCTGATTTACTTTGCTGCGTTCAACACTTTGGAGTCGGGATAAGGGCAGCTGGTTTTGTCTGAGCGCTGATTCCAAAAGAAATGCATTATTTAAGAGTCACTGTCTCGTTGCTTGGGAAGTGTTTCTTACTACTGCATGCACGACGGTCAAAACGGTTTGGGCTGGTTAGACTGCCTTGTGGAATGAGGTGGGACGTAAAAAATTGGGCGGCGGGCAAACGTGTGAGTGGTCAAATGTATAGATGTACTTTATTGAACGTATATGGTCTCCTCTTCCCCAAATACTGTTACTCTTCGCACCGCACGATCAATGTGGATGTTTGTCTCTTCATTCGGTCATTCGTATATTGCAACCCCTTCTCCTAAAATTGTCCTTAATTTACAAAGTGAGAACGGAGGGCTTGGAGGCGGGCCAAAAGGCGGTTTGCACGTCCGGCACAGTGTTCAGTTGCCGGGATCATAGTCCACCTGCCGTAAATATTATCCGTCCATTTACTATATATGCGTAAGCGAACACAATACTAGCTTTGTTGATTGGAGCTGCTTCAGGCGAGGTTGCTTGTAGGTGGTTTGCTTTGAGTTCTAGGGTGCTTGGTGCCAACACGTTTCGTCGGGAGAGAACGGGGGGAGGGGGGCAGGGTCGGCCAGTCGGCGATGTGATTGATGGCGATAAGTTTAGGTTTGGGCGTAGGGAGGTGAGTGTCCAACGAGGTCTTTGGATCATATACTCTCTTCGTATTTTATCATCCCCCGGGTTTTCCTCACGTGGCACAAGTCTTAGGGGCACTGACTATAATCGGCCGAAGGTCTGCTGAACCACCCCAATTCGGAATTGAATCTATGTATACACATTAATACGAGCAACTGTGAGGTTAACCTCACTCGTTCCGCTCGCTATACCTTGCATGGACGGAAATCGCGTGATCCGATAGCAACATGATGGGAATTCTAAAATTATGACCCGTGGAGAAAGGAGTTTTACTCACGTTGTAGCTCCAAGACGACCCAAATGAAGGAGGCATATATCTCATAAAGATCTGAGATATCATTGGTTTGCCATGTAGAAATACTATACGCGATTAGGGTTGTTCCACCAATAGGAACTTGATTGAGATATTACCTCAGACTCCATCGCAGATGTAAATTAATATAATCTTGAACGCTATAGAGTAGAGTATGATCTATAATAGAAGTGCAAGTTCACTTTCTTTCAACCTCATCCAACTTTCTTCGCCACGACCTTCAAGCCACAACATCCGGAAATCATGGCATCCCTCTCAGCCCTCTCTATCCTCTTTGGACTGACCAAAACGGTCGCAGCACACGGTTGGATCGACACCTGGACCATTGCATCACAAAACTACACTGGGTTCAACCCAACCAACGCCCCCTGGGATGCGGTCCAAAACACCATAAGCTGGCCTGCGTGGAACACGGACCTAGGCCCTGTCTATGGTGATCGCGTCAACCACCCAGATATCATCTGCTCAATTAACTCAACCAATTCAAAGTTATTCGCCGATCCTATCACTGCAGGATCTTCCATCACTCTGCACTGGACTAAATGGCCTGACTCCCACAGAGGACCCATCCTCGCGTACATCGCAGCCTGTGGCAACGGCGACTGCGCGACCGTCGACAAGGAGTCGCTCGAGTGGATCAAGATCGCAGAAGAAGGTCAGGTATCTCTTGGTCCTGGTGGTGGCACACCTGGCATCTGGCCCGACGATGAGTTACGCAAGAAGAACGGTTACTGGAATGTCAAGATCCCCGCGTCGATTCCGGCCGGCGAGTATGTGCTGCGACACGAGTTGATCGCGCTGCACTCTGCGTATGCCATTGGCGGTGCACAGTTCTACCCGCAGTGTGTTAATATCCGTGTCGAAGGCGGCGGGGATGCGGAGTTGGTTGGTGTCAAGGGAACTGAGCTTTACACGCCTGATCACCCCGGTGTGCTTTACAACATCTATAACGATGAGGCTAGCCCGGTTTATCAAATCCCGGGACCGAAGTTGTGTGAGTTATTGCTTTGAGTATGGAAAAGTGGGAATGTTCATGCTGACCTTTTACACAGTCACCGGTTGAGTAAGTTGGGTGCGTGAGACCAAGTAGATTGCGGACAAATGAGATGGCGAGTAACAGAGTCTTGGAGTTCGGAGCTAGAGTATTCGTAGAGAGTTCTATCAAGAGCGTTAACGGCACAATCAGATCCTACCCCAAAATGACAGTCGAGGACACCTGTGATTCGATTCCATCGGCAGAAACACATCCGACTGACAGTTTATACATACTCACACTACATACTCATACTTATTCAGATAGTCAAATTTAAGTATACTCTAGCGATCTCTTGGAGGGAGTATGGGGTCAAAAGTATCATAGTGCATTGTCGTGTATCCAGCCACAATATCCCAAGTATGCGGAATTGCGACAGCCCTTGTGTAACACAGTCGATCGCAACCACCAATCAGAACAGAACAACCTCGTCTGCAACAAGTCCAAGCAACTTATTTACCGTGAAGAGAAAAGCCATATCAAAATCACGATCCTATATATATATTGCCTAAACCGAGCACTTCATATCAACAAGCCAAAAACGAAGCGCAACTTGTCTGAGAGTGGCCAACTACCCTCTCAGATTTGGGACGATTTCCCTTAATAAGTGCGATGTTCGAGTCTGCAAAGATCCTTAAATGGTAGTAGAATTCAAAGTCCTGTGCTTGTGGGCGGCAAGACAACTCATCAAGGGTTTCTGGTCTTCGGTTGGGAAGATTCTTTTTGCAATTTTTTTTTTGTCCACGTAAAAACCTTATTATAATTAATCCATAAATTATCAGCTGGAGTTTGGGTGATCCTACACACAGCGATGGGTTTAGAACGATGAGAGAAACTAAAAAAAACAGGCGAGTAACCTTTTTAGATTACCTAGTAACAGGCTGCTACTTAGCATCAACAGCTATAAGCATAATAGGTATATACCGTACCACTGCAAGTACAGGAAAATCGATTTTGACTTCGTTCATCCGGCCAGGTAGCTGCAGTTACACTAGCGACTGTCTTCTGGAGCTGTGTTCCTCTCTCGTACCCTCTCTATCTCTCTCCGCCTCGTTGCTCTTGTTGCTCTTGGAGTAGGCATCTCTAGTCGGCTAGACCTTGACGCATCTGAAGTAGCTCTGGAAGTATGCTGTGATGGAGAAGAAGAGCTCCTCCGCACGCTTTTTGAAAGACTACGACGAACCTGTTGCCTTGTCGGGGCTGTCCTGGGAACAGTAGCAGTAATTGATCTCTGAGTTGTCCCCATTGTACCTGCTCTTCTAGTAGATGCTCTAGTTTGCCTCTCCGATTGTTGGCCTGAGGTTGTTCCCAATCTTACAAGGCTGTCGGTAACGCGCTCGCTATTGTTGGAGTTTTTTCTACCGTTGCTTGATCCCATCACACTGGATCTCGTGCTAAGGTCTTGTGTTCCAGTCCGATTCCTTGGTCTCAAGTTTCTTGCCGTGGAAGAAATCCTTGAGTTACTCTCTCTACCAGAATTGTCGATTTGTGCTTCGCTATACTCTTCTTCTAGTAATCTTGCAGCTTCAGTTACAGCTTTCCTTTCTCTTCTCCGAATCTTCGCCTTATGCTTTGCATGGTTGAATCTTTGTCTCCCGTGCTCATCTGGACTGCTTGGCTCAGGTGACGAGCCCACCACTAAAACTCCCTTCTCCTGACATACGTCAACTGCGAGTCTTATAGCTATATGTCTATGTAGTTGATATCGTTGCCAATATTCATTTATGGGCGAAATCGCTTTCCCGTCTCGCTTCCAAGTCAACCTGTCTGCTAACTGTTCTGATAAACCGTTCTTGTCAACAATACCCAGTACCCGCTCGAGAGATCTCCAGTCTGTTTCGGATCGTTTTCGCCATTGCTTAGGGATAAGGCGCCCTATTTGAGGTTCAAAGTCTATGTCATTCTCATCACATAGTAAGCTAGCTACATGACATTCGTAACGAAGAAAACCTCTCTCTTTTAGTACTCGATGCCCTCGTACGAGATCAGGGCTTTGATCGGGTTCAAGCGAATGTGATTGGTGAATGCTACTCTGCTTCAACGCGGCCCATTGCTCAATCGCTGTTGACATTGCATGATGCTGACCCTGTGCAGGCTGTGCAGACTGTGCAGGCTGTGCTGCGAATCCCCGGGCAGTGGGATTGAAGATGCGAAGGGTCTGCTGTACAGATACTAAACCCGGCTCCCTCTGTAATATCTCTGCCGCTGCTTCTATCTCCTTCCTAGTTTTATCTCGCGACTCGACTCCTCTTCTAAATTTTCTCTGCGCTTCTTCTTCTTCTTCTACTTCTTCTTGCATATCCCCAGATTTGGTTGCACACTCGCCATCGATTTGTACATTGAGACTTGTGCATATTTCACTTGCAACTTGACGTAACGCAACACGTCTTGCCCTTGTTATCGCGTTGCGTTTCTTTAAATCCCCTCTCTTATAGTCGGGATCTAACCTCACGTCTAGCTCTTGCGACAATCCTTTCTCCGCAACTATGCCGAGCAACTTCTCATTGATGAATTTCATGTTCCGTTCGGAATATGTTCCCGGTCGCTGATATTGATAAAATTTATACCCTGAAGCAGTTGCAATCTTTTCCAGATCGATGTTTCTCTCCCTGCATAGTGATAAAGCTACATGAATTTTGTGGCGGGTATCCGCTAGCTCCTCCAGAACACGGTACCCTTCACGATATGAAATACTAGGTTTAATTCTTCTAGAGCCAAAAGATGCTCCGGTATCATGAGATTTGTTTCTCGGGGCTTGCGGACGTTGTTCTAACCCATCTCTTCTGGGCTCGTTGAGATGTGAAGCGCCGGTTTCCTGGAATTGAGTAGAGTTAGGTAATGGAATACCTATATCATTAAAGTTGAATCCAGCTTCCTGAGTCTCCTCGGCGTTGGTGGCACAATAGGGCTCATATAGTCGTTGATTGAAAATAGATTCTAAATCTGCAGGAAAATTGTACCAGACGACTTCGTCGTCCCAATCCCTCAGAGAATCGTTAAATTGCTCTTCAAATTGCTCATTCAACTCGAATGTATCCATATCTGGGATCCTCACTGGATTAGAAGTACTTTCCCAATCTGGAACGAAATCAGGCCAATCGTCACCGGTGTCCTCTATCGTGTTGATAATCCTGGGGTTGCTACCAAGATTCTGGTCAATATTTGCATCTCTTGACCTCGACCGACGGTTAGTTATCGCTCTGGGACTAGATGCATTGTATGATGTTTCCACGGGATTTTGGACATCGGGTTTGGGAGCCATACCCGACCAGTGGTTGAAAACGGGTATCCCTTGGTTGCCAATTTCGTTCAACAAATCATCGTTGTGAATCCAAATATTATGTGGATTATCATTATCTGTCTTTGTCCCAACAAATCTAGTGCCTCTGTCAAGATGTATACCAAGTCGAAGGTTGATACCATTTTCTTTTCCCCACCGCCATAAGACTGCACCAATTTGATCTTCTTGTAGGTTGTTGGTGTTATCCAAATCCATACCACCTAATTCAGGGTTTTTCATATGTTTCTTATACCAAGAGGATCGAACAATGGTCCTGAATTGCTCTAAGGTAGGTCTAGGCACTGATGGTCCCGGCGGCGGATTGTGCTCATAGCTAAGAATGGTCGCATTCAAAGAACACTCAAGCCCACGGGCAGATGTTTCAAGCAGAATGAACCCTCGCGGAAAGGCTTCTACGAAGGCTAGATCAGATGACCGTTGAGAGGGCGCCGCTCCTCCTACACGCGAGGGGCCAGCAGAGGCGACCCGCCTGGTCGTTGGAGTAGGATGAATTGAATGTGTCTGATGTGTTCTAGGTGTTGAATGGCGTGGTGTTGTAACTTTTGGAGGTTGAATTCTCGTGGCCGGTTCACGCTGCGTGCCAGTTACTGCGTTTCTCCCCAAATTTTGCGGTGATTGGTCATTTGTATTGCTAGCCGCTTTCGTAGCTGGGCCCGCGTTACTGGACGCGAATCTCGTAGCGGAGATCCATTTGGAATGCTGGTCTCTTTCTGGGATTGAGATCGAGTGACTCGACTACGCTGCGAGCTGGCTGGCGGGTTGGTTTTTAAAGTATGATGTGGTATGTTAGGAGGACTCCTATTTTCTACCGAAGATTGAGATCGAGTGGCTCGACCGTACTGTGACGTAGAACGAGTGCCGGCTTCAGAATATGGTGATGTGGTGTACCATTCACTGCTAGTGGCCACATTTACGGGCGAAGGCCTAACACTGCTGGTCTCTGGGGGTACACTCTTTCCGTCTCGGATATCGAGTGCTGCCTGTATACCTTTATGATTTGGAGCTGGTCGGGATTGAAGGTTTGGGGATGCACTGCGACCAGCTTCAATATTCTTAGCTGCTTGGACACCCCGATTTACAGTTGGCTGCCTATGATGTGGTGGGTTAGGGTTGGGTCGGAATTTCCGAGTCTGTATTTCACGAAGGTGAAATGTCTCTTCTGTCGGCTCAGAAGCATCTCTTTGTAGCGCCCTCCTGCGAGACTGTTCTTCGCCGAAGCGAACATGCTCCTGCGTCGATCCAATTCGGTCCCTATGCGAATCGATCCTACGGACCGACCCTAGCTCTACAATCGAGGAACTTCGCGATCTGGTATCTTCTGGCACGTCTTGGGTGGATTTTGCTGATAAGAAGCTAGTAGTCGAGGGACTTCGTGATCTGCGTTCCTCCGGCATGTCATGGAAAAGTGTACTTGGCCAACGATACTGGCTGGAATGACAGAGAATTTTTAGTGTCCAGCACTAGCCGTAATGAACGATTCAAAGAGTAGACGTAAAGGTCGATATCCACCGATGCTTCACTGTGGTAATAGTTCAATGAAGCTGTGTAAAAGTCACCACCTCGGAATATATATTGACTCCCTTACACTACCGCGTTTGATAGTCATTATATGGAATTAGTGCATTTCCAATAGCCGAGACATAGCAGGGTCCTTACCGTGAGCCATTAAGATTGGATTCACTTTCGGCATCATGAAGAGGTGAAGTGAGCGTGAGTTATGGCGTGAAGTATGGAATATAAGAGGAGTTATGAATCACATCGTCGTCCTGAGAGAAGCTAAATGAGACAGATAGGTTATTCATTCATATGGAACGTGAATACAAGCGCTTCTTATTCTTTACTACGATATGAGTGAGCTGAATTGTTGTCCGTGTATAATGGGGTTGATCTGGCATAGTTGGTAACCCAGCAATTATATGGTCTATATATTCAATTTGAAGCAATCGGACCAGAATGAAGACGTAGTTGCTAGCAACTTATGTCTAACAAACAATGTGCTTTGTCAGATAAAACATCTTCGAATTCCCTTCCATTGTCATACAAGAGCTTGGAATTCTACAAGTCCGTAACACTTAGCACATTATCAACCCAAATCCTGTAACCCAAATTCACCACGACAAGAAATCCAACCCACCAACAACTTGAATTGAATGTCTTAGAATTCGATTGACCCATCACATGAATGAAGGTCTCTTCAACAAACTATGCAGAAAATGATTCACATGATCACCGATAGAATGAGGGAAAGCATCTGCAAAGAGATGACAAAGGAATATGGCCGATGATACACTGTAACTCATTAAGGGTGCCCCCGATCACTGCTTTGCTTGTTGCAATAAGCTTTTTTGAAGGTTCAATTCACGAGTGTTTTTGATTATCGTCTATTCTTTTGGTAATCTTATCGTTGTAATCATAGTGTGTGGAGGATCACCCAAACTTCCACTATAAAACCCACTAGAAGGCACATTCAAACGATCCCTGTGCTTATGTTGTACTAGATCTATAAGTGTCTGTGCCGCATAGAATATGCAATGATAGTACTAGATCTATTAATCACGATACGCACACATCATCAAATTTTCTACCAAATCATACTTGATTGACTCTTTCATCCTTGTTTCTTCAGATAGCGATTCTTTGCATAGAAAACTATGTAGATTCCCCGCACCAACAGCAAGACTCCCTAGGTGAAACTTATTTATTACCGCCTACTTTTTTCATAAAATCCCTTTCACCAGCCTTTGAAGCATAGAAAACACTTCAACTTCACCACCTACTTGTTGTTAAATTATTTATTATCTGCATTTGTGAGTGTAGAAAACAATCCAACTTCCAATCCAATCCAAAAAATTGAAGATAAAAAAAAACTTCAATTTAAGCTTCGACTTCAAACTCAACCCCTCCCCCCGATGTAGATGTGTCTGCGTCTGTGTCTACTACCAATTGCATTACATATAGTACTAAACTAACATACCTAAACAGGAATGAACAACACCATAAAGAACATAGAGAAAGCACTTGATTGAAGAAAAAGAAGCAACACTTTAGTGACAGACAAATAAATAATCAGCCAATCATGGCTCGTGTCCATAAAAGTCAACATTGGAACAAGTGAAAGGAGGAATAGGAGCCAGAGAAGTCTGAAAGGCATCTGTAATACCGCTGGCCATTCAAACAAGAAGGGGAGAAAAAGCATTGTCATGGGATAAACGAGGGAACAGAAGTCTCTTACAGGATGTATATTATTATAAGGGGGAGTTTGTGAAGTAGGTACTTAGGTAGGTACAGGAATGCCCCCCGTCCCATTTACAACAAAAAAGAACACGGAGGCTTAATCAACACTGACAAACCCTTCATCGTTTCTCCACAGTCTATATGTAATGGCTCTATCAACCACCCGAATTCCATGCCAAAGCTCAATATGAAGAACTCCAGAGCCACAAAACCAAGGTTCCGTTTACTCCCGCCCAAAACGACAGAAAATACCAGGTGCATCTATTACAAAGAAGGCTCAAAATTTGGGGACAGAAGGGGGAGGGAAATAAATCCACTTTCTAACTCGAGTCGTATATGCAACGCCAAAGCCCGATGCAGCCAACAGACGATACGAGCAAGGAGAGGGACAAAATGCGAAGGACATGCACGCATATGAAAGGGAAGAAAAGAGAAAGCGCGGGTGATTTTGGTATGCCGTGATGATGACGTGATAGTACAAAGGAGAGACCGAAACAGTGAGGTGTGATTCGAGTCGAGCAGGGATTGCATGCGATGATGAAACAACATAAATCGAAACGCCAACCTTGCCTTGGAGATGAATGCAAATGAACAAAGCTCCAGGTCTAGCCCAACGCTGAGAATCGGTATAAGGGCGAGAATGGATCTGATGGATCTGGGCCGCAGCCTTTACCACCAAAGTGGCCGGTTGATCAACTCCCAGAACCTCCACCGCACCGCTGTGAACGGGTCACGATGAAAATATATTGTATCCGTGATTGGTATCAAGCGTCTCGAACACCTAGTACAGAAATGCGTTCATCAGATGATCGCGCTCAAGGAACGAGAATTGTGAAGATGGTAATCTGGGTAATAAATGCTCATGGCTCAAGTCGGTACTCTATGTACTCACTTGTCGCCAATAAGCATCTCACTGCCCTGCACGTTCCATCCAAAATCAAGAATGAGTGTGCGGCCATCTTGGCTCGTCGCCACAACCCGGCGGTAGTCGCTCTTTGCTGAGAGGATCCAGCTAGTCGTCCAGTTTTCGTAATTGGCAAAGACTTCTCCAGTGTTATAGTCGGCAATTCGGATACTCTGGTCATAGGAACCTGATATGATCCGGCCGTTGAAGGCATCCAAGAAAAGTGACCGGACAAGACCACCGTGGCGTTGGGAGGTGTGAAGCAACTTGCCAGTCGTCGCATCGAATTTGTACACCACATGATCATTACCACCAGCAAGTACAATATTGGCATCATCGGAGAACTCAACCGCCGCCAATCCCCTGTCTTCGGATGGGAAGTCCTTGATAGACTCATTGCCAGAATCGAGGTTCCATAATTTCGCTACACCATCTCCAGATGCCGAGACAAGCAGGTTACCGCGAAGCTGAACGGCGTTGACAGGCCCGCGGTGGCCTTGCAAAGTACGGATCTGACGTCCAGTTTGTCGATCCCAGACAATAATAGCGGAATCTTTGGAGCACGATATGATGTGTTTCTTGTCCAGGCAGACATCTAGCACACCAGCCTGGTGGCCCCTCAAGCGGTGAAGCGGTACGAAATGGTCTCCAGTTATATCCCAAACAATACAAGTGTGATCAGAAGATCCGGTGACCATGATTTCGTCATCATACTGGAGGCAAAGGATGGAAGCGTCGTGGTAATCGGCGGGAACGTGATAGATCTCATTTCCTTTGGTGGTTCCGTTAAGAGACGGCTTGTTGACTTTTGTATCTTTGTGAGTATCTAGCTGGTGTGGTGTGTTAGGAAGAGGACGATGCGTCGGACCCCCGATGACCTTGACACACTCATACGTTTTCATGCTCCATACACGGATTGTGCGATCACGGGAACCTGTGATGATCTTGTCTTCGTCAAACTGGCAACAGTAGACGGAGTCGGTGTGACCATTGAGATAGATGGCGCTCGGCGAGCAGGCTTTCCAGCGTCGGTTAATTGTCTTGCGTGCCTGGAACATTTTCTTCCAGTCCTGTCCCGGTGCGGTTTTCCCAAGCTTGGTGAATTTGCCAACGCCGATACCGCCCATTTGGATTGGAGTAGGTGACACATGCACTGTAGGTTCGAATTTGCGGAGAAAGACACCCCTCCAGACGTGAGGAGAGGAAGCGATTTCGTGCCAGCGCTTCGAGACTAGTTCGGCCTGGATGAGCGAAGGGGCATCGAGATTTGAGAGAATGATTGTAGTGATTTCGGCGGGGAGTATATCCAAAGGATCCACCATCTTCTTCTCTGTCGCACCATCGTTGCGGTTGATGGGAGATGAGCACATCATGCCCACACCACTCTCACTATCCTTGATAACTTCCTCCATATTGTTCTGAATCACGCCTCCCTCCAAAAAGCGCCGTGTTTGCTCTTGCTCCCTCCGAAGTTGGGACTGCCTCGCATCGTTGGCGGCAGCGGCGGACTGCCTTGCAGCAGCACCAGGGGCTTGCACGGGATAGTTGCTAGGGATAGGAGGCGGGACTGGATTGTATTTTGCGAAGTCGCCCGAGGGGCCGGAGGCAGCAGGGCGACGACGAAGACTCGAGAAGCGTCGCAACATGGGTATGTATTTATGAGAAGCGGAGGGATGGTGAGGAAATGTATCATTCTGTTGGGGCAAGATTGGAAGACCCGAATCTTGGTGTGGGAGAGGCAGGCGTAGGTGGTCGGCACTGGACTTGGTAGGGGGCTCGAACAAGTTGACGAGGGAAGGACGGCGATTTGAAGTAGACGAAGAGGAAAGTTTGCGACGGATCTGCTTGAAGCTGCCCTCGAGCATGTGGGTGGCGCGCGACAGCGACAGCGAGCTGGTGTGACCCGAAGAGTGGGTGTTGAACTGAGAGGAAGAAGCATATTGAGCGCTCATGCCCTCCTGGACGGGGCCCAAGGACATGGCGGCATCGCGCGACTCGCTGGTGTGGGTGCTGAAGGTTTGAGAGGCGGTCCTCTTCATGCTTGGCTCGAAGCTGCTAGACGGGTGAGAGTCGTCGACGGCAGACGAGGTCTTGGGACGCAGCGCAATCGAGGGCCTGCGATGCATTGGTACGTGGAGGAAGAGAGATTGTATGGAAGGCGGTGCTCCTGTGTCGGTGGAGGTAGGAGCGAGGGTTGAGGGGAAGATGTAGGTGCGGCGGTGGTGGTGGTAGAGGGCCGTTTGTGTTTTGATGGTTGGGTGGCAGGGGGTAGTCGAGCCCATCAATTTCCAGAGGGAAGGGTGGTGTTGGGAGGAGGCGACAGGATGAAATGAGTGAGAATAGGGCGGACCGTGGTTAGGGAAAGGAGGTGGTCAGAGTTGAGTGAAAGAGAGAGCTGAAAGGAGTGGCTGTGGTGGAAGTAGAAGGAGACGAGTGATGGAGGAGCAGGGGAGGGAGAGAGGAGTCGGCAGAGTCAGTGGAGGAGGAGGAGGGGAGTAGTGAGGATTAATAGTATGGGGTTGTAACGGCACACGACGGGCATCTGAGGCGTGGGCATGTTTTATGTTGGATGAGAATAGAAATGGGACAGGAAGGCCAGTCGTGCAGGCAGGCGAACAGAAGCCGGGTGACAGGGGGTGCCCGGGCCTGGAGAAATTGGCGGACCCGCCGATCGCGCCCATTCTTTCACTCTCTAGTGCATCCACCATCTTTTCAGCCCGACCATGTATGTATGTAGATGGTGTGTATCTGTGTGCCGATGGAATGCTGTTGCGTGTCCATGTGTGCGTGTGTGGGTTTGGCTTTGGTTCTTTGAGTTACAGTGCTTTGACGACGTCGCATTGGGAGGGGGCCCGGCCTGGAGAAGGAGAAAGGAGGCCCAGACAATGCAAGCAAGCAAACAAACAAACACTCACAGCCAGCCAGCCTACCAACGGGCCACCTGTACCAGAAGGATACGCGTGTACGGTACTGTGTTGAATCGGTCTGGTAGGTAGGCCGTGTATCTGCGTATGTATCAGTGTTACTAACCGCACTGCTCGTGTATTGTACGTACACACCGCTATGCCCCATCGCGCCCTGTCCTGTCCATTTGCTCCGGCGCCACACCCTCCCATCACACTCCAGCAACACCACCGACTCGCCGCACAATTGTTTCCTGGGAGCAATCCATCACGGCGTCTCCATCACTGATCCCACCAGCCCTCGTCCCGCGTTACCTTGTGCCTGCTTGCTGAGCCAGCTGCCCAACAAATCGGTACGCCTCGGCTTGGCTGCTACCATACAACTCCACCACCCCAGCCTTCACCGCTCCCAACATCTTCCATGTTACTTGTCCCGGCAATGACGAAATCCCCATCGTCGCCGCCCATCCCGGCCCTGTACCGCTTCGTCTTTCTCTACCTCGAACCTGTTTCAACTCTGGCTGGCGCTGTCTACGCACACTGGTTCCAGCACGATTACCTTATTCTAACTCACGCTGCTTCAGCCCCCTCGCACCAGCCGCCGCTCGGGACCTCCATCGCTTTGACCCAGCTGGCGAACCTGTATCTGCTGCTCTGCCTCAATGAAGCCCTGGTTCTGAGAGCCACAGACGACACCAAGCTCTGGAAGACGTTTCTGTTCGGTCTGCTGGTGGCCGATCTGGGCCATCTGTATTCAGTCCGTCTGGTAGGCTCTTGGGTCTACTGGCAGTTCTGGAACTGGAACAAAATCGACATTGGCAACGTTCCCTTCGTCATTTTCCTCGCCATTGTCCGGACCCTGTTCATCTGGGATGTGGGGTTTCCCGCTGCCAACGGTCCCAGATCGAGGAAGCGCGCGTGACGAAATGGAGTAGTACATCTGACAGCATCTCAACCAAGGAAATATTTCCAAGCAGCAAAGGATTTTCCTCCCAGGCATATCTTCGCCGGTTCTTTCTATTTCATTACTCAACCTTCGCCATGCACACCATACACCTACGTGATCGTTCCCGCTCTGTAAACTTCTCTAGCCTCAAACTCCCAAACTCTCTCAACGCCACTAAATTTGACCATGGAACAGATCCGCCATCTACCCCAGACCCACCTCCAGGCCTTTTAATAACACGGAATTCCTGAGAGGCTGAGTCACAGTTACCGTGATCCCGCTTCTTGCCAAACTTAGCCGCTTCTGGTGGCAGCCAGAATGTGTACTACTCGTCTAAGCGCCTGTTGTACGACTTCAACGCTGAACAGGCTTACGTCTTACACCGCCATGCCCCAAATAGAGAAGCTGTGCATTTGCGTTTGCATTGGCATACCTGTATGTGTATACCGAGGTATGTATGTACAATTTGCAAAGTCAAAAGTTATCATCCGACGTCGTCTTTCTATCGTTTCAAATGTCCATGTTTCGCGATACCGCTCTAGTGTTTCTGCAGCAACCTCTCCCCAATCCTTGGTGACTGTCATTCGAGCTCATGATCCTTCGTAGTATAGCAGAGGTAGATATATGTGCATGTCATTCGATCTCATCCTCTGAAACAAACGAACGTGCTTGGAAACCCCGACAAGAAACATTCTACCCCTCAAATCATACATCTTCCTGTCATCATCATGACCATCATACTTGATCTCTTACATTTCTATTCTCGGCGACCTCGGGACATGCTCGTTCTCCACCGGCCTTCTGCATGAGATTACACAGTAGATGCGAAAGGCAACTCGCGTCTTCAAACTTGTCCGATCCCTTCCAACGAATCATAGCACGATCGGCGAATTTTCCGAATCAAACAACGATGATCCTCCAAACCTGATGTAGCTTAGCGTTTCATATCTGCTTCCTTCTCTCCTTCTTATTTTTCTTCTAGTGTTATGCAGGGTCAATATTGTGTGAACATGGAACGGCTTGTAGCGAGTGTTCCCCGAACAACGCTGTTGTGTCCTCTCTCTCTCTCTCTCTCTCTCTCTCTATCGAGTAAAATGAAGTAATAGATTTAGAGTTTAGGAAATACGTCGCTATGCCTACCTGTCCTCGCGTTGTCTTGGAGATAAATGAAGATTCAAAACGAAGTTACTAATAAATTTTGCATCAATTCATCATCGACGAGCGAAACGGGTTACCTTCCCATATGGCAATATGCAGAGCAAAAGTCGGCGATAGAAAAACGTCCGGTGAAAATATGCGCCAATACGCGATATCGGGTGGCAAACAAGTCCACACCCGCACACCACCCCCACACACGCGTACACCGAACATTCGATTTTTCTTCTCTGAAGATCGAGTTCTCTGTCGGGCAATGCCGAGTCAGATTGTCGAGACTTGCATTATCTAGCGCTGGCCGCCGTCCATGTGGGGAGCGCCCTATTTCTGGGGCTAGGGAACTGCTAGAGCTTAGGGACGTTCTGTATCTTTGGAACCCCTTTTTTTCTTCTCCTGATGTTGATGGGCGGTGTGGACATGGGAATGCGAACATTAGTGCCTGAGCTGGATTATAGTTGGGGAATTGTCTTTGGAGATATTGAACGAATTCGTGTAGGATTTGTGATCCTCCTGTCCCAACATTGGTAATGCCAATTGATCTTACAACGACTATGATTGAAATGTACCAACTCAACAATGTACCATTCCGAGATTAGAACAGATGTTCTGGAAAATGTCGTTGAATTGTACATCATTCTATTCATAAATCACGGCACAGGTGATAGTGACAGTAGTACTACCAAGTGGGCAATTTATTGATTGTGACCGGCGGTTCAAAGATGAAAGAACCAAGAGTCAATCTTGAGTTTCTTCGTTGTAGAGTTGGTGAGGAATAGCAATAGATTTTGGGGTTAATTTGCTCATGACTTATCAAACCAAATGAAGTGACTATCATCAAATCACATTTCAACAATACTAACACAGATACGTGGATTGTTGGTGAAAAAGGTCGACATGCCAGGTGATTGGTTGCTGTGCCATTGCTCCGATACTGATTCTGACTAAGCAGCCGCTAACGCGCTCGACGCTCAAGCAACATCCAAAAGTTCAGCACTCCTACCATTTCACCTATCGTACCCCATTAACGCCATGGCCGAAGTACAATCACCTCCGCCTGCTGCTGCGCCAGAAAATTTCGAGCTTACTGCCGAAACTTCCATAACCGCCTCGACAGACCTTGTTCCCGCCGCCGCACCTACTTCCGAGCAAGTCATCATCACAACCAATGCAGATGGCAAAAAAGTCAAGAAGATAATACGTCGCAAACGACGACCTGCCCGACCTCAAGTCGATCCGGCCACATTCAAAACTGAAGCTCCCCCGGCTACCGGTACCATCTTTAACATTTGGTATAATAAGTGGAGCGGCGGTGATCGCGAGGATAAATATCTGTCCAAGACTGCGGCGCAAGGACGCTGCGTTGTCTCACGGGATAGCGGATACACTAAGGCCGACAAAACACCCGGAGCTTACTTTTGCCTCTTCTTCGCACGAGGAGTATGCCCTAAGGGTGTCGATTGCGAATACCTACATCGCCTCCCAACCGTCACCGATATCTTCCCTTCCAACGTCGACTGTTTCGGACGCGACAAGTTCTCGGACTATCGCGATGACATGGGAGGTGTGGGTACTTTCCAGCGACAGAACCGAACACTGTACATTGGTCGCATTCACGTCACCGATGACATTGAAGAAATAGTTGCCCGGCACTTCCAAGAGTGGGGCCAGATCGAGCGAACACGTGTTTTGACGGCGCGTGGAGTAGCTTTTGTCACGTACATGAACGAAGCAAATTCGCAATTTGCCAAAGAAGCTATGGCGCATCAGTCGCTCGACCATAGCGAGATCTTGAACGTGCGATGGGCGACCGTGGACCCGAATCCTGCTGCGCAAAAGAGGGAGGCGCGACGGGTTGAAGAGCAGGCCGCGGAAGCAATAAGAAAGGCGCTACCAGCGAGCTACGTAGCGGAGCTTGAAGGGCGTGATGGTGAAAGTAAGAAGAGGAGGAAAATCGAGGGCAGTTTTGGGCTGCAAGGGTACGAGGCCCCGGATGATGTGTGGTATGCCAAAGAGAAGGCAGAGTGGGACCAGTCCAAAGGGATTGGCGCGCCTGACGAGAGACGGATGATCGAAGGTGGTGAGGTGGCCCCTGAAGGGGAGGGCGAGGAGGATGGAACGTACGGAATTATGCAGCAGAGACAAACACAAGCCAATGAAGGTATACTATCGGGCTCGACATTGCAGGCTTTGAAAGGGTACACCGCGAATACGACAGCGCAAAAGGCGCCCCCGGCTATGGGATCGTTAGTTGGATACGGGAGTGACGACGACAGCGACTGATGATGAAAATTCATGGAGTTATCGGAGCCGGCAATCTTCCATAAGGCATATTATATCTGAGTTGGGGGCGCAATGCATTTGTATCATAGACAGACAAAAAGCAACACAGCATGTGGTATGGTGGAGATGATACCCATTTTTCACGAATTTTTTTCACCTTCATTGCGAGCTTCCCATGATGAATACGCATGTTTTTGAAACAGGCAATGCCGAATACTCTTCGTAACACCATTAGTGGCGTACAATTGCCTGAGAGACAATCCTCTAGGTGATAAGAAGCTCTGGCGCATGCTCCACTTTACCATCCACCACTACATCAGTACCATCCCACCTTGCACCCCACTTTCACCCATGTAGTGTACATGGTCAAGACAACAACGAGACCTCTTATATCATCAATCCTCTATCTTGTTCCCCATCGTCTTCGCATATAATCTCCAGAACGGAAGTTTCCCTTTTCTTCATCTTTGCCAAACTAGATTCTCGACACTATAATGTCGTACAGCTTCCAAGATAAAGTCGTCCTGATTACAGGTGCGGGCAGTGGCATTGGGTGCGGTAATCCTCCACCTCCAAAATCTGCCGTTGACGGTATATATCATGCATACGGCGAAGGCAATTTTCGAACTATGACGAATTTTTTTATGAACTAACATGTACTGTGCAGCCGGGCAACAGCCATCAAAATGGCGTCTCTTTCCGCTACCCTCGCCCTCTGCGACCTGAGTACGTCAAACCTCTTCATGTCTCTTCGAACTCTCCACTCTCTCCACGGGGTGTAAAGGAAGTCTGGATCAGAAATGATTATATGAGCACGGTCTCTACTCATCACAAAACAATCACCCCCTCTGACTCTTCCACCCCCATGTGCAAACAGACTACGACGCCCTCGAAGAAACCTCGCGCCTCTGCAAAGGCTCCCCGACAACACCCCTCCTCGCCGACGTCGACGTCTCCTCGGTACAAGAAGTAACGCAATTTCTAACCCAAACGCTCGCCAAGCACAATGCCCTGCACCACATCTTCAACTGCGCGGGCGTGAACCCGACCTCGATGCCGCTCGAGTCGACCCCGGACAGCTACTGGGACAAGCTCATGTCGGTGAACCTCAAGGGCGTCTTCAACGTCACGCGCGCCGCGATCCCGCATCTGTCCCGCGGCGCCAGCTTCGTCAACGTGTCGTCCATTTCGGGCGTCCGCGCCTCCGCCCAGCAGGCTGTGTACTGTGCGACCAAGTTTGGGTTGATTGGGTTTAGTAAGTGTATGGCGCTCGAGCTGGGACCCAGGGGGATCCGCACCAATGTCGTTGCGCCGGGGTTTATTGATACGCCGACGAATGCTGGGGTTGTCAAGGGCGGGGACGCGGTGGAGAGTATGAGGAAGGGGAATGCGTTGAAAAGGTTGGGGACGGCTGAGGAAGTGGCGGATGTCGTGGCTTTTTTGTTTAGTGACGATGCGAGGTATATGAATGGGAGTGTTGTGGAGGTGGATGGGATGATTGGGGCGAGTGCCGATGTGGATGTGGATGTGAGTGTGGGTGCGAGTAAATGATTTGATTATCTTTGGTCAAAGGCCGACGGCTGTCGAAAAGTGACTGCGACAGGGTGAGGCGTGTTGGACTTGGGCTCGCAAGAGAGTCTGAAAAAAACAAACTGAGCAGTAGGCTGTATTCAATCGGAGTGGGTGATCTAGAGACAACACTGCCACGAGTTGCTAGTCGCAGCGTATGAATAGACAAGCCTTATCTATCTACAGTATATCAAAAGAGGTCGTCATTAAGGATATCATCAGCGTCATCATCAAATGCCGTCCATCAACATGTGCTCATCCCATTTTCCGAACGCCATACAATGCAATCGTCAGCCCCTATCCATCATGCAATGGCGAGGTCTTCATCCAGTCTTCTTCTGACTCTCGCTGTTCTCCCGAGGTAGCATACTTCTGATCTTCTTCACGAGATCATCCACTTTGAACGGCTTGCTTATGACAGCATCCATCCCGGCATCCAACATACTGGTGGTTTGGGCCTCTCTCACGTTCGCACTCACGCCGAGTATGAGACTGCGACCCGCCTTATTTTGTGCCTGTAATCCTCGTATTTCTCGAGTAGCCGCGTTCCCGTCCTTGATGGGCATCTCTTGGTCCATACTTAATGATGATTAGTGCATGTTCCGTGTGTCACTACATCCGCCATTACTCACAGAATACAATTAAAAAAGTCCTCGTGACCATCTGCATTTCTTCCGCGCTCGGCTACTACGTCGATGGCTTCTTGTCCATTATTGGCCACAGATACCTGGAAGATAATAAGCTGTTGCTCTACCTATATCCGATAGCAAGTTTGACTGACCTCAAATCCCTTAGATTGAAGTTGCCGTCGTAGCACTTTCTGGTTGATCAAGTTATCCTCTACGAGTAGTAAAGTGTTACGCTCATTTGATTCATCGTTTATTTGGGTTTGCATCGTTCCTTCGGCTGCACTCTCTTGGCGTGTTGTTTCCCCTCGTGTTAAATCTGGGAGTTCAGTCCGTTTGCGTTCAAAGTAAGACGATTTTTCATCAACCTTGTCAGCGACTGCTTTTGTTTCTTCATATCGGTTGTCCTTATGAACCGATGGACGAGCGTCCGTACTCTCCTCGGTTGGGGGGTTCTTCAAAGTGTCCATAACGTTTTCAGGCGTAACTCCTTCGTGACTTGCTAAAGTCTTAAACTGTGGTCGATCGTCTGTGTTCTCTTTATTTTCATCGATGCCACGCAAGGCAGAATTCGCACGGCTATAGCCGGGACGTTTTATCGGTGTAGATGATCTGCCAGCATTCGAGCTGTCTGACGTAGTTCGGGATCCAGTGGGCCTATCCTTGTCTCTGATTGCTGTGCGCACTTTGAAGAAAAACCCAAAAGTGGAACCTTCTCCTTCTTTTGACGATACACCAATGTCTCCGCCATGCAACTGACACACTAATTGCAATTAGCTAATAAGAATTACCAGAGTAGAACCAACTTACATTTACGGGAGATGAACAGACCCAGGCCGGAGCCCCCATAATTCTCCTGTGTTTTTGGCGTTGCTTGTCTGATATCACTGTAAGAAACAATCATCGCTATGATTGTGATATTGGTACGCACCTGAAACGCCCGAAAAGTTTGGCCTGGTCATCTTGGCTGATGCCGATGCCAGTGTCCCGGACGGCCACCATGAGGTAGAGTACCGAGCCCGACCCCCATTGGTGTGTCATGGTCGAGTCGATGTGAAAAGAGTTTTTGTCTTCGGAAAAGAATATAACATTTGGTGGGTAGGAAGTCGGGCGCTCCGGTGATGCACCCAAGGAAACAGTGATGCGCCTTTCTCCGTTCTTCTTTGCTGTAAACTTGATGGCGTTTGTAATCAAATTCACGAGCACTTGCTTCATTCTATTGAGGTCGGCAACCACGTAATCGACTTTGAGTTCGTCGAAGGATACATCCATTGCATAATGAAATTGGATCTGTTTTGCTTTAAATTCGCTCTGGAATACCTTGAGGGCCGTAGAAAACCCCCATTTTGGCTGGATTTCTCGCGGAACCAAGGTCAACATCATGGAATCCAACTTGGAGAAGGATAATATATCATCGACAAGCGTATTTTGGTGAGAGACGCAAAGCAGGATCGTGTCTGCAGCATCGAGAATGTCCCGAGTCACTATCTCGAGATCTTGGTGCTGGTCGTCGGTAAGATCTCGGGTCAAGTCTTTGATTTCTTCGGCTAGATGAAGCACGGCACTTAGAGGATTACGGATTTCATGAGACACCATGTCGATAAATCTTTCTTGCTGTTCCTTACGATCCTTCGCCTCTGTGGCCGCCTTCTCCTGGGCGATCTGAGCCTGTTTGATTTCCGTTATGTCTATCACGGCACAGATGTAGCCTGCCTCTGGGTCCTTTGATAAGGGCTTGAACATGAATAGCCTCCACTCGCCTGCCTCGCCTCTGGCATCAGCCGCACATCGGAACTCGATACTCAGTTCACCACGATTACTAAATGCTTCACGATAGGCTGACATGACGCGATCGTAGTCCTGGGGGTGGATGCTCTCGGGCCAGGCGCGGAACTCGTTCTTTGACTTGTTCGTAGTGAGCTTGAAAAAAGCGTCATTCACGAATATGGATTCAGCCTCGGAGTCGACAACAGCAAGACCGTGGGGGAGAAGCTCTGCAAAGCGGTGAAACAGCTGCGTCTGACGTGAATCGGAGGGCTTCTTGCCATCTTTCGCGTCATTCCCATTCTCCCCACCATGGTCCCGTTGTTTCGTTTCCTTGGTCTGGCGGGCAGGATTGTTTTCCACGTGCTCGTCGAGACCGGAGATGGGCAGATATTTTTCGCTCTCCGTCTGGAGCCACTGGGCAAGCACGCCCTGGCGCTTTCCGTGCTCGTCGAGAAGAGTGCTGAGAAGCAGTTGTGCGTCCATGTTGTCGGCGGCGTCTTTGCTCAGAAAGAAACGGTAGGCTGAGATACGGGTCAGCGAACAGGACGAGCGATGGGATGTAATGGTTGAGGGGTGGCTCACCTACCTTGATGGTTCTCCCACGCATGGCGACGGACAGGGCACTGAGAGCTTCCTCGGAGTAGCTGTCATGGGCGCTGGTGCCCTGCCCGTCCATGTCCCCGCGAGCTTTCCCCCAGGCTAGGTTGTGCGCAATAGCTAAATCACTGCCCCAGAAGATGGCGGCCGGGTGAGGGATGGGCAGCAAGCATGAGTTGACGAGCGTGTTGAGAACGGCGGGCCATGCATGGCGGGCTCCGAAGGGCGATTCGGCCCAGTTCTTGCGAGATAGGTATTCGGAATTCAGATCGAAGACGCCGACGCCTGCCGTTGTCAGCCTGTCGAGGTTCTCCATGCGCGGCGAGCGTATCCAAGCGATGGACAGTGCTCTTGAAGAGGAAGCGAGGGGAAGAGCTCTTGAAGACTCGGTGGACAGAGCCGGCAGGGAATGCGCTTCCTCTTTCGGGAACTATGGGATTGTTGTTCCACGGCGTCTTGGGTGTGTTGCAACTTGCAGGCAGGTGTGCGCTGTGCCCACTTGTTTGCAGAATCGTCGCTGACGTCAAGGTGTATTGTATCCGCTAGTCGCGGGAGCCACGTTCTAGGCCCCCGATGCATACGATCCACCAATATGAGGGCGGCGTGCTCAGTAAACATGACGTGCAAAGTCAGGTACAGTACGTACGTGTGATCGCACTATACAAGGTGTGTATATATTAAAAGTTGGAAAGCCAAACGGACCTTTGTGCACGCATCTGCGTACCCGTACGGAGGCAGGCAGTCGTTGTACTACCTATCTATGTATACATAGCTATGTGCTTTCCACGCCCTCAGGATACAGGCACAATCACTGCGAGCGTGCATCTTGTCGTTGCTCGCCCATACATACCATACTTACTTACATGTATGGTATGTACATACATACATACTTACTTACTTACTTACTTACAATGCCGGCGTTAACAGACTTTTATGTCAGCCCCTCCTTCCTTCCATCTCATCCGCCTCCCCCACCATGCCTAAAATGGAATGCATTACTTTGACATATCTGATAGATGCTCACCGCTGGACCGTGTCCCTCCCCATATCACCACACCCCGATCCTGTCCCAGGTGCACCATGTCATACCTCTCCACTCTCGCTCCTGAACTGCTCTATATAATCTTGTCCTATTTGCCTCCACGTGACGTCGTTCACTTCGCTCAGACCTGTCGACGAGCAGCCCAATTCATTCAACCCGACAACTTCGCCCTCTGGAAATCTGCCTTTCTCCACGTTTTTGACCACCCGAGATATGCCTGGGATGCATTGGTGCCGTCCGTGCGCGCCTCCAACGTCCTTCGCGAGGCTCAATGGGATTGGCATCACGAGCTTCGACGGCGCATGGTCGCATTCAATGCTGTCTGCGAATCAGACCGCTTGACCCTGCTCAAAACCATCGAACAGGTCGTCAAAACCCTCCTCGACATTGAGCAAACAGCAGCCTACACGACAAGGGACACCGAGGACAAGCCGCAATCGCTCAATCTAGCATTCCTAAGCCGCCTGCAGAACCAGTCCCCTGACTTCGACAGCATCGTGCATGACTACCATCGCGACATCAACTCTGTATCCCTACCACTCGAGTTCCAGGCCGAATCCGATCGTGCTGTTACACGGTCCATGGTCGGTCGGCGAGTGGCGATACCGCCATGGGCCAGCCAATTCCACGTAAGACGGCTACACTTTACATGTCTCCCATCAAGAATTCAACAATGATAACAGTAAATCAGGTCATACATGGACCGACCAAGCGAGAACGGGATTCAGTCTTCTCCAAAGCAGCCGCGAGGGCCATTGTATATGATTGGAACGTTACGGGATCTTTCGCGGAATATGGACCCTACGATCGGTCTGGAGGCGTCAACTGGCAGGCCGTAGAAGCTATCAGTTCTTTGATGCATCGAATCTTCGATATGCCACTGGATATGTACAAACTGACATCGTACGGCTTTCCCATGAACATTCCAAAGGCGATCCCGGTTCGTCCTGATAGCCCGGAACAAGACTGGGCTGGCTTGACCGGGATATGGCTAGGAACATACGCCTTCCTCGACTACAGAGCTCTTGTGCATTTCAACATCGCCCATAATCAGGAGTACCCTCTGGACCTGGGCGAATATGAAGAAGCCTGCGGGGATTTGATGCACTTGGATATCAAGGTTTCCGACGACGAAGATTTGAAACTTGATACGAGACTCCAGCCTTCACTTCCATACTGCCATGATCTCCCAATACTTCGGTTCACCGGACTTTCACAGAACCAAACAGCTGGAAGGCCTTCCATCGGGGTTAGAGGCTTCGTTTGTCTCACCCCCAGCGGTCGAGAAGTTCGCTGGCGCCTTATCATCAGGTACGTTCTAATCTTCCCTTCACTCTGGATACGTCTGATGTCATATAGGTACGCCGGAGAAGATCAATGGCAGCTTGAAGGTTTACAGCCTGGAGTGCGCTCGGGAGCTATATATGGGCTGTGGAGTCATATAGACCACGATGATCATGGGCCAACTGGACCGTTCTTTTACGCACCCGCCGCCTTGTGTGATCTTGGCGAGACAGACTAGATTTCGGACATATACAGCAACCTCATAACCTCCGCTTGTACTATGCTCTGCCCTAGAGTATGTTTCGCTATCTACGCTCGCTTATCTCCCTCGCCTCTCAACGCCTCGCCGTACCTCCAAAGTATATAAATCAACGGTATACATACAACAGAACTTACGATAGCCAGTATCGTGTTCCCCATTCCATAACCCAGTGTTTCAAACATTCCAGGGGAAAATATGGGGAATGCGAAGGCAAATATATTCCTCGGAAACTGCGATGCCGCAGCTGCCGAGGCAGTGCAATCGAGAAAAGCTTCCACGATATATGCCTGTACAGCATACACACCCACAATGTATCCACAACCGAGAATCGCAACACCTGCCATCGTAAGCATCATGAGCCGGTCGGCGGTACCCACGCGAATCTATGGAAATGACCACAAATCCATGGGTCAATCTTACCAATATCAGGCACAATCCAGTGCACATGTTTTTCGGCTGCCCAGCCATACCAAATCAGGCCGACTGGCACCATGATGACGCCCGGTATCAACAATGGGATTCGATGTTCTGGTTTGGCCTTTCCACCATTCTTCATTTTCAGATGAGCCCACAGTCGGTCTGTCACTTTGCCTCCAACATATAGACCCACTATACAGCCAGTAACAATAGCAAAGTAGTGTAAGCCACTTGCAGTGGCGGACTGGCTGTAATGTTTTGTCCACATTGTGGCAAAGGTAGCGTGCGTTATATATAGAATACCAAATTGACACCCCATTGCAAGAGCTAGATGGATAGTTGAGCATTTGCTGGGACCCAGATGATCCAAATCTGAACTTACCTGTCAATTGAATTGTCGGATGTGTCGCCAGCATTTTAAGTGGTCTGATCAAGGCTGTCTTGAGTCTTGCGCCTAGTGTCAAAGTGTCGAAGTCTAGTCCTGTGCAATATGCTCTCCCGGTCGCCTTCTGGAGCTGTGACGCCTTTCTTTTCAGTAGTGTCGGAGCGTGGGTCTCAGGAAGAAAGAAGACAAAAAGCAAAGTCACGACGGCATTGAAAATAGAAAGGGTATAGAACATCCAACGCCAGCTTGTGTGTTGCACCTAAGAAACATACTCTGTCAGAAATACACTTCTTTGAGACGTGCGAACGGTCAAGCAACATTTACTTACCATAACACCTCCGACCAGGGGACCGATAGCTGGGCCCAGCAGGGGTAACAGCCCTCTCAATATCTGGGACTTTCCCCGTTCATCGCTGTTGTAGATATCGGCTACAATAGGACCGGAAACCTAGACAACATCGTATCGTCAGCAAAGTCGTTATCTCCCTTCGATGTCAAGGCCACCCACGCCCACTCCCCTTCAATTCAATTCACGACCAACAATGGCAACGGCAATCCTCCCATATACGTACCGCGAACTCAGCACTCGCTCCCAACCCCGCCATGAACCGACTCAAAATCAACACTTCCTTTCCCTCCGCCACCCCACCCACCGTGTTCCAAAGAATATACCAAGCGCCACCAAGCACCCAAATTGGCTTTCTTCCCCATATCTCGCTGCACGGTCCCAGGACCATGGGTCCGAACGCAAAGGCGAGAATGTAGATTGACAGCGCCATGCTGGCTTCAGCTTCGGAGATGTGCAAATCGTGGCCTATGACATTGAGAGCGGGCGCGAGCATGGGTCCCGACATGAGCGTTATGAGGCCGCCGAAACTGGTGAGGATCGCGGTGAAGACTTTGCGGTGCGAGGGCCAGTCCAGAGGGTTTGTGGGTGAGGTATTTGGCGGATTGGTGAAAGTTACCTAAATTATGATTTATTAACTCCGGTACTTCATGACTGAAGACTGCAGTGCGAGGCAAATGACTTACGACGAGTTCATCTGGGGGTGGGTGCGTGATGTTCACTTCAGGGTTCTTCTCGATGGATGCATTGTCGATTGCTAGATCCGCCGCCGGCGATGTTGCTGCTGCAGGGCTGTTGGGGGGATCCTTTGTGATAGACATGTCGGGTTTTTTTATTGTATGATTGAATCATCCATCGAATGTTTCATGAATCTTTATAAAGTCCAGGAGGCATAACCAATACAATATCTCCGAGGATTCGGACATCTTTTATGGCTTCAAATGCAGCCTAGATACTCGAAGGATCATGCTCGAGACCCTGTTGGTGTCTGCCTTGTCCGTGGATTGATTTCATATCTTGTGGTATATATCTTGCCATCGTGATAACGTAAATCGCCCCATAATAACAAGTATATGCACTGCTATATATTGCTTCGTGTTGCCCACGGCGACATGACTGAGTCGCTCGTGTTTATCTTCTTCACTACCTACATATGTAGGTACATATGTACATGCCATCAATCACAAGACTCTACTTTTTCTTTTACGGATTCAACTTCTCACCCGCCCAATCGAAAAGTTTCGCTTCGAATGCTTTGGAAGGATTCATGGACTACCTAGGTACATATATACTTAAGTAGATATGCATGACTCATTCACCGATGGCTTATCAGATGATCGGATCAAAGTCGCCTATTGAGGCAGCTGCCTCGGAGATAATTTCTCCGAGCTTGCCAGCATTTCCTCCGATACATATCATTCCCTGACTGCAATTGTCCCCCAAACTCAAACTGTTGGCTTACGTTTTGGAGTCTATGTTTCTTTCGTCTCTAAGGCAAGACAAAACATGTTGTCACGGAAAAGAAAACAGCGAGCAATACTTTCTTGCAACGATTGTCGGCGACGAAAACTAAGTTGCAATCGAGAGTTGCCGTGCAGTCGATGTATTCAGGGTGGAATTGCTGGTAGATGCTCATATACAAAGGAGACAAGTATTGATGAAGGAAATGAAATACAAATTGGTGCTCGTCGGCGATCACATACTTCGTCGAACCAATCAACTGTGGGGCCTTATGATGCAGGTACGTTCGTGACTTGCTGATACACATAAAAGTACACTCGCTCAACAGGTCGCTAGAATTGGAGGAATCGAATCAACGACTTCTTCCCGAATATTCTGCATCTTCGACGCATGCCAATACTGATCGAGTGCATGAGCACACTGTTCGGGAATTAGAGCAGCGCATTGCAACACTTGAAGCCGCCTTACATGCATCGAAGCATGAGCCTAGTGAGACATATCGTTCAGGTAATCTCACTTCGAAGAACCTAACCGGAAATTCCATGACAATTTGTAGCGGATTTTTCAAAGGCGGCAGCTATCAAACATATTTCTATGGACCAACTAATCCCATGTTCGTCCCCGCACACTTCCCTGATCTGCGACCCTTCATGAAAAGGATATATGTAAATTCGACTCTATCCCGGATACGACAGGACATGAGCGCGTCAGAAGAACGCAGTGAGGCAAAACAGCCAGCACCTACCCGCGTCCTTGCTATCCCAAATCTACGGAGTATATTGCCAGATCGAAACACAGTCGACAAAATCGTGAAGACCTACTTCGATATTTTCGAGGCGACCTACCGTATTCTCCATGCTCCAACATTTTGGGGCAGTTATCGGGCATACTGGGATCCTTCACATCCCAGTACTGCATCCGACTTTGAGATGGATGCTATCATCCTATCCATTCTAGCATGCACCTTGTGTATCTCGACACACGATACAACGCGGCATTGCATTAGTGGCTCTACTTTCCGAGCACAAGCTGTGGTCTGGATCAGGGCTTGCGAAGCTTGGCTCAAACAACAGAGCCATAAACATAGGAGCCTTGCCAGCGTACAAGTACGATTTCTGCGTCTTCTGGCCCTTTCTACGAATTGCTTGAAATCAAAACAATATTACGAGGAGGTTCAAAATCTGATTGTTTTCATGCGTTCAATTGGAATGCATAGAGATCCCAGAATACTAGGAAATCGATGCTCAGCTTTTGAAGGAGAGATGAGACGGAGGTTATGGGCGACGGCGATGGAGCTGGAATTACAGGCTTCGATCGATAAAGGTGTTCCCTCCGTTATTTCTGATGCCAAGTGAGTCGACGTCCGCAAAAAAAAAGGCTTACTTTCATCCACAACTCAACTGATCATGTGTTTCCGTCTCCAGCTATGACTGCGATCCGCCGCGAAACATTGACGACTCCGACCTTCTCCCTGCAACGGAACATCTCCCTCTGTCTCAACCCCCTTCCAATTACACTTCGACTTCCTTCCTCTATCACGCGTCAAAGTCTCTCTTCCTTCGCCGCCAACTGTGCACACAGCTCAACAGTCTCCATCCTCACTCTCCCACCATCTTCTCTCCCAACAAATCTGAATCCGAACTCCTAAAAGCTCTCTCTCTCCTCCCAAAATGGGAAGATAATCCACAAGCACTCCAATCATCCACACTCCTTGATCTTCTGCTCCGCCAGTGGTTGATGCACTTCCATAAACCAGAGGTCTTACACCTTGCAGGGGTGACGCAGAACCCACTTTACCACCAACGCCCCTCGACCCGCTACGCCATCATCGCAACCCTCGAAGCCGCCTCTTCAATCATAACCTCACACGCGCGTCTCCTCGATGCGAATACCTTCGCGCTATGTTGCATGCGTTCTGATTACCTCAGTGCCGCGTTCCTCGTCTGCCATATCGCGTACCACGCGTATATAGCTGGCGATTCGATGATGACAGCGCTAGTGCGTTCCATGTTTGCCCAGACAATGGATATTGCGCTGAGGGTCGTCGAGGAGCGGTGTTTGCGGCCTGGACGGGGGAACCACAAGTTTTGGTTCTTGAGCGCGGCGTGTAGTTTGGCGGCGATGCAGTGGGAGGAAGATCCGGCGAGGCGTGAGGCCTTGGAGAAGTCGGCGTGCGAGAGGGTCTGCAAGGTTTTATATAAGATTCTCGCGTTGAGGGATGAAGACTGGGATGGCGATGGTGCTGATGGGAGTATCAGGTTTGGAGCAAAGGGGGTTTGTGAGGTACGTTCCCCCCCTCCTTCCAATAACACATTTATTCATGTTTTCTCTTGAACGATTCCACAGAAAGTCCAACTAACAATAAGTGTTCTAACGCCCTACATAGATGGTTCTTCTTGGCCCTGTCTCCACCATCACCACTTCTTCCACTGCAACATCCGCTCCTCTCCTACAGACTTACCAACCTGCTTCGCAATCCCCACTACCTACATCCTCCTTCCCTATTCACACTTCACCGTCAATAACATCACCGCTAACCTTCGATACCGCTGCCCTCGCCCCTTTCCATAGCGGGAGCGGCGGCGCAGACGAAGCGTGGATGCTAAACGATATGTGGTTCATGGACGACCTCGGGGATGGGTTTATAGGGTACGGCGACCAGAGTGGTGGGAACGGGTTTGGATATGTATAGGAAAGGGATTAAGCAAGAAACGGTCGTTACGAAAAGATGGGGGAATAATATGGTATCTTTTTTTTTCACTCAATTCTCTAAAAAAAGTAGTAGAGGGAGGTATCAGTGCTTTTCTTCTATTTCTTTCTGCTCGCTCGCTCCGCCAAAAATCACAATCAAAATCACAATGTCTCTAAGCCCCTTCCACTTTCTAGACCCCTTTACTCTTTGACTCATCTTTCCTTATGATTTCCCGAATTCGCACACATGTCTAATTCTGAACATATGCTGAATGAATAAGACTTCCAACCGGCAATCACCGTGGCCAAAAATAGGAGGATAGCAGACCACCCGAATTCTATCTTCTCTTCAAGTGTTCTTGAATTCCCGACCAAATATGCTGTATTCACACGCGGTATATGACTCGCTCTTCACCACCCTCTATTCCATCCTGCATCAATTACCCGCTAAAGCTATATCCCTGGCCACCACCATGGGGTTTCGGCGATGGCGGCGACACAGGGCCCATGGGCATAGGTAATGGCGCGCCAGGCGCAGCAGCCCCAGCGTACGCCGTGGAGTAGTTGCCCAGCGCCGGCGGGCCTGGCGGGGGAGGAGTCGGTGACGCGTGCATACCGATGTGAGCATCGCGCCGGTAATCATCGTAGCCGCCGGGACTGAGGGCGCTCGCAGCATCCACTGCCCCGTCATCGTACGCTGCGTATCGCCCCATGCGGGGATCGTTGCCCCAGCTCAGCGGACGACCAGGGTGGCGGCCTTCATCGGTCTCGGTACCGTGGAGAAGGGCGTACTCGTCATCTGCTTGGTTTCCACCGTGCTCGGTGCGGCGGTCTTCTTCATCGTCTGAGTGGTCGTGTGGTTGCATTTCCGTGGACCATGTTGGGTCTTTGGCCGAAGATGGGTCGCCGCCGGTTGCGTGGTATTGGGATTCTTCCTTAGAAGCTTCGTAAGGGAGGACACCTTCTTTACGGAAGGAACGAACGTAGTAGCCGGATATGGCGGTGGTGATTACGAATAGCACGCTATTTAGATGTTAGACAAACTTTACCCATGTACTGCTAACATGTATTTCGGAGGGGGGGCAACGGACCAGATGAAAACACCTAATCCCACTGTAGCGCGGGACAGATTGCATTTGCTTTCGGGGCCATATTTAAACGTCGTGCAGTTTCGTTCCTCCAGCTTCCTCTCTTCAGCTCCCTCCGTCACACCCTGTGTATTCCATATAGCGACAGACATGAAGGCAGCGAGCCATAAGACTAAGGAGGTTTATGTCAGCCTCTTCTTCATGGTGACGTACAATAATGCAGGAGGCAAGACGAACCCGTATACAACGCGTCCAGCGCAACGAAAGCGTATGCATTTGCGAATTTTTGTGCCCTACTCCACATGGGAACCATAGTCAAGTATATCAGAGCAGGGAGGGTGACAAAGCACTACGGGTAGAATTGTCAGTCTTACATTCAAAGTATGCAGTGCGCATCTTTATCCCTTGCGTCCCTTCTTCCCCTATTTTCAAGATGTGAGACGTACCATGGCGAAATAGTACCTCGTGGGACCTCCGATCTCTCCATCTTGTGTCAAAATAGCAATGGTTATGCACCCCGCTATGAAAATGACCAGCCCCTGGAAGAAATGTGCCACCGTCTTGCACTTTTGCACGTAAGATGTGTTGATGCGCATTATGGGCGCAGCGCAGGGTGTGATGAGTCGTGACGATATCGCACCCTCTCGAGGGGATCGGTTTTCTGAGGTGTGCCGCGATCTGGGCGAAGGGCCGATGGGAGTGAGGGTTCACAGGGGAAACGATAGAAGGGTTCGTGGGGTATCAACAAGACTGATTGATGGCGGAAACGAGGGAGAGGTAGTAACAGCGACTAAACAAAGATTGAGTTAGAATGGGCTTCTGTGTCCATGGCCAATCTCTTTCACAGCACTAGGGGATCGTCCTTGACATGCTTCACGTCTCCGTGGTCGGCAAAGTGAAGCGAAAAAGCTTATTGAATTGTTTACGTACGGGAGTATCTCGGGGGATGGATCTGACTGACGATGACGGATGGAAGAAAGGCAGACAGGCGCAAGAAGATGGATGAATGAATGCTCAATGTTGATAAAAAGCAGCAACAATCAAACCGAGGCCGGGGGGATTCGCTAAAAGTACAGGACAAGGTCGATGCACAGATGATGTGTGAATGCAATGAAGAAGAAAGGTAAGAGAAGAAGAGGGATTTGCTGTGGGGGTATCAGGGAGGCTGAGCAACAACAGCAACAGAAAAGAAGGATGAAGATGGGGAAGAAGAGAAGGGTCGAAGACGACGCAACATGGTTCGCATAAACAAAGCGTCTCGGCGCACCGCCGCAACGACAAGCAAGCAAGCAAGCAAGCAAGCAGAAAGATGGGGTGGCCGATGATGCAGTCCCTGTCGTGTTCATGTTCAGCTGTTGCATTAGTGGCTGGCCGGCCTGTCATTGGCTGAGAAGCAACCAATGCCAACCCGACCTCTCCCGCACCAGCACCAGCAGCAGAGATGATGACAGGATCCAGAAATGGTTGATGTAAGCAGGAGGAGCGGCACAGCGAAGTGATGTGTTTTGGAATCAGTGAATCGAGGCGGCGGGCTCACATTTACGAGTTTAAGTCACACTCCACATCAAAGAAGAGGCTGTCCATGGTAAGATGAGAGGTGACGTGTGATTCCCGATCCCTTCTCCCACTGACCTTGTTAACCTTCCAAGAGAGAATACTTCAAGTACTTCTGTGTAACGATATCTTCCGCGAATTGCCTTTGGCCTCTGCCCTTCGCTTTCCCCTGTGTATGTAATCAGCTGCTAACAAAATGTCTGCCAATCTAATTATAGATCCCGCTGCTGCTCTGCTGGCCTTACCGACCACACCTTGCTCGATACAGCATAGCGTTGCACCTATCAACACGTTCCTCGAGCCTCCCTCCAGCAAGTCGAGGCTACCAAACCAAGCCCAAAAGGCATTCGCTGGCTTTTCTACTTCATCAAACATGGTACACAACTGCGTACGACATTCACGACATATCAGCCTCACTCAGACCGGTCAAACAACCGGGTTCATACGAACAGTCCACGAGTCCCCATTTGAGCCACACCACACCACATCGCACCAAGGCGCAGCAGAGCTAGCACAAGTCTTCATGCCAAGTCATTCTCCAATCAACCGGTGAATCTTGAGGATACGTGCTCCCAACAACCTTGATTCATTATCGTGAATGCCAACCCCATCACTGTGCAACCCTAGAAAGAATGCAGAGGCCATCGTACTAGAGAAACCTCCAAAAATAAAAGTCCCGTCCATCAGCCGTCCGTCCCCCAGAAAACCCTGCCGAAATCAGTCCTCTTTACATTTCACACGTCGCATACGCCATCCCTCTCCCTCTCCCTTCCAAGTACCCGAACCACCTGCTTGGCCCCATTCCATCTTGCTTTCTGGCCTTCCTTTCTCATCTCCCTGATTCCTAGCATGGCCCAAGAGTCGACACTTGCATTTTCCCTTTCCATCGTGTCTTCAGATCTCTGCTCTTCCTCCACCTCATCCTCTCCTTCCTCCCTAATCTCCTCCACGCCTCTGAACAGTCTTCGCGCTGCTGCCCATTCACCCTCTCTTCCTGCCCCACAACCAAACACGCATTTGCCTTTGCCGCATGGCCTCCAGAACCGGTATTCGGCCACCTGCGCCTCGCTCAGAGGCTGTACAACGAGCATTCCACTCTCTATGCTGCGATTCGACTTGTACGATAGCAAGTTCCCTTCCGGAGAAATCGGCGACTGACTATATGTCTCTAATCCGTCCGCGATCGGAATCACGTTGATGTTGGTGTTGATTCGTGGAAGACGGGCAGCTGCTTCATGCATCTTCCTGCTCGAGGCGTTACTGCTTGATGGTGAAGAGGGAGGTGTAAATGAAGTCGGAATCATGGGCTGGGAAGAGAATGCTTGCAATGCTTGCTTGCTTGCAAAGCTATTTAGCATTGCTACGCGAGGGCTAACAGGATGGGAAGGGCTCGATTCCGGTGTAGACAACGGCGGTTTAGTAGATGCATTGTTTGACATTCTAATATCTGGACATTGTCCGTGATCGTGAGGCACAGAACCGTGTATCGGTCCACACATGTCGGAACCATCAATACTCATAGGGGAAAATGAGCGAGCATCTCGGGGTGTGTTGCTTGTGTTGGCGACGTTGCTACCCGCTTCTGAGGCAGGAGAAGGGAAAACCCCCTTGGCATCCAAGGTCGGCGATAAAGGAGTCGGGTATCCAGGACATCGCCGACCAACTTCCGTCAGCCGTGGGAAGTTCACTTGCTGTTGCATGTTGGTTGTAGCCATGGCATGGTGTTGAGAGTATAATCCAACACAATCCAGGGTAGACAGATTGCCAGTCGCCAACATCATGCCGTCTATGCTCGAAAATGACGGCATCTGGCTGATAGAGAAGTGCATGCTTGTGCCCTGTTTCGTAGGTGGATAAAGATCGTAAAGGGTGTCGCCAGTTGGTTGATGAGATGGGTTGTTACGATATTGGTGCAAGAAGCCACCGCTGAAAGAGCTACCAGTGCCGATGTGACTACCAGCTCCACTAGAAGCCCCTTCGCCCGTGATGCTGCGAAGAGTATGAGCAAGAGTAGGATCAACGTTTGCAGATCTGGCAAAACGAGCGTCATCGACTATCCAGAGACCACCGTAATGGTTCCAGGGGAAGGTGCGGAGGAAGTAATCTTCAGGGTACACATCGAAGCCAAGCGAGCGAGACCGGAAGAAAACATAAACGTAGCGGCAGTCAGGGAATTGGCGCAATACCTGCTCATCAATTTAGCGGCTGCTCCACATATCTTGGGTGAAACAAGGGACCGAGAGGGACATGGAAGCAATGTAGGTGCTTCATACATCCCAAGCCGGATATAAAGGGGGGTTTGCAGAAAGCCTACAGTGGCGTTAGCCTGCTTCCATGATGATCAGTGCATCGGTACCCACAAAAGTATCTCGAACGCAGCATGCTTGCTCAACTGTTTAGCAGCCCTGCGATAAGCCCACATCACTTCCGGCCTCGCCGTCTTGATGTTCTTGCGGCCAATCAGGCGGTGCATGGCCGGGCTCGTCTGATACATTGGATCGAAGACTATAAGGTTGCGAGAGCCGTCGTGACGACGCTCGAATCCGATGATGGACATGGAGTGGCCTGGTTGTTGAAGAAAGATGGGTGGGAGGAGAGTTTTGTTAACATTGGAGCCGTCGCTGATAGGGGTCTGAGCGAAATAAGTCTCGACAGCGGTAAGAAGGGCCTCATGGGCTTCGGTAGCGCCGTCTTTCGAATCGGCGAACATCTGTACACCGCAGTCGATTCGAGCACTTTGGAAAATGGCTTGGGCCTTTGCCTATGTCAGAGAGGCCCGGATGTATAGGAGTACCAATCTCACCTCGGGAGTGCCAATATACTTCCTCGTATCTCGGATACCGCCGGTCTGCTGTCTCGCAATAGCGTTGATACCTTTGTCCCATGCGCTCTCGATCAATTCCTGTAACTTTAGTATCCCAGGCACTCTTCCATGAAAATCCTCGCACCCTTGTGCTCGAGCACCTTGAATATAAGAGATGAGCATTTGGATGTTTCGGTAGCCGCAGAAGCTACCTTCCTTTGGCGTCTTGCCAATATGTAGAGTGGAGGGATGACAGTAATAAGCCTGTTTGACGGAGCGATCCAGGGCTGATAATTGGGCTAAAATAGGAATGATGCCGGGTGTTTCATTTTGCACGTGCTCTTGCTTGATGAGGCGTCCATCGCGTCCGATGCGATTTACTGTGGTGATTTTAGGTCCAGCATCGAGCTGATCATGCAGCCACTTGGGCATACGGTCTTCCCACGCATATGGGCCGAGATCAGCACACTGTATGTGATCAGTATACACCGAAAGTCTGCAAAGAAGACGCACTTACACCGAGGCGGCAATTGCTCTTAGGGGGCTTGACCGTCACGCCGGGCTTGGTAAAAGGGTTGAAGGTGGCGATACTACGTGACAGAGTGCTCTTCTCGCTGCTTGAGGTATTACTGCGACTTCGCTTTTTATGCTTCCTTGACCTTTTCTTCCTGTCCTCTTCTGACCCTCGAGAGGGGTCAAAGTCGGTGGGGAGCATGGCTGATGAACCGGCGTCGCTGTTGGCGACAGAAGTAGGATGTCTAGAATGATAGCTTCTGTTGGACGACTGGTCAAAGGATAATCTTTCTCCGGCGTGGAAGTCCAGGTGATCGTTAAAGTCATGTATCAGGACAAGTTCACAGCAGTCGGGCTCTGGACACATGACGGTATCTTCGTCTTCGTCAATGCCACTTTCCATTCTCGAGTCAGCACTTCCCTTTGAAGTATCGTTAGTCAAAGATGGAGGGAGCGGCTCAGGATCATCTTGGATACGAAATGGCGAGTCTTCGGTATGTGCCTGCTCGAAGTGTAGTTGCAGTACGTAATCCTGACCCGAGGCGACTGCGTAGCCACACATTGGGCACTCGAGACTTTCTTGTGAACCTGCCATGTTATTCAATGCTGTGATATATTGGCCTTTGATTAGGTATCACGCAGATGGGTCGCTCTATACGTCGAATCCAGTCGCAGCTGCCAATCCACGGTTGCCACGCGACAACTCGGTGTGAACTTCACAGATAAATGATGTGATGTCTCGACACCGAGCAGTCTGGCAGACTCAATAGTTCTCGTGCTCGGGGACTGACAGATGTCTGCCGGCGTGATTCATTCAAAGGAAGGAGATGGTTGGTGAGTGGAGAGCAGCGGTGAGGTGGAATGAGTGAGTACGGTACTGTAGTGTGACATGAGGAACGCATGCTGGTCCTGGGGCTGCCTTCGCCTGGTTAACAATAAATGTAAGGCTGGTACACGAATACATGATACATGCCAGTGAGCTTTGAAGGAGACTCATATAGAATAAACTACGCCTGAAACTACGAAATACATGACCAAGTTCCATTTTACGTGGTTGGGTCCCAAGGGTCGGCGCGGAACCACGAGATGTTCCGGGCGGATTCTTGGCACATCCGCTCTTGAACATCTTGAACATTGCATCGTCCATCCAGTAATCTTATTCACATTGCCCGTTTCTGGACCGGAGTACATACCGATGCCGCAGGTGACCACCGAAATGTTAAAGGCCTCAAGACGAGTTGGCACATTGTCTTGGCTCTCTTGACTGACGTCAACTGCCGCCACAATCTCAGACACGTAACGGATCTACATGCTTCGTGAGAGCCAACTAAATGGAGCAACATGCGTATTGTACCTCCCCATCAACTACCTTTGTGGGAACAATGAATAAGGCTGCGCCACGGCGTGCTTGCCCTAACTTGTAACATAACGATGATCCTGTCAACTTCCCATCAACGGACTTGGACGAATCACGTACTCTGCGCTTAGGCGAATATTTCATTAAGCATAGCCACCTTAGCATTGGCGTCTCCGGCAGGGCTGATTCTACCAGTAGAAGCGTTGGTTGCACCTGTGTGAAACACACGAGAAAGAGGCTAATTGCGCAAATCCCAGGTTCTGCTAGTTTTGGGAAACATGTCTTGTAGTATAGTAGGGGGGCCGAGTAACGATTATCATCGAGGCTGTGCGTCACTATTTGGAGCATGCTGATCGCAAGTACACTTTGTCGAGTTTCATAAATACCTCTGCCCTAGCGTCGCATTTGATCAGCTCTATATTCAGCAAACAACAACTCCAGTGACAACGACGTTTTCGACTCCTCGATCCTCTACCTTCAGGTGGGTGCTCCATGAAATGTGCAGATATGTGATACTTTTCGAACGAAATTTCGATCAGCGAAGGATATCTGTTTGATCTTTGCTGACACTTCGTAACAAAGGTTGTGGGACGATTTCGAAAAGACACAAGTGCAAATACAGCGGATCCATCTCGACCCGCCTTCTCGACTTTAGTTTCTACCTCCATTTCGATAGGCTCTTCATCACTAGCCATAAACCGACCATGGTGAAATTCAGCCTCAAACCCACCGCCGACAAACGCTGGCAGGGTGTCCAACGGCACTACTTCACTGTCTTCATTCTCAAAAACATTGTCCTCGTCGCGTTCATCGGCCTCACCATCGCCGAGAGCGTGCTGATATCGAAATGGTACAAGGAAATGTGGACGCATCCACAGTCTACCAAGTTAGACGGCCCAGTGTAAGTTATCATATCCAGCTCATCTCTCCCTCTTCTCGACCAATTTCCAACCCATCGATTCCCCTGCGATCCACCCATCATCCATCCAATCCAAGCGCTGACAAACCCTTCCTCGCTGCAGCGAATTCTGGACCCGCATAGGCATTGCGCTCATCCCAGACGTAATCATAACGTTCGTAGCCATCTTTTGCATGTTGACGCAAAAGTGGCACCCCATCACCGCCCTCTGCTCGACGGTAGTGCTCTCAGCGCTGTGGCTCTTCTGCGCCGTCATCAATTCCCTCATCACATACTCTGGGGAAACCATTTACTTCGCCAACATGGACTACCGTGACCGATGGGACGCCATGTGTTTCGCCGAGACGGGGCTCCAGGCCGCCATAGCAGTCATGTACATGGTCATGATGGGCTTTGCGGCCAAGGCAGTGCATGTATGGAGGAAGGGCCCGAGGGTGCTGGCGTATAGGGATGTTGAGGAGACTTCGTAGAGGGCATGAGTCCGCTGTTCTCTTTATATCGCCCCCCTTCCCACATGACAAGTCGTCGATGATAAAGACGTAATGTTCTTGTTGTGTTTTTCTGGCTTTATGACCCACGATTTACTGCGTAGGATGCTGGGTAGTCGGATTTTGAGCTGCATCTATGCGAGGCTCGTATTATTACTACATGTGCTTTACGCCTAATAATGTTTAATCATCAACACGCAGAGGTCCACTCGCTAGATACACTTGGTCGAGGCACCAATAAATACTTGATCCACCTATTTGCGTTGGCTTCATATAATCGAGCACTGGCTCACTGTTACTCTACATCAAGTGATCGTTCCTTCATGTCTGAGTGAATCTCGGAACATGTGTCCTGCCTAGAGCTCAAAGGCAGATTTATCGTGTTTTCAATACCCAGTGTTTGTGCCGCATGGGAATGCGATGAATCACCACTACGCTTAGGTCTGAATGAATCCTGCCCTTTCTACATCCACGTTCGGCCATTCTTCAACGGCGAGATTAGATCTTTCCACTCCTCTACCCTTCAAGTCACAGACTACTATCAACGACAGTCGTCAAGGAAAGTATACATCTTTTGTTAGGTTGATGGATCGGAAATACAGTCTCAAGTCGGGCGTGACCGTCATACAGCAACAACAGAGTAACACCTTTTCCCCACAACTAGATTTATACTAAAGAAGAGCAGCCCAAAGTCAGTACAGATAGGCAGAAACAGCCTAACATTTTGCTCTGTGTGCTTGTGCACATCAGTCATTCCTCTTCCTCGTCATCATCATTAACAAAACAGCACGAGTGTATGGACAGTCAAAATCTCTTATACAGCCACGCCCTCCATCCACATCCTGCGAAAGAAAAAGAAAAAGAAGTACGAGCAAACATGGAGTTTGTCTAACATAATAGCACCGGAACAGCACAGTCATGTACTATCACACGACATGTGCCTTTTGCTCGACTCCTTGGGCAAATTCATTGTATCTTCTTGTACGGTGTTAATGCCAGATCTGATACTTCGCCGCTATGGCGTCAATAGATCGAGAATATAGCCAACATAGCCAACCTTAGATTGATATCTAGCATAGCCACATCGCCACTCGTCTATCCTTCTGAACACAGCCCAACATGTCTTCATCTCTTTTCTTATTAATACTAATAAAAGAAAGCCCACATATGGTGGGGCCCCGATCGAGAGAGCCAATCCAGCTATTTGAATCAACCCCACAACCTCTTGGAATCCAGGGAAAAAACAAAAATTCTCCGAGCGTATACGCAGTACTAAAAAAAGGCGTACTTGCTTTTCTGATGGACCGCTTGGAAAAAAAACACGGTATACAAAAAAAGAAAAGAAAAGAAAAAAACGAAGTAAGAGCACGAGCGAAGAGAGAAAAAAAAACTCTCCTATGGCAGGGTGCCAGTGTATTTTGGGTGACTCTTTCTTTGACTGCTGTTTGACCTGCTCGTTCATCACGTGTATCCATCTCAGCTCAATCACATAAGCTCGACACTCTATGCACCGTCTTTCGCTTGTGAGATTTGGACAAAGATTGGGCCGAGGAAATACATATACACACATCGAAAGAGGGCGAAAAGATGGAAAGAGGCTTGTGAAATCGAGGCTGTGCTCGCTCGTGTATAGCCTTGTTGGATAGTTCAACTCACCAGATGTTCTGGATCTTTTGGGATGAGTGGGAAAGAGGGGGTGTTCCTTGATTCCATGGAGTAAGTAGGTCATAAAAGGTATTCTCCTAGTTCCTTCTTCAGGGTTCTTCCTGTATGTAGACTGCGGAAGCGAACCCGATCTTTTTCTCTTCTTTCTTTCCTTCTTCTAGATTTTTGTGGGAGGGGGCGATGGACACGCGTGTCTTTCTTTTCTTTTTCTCTCTCTTTTTTTCGAATAGGTTGATTTTTTTTAGTCACACAGCTTCGATTGAATGAAGTGGATGACATGATCACAAGACTCTAGGATGATTTCCAGGGTGCCACTATCGCGCGGAGCAAACTCCCCATATACACGAGTGAGTGAGAGAAAAGAGGGGACTGACTACACACTTGTGGGAACAAGTACACTAACCCACTCTCCCCTTCTTCCCCTCAGGTCGCAGTTAAAGAGTAAAAGGGTAGCAGAGTTGAGTGACGGCCTCGAGTCAAGGAGAAAGAAGTGTCCTTTTTTTGGGCCATCACAAATAATGCATTCGCAAATACAACTCAGCTTTGCTCGACTCAGTTGTTCTCTCAAATTTCCCATCGAAGCGGAGCTGGGTTGATGCCAGCTGAGTCAAGCTCTAGTGTCTCACGAAGACAGAGAGAGGCGGCCTTAAGTTTGCACCCTTCTCCTTTCTGTAAGGTGAAGGGAAGGGGGAAGAGGGAAAGAGGGAGAAGGAGTGGCAAGATTCATGTCGATGCCGATTGAATTTTTTTCTCGAATAATGACTCTTGCGCTTCTCCCGATCCTTTTAGAGTTTGTAACACCCGCGCATGCCGTGCATCTGTTGCGAATCGATGTCACCTCCGAGGGAGGATGGTGGATGAGGGTTAGTCCCAGCGAAGGCCATCGATGTTTCCGTGAGAGTTTCCGCTAAACAAACTCTATTTGACTGAGACTCGGCGCTAAAGGAAGAACGACGGAAGATAAAATACTGTTATGCCAGTGCCACAGGGTAGATCGACGTTTTACAGTGTAAGGCGCCAGGTACGCTTAGGCGAGAAGAGGATGGTTGGAGTCAATACCGAGGCGGTACTCTTCTTCACGTAGGCGACCCCCGCTTTTTTCCTTCGTCATCGCAAAGCATCCAGCCTCCAGCCCTCTGCCGTATTTTAGTAATAGCGTTATCATCATGTACCTGCATACCAAGGGCAGCTCAATCGAGAGAGTGGGCGTCCATCACACACCCACACACAGGCAAAAAGAAAGGTGCATCCTTGCACAGGAACACCAACGGCTCATCCGTCTCGGGGATCTCGGTATGCGGTGCCCCCCATGGCATCCGCAAGCGAGCAATCAATTTGAAACTCCCGCTATTCTGATACACCTGCCTCGAAATCTGATGCAAATGGCCGCCGATCTTGCGCCTGCGCTGCCAACCCAACAGTTCCCTATCTGATGCTATCTATCCTTAGCAGCAATGCCAGGCTTTCCGGCTACAGTTCGCCATTTCATAGTCATGCCGAACGGGGTCACACAGGTGGCGGCGAGTCAACCAGCAGAAGGGGATAACGGCGCCCGCATGAACCGAGGGGCTGTTGACATGACCTTTAGTCGACAGATGGCTAAAAGCCTAAAGGGTTCACTGACAAGACCCCTGAAACCGAAGGTGCAATCGTGTACGTGGACTGACAAGTGCTGGCATGGGACCAGTTGCCCGTAGAGGGGTTGCAGCAGCAGCAGCAGCTCGACCATCGACTATTACCTTCTGTTTGCGTTATTGCTGGTCGGCTTCTGGGAGAACGGAAACATGACCGTAAACGGCGCCGTTCAATGGTGTTCCAGAAGTAGCCTCAAAGCAATAGAATCCAATATCTCTCAATCCACCACACGACCCCACCACGTCCGGAATTGGCAATATCAATTTGACCAATGCCAATTTCGACAAGACTGTTGCGGCACAGATACGACAAAAAGAAAAGCAATGGCGCGGTATTGCACGCCAGACTACAAAAAGGTGGTGGAAGCGACATTATCCCATGCTTGTCCGGCGCACGCTTTTGCTGTGGGGTGGGTTTCAGAAATTGGCCTAACGCAGGTACAAATGTGCTTTGCCCAAAGCGACGTTTCCTCCGACAATGTGACCACAAAACATGACTTCATCCCCAAGAGTGGATTGTGTTTTTTTGGGAAGAACGGATTCCGGGAGGTGCGAGGCGACGCTGTAACTGTTTCACAGGCTTGCCGCAACGAGAGACTGCCGGCAAATCCTGACGGGCGAACGTTTTGTTCAAATAGTCTTCCTTGCGAAGATGGGATTTGTGGATCCAGATGTGGTCTCGCTGTGAGGTATTATGAGGTAAGCCAGTTGGCTCGACCGCCGGGCCGTGTTTACTTGAGCATGGCAACCATGATGATCCGCAAAGCCATGTTTGGAGACCATCTTACTTGCATTGCGAGGCCGAGGACAAGAAGGAGAATGCGCAAACCCAAGTAGCCAGCCAACCCCGTCCGTCTCCCTCTGGTTCTCTCGCGCGCAGTCCGGACGACGGGTCGAGAGGATGCAGAAGGTCAGCAGCAACGGGCATTACGGGAGATGACGGCGCACACGCTGAGGGCGAGGTCGAGGGCGGCTCGAAGGATGAGATTGCGGGTGTGGTGACTTGTGTTTGCAGACTGCATAAAAGCATGGCAGGTGATGGGATGAATGCGCTGACTCGTGGTGGGGCGGAAGATGAAGCGGGTGGAAAACGGTTAGAGGCTTCTGGGCCTAGCCTAAAGGGAATGCTGAAACGACTCATGGCCAACGCTTACTCGCCAGCCAGCCAGCCTCCTCACGTCGCAGCGTCACGCTCAGGGTCAATCAACTGTTGACGGTGGATCAAAATAGACGGTACCGCCGCATCTCGCGATATATCAACTCCCCCCCACAGGCAAGCGCCGAGTGTGCTATCGCGCTGTGTGGATGAAGAGGGAGATTGTATGCATGCACCACGATTGCGTTATTGGGCAAAGGCAACTGACGTGGACGGGATGGTGTTTCAGCAAGGAGATCATAGCAGAGAGAACCCGGCGCTCTGCTTCGGTTCCTGCATCCCAAGCTGCCCCGTGCTTGCTCGCACCTCAGTCAGTTCGTTGATCAACGAGTGTGTATGCACGGGTAAGACCATGACAGGAGCCAGGAAGGATGAGGATCCACAGTGTTGGCGTGATTCCGTTTCCATCTGGACGCATCGCACACGGCTGCCGCCATGGCTTTCCGAATGTGAATGTTCCTGCATGGTGCAGAGTATCCGGCATCGTGATGCTGACTTTGGCGGACAGCCACAAGTGCAAGCGAGCCATGAGTTGGGCTGTGGCGATGACTAACGGGCGTGCTACATACATGGCTATGCGCAAGATGAGTAAGGGCGCGAAGCCAAGTGCTGGGTGGGAAACGTAACGAGGCAGCGGTGCAGTGGATTGCAGTAGCAGTCGCAGTGGTAGTACAAGGCACAGGTGTAGTAGGTACGCGGACCATGGAGCGCGCGGATGACATAGGACAGGCAGGACAAGCAGGTCAGCAGCGAGCGGCAGATGAGCAAGAGGTCGTTGGGGTGGCTGGCCAGTCAAGAGAGATTGCGGAGTGGAGAGAGGACGAGGGCGGCACCCTGGCAGACGCTCAACACCTGCGAAGGCGTCTGGACTGCATCCCCCCAGCGCTGCATGCCGATCGACCAGTACACACAGCACTACTGTGCAAGAGGATGGTGATGATGGTGGAGGTGGTGGGTTGGCAGCGGCAGCGCCCTGTAGTGGGTGTATGTGTGCTGCACACACAGGTGTACATGCATCCGGTCCGCAGGGGCAGAGAAGAAAGCGTTTGTATAATTGTACAATTAGACAGACACAAGACACCAAAAGGACGTTGACGATGAGGCGGCTAACGAGATGATGGCGATGGCGATGATGATGGAGGGGGGACTGAAGGGTAGCAAGGCGAGGGCCGCGCGGTGAGGGCTGGCGGTGGCCATGACGGGCGCGGGCGGATTAGTGGCCGAGGGTGAAGTGAAAGCGAGAGGGCCGCTAGCCCGGAACGACAAGTCGGCCGTGCTGGTAAGCGAACGAGGGCCAGCCAACGCGCGCGCTGGAGAGGAGGAGAGAGTCAGGCCGGTGGGTGGCGGGTATGGTATGGACATGGCTGGTGAATAATGGGGGTGGTGGTCGACGACTCGAATCGCGTAGCTGTGATATGTCTCTCTCTCTCTCTCTCTTGCTTCTGCGGAGTTGGACAATCTCCACACCTGACAGCAGTAGTGAATGGAATGATCAAATCTCTTTTTTTTTTCTTTCGCTTTCTATACAGTCGCCCACCCGCTCGTCCTTCCTTTCCGGTGAGGTAGTGGAGGTGGATAGGTGGAGGGGATAGGTACATGCACGTCTAGAACCCAGCCATCATCGATGATGCTGGTGTTATGAGCGTGACAAACGGCCATCATCAGTAGCAGCAGTAGCAGCAGAATCAAGATGCACAATGCTGTCGTCACTGGACAAAAGGCATCATCATCATCATCATCATCTACCTAGGTATGTACATGGCGGTGCAACAGTACAGGAAATAAAACGCGATTTGATCTAGAGAGTCAGACAGATAGCAGGCGACGGACAGGGCGGCCGAGGGCAAAAGGGCCGGTCAGGTCGCGGCGCCCCAAAAGCATGCATGGGCCGGACAGCGGCCTGCATGGGCCCAGGTAGGGGTTGGCCGTGGCCGACATGGGGGGACATGGACGAGGGAGGGACGAGGGCAGCAGCAGAGGAAGGGGGGGGTTGGACCGGGGCTAAAGCTGGCTTGAGGCGCCCCCCCGAAATAGATTATTCCAAAACGACCAACTCCTGTTTCACCAGCCCTCCGACACGTAAAGCTCTGCCGCTCCCCCCTCAGATTTGCGTTTCGTGTGTCCTCAAGCCCTACCTTCCTACGCTGCGTTTTCTGCTTGACGCTGTGAGTGCTGAGGCTTCCCGAGGCAGGCCCTCGATACGTTGTTTTATCTTCAGAGATCAATCCTCAAACCATCGTTGGCTCTTTTCCTTCGCTTTACGCTTCACATTATATTATTTGCACCGGGCAGGACCTTTACTGAGCCTTAACCGTCTCATTTCGCCCATTCCAGCACCGCAACCCGTCTGCTTCAGACACGCTCAAACAGTCCCTCTCACAAAGAGTCGTGTTGCAGCGCAGCATGTACTCCTCCAACCCCCATGCTGCTATGCCTCCGCCTCAGTCGAGGTCGGTCGCGCCAGAGACCTTCTTATTAGATCAGGACGCTCAGCAAAGCCTGCCGCCAGACAGCATCGTCGCTCTCCAGCAGGTCGACAACCGTATGTAGCCTTCCTCTCTCTCCTCCACCCCTTCAGTCCGTCGCGCGACTTGTCTCACATCCCTCTGTCCACTCTTTCGACCCGCCCGCTGACCGCCCTTTTGCTACAGTCAAATATTTCCTCATCTCAGCTCCTGTTGATTGGCAACCCGATCAGTACATCCGCAGATTCCTCTTGCCCACTGGCGAGTATGTTTCTTGCGTCCTATGGTGAGTGCTTTCCTACGCCAGCGCATGAAGCCCTACCCCTCTTTTTTCCCGCTTACATCCGCGCGACCCTCGCATATCATCTTTGATCCTCGTACTAACTCTCATCTTCAGGAACAACCTTTTTCACATCTCCGGAACCGACATCGTGCGATGCCTGTCTTTTCGCTTCCAGGCCTTTGGCCGTCCCGTCAAGAACTCGAAGAAATTCGAAGAGGGTATCTTCTCTGACCTGCGCAATCTGAAGTCCGGCACCGACGCCTCGCTCGAGGAGCCAAAGAGCGCCTTTTTGGATTTCTTGTACAAGAACAACTGCATCCGCACACAGAAGAAGCAGAAGGTTTTTTACTGGTACAGTGTGCCTCATGACCGCCTCTTTCTCGATGCGCTCGAGCGCGATCTCAAGCGCGAGAAGATGGGCCAGGAAGCCACCACCGTAGCCGTCAGCGAGCCTGCCCTATCCTTCGAATTCGACTCGTCCCAGTCGCTCTTCGAGCAGCTCACCAAGGCCCAACAGACCAACTCGTCCTCCTTCAACAACAATGTGCAGAGCTACTCTCAATCCACATCGCCGGACATGCGCGCCATGGACCCGATGCCCCCACCACAGATGGTGCCGCAGCAAATGCCGCCTCAAGTCCACGAGGAACCCATGCACCACCCTCAGATGGCTCCTTTCCAGCAAATGACCATGGCTCCCATGGCTCCCAGCATGCCCGCTCAAGTGGTCAAGAGCAGAGAACGCGAGTACGGCAATTCCGTCCAGTACGACCGCAACGGGATCCCTCTGTCCCAAGTCCACCAGCGACACAGCTCGATGCCTGCCTACATGGAATATTCACCCGCGCCTTCGTTTGTTTCATCACACTACGAAGACTACAGCACTCGCGGCATGTCTTTCGAGCCCCTGACACCCCCTCAGCATCAGATCAGCCTTGGTGCTGAGCCTGCATACATCGCGAACGAAGACACTGGCCTCTACAGCGCTATCCCCGAGCTTGGTGTATCGACGTCTTTCAACCCGCTCATGAACATTCCTCCATCCAACTTGATGGGCAATGGTTTTGCCAATGTCTCGAGGCCTTTCCCTCCAGGAAACGTCTACTCCGTGATCGAGGGATCGCCCACATATAAGCAGCGCAGAAGACGATCTTCCATCTCGCAAGGTGTTGCCGCGCTCGCTGCATCAGGTGCTGCACCTCACCAGGTCCACCGCCCAAGTGATTTGAGGCGGTCCATGTCCAGTTCCATCCTCCCTGTAGCGGAGGGCGAAGAGTCACAGTCGAACCACAACTCCCCTAACAGTGTCACCGGTCCCAGCATCAACAACCCGTTGACAGACTCAAAGTCTCAGGTGGACGTCTCGCGGCACGGTACTCCTCTCCACACAGTAGAAGAAGACAGCCCGCCACAGCAGCACGGCATGTTGCCCCAGGACGACATGAACAACCTTGTCAATGGAGACATGTTTGAGGGTGGTCCTCTCCAGCACAGCGCAGTGGCCCGCACCGCCGGCCAACCCGGCGTTTTCCGACGCGCGCGCAGCGCTACCATGATGGAAATCGGGCCGTACCCGCAGAAATCTCACTCATGCCCAATCCCCACCTGTGGACGGCTTTTCAAGAGGTTAGAACATCTTAAGAGGTAAGCACCAATGCTTTTCGTGACACGTTTGAGTAGCCGCTCATTAGGCGCCTAGGCACGTGCGTACGCACACTCAAGAGCGGCCATACGTGTGCCCCCTGTGCAACAAAGCCTTCTCCCGCTCCGACAACCTTGCCCAGTATGTAGCTCTCACCGCTGATTCATTGCACCCATGCTAACATGTTTCGCCTAGACATCGTCGCACACACGAACCTCGCCAAGACGGCGAGCCGCTCGATTTCAACGAGGAAGATCTCGAAGGCGAAGATGGCCATCTGGACTCCCTCGAGGAGGAATCTCCCGAATCGGGCAATGATTACCTCCAAGGCCTTCCTCACATCCCAACCCCCATCTCAGATATCCCTGGCCCGCTCGCCATGAGCATGGCACCCTCACATCAGCTTATTGCAGCACACAACTATTAGGCTGTTCGCGCTTGCAATCAGCATACTCTCCAGAAACCGCATTGCGCTTACGCATGCATGTTTCATTCCACCAGGCGCGACGGCCGCACTTGGCCGCACGACCTTTCTCTCTTTTGTCGTACTCATTGTTTTAATTCCCTTTAGACCATTTTGTTGTCTTCTTTCTCTTCCCGAGCATCATCTTACCCGGATATGCGAGCATTGCATGCGATTTTTTTGTTACTTATTTTATCTTTGGTTCGGTCATCATGTGGAGTGGTATACTACACTGGGGTCGGTTGGTGAAGTTGAAACAGGGTTTCTGGTTTGTTTTTTTGGTTTGGGATTCCTTATGATGTGAACATGAGACCCCCTTTCTTCTTTCATTCTTCTTCCTTTTCTTTTTTTCTCTCTTCCCTTTTTCTTCATCTCTCTTTACCAGAGTCGTCGCAATCAGCGCTCTTTTTCCTTGTGGTTCGAGTAGGAAGTAGTCGGAGTGAGCTCGCGCCCGTGCGACTTAAAAGTCCTGTCGCATCGTCTCTGCACATCACTGTGTGTAAGCATGATGGTCCTCTGCCAAAAATCAGTTTCTCTCCTGGCTGGATCGAGAAACGGCGACATAGATGGAGGCCGAGTAGTCCACTAAAACAAAAAAGGGGGCACGGGCAATGTTGTACTATATAGTCGAAGAAAGAATACAAGATGTCAAATTTCAAAAAAAAAAAATAGCCTTTCTTATCCCTTTCGTCACGAGTGAAGCCTTTTGTGCCGTGGTAATGTTTACTCGTCAATCTCCTTTGTTCAGCTGTCGTGTTTGCTCAATGGGAAGGAACTACATCGCTCTGCTCTTCCAGCGTTCGCTTCTATATTCTCGTGTGCAATCTGCTTGTCCCTGTCCATCATCTGTTCAACTATCCCCCGTTATCCATCCACCTATTCATCTGTCTCCATTGCCTACGATGTGCCTCACCTCTCTCCCTACTGCATTTGGAAAGAAGCCGACGGTGCAAGGTGCGATGGGAACTGGCAAACAAGGCGCTGGAGATAGGAAGGCGACAAAAGAGACAAGACTACCGCAATACGGGACCAAGAGTTCATCATTTCTTCCCTCTCTTTGCCACCCGCACCTTCGGTTTCCGCCACTGTCAAGAAAAAGAGCAAACGAACCCCGTGAACGAAGTGTCGTGATCATCGGTACCTGGTTGGAAAAGTATTTGACGAATCAAGCACCCAACAAGAAAATCGACCCGACCCGAACCCCGTTCGCCAAGTTAACCGTGTACGTTCTGTACCTCGACCCACCTGCCTACCGTATAGGCCCAAAGACCTGCCGTTTGAATGGATTCCGTAGGCGCTCTACTTAGGCGCCTAGTCTACGATCGCTAGCGTGCCCTGGGAGAGATCGTTTCCCAACGTAGTCCGTTTCCGTAGCGAACAAGGTAAGAAAGACCGTACCGTTCAAGATCCAGGTAGACATTTCTTTCTCTCTCGTGAACGTGGACGTTTTCTACATATGTGGATGCCAAGGACGTTGGTGTCAAGGCATGACTTACCATTTTTTTTTTCAACACCGTAACCTAACTAGATGCAGGTATACCTTATCTTCGCACACGGACTAGACTACGGATACCGCGTTCACATTGATCATCCTCATCTTCGCGTAGATTTTTTCTCTCTTTCTCGTCAACGCTAGGGAACGCCGCGTCATTGGATAATGATGTGTGTGCTCTACCCGGCAGGTTTCATGTGCGTTCATCATGTGTGCGGTAAGCAATCCGAAACCCCTCCCACCCAACACCGAGGAACCCCAAAAGCGATGATGAATGGAGACGGACTTCGCTTCTCCTTTCATGCCCCCCCCCCCCCCCCCCCCCCCCCCCCCCCGCGAAAAGGGCTACGCGATCCGTGCTCCTTTTTGTTTTTGTTCGTTTGCGTCTGTGTGTTGCCTGTTTCTGGTCGGCGATGAAACAATTCAATGGCGGGGTGGGGGTGTATATCATGTTGCTCTTATGTTTGACTTGGGGGTTTTTGTGTCAGTGCCCGAGCAAACGGACATGATGTAATGAGGTGAGCAGTCGCTTATCGGATATCTTGAAGTACGACGAACGGAAGAGAGCAGTGATATGGAAAATGAAGAGAGATCGGGCAAGGGCTGCCTTGTCATTGACCAGTTGGCAATATGTGGATAGGTGAGTATGTGAATTGTCAAGAAGATCACGCAAGGACGGAAACCTATGTCCAGGAGGAACAGATATCCTCATTGGCATGAAAGTAGTTGCGTGAAAGCGCCCTCATCACTGTGCACAACACCCACCTTGCGCATCAACGTACGCGTACATGTACATATGTAGGCACTGTCACTCACACACCCACATATCTGCACTATGTATGGGCCCTCAGTCAACAAATACTTCTTCCAGCCCACATACTGCAATGCAAAATATCAAGACCTGTCAACCACGTAACCGCTGTAATCCTCCCCCTTCCTCCCCCCTAAACTGATCCTCGCCGTTTCAACTCTCCTTGCACCCCTCCAAAACACCATGTTTCCCCCGCAGAACATCCAACCCCCCGCCCACCGTCGCCATGTTCCACGCAGAAACCAAGGAGAAGAAGAAAAAAAGAGAAACTTCAAACATGTATTGAAACACTTGCTCTCCTCCCCCCACGAACGCACGCACTTGGGAAACGGACCCCAAAGAGAACGGCATAGGGCACAGGGGGCGAGTAGGCCTGAACTTTATAGCCAGAAAGGGTGAGGAGAATGCGAGAATGTCTTTCTATTGGATAGAAAAAGTAAAGTAAAGGAACACGGATTGAATTGTGTGTTTTCAGAATTGCCGAGTTCATTCATACATACATCCATGCTTCTTTCTTTCCTTCTTTCCTTCCTGTCAGGCCTGAAACGCGAGGCCCGTTCAAAGAACAAACGAAACGAAAACAACGAGAAGGTAAAAAACAATGAAACGGGGCTGGAAGAGTCAAGGGATCGAATCCTATCAGCCTTGCCTTGCCTTGCCCTGCCCTGCCTTGCCTGGTTTTTGTGTCTTACTTTTCTGCCCCCCCCCCAATCCGCCCCCAGGTCTAACAAAGTCCGTGATTGGCCGTTCTCTTGGTACTTGCTGCTGTGGTGAGTAAGGGTTAGTAGGTACGTAGTATGGGGGCTTCGTGTGCTCGTTTGTTTACTTGATTTGAGGTCCCAAGGGCCGGTCCGCGGCGGTAAGGATGGCAGGGATGGAGAGTGATGGGTTGAGTTTGGATGGGTATGAAGCAGTAAGGTTATGGTGTTCACGATCCTGTATTCATATCCATCCATCCATACGTATCTATATCTTCTGGGTGTCTTAGGGAGTGAGATGTGAGAGGAGGTGAACGAAGAGCTCTGAAGAGAAGATTGCATGAAATTGAGAACACAAAAGATAGATCGACGTCCGAAGAGTTGGGTGTCGACGACTGCTTTGCCAGTATTTGAGAGTTTTTGGTTTGTTCATTTTCCTTTTCTTACTTCGTGGGCCCAGACCACATCTCTACACTTGTTGGTGTAATGGTAATTTTTGGATTGATGTCGACATTGACGTCGCTTGAACGATTTTTTCTACTCCGCTATGATACAAAAGACAAGGAAACCGAGAAAGAGCAGGCACACGTGTGCCATGTTAGTCGCTTTGCGAATGGCAAAGGCTCTAGTTGGATAATTAAACAGATGAATCTTCTGACATAAAGAACATTCTTCACGGGTTATCGATGCCCGTGGAAAAATAGTTACTCCTGCTGAGACATGTGCGTTGGCAAGTTGTAGCTTGCGTAATCGATGTGTACAAAAGCGCGATCCACATTTGGTACACTTTCTATGAGAAGAGGTTAGTAGGTTGCCATGGTATAACCGATGCGGATATCGGAGAAGACTCCGATTTGTCGCGTCTGCACTCACCAAGAACATATTGCAGCGATTCTCCCAGGTCGTGGCTGTCCCTCAACCTAATGTTCTCATCCACAACGATATCGACCTCGACGTTTAGCTTATCACCGGCGTGGTATGCCTCCAAACCCTGGATCTGTTTGATCGACTTGGCGAAGCGCATTGTGAGATAGAGGAGGATGTTCCGTTCGTCAGCCGTGGCTGCAGCGCCAGCCAAGTTGCGGATATGAGTCGCGGAGGTTCTGGACCAGTTGATGATGACGTAGAGGGAGAGGAGGAGACCGCCCAGTGGATCGAGCCACCATATCTTAGCGTAAAAACCAACTGGAAGCTTATGTGTTAGCGAAGGATGTACTAATGTGTCAAAGGGATGTGTGGGTTTATCTCACCGAGGGGAAATATGATACTGAAGATGTTGAACACCACGTCGGTTTCAGCATCTTGTGCAAGAGCTTGCACGCTGCTGTTCGGAATCAGTCTGCACCACAACCAACAGGCGCCTTTGATGACCACCGTGCTGGCCATGATGGCTATAGCAGGGACCGTTAATTCCACTATAGCATGGTCTTTCCCGTTCAATCTGCCAAACGCTTCGATTCCTACTTGGAAGAAACTCGTAATCATGATAACGCTAAACACCAACACACCGATGGGCTCCAGTCGGCGCCGGCCTACTGGATACTTGTAACGGTCCTGACGAGCGATCATCCACGATGTGAACCATACTATGGCAGTTGAGAGGAAATCGAGAGCGGCGTCGACGAGCGAAGCCAGGACTGAAAGCGAGGACGTCATGACCGTGACGATGATCTTGAGGACTAGAAGCAGGGCATTTGCAGCAAGATTGATATAGAGCGCAAGTTTAACGATGGGACTCTCGGTATCCATTTCCTCCTCGGGTTCCCAGTCGAGCAAGTCTTTGCTCATGGGGTTAGCATCGTCATCATCGTCTTCCACAGCTTCGTCATGTCCTAGCAAAGGTGTAGTTTCGTCCGCTTCCGGGACCTTGTAGAGGTTCTTTGGAGTGCGCTTCACTTTGATTTGACTATGAGAGCTGCCGTTGGGCGTTGCCACGCTGGAAGGGGTGCTACTGGTATTGGTAGAATCATTCGGGGTTTGGTGACCGGAGTTTGACAGGAGCGAAGGAGCCTCCTCGCTGATGGTCGAAGGTATATTGACATGACCTGATTCGAGGCTGCTGTATTCTTGAATGAGGTTGTGCGGAAGGGACGAGTCGAGTACGCGATCGATGTACATGTAGTGCTGGAGAAGGAAGTTGTTTCGCTCATAGTATTCGCGACTAGAAGTAGGTCGATTGGTTAGGAGCAAGTTGACAGGTTCTAGATGCGATACTTACATGGGCTTCTTCATGTTTTTGAGTTCCTCCTTGGTCTTGAAGTGCTTTTCCCACTTGTATCTCGGGTTGGAATTGCCAATCAAGCGCATACTCCGCATCTGCGGCGTGTTCAAGGCAGCAGCGCCTGCACTCATTCTCCTATCGGCGTCATAGTCGCGATCGAAGCCCATGAGGAGGCCATGTCGGAGGCTCTCCAAGTCTTCATCACTGCTAGCGCTCCCCCTCCGGCTGCGTAGGGTCGATGGTCGGCGACCCAGCAGGTTCGGTAGATTCTGACCGCGCGTAGAGAGAGCATTGGACTCGCCAGCCAGAGGCAGGAAGCTTTTGAGCGGGGGTGCAATACGGGTGTTGCTGGAGGAGCGTGGGAGGCTGGAGGGCGAGGTCATGGGCTCGGCCATTGCGGCTTCGAGGTTGCAGGGAGAAGGTTGGAGAGTGAAGAGGGCGAGCTGTGAGGAAGAGCGCGGTCGCCTCCTGATAATTAACGGATTGGAGGGACGAGAAGAGGAGGGAAAAAAGGATTATTGGCAGCTGGGCTCGAGCATTGTCGGCGTGGGGTGGAGCCCAAGCACCAAGTTTAAGAGGTTTGCAGTAAGTGCGCCGAGCTCCTCCAGTCTTGCTTGGGGTGATCGTCATCACCACTCGTCTCGTCCCTGTCCATCGGGGCATTATTAAACAATGGAAAAACCACATTTTTCGCACGTGCGACAGAGCCAGCCAGTCGCGTCCGTGGTTCACATGGTTTTGACATGCTGCTATTGGCCAAAGGCAACAGATGTTTGCACTCCCGTCCGCGCGCGACTTGCGATCGGCGCACGTAAAACGCCCTCGTCGGAGGTGTTTGAGCGCCGGAAATACTACGGAGCAGAGAGTTACATGTACCCTCCCAGACACATACAAAACCCTCGGGCCGATGCACTGGCGGTCATTCTTGTCACCCTGAGCTATTCCTTCTATTCCCGACGAATAACCTCCAAAGCGACTGTTGTCACAGCGACCAGAGGGCCTTTCAAATGAATAGTTCAGGTCATGGACCCTTAATACTCGCGCACTTATACGCAGCTACCCTGGTCTGCGATGCGGCGAGCCCCACACATCTCCGCATCGAGTCGCTAATCTACACATCATGTGACCCCAGACAACGGCCCTTGAAACATCCTCATCAAACCAGCATGCAGGAATCAGTCGATGGTTACGTTTTTTGTGTATGAGCTGTCTGCATATGCACATCTGACCTCTTCATATCATCGCAACGCCTCCACAACACGCATATCTCACCACCGCTATACATGCTCTAGGTGCCATCTCTCAAAAGGGCTCTGTTCCATCATGAACATAATTTGTAGATACAAACCACCTTGACCACACGTCCATAGCATTATTAATTCGAATATCTACCTACAGAACCCTAATCGTCCTATTTCGCCTCAAACTGCACAATCCTCTTCGTCCTCAACTTGTAAACCGCATACCCTCCACACTCCTTACACCTCAACCGATCCAAATTCGTCAGCTCAAACTCCGCATCACACGCCCCTCTCATCGCTGCGCACTTGTATCGCATCCGCCACTTCACCCTCATCATCTCGTCGTATGACAGTGGCTCTCGAAGTTTTGGCTTCGGTTCCGGCTTAGCAGGTTCACCGCCAGGCTCTGCAAGACTGTCCAGGATCGCGGCTTCCAGCTCCTCGGCGGTATCTTCGCTGTCGCTGTGGCCCGATTCACTTGGTGTTGGCGGGGTTTTCTTTTTCTTGACCGCGGTTGGGTCCTCGTCTTCGTCGGAGCTGGAGGAGCTTTCTTCTGGCTTGGGTTTGGGTTTGCGTTGGTGGCCATGACGGCGGCCATGGCGCTCGGCGTGCTTGTTGGTGTCAGAATCGTGGTATCCTCCATCTCCCTCGCCTGCGGAATCTGTGAAACAAGACAGAAGAGAGTTTGTCAGCTAATACGCTACCCTTTTGGAATGGGCGTTTACGGAGTAGACCCGGGTGAGAATGATAAAACGTACCACGACCACCAGCATCATCCCCATCATCGTCACTCCGATACAAGGCCTTGATAACCTGTCTTTCAAACTCGCCTCCCGAACTATACTCGAACATCTTCCTCTCTCCAACGGGTTCTGGCTCTGCCATGTCCGCATCCGCATCCCCATCAGCGGCCACGTCTATGGCCAAGTCTTTGTCTGTGACTCCATTATGGATCTCCGCTATGCCCATCACCCCCTTTCCTCCCACGATCCCCTGATTGCTCATCCGCCTCGTCGTCACTGGCATGGTTGAAATCTCCACCAGAAAATAAGATCTGTAAATCGAGAAGTGGCGATGGCGGTTTCTAGCCTTGTAGTTCTGCAGATGATTGTTCTCGAACTCGGGCGCCGCGCTGCGCTCGACTATCTCTCGAACCTTTGAAATCAGAATATTTGCATGGGTAAGATGTCAAATAAAGAGACAAACACACTTGGCGTAAGTACGACTGCGACAGGAAGGGGAGTGGATGTCTCGCGATACCGTCTTTGTATAGGTTAGCGATGGTGCGGGACAAAGAGACATATACGCGCGTTGATGCGCCAGGGTGGCGGCATTGTCTGCTTAATGGCGGCGCTATATTATGTGTGATTTCAGCTAGCCGTGATGTTTGCGGAATAATGGGCAAACAGCTGGACTGCGAAGAAAGGGAGGCGGATAACCAACCCTGAGAAGTACGATTGATTTGCATTCCGCATTACCTAAGAGGTATGTGTGTGGTATTGAAGGAAGATAGAAGATACACTTTCTGTCTAGAATATACACGTAGATGCATTGAAATGTACAATACTTTACAATAATGGCGTTTCGTATATTGATACAACAAGGCGAAAATGAGCGCGGGCTCAGTTCATCTTTCCACCTTTGCGATAAACCTCAATCGCGTCTTCGAACAGCTGTCGGCAGGGTACTCTGCTGCCTAGCTTAGCACACAACAAGAACGCTCCGCTCAGCTTCCTGTGCAAACTATACGTCTCTTCGGGCGGAGGTGACAATCTCTCGTTCACCATAACCGGAATTAGACTTCTTACTCTATCCGTGATAGTTTGATCGCGGAAGTCGTAGAGTTCGGATCCGCTCGAGGAAAACGGCTCAGAGAGCGTGAGCACGGACTGGACGTGTGCATCTACCATAGTCGCTGTCTCTGCACCAGTCAGATATCCCAACTCGATGGAGAGGTCGCGAATAGCTTTCTTGTCGTTTTTAGAGGCAGCAATCAGGATTCCGACGTATGGATCCACAAATTGGTCGGGATATGCGCGAGAAGCACCGAAGTCAAGCAATTCTATCTTGTGTTCCTTTTCGTTGTAAAGGAAATTCGTCCAGTTGGGATCCGTCTGCATGAACTTGAACTCTACAATCTCGCGCAAGGAGAGACGTAAAATCTGGGTGCCGATCCAGTCGCGCTTTTCTTGACTGAGCTTGGGCAGCTTTGCAACGCCAGTGCCTGTCACAAATTCGGCGGTAAGCACTTCGCGTCCGCTGGCTTCTGGGAAGACTTTGGGTACGACGAAGGCATCGGTATCATCGGCGAGAGCTTCACGGAAGCGTGTTTGCCATTCTGCTTCTCGCAGATAATCACACTCCCAACCAAGCTCTGTACGAGCATTGGCAATGGTCTTGTCAAGAAAAAGCCCTTTCGGCAAGAGTCGAGACGCGGTGAGTAAGACGGATAGGTTGTTCAAGTCGGAATCGATTGAATTGGCGACTCCAGGGTATTGAACCTTGACGGCGACGGTTTGTCCTGTGGATCTCAAGACTGCTCGATGTACTTGGCCTATCGATGCAGCGGCGATGGGTACGTCTTCGAACGACTCAAACAAATCACGCCAATTAGGACCAAGATTGCTGACTAGAACTTGATTACGCTGGGAAGCGGGCATATAATCTGCACTGTCCTGAACGCGGCGTAGAACATCGTGAATCGCCGGAGGTAGCATCTTAATGTCTGTATCCATCAGTCCATGTTACTTATCAAGTTCCATTTTACAACTCACCTTGAATACTGATCATCTGGCCCAGTTTGAGAGCGGCACCTCGCATGCGCGATAATTTAGCAACCAAAACCTCGATGTTCGCGGGACTCAACATAAGAGACCCTCCCGATGCAGCTGCGTTTCCAGTCACACGCCTGAGACTCTCGCCCACAGCGCCAAAGGCCATACTGGTTCCTAGACCGGCATACTGCCACAATCTACCAAACCGTGATGAAGGTACCCGTGACTCGCGTAGTTCATACTGTGCTGGAATAGGTTCAGCGTTCACTTCCCCGGGCATCTGTGATTTCGCTGTCAGTACATCAGTGGGCTTCCAAAGCGAGTGAGATACGAGCGTACATCTGAAACCGCTGAGGCAGCCGTCTCCGCGTTTTTGGTGAGCTCAGAAGCGAGATCATGCATTTCCTGCTCGGTTGTGGCAGAATGCGCAGCCTGTTTAGGCGCTGAAGAATGAGCCGGGTCTTCCGGTAGAGACGGTTTCGTCTCTTCGCTCATACGTACATTAAACGTATCTTGATCATGACCTTGGGCAGTCACGGTGTGATCAAACGGCGTATTGGTGGCACCTCTGAGGTCCATGTGTTTCTTTTGTTTGTAAGGGTTGCCCCCTAGGATTTTTGCTACGCGCGGGGAATGGAAAACATCTGTATTTATACCCTCGGGCGTATCGTCCGCTTGAGGCACTGCTACCTGCTGTGGTATATCTTCATGTTGCACACCTCTGTTCAGCGCACCTGTTCCCGAGTCTTGAATACTATCTGCGGACAGGCCAGCTGGTCGGTTCGGTAGCGGTATAGTGGACTTGTTTGATTCTACTGGTTTCAAACCCTCATCGGTACCAACGGGGTGATCTCTGACCAGGGGTTCCTTGAGAGGCTCTGGATTAGAGCGTCTTGTAAAAGTATCCTGACCCTTTGCCTTCTCATCCAATGTGACACCATGGGAAGGTATGGTTCCATCTGGTAGTGGTGATCGAACAGCCTCTTTTTGGTGCACATCTAGCCCCTCCGGAGCCGTCGACTGAGATTGGGTCTCTCCAGACGATCTACCATAGTGATGATCGTGCTCTAAGCCCTCCTCTCTGCTCTGCGAAGTCTTGTGCGCGGTCGTTGGTGCGGTCGGCGATGGATCGAAGCCGGCGGTGGCTCGTTGAGCGGCGGCTGAAGCGTACTTCGGTGCTTCTTCGTTTAAACGCTTGGAGAGCGCAAGTGCAGCTTCGAGGGTGAGGGTCACTCGGTCTGTCTGATTTTTTGCGGCCTTCGCGAGAGTTGACGTTTTACTGAATACGTCCCACTGCTGTGAGCGCAGCTTAATATGCTGCTGGGCGATGGATTTTGAGGCATTGAACAGTTTCGCGGCGTCGATGAGCCGTCTACCTGCCATTGCAACAGTGGAAAAAGTTTACGGCATCGGATTGCGTATTAGAAAACTTCGAGACATCAGGGCACGTAGAGTGAGATGAGCGCGGAAAAGGCATCATGTTATTATCGTAGCGTCATACCTTGTTGCAGTTAAGCTTAATCCTGTGCCGCGTCTGATTGGCTGACCACCTTGAAGTTCGTTCTAAACCTTTTCAGGAAAGCCCTTTGCACTTCTTCCGTTTTGCGGCGCGGGAAGAGGTGGCCATACTACTGCTGAAACTATCTGGGGTGACTGGAGGTAGATCTTTCCATGGGATCTGTTTCGTCTTCTTCACTCACGTATGCTCGCAAGTGGAGCGATCCCACCTCTCTCCACCGATAACGGCCAACTTATACACTACAGTGCCACCCTGGTCAGCGCCCATAACTTCACCAAAGAAACTCCCCGCAAGTCAATGGCATGAGGATGCAGATAGAGACATCAAGATGAAATTAGCTCTTTTACAATTTGCTCCGGAGGTGGGGAAAGTCAAGGAGAACATCCAGAGGGCGGATGAAACGCTGCAGAAGACACGAATCCCCACAGAACTGGACTGGCTTATATTGCCCGAAATGGCGTTCTCTGGTAAGACATGTTCCCTCTGCAACCAAGTCTTTTCGGTTGCCATTCAAAATGATTATAGGATAATCACTCTACTTCCTCTCGAGTTACTCAATTACACCAAAAATTTGGGCCAGGTGTTGTCCCGTGTAATTCAGAAGAAGGAGATACAAGGAAGCCATGCATTTCACCCTTTACACTGATTTCAACAAAACAGACGCAATGTTTCAGAAAAAGGCTGACCGTGCCAGGTTACAACTTTCACTCTTTAGAAGAAATACAACCTTTTCTAGAGCCCACAACATCTGGCATAACAACACAATGGGCCATCCAAGTGGCCAAGCATTACTCCTGTCACGTTACCGTGGGCTATCCGGAGATCACGACCACGGAACCCATAGCGCAGTGTAAGTTCCATGTCTTTTGCGCTTCTCTAAATAGAGTCCGATGCGATATAAACAACGATATTGCGGTTACATCAGCTGGAATACTAACAGATGTCACAGACAACTCTACAGTCACCATCTCCCCAACAGGTCAAGTGCTTAACAATTACCGCAAAACATTTCTCTACTACACAGACGAAACGTGGTGTGCCGAGCCCACGTCGACTTTTTACTCCGGTAAACTAGGTTCTCTTGGTCCTGTTACTTTAGGAATTTGCATGGACATCAACCCACACCGCTTCCTCGCCCCGTGGGATGCATACGAATTCGCCAATGCCGCATTGTCCTCCTCTCATCTCCCACCAAACTCGCTTCCTCCACTGATTTGTGTATCAATGGCATGGCTGTGTCATTTGACGCCTGAGGAGCTGGTGCAGGATCCCCAGCAACCGGATATAGCGACTGTGGCCTACTGGGTGGAGCGGTTCCAACCAGTGGTGGAAAAAAGTAAGCAGGTAGAGGGCGCTACGCATGTGGTGCTGGCCAACCGGTCAGGTATGGAGAAGGGCGTTTGCTTTGCTGGCAGTAGTACGGTTCTTAAGATCGAGGGCGGCGCTGTGAGCTTATTCAAGACTGCGGGAAAGAGCGAGGAGAAGTGCTTGGTTGTGGACTTGTCTGAACGGCCTCAGTTCATGGTCAGCAAAGCGCGATAGGCTCGAAATGGTGCCTTTCAATGATCGTTATGGCTTATGAGGTCGGGTTTCAGATGGGCGGAGTTTGGGTGCCGGTTTCTATTCGTTAGTGTTGATGAATCCCAATGAGTTCAATATGCATGACGCAACGTCAGTCTCGGATGATGATTGTAATCTTTCGTCATTGAATACACATCACAGCTCTGATTTCACTCATGCAAACGGCTCATTTGATGTTTTGGACCAGCAAGTGCCTTGACATTCACTGCATAACCCTTCATATTTTTTCCTTTCCCATAAAGCGCCAGCCAGCATAGAGTGAGTGCCCGGTCTAGACAAAGATATCCCGACCCGCCACTCCTCAAGTCGTGAAAATGCATGCATAACATCCACAAATCGTCCCCATTCCCGGTTCAGCATCCTAAACCATCACACACACCATGCCGGATATGCCCCCACTAGCCTGCCATAATTGAAATTCGGTTCCCGAGACGCTCTTTGTGGTATTGCAAGAGAAATGTTCGCATGATATCGGAAATCGTAGAGGGAGGAAAAGAAGGGAAGCGGAAGGTGGGCGAGACATTTAGATGCCGATGCGGGTCTTGCGCCAGTGTCGTCTCTTAGCGTTGTACCTTTACATACTGTCAGTAAGGTGTCCTATCGCAGTTGAAATGGCTCCGTAGGTATCCAGCGACCTGAAGTCAGAGGGCACCGTACCTGATGGTGTTGCCAGTTCGGAGGCGGATCCATTGGGGGATCGGGCGGTTCTGCTTCTGAGCTTTGGCAAGCTTCTGCTTGGTGCGGAAAGACTTGTGGGACTGCCTTATATCAGTATTGAATGTAGCGATGAATGTTATCGGGGCGGCGTACCGGCATCTTGACGGTATGTGCGGTCGTCGGGATGTCGAAAGTGAGTTGTCGTTGCAGTGGGTTAGGTGATGATGTTGCAACCAATTTTCGCTTGCGAGTGTGCGCCAAGACTACGAGCGATTTCGGGGTTAGCGCCTAAGCACGTGACTGGCCATTGTCCATCTGCGAGCATGATCCATCCAATCACAATGAAGCTTCTCAGAGACTATTGTCGAGGTCTGGAGATGCACTACATCGTGACAACAGGTGAGTTGAGCCTGCATCCACTGGGACTGCAGATGCTCCTCCAGGATTTTCTCCTGCCTTCGTCGTTTACTGAGTTTGTAAAATCTCGGATGTCGCTAGTTGGCCGGTCTACATACGTATCAAGTACCTACCTATGTACCTATGTAGGTATGATCACGCTCCTTTGCTGACTTATTAAGCCCCGTGACATTTAAAATCCAGATATAGTGTATGACATGCATCATTCCATGGATGTACGAATATGAGTACTAACCTAACCAAGTAAATATACTGCATTCGTACAACAGCCCAGCTCTGCGCCCTACCCATTGTCATCTTATCTCCGCTAACCCCAGCTACTCATCCCTCTGAACGTGTATATAAGATCCCGACAACCATATTGAGGAGCACCATGTAAATTTGTAGATCAATACGCAACTTCTCTCGGCCACTCATTCTCTCCCAAATTGTTCCACATTTCACGATGGCAACAACTAACAGCGGCATCCCGTTGGTGGTGATCGGACGCAATCCCGGAACCGCTCAAGCCGTTCGGCGATTAATGGTTCCAGAGTTCGACGGTATGCATGAGCGGCATAACTACCATCAAAATTTAGCAAGGAATGTTGCTGAGAGCTAAACCTCTAGTTGTCCACGCGTGCTTCTCACCAGAGCAAGCAATCGCCGATATCTCCCGCCTTGCCCAAGGCTTGAAGCCACTGGACTACCATGAGAACGTAGGATCGCAAAACTACTCTAGAATTCCTAATAATATAGCCTTTGGTAAGTCATGAGAGATATGTGCTTGATAAACCAAACGATTCAAAAAGGAACAGTGCTTATGATACCCATAGGAGGTGGCTACGATCATGAGGCCATTGAAGCTATCAAGACAGCAGTGGACAAGCAAGTGGATACAACAGGGTTGTTATGGTTATGGCCAGATGCCGAGAAAAGAGTTCAAGGAGGACCGCCACCTACCACCCCGGAGCAATTCGAGTCTTATGCAAGTGGCGTCGTAGCGAGGATCAAAGAGCGTGCGTGTCAAAGTGACTTCAAAGAATCGCAGGGAGGGGTGTTTTACTACTAAGAGCAACTGTATGATGGGATTGGACAGACTGCACCAATCAAGCTTCGAAGTCATGAAAAGAGTACATGATTCAATAGGGAAATCTCTTGAATGAAGTTGCAAAAGGTTACCATAAGATAGCGAGATCGTATGACTGCTATTCTTCTCTCCACTATGCCAAGTAGGTCCAATGGGCTATTGAGTATAGTTGTCACCATGGAATTTGTTTGACTGTTCCTCGATCTAAGTCAGGAGAACGCACGAGAGTCAGATAAACATGGTTATTCAATGGTGGTATAGTGAAAGTGCGCAGCACTCCGTGCATCGCATTCAGTCATGTACTCATATATCTACATAAACACAACGCCAATGATGAACCAGGCAAACACTAATTTACAATAATCGAGAATAGAGTGGGTTTGAAGTGAATGAGTATGTGTATTTCAGTAAAGACCGTTCCTAACATCTTCGGCGATTTTTTTCAACTCGTCTATGCTCGGAGGCTCCATCATCGCCCCCCTTTCGCCCATGCTTTCATCAAGCAGCGAGAAACTGTCTTTCCGCTTGTGTTTTTTCTTTCCCCAGTTCAATGGGTTGCGCAGAAGACTCTTGCTCAATGGGGATGAAGCGTGGCTAGGCGACGTGATTGGGCGTTCCGAGGCGGCAGGAACCTGGGTGTCGAGAGTGTGAAGTATTGGCATCGCAGGGATTCTGGTGGATGGACCCTCTATGGAAGACAAATAAGATGCATCCGGGTTGGGTGTGATAGAAAGGCTTTGGAGATCTGTGTTGTGTCAAAGTAAGTTCTTGTAGTTCATGTAGTAGCTGACTTCCACGTACCATTGAGTAATCGAGTTCCGTCAGGTTCAATGCCCCGCCACCTCTTTCCATACTTGGTGGCGAAAATAACCTTTTGTTCCTCAAGTTCCAGAAAGTACTTTGTCAGACCCGAAACCTTCAGTGTCCGGAGGTGCTTAACGTATTGTAGTGTTTCGGGGAGGACCATCACTGATGGACTGCGCTTGACAAACACTACCTCTAATCTTTTCAATGGCTGTCGCTTGTGATCATCTTCTTCGAAGACAGGATTGGATCGACCCCGGGAAACTGGTCGGGAGGATTCGTTATCGCGAGAGGAGCGGTTGCGACTCTTGCCTCGGAAACGCGAGGTACTCCGTTTCCGTAAGGACCCACTGCCTCTCCCTAAACTGGACGATCGACCGCGAGATTCTTCCATGGCATCGTTGTCGGCCCATATGAGGGACAGTATTGCCTCCAAGTATCTCTCGATTCTGACTGCGTCTTCTTTCTCCTTCTTTAGGCTTCTAGGTCCGCCCTTATCACCCGAGCTACCACCGATGTTTTCTTTCTCCCCTCTACCAAGATGATCAATATCATCACAACTCGCCACTGGAAGACGGATGTTGATTCTGGAGAGACTCCGAAGCGTATCCCTTACCATTTGAGGTGGCCGCTCGTCTAACCAGAAGTGTTTGTGTTTTTTCAAGTTGTCATGGACTGTAGAACATACTCTTGAGTGATAGATCGAATGAAGGTCGATGATGAAAGTGCATCTGTCGTGCAAAGCATACAGAGCGGCATCCCGAATCCGGTGTGAGACCAGAAATATCGGATGTTTACGGATAAGCCGAACGTCGATGTAGTCAACACCTGCATGATGATATCGATATTGCATATGTTTATCGTCGGCATTGCGCGGTCCAATCGACACATTCAGGGGAAGACATAGAGCGTATGATAAAATGTGCTCAAGAAGATGTGAAGGCAGCGAGGTCAAGGTTGTCGGCTGCTTCTTGGTATCGTTTCGTCTTCTGGTATGTTCAAGCGAATATTGGGATGTATCTGCTGAAAATGTGGTCGATGTAGACTGGGTGCGAGAAAATACAGATGAAGCAGTGGTGGAGTATCCGGACGCCGAGGAACTAGTAGACGCGTTTGAACTCGCTCTTGACAGTGTAGAATTCTGAGGGTGTGGATGTTCTGGAGTCGACGGAAATATTGCCCATCGTCGCCTTGGATGAACTTTTGAAGTGGTGATAGTACTCGAAGGTTCTTCCGGGACTTCGTTTAACGAGCTTGAATTGGGAAGAGGCCGGCGTGAAATAGAATAGTTGTGAGGTAGACGTAGTGCAGATTTGTCGGACTGTGGATGGCGACTATTGACAGGAGATTTCGAGGCTGTGAACTTTGTGAAATCTACACTCATACGAGAGTTTGGAAGCTCCAGTGAAAGAGAAGGGAAGTCGAGTTGGCGCGTCATGTCGAAAATTAGGTAGTTGAGAATACTTATTAGTCGGTTAGGATAAGTGAGAGGATCCAGATCCTGTGGAAGAAGGGAATAGTGGAAAGAGTGTGAGAAGTTCAACTTCAGCAGACTGTAATTATTATGATGGTAAGATGGCGGGAGAGATCAACTCTCGTTAGTTGAAAAGAGAAGAGAAGAATCCTGTATATAAAGTGAATGTGTGTTTGTAGCAACGAATGACGCCCCTAATCTCTCGACACCATGAACTTAGTGAATGGCATGTCACCTCTCCTTCTCCCCAGATGTCGTATCTCAAAAAGTTTAGGAAGTTGAAATCGGTCGGAGAGCTGCCTTAGCCAGATACATAGTTAACCTTAGCGCCTGGAATCCAAATCTTCCGAGTTTATTGACCCCTGTCGTGCATTAATGACTCCCAGGTTAAGCAGGCCATAAGCGACTACTTCTGAGTCAATGCGAAGCTTGTTATGATACCTTTCTAGAGTAATGACGAATCAAACCACGCGGAGGGATGAAGGACAGCCCAAATCTCGCACATCAATCGAGAGCCCATTCGACAGCTTCGGAGCGCTTTTGCGAAGGAAGCAAACCAAGGCGGGAATTGAAACCTCAGGTGTCTTTGGACCAGACAAAAGGATTCATCGTGGTGTACAACAGTAAGCTGAGAGTCCGGTCTAAGACTTAACTCTGGTGTATTCTTGGCCAAAGTAATGAGCTGTTGATAACACCGTGCGTGAGATTTGCTCGTCCATCTCTTATCTATATCCACTTTGAAGGATACGTACAAAGCAATTCATAGGACTACTGTGAAATAAGATGCTCCGTGGGATCCGTAGGGCCGCGTACATTCGAGGGGCTAGATTTGAGGCTGCACTGAGGCGGAAACAAGACGTGTTTGGGATGGTTTGGCCGACCCGTGTCTGCGGAATCACCTTGCATGCATCAGACCACGTTATACTCCGATACCTTATTGAAACCACAACAGCACGATCACCAAGGAAGAACAAGTTTTCGAGTAATGACGTGTGAAACGACATAGCTAACAGTACTCTATCTCCATGTACTACTGAAGGTTGAAAGTCACCAGCTAGCTACATTGGGAGTAGTGAAACATCTCGAATCTTGAATGCAGTTGTCACAGTGAGAAACATGACAAAAGCTGGGCATGCAGATGGTGAATCTTATTGCACCAGGTGATGATCGTAATAAACTCAGAAAACATACATCGCCGTGTAATGGCTGCGCGATATACGAGCGACTGTATCAGAAAAAGCTGGTCCGTTGTGCCGTGATCATCATCGCAAACATGACCCAATATCAGTCTATACGAGCTCTATGACCGAGTCGTTAGGTGTCAGACTCACAAGTATTGGACACCATCTTCTAGTCGGCATCCAACGGGCTCGTTGGATACGTTTGGGGAATGCAAGATAATATGGCTCAAGCTGATCTCACAGCGTGTCCATCAGCCAGGGCGCAATGGCAAATGTGCCGATTTGCAACGATTCCAACTCTTAATCCTCGTCGTGAGCCATCTGCTCGCCTTCAAATATTCGAGGCAGGAAGTATTTCGTATTTTCGTAAACAACAAACGTGACGATGGTAGTGGGTATAACTCTCAACGTATTTGGAACGACTCTGATGTTGACTTGTTAGCTATACCACTTGTTTTGCCTTGAAGTTTGAAGCATACCCTTTGTAAAATGCAAGAAATCCTTCGTTCCTCCACGTCTTCCTCAGTACGTCAATCAATCCGCTATACTGGCTGGCAGCGTTATACTGCTGCATGCGCGCTCGGATTGGCTGATACGGATAAGTGATAGCCCCTGCCAATAGCTTGCTTCCTCCGCTCATATATATAAAGTCCCAGTTAGTCAGCTTGTCCATACTTCCCAGTTGTTCGCCGCGTGCATGTTTTAGTCTCTCATAAATAGCGAACTGAACAGCGCCGTGTGCGACCCCAAGGGTAGACGGGACGAACCCAGCCCAAAGACCACGAAGACCGCGTGTGGAATAGACATGGGCGAGGCCTTCACGCATGGTTTTGTATGCCGCCGGATGATTTGCGCCGCGTTCGAGCATGCGAGTCTTGACGACCCATATTGGATTGGTGCATGCGCCGGTCAATAACCCTGATGGGTTGTCAGAAGATTTGTCTTTTTCCCTTCTCCAGCTGCTCCCTGAAAAGGCCATGACATACCAGCAAAGATACTCGCGCCGAAAAACTCGCCGGTCCCCAACCGCTCTCCCTGTGCCCTCCTCTTCTGCAGCACTTCCTTAGCCTTCCCATAGAACAGGAAATACAACCCCCAGCCCAGACTGTTCCCGAGCATGTTTGGCCATAGACCTCTGTAGAGCGCTTTCACACCTCCTTCATCGCGCACCACATGACGCAAGATGCGGAAGGAGTCACCCCGTCGCGATTTGGTCTGGGTATTGAGTTGTAGGCGATTCTTGAGAAGGTCGAGCGGATGAACTGTCAAACAGGATACCACACCTGCACTAAAGCCTGCGACGGATTCGACGAGAGAAGGAGATAAGGGTCGGTTCTTCGAGCTGCCTTCGAGGGGGGGAAAGGCGCGTGGCATGTTCGAGGGAAGGGATGTTCGGACGGCGGCGGAATTAAAGAATTCGGGTAGTTATTCCGTTATCTGATCGGCATATTGCTCATTGACTTTGGTGCGAGAGACAGTCGTTAAGGGCGAAGAGAATCCGCGATCATATCATGGCGGTGTAACGAGAGCAGTGGAGCCATGATGTGAGACTTAGTTGAACTGATGAGCTTGACGTTTTGGGATTCACTGGTGTGGGGGTCGCGAAATCAGATCACGGACGTCATGTCCACGAAACCTGGGAGAAGATGGTACCGAAGGACTAGTAGTCGTAGTACTTCTCTCTTGTAAATAACGATAGATCCTGGCAGTGTATTCGAACTGAAATATATAGGAACACATGTCAATGTGGCACCCTATTCGAAGGTGCAATTAATAGATCAATTGATGGAAAGATCTTGAGCACGTGATCCGGCGCTTGTGCGGGAACGCTAGCAATGCCCCACCCTAGTCGAATCGAACCCCGGGAGTCTCTTAAAGTTTCCAAGTGTCCAGATCTCACATACTAAACCCTCAACCCACCAAACCACTTTCCACGCTCTATCACGGACACAGCAACTGTCTCTTTCCGAATACCAGTAGAATATTGCGACACACATAATCCCTCCAAAAGGATAATCGAACCACTTACAACCCCTCACAATGGAGTCCTTAGACACATTTACCCTCCTCCCCATATCCATGGACCCCACCACCAAAGCCATCACCTCCGACACCCCGAATTCAGCTTTGAACAACGAGCTCGCGCATCTCAACGCACTCCACAAGAACCTCCTCGCAGCCGGCACGCCTACAGGAACACCGCCTCCCCCAGTTCCCGTCAACCCTACCCGCTCCGCACAAATCAGCAAGCTCCGCGAATCTGGTAACAACGAGTTCCGCAAAGGAAACCACGGCCAAGCCGTCAAACTCTACAGCCTTGCGATCGATATGGCGCTCGGTCGGCCGTCGTGGGAGCCCTCGGGCCTCGTCCGCGAAGAGGTCTCTGGACTACTGAGCAACCGCGCGCAGGCGAACATGGCGCAACAGAACTGGGCAGAGGGCGCGGTGGATGCCGAGGCGAGCGTCGAGGTGAAGAAGGCCGGGAACGCTAAGGGATGGTGGAGGAGGGGCAAGTGCCTACTCGAGATGGGTAGACTGGACGAAGCCGATGAGTGGGTCAAGCAGGGACTGGAGTTCGAGGCTACCGAGCAAGATTTGGTGCAGCTTAAGCAGGAGATTGAGAAGAGGAAGGGGATTTAAGAGTAGGGTCAATGCAGGGATCCCTCATTGGGCTGAGCAACTTGGGTACGGGCTGGGTCGTGTGTATGTGTGCATTGCGAGGCGTTTTTTGGCGCTGGTACGTGTCGGAATACGACATGCAGGTTATTGATTGCCAATGTTATTTGATTCACCACATATGATTCCATCGCCTTGTTCTTTTTATTTCAATTCCTGTGAATAGCGGCACTACGTATGAAGTATATCTTTTAAAGCAATTCTTCGTTGATACCAGCAGTACCATTTAGCACCGTAATTTCACCAATTTGATATTAAGCTGTTTCTCATACCTCTTGTTCTACGTGGTTCTTACGATGGTGCCTTCATATGTCAACGAGTAGATGCTCTCCCTAGCATTTTCCCACTAACTTTCATCTCAAGCCGAATTCAATTATTCCTCAACTAGGTTATGAGTGATTCATTCATACATGTACGTTATTCATTGTCGTATGTAGCTTCCTTTGTGCCAGATCTCATCGATAGCCATGACCTCATGTCTCAGCAGGTATGTCATGTTATCTATGCCTTCTCGATATAAAATCATAAGCACTTGTATGCAGCACGCACCCTTTTTATACATTGCTGTCGATTTCATTCCAGTTCGTCCAATCATGCGGATGGGATATAATTCTCCGATGCAACCTTGGAACTCACGCTTGACGACCAGTCTCATGACCTTCCTAACCCAGCCAGGAGGTGTTTCTTATGTACCTTCTTGTCGTCGCTGTTTGGAGTTTATGAAGAGACTCTGCTCCAATTCGTCGTATACCATATGATCGAAAGGCGTTTTGCCCACCATCATCTCAGAGCGAGGATGTGATAAGCTAATAATCATAACTTATTAAGTTCCGTAACTTTGCTCCTACATGCAACCCATTTCTTTGCTATAAACATTCTTTGCAAGCGCCAATTCGGGCGATGTACAGCACTATGCACCTGCCAAATGGAATGCACTAGTTCTATCGCGACCATTATTGTCCCCCCTCTTGCTCACGGGCGATCCGTGGCTAATATGCTGTTCGGAGACTGATCTATTAAGTTTAGCCCTCGAGGCACTAGGCAGATCGAAGGGGCTTGCTCGATTATGCGTCGAGTTTGGGATACCAAGCTTGTCTTTGCTTCCAGGCGTGGCCATTGGATCCGATGTGATCTCACTGGGTAGCGGCTGTGAGAGCGGATCCGTACAGAATATTGCAAGAAACTTTTCCACAATATCACCCAGCCGCTCTGGTTGTGCATGTAGAGGTTTGGTCGAAATATGCTTTCGCTGCATGGGATTAGCATTGCTGATGTTTGCTTTTAATTGCTGGGGCATAGTGGACTTACCAACGCAAGAGCTGCACCTTTGTATGTTTGGTGATAGATCAGCTTATACTCCTCGTCTTTTGCGGCTTCTTCAGCGGCAGCCTCTTCAGTCAGCTGGCCTTGTTCTCCGTCTGGGGCCATTGAATTTCTGCGTGACCTGGTCGTCTTCCTTTGTTGCAAGCCATGCATTCGCATAGCTGCCATAACTACCCTGGAAAGAGCCTCTTTGTTCCGGGATTCCGTCGTGGGCTCTTCAGGTTGAGACGGTACAGTAGCGACATGAGATAGGTTGGATCGTTTAGAGTGGCCATCTGGAACGCCTTTTCTACTCGCAGGTCGTGCGATGGATGATATACTGGGTGAACGTGAAAGAATGCGAGGTGAGGGGTGAGCACCGTGAGCAGAATTAGGTCTTGGATCGGGTATAGGAATGCCCTTGGTATCGATCGAAAGTGACTTCCGATGAGTGTATGGTTTTCCTGTATCTTGTACTTGCGCAGCAACGGCAGCGACTCCCTCACCGCCAATCTGCCTAGCTTTTTTCCGCCTCTTTGCAGCCTCGTCAAACACATCTCTCTTGCGTTTCGGGGAGGTAGGAGCACTGTCGACACTGTGCGACGAACGAATGAATCGGGGCTGACCTTCTGGAAGCAGCTCGGAAGACTCCAGCGTGCTTTGGTACAGTAGATCCGAGGACAACGGTAGAGCGTGCACCCTCAATTCCGGAAGCAGTTCAGCCTGAGCGTAAGGGTCGTCGGGGGACGATGACGGCGGTGTGGGCAACAAGCGCTTTACTGGTGAAGCAATTGTACCGTAGAACAATATCTCTGTTACCTTGGACCCGCCTAAACCATCCTCACCATCTGGACCTTTCTCTTTTACCTCAACGAGTATGCCGACTGGTGACTGGGCCCTTGTGTGCGCCCACCATTCTCTCTCTGAACTTTCGGTATGCGAGCTCGGCGTGGCAGGCAGTTTGCTCAGGAGGATTGACGCGAACCATTCTTGAGTCTCATCACTTGTGGTCCAGACATCCAAGCTAGGACCTACGGCGAGGTATAAAGGTATACATGCGGTGTCGACCGTCGCGAGGAAACGTAGAGAGGTGGTTGGAATGACAGGGACCGATGCAGCATGTTGCGACTCGAAACCAATATCTGGTAAGCTAGTTAGTCTTAAGACTCGACCACAGACGTAGCAGATTAGCATGAGTGAAAAGTACCTTTGATTATCTGGTTATCTGGCAGCGAAATGTCGCCGTGCCAGACGTCGCTCATTGTTGTTGAGGAATGAGCGGAAGTGGGCCGAGGTCGGGTTACCGACAATCAACGCGTCAACACGATTTCACGTGATCAGCACCCAGCCAGCTCCTCGTGGTTGAAGAATCGAGTGAAAGTCAACAGTTGGAGTAAATACGAAATTATACTAGGGGCTTGTGTATGGGGCAAAGCTGGGTTATGTGCGGAGACTTTTACTCAAGCAATTGAGTGCTCCTTGATCTATCAATTGATGGTTAACATTCAAATGTTCAAATGCTTGAACACAACATTATGTTGCTACATGTAATCTTGCATCACAGGTCCCTATCAGAACAGTGAGATTTCCAAACTGTAAGCAGCTATACACAACCACGACAAATTACTATTTACTAGTTTACTTCACCTAGCAACTACATCACCCTGTGTCATGAAGAATCGAGATCATACACGGCTACATTGTGTACGGGAAGAGCGTCACCGCGAGAAGTTCCTCCCCACGTGCACTGACATGTGCATACTTTAACGCGCCAGCCTCCCAAGGAAGCTTCCTTGTGATCAAATCATTTTCTCGTCCTCATCTTTTTATGACCATTCCTCCATCTTTCATTGACTTATTTGGATCCCGCCTAGGACAGCATCACGGCCCCAAGAACCAACGCGACGCTTCCATACCTGCATGACTAGTCAGTCTACATGTAACACATTATCAATCTTTTCGCATGAATAAACTTACCCCCAATGACCCCACTCTGCTCCAGCAACCACACCCTCAGATCTCTTGACAATCCACCCATCAAGAGCTGCGCAAAGGCCCAACGCGAGTATATTGACACCCGTCAACCTTTTGTTCCCCGACAATGCAGCGGCCCAAATGCTCACGCCGACGAAGAGGTCTTTGGCGCCGAACAGAATCAGGATGCTGTCGAGGAGCTCAAGGTCGGAGGGCTTGACTGATGATGAAGGGGGCGCGAAGCCGAAGTTATTGAAGGCGGAGCGGGGGAAGAGTGTGTAATGTAAGCCGAAGCCGATAGTAACGGTGCCGAGGAAGAGGCTCGTGTAGTGGAGAGCGCTGTTGGTTAGGGTCATATCTGCTGTTTCAATTTGTTTGGGGATGTTTCCGAGGAGCGAAAAAGCTGGGGTGTGTACTTTGTGTTTTTGGCAGTGATTCAAAGTCGGAAGGGAAACAATGGTGAGGTGTTCGAATTCTCTGTTCAATAGGTACATATGTAGCTGTCTTATAGAAATATTTATAGGACGCGTCTAGTTACACAACAAGTATGCACTTCGCCCCCAGATGCGCCACGAACTCACGGGGTTTCGCGTTCCGGCCCAAAGGTCGAATGGCGTTTAGCCAAGCCTGTGTAGGATTTGGGAAAGGGCGTTAAGGGCGCTGCTTGGATGTTAGCTCCCGACTTTTGTTTGCGTTGTCTTTGGGATAGCTAGATGGCGATGTCTCTCTACATCGGTCTTCCTGTTGTCTCGAGAGCGCTATGTAGAGTAATGCCGGCTGGCGGAAACCATTCAGTCGGCAAGAGCGCGATACAATATGCTTGGCATTGCGTACTTCTCACATCTTGCATTCAACTGGCTAGAAGCTTGCTATAGCGTACTTCAGAGTTCTACATTGTATGTTGGACTCCGCCCTTTCTTGGCAATTCTCGTGACTCCTACGTTGATTGATTGGCGTTACGCCTGCCTCGCCGAGTAATGCCTTTTGTACATTCCTATCATTTACAATTCATCGCGAACATGCCCACCCTCTAGATCGGGCATGCTCATAATCTTGACCACCAGACTCGTCCATCCTGTGAAATGCTGGGTTCGCTGCCCTTTTCCGGTCTCGGGGTTGTATTGTTCCCAAGCGAAGCCTGTCTCTTTCCACGAATTATATACAGTATTTACCAGATTCTTGCGCAGACCAACGTAGAGAGATTTGGCTTTGTCTTGCTGCGGACCTTTCTGTTGGGCAATATTCTATATGCAGATTAGAATGACAACCAAGGGGGGGATGGTCCGAAGAAGGCTTACAAGAAGCTGTTTGACAGCGAGATAGTTCATGTTCATCCAGATAGGGCCGCGCCAGTAGTCCTCTTCGGTATGGTAGAATTCGCTGCTCTTACTCAAACTCCTAAGACCATACTCGGTCCAAAGTTGTTCTTCGTCAGCAATGAGGTCAAGGATGGCACCGAGTTTCTTGCTGTCTTTGTCGACTAGGCCAGTCAAGAAAGGGAACAGAGAAATGTATCCTTTATGGCAAACGAGTTTGTTCTCTTCATAGTCATCGATGGTTGCATCGCAATACGCGTCGTCCTTCTCGCTCCAGTGCAGATCATCAAGGTTCTTTACGATGGCTTCTTCGTATTTTGCAAATTCGGCTGCATCATCTACTTCTTCAAGATAGATTGCGATGCGACGAATCGATCGCGTCATCAAGCCAACCCAGCTGATGAGGTCCAGATGTAACTCGCCTGGGTGCGGCGGCTGTGCACGTGGATAATCATCCAGCCCGGAGGTCAAGATGTGTCGCGGAGTGCGTCCTCTCCAGCGATACCCCTCTTTAGTGGAGAAGGCCTCGCGATCATAGCTCTTAATGTCACCAGCTTGCGTCTTCCTGAACCAGAAGTAATGACGCTTGAGCAACGGATACAAAGTCCTCAAATACTGCAACGCTGCCTCTCGATTTGCAAGCTGCATGAAGTATGACTTTTCAGCCAGGACCTCTGAGTTGCTGGTATCTTTCTTGGTAGCGTCAAGCTTATCGAGGAAGGATGTGATGACCATGAAAAGTGTCGGTGGGTTTGCGTAGTGTGGGTACTGAACTTGGAACTCATCCGGAACCTTGCTGCGGGCTTCAGCCCCCAAGATCTGCTCGCGGCCAATCCAGCCGTCTTCATCCATCAAGTTGAACCAGCTCTTGATGATATCGAGAGTCAAGTCGGCGTCCCAGTCGATCACAGGGAGAAGGTGGAACCCTTCGTCCCAAAGAAAGCCTCGCGGAAAGAACGGCCGTGAGGGTATGCTGGTATATAGCTCAGAGGGTCCCACGAACTCTGCTTGATTCCGGCCCCGTGCCTCTTCTGCATCCTCCCAGAAACCCTCATTATCTTCCTCGTAGGCGGGGTCGTAAGAACGGTCGACTCTGGAGTCGCCGTAGAAGTAGCCAATGCCGCCGATAAGGTTGGAGAAGAGAGATTTAGAAAACTCTTCATACCGCTCCTTGACAAACGGAGGCTGCGGCTTGAAGATTTCGGTGAACCGGGACGAGAATCCAGTGGTAACGGACTTGATCTGCTGAGTAAGGTCCTCCGAAGTGATGGGTTGGGGAGCTGAGGCAGATGAGAAAAGGATGTCAAATTCAAATGCGCCCTCAAACACCTTCTGAATGAAATGTATGTTGCCGCGTCCAGGCTTGTGTTTGATGGTATAAATCTGCGCAGGTGGTGGCGGATTCTCTTCGCCATATATCTTGAGCAATTCCTCGATTTCGCTCTTCAGCTGCGCAAAAAGCACGGGCTTGGTCTGCCACAGAGCTTCGTCTGGAACTTGTGCACTGTTCACAAGGGTACGATCGAGGGGTTTGTCGCTGTAGCTAGGGTGTCCAGTCTGAGGATGATCACCCTTTCCTTCGGTAATCTTGATGTCGAAATTGCCCAATTCGAGAGTCTGTCCTTTCAAGACCACGTCTCCTTCCGCACCCGTCTCCTCCTCAGATCCTTGAGCTTCTATCTGGCCCAGACCTTCCAAAGTGTGATACCAGATGACGGTAGTTTTTAGATCGGGCGAAGCATCTTCCCGTGGGGTGCCTTTGATCCTGGCGCCCCAGCTGCCACCATGTTCGCCGCCAGGGAACTTGATGAACTCAGTTGTGATATCGATGTGATTAGCAGGATCATGGATTGTCTGTCGGCCGCCGCTTCGCACGTCGTATTCATCCCAGCCATACCCGTCGAGTTCATGCTGCTCGCAGGTGTGCCGAAACGCTGCCTGTGTTAGCCATTGGACCCAATCAGCAGACTAATTACTCACTGTTCTGCACACTGTGATCCTCTACTTTGGTCCAAAGCAGTCCGCCCATCAAACTTTTTGGAATCCTGGGACGAACACCAAAGTAGAGGTTTGGGCGGTAAGGGCCCCATAACAAGCTGGCGTTGGTGGCCTTCTCAATCTCAGCGACCTGCGCGAGGGATGTATGGGCAAGAAAAGCGATGATGAAGCCTTTCACGACCCCATTGCTTCGTCTAGAGTTTCGCGCCATATTGCTGGGGATATATGTGAGGGTGAGCTCGACACAGCTACTGTGGGGTTTAGGACACATTGCGCACGGCTGTCCGCTACCTACGGGGGTGCTAGCCGGATTCGGTCAATATCATTATAGTGGGAAACATGGAACATTGAACATTAATATTTATTTCTGGAAGCCAAGTTCTCGTCGTTTTCTACCCAGATTCCGTAGTACTTTGTACCTCCTATCATCTTTTCCCTTCCCGAAATGCCTTCTTTGCGCTGGGGTTTCCCTGCCTCGCAAGACGTGTCCGCTGAAACTTTCACTCTGTCAATCGCCATAAAACCAAACAAAAACAAGTGGGATGGTAGTAAGAGACATGGAAGGAAATCGTACCATCAGTTTTTTGCTCTAAGCATAAAAGCATCGAATGCCAATCCTTTTGCAGCAAAGCCACTGGGGGGCATGACCTGTGACTAGCACAAGTGCCGTAGGGACAAAACGGGCTGGTCGATGAAGAAGCCGTAGAGCCAACTAGATTGAACTGATCCAAGTTCAATATAATGATAATGGTGATGTCGATGTGGGTCCAAGTCATGATCAGGATAGCCTCACATCCTCGACGGAGAAAGCGGCCTGTTGAAACCACCTTGTCGGTTCATGTACTGTCTGGCCTCCATGCGCTTATCTTTCCTCACGCCATAGTTCTTGTCGTTACCAGGCACCTTCTTGTTCTTGGTGGACTTGAAACCCGCGAAGCCCATCATTTGAGCCATTTCCCATGTCTCATCGTCCATACCTTCAGGTCTCTGGCGAGCCGGCTGCTCATCCTCCATCGGTATATCCTTGCTCTCTTCATGCTTGGCGTCTCCGCGCGGGCCGGTGGGAGGTTTCGAGGACCCGGGATGGGCATTCAAATCCTTACGAGGCCCTGATGGCGCACCGCGAGGACCTTTGGGCGCATCACGGCTTGGTCGCGAGTCTCGTGGGCCACCGCGGTCGCGGTCCTGTCGTCGATCGTTGCGTTCGAAGTCTCGGTCCCCTCCATCTCGGCCGTTCCGGCGAACAGGCGATCGTGACCGGTAACGACCGCCGCGACCGCCGCGCTCGTAACGTGGGCTTCGTGAGCGGTTGCGGCGGTCGTCTGGTGAGTTTCCGCGGTCGCGACCTCCAGCTCGAGATTCACGATGGCCGCTATCTCGGTCGCGGAATCGATCGCGTGGACGATCGCCCGCGTCACGTCTGTCGTCGGCCATGATACGTTGCGCGTGGGTGGTGGTGCTGTGAAGGTCGTGGCTGGAGTAGAGTAGAAGAGAGGTAAAGAACGAATGTTGGAGAATGAGCCAAGCCGCAGGCCGCACTAAACCACCCAGTCGGGTTTGGGTCTTGTCTGCCAGCAAGACTTCTCAAAGTCACCAGTTGATACGTGCATAAGCAACTATTTTGATTATACGTACAAGTTGGTCATGAATATGATGATCTTCATACATATGTACATGTATGACATGGAGCATAACGTGCAGCACTCGCCGACAAGCACTCAAGTGCTTGAGTACCTCTATGTACGCAGCACGATCTCCTCTGAATACATAGGCAACGGGCTCGGGGTCCCGACCGTTATAGTTTCAGTAATTCTACATGTTCCCGAGAATTCAATTCGACTTGGATTACCCAGGTTCAATCCTGTTGTCATTGTTCTGCTCACGATTCGCTCACCGTCAACATGTAAATTTATAAAAAATACGCTAGTAGGGATCTGCCGATCAACGACAAGCGGGTTGACGTTCAACTTAAATCGAAGCATCAGCAAACTCGGACAATACGGAGCAGGATAGTACACGACCACCACCATGTTCACGACTTACGCTAAAAGGTGAGGATTGAAATAGATGGAGTCGAATCATATGATTTATATGCTGATTGACTGCAAGGGTTGGCCGCAATGAGCTGCACTCGCCCGAAGCTTCACCACGCTCTTCTCCTGATCCCGATCTCACGGAGCTTCTGCGCTTGCGCTCTCATAACGATTACGAATTCACAGATACTGGAGCTTCTATTCAAGTCTCTCAAGAAGAAATAGTCGCCAGTGAGGATGAGGCTGAGCTTATCCTATTCGCGGGAGCGCGCGATACTCAGCAACCGTCGAATAAGATTCGGTTGTCTTCACCAGGAGCAAGTGGCGAGCCTGGGCTTTCAGTGAAGAAACCACAGACATACTACTTTGCAGAGGAGCCATCGACTGAAAAGTATGAGGAATTGCGTGCGGCAGCGTTGACTGGCGACGCGGTGATTGAAATGTCAAAAATACCATGGTTTGGTTGTGCTGTGCCATGGAAGGTGCAGACTCTCACTGCCTCAGGGATGAAGAAGACTGTTCTAGTTGGTCACCCCCCTTCACTAGTTACTCTGGAGGAAAAGATACATAAGAGAACCCGCAAGAACAAGAAAACACGGATTGCTTTGAGGAAGAAGATGCAAGCTATTAGAGAAAGAGATGCTGAGAGGGCCCGCATTGCAAAAGAGAAGGAAGAAACAGAACAGGAGAAGCGGACGCGAAGGAACCGCGAGAAGAAAGTCAAAAAGAAGGCACGAGAGAAAGCTAAAAAGCAAACTGAGGCGGAAACTGGCGAAGTGCTGGCTCAAATTGGCGACCCTGAAGATTGAAAATCGCCACAATTGGGCCTCTCTGCTTATTTTGTTCCTATTAAGCGTCTTTAATGAGGTGAGTATAGTCGAATTCACCCTTGAAAACACGTCTCAATCTTGTGCCGAACGCCAGCACATGTGCTATGCGCGATATCCCATATCCAACCTTGGAGCTTTAGCGCTTTGTTTATGTCAGTAAATTCGAGGTGAAGCTGCGTTTGCTTAACACTGGGTTTCTGCCAAGCTACGCAAATAATAGGTCACTCACTTGGCCCTAGCTCAGGGCATCAGATATAAAGGGCTCCCATGCTCCTGATTGATCCGCAGCACATCACTGCCCTTCAAAAGCTCGAATCCATACCGAGCAACAGAAACTAAGCAAATGGACAGATACACCCACCCCCAAGACATCCCCATCGATCCTAGGCTGTTCGAGCCCATTGAGAACACTCCGAGCGACCCCAATCCACCGATGTAAGTTCATGGCCCTGGCGCCGTTAATGATCCCCGAAATATAAGCACTGAAGAGCAACTCACCAACAAAATTAGCAACACGGGCGCTAATGATGCTGCATCTCAATCTATGACCCTTCCCCCACTCCACCTCGATAAACACCCCACCATCCCCAATCTCTACAAGACCTTCGTGGAAGGTTTCCAGCAAGGGAAACCCAACGAGGTGCAACTGGAGCACGCCAAACAACTGGCCTCTGCTCTTCTTGAACATTATTATCCGAAGTCGCAGGGCTTCTCTGTCGACCCGGTCTCCTCCATCGACATCGCGCGCAATGGTTGGAACTTCTGGCTTGCCCCAGCAGACTATCAGCCGTTTCCGCAACACGGAACCAACTCTGGTGGTCCGCTCGACCCAAGCAAACCGTTCATGCCCGACGCAGAAGGAAACGAGCCAGCGGCGCCCAACTACACAGATGTATACGTAGATGATCAACACCTCATCGAGCCTGAACTCATTACTTTCTTCCGCGTCTCTAGCGAACAAGAGTTCTATGAGGATGGCGATGATAACAACAACAGCAGCAAGGGCCCAGGCGAACCAGTTTCGGACCCCTCTACTTCGTCTTCTGCTACTAATCAGCAACAACAGCCACTTACCCGCCGCACTATCAAGAAACAAATCTCGCACACTTACTTCGCCATTCTCATGGACGACCTCTCAACCTTCGACCGCTGGGTCCCAGATCACATGCAGCGCCACGATAAACTCGTATCTAACCCCCGTCAGGATATCCTACGCTACGCGCTCGGCGTCCTAGCTGGTATCAGCAAGGGCTATGGTTTCCTTCTCCTTGGTCCCCGTCTGGAAGTCTACAACTACGACTGGCAGGGTCAACGCCGTAATGAGGATGACCCTAACTCGGCTGCCGTTGCTGGAAGCAGCAAGAACAAAAAGGGCAAGAAAAGCAAGAAGAGCAAGTCCGAGCCCAAAACGAATTGCACTAGGTTCGTCAAGGGTGCTGATCCGGAGCCAATGTCGCAGCTGGATGGCCCAAAGTGGTTTGTGGATGTCCGGGAGGAGGGTCTGGATGGCGTGCAGACACTGATGGGCGACGTCGTGGAGCGTGATGTCGAGTATCAAGACAACTTTGTTTGCGATGGCTCTAGGTTGGATTGGGGCGATGAGGAGGGTGTGGCGGAGGCTTGAGGCCGGTGTGGTCGATGATGGAGTACCAAGATACAACATGATTTTGGGCTATGAGGTCCGGTTCTTGGGATTGCATTGCAAGATTCATGCCATTTGTATTCGTTGCTTCTTGCATTGATTAGCATGGGACTGGCACACGAGATACCCTGGGTTTCATTTTCTTTCTGAGGCACATATTGCCGCTGGCAAACATTGGGAGGAGTCGGGTTTGTGCTTAGTTCATCTTTCTTTCTTACTTCCCATTGGGCTTTGAGTAGGCAGTGGTCTCTATTTTGCTCTTTGCCCGAGACCCATAATGGCAATTGAACATGACTCTATGATATTTTGTCCCTACCGTACTGATCCCTTTCGCGTGGTATGCCAATGCTGTCTATTGAGGAAACTGTGTGAGCGGAATGTAAGTCGGAGTAAACTGGTCAGAGCGGGATAAATGGCAAGGCAAGTATTTTGAAAGTTATGGCGGGATGCGGAACATGGCTTGATCCAGTGGGTTTTACAATAGGAGGGAAGAGCAATGATTGAGGTAAGCGAGAGAACAAGTGAAACTGAGATACACAGCTGATGACGGAAGTAGACCCATTATGTTTTTTTTATAAATATCCTGGAGTTGGAACCGAAACATTAAGTATCATCGCCTCTAAGTTTGCTGCTGTCTCTGGTAAAGGCAAGCCCATTACGCCATTCGTTTCCCATTCAATAACTTTCGCTGGGTGGTAGCCAAACAGGACCATCTGTGTACTGATAACCGTAATGAGAATTGATGAGTGACCACATTGCAGGGTTTTTCACCAGTCGCCCACCGATAAGGAGATCACGAAGTTCCGTGTACATTGCAGAGGAGCCTTTGAGCAGCATTTGCAAAAGGACAATGTCGTCTGAAACAACTGCCAGTGAGACGTGCCGTAATGCTACCGGATAATGTTGTTTCACAAAACACCGTATGACCTCCCAGGATTTCTTGACAATGGCGTAATACAAAGGATCTCCGCCATTATCATCTTCCAGTCTTGAAACCGCCAAGGTTGAGAAAACACTGTGGGAGCTAAGCAACATCTCGCAAATAGCGACGGATCCGTTTGAAGCTGCGTAATGCAGAGGCAGACTCCCGCACACTGTCCTCAGCATTATATCCGCATGGTTCCGGATCAGAATTTGAGCAATCGAAATCCATCCATTGTGACAGGCGATGTGTAAAGCGGTGCGTCCGAGTATATCCCATTCGTTGATGAGTGCCTCATCGGGAGCCCCGTTCTTCCAGATCATATCGCTCAGAAGCCGCTCGTCTTCGTCATTTGGTACTTGTATAGTATCCAAACATTGATGTAACCCCGTTCGTCCCAAACAATCTGTTATAAACATATGAATGGATGCCATTGGACGAACCATATCAGTGGGCACAAAGCACCAAAATGACTGTAAGATATCCGGCATCATCTTGTCGAGATCTATACTCTTCATGTCCGTTTTAATCTTGAACTTGATTTTTATCATCAAGTCCCAAATCAAGAATAGCTCGTCTTCTAGAAGCTCCTCGAAATTTTCAATGTCATTCCAGTGTTCCCGTTCGTTGAAGTGTTGCGCCAGCCGATCTAGTCTCAGCAGATATTCACCACAAATATGGTTGGTAGCTTTCAAGTACGGAATATAGACCTGATCCTCTTTACCATGGCATATGGAGCACTCGGCTTGCCAGGCGATTCTCGGTGTAGTTTGTCCGATCAATTCCTGCACAATCGTGGCAGAGAGGGCACTTGTCGGGCTAGCGTTGGTGGTGAGCAAGTTGAGCGTGATATTGTGGATTTTTGATTCCAAGGCATCTAAAAATGTCTCGAATCGACCGCAGGCAGTTCTAGAAAAGATGTCCTCAAAATCGACTCCATCATCGTCATATGTGTTGACAAACGGGCTGATAAGTTCGGTTTTGAGTTGTTTCAGGCATCTCATTGCCATGTTGAACATGTCTTGATAGCTCATCAAATCTCTTCTCAGTCTCAACTTCTCGAGTAAATCATTGGAAGATGAATTTGGTATACTAGTTGAAAGATTGGTCGCCACTGGTTGATCGGAAGGTGTGATAGTGCTGTGCTTCGATTTACGGTGGACTCGTTGACCCTCAGAACATTCAAAATCTTTTGCAGTACAGCGGTCACATTTTTCCGGCCAGGTTCGCTCAACGGGAAGACACTTGTGTATGTGTTAAGCCTCTTATCAACAGAATAGAGTCATGCCCGCAACACCCACCTTTTGTTTGTCGAGCCGGCATCTCTCACATTTCACAAGAGCAAGTTTTCTCTTCTTCTGGGTTGATACGGCTGCGGCTGGAGTTTTTTGGTGTGTAGTTGCCGACATTGTGTTCGATGAGGGATGTGGATATAGGAGAAGGTGTGAGGGAGAACGATGGCAGGCTGCAGTGTTGCAAGCTAACCATACGTGTCAGCCTACTTCGTATCACAAAACAATCCAGCCCGAGGGTTTCTAGTGGTATGTCAAGATTTCGTTCCTTGGATTCGACAACCTACAGTTCCTGTCAAGTATCGCGCTTCGCCGCATCACACTTTCTCGCACTTCATTCTATCGCACTGTGTCGCATCGCACTTCATCGCACTCATAAGGGCCGGGGACGGTTGTAAGAATCTGACGGCCAACACAGCCTCCTAGGGGCTGGTGGACAGGGGATGGTAAACGATTGGATGTCGCTCTTCATCGCACCCTTCATCGCACCTTCCATATTATTGTACAGAGAGGAGGATTGTCGAATTCATGTGCGACGTAGTTGGAGGGGCTGGCAGGCTGATTGAGGAGACTTTGCTCCTCCTCACGGATCCAAGGTGTACCCAGGTGAAGGACTTGAAGCTTGAACTCTCCGCAGGAGGCGTTCGGCGGACGGTGGCGAAGTGAGTGATGGGATGTCTCGCAGATGGAGTATACACCGGGGGTTTGATTGGGCTGTTGAAGGGCCCCAAATAGGCCCCAATTGAGTTATCGCACTCCATCGCTCTTACTTCCCGGCCACCATGTGCATACGCCACATCAATTGATTCCGACCATTTGGTGCATTCATCTCTTCTCCCGACATGATGGCATGCCGTCGCACTTGTCGCGCTGAGCTCGGCCGTACCTTTCAATTGCAAAGTGTATAAGTATTAGTTTCCTGCAGCGGAAGAGTATGCAAATCTTCGTTTTTTTTTCGTATCCTTCATTGAGGTGAACTACTACAGTCAAGAAACGTTAGCAATCATGCCTCCAATCACTTCTTTCTGCTCTGCAAACATGGAATTAAACCTAAAATCACCGTCATGCACACCCACTACGACCTCGGCATCACACTCCACCATTCGAAGCATCACAGCAAGAGACAAGCCCTCTTCATCAGACTCACCTACTCTAACCATAACCTTCGGTATCCTGGGAGCTACCCTCGCTTTACTGGCTCTAATAATCGCTGTACTGCAGCTTCGACACATGAGGCACCGCCGAAAGAAACTCCTCTTGCCTGAGTTCGAATTGGAGGCCGCTGCTGCAAGAACCGTGCGCCCGGTATATTGCCTGTCTCGCAAAACAAGCCATCTCTAACAAGTTTGTACAGTTCTCTATACCATCGCCATATTTCGGACTCTATGGTCGCACACTGACACCGCTTGATCTCGCGTATCCCGAGAATTGTTGGATCAAGCCAGGGGATATTGGCACTTTTCCACTCGAGGATACCTTGGGGGTCGGGAAACGTCTGACAGGACCCATAGGTCACAAGGATGGTTTGAAGAACACCGAAGTTGAGGAATGAGGTTGGAATATAGGAGATCTAGAAGGAGCGATAGACGCACTAGCTTAGTCAATAGCATCGTTCCTCCCTCCGTCTCCCATGGTTTCCAATCAGGATAGACAGCAAATAGAGCAACAGCAGGATCTCTTCCTCAACTATTGTATTATTATCCATTATGTCAGCCTATGAACAACTGTCACCAAAGCCTATATCGAGGTTTATCAACTTATCTCATACTATGAAGTATCCAAATTCCTCTCGCCGCACAATCAGCCCTCTAGTAAACCGGCCTCCCGCTTCCCAGCAGCCAGTGGCTTGCTCTCCAATGAGATTCCCGACGATCGAGATGCGGCTCCAAGGTAAGCCTTGATTAATCTCATGGCAATTCAGCACGCCAGTTGGCCCAATGGATTCAAAGAAAGCAGGATTCTTAGTCGCGAAGATATCAATCAGAAACTTGCGATAATACGGGGCCACGGCGATCGATGAGGTCTGGCACAACGGGATACATATAAAACCTAATGGATTATGCCCAATGACTCCGACATATACACATGCTTGCACCATCAGATCGATATTATATAACCGTAAACACAATTGCACGGCGTAATGAAAATTTAAGAGGCTGAGAGAGTTCGAGGCTTGATGTGCGTTTTCGGGTCTCTAGATTACAAGTGATAAAGATTGCGATGGAACTAGCATACCGTTCGGCAGATCGAGCGGTCTGCAGGCACTCTTTCTTCGCTTCACTCACCTCTAATTTGCGCTAGTGATTATCCGTACTCGAGGCTTACCGACTATTCGGTCTGACCTATCAATACTGGAGTGGAGAACTGACTATTTGGAAGATACCCAAGTAGGTGAGCGCCCCATAGATTTCTCGGGCCGGCATTGGATACGCTCCTGCCTGAATCGTGCGCTCCCTCCACGCTCGAGAGCTATCAATCTGCACATCAGGTCAATTCATTCACGTGTCAAGGTCTTTTGCTCAAGTGCTCCCAGCAAATTTGGGCATATTACCTTACCTAACGCTCACCAAATATCTGTCGCAAGTACATCCAGTCTTGTGACACCTCTGAAAGGACCGCATCTCCGGTGCGAATCATTATTTACTTATTACAAGAGGACGCCTCAAACATCGAGGCCGCATGCGGTTGACAATGGAAAGCGAACCTGCATTAGGATTAGCACAAGATGATATGAAGGTGGAAGAATATGAAGAGGCTATCAAAATGGAAGATGATGAATCAAACATCCTTGAAGTCGAGGAATACGAGCCCTTCGCTGATGATCTGGACGAGGATAATGGTAAGTCGGATGTCATTTAATGATAGCTGCTGGCTTGAAAGAAGAACTTCCGACTGACTCCGTTCTTCTACATTAGAGTCTTCTGAATATTCTGCGGATGCGGATGCCGAATATTTGTCGGATCATGGCCTCCACCAATCGAATAATGGAACAGATGGACTCGAAATGAGTGACCCTGCAGTCGATGAATCCGAAATCGATGAATCCGAAATCGATGAACCCGAAGTCGATGAACCCGAAGTCGATGAACCCGAAGTCGATGAACCCGAAGTCGATGAACCCGGAATCGATGAACCCGGAATCGATGAGTGCGAAGTTGACCAGCCTGAAATCAAGCAATCCACGATAGATGAACAGAAGATCGAACAACACAAGTTTGAGGAACCCGAAGTTGACGAAAAATTCAAAGGAACAAGCCCAAATGTCCGAAATGTTGAAGCCGAAGAGTACGAGTTCACTGTTCCGGCCTACACGCCCAATATAACGCAGGTACTTATCAGAAGGCTACTCCCAGAGGACAGAGAATTGATCAATGCCCTTCCCCTCGAAAGAGTCAAGCTCAAAGAGGGCGCCTCATTCGGATATGTGTTCCATGGCAAGAAAAAGTTACTCTATGGGCTGATGAGCGTAATGAATGGGAAAGAATACGCCATGGCAGTAGGAACCATTGAAGAAGGATGTGGACCACAGCCTTTATGGGCATATCTGTCTGGACGGCGAGATTCTCAAAGTCTTCCGGGGGTACAGTATGTCACTACTTGCAAGATCAACAATTACAAGGCATTTAAATACAATGAGCTCGAAAAGAAGCTTACCCCTCTTCCGGAGTTTGCGTGCGAGATTCGTCATCTGGGGGCACTCGTCAAGTGGTACTTTTTCAAGGCTGGTGTGACCATAGCCAACCAACTAAGGTACACGCACTTTATGTTCGACAAGGCTCTTATACAAGCAGCACACACACTGAAGAAAAGGGGCTTACCAATGTCTCGCGAAGACAGCACACATACGAGCCCCGATGTGCTAATCACACCAAGACCCCTCCAAGCCGAACAAATCTATCGCACGAGCGAACGAAGAGAGCCAACAACATTTGCCGCAGATCATTTCCATGGTCATAGTGCGGGTATCTCAAACAAAGCCAAGAATCTGACCTACGTGAACTCATTGATAACAACCATCAAAGAGGCCGAATACGAGTGCAGTTTCAGCGGGGAGAATATGGCGAAATCCGGAAAAGCCGAAAAGTCTGCGAGAGACAACATCATCGCTCTGGAGAAGTCACTGCGCAAAGAAAAAGAGATCTTGTACCGATCGTCATCGAATACACAAAGGTTCAGGGAGACGTTTGACTTGAATGCCCGGAAGAGAAACCGAGCGATGGAGGAAGTGCAAGCTCTGCTTCCATCCTTCGAAGTAGAAGATCGGGTCTTCTATCAAAGGTTTTTTGGTATTTCACGAGAGGCCACAGAGGCCCAGCAGGATGGCGAGCCGTTGACAAAGCGCCCTCGGCCAACGGGATATGAGTCAGAGCAGGCGTAAACGGGATGATCGTACAAAAACAAGTTGATCGAAGACAACCTCACACATCATTTGTGATCGACTCTCTTTTGCATTGTCAGTTTTTGGAGTGGCGGCGGCTGTCTCTTTCATCCGTGGGCTGCGTACCAACGTGTGTCAGGCGTAAGGAAATGCCGGCGAATAATCTCTCGTTCATGGCCGGATTCCATCAACAGGCATTGCGGAAAGGTAAAGGTCCAATAAAATGGAAAATTCCACGATGACTTCAATCTTGTGATTTGCGCAGTTGTCTGAATATGAAAAAACTTTGAGTGAATGTTCCAGTTGGTAACATTACAGCAACTGTCTGGATCTGGTGGCCTTCAATGGCTTGATAGAAGATTCATCGTATGTAGCTGGACGGCACAATAATATGAAATCTGTTTTCTGGGCGTGCATATAAGCTGGACATAGTCACAGGTCACGACTGGAGAACACACGAGGGGTTTTGGCATATACGGAACGGGACCATTCCCTATTCCTTTCCATTCATTGTAGCTAATGTAGCTGAATTCATAATCCTAGCTTGAATCCCTAATCATCGGGCATCTCCAGTTCACTTCTTCGAATAGTCATGAATCCTTGTAGCTCTGGGTATCATTCCCTCGACGAAAAAACGAGAAAGAAAGTACTTTTGTGAGTAAGGAGCGAGAGCTAGAGCTCATGCGCTAAAGTCATTCATGGTGACCGATTTGAGCTTGTTCATCTTTTCGTTCTCCTCGTCCATGAGCTTCTTGATTTGACCTTGGAGCAAGCGAATCTGTTGCTCATGAAGGGCGCCGCGCTCGATGATGCGTTGGTACTGCTAAGTATATGGTTAGCTGGTGTTGCGAGCAGAAGCAATCGTTCGATGTGCACTTACTTCTTTTCTTCCAAACTGAACGTGGTCGCGCCAGAATGATATTTCATTGAGTACCGCCTGCTTGATACACACTTCAAATTGGAGATACTCAACTGCAAGATGTTAGAATTTTAGGTTATGAGCTATCAGGTAATGACTTACTCGTGCGAGCGGCGGACCACTCGCGAGGGATGATGACCTCGTAAGGCTTATCGCGCAGAGGGTTGTTGTTGATGTTCATCCAAGCGGGGATGACAATGCCTTTTATGTCAGGCATGCTTGCGTAGTTGACGGTAACTAGTCTCCGGTGACTTGTGCGTGCGTGTGATTGGAATTGCGTGCGAGCTGTTGAATGGGTGGTTAAGAGAGCCATATGGATGAGGAACATTGGTAAACAACCGGACATGAGAAGGGGAGTGGGAAGTAAGAGGCAAGTAGTAAGAGGTGTTTCATGGAGGTGGGCAACCCGCCCGTCGTGAAGACAGAGGAAAGAGTCGCAGGAGGGGCAATTGGGAAGGGAATATCGGCAACGGGGGAAGGGATGATAGCTACCTTGAGACTGTTTTGCGGCGTTGCGCCCGCAAGTTGATGTTGGCTTCTCGTGTCGGTGTGGAGAAAAAAAGTGATGGGAGCGGTGCGTGGGCTTTGACTTGGGAGGAGCAGCTAGTCACGTGGCGGTAGCTGCGAGGTCACTCAGTTTGTTGTTTACGCCACCACGCGGGCGGGTGTCTAAGTCAATGTGAAGTAGGCTTCCTGAGAAAAGTAGAGAGGGGGACCACTTCAAAGTTTCCGTACCTCCCCCCTGCACTCCAGTTCTACGTGGGAGCTTGAAGCGAAGGGTAGTGGGAGTTGATTTCCTTTCAAGATCATCAGGAAAATTGAGTATGGTTCCAATGAAACATATTTGATGTATTCTTCCCGAGCTCCTCAATTGCATCTGCACCAAGTTCAGTAGGTGGGGTTGCACAGATAACCCATATATTCTTTTGTGTTATCGATGCCAGCACTGATTTTACCCAGTATGTCTTGCAGTGAACAATCAGGTCCCAAGGGCATCCAGACTCTTAAGAAGCGAACGCCTCTTTTTTCTCTCCGCTTTCCGACTCTCCCCCTTCTCACAATCGACTTCCATCTCTTCGATTTTAACCCTTCGCGTGTCCATGATATATCCTGGATGGATACTATCGGGACAACAATCCCCGCAATGACTGCAAATCCACCACAGGAACCCGGCCCTCAGCGCATCACCACATCGCACACACTCCACTCCGGCATTTCCAACCCCGAAACCAGCATCTCGTGCTTTCTGACGATATATATTCATCCTTCGCGTACGCAAGGTGTTTGTCATAGTGGTCTTCTTGGTATTTGCAGTCCCTATTTCTCGGACTACTACTGCTGCGCATCTTGTGCAGAGATCCTCCGTGCACGCGTATCGGCGGTCGCGCTTCGCGCACCGGCATAAGCGTAAATCAGCTCTTGAAGTGATTGAATTGTGGTAGCAACTTGTGCAGTGAGGGCGGCAGTACGTGGCGTGGTGATGCTCATGTTGTAAACGCTTAGCTCTCGTAAGGGATTTGCAAAACAAGAATTGGTCAGACTCAAGTGCTCGCGAAGAAATGGACGACAGATGGGAAATAAATACGTGGCAAATCAATATATCGCAGTAGTAGCATCTGGATTTGGGGTAGGATCCACAGCTCAACGATTTCATTTTGGGCACACGGTATGCTAAATCCCGCGGTGGAAATATTTGTTCGCGCACTGCTTTCGATGTCATACTAAAGTGCACCACATCTTGCCAGCATAAGCCTAGATTATTAGGTACGTTATTAGTATTGTCCAAGTCATGCAATTCCAGTGTATTAGCTAGATATAAATCTCGAGCTTTGCGGTGACGATTTACGCACCCTTGACAATTTCGAGCACGACTTCTTCAATGACAAGAATATCCATCAGTTTAGTCTTCGGAGTTTTATAGGATATAAAAGGCTGCTGCGGTCTGGGGGGACAGGGTATTGCCACAGGTTTCATGCGTGCCGCTCGACTAAGTTTTATTGCCTTCGAATTCGCCATGTGTAGAGTTGGATGGCAGTGTATTTTGAACATCTTATAAACAAAGTAAAAGGGGAAGAAGGGCAAAGAGAGGTAATGGAATAGGCGCCAGCGGTTAAGCAAGCTGCCAGAACGAGGATCGAAGGTAAGACCGATGTAGGATATGATGATTTGGAAGAAGCTATTCATATAGTCAGCGTATGGATGCAATGTGTAATCTGATGCTCACACAATCATAAGCAGAAACCAAGTGCCGAAAGCTATTCGTTTACATTCTTTTTGTGCCGCTGCCGGATCTCTTGAAATTAGCAGTAAGAGCGCGCTGAAGCCGCCCTTCATGTCCAAGGTTTCGCAGACGCTGATTTTTGTCGGCAAGAGTCTATGCTGGGTATCGTGAGCCATGGCGATTGCGATTGCAAAGGCGGTATCAATTGCGGCATGCAGTAAAACCCAGGAGCCACGGACATCCACAGCGCCCCGAAACTTGTAATTATCCAGGCAAATAGCGATACGCACTTTCTTGTGAATTAGTTCGAAGTATCAAAGGCATGGAGATATGTGCGCTGCCGCTGCTTGATATATGAGTATCTGACCACATACAGAGATGAAAGTTGAATAGAAGGCATTCTCAATCTCCAAAGCACGATCAGCAGCGGGCAACCCTTTGAACTCCCGCAGATATGCCTGCGCAGTGAAGGCCGTGTAGGCAACCGGTATTGCGATGATTGCCCGAAGGATCAGTATTGTAGAGCATGTCGTACTTTCTCTTGTGCTTCGGAGTTCGATGAGTTCGTAGCCAAATGGCCTTACCAGAAAGGCGATCGGCATATCGTGGGGTAGGATGGAAGAGTATGGCAAGAGTGAGGACAAGGGAGTGCCTCAGTGCTGATTGAATCTTTGCGGATGTTGAGCTCTCGATCCAGTTATCCGTACCAAACGATTGGGTAGAGTTGTAATTGATTGCGCTTGATTGGCTGCTGCCCGGTTCGATAGGCAGCAAACGTAGGATTTACGCCTTGTACATCGTCACACCTCGCATATCATTGGCGAAGCTAGCTCCTGCTTCCAGACCGGAATGTATGCATTCGTATCATCATTCTTGCTCTGCTCTCCGAAACGCTGTGAGATACAACACGCGAGATATCTGTCATAGATGAACATGGCTGACTGGAACACAGTGAATAGTTTGTGATGGACTTGTAACCTAGCTAAATCTTCATTTTCTTCTTCGCTTTATCCTCATCCCAGTCCCTCCCTGTGTTACCCTTCCCTCGCTTCTGTGCCGCCTTTAGCTCCCTTGCTTTCTCCAACGGATCAATCACCACCAGCTCTTCTTCATTCTTCCGCTTCCATTCAAGGTCTTTACCTAGACGGTCCTTGGCAAAGCTCAGTGCGTGCGACATCCAGCCCGTGTCATCGTCAGACTCTTCTCCATCTTGCTTATCCCAGGCAGTACAAGATTGACAGCCGACCACAAAATGGAGATCGCATGGGACTTCTTCTTCTTCTGCACTCTGTGGAGGTTGCGCAGCGGTGCTGGGAGTACCGTTGCCTACTTCATCGACGACAGGAGACTTCATTCGGGTATCCGCAGGTGTTGCAGCTTCAAGCTTAGATTTAAATTTGTTGAGGATATCAATGGTAGCTTGCTCCGAAGACGCGTTGTTACCTGCAGCACCTCTCTTCCGACCGCGCGTTGTGTTTGCGGGGACCATGGAATCTAACAGGGACTTTTTCTTCACAGGTTCGTCGCGCTGAGCTGTAGTGTTTCGCTTCATAGAAGCTTTGAGTTCGGCGATCTGTTTGTTCACTCGATCCAGCTTGGACTGTTTCTCCGTCTCAGGTGAGGCTTCCTTCAGGCGGGGCGGAGGCGAGACAGCCCGCGGTGGCGATTGAGGTGGAGACTTAACAGTGGGTTTGAGTGGTGGAGATGTGATGGGTGATGGTGATCTGCGCGAGTGTTTACGAATGGGCATTGCTTTCTCTTCCCTGGGTACTTTGGAAACCTGCGCGTTATCCGGCGTGGAAAGCAACTGATCACCTGCGCTGACGAGTTTCGTGTTGTATTTTGCTTTTTTGTTCACGGGCGCCACATCGCCTTCGTCTCCTTCGTCTCCAGCGAAACTTAATAGCGCTTTGCCTGCTTTTCTCTTTGACTTCTTGGGCTTTTTGACCTCAGCCTCCGTGGACAGCTGTACGTTGTTCCTCTTCACCATATCTTCAAAGGGGTTTATGATGATCTCCGCACCCGTGATTCTGGTGGGATACATTGGTCTTTCGTCGCTTCCCTCTGCCAGCTCTGCATCGGCCATCTTCAAGAGATTGAAAATGGTATCACCTGCTACCCGCCCGAACAAGGTATTCCGGCCCTCCAACTCAGGAGTGCTGGCAAGAGTAAAGAAGAACTGGCTACCATTGTCATCTTTCTTCCCTGTGTTCGCCATACCCAACAGGCCTCGTCGAGTGTACTTGAGCCGGCTGTTGAACTCGTCCGCGAATGGGTCGCCATTGTAACTGCTCTCTCCACCCTGGCCAGTACCGGTAGGGTCGCCACCTTGGAGGATGAAGCCCTTCACGAGGCGATGGAAGACGGTGTTGTCATAGTAGCCATCGAGACACAGCTGCAGGAAGTTGCGCGAGGTAATGGGAGTCTGTTTTGCGAACAGTTCCAGTTCGAGGTCACCAAAGGTAGTGTGGAGGATGACTTTGGCGGTCGGAGGCGGCTCGAGATTGTACTTGACAGACATATCTCGAAGTTCTTGGTCATGCGACAAGCTCTCTTGTTTGCACGCGCAACACCAATGCGACGCGTGATGGGCTGTGGTGGTGAAATTCTGCCAGTGAGCTCTTCGTCACCGCCCACGGTTTGCGCTAGTCTCTGATCAGTTAGTGCAGCCAAACACCATGTGGGCCGACGTCACAAGCCGCACTCTGCACTCATGCCCACCATCTCTCATCCATTCACTCCTCTCAGATTTCCAAGAATGATGTGGGCGCCAGCTATCCTATAAAGCCTCTTCTTTCCTTTCAGTTCTGTCCTTCGCCTGTTCTGCCCATTTTGGTTCACACTCAAGGCTCGTACTTGTATTAGCTTCCGCACAGCCAACATGCTACCTTTCATCAATGCGCGTCAGTGTGGCTGAACCCTCTAGTGTTGAATCATCACTAATTGATACATGTAGCTTTTGAATATGTTGGGGGTGCTCTGGGAACGTCTCCAGATGAGCGTGCGTCTTTCGGAATCCACCCAATCATTCATTTCTAACATGCACAGTGAAATTGGTCTTTACTTTCTACCTCTCGTACCCACTTGCTGCGGTGTTGAAGAGAATCCCCGATAAAGACATGTGGAAGAAAAACCTCTTCACCATATGGTAATACAAATGTTCCTTGGAAGGCACACGTTGGCTGATAAGTCTCAGCGTCTCCCTCTTTTATCTCGTTGGCTTATTCGACCTGTGGGCTGGTCTTCGGACACTTCTGATCAGCGCTGGTGGTACCTATTTAATCGCATCCCAGATCAACTCTCCTTACATGCCATGGATCGGCTTTGTGTTTCAGATGGGCCATATGTCTATGAACCACATTATTCGTCAGAACGTTGGCGATGCCACGCTTGTTGATATCACGGGAGCCCAGATGGTGCTGGTCATGAAATTGACAGCTTTTTGTTGGAATGTTCAGGATGGTCGGCTTCCCGATTCAGAGCTCTCCGATTTCCAGAAAGAGCACGCAATCAGGACTCTCCCGAGCTTGATTGACTACGTCGGTTACGTTCTTTTCTTCCCTGCCCTGATGGGCGGCCCAGCGTTCGATTACTGCGACTACAGCAGCTATATCACCTCAACCATGTTCACTCTACCACCCGGAACGGACCCATCCAAGGCACCTCCGACACGCAAGAAGCGCAAGATTCCTAGAAGTGGCACACCTGCTGCCATCAAAGCTCTCACCGGGAGCCTTTGGATATTCGGCTTCTTGAAATTTTCCGCGTGGTACAACCCAGCCTTCCTCCTCAGTGACGAGTGGTCAAAGTACTGGTTTCTTCGACGAGTGTGGCATGTGTACATGTTTGGCGTGACGAGTCGTATGAAGTACTATGGCGTTTGGAGCCTTGCCGAAGGATCCTGCATTCTTTCAGGTATAGGATACAACGGAGTCGACCCTGCGACTGGCCGAGCAAAATGGGATCGCCTCACCAACATTCGACCGATGGATATTGAAACGGCACAGAATACTCGAGCGTACCTCGGCAACTGGAACATCAACACCAACCAGTGGTTGCGTAACTACATGTATCTACGTGTAACGCCAAAAGGCACGAAACCGGGCTTCAGGGCAACTCTGGCTACGTTTGTGACTAGCGCATTTTGGCACGGCTTCTATCCTGGCTATTACATGACGTTCGTCCTGGCTTCTTTCCTCCAGACTGCTGCCAAAAGTAAGCGTTGCAATCCAACTGCGTTGACACCATTAAATGCTGATACGTTCCTTAGATGGGCGCCGACTGGTCCGACCCCTTTTTATGACCCCTGATGGCAAAAACCCTCTTCCTTCCAAAAGATATTACGACATCTTCACTTTCGTCATTACGCAGACCATGTTCTCCTTCACAACCGCCCCATTCGTACTGCTCACTTTTAGCGACACCATGCGCGTGTGGTCTGGTGTATACTTCTACACCATCATCGCGACGGCGGGATCTTTCGTGCTGTTCAGCCGCTCTTTCCCCTTTCGTAAGCAGCTCGTTAAGCGTCAAACAGCGCGTTCTCCTGCGGCAACTGCTGGCTATGACAGCATAGAAAAAGTCACAAAAGAAGAAGTGGCGAAGGACTTGCACAGACGCGAATTGTTGAGGACGGAAAGTACCGATAGCGTGGGAGCTCGTAGAGCACCAACTTTGGGAATTGCGGACGACCCCGAGGCGGAGATTGATGAGATTGTTGCAGATGTGAAGAGGGAGTTTGAGGAGAGAAAGAGAAGAGGTAGCTTAGTACAGGGATTCGACGTGAAGAAAGTGGTGCAGGACAAGTTGAATGACTTTAACAAGTCGGTGATGGGTAACTAAATCTGAAGGGCTCAGATTTGACGACTTGTGAGCGATGACCGTTTACTTCTACGAAAAATCAACCCTAGTACTGCTCGATGTGCAACCAACAAGACCAAAATCCTTATTCGTGTAGTATATTCTAGCATACCCAATTGTTTCTCGATTCATTGCAATCAGGCCATCGTATGTCTGTCATGGACTCCCATTATTGAACGTTGACTCTAGACCCGGATCTATCGAGGACTAGGAGAAAAACAGAAAAGCCACGCCCGAACAAAGTTTGCGCTAGGATGGTGGCCTCGGATGCAACAGTCTCCCCTTATATTCAATAGCGTGGCATAACACGGGTCGCTTAAGTCATCACATACGCTACGACTACTAGAAAATGACGGCGCGTTTTTGAAGTTTCTGAACGCCGGACGTTGTGTGTCGCAACTGAGTTCTGATGTTGGAGCCCAAATAAGGAGAGACGAAGAGAATTCCACGTTGCGTCATGCAATAGACAAGGGCTAATACAGCGGGTGAGGCGTGGTTAAAATACCTATAAGTTCCTGTAACCAAAAGTCATGCGTGTTCTCCATGATCGTGATGAGGCTCTTCAGTGTTAACAATGCGTGGTTATCACATGGGAGATACTTAGATACTTAGCTCTCCAAAGGTGTGCCCCCGAGGAGTCCGCACTGATATATAAGAGCTCATTATATGTGTACCCAAAAACTAGGAAGTGCTGGTTCATACAACGGGCCGAGGATCAGATCAGCAAGGTACGTGCCGGAGCAATGATGCAGTAAGGGTCAAAGCAAGCGATCAAGTCGGCGATTGGGATAATTCTGCTGGTTTTCCGCCTGCTCCGCTTTCACGTTGTGCACACGTTGTATGTCACTCGTATGCCTAACTTGTGGGGCATTGCTGAACGACTCGCTCGTCTAGATCAAATTAAACGTTCCTCACTATCTCATTCCGCCTAACGTGCAAGGCCAGCATGGAGTAAAAACGCGATGACCGGTTCCCGGGCATCTGCACCGCTCAGAATCATACCACGGTTACAGGCCTACAACCACTCCGTTGGGTTACCAGAGCAATCTATCTCTAGCTTTGTGTGGAATGCAAGCTTCCCTAGTCGAGGATCCCAACATGGTGTTTCGTCTCCACAGCGCTGTCCCTGCTACCCGGAGCACGCAACCAGCAAAGCATTGAATCAGTAAGTCATTATCCCAGAAATCCCATTATATCACGCTAGGAATCTGTGCTTGGCTCGATAGATCACTAATTCATCTGCCGATTCGATTTTCATCAGTGCGTCCTACTTTCGTTCTTTTTTCGCACATGCAAACAAAACCCCCTGTTGCAAATCCTCCTTCCGTGCGCTCCCTGGGCTGTATATCCATTCACTACTCCTACATTTCAACCTCTCTCAGCACCTGGGTTGGTGTCATATCATTTTCGGTTATTGGCCGGTGGATCTGGCTGCTACGTCGCCAATGCGTGCCGCATCCTGTCAGTGTACAGTGCCGCTCGTAGAAAGTTGTTTCCTGAGGATTTCCATATCAGAAGAGTGCTGGTGAGCACTACGAAGAAATACACGAGAAGGAATACATGGCGGACGAAGCAGGCTTCATACAAACGGTGTCCCACGAGGACAATGGTCCTCTCATGACAAGCGTGACTTGGGTGCTCTGCGCTCTGGCCGGAATTTTCCTCGGATTACGCCTGTATGCAAAATGCAGTAGGAGACATCCTCTGTGGTGGGATGACTATATCCTGATCTTTTCATGGGTTCGTGATACTTTTTTCCGTCACTGTTGCTTGTGTATTTCCTTCCTTCCAGATGTCTCTATCTATGTAGCAGGCTGCACAGCTTCTCCACCTGCTAAGGTGCAATCCAGACACTGACTGAGAGAACAGATTATTCTCCTGATAGAGGCCATAGCAACCCAAATCGCCATATCCATAGGCTTCGGAAAACACACTCGAGACATCTCACTCATCAACATATTCATCCTGGCCGTCGGCCTCACCATCGGCACAACACTGACCTGTTTCGCCTCAACCTTCTCCAAAATTTCGTTCGGCGTTACCCTACTCCGTCTCACGACCGGCCACACACGAGCGTTTGTCTGGTTCGTCATTGTCACACTCTTTCTTGTGATGCTACCTAGCGCCTTCATATCATACGTAACGTGTCGTCCCTTATTGAAGCTGTGGAATCCGACCATAGAGGGCGAATGCTTCGATGCGAAGAGGATACTCAGATATGGATACTTCAATGCCGCTTGGTGTGCGTGTGCGGACTTTGCACTGGCGCTGCTGCCGTGGAAGCTGATTTGGGGACTGCAACTAAAAGTCAGGGAAAAGATTGGCGTAAGCATTGCAATGAGTATGGGCTTGCTTGCGGGAATCTGTGCGATTGTAAAGGGGGTGTTTATTGGACAAATTGGGCAAGATGACTTTACCTGTAAGTTTTCAATTGGAACAGCTTCTGAGAAGGGAGATGCGACACTGCTTTTGGGACATTACGATTAACGAAGTCCACAGACAACGGCAAAGATGTAATGATCTGGACAGCTGCCGAAACCGCAACCGCTATAATTGGCGCTTCCATACCCGTCTTACGTGTTTTCTTCAAGGAAACAATATCCTCGCACTCGCAATCGCAATCGCACACGACCGGCACTGGAATAGGATCGGACCCATCCACCACCTTTCGCTCCAACACCACCAAAAGACGTAGTACTATGCAATTCAGCAACAATAGTCAGTCTATGGGACTCCGTACAAGTGTCTCATGCCTTGATGATCAACGACATGATTTTTACGAACTGAGCTCTCTGCGTGGGGATACCGAAAGCAGCGCCGAAGTAGAGTACGTTATGGATCAGCGAGGAAGAATTGTACCGGTTTCGAAAATGGGCGCGAGAACAAAAGTGGAAGCTTCAGTAAGCGGGGAAGATGCTTCAGAATATGCGATATCGCCCATCCAAACCACGCCTGTCAATTTCCCTGATTGGCGACAAGACTATCGACGTGGAGCCGACGATGCCAGTCTGGAAGATGAACACCAAAGGATTGGTTGGGCGAGATAAGAACGTTCACTATGCGCTAGGCTGGCCTTGATTATTATGACTTTTAATGCTTTTAACGATTCTTGACTTTCTGCTTCTCATCCTTGACTTCAACGACGTTATGTTTGCATCTCTCTGCGTCTATCTGAAATGGAGTTTGGTCAGCTGGCGGGGCATGGTTTGGGAGGAAGTGCATTGCACAGAGGGATACATGTAACGACTTAACGAGGGTATTGAGTAATACTGGACGAGCATCTATGTTAGCCGTTGTAATTTATGCTATCTCGAGAAGGTTCGTTACGATATATTTCTGAAATCCCGAAAATGGATATTAAGGACCTCTGTCGGCAACGGAAGACTGGGGAACAACCCTCACGGTGTCGTTGCGTTGCGTTGCGACGTGACTTCACGTTCCAGGCTTCCCTGCAAGGCCTGCCGACATGTCACCGATGCTGAAGCTTTCGAGCTCCGGCGAAAAGTCTCATCATGATTGAGAGAGATTGCAATTGGGCAAGAAGGATTTGAGATTTTGAGTTGCTGGGTATATAAATATGTGTATTCAGAGTACACATTCAGAAGACGGACTTGCGAGGCTCGTCTAAATAAAATATTCTGGTAAACAGAGTGCGTGTACCGCCCGCCACTCATCCTGTAGTCTACAAATGAAATTTGGAATGATAAAGTGTTTTATGCCAACGGCACACCCCCTTCTGTCGTCAACAGTTCACCACCCATAGGCGCATCTTCGCCCAGTGCAGGTTTACCGGTCGCGGGCGGCCCGCCGCCTCCACCGAAGCCTGGTCCTCCATCATCAGACGGCGGTAACATCTTCTTCTTCTCTTCTTCTTTCTTAACCTCGTTTAGTTGGTGCGTAACGTAACTGGAGTAGCGCAGGGCGACGAAGAGCATGAATGCACATATGCCGATTGTCATGGCGGCTCTGCGTGTGAGGACCCATCGTAGGCCTTCGACTTCGCTACGCGCATCGGAGGTGAGTTTTATGGTGATTTGGTAATTGAGTTCGTGGATCTGAAATTGTTAGTCATCGCTGTCGTAAATGGTGAATGCAGGTGCTGCAGAGGACAAATATACCTGTGTCTCTTTGATTCTTTGCTCCTGCCTCACGGCCATCTTCCGATCATCGAATAGCCCTTTCAGTTCGTCCTTGAGGTATCCTGTCTCCTGCCCTAATCTTTGTCCTAACAGATCGACCTCGTGCTGTAGTTGGCCTCGTTCACTCCGCATTCGTTCCACCTCATTGTTGCGACTAGCGCCCAGCTCGGTACGTAGCTCGCTGCACGCTGCGCGAAATAAGTATGTCTCGTTTTCCACATTACTTTTGCTAACAAGCCCCTGGCGCGCCAGCGCAATGTTGTCTGTCAAAATATCCCGCACAGCCTTCATGATGCTGACAGATTGTGCTTGTGAGAAGCCCGAAACAGTCAGATCTTTGACGAGAGAGTACGTGTCAAAGTGATGTACGTATGGAGGCGTTTTGAGGTGTGGGGGTTTGCGTTGCTCTTCCTCCGCTGGCGAGGGCATATGCAGGACTGTGTCTAGAGGTTTTGCCTCGGGGGTTTTGGGTGGCGCGGGCGACGGGGTAGGAGGCGGCAAGGCTTTCGAGACCTCTTCTGCAGGAAGACCGGACGGAGAGGGTGTAACTATGGCAGGCGGCTCCTCCTCTTCCTCCTCTTCTACGGGCTCTTCTTTCTCTTCTGGTGGCGCACTTTTCTTGAGATTTTGCGCAGGTTCATCTTGCGATTGAGATGACTCCCGGATGTCTTGTTGCTCGGATCGGAGATGGGGTAGCGGTTCCTGTGCTGTCCCGTACCGCTGGGAGACCTCCTCCCGACGACGAGACGTGGTTGCGAATCGCTGCTTAGGGGTGCGTGTGGTGGTTGTGGTCGGCTTTCGCGAGGAGATTCGGGCTCTTGGTCGCTGGGCCTGGAGGGGCCTGAAAAGCATAGGCCATAGAAATGGCAGTCGCGGAGCTGCCATGTCAATTCAGATGAAATGGATTCAGATCGTTGCGCGGGCGAAGAAGAGTAGACATTTGGAGATCCTTCATGACGACAATGCCCGCCCCCACCCGCTGAGTCATCTTGTGGGACACTACTCCCCACGCGAGTGTATGCTGGAAGCGGACTAGCTTGTAGAACTGATCTGCTCTTTGCGAAATTTGGGATCCAGTGCACTTTGCAGCAGGACAGAGTATTTCTAGTTGTAATATGTATTAAAAAATCTTGAAATATGTATTCCAATAACATGGGCGAGGCAATGTACTCTTGAGACGTGGTGATTAAAAGAGGACTATCTTGTCCTTTCTTGCAGATCGTTGCTCCGATCAGAATGTAATAGTCGAGAAGACGAGCAAATCCGATCACAGCCATTAATTTATGTGTTATTTCTTACCCACTCAGGCTTGGAGTATTCCACCAGAGCGCCAGTCTTATCGTTTTTCAATCCTTGTATTCGTGTACATTATGCCTCTCCAAACCCACAAACTGTCACCATATGTGCAGGCTAGATATGCCCCAGCTTGCCTCTACACATCCAAGTTCTGGCTTCTTGCACTTAACAAATATGACACGCTCCATATCATGGTATTGCTTAACTTGCTAGCCTTTTCGAGAGCGCAAATGTAGGCTTCTCGGGACTTACCCAAAGTAGACCGTATTACATGACCAACGAGTGAGAGACAGCACTTGAGAATATCAAGCTTGAACCTTGTAAACATTTAAACGCAGTGATGTAGACGGTGTTCCAATTAACACCAAGTTAAAAATCTGAGAGCACACCGTATTTATTTGGAATCTCTTTTTTGTAGCACACGTTCCAAATACCTGAATGGGGATGATGTATGTGATTCAATCACGTGATCTGACGTGGACAAATCCATTCACTGTTCAGCAACGGACGTGCTGCTCAAGCGCTGGGCCGCTTTGCCATTTCGAGTTAGATTATGTTGTACAGCCTCGTATATGCTCAAATACTAATACGCACGCTCCTACAAAACTTCCGCCCTCCAACACACTCTCCCTCGCTAGACACAGCACGGTAGTGCTTAGGCTGAGAAGCAGGGCGACGAATATCCATGTCTTGGTATCCCTTATCCTGTTCACCACAGTGGCAGGACTCTAATCCCACCGTGTCACTCGATGTTACACCAAGCAATTCCACAGATGGCATGCTCGGTGCGAGCTCTACACGGATCAACTTTAGTGACAGCACGTCCACTATGAGCGCCCAGAGCCCAGCAAGACGCCCTTCATTTGGATCAACTGGCATGTCCCCAACACCTATTAGGAACAGACCTACTTCGTGGTTTTCTAGCTCCCGATCCGTTACTCCTCTAAGATCGCGACGCGCTCCCTCTACGGTATGAGAAAAAAAAAACATTTCGAAACATGCGCGTCTCTCGCTGAAATATTGTAGATATCCCGAAGCCCGTCTCATACTACTAAGCTGTTGAATGGCATCTCTGGGTAAGCACCTTACATCCATCGCATTCTTTGTTTACTAAGTATGCAGCATGTTCAATAATATGGAATACTCCGATGCCACGATCATGATTCAAAATACCATTCTTCCTGTGCACAAGATGATCATTTGCAGCCACAGCAGCTACTTCAAAAAAGCTTTCGATGGTAGTTTCATAGAGGGCACTACCGACACTATTAAGTTTAACGAGGGCAGTGCCGCTGCGCACTGGAGGGTATTCGAATTCATATACACTGGTACGTATATGGGCGCATAACCTTCACATTCCATAATACCATACAGTATAGTCTTTGGCAAATTATTCGCATAGTAAGTAAATGTCACTAATTTCATGTCCCTCAATCTAGGAGCATACTCGGACACGTTATCTACTGGTGAATTCCCAGGTAGGTTGCTGGTTTATGCAACTGTTTCGTGGGCTAATTCGGGCAGATGACCATCATATGATGAAGGATGCTCAAGTTTACATTCTTGCTGATATGTTCCTGCTCGAGGACTTGAAAACACTTTCACTGGAGAAGCTGAAGTACAAATTCCATTGCGATCCGGTCGATCACGCGTTTCCAGTCTGCATCCGGAAAGTGTACGCTGGCACATCCGATAGGCATACCGAACTCCGATCTGCTTTTGTTCAGAAAGCTATTGCGAATGCCCGAGGTCTCCGAAGTAATGAATCTTTCATGGAGCTATTTCGAGAAGGGGGGGATTTCCCGGTGGATTATGTGCATGCCCTCTCGAGATAGCGCAAAGACTAGATCCATTCCCGAGATTTGTTCACGAAATTGACGGGGAGAACGATGGATTGCGATGTACTACTTCAATGTATTGATGACTACATGTCTACAGGTGCAAACGCTGATCTGATTCAGATTCAGAGAATACTAGCTTTGTAGAAATAATCACTCTGCACTTGCCGAAAGGAATTACTAAGATGAACTGGCCATCGATCTCTCGTTCTAGATTCTGGTCGGGGTCATATGGCCTTGCTAAGACTACATATTTACATACTGTCGGTGTAAAATGCTCAATCGTTCAATTGCATATCATTCGCTCAATTTGCTGGTACAGTGATTATCCATCTTCACCATCATTCAATGCAAACATTGGAATATTAGACTTTGCGAGGACAATCACGTGAGAGATTATTTGATACGATCAATTGATACATAGGTCCATTTTTTCTGAGTTGCAGATTAGCTGATCCTACACACAGCGATGGGTTATGACGATAAATAGACCAAAAAAGCGAGCGATAACCAAAAAACAAAAACAAACATAAGTCCATATGTACCAGTCGAGAGAATGGGTGTGGCCACATGAATCGCTGCTTGGGTTTTCCGGTATCATTTCAGATAATTCCAGTAATCTCAGAAAGTCAAGTGTTATTCGTCGTCTGCCATGCCAAGAGGCTACGGATAATCATCTCCAGATGGATGGCCTGACCGAAATCTTTGAGAATACACATGTGCACATATAAGCGACAAGCACAACCTTTTCGTTGTACTCTTCAAAAACCGTTCTACTGATACCGCATATCTTGACGTGCGATGGATTTCGTCGCCTCGCTATATCCCGCCTTAACAGAGCGACAAAATTTGCCTCAATATTATACACCTCTCTGCTTCTTTTTCTCCATCGTTCCGTTCCTGACAGTGCATAGACGACTCGCGATCGTTGTTACATTACCCTTTCTTCTGTATCTATGTACATGCTGGCCTTGCTTCACCAGCGGTGGTAATTCTTCCGACTACTACAATGGCAGTCTATTTGCCGCTCTCCCTCTATGGTACATAGACTTTGTACTGCTTACACCAAGATACGGAGACACCACCCCTACGTTTATTGGTGCAAAGAAAGCAAGATGCAGCAAGGAGACGAAGATTTCTGGTTTAGAAGGCCAACAATGGAAAGATTGCATTACTTTTGGGGAGAGAATGCGGTGGTCTGTCCGTCTGATGATACCCGCGCAAAGAGGCATTGGTTGGAATTGGCAAGTAAAAGGAGATTCCGTTGGCCCCGAATCTGAACTGTCCCACTGGCAATATATTCAAAATTGCTTAAAGAAGGCTCTCGTATGCTACCTTAACTCTGTGGGAGCGCTGGTAATGGTGGGCTTTGGCTACACATTCAGAATTGCTTTCAATTCGGATCATTATGTCCAAAGTGCGCTTGCAAATGGTCTAGTTGGAATTTCGGGCGCCATCTGGGTATGGAACAGATTGGAATGCTCTTATAGCCTTGCAGCAGCCATTGGTGTGGGAACAGGGCTAACCGGTGCTTGGGAATGGCCTCCACTTATGGCATCGCTGAAGTCTGCGTGGAGTGTTAGACAGATGTGGGGGTAAGCTACATTTCATGCTTTCCAAAAACTTGCTACACATGACTGACGTTTGGTTGACAGTACAACGTACCATCAGTCTTGTCGAAGGGTAAGTTGTAGTTCTAACACGCATACACTTTCGCAGCTAATCGTTAGTAAAAGTTGTTGTCACAACCAGCAAAACAGATTGTGCAGATATTACGACTGAGGAAAGGTAGTCTCCCGTTAGCCTATTTTCAGCTCTTCATCTCGTTTGGTATCAGCTGTATTTTTCACCAAGTGCAGATGTTCAACGTCACTCGTAAGGATATGGGAGAATTTGCTTTCTTCATGTCACAACCTTTAGCAATTGCTGCCGAAGACCTCGTCAGTTGTACATGGAGACACATTCCAATTTACAGTGAGAACAAAAGATTCGGGGTGATCTTTGGGTATGTCTGGGTCTTTGTGTGGTTCTCTTTGAGCACACACCAGTACGTGTACGGCCTCATTGACGCAAATGTGATGAAAGACTGGCTACTTGGATATCTGCCTTTTGAATACGGGGCAGATTTGGCACAGGGATTTCGATTGTAATATATGCATGCTACATTCGAATTTTGGTTTTCTTACGCTATACACAATGTTGAGATTGGAACTCCGGGCAGTGGTACGCTCGGGGACCGTAAGAGTTGGCGTTCGACAAGTCACCTGTCATGTATTGGAGATCATGGACCAGAAAGAAGAGCTTTGCGTGCATCGTGCATGATGCTGTACTCTGTACGCGGCATATCGCCATCACCGATATCTGCACAGTTTTGTCCCGTTGTGGAATTGGAACACTAATTGGGACTGCGTCTTGTACCTTTGAGTGACCAGAAATCAAGGATAAGGGAGTAATAATGGAAATGGTGGGTAGATGTGGTAAGTTATGTGGCACAAGTCTGACAGCAAAAAGTAGACTAACAAACTTGGTTGTTCGATTGTCCGCAGGGTTATTTAGGGCTGAGACATCAACCTGCTCGTCGGTTCATGTTACACTAAAGCATTTCTTGGAGGACCAGGGGCTACTTCCCAAGTCCAGACAAATATCCTCCATTTGAAGATATGAATCGCCCACAAGAGTCAGTTGAGACGTGAGACTGGGTACTGAGTGTTGCATATTTCTACGACTATATCTTTTTCGGTAGTAGTAGTCTAAATGTGTGCAGTGCATTCTTGTGCAATTCATAATTCATTTACAAGTGGGAAAATCCGTCGGAACATTATCAGAAAACGCATCCTATGACGTGCATCTCATTACCTTTTTCTTTCCAAAGAGAATTTATTCAATGTATAGGTATTTCAGTTACATCTCGAGCGAATAGTGAATCATAGGTATTTTGTTTTAAGCTAATGAAGAAAATCTCTCACTTTTGGCTTTTTCGCATTCATCCGAGGTTTGAGCCTCCACCGTGAAAACTTGTAGAGAATTAGCTGCGCTTGCCATTGTAATTAGGAAACTCTCATCATACCCTAATTACGCCGGAACCACCAATGTGTGGAAGGTGTGGTACGACTGTAAGAAGCTGGGCGATTACTTGAGCAGTTTCGCGGACGCGTGCGGCAAGTAAAGTTCCAAGATTGCAGGTGTGTGAAATGAAATCGTGATGTGGTAAATATAATCGGGGCGTTGTGGGTGAATTAAATGATCAACTGCGACAAGAAAGGCTTGGAGTATGATGGAGGCGCGCCGACTTCGGATCGACTTGGTGCAAGATTGGAAGCGATGCCTCCTGGGATGCATACTACCTAGTTTCAATGACTGCGGTATACGTATCTGGCTATATGATCCCGGACAAAGTATATACACCTCCTCAGATGCAGAACCTTTTTATGTCTCGTGATTATTTCTTGATGAAGTTCTAAATTGAACAGGAAGGAACTGCATTTTCGTTTTATCACTATTTCAATACCAGGTCGTTTTTGACAACATCGAATGCTCTACGTGATTCATTCGCCTGGGAGACTGTTTCTTGTAGGATACGTAATACAGATTTCATTCACACTTTTCCCCATGCTTGATATACAGAGGAAAAATTCGATCAGCTAGGAAGATGAGATAATTGTTCCGATGACGATATAACGAGTATTCATACATTCACAAATAAAGAAAAACGAAAGTCCATGGAAAGATTGCATCAACTCGACATAGTCTCATGAAGCATGACGTGAATGGTTCATCGAATCCTCAAGCACTGCTGTTCCTCGTTTGACCGTCCTGGAAACCCCAATTCTCAGGTGTGTTGAAAATGCCGTAGTCGGGAGCGAAAGGATTGCTGAATACTGGGGGCACGCCCCCAGTTGATACTGGCATATTATATTGATTAGGGGGCAAATTGTAAGTTCCTTGCACGTCATGCGAGTTCCAAAGATTGGGTGGGTAATGGTCGTTCATAGTTGCCGCAGTAGTGGGATATGTATCGGACCGCGCCGTTTCGGGTTTCAAAGGGCTCATTCCAGGAGAGATTAGCAATGCCTCGTTCATCGACCATCCGCTTACGTGGAAGGACTGTGATTGATCGTAATTGGCTCCGTCAATAATGTCAGAAATTTCGATTTTCAGTGTTGATGCACCCGTTACCACGATGTCGACTACCAGCTCAAAAGCACGTTCCGCGACAGCATTGCTCGAGCCCATGTGCTTCAGCCAGGAAAGAAGTTTCCTAACGCCATGTCTGGCAGTATCGTCCCGGGGTGTATTACCGCCACCGATAGAGAGTTGGAGAAGGAAAACTGCTGTGGCCTGCATGGCAATGTGGGTAATACACCACCATGGGCTTCTTTGATAAATGAAAGTGAGGTCCGGCTGGTCGGGGAAGAGATTCGTCAACGCAACGGCGGCGTCGAAACACGTATTGAGGGCCTTTTCCACGGATTCAGTGGAGTGACCATCTACTTTACTTCGCGAATGTAGTCGTGATAAGTAAGAGCGATGGATCAAGAGTTTGACGCTGTGATACTGGAAGCTGAGCAACAATTGTTCGCGCTGGAAGCTAGGATCAATGAGAGCCAGAGACCGGTAGTCCTGAGGCAGTGGCTCGGCGATGCAATTTTGCAATTGGTTTAACGAAGCCTCAATCTTTTTCTCGACGGATCTCCAAGTTCTTCCCGATTCGTGGGAGGGATAAAGACAGGATATAATATCTTCAATGACGATATCGAGGTCTATTGATGTTGCTGTGAACGATGCTCGATATAAACTACTGGTAATAGTTTCTTGGAGAACAGATTTGGCTGGAGATCGTATATCCCATGTCTGATCCTGGATTTGATCCTGGAGCAGAACAGTACTATCCTGGCGAACTGATACATCTAGATTAACAGAAGGCCGAGGAGCAGTGCATTGTTCACTCGAGATCGCACGAGGTCGGCCCGTCATGACACATAGAAGAACTTCAATCGAGTTCAAGGTCCACCAAGTGCGCGACATGTCGTTCTTGGTGTTGCTGGAGGTTGACGTATCATCGTTTCGCAGGTGTAAACCAACGCCAAGCGAGAATCTAAGAGACACACCAATCACCATCCAAGCCCTACAAACTTTAGTTGGGTTCAGTGAAAGTCAATATACATGTCGTACCGATTGACCTGTCCTGTCATCAGGTAGTACAGGGATAGCAAGCCTGTTGCCTGGAATGAGATTAGGGAAAGTACAAACTTGCTGGGGCACTATACTGACCTGGATAGCCTCCAAAGAAGGTGCTTTCATAGCAGTGATCATTCGATCTAAACATAGAAGCCTCACAGCTCTTGTCGAATACGATACATGATCCAGTTTCTCCGAACGCCATGGTGACTGTGCCAGATGTGAGTGTTGTGCGCCTATCGCAAACACCAAATTTAATGTAGCTTTCCAACAATCCGTGAGCGGGTAACGACGACCCTGAATGGCTGAGGTGTGAAATTTACGGAAGTCTACCTCGAACGTGCTAGGAAGTAGAGGAAACGATGGATGTACTGTTTGCAAGTAGGTGTGGAATAAGGCCTCTGCTATCTCAGGTTCAGGGAGAATCCAAGGATCCGCCATAGAGTCTGACTCAACCTCGTCACTATCAAGATAGAACGTAGAGCTTGAGACTCGCGAGATGTCCCCTATAAATGTGTCCCGTCCCAGAGATTGCCCACTCGCGTCGCTGTATGTCCGATTGGTGGGATCTGTCGACTCCAGCCTCCCAATGTCGAGCTTTAAACTTCGAAACCATTGAAGTACAGAGTTTTGTCCGATGAAGCCGGTAGCTCTTGATTCGCGGTTAAGGAAGAGGTCTTCATCTACATAATATAGATTATCGTTCGATGCCACTGAGCTTGATACGTCGGCTTCGGAATCTCCATCGAGGCTTTCGGCAGTTGATCGCGATCTCTTGTTCGGCCGCTGTTGCGAAAGTACGGGTTTAGTGCTCGCTGTCGCAGAGTTTCCTTCAAGCTGTCTCTGTTGGAATCAAGTAAACTGATAGTACTGGAGGCATACCGAGAGCATAATCTGGTCGATCTTCTTCTGTCCTTCTTCATCGACCTGCACACTCAAATCCTTTAGAAGATCGACGAGCTGGGCGACATGACTCGTAGCACTATTCGAGTTAGTGGGAAACTGCCCAGGAAGACAAGGAACCCACCTCTTAAGGCGATCTGTTCGAGCTTGTGGATAAGTGCAAATCAGGCCGTGGGTTATGCAGTTCTGGCATTTTGGGATCTCTCCACTGCATCTTATCTTACGTGTTCGGCAATCAACACATGCTTTGGTCACCCTTTTCGTAGCGTTACGAGTTGGAGCAGGTCTATAATCACCTCCACGCCTCTCCAGACGAGGAATCGCCACTCTAGGTGGACCAAGTGGAGGATCAGACATGAGGTAAGACAGAGGTATGGCTAGTTGCATCATCAATCAATGACCGAGATATAGCATGGCGAGTCGAGCATCTAAAATGAGGAGCGGGGACAATTGATTGGCTGGAAAAGCTTCTCAGTACTGAAGCCGAAGGCCAATCAGACCTCGTTATTCCTGCTGCTCCTATTCGCTGAAGCCCCCTACTCTCTCACATCGGCGATCTGTTTTGTGCACAGCTTGAATCCCAGTGAATAGAAAAGGAATATGTGACCATAACATTTGGCCTCCTAGGAAATTGGGAGGAAATTGGGAGAGAGCGACTGGTATCACGTACTTGGGCTTATGGGTCGCGGTCCATTCTTCAAAGCTTGAGCTATCAATTGATATTTGTAGTTCAAAGCCAATTCTGGCCATCGAAAAGTTTGCTAAATACTGTAGCCAGTCTTGGTCCCCAGATAAGCTTACACATAATAATGTCAAGGCTTAGCTATAAGATCCTGTAGTTTAACTGTCTGCGCTTGGAACTGCGCTGCGGGCCGGCCCGCTCAATGCGTTGGCTTCTAGTTGGATCGTGATACATCTTTTCAATTAGACCATGTACCGAAGAACCATTGCACTGCCAATGTCTTATCACTGGCAGAACGGACCCACTCCCAGGACAGTGCCTGAGGCAGTTGTGCGGGCGTACATGTCCCCCCGACCAATCGTTCCACAAAGTTTAATTCAAAAACCGGGCGCACGTATAGGTGGACAATCCATGTCTGTGCTCTTTAATTCCTTGATCCTGCCACGTATATCAGTTGATGTCTCGAGCTGCTACCGTTTGGTCGGGAGATTTTGCGACGGATGTTTATAATCTTATATTCTCGCAAGAAACTTTCAAGTACTTCAACGTTCAGTCATCGAGTTCATGGTTGGGAAAGGCTGAAGTAAATTCACATATACAGCTTTGAGTACAGCAGTTTCCAGTGGTGGACAACACTAAGCGTTGCCCAGCCAAGTGATTTCCTGTAGCAGAACGATCCCCAACACGAAGGCCTCAATATTCCATTCGAGAATCTGCGAGTTTCATTGGGAATCATCGACAATCTGATTGCCGTATCCAACTGCTGAAAAGCTCGTCACTGCTGAAGCCTCAACTCGGCACCCGCATTAGGCCCGCCCCAAGACCTTTCTCCTCTGTTTCATCATATACATGTACATTGTGTAAGCGCCTGAATGACGTCAGCATTGATATAGCAATACGTGTCGGACTTCGTATTACCCGGAACGTAGAGCGCTAACAGAAAGTAGAAGACAGGCGGAATGACCGCGCTTAGCTCTCGACCTGGCTCGATGGCCAGGTAGAATAGCCACCATTCAGCACCGATTCCAATCGGGTACAAGATGTAGAACATAGTATAGCTATTTAAATGATATCATGAGCGTTCTGCTGCTAGAAAAAAAAATCATGGTATACGGATCCGAAGACTTACCGCGTCCATACAAGGCCTCGAGGGGCACGCCCATGGAGGTTCAGCGCCAGGTAAAGATATCTTATCGTGTCGGCAACGGACCAAGCAAGCAAGAGTAGGAAATACGCATCAGAAGACGCTGTACTCTCGGGGAACGTATGCCAGATCAGCCATACTTGGATCGCTCGCGTAGCGATCTGGATGAAAGTAGTACTGACTGGGGATTTGATGATTCCTTGTACATAAATCAATAGTTGGTCGCAACAATAGATCAACGCGAATACTTACCAAATGCAGCATGGAGAACCTCGACAAGTGATGCGGTCTGGATCCAGCGAGCTAGAGGCTCTGTGGCAGCGAAAAGTTTGGATTTACCTAGCGACGCATATGATATTGTTTGTATGAATACCGAAGCCCATAACGCAGCAAATAGAAAGTTGTAGGCTGTCAGGTAAATAATGCGCAAACTCATTCCTGTAGAGACAGGGACATTCTTCGTCCGAGAGTCTGTTTCTTTTGCCATCTCTAGTAGAGAAAAATTGAGATCGTTTGTTTATGGGTAGTGATCATTGGATTTGGACAGATGAAAAATTCAGCGGTTTTCTTAGCAACTCGGTTGCTTTCAAGATACCGTGTCTGTGCGCGGCACGCATCCACTAAATGCCCTACTAACTCTTTTCAATACCCAACACCGAAGCCCTAGGGCAACTTCATCCAGTTCCTGTCGTGCCTCGGCGCAGCACTTTTGGCACGGATAACCCGCTTGATTAGTTCATTCACGCCGCCCACCTCAATGGTACCTGGAACTAGGTTGCTTCAGCTAACGTTATAGACGATTGATGTGGGAGTGGTGATGGGAGATATAAATCAGTGATGGTGTGAGGAACATCGACAGCACGTCGTTGTGTTATTCTTCCATTTCATAGGGATTTTAACATTGGATCAACATCGATATCCGCTGTTTTGCGCTACATCACCTATCCCAGCTTTTAAAAATATCAATTGATGTGGTACACATGACTGTATCCTTCCCCTAATATCATAGATCAATACATTCCAGAGTTGGGGTTTAGGTGTCCGTACACATAATGCTATCTATAGTGATGATTTTGATGGTACCGAACAACACGCGACCACCGTAAGAATAACTTTCCCCTAAAGACGCTATTATGGATAATGCATTTTGACCAAGTTTCAATATATTAGCTGATGCGACCATTACCACCAGAATGTCCTTCTCAGGCCGAGCTTTTAATCTCAGCGCAGCGTTCAATTCTGTAAATAACTCAATGAGTGAAAGCTGGAGACCGATCGGTGAAGACTATTAGCCTATTCTCCCTATTCGGAGCTTTATCTCTTCCACTACTGGCTCATGGTGCATGCTTGATATATATTTCTCTAATCAATCAAAGTGTGATGAGCGAAACTCCAGAACATTGCGACATACGTTCATCTATTAGGTAAAATACCTTAATTGGGAACGGGGCGTCGTCCGGGTTTCATGCACTCAATATCAATTGGCAGGCGCCAAAAAGGTTGCATTTACACCACGGACTTCAATTATAAAGTCTTCCACGAACTCTTCGACGACTCGGCTTGATTTGTAAGAGATGGTCTTATTTGACCTTCCCTACAAAAGTTTCGAGCGCGCTGCCAAATCTATGTTAAACCAAGACAAGCATGGCGCTTATTCTGCTAATTATCGCATTGTCAACCATTGCACATATCGCCCAAGGCCATTGTATGTTAAGAGCTACCAAACATTCTATGAACAATCATTGATAGATTGGAATAGTCACCTTCGTTCGCGTTAAAGCGGATGGAGAATGGAAAAGCCCGCTGCAGTACATCCGGTGAGATGCCTTTGCAGATGGCTGTGTATTGATGTAGGTTGGAGCTTATTTTCTTAGCAACAAGACCTCGCCATATGACGAGCTGAAATTTTACGAGGGTAATTTCCTCTACCGATACTACAACTGGCCGACATATATCATCGACCGACCGGAGTCAGTCCGATGCGGGCGTGACAATATGAATCATGCGCAAGGGACGGAGGTTCTGAGCGTGAAGGCAGGAGACACGATCGAAATTGCGCACCAGCGGGAGGAACCGGAAAACTGGACTGACGATATGTTCTACAACTGCACCGACGATCGAGGATCGTGTTTCCATAAACTAGGCTGGGTACAGGTATGTAAACCATTACCAGATGAGAGCAAAAAGCGATTTCACGATACTAACAAGGCACAAAGGATTTCAACCACCCCGGTCCACTTCTAATTCATCTCTCAAAAGTCCCTAGCAGCCAGGACATTCGCACCTACGATGGAAGTGGAGAATGGGTCAAGATCCATACGCTGGGTTTAACAAATCCACGGTATGGCCAACCCCTAAACTGGACCTTATACCGCAGCGATCCTCCGCATGTAAGTTTTTGTATTGAATTAACCGGTAAAATTAGCTTATTTGAGGCAGATTACGTTCAAAATTCCCGCGCAAACACCATCGGGTCAGTACCTGATGCGTATGGATCTTATCTGGTCGGGTGCAACCAACGAGTATATAAATATTGGCGATGACGGAAGTTTGGCTCAGATGTATCCAAGCTGTGCTCAATTGAACATTCAAAGTGAATCGAAAGCGGAGTTTCCGAAGGGTGTTAAAATCCCCGAGATTTTCCAGCCTTTGGAACCAGGCAAGTACCGTTGAAAGCCGCATTCTGAAGGGTTATTAACGTTGCGCAAGGTATGACGACATCGTGGGATATGTTGAATAACCAAAAGCTTGATGAGAATTATACTTATCCCGGAGGTCCATTATGGAACGGCGAGGATTTGGTAGTCGATAAGCCCGTGGTCCTGGAGTGAAGCGTTCTGGATGACTTTGTTGACTATCAAGAGTGAAACAAACTGGTCACAATTGCGGCGCAGAGATAGGAGCATACTATAGCTGTTTTTTCTTTTGTAGTTGTGCAATGTCCTTCGCAATCTTTGTAATTACAGCACAAATCTTGTATAGACACGTCAGCGCTTTCCATGCTTCTCCCTAGTATTGACACCAAAGACATTTAGCTGTGCTCGACTCCCCCTTTCTACAGGTCTCAAATCGGGGTCTTTATTCTTCTTTTCGATCTCTCGTCTCGCTTTGCGCTCACGCCACCGCTCGCGCCAAGACATAGCTTTCAGACGCTCATCTTCTTCGCGCTGCTCGGCTGTCACTGGCGCACATACAGCGTTGATTCTAGCCGCGGTCGCTTCGTCGTTTGCTGCCTTCGTCTTTGGCGCCTTGTTCATCCAGAATGGCGGTGGCAGATTTTTAATGTAGTCGTCATAAGATTCTTTGGTCGCTTGTGGTCCCTGAGTTGGTTGAGGTTCTTGGGATTCTGTTGGATCTTTTGGGGTTGCCAGGTTTACGTCATCGGGGAGGACTGGGCGGGCGACTGAGGCATCTTGTTTGAGGTCGGTGATTGCATTGTGTGTATTCTCAGAGGGCATATTAGAAGATTCCACGAAAATTGCGGGTGAGTAGATTATGGAACGAGTGCATTGGAGTACGCGGTGCTGTCCTGCGTGCCACTGTTATAGAGGAAGCTTGGAGCGGGGCTCCAATGCGAAATCGCTCGGATAGAATCTAATGGCCATGTCAGCTGCCAAGAAACGCTCAGTGTTACTTTCCAGAAGCAATTTCAGTGATTAAGTTATAGCAGCTTTTTGAAAGATATAATTCGATAATGTTTGCTGGGTTTATCACCTTTTTTGAGTGATTACTACTCCAAACTATTTAAGTCAATGTGGACTACGACTTCTTCACTATCATGCACGTGCTATGCGGTTTCCATGAAATACAATATCGCGGTGTGAAGCGCCCAGCTTGCCCCGCCACATCAAGAGGAATAATCCCCTATAAGCGTCAATCCTTGTTTTTCTTCCTTGCATACGGCCTCGGCTTCAGCTTATACTTCCCATGCGCCAACGCCCTTTTCCTCGCCCATTGGTCCAAAGCATTCCAATTGACACATTCAGTCTCCCCGTTTGAGCGCATCGCCATTCCGTCCGGATGATGTCCATTTTCTACCCATTTAGGTATATAAACTGCAATATTCGGATGGCACATGACGTCTGATCGGAGGCGCTCGATACAGTGGTTAGAGTGCTCTTTCGTCCACAGTCCCCTACCCCGTTCCTCTTCAGGAATGAGTGCCCAGTAATAATCCATGTTGATATTTCTTCGCAGGACGTCCAGACAGTGCAGACTATGCCAAACGGACATGAGGCCTAAGTATCCTCCATCTTCTAGCTCCGCCCTGTTGCTTGTGTTCTCCCCTTGTAACTTCATCTCGTCCTCTGTAATTCGGACATTTTGCCCTGCGACACTGTCAGAAATGCGTTAGATGTATCGGGCGGGCTTGCCCAAATCTGAAACTTACCAGTGAGAATTTCATTCCACAGCGCATCCAGTTCCGGACTTGGTTCTCTCTCGAACTTCGAATAATCACCTTCCTGCCATATCTTTGTATTTGAGTATTCTATCGCACTGCTCGCGGGTGCTGTATAGACGGTGAGACCATGCTCCGGATATTCAAATGAGATAGTTACTCACAATATGGGGTATTGTGATGGCGAGTTGGCTGTAGTGTCTCATACGTTACCGCGAACCTTACAGTCTCTAGGAAACAGATATAGGTTAAAGCGATCAACACCGCGATCTTGAATAGAGAATATGATGGGCGGGTTTTCTTGGCCGATGAGGTTTCTTTGTCATCCAATAGTGAGATAGTTTCTTGGTCCATGATGGTGGTCGTTGATGAGTGCTCTATGGTATTCAAAATTTGTGCGTGTATTTGTCTGAATAAATCCGGCGAGTGGTGAACAGCAAGCGTGCTCTCAATAAATAATACGAGCGAATAAGCAAGGAGGCACTAGTTTACTGAATTAAATCTCTAATTGAGTCATTAATTTGGAGAGGAAGTGTACTGATCATTCCTTTGTTGAATGTGGACGACCCAATTCAGGCTTCAATAGCCACCCAATGTGAAGGCCTACCCACATGTGCACGCAGCCACCGAACTTATGCGGAGGTAACGTTCGACGGAAATTATCGGTGAGAATATTTTGCCCTTATGTAGTAGCATGGGCAATTTCTGATCAGATTGGACTACGGTGCCTAAAGTGAGCATGGTGAACTAGACCGAGTCACGTGATTTGACCATGTATGGCGATCTGTAGGCAGCACAAATGGGATCTCAGAGCAGGAATGCAAAATGTTCTAGTATTTCTTGGTCATCGACTGTTCTTTTGTATTTTATTATCGTTGTGTGTTGGAAACAACTCTAAACTTTATCTATGTACGCAATATATTTCTAAGTATTATGAACTTATATCCTCCGTAGTGACTGAGCCCATGCTCCGGGTCGCCATACCAAAATTTGTGGCATCAAGCCGAGATGGAAAATATCTAGCTACCCTACAGCCCACCACTCCATCCAAGAGGAGAAGGAAGAATCGCCAATGATCATTTCTCCACACTCCATCTGGTCAATACACCTGCTAATACTCCTTTGCCAACTTACTTCTCGCCCTAAGCACATGTCCGTACTTGAACATAACAAACGGAATCGTACTCAACACCGCTCCGAAACAAGCCAAGATGAGTCCCGCATACTGACTTCCAACGTTATGGAAGAAAGCGTTCGCAAAAAGAGGGGTGACGGCTCCTAGAGTGTTACGCATGAACCCTTGTCCAGCGATTGCACTCGAAGAGTTTGTGCCATAGCAGTCGGCAGTATACGAATAGGTGCTCTCGAAGACAAAGAAAATTCCGAACGCAATGGGCGCAAGACCAATGACAGGTCCAACCCAGGAAAGGTATCCGTATTGTGTAAACGAATAAATGAACAGACCGATGGGTAGGAAGACAGCGCCGCACATTGCGCCATAGAGACGATGCTCAGGTACGACGTTGGTGCTGGGATCGGCGCGTAGGCGGTCATATTTACGCATTTGGAAATGGTGAGCTGCCCAGCCCAGGAAAGTTCCGACGGCAAGGGAGATGTAGGGCAGGCCGCTGACGCCTTCACTCCAACCACGTTTCTCGGTGAAAGTGATGGGGATTACCGAGAGGAAAAGGAACACTACGGCCCAGCAGAAAGCGATCCAGAGACCGAAGGCGAAGACAACAGGTTCGGTGACGAGCATGCGGATGGCTTTCACGGATGAGGCTTTCAACATGGACTTGATGTCTGGTGTGTAGATATCATCTTCTGCAACGTAGCGCTCGTCGCCAGTGGCTTTGCGAAGTTCTTTTGCGCGCTTGTGAAGCTTAGCACCTCCACGGGTTTCGGGGAAGAAGATGAAGACGGCAATGAGGAGGGGCACGTTGGCGAGTCCTTGGATACCTTCGATCCATCGCCAGCCCAGGCTTTGGTCAATGAAGCCCGCGTAGATGGGTGCGGCGACGGTGCCAAAGATAGCGATGAAGCTGAACATGGCCATGGGTCGTCCACGTTTATGAGGCTCATACATGTCGTCGAAAGTACCTCCGACCAGAATGGTGCCAACGCAACCAAACAATCCAAGTAGAAGCCGAAGTCCGATGATTGTGCCAATATCTTTTGCGAGCGCAAGACCAATGAACAAGAGCGAGAAGCACAGGAATGCTCCTGCATACACTGCCTTACGCCCTGCCAACTCGCATAGAGGAGCTAGTATCATGGGTGTGATAGCACAGGCAATGTTGAAGGTGAAAAGACCAAGCTGTCCCATGATATTGGGCACTCCAAACTCAGCGCACATACGCGTGATTCCGGAGCTATACGCGGTGGTAGCTAGACCGATGAATAGAGTCATCAAGTTCAATAGAGTAGTAATGAATCGTTTGTACCACGGGTTCCAATTGAACGGGTTCTCTCTATCGCCTGTTGCGAAAGAAAGAACGATGTAGTCCTTGCCCTCGTGGTGTACCATTTCCGTCAAGGTCAATGGCATGTCAATATCGAGTGACGTGATAGGACCGCAGTCTGAATCAATCTCTTCAGTGTTCGCATCATGGTGTTTGCCGCCCACTAGACGTCCGATAATGGGCTCGCCCTTCTCATTATGCAAGACTTCTGAATTGACAGAGCTCGTATACGGAGTTTCTTGCTCAGCGGTAGAGGTGATTGTCTCGAGAGCAGGTGCAGTTGTTGTGGCACCGGGTAGAGAGGAAGCACGAGGGGTGCCAGGGGGAGTCGGACGTCCATTTCGAGCATGAGGCGAGAAATATCCCGTGGAATTGGCTCGTGTTGCTGCCAGTGATGTCGGCCGAGTCGGGGGGGCTCGAAATGAAGGAGTGAACGACATGATGTATCAAAGGCAGAGTTTGTGGTAGGAGACGCAAGTCGCTGTTGCGATGTTTTTCAGGAAAGAACTCGACTGATCAAAAGGAGGCGACCCACGATTTTGGATCTCCCATGGGGACCGCCATTTAGGTATCAGTATAATGGCGACTTTGACCGCTCCACTTGGTCTTGAAAAAAAAAAACAAGAGTATGCTGTCTTCCACCGTAAGCCGCTATTGATAGCCTGGCCGAAACGTGGCATAGCGGTATTTACTTGCACCGACATCATAATCAGGCGTCTAGCAGCAAAAGTTTTGCAGACACGATGATGATTAAAGTGGTTCGTCTCAGCGCATGGTTCCTATTAGGAACCATGTTGAGATTGAGGCTCAAATGATCTCCACTTAGTTCGCCGGGTTCTTCGGAGACTTGTGCAAGCGCCAAACATCATCGGCATGACATCAAAAGTGGATCGGTGAACGCAAAACTTAGTTAGTATGTTCTGAAGCTGCCAGTAAAGATCAATACAGGTGTTGTAAATTGCATGGTAAGGATGGCTAACCCGGTCTTTCTTCCAATCTAGCGCCGATTCTTTCGTATTGTTATCTACCTCGTTTCATTGAGGCCAACAGTCTGGAATATTGACCGCCTCAACGAAAACGAGGTGTCACCTTAATCGTAGTCTCATAACGTGCATCGTGATTCTTATGCATATTTGACTCGTGTCAGCAGGATACTCGCACTTATGTCAGGGGACTCTCTCAACGCCCCGATTATTACCGTAGCGACAGAAGTTAGCGTATATGAAGCACTCTGGACAGCACACAAAACGACTTCCGCTCCACCGTGAAAGGTTGACAAACAGCAATGTTCATGATGTCCGAAGAGCCCATATTCGACAGAAGCGAAGGTAACAACATGATCGAATCGACGAAGTTATGAGTGGTAGCGCAGAGAGGAGCTATGATTGTTGAGATTGTCGAATGAAGCTTTGCTATCACAGAACTTCTCGCTTGGTGTTCTTGCGTCGGTTGCTAATCTCGTAGTATCTAGTGAGTCTCACGCGTGGATCCTGCGCTAACTGGATGGCGAGTTCGACAGCAGATAAGTCTCGGCGTTCGATGCGTACGACGTCTGTGTGGGTCTCCCGACTATCGGGCGGTACGAAAGCAACGACATTTGGACTTCCAAACAGAGCCGGGAGAGCTGTCTGATCCGTAACAGGACCAACTTTGACAGGGATGTAAGCAGGGTCGGATAGGTCTGCCAGATCGCGCACACAGTCATAGTCTGCCATATTTTCGGAGCTGTGTAGGAGGGCAATCCACCTGACGTATTTGGGTCACCCAAAGAAAAAGAGTAAGACCAATATAAATTTGGGTTGCTTCTTAGAAACATCCTACGATCAGCCACATAGCCCGGGTCGATAACTGCACGCGAGATTGTACGCGCGAACGCTCGAGCTACTTCACCGGGGTATCTTTGTCATTTTATTTCCGGTGAACAGTAAAGCAGAAGCTGGTGATTATCGTGTGATACCTTGTACGTCGGATCGTTGCCACTCAAAGCGCGCAAAGTATGCGAATTAGATTGTAGAATGTCACGATGAGTGTCAGACGGCAGCTCATGAGGAGCGGCGTCCCTAAAGGATTATTTGGCATCGCGCTGAACTCGCGCCACCGGTATGGCTGATATCGTTACGGTAGGGGCGAAAGGGCGAGTCATTCGGCATAGAATTCCGTCTTGCTTCACTTTGAGGAAGTCCGTGGAGACCGAAGTAAGGCTGGTGACACTCTTGTTTCGGTCTCGATTTCGTAGCGTTCTAACAAGAGCCTGATGGCCTGATACGTTATAGTGATGAGGGGTGAGGAGAATGTGATGGTTGATAATAGACCGTGGCAGATGTTCTTGTTGGTGGTGGCGTCTACGATAGGGATTTGACCAATCAGCATCGGGTATTCTCGCTCTCCCTTCCGTCATCCAATAGTTGGGCGGGCCTATTACCAGCAACAACCTGATGAATTAACGGGTATCTGCAAGAGCCGAAGAAAACTATGGGGTTCTATCAGTGAATGTTCTAAGGTAGGCAGATCTCAGAAGGTCAATATGGTCTCGTCTATTCTCTAGATGACTACGCGCAATGAGCACACTGCCGAGGCGACTCCCTGCAACGCAACTGAAAATCCCCGAAACCGATGCGCGGTACTTGTAATTTAATATATGGAGAAGTGTATACCCAAGACTTAGTTTCCTGGGGTTCAAGAGCATTGATATTGCTGCCAGTGTCGCCGATTGTTCTGTTTTGTTCTCAGCCACTCAACAATTCAGCCCAATAAATACAGCATGAACTCTATACAGTGGCTACAGAGTAACACTTTGTGTAGTTTATACCTTGCAAGCGGTAGTTCTCTGGAGGTGCAATATTCTTCCAATCCTTGGAGTCGACTGCTTGCTAAAAGCTGCCTCAATACCTCCATGATGGAGATGTTCCTCATCTGTGCAACAAGTAGCAAAGTCTACTGTTATCATGCTTCTTACTCATATCTCATCGGGTTTGGTCATCCTCGCTGCTTCAGTAGTAGGAAGTCCTACTTCGACACCTTTTAGCCTCAATCGGTATGGTCATGCACATGTATGAAGTCCCCGCAAGTAGCACCATACTGACGCTGCATAGTCGTAGCGATGGGTTTCCATACCCCTTGGATGACACAGACAAACTCGAAGAAGCGTCCTTAGCAAAATTTGAGGCTTATCTAGCCAAGAAGAATTCGACTCATGGCTGCACGCTTCAGACAGCTGCCAAACGCCAGGAGTGGTGCGTTAATCCAGGAACAGCGTTAACGCTGAACACATCTAATTATGTAGGCACGATCTGAGCATTGCACAACGAGAGGAATATATTCGCGCAGTTATATGTCTACAATCCAAACCGCCCAAAGCGAACCAAACGCAATACCCCGGTGTCATGAACCGATACGATGATTTCGTTCTTACACACGAAACGCAGGCAATGCATCTTCACTCTACAGTATGCCATACCTCTTGATACGATCTTGCATTTCTCTAACACTGGATCGTAGCCTCATCTGTTTCCCGCGCACCGCCTATATATCTGGGCTTATGAGAAGGCGCTTCGTGAGGAGTGTGGCTATACCGGCTACCAGCCAGTATGTGACTTCGCAAGATTCTTGGAATACATCCAAGCTAACATAAACAATAGTATTGGAATTGGGGACGCACAGCTGCCGACCCTGCCAACTCTGCTCTATTCAATGGTAACATGAGCTCAATGGGCGGCAACGGGGTAAAAGCAGACTACCCAGGCGTGATGACAATGGGCTTCAAAAAGCCGTACGATATCATACCACCCGATGTAGGCGGCGGATGCGTACATGAAGGGCCATTCAAAAAGTATGCAAGCCTTCTCCTCCGTCGCTTATGGTCGTTTTTGCGACAGTTCATTCTATGCTTTCACACTGACTGTACTCCAGCATGACTGTAAGCCTTGGTCCTATTGGGAAAGTCCTCACCGATATCCCCCCGAACCCGCGCGCAGATGGATACGGACATAACCCACGGTGTCTCCGTCGCGATGTGAATCGCTATGCTTCAGCGATGCTTTATGACAACTACACGTACTCGCTCATCACCGAAGCGAAAGACGTGGACATGTTCCAGAAGAATATGTTGGGTATGCCAGAGAAGAATGATTGGGGCGTTCATATGAGTGGACATTACACCATCGGTGGAGACCCTGGAGGGGTACGTCGCTATCCATACTTTATTCATCCTACTTGAACCAAGGCTAAAAAACGTTAGGACTTCTATTCATCCCCAGGAGACCCAATCTTCTGGTTTCATCACGGGATGGTCGATCGTATCTGGTGGATTTGGCAGATGCAGGACCCAGAGACGCGCATGGACGTGCTGCCAGAGAAACCAGCGCGCGATGATTTTGTTGATTTGAATTGGACTGCTGGTCGAGCTAATACGTGGGACCTTTTGGACAGTATTGGTGGAAATGGTGGGGATTTTTGTTATATTTATGTCTAGATTCAGGTAATCCTGTTTTGCGATGGTATGATATATGAGAAAATAGTCCCGCTTTTCTTTAGTGGCACGATTCTGGATCGACCTAGAGAAGAACGAGTTCGGGACTTGACGTTGTGGTTGATATGCTCCATCACCGTGCAATACGACACGAATATTTGGAGTATTCCAAAAAAAAAAATTACTATGCTACGCTTAAGTTTCGTGGTGGGATGTATGGACCCTCAGTTAATGAAAGTTCCATCATGCAGCTTGCCTGAATACAAAAACTTGCAAGGCAATGGAGAGAAAATAGAGTGAAAAATAAAGGGCTTAGTCAAGCTAGGTAAATTGATTGACTCTTGATATAATAGCATGACGATATATTAGGCAGATATTATCATATTCCCGTTAAGCTCTACAATCCTTTCCTTAACGGTTTACAGCACTGCCCGAGAGGAGTCAAGGTGAATATTAAGCTTCCACCAATCTTATTGCCATCGTGTCATGCCGTTCAACAAGCGTCGTATATTCAGTTGCAAAAATTCCCATCTGTTTGCCAGTCCACGAATCATGAACAGTATAACTGGTGTTCGCTACCAGACCAGGCACTTCCGAGAATGCGATGGTCTTGTTCTGAGCAGTATCGAGAGTGTTGAGAGCAAAGATGTGGATACCATTGGAAGATTCCCCGCTCCAGTATTCCGCTGGATGTGTTTGATTCCAGGTGAAGTCAGCATTCACACCCCATTTGTACGGTTTAGCTGGAGCTCCAAAAACCGGGTCTTGATTGAAAGCAATAAGATCTTTGTTGCTGAGAATTTCCAGTATCTCAGGCTTGATACCATCGAGAGGCGTACCGATGATGAGCGGAGACTTCAAGGCGGCCCACATGCTGAAGTGTGATCGGCTCTCTTCCAGTGTCAGGTTGCCGTTGCCGACTTCGAGCATGTCCCAGTCGGCATGACCCCAGAAGTCGGTACTGTTATAAAAGAAAGACGCATGGTTGAGGATGGGCATGATGCCCCACTGACCCTCGAATGAGCCTGTCCATAAAGGATAAATGTCTCCCCACATTCTCCAACTGTGGCCCGTTGTATTCCCCCACTCGTCGATGCGCGCGTGGCCCCATGCGCATTGGGAAAATTGGATTGTATGATTGACGGCGTCCAGTGCCTTACTCATCGTCTCATAACGCTCATATGTTTTCGAATCCGTCCAGTTGTATCCTGGCGGTGCTGGCACTGGCTTGGATTCATTGTTCTCTTCTGGACCGCCGCCTGTTTGATCCTCGGCGGGATGACCTCCCTTCCAATTTTCCGGGAACCAGCGGTAATCATCATGCCACTCTTTCGGTACGTTACAGTTATCGTACTTGAGATCTAGAACAGTCAGCTTGAACTTTCAATGGCGGTAGCACGAACAGTCGATGCCCCATTCAGCGAATGCCTTCGCATCCAACACCTCATGATTCAGAGACCCAGCATATCCTCCGCATGTCAAAGTGCCAGCGTCGCTGTAGATACCAATTTTGAGTCCTAAATTGTGTATCTTGTCCGCGGTGTGCTTGATACCTCCTGGAAACTTGTTGTAGTCGGGCTGAATTCTGCCGGTCGAGTTGTCTCGCTGATGTGTTTTGTTGCTCCAGCAGTCATCAATGTTGACGTTTTCGTATCCTAGATCCTTGAGGCCGAGTGAAACTAGCTGGCTACCCACAGTCAAGAAGACATCTTCGTTGATGTCACATCTGTACTCATTCCACGAGCTCCATCCCATTGCAGGCAACCGACCAGTCTCATTTGGCGATGTCTTTGCGAGAGCATAGCGCAACAATGTTAACGCGAGGACGCTGATGAGCATTGTCATTTTGTATTGTTTGCTCGAGGCGCAATAGCACAAGAGTGGTACGAAATCATCCCAATTCTTCTGGCGTCAGACTAGAAATTTATATTTCACTTGCAATGCTTCAGTAAGTATGTTAACCGACACGTATAGTGCTGAAGTGTTGATCGCAATAATGATTTGAGGGGCAGCATTTCCCCGCCTTGCGGCCGCCGAAAATCCCACCTGTAAAATCGTCCCGATGCATCATCTTTTAAGTCAACGTCATTCTTTACTTCGCTCACTACTAAGAAATATGTAGTGCTATTAGGCAATTCGATCTATCCATGTGTCCGCAAGTCGCTTATAGTACGCCCTGTGAAGGTTAGGCATATGGCTTTAATCTTAGCTTCTCAGTGTGCGTCCCATACAAACAAACTCACATTTTGAGAAGTTATTATCACTCTTTTAGCGAAGACATTGCAAGAAGCTATCCTAAAAGGTGAAAAGGACAAATATAGAGCGTAGCGTCATAGATAATACCCGATCATAGCGGCTCAAAATCACCAATCCGCAAACCTACCATTTCAAAGACCGATACAAGCATTCATGAAAAAACAAATAAACAATTAACATCATGTAGACTGTAACCTGATGTCGCAAAGACATCTGGCTAGGTCTGACCCATATAGTGAGTACAACCCTCCATCGCTGAACGACCATATGTCCATATCCGAACTTACCCACCACATTCTTCAAAACCATTGACATCAGACGCCTCATACGACATTACTGAGCCTGATCAAACATCTGCTCACCAAACCTAACCAATTATCTCTTAACAAGTTGTTACGCAGCAGCATATTCTCAGTGCACAGCCACCATTATCCCTCTCGTATATCCCAAAAAACTCTCAACTCAACCCCCACCAACTCATATCGCGAGTATCCAGGTAGATGACGACAGAAAAACTGCACACTATTTAAACACTCCACCGATCCATCGTGTATGCATCCAAAATTGTCAAACCTCGAGAACACTAACCGCAACAGTCTACAGATAAAGACAAACCGGGGGCGGGAGAGGATGCATGATGTACGAACGTTACCTTGACATCGTCCCGCCTACAGCCCCTGCACACACACCTTTGCACATTTACTGTGTATGTATGGGGAGAGCTACGTCACTCAGCTTCATGGCTCGAGCTAGCCTCAGCACATGAAAGACATGTATATCCCTTCACCTCCAAATATCCAGCGATATTCTCGAAGCCCGATAGAAAAAGCTGAGAAAAGTCAATCAATCCATGAAGCGCAGCATTTTAATCTTGTACGCAGGTCCTTCCCCCTCCTCCCAATTATACACACACACTTACCTACCTGCCTGTCTGATACGGCGAAGGGTAGGCACACTGCCCAATCAGGGAGGTGGCAAGATCTAAAAACGGAAAGCTAAGAGGGGGTGATTGGAGAATATCCGGAAGGATCAGGGTCTTGGACCCCACCTACGTAGAAGATGAGCAATGAGCTTGGTAGAACAAGTCCGAAGGGTGTGCGTGATGTGATGCGAACGACGTGCACTCTTGTTTTGGAAGCTGGTGAATGGGTAGATAAATGGAGGACAGGTTCTCTTGTTTCTAGATGTAGGTTTTTCAGGGTCTCACTCACACCTGCTCAAAGTCACGGATTGCCCAGGACGCAGAAGTGATTATATTGCTTTCGATATGTATATTACGGCTCTCAGCACTGTTGCGCTGCTGTCTAGCACGACCATTGCGCAGTCTCTTTCACCCCTCCACACCTCGTCGCGATGGATCCTCGACAGCAACAATGCGCGCTTCAAAATGCGTTGCATAAACTGGGCCGGACACATGGAAGCTTCGATCCCTGAAGGCTTACAACACCAACCCGTCGAATCCATCACCAAACTAGTCGCAGACTCGGGCTTCAACTGCGTGCGCCTAACCTTTAGCATCGAAATGGCACTGAACCAAGGCCAGAAAGTCGCAGACGTGTTTGGTGGGTTGGCAGCAAGGACAGGCGCGGATCCTGGTGCTGTGAGCGGGCTTTGGGATACAATTAAGGACAAGAATGGGTGGTTGGATGGTGCGACGGTGGGCGAGGCGTATGGGAAGGTGATTGATAGTTTGGGGGCGCGTGGAGTGAGGGTTATGTTGGATAACCACGTCAGCAACCCATCGTGGTGCTGCAACCTTGAAGACGGGAATGGATGGTGGGACGAAGGGTCATCGAACCCGCTGATCCAGCGTAACTCGCAGTACTTCAACATTGCGGCGTGGGAGCAGGGACTGGCGGCTATGGCGAGGTTTTCCGCTGACCACCCGGCTGTCGCTGGGATTGGGATCCGGAATGAGATCCGTGAGATTCCTGTGCTCCAGAATCGCGACTCATGGTATGATAACGTGGCGAAGGGTGCTAGAGCTATACACGATGCCAACAAGGATCTGCTTATCGCCATGGGTGGGACGCTGTCTTCCACTGACGCCAGTTTTCTGAGGACTCGTCCCTTTGACCGCTCTCCGTACGGCGACAAGGTGGTTTGGGAGTGGCATCACTATACTTTTACACCCAACTGGATCGCGTCGGGCAAGAACTGTAACTTTTGGAAGTCGCTCTCGATTGGCGCTGCTTCCGGATTTCTCATCCAGCAAGGGAGGGACTATACGGGGCCACTCTGGCTCTCCGAGTTTGGCTTCGGGCAGCTGGGTGGAGGCGACGATATCAAGAACGTATCGGATAGGGAGAGCTACGATTACATTACATGCCTGGTTGACTATATCAAGGGCAATGATGTCGATTGGGCCATCTGGGCGCTGCAAGGAAATTACTATGTCAGGGACAAGCAAGTCAATCCCGATGAAGCGTGGGGGATACTAAATGCGGACTGGAGTGCGTGGAGGAACCCAAAGGTCAAGGAGATTTTGGCGGACGTTTTCAAACAGACGCAGGGTCCATAGAGTTAAGACATTTCCAATCAAGTTGAATCGACGAGAAAGGACGGGCTTGCGATTCAAAGCCCTTTCCATTTCGATGCCAGCAACAACGCGTCCGCATGGTATCTACCATCAAATTTATCCGTTCTGGACATGCTCGGTTGCATTGCATGACTTTCAGAACGAAGGATACTGTCATTCTGTGTCTCCTTTCCAAGCCACGCTGCGCCTGTATTTCCTCGCCAGAAGACCACGCAGCGCACGTTACCGGCACCCACGATGGGAATGTCATTCTTCGATTCCTTTGTTTCCCTTTTTTTGGTGATTCCAGGCGAACTATCTTGACTATGTTGTTTGGGATAGGGGGAAGAGGGCGAAGACGGAAAGGCCTCGTCGGTATCATCGGGTCGGTCTCTCCATATTTCCACGCCCTCGAACCCGAAATTCTCGCCCAGTCGCGCCACCCGAACCGCCTGCTCTACATCCGCGACCTCCACGAGCACAACTTTAGCCTCAACTTGGGCTGCGATATTGAGGATAGGGACGTAGAAAGTGTCACCAGCATCTTGCGTGATCGTGTCGATCGTTTTTTCAGGCCAGGAAGTTGTATACGATCCTACTCCTGTCGAAATCGAGGATGGAATGGTGGAAGGGTGGGGCGGAACTAAAGCCAGCCTGGGCTCGAATCCACGGACCGAGCGTGCAGTAGTCTTTCTGTATGCGTCAGGGGAGATATAGGGCGGGTTAGAAATGACTATATCCCAGAAAGGCGGGTGCCTTGCTAGGTTCATAGCGGACATTAAGGGGAGAGGCGTATTTTCAATTTGAGGCTCGAAAGGTGAGTTGAGGATATCAGCCCACATGAAGTTTGCTAATACTTTTGCTCCTTTAGCATTGTGCCCGTCCTCTCGTTCGCCGTCATCTTTGGCCTCAGTTGTGGATGTGTTGAAGAGGTTCGAACTGCTTGGCTTTCGCTGGAATCGCCTTAGATTTTTTGTCGCAAGAGTGAGCGCATCAGTGGAAACATCCACACCCAGCATCCGGTACGATATATCGTGTCTCGTCTCCCGAAGCTCGTGCCCGAATAAGAAAGGGATACACCCGGTTCCTGTACAGAGATCCAAGACCCGGAGTTCGTTAGGCAGCGTGTTACGTGGGTCGCGTATGAGGCGGGCCAGGTGTGCGATGGTGGACGCGGTGTCTTGTCTGTCGCGCACATGTTAGCTGTGCTGTTGCAAACGGGGTACCCAGAGTATGCGCATGCCAACTTGGGCATTGAAGAATCGCGTGTATGGAATTGTCCACGTACCTGGGAACCAGAACGCCTCTTCCACATTTCAACTCCAGTTCGCCAAAGAACTCGGTGCCCAACAGGTACTGCAACGGCGTGCCCCTGCTCCTTTGTTTGACGAGATCGCGTAGCTTCGCCTCTTTAATCTTCCTCAATCGATGCTTGTCGTTGTTTGGTATCCTTTTTTTCCTTCGCGTGGATGTGTTGAGCGGGCGTGGCGCCGGCGCAAGGGGGAGCTCGTCGACATGCTCACGCAGCCAGCGCAGCTCATTAGCCGCGAGACTCAGGTCGCGACAAACTCCGAGGAGTGCGGGCAAGAGGGGGTCTTGCGCATATGCTCGCCGGACAATAGAGTTCGCGATGCGTGGCATTGAATGTGTGAAGGATCATTGCGTGTTTGTTGCGGTTGGTTGCGGGTGTGTTGGAGTGTTGGGGACTGTGGACACTGGGGGTTGGATGTTGTCGCTAAGTCGGTGGCGTACTTGACCCAGTGGTGTGGGCTACTGCGACATGCCCGCATAAAGCCAATGACTTTGAATTTGATCTCCGAAGCGCTTCCATCAAAGATTGAGGGCTGCCAAACAGCAACCGATGACATTTTCTGCTGATGCGATTCAAACGCCAATGTAGCTTTAGTACATATCTGACCCTGACGCAACAAACTACTAGGACTAAAAAAATACTCGGCCATCAACCGTTTTCGATATCAATGAAGATTCTACATCATAAGATGTAGTGTTATGTTTCTTGTCCGATAGAACAGGGGTCAAGTTCAACAAGTCCTCGTGAATGTTTGTAATACTGTAATATACTAAGTGCGAGTAGATTGAGGTAGTTTGAGTCTACAAAACTGTGCCAGCTCTCACGATCGCCATGGTCTCAAACTCCGCGCAAATAAAATATGGTAGGAGATATTGAATTCCAATAAGAAAACTCTATATTCTATTGTCTCGCTTTCCGTAGCGTGGGGTGCACAATACGTATCAATTGGTAGAAAGCAGTATGTTACTCCTACCCCTAGATAGCATTGAGTGAACATGAAGATCCGTAAAATCAGTGAGAAATCTTATTTCGAAGTGGATAGAAACTAGCTCTCTTCTACACGAAGAGATAATTCGATTCATTGTGAAAGGGCCATATCGAGCTCCCATAATCTTTCCTGCTTCCCAAATCTAAACTTCCCTCAACACCACACCAAACAAATCAACTCTCAAATCAAATCTAACTAAAGTAAGAAATCTACTAATACGCTGGCTGACCTTATTCTCATCCACGTAGCCGGACCCGACCTCCCTAAAGTCCTCAAAGATGTCTGAACGTTTTCAGTTCAGGTCACGCCTGGACAGAATCCCAGGCATCATCCACATGCTTGTCAAGCGGAAACAATCAACCATGCGTTTGTATCAACAAAGTAGGATCTATCTTGCACTATTGGATAATCAACTCGGTACTTCAAGATTGAAATGCGACCAAGCTCCTAGTCTTTTACCATGTTATGGGGCTCGGTTGCATCTAGCCCCAGATGTGTACATGCGAGGCCCACCGCCCGTCATTCGCCCCACTCCCGTTGTAGCTACCCCAGACTCTCCCCAAGCCCACCAATGATCCTAATCATATCCATCGCTGCCATCGCCCCGATGGGCAGGTCATCACTCTTGACACCTCTGTGACATTCCACTTATCCCAGCCACGTGGAACGCGATGAGAGTACCTAGCGTTGTAGGATTGTGTTCTCATGGAATTCACATCTCTAACGCCTTGTAATAGAACCCTCTCAGACTGATCATCAGGATCATGCAGAATATATAATTTTTCCACATAACAATCAACAATCTAATTCATCGTCCCCACATTCTTGCTTATTCCCATGGGAAGAGGGCGTTTTTAGTCTGTGGGGATCCCCGCGTGCCATTTACCTCTTGTGACTTGGCGAGACCCTCGGCAGATGAGTCCATGGATAAATCCTTCCGGTATCTGATTGGAGGCTATGATCTGCAATAGCTATAAAGACCCCTTGTCATGAACCACAATTTGACGAGGGGACAGCTGCCATCTTTGCTCATTCCTCAACAACATGGCGGACACTCATCGAGAATCATGGCGAGACCATATCTGGCTCTTTGTGGCTTGTGGGATCATGACCATGTCCCCGTTTCAATATGGGATTGATTTTGGGATGATTGGAGGGCTACAAGCTATGCCGGGTTTTCTCCAGGTATGAAAAGCTGCTTGGCTGTTAATGCTGTGAAGTGTTGTTGACATCGAACTTTCAGGTCTATGGCTACCGCGTGCCAATATCTGTCTCCCCAACTGGATGGAATCTGTCTCCAGAGCGACAACAGCTGATCTCGTCTCTAATGACTCTGGGCGCTTTCGCTTCTGCTACCGCTGCTGGCGTGTTTGCGAACACGCTTGGTCGCAGACACTGTCTGTTGATCGCCTGCGTCACTTGCTGCATAGCGAACGTAATCATGATGGCCACCACCGATATTATCGCACTTTACTTCGGACGCTTAATTATCGGATTCGCCAATGGATTCTTCATGACCTTCAGTCAGCTGTATATCCAGGAAAGCAGTACTGCGAAATATCGCGGATGGTTCCTCACTGTCTTCCAGTTCTTCACTTCCTTTGTAAGTGGCGTAGTTCCAGCATAGATATTCATTAGTAGCTAACACAGCAATAGGGCACGCTTATTGGAACAATCGTCGACTGGGCTACGTCAACGAGACCCGACAAAAGCGCATATTTGATTCCACTGGGTTTGATTTATATCATTCCCTTCTTCCTCGCCATCGCTATGTTCTTCGTCCCCGAATCACCTCGATGGCTCATTTTGCAAGGCCGACAAGAAGAAGGGATAAAAGCGCTGGAGTGGATGAGACCGAAAGGATTCGATTCCGCAGCTGAGGCTGCCGAGATCAAGGCTGCGATTGACAAAGAGAGAGAGCTCAAGTCTGGAGTGGGCTGGCTCGATATGTTTAGAGATCCTATAAACAGAAGGCGCACAATTCTTGCAGTCTGTGAGTATACCCCTCGTGGACACTCTTCATATATGGAGGTGTCATGCGGTCTGGCGTTCATGCGACATAACGCCGAAATATGTGTACGAGCTCAAGCTGACAACAACTAGGTGCTATTACATTGCAAGCAGCATCAGGGTCCATGTTTATCATAGCATTGTACGTATCTCCCGGCCTCAAGACCACCCACGAAACAACTTCGTCATACTGACTGCGCTCCCCTCAAAAACAGCAAAGCTTACTTCCTCCAAATGAGCCGCGTAAACAACCCATTCGCAATGTCCAACGTCCTCTCCACAATCGGCATAATCGCCATCCTAGCCAACACGCTCATAATCGTCAAATTCGGCCGTCGCCGCGTCCTCCTCATGACCGGCCTCCTCCTCTGCGGCATCCTCCAACTCATCATCGCGCTCGTCTATCTCAAAAATCCGGGAACCAAGCAAACAGGCATGATCATCGTCGCTTTGTCCTGCATCTACATGTTCTCCTACAACGGCATGATAGCGCCCTACGCCTGGCTCTCCGGCGGTGAGATCCCAACACAGCGGCTCCGCTCGCATACGTTCGGGCTCGCGGCTGCTGTTGGTTTCGCGGGGGCTTGGTTGACGACGTTCACGGCGCCGTATTTCATCAACCCGCAAGCGCTTGGTTGGGGGCCCAAGTACGGGTTCATCTGGTTTCCGTCATGCGTTATTGCTGCGGCGTGGGTCTGGTTCTTCCTTCCCGAGGTCAAGAATCGCACGCTGGAGGAGATTGACGAAATGTTCGCGGCGAAGCTTGCGCCGAGGAAGTTCAGGAAGTACCAGTGCGTTGGTGTGTTTGTGGAGCCGGAGAACCGGAAGAGTATTGAAGAGGAAAAGGATATTGAGGTTTTGAGGAATGAGAAGGTTCAGACGGAGACTGCTATTACGAAAGAGTGAGTCGGGGCTTTTGGGTGAGGAGTGTGATGGATCTCAACATCGAATGGTCATAGTAGTAATTGGGAATTGCATGCGCCCTGGAGGATTTAACATATATCGGAGGCACACATGTCTGCCCTGCATGATCGCATGAAATAAAACAGATTGCGTGATTTTTTGGATCAGAGCACGACTACTTATTATCTCACTCTCTTCTGGCATCACGTAGCCCCAATCAAGTCCAACTCGGTCATGAACTAGCCATCAAAAACCCGAGAAAAGTAAACAAGGCACATGCATAAACTAACTTTCACTCAATTTCGATAATGACAATCTACGAATTCGACCACGGACCCGAGAGCCTCTCCCACACTCTGCCCATACAAAGAGTTCCACCCGCCACCCATCTACTTATTACTATCCATAACATACTCCGCCATATCACCCAGTTCCATCTTCTCTCCTTTCCCATCAAGGGCCTCCCTAACGAACTCTCTGAATGACTTGGGCTTGAGATTGGGATACAGCTCCCTGGCATCCAAGTATCCCAGATACTTTGCATTCTCAAGCGAATTATCACCGCGAACGTATTTCGAGAACTGGTAGTCGGCGGTAGACAGCATGATGCGCTTCGTCATATCCTCTGGATTCGCTTTGTACGCTGCCCGCACCTCTTCACGGCGCTTGATTAGACTTTCGTGGGAGACCTGGGATGAAAGGCATGCGTTAGCTTCTTCTCTCTCCACTCCGCCTCCCTAACACACCCTACAACCCGATCGAATTTACCAGTAAAGAAAAGTAAAATGAAGGGGAAAAGAAAACTTACATCTCTAACCTCAACGACCTCCCCACTCTCCTCCCCCACAACCCTAAAAACACCCTCCTGATCAATCCTCTCCCCCCAACAAACAACCCACTTCCCAACTGTCCCCGCATCCTTGACAATCTCACCAACAAACCCTCCAATATCCCGTTTATCAATTAACAAATTCTCCGCTTTCCCATCCCCAAACTTATCCCCGGCATCCAACACAATCAACCCATCCAACTTCCCACTCGCGACCCGCGGCAAAGAAATCTGATACCAAAACCCGACATCGACGATCGTGTAAGGGATTTTATACTGCCACACGCGCTCGAACACGCGCTGCTTCTCGTCACGGAGCAGCATGATGTCGCCGGATGGGCAGGGCGTGGCCCACGAGCACGGGATAAAGCGCGTTAGGGGTAAGCCGGCGAGGGCGTCGATGAGGCGGAGTTCGGTGACGTGGGAGGAGAAGCCGAGGCAGGAGATTATTGTGGGGAAGGGGGAGAGGGCGGTGGTTAGGGTTGAGAGGGGTGTGGTGGTGGAGAGGTCGAGGGGGAGAAGGGGGATTTGGAGGGAGGTTAGGAAGGGGGAGGTGGGGTTTTTGGGGGTTGGAGGGCGGGTTAGACAGGTGATTTCCTGGATGGGAGGAGGAGAGGGTTGTTAGTTGGGGGTTTTATGGGAGAGTGTGTAACTTTTTGGTTTTGTTGATCGTGGAGTAGTACATGACCGTCTCTAACGTTTTCCCTCGTTCGGAGTCGAGGAATGAGAGGAGATATACTTACAATGTCTTTATCCTTGACCAGCGCCTTCACAATCTCCTTCCCCGTCAACCCCGTTCCCCCGATAATAAGAACTTTCTGGGCCATAGTTGCTCGATTCGTTCGTCTCGGTCGAAAAATGATGTACCAAAGTACAGCCTTTGATGAAGATTGAAGAGAATCTTCCTACAACAAGGAGGGATATAGAGAAAGGCAAAGCTGTGTGGCACTAGAAAAGTGACGATGGGCATTGAGCCGTCTCTTTATATATCCATATCCCGAGCTCTTCTCAAATCGCAAAACGCAAGGATAAGTATTTCAGGTATTCTGCATGCGTATCTTCATCGAGCCCACAGCATTACGCATCTCGAACTTTGCACTACGGACGAAAAACGCCCTTTGAAACTCTTTACTAATTCGTTAAGAAAGGTACTCTGCAGTTCACGCTGAGGAAATCAAAGGGCGGGAAGTATGTTGCACTCTGTTTGGGAAGGGCTAAACGAGAATGCGAGGTGGATGGATTGCGCTGATGCTGACAGATCGTGGGCGGGAGTGCAAAAATTCGATCCCCAGGGCGGTTTCTGCATACATGGTTAAGTGCAGATTGCTGAACACTGGAATCTGCGATAGTATTGCTACAATCTCTTTTTTTCCCATCAATTGACCTTGAATCTTTGAGTTCATCTCCTGCCCCCTTCACCTTTTGTTGATTTTTGCACAATTATCACGTGGAATCATTGGACAGGTAACTTCCACGCCTCTGCAAGAGAACGGAAGGATTTGGTGCCTCGAAATCTTTTATTGTTTTCTCTTTGTCTCGTGAGTGTTGTGTTATGAGGTTGTGAGTAAGTCCGACGTGCTTCCACGTCTAGCCTCCCTCCGAATGTGCGGACCAGCCTCCTAGACGGGACACCCAGTTTCTTGTTCCTTGTAATGCATACACTGTAGGCCATAGCCGAGATATCGGACCGTCTATGCGAAACAACTACATAACATGCAGCTATTATACACATATCCAGACACACAGCTACTTCATGCAGTTCCGTTCTCGCGACTCTTGGGTTTGCCTTTCAGCTTTTCAGGCAGGATTCGAATAACCAAACTCAAGCCAAGAGCCGCAACCACCAAGATGGCCCAGAAGAACTGGCCCCCGAGAATATGATATTTGACACCAGTCGCATATAAACTGGTCGATAAAGCGGGAATGATAGCCCGAAGTCCGCTCTGGAGGCCGAGCGCAATAGCGTTAAGTACACCCAAGGTCTCGGGTGAAGGCGCAATGTCGTTAACTGCTAACTGGACCGCAGCTAGAAAAAAGTATCAGTATGAAACGATCAATGTCATGAGCAATTGCTCTGATGCTTACCAAAAGCCATTGCGACTCCGCAACCAACCACGTTATTGATACCAAAGACCGTCCAAAACAGGGGCTTTAAACCGCGACGCAAGAAAAGATTGCATAGGGGATCAATGGCGAAAAAGCATGGCCATACAACGGCACTGAACTTGACAACGCCCTCAGTACCGACACGCTTGTGCAACCAGGGAAATACGACAAGAAGCCAGAGGGACTGGGCTAATCCGCCCACGCTCATAAAGGTGGCGATCCATCCAGGAGAAAGCTCGAGCCCACCAAGAGGAATAGTTGTAAACATGAATACGGGAAAGATGGCGGTGAATCCCATGGCTAGCATCATGACGTAGTTGAAGATGAAGAGGACTTGTCGGATGCCTGGATAGTTGATGAGCTCCCAGGTAGACATCGGTTCTTTGTTGGGCGTGTCCTTTGATTTCCTGACATTAAGAGTCTGCGCTGTGGTTAGCAATGCTTGGGTAAGCTTTGGAGATCGATTGAGATAAGAACGGACTTCTTTGATAAAGATAGATGAAGAGAAAGTGGCTGTCAGTGGGACCAGCGCACTGACGAAGCCGGGCAATGCATAAGGAAAGTCGTGGAAAAATTGAGCTCGACCAAACATAGAAGGGAACTTGTCTGCCGGGTGTTCAAATGCTCCGCCTACGCAAGATTAGCACGGCTGTGCGATGATTGAATGATACATACCAATGATCGGTCCAAGCAGCAGCCCTAGATTTCTTGCAAAAGCGAAATAACTGAATATTCTGGCTTGTGTCTTTGGGGTCGAGTTTTCCGAAAGCATTGTCCGAACAGTCCTTTCTAACGATTAGTATCTATAAGTGAGAAGGAAGATGGATTGTGCTCACACCACGGTACCAGCAAATACACCGGCCAGGCAGCGGAAAAGAATCATCTGCCATAGAGCGGTGCTCAATCCAAATAGCGCAGTAGTAATTGCGATCCCAAACAAGGAGATGGAGAGAACGGGTTTCCTTCCAAAGCGGTCCGAGGCCTACGAATGGGTCAGTACATTCGTATCTATGAATACGCTCGAGGAAAAAGATGCGCTCACTTTTCCCCAAAATACCATGACACACATTTGTGTGGCCGAAAACAAGCTTTCTATCAATCCAGAATAGAACCCAACATCTTCCGTATCAATCCCTCCAACATTGTTGATCATGGAATTGATATAAGGAAAAATCGAGAAGAAAGCGACTGGCTCCACAAGACTTGCATAGCTGAGCAGAAAGATCTGGAATTTGGGGATCGGGGCATCTTCATCGTTTTGTTCTGCTGGATGAATCCGCTCTTCATGGGATTGCTCGACTTCGGCAGACTGCGGGACAGGTGCAGTGATGCTGGCAGCAAGCAGAGGTGTTGTTTCATCGGGTGCAGTCACACTAGAACCTTCATCCCGGCTGCCCGGTCTCACGGAGGGGCTCATTGCTGAGGGAGAGCACCGGGTGACGTGAAAGAACGACGATGGTTGCTAGGAGAATGAGAAGAAAAGCCGACGCGCTATGCTTCCTACACCTTACTGTATTATCCTGGGATGAAAAAGATTCAAGCAATTGCGTGTATCATGTTAGCAAGTCGATGTCTCCAATAATTCAATACATTGATGGCAATTGAAGGGTGAAGGATCGCAGCTAATTGCATCGAGTTATGTCGAAATCTCTGGACTAACCCGATTAGGAAGATCCGTTCCGATCAATAAAGCAGCATGGAAAATGATGCATATTTTAATATCTCATGCACAAGAATTCACAATCATAAAAAACAGTGTGCGACCCGAAGTTTTATCATGCACAACCAGTTTGAATTGTACATGTGAGCGCCGTCACATTGCTTCCACGCGTCTATAACCGTAAATCCCATTCATCATTCATAGCCTTTACTGGATAATGCCTTTTTTGTTTCCCCCCTCAGTGGTATCCCAACCTATCAGAGACCAGATTGATGCCAAAACGCCGTTCCCATGCTGCGGAAATATGCAAATCGAATGGTGATCAAACTACCGGACTCGTTGCGCATCTGCTCTCAAAGGGTCGATCACACTGTCCACCTGTTCCATATCGGCAGCATCGAGCTTGTCTTTGGGTTTGAATTGTGAAGGCACACTCTCGACGACGGCATCGAGGGCGGGTTGGAAATTGCGTGACACGGCGGAGAGAGCGCGGACGGCTTTTTTGCGAACATCGGCATTTTCGTCCTCAGTCGCGAGCTTGACGAGATTTGGGATAGCACCGATTATGAGTAACTATGTGTGGTATTAGTATGGGTATGCGCTCTTGCATATGAGTTGTGGTAGAAGACTCACCCGCTCTTGTGCCTTGGGGTTGTTCTCCACCGCCGTGCCAGCACACCAGGCTGCCCATTTCCTGAGAACAGGCTCTTCATGATCGAGCTTTTCAATGAGTCTGGTCCAAAGCCCAAGTGCTTCCAGGTTGTTGGCATTATCGATGCCCTGGATGATCATCTCAAAGTCTTCGAACGCCACCTCCTTCTCGTCTGTGCTGATTTTGGGGTCTTCGATGGTATTCATGGCGTCTTTCATTTGCTCGGCATCCGATTTCATGCCCCCGAATAGAGCCTGTAATGCGGCGGGGTTGAGCTGGGTTTTTGCTGCTGCGGGAGCGCCGTCGGTTTGCGAGGACTCGGAATTCTCGATGCCCCAGCGCAAGATGTTGTTCATCATGGGGTCGGCCATTTTGGAAGATGTTTTGAGAGTTTTTGAAAAGAGAAAAGGGATATTCAATAGATTAATAGGTGTTGGAGTGGTGACGCGGAAGCAAGAGTTGATGCTGTTGTGCACGAAGGTATGCGGCTATGTTTTTCACTGGGATGACGCATATGGGGTTAGGCGATACTGCGATGGCAGGAGCGACATGGTTCTCGTGCCTTCCACGGGCAAATGGCTCCTCCCCAACACTTGGGCCAGTGCTCAGTCCCAATCGCTAGCTACATACATAGAAGCGCAATTATGTACGGTGCGCGTCGCTGCGATCATTGAAAGATTATCCACAGAGGGTGGAGCCTAACGAGCGGATGTGTTCGAATTGAGTTTGCTATTTTCTTCCCCCCTGATTGTACGGGCAAGCAAGCAATTGATGGGATGGGAGGATTGCATGGGCCAAGCTCGCCCCCGCCATGTCAAATGGGCGCTTGAGCTGCCCCTCACTACACGTGACCGGGCTGTGAGTGGACGAGCAGGCGAGCGGACATGACATTTTGGCGGTGAGGGTGGCTGGGGGGGCGGAAGTGGAATAGGTACATGTATGTAGTAGTAATGCAAACACTTCAATTGAGCCATCGTCCATCACACCGTTGCTGGCCACGGTTGTCGACAGTGCGTGATGAATCCACAACGGCTTCCTGTCGCCATGGAACAGGAGGGCTTTCCCAGGGCTGTCAAATCGCGTGGATTCCATGGTCCTCCAAGTCTGTTTTTACCCCGCCAAGAAGTTTATTGTGCTGCCTGGCCGGACTGCCACCAAAGCCCTCGCCCCGTCAGCGTCAATGTTAGGCCCCGGATGACTTGAAGGCACTTAGCTAAGTGATGAAGCTGTTCAATGTGGCGGATGGATGGGGAAGCTTGCGTAAACCTTCAAAATAGAACCACTGCTGGGCCGCACATGCACACACAGAGAAAAAGAGTGTGTACCATAATGCTGTAGCCTAGACGCGTGTATATAGAGACGAATTCCATGACGGTAAACATGCAATGAATGAGTGCAAACCGCAGACAAAACACTACCCACCACCGAGATCAATGTACACGGAATTGAACACTGCAGCCTCACCGTGACAACTGCCAGGTGAAAACCACATGTTCGCACTGCACAGCTCGTATACTCGGACAGTCAGCCTCGCCCTCGTTCTTCGCTGTCGTTGCTGCTTGCTTGCTTGCTTGCTGCGCATCGCTCCTACCAGCCAGGCCTGCCTGCCAGCTTGCCGCCCCGCTAACTAGAGCAAGACAGACCTGAGAGCACACGCCGCCCGCTTGTATTTAGCAGCACCCACCGACTTTCCCTTCCCACAGAACCAACCTTAACCTCACCACCTCCGCCGAACCTGTAAGTCCTGTCCTGCCCTGCCCCCGTCCGTCCACCTCGCCTCTTATCTCTTCTCCCTTGCCGACCCTCCGCCATCTCGCCGTCTCCTCTCTCTGCTCTGCAGCCCGCTCTTCCTCCTTATTGACCTCAATTCGCTGTACAGCGACACCAATCCGCATTTGCGCCCCTCCTACACCAACTCCTAATCTCGCACCCTAATCAATCACCATGGAAGGTTAGTACTCCCCGACTGCGGCCATGTTGCCATCCCCTACCGGCCAGCCATTCGCACCGTCTGTCTGGCTTCAGGTGCCGCGTGGCTGGCTCCTCAACATCTCGCTCTCCTCCATCTATGAACTTTGCTGACGCACCTTGTCCCCATCACAGAGGAAGTCGCCGCCCTCGTCATTGACAATGGGTGAGCTGTCCCCCCCGAATTTCAACTTCGCCATCCCTGCTGCTGTGGGGTCATCAGCGCTGCCAGCGCGGCTGGCATCTGCACCCTCGCCCGCGTCGAGCCGTAAACACCACATCCTCTCAGCAGCAGGCGATGGACTCCTAGATACACAATGGACATGAGCTGACTGTCGCCAGTTCGGGTATGTGCAAGGCCGGTTTCGCCGGTGACGATGCGCCTCGAGCTGTCTTCCGTAAGTACCCCGCCTCCATGCAACCCGCTCAGGGCTGTTCCCACACATTGCGATCAAGCTTTCGATGTGTTGGGTGATTTTTCATGGGCTTGCGCTAATGCTTCCACAGCCTCCATTGTCGGTCGCCCCCGTCACCATGGTATCATGATTGGTATGGGCCAGAAGGACTCGTATGTTGGTGATGAGGCACAGTCGAAGCGTGGTATCCTCACTCTGCGATACCCCATCGAGCACGGTGTGGTCACCAACTGGGACGACATGGAGAAGATTTGGCACCACACCTTCTACAACGAGCTGCGTGTGGCCCCCGAGGAGCACCCCGTCTTGCTCACCGAGGCCCCCATCAACCCCAAATCCAACCGTGAGAAGATGACCCAGATTGTCTTCGAGACCTTCAACGCCCCCGCCTTCTACGTCTCCATCCAAGCCGTTCTGTCCTTGTACGCTTCCGGTCGTACCACTGGTATCGTGCTCGACTCCGGTGACGGTGTCACCCACGTTGTCCCCATCTACGAGGGTTTCGCTCTTCCCCACGCCATTTCCCGTGTCGACATGGCTGGTCGTGATTTGACCGACTACCTCATGAAGATTCTTGCCGAGCGCGGTTACACCTTCTCCACCACGGCCGAGCGTGAAATCGTCCGTGACATCAAGGAGAAGCTCTGCTACGTCGCTTTGGACTTCGAGCAGGAGATCCAGACCGCCAGCCAGAGCTCCACTCTCGAGAAGTCCTACGAGCTTCCCGACGGTCAGGTCATCACCATCGGAAACGAGCGTTTCCGTGCCCCCGAGGCTCTCTTCCAGCCCTCTGTCTTGGGTCTCGAGAGCGGCGGTATCCACGTCACCACCTTCAACTCCATCATGAAGTGCGATGTCGATGTCAGGAAAGATCTCTACGGCAACATTGTCATGGTATGTGCTACGGAATCTGCAAGTTGAGCATTGAACTAACAGGAACAGTCTGGTGGAACCACCATGTACCCCGGTATCTCCGACCGTATGCAGAAGGAAATCACCGCCCTCGCTCCCTCTTCCATGAAGGTCAAGATCATCGCTCCCCCAGAGCGCAAGTACTCTGTCTGGATCGGTGGTTCCATTCTCGCCTCCCTCTCCACCTTCCAGCAGATGTGGATCTCAAAGCAGGAGTACGACGAGAGCGGTCCTTCGATCGTTCACCGCAAGTGCTTCTAAGGTACGTTCGATTTGGGCTGGAGCTGTTTGTGAAACAATCGCTAATCATCAATGTAGCGTGTTACAGCGTAAGGTTCGAGTTATGACGGCAAGCCTAGCAGCGCAGACATCATGTTGGCGCTCTGTGATTCTGGGATTCGCGGAAATGACGGTTGTCACCAAAATGGGAGGCGTGTAAGCGATTGGGTGATTCACTCGAGAATGAGCTTGGGCTCGTTGCGAAAGTGGAATCTGGAATTTTAAGATTGTAGCTTAGAAACTGATACTTCCACATTTTACGATTCGTTGAATGCCCGCCGTTTTTCCATTGCGTGCTATCTGGTATACATCTATCCATGCCAGAAACTCTAAGAATATTATGTCCGCCCGCTGTGAGTCCTTTTGGTATCTCCGTCGTAGCTCGTTAGTTGTGTTTTTGTTCATGATACATTCCCCATAAATAGAATGGGCTAGCCAGGTCGTTGGTCACAGCACTTCAAGTACCAAGCCTACAAGCTCACTGTACATCTCCCTCGTCGCTCCAGCTCCAGTCATACTCTTGTCCAGCCCAGTCCCAATCACCACTGTCCTCTCCTCCCTCGCATCTCTAGATTTGATTGCGCTCGCCACCTGCGTCGCTAATGTTTGGGCCAGGACATCGAGTTCCGGAATCGCGGCGCTGCCTAGGATCGTCGTGGCCGTCAGATTGTGGTTCGGAAGGAGATCAGAGGAAGGCTCGTCATCTTCTGGATTCGCAAAAGAAAATGACGTAGCGGTCGACGTTGGGTCTGGGGATGGAAGAGTAAGGGGTGTATGTGTCTATTTTTCTTGATCATTAACTCGTACCCTCTTTTTGTGTATGCTGGTGTAGGGACGAGGGACTTCTTCTAACGGAGTACAAAGTCTCCTACGAAGGGTGGAGAGTGATTGTGGTGGTCGCGGACAAAAGAAAGAAAGAGGAATATTTACCCAGTGCCCTAATCTGCCATTCTGCGAGACTGTGATGAGGATTTTGTCGCTGAAGAGTGTTCGCGTCGCTATTGTCTCAACGCCGTTGATTTGTTGTTTTGAGGATGTTTGGGTGGGGGCTGGGAAGTGGGAGGGTGTTATTGCATAGGTTTGCGCATCCGGTTGTGAAGACATTGTTGAGTGTGCAATTGGCCTTGGACGTCAAGCCTTGAACATATAACGGGAAGAGTCCGTATAAATCTTTTGGAGCTCTATGTACACTGTCTGTCTGTCATGGATGGTTAGGTGTTCTGGCGGGTCGAGGCAAGTTCTGCCGCTGTACACCGCCCTTGGGTGTCGGTCAAATCAAGCCCCGATAGGGTGGATCTTGATTGGATCCCCGCCAAAATTTCCCATCGCCTGCATCAATTCATTTTGTGGATTCGGCTGAGGGTTCTTCGAACGGGAATTTCTCTGATACCTCACTCTTTTTGTACTCGAAAGGCTTCGCGACGAAGCTCTATATATTTTCTCCCTACGGCCCTCCTTGGAGAGAATCGAAAAATTCATACACACGAAAGCTGCACAGAACCGACGCTCGTCTCCAACACGCCATGCCGAAATTCGTGCCGCGGCAGCGCAAACACAAAGTCCTCGCGCGGCAAAAGCTCAACACCGACAATGGACTAGATGTGAACAATGGAGCTGCGGGAGCGGAAGCGCAGGATGCGAATGCGCTCGAGATACTGCCGGCGCAGCAGCGGGAGCGCGAGGAGCGCAAGCAGAAGATTAAAGACGAGCTGGTGGAACAGCAGCGTGGGAAGATGAGTGGGAAGAAAAAGAAGAGATTGGATAAATACATTGTTAGTCACCTCCTCTTCCTGGATACCATCCTTCTGTCTCTAAAAGTTGCGGGTGAGTGAAGAGCTAACCTTGAAATTCTTTTCTGGTATAGGACACGAAACTCAAGAAGGAAGAGAACCTTGCACTACTGAAGAAGCTAGCTGCGCAAAAAATCGATACGAGTCTATTCCGTAGCTCGACGAAACTGGGTCGTGCCCACGATACGAAGCGAGAAACGTTGAGGCGCGCGCTTGCGGAGACGAAGGCTGGAATCGATGTGGAGAAGAATGAAAGTATTCTGCTGCAGAAGAGGAAGATACCCGAGGGCGAAGCGCCGACTCGAGACGAGGAAGAAGAGGAATCTGACGAAGACGAGGCAGCGGACGAACATGTACCGTCGGTTGCTGCACCTTCGATACGGAATAAATCGAAAAAACGGGATAGGTCGCCCTCGATGCCGGCTGAGGAGACATCTGCGGTGACATCTGTGAAGGAGGACGGGGCACAACCGCCGGCGAACCCTTTCTCAGGAGCTGGCCTGTTTGGCGGTGGGCTCAAGAGACCACTGGAGCTTGATGATGAGGGGAAGCCGATTATACAAACCAGAAAACGACGGAAAGGACCCAAACAAGCGGTGGCAGTGGAAGAAGAGGTTGAATGGGAAGGCTTCAGCTCAGATGGAGAAGATAACGAAGATGAGGATTCCGCATCCGGATCAGACCAGTCTGACGAGGAAGGTTCTCAAGACGCAGAATCGTTGTCAAATTCCGATGAGTCAGAAACGAGCTCAGGAGAAGAAAGCGACAGCGATAGCCAAACAAGCTCAGACGGGGACAGAAAGGTCGTGAGAAAGGAGCGAGCATCAGCATTCAAAGCATGGGCTACACAACAGCGGAACGAGGCTGTCGGATTCGTTCCCACCAACAACCTGACGCACGCGATGCCAGCTAAACCAGCCAACTTCACACCGCGCGCCCCCGAACAGGATCCGCTGCCTGCGGAGCTTCAATCAAATACCGCAACTGATACTACGAGGAAAGCATTCAGTGTTACGGTGGACCGAACGCCCGAGATCCAAGAAGCAAGGTTACAGCTCCCTGTAGTCGCCGAAGAACAAAAAATTATGGAAGCTATACATAACAACGACGTTGTGGTGGTGTGGGGAGCTACTGGTAGTGGAAAGACCACGCAGGTACCTCAGTTTCTGTACGAATCAGGTTATGGTGCTCCAGACGGACCGACACCAGGCATGATTGGCGTCACACAGCCGCGGCGAGTGGCTGCTGTGAGCATGGCAAAGCGTGTTGGTGACGAATTGGGAAGCGACAAGAACAAGGTGGCGCACCAGATCCGATTCGATACCACGACGAGCGCAAAAACGGCGGTCAAGTTCATGACGGATGGTGTCCTCTTGCGAGAAATATCGCAAGACTTTGTTTTGACCAAGTATTCTGCTATCGTCATCGACGAGGCACACGAGCGGAGCGTCAACACCGATATCCTAATTGGCATGCTGAGTAGGATCGTGGATCTACGAGCTGAAATGGCGCGTACAGACAAGAAGACCAAACCACTCAAGCTCATCATCATGTCTGCTACGCTGAGGATCTCGGACTTTACAGACAACAAGCGGTTGTTTCGACAAGGTCCTCCGCCGTTGATGAAGGCAGAGGGCAGGCAGTTCACTGTGACGAACCATTTCGCCCGTCGAACACAACGAGATTATGTCGAGGAGATGTTCAAGAAAGTTTGCAGGGGTCATCGCAAGCTCCCTAAAGGCGGCATGCTAGTGTTCCTTACCGGCCAGAATGAGATTGCCCAGCTATCAAAAAGACTCAAGGAGGCTTTCTCTTCGACTCAAGGGCCTGATGTTAAACTCGGCAAGGTGCAAATCTCAGCTGAGGAGGCGCCTCTCGAAGAGGAGGATCTGGAACTTCAGGAGCAAACGCAAGATTTCGAAGACGATGATGGGTCTGATTCTGACGGCTCCATAATGGGAGCAGACAACGAAGACGATGAAGAATTCGACATTGGGGAAGATGACAGCGAAGAGAAGGATACCAAAGTTCATGTGCTACCACTCTACTCACAACTTTCTACAAATCAACAGCTGCGTGTATTTGAGCCGCCGCCGGATGGGTCACGCTTGATTGTTTTGGCCACCAACGTTGCAGAAACGAGTTTGACTATTCCGGGCGTTCGCTACGTATTCGACTGTGGGAGAGCAAAGGAAAAGAAGTTTGACCGCATCACTGGCGTTCAGAGCTTTGAGATCGGCTGGATCAGTAAAGCCAGTGCCAACCAGCGTGCTGGTCGTGCCGGTCGTACAGGACCCGGTCATTGCTATCGACTTTACTCGTCTGCTGTTTTCGAGCGAGACTTTGAAGAGTACGCTGAGCCTGAGATTATGCGCACGCCGCTCGAGGGCGTTGTTCTGCAGTTGAGGAGTATGGGGGCTCCAGTTGTCAACTTTCCTTTCCCTACACCCCCCGATCGCAGCAGCCTCCAGAAAGCCGAGAATCTCCTCTCCTATCTCGGTGCTCTATCGCCAGACGGCAAAGTAACCAAACTCGGCCAAGAGCTCTCCTTATACCCGCTCAACCCGCGCTTCGCTCGCATGCTGGTTATGGGTCTCGCGCAGAATCTGGCCCCTCAGACGATAGCCCTCGTCTCTGCTCTTTCAGTTCCTGAACTCTTCGTGTCAGAGAGCAAACTCAACCTGCGGTCGCCTCCCCCAGAAGATCCAGACACGATCCGCACGGAACAAGCTAATCTCGAAGCCACGCAACGCAGCGAGCGCCGAAAAGCCTTCAATGCCGCACAAGCTAAACTCAGCATAAACGCCAACAAAAGCGACTGCATCAAGTTAAACAACGCGGTCTGCGCTTACGCCCACGAGGCCGACCCCTTCGCCTTCTGCAGCACCATGTTCCTCAATTCCAAGGCGCTTAACGAAGCAAGTCAATTGCGACAACAACTCACCTCCATCGTCCGCGCACATCGCCCTACCACATTCCCGACTGGCTACAGCCCACGCCTCCCACCACCCTCCTCCGCAACCGTCAACCTCCTCACCCAAATCTGCGCAGCTGGGTTCATCGACCACGTCGCCATGCGCGCCGACCTAGCCCCCTCTCCACCCGAACTCCCCCGCAAACCCAAAACAGCAATCGATGTCCCCTACATCACTCTCTTCCCCTCGCACATCCGTTCGTCCCCCAAATCCACAGACCCCGAATCCGCAAAATATGTCTTCCTTCACCCCTCCTCCCTCCTTAACCGCACCCCACCAGCGAAAATGCCCGGATACATTATCTACTCGCACCTCCAGCGCGCTTCTAATTCCCTTTCTAAACACCCGAAGACGAGATTTCATCCGCTCACGCCGATTACGAGACCGCAGCTTATCAACATTGCGCTTGGGACCCCATTGCTGGAGGTTTCGAAGCCGAAGGGGAAGGTTGTTGATGTGGATAAGGAGTGTAGGGAGTGTGAGGTTGAGATGGCACTGGTTGGCGGGAAAGGAGGTGGTGTTGGGTGGGGGTTGGGTGTTCGACGGGTTTTGCAGAGGAAAGATGGGATGGGGGGTTGGAGGGTTGAGAAGGTTTTGGGGTGATGTGTATAACGCTGTTCTGTGGGATAACAGTTTTTTAGAGATAGAAAGAGATGATAAAGTTTTTTTGTTCGTTATGTACAGCTCAACTGTCAACTCAGAAAGTCAAACTTTGCACAATTGTGCCAATTCGATCAGAGAAGTGTGTGCACCGTGATGGGAGAAGCGAATGAAGTAGGACTTGACTCAGTCCCGATGATACGGCTAAAGTCTCTCTTGGACTTCGATGAAGAGTTTTACATGCCAGAACAAAGATATAATTTGGTAGCAGAACGCACTCAAACGAGAAAGTCTAGTTATTAAGTCCACCTCATCACTAACTATCTATACACGAAAAAGACACAACTTCCAAACGAAAACACCCACTTCTCACTGACACGAACACGAACAAACTCACATCCTCCCCCCTTACTCAAAGGCATCTTCCTTCCATCTATCCACCCATCCATCCACCCCAACTCTACAAAACCATGAAAGCACTCATCGCAACCATCCCCACAATCCCAACCAACGACATCGAAAACCCGCGCTCAGCACCTCCCTCAAACTGACCCGGCGCACTCCCATTCGCAGGCCCGGTCGAGTTCTGCGGCGGCGCAACACTAACCCACGTAGCACCCACGGGCCCAACCAACCCAGCAGCCGTCTCGAACCCCTCCAAATCAAACACAATCCTCTCCATCACAGTGGCGTTCAGATCCTGGAAGCCCTCGGGCAGCACAAATGTTCCGTTGCCGTTGTTCGCGGGCAGCCCGTACGCGAGAAAGACGTAGCGATGGGGGGCGGAGCCCGCGGGCGGGTTGGGAGGGAGGTACGCTACTGGTTCGGAGGAAGGGGTCTTGATCCAGTGGCAGAGCGGGGAGGCGGTGCGGTTTAGATCTGCGTAGGGCGCGTCGAGGTCGAGCATTATGACGAGGGAGGCTGTTGGGGGGAAGGTGAGGGATGGGGCGGAGCGGGAGGCTGGGTGGGATGGGTCAGTGGGTTTGGGAAAATATGTGTGGAAGGGGGGGTTTACCTGGCAGTGAGAGAGCCATGCCTGGGGTTACGGTAGTGTTGGTGTAGGATACGGAGAGGGGACTGGATGAGGAGGGTTGGTAGCCCGGAGGTGTTTGCGCTGTGGTGGTGCTGGAGAGCATGGCCGCGGCGGCTATGAGGAAAGTGGAGGGCTGCATTTTTGTTGGTTGGAGAAGCGATTGTGGTTTGGATAATATGTATAGTAGGTAGAATGAATGAATGAAGGGAAATCTTGAAGATGGGTTGTCGTGCACGTTGTTCTCCTCGTTGCGACTACGCCTATTTATACCTTCTCCAACCACTGATCCATAGCGCATTCAAAACCGTGCGACTAAACTACTAGAAATTCCTATTTAGGATCCATCGTGCGTAAAGTAGACGTTTTCCTGGTGTTTAATTGGTCAAGCATTACCTCGTATGTACCGTTCTATTTCCACACATGGCAAATCTACTATTTTCTTACAATCGTATGCACTACTTGATTCAGATGGGGTCGAAACTGCATTGACATGAACACCGACCGTACGTACATCCGACCCCTTTTCTCTCATAATCCCACACTTAACTCCATGACATGATACTAGAAGTCCATTGCCTTTGACTTCTGTCGGCGATAAAAAAGGGAGTCGTTCTTTTCTCCATGGTGAGTTCCATGCCAAGTCGTGCTTAGCGGACCCCGGTATGCGTGTCGGATTCTGCGATGCGGATTTTACACGCTGGAATACGAAAACCTAGTAGAATTTGTAGTGAAGTTAAGCTTTTGCGACCCTTCCTCTGATAGACTCCTTTACTCCTGCATCGAAAGCAGGCAATATGTACAGCCTCACCGTGCATATACGAACGGAAGAGTGAGCATTGAAATGGGACTAGCGAACTTATAAGTTTTCGGCCTAGTGCTTCTCTTATATGTAATATGATTGGGTGAATATGAAGAACGCTAGCAAGATTTTCTAGATACGGTTAGGAGGTGTGAAGGCGATGACATGCTGGATCGGTGTGGGGTGGGGGCGAGGAGAGTGAGTTTTTGGGGTGCGATTAGAGTTACTGGGGGATGTAGATCGATTGGACGTCTCCGTATACTAGCTCTTAATATCATACGAGGGTTGCGCATGGCCCTGTTTTGACGTGCTTCTATTGCACACCACATGCGGCGCAGTTGTGCATGGGTCGTGTTAAGTACCTAGGTAGTTCATCCTACTTCGATCAGTCAGCTGCTCACAGAGTCAGAGTAATGGACATCAAAAAGGCTCTGTGTCAGAAAAATGATAATTCATGATCCACGCTTAAGAGAATAGACGACTGACTATATACTCAACATCCAAAAACGCGACGCTGTCATATATCGACGAACTCTTCTTCGAGCAATCAGCGTCTTCTCTTCCTCAGTACAGGAGAACTACCACGATAAAGATTAATCACGTCTGGACCTACACCACATCCTCTACTCTGGCGAATATACGGAAGGCGAAGGATAACTACTGGATTTTCAATCGAAATTACTGAAGCTGAAGCCAATCTTCGCAGGTTAGCTAATGGGCTCAGCTGTGCATTTTGTTCAGTCGATATACTAGAGGCCAGAGCGACGAAAAAACAGCTTCGCTAGCTGTTCAAATCATCAAAATGATACACGTTGTTGTTCCGGTGGTTGAGGGTCTCGAATATAGCCATTATGCGTTGGCAAGCTTTGTATAACTCGTTCGGACTACTTGAGATTTTCCGAATTATGTTCAACGATATTGGACTTTAAAAAATGCAGTAGAATCCTTCGTATTGTTCAATCTTTCTGGGGTGTAAAGATATCGTCCTACCACATCCAATGCAGAATCATTAAATCTTGATTATCAAACAGCCATTGCAATCAAATTTCCAGTCACAAGCAGAGATCAATCATAGAGTAGAAAAAACAACACTAAGCCGATGAATACAGCAAGATACTAACGACAACACATGACCCCGGTTTGAACAAGCTTTACTAAATATCTGGTTTATAGGTATATCTGGACGGGATAGAGCCAATAGTATGCCGCGGGAAGACTCACACAAACAGGTTATATGCATAAAATTACAGGTGAAGCACTTGGGCAACCAGACTAGATTTTTGACTGCATTTTTGAACGATTTGATGAAATGTTGCCTTAAGGCTGGTAAGCCTAGCTGTTCTATATACGTCTCACTGTCTCACCATTCCGTTCATTTGAGAGATCACTTGTCACAAATGTCATAGAACCTCTTAGTTGATTCTCCTGCACAATCTAGTCTAGTAGATCGAGAAAAATTTGCGACGGACTGCGCTTTTTGGATGCGTGCTGCCAGTGTAGGAACGCGATTCTAGTTCGTAGCAAGATTCAAACTCAAAATAATAAAGGTGAACTACATGATATCTGAGCTAGACTTTCTCGAGCTTTTTCGCGTGTGGATCATGCGTGAAAAGGCTTCAAGCGTATGGTATCATTACTGGACACTTGCCGCGAGAGCAGTTCTTACTACTTCTTGGTTCATCGTGTACCAGAAGACGACATTCGGCGATATTTAGATTATTATTGTCAATGAAATGAAGTATCGCGATTAATAGATCAAGCGCAGTAGAATTATCGACCATGGAACGTAAGCTAAGAAAGGTCGAGCTCACCCGCGACTACGTTGTCTGAATTTTGTACACGGAAGTCTGGTGATACAAAGCCTCCATATCATTCCGTGTCACCAAAAAGATCAGCCAGAGCTCTGAGAGGCGATGGAATGTTGTGTTCTTAACATTAAAATGATGGTTTGTGAGTCCCGGGTACATCAAAACTGAGACAATGGCTTAACAAGGCACAGTACTGTTTCTGCTTACACAAGTACTTTGCAAGGCTTCAAGAGACACCAGAGCCATCTAATATGGCTATTGAACAAGCTGGTTTGAGTAAGACTGTTGGATGAAAAGTATTGGAGATATTGCACCACATTGACGGGAAATTTGGGTAAAACATAATTTTCATTCCGACCGTGGCAACTGATTTATCTGAACGGAGAGTGTGTAAAACCCTTGGACGCATTAATTCTAGAAGCATTATTGAATCCCATATAAGACTTGTGAGCCATATAGCAGAACCTTTGCTAGTTCGTAGTAGCAGACCATCCTCTTATCGGCGGAGCAACGAAACCTAATACGCGCGACTTCTGATCATAATCTCCGCTTCCGGATGCGCAGCATCAACATCCATCAGCATCAAATTCGCAGGCCTCTTTTCCCCAACCAACTTGAAGTCGAACGCCCTCAGCAGCTTGATAAGACAGATCTTAGTGACCGCTGAGCCAAAGAACCTTCCGGGACACTGCTGTCTTCCACCTCCCATATGCATTGTAGCTGCCGACGCAGAAGTAAACTGAAGCCCGTTTTGGTCCTGCGTGGTGGGATCGAGGCGCATTTTTTCGAATCGGAAGCCATCGAAGGCCCTCGCATTCGGAAGGTATTCGTCGGACATGGACATGGCTTGGCTAGGGAAACAAATATGTGAGCCCACCGGGAGGGCAGCGCCGGAGGAAAGTTGGAATGGTTGCATGACTTTCCGATTACAAGATACTGTGGCGTAGAAGGTCAGTGATAATGGGTGTTAAAGAGTATTGGGGCTGCTTACTGAGGTGGGGAGGGTGGAAGCGGAGACTTTCCTTAGTAAAACTATCGAGTTTCCACATCTTTACCAGCAGTGCGTTGGTGATATTATCACTATCTCCAAGTACCTCGTCAATCTCCTGTCTCAAAGCTGGCGCATACTCCTCAAAATGTGTAGCTAAATCGAGAACGCAATTGTTGACGACGCCTGCGGTCAAGTGGAAGGCTCCGAAACTACTACCAACAAGACGGTGTGCCAGTTTGCTCGGCGTCATCTCGTGTTCTGGTAGGAATTGTGCGTAGTTCTCAAGCAGAATCTTGACGTCTTCCTCGCTGCTCCATTTGTTGCCGCTCTTGCGGGCATCGAGGAATTCTTTGATTGGGGGCTCAAGCACTTGATGCATTCTCCGCTTGTGTTTGAGAAGGCGATAATACTCAGGTATCAGGTAAGCCACACCCCTCAAGAAAGGCGGTACGACTCTGAGATATGTAGAGACTATGGCTACGCCAGTCTCCCATCCTATGAGAGATTCTACCCATGTAGTGTTGCGGCAAATTTCTTCACCAACAATGGTGCGTGTGGTCAACCGAAGGACAAATGGAAGCATATGCTTGTACAGAGATATCGGCGTCCATTCTGTATATCGTCAATGTTTCTTCAACCTCAGGAATGAGTCTCGCACCTTCGTAGATTGAGAAAACCTTTCCCACGGCAAAATTAGCTTCACCTGCGGCAACTTCCACCTGAGGCGGGAGTTTTGATATGTACTGCGCCTTGAAAGCGTCGAGATTGTAAGGATCGAAGTGCGTGTAGTCCATCCCCGTCCATTCACCCACAAAAAACTGTTTCACATCAGCTGGGTGCTTTGATAAGAGTGGTTTGGAAGTCATACTTCTGAAACCGAATGGGCATTGCTAAGAATTCTCTCTGGCGCGTCTTTGACCTCGTCAAGGTATTTAGCTGGTAAAACTAGAGAGAGACGATTGAGACTGGGCAATCTGAAGATTTGATCGGGATACTACAATCGTTAGATTTGGTAAGATGGAGATGATCAATGATGTAAGGTACTTTTTCAAACGCTTCATCAATGTACTTCGAACCGTCGAGGAACCATCCTAGACGGGCTCTCAATGCGGGGAATGAGTGCTGGGGTGAGTATCCAGCTAGTGGGTACTTTCCGGCATCCCCCCTCAGAATTTTGTAACTGTTGCCAACAATAGCCAATAGTGTTACAAACAACAAGCCATATACGACAGGTGAGCCGTGGCTGAGGTTTTCGAGAACATCTGGGAGGTATTCCATGGCTTTGGGGGTACGGATTAAAACTCAGAACATCATCATTAGACACATTGTATATGGAATTGGCAAAACGGTACTGTAGCTAGCTTATCTTTCGGGCGTGTGATGCATAGAAACAACCTCAGCCTGCATGCTTGCTTATGGGCTGATGTCTAAAGAATAAGCCACCTACCACGTTCCCGTGTAGAGTGACTTCGCGGATGTATCGGCGACAAGATTACTGTAAAAGGAGTATGCAAACCCAGGGTCAGTTTCACATCGGGCAAAGGGAGTAATTACCAGTTGGAGGATAGAGGGCTTGATGCCAAGATACGCCCGGCGAAAGCCATTACTACTAAGTCTGTCAATTTCGATTAGCTTTCACGCCCCACCCACGTGCGCTTCTTCCCGCACACCCGATGAGAGATAGAGACACGGGATGAGAAGACAAATACTTGCAGGAGGCGAGCATGTTCCACGAATTTCTGTTCAGTAGGGTTTTCATTCAGACTACATTTGTACTCGGGGTACTCGCCCAAGTCTAGGCCTTTCGTTCGGTGTTGGCTTGCAAGTTGCAGTCAATAGGTAGCTTTCGGCATGAGGGTGTAGAACTTGGAGATCACCCGAAACGATAAGCCAGGTTCTGGTAAGTGCATGGTTTTCTATTCACCTTGTCTACTAACGGGCCACCCCGTAGCGCCCATATAGCCACGCTCAAACCTTGAGCGGGGCGGATAGATCGTGACGACCATGTCAGAAAATAGTTCTTCCGCGTAGGAATGTATTGACCGGTAGCGCCAGCCCAACACGCCTAGTAGTATTTTTTTGTGTCCAAAAGCATTACACATTGCCCTGTTAGATCTATAGTCCGCGTCTTGAATCTACAGGGTGTAGACCAACTTTTTACCACTGACTTTGCCTGCCCGCAGCTCGTCTAGTCCTTTCAGAGCCCCTTCCAATCCTTCGCCGGTTTGATTTACGGAAAACTGTATAGGCTTGACCACCTCAGCTGCAAGCAGCCCTCTGCTTATTTCGATGAAGTTCCGCGCAAACTCCATCTCATCTGGCTTTGGGGGCACCATTTTTCCCATAAACATATATGCATCTCCGCAAGCATCGTAACCCATGGTAAAACGAGGAATGTCAACATTGCGGTTGGCTTTCCTCAATGCCGCCATGCTCTTCATGGGTAATGGGTTGACAGTGCTGTAAAAACATTTTCCAGTGTTGGTCATGGCAGCAGCGCACATCTCTGCCCCAGTCGCCATGCAGTCCCAGGAGTACTTGAGCTGGTTTTGCGTATACTTCTTGATATCCGCAGCGCAAGACGGTGAGTGGTAGTCAAAAACTGCATCAGCTCCCAAAGACTTTAGCAAATCGAAGTTGTGCGGCGATGATGTCGCAACTACCTGCAGTCCGGAAGCCTTGGCGAATTGGATTCCGTACATCCCAATTGATGTACTGGCAGCATGTATGAGAATGGGGAACGGAGATTCTGCGGGGGCGGAAGGCAGAGGAAGTCCAAGAGATTTGTACAGCGCTTGACCCTTAATTTGTCAATTCCGCGTCGCCAACCCACTCATAACTATACTCACAACTGTCACCACAGCCACTCCCATAGTAGAAGCTGCCTCAAAGCTGATATTGTCGGGAATCTGAAACTGAACCGCAGCTTTCGCTATAATCACCTGGGCGAATGCACCATTATCATGATTGGTCCGATCGCTTGTTCCGCGGCGTCAACATGTTAAATGTAGCAAGGTGGCAGAAGAGTTCTTCATTACTTACGCTCCATGAACGAATGCACCAATTCGGTCACCTTTCTTGAATGCCGTGACGTTTTGCCCAACTTCCCTGACTACTCCAGCATAGTCGCATCCGACTCGAGATCCCAAATCTGCACCCCCTCCATCAATCTTCTTCCAATCAGAAGGGTTTAGTGCAATTGCTTTCGTGTCGACAAGTACCCAGTCCGCATGAAGCTTCGGTAACGGTATTGCTTGAATACCTGCTCCCTGCCCCGGTTTCAGAACCATTATAGCTTGGGTCTCCATTTTGATCTTCTGTAAAGCCGTGAAAAAATAAATGGCTCTTTTAGTACTCACGAAGCATTTATAAAAGATCTGGCCCATGCGGAGGCCGGTCAGCTTTGCAGAAGCCTCGGTGATACCAAGGGGTCTTGCACGAACGTGGTAAAGATGTGTCTGTGCGCTCTATGCAGGTCAAGAGCACGGTCACACGTGCCCAGACCCGAGTAGTGAGCTCTCGCACATAATTTTATCCCCTGCTAGTAAGAATAGATAACGAACATTCGAATAGTTGCCATACTCCAATCATCTTGATATTTCTTCGTGTGAAAATACGCGTCGTAATCGACTTGATACCATTAAGTCTATACAGGGTAAGACGTACATAGCCATGTTAACTCTCGCACTCTCGCATACCCTTGCTTTCGCGAGTACAAGTTCAAACACGCATTAAAGCTACATTTGGGACTAGCGGGTGGCCTGTGCTGAACAGCAATAGACTGGTTGATTTAGGTAACTGTTGGATGTTTTGCTTGACTCCCCCAAGCCACCCTCATTGCTGAGGCTGAACTCCGTTCAAGCGAGTGGTTCGACCTAGACAGTTCACAGATGTATAAGACCTAGCTTTCTTGCGAGGTACCGCATCTTCACCATCGCATCTTTTGCAGACAATCAGACGAATGTCTAAATTTTCTTTGAGGAACATGGCGGGAGCTATGTGGGCTGCCACGTCCCTGGCAAATGCTGTCTGTGGAAGTGCAGTCGAGCTTGCCGCCCGACTCTCCCCAGACGCAAAGGTCTACGGTCCCAACGATTCGAACTTCGCCAGCGTGACTGCAAGGTGGTCGACCTACAGTGCACCCGGGTTTGCTTTCAGTGTAGAAGTAGCAACTGAGCAGGATGTCGCCGAGACTGTCAAGTTTGCCAATGAAAACAACACCCCCTATCTTGCTGTAAACAACGGACACGGAGCTATCATCACAGTTGGCAAGATGCAAGAGGGAATCCAAATTCATATGCGGGGACTCAACAGTGTCAAGATTGCTGATGACGGCAAGACGGCAGACTTCGGGGGCGGAATTCTTGCCAAAGAAGTCATTGACGGACTTTGGGCCAAAAACAAACAGACCGGTGGGTTGTCAAACTACTTTGCGTTGATCGAAATTCGTCTGACCTGACCTGTAGTCACCGGAAACTGCCATTGCGTATCACTCGCAGGTCCTGGGCTGGGCGGTGGTCATGGAATGTTGCAGGGACGTCACGGATTGATTTCAGACAACTTTGTCTCCCTGAAATTGGTCACTGCAGACGGTACAATCACCAAGGTTGATAAGGATCACGAACTTTGGTGGGCCATGCAGGGGGCGGGCCACAATTTCGGCATTGTCACCTCAATCACTTCGAAGATCTACGACACCAATCGCCCACTTTGGGCCTACGCATCTTTTATCTTCACTGGTGACAAGGTGGAGGAGCTCTACACCAACATCAACGAAAAGCTCTTGAAGGATGGCAACCAAGAAGTCGACATCATCAATTACTCTTACTTCACGATGGATCCTACTGTAGACCCGGTGAACGTGAGTATGCCCCAATTCTACCACTGGTTTTGCAGAGACTCTAACAGCCGTAGCCTGTGATTATGTTCTTCATTCTCCAGGAAAACGCGGTATTAGTGGACGAGAAATTCACCGCGCCTTTTACCGCTCTCGGCCCCGCCACATCCGCAGCTGGAGCTGGCGACTACAGGGACCTATCCGTATGGACAGGGAACGCCGAAAACCAGACTTTTTGTCAGAAACTCGGTTTTGCTGCCATGCGATACCCTGTTGAGCTTCAAGTATACAACGTTCCCGCGATGCGTGAAACATACGACACTTTCACTGCTGGTCTTCAAAGCACACCTGCTCTTGGGTTTTCTGTGGTACTATTTGAGGGTTACTCCACGCAAGGTGTACATGCTGTTCCCGCTCCCAGCACCGCTTATCCTTTCCGCGAGAGCAATCTTTTAGTTTCTCCTGTAATGCTGTTCCAAGAAGACACACCCGAGTTGGCCGAGACGGCCAATGCTCTTGGCACACAGCTCCGCGAGATCATTCACAAAGCCAGCGGCGAACCAAACCTTCGTGTTTATGTCAACTACGCATTAGGGAATGAGGGCCCCGAAGCATGGTATGGCGCGGAGCAGTGGCGGCAGGATAAGCTGAAAACTCTCAAGAGCAAGTATGATCCCGAAGGCAAGTTCAGCTTCTTCGCCCCGATCGCGTAAGGTGTGCCTTTTCCCACAACATGGGCAAACATAATATGCTCTTCGAATGTTGCAGACCCAATGAAACGGTGTGAAATAGAATTAGATGGCTAATTTCAAATCTGTATCTAATCGAACCCTTGCTTGAAATTTTTGCAAGTGCTCAATATCGATCCTTGTGAACCATCGTATGATCCGAAGGTCTTGATGGGGTACTTCGGTCTATGCTTGGCCCGAGCCGCGCGGGCAGGGGCATCTACTTCTACCGCCGCTGCATCGTGCTTTCTTGTTATGACGGGAAAAGACGAAGAGGGTTTCTACGGATTGCTGTAGGCATAATTTAGTCAATGGCCTACCACTATTCAATATATCAGTAGACCAAAGAAACGATGTATCAGTAGAAAACATTTATAATTCTCCTGGTTTGACGTTTGTCTCCCTTGTAGATCAACTTCTCTTCCCTATACATACAAGTACGTGATGAAGATATCACACCTGCAGGTACCTCGGCCTGGAAGTGTGGACCATGAACATACAATACAATACCCTGAGCACGGTGCGATAACATAGTGAACACCAGATTGAATTTCGCTGCAGGGCTAGGCAGGGAATGATAGGATTGAGTAATTCGGACGAGTTTATGCCCAATGTATACGAGACAGCTGTACGCAGGCTTTCTCCGCATAAGCTCGCCCCCCACTCTATTCCTTAATAGAGATTCGATCCATGACCTACATTCCATTCCCATGTGATCATGCCCAGCCAAATTTTTGTCCGTAGACTAGTGTCGTGCAGCGATTCTTACTTGGCATATTGGTGATAAGACCCCCGGGGTATGACACTATACTAGTGTATTGAGTGTATCAAGCGGCACACCATCCTAGTTAGTATTGAACCTATTTGGAGCTAAGCCCGTACTCGCAATTCGCAATCCATTACTCCCGCTTATTTTCAGGCGCATGGTATGTTCCGGACTTGCTTATGGCCTATAGGTCGTTTAAATTCTGATTCAATGTCCGTCTGAATGGAGCCCGCCGGTGAGGATTTCCACGCGAGATCTAGACGAATATGTGGAATACCAACACTCCAACCTTCCATTAATCCCAGGGATTACAGTACTTCGGGATGGATTAAAGCAATATGCATGTAAGAGCAATACGGCACACGTGTTAGATCCCAGCTGCGCCGTACGGAGGCTTATTGCACGTTGCTATTGCATGCCGTAGCGAATCTCCCCTGCCAATCTTTCTCTGCCGATATAATCAGTGGGAGATCCGCACGTTGAAGCTGATTTACGCTCTGTCCACAGCCCTCACGTCGATCTGCCGTTCACTCATTTGCCATGATTTTCGCGACAACCCTCCACCGGAACCCAGGTGCGCAGGCTGATATTGCTGTGGAAACTATCCTTCTTTTCTTTGTCTTTCTCACCCTTGGTTTGCGAATATGGTCGCGTGCAATAAAGGGCATTGGAATGCATACGAATGACTGGCTTATCATCGCTTCGACGGTATGTCAACAATTCTGGCCAGGCGCAATGCTTGAGAGGTTGCAACTCACACTGAATTAGTTTGTTCTCACTGCCCGTTACGCCACTGAATTATGCGTCATCTTCATAGGTGGGCTCGGTCTGCATCTCGTGGAAGCAATTACACTGGCCGGGCCCAACCTAGTGACTGATTTCCTGAAGGTAAGTTGAAAACAACGGTCGCAATTCAATCAAATGTGGATGAGATTCTAATTTTGCGGTATACAGATTCTATACGCCCTCGACCTGATGTGGATTACGACGTGCGCATTAACGAAGCTTTCCATCCTCTTCTTCTACACGCAGGTCTTCTACATCAACAAGAAGTTCGTGTACATCAGCTATGTTGCGATCGGCCTTTGCGCAGTATATGGAGTCTCATCCTTCTTTCACTTTGCTTTTTACTGTACACCGGTGCGTAAAAGCTGGTACCCGATGCTTGATGGCAAATGCGGGAACGACAGTGTCAAATATCTCCTATGGGGGTCGATCGACATCATCCTGGATGTGTTCATCATCGCCCTCCCGCTACCACTTTTGAGTACGCTCAAATTGCCGACCGCGAAGAAGCTAGGTTTGATTGGTGTCTTTGGATTGGGTCTTGGTATCGTCGCAATCACTGGCGTGCGGTTCAAGTTCTATGAAGAAATAGACTTTACCGATATGACGTATAGTTTGGTAAATCAAGGTATGCTGTCCGACTCAAGTCTCAGTTAAAGAGCGTGCGCTGACATACCACTTAGCGATCTTCACCGCAATGGTTCCTCTTCTTGGAATAATATCGGCGAACATTCCAACTATTCCTCCCGCACTTCAGCGAATGTTCAAGTCGCAAGTTTTCGCAACACAAAAGGGCATAAGCACAGACAATTCCTCCAGGCCCTGGTCAACAAAGAAGACCGGTGGAAGTCGAGGCGGAAGTCGCTTCGATACCGACTTCGAGAGGCTATCAGACCACGATGTGCCTTTGGTCAATATCCAGGCGGCAAACGCAGATCCGAATCTGAATGAAGGAAAGTCGCAAATTCAGGTTACGACAGATTGGCATATTCAGTCAAGCGCGGAGAGGCCCTGAGTTCGCCGATCATCTCACTTTGCCCGAAACACGAAAAAGACGGATAATAGAGTTTAGTGTAGATAATCAAATTTTTAATGTCTTTTCCATGAGGTCCGGTGCACACATTCTACATCAGGATCATGATGCTTCCAGAACAATCCTTCCTAATTTTTGTCCGATACTTCACTGTATTCTAGAATAGTGCACTGACAGTGAAAACTATATCGCATTTTCCTAATCACCCTTAGCGATGCGGCCACGTCCCGACGGGTCAACGGCGAACGAACCTGCATATGACTAAATTTTTGCCCACATGGAGTAAGCTGCGTGATTCCATTAAAATGCCTGGTACTCCAGGAGACCCACCCTACAGCTTGTGAGCTGATTCGAATGCCGCGGTTGAACATGGGTGGCACCAATAGGTGCACGGTTGCATATACTACCTAGGCATGTATGCCAAACCCGTCAATGAATTCACAAACTAAACAGTAGGGCCAGAGTATCTCGGAGTCCGAATCAAAGAGGAATCCAGCCCACATTATGATATCCGGTATGGAGCCATTATGCCCCAGACTAGGGTCGGTCGGACTCGGTCCTCCAATGCAACCCAGCGGTCCAGCCAATAAACTTTTCTAGATAGGCTGTCTATCGCCGAGCTGTCACTTTGCATCGGAAGCGAGGGACTGGTTAACGGTTTTCATCGTCTACCCTGCTGCATATTGCTGCAATGCCGCCTAGAATGCAACTCCGTGGTAACGACTTACATATACGATAATAGGTAACTATGTAGCTCACTAGGGAGACATCGCTATAAGCATCCCTGACTATTCAGCTACGTGGACGTACCTGCCGTTTTCATTTACCCTATAGCGTCAATAACGTAGTTTTCGCGCGACAAATGTATAAGCCAACCCTCATGAACTGCATCTTATGCTGATATCGTCCACGTTCTGGTGTCTCCCACTCGGCTCTATCTTTTAGTCGCGACTTGAATTAATGATTCTTTTCTTACGATAATAATATCCTCACTAGGCCCTACTCAACCATGGCACCATATATTGAAGAAGAGAGGGAAGGCAGCAATACCAACGTGAGCGATGGCGTTCCATACATTGATAACCCAGAGCTTGATGGCAACGGTACGGAACCTATTGCCATCATTGGTTTCTCTTTCAAATTCCCAGACGATGGCGACACTCCAGAGGGTTTCTGGAATATGCTGCTAGAACAAAGATATGCAGCACGGGAGTTCCCGGCCGATCGAGTTAATGTGAATGGCCATTACCGCAAAGAAAACAGGCACAACACGGTAAGTTCTGCTCTGTACTCGTCATCATTCACCACCGCTCTGTTTTCGTTGAGGAGAAACATTATCGAAAAGTCTTGGAAGTGGCGTCTTTTAACACATCCCCTCTAGATACCGATGCGGGGCGGAAATTTCCTCAAAGATAGCATCGCAGCCTTCGATGCAGATTTTTTCAACATTTCCCCGGCAGAAGCAAACGCACTGGATCCTATGCAACAAAGACTACTCGAAGTTTCTTACCATGCTTTCGAAAATGCAGGAATTCCTGCTGAAAGTGTCGCATACTCAGAAACCTCCGTCTATACTGGATGTTTCACGCACGACTACTTGCTGCAGACGATCAAAGACACTGATGATCTACCCACATACGGGGCTTATGGCATGGGTGCAGCAATGCTAGCGAACAGGATTTCACATTTCTACAATCTAATGGGACCTAGTATCGCCGTCGATTCGGCCTGCTCGAGCAGTGCTATGGCGCTAGATTTTGCCGTGCAGTCTTTGAGAACCCGATCATCCTCTATGAGCTTAGTAGCAGGCTCCAACCTTCTTTTTGGGCCTGAGACGTTTGCAATGCTTTCCAACCTCAACATGCTCTCAAAGGACAGCCGGTCTTATTCCTTCGATTCTCGCGCCAATGGTTACTCCCGCGGTGAAGGTATTGCGGTGATGCTTGTGAAGCGATTAGACGACGCGATACGCGATGGCAATACAATACGTGCTGTCATACGGGCGACCGGTGCCAATGAGGATGGGAAAACACCAGGAATAACTCAACCAAGTCAAGACGCGCAACAGCTCTTGATAAAGCAGACCTACGAAAAGGCAGGACTTTCAAGAAGTTTGACTCGATACTGCGAAGCTCATGGAACTGGAACTCCACTCGGAGATCCTTTAGAGTCGGGCGCGATTGGAAACTGTTTCCGCGATTACAGGAGTGATACAGAGCCGATGTATATTGGCTCAGTCAAGTCCAACATCGGCCACACAGAAGGTGCAAGCGGCTTGGCCGGAGTCATAAAGGCTGTTTTTGCTCTTGAGAACGGAATTATCCCCCCAAATGCCGATTTTAGGGAGATTAATCCTCGGATCGACACCGACTATCTACGTATCAAAATACCTACCGAACCTACGCCTTGGCCAACAGAAGGTCTCCGAAGGGCATCGGTAAACAGCTTTGGGTATGGCGGAGCCAATTGTCATATTGTGCTCGATGACGCCTATAACTTTCTACGATTAAGAGGCATAGTCGGAAAGCACAAAACCGCTATATGTCCACCAGGGGCTGAGTCACCAATAAATGACTTGAGCGAGGAGGATGTTTCGATTGTGGAGAATCCACCGAAGCTCATTGTAATTTCAGCAAGCGATGCAGGAGGTGCCCAGCGTCTTACGAACTCATATGGTCCTTACCTCATGAAAAAGTTCTTCGATGGCACTGCGGACACCGAATTCTTCAACTCCTTGGTATATACACTGGATAGCCACCGAAGTCGATTGTCTTACCGAACTAGCATCATTGCTCAATCAATCGAAGATCTCATGGAAATTGGATCTGAGTTGCCTCCATCCAGAAGGGCTCGATCAACGTCCCTCCAACTAGGGTTTGTGTTCACTGGACAAGGCGCTCAGTGGCACGCCATGGGAAGGGAGCTTCTAGCATATCCCATCTACAGGAAGTCAATCGAAGAGGCTAGCGCTCACCTTAATGCCATGGGATGTCCATGGTCTGCAATGGATGAGTTAAGACGAAGCAAAGAGGAATCCAAGATCGATGACCCGGAATACAGCCAAACACTATGTACAGTGGTTCAGGTCGCTCTCGTGGATCTATTGAACACGGTAAACATCAAGCCTTCCGCCGTTGTTGGTCACTCTTCGGGGGAGATTGGCGCCGCTTACGCTGGGCGATACATTTCCAAGCAAAATGCGTGGAAGATTGCATATCAGCGAGGTGTGGTAGCTGCCAAGCTGACTCGATCCACTGAACACGGGTCAGGCGCTATGATGGCGGTCGGCCTTTCCAACGAAGATGTACAGCCGCATCTCAATGGGGTTCTTGAAAAGTGCAAAGCTGAAATTGGCTTGAGAGTTGCTTGTGTGAACAGTCCTACGAGCACCACTATTGCTGGCGACGAACACCTGATCGATGCTCTTCTTTCCCATCTCAATGATCAAGACACTGGGATTTTTGCCCGCAAGCTGAGGGTACAAGTTGCCTACCACTCCCCACAAATGCAAGCGGTTTCGAACGAGTATCTCGAAAGCTTGGGGTCCCTCTTGAAGAATGCCCCGACAGCCGATACCGTCCCAATGATCTCAAGTGTGACCGGCAAACTCGTCGAAGAGAAGGAGGTGTGCAACGCCGAATATTGGGTTGCGAACATGGTCTCTCCAGTACTTTTTAGCCCTGCAGTCATGGAAATGTGTAGCAGTAAAGGGTTCGTTGACTTTTTGGTCGAACTAGGCCCACACTCTGCTTTGGAAGGCCCACTTCGAGAAATCCTAAAGAGCAAGGGCATGAAACCAGACGTCGGATACAACTCCATTCTCAAGCGGAATAAGCCCGCTGACATGACCCTTCTACACGCCGTAGGAAATCTCTGGTGCGATAATTATGATGTCGATATCCGCCGGATCAATGAGCTTGAAGCAGAGCAACCAGTGTCACGCGATATGCTGATAGATCTACCCGCCTATGAGTTTGATCATTCGCACAAATACTGGCACGAAAGTCGTCTTAGCAAGACGTACCGACTTCGAAACCATCTTCCACACGATTATCTCGGCACTCGTTGTGTAGACTGGAGCCCACTCGATGCACGCTGGCGGCTACTGCTTCGCGTGAGAGACCTTCCCTGGATCGCGGATCATATCGTCGACAATCGCAAAATTTATCCAGGAACAGGCATGCTGGTCATGGCTATAGAAGCTGCAAAGGAGCTCGCCGATCGTCAGCGCAAAGTTCTGGGCTTTGCGATACGCGACGTCGATTTATCGAGCGCTATGGAACTTGAAGGCGCAACCGAAGTCCTGGAAGTCATTACAAGTTTGAAACCCCGGGATCGTGCCGGCCGAGATGCGTCTGTGTATGACTTCGACATCATCTCGAACACGAACCCTGATTGGGTGAGAAACGTCAAAGGCTCAATTGAGATAGAGTACGAAGAAGAAGAAAAATGGAATGCCATTCAGAGAAACAGATTCGTGGAAGCTCTCACATTACGACATCAAAAAGATAGGGAAGAATGTACGGAGGCTGTCGACGAAGCACACATGTACAAGAAGCTCAAAGAGTGGGGTCTCGATTATGGTCCGTCCTTCCAAAGGGCAAGAGAGCAGTTTGTGAGCAAGGATGCGGCTGTCGCAGATATTCTGACCCTGAAGGACGAGCAATACGAGCCGCAACCTCACATTGTGCACCCCGCTACTCTGGATGCCATCGGTCATTTGTGTTTCACTGCGTACAGTGCTGGCGGGACGAAAGCAATAGCAACAGCCATGCCATCGACTATCGAGTATGCATGGATCTCTGCTCATGGACTCTCCGCGCCTAATGCAAAGTCAGTGCATACATGTTCTAAAATCGTCAAACATACACCACGTGGGTTTCAGGCAGAAGTTACTGGCGTCTCTCCGAGCGACGCAAACGAGCTATGTGTATACATGAAGGGCTGTACAATGGCGTTTATCTCCGAAGTTCGAAAAGACGCCAGCCAAGTCGAGCTACCTAATTCAGCGCAGCAATGGTTCAACATATTGCGCAAGGTTGACTTGTCCATGCTTAGCTGGGCAGAGATTGAACAGTACTTGCTTCAACACTGTGGTGAATCAGCAAAACCGCTTGATCTTGCTTGCAAATATATTGAGCTCGCGGCACATCAAAATCCAGGGTTACACGTCCTTCAAGTTGGTGCAAACACTGAGGATCAGACACAACACATATTCGACTCTGCTTTAGATCAAGAGGGGTCTGGTGTTTTGTCTTGTGCAAGCTATGACTTTTTGGAAGGGAACGAACAGACCCTCACAAATATTAAAGCTTCGTTCGCCAGGTATGGGAACAAGCTAAGCTTTTACAATTCGTCTTCGGCGGAGAAGTCGAAGCAGTATGAAATTGTAGTTGCTCTTGACATCGGCCAGGCCCAGGAAGAGATCGATGCAGTCAAAAATAGCCTAAAGTTTGATGGAAAACTTGTCGTAAGAAGCTCCGTTCAGGAAACCAATGTGCTTTCCGGATTGCTTTCCCAGCATGGATTCTCAGGCCCAACCCTCACATTCAAGTCTCATGTCGATATTGAAAATGACATCATGATTTACACGTTAGCCGCGCAGCATTGCTTCGCCCCGAGGGACAGTCAGCGGCGAGTAGTTTTTGTGGGGGATTTCACGAATGAGAACCATACGTCTTTGGTGAACGAGGTTTCAAGTCAGCTTGTGGAAAATAAGCAATACGAAATTATCCGAAAGAGTTTCGTGGAAGCATCCAAAGACACAGAAATCAAGGATAGCTTCATGATTCTGCTTTCAGATCCTGGGCACTTATGCATGGAGTCAATGACCGAAGACTCATTCTCAGCATTACAGAATATCGTATCAGCCAGCACAAAATTGCTTTGGATTTCCGACAAGGGTGCCGAGAAACTCATCGGCGGTTCTCCTGTCTCCACGATTATGGAAGGTGCCGCGCGAACACTTCGCATGGAGAACAGTAGCTTGCACATGGTGCTCTTGACATTGGAGTCGTTTGGAGAGAAAAGTGCGCGCCATGTCCTGCCTGTGTTGGAAAGCATGGCATCTCGCCCAACTGGATCCAACTACGAGCAGGACTACTTTGAAATTGACGGGAGACTATACACTGACCGCCTCATCAATTCCAATCACCTGAAAGAGGCTGCTAATGCAAGACTTGAGTCACAATACACCGAAACAGTGAAGGTTGCCGACCACGACTTCAAGTTGGAGATTTCGCAATTTGCAAAGCTTGATACTCTACATTATGTCGAGAACTCTGCTGAAAAACAACAGCTGCAGAAAGACGAAGTTGATGTTCGGGTCAGCGCGATTGCCATCGACTCGCGAGATTATAAGAAGGCAATGGGCAAGGGCAAAAACAAACATCCCCGCTACAGCAATATGTGTGCAGGTGTAGTTACCGACACTAATCACAACGGACGTTTCAATGTTGGCGATCGGGTTCTCGTCATGGGAAAAAATTGCTTCAAATCACAAGTGCGAACGCTCGACTCGCATATATTCAGGTTGCCCAACACGATCGACCCCACGCAAGCATGCGAAAGGATACCCGCACTGATGGCCATGCATTACGCGCTCACTGAACTTGGACGCTGGCGTCAAGGTGATTCAGTGCTCCTATATTCTTGCACAGGAATTCTGGGAGAGGCTGCTATTCAGGTCTGCCAACAAATAGGAGCAAAAGTATGTGCTACAGTTCACAGCGGTGAACAAAGCAACAAGCTTTACGAAAAATACCAGGTTCCTAAAACTTCAATCTATTCACATCAAACTTTTGGTATTGGGTACCGTCCAGGGTTCGGAGGAGCTGATGTTATTATCTGCCTAGACTCACCTGAAGACCACCTGGACTGGAAGTTCGCGAACAAATTTGCCCGCGTTGTCCAAGTACCGTCTGTCTCTGCTCTATCTTCCGGACCTCCAGCACTACAACTTCCCGCCAACATCACATTTAGCTTCCTAAATTTCCGACAAGTTGTAACAGAACGACCGCATTTATTGCGCAACTCCTTCAGTTCTGCTATCGAGTTTATTTCAAACTATCCCGACAGAAACCCAGTTGCCAAATTCTCAGTTTCTCGTGTTGTCGAGGCCTTCCAGCATGTTAGCGACGGAAAGAACCACGCAGTGATCAACCTCAAACCGGGAGATGAAATCACATTAACGAGAAACACGAAGAGTAAGCTCCATCTCGATCCCAATGCCACCTATGTGATATCTGGAGGGACCGGAGGCATCGGCCGAAGCATGACCCGATGGTGTGCTGAAAGAGGAGCCCGCAATCTGATCCTTCTTTCACGATCTGGCGCGAAGTCGGAAGTAGCTCAAGAACTCGTCTCATCATTAACAGCTCAAGGTGTCAATGTGGAAGCTCCAGCTTGTGATACAGCTAATGAAGGAACTTTACGTGCGGTGCTTGACGACTGTCTACTTCGCATGCCACCTATCAAAGGGTGCATGCAAGCCAGTGGAGCATACAAGGATCTCACATTTGACCGGTATGATCTAGAAGGCTGGAACACCGCCATCAAATCCAAAGCGACCTCGTCTTGGAATTTACACAAGCTTCTTCCCGCCGGAATGGATTTCTTCATCATGCTCTCGTCAGTCAGTCCAATTCTTGGAGCTATATCGATGTCCAGTTATGCAGGCGCCAATTCCTACCAAGACGGACTTGCACGCTATCGCATTGAGATGGGAGAGAAAGCCACTGCGTTTAACCCCGGTATCCTGCACGATATAGGATTTGTCACTGAGTTCACCGATGCGCAGCGAGATCGATTGGATCGTGTGGGCTACTTCATACCTACTTGGGAGGCAGAAATCAATGCTTTGTTGGATATTTTCTGCAATCCAGAAAGCCCAATGACGAGTGTTTCTCAGCAGCGCCCCATCGTCGGCATGAACACAGTCGCGCAGATGGAAGCAAACGGCTCCGAAGTTCCGTTCGAATTCAGGCAGCCGCTCTGGCAGCATACGCTATATACACCTGCCATCAACACAGATGAATCATCAGCGAACAATCAAACTGATGATGTAAAGACTGGAATCGTAAATGCGGAGTCACTGGACCAAGCAGCGGTGATTGCGACTAGCGCGCTGCGGAAGCACTTGGCTGTATTACTGTCGACACAGGAGGAAAGAGTTCAGGACGGAACGACTGTTGACTCTTTGATTGCGATCGAGCTTCGGAACTGGATAGGCAAGACTTTTAGCGCTGACGTACCTGTTTTTGAGATTGTCAGTGCTTCCACATGGGGCGCGCTCGGGACCTCGATTGCGGAGCAAGTGAGAGAAACATCATAGTTCTACGGAAGGGTCGAGAAGGCATATTTGCCTCGATATAATTATCGCATTCAACGTTTTAGATGCGACCGACATGTGAGAGGGGAGTGTCGATTTTTCAATTCCAAAATTTAGCGTTTTGGTGTAAGATGTCCAGACCAACGCGGGCGACTCGCGCGTCATAATAGCACCACACTGTATTGTAGAATATGGGGTATCTATTCACATGAGTTATTTTATATATGTTGGACAATACATGTGTATGAATCAACAGTGTTGAAAGAGAAGTTAAAGCAGATCATCATGTCACGTGACTAAGTCTTTTTTTGATTGGACATGTTCATGTATACCTATATATGTCAAGATGTCTAGCTTTATATGATAATCATGCTCGGATACCCAGTCGATAGCTTTCCCGTTGTCAAAATGATGGCATTCGAATTCATTTCGTCACTAATCACATTGACCATAGTGCTCGTTCAGATCAATGGGATTTGGATGAGATGAGGGGTGAAAAAACAAAGATCAAATCGGGATGTAATAGATACCATTAGCTAGACTCGTATCAATTCCATACTCGCGAAATGGCTGGAGTTCATTTCATAAATGGGTACACCTACTCTATTTCAATAGACCTGACAGGCATAAAGCACGTAGTATGTATGGCAGGGATCAGCTCACCGGTAAGGTAAGCTTGAAGCCTTCACCAATCACAGATAATGATCGTACTGGGGATACGAAGTTGACCGCGAACCCCTCCAAGCTTGAGTAGACCGCAAACCACGCACTTCTATCTGTCTCTATACCACACGATGCATTTCTCGTTATCCTTTCCATAGTCGCGTCGGACACTGGAATGACTTCTGGACATACCCGACTTCGACTGTCCTGCGCTGACTACCATGTCGCGTGGGTCTGCGCCCTCGCCGATGTTGAGCTATTACCTGCGCGACTGATGTTGGATGAAGAACACCCAACTCCTTCGTATAACACACACTATGACGAAAACACATACATTTGCGGATCCATCAGCGGACACGCAGTAGTTATCGCAACCTGTCCACAAGGCGAAACGGGCAACGTCAACGCCGGTCGTTTGACAGGCTCTTTATTCAAAACATTCCCTAGCATCCGAGTCGCAGTACTTGTCGGCATAGGAGGAGGCATCCCACGAACAGAAGAAGACGCTGAAGACTCCCTGAATAACATCCACCTCGGAGATGTGGTAGTAGGATGGCCTGGTGATGGAAAGCCAGCCTGTGTATATCATGATCGGGGGAGGTCCAAACCAAATGGCGAGTTTGAGATGGTGGGCACCATGCAGAGCCCTGACTGGAGATTGATAAACGCTCTCGGTATTCTAGTATCGGACCACGAACTCGAGAAAACTACGTTCGATCATCAGCTAGCGAGGTTGCGGCGTCACAAGTTGCATAGAAGGTTTGCTCACCCGGGTGTCGAACATGACCGACTCTTCAAGGCCTCGTATAGTCATGTTGGCAATAGCAAGTCCAATTGCGCAGCGTGCGACTACAGTCAGCTCGTCCAGCGGCCACAGCGAACTGAGCAGGAAGCACGTGGTATGGTCTTTCATCAAGGGCGAGTGGCCACTGGAAACTCAGTGATTCGCGATGGCAAGCTGCGAGATGACATTGGCATAAGATGTGATGGGGCGCTCTGTGTTGAGATGGAGGCAGCAGGCGTTGACGTAAACCGACGCTGTTTGGTTATTCGCGGCATCTCCGACTATGCGGACTCACATAAGAGCGACTTGTGGCAGTCGCATGCAGCTGGTAACGCAGCAGCTTTCACACGAGAGTTACTTTGCAGATTACAAACAACTGCAGTACAAGAAATGCAAGGTGTTGTCGAAGGTTAGTTATTAGCCATGAGGGTAGGCTCAAATCCTGAAAGCTTAGGTGGCACTTGCCTGCACAACTGGCCTGTGCCGAATACAGCGTACTGATAATTATTAGTAGCACCTTGGCTTGTTCCCCTCGCCAGACCGCAGTCATTCGTCGGTAGAGAGCCACAGCTGGATAAAATCGCTAAGCATATCATGTCGGAGAAGAGTAACAAGTTGTCCATATATGGCCTTGGGGGGTGTGGCAAGACCGCACTTGCCCTCGAGGTGGCGTATAGAACAAGAGAACAGCAACCTGAATGCGCGATCTTCTGGGTACCAGCAGTAAATCGAGAACATTTTGAGCAAGCATACCGAGACATCGCAGAAGCCCTACACATACCTGGCGTCTTAGACGACCAAACAGACGTGAAACAACTAGTAAAAGTAAGACTCAGCGATGAGCGCACTGCAAAGTGGCTTATGATCGTTGATAACGCGGACGACGCCCATATCCTATTCAGTAAGACAGAAAAAGACGAGTTGTGTAGGCTAATCGACTTCCTTCCACACAGCAGCAAAGGCTCTATCGTATTTACCACTCGAACAAAAAAAGTGGCAGTTGACTTGTCTGGAAACAGTCTCCTTGCCATTGGCGAACTGGAGAAAACAGAAGCGATAGAAGTGCTCAAAACACGTCTGGATGAAGAACACGAACACCAATTGGAAGACGAAACCATAGTTACCAATTTCTTGGAGACAGTCGCCTTTCTAGCTCTAGCTATTGTACAAGCAGTTGCTTTTATCAACAAAAATGGTGTCGCCTTAACCGATTACATCATACTTTACAAGTCTAGCGAGGAAGAGGCTTCTGCTCTACTAAGCAAAGAGTTTGAAGAGCAAGGAAGATACAGCGAAACCGAGAATTCAATTGCCACCACTTGGTTTGTTTCTTTCGAGCAGATCCGACGACAAGATGAACTCGCTTCTGCATACTTATGCTTTATGGCATGTGTCATTAGCAACGATATACCCAAATCTATGCTTCTCGATGAGGGTTCTGATGTGGAGCAAATAGAAGCTATTGGAACACTGAAAGCTTACGCTTTCATCTCGGAGAGACAAAACTTACGGGACCAGAATGGCTTGCAAGCAAAGCACCAAGAGAGGACGTTTGACATTCATCCTCTCGTTCATCTTGCAATACGAATTTGGATCAAAGCCTGTGGTCAATGGAGAGTATGGGTTGAGAGAACACTGGACAGATTATTAGAAATTGTCCCGTTGGGCGATCATAGCACGATACAAGTCTGGACCGCTTATCTACCTCATGCAGTTCACACTGTCAGTCAGTCCACGGATGTTCCCGATTTGGATGACGAAGGCACTGGAATATACATACTGGAACGAATCGGGTGGTGCGAGTTCGTACTAGGACGATATAGAGCTTCCGAACTTGCCAGGCGGAAGGTTGTTGAATGGAGGATGGAGGTTTTGGGTAGAGAGCATATACACACATTGACAGCCATGAACAACCTAGCCCTTACACTAGGTAGTCTAGGCAAATACCAGGAGGCGGAGACCATGCACCGAGAGACATCTACGCTGCAAAAGAAACTATTGGGAAGAGAGAATACAGAGACTATAACATGCATGAGTAATTTGGCACTGGTGCTGAGTAACTTGGGGGATTATGGAGAAGCAGAATCAATCCATCGAGAGAATGTGATATTAAGAGGGCAGGTTCTGGGGGAAAACCATCCTGATACGCTAACTAGCATGAATTGCCTCACGCACGTACTCAAAGCACAAAGGAGGTATGAAGAGGCCGAAACATTGACCCGGGAGACACTGCGATTACGAGAAAATGTATTGGGGGAAAAGCACCCCCACACACTAGCAACCCTACACAGTCTAGCATCACTGCTAGCTAAACAAAGGAAGTACGCTGGGGCTGAGCAGATGGGAAGACTGGCATACGAAGGCCTAGAGAAAGCTCTCGGGAAAGATCATCCCGATACACTGATGTGCATGAATAATCTCGCATACGCCCTCCAGAAATTGGGGAAACTTGGAGCTGCTAAGGAGATGTATCAGCTAGCCCTTGGAGGGAGGGAAAGGACTTTGGGTGATGATCACCCTTTCACAGTAACAAGTGCCTACAATCTGGGACATACGTTTAGGGAATTGGGAGATGATGCCCTAGCTGAAGAGATGTATTGGCGAGCTGTCAAGGGATACGAGAAGGCGCTAGGTGATTATCACTTTGATACACTGAACAGTGTACACAGTCTGGCATCTGCCCTCCAGGCATCAAAAAGACTTGAAGCAGCTGAATATATGTACAGGCGAGCTCTCAATGGGAAAGAGAAAACCATAGGGAAAGACCATCACAGCACGATAAGGACTGTAAGACATCTTGCCGATCTACTACGTTGTATGCATCGGTACGAAGAGGCTGTCGCGCTTTATCAACGCGCTTCTGCTGTATTGACAGTGGCAAACGGACTCGAACACTCTGAAACTCAATATTGTCTAAGCTATCAACGCGAACTCGAACACATACTACATATCCAAACGATTGATACTGGAAATAATGGCGTCGACAATGGTACGTGCGAAAGCCATTCCGCTTCACATAGAAACTAATTTGTATAGACCGCAGTCGGTCTCCAGATAGCACCAACTACGAAGAGCTTTTGGGTGAAATGGCTATAAGATGATTTAGAAAGCCCAGACTACCTCTAGAGCACCCAAGATAGACGCTAGCTTCGTGTGAACTGATGCCATCAACTTGATACCTTTTCCCGATCCAGTATCGTGAACACAATACCATAGTCTGATTGTGCTGTTGCAAAGTGTTGAATGGAATCTTTAATAGCATGTAAATTCTCTCTCCTATCCCATGCCAGTGCTCAGCCTATAGCCGACACCTGATAGATAACGGCGGAAACAGCAAATCGCGACTATCCGTTGAAAATTTGAAAGGATGATGTGTGCATTTTAACATTACAAAATACACAGTACGAGTAAAAATTCATACAGAAAAATCAACATAGCATATTGTCCAAATAGTCCATAGTCCAGATGAAATGATAGATGAGGTAGTCTACAAATCATCGCCGATCCTCACCTAGCCCCACGAAACTAATCATGCACGTCATCCTTTACACTTGAACACGTTCGGCCTGCCCTCCAACAAAAACATCGACAGCAAACCCAAACAAACAACACCAGCAGAAATGACGAATCCGTTATTCTTCGTCATTCCGAATTTCACATTCAAAAATGGCACCAAACTCCCCAGCGTCAAGCTGGCCTACCTAGACATCAACCCCACGGCCCCCAAAACCGCCTTAATCTCCACGTGCTTCAAAGGCAGACTCAACACCACCTTGACATTCGCCAACGGCGCCTTCAAAAACCACAGAATCATTCTCGTTGCGCTCTTCGGCAATGGAGAGTCCTCCAGCCCGTCCAACACGTCTGACTTCCCCGCCTCGCTTGCCTACGAAGATTGCGTGCGCGCACAATATCTACTCTTAACCAAGGAATTGGGAATCAATGAGCTCGATGTAGTGTGCGGGTTTTCTATGGGCGGGCAGATGGCGTATCATTGGGCTGCTTTGTATCCGAAATTTGTGAGGCGGGCTGTTGTGATTTGTTCGTCTGCGCGAACGAGCAAGCATAACTATCAGTTCCTAGAGGGACCTAGGGTGGCTTTGGAGTTTGGAGTGGATTATGCGGATGCGAAGAAAAGTATGGTGAGGAAGAGAGACGGGGGGGATAATGAAGTTGGAGAGAAAGAGGTGCCTAGATGTGTACAGGCTTTCGGAAAGGCGTATTCGGCATGGTTGACGAGTGCGGAGTGGTTTGACGAGGAATTGTATAAAAGCTTGGGGGCTGAGACACTTGAAGAGTGGGATCTTCAGGCTAGTAAGGAGGGCTATGTGGGGTGGGAGGTTGACGATCTACTTGCTTTGCTGGGGATGTGGCAGCGTGGGGATATCAGCTGTGGTGGAAATCTCGAGGATGCTCTGACAAAACTTGAAGCGGAGGTGTTGTTGATGCCGTGTGAAACGGATCAGTATTTCAGGCCAGGGCCAAACAAACGAGAGGCGAAGAGCTTGAAGAATGCACAAGTAGCTGTCATTCCATCTGTCTGGGGGCATATTGCGGGAGGAGGCTCGAACAGTACTGATACGCAATGGATGGACAACAGGATATCGGAGTTTCTCAATAGATAGCTAAAAATGATTGTGGCAGGGTGTGAGATCCCGTTCAATGATTTGAGGTCACTCGTTGCGCAAACAGATTTCATCATTCTTTGTCTAAAGGATAACAATGCTCAAAAATCCAGTCTCCAGAACTTTTCCAACCCGTTGGTCTATCTAGAACAGAAACCCAAACGCCATCAATCAAGGTCATTTTGAAGTAAAAGAAACCAAATTCAAGCACTCATTGAAATTTTGAGGCGCTGGCGATCGATGAGATCTGGCACAACACAGTACAAAAAACACAGTGAATTGCCCTAGAACTTGAGCAATTACACATTTCCAAGCATTCTATCTCTGCCAATTCCCCTTGTAAGCATTCTTCCTCGAGCTTCTTCTAGCAGGCGACTCAGCAGACAAAGATCGCCGAGCCTTGCGGGGATGAGGTGTCACTATACGCTGCGAAAGTTTGGGATTTACTCTACGCGATGCTGTCAAATCTTTCGAGGATTTAGATCGTGGAACGCGTGGGGTATCGTCGGGAAGGGCGGGAAATAAAACCGGCGGAACGGGAGGCTGTTCTCTATCATCTTCATCTTCTTCCGCGACCTCTAGCTCTAGTCGATGATAAGCTCGTTTTTCCTCGTGATATCCGGTTTCTTCCTGTTTGATTTCGATATTCTCTTTCTCCTCATCTTTGGCATTTTCCGGTCCAGTTTCGTTCTGCTCCTCCTTGTCTTCGGTCTCTTCCTGCTCAATCTCGTCGTGCTCTTTGCTAGGCGATTGCTCGCTCGCGTGGGTTGAGGACCTATCGCGACGCGCAAGAAAAAATCTAGCAATACTATGCTGATGCTTTGCGGTCTTACCCGAGTTTGTGGCACCGTAAAACTTACGTGTACCAGCAACGCGGTACTGCGTCTTTGTCTCATCCACGCTGCTCACATCGGAGCTGCCCTCAAAGACAGGTGAGAGATTTGTACCGACAATTAAGTTTCCAGATGCTCGAGCAAGAGCGGTGGGTGGTGTTGATGGGAATGGGTTCTTTGGCTTGACCGCCTGTGGGCGTTTTATTCCGAGGAGTCGATTCCGGCGATCTTCTATATCCGAAGCTAATGCGTTGAAGGAATCCTCAACGGCACGATCAACGAGTGGCTGACGGCGGGCAGCCAGAGGGGATGCTTCTTCTGATGAAGAAGAGTAATCATCGTAACTGAAACCGTAGGTTCCTGGAGATGGGACGGTCTCGGTTTTTTTAGGGAGCATTGGTGCTCCAACTTGAGGGTGGCTTGTTTCTTGGTTGGACAGCGATTGAAGGCGAGGATACTGTACTCCTGAAATAGGTCTATCAGCTTCCAGGATTTCGTATTGGGCATATGGCTGTGGCTCACGTTCGACTCCATTGTCGGGGGAAACCGGACTGCGAATTTGGCGAGGCTCAGTCGGGCTGGACTCGGGAAGTGGTGACAAATCAGGAGCATCAGGCATGCTGATGTCGACGTCTTCTTCTTCAACTTCTTCCTCGTCGGGTGATGTTCTCTGTCTCTTTCTGCTTTTCTCCACGGCTAATACTGCACTTCTTTTCAGCCTGCTCTGCACGGCCTCTTTTCCCGCTTCAGTGATGATCTTTGCACCAACGAAAGCATCGATGTCTTTCTGCAATTTAGCTAGAAGCTCATCAGGCTTATCCAGAAGCGCCTGCAGCTCTTTGCTCATCAGGACCTTCTGGACAGCGAAGGCAATAACCATTTGAATCCTCTTTCGGTTGTCGTAGATCCGATACATCTGGTAAAAGAAACAGCCAGCGCCAAAACCAGCGCCAACTACGCCACTTATAGGATAGCGGTAGTCCTGGGGCATCTTGACGAATGACGCCCATGAGGTAAGATTTTTTGGCAGTGGGATGTAGTTCAAAATGTGAGATGTTAGAGAGCGGGCGATTGCGTGATTTGGGAAAGGAGTCGAATAGGTTCCAGGAAAATGAATACTAGTCTTTACGATCTTGGTCACTTGCTGTTCGATTGTATTAGCAGTGACTGTTGGGATTTCTCGCGCTGCCAGTGCCCAATGCGGATCGTTCCAGGCCATGGTGAATAAAAAAGGAGCTGCCGCTGGGGGATGTGTGTGTGTGTGTTTCGTGGTCTGATCGTGGATGTAAGTGCATGCAATGATGCGTTCTGCTTGCAAATATCGGCAGACTTGACTCCTTTGCAGTACAGATATCGATACCCGGTAGCGCAGATCTCGAGTTGAGATATTCGTACTTAACGTTTATGCCAGTTCTTGTCGATTGTGATGTTCTCGCAACCACAAATCGAGCCGTGTATCGTCCGTTATGCCGACGTGCCTTGTGAGGCCGCTCCTAGTAGAACGCAGCTGCGAGTGGGCTGACCCGAGTCGAGAGACACTAGTGAATGATGCTGTCTTGGTGCAAAGAACAATAAGATTGGCTGATAGTTGAGAGATAGAAACGGATGATTCGTCCTGGTGGGTGTTGAAGCAAAAGTCTCAGCTGGCGTGGTTGAGTGTCTCGAGTGAACTGAATCAACAGGGGAGAGATAAATCTGTAGGAATAAAGGTGTTTGCTGAGGTAACACCGGGATTACTCCAGACCTATCAGAGCTTATAGTTCATTCACTTTCTGTGGTCGAGCTGGAATTATCCAACGGTAGGGCAGTGATTGCAGGGTGCATAGCAACGGTGCACAGCAACAATCGGCCATTCATTCTGAATCCTCCTGTATTGCATGCCAATTGGTTACAACTTGCTACTAGTATATATTTCTAAAATCGATAGCATAGGAAAATGATGGCTTACTTCATCAGGAAGTACGGCAATCGAGCAGTGTTGTTTGATTCGTAGAGTCAGTATTTGCTCTTCCAATCCGAGTCATATAAAAACGCAGCCTGGGTGACGGAGGACAATAAAAAGGCAAATCCGGGCTTCAGATAGGCAACGGAGAATATTTTCTCCCTCTTGCAAACGCTGTGTCCCCGCGCACGCCAACAATACAAACGCCTTCCACCAAACACTCAATTCCGCCGTCTTCTGCCCTTACAACAACACTGCTGCTGTCAACTATCCTCACTCAAGAATTCGACTTCCAAGTACGAACATACGAACATCCAGTGCTTTATACCCTACTTGCAGACACAGACTGTCTTTCATTACTCTCTTTGATACCACAGTGCCATCTCCTTCGACGAGTCCGCTACAATGAGCAACTGGTCCACCACGCACATCGTTCGCCCGTCTGGGCTGGACATCATGCCCAACACCCTCATCCCCTCCGCCTTCAGTACGTCCACCATCTGGAAGACAGCAACCTCCACCTCCACCATCATGCACGATGTCACCAAGACAGCGTCAAGAATCGCCACAACCACCCTCACCAAAACCATCATGGGCACCACAACAACCACCCTCGCCACGACAATCACAAAAACCAAGACCATAATCAATGGCACCGCAATCCCCACCTCAATCTACGAAGCACTCGTCGAAGCCGTCCAAGCCCCCGGTCAAATCCCTCTTCCCGCAATCAACTGGGCCATCGGCGCCGTTCTCATGGGCAGCGGTCTCGGGCTCGCCGGCTACCTAGGAACCATATACGGCCGCCGCACCGCACAGAACAACCCATCATCTCGCGCGGAAGCCCTCGCACGCGTCAGCACCGTCCTCGCCGAAGACGAGACCCTCCGACAAGGCCTCGAAGCCGCCCGCCCTCCAATCCGCCACATCATCCCCGCATCTTCGTCGTCGTCGTCGTCAAACCCACGCAAGCGAAAAGCATCCCACGAACAAGACGAAATCGATCCACAGTCTCCCACCCCCCAACCACCATCCCGCAACACACCTCCTCGCCGTGGCATCCAGCATCTCTGGACCACCTTCACAACAACGCTATTCCGCCGCCAACCCGCGGATCCCGCACCTGAGGCTCCGCCGACGAGCAAACGCCGTCGTATATCCCGCCCGATTTCCCGTTCTCCCCTTCCCGCGGATACACCATCCACCTATGCTACAGCGGTATACAGCGGCTTCCCGGATATGGACACCCCCGAGCGGAAACTGATCCGCGAAGCGGTCGGGATCCAGCGCTCTCCTGCGCCCGTTCGGATCCTGCTCCCCCGTGCGGAGACGCAGAGGCTGGATTTCGAGACCATGCCGGTCTTGCAGCCGCAGCCGCATCCGGATACGCCTGTGCAGTCTGTGGAGGGGCCGGGGGAGGAGATGGCTGGGGAGAGGAAGAGGAGGAGTAAGAGGGCGAGGGGGTCGAAGAGTGTTGGGGTTGAGGAGGAGGAGGAGAGGAGGAGGAGTCCGAGATTGGCTGTGCCCAAGGGCCAGACGGGGACGAGATGGAGTGCTGGGTTGTGAGTTTGGAGAAGGAGTTTGAGATTGTTTTTTTTCGGGTGGGTTTTGGGAAGAATAACTCGAGATATTGGTCGGGTGGATTACTTCTTTTCTTCAAGGTTACTTTGTATATTATGTACCAATGAATACCCCAGCTTCACTATTGTGATCATGCGATTTGAGATGCGTGGATGAGTGTAGAGGAGCCTTGATTTCGACCTGCCACTCAATGAAATAGATGTACAGCAGACAATGGGTATGGAGGAGGAATAGCTCGCTGAAACATACTGATACAATAAACATGTCGTCATCATCATCATGCCTCTCCGCCATTACTATCCTCATTTCTCGCCTGTTTCGCCTTCTTCGCCCTTTCTTCTGCCGCTCTCGCCAACACATCCCTTCTACTCAAGTTCCCTGCATGTATAGTTCCCCCAGCACTACTCACCACCGTGTCCCCGCTACTCCCCAACACGAACTCACCCCCGGTCCAGCCGCCATGATCGTAGACCTCTTCCGGCGCATCAGCGTACTCTTCATCGCCCACAGTCCTCCCGCCGCTTTTCCAATCATCTCTAGCGACCTCCCTCTCGATCTGCTTACACAGATCCCAGAAGTTCCGATCATGAGGACCCCAGACGTTGTGAGCAAGTTCATGACAGAGCGTGTTCCGAATAGTTTTGTAATCCCTATATCCGTCATACGCATCTGTCCGCAACCGCAGTTCGATGACCTCGCCACGATTGCGGTTCAGACCCAGTGTACGAGACTCCTGTGTAGTATGCATAGCAGGATCCATCTCAGTCAGCAAAGGCACGCTGAACTTATGCGTCCGCATCGCCGCCTTAATGCCAGCATCATCGCGCAGCCTCTCCAAGAATCTCAGACTACGATCGGGATTTGGGAGATACGGTAAGGGACGCAGTGTGTGGAAAGTGTACTGTGCCTCATCCTGCACTTTCTTCCAGTCTCTATTCCGTGCTGGGGTGGCCGCCTTTACGGGACCTGGACGACGAGGCGCAGAGGCTGCGGTTATGGTGGCGTTAAGAGAGGAGACTTCGGCCGTCGTGCTACCCATAAGTGTTATCTTCTTCGCGACGAGCGATGAGAGTGGCAGTGTAGGATCTTTGAAAGGAGGCTTCAGCAGGCCGATCTTTGGATTCACGAGGTATTTCTGGTTGGAGGAGGGTATGGAGAGGTCGGAAGCGACGCGCGACGAGAGGTCGGATATTGTGGCGTCCTCGGGGAAAGATAGTGTGATGGGTTGACCATGATGCGTGATGGTGAGGACAAGCTCATCTGTTTGATCGGCCATGATCAGATTGCTGAGGGTCGTTCGGATATGTCACGTTGAAACTGTCTCTGTATTGTGAGTGGAGAAGTTAGTAGAGAGATCAAGATGAGCGCTATGCAGCGTTGCTGATATGTCCGGAGTGATGACGACTTTCGCAGTGGTTCCACGAACGTCGCCCTGCATTTGTAATCGCGCTAGCGCGCCTCACGTGTGATCGCCTCAACATTCAAATGTTGAACGTTGAGGCGGTAATGCTGGAGGCCATTCGCTGAGCATCAGTAACATGTGAATTTTATCACGAAGTAGCCTGGCAGGCAATGCGACGAATAAGTTCCATATTCAATGTTATATTGCAGAATGTATACCGAAGTATGTATATACAGATAGACGGCCTATCATGCAGACCCCGTCCGAGATAGCCATAGATACGAATGCCCTCAATCCAACACAGCAAGGGTATCAATACACCGCACCGAATGCTACACTCCAAAGGGGCATCTGACCAGAGAGCCGCGATCGTATCCAAAATGCCGTTCCAGAATCCAAGAAGTGAAATGAAGAAGATCAAAAGGAGAAACGCCGACAAATGCTCAACGCCAATCGCTGTGTATCCAAACCCAAAATGCAACAAAAACGCCCTTGATGCCATGCTGACCGAAGAGATTCTATTCTCCGTTGGCCTTTTTGTTCTTCAGCTCTTCTTCTTCGGCCTTTTTGCGGGCCTCCTCCTCCTCCTTTTGTTTACGCTCGGCTGCCTCGCGCTCTTCTTGGATCCGTTTGGGTGTTTTTTGCCACAGCTTGTCTTGCACATTCCATGCGTGTCTAAGCCTGTCAGTATGATGCTAGAGAGGGTATACAATAGAGACAACTCACCCCTCGAATTCGGTAACGATTAGTGCCTTCTCTTGATACTCCTGTATCAGGATCTTGTCGTAAGAGTACGGCACTCTGGCGGGAACACCCTCGAAGGTTGTCTCGCGCATAGGGTATAATTCCTCGGTTTGATATCTGTGGTAGTTTTTGCAGACCCACTGGCCCGGATTTGTGTCTGGATGGGTCTCGCTGAGGCCGGTGATATCGATGTACAAGCCGTTGGTGACATCGATCCATCGCGCATCGATGATGTTCATACCATCGCCGCGCTCCCGCTCCCAGATCATAGTGTTGACGTCAAGAAGGTATTCGCGTGGCGCTGAGCCGTCTTCTGGTACGTACTTGGACCGTGTTTGGTTGAATTTGTCGCCCATGACTTGAAGTGTCGCGCCCGATACTTGTGTGTCCAGATCCCAATCCCATGGTAACCGCTATAAATCGTTAGCATTGAGCATGCAGCCTGCAGAAAAGGCGCACTCACCATTCCGTTCCACCACCAACCCAACAAGGTTCCGTGTGCTAGCCATGTGTCGAGGTCGTTCTCGCGGAAGAAATTGAGGTATGCGCGGACCATGTGAATTTGCGTTTGCGTTCGTTCTTCGTCTGAGACAATAGCATGATAGAAGCGAGCGTCGTAATGAGCCATGATAATACTGTCTCTGCTCGATGTTAATATTGGTTCAACTGCAGGTGCGCAAAGGATGGAAAGAATTGTTGCGAGATGGGACGGAAAGACAAATAATTCCGGGGCACTTACCCAGGTTCATGGAAATACTTGAGCGCTTGCTGTTGTTCTTTGCTCAAATCTCTCTTCACAGGCGAAGCTCCTGCGAAGCGCACCATGGATGCCGCCGCGACGAGCGCTGCGCATATAGAGAACCTCATTGTTTGTACTGGCAGGTTGGAAGAAGAATGAGATTGGTGGATCGGATTGCGGTACGGCTGGAATATATGAATAGTGTGTCGGTTGAGTATGATATCTACTACCGTCGATATTATACAGCGAATACTGAGATTCCGGATTGGCGATGCTGAAAGAGAGGAATGCAATGGTCTAAGATGTTTTTTGACGTCTTTGCCGCTGCGGGCAAGTGCTGTCTTAAGGTCGCGTGCCCCCAAGTACGATGACGCTGCTGGGGAAGAGGATTCGGAAGTGGGTGCCGGTAGTACCCTGATAGCGATGTGGGTAGGTCCTTTGACACTTGTTTGCTGCTAGCAGATGTCACTGCCTTTGAGCAGTGAAAAAGTACAAGAAAAAAACAACGCAAGAAGAAACGAGTGAAGACGGTTAGTTGGTATGTCAAGTGGAAAGAAACAGAAGTCATGAGACGGAAACGCAGCTCATGGGTAACAGCATTCTTTAAGGAGAGGTGATGTATAACGGGAGCCCCATGCATCGCATGGCAGATGGATGGCAGAAGCGTTGTAGATAAGTGGATACCGGCGCCACAGGATGCGCGGCCACGATCCAATTGAAGCAATGGGTCGCGTGCTGTCCTCAGAAAACTACATACGAGCGATGCCTGCCAACGTCAGTACTGCATATAGCAGACGCCCCGGCACGAGGCAGAGAGGCTGCTGGATGGTCTTGTTGCTATCTTTACTTGCAACGCATCCAGCCGTCATGACATACGAACCAGGCCTGTACTCCGGAAGCATGTATAAGCTGTAGCATTGGACTTTCCTGGGCATTGATCGTGTGCAAGTGGCCCGAGTGTCTTTGCCTATTGCTCTCCACTGTTCACTGTATCGAGCGACAAGCCGTCCTATCCGAGTCGCCTTGTTGGCCGCGCCTCACCAGCGGCTAACGGCTGGGGATTCGACGCTGCCTGTGGCTGCGTGCGTGTCGCCCGGCTGCTTGTATCAGGAGTCGCAGAAGAGATCGACTGTCAGCCAAGCCTGGTTGTGGATGAACGGTGCCGGCTGGTCAGAATTGGACGGCTGATCCTGTTTTGATCCTGTCTCACTCCATCTTGGCTGGCAAAAGGAGCTGCATGCAGTTCCCCATCTCCCCCTTTGTTTTTCAAAATTGCATTTCATCTCTCGTCCTGCAACCCAGGGAAAATCAAATTCACAGTGGAGAAAGAAAAAGAGAAAGATTGCAAGTCCTAGTTAGTAGCGGGGAGATGACGCGTCACACACACACTCTACGCAAGCATCTAGATTTGTTTTTCTGCTTCTTCGATGGTTGCTCAATGCGAACTTCGGCGAGCTACAGTAAACGACTGCATCACGGAAGCGTACGTACTTTGCTGGAACACTATTCTGACAAGCCTCCACCGCTTCGAAACATGTGTTGCCCTTGATCCCCTGCTCCAATGTTCCATCGCGGGCAGCGCACTTCTCCACCCCCCGCCCCGCCAAGAAAGGCGGGATACAAGTACGTAGCTATAACCACACCAGTCAGCACCCTAATCTGTTCTCGCCCGGCGGAACCTCGTTCAACCTCGCCAACTGATCCAAGGACTTTGTCATCGGGGCACATGCTCCGCCCCATGACTGAGAGAACGCCCTGCGATGGCCATATCATGGTCGGAAATCAAGGAGCGACTCTTCGCCCAAGACGATTCACTGCATAATGCCATCCTCTCTACACCTGTGCCACAGCTTGCTAATCCTTGCTTCGTAACAAGCACCGCATAGTGCATACGAGTGCTCACGCAATGAACGGACTTCACCACACAATGATGCCCAAGTCAAAATGCTGATGCCTCCTCATGACAACAGATTGGTGAGATGCAAGATAGCCCATCTTGGTATGCATACACTATTATTCTACAGGTTTTGTTTTGCCCAATCTCACCCCGTCCCGATGGGGGCGTTTTGAAGTGCATCTCGTAACATCTATCTTAACGCTGTTCCAACCTTGTGACGCCGGCCTGCTGATGGGTATAAAACGATGCTTACGACATGTCCATCTTCTCTGTGCCGTTCGTAACAGAGAGTTTGACGTCGCCTGCATCGCCGATAAGACGTTGTTCCGAGTCGGCGACGAACTGCAGTACCAGGTTAGCCACCATATCATCTACTGTTGGCGCGGGCCATCGCTACTTACCTGCACGCTTCTCGTGGGATCCATGAAGAGTGCGAAACTCCGTTGTACATCGTCAACGCTCACATCCTTGCCTTGCCGTTTGCTGCGGAGCAAATCGGAGGTCGTGATGAGGTTGCTTGCATATCGTAGACCTCTCTCATGACCGACTTTTGTGAGAAGTGCCAGGGCGTCGGGTGACACGTCGACTTCTTCTTCCTGGGCTCTTATGGATAGAATCTGCTGCAGCTCCTCGCTGGAATACGGATTTGTGCTTACAATAACGACTCGATCCAGGAAATCCAGAGGTAGGCCGTGAGGAGAGCGATAGTCGGTGCCCCTGATCTGTGTGTTGCCTCTGTTGCTTGCCATGATGACGATAGGTGCTAGCTCGTCCTCGAGCGCGCGGTTGATGAAGGAAAAGCATTCGATGTCGAGCATGTGCACTTCGTCTATGAACAGCACGCCGGGAATGATCTCAGCTTTGCCTTCCTCTTTCCATTCTGCCACCTTTGTGTTGATCTGGTCGCGCACCTCGCTTCGGATCTCGCCAGTATCGCCGGAGAAGAGAGCGAGAAATCCTTGGGTTCGCGAGTTGATCACATCAATCTCGTGAAGGCTGACGGTGTGCACTACTTCGCGCCGCTGCTGCAACTCGCCTTCAGGGCACTGAACGAATTTTGTGTCTATTCCCATTGCATCGTAGTCGCGCGAGCGAGTGTACGACCGTCCAAGTTTTGTGATCTTGCCCGATGCCTTGTCAATGGAGACAATATCGCCAGCCATGACCTTCTCCTTGGTCATGCCGTCAATCATTTTGGTGCCCATGTCATAGATGGTCTCCATATCAGTCGTCTTGATTGTCAGTTTGCCTTGCTTGTTGGCCCCCGTTACACTGCGATCGATCTGAATTTCCACCACCTCGCCCTCGATGACCTCGCTCTCCTCCGTTATGCGCACGCCTATCGATTTGCGAAACGCTTGTGTAAGGGCCTCGGTCTTGGACATGTCGAGCGAGAAGATCTCGGAGGATGCGAGCATGGTAAAGGGAACGTCGGCACCCAATGACTGCGCCATGCCCATGGCTATCGCGGTCTTCCCCGTGCTAGGCGGCCCTGCGATCAGGACTGCGCGGCCTGCAATCTTGCCGTCCTTTGCCATTTGAAGAATGACAGCAGCTGCTTTCCGTGCTTTTTGCTGGCCGACCAGGCCCTGCGACGATTCTTTGGGCTCCAGGGTATCGGGCTCGACGCCTAAGCCGCGGATGTGAGAGTGGGCGGCGATCAGATTGAGGCCTCGGAGCTCCTTGCTCTCGGCAATGGTGGTGATGGGGAGAGCCATGGCGATGACGATGGCAGGAGCCGATGGAGGGATGCTTGGTCTCGCGGGATGCTTCAGGTGCACGTCGTCGTCAACGCGCAACCTGGGGAGTTCAAATGTTGACTAGCGAAAAGTCGCGGTCACGTTGGGAAAGCGCGCTAAGCACTCCAGACTAGTCCCCAACAAGCACTTGAGCTCATCTCAACCGCGAGTCAGAGGCCTCACGTCGCACAGGAAAAGGATATAAAGTGCCCTCCTTTTTCGTCGGCTCCCGCCCCCCTCTTCTTCCTCTTCTCCGATTTAGTTGGCTCTCGAGAAAGCAAGGGAGTCAATCCATCCCATCATCCTCTCCATCTGCATCTGCATTGCATCACCCAATCCAGGCGCTCGCCTCTCGCTCACGTAAGGGCTCCTACATGTGGGCTGCGAGGCGGCCACAGTGACGACATGGCCAATCGGCACACGCCGTATCCAATCATCACGGATATCAACTCTTGTCCTCCACACTCGGCCGCAAGGTATGTAACATGTTCTGTTGTGAGCATTGCGACCATCGTCTTATAATGGCACACTCGGCAAATAAGCCCGTGTCACCCCATGCCCACTAACCCTTCGACAGCGCACCTGTGCATGGCTCGCGTCCACCTTGGTCGCCCGTGCCAGCGAATATTAATTCAAGGAAAAGACCCAGCGGTCCAGGATCGAGGGGTGCAAGCCCTCCCGATAAACGTGTGCGGTCTGCGTCCTACGACCAGGTGAGTTCTCCCCGCTTCTTGCGTGGCATGCCGCATTTACAATGAGATAGAACTCTGGTGACATCTCCTTCGGTCTCGTCACTCCGCCACCATCGAGGAACAACTCCATCGCATCCCCCAGTGCCACTATCGGAGAGAGCATCAGTAATGGGGGAAGTTGGCAGTATAGTGGGGATGCAAGCCCTCTACTTTGGACCACCTCGCCGACGGCCGTTCATCACGATGAGGTAAAACTGTCGAGTGACGAAATTACCCTTCCGGTATGCGACGCTCCCCTCGCCCCTCCAATGGTCCCAACCGCCGTTCAGCATGAAGATTGTCATTCTGGCACAATCATTTCGGTGCGTGCTACCAGGGACAAGAAACTGGCCCAGGCCGCGCAGGCTGCTGCCCAAGCTCACAGCAGGAATAACTCTCGTCGTGACACTGCATCCGTGATAATATCGCCTGATGATCTTTCAGAGTTGAAGGAAGAGGTTGCAAAGCTAAAGGCTTGTGAGAATAATCTCACATCTTCAGCTATAGCTCCCAAGGACATGCAGGAATCCAATGATGACGTCATGAGACCCAAAAGGAGCGACAGGACATGCTCTCCTTCAAATGCCACTTTCAAAGTCGTTCAGGAGTTGAGGGATGAAGTTGCGAAGTTCAAAAGCAGTAACGAAACCGCTTCACCTTCAACTGTCTCTACCAAAGACTATCAGGACTTAAAGGATGAAGTCGCGAAGCTCAAAGCAAGCGAGAACAACCCTACACCTTCTGTCATTATGAAGGATATCCAGGAGTTGAAGGATGAAATTGCAAGGCTCAAAGCCAGCGAGACCAACCCTAACCCTCCGATTATCAGTCCCAAAGACATAGAAGCGTTGAAAGATGAGATCACGCGCCTCAAAAGCAGCAATGATGGCTTGCAAAATAAGTCCGACAATGCACAACAGCAGCAGGTGACCATGCGAGACGAGCTTGAGGAACTTGAGAGCCAGATCAAATGTATTGCATCTCACGACTACAATACACGTGATTACTTAGAGGAACTCGAAGGTGACTTAAGAAGACTCGAAGATGACCTGCGTAAAGGCGTCTGGGCTTCCGATGTGATGGATGATGTTGAGCACGGTATTGGCCTAATCAAAGCGCAGCGACAAGAAACCGGGAAGACATTATTGGAGCGAATCCAGCAGCTGGAAACAGCATCAGCTAATGCAAGCCAACAGCTTACGATATTGGAGGCTTTCAAGACCCAGGGAACTGCAGTTCAGCACACGCAGGCACAAATAATGACTAAGCTTGGAGTCCTTGAGCGGTCTGCTACTAACTTCGTAACATTATCTGACAATCATGGAAGCTGCATGCGCAACATCACCAGTAACATCTCGCCACCCCAGGCTTGCTCCATCGAACATCAAGATCACATCGACGAGATTAAGAAAAGGACTACAACACTTGAAGCTTGCAGCCTCAGCGAAGCTGGTAAAAGAATGTCGGCACTTGAATCCTCTATCGTCGACCTCAAGAAATTAGTTGAGGAGGCGGTGCAAAGGATTCAGGCTCTTGAGATCTCAATGATCGGTTCTGACAATTCTTCCCATACGACTGGGGAAATCGTTTCAGCACTGGAGTTCACTCCCAGCAACACCACCGCCGATAGGACTCTAAGTAGGATAACTTTAGTTGAGAATTCCAACGCGAGCATCAGAAAATCTCTCGACGACTTGTACACACAAAAACTCCACGTGGATAATTTCCCCACAGAGGCCGGCAAAAGACTCTCGTCACTTGAAGGTGACCGCAAAGCCACCGAGTCATCCATTTCTGAATTGAAGGAAGAACAGACGTCACTTTCGCAAATCGTCGCGCGAATGGAGATCTCGCTCGAACAATCTCAGGTAGCAAACAATGATGCAAACGAGAGGTACAAATCTGAAATCACGGACATGTTGGAACAGAGAACAGCAATGGTCGCGGCCTTCCAAGACAACACTGAAAAGGCACTGGCAAAGGCTGAGCATATGCGTGCATCTGACAAGGAAGAGTGCATGAAAAAAATCTCCTCCCTTGAATCTTCTCAGGCCGCCTTAGTTCGCCTGAAAGAATCTTTCGCGGAAGCTGAGCGCAAGTACACTGCCGACCAAAATGTACGGAACAAGAAATTCACCGCACTCGAGATGTCTTCCGCCGCCATGCGACAGACTATTTCGGACTTATCGCGTAAGAACCTATCACCTGCGAATCGGCAAGACAAATCCAAATCCCTTGAAGACAGATCCGGGAGAGTGGAAGTCCAGGTCCAGCAGGCCATCGCCAAGCCAACTCCGGCTTCATCTATGTCACACGCGGATACCGATCCCGAAGACCTACGCCACTCTGTTCACCGTCTAAGTGGCAAAGTCAATGACTTAGACCAAGGAGTCCTTGCTCTGAAAGAGGCACAACAGCATGAAAATGCAGATATCAGGAGCCTACACGAGAACCACGAAGCGTTACGTCTAAGCATAGAACGGGTGGAGAATAATCTTCAGAACGCTCAAAACTCGGCAAGAAAAGACGACAGCATGTTGAGCAAAGCAACCAGTCAATCGGCTCTGTGTGAGAAAACACAAGAGAATGTTTTCGAATGTGAAAATGCGACCAGGAACTTGAAGCAAAAATTAGAGGCAATAGATGGCCAGATTGCCGAAATGCAAGAGGGCGTCACAAATGCCCGCGTTGCAGAGTCTTTACCGGTCGACGCCTACGAGAGAATACAGAGGCTAGACCAGTCAGCCGAAGATCCTTCTCGTCAAACCGCCACAATTCAGCAGGTTCTAGCAGAGCATAAGCAGAACAATGACGAAGTTACTGCCCAGTTAACATCCCTGCACAACAAGGTGACAGAAGCGAATGCAAAGTCCGTTGAGGCGCTTGCAGTGAGCGAAAGGAGTTCGGACGCACTTGAAGTTCTTTTTACCACTCTTGCGAATTTAGAAGCGCGATACGAAAATATTACCACCGATACGATCTACCGGCAAATGGTGGATTGGATTATCGTGAACTACCCTAACGCCCCGGACTTTTTAAATCAACTCAGAGAGGTTCAGGCCCAAATGGCAGAACTAGGAGTCCGCTGCGTCAGTGAGGAACACCTCAGACAGCGAATGGCACATGCTGAGGAGTCAATCAAATTTCTTACAGCAATCCCTTTTCATCAAGTACAAGAGTACTGTGGGTCCCAGCCACGCCTGATGGGCCAGATCTACCAGCTTCAGAAGGCTATCGAAGCTATCAACGACAAACTACCCAGCGGCGCTCTACCCATTCGATGGAATCTCGACTTGAGTCACTCTCCATCCGAGGAAGAACGTCCATGCGACGAGCCACATCCATCTGAGGAAGAACGTCCAGACGACCTACATCCATCCGAGGAAGAACGTCCAGACGAGCCACATCCATCCGTGGAAGAATCAAAGGCAGCGTTTGTCAGTGGTTCAGACTGATGTTGACCAGTATCATCCCAAGGCGCGAGATCATACATCATGTGTTGGCACACAAAAGCACTGGATGATAAGCTTCGACCATGTTCACGTCGACGTGACCACTATATTTCCCTGTTTCATAACTTATGACGAAGCTTTTCACGGCAGTACAAAATCTCCTTTTCTTCGCCTGTCTGTTTCATTCTGGCGCTTCTCAAGATACCCCATCATTATTTTAGTTTCCGACTATTCGGCATTTTTAATTCTCTCTCCTACATGCATAGGGAGGGCTTTTTTGTGGCAGAACTATCTGCGATGAATGAGTCAGCGATAGGCGGGATTCTTGAGCTTTACCAGTGTTGTTGGTCATAGACAATGATCATGCAACATGGGACTGCGATGATTCTGTCTGACCGGATGTATTCATCGAGTTTTCTGGTGGTGCGGTTATTACCCGCCTGCAAAAAGGGTTGTGGATGACCCAAGTATCATAGGTAGTACCGAGTTCACGGTGACATATTAGCATCAATAGCATTACAAACATCCATATCATGCTTGCCTGATACTGCACAATAGAGTTTCCCGGAATGTTTAACCCGATGTTATCAGCATGATAATGTTGAACACGTGTATCCCTCCTCACCGCCTCACCTAGACCAGAGACAATGAGCTTCTTACTTTATGCCTTCTTCCCGGCGCGCAAAGAGAAAAAAGGAGAGCCAGCAGATTACGCAAAGCAGCCGTGTAGTCAAATTAAGAATACCCACATGTCAGGATCAATCTAGCGCAGCCGCGCGCACAGCCGTATCCTTTAGTTGGTGGGGAAACAAGATCTTAAGTCGCCGCTACTGATTTTTACGTGCTGAGTGAGCACTGAAGTAAAGAACACATGTGTGTTTCAAAATGGTGTTTTAAAAAGGCGGGCCAACCTGATTACTAAAAGGACACGGAAAATCCTATTAAGTCGCCGAGAAATCGCGAAACTCCGAATGGGTAGGCAGGATGCGGACGCGCTAAAACCCCTATAATACTTTTTCCGTTTTTAATTCGACACCCACCTCTGCATATGTATATAACAGGATTTCTCACGACGCGCAGCTACAGTACCAGCCCTTGGATCCTTACAGGACGATTAAATTGGCGCTCTTGACCACGCGACAGACTCCATCTTGCCCGGTCTTCTCACAGGAAAAAAAAACATAAAATAAATAGTCAACATTATACCAAACGATAAACAGATCATGGCAGCGTCGACGACGACAATGGACGTGCGTATTAACAGTACCTCACAAAACAACACGACAACTACGTCAACAATCACACCATCATTGCCAATGGCCATGGACGTGGACGAACCCTCATCCTCCACCACCGCATCCACAAAACGCAAACCAAAATCCAAGAAACCCCCCCACATCCTGCACATGTCCACGCACAGAAACCCACCACACAGATACTTTACTCTCCGGCTCATCACGTCTCCTCCACCTCCTCCTTCTTCGTCCTCGTCTTCATCACCATCGTCCCAAGCCAAAGAAAAACAACATCTAGATCCCCTAACCCTGCACCCACTCCTCACAAACCCTCTCCAATCCTACCTCGGGTTAACAGGGTCGAGTATCCCCTTCGACATCCTGAGTATCGATGGCTTGGACGTGACGGTGCGCGTGCCGCGGGAAGATGCGAGGGCGTTCCGGGCTGGGGTTAGTAGTTGGGTTGGGGGCGTGGAGAGAGGCTTGATTCCGGGGTTTGATGAGGAGGGGGATGGGGATGGGGTGGGAGGGAAGAGGGTTAGTGTTTCTTGGAGGGTGCTGAGGGAGGTTGGGGGTGCGGCTGGGTTGGTGGGGGATGGGGGGGAGTTGTTTGCTTGAAAGAATGGGGGGAAGGAGCGGGATTGGATTGAGGGGTGGATAGATGGATGGGCAGAGGGATTTTAAGGGTGGTGTTTTGGGGATGAGGGGGTGTGAGGACAATGGATGGGATAGAAAGTGGTTTGTCACGAAGAAGAGACAGTGGATTACTAGCATCACGGCTTGTTTCATTTTCAACGAATGTTGAGTTCGGGGCTCTACACCTCACACCAAAACGAAATTTTGGAACAAGGAACACAGAAAGAATGTTCGAGCCACATATAGAAATAAAGGAACACATCAACCAGGTCCCCTTGTATACTTGTATACCGCAATATCGCTAGCAGTTCCCCCGCCCAAAACTTTCGAGTTCTCACATCTTGGAGAATATCTAATTCAGAAAACATGGTGCAATCATCCTAGGACTTGCAAAAATCTGACTATTGCCATCCTGGCGGAGGGGGTCCACCGTGCTGCTGCGGGGGCCCGCCATGTTGCTGGCCATAGCTTTGTTGGTGCTGCGGTGGGGGTGGAAATTGGTTGGGACCGCCGCCTCCATACTGATGCTGCTGTTGGGGCATCCCGTAAGGTGCGCCCTGTGGACCTCCCCATTGTCCTGGCTGTTGATGTCCAGGTCCTCCATATCCAGCTTGTTGCCCGTAGCCGGGACCGCCGCCGTGCTGTTGAGGCTGTCCGTATCCATGCTGTCCCGGAGGAGGCGAGTTGAATTGACCCGGTGCTGGACCACCGTATCCAGCTTGAGGTCCGTAGCTACCCTGCTGCTGCTGATAACCGCCTTGCTGACCGTAATTTCCCTGCTGAGGCTGGCCGTGTTGAGGTTGACCGTATTGGCCCGGTGGGGGACTCGAGTAGTTGTTGTGCTGTTGACCCTGCTGCTGCGGGTTATGCTGAGCGGGTGTTGAGCCATGTGTAGCTGCAGAGGGTTGATACGAATTCGGCGGGGCGCTACCAGTATAAGTGCTGCCCTGTGAATTGCTGTTATGGCTGTAACCATAGTCGCTGGATGGCTTGTTGTGCTGTAGTATTTTGTCAGTTTCATTTCATCACGTCACGTCAGAATGATATATAAGACTTACCGAGCTACCACCGCCCAAGACCCCTCCTATCAGACTGCCGAAGCCTCCACCTCCACTAGATGCGTGGTTGGAGCCGGAATTTCCATGTCCTGACTGCTGATTAGGCTTGTGATCATCCTTCTTCTTGCCACCTCCCAGCAGCGATCCCGCGAGCTGGCCAACGAGGTTTCCTGATCCTCCGCTGCCTCCACTGCCTCCGCCGCCGCTGCTGCCATGTTGCTTGCCGCCGCCGAGTAACGAGCCGGCGAGCTGGCCAACAAGGTTCCCACTTCCTGAGTTCTTATCTTTTTTGCTGCCCCCAGTCAGCGCGTTCAGAGCGAAACCCTTTAGTCGTGATCAGTCACAGCTTCTTGTGGTGCGGGGTCCAAGTATCTACATACCCCGAGGCCTCCGCCGCGGTCGCCAGTCGCGCCATCGACACCTCTCGTACCGTCTCCGAATTCTGGGCCCTCAGACCCTGGTGGTTTTCCGTAGGGGTTCGTGTTCTGGGCAGGCGTGCTGGAGTGAGATCCGGGGCCAATGGGTGCCTCGGTCGTAGGAAGATCCCATTGCGGGACGCCGGTGCTGATTTGCACGTCTATATCGGGTCAGCCTGACAAGCACTTGAGAATTCTCTTTCCTGGAGACTCGTCCGGGGTAGAGGTAATGCATGTACGTACAATAATACGCCCGAGATCTGTGTCTTTGTTAGCAAGAGCGCGCGGCGGGGTATGGCGTGATGAATGGTGGGGCAGCAATGGAACCCCGCGAGAGGAGAGGAAGTGTGGAGGAGTATTAAATGGTACTTACTGGTTATCCCATTGAGCCATCCATCCGGCGGGCAGCTTGGGCAGCGTCGAGTCGGTAGGGCCAGAATCTGGCGAAGCAGCTGGGTTTGGAGGGGTTGGGCCCGACATGGTCGTCGCAAAGTGAACGTGAGCGTGGAACACGTATCGACGAGAAGGGGCGAGAAGTAAGGGGGATGATGACACTGAGGAACGAGCAGTGGACTGAGAATAAGTATGTAGCCGCACCGGGTGGGATTGGGCAGCGCTGACTTGGCGGAGTATCAACGGGTCTTGATAGCTGCTGAGTTGGAAACGTGCGGCCTTTTCTCGTCATCATCCCGTGGCTGGTGTGGCGCAGTCCAGCCGTCATCACATACACACACCCTCTCACCCAACAAGTGCATAATGGAAACATCGCAAACAGATTTTCTCTTAGGCATAGCGCTGTTGCTGCGCCGAGCTAGCGCTCGAGGGTATGTATTTTCAGAAATAGCATGGTGTTTACGACGTTGGCGACCCGTCGAATGCGCAGTCCCTTATCAACGCCAGACCATGCAAAATCGTGCAACCCTGATGTCCATAACCGTCAGACCTAACCCGTTCCATGATATGCGCCATTATCCTTGAATTCCATATTATCCCATGCAGACGTCTAGCACTTATTACCAAGCATATCCGTCATTCACGACATCATCGCCGTTCCAATCTTCATCGCCGCTTGGCTCTTCATCCAGGAAATCGCCTTCTCCAAAAACCTCCTCGCGAGGGCGAGAATTGTCAATTCGGAAAAGAACAGTGTGGCATCGTCCCTGAACGACCTCGGGCATCCCCTCGGCATCTGGGCCTACGGCTGACCCATCATTAGATTCGACCTCCGAGCCAGAGCTTTCATCGTAATTCGTGTGCGTCCTGGCTCGTGTACGCAAGCGCCGGCCACTCCATTTCTCACTGAACTTTTGTGCGGGCTTTGAAAGAAGTGGCGCATCGCTGTCGCTCTCATTTTCGTCACCGGCGTGGTCCGCCTGGGCTTTCACACCGTCGCTCTTGTGCACCCCATCCGATATATCCAACAGTGAGTCGTTCCTTCCAGCGTCTTCATGCTGCGATGCTTTCCATTCCCGGTAAGCTCTCAAGCTCACAAGGTGGCTACTAGGGTGAGGAGACTTGTCCGCAAAGACATGGTCAAACCAAGTCGCCCACTTCTGTCTGTACTCGGCCCGCTGCCGCCAACCAATATCTACCATAGCAGTCAGTTTCAGTACACGCAATTGAGGTAAATCTCCAGCTGCATTGATGAGTGACAGGAAGAAGTTCGTAGCCGCATCAGAACTCCAATGCCTGAGATACTCCAATTCAATAGTTTCAAGGGTGGATGGCCAGGTGGGTATCTCGTCAATTTCGAGAAGCCAATCGTATAGTGGTTCGTTATCGGCCGACATGACCAGGGAGCTGTAGTAGTTCAGGTCTACCTTGAGCACTTTGAGACTTGGGCAAAAGCGCTTGAGATCAACTAGGAAAGAAAGACTGAGACACTGATTGTGGTTCAGAATCAACTCCTCCAACTTGTGGCCATGGTTGGCTAGGAAAGCATGCAAGTCCTCCGAGAAGACATTGATGCAATTGGTGATATTCAAGGAAAGGAGAGACGACGGAAGCAGAGCAAGAAGCTGTCCGTTAAGAACTTTGCAAGACTCAAAGGTCAAAGAGGTCAAGTTTGGCAATGCCGCAATCGCCGACCCAAGTAGCTCCTCAGCCAATGGTGCATCGTCACCACCGACTTTTTTCGGGTCAGTGTCAAATTTAGTGAGTATCAGCTCACGCAGGCTTTGGAAGGCCTTGTCCGAATGAATCTCTTTGATCCACAGCGGGCCTTTGGCGCAATACTGACTGTTCCATCGCCAACTCTGGAGAAGTAACGGGCTCTGACGGAGGGCCACGAATAATTCGTCAGGATAGTACCATCGACGGACACGTCTATGTAGCACCCTATAGGGGGGTCGGTCTTGCGGGTCAAATATGTCGATCTCTTTGAGTGTGGTCAGAGCAGAGACTAAGGTAGAGAGTACAGCCGGATCGTTGACCGGGTCTGTCGAGGATGACATCTGGTGCGAGTCCAGCTCCAGCCGCTTGGCCATGACTTGGTGGTTCATATACGCATCAGTTGGCGGGGTGATGAGCCGTTGGACAAGCAGTTGGTTCAACTTTGCCGCGTGTATTGGCGGACATCGGTACAGCGCTGCCAATGCAGGTTTGGTGAAAGTTTTGCAAAGACGCGCTACATCGAGCAGCCAGTGTATTGTCGGTAGGGCCACCATGTTCTCATGAAGTGGTTCCGATGCGTAGATGAATGTCTGTAGGAGTACGTGGTAGGGAAGGGACGCCCAATTCGGGATATGGCCATCGGTTGGGATTTCGATGCTGGACACGGCCGGTTCGGCGACTGAAGTGTTGCTCTTTAACGGAGCGCCGAGTGATCTTCGAGCACGAGATCCAGCAGGTTTTGCTTCCTTTTGCCTAGACTTGACGCTCTTGCGCGAGGTGCGAGATGGCGCAGTTGCTCTTTGAGGGCGCATTGGTACCTCGACCTCGTTGACCTCCTCTTCTTCTTCAAAATCTTCGTCTTCGTCATCCTCAGAGCTCACATCCTTGTACGAGACTCCATGCTTCTGAATTTTGCGCAAGCCTTGTCGCGCATTTGTCCTGACTGCAATTCCCTCTGAAGCCTCCTCGTTGCGACGCCGTGGTTCAGGAGAGCGATTTCGGTTCGATCGTCGCATTGGGGAGTTGCGTTTCTTGGGCGCGTAAGTCTCCGTGTCTATTTCCTGTATATCTTCATCGCTACTGGGCTCGCGATACGAGACAATGCCCCGTTTGCGCTTCCGTGTGTCGACCATAGCTTCCGCCTCTTCAACCCCAAACTTTACCAGTGTCGCAAGAGCAGCAACATAAGGCACGGTGACGTAAGAGGGTTTTTGGTGACACAACCGAGTCCAAAAGATCGCAATGTCGCACTGGATCTGACCTTAGCAAATGGATTGTCAGAGTGAAGAACTGTGGCGTGGGTGCGGGATGTTCTAAAGAGTGGTGTTGCATTGACGGCCGGATTTAGCGCTAGAGTAAGTAAGTGACGACAGAGCTAGACCCCGGCGATCAGATCACGTGAGGATCGGAGCTGGGTTCGATTCAAGCGCGATCAAGGACCGTGCGAGTGCATTGCCGTTCGTCCCAGTGGCATCGCCGGAGGCAGCCGCGTTCCATTACGCCGCCGCCCATTAATTCACAAGGGCTAGTCATCGTATCCAAATCCGTAGAGCAGATAGATAACGCTGCGGGAACTCTATTGAATTTTCAAACCCCGTCCAAGCACAATCTGAGCGAGGGTAATTTCTGCGTGCGCCATCATGCCTTCTGCCATTGCTCAAGGGGATGACCTGTGGGTCGCTATCAAGCAGGTGAACTCCACGTACAATAATGCCAGACAGAATGCGCACCTTGCTAACCCAATGAAAAGATCTCGCAATCAACTTCGGATTCGGATTATATCGAGCAGCTTGTGCCGGTAATGAAAGATGCGCGTTACAACAACCAACTTATTCAATCCCTTGATGCTTTCTCCAAGGACCGTGAGGATGAAATCGAGAAGATATGCAACGCCAATCATCAGGAATTCGTGAGCTCTGTGAACTCCCTTCTGCAGGTGCGGCAGGGCACGGTCGACATGACCGACGAGATTCTGGCCCTCAATGCGTCTATCCAGGAAAGCATCGATAAACTTGCCGAGCAAAAGAAGGCCCTCGTTGACTCAAGAGGCGTGCGCCAAAATCTCAACGAGGCTAATGAAGCCTTGACTGCTTGTTTGGAAGTGTTGCGCCTCGCAAACCAGGTCTATGATCTTCTTAAGGAGAAGAACTATTATGCTGCGTTGAGGTCGCTGGACGAGCTGCAGACGATCCATTTGAGAGGTATCAGCCGGTACAAGATCGCAGATTGGATCGACAAGAACGTTCCTATGGTGCGAGAGCAGATAAGAGATGCTGTCAAGGCGGATTTGAGTAGCTGGCTCTACAAGATTCGAGAGTCTTCACAGTTCCTTGGGGAGGTATCCTTTTACCACACCGATGTCCGTCGAACCAGGAATCAGAAACGAGTCGAAGGAGACCCCCGATTCGCAAAAGCGAAACTGAATTCCGCCCTTGAATTAGTGGCAGACGAGACTGACGAATTCGATGTTTTGAACAATGAGGAAGCGGGGAACGAAACCGATTTCACACCCTTGTTCGAAGCCATGCACATCTATGATACCCTGGGGAAACGAGAACAGCTGAAGACAGAATACACTAGCGATCGAAAAGAACAGTGTAGACTACTGGTAGAGCGACGAGGCTTGAACTTGCTTGACGAAGAATGCGGAGATCTTAGCAGTTTGCTAGAAAGCATTGCAGGGTTTGCCATTGTGGAAAAGACGACTATGTCTAGGACGACCAATCTGCGACTACAGGCTGATGTCGATGAGTTATGGGATTTCATGTGCAAAGAAGCAATTAACCTCATCGAAAAAGCCCTTCCGGCTGTGGACAACGACGAGCTCATCTTGGAGATCAAGGGACGAGTCTCACTTTTCATGTTGACAATGGAGGTTAGTGAACATTTTTTCTTGAGTACAGCGCACTCGAAGCTTATCAGACATTCTAGAAATGGGGATATCCCGTCTCGCGGATGAATGATTTACTACTCACCCTCTTCGAGAAATACTCTCAGCTTCTCAAAGCGCGCTTCAGCGAAGACTTCCAGGAGATTGTGGCCACAGACGACTACATGCCTATGCCTATAAACAGCATCGAGGAATACGATAAAGTTGTCACCTTAAGCTGGTATACACCAGATGTAGAACGCGAGGAGCTCACGTACGTCACCCTCACCCACTTTCCGAAGCACAACCGATCATTCACTAACTCGTATGTAACCAGTTTACCTTGCGTCCTGCCCTTTTCGCAAATGTATCCACTATGCTGCATCGACATCCGCCAGCTTCTCAACAAAATCTACTTCTTCAAGGATGATAACTTCCACAACGAACCCGTCATTGACGAAACACTTCGAACAACCATAGACCATCTGCTATGCAACGACGTCTGCCAATCGCTCCTCGATCGCCTATCTTCCCAATACCCCGGCCAAATCGTCCAGATCCTGACCAACCTGACATACTTCGAGACGGCCTGCTCGGAGCTAGAAACCGATCTCTTCGAAGCCCGCTCCTCGCCTTCCCTCACCAGCATGCACCCAGTCCCGCTAGCCGCGACCGAAAAGTTCAAAAACGCCAAAAAAGCAGCATCCGACCGCATCTTCGAGCTCGTCAACAGCAAGATCGACGACCTGATCGAAATCGCCGAATACGACTGGATGACGCGCGAAGCGCAAACCGAGCCTAGCGAATACATGCTCGAGCTCACGCGCTACCTCTCCAACATCATGTCCTCGGTCCTCCTCGCACTCCCCACCGAAATCAAGGAATTCATTTACTTTGATGCGCTCAGTCATGCCAGTACTTCGATTCTTGGGCTGCCGCTCGCCGCTCGCCGCATCTCGCCTTCTGCCGTGAAGACGCTGGCGACTGATACGCGATATCTGTGCTCTTTTGTCGAGGGGCTCGGAAATCCGATTCTGATGGAGAATCTGGATGAATTGAGTCAGACGGTGGCGCTCATGGGCACGGAGAACAGCGACGAGTTTTTCGATGTCGCACAGCGAAATAGGAAATATGGAAAAGTGGATAGTATGAAGGGGGCAATCTTACTGGAGAAGGTACAGGAAGGTGCTCAGGTTGTTGCTCAGAGCAGCGTCAAAGCACCGGAGAAGGATAGATTTGGTACGTTGGGAAGCAGATTTGGATTAGGGCGGTCGTAGGTCATTCTATTGAGAACATTAATTGGTGGCATGAGAATATAGTTGGTGATCATGTCTCGTGGCATTATGTTTCGTTTAGCTATGGCATTGAGGTTGCATTTCTGCATTGGGTGGGTATCTAGGTGTATACGAGTATAGCTTTACGCTCCCTCCGTTGCCTGGGCGTCCTTGCCACTCAGCTCCTGCCGCCATTCCGTGAAATCCTTGCTCACGATATCTCCACAGTCCTTCCTAACAACCTCCTGTACCTCAATCACCCCAGCTTTCTTCTTTAACTCAATCCTATAAACCCCATCGCCTTTGACGATGGTCTTCAGGTGAGCCAAGAAGGCGGCAGCGAAATTGATGCAAAGATTTCCATCCCAGCAGTTTGTCCCTCTCCTCACCATCCCAGGGAGTCGCCCCGTCTCTAGTTGTTGTACGCCCGTCAAAATCCCTTGCTTGCTCCGGTATCCCACAATGACCTTCGGCACGCCGAGGAGGAAGCTCTGCGCCCAAAACTTCAAGAGCTTGCGTTCGAACTTGAGTATGTCGCGGTGAGCAGGACGAGGAGGTAACTCTTCGGCGGTTTTGAGCTCAATCCAGGGTATAGGATGGTCGGACTCGGGTGGGGGTTTGGGACCAGATAGGCCGTCAACCTCGCCGCCGAGCAAAAGACTGTGCGGTCCAAACGCAGTGCGGATGATGGAGCAGTGTTGCGCGTGGTTAGACACGGGCGCTTTCGGTCTATTTCGAATGATGGTTTCGGGCGTGTCTGGGGGTGGCGTGGGCAATAGAGAGAGAACTTCGAACTTATATCTGGATCGCAGGCATAACGTCAGTATATGATTCTCACAGAATTTCCACGCCAAGTTTATTGGACTTGCAAATATTATCCAATTCGGAACATACTCACCCCCAATACGTCATCATCTTATGATCGGGTTGATTCGGAGATTGAAATCTAGGTGGTGGCCGCGATGCCTCTGCAGCCCTCTGCGCCGCCCTCCCCGGAAAGTCTTCCTCAATGTAAATGGTTCCGTCGCGCGAGGTCGCAAACATGGAAAATTCCGCAAACATGTCAGAGGGCGCAGTCATGATCTTGGTCATCATGCCCCGCCACGTCACGAAATCTACAACTTCCTTTTTCCCATCCTTCTTTTCTTTGCGCATCAGCGCTCTGAGAAGGCTGTCGAGATGCGGATCGGTTGTATCTTCGTAGTGGTTGAAGTCTTGGAAACCTTCTTTGAGATCGGCGCCGATGTCGGGAGGGTGATAATAGGAGATTGATGAATCGTCATCTCGGTATTCATGTTTCTCGTCGTAACTGAAGTGGGCGACTTCTCGGGGACGCTTTATGCTCGCGCAAGGACCTTGGAAGCGGTTCAAGGGCTGGATGGGAAAGCGGTGGACTTGTTCAGAAGCAGGAGTGTAACTGGGGGTAGGAGTTTCTTCGGATTGGGGAGGAGGAGCAGCATCAGCATGCGGAAGTGCAGGTTCGGAAGGCATTGAAGACGGAGGAGGAGCTGGTCGCGTTGTGGCATGGGTACGTGGGCGTTTTCGAGGGGGCGCAGCCTCTTCTTCGACATCGTCGCGTGAAGCTGGAGCTGGAGGTTTTGGAGGTAAACTTGGGGGGAGGCTTGTTTGATCCATAATGCGCGAATAGGTGGTGGAAACTCCAACGATTGCGACACAATTGCTGTTGGCAAGCTGATAGAGCAATGACGCGGGCGCCCCTCGCGGAGGTTGGCCATCACCTCCGCATCTGATTAGTCCGGATGGCAGCAACTACCACCACCACAAAACATTACAAACAAACAACCGAAGCACCAAACCCTAGACAGAAAAAATCACGATATTTTCCTTTATACGCCCGAGCGATCTCTATACTGGTTCCCTGCGATACTCTCCCTACTGGCATTGCCGACCTCACGCAGCCATGGACAGCCGTCGACCCGTTCGTCCCCCACCAAGCAGCCGCCGAGCTGTCTTTCATCCATCTACGACGCAATCTCGACGCACCAACCCGTTGAACCCAAGCACGCATGCCAAACCCTCCGTACACATTGCTTCTGAAGAGCCAGAACCCGAGAAAGACTTAGTCGAACGCGATGGCGCAGGCAACTACAAAACCTTAGGTCCTACAACGGCGATGAAGATGAGTGCCATAGGGAGCTTGGAAAACGAAGCAGAAGCAGAAGCGGAACAGGAAAAGCAGATGATTGCACTTTATGGGACCGAGAACGCGCATTGGGACCAAGCTGGTGAGTTCGAGCTTAAGGTTGTGTATATGGCGGTTAAGCTGACATTTTCAAGCTCTCGCGGAGGAGATCAAAGCGGCTTTGCAGAGCAGCATGGAGAGGAGTGTGCAGAGCCTTGATAATGATCGGTGGATGTTTGAGGGAGAGAGCAAGGCGAAGAACTGAAGGGTTCACATTGAATCTGGTTTCACGGCGTTTCTTTTCTTATTGTTGCCCAAACACGATACCCATGGAGTTTTTTTCGTTATCAATCGACCGGGCCTCGTTGCATCATTAAGCTTTGTTACGTATGTAGACTCTTACAAATGATATGGACTTCTAATAGTTCCAAAGCACATCCTGCGCGAAAGGCCAAGTAGCATACAATTTTTAGGCTCATTAATCAAAGGAAAGATCTTCGGTCTTGTACAAATATTAGAGCCTCCAGAGAATCATTCATTAGCTGAAAGGTGATCTCATCAATGGTCTATATGGACTCGGGCTACTGCTTCCTATTGCGACGAGGTCAGTCAGTATTGCCGTCACCATGCTCTCTGACTTGTCATTACAACGGAAAACATAGAAAGCATAAATCAACTAGTGTTTTCGTAGACGTTTGTAGCCTCCAATGTTGTCTGGCCATCCTAAGGCCTACACAGAAGTGGTAGTACTGATCGTATTTGTTCATGTACCCCAGTTCAGTCCAAGCACAAGAGCAGGCGAGTCACTCAAAGCGTGTGTCGGAGTTGACAGATAGGTCGGCGTATGCTCAACATGATGGGTCTACATGTCTCTTGCTGCTGTGTATACTCTACAACATACACGGCTCCATTGATTCCACAATGAACACCGGTGATTCTACTGGCACGCTGACCATTCTCCGTTGCTACGGTGGCTCTACTGCTCACCTCTGACGAGTCTCCAGGCAGATGTTCTCACAAGAAAACATTTGGAGGGTTCTACCGCGATAGCTGCCCATAGGTATCACGCAAAGAGTGCGGCCTTTACTCGCGAGCGTAACAATCGTATTTCGCGCTGTCGTCTCGGCGATTAGGCGTGTGTGGTGTTGTTCTGGTGCATTTGCTGGTATGCTCTTCATGCACTTGTTAGACCACCAGCCAGAACCACCACTTGTCCCTCGTTTTCTTTTCTTCCAGCCTTTGCCGGCACCATCCTCCCCTAGCACATGGCCGCTGCCCACAGTTTCTCATGAGGCTCGTATATGTCTCCATGTTACGCCGATCTGAGCTGATACCTTGCTTCTCCAGCGGTCGCCACGAGTCGCCGCTGTGGATAAACGCAGAGCATCCAACGCGTCGTAAACGCCCAACCACGTCGCCCTCGCACCACCACCACGGTTTCGACGAAAGCTTTGAATGACCGCTTCATCTCTTCGATAGTCATTATTCTGGTCTACGCACACGACGTCGAGCACAAGGCAGTTCTGACACTTGTCGATGTGACTGCCTTCTTCCCATGGCCCACGAAGATCCGCGAAGATTGCATACCCACAGCCGCCGGCCGGAAGTAAAGAGATGGCGATTTCAGAAGTAATGCACTTTTCTTCCCATGCAGCAGAATATAAAGACTGGGACTGGTTCATGGCCGGCTACCTTGGATGTGTGGTTGTGAGCGGCCGAACGCTGCCTGGATCGACCAGGGCATAGGCTACCTCATCTCAGCGTCTTGATTGGAATTGGTGACGAAGATGGATCTCGAGCAGTTGATATTTCTGCTTCGCCTATGATCAGAGTCTTGTACGGCTTCACCTTCTGAAGAGAGCTTCGGCTGCGGGGACGAATGGACCGATTCTTGCTTCAGCAAGCTGTAAGTCCAGCATACTGAAAGGAAGACTGGGCAGTAATACTGAACAGTAAGAACCTACCAGACAATCGGGACTGAAGTTATATCGCTGACTGCGATATAGATTACTCTTTCAACGATCCGGCTGCAAAACTTAGTTCTCTCTTACCGCCCGACTGCACAACGCTTCCAAAGAATCGAAGACTGTTTCGAAGCTCGATACCGTTCAAAGCTTTATATCGTTTGCTCGCACGTCAGATTACACATCCAGATAACCAGTACAAGGGAGGGCTAGTGGTACGGGAGTAGATCAATCGGATCTGCGGTTCGGCACACGCGATTGGATCCAGCCCCCGGTCCCAGTGAGATCCTAGGAGGGCTGAGTGACGAACCACATCACGCATTGCAATGCTTACTAACGTCTCAGGGGCAGCGTTTCTTCCAACGTCCGTTGTACATTGGAAATCGATATCAAGGAAATACAAGAGTTTTGAGGGGTAGGAGGGTTTTCAGGGGTAGAGAAACAAGCGGAGAAGGACTGTGAGGATTGGGCAGCTGCACGTAGGAGTTGCAAATTCCAGATTTGATATTCTGTGCCAAACTTCAAACTATGCTTTAGAAGCTCATAATCTCTGGTGTCTTGAAGTTCCTGAGCTCCTGAATTCGGTGAAATCATGGAGTTTCCAGGTGAAATTCGACTTGTGCCCAAAATCGACATATATCTCTGTAACGTTGAAAATGATATCTTGCGATTTTGATCTCTCTTGATATCTTGACAGAAGCACTGGGTTTGACTAGTTCTTCTGTATTTTCCAGCCGTTTCAACGTGTGGAGTCAAAACCCCAGATTTTGAGATGGTGGTATATATGGTGCTGGAAGCACATTTTCAACCCCGAATATAAGATATTGGAACGAATGCATACGGAATGCACGAACCAAGAACGGGAGCAATTGAAAGCTCAATTCTTCGATTACGGGGGATTTATCCTTTCGTTCTCAAGATGTTGCTTCTTCTTTCAGCTGTTTCTCACGCCGCAACCCAGAGGCTCGAGCTTTTCGTGCTGGAGAGGGTACCTCTCGAAGTGTAGATGCAGGCCAATTTCGAACAGCACCAAACCAGGCCACCTACGCCCATTATTCTTCGTATGTCGCCAGATTTGCAGACTTGAAGGATTTACAGCTCTCTGAATGCTGCGTGGGTGGTGCCTGCCGACTTGATATGCTGGCTCCTGCTACGGTCGCTCTTGCCCTCGCTCTGGCTCGCTCTTGCTGCTCGCTCTTGCCTCGCGACTTCCTCAGTAGCTAGCTAGCCGCCCTAGGTACGTACTTGGGTGCCGCCCACCCACCACGAGCACGCGGCACCCACACGTCCCACCTCTCCGGGCTTCCTGCTGCCGCCGGCCTGCTGGTTCTGCTGCTATTCACCTTCCTCCTCCTCCTTTCTCGGCTCCGGTTCTTGCCCTTTCCTCCGTACTGACGCCATGCACCTTGCCCCATTCGGCGGTAGTGCGGGTGCCAGACAGCGTGCGGACAGCGGTTTTGACGTGACAGAGACAAACCGCAGGTCTGCTGTGTCCAAGATCAACACATGTTCGCCATCTTGCTTCCAGGCTGCATCCACGCCCACGAACCATCCCGGCCCCGGAGAAGTTCAGGCGCGGTAGAGCTTCACCAGAGCTTTCCAATGGTGCCCATCTCGTCGTGATCTGACCATGGCTACTGTATGTAGATGCCCTGCTTCGTCGTGATGCCGTGGACCTTTTCACTTCCACTGCCGTCTCGGCCGCACCCTCACGCTGTCCTCCTCACCGTCCGACAGGGGGGTCCACCGACGGGTTCACGGGCACATAAAGCCTTGCCCTCCCCTCTCTCTTCCTCCTCTTCCTCTTCTCTCCACCACACACCTTCTTGCAACTCGACATTCCCTGGCCTTTGGTTCAATCCATCATCTCTTTCTTTGACCATCTTCAGTCGGTCTATACCATCCACCTCTTGTCCATTATATCTTTGCCTGCAGACCTTAGCATCATGTCTTCTCCTGTCGAAGGCGTCGTTGGTCAGCTCTTCCCTGCCTCGTCTCCCTTTGGCGGCACCGAGTCGACTCTCTACTCTCCTGAGTTGGCTCGCCAGGTGGCTGCTGAGCGTGAGCGTCAGAATGCGGCTGACAATCGGTCTCGCTCTGCTACTCTGTCTGCTACGCCTCTCAATGTCGTCCGCATCGGTCATGTCGCCTACATCGGTCTGGTTCCCCAGCCCCACCAGAACGGCATCTTCACCAACGAGCGCGATGCTACCATGCACAACATGATGTCTCGTTACATCTTCGTCACTGAAGTCAAGCATGGTCGAGCTGGCTTTGACATGGAGTCCGAGATGGACGACGTCATCGAAAAGATGAAAATTGTGAGTACTGCCCTTGACCATCATGCAAACAGTTGCTGACTTCTCTCCAGTACAAGGCATTCGAGAAGGCATCCATCTTCTATCAGGATGGTGTCTTTATTCGCTTCGATGCTGTCAACGACGCTTGCGAGGCCATGTCCATTTTCAAGACTTCCAACTTCAAGGCTCGCTTTGTCGATTCCTATGACTTTGCCAAGGCCAAGTGTCAGGACACCATTGCCATCAACGAGTTTGAAGCCCAGGTCAAGCTTGTCGTCCACTTGGAGTACCTCGCATCTCAGCAGATTGCCCCCACCTTGAAGGAGCTGGCGTGGTTGAACGATACCATCACCCACTACATGTCATACACCTACGGCTCCATTGTCGCTTGTGTCCATGTTGGCGTCGACCTGCCTGTGCAGTTGCACACGTTCCGTGTTGAGTTCCACTCTGTTGATGCTGCCAACCGTGCTATTGCATCCATCAACCTTGATCCTGATTCCGGCGTTGGCGGCGACAACGTAAGTCATCCGAGACAATTCAACGTAACTGCAAACACTGACTCGATACAGGATCTTTGGCAGTGGGCTTCCTTGTCTGCGACTGCTTGGGACGGTCCCCGTGCTCCCAACTCTCCACACCGCCACAAGGTTCGTTACGACGATATGGGACGCCTCACCACTTTCCGCCACCAGCCCAACACTCCTACCACTGGCCGCAAGGAAGCTGGCGGTCATCCAGCCGATTCCCACAACCGTGTTCGACGTGAGCGTATCTTGGATGGTTCCGATGTTCGTACCACCATCATGCTTCGCAACATCCCCAACAAGTTAGACTGGGTAAGTACCTTCCTCTCATCGCTGATGCACTGCCGCTGACTTTGACCAGATGGCGCTCAAGGCTATCCTTGATGAGATCTGCTTCGGCACTTACGACTTCGTGTACTTGCGCATTGACTTCAAGACTTGCAACAACGTTGGTTACGCCTTCATCAACTTTGTCGATGTCGAGGGCATGATCGCCATGTTGCAGCATGTCGAGTCCCGTTCCTGGAAGGGATTTAAGTCCAATAAGCATGCCGAAATCTCCTACGCAACCATTCAAGGTCGTGAGGCATTGATCCAGAAGTTCCGCAACTCGTCCGTCATGCAGGAGACCCCATTCTGTCGTCCCCACCTGTTCTTGACTTATCAGGATGCTGTTGCCATGAACCAAGTTCGCAAGACCGGCTTGCCCCAGGCATTCCCGCAACCAGACAACTATAGCAAGCTCCAGCGTTCCATGCATAGTGCTCGCTCTGTCGGACTCTTTCCGCCTTCCGGAATCATGAATGCCAACATCCAGCGTTCCATGATTAGCGCCTACGACCGTGGCACTCCTCGCGACTTGGTTCACACCATGAATGCGTACCGCCAGCAGGGTGACGGCATGGCTCCCATTTCTCAATACGATCGCATGCAGTGCGAGGCGTGGTACGCTAGCAAGTCCGGTCTTGGCCGCAATGCCACCGTGCCGTTCAATGAGATCCCCTTCGGCAGTGTGCAGCAATTCCTTGCTCTGACTCGTGGCGGCAACAACAACCGCGCTGGTGGCAGCCATGGACCCATCGCACCACCTCGCATGGTTCGTCAGTCTCCTGGTTACTTCAACGCTGGCCTGATGCCTTCTCCCATGATCGCACGTGGTTGGGCTACCGCTCCTCGCGGCTACTAAGTGCCAACAACATTCTCGCTGCTCGTTGAGCTTCATCGTCGGCGTTCGGTTCTCCGTTTCGACCTGAGAACAGCATCCATCCATGGAGATTTTCCGTGTTGATTCCCTACTCTTTCTTTCTTCAACCATTCCGGTTATCTTGTTGATCCTCCCCCGGGTATTTTCGTGTCCCATACTGTGCAAGCATCTACAGAGTTGTCATCTTGCCGTGTATGGTTCCCGATGGTGGTCTTCAAGGTTGTTTCTTTTCATTTCCCCCCGCCCCCCCAAATGGTTTTCGGTATCCCCGCAAACATGGATATCCTCGATATACTTTCTGCGAGATCATGGTTATTTCCCCCCTGTTTTTTTTTCCTCATTTCCCTTTTTCTTTCTCATCATATGCATGCGGTTGTTTTCTTTCTTCCTTCATCTGCGGATGGGCTCGCCTAGCATGGACGGCGTTTGCTCTGATATACCCGCATACAAGGAATATGGTCCCAGGTACAATGGTCCTGGAGATATGGTCTTCAAATACAAGGAGGTCTTCGAGAGGGGGTTTCTGAAATGGCTCGGCGGCATCTTCGGATGTGTCTGTTCCGACAAGTGTTTCGAAACCCTTCCACACATACAACAATATAGTTATGAAAAGAGCTTTGCTCAACAAAAAAAATATCGTGTGCCTGTTGCTTGTGATGTCGAGGATAATCGTGAGATCAGGTCCATGGTGTTGAGGTTTGATGCCGGCGAAGTTTCCATGGTGTTGATACTGTTCGGCCTGGCCTGCACAATGGCATCGCCCACGCCCTCGTTTTGCCCAAAACTATCTCTTTCTCTGTTCGTGCTACGACGTGCCATTGCTGTGCCTGTGGTATCAGAATCAACCGCCGCCCGACTCATATTCTGTCAGTACATGTCAGTGTCAATATACCCACAAAGCTGAAGTTGAAGCCGAAGCCGCAGTCCTCTTCTCAAGAAGCCCAACGGACAGAGCAGACATATATATACCACATCCGCAACAGCCAGCAGCACAATAGCAGAACTGCCCTATTCAAAACCCCAGACAATACCAAAGGTCGCCTAACTTTAAACTTGTGTGGTGGGGAGGCGGCGTTGCTACTAACGCTGCACCAAAAACCCGCTTCACCCTCAATCATACACAATACGAAGGGGGGTAAGGGGAATGATTTTCAATAGGGCAAGGGAGGGTAGGGCTGTGGCTGGCTGGCTGGCTGGGTTGGTAGGCGTACTTGCCTTCACTTCGACTTTCCATCTTTTCATCTTTCCTTCTTTCTTTTCTTTCAGACTCGTTTCAAAGGATTCCGCAGATGAATAATCGACGGAGGTGTCGCAGTCGTCTTTATTCTTGTCTTTATAGCGATTTGGTTAGAAGGCGGGAAGTGGTGACGCAGTGGGTGAAGTGATGTTGGGTCGGTACATAATCTCTCATTCATGCATACTTTGACTGTAGCAGGAAGAGAGGGTGCTGGCTATTATAGCAATGCAAAAAAAACTGTCATGCATATGCAACTGAATTTTGAAAAGTGCGTATACCATGTAGATCGTTGAGATGGATCTCATGGGTATGCAATATCCAGCGTAATATCATGTTTTCTGCGACAATGATATGTAGGAGTTGCCATACGTGCTTCATTGCTCTCCAGGTCATAGGGTAGTCTGTGGGATTATCCCCACTCCTTTAGAGCATCAGGAGATGCTACTGCAGTGGAGGAAACACCTGATCTCTCTACGCCAAATTTAAAGGCGAAAGATACAGTTAAAATTGTCATCGCACTGCCCTTCTACGAATATCGCCATCTTTCGAAGGGGGGCACAGCCATGGCGCACGGGCCTTTGGGTGGGAAGGCGATACTACGATGTTGTGGGTGAGGCAGCACCCACCTTTGGCTTTTTGCTGTTGAAGCCCACCACCACAACCCTTGACATTGAGGAGCCGACTGTAGGGCATGCTTGTCTGACATTTGGAAGAACGATCTCAGGAGGCTGGGGGTCTGCGGCTCCCAACATTCAGCTTTTGCGGCTTGCGTCGACGACGACTTTTCGATTGCCCGAACCGCTTGCTTGTCCTGGCGAGCGAGACCTTTACACCCGGAGTGCCGAACGAACATTGAATGAGTACAGCCGGAATAAGGTAGTATAGCCCCATGCGATGATGTCGTCCTTTTGTGTTGACCCGGGTAGCAGTCTGTATCCATCGTGAAGCTCATGGCTGGCAGTCCCGCCGCGCAGCACGCAGCTCATACCAGCGACCGCAATCCAGGAAACAGTCATCCAAGGATCCAACGAGCTCCAGAACGGCACTTTGGGCATCTTACGGGGAGATGGCCTTGACCTACCAGCATCTCGCAAGACGCGACTACTAGTGGAGAGGAGATCGTCATGCAAACCAGCTTCGTAAAGGCTTCGACCGACTACGACTTCAGCGAGGCGAGGTTAGAAGCCGAAAAAAATAATACATAAGATCCAGCGCGCCTGTCTCCAGGATAACGCCGTGTTGTAGTGCCTGAATACAACTGGTTGTCTAGGGGTCTACAAAGCACCAGGATGGCCGAGATATACACCAGGCAGCGTGGGCAGATATCCTCAAGGGCAGATTCAAGGGTGCCGACCAGTCATTATTCGCCGCCATCCAGTTTACACGGCTTACCACGGGGGTTAGAGTTGGTCACTGCGCAAAGATACCTTGGCCTAGAAGTCGACAGCCCTATACTGTACCAGCCTGGCCACTGGGGAATGCACGCCTCCTTAGTCCGGTTCATTACAGAGGAAGTACGCAGCGACGATGAGATTCGGCAGCGACCTGCTTGAAAGCGGAAGCGTTATGTACGGCCGTCCTTCAGGAGTGGTTCCTCAAGTTTGGTCGGGTGGCAATGAGGGCAGGAAGAGATGTGTACTCACGCTGGACCCCATAACAAGGCCACAATCATATTGGCGGGCATACGATGATGTGTAGACTGTTCACCATAAAGCAAGCGTGCGGCCGAGTGGTTGGTTGGATCAGGCCTAATGGTTTGATGCGGTGCTCAAACCACTTATGTTTAAACTTGTCCACGCTTCCGCTCCCGAAGACGATGGTCCTTCATGACAGCTATTACAGGAAGCAGCATGTTCTGTGCGAGATCGTGAGTTATATGCCAAAGAGATGCAGACGCCACACAGAATACATGGGTCATTGTGGAGGGTATACCAACAACCATCTGGGGACAAGAGCAGCAGCGGAGAACAGACACACAGAAGCACTCATACAAGGGCTCTCGGGGTTGCATCGCGCTTCTGGGGGGAAACGCACTCTCCAAGGTCAGTCGTTGCGTTCGACATGCGGCTTCCAGTATAGAGAACCGAACACGAATGGCGACTGTTCAACGGAACACGACCAACATATGCCAACTCGGATACGATCTCTTACCGTCCACCGGTATGCCGTTGGTATGAACACGACAATAGCCAATGAATAGAATGATCGCAGTCATCCGTTTCATGGCATTGACAGGGGAGAATACCATGCGCAAACACAAGCTCGAAACATGTTCACATGGAACATGCCACCCGGTCGCTTGTGCTATGTTCGGATCAAGCGGCGTTCTTGAGAATCGATCACTGGCGTATGCTGCTAGAACGCACGCAGGAAAATAGTATGCCGATATTGTTGATCCAATTATGGCGTGTGTTTCCCCCTAACAGGATCCACTTGGTTTATGGTGTGCAATGATCCAACTTCGGCGCGTAGCACTCTTGTCCTCAGGCGGAGCTGTCGATGAACATCATATCCCGAATAAAGGCGGAGCTGAGATCCGACGTTGCGAGCTTCGGTATCGCCAATTTCACGAGATATATGAAGGTGTATTGCAGGTGCATCAAAGGTCATCGGGCGCAGGGCAGGGCAGGATGGGGTCGTTGTGGCAAGCAACAGACACCCAAGGGGATAGCTTACTCAGAGCATACCAGGAGTCCTGTCGAGGCGAGAAGAACAGTCCTGTACCGTTTGAAAGAAAGGAGAGCAATCCGGGGTGGCCAGAGCGTTGATCGCGCACTTTTCTGGGTGTTGCTGACTCCTGGGGAAGACTTTTCACGGGTCGACGCTGGGACATATTGGCCAAGAAGCAAATTCGACACAAACTGGCCAAAGGCGAGAGTGATGGCGTCAATGCCAGTTGTGAGGCTCCAAGCTCATGCCAGCGTCTGTCAATAGATGCAGGCGGATGGTCATGTCGGCGCCGTCACCAAGAGTTGACGAAGATCCGTTTGCCAACGCTCATGCTGCTCGCGTAGATTATCAATCCACGAATCGCTTTTGTTGCCTACCCTGGAGCTACTGGCAACTGTCGGCCGGAAACTGCTAGCATATGTTGCGGGTGTACCCAATCTCCCAGCGTCTCGCCCAGGCGTTCAGCTATCCATACAGACGACTATGAATCTCGAGACTCCCTGCAGATGTTCTTAGTGACCTCTTGCGGAATTTTGGGATAGCAATTTGTTAGTTGGTGCACGCGAATCCGTCGTTGCGGCAATGGGCACCATGCTGCGGGCGGCGTTGAGACGTTGAGACGTTGAGAGCAGCTGCGGATCGTACCGCTTGATGTCCTCCAAACCTACCCGATGCAGTCCACTATGTCTATTTGCTCGTCTCTGCTTCAAGCATACGCTCTTTGATGCTGGACGATACCAATCGTGGTATCAACAGGGGTATGTGGTGGAGACAGGGGACAAGGACAGGGCATGCGCGGATTGGCAGTCCAACGCAGCAGGGGAAAGATGTTTCTTACCTTACGCAACACGGCGGGACAGCCTGGAAACGCGAATACGCTTCATCGATGAGAGACTACCAAGTCTTGTGGATGGCGGGCAGTCATTTGCAAAGCCTTGAGATGCCGGGGGTGGTGGTAGAAGGAGTGGTCGTTGGACAAGCCGCAATGGTGGAGGGAGGAGAGAGTTGGTAGCGACTGAAGCTCTCCCCGCAGCCACATTTGGGTCCAGGGGCACGGACCTGGCGAATGAAAATCACCGAAAAACGACAGACCTGCGCGCTAGCTGAGTCTATTCACAGTCCATGTTAAGCTTCTGAACCATTTTTCTACTCTAGAGACGACGGATTCGATGGAAAACTAACGAAATCGATGGCCGGGCTCAATGACTGACTCTGTCAAGTCGGGAACCTGATGATCTGATTTCGATACCTGGACTTGCGACGCAGCTTCCTCACAAAGAATCAAGTCACCTTGAAGTCCGCCCTGACGAACTACGCGTACATCTCCATATTGTTGCCGTCAGCCGTGGAAATTTGGACAGCAAATCTCACACCTTCTCCTTTTCATGAACCCGCGGTTAAGCAGACCTACCAGCAGAGAAACAAATTTTCGCAACACCATTTGGCAATACCATCATTGAATTGCGCGAGTGGGGAGCAACACGAGATCACAAGAACCTCAAATCGAGGAAATATCTCACGCTAAACTCTCTTGTAAATTCTCCAGGGATACAGCACGGCGAGGCTCAGAGCTGAGATAGGTCTTGATCATCCTCTTCGAATAGGTCGTATTGGCAGCAACTCCTCCCTTCTCTGCGCATTTCACCGACCGCTCTGTCATCTTGTAGGTCGGTTGATCAAATAACCGACAACATGAGCTCTAGTAACACTTCCGAAAAGAGAGACGATATGGCATCAACCACGCTCTCCGGCGGAGCCCTGCAAGCTCTTCCCGACAAGGAGAAGCAGAATCTCGCCGATACTCAGGAGCTCCTTCACTTGCTCTTCGTTCGCAATCGCAACCAGCACCGGCGCAGCCACTGGTTTAGCTCATTACATCAATTTCGCAAGCAACTGGGTCTTCTGCTTGAAGAGCTCTCCTCGAAAAAGAAATCATCCAGCGCAAAACTGCTATCAGCTCGTCTACAATTCTGGGAATCGAAATGTATACAGAAGTGGTATATGTGAGTACGCACAATTACTTCTTTGGTCTACATATGGTCTTTGTGGTGATGAAATGAAAAGCTGATTGAGGGTAACAGGCAATTCTCTCAACTCCTAGCCGTAGGCCCGTTCTCGGCGTTAGGTCTTGTGCTGATAGCTTGTGTGGCGAGAGTTTGCCGCATCACTGGCATCACTCAACACTACGAGGAGATTGCTTCTAAAGAGGTCGAAGATGTTATGATGGCCATGGATGACTCGAAGGACTTCAGTGCCATGCTCGAGAGCGAGGAGGTGTGGGATCAAGGAGAAGCCATTCCCCGAGAAGAGTAGTATGATCTTTCTGAAAGCTACAGGTATAATTCGAGGAAATAGACCATCGAAATCATGGCAACGTCGGTACAAAAGCATCTTCCAAAAACCATACAATGGATTGAGGTCATCGTTTATCATTCAAACCTAAACACGGGCCCGCGATTAAAAGCACAAAAGCAATCCGCCTCAATTTCATGTTTCTACTCTTCTTCATCACCACCAACATGAACTACACTTTCCTGCATCTCTCCCGCCACCCAAACAGCCGCCAACCTTCCTGTCTCCTCCCCAAACTCCATCTCCATCTCCTTAGGCCGAACATGCATGCCATGATCCGCCCCTTTCACCACAACCAACTTCGACTCCGCCGTCATCTTCTTGCGCGTACGCTCGAGCAAGTCGAGGGGACACATTGCGTCTCTATCGCCCACGACGAACAAAACACGCACCGAAGTAGGTAGATCCAGCAAAATCTGGTCACTGAGGTCGTTCTTGGGACCTCGGAGCGGATACGATACCAAGATCAACGACACTTTGATCGGCGAAGCAACAACCTCGTTTGTCGGCTTTGAAGCAGAAGTAGAAGACGGAGAAATTGAAAGAAGTTCGCCAGCAGCCATAACAGCAGCGCGCGAGCCCATACTTCGACCACCCAAGATCACAGCTTCTTCTTCTTCTTCTTCTTCTTCTTCTTCTACTACTACTCCACCGTTTTCGTCCCTCTTCGCCCCTTTCTTCGCGCTGGGCTCTATCTTCGATGCTGTTGCTTCGGATGATTGCACATGCGATAGACACGCGTGGAAGGCTTTCACCCTCGCCGCTAGATTCGCGGAACCTTGGAAAACGAGCACCGGTGCCGTACGAGCATATCCAGCGCAGAAATCACGTACGGCGGGTGTGGATATCGTACCTCCTGCTCCGTGGGTGAAGATGCATGTTGCTTTTGTTGTTGAGCTCAAACTCTGCGAGGGCGGTGACGCAGGCGCATGGTAGTGGTGGCACAGGATTGGTTTCTTGAGAGAATTATCCGTGATTTCTAGGGTGCTAAAGATATCGCTCGCTGGCTGCTGTGACGGTGGGGATGGGTGTGGTTGCGATTGCAGTGCGTCTTTTACAGTTTGTTTGTTGGGTTTCTTTGCAGTTTCGATCTTTCTCTTGGGGTTCTTTGGGATATTTTTGCTTCTGGATTGGACACTTGTTTCCACGGATTGTGACTGCACTTGCGGTTTTATTCGCGCTGAAGAGCGCGTCGCTCGTTTTGCTGTGGGCTGCTGTGGCGCATCGCTTGCTGATGACTCGGGGATCTTACGTTTGGGAGGCATGTTTTTTTTAAGATCCTGCACACGAACTTGAATAGATTCTACGCAGAAATGCTCGTTCTCCCCAAGTAATCAAAGAGGTATTGGTATGTTTGTGTGTTCGACATGTCTCCATGACGTGCATAATCGCATCGCGTCCGACGATGCCCAGCCATTCCGTTTCCCAGCCACTAACTTCCACTGTCCGTTTTGTCAATGCAGCGAAAATACTCGGACCCAACGACTTACGGCATTTACCTGTCCAAAATAAATCTAGAAAGACTAGCCTACAAGAATTCCACAGCACGTAGAAAATAATACATAGCAGGAACCCACCCCAACGAGTGACTCAAGAGCAAACCGAGGTAGCGCGGACATTTATTTATTCCTCTCACATATATTTCTTTCTTACCTCGTACTACACATGACGTTCTCCACAAACCACGAGCATTAAAAAAACGCTGACACATCTCATATGATGCGCATGCAGATCCGTGGGGGTCTGGGGATAGGTTCATCTTTTCGGACTCGGGATATCGTTTGTTTTATTCGCATATGTGCTTAGGTGGAGTGCTACAAGCACAACAACAACAAAGACTTGCATAACAACCTCATCCTTCCACGTGGGCGAGACGCACCCACCCACACACACAACTATGTGGACTTACGGAATCTATGACTCGTACATGCCCGCCGCTGCGAAAGAACGGTGTAAGACGGAATATCAATGCGTATGTGTATACACCGATTTGGTTTTTACGCAAGTATTGCTCCTTTGAAAGTTAGTTTGTAATGTACGATGGACATCGGGCATAGAACATGGGACGGTGTTGTGTAATGTGTATACAAGCAATAAAATAAAAGGAAATAATCCGAGTACATCATGTGTATACAGCATCCTTGACGATCGTCCCCCCTTGTTTCTATTCCTTTTTAAGAGGGAGTGCTTTGGGGCGATATATGGATTGATCAAAACACATTCATGGGTTGTTACATATGTAATTGCTTACTTACCCTGGTTCGAATGACAACAATATGCCAAATTCTTGCACTCGTTATGCTAGAATCATGTTTATCAAATCAAAGGAATGACTTGTGACAGGTTCAAGCGCCACAGCGACGACGACCAAGTTTCGACCCCGGTTCCATACAAGCAAAAGAAAAAAAGGGAGATCAGTGCTTCTCCACGTGTGTTTACGAGCGGGCCTTTTTTCTCTTCTTCGTTTCTTTTTCTTCTTTTCGGGTAGTTCGATGTCGAATCAGCAGATCCGGAGGTGTTCGAAACAAAAAACAAGAAAAGGTGAAAAAGAAAACATCTGAAAAAAAAACGGAGGGAAACGCTGGGACTCCGCTCTCACACACTTCCACGTGGTAGAGAAAAGAAAAGAAGAATCCGCACATACACCGCGCACACACACATACGCAGTCACCGCCACCGTTTTTTTCTTTCCAACAATGCTGCTTTTTTGATTTGCATACAACATCCGAACAAGACATCTAGAGCCACAATGATTCCAGACCGCCATTCGCCTTTCCTTAGTCAGGAATCCTCCTCTTTTTTTCCGCCATATCCTTATGTCTGTCTGTCTATTTGTTCAATGCGTCCTATTTCCATGACAAAACAGCATGTCCCACATCCCACCATGTGCATGTATATATGCATAAGTACTATACATATATACATAGTACATGGTACATGAAGGGGCGATAAAAGAGATGCCAAAAAACTTTCTCAGCAGTGCAACGTCTAAAAAAAACCTCCCAGGAATAACAACGCATGGATATGAGTGCATATGTGTAACCTTACATCCGTTCTTCCCCGTCTTCCCCGCACGCACGCACGCACGCACGCACGCACGGGCAAGAGAAGAAAACGACAAGTGTCCCCCGTGTGTGACCCTGAAGGAGGAAAAAACCCCGATTGCCGTTGAGTGGTTGCACAACGGGTGGAGAAGAAAAGGAGAAAATAAAACGGTCGGGTGGGGATGATCGTTCAGGGGAGGGAGGGGAACGGGTTAGATTGGCATGTTGTGTGGTGGTACAATATCATGTCGTGCAACGATGGGCGAGATGTTGGATAGAACCCGACTGACCGATTTGAACGACAAACTCGCGGAATGGGGGAAATGTGGGGGATTTATTTTTGTTGGGGCATGATTTCAAAGGATTTTTCTGGTATAATGAAGAAGATACGATTCGTATGCAGATGCTAGATAGGATCAACTTTCCGGGAGAGAAAACTCAGAAGTATGAAGACAGAGGCAGAGAGAAAGGGCATCGGTATCATTCATAAGCGGTTAGATGATAATAATACAGTGCAAAGAATGACGAGAGGACCGCATGCACCCATGAAGACGAAGTGGATATGGTTGACTAATGGTGGGAAGAGAAAGATTGATGGATATTATCTGACAGGTCGGGTCAAAATGAAAAGAAAAGACTTCGCCCATTCATGCAATTCCTTTAACTACAATCCTGTATGAGTTCGGTAATATCCCAATGACAAGAACCAACGTATGCAAATGCTATGATGCAAGGTAATTAGAAATCAGAATGACAAGGACATGCTTCCCCAACGCCAAAATGGAGACCCAGAAAAGTTTGATGGCCATAGACTGGAGAGTATCTATGACCCGAGATTGTCATCGAAAGATAAAAGAGACGATGGAAGGCAGGCAGGACCATACTAGTACCCGAGACTCTGATCAGGCGAGTACTTGCTGTGGTCAGGCACATAGTACGACTGCGGCAAGCCATTGAACTGCGACTGCACATAGGTTTGCATGCCAACTGGGGCCGAAGCCCGCCTATGAGTATCGGATTGCGATATTGGGCTGTGCGTCTTGTGTTGCTCCGAGGCGACGTTCGATTGGACTGGAGCATGCATGTCGAAAACGGGAGCAGGAGGCATCGTGTATTGAGCCGGATCTGACAGTTGATTGGAGTGCGACACGGCGTACGCTGAAGCAGAATTGGCTGACGGGTACTGCTGCGAAGGAACCGACTTTGCATCGGCGGAGGTTTGCTGGGTAGCATGCTGTCCTTGAGGCGTGAATTGGTGATTCGACGCTGCGGGGGATGGGTATTGCTGAGCGGGTACGTGGCGAGACCCATAGGGCTGGGGTGAAGGTGCCTGGGGGTAAGGCTGCGATGGTTGCGCGGAATAATGCTGAGGTGAAGACTGTTGGTTCGGATACTGCTGCGTAAGGTGCTGCGGTGCGTATTGTGATGTAGCTGAGTGTGGCTGCGTGTAATGTTGAGGGCTTTGATGGGTAGGGGTGTACGAATAGTAATCCGGGACATGGAGTTGTAGCGCAGAATGGCCCTGCACCATTCCTTGGGTGGCCAAGACCTGGTTCGCGGCACCCAAAGGCTGCTGGTGTTGAATGTGACTAGGTTGGAGATGGTGAGCATAGCTCGCGCCTAGAGGCAGATCCTTGTTTTCTTCATCCTCCAGGCTAACTTTCCACCCCGTGAGAAGTTCGGATCTGGGATGGATATCAGCCAATTTGGGGTCCTGGTATGGTCGTTTAAGCTTCCCTGCAACTACATCTTCCAGACTGTAATACGAGATGATGTGATGGGTTGTGCCTTGATATTTCACCGAGATGGTCTTCTTCATGAGCCCACCCTCTTTGAACTCATAGCTATCAATCAGGGAACCGCAAAATCGTCGCTGCTGGTCGGTGGTGAGGGATTGAGCAAAGTTGGCGTAAACCTTGCCCAGGGGATCGGTTGGTGAAACATCTTGCCCGTCATAGATGGGGTTGTCGTATTCGTCATCGGAATTGTTGACGTTGTCGCCGTTTTTGCTGATGGACGAGCCGGTGCCCTCCTTGCGCTTTCGCTTTCCTCCGCAGGATGGGTTCAACGCGGACTTTTTCTCTTCTGGTCGGAGAGCCCGAACCAACTGGCGATAGATGAGGCAATTGTTCATGACTCGACTAGGTGACCAGTGCACGGCATCGGTCCAGCGCTTGATTCCTGACGCATTTTCCTCGTAGACAAGGACTGTCCCTGACGTGAGCATCTCGGCACGCTCCTTGTCGTGCGGGCGGCGACTGATGTGACTGAGACGACCTTGAAGGGCAGCCTCGACGATCGTCATGGCATCTTTGGTCGAGTCCAAGAAACCGTTCCAGGTGGGCTTGAAAGCAGGTTGGGCTTTGATGATACTGCCGGCCATTTGCTGCCGTGGGGGTGGTGGTGTCGAGTTGGCCGTGCTAAGGACATGAGAAGTGGCGATGGAATGGTGTCGCGGTTGTACACTTCCAGGGACGGGCAGCGACGGGGCCAGGTGTGCGTACAATGCCGGATCGAAGATGGGAGTATATGCTTGAGACTGAGTAGCTGCTTGTTGTGGCCAATGCCAGGAGTCTGCATCCCCGTAGCCGTCGACCTTGTGGATACCCGAGAGCGCCATGTTTTGCCCGTATGAGGGCATGTTCAGATTGGAAGCCCTAATACCCTGTAACATGGGGAATGGCGTGTGAATTGGGGAAGGATGAGATAGCCAACTCGAATTAGGTAGCGGTCACCAAGCACCGCAAGAAGAAGCGTGTGAACAACGGTGAGCACGAAGATTAAACCAGCAGACCCAAGATGGCGAGTGCAAGATGAGGGGATTGAAGAGGCTCCGACAGAAAATGGAAGAAGATTAGAAAGGCGAAAGGCGAATACAGCGAGCTGGTTGGCAAGTGCTGGGGTCAAGGTTGATCAGTATCGAACTATGTTCGGCGGGTAGGATGCCACTCACAGCAAGACGCGAAGTTGAAGGCAAGGTCGAGAGCAGATTGACGCAGACCTATATCGAGAGGGAAGAGAAGAAGAAAAAGAAGATGTTGGTGGAAGGGTAGGTGCCTTGATAGTTGGACAAGAAAGGCGTTGAGAGGTGGTAGAGCTGGGTGACGAGAAAGCGGACCGGCCTGTGGGGATAAGGTTAGGAGAGGCGGTTCCTTATAGCTCCCTTGACGGGCATCAAGGGAAGGAAGGATCGGAGACCGGGATGGGCTGGTGGTGAAAGGTGGTGAGGAGGGGTGAAGTAGCAGACGGTGGAAGGATGAGGGGTTTGTATATGCAGTGGGCGGCGATGGCAACGCACAGCTGGTCGGGCCAATGCTGAGGCAGTGACGAGTGACGAGGCAGGCGATGGGGAATATGGGACGAAAAGATGGCGGATGGACAAATCACAGGAGATTGAGGGTGGAAATTCGAGGAATTGTGGAGAAGAGAGTGGTCGAGGTACACGTACGCTTTGGCCCAGTGCAGGGTACCGTCGGTGAGGTAGACGGTCAGAGGAGGGTTGCAAGTTGGGATGCTAGCACGCGCCGTGCTGTTGAGCAGCAGAGGGAGATCCAGGCGATTGGGGCGGGTGTAGCAGCGGTGGCGTGGATCATATAGCGGTGGGGGGGCTGGTGATGGTGGTGGTGGTGGTGGTCGAGGTGGTAGAGGTGGTAGAGGTGGTCGAGGTGGAGAAGCGCAAGCAGGTGGTGTACGTCGCAAGTAGGTAGGTATAGCAAGATATGCAAGTATGATGGCACGGCAAGGGCAAGAAAAGGGGAGTTGTATAGCGGTCTGTCGGTAGGTAGGTAGGTAGAGAAGTGGAGTGGAGGGTGTGAGTGTGGGTGGGTGTACAGTAAGTAGGTAGGCAGGCTGGTAGTAGGCGAGACGAGACGAGGTGATGGCACGCGAGAAGGCGCTATTCGTGGTCGGAGAATAACATGCAGCAACAGCAGCAGTAGACAAGACAAGCTCGGACGGGTCTAGGGATGGTAAGGGAAGAAGGAGAATTGATAGGTAGCGGTGATGAAGAAGGCTGAGTAGAGGTACACAGCGACAAGAGGAGCGTGTGCGGAAGAGGGAGCTCGGGGGGGGGGGGGGGGCGTGGGCAACAGGATGGCCCCTGCTTGGGGACTAGGGAAGGAAACAATTTTGGGAGGGAGGAGGGGGTGGAGAAAGCATGAAGCATGGGGCACAGGGGAGCATGGGAACATGGGAGCATGGGTCAAGTCATTGGCATGGCATAACATAACATGGACAGTAGGGATGGATGGATGGATGATGGATGGGATGGGATGGGAGGGGGAGGTAGTGTAGTGTAGCGTGTAGTGCAGTCACGACATGAGATCAATCAACGATCAACAATGGTGTGGCATGTTTCTTTTGGACACGGGGCCTGGCGCGCATGCCTGTGTGTGTGGCACTTGTGCTCTCTCACAGTAGGTAGGTACGGTACGGTACATTGCATCTCGGCTCCTTTGACACGCGCACACACATACAGAAGGCAGGCAGGCTGGCCGGCTGGCCGAGGGCAAGAGCAAGAGCAGAGCAGAGCAAGCAGCAAGCAGCAAAGCAAGCAAGCATGGCCAAGAAGGGCGTGCCGGGATGCAGGATCGACACACTGGCTGCAAGGCGAGGCAAGTGCAACTGCGCTGCGCTGCCTGCCTGCACAGGGGCGCACGGACGGGCTGCTCTGCTCCTGCACTGACTAGCGGGCCCCCCTGCTAGCGTCTGGCCTGGCTCTCGGCGTCAAAGGACGTTCCTGGCCCAGCCTGGCGACGGATGGTGCCGCGACATCATGTCGCTCGGCTCATCCTCCATCAGTCCATCCATCCATCCATCCATCAATCAATCCAGTCACCCAGTCAGTCACTCACTCCGCTCAATCAATCGGTCAACACTCACTCACTCCCACTTCCAGCCTGCATCCCAAAGCAAGCAAGCAAGCAACCCCAAGCCAGCCCGTTGGACACTCGTCTCTGCCGACCTGTCTTCTCCGAGTTCGGCATTGTCTTTCTTTCTTTCTTTCTCTCTCTTTGCCTTTCTTTGCTTCCCCCGCTGCGCATTGCCGACAGGTCGGTTGGTCGGTGCCGTTGTCACCATCATCATCATCTGCTGTTGTTTGTTGTCGCTGCTGCTGCTGCTGCTGCTGCTGGCGGCGGCGGTCAGTCTGCCCTACCTGCCTGCTAATCAATATAGCCTATATGATCCGCCTCTTTTTCTTTCTGCTGCACGCCTGGCCTGGCCTGGCCGTACTCCCCCCCTCCCCGCACTAAACCCCCCCATCAGTCCATCCATTCATCCATCCATTCCTTTCTTCCTCGCACCAGTTGCATCATGTCATAATCGACCACCACCACCACCGCCAAAACACTCCACTCCACAGCAATGTCCGCAACGGCCTTGGTTGCTTAGTGTCGCCATGCCATGTGTGCCTATGTGTCAGTCAATGGCTCCAAAGTGACGACCCAGCAGTGCGACTTGGTTGAATGCAGCGTAGTTTTGTTGCCATTACATGGTCCGCCGTGGTCGCGGGCCCGGGAGCGCTAGGGTTTCAAGCCTTTGGTCGCTGATTAGTCACTACCCAGCTAGCCACCTGCCACTACTGCCTGCTACCAGCCATGGTACGACACCGCCCGCCAGACGTTTGCATTGCTGTCAAGCCCATCCGCCTCTGTATCATCATCATCATCTCAATCCACTTTCCTTACAGTATGCAATGGCCCTTCTTCCATACACGCATCTTGTCTTCTTGTGCCGAGCCACATGGGTCCCAAGCCGGATCCAGAGAAGAGTGAGTGAGGGGCGTGCGTTTGGCCTGGCTCCTTGGCCGCGCAAAGGGTTGGCGAGCCTGCGCCGTGGAGAACGGATCCCTCCAGGCAGTCCACCCTGACTGGACGCATCGCTCGTCACACACAGATCCTCCGCATTTCTCAACATGCCATTATTACTATCCCATGTAATAGTACCCCAATGTTTGTACAGCTCCGGTCCGGTTCCAGTACAGCTACTGCGCATGTATCTGCATTTTGCACATCATACGTACAGTGCAGCCCAAAGCAGACGCAAAAAAAAAAAAAAAAAAAAAAGACGGTGGTGACAATGGAGTAGCGCCGGCATCACAGTCCAGTTGGAGAAACCCTTTGCCTCCAGCCGTTGCAGCCGGTAGTTGTGGATCTGCCACCACCAGCTCTCCTACACTTCATGCATTCGCTCATGTAGGCACGACTCGTGGTCGCGAAGCAAGGCCTCCCGCCGACATTCCCCTCGAATGTCAGTCAACCATTTTCCCGTCTGCCCATGCTCGCTCTTTTGATGTGTGAATGCATTCGTGGTTGGTACAAGTGTACGCTCCATTGCCAAATCCGTGTGCGCAGAGCATGCCTATTGCGCAATGTACAATAATGTAACATTTGTTTGATTCAAGCAAGCAAGCAAGCAGGCAAGGCAAGTAAGCAAGTGCTTCTTCATGCATTGGTCCCAGAGTACCAAGGGTCACCGCTACATGAGACGGCGCACGGGCCCCACGCATGCTTGGATGGCAGATGTGTGTACTGTGTACCGTCCTGTCCTGTCCTGAACCGTCCTGTACAGTACGAAGACGGCGGAATAGGAAATGGGGGGTAAGCAAGGTCGGCCCTGCCAGCCCGCCATAATGTGCGAGGTGTGCGAGTGGGAGGGGGAGCGAGAGAGTGGAAGGAGAGCCGAGAGACGGGCCCCGCCAATCACACCAGCCCTCCGAGTGACGACGACAACAGCAACACCAACATTACTTTCCCACTCCGCCAACAACTGCCTGCCTGCCTGCCTGCCTGCAGACCCCACCACGTCGCCGTCGCCATGTCTGTCTGCCTGACCCTCTCGGCAAATCTCTCTTCTCTTCTGCAGTCCCCCTCCCTTCCCTCTCGCGCCCTGAATCCATAGGCCCAGGCTCATCCCGTCGCCTCTTCGACCGTGGTTCCGTGAGGGATGCCACTCCCAACTCTAATTGCACCCCTCTCCATCCACGCCCATCACAATACCTATCCATCAATCAGTATGAGTATCCACATCCTCATAACCTTATGTCTACAGTCGCCGACCAACGTCCAAATAACCTCCATGAACCACTCTTCCTCGGAACCACTTGCTCGGCACGAATCCCCATCCCTTGCAGAACTTAAAAAAAGCCAAACCACCCGACAAGCAGTGACATCCCGAGCCATTCGCAAGCAATCCCGCGCAGGCAATAGCTTCCACACAAGCCATCCCACGTCGCTTTGAGCAGCATCTACCGCGTATATACATACGTACATCATCGGCAATCCGTCGTTGCATCCAGTCGCAGCCCGTGGATTTTTTTCAAAATCAGCCCTCAACCAAAAAATGTCCTGCCAATCCACCACTTGATAGGCTGTACGAGAATCAATATCACATTAACCGAAACCTACCACTATCAAGGGAAAGCTCGTAAATCTCCTTTTGGAAATGAGCCACCATGGCTGCTTCCGTGTCCATCTTGCAAAGACTCGGTGACGACATGAGAACAATGCACTCCCGGCGCAGCATCCATTCCATACAGCGTCGGTTTCGTCAACTGATGGCAATCTACAAAACAGAGACCAGAGCGCCGGGCTCGGTTATCGGTGGCTTCCTGATCGCATGTGGAACGTCCCCATTGTAAAGCAGACGTCTTGATTACCAGCTTGGTCCCACAAATCTTCATCACATGTCCCTTGGACGAGCATTTCCTTCTCATTCCAAATTCCAAATGTGTGGGCATGCGCCCCCTAACCACCGAGCCTTGTGCTTCAGATGCCATAATCTCTCGCGCAGAATTCTGCCCGATCAGGGTCGACTTCATTACCAGAGAGACTCATGTATAACGGGGAGTGGAGCTTCCCAGCCACCACGTGGCCATGTGTCATGACTCCTCAAGGAATATCAATGTCTCAAAACACCACGCACGAGCATCGTCACAACCGTACTCAGGTCACATGATGTTCAAGGTCCGACTGCCCACATAGCATATCGAAGACATGCAGCATGAAGCCTGCAATAATCCATCCATGATTGTGTCTGGCCATGTCGTTTGTGGCTCTAGATCCTCCTGTCCGATATCGCGCTTGCACCGCACCGGCCCATTTTCAAACTTTGTTGTCGCCTTGTCCCTGCCCGCCCACTGTTGTAGACAGCACACTAGCAAGTCCACTGTCGAATGGATTCGCCTAGCCAATTCGCGTCTAACTCGCCGCGTAGATCGCTTTAGTGCGCATCAATCCGCCGGATTCTCCCACCACGCATGTCGATCAGCTTGCAGCGCCCTTGGTCTTGCCTGGCATACCCCAAGACGAGCCTCCATGTGTGCGGATGGACGTGCATCATGGACCCTGTGGCCTCAAACACCAGATCCTGCACCCTACTACGCTATCTCTTTGCCGCTAGACAAGCGGATTTGCCCGATGTGGTGAATTGCACGTTGCTCTCAACAATTTCATACTCGTGTATACCAAAGTTGCAACCCACCACGCCAGGTACGAAACAACGGCATACCCTCTTCGAAATTTTTCCTCCTTGGGCGTTCCAAAGCTGCACATCCCAATAGCGAGCCCTGATGGCTAGGCAATCATGAAGCGACGGCGTATGATGCTGACAGTTTTGTTTCGCCTCAACTATGACATGTCAGAAACGGAAGCGATTTCATCTCCACGACCTCTGCCATCCGCTGTGTCTCCTCGCCGTCCTACCTTACACCGATGTTGCACGTCCGCGGGGGATGACAGTGCTCATCTCCAATCAGAACGTGTGGGCTCGGAATACGACATACAGATTGAGCAAGCGGGAATGTGTCTCAGACGCGTAGTCACGCTGTTGCTACTCCACGTCAGCCACACACACATTGTGAGCGTGTTGAGTTTGATAATACGGCACAAATTTCACCAGTCGCATCTCCATCGTTGCTAGAGCAATCGCTTGTATGCCGTCATCGTGAGCAAGCTAGCTCGAGCAGTCATCGTGCGAACGCAAGCACGCTGCCATATTCTCCTTGCTCTAATGATCGCTAGCTCTTTGTTTCAGGCTCATTGTAACACTAAGGTTCATTGCAGGTGTCCGACCTGGGATAGCTCCTCGTTGCACTGGGCAAGATTGCAGAAACGATGACCAGCACAACACCACCAGAGACGAGGGGAGCTGGGTCCTACACTTGCCAATATCTGTATGGCATTGGCTAATGCGCGCTGCGCTTCATTATCCACCCCAAACGTACACGATATGCATGCCTCGCCCGAGAAGGAAAAGAGAGAATGGCAAGTGGGGGCAGATAACTACACTGTCCAGTATTTCTCTACCTGTGCATGCACCGCCGCTGCCCCTTGTCCTCCTCGCTACACCACCCAAAGTCTCATCATTGTTTCTCGACGGTTGTCACCTCTCGTTGGTTACGGCAAGGACATTCTCACCAGGGGCCGGTCTATGCACTGGCCGAAGATCAGGTCGCTCATTGATTGCGATGGCATAGCAAGCGGATGCAGCAGCAATGAATATTGGCTGCAGGGTCATCACATCCGATGACGGGAAGGCCTAGTGGATGCGTGGCAAGCATGGACTGGCGGGAGGGCAAGAGAAGATGGCTCAATATCTGGTTCATGTACGGGCTGGCTGGATTTTGGGGAAGCAACGGAAAGGCAGACATTGCAACGTGGCTGTAACCTTGCGACCTTCTTGTGTGTCAGTGTGGCGAGCGATTTGGTACCGCGTACCAACCCCCATCTCTCTCCTCTCGGCACCGGTCATTGACTCCTAAGGACATCACCTCTGCCCCCCTTTCTCAGGTCAGCCAACTCGGTCACTTGCTCATAGAGAGGGTGGGAGACGGGATGACGACTGGCTGCGTCTAGACTGGGCTGGGGGTTTGAGATTTGCAGAGCTCCTTTCCATTCTTTTCGTTTCCGGACTTTTTCCCACAGCCGTACTTTCCCTGTCTCCCTTTTTCGCCCCTTTCCTTCCTCACGGCGCTGCCAGAAGATTGACGATCTGTCCCCACCCCTTTTCTGCTGCCATCAATTTGGGTCGATCGATCGATCCCTTGCCTCTTGAGTAAGCATGTCCTCGCGAAGTCGAAGAAACAATTCCAAATGGACGGCCTCGCTATCATCATTATCCGTATCATCGGCATCATGCTTACCTGCCAGACAAGTGTCTAAACCTTGATTTCCCGTCTCTTCTCCGTCAGCAGACTTGCCAATCTCCCCCTTCCCACAGCTCCGGTGTCTTTCTCACCTTCCCCATTCCGATGCTCGGGATTCTTTCTACCTCTCGCGGCTTTGCCATCTTGTCATGTTAGGGTAAGCAACGGAGTGACAAATCTTTTGTCCTCCGTGAATGTGTTGAGGTGCACATGCCTGCACTGCACTACTCGTTGATGACGCAATCCTCGTGCTCGAACAGCAAGTCCAAAGCAGCTGAAAAAGCCCGAGTAGCGAGGAGATTGAAACGTCAAGGTGATGTCAAATCGTCTATGCGATGCGTTGAGTTCGATATTTTTTCTCCTTGGGTGTGGAATGCCATGGACATGTTCCAGGGAGCCATGTAGCTGTCATACTTCCGAATATGTGCCCACCTAGTAGAGTGTCGGCTTTTTTTTTTGGTTTGTTTGTTTGAGTCGATGGGCAAGTGTAGAGAATTACACAGGCACATAGCCTGGCGGGAAGGAAGATCAGACATACAAGCAGGTAGGTAGGTAGGTGGCTAAGCTGCAATTACAGTATCGTATCCCAACAAAAATTCTCTCTGCTTGTCCCTCGTTTCCTCCTCCCTCTTCCTACACCTTCAAGCATATATAAAAAGAAGGGATTGTAGCAATCATATCGTGATTTTCCTCAAATCATCATCATCAACTTTCTCTCTCTCTCCCTCCCTCTCCCTTTCTTTCTCCATCCCAACTGGGATAGGGAAAATCATCAGCATTTGAAGTGTTTTTCTTTTCCCTCTTTGCTACTGGTTAAGACAGTATCATACATTCTACACGCATTCACCTGCACACACACACATGTATATAAATAAACGAACATATAGTTTTTTTTTTTTTTTTTTTTTTTTTTGGATTGGAAGTTATAGCGTTTCCTACACTTAAAAAGGCTGATAAAAATAATTTAACAAAAAGTAGGCAAGTACAAAAATGTTAAAAAAAGAAATTTTGCTTTCAGCACTGGGCCAGGGATGCAATACCTGATTAAACATATATATACACACTTTACAATTTTAACAAATCTAAGCCCTTTTTTCAAATCTATTAGATAGTGTCTGTTTATTTGTTCCTTCTTCTTCGTCTTCTTCTTATTATTTCTAGGTTGAGAGTTTAGGTGATTCTACATACAGCGAAGGGTGTTAAAACGATAAATAAACCTATAAAAGAACAGGCAATAAATGTTCCTACTTCTTCTTAGCTACTAGAGGTGACATAAACGCACATATATAGAAAAGATACATAATCAAGTGCGGTAAAGAAAATAATAGAAATCCTTTTCCATCCACAACTGTCTATATGCCTTTACTCTGATCGTGCCAAGCTGGCAACGATTCATCTCAACTATCAAACGACCTTGCTTTAACAATTGAAGTGTGTGTTTAGGTGGAAAACACGCAATTAGATAACAAGCTGCCTGGAAATAACAGGGTAACAGATCTTTTATTTATGTATAGAAAGGAGGTGGGAGATTTAAGCTGGGACGGACTCTCTCTCTCCTCTAGGACTTCTTTCTTTCTGTTTTTTTTTTGTCTTTCTTTTCTTCTTCTTATAGATATTAAGGATGCTAGAGAGGGGAAGGAGTATAAATCAGGCATGTAGTATGAAGAAGGCAATTAATTCTTTTAGTCGTCGCTTGTTTTTTTTTAGTCTGTTTATTGTCGTATCCTATCGCTATGTGTAGGATCACCTAAACTCCAACTCAGAATTAATAAAAATAAAGAAGGTATAGAGTATAAAAAAGGTAGGTAGTATTAAGAGGGCAGGTAGCACAAAGAAGGCGAAGAATACAAAAAAGGCACGTAAATTAAAAGAAGGCAAGGAATACAGGAATACGAAAAAGGCAATGCATACAAAGAAGGCGAGTAAGAAAATGAAAATCTAGAGTAACTAAAAATAGTAAAATATTAGTACTGCTATACATTAGCGAATGCCCACCTAACAAGGCGTGAAGTTTGTGTTGTCCAGTCTCGCCCCCAGCAAAGGCGATGTTAGTGGTTTCGTACAGCATATTGCCACCTCGGGTACATATTGAGAGTGCAATTGAGAAGTATCTCATCAAATCATAACCTGCTATACAGGTGGCCTTCCCTTCATCGATTGATGATTTGTTGTTTCTGGCAGATGCAACTACATGATTATGGCCGGATGTAACCCTCAAGTGCTATACTATGCTCAAGCGATGAAGATGCGTCAGGTCGACCGGCTCCACCCCCATCATACACGGTGTTCGAGCCCTTGTATTTGAGCGATTGAAATTTCCTTGGCTCCAGATTTTGCAATATATAAAGGGCCTCTTCCGAATCTTTTTCCCTTCTTCCTCTTCCTCCACCACGTTTCAAACAGAACAACTCGGTCTTCAAACGATCATCGGCGAAAAATATTAATATCAACGACGGTTAGTCTTCTACGAAAGAATCTTCACAATCTATATCCACGGCCCAACCAACTTAACACAAACCAGTCCCAAGAATCCACCATGCAGATCTCAATTACCCACATGTCCGCTCTCATCGCCGCACTTGCGATCCAGACAAGTGCCTACGACTGCTAGAAGAACACAAACGATGCCGGGCGCTGGAAGGACTCCAAAAGTCCCGCGGACCGCCTTGTCGAGCTTTGCAAGCGCAGCAGCAACGATGAATCTTTCCAAGCAGAAGCGGGAAAGATGTTGGTTTCCGGAGCGCGCAACGAAGACTTCTGTAACTTTGTTTGGGGATGGGACGGGAGCCAGCAGAGCTGGCATGACGATTGGTTCCTGTGGTCGGATGTTAGCTGTGATGGAGGGGTACCGGGATTCGAAGACGATATGCAGATTCGAATCGTCTAGGACTCTAGGTAGATCGGATATATTTGGCTAGCTCGTCGGTTTTGCATGAGGACTTGGCTGTAGTTTCCAACAAGCTTGCAAAGAATTCAGGCTTCAACGTATAACATCCCTCCCTGCCTGCCTTCGAGAAACCCATGTGAGCCGAGGACGATCCACTCACTCATACTACACATTTTATGCTCTCCTTCTTCTTTGAACTGTCCCATATTTTTGATTTTTGTGCGTTACGATCCTGCTTCTTCGATATTTCTGCTACCAGGACTGAGCTAGCATACTAAGAAATACGACAATCTCGATTATGATATCGATTATTCTACTTTTTTGTCGCTCAGACGCAAGGGCCTAGGTATCTCTGCAGACAAATCTTAAGTAAGTGTTGCTGGATACTGTCCATATTTACAGTTCGCATGTAGCTTCTCGACATTCTAGTATATTCTCTAAAGCCCCTGGAACTGTAATAGACATAGTATCTAACTGGAGAATAGGGGTACGTTAACGCATCAACTCCCCACACTACAGATAAAGTGCTTAGAAATACAGCTAAAAGTGAGTTCAAAATAAATTGATTTTTCTAGAAGTTTTACTAAGAAATGTATTCAAAATAAGTAAATAGTATTGTCTCACATTAAACAGTCTTGACTCCCGATTCCTGCTTTTGGGTGAAGGCAAAACTCGATTGGTCTTTTTGGTAATCGCTCGTTATTTTGGTATTTTCCTCGTTGTAACCCATCGCTGTGTGTAGGATCACCTTAACTCCCACTCAAAAAATAAAAAACAGTCTTAAAATAGGCGTGCACACGTAGAAAGTGCTTAGCATTACACATACAAATAATTAGCCAGAGCCTAGGTAACTGTATATATGGCAATTTCAATAATGACAAAGATACTAAAGATAGGCAGCTACTAAGATGGTTCAAATTCTACGCATTCATGCAAGTTCTCAAAGCGAAAGCAAAGATATGGAAGTATCCTTTCAATATACACAAAAATAGAGAAACATGTTTTATGAGTTGGAGCGGTACTACAAGTTAGGGGGTCGGCAGAAGTAAACTGGTAGTATAAGGATGTAATGCACAGGATTGAACGATGAAGGTAGCGGATACTATCCGGGACTATATGGATAAGACGAGCTGTGTTTTCACTGGATGTGTGCGATCACGCTGCTGCTGGATCTACGGATAATTCAGTAGATGGTGGGTATGCACCCTTCTTTAGTTATGTTTTTCCGAGCACCTTTTCAAAGTGAAGGGGGATTTTTTCTTCATGAGAGCGGAATACGTGATTACAGTCTCTTGGTATGAAGAAAAGGGAAGGGAGTGGCTGTTTGGAGTAGGCTGATGTGTACCCGTTTTCTTCCGTGTAGAAAGTGATCACGGCACGCGCATGAATGATGTATGAACGTCGATGAAGCTCATTTGTAATTACGCTCAATGAAGTGTATGAGACTGGATCTATTACATGCATAGGTAGGATCGTGTGCCACGTCAACACGTGGAATCAGTTAGTGATATCAAAAAGGGAAAGAGGAGGAAAAGGTACACGGGAGACATATGCGAGCACAGTCTTCGGCTTGACGTGTGGTGATTCATAATGTGTGAAGAAGCGAGAACACCTATCTTGCGCCAAATCAATGACTGTACCTAGTCTGGAAAGGAATGAACTTGTACATAATAATGACAACGTTCCTCGATTTCCATATGCAAAAAGACCAATTCGCGACTTAAAGCGAATACTGCCTAAAATACGGACACTTTCCTCCAACACACGACAAATAAACACAAATGAAAGGGCAAAACAAGTGGACTTGACTTGACTGATTGATTGATTGAGTTTGATTTCGTGGGCTAATCGAGGCTACCCCGCTATGATACATTCGACGTCCGCACCGTTCCAGCCCGTCTATGCTTTGATTCCATCCACCTCCGGACAAAAGAGAAATAAATCGGCAGAGTGGGGCGCTTATTTGGAGAGGGCTTGGGCACGCTCGTTCTCGATCTTCTCGTAGTAGCTGTCGCGGTGACGCACGGCAGGGACGTGGTAGCCTGCTCGGGTGTCAGTCCTTAGAATTCAACCAACCCTCCCTTTGACCCGAATTTGATCGCGAGGCTTTCGAAGTGTACTCGTACGTACCGTACCACCATCCGTAGCCACCAGCTACGCCGAGACCTGCACTAGAGTTAGCAGAGGCTCTTTATCCTTGGGTGTAGCTGGAAGCTGCTGGGAGCTATTTGGCGCTCGTTCTAGCAGTTTTTCAAGGCAACGTACCCATCGCAACGGAAAGGTCGAGCACGATTGTCCTCCGGAGCATCTGCATATCGGTGGTTAGCTTTGTGCTGTGACGCAGACCCCCTGGGGTTTCAGGGTCGCTCAATTGCAGCACATACACCGGTAACAGGTTTGAAAGCCATGGCGAATATGATTTTGGTGAGTGGAGAGGTATCCGAGTCGGGGCGTGGGTGCGTGGAGCTGGGGGTGTATGTTGAAGCTTGCTCGTCGTTCACCTGGCGTGATGCGAAAGACGGACGTGCACGGGCCAATCGAGATTACATAAGAATGCGCACAGGTCACTGTCGTTAGCCCGTCCGCGGTTTGGGGAGCTCCAGCAGCTGGACAAACCTCTTCCAGCAACGCAGCGCGCAATCGCTGTCTGTCGACAATAAGAACGCCTTCACCTTCGACTCATCGGCACGTAAACGATTCCTCGATCGCGCTTCCACCAGAATCCGCCGTCCGCCTGAATATCGTCCCGCTATCCTCCTTCCTACACGCGCCCTATCTCTAACACACACATCACCATTATCTCAACAGCGACAGAGCCAGCCTAGGTTTATGCCCGGCCTGATTTCGCCCATCAGTGCCGCCAGTCACGGTACTGACGCAGGCATGAATGCCACAGGCTTGAAGCGGGTGCGCGATGAGGAGGCAGTACCGACATATGGCGAGGCGCATCCTAAGAAACGCAAAGTCGTCCACAGGCTTCATCATACCCAACCCACGCATCAAATCACAGAGCCTAACAACGGTGGTTTCGGCGCAACAGGCGACAAGCAATTCTTCGATTTCCAGCTACGTCGGGCAATTGCGGTGCAATGTAAAGGCATCGGGTTCGACAGCGCGCGGCCGGAAGCCCTGGAGCAGTTCAGCGGGCTGGTTGATGACTGTATGACCTCGCTCACCTGTTATGAACAGGCTGCTGCCTTGTGAATTTTGCATCGCTGACCTTGCCAAGTTATGACCAATTTTCTCGCAGAAGTTCGCAAGTCCATGTCCAGCGCGCGACGCACCGAAACCGTACCCCACGACTGGATTTGTGGGCTCAAGTCGGCTGGCATTAATGGATCCTCCGACCTCGAAAGCCACCTTGATTATGGATCAGTGCCGTCACAGCTCTTACAACCTCCACTCGCTTCGTCAGACACGACCGAAGTCCCACCACCCGATCTCGAGGGGCTTTTAGGCCCAGAACTATCCGGTAAATCTGATAAAGAAAGCCGAAAATACATCCCAGCGCATTTCCCACCATTTCCTTCCAAACACACCTACAAGGCGACGCCAGTGTTTTCCCACCGCGAAAACGATCCACGCAGTATACGGGAGAAGGCTGCAGAGGAAGGAATAGCAGCAGAGAAGAGCTTACGCACGCTCATGGTCGCACAGAAAGCCGGCCTACAGAAGCGAAGAGGCGGAAAGCGAAAACAAAGCGAAATTATGCAGAAGAGAAACGCAGCATTCAAGCTGGCTATGGAAGAGAGTCTACAAGACGAAGCTGAGCGCGAAGCCAAAGAAAACAGGCGACGTGCAGCCCTTGACCGCGAAGACGACGAGTGGGAGGCAGGAACCCACACAATAACAACGACACAAACACAGTATGAAAGAAAAGTCAATCTAGACGAAGGGGTACAGGTCAACTATGACCGCAAATTCTGGCGCAGAAACGCCCGAGGTGTATGAGTAACACCATAATGTGTCGATGCGGGAAAATCATTGGAATGGTGTTTATGTGGGATCTTTTGCACAGCATTTCAGCGAAGGCGTTTTGTCGGTTTCATACTATTGGCTTTGTCTTGCTTCATTCTCCGAGGGGACTTGGCCACGACTTCAGTGGCAGATTGCATTTTCTACAGGTGTTTTCTGGGCAGATATACATGCTTTGGTTCTGCTCCCGGCTCTATAGTTGTTTTATTGATTGAGGCTAGATTGGCTTCAGCTTGCCTAATCTACCTGTTCTGAGAAAATAAAAGAAGACCCAATGCAATTGGATATTTGAATTTCAATCATCCCAGTAATTTATCCATCGTACAAATTGTTCTTGATGCACGGGCTTTAGTATGTAGAAGTTCTACGTCGTCTTCCCCTCCTTCACTCCCGACTGCTGCAGCTGCCCCGCTTTCCACTCCTCCCATGCCGTAGTCTCAACATGCATTCCATTCGCGCACCTACAGCATCAATTGCGTCAGTACAGAGCTAGCCTGCAATACGAACAGAACCCTGTACATCCATTTCCCGCGCCAAGAATCTACGATCTGGATTCCCCATATCGCGCGACCCAAAACGACGACCAATCAAGAAGACGAACAAAAAGGCAAATGCTTACACTCTGAATAACCTCACGACCGGGTCGCATATAACGACTGGCCTTTTCGCTCCTTTCGGCTTCTCGGCATTGCACTTGTACTGCGTTATTTCTTTGAGGGGGCAATCGGTCAGGGCGCGCGGCGGCGGCGGTGTGTTGTTTTTCCGTAGCCGTTGTGTAGGGCTGGTTGCGAAGGGACTCTGGGGTTGGACCGCAGTAGCGTGTTGCTCGAGGTCAGAGAGGGAGATTAAGGGGATTGGAGGGGCCATTCTTTTGTTGATGTAAAAGAGAATTTAGGGGAAGAGAAGGCTTGTTTGCGGTGTTGAAGATTAGAGGAAGAGATGGATGACGATGCGAGGAGGTTAGGGGAGAGGCTGTTAGGAGAAGTCGAGAGTGAGGGTCTGAGCGAGGTATGTGTATATATGGTCAGATGAATGACTATGAAGGATTGAATCGACACAACAACTCGGAATTGTTCAGTTTCTCAATCATTCATTGACTTTATTGTATCTAGAAAAGATCATTATACTGACGCTGAGATAGTTATTCGCTTCATTGCGGGAACTGTCACTCCCTCCAAACCACATCCCATCCATCTTCGGAATCCCCAAACTCGACGCCCTCCTCTCTCAACCGCAACAACACAGACTCCCTCCTCCAAACCCAGCACCACCAACATCCTCACCGCACCATCATCAGCCCGGACAGGAAATCAACCCACAACCCTCCTCACCTCCCCGACATCCAACCAGCACCACCCAACCTCACCCCCTAACAATCGACCTCATCTCCCCACCCTACTCAACCCATCCCTCAGGCAGCGGAAAATCAACCCTAACCTCCCTCCTAATCATCTACGCCATCCTCCCGCAATCCCTCCTCGGCGTCCCTCTGAACGGCACCGCAAGCACGATCATCCTCTTCGACCCCCTCTCCCGTTTCCACACCCCCCGCCTCACCCAATTCCTCCTGCACCACCTCACCACCGTCCTCTCCTCCCACAATCACTCCCCCAACGCTCCACACGTCCGGAAAGAGATCTTACAATGCATACGTACCGCACTATCACGTGTGCTTATCTTCCGACCCGCAGGATGGACAGCGCTCCTAGCGACCCTAACCTCTTTATCATCGTCGCTGCTCGCCACCAACGACTCCCAAAGAGTATTGCTATCCTCGAACAGTAAGATTCACGCAGTCATCTTCGAAGACGTGCATGCTTTCACGCCGCATATTCGCGCTGCATCTATACCTTCTGTATCGGCGAATCCTTCTCCGCTGGCCCTCCTTGCACCGTATATACGTACCTTGCATGAGACGTTACGTCCTGAGGTGGTGGTGCTGACGTCGCTGTCTCCTACCCCGATCTCGTCGATACAGCATGGTGGTGCGGTGGGGGCGAGTGTGAGTGGGGTGGCGGTTACGCGGGTTGCGGTGAGGAGGGTGGAAGTTACGAGGTTTGCGCCTGGGGTTAGTGTTGAGGAGGCCGAGGGGGAGAGGGGGATGAGGTGGGAGGTTGTTAAAAGGGGGAGGTTTGAGGTTTGGAGGGTTGGTGGGAGTGGTGCTGCTGGAGAGGTGGTGCGGTTTAGGATTGAGGGGACGGGGAATGTGTGGTTTGAAGGGGATGATGGGGTGACGAATGGATGAGAGTGTGGGATTGGGGAAGCGGATATCAGTCTTTTCTCCTTTCTTATTTCCCTTCTTTCTCCTGCAGTTGTTGAGGAGGGGGAAATAGTGTCTAGATACCCAATCAGATTTTTTCTTTTGCTTCCAGTGAGTTTTCATATGGTTGTTTTGTAACATGATATATGATACAGTATTGAACAAGGCGTAGTAAACAAAGAATATGTAAGCTGTACATGCTCAACCGCTGTTCTTTTCCAGCTTGCTTCCGCAAAAATGCATATACTTATGAACACACGCGTACACACCAGCTGCGCGGCTTCTATCTTACACATTGTTTCCACCGTCGTTCCCCATCATCTGCGAGACGGTGTATCCCTTAGCGGCCATCGCATTTCCCCTCTGCGATTATCACTCCATTGGATATGTGGACGAAGGAAGCACCGCTTTTAAGCGTCGCGCCCCCAGAGCGCCTTCCTCCTGACCCTATCTTCTCGGGCCTCACGCCTCCTAGTACCCCACCTCGACGTTGCAATCTCGTGTGCCTCGCTCACACGCTGCGCCTTCTCCTTGTTCTTCGCTATCATACCCACGAAGAATTGACTGCAACCAAACTTCTCCGCCAATTTGACTCGGGTCCATGTGTCTGGATCTTCGTTTCGCAGACGCCGAATCTCTTGGAAGTCTGCCTCGGTGAGGTGGTATTTCTTTTCATAAGGGGTACGCAGAGGCTCTGGGAGCGCGGACGAGGGGCGCGGCGGAAGACGAGACGAGGTTGAGTAATCGGATAGTGGTGATGCATTGGTTGTGTGCAATGGCGTGCCCGGCTGTGCGATGTTGGGTGTCGAGGTGCGGTGCGCAGCGTGGGTAGCGGAGTTGAGGAAGGCAGTGTACATTTGTCGTCTGCGATCATCCTTGGGTAGAAACTTCAATGGCGTATGGTATACATTTGGCGCGGATGATGGCGGATTGAAGACCAGAGTTGGTTGAGGAGTGGATGGGACGAACGATGGTGCACCAGGCACGACGAGGAGTTTACGATGCCGACGGGTGGTCGATTCGTGCCGGGTCTGGACCTGTGGGAGGAGAGAAGGTTTTTGAGCCCTAAGGCATATCCGCGCGAGCGGTTTACATGTTGACATTATGAAAGGATGGCCAGATGGCTGACAACGAGACAGCTTGTGATGGTGTTTAGGAGCGAAGGTAGATTTTATCGGGGAAGGTTATTCCGGCCGCCGTGCGATGATTGGTCAATGCTCGCCCATACCCTTTAGCTCTACTACTTGACTAAGGACGCATTCTCAAATGTCGTTGATAGAAACGTGCATGTATGCTATTGTTCGATAATGACATAATCAAACCTGAAAGTAAGTTGTGTGGAAACTTGATGGAATGCGATGGTTATATTCCGGGTAGCTCCCGTTATTCTGGTATACAAATCTACTATTTCAACTCCTCCGCGACGTAGTGCAGATACGCACCCAACAGCTTGGTGCCCTCGATGTAGTTCCTCTTGTCTAGCTTCTCGTTGATCGAGTGCGCACCGTCCGTTGAGCTGCCCATGGGCAAAAGCAGGACACTCTTCTTGAGTTCTTCCTGGAAGGTCAAGGTAACGGGAATACTGCCTCCCTCCCTAGTCATGTCGGGCTTGACGCCAAAGACTCTCTCCACCGCCTTGGCCGCACCTGTGTAGTTGGGGTGGTTGGGGTCTTCTACCCACCATTTACCTACATGCATCACGTTGAACTTCATTTTGTTCTTGGAGTTGAGTTTGGCGAACTCCTCGTTCACGTGCTTCTCGACAAGGGCAGTCACGTCGTCGATCTCCATGTTGGGCACTGTGCGGATGGAGAATTTGCCAATGACCTTGGCGGGAATGACTGTTTTGGCACCAGGTGTGGCGAACGCGCCTTCAATGCCGTGGAGCGAGAGCGATGGGTATCTCATCTTGTGCTTCAGCGAGTCTTCTTTGTTGTCGTAGATGGAGGTTTCGCTGCCGAGACCCTCATGGAGATCGCTCATGGTGAATGCGATAGGGGGGTAGAGCGCGTCCTCTTCTTTGCTCAAAGGAGCCACAAGGTCGTCGATGCCCTTGATCAAAATCTTGCCGCGGGAATCGACAAAAGAGTTCATGAGGTGGATGAGATCAGTCATGGGCTCGTGGGTCATACCGCCGTACACTCCAGAGTGCAAATCGGCGCCGGGTCCAGAGAGTTCGAGGGAGTAGTAGTTGCACCCACGGACACCATATGTCAAGCAAGGTTTCTCGGTACCCAGCCAGTAGTTATCAGAGATGCAGACGACGTCGGTATCCTTGAAGAACTTCTTCGCCTCGGCACGGATAGTGTCATCTAGGCCTTCAGAACCGTTCTCCTCCATACCCTCAAAGCACATGATTAGGTTGACTGGAAGCTCCACACCGGCCTTTTGGTGAGCTTCGATGGCGTTCAACCAGCCCAGTACAGGGCCTTTGTCGTCGGTGCTGCCACGTCCAAACATACGGCCCTTGTCGTCGATCTGGAGCTCAAAAGGTTCCGTGTTCCAGCCGTCCGTCTTTCGCGCAGGTTGTACGTCGTAGTGGCCGTAGATGAGGACATTCTTCTTCTTTGGGTCATCGCCATAGCGGCCTAGGAGAACAGGAGGAAGCACGAGGTGTTCGTGGCCGGGCTGCTGTCCAAGCTCGCGGATCTCAACGGTGCCACCGAGGGCTTTGATTTGACCGGCGAGCCAGTGTCCCATCTACGAAAATGTATTAGTTTCATCTGCCATCGCTGAAGCTGGAGGAGCTCACCTTGATGACGTCCTCCCGCCTGTCATCTTCAGAGCTGATACTGGGAATGGCAACTGCTTCTCTGAGCCTGTCGATGAAAGCGTCTTGAAGGCTGTCCACCTGCTTGAAGAAAGGGTCGAGGTGTGCCATTTTGTTATAAGGTTTGTGCAGATAGGGCCAAACTTTGGCAGTGCTTTCAGTTCGAAATCGCGGGGTCGAGGAACAGGATCGGTGTGGAGCAAATCTCGAGGGCAGTCGGTATTGGGGAGAACAGGAGGAAAGAGAAATAGAAGTACGGGCGGCTACTAGCGGTGCAGCGAAGCGGAAGGGTGTCAATGAGGAAGGTGTAAGCACCGCCCGAGAAAGGAGGGGCAGGCGGGGCATATTAATTTTCCTTGCATCGCGTGTGAGAACGGCGAGCTGAGTGGGATGCACAACACACGGCATCACCCCGCGCGATTCCTAGCTAAGCTTTCGCGATCGTGGCCCAAGCTCCGAGACAAGCACTCTTGACATCTGCATCCAAACGCAAATCACGATAGATGTGCTTGTATGATACCTGTACACCTGTGTACATTTGATTTACTCTGATGTAATATAGCAGATGGAGGCAAATACCAATCAAAATACATGCAGCCCCTCATGATGTGTTCTCTGCATGCAAGCGCTTGACTACCACAGGACATATGTCGCCCGACACGCTTGAAACATGCAACAACAACAACAATGAAGAAGAAGAAAAAACCCCTAGGTATGACGCTAATTGTACATGGAACAATGAAACAAGACTGGATAACAGCTCAATATTTATGCAGAGTATGCAGAATTCAGAGCGCGAGAATAGACAACTCGAGCTTCGTAAGGTATACAAGCAGTGATCAAATGGCAGCCAAGGGGTTTGCTTTTGTCGAAAGAGGACTGAGGTCTTCTTCTCTGGGCGGCAATTTGTCATGGTCATTGGCACCATCCGCCCCAAAATTGGGTTCCCTAAACATTGGCTTGTCGTCGGTTGAGATAGGAGCTGTAATCGGCACAGCCTCGTCTTCGGGTGCAGCAGTCTCGGAAGGAGCAGTCTCGGGAGGGGAAACTCTGACCTCCGGAGTAGCAACAGAGTGTTCTGGCAGGGATCTGAGCGGTGGCACTGGGTGATCAGGTGACTTGAGGTGCTCGAATTCGATGACCGAGGAGCGCCGTAACTCATCGAGCTTAGCTTGGGGATTCTTGACACGCATTCAAAGTTAGCTCGGCATGTACACAACCAACTAGGATGTGCAAAACGCTATTTTGCAGCAGTCGCAGTGTTTGAAGCAGGCTCGGATGCAAATGCAGGCTTGGACTCGGGTCGAGGCTCGGTGGACGATTCGGTCGCTGTGGAATCAGAGGTAGAAGATTTAATGAAGAAGTTCGGATCGGTCAAAGATGCCAACGGTGCACCTTTTGAACTCACACCAGCACGATATGGTGCGGTCGTTGGCTTGGATGTCGTTGAAGTCGGTGTTGCTTGAGTCATCTTCTTAGGTTCCAGCTTCTTGTGGAGGCCAGCAAGCTCGAGTTTCAATGGGGGCTTCGTGAGCTTTGGGGGGTTTTTCTCGATGATCGGCTTTGCATCCAATTTAACAATAGTGGGAAGTGAAGTTGCAGGAACAGAACGACGACGGTGAAAGTCTGAAGCGCTGACAGAGGAAAATCCGCAACTTGGACATACCCATTCAGCTTGCGGCGGAACGCCTTCGGCTTGAGGAAGCTCTCCCTGGTCATCCCTCTCCTCACCCCAAAATGTCGGTCTTCGAACAGGCGCGGGAGTTACGGGAAGACTTGGACGTTCGATAGCGGACGGAAAATCGGTGATGAGCAGGCTCTCCCGGCGGTTGCTACGATCGTTGGTAGGGGACATGACGTCTTCCGCATCAGCGTGATTGGTGAGAACCTGCGTCTGACCTCGTCGAGTTTGATTCTCAAAGATAGCACGGACGTATGTGTCAATTCCTGGCACGCTGTCCCAGGCATTTGCATTACTTTCCTGGAAAGCCTGCCATGACTCGTCAGCAGTTTTTGGCGAAGTAGCTCGCCCGGGACCGTTCAGGCCAGGCGCTACGTCTTCTTCGGGTGATTGCTCAAAGTGCACAGTGGAGAATGTATGCACTGGTGACGGCGCATGTTCTGGTTCAGGTTCTGGGGGGAGGTCTTCCACGAACACCCGCGTGGGTTTTGGTCTGTCGTCTTGCCGCTCCCACGGAAAGATGGGTTTGGGTTTCTCAGCAGGCTTGGGCTTTTCCTCAGGAACTTTATACCACATGTCTTTTGGAGGTTCGGGATACGATTTTGGAGCGCTAAACAGTTGATGGCTTTGGCTGAAGACGTATGTTTCGGTAGGGAAATTTGCAGCCTCTGGTTTCGCGTCGGTCGGCGGCTCGAACCTGCCTTTGTGAGTGGACTAAGCTGATTGGTACTGGTTGTAGGCACTTACTTGGTTGCATCCCATTCCATTTGCGGGGCCGAGAACCTGCGTTGCTCAGCAGTCGGAGTTGGCTCTATCACACCTTGGTCAATATTTTCTGATACCTCTCCTGGTTCGGAAAGAGGTTGCTCAGTGGAGGTGACAGGGGCTTCAGGTTGCATTACGATCTCAGGTACAGGGGGTGGGGGATCAGAAATGTGCTGGGGAGTTGCGGTGCTTGCATCAGCACTCTTCTCACCCTGCACATGTTGCTGAACCACCACTGAAGACCGCTTTTCAGATTGAGACGTAGAAGCGGCTGAGGACTGCTTGAGATGCTTGTCATAGACCGCCCACCATCGTGCGAGAAGCTCATTGTAGACACCATAACCACCATGAGATTCTCGTCCAGCTTTCCATGGTTTGTCTGTGCCAATAAAGTGTACAGCGCTGATGTCTCTCTTGTAGTATCGATATGCGGGCTCCCATTGGTATTGTGCATTTGGTGTGCAGTTGTATGTGAAACTCAGGCGATGCCAATTCTTGTGTTCGTAATACTGGTTCAACAAGCCCTGGTCAGCTCCATCAAAACTGTCCCCAGCGGCTGCCATAGTCTTGAGTGCCCAGTAGTCACCCATATCTGGAGTCAATGCCATTACACCGGTATTGAATGCATCGGGCCAACCGGTATCGGGAGCAGCAGCAAACGGAGCGTCGATGTCGAAAAGCTCATCCAAGTTGCGGAGAGCAACAACATCAGCGTCGAGGTATACAATTTTTCGAAACTGTGTTTGTCTCCAGAGGGCGATCTTGGTAAAGCAAAAGACGAGGTCCGGACGACCCATAAGATAGAGGTTTGAAGGAGAAGGGTTACGGATACGCTCGACGGGGATAAGATAGTCGTACAAAGGACGGAGTTCTGTTATCGTATCGGAAGATAATGTATCCAGAGTGATGAGAGCTGCAAGCTTCTTCTTGGTACCGGCATCGCGAAGGGAATGCGCGAGGACAATAGCTCCTAGACGGTGGAGTCAGCGAGACTGAGGTGTGGGTGCGAGTCTTGTGGACGAACCTGGGAGATACGAGTCGCTCATAAGCAGCTGCGTCAAGGTTAGCTCGCGTGCTTCCGACCTCCATCATCCACCGAAGTAGCTTACCGTGCAGTACACATCTTCCAGCTGCCTCGCCATGTTGAAGTGATTTGGCAGGAAGAGAAGAAGAAAGAAGGAGTTGATGATCTGAGTTGTAGGAAGGTTGCACGGTCACGCACCGGACCGGATTGCGGGCAGCGGGTTGTTTGTTCCTTGACCTCGAGCTCTCGAGGTGTCTCTGCGCAGGCTTCCCCGCAGTTATGAGGCCGGTGATCGCTGCGAGCCAAGTGGCAGCGCAAAAAGCACCAATTGGGCTATGGCGATTGCTGCATCAAACGATTGGCATCGTTGGTTCGATCAAGAAAGAACAGATGCGCCAGAATGATTGAGGGTGAATAACGTAGTGTTTTTGAAGAGTTGCTTCGACGAAACGGTTGAGGGTTGAAGAGCAGGGTGCGCAAATAAACATCCAAAGTGAACGATGGCCGAACTATTGCATGCACAATGACACAGCACGAGCCACGGAAGAACGTCAACGCCTGGAGCTATGGCCATGCTAATCAACAACGGGTTAATCAGGCCACATTGCCAGGCTTGACGGAGCGCCCTGCCGTTCCCTGTTTGCTCGTTCGGTTGATTCATCGTACCATCAGCCGATTGAATTGATGCTGCGAGCATTCAACATGCCTAAGAAACCGCCTTGACACCGCCAAGTGCACAAGTAGCTGCTCCTGAAAGACATCTGGAAAGAAAGAGAATGTGTACGTTCACCACTCCACATCCATATTCTACCACTGCATTCTCCGTGTTCCTTTCCGACTGGTTCTTTGCCTGTAGTTCAACCAGGACCCTATATATTGCATACAGTCTGTACATATAGTTCTATGTCGTACATACTCCATGACCCACCCCAATCCCCCCAAATCAGCCCACTGGGACAGTAAAGTCTGATAATTTCCAGCAAATACCCACCAGTAGAGCACCAATGCATGTGTCGCCAGTGACCTGCATGCTCACGGCACTGTCTCAATGGTTTAAGCTCTCCCGCACGTGCGGACGTGTTCACCACCTCCGCAATACGGCGCTTGTGATTGGCCATATCACCAGCTGCACGATAAGCGAAAGACTAAGCCCAACCTTAAACATCTATGACAGCATCCATTCCGTTCATTGTTTAGACCAGGCACCGTAAATTCCATTGGCCATCTTCTTCGCACCGTCTAGCTCAAACATCTCATCAACTACCTTGATCAGCACAAAAGCTTCCAGTATGCCAAAGCCTAGAGTGATATATTGGTTCCGTACCGACCTGCGCCTTCACGATTCCCCAGCATTGGCCGCTGCTCTCGAATTGAAGCCCTCTTGTCTTTATCCAATCTGGACTTGGGACCCACATTACGTCTACCGTGCACGAGTTGGCCCCAACCGATGGCAGTTCTTGCTGGACTGTCAAGAGGATCTTTCCAAGTCCATCACCAAGCTGAACCCCAAATCCAAGTTGTTCCTTATCAGAGAGGCTCCGCAGACTCTTTTTCCGAAGCTGTTCAAGGAATGGAAAATCACGCATCTGGTTTTCGAGAAAGATACGGATGCTTATGCCCGACAAAGGGACGAGGCGGTAATGCAGATCGCGAAGAAGGCCGGCGTAGAGGTCATCGTCAAAGTAGGCCGGACGTTGTATGATCCAGATGAATTGGTCAAGCAAAATAAGGGAAAGTCAACCATGAGCATCGCCCAGGTGCAATCTGCTGGAGCTAAGATTGGAAATATTCCACGACCGATTCCATCCCCTACGTCTCTTCCTGATCCAGGCGACCTCTCCTTATCATTTTCTCCTGAACGCCCCGAAGAGACGCCAGATTTCAATGCGTCACATCGCGAATCACAAGACAAATCCTATCAGGAACTCTCGGGCCCTAATAATGATTTCGCTATCCCCACTCTCTCCGAACTTGGTACGCTCTGAAAGTGAATTCGAAAACCCCTTGATTAGAATTTTCTGACTCTGTGTTCTTTCCATTCAGGTATCAAGCCAGCAACATCACCACATCGCGGAGGTGAGACACTGGCTCTTAGCGCACTCTCTTCCATTCTTTCAGACGTTGCATATACAGCAACCTTCGAAAAGCCCAAAACAGCACCCACAGATTTCTCGCCGCAATCTACCACTCTACTGAGTCCACACCTGCACTTCGGCAGCCTCAGCGTGCGAGAGTTTTACTGGCGCGTACAAGATATAGTAACGTCGTTCAAAAGCAAAGGAAAGAAACCGTCTGAACCCCCAACAAGTCTCACAGGTCAACTGTTATTCCGCGATATGTACTTCGGCGCACAAGCAGCACAAGGCTATGCTTTTGCACAAACTTACAACAACTCGAACATTCGCTTCATTCCCTGGCATCTACCATCTACCATCTCTCCAGATAACTCTCTCATTACGGGATCCTACCATGTCGATGACGCGCAGGCCGAATCATACTTCAGGCGCTGGAAATCTGGGACCACCGGCTTCCCTTTCGTCGACGCGCTGATGCGCCAACTCCGCCTTGAAGGCTGGATTCACCATCTTGGTAGGCACATGGTCGCGTGCTTCCTAACAAGAGGAGGTTGTTATATCGACTGGGAACGCGGCGCGGAGGTCTTTGAAGAATGGTTAATCGACCACGAAGTAGCATGTAACGTCGGGAACTGGCAATGGTTGTCGTGTACTGCCTTCTACTCGCAATACTACCGATGCTACAGCCCCGTAGCTTTTGGACGAAAGTGGGACCCCGAAGGCGCATTCGTGAAGAAGTATGTGCCGGAGCTAGAGAACTTCGATAAGAAATATGTATACGAGCCTTGGAAGGCGCCGATCGCGGATCAGAAGAAGTGGGGGTGCTTGGTCAAGGGCGATGGTGGTGGGGACGAGAGCGAGGCTACCAAAGAAGGGCTGAAGAATTACCCGAAACCCATGTTCGATTTCGATACGCAGCGTGATATATGTATCCAAGGCATGAAAAATGCGTATCGAGTCGGTTTATATGGTAATGATAAGAGAGTGCTGGACGGGACCTGGCGAACGCTCTTTGATGACGATGCCGAGGGCCCTACGACGGGAAACGATGGAATTCCTGGAGCACAGGTCGATGGAGCTAAAGAGAAAGATGTAGATGAGGGAGAAGATGCAGGAGACTTCGAATCTGATAGCAAGACTGCGCAGAAAGCAAAGAAGCCGGAACATCAGAAACCAAAGTCGGCTCGTAAACGCGAGGCCGGCCAATCGACATTAGATGGTATGGTGACACGGAAAAAGAAGAAAGATCAAGCATAGAGCAGTCGGATGGGTGCTCTTTGAGAGTCACATCCATCCTTTTGCCCATCTCGTCGACGGTCCGACGTGGACGCATACGATCTTATTTATGTTTCGCCTACGTTTGGTAGACACGAAGAAAGAAAAGATAACTATGTATTGCAAATATTCCTTATACGATACTCCATCGAGCAGTACTCGCCCCAGGGACCAATGCGTGCCTCGACATGCCCGTTTTCAGCAGGTCAAATCGCTCGTATAACGGGGCACGTATGCGGGGCGTAAACCACTTGAGATTAAAAGGCGTTTTTTCGCGCTTCGGCCAACTGCATAAAGAACCACAATTCACAATACGCACCAATTGATTCAGCCTCGTCCTGATCCCATACGTTCAAGTTCTTTTTCGATGGGAGGGAAGAAGTTCCGTTTTGCTTTCTCCGCCTCTCATATACACACTCCTCTCTCTTACGAGCCACTTGCAAAATAAACTCAACAAGGCGGATACCCCATTTACTCCAATCTCACGCGAAACCCAATGACCGAAGCAACCCACGAAATCGTAGTAGTCGGAGGCAATCTAGCAGGAGTGCAAATATCGCATTACCTGCTCCGCAAAACCATCCCAGCCCTCCAGGCTACAGACAAACACCAAACCACAGCCTACCACCTAACATTGATCTCGCCAAACACGCATCTCTTCTACAAAATCGCCGCACCACGAGCCCTCATAAACCCCACTCTCATCCCCACAGAGAAGATCTTCAAGCCGCTTACTCCAGCGTTTCAACAATACGGCGAGAGCTTCGAGTACTTGCAAGGCGAAGCCGTGGATCTAGATATCACGCACCGCGAAGTGGTAGCACGTATGTACACTGCTCGCGGGGGGGAGAGGCGCGTCAAGTATGATTCGCTCGTTATAGCTACGGGAGCGTCGACGACGTCTCCGCTGTGGTCGTTTCATGGGGGGCATGGAGAGAGCGTTAATGCGTTTCGAACTCTCTATAGGCAGCTTCCTGAAGCAGAGAGCATTGTCATTGCGGGCGGAGGTCCTGTAGGTGTAGAGACGGCGGGCGAGATTGCCTCGGCGTATCCGGATGCGAAGGTGACGCTTGTTGGCGGCGAAGCTGGGTATTTGCTTCCACGGGAGAAGGTGGCGATGGGGCTTAAAGCGGAAGACATGCTGGAAGATTTAGGCGTTGACGTCAAGGTATGTATACACATCAAGCTCTGTGAAAGTGAGATAAATGAACACATCTCATCATCGAATATCGCCAATCTTGACCACTCTTCTTCTCTGTATAGTTGGGCGTCAAACTCTCAGACGCAAACGCCTCGAGCATAACTCGGCCCATCCCCCTCAGCGACGGAACTTTCCTCTCTCCATCAGTCTTCATCAACGCTACGGGACCTCGCATATACAATACCTCGTGGCTTCCACCCGCCTGGCTCGATGATAGCGGTCAGGTACTAGTCCGCGACGCCTACTTCCGAGTTCAAACCACATCTACATCCATCTCTGCGAAAAACGTATACGTGATTGGGGACGCAGCGGCAGGATACAAACGCACAGCAATGGAACTCGATGCCATGGTCCCAACGGTAGCGTCTAGCATCGCCATCGACATCATGGTAGAGCGCAAGCTCGCGTCTCAAATGCGTGGATCATCTTTGAATGGATTGATGGGGTTAGTGAAGCCGTTTAAAAAGCCTTACGTAGGGGAGCAGATCGATTTCAAGCCTGCGCGAGATACGATGATGGTGTCGATTGGGCCGAAGGGAGGGGTTGGGGTGCGGCTTGGATGGGGCGTGCCGAGTTGGATGGTGAAGAAAGAGAAGGCGGAGCGGTTTTGCTTGGAGCTTGTTGATCCGCTTGTTGATGGGACGAAGTTTGACTGAGTGAGGGTTCGAAGGTATAGGTATGAGAGGAGGTGTTGAGTACATGGAGGCTATTAGTTCGTATCGTTCTCAGCCACGCAGTCATTGAAAACTTGGAATTTCCGGAACTTTGGATTTTCATATTTAAGATGTATTTCATGATAGGATCAGGAAGATTGTCTGTCTCGTAGTCAATATCAATTGATCGATGTTGCCACGAGAGTTGTGCTGCTGTGGCCATCAGTCATATGTACTTGTTTTTTTTCTTTCGCATGAACATGTTTGCCTACTGTCCGGTATTCGTAGTGGGCAAAAAAGGGAGTATAAGGAGGTCTGAAATATAATGGTTGCGCCTGAATATGAACTAAGCAACGAGTAGTGGAATGGGACGAGTAGAGAAGCGGCAAGGATTAGCGAGTCGGATCCTGTCGCTAAACGTGCCTCGGCTAGACGCCCTCATGCTATGTAATCTCCAATTGCGCAGCATCGAACTTTCGTCCGATCTTGGTTTTTTACGAGCACACTTTACTCCGTTGATTACGATGCGCTTTGCTCATCGACCAGGGCCAAAATCTTCCAGAACATGTATGTCGACCATCCGGCCACAATTAAGCCGGGCCCCGAGACCACGATACTCATCCTTGCTCAGGCCAGACACATGTTTTGTAATCTTACAAATCGAGTAAACCTTCAGCGCGCCACAAGTTCGCAGCGAGAAGAAAGCAATATGAAAACTGTCGCCACTCCACGAGCTCAGTCTTGATACTATCCGCGAAATTGCCTTTTTGTTTGTTTGGATGGTAGTAGAAAGCCGCGCGCGAGTCATTATGAGCGCCGTAAACCAGGTGCGTTAACCCGGTAGTTTGGGATTCCCGAATATCTTCGACGACTATGGCTCAAGGTTGGCTTACTCAAACGTCTCGCAGCTCCCACCCAACCCGGTCGATTCGAACGCTGCTTTCCTGGGCATGGGCAAAGTGCCCAGTCGCTTTCGTAATCATATTCCCTCGCCACAGTTCCCTGCGGAGCCGGACCGATACGTGTTGTATGTCAATTATGTGTGTCCTTGGGCCCACCGTGCCATCATAACCCATGCGCTCAAAGGACTTGGAGATGTAGTTCAAATAGTCGAGGCCGATTCGAGAGATCCAACACATGGATGGTACTTTTCTGGGCGCAGGGGTCCTGACCGTGACCCAATATACGGGTTTCGATGGCTAAAAGAGTTGTACTTGAAGGCAGATCAAAGTTATAGTGGAAGGATAACTGTACCGATGCTGTTTGACAAAAAACAAGGTATTTTTTTCCTTCAAATTATCCCTGAAAGCGTGTCTCTGCTCCTATACGAAAAGGGGTGTTCACACATGATTCACATCTCTTTCTGACCCGACCAAGGAACCGTGGTAAACAACGAAAGCAGTGAAATCGTGCGCATGTTCTTCTCAGCCTTCGATCACCTCCTACCCCCCGAAAAGCGCGAAATCAACAAAGGAATCACCGCCTTCGTCCCCAACCACCTCCGAAGCGAAATCGACACACTAAACAACTTCATATACGAAAATATCAACAACGGAGTCTACAAAGCCGGATTCGCCACCTCGCAAGCCGCCTATGAAGAAAACGTCATGAAACTGTTCAACGGCTTGGACCGTTTGGAACTCCATCTCTCGGAACCAGCCCATCACCCGTTTCTGTTTGGCAATTACATCACCGAGACTGATATCCGTTTGTTCACGACCATGGTCCGCTTCGATGTGGCGTACTATTGCCTTTTCAAGTGCAACTTGAAGATGATACGGTTCGACTATCCGCGCCTCCACGAGTGGCTTAGGCGCCTGTATTGGAGCGAGGGCCCGGAAACCAACGGTGGCGCTTTCAAGAAAACGACTTACTTTGAGGAGGTGAGTCAGCGCTTGCCCATGCTTCGTGACATTTGCTAACGCGTCGGGAAGATCAAAAGGGGATACGCTTCAGTGGCGGGAGGGAACGGTATGGTACCGATTGGACCTGTTCCGTACATGATGCCTCTTTGAACATTTGAACAGTCAGTTGAGGACTTGCGCGATCACCATTATGTGCATACATTTTAGTATCTTTTTTTCCCAGTCTGATTCCATTTTGGCGTTGCTGGACATGTTTAATTTTGTTCGAATTTAAGACATGGTGCAGTCGAGATATGGGGGGATGTGCAGTGTCATTGTGGAGGCAGGAGCGTCAATATACGTTTGAGTGGCTCTATCTACAGTTCGATATTACACTTCAAAGTTACCCTCCTCTGAATACGCTTCCCTCCAAATTCGCCCATGGATCAGCCTTGAAAAATTTGTATAATCATGTTCTTGAGATTGGTCCGTACAGTATATCATGGAAAATCATCATTATTCGTACATCCTGAAGTATATGTCCAAGTCTTTCACGCTAATCATACCAAACCGTATCTGCAAAATCCCAGCCCTATTCTTTCGGAACAACATGTATTTCCCACTCAGCACCATGCGGCCCCTTGACTTCACCCCTCTTCTCAGCATCTCCCAGAGGTCCGGCGGGACTCGACACCTCCTCACGAAGAAGCCCCTTCTTACTCCCATCTCTCAAAAACTCCAAAAAGTTCACCGACGTGTCAATGTATTCTCTCAACGCGACTCTACCGTTTAGTGTCGTCTTAGTAGCTAACCGCATGATCCACGGGACAATGAGCGGGGCGTCGGTGCAGGATGGGTGAGCGGAGCCCTCTGAGATTAAAATGTCAGCGGAACTGTGATCGAAGGTGAAAAGAACCCGAAACAGAAGGAAGTCCTTACTCAGGGTCATGAACCAGCCTATGCTAGTATTGGCGACTAATTTCTTGACGACGTCGAAATGCCATCCCTGGCCGTAGAACTCAACTTGCTTCTCAGTCCATCCGCCGCTTTGCATCACGAGCGTCGGCAGCTCGATTTTGTCGTTCAGCGGGCCCGAGCCTTTACCCGGGTCGAGCATGATAGCGCCGTTGATTGGCATGTCCTTGTTTGGTGCGTTCTTAAGCGCTTGCAATGCTCCCGTCGCGCCGTACGAGTGGCCTGCGACGGTGACAGCAGACATGTTAAGACGATCTTTAAAGCCGGAAAGAGCAGATTCTGGGGACTTGGGCTTGAGGTTTATGATAGGGTGTTCGGAGGAACCCTTGTTCAGGCGGGAGAAGAGCGAGATTGTTTCTTGAATTTCGGCTTCGCGGAAGTTTAGTTGGACGGTTTTGAGGTCTTCGGAGCTTAGAGGAGGGTTGGATCTGTGACAGTTGAGGATAGATTAGCAATTTCCTCGTGGGAAGACGCCCGTTGCCATGGAGAACACTTACTCTAGATCCTCTAGGTTCATATGCCAGACGTATCGCTCATCCCCGTTGGCAGAATGTACTATTGTCCCTGGTCCACTGCCATCCCTATGTTCTACGGCAGCCACCATGTAGCCGTGACTCGCTATACTACCCAAATAATGAGAGTAACTCTGCGACATGCCAGCCATACCATGCGTAAAGACCACCAATGGCAGTTTCTCCGTCTCTTGTCCCAGCCTAGGTCCATTGCTCACATCTCTCAGCTCAAGAACCTCTTGAATATTGTTTTGTCCCTTGACCTTCCCACCCATGCCAACTTTATTCACAACCTCTCCCAAATCCTCAACATCATCGGGGTTCACGGAAAGCACCGGCGCATCGACAACGCCCGGGATAACTGTCTTGGAGCCCAGTGCCCAGAGAAAAAACGTAACCACGCTCTGTAGCGGCGCAAACTTTATCCCTATCAGCCGCGCATATCCAGTTCCGATCAAGCTCACGGGCTGAGGAAGCCACGGTCGCGCCCAGGGTTGCGAACGTAAACTCGGTAGAGCAGACGGGTAGTATATGGTAATCGCTAACGTTTCGAGCTCGAATGCTTTATTTCCCGTTTCTTTGAGGGTCGCGGGATGAATCGTTCGTCGCTTGACTTCTGTTTCTAAGTCTAAGATTCCGACTTCGTAGGGTCCCGTATACAGAGGTAGAGGCGAGGTTATCGGCGTTAATGAAACGACTAGGATAAGAAATATGATCGAGGCCGAGCCGTACAACACGGCTTTTCGTGATAAGCCCAGCATTTTGACGGTGTAGTTATGTGAGGGAGATTGAAAGTGCCCTTGAAGAGCGAAGTTTGGGAACTGGAACAGTTCGGACGAAAGTGATGTTGGCTGACGACTGGTGTGGCGCACCCAACCGGGGTGTCCATGACGTAGGCCGGTTGCGGGAATGCCCGGAGAAGATGGTTAGTCAGCATTCCATGCCAACCAAACGGATGCAATCCAAGAAAAAAAGAGCACTGGCAATGTTTGAATGTGGAACATTTCGATGTTGTTCACCTGTGATTTTTCTTGATTCATTATCTTTGGAGAGTTGGGTGCCGCTTACGTTAAAGCTGTCAACACATTGCGAATTCGGATTGTACTTGGGCGCCCACCGATTTTCCTGACCATCAAGCGGAATGGCAGTCAGGATATATCCCAAACTTATACATTCGGCCAGAAAGCCTCCTCAGCGTCTAGAAGCTGTCTCCATGTGTGCTCTGCTCTCTTCACGATTTGCTCTTTCGCATTTTGATCCTGCCCAATCACCTCTTGAACCCCTTCGTTAAGAAGACTCTCGAGAGTATCCACAAACTTGATGAACTCCTCATTCGTCCAATTCGGAATGAACTCCTTTCTCATAGCTCCTCCATCCTCGTCAGAATCAAATGCTTTACTGGCTGATTCTTCTTCAGCCTGCCTTTTCGCCCAACTCCAAGCTTCAAAGTACACTTTCTCGGTCGCGAAGAACAAGACTACGCCCTCTAGCCACGGAAGCAGCGAATCTTTTGCACCTCCAGTCGTCAAGCTTCCGAACAGTTTTTCAAATCTCTTCAATCCTTCCAATTTGCGCGTTTCCTGTACAGTGAAGCCATCAGACTCTGTGAGATCAACATCTAGATCGTACCTCTCCGCCACGTCCATGAAGAACCTTTCTTCTCGGCGGATGTTGACAAGTGCATCGACCAACCAATCCAACAGTTTGATCTCGGTAGTACCGGCATATTTGCTGCCTGTTGGCTTAGAAGGCAGTTGCAGAATACGAAGAAGTTCCCCGGTCAAGCGGATGTAGCCCTGCATGTAGAGCCTGTCATTTGCAAGCCAATGTGATATGGTGCTCTTCGATAGATTTCCCGAAGCCGCACATTGGAGAAACTTAGACTGTGTTGCGCGAGTGAATTGCTCCTTGTTGATGGAGAGGAGGTGCTTTGTCAACGTCCAGGAAGCCATCTTTTTCGGTGGTTAAAATTGATGTATAGGTAGATTGCAGTAGGCGCAGAAATCGCCTGTGATACGCTGGGCTCTTGTGTTGTAACTTGACGGATGTTGAGTTCCCGAATGAGTGTTCAAAAAGGTCTGTGGTTGTACTCGATGATGTCAATACCCCGCAGCTCTATAATGAGATTTCGCGACAGCGCGCTCAACGTCGCTTGGAGTCCTGACCGGCAGTTATAGCACATTTGCTGAAGTAGTTTTCAGGTGGATTGAAAATGGGAGTACCTCATTGATCGCCAAAATTGTATATTGGAATTCATTCGCGACGATCTTCGAGGAAATGTGATCACGCGCGATGAGATGATTTATACAATGAGTAACTTTTGCGCACTCGCATTGGCATAAAATTTGATATTGTTCCACATTGAAGGCAACTGGAATTGCATGTTGTTATTCCATTTCCTGGGGAGGAGCTCTGATCGTCTCTACATGAAGCTCTACCCCTCCTGAGTCTCCGAGGACTTCATGTAGTTCTATGCCATCCTGGTCCTTTGATGAATTGGCTGAAGCCCATGGGCATTGCGAATAATCTCCTGCTTCTATAGCTTTTTGAACTGACAATTGTGCTGCCTGTTTTCTTTTTATCATCCAGATGCCATAGGCCAGGAGCGTCATAATGGCTGTCCCCACTGAAGCACCGATCGCTATCCCTGCCATCGCGACTCTGGACATTCTATTATCAACTTGTGCCGGCATACTGGTGGCCGAATCATCAGTTGTTGTGGCACTCGCCGTATTGGATGCGAGATGTGAAAATGCTGAGGAAGGAGCCGAGAAAGGTGTTGAGACGGGCAAGGAGGATATATTCGTAGTCTAAAATCGTTTAGTTCATTCAAGACTGTTTCTTGGATAGTGTTTGAAACTTACACTTGCAGTGACAATCATAATATGTCTCTGGTATATGCTACTCAAATATGGGCCTGGTTTCATGACACTCTGCCATTTTGAATTGATATCATAATGTGAAACGCATCCAAACTTAGTCTTCCAACTATCGAGACTCGTCCTAGGTACACACCCCATAAATCTTTTGCGCCTTCATATTAGCTGATGCAAAAGAAAGATGGTGGTTGCAGGGGTTGTTTAAGAACTCTAAATCCGCTTACTGAGGGCAGCAATAGGTGACGTCCAACGTTGATGTCTCAATGGTAGCCGAGCTGGCGCAAGCGCTTGTCCATCCCGCTGGGCAAATTCCTGGTAAATATATAATCGAAGTTTCGGAGAAGGGAAAGCCTTGCGGAAAACAGCTTGCAGTGTTGGCACCAGGGGCTATGAACCACTGTGTACTCCATTGTGCGAGTTTTCTTGTTTCCCAGCAATCTGCTGGGGGAGTAAAAGTGCTGGTGAGCGGCAAAGTCTTGGTGGGAATTGGTGCGGTGATGTTGGCCATGTTCTTTTGCTTTGTAGTGTATGTATATTCGGTAAAACGAATATTGATGGACCTCAGAGATTAATTAGAACTCAGAGCGAGGCTGCTATATACCCCTCGCCTCATCTAATGGTACTATTATGTAACATGCAAACTGGATATCCGACGCCAAGTTGCATGAGCCGGGTGCACTGGCTGTTCAACTCCGCGATCGAAAATGACCCCTTGTCTGCTTCGTGATTCGCCGTGTCGTATATAATACCGTTTCGTTTGGGGTCTGCAACGACAAACTGGGGCACTCCTTGAAACCTGAAGGCAATTGTGTCTCTCATGCTCCCACCATAACTCTGTATGCTGTTGTTGCGATCGTCTCTGAGTGACTCAGACTCTGGCCCTTTTGTTATGCAAGTATGTTCAACGAAAGTGGTATAGCATACGCCGGAGTCACTTCAGACCTCAAAAATGTTGCTCGTAATAATTACGCGTTATGGTAACTGTTACTAGGGCCATAAGTGCAGGCCTTTAGGATCTTGTGAAGGCAGAGCCTCCGAGCCTCAGATGTGTTATGGTATTGTTAGGCGTTTTTACTTCAAGCTGTTAATGGGGAATATGGATTTGAATTGAAGAGAATAAAGTTATTGAAAAAAGCGAAAATTTCTCCAAGTTTTGTATTGAATCAAGTCACTGTGGGATCACCTACATGTGTACCTAGGTAGTTATTCATAGGTTCGAAACCACCATTGCGAAGCACGTGAAGCAAGACGTGTAAGATGCTATATAGCACCAGCCACATGAATAAAATCGATGAATGTATTGCACATATAAATGAATAACATTGAAAGTTGTGCTTTACATTGACAGCATTACGTGGTTGGAACTTCAATGATCTTTAACGTGCGCTGGCTTGCCATTCCAGTCTGGTCACTCGAACAGCTCAGTCATCAGTGAACAGAAACGTCTCATCAAACAAACCAGCCTACTTTCACATCGTATGGGAAATATTTAAAGCCGCTGGTGTGCAGTTCCCGAACGGCCATGATCCATCTGCCCATAAACACATATACCGCCAAGATGCCGCCGTAAGTATCCCTTTGAAAACCACTGCACGACTATAGAATACTAACAGTGCGCAACTATTCAGTTCTAAGCGTAGAAGCACGCCCTATAAGTCGCCACCGTCACCTACCTTTAAGTGGTGGGAAAACAATCAATGGGCACAAGCGGGCGCGGGCAGTCAACCAGTGCAGGAAACTATCACGTATCAACCAGCACTAAACCGGATAGCCCAACTTGCAGCTTTGAAACATTTAGAAGACCCAAAAGGATGCCTGGGAGAATTATCAGGAAAGGAAGCAGCAAAATTCGTTGGACAACAACCACCTGGACAAAACAACCAACGACTCGTTACTCAGTCTCAGCACAATCTAGATCAAAGGCAACTATTCGGGGCACAGAGCGAACCAAATTCTCCTTTCAAGACCGATAATTCAACGAAAAATTCTTCCGGAAGATCAAGCATAAACCCCTTGGCTCGAAACCATGCCACTACGTTTAATGGATTCCAAACTGATGACCCCCAAGCGTTCCACCAGAAATTTGGCAACGCTGGCCCTGGCAATTCTCGGCCAGTGTCCAAACCGGGTATCCGCGGAGGAGGAGGTGCAAGGGAAAGCCGACATGCTGCAGGGAATCCACTTGAAGGATGGGGTCAAGTGAATTGGGCGAAGCCTCGAAATAGACATTTTGACTCTGACGACGTGCCCGAACCTACCGTGCACGGCGATGGAATTGTCGAGACATCTGCAGAAGACATACGTTTCCCACCATCGCACACACCGCAGCAGAACCCTCTCAAGCTTGGTACTAGTGACGGTGGTAGGGTCTTCTACCACCTTCTTTATCAGAACACAACTCCACCATTCGATCCGAAGAATGTAATCAAAGCAGCAAAGAGGGCACGCAAGGCCATGGGACCAAGCGCCGACCCACAATCGAAGATAACGCAAGCATGTAAATCGGGCGAAATGAAAATGATCAGTGAGGGATCAAGAGGAACCATCTGGAGAGTCGATGAGCTGTGCCCGGAAGTTGTAGGATGCGCATTGGAGATGAGTGTAGTGAGGTTGCAGGATGGAAATCATCATCGGTTCGAGTTGTTTGGGGTGGGATTAAAGGAACACAAAGATGACATCCTATTGATATCTTCTATGGTCCATGAGCTGGAAGGTTAGTTGTTAGTTGTGTTGAATTATTGTGGCGGTCGTATGGTTTGGAAGTAGTCTCTTGTATGTTTCAGAGATTGCGTATTCGTCAAGAATATATCCCAGAAAAATTTGACCCCATGATTATGTGCAAGTAAGTACAACACGTGGAGACGGGGATGATCCTTTTGGTGTTGAATGTGCAATGAGATGGACGGAAAACATGGGAGCGACAGCCGAGGTCGTTGTTTGGGTCAAGGGCCCCATGCACGCCAAGCATTTCTGGATTCTTCTGAGCAAGACAAATATTTTCTTAGGAGCATCCCCATCGTCACCCTTCATCTTCTCATCCCATCCTCCACCTCCACATCCTCATCACTCTCTTTCCCATTAATTGCATTAATCCGGAGTCTGGGAATACTGCTTGAACTTCGGAACTTCTCTATATACATTTCTGTTCCGCTACCTCCATCACAATGCAGCGCGCTTTCGCATCCAAGGCGCGGTCATCCGTCCTCAACTCTAGCTCCAAGTTCAGGGCTACGAGCTTTAACCTCCAGCAACAGAGGTTCGCTCACAAGGTATGTTATTCCTATCAAATACTCAGCATGATAGATTGAAACATGAAGCTCACAAATGTGTCCAGGAGCTCAAGTTCGGTGTTGAGGGTCGCGCATCTCTCCTTAAAGGTGTTGACACACTCGCAAAGGCTGTATCCACAACATTGGGGCCCAAGGGCAGGAATGTTCTCATTGAGTCCAGCTATGGCTCGCCCAAGATCACAAAAGGTACATTTTCATGCTTAGAGATCGCTTCTTGATGGAATCCGCTAACAGGCTGGTAGACGGTGTAACCGTCGCGAAGGCCATTACTCTTCAGGACAAGTTTGAAAACCTCGGTGCTCGCCTCCTCCAGGACGTTGCTTCCAAGACCAACGAAGTTGCTGGTGACGGTACCACCACCGCCACCGTGCTTGCCCGCGCTATCTTCTCCGAGACCGTCAAGAACGTCGCCGCTGGCTGCAACCCCATGGATTTGAGGCGAGGAACCCAGGCCGCTGTTGAGGCCGTCGTTGAATACCTCCGTGCCAACAAGAAAGACATCACCACTAGCGAGGAGATCTCCCAGGTCGCTACCATCTCTGCCAACGGTGACACTCACATTGGAAAGCTCCTCTCCAACGCCATGGAGAAGGTTGGCAAAGAGGGTGTCATCACCGTCAAGGAGGGCAAGACCATTGATGATGAGCTCGAGGTTACCGAGGGCATGAAGTTTGACCGCGGATTCATTTCCCCTTACTTCATTACCGACACCAAGGCCCAGAAGGTCGAGTTCGAAAAGCCCTTGATCCTTTTGTCTGAGAAGAAGATCTCCGCCGTCCAGGACATCGTCCCTGCTCTTGAGGCTTCCCAGCAGCTCCGCCGTCCTTTGGTCATCATCGCCGAAGACATTGACGGTGAGGCTCTCGCTGTCTGCATTCTCAACAAGCTCCGCGGTCAGCTCCAGGTCGCAGCCGTCAAGGCTCCTGGCTTCGGTGACAACCGCAAGTCTATCCTTGGCGATCTCGCGGTCCTCACCAACGGTACCGTCTTCAGCGACGATCTTGACATCAAGCTCGAGAAGGCCACCGCTGAGATGCTCGGCTCTACCGGTGCCATCACCATCACCAAGGAGGACACCGTCATCCTCAACGGCGAGGGCAGCAAGGACGCTGTCACCCAGCGCTGCGAGCAGATCCGTGGAGTCATGGCCGACCCCACCACTTCCGAGTACGAGAAGGAGAAGCTCCAGGAGCGTCTTGCTAAGCTCTCCGGTGGTGTCGCCGTCATCAAGGTCGGTGGTTCCTCCGAAGTCGAGGTTGGTGAGAAGAAGGACAGGATCGTCGATGCTTTGAACGCCACCCGTGCCGCCGTCGAGGAGGGTATCCTGCCCGGTGGTGGAACTGGTCTTCTCAAGGCCGCTGTCAACGCTTTGGACAAGGTCAAGCCCGCCAACTTCGATCAGCAGCTCGGTGTCAGCATTGTCAAGAGCGCCATCACCCGCCCTGCTCGCACAATCGTGGAGAACGCTGGTGCCGAGGGTTCCGTCGTGGTTGGCAAGCTCATGGATGAGTTTGGCAGCGACTTCACCAAGGGATTCAACAGCGCCAAGGGTGAATACGTCGACATGATCGCCGCCGGTATCCTTGATCCCTTCAAGGTCGTCCGAACTGCCCTTGTTGACGCCAGCGGCGTTGCATCTCTCCTCGGAACGACCGAAGTCGCCATCGTAGAAGCGCCCGAGGAGAAGGGCCCACCTGCCGGTATGGGAGGAGGAGGCATGGGTGGAATGGGAGGTATGGGCGGAATGGGCGGCATGGGATTCTAAATGACTCTCGACGCTCGACGGCCTCTCAGCTAACATTCTAATACCCCCTTTCGACTATACCCTCTTTTAGTATCCGAGTCTTTCCCCAGCGCCGGTTTTGTACATGATGTTTTGTCGGTACTCCACTCCCTTTCTCAGCCTGTTTTAGTCACATTTGAACAAAAGAGCGGCATGTATGTATATTATTGTATGTGGATTATCTGGAATTGTACTATATCATGTTCATTGGCGACAATGGCAGACGGCAGGGGAGGATGAGATGTACAGGCGAAAGAAATGTAAAAATGTAAAAGTCTATCAGTCATACTAACTCGACGCGCAATGTGAAAGTGGCAGAGACAACAAAGTCCACGTCAACACGGTGAACGAGTGAAGGCGGCCATGGTCCGTGTTGTGTTTGCATACAACGAACGGATGTTGTGGCAGTGGATGTCAGCTGATCCAGCAATGTTTACATTCGGTTTACCGCAGCTTGTCAGTGGAGCCAAAAGCCAGGCAGGCAGCCTTGGAAGCACCCCCACCAGGCTACCAGGAGGACAGCAACGCCCCCTTCAAAATCTTGCCCCGCTACACTCAGCTCCAAGCCTCACCACATCAACACTCCGTGAATTCCCTCCCGCTCTCCACCCACCGAGATTCACATTGCAGCTGCCTAGCCGGCATTGAAGTAAGGAAAAACCCCCCCGCGCATTACGTTGCCAGGCAGCGACGCCCGTCTACGTTTGCGACCCCACTACCACGCCCACTATCCCACACCGTCAACACTCGCCGCTGACGACACCAAACAGTCTCCTGATAAAGCGCTGCCTTGCCCACCCCTCCTGAAACCCACTCTCCTCTTTGAAATTCGATCATCACCATGGTATGTATATAGAATTGCCAGACATAGTAGAGGAACGCGATAACTGACCACTGTAAACAGGCTCAATCCGGGTACGTGATCCATAAATATGTCCCCTCAAGTCCCCACCGCACACCTCACACGACCTTTACTACCTGGCCGTGCCTTCGCAGTCGACTAACGTAATCGCAGTGTCTCCGTCGCCCCCGAGTGCATCAGCGCATTCAACGAGCTCAAGCTCGGCAAGGATATCAAATACATCATCTACAAGATTAGCGATGACTGGAAAGAAATCGTAGTCGAGGAGACATCCAAGGATGGCGACTGGACATCGTTCCGCGAGAAGCTCATCAACGCCAAGTCCAAGGACCGCCGCGGCAAGGAGGGCATTGGCGGCCGTTACGCCGTCTTCGATTTCACCTACGAGAGCGGCGAGGGTCCTAGGAGCAAGATCACCTTCATCAGCTGGTGCCCCGATGATGCGCCTCAATACGTAAGTTCTCCCGATCTTTGTGCGCCTGCGAGTCCGGGATCTCGATACTGTTTAGAAGAAATTGATCGCTAATGTGTATTGGCCTTGCGAACAGCCCCGCATGATGTACTCCTCCTCCAAGGAGGCCATCAAGCGCGCCCTCAACGGTCTCGCTGCCGACATTCAAGCCAACGACGCCGACGACATCGAGTGGGACAGCATCCTCAACCGTGTCTCCAAGGGCCGTTAAACATCTCGCGAACCCGCCCCACTTTTCGCCGGACAACTCGGTTGCAGGGGTGAATGGAAAAGTACAATCTGGATACCACTCACATAGAACGAACAGGTGTCTGTGGATAGTTTAGGTGGAGTGGCTATCCCAATCCTCGTATATCTTTTTTTTTGGAAACTGGGGTCGAGACTATGGCTGTGCGAGCAAGTCACTTGAGACCAAGCTGGTTCATGTCGAGTGGCGCTGGTGACAGTTTGTTCTCTGAACGAGGCAGCATATGAATAGAATTGCCTTTACTTTCCAATCCTACGCGCATCCTTATTTTTCCGCTATGCCAATCTCACAGCGTAGTTTCATGGCGTTTTGTACAGTGTTATATGATTCACTAATGATTTTACATATATAGCTGCCTGCTCCCCTTATAGATTAGACGAAGGAGCAGCACACGGGCAAGGCGTTCGTAGATTATTTGCTCTTCTCCCACGCTTCCCGGAATACACCCATAAGCCTATCCCCCTCCTTCTCATCCCGTATCCTCTGCAACACGAACCCCCTAAGATCAGCCCAAAACTCGTCCCCAGCGACAACCTCTTTCCCACTAGGGCCCTGAGCAACCGGTGCGCCTCCCAAACCCTTATCCGCCTCCGAAGGCGCCACAGCCGGAGGGCTCGTAACCGGCGACGACGCAGACGACGCCCCAGTCGCTGTCGCACCACCCATCACCATCACCCCGAACTCCACATCGCTTCCCGCATCCGCGCCAATGACCTCCGCTACCGTCTTACTATCCAGCAAGGGCTTCTTCTTGAACAAAATCTTGATCTTGGCAGCGGGAAGCGAAGTTGCGGTCGCGTAGGCGGTCTTGAGGTCGTAGATTGAGGTTTTCGCGGGGGAGATGTTGGAGAGGGGGATGGTGGGGGTGTTTGGTTTGAGGGGCTTAAGAGTTATTGATAGCGCTGGCGTTGAAGTGGATTGCGCGGAAACGGATGAGGCATCATCTGTTGCAGCTGAGGATGTCGAGGGTGGGTTGGGTCGTTGCGGGTGTGGAGGGTGCGGGAGTCGTGGGAGGGTAAACTGTAGAGTGTTGTGTTAGGAGGGAAAGGGAAGGAGGCAATTGGAGGAGTGAAACTTACGACGGCGCCGGATGGGTATTGTCTCGCATCTGCTATGTGGTCTGATGAGAGCTTTGCTGGACGGCCGTCGAGAGCGGAGAGGTATTGCTTGCAAAAGGTTACTTCGGACATGGTGGGCTGCTGCGTGTAGCTTCCGAGGGCGGGGTCGTGGCGCGAAGTTTTGTACTGAACGGTTTTTTGGGGGAACGGTTGATGCGAAACACTGTGATTGTGACGTAGAAACAATTCCAGCAAGTAAAGGAGACTGGAACCGAAAAGCGTGAAGTTTGATCGGAAAGGCGATGACGCTGCTGGGGAACTGGCATTGCGGGACAATCAAGGGCCAGGACGACCGGGCATTCTGATTCGCCGAGGCTCCGAAGGCGGTGAGTGGCCGAATTGCCCAAAAATGTCGTTCCAAAATTTCTGCGGGTCCGAACTTTTGGCTTTTTAGGCGGCGCGAGCTTTTGGAGACGTGCACCAAATTTCTCCCTCTTTACAGGCCACTGCGGCTTTTTGCATTCGACGACAGAAATAATTCAAGATGGGCAAGGGACGTCGTATGATCAAGCAGGGTATGCCCGCACCATTGGACGAGTCTAAAGTCACCAGGAAACGCAAAGATGCACCGCCTGCCCCGGAAGCGCCTATTAAGAAGAGAAAGACAGTCACCAAGGCACCGAAGAAATCTGCAAAGCCGAACGGAGCCGAGGCAGGTGGCAGAAGCAAGGCGAAACCCGTGAAGAAGGTTGCTCCGAAGCCACCTTCCGACGACGAAGTATCTTTTTCGGACGATGAGAGCGATGGTGATCTGGAAAATGGCATGGATGGTGTGAATGTCACAGGCTTGGACGCACTCGGCAGCGCCTCCGAGTCTGAAGATCTGGACGAGCTCGAGGCTGACGACTTTGGCGGATCCGACGACGATGTCATGGACTCGGACGAGGAGCTAAAGAAGGGGAAAATGTGGTCGGACGATGAGGACGACGATGAAATCGAGGAGAAGCTCACGGCGGCGAATATTGAGGGTCTCAGTAGGAAGTTGGACATGGAGCGAGCAATTGAAGAGGCCGAAGCACAAGCTGAGTTGGAAGAGGCACAGATGCAAACCAACATCGCTGGCGATAGGCCGAAAGTGCTGGAAGACGACGAGGATGAGCAGGGCCGGCCCATCACCAACCTCGAGACACAAGATCTGCAACTCCTCCGAACACGATTGAGCGACACGATACGAGTTCTCGATGACTTCAAGAACCTCGGCGAAGAGGGTCGGTCAAGAGCGGAGTACAGGGCACAGATGCTGAAAGACATATGCGCATACTACGGATATTCACATTTCCTCGCTGATAAGCTGCTCGACTTGTTCCCTGCTCGCGAAGCTTTTGCTTTCTTTGAAGCCAACGAAACGCCCCGTCCTATCGTCATCCGAACCAACACACTCCGATCGCATAGAAGAGAGCTTGCGCAATCGCTCATCAATCGCGGTGTTCAGCTAGAGCCTGTAGGCAAGTGGAGCAAGGTCGGTCTTCAGATCTTCGACGCTCAGGTTCCGCTTGGTGCTACCCCAGAGTATCTCGCTGGCCACTACATTCTCCAAGCAGCTTCTTCGTTCCTCCCTGTCATGGCTCTTGCCCCGCAAGAACACGAACGTGTTTTGGATATGGCTGCTGCTCCTGGTGGTAAGACGACGCACATTGCTGCGCTGATGAAGAACACTGGATGTGTGTTTGCCAACGATGCCAGCAAGGATCGTGCTAAGGGTCTTATTGGTAATATCCACCGTCTCGGAGTCAAGAACACAGTTGTGTGCAATTACTCTGCACTTGAGTTCCCCAAGGTCATGGGCGGTTTCGACAGAGTACTCCTCGATGCGCCCTGCTCGGGAACAGGTGTCATCGCGAAGGATGCCAGTGTCAAGACCAACAAGACCGAACAAGATTTCATGAAGCTTCCCCACCTCCAGAAGCAGCTTGTCCTCGCAGCCATTGACTCTGTCGACCACGCCAGCAAGACTGGTGGGTACATTGTCTACTCAACCTGTTCCGTCACTCTCGAAGAGAACGAGCAGGTCGTTCAATACGCGCTCAACAAGCGTCCCAACGTCAAGCTCGTCGACACTGGCCTCGTCTTCGGCAAAGAGGGCTTCACGCGGATAGGAGGCAAGATCTTCCACCCCTCTATGAAGATGACGCGGAGGTACTATCCCCACTCTTACAACGTCGACGGTTTCTTCGTCGCCAAGTTCAAGAAGTTCGGCCCTACGCCCGCCAACGCCGTGCTCGCCCAAGGCGTCGCCGGCAACAACAAATCCCAATCCAACGGCGCACAATCCAGCAACGGCACCCAACAGGAAGGCGAAATCGTCGACAACGCACCCATCGTCGACGACGAGAACGAAGACGAGACCGACGACTTTGGAGGATTCGACGACGAAGAGGACCAGATGTACATGGACCGCGCCGAGCGCGCAAAACTGCGTCGTAAGGGCCAAAACCCCAAAGCCTCGGCTCCAGCAAACGGCCACGCGAAATCTTCCCCGAAGAAAGAACAGAGCAAAGAGACCAAGAGCAAGAACGACAAGGTGGATGCACGTGATGTTGCACCCGCCGTAGTCGTCGAGGAGAAGAAGGTCACCGAGAAGAAGATCAAGGCCAAGAAGCCTGTCGCGGGTGATGATGCCGCCGCGGTGGTAGTAACGGAGAAAGTCACAGAGAAGGTTAAGAAGCCTTCCAAGAAAGTGAATGGAAGCAGTACCGCAGCGGAGACGAAGCCGGTTAAGAAGAGTGGGAAGAGGAAGTCTACGTAAAAAACTCAAAACATGGAAAAGTTGCTGGAGGATCTTTTCTTTTCATTTCTTCTTTCATCTGTTTAGGTTATGCATATATTCGAGAGGGATGGGATAACGGAGATAGAAGGGAGAGAGTATGTATGTAGTCGGTACTTCTATCCAGAAATATATCCATCTTTGCATCAACGATATCAATGCGTCTTCCTGTGCTAGGGAACAGTGTAAACAACAAATAATCCGTTCAGTCCGCAAATGAGGAAAAGGTGCTTTAAGCATGATGCAAAGTAAATGTCTGCATATATGCCACGAGACCGAAACCACGAGGCCCAAAGTTCCCCTTTAACCCCACCAACGCAGGGAGCAAACCACTTAATGTACCACGCTCCTCTAAGCATACTCTGGCCTCAGACCGACCGGCCGGCTCAGCATTGCCTGAGATACTCGAAACACCGAAATCTGACAGCTCGGGAGAGCGATAGTCTACCAAGATCCGGATCCTACCAATTGCATATCCCGGAGGTAGATAGTTGAAGGTTAGGATAGTGTACTGGCACTGGTATATTTGTTTGGGATTATGTAGGCTCGTTTGGTTAGTTTGTCGGGACCTAGTATTTGAGACAGCACCCGATGGGATGGGTGTCTGTGTATTGACATTAATGATGAGGTTTCCTTCCTTGCTTGCTTGTTGGGGGGTGTGAGGGCATCGCGACGCATCGCCTTTGGGCAATTAAAAAAAGATTGTTTGAGCATCGCGATCGATAGCAGCACAGTTACGAAACTGTGTGATGTTCCCGTGGATTTCCAAGTAAGGAATACATATTGAAGATTCCTTGCGACTGTTGTCAGATGACAGCTCAACAATGCACAGCGTTCGATAGTACATATGCATATATTGCATTGACTCCGCCGATGCGATTTCTAACACTCCGCTCCCCTCACCCCACCCCTTTTCCCCAACAAAATTCGCAGTCATTCAAGTTCTTCTAGAATTCATTTCTTTCCAACCGATTCCAAGACGACAATTCCTTGCTGGCGTTGAAAAAAAAAAGGCAAGCAAGAACATATGCCAAGGTCGCTAGCGCAGGGAATCGTTTGGATAGGAAGAAAAGCTCAAAGCGGCGCTTGACTCGCCCAAACAAAAAACAAGCCGCAAGAGACGAAGGAAAACCAAGATTTTCTTGCCCAAGACCAATGGTCGGTGCCAATTTCTAGCAGCCTGCACGTCGGGGTGGGTCAATTGCTTGGATTTTTTTTTTCAGCCGCATGTTCAGGCTAGCTTGCTTAAGGCAGGCTGCCGCGGTATGGCGAAAGCTAGTTTTGTTAGCGTAGATATGAAATAACCTCGTATCTTGGATCCTCGTTTTTATGCTCGCTTGGTGAAGACGGAAAGGAATGGGTGCCTTGCATTGCGCGGTTTATTCTCTTGTCGCCGTAAACAGAAGCTGTGTTTGTTTGCGCGGGTGATTGCAGCAAGAGGGGCATGTCAAATGTCAAACAGCAGCGAAAGTCGGACCGACGATGCACGCAAAGATCGCACCCAGCTGTGTTGACAGGCCACGCCTGCATGTCCTGCAGTCGAAACACGCGCAGTGGTAGGTATACACGGCGTAGATGTCCTAACACGGAGTTGAGCTGGTGAAAGAGCCGTGGAGAGGAAATGGCGTGTTGGGCATGCAGCTATTTCCTTCCAGAACCCAACTACGGAGCAGACTATGCAGGAATCGCTGGAGACAGACTTTGATTCCGGTGTATCCGCAGAGCGTGTTGATTTGGTGTGGGTAAAATCCAGCGCTAATCGGCCCGATGATGCTCGAGTAGCAGTACCTGACACGGGCTGGGGTGGTCTGGAGTTTGGAGATGGGGAAAGGGGGGTTATGGAGTGCTCGAGGGTGGGGATTCGCTCGTATTGCATGACCCATGGGGAGAAGAGTTTTGAGGGTTGTCACAGTTGCGGTGGTGGAGGTGGAGTCGACGAGACCTGGGGCGAGAAGTGGGGGAGGTGAATACGAGAGGGGGTTTGGATTGCTGCAAGTCATTGAGGATGAAGGTGGCAGAGGATTTCCGCTCCCGTATGTTCGCTGAGAAATCGTCTGAAGGGGCCTGTTGCAGCACATGGTCATGCGGCTGATGAACCGCGATCGTCGTCATCGCCGTTGTCGTCGTCGTTTTGTTGCGGTTGGGTATACCAACGCGAAGCGATCGGTGGTATTAAGGCTCGTACGCTAACCCGCTTCCGTCAGCCCTCTTCCAATCCCACCCTTGCCGTCTCATCGCACTCAACAATCATTCCACAGGGACGTGCATCGTCGCCCTTCCACCACCAGCCACCATTCGCGAAGAGATCGGGCCACGCTACAGTCTGCCATGGATGCACGAAGGCAAGCACATGTGACAGCCGAGACGCCAGCTTGCTGCTTGTCCGCCTCCCGGGGTCTCCACGTCTCCCCTAAGCACCATAGCAGGTGACCGTCGTCTTGGCTGGCCCGACATGATGATTCCATCGTCGACCTCGAAAACCGCCAGCCAGGACTAGACGCCTCGGCGTTTTCAGACACCTCATTGCGCCTCTTCATGTCAGGTGTTCGCTCGGATGATGTATGTGTGATCGAAGGCGGCGCTGGAAGACAAAGACTAACATTCCAAGTCCCTTAGAGTGGTTGCAGCTTCACACCAATCAGGAAAGAGGGGAAGCCTTTGAGCTACGGATGCTGAGCGGTGAGGGGCCATGCTGTACTCCAGATTGTGGCATGCTCGGGCTGCCGCGTCGCCCGTCCTGGTTTCCTCTTCACTGTCCAGTGGTGCGAATGTCCGAGTCAAGCTCTCCTTTTGCTCAAGAGCCTCTTTCATGTACAAGCATCAAGTGGGTCGAATAAGAAGAAAAAAAACTTCTTCTCCGAGCAACGTATATCTCGACCCTTGTCATGCACTGTCGTCATTGACTCGCATCATGGGAGCACCCAAAAAAGAGCTCGAGGCAAGCTTTCGTATATACAAGCTCGCTTATTCTTGGCTTGTTTCCGAACCGTAATGCTCCTTTGCGATCGCTATATGTCGGGAGATATCTCGATTGGCTGATCGATAGTCACTCATGCAGTATTTCCCGCACAATTCGTGCAGATCCAGTGTGCAAGACATGCTGGATACAAGGGTATTTGGAATCCTACGGGAGGATTTTCGGATAGTGTACAACTGTTCAACGCAAGTCAGAAGGCAAGATAGTGCAAGGGGCGGGTGAAGTCCAACTCCATCATCTCGGATGCGGACCTGGACTAGAATTCTTTGTCTCCAACTCGCAAAGACCTGCGTTATTGGCCACGCCCACCGCAATTCGTTAGTGTGTCCTGCAATTAGCATGTCGCCGTCCGGCCACTCTTCTTAGTGGTCACCCGTTGAAGAGCGCAGATCTGGGGTATGGCTGACCACGCCGGTGTTAATTTGAGCCAGGTCTAGTTGCATTGCATCACTTGGCGTTGTGAGCTTCGACCGGGATTGGAGGGCGCGTTCAGGAAGAGGCGTTTTGGATGCACGATTGATGATGCGGTAGTGCCGAGTCTGGCACCTTGTGCTGGCCATGCGGGGCCTCCGCTCTTGGATGGTGCAAGTTCGCGGGCCGCAGATAAAGAGCGGCTTGCGCCCTCATGTTTTCTTGTTTGTTGACCATCGCTTTCACGGTCTCTGCTCGGCTTATCCCGAATTCACCTAGTCAAGAGCGCAGAATTACAACAACATCATGGGTTTTATGTTGAAGAAGCCGGACGATGTGCCCGGGAAGTCATGGTGAGTCCACTTGGTCGCAAAGCCTCTTGTGGTCATGGCTGACATTCCATAGGCCTGCCATTGTTATTGGCCTCTTCGTAGCATTTGGAGGTGTTCTCTTTGGCTATGATACTGGAACCATCTCTGGTATTCTTGCCATGCCTTACTGGCTAAGAGAGTTCTCTACCGATCCTAGTGGCGAATTGACTGCCTCGCAAGACTCCCTCATCGTCTCGATTCTCAGCGCGGGAACTTTCTTCGGTGCACTGGGCGCTGCTCCCATGGGTGATTTCCTCGGTCGTCGCTGGGGACTCATGGCATCTGCTGGTATCGTCTTCAACTTCGGTGTGATCCTCCAGACTGCCGCGACTTCACAGCCACTGTTCATTGCTGGTCGATTTTTTGCTGGATTTGGTGTTGGTCTTATCTCCGCACTTAGTAAGTTGACTACCCGTGCTTTCAGGGTCTGGAGTCTCCAGATTCTTTGGTGGCCGCCGGAGCCTGTGGAGGTGGAAAGTCCAATCGTGCCGATCTTTCACCGACTCATCGGGTCTGACTGCGCATTGGAATTCTCCACTGTTCTTACTCGCTTCATAACCATTGTCCATGCAGCGCGCTAACTCTCACCTCTAGTTCCCATGTACCAATCTGAGACAAGCCCCAAGTGGATTCGTGGTACAGTCGTCGGCGCATACCAATTAGCTATCACAATCGGATTGTTCCTGGCTGCCATCGTGAACAATTCGACCAAGGATCGTCAAGACTCCGGATCATACCGAATTCCCATTGCTGTACAGTTCCTGTGGTCCATCATTCTCGTTGGCGGGTATGTAACTCTGTCTGCAACCTCCAGGGACTAAGACAGCTAATATATTACCAGTCTCCTCTTCCTCCCTGAAACGCCTCGCTACTTGATCAAGACCGACCGCTATGATGAAGCTGCCAAATCACTTGGAAAGCTTCGTCGCCTCCCTGTTGATCACCCGGCTATCGTTGAAGAGCTCAACGAAGTGCAGTCCAATCATCTCTACGAGATGAGTCTTGGAAAGGCTTCCTACGTTGATTGTTTCAAGGGTACACTCGGAAAGCGACTGGCGACTGGCTGCCTCTTGCAAGCTCTTCAGCAACTCACTGGTGTCAACTTCATCTGTAAGTACAAGTCGTCATTCATAAACGATAGCCTTTACTAATCGTAAACTAGTCTATTACGGAACACAGTACTTCACCCGCGCAGGTTTCCAGAATCCGTTCATTATCCAAGTCATCACGAACTCGGTTAACGTCGCCTCCACATTCCCCGGTCTCTACCTCGTTGAGAAACTCGGTCGCCGCGGTCTTCTCTTGATGGGTGCCATTGGCATGTGCGTCTGCCAGTTTATTGTGGCTTCTGTGGGCACGGCTTCCTCTACTGCTGACTTGCCATCCCAACGTGCCTCAATCGCCTTTGTTTGCATCTACATCTTCTTCTTTGCCAGCAGTTGGGGCCCTGTAGCCTGGGTTGTTACCGGAGAATTGTTCCCGCTCAAGGCGCGAGCTAAGTGTTTGAGTATGACGACGGCTAGCAATTGGCTTCTCAACTGGGCTATCGGTAAGAAAGTAATCTGCCGCGTGATTTGAATCCTTACTAATCCCGCATGATAGCTTATGCGACGCCGTACATGGTCGACGAGGATCACGCCAATCTTCAGTCCAAGGTCTTCTTCGTATGGGGAAGCTTCTGCTTCGTCTGCATTGCTTTCGTGTACTTCATGATTTACGAGACTAAGGGTCTCAGTCTCGAGCAGGTCGATGAGCTCTACGGAATCGTTGGCAAGGCATGGAAGTCCAAGGCCTTCCGCCCGCAAGTCTCCTTTGCTGATGTTGACAACGATACTGCCAGGAAGGCCAGCCTGTCCGAGATTGCCGCGAAACAGGAGCAGAAGAGGAGCGTGTCCCACAACGAGGGAGTTCCCGAGAAGGTGTAAGTGAGCATGGGAGTCTCCTGGAACAATTTGTTCTGTAATCAGGAAGTAGTAGTTGCGATGGTTGTTGAGAAAGGAAGAACAAGCATCAAGTTATCCACTCGCTCCTCAAGATGAATGTTTTGAATTTAGTTTCTGATATATTATTTTACATTGTGAAGTTGCATGTCCAGCTCTCTTTGAAAAAGTTGATACTGTGCGAGAATGCTAACCAACGTCAGGGCTATGTTGTTGATAGCGGGACGTTTGCCTGTAGGGGTAAAAAGGACGGATACGCCTGCGGCAAAAGCGAAACCCAATTGTATGGTGTCTTCGACTGAGTGGAGCCGAATGAAAGCTTATGCCTGGCTGTGAAACCTCACCCACCAATACGGCTGAAGCCGGATTCCGACGACGAACATGAAGGGACGGAATGGATGATAAGAAGCGTTGCACACTGGCTTTCATGGACAGACAACTCGTATGTCACGACTACCTGCTTGGTCCCACGTGTGTGTATCGGCAACCACAATGTTCGGGTCTAGTCAGCTTATCACAAGATGAACACATATGTATCTACTCCATGAAGTATTTACACAACGTCATATCTGATCTGTCGTATTTCCACAGACTCAGTTTTACCAAGATTGCACGATATCAGTCGCTATACCTTGTGATTCACCGCAGTTATGAGCCGCGCAAACTTCACCGAATGTGGCGCCCGATACATGTCGGATCCAAAACTGGTTGAACGATACAGTTACAGAGGACCAGTCCGTCTGAACTCGCCGAAACCCCAGACCCAAATCACACATGAAGGATGCTTGGCTCTTTGCGGTCGAGGTAACGAGTACTATTCATGGCCTGCAATTGCTGCAACAGTAACCACATGGATTCTGCCTATACTCGGCACGCTGCTGCAGGCGCCTTTTGAAAGTAATGCGTTTTGGCGCACGATCAAAGCGATCAATCGATGGATCGGAAGTCCCGTTTCCAGCCTGACATTTATTCTTTGGGATATTCAAATCTCGGGAAATTGTGCCTTGTTCGGTGAGGGGTTTCTGCAAATTCAACCCATCTCTAGTGGTTGGACCTCGTTGCTAACTTTTGTGACACAGTTGACATGGCCACCCCTTACGAAGCACCTATTCCGAATGAAGACAGCGAATTCTCCAGTATACGAGACTCTTTCTACATACTGATGAATTTAAATCAGTACAAGATGAAACCAGTCATCTCCATGACAAGGGAGGCAGAGGGGCTGCTTCGAATCGTACTGTTCAGCCAGGATCTGAAGCTTGTCGGAACTCGCAAGACTCTCAGTCGACTTCGGAAAAATCTTGCCCGTGATCTAAGAATCAACAGAAGAAGAGGTGTAGTTCCGGTTTTCATTTCCACCTTGGCTTTTGTTGTTGCTTTGGGGCTCTCCATTGAGGCAGGTGCGTTTTCCTTTTATCTTGGAATCCAACTTGAGTAAACTAGGACGATGACTCACCTCTAGATAACTACTCCTAGCATTCAGCGAAGTGGGAAGTAATTTGCAAGCCCATGCCCTTGCTCTGGGCCTTTTCTCCTGCTGGTTTCCGATACTAATACTTTGCTCCATCCTGGATCGTAATCCCGTTGCTTCTGATGACATCCAGCGCAAACTGAACAAAATGGTGGATCTAGCCTGTCGATCACTCCAGGATACGCAAACCCGTAACAACTATATTTCATCTTTCCGTGACCTACCACAAGCTCAGAAAATGGGTTATTGGGTCCAGAAAATCGCATCAAAGGCGCAGTACATCGAAGGCGACTACTTTTGTGGCTTCGCGGGTCAGGCCAGAACCAGGTTCCATTATGGAGCGGCGCACGCTATCCTCGTCGACATCGAGAAAGCCTATCTGGCTGAGCGTGGACGTAACTGGCTTGCTAATCCAAGAGAGGCCCGGGCATCGCTTGTTTTAGGACAGGTCGACTATGGCTTTACGTGGTTTGACGGTCGCGCCTGTTGGCAGCTTATGGCATCTGTGCTATTGGTAGGTGGAACTAGTGCTGGAGCTTTTGTTCTGTCATTCAACACTCCAACTGTTGGTCTGGGATGCCGCACTGGTGGATATCTAATCTTCTTCGCCGTTGCATTGACATTACTAGTGGCTGAGATGCTCGTGTGGTGGCTCACTTCACCGCTGCGCAAGCGCGGCCGCTTCATCGAGCATCTTGACAGATATACGCGCCGCGCACACAGAGAACCCTGGTGTGGACCGAAAAGACCAACGTTTGAAGGATTGGTGGCGTCGAGTGCCACTTTGACAAGATGTTTGCAGGCAATGGAAGAGTTCATCGTACACACTGTCTTAACACTCATCCGCCTCTTTCCCTTCTCCCATAAAGCATCAAAACTTGAAACCGCAGAAACTGCATTACGCACTCATTTCGAGATTCTCAGACACCTCACCACCAGGAACTGGCTACAACGCGTCATTTTCACACCTCTCGAGTTAGGCAACATGATCTGGCTCTGCTACCTCCTCACTGCACAGACCATCGGCGCCTTCAACAACTGCACGTGTCTGTCGAGTATATGGGGTGGATTTGGAGGTTATCTTGACTTTGAAACTGTGAGCTCGGTGAAAAGTCCATCTGTTGAAAAGTATTGGCAAATGGGCACGATCATTACTTGCACGACAATGGGATTGGGTATGGCATATATTGTGTTGGAGGTATGTATCGACCGAGCAACATTTTCATATTCACCATCGCTTGACCCCCTTTTGTTCGACCCGCATTCTTTTACCTTATCCGATATTATCTGGATAGTCAATTGAAACCACTGGCAGTGGCTCCTCCAAGCCCATCTTAGTACGGAAGATTACAAAGACGCCGCGAGAGGGCTTGTTCGCGTCCGGCGTTTCCGTCGTTGTGAGTATATCCCAGAGACGAAGTTACATGATCTGTGGGTGAGGATGGGGTTTGAGAGCCTCTGATGGGTGCTCATATAAACTACTACACCCTACCCTATGCTTCACCCTCATCACAGTTATGTGACCGCACCCGCACCCACAACCTCACCCCCACCTTACCCACATCAAACTACCACCCTAATCACGCACTTCATTGTCATCATATACGGTTGACTTACATGTTACATTCGGAGTGCAGACACCTATTGGATCCGCTACCCATCCTCGCTGCTCGTCGTCATCATCAACAACTCGCTCTCCGCGATGCGCGTTCGCAAGTCTAGTGAACGCAAGGTGCTCGTGTGGAGCAAAGAGACAAAGTACCGACCCACAGTCGGGCAAACTATCATGAGTTTAGCTACGGATGCGCAGAATTTACCTTTCCAAGGTGTTGTAGAGGCGAGCGTGCGACATGATGAGAACGGAGATGCTGAACATGGAGCGAGTGAGAGGGGGCAAGTATGTTGTGTGTGTAAAAAAGAGAAGAGATCAGTGGAGAAAGCTAGGGCTTGGGATGAGGAGATTGGAGAGTGTAGGAGGTAGACGTGGTAAGCTTGTTCCACGATTATAATAGTTCGATTTCCAAGGATATGTTGTTCAGTCGATGGATATTATACTGCTGGCAGAGAAGATGTTCCTTCCATTCGTAACCTCATTTTCAGCAAATCCTGCTCCACAATACTATCCTTTTTAGCAACTAACCTATAAGCGCGGATCATGTTAGCGGAGTTCTTGGATATGACGTGTGCAATTAAGAAGGCACATATCAAAAGCATATACATACTCATCAACATCCCACTTCGCGCTCAAAAGTCGGCCATTCAGCCACGCCCTCTTCTCGCGGCTGATCCATACACAAAAAGCACCACATAGCTCCACATCATCCGTCAAATCTAAACCACACCTCGAGTTAGCTTTCGATCCCCTCGTACCTTCTAAACCATCCGAACCCGCGGAAAACAGAAGAGGAGAAAGTAGGACAGAAACTCACAAGGCCTAAAAACATCAGGACAAGTCTCATCCGCCTGCTCCGTCAGCACAGCTCCAGGATGCACACACACACAATCCACACCACCTGCGTCGCCGCCACCACCAAACTGCTCCCCAGCAAACTCCACCATCCTCAACTGCGCCATCTTGGAAACACAATACGCCGTGTTCGCAATCGGTCCCGTCGTCAGCAAACTCGCAAACGAACTCACCACAATCAGCTGCCTGACCCCTCCTCCATCACCATCCCTCCCGTCCGCCATTACCAACGGAAGCAGATAATGAATCACATGGAAAGTGCCAATCGCGTTGATATCGAAGACGTCCTTGAAATCACCGGGTTTGCCTTTCGTCATGTCGAGAACGACTTCTGGCCCCGCCCATCCGGAGTTGAGCACGATGACATCGAGGGAAGGCGAGCCATGCTGCTTGATGGATGAAGCAAGGTCTGCGACTGATGACGCCGATGTGATGTCCGCGTACAGCGGGATCACTGTGATGGATGGGTTGAGGGATTGCGCGGTTTTTTGGACGGCGGAGAGGGTCGTGGTGGAGGAGGGGCGGGCGACGAGGTAGAGGGTTGAGGTTGGCGCGAGGGCGCGCGCGTACGAGGATGCGATGCCTGCGCCGATGCCGCGGGAGGCGCCTATGATGCAGACGGTGAGGGGGGTGGCGAGTTTGTTCGTGGTGGGGGCTAAAGACGGGGACGGGTGGGTGTGGGTTGTTGGGGTGAAGGTTGATGCTTGTTGTGCGTCTGAATTTTGGGAGGGCATCGTGTGGTAGTTTTTCCTTCTTTATATCTTGGTCTCTTGTTGGGGATGGGTTCAAGATGTTGGAATTTCTGGTTATTGTTCTTGAGGGTCACTTGGTGGTTTGGTTTTCTGCCCTGTCTGCGGTTGTGAAGTAGATGTTTGGTTAATGCTAATCTGCGTGCTAGATGTCCTGGAACCAAAAATTAAGAAAATCAAGTAAGAAAATAGGGCAGTTATTTATACATTTATAGACTGTCACGATGGATAGTATGGAGTGATGCTTTTGCTCCAATAGGTGTAGCAACATGACTCATTTTGAGTCGGTTCCCGAAACGAATCTCGACTAACTGCTTCTGCGGGGAACCGGGGTTGGTTACGGACATGAGCTAAATCCATCCTGATATCAAGTTGCATGTCACATGAAGTTGTGTAGTTATTCCCACAAATCATAAATGAAGTAAGTTAGTGGACCGATTCGATTTTGTAGTATATACTTTTCAGTATGCACCATTTCTCAACCAGCTGTCGCATGGTCGTTTGTAGCTAGCGTCCAGTGAAACAGTCAAACGCAGAGACAAGTATAAACCCTGAATTCATTTTGGCAAAAGGCAAACGTACCGGCCAGTTCATGCCCCATATCAAGAACACGTCCATCACACTCAGAACAGACAACTAGCATCATTATGATCATGTCATTCATCAAAATTTCTCAGACTCTGGTGGCTATCGTGTGGTTACATATGGCGAATCTTCACGCCTGTACCGTGTGACCTTTTAGCTTTTATCAAGCTGAATCAGGTATATAGGCACGAAGGGGTAATAGTGAATAAAAAGCAAAGCAAAGGGTCTAAAGATCCACCAAGAGTCCATCGCAAAATATCCAGAGAATCCCATGGTGAGTGATAAGACTGGTCGGCATATACCAACCAAAAGATATGGTCAGTAAGCAGCGGCAGACTGGGGTATAGAAGGACCAATAATCTCTAGATATCCAAGCACAATGTTCCACACAGGCAAGTAAGATTCTTATCGTGAGGATGCCGTTCGGGGAATAGGGATTGGAAGAAGAATATCTTCCACAAGCAGCCCAATTGGTGCATGAAAGAGGGATTTATAGATGCAGTAAGGAATTTGGGAATAAATACAGATGGATATGGTACCGTGATGACCTGATGATGTGCCCGATAGTTGAGTGTAGAGGATTGGTGGAATCAGCCGCCAGTCACTTGGGGTCAATCCAGAGTGATGAGTAGCTAGTTCAGAATGGACCACGACGACCAGATAAGGCGCTATTGTCGAACTCGGTGCTGGGAATGATGTTGTTATTACCCTCATGGTCATCATCGTCGACTTCCTCCTTGATCGGCTGATGTTGTTGGGTGAAGGACGTGTTCGGGATAAGGCCCTGGAAACCATTGTAGACGCCCATCAGAGGCTGATGATGGTTGTCGCGAACTTGATTGGGGAACATCGAGGGACCAAGCTCAAAGGGATGGTCATGGCCGGTACCCATGTTGAAGGCAGAAGGATACATACCCATGAAATAATTCTGGGCGTGAACTGAGGGGAAGGCCTGATCTCCCGGGAGGAGGATTCCGGGCGCGTTGACATCGTTATTGCCGAGAAAGTCGTTAGGCATATAATTCTGCGTGTTGCCGTGCATCTCGCGCTGAATCCCGTTTTGAGAAACCCACTCATTGTACAGCATGGTATCGAACAGGTTGTCTCCGAAGCCAGCCCCGCTGGCGGGGGTTCCAGGAATGTCCCCACTGACACCCTCCATGAGGTAGTCATGCCCATTGTTGTCACCAAAGCCGGTGTGAGTAGGAGTTGGAGTGGTCATCACCATATCGGATGAGCCGGGATGAGTGACACCAGTATTAATAGTAAGTGGCCTACGAGCATTCGTGGATGGTGGTGTAGCAAGGCCATTAGCAAGGCCTGACAGCATCATAGGTGGGGGTGGTGCCGCCATGTTGCCCAAGTATGCTGGCGGCATGCTCGAAGTGTCTGGCGTGATCATGCCATTAGCTAGCAGCATACCTACGGGTCCTGGAGTGGAAGGTACCGATGCTTCCTGGTTATGAGCAGACGATGTGGCCACAGATGTGGCGAACGCAAGGTCTGAATTGATGGCAGGATGGCCAACTTCAGTGTATGTAGGCATGTCATCAGCACTTGAAGGCCCAGACGAGTGAAGAGCTGCAGGCTTGTAAGCACCCTTTAAAGTGACCATAAGTGTTTGATTCGACTTGGGGCTAGTCGCAGAACGATGAGGACGACCAATGCTGTTTGAGTCACTTCCAGCTCCATTGGTGTTGGAGTCAGACGTGTTGGATGCTTTACTAGGCCAGCTCATCTTGATCTTAGGAATCTGCGCTCCCTCCTCGTTGATCCGAGTGTGGATCTTCAGGATAGCCTGTTGCAATGCACTAGCCGTGCATCCCTCACCAACTACCTGAGCTGCTTGGTCGAAGGGAAGCCGGATATTGTTCTCGCCCGCTGCCCAGACGATGCCCATCAGCGCCCTCGTCACGTCGTTCTCGTTCCACTGGCGGAGGAAAGCACGAGGCTTGCGAACCTTGCGTGGCTCACCGTTCTTGTTAATCTTCCGCTTCTTGGGTTGGTCCTGGTAATCTGAGTCGCTATCGTCCTTGGTGTCTTCCTTACGAGACGAGCTGCCACGCGAGGGATACAGAATTTTACGAGTCTCACTCGTGAAAGGCATGCCTTCAAGAGGAGAGGCTGGTCCTTCAGGAATTTCGTGATTCATAATGCAGATGACCACATTATCACCCTGGCGATTCGTCGCGTCAACAGCACGGGAGGCATCCGGATCAGATGGCCGAAGGTTCTCGGTGGAGTGAATATACTCAGGGCCGGCGATTAGCTGATAGGACTCGTAGCTGCTACCACGTCCCTCGCGCTGCAGGTGCAATTTACTAAGACCTCGGCGAACAGCTTGTGGGACGGCTTTCAGACCGTGGCGACCGTGGGCTTGGCTCTCATCAAGCTCGTCAACCTGTGAGTAGTGAAATAAGAATGAAATTCGTCCCAGAAAATATTTCGAAAGAGGAGGGTATCACGCACCTTGGTCGGCCGGCTGTAATTGTTATCCATAGCGTATGGCGACGTCAAGCTGTTGCAGTCGATGATTGTTTGTAGCTTCGCTCAGATATCTAAATGTGTCAAGGTATGCTCATGTGTTGAATACGGTGAAAGAAACGCACCTGGCTGAACGGTGAGGGGTGCTGCTCGAAGAGGCGATCAGGACATCAATGTCGCAGGGCAGACAACAACGTCAACAGGGTCCTTGAAGCACGTCAGAGATCGAGCTGCCAACGAACGGTAGTAAGAGGAAGGTGGGGAAGGCGCTCGTGGAGAAGGCGCGGTTGCAATAGCAGTGTCGAAGACAGCGGTAATACAACGCACAGCTTCGTAACGAGATCAAGCGCACAGGAGGTGTAATGGGAGGGATGGGTGTGTAGGTATCGGGTTTGACCCAACAGCTACTCACGGTCGATCTTGTAATATAACCAGTTTTGTTTGAGGGAGGCGGCGGGTAGATTGGTGGAGATGTTGAGGTTGGTCAACCAGGCAAGGCAGGGAAACGGGGGGAGATCAGCCTCTGCCGTGCGTATATATATAACCCCGGCAGCAGGAGCGCGTCTGCAGATCGAGTTGTAGCGCCGATAATTGGTCGAGGGATTGCTACCGTTGAAGATGCGAGCGTGAAGGAGAATAATAGTAAAAGACGGGGTGGTGATTGTTGGCTGCGACAATAAGACGCGGAGCCACAATAAGAGACCCAGCGACAAGCGGGGTACAGCTGTCTCGCAAACCCCACAAAGTAATATTGTGTGGCTTACCAGAATCCCTATTGTCAATGGGGATTTGAAAAGAAGTAGCTGTCGCAGGTTGGAATCCACAGCGTAAATACAGTAGTGAATGGGGGCGTCGTTAGAGTGGGAAGGGTCGACAAATACCAATTAGGCTGAAATTAGTCGAGTTGATGCCTCTGGCTCTGGATTGTAAGCGTACGAACCGGCGATCTAGATGCTTCAAATACCTTATGTCCAAATGGCGATATAGTAAGAATGTTAATTCAAATACGTTGCCCGGTGTAGTGCATGACCTTTGATGTAAAATTGGATCCAACCTTTTGTGAATTTTCTCCTAGGCTTTCAGAGATGAAAAGACGCCGCGATCGGATCCTATGATATTGTTTTCGCTGATTTTCTCATGATGCTCAAGATGCGAGCGGTGACGAAATCCCAGTAGGGCGTGATTCAAAGCTCCACTTTGGAGAACGCAATGTTGACAGACTGGCTGATAAGCTTTTTACATCAGGAACTGGTATTGCGGTGAGCTTTAGTACGTCTAACCCAGCCAAGTTGCTCAGACAGGCAGGTACCTACCGACCCAAAGTACGAAAAAAGTGATGGCGTATGGAGCATTCACCACAAACATTTTAATCATCTCGGCTGGATGTTGGTAGGCCCTGTTTTGCGAGGGTGCATGCTTCTCGGCTGATCTTCCAGCTTAAGTGATGTTCGGTCGCGACGGAAGTATGAGATAAACGTATCGATCCAAGATGCTGGAGGCAGTGATAATCGTATAGTGTTTTGACTCTGGGGACAAAATTAAGCTCGTCCGAATGACAGGTAATTCGACCGTGAAGGCTCATTGAGTTTTCGTCTCATCTTAGGCCACCTGTTGAAACCTTAGTGCGGGTATCGAAGAGGAAAGCGAGCCTAAAGTAACAGTAAGCAAAGCCATAATACATGTTTGAAGGGAGTGAGTTTCAATCAATGCTCACTAATTGGAATTGGGCTATATTCCATAACAAATATGAAAGACAGAACCAATGTGAGAATGTTGGGAAGGAAGAGCTAGTTATAAGCAGTACAGCTTGATGACAAACGAGCAAGAAATCAATCGATGACATGAAATAACAGCATGGATAACTCTGACAAGCAGTACACCAAGACTCGCTCGGTACCTTGCATGGAGGGACTAAATCGTTCGGCAGGAATGCAAGCTACGTGCAATAATTGCCAGAGGATAGAGCGGACAAACCAAGCAGAGATATGGATTTTCCTAGTTTATCAGCCATCAGCCTTTCCCGTAACCAGATTGAATGTAAATGAACAGAAGTAGGCCCCAGGGATAGGGCGGTGAGCCGAAACTGCTGTGCCTCCCACTGCATCAGTTCTGTCTCCCAAGATCTTGAAATGACGACACGTCCAGGCATCGGCTCAAACTTATAGTTAGATGAAGTCCATCAATAGTCCACGACGACTTCATCATCGACCTCTTCTTTGAAAATTTGATGGGTAGAATCAACCATGAGAGTGAGTATGCACAGATGTGGAGATGCAGCAATCGACGTGTTCAGCCCCCAGATGCAATACACGTTCGAATCCTAAGAAAAATCCGGTGTTCGATGATTGGCCGCGACGAGAACGATGTCTTGCCTGCAGGGCGGAGTGGTATGATGGCGGATTCCGACGAAGGATCCTGAATCCAAGGCTGTGAGGACTGACGGTTGCTCATGTATAGACATGGAGTCTATGAGGATGGCCTTGAAGTGGTATAATCCGGGGATATGATGTTGGTGGATGTGGCGTCTGGGGAGACGGCACCCGGGCGCTGGCTTGAGCTCCATGTCCCATGAAGTTGACCTGGAGGAATAGGGTCATCGCTGATTGCTGCAGAGCAGCACAGATGAAGTTCTGGGTACGGTTAATCTCGTTTGGAAGCAAAATTCTGCGTAAGGGCCAGCCCAGAGATGTGACATGGGATACGAATTGAGGAGGCGCAGGTGAGGAGAGGGTAGGATGGAGAGGGTAGGATGGAGAGGGTGGGATGGAGAGGGTAAGATGGAGAAAATGGAGGTAGATAACCCCATAACGCTAGTGGTAATGCCGTGTGCAAGAAGTGAATGAAAAAAGAAGAGAGAGATGTACAGGGTGCTAAAAGGACACCAGGCAAAGGGTGTAGATGATTTGCGCAGTGAATCCACTTAACTAACCTTTCTTGTTTTGTGGGCGGTAAAGAGGGCGGTCCGCCACAAGACCGAGTCTCTGGTACGAGGTCCATCGCAGATAGGACAGGGGGGTGACTTTGAAGGCGGTAAAGCCGAGAGATGGTGTAAGGCGGTTGCTGGTGAGGGGAGCGACAATGCTTCGGAGGGGTTCCGGTGAAGGTTAGCGGAAATGTAAGGAGGTGGGGAACGAATGGACCAAATGTTGGCAAGACCTATGTAAGTGATGAAGCAGCTAACGGGGGTTCGTGTTTGTAGAAAGCATCAAACAACGCCGGCTGTTTTGTTATTGCGTACGAGATTGGCTGTAAGGTAAAAAATTTCATTGTGCGGTCACATAAGCTACCTACTAGATTGTGTGACTCCATGTCTATTTCGAGGTGTTTAAGAAGCGGCGTATAAGATGGAAAGCCTCTTTGCAGCTACTACGGCGCTGGATCTTGATCGTCTGCTTGATGAGGCCGTCGTGGCTCTATGCAATTGATGAACAGGGCTCACCCGCCGACGTGGCGCGATGCGTTCGACATGCTGTGACCCCTTTTCAAGCTGAGAGAGATAGTTGCCACGATGACCGTTGGTTGAAGAAATCGAGAGATGTGGCCAAGATTCTCCCGATGATGGAGAAGATGTGGGTACTCATGTACGGGTCAATGTTGATGAGAAACCCTGGATGAATCATGCGTGATGCCATCATCGGTGGGGGCCACTAGGTGGCGCCTTCCCTAGATCCTTCGGATCCTTCTGCCCTTGCAGCGGAAGCTACTTTGACCATAGCTTAATGCAACATCGTCACGACAGCTGTGCAGCTGCTCGAGGACGTTGTCATGGCCACCCTCGACGTCCTCGATGCTCGGAAACGTGTCTCTGCTGACCCCTCTGCTGTATTGGTGCGTCCAAAATGCTTGGGGGCATGGCAACATGGTCCGTGTGTTGGTGGAAGTTTGTCGCGCTCAAGTCCAACCCCTCCCTCCTCCCTCTCTTTCACGCCCTTCCTCCACAACAGCCAGCACCACAGCAACCAACACCACAGCATGACCGACGCTCAAGTAGCTGCTGCTTGGAGTCTGCTTCTCTTCTCGTCCTTCAGCTCGAGTTTGTGCTGGTTTCACTCCCCCACTCGCGCGTGGTGGTGTGTCAGCCCCCAATGCAAAAGGTAAATATGCTCCTGCCAATCCCCAAGCCAATCCCCTCCCCCTCCCCCTCCCCCACCCTCACCACGGCAAGCTCTTGCTGTGCAAAGGTTCCTTTGTTACAACAGCAGAGAATCTTCCGATGATGGCCTGAGGGATGCCTTGGGTCTCTCGACTGGTTGCATAGTGTGACCGCCTTGCGTCGCTCGCAAACCCCCACAAACCCTGGCCGAGCTTCCTGCTGCAAGACCGGACAGCGTCATGATTTGTACTCTTGGAGCAGCGTATCCACCGAGAAAGGCTGGGAAACATTTCCTGCATGCCGGCCTTGCATGAAAAGACCGTGCGATCCTTGGGCAGCTCTCGGCAAGCCTTTTCTGCGGGCGAACACCAGAGGATGTCATTTGCAACGACAGCGACGACGAGTTTGCAATAAAGTATTCCTAACGAGAACAGATCCCGTACGTTCGTGAATCCTATGCATTCTGTAAGACTTCTTACGATGACATCGGAAGCGGTGTTCGGCAGTACACCCCGCGATCGTTCACCCCGCCTTTCCATTCCAGCTGTGGATTGTAGCCCAATTTATGCGAAGTTTCATAGCAGCACATGATCCGGAAACGCAGGTGTCTACACTCTTGTTGATATTCAACTTGAGTTGCATACGCATACGAGGTCCCGGCATTATACTTTGCAACGCCGACGCGATCGTTGTGTATCAGCCACAATATAATGCGCCGAGAATCCTGGGATCTCCCGAAGAGCATACATCGATCGATGCCGGTACAACACCACGACATCATCGTATCTCAATAACGATTTCGAGACAAGTCGACAGTTGCCCGACACAGGCTGTGACCTAACGTGTTGACAAGATTTAAAATTGCCATTGCAGTACGCTGGGCGGGTCGCAGTACTGTGTTGAAGTATGACCTCCAATGTCTGCGCTGGCTCTTAATATGTGCACAGCCATCGGACTATTTATCTCTCGATCGGGATTTACTGTTCGCTCCGCAGGATCCACGAAAACAGTTTGATGAGTCGACATTTGTTTGCCAATCCAAATAGTTCCGATGCAGGCAGATGCATTCACTGGCCATGGACCACTCCGTGAGATATTTGGACAAGAGACCTATTGTTGAGCATGGTACCTCGCTCAGCATGATGCTTCGCTGCGAACGAACTCTTGGGAGGCCACGAAATCACTACTCTGCTCCGCGTGGACATCAATAACGAGCATCTCCTGCATCAAGTCCCACCTCACGTCGGTTCTTATGTACCTTCCGATGCTTGACGATCCGTATTCACTTTAGACTTCTATCTCATCTCTGAGCCATGCAATTCTAGGTACGGCGAGACTGATGGATGTGGTCTTACGGGCTCAGTCCAGCTCTTTGATACTCGCCCTGGGATGGGACAACTCGACTTTGCTGCTTCATTCCAGCAAACAGTTTGAGCCTGGTGCGCTCAAGACTGCATTATCCGCCCGCGCGTTATCCAGATTTGTATTCATCGATTAGGGCTCCACTGGTCCCTTCTTCCCTCAACTCATCCTGTTTATGGAAGGAGACTAAGTTGTCTCAAATTCTCCGTATTCCGTTGGCTGCGATCGGCTGGCCACTATACGTACATGTGTGTTCCAAAAACGCCAACAGCGAATCTGAAGGTTAGCCCAGCAATAGTAAGTAGGCCACGCGCATTGGTTTTCTTGCCCCTTTTCTCGGCAATGATGACAAGACAACGGTTTCGGCCTTGTCAAACAGATACTGCGTAATAGTACCCTAGGATGCTTGCGGGTGCCTGCGGGTTCAATGTACGACAAATGCACGTTAATGTCTGAGCCATCTGGTTGAATCTTTTTCGCGCCAATTGTGTTTCAGAATATGTCGCTGATACACATTACAGATATGAAGGCAGCTCGAATCTATTCGCTATTGCCGTGAGTCACGGACTCCACGTAGTCGTGTAATTCAGCTCCTAGGTCGCCTTCTTCTAGTGGGCGTCGAAGCGCTTGCTTCTAAGAGACAAGGAAGTTTGCCCACCACGTATCTTAGCAAGAGGCAGTATGGAACCTGGTGGCGCCCGAATGATCGAGTGTGGGATCTATAACTGCAAATCCATTGCTATCGACGCCGTCTGCCTCCTCGGAGTTGATTGATATGGCCCTGGAAAGATGAAAAAGGTTCCAGGTCAATTGGAAGAGCCTGACTTGATGTTAAGCACATCGTTATCCCCGCCGATGTCTGCAGGAAGCCACAGCGCCCAGCGACTCAGCAGGAGATAACACCCGTAAGGGGAGAATGTTACTGTCCACGACTTGGATGCTTTGAAGAAGGAGAACATCCAGGAGGAGTGCTGGCTCGTACTACCGAGCTTGATCAAGCATATTCCGAATTGGGTGTGGTCTTTATTGGATTTTCGGAAAGCATCTGCCTTCGATTTTTTTTCGATCCGTCCTTCGTTGCCTAGTGTCGCCTTTTATCAAGCTCCAGCGGATAAGGATGATGTCTAGGACTCCCTGGAGGATAGGCGACCATCTGTCCTCGCCATGGGCTCTTCCAACTGTATATGGCCCTGTCATGAGCTACGAGCTTCGACAGGACTTTGGCTAATCCGCATAAATGGCGGCATTCCTGGTTCGGCTACAATGCGGATGCTTTCGCGATTCCAGTAGAAGCATTGGCTGTGCGCATACATATCTACGATGCCGACTTCTGCTAAATGGTGTATTTCATGCAGATGATCCTCTCGCTGCTGTCGTATACACACTAGAACATGGGATATACATTGCTCTGGTTGGACTTTTCTTCTCCGTGTTCTGGGATGCATTGTCGCAAAGATCCCCCATTCCGGTATAGGTGCTGTCATACACATCGTCGGTTGTTCGGTGAATCGCGTACATTCCAAGATATCCGATTTGTTTGGTTCGCTGAAGCCCCGCCCTTTGAATGTATGGGTGCCCTCTGGAAAGTTCGTCGCTTGGAGATCATGGATCGCGGCTTGTCTCATTCAGTTGCCTGGGTTCAAATCATTAGGAAGTCATGCACTGCAGTTCTTCTGGGGATGCTGTCGCGGCAGCGGAGTACTTATTCGCAGCCCGCATCGGATGTCGCGTCCCCCACGTAATGGAGATGCCCCTGCCCCATGCCACAAGGATTCCAATGGTCCACAAATGCTTCTCGCTATGATCTGCCATCCTGCGCTTTGTACAGCGATGACAGCATTGTAGGTCTCGATATGATGTCGCCCGTGTCGTGATCGAGCTCGCTAGGCGGCGGCTGGCGCTTGAAAGCATCATCTGCAAGGGACCTTGTGCTGCAGCCCATCGTAGGCATTTCTGCTGGTGAGCTCGTCAATGTAAGGAGAAACGCACCTCGCAGACGAGAATTCTTGGGGCTTGATGCAGGCAGACATCTGGAGGTTTCGCCAACTGCCTGACACATGGATTGGTGTTGAGCTTTGCGGGGGTGTCCCCCCCTCCCAACGGCGGCAAGCAAGGCATTAGCAACCAAAGGCTCTCGCCGCGCCCTGAAGACCTTGCAGCCATTATGCGCACAGCAACCTCTGAGATATGCCCTGCTGTTGCAAAGCCTGGAGCGTGAAGGGGTGGCGGTCTTGGGGTGGTGGTGTGGAGTTGGGTGCGGGCACTCTCACCGCAAACAACGCCTTTCTCACCTCATGGTCCGTGACACACGACGTATACGACTGTGTAGACTTTGACATGATGCGGGGCTGCACCGGAAAACTGTACTCCTGCAAAGCTCTCTCGACCTGCATTCCAGTGTGCATATTCCATTTCTGTCAGGGACAGTGGTTATGGACGTAAAATATCGCTGTGCCCTTGCCAATTATGGTCTGTTTGCAGCATCGTAGCAAGCGCATCACGTCAAGCCCACGCGAAGTCACATAACATAGTCCATTGTGTGCACGTAAATTCTCGTAAAGTGCATATCTACAAGAAAAGGAGTCTACTCGATGGTATCATAGTCAGGGGCTCGAGTTGCATCTCTGATACAAAGTATCGATATGGCTATGGTATGCAAATCTTGCCTCTACATCTGGAGTTGTGGTTTATGGACCTCTGAATTCGGTCATCATAAAGAATCAGTGGATGCACTTGTAGTATTTTTGCGGCATCATTCTGGTCACGAGAAGTCTATTGGTCTGATGGATATGCTTGTGCTCTCTGGCTCATCACTTAGTGTAGATGCGGAAGCTCACAAGTGTTCACACTGGTGTTTTCGGTGGCGTGTTCCGACCGTTCCTACTCCTGTGCACAATGACGGATCGCCCGATGCGGGTTTATTCTTGCCACGATGCAGATGTACGAGATGGGTGTTGATTTGAAGGCCAATTTTTGCTAGGGATACGACGCCTCGCCGCAAAGAACCTCATAGTCAACACAACCCATCCTGATACGACGGAGACGTATGAAAATGATGTACGTTCGTGGGATTGTAGAAGTGTGGGCCGAAAGGAGCTCTCGTAGAGCGCGTCGGTGTTGGTGATGATGTGGGAGGAGGTGTTTGCAGTGGTGTTATGTGTGGTGGTGGCGATGAGGGTGTTTTGTTGTGTGTGCGGCTTTGGCGTGGGCAACAACTCACCTCGACCTACTGTCTGGCCAAGAGCCCAGAGACACACGGACTTCGTCTCAACTCTGCCCTACACGACCAGCTTCTAGAGAGGATCTCGTTTCCAAAGGTACTATATGACTTGGATTGGCGGGGATTACTCCCATCACTTTGGCACAGTGGTGCTTGATCGAACATTTGCTAATTCTTCTGTAGGTCTGAAGTTCGAGCCACCGGGCGCGCGATTTTTTTGCCCTTTTTTGGAGACTTTTTTTCTGTCTTTGATGGGATTCTGCCTTTTTAGCTGAACGGTACGTATCTTATGCCAGATCCCCTTGCCAATTGCCCTATATTTGGTCTTTTCGAGCGTTTCTGGAGGTATAAGCAAGGAGAAAAAAGAGGACGTTGTTGTCCGAAGGTGTTGCGAAGGAAAAAGATGGAATGCAAGAAATCATGTGCAGCTGGAGCCGTCCATTCGAAGAGTTGAAAATCCAACAACTGTAAGTCAGCAAATGGTTATGTCGACTAATTGTCAACGCTTGACTACCCCTGGATCTGGATTCTGGGAACTCTGGAAGAAAAACTGGTGGGAAGACTCGCCAATTTGCCTTATGGAATTTTCATCCACTGGAAACATCGGATTTGGACGACTAAGAGGGAATGCACCCGTCAAGATGCTGACCTTTTGCAATTCAATTGGAGACCCTTGAGTTAAGATGCGAGATAACTGACATGGGTGATTTCGCGGATTCCATGTTCCGGATGGAATACCACTAGACCCGGGATTTTTTCACTACAGATTAAATTGAAGTAGAACTTGCTTTTTCCTCGAAAAAAAAAATCTCTTACTGGTTGGAAGGGCAAAGAACCGCATCTCTGAACGAGGGGATCATGCACAGGGACGCGGAGACGTCGCAACAATGTCGAGATTTTCTCAAATTCGACGTGATAGAGACTTTTCGATTCTTTGGATTCGTTCCCATTCGCTGAACGCTCACAACAGTGGGAAGAGCAAGTGGGTGACTTTGGCTGCTTCTCGTGTTTTTCGAATTTCATTCAAAAAAAAACGCGGAAATGGCCAGAGATGATGGATAGCACAATGCTAGAACTTCCGCGTGAGACGGCTCCCTCGTCCTCGGAGGACACTATCGATTTTCGAGTTTGGATTGTCCTCAGAGAAATGTACCTTTGTGGCAAACACCCCGTCTGGTCGTCTGGTTCCCCATATCGACTATGACTGAGACACATCATCTACGACCATCAATTTCTACGAATGAACACGGTATGACTAGCTATCATCTTCTGGCCTTTTTCCCGGAGATGTGGGGACTTCCTATCGCTATTTCACTATCTGGATGAATCCTCTGCATGGCACATATAGTCATCCCTCTGCGAAGACTTGAGTTGCTGGCATTCTGGACGTGTGTAAAATGTGTTCAATCAGGTTGTCAGATGCCGATTCCATCCTGAACAACGTAATTACCAAAGCAGATCACGCACACATGTGCTTGGTCGAACTCACTGTTCCAAAGATCAGATCACGAGTGCGGTGCAACTTCGTCAAGTCCGTCAAGTCAATTGTCTGATTATCTACGCCTTTTTTGTTGATATTCAGTTGAAAAAGGGGTCGTTTCCTTGGGCGGTGTGCCCTTTAGTTGACTAAGAGAATTTCGCTTGGGTCGGCAGACAATTCGCGCAACACTTAGCAATTTTCAGCACTTGGACGAATTCGCAACAACCACCGGAACCGTCATAACAGCTTTTCGCATTTACAGTCATCCTCAAACAAGATATGCGTATTTAAACCTGTCGTATCTCCTAAAACATAGATTTTCAAAAAGATTGGGAAATACAGCATCGTCGCTGCCAGAATGGTAGTTGCATGCACTGATGGAGAAGGTGCTATGCACTATGGCGCCATGCGCTACATTCCAACCTCCTTCAGCCGCTCGACCACCATCACCACTCCCTAAGGTAACATTTGAAGGTGCATTTATACATACCTAGGTAGCGTATGCACCTGTACGCATGTGCTGCTGGATGTACCTGGATATCTCAATATCAGTCTCGAACCGGAGCCTTCCCAAATCTGTCCCTGGTAATGCATTTTGGCATCTCAGCAACACGAAGAATGCAAATACCACGAGCAGCGATTGCTCACTCCATGGAAGATAGTCGCTGTTGATCTTCTGCTGGTAGTGTGCATACAATTACGACAATCTCATCCCAAGTCTGCCAGAATCCGCGCTTTCCCACGCACGCATGCCAATATCTACCTGATTCTCAGCAATAAGCTGAGGACGTTCACTTCAACAGAACCGCCTTGGGAGCGACTAGCTTATCGGGCAAGCCTAAGATCTCCGTCTGAAGTCGTACATCAACAACAACAACCTCGAGAGCCACGTGCGTCGAAAGGGTCTCGCCTATCTTCTATCACCAATTGACCTTATTCTTATGGTGAGTTGCTTCCTACTATTTCCTACTCCTGGTTATAGAAGCAAAGACATTTCTGGTTTCTATATATACGCTTTTGCGAGGATTCTTATTATCACTAAACTAGGATTGGCACCCATAGTGAGGTGGTCATTGAGAAGCATTTGCTAACTTATGTGCTCAGGTTCAAACCCGCGCGATTTCTTTTTGGCATTTTTTTGGCCCATGGCTTTTTGCTACCTATGCATTGGATGCAAGGCTTTAACGGAAAAACCACGCGGATTCCCGGTCTGCCTGACCTGGAGATTTGAATGCTTTTCTTTTTAGAGCATCAAAGACTATGTCTTCCGGAAGATTGAGGTTTTGGGCATCTATGAGTGACTATTGTGGTTCCAAATGCCGCAGCTGACTACCCAGAAAAGAGTTACGACCTCATAGCATGTGAAGTGCAGATAACGGGGTATTTTGCACCTACACACTTGACAGTTCGACTTCCCCATGCATTTTGGATGTGGCGCGCAGTCCCGAAAGACGAGAGAGCTTGAGCCAAAGTACTCGATGAAGGAAGTGCCCTATACGAATTCACGCCAGGACAATGGAAACTAAATCACACGCATTCCCCCGTAAATGTGACTACATGGTGCTATGCGCTACCAACTTGAAGTCCTACCAACGCCTTGAAAGCTCAATCTATGGAACGCCAATGTACTAAGCGATACATGTTTTCGAGCGTGCTGCACAACTGGGAACGATTATGGAATTCGCAAATACCAGCAAGCATCAACTAAATGGAAATGACCAAAAAATGACGGGCCGGGATTGAGCTTAGGAAATTTTGGAAGCATATCCAAACGACAACTCATTTTCTGGATTTTGGGTGTGCTCTGTGGCGGAATGCAACGTGCCATCCACCAGAAATGGGCGACCCTGCATAGCAATTGAGAATCAACGAATATATTCGTAAAAACGATATATACCAACTTCTGACGGGCATTAACAAGAAGATCACTGGACTGGATCCGAGGGGTTTGAATGTGCAGAACGGGCTGCCTTGCGCTGTCCAGGCTCTTCTACATGAAGATGGAATGTTATGTGCGAGTTGAAAATCAACACAGCTGTGGTAAAAGTTCACCTGAATTTCGATATACCCAGGCAAAGACTTGCTGAAAGGCGATCCAGAAGGAGCAGGATATGCCCCAATGCCCACTGTTCAGTAGAAGCATGCCAGAGATAAGCGGAGATTTCGGGACTCGCAGGCGCTCTGGCTGGCGTCTGGCGGCATTCTGGATACTCGAGCACATAATCGCGCCGGCCTGCAACTCAATCACCGCGGGAGCGGCTCGTCAAATTATCGCCGGAAATTGGAGATCGATACCATGCGACATAGGAATCGAAGAAAATGAACCTCGAGAGGCATCGCTTGGGGACGACTTCGCGGATGTTGTTGAGGTTGTCGTATCTGAGTCTCCGAGCATGGCCAACACCAGATCGCCTAAGGGGTAGAAATCCACCAACACCACCACGCCAGATTGACAGCATGGGCACCAACAATAACTAAAAAACCGGCAGCCGGGGAATTTTATGCTACGATCTTTCGCATCCTTTAGTTACATGTCAATACGAACGTTGAGATGGGTTTCCTTTTCCATTTAGGTCATCGTGGCCTGCGGGGACACAAAATGGCGAGTGGGCGAGAAAGCCGCTGCCTCCGCCACACCAAATCAACAGCATGAGCAGTACGGTCTGCCACAGAAGCAGTGCAATGTCTCGATGAGCTTACCATCATCCTCTGTGGAATCCTCTCACGATTGGTCGTCTCCTTCAAGGGGCAGAGAATCCCTCGAGGTCGCTATATGTTGCAGAAAGTATGAGCAAAAGTAACGTCGATGCTTCTATGGCTGTATATGGCTTTAGTATGGCATTTGCACATATTTATGTCATTCTCAGCGATGGCAATTGCTGGTGTTCCCGCTGCCTCTCCCAATATCTCTTAGCCTAGTTGCTGCAGCCCACCAGCTTCGTCTCATCTCGATTACTACCACGACTGCTGTCTAGGTAAAAGCCTTCTGCGCCAGCGTCGTACACTCGCTTGATAGAGACCAAAGTCTTCACCACCTTTACCAGGAGAGATGACCTCGACATCTTTTGGGCTATATATACAATTAAAGCGAGCATTACTCCCATCACTCTATCACGGCGTGGCATCCGTGGTAGAGTGGTTTTAGGAAGCAGCTTGCTAACTTCTGGTGTAGGGACCCGCGTTCGAACCGCGAGATCGATCTTTTTGCCAAAATTTTGCACTTTTTGCATAATCGTTTTTCTTTAGCAGGGAGGCAGAGGTAGCTGTAGAAGTCTCTATGTACTATGAGATACCAGCTGCTGGAAAGTCCCAAGATTAAGAAGATATAGGCGCATTTTGGATCTGCCAGCTACTTCCTCCCCCCCTTCGGTATTGCCTTGGGGGAGGTGCCATTGAGTCTAAAGACGTGCACATGATGCATTTCGACACGTCCACGGATTGCGGGGGTGACTAGCTGACTCACTATCCTTTCAATGTTTATTCTCGCAAGAAACCCGCTAAGGACACGAGCATGAAGGCACATACGTAGCGTTGTGCAACTACAGAGCGATTTTATCGAAATTTCCACATGAGGAAATATGCACATTAGGCGCCTACCATCGTTCCCGGGAACATCGGCCATAAATCTTCTTTTCGAGAATCACTCGATGAAAGGTCTCCTGAATGCTGGAAATATGCCGCCGATAAGGTTCTGCAATCACACGTGTACGGATTTCGCTGAGATTTTTATGCCGTGAGGATCTCTACGTTGCCAGAATTCCTATGGAAATGATACTGCATTTGCGACATGCTTTGCCGGAAAAAATAGAAAAAAAAAACCATTACAGTAAAAGCCGAATTCATGCAGCGACAACTCATGGTCCGAAATTCAAATGCACTAGGACGTGGAAAGATTGAACAGTCAGCCTGCTGAAGGATTCATATTTGAGACTTAAGTCCTGTCACGGCAAAGGATGTCGGGATAGGGTGTGGAGTAAGCCATGTCAGCGGCCCGTTCCGAGCCCGTGAACTTTGGTGCAGAATACCAACATCAACCAACATTGAGGACCGGTAACAAAGACATTCAGGGGCAGTGGGATCTTGAATTCTATCCCCCACAAGAATTATCCTGAAACGACATCTATCAACTCTCTTTTTCCCTGGTCAGCACATATTGCAAGCGTGGAAGCCCCTGCATCGGACCGTCCCATGTATGTTCAACATGTCAATTCGAACTTGGAGAACGAGGGCAAGTGTATACTTACACAATCCGGAAACAACAACCTTCTTGCACGCGGCAAATGGCCACAATAATTTCGCAAGTCGAGCCTCACTCCTAGCATACCCTTGGATGTACATGCCGGTGTACAACTATCTGTCGAAAAGTAATGTTGCAGACGGTGCAAGGGCCTAGTATTACAGCCGTAGGCTCGCAACGTGAACAAGAACATGGCGAAGAAGACCACGTCGAAAGGAATCCTCCATACCCCTGGAAATGCACCAATATCATGCGATCTGCCACGAAACGCAAATCAATTTGGTATTCTCAGGTCATTGTTGACTGCCATGCTCTCCTTGTGGGAGTGCAGATGGTGGAGAGGGCTAAGCATCCTACGCGCGGATCGCTAAAATTGTGAGGAATAAGGACGAAGTCACCAGCGAGACCAACATGGCCAATCCAGCCGACCACATACCCTGCACGTATCTGGTTCTTCTGCTGTATGTCATTTACTTCGGAAGGATCATTTATACCTGGGTCAATGCTAGCTTCCCCGTCGGAGAGCAGATGTCGGCGGCTGGCGGTCTCAGCGTTCTGCCCGCAGGCTACCCAAGGAAACGCAGAGCACGGTGTTGATGGGCCACAACGCCCCCAGCTCGTGTCTCATTCTCCCCCCAGCCCCTGATAATTGCCAGGAGCATCTGTAGACGCCGGTCCACATCGAATTCCATGTAGAGACAACTATGCAGAGGGCAGACAGGCCCGCATCCTCCCCGTAGGCCATCACCGTGGCGGGGCAGCCGACAGAGAAGGCAGCCCACCCGCTCCCAAAACCTAAGCCCAGAGTCAAAGGGCCCTCATAGTCAAGCAGCTGCTCGCAGCAAGGACCCCGCCGCCCGTAGTCGCCCTCGCTCACATGCGTTGGCAGCACCGCCCTGACGCCACTCACTTGAGCCTCCCTTCACGTAGCCACCTCGCTTATGACGGCATCAACACCACTGCCATTTACTCCATATAGTATCAATATGAGGATTTTCGGGGCTCACTATATATACTGTGAGCGGCAGACTCCTACTACCAATCTACTACAGCGGTGGCGCGTTGTAGTAGAGCGGGATTTGTCAGAACTCCGCTAACTTATCTTGTAGGCTTGGGATCGAATCTCGGTCTGACCGCGAATTTTTTGCATTTTTTGCACAATTTCCCCCCCTATGATATGTGGCCTTATTTTGGCTACGGGGGGCATCGGAGGGAGCGTATAAGGAGATTAGGAGGACAAGACAACCCATATCCTTCTTTTTGCCAGCGGGAGATCAGGATTTTGAGGATGAGACGCGTAAAGAGGCTCTTGGGTGGTATAGGGAGCCATTGGCAACGCTCAACGTGGGTTATCCACAGATTTGGAGATTTTGGCGGGGTTCCACTCGCTCATTTCCAATCACCTATGAGTTATAGCCTTATAGGCAATCGCCGCGGATTCCGATATATGCCGCTGCGTGAGATCCTCGCAATTTGCATGAGAAGGGATCTCAGTTGGCACAGGCACCCCAGGAAATATCGGAAACTCACAACATTGAAACTACGGAAAAAGAAGAGACAAGAAGCGGCCAGTACGACTTCCTGGGGTAGAAACTAGGAAAAATCACTGCATTTTGGTATTTGTGGCCTAAGTTCAGCTATCTAAAAACGCCATCGATGCCGAAAACCGTGGAACGCAATATTCCGGTAGGCGCGACATGTCTACTCCATCTTTTTCAACAGATCCAGTTGTTCCCCCCGACTTCGTGTTTGTGCCGGGTCTTATTGATCGCCATGGCCTCACATCATCGAAAACTCGAGCCGGATCTACTCAGGATCCGGCCAAAGAATGCGGATATAGCTGATCCGATTCCCAACTCAATATTTCCCCCTCAGCCGCTTGTAACCTTCAATGTGCCTCGTGCACCTGGTATGTGTTTCCCTCAACAGCCTGCACCGACAGTATGGCATGACTGCACTCGCGGTCTTGACCCAAAGTCTCCATCATATATTTCTTGCAAAGGGATGCGTCGGGATGAACGCGCCGTGGCAGTTCGTATTGTGTGCGTGCAGCGTAGCTCAGGCGAGAGGCGCTTGCCATCGTTTTAAGGAAAGGGTGCTCCCGAACGGCTCGGGCCGCGGCGACGCTACATCGTGTGGATCGATTCGCGGGGATGGGCGGTTCGGGTTTAGATTGTGGGATTTGTCGAGGACGACCTGCAATATTGATCAGACTCTTAGACGTTGGGAATGAGCGTCAAAAATTGCGGTTATTGCGACACTCACCATCAATGTCAGAAGACCAGGAGAAAGATGACGATCCCAGCCCGTCGACCACCCAAGGCAGCGAAACCTTGCACACCCCTGACCTCAATCAAAAGATAGAAGGGCACGCAACGTCAGCAATGAGCAATATGGTTACCGATCCTTGGTTTCTTCCTGGCGGAAAGAATTCTTGCTCTGACCGTTCGTGGTCTTATGATCGCATGTATGGCTGCATCTGTGTCGAACGCGAACGGCCGGCGGATTCGAGATGTCACCCACGCATAGACTCCTTCGCTGCTGAAGTCGTGCGTAATGAAACTCCTGAGTTTGCAGTCTTCTTTCTCTTCCTGGACTTCCTTGGACTATTCTTCCATCCTCCTGGTCGTCGACCTCAGATTTTTCTGTGTCCAATGCCTCCAATGAATGTCAAGGTATGTATTGCCTAGGCAGGATAGGGCTCGTTGGCTTGGAATCTGTCCAGCTATCCCAGCTGTTTGTCTGTAATGTGTCCCAGAATTGAGCATGCTTTGGCCGCACGCTCTTTGTTGTTCTTGTATTGCGACGGCGTTATGGGAGCGCTGAGCCCTAGGGCGGGTCGCTGTGAAGAGTGGGCTAGGGTGTTCATCGTGGACTCGGAGAAGGAAACGAGGTAGGTTCCGCACGCGTTCGACCTGCTAACAAGAACAGAGCGAAGTGATTCTCCGTCGGCGAGATCGCTAGTGTCGAGTTTGCGACCGTGCTGGACGGGATCGGGTCAGCCATGGAGTTTCAGCAGGGAGAATCGCCTTCCTGACAGCCTACTCAACTTACCTCCATGTCCATTACATCGCAGCAAATCTACGACGGACTCCTAGACGACCGTGTCATTCTCCTCCAAGTTCAACTGGCCGGGGTGCTTGCCCTGCCTTTTTTCGACGGGGAAGCTTTCGCATGAACAGCCACCCGCAACAGGACACGGCGAGGGTGGCCGACAACGCGAATGCAGCCAGCTGCCAGCTGTCGAGTATCGAGAAGAGCAAGAGCAAAGTTGCAACGACTATGCAAGGGGCCTGGCCGCTGGTGGGGAATGGTAGGTGATGGTGGGTGGTGGTGGGTGGTTGTAAAAGACGGGGAGAGCGGAGGGGCCGCTTCGGCCTTGTGAGAAAGATTGACGACACTCAGCACATCACTCCAGCGGCTGCCGCTAGGCAAAAGACAGGGACAAATGGGCAATTCACCGCAAGCGGGAAAAGTAACAGGCTTCTTTCCTCTCTCCGGGGTACGAAACCCACCAGAACGCCATTTCGCACGGCTTTGTGGGACCTGCACGCCGTCTTGGATTACCCTTCCTTTACTGATTCTGCTTTTCTCGCTTTAGGGCTGAGGAGCTTGGAGAATACAGCGGAACCCGCGCGCCCATCCCTGCATAGCTGCACGGCTGGGCTCCATGGTGAGGGCGCGGGGCCATAGCCGCATTTACGAGACAGCAGCTTCACGACTACAAGCTCGACGACTGCGACTATTACTAACCTGGTCTTTCCCTCCCTCTCAAATGCCTCTGGCTGCAGCACATGTACCTGCCACTCTTCTTTTACCCCTTCCTCCTTCCAAAGGTAGCCTGCCAACGATTCTCCGAAATATCCAGGTTCAGCCGCCTTTCTGTCCCCTCAGCTTGCTCGACCAGACGCGGGCGGGGAATCAATATCTCCGATCCATTTCCCGTCCTGCCCATATGCCATGATTCTGGCCGCCTTTGGGTGGATATGTTTGCTCTTCTTTTACTCGTCTCCATCAAGCTTTTCAAATGATCTTGGACACATGATACTAGCACTTCCCACTGACCAAAGGAATAATACGGACTCACATGAGCCACCGAGCAGCGTATAGATCTCATTGATAATGAGAACGCACAAAACCTGGTGCCTTCCTGAAGCCCGAAGGCAGACTACAAGCCTTTGTAGCAGTCCAATGTTAGACTACTCTGGAAACTGATGCCAAGTTCCATCGATGAATAGGGTCTTTCAAATCGCCTTTTCTGGAAGGGTAAACAATGTAACCTTTGATGCCAGGCCGGAGGATATGAAACTATCGTGTTCATACATCCCATGTCTAGAAACACAAGGCAATGGTAAATGCGTAGATTGGTAGAATCTATAGCAAAGTTTTTGCATGATTGATTCCATATACTACGACCTTTTCATACAGCCTGTTCTACATATGTATGAGATGATGGTACCATCCTATTGACTATTCTATCGTTCGCAATCACTAAAACTTATATCTAATGCAAAATGGGCCAACAGAGATCGTAGTTGTTTCAATGAGTTGAAGCGTTCCATGTCGCTTTGGCTTAGAGTACCTGATTGTCGTCGTATGCACAAAAGGCGGCGATAAAGATAATATAGATATACAAAGTCACGACGAGCATATTCTAATCCGTACGACGAGTGAGGCTGGTATCACTGGCACAGTATGAATGAATGTCAGTGAAGATGGCGGCGAGAGTGTCGTCCAATCTACTGATCGTGCATAAAAGGGGAGTACTTCGTCAATCTGAAAAGTCAAACCATTGAGTTCGGATTGAACGTAATTGGACAATGAATGAATATAGTCGTCGGAGACCGGAATCAAGAGTCCGGATGCCCACGACGCGGAGTGAAATATAGGTAATCTCCCATATCAAACACACCATACATAGAAACTAAGGAGACATCATTACACGGATAATATATTTTCTATTTACAACTCAACCATTCCAACCTTAATCTACAATTTATGCTTCTTCTCCCCAGCGGCAATCTTCCTAAACTCTTCCTGCGGAATACCCTTCCTAAACCGCTCCAATCCCGCCAACACCTCCTCAACCCCCTGGCGATCCAGCGCATCCATCTCAGGTTTCCGAATCAACTTCTTAATCCCCACCAAACTCTCGCGATTGAGATGCGGGCCAAGCCTGTCTTGTACTTCTTCCAACACTTGTCCAAAGAACACTTCATCCGCACCTTCCTTCTTCGCGTCTACATCGAACACTTTATTCACGAAGCCCGTTTGCACAAGTTCATCACATGTGATCCTCTTACTCATAATCAACGCCTCGTTTGCTTTGCTGATTCCTAACCTCCGGACGAACCCGACGCTTGCGTTTCCTTCTGTGACGAGGCCTAGTGAGGAGAACGGTGTGAGGAGGAAGGTATGTGGTGCGGCGTATATGAAGTCTGAGAAGGCGACAAGGGCGGCTGAAAGTCCGATCGCGGGACCATTAAGCGCTGTGATGAGGATCTTGGGGTGCGTGTAGAAGGCGTGTGTGATGTGGAGATTGTTTGCGACGAAGGATTTGAGCCAGAATTGGCGGGGAGATTCGTCTTCTGGGGCAGACGAGGAGCCGATTCCGACGTTCGCACCGCTAGAAGAGTGTTAGGTAGAGAGAATAGAGAGGTAACCGTGGATGTGGAATGGGAGTTGGAAGTATGGCACGTACGCTGAGAAATAGCGACCTCTGCCCGTTAGGATGGTGATGTAGATATCGTCGCGCTCGGCGATATCGCGTAGTGCTACGGCAAGGTCGAAGTACTGGTGTTGATCCAGCGCATTTAGTTGTTTGGGTTGGTTGAGGGTTATGACTGCGATGCCGTCATTGCGACACTCGACGAGAATGCTGTTGTCTTTGTTTGATGCCATTGCGGAGCTGTGTTCTCTTCCCTGAGGTGGAATGTGAGGTATGGATTGTTAATGTTGTGCAGAGATGAGGGGTTAAGATATCTGCTAGATTGCCAAAGTATGCAGAAGAGTCAATGATTACATGTGTGGGATGTTTATGGGGTAAGGCCATGAATCGAAATGTATTGCGGCCTACACGGAGTTACCGAGGCTAGCTGAGCTGGAGATGTCACCAATGCGGAGTAGGCATGTTGGAAAATCATCCGATTAAAGGTCGCCTAGGTTCAGTGTTCAGCCGTGCGGGATCATCACTGGTATTCTGTGAATCCGCGATAGTATGGAAATTGATGGTCACATCGGAGAGGTTCCATGGTAGACGGAGAGTGGATTTCGTGAACCCTTTATTTGGAGTGGGGAAGCTCTCATTTTAGATCTTAGATCCCGAATTATAGACGATATCTAGCCGAAGCATCACCTTGACGAAATACCATTCTACTAGAACATCACCTCGCTCCACGCGCACCGCGAATCGCGCACCCGAGGCCAACGATCACCCTTCCAAACCCCACCATAATCTTACACACGCTCTCCGCTCCTCACAATGGGCGGCCCCAATCTTGAGGTCTTCAAGGTACGTCTGTCAACTTCCTAATAATCGATCCCCCGCTAACCGCCTCGTCAGTTCGGCATGTACATTCTCTTCCCGATTGGTGTTATGTACTACTTCGGCACAAACCTCGATAATCGCTTCTCTGTCCCCGATTTCTGGCCCAAGGAAGGACAAACGCACAAGATTCCGTTTGAGAGAGAGGAGATTAAGTCAGAGTTGGAGAGGATGAAGAGGCAGCGTGCGGAGGCGAAGACGCGGAGGGAAGACGAGGAACGGAGGATGAGGGAGATGATGATCAGAAGGGAGGAGTAGAGAAAGTGCGGCTGTGCGCACCTTTTCAGAATGTGTGGGGAGTAGCTTCTGGAAGCATTAAAAGGAAAGGATATCTGGATGAAGAGGTTGCATGGAAGGCGTTCAATCTGGGCTATTGATGACTTTTGGGGGACTGCGCAAGAGCAAAAGCTATCATATTCGGGCTGATGTTATATGTATATCTATTATTGTACAATGCTGTATCATACATGTGTGTCTTTACGAGATTTCTGTCTTTTCCGCTGCTCACCGAATGGAATCGAACATCACTCGACACTACCTCACACCTCTTGTTTGCTCTGCAGCTCCGCCCAGAGCTCCTCTTCTATCGCGCCCTTGGTCCAATTCAGGTATACACCCTGCACTCCGGTCACTTCGGCCAGCAAGTCTAGAAACTTGCCAATGTTGACCGCCGCCGCCTTTTTATCCAACGGCACCAGCGTATCTTCATTGGGGTCAAAGAAGATCTCGCTTTCAGCTATTTGCAACCCAGTCTCTTTCGCCACCGCGGTGCCTGCGGAAACAGTCTGCGCAGGGTCTGTATATATCACTACTCCCCCTTCTTCATCCTCCATCACATCCAGCGCGCCAGCTTCCAGCGCGGGCTCCAGAACCTCATCAGCTCCTACCCCCTCCTTCTTCTCGAACCGTATGCGTCCTTTCTTCTCAAACATGTACCCTACCGGGGTGACATTACCGCCGGCATCCTTGATCAGCATCCTGAGTTCGGCAAGGATGCGATTTTTACTCTCGGCTTGTGCCTCGATGACAACGGCTACAGAGGGTGGCAGCATAGCTTCAAGTGTGACATTCTCGAGGGCGGCGCCAGTGGCAGAAAGACCTCTTCCGCGAGCGATAGCGGCTTCAATGGCGGCTTTTGGAACTGCATTCTTTTTTGCGGTCGAGATCGTGAGAGTGAGGCGAGGATTCATGGTTGGGTCGTGTCCACCAATCCTCACGGCATTGGCGATGTCTTTTGTGAGGATCGCGCGTTGCTTGCTTTTGGCGGCATCGGCTTTGCCTTTGTCGTGTTTAATGGAGGCCCATTTTCTAGCAATCCGTCAGCGAATCGATGTGTATGCGCAAAGCAGTCGTTCATGGGACTGGACGTACGAATGGCCTGATTTTACAACTGGCGAGGAGCTGAAGCATCGCGCTGCTTGTCTAAATTGTCTTGTCGGGCGACACGCGCATGGTGTGGAGGAAACGAAGGTGAACAGATGACGGAAAGGCGTCGTCATTTTAGAGTGAATGCAATTGTGCTATAATGATATCAGTATCTCCATTGATGGGATTGTGCATGGTAGAGTGGGATACAGGCAATTCCCAAATTCGGGGCTGGCGCCAAGGAACATCATTCGAGGGGGCTCCAGGTAGCTAACCTCCGAGTGCAACTCCGCAATATACGGTAAGCTGCACTCACGACTCACCCACCACCGCCGTAAGAGTGTTGATAATATACCCCCCGCGCCAACCACCATGGGAACTTGAGGAACCAACAACGCAGGAAAAATCGCAATCTGGAACTCAGCGATATGGCATCGTCACCCCCACACGATCATGAGGCTGCCAATGGGGCCAACGCATCCTCCAACCCCGAACTCGATATCAAGAAGCTGCACGCGCTGCCTACCGAACAACAAGAACTCTACCTCTTAACCTTTTCGTCCGATCTCGCTCGTCACGTTGCCTCGCTCGATGCCGACGGCGCATCAGCCCACCAAATCTATCTAAAAAAGGAGCTCTTCCAGATCATCAATCTCCCCGCCCCGCCCCCGACTCGCGCTATACGCAACAACCTAGGTCGCGCCTTTTCTGGCATTTTTGCGAAAGGCGACCGGAAGCTCCTCTTTGAGTCCATCAACGAGCTCACCCACATTCTTAATTCTGCTGGGAAGACGGAGAAGGACATCAGGGCCAAGCATGCCGCCTCTCATTGTTTGGGTGCTGTCTTCGAGGCTGCTGGTGATAGCGCTATCGGCCTTGCCCCAATTGCCACTACATCTTTACTACATCTTGTAAAGGTTGCTCAGAGCCATACGGGGCTGCGTGCTGCTGTTTTGAAAGCAGCTGGCAATGTGTTTAAAGGTGTGGGCCGCTCTGCTGAAGAAGCGGTGGCCAGAGTTGCCTGGAAACAGGCGCGAACATTATGTGCGGGAGACAAGTCGTTGCTGGTACAGTCCCAGGCTTGCTATCTCTTGGAGCAGCTGGTCCGTCACACCACCTTCTTTGACAACTCGACCGACTTCGATAAGCTACAGAATGCGCTTTGGAAAACCATTGATAACGGCTCCGCCTCAGTCCGTCATGCTGCCGCCTCTTGTCTCAGCGCATCTCTGGTGAAGAATTACTCGGAAGTAGCACCTGTGGAAATTCCTCTGGGCAGATCAAAGACCACCAAGAAGAAAGGCAAGAAGCCTTCAGATCTGGACGGCGATGAAGACATTATCGAGCGACCCGATTCCCCTGCGCCGAAGAAATCAGCTGCCGTATTATCGTTCAACATTGTCTCCCTTATGAAGGTGCTTTCAGCCCAGTACTGCCGACCCGCGACAAGCAATCGATCTAGGGCGGGTATCGCCTTGTGCTACATGAAAACCCTCCGCGGCTTGGGTGAACAAGTGGTAGAATCTAAATACGCGGATATCGCCCGCCATTTCTTCCTCGACCTTCTTAGCCATCCTACCATTGTACAAAATCGATACCGAACTTTGTGTACCAGAAAATATGTTGCCATTATCCTCGAGTTGGTCATTGGGCGTGAAATGCTTGGAGAATCGAGTCAACTCAATGCTGCCCGATTTCTGGTCAACGACATATTGAAAGACTACCCCCAGTTGCTGAAGGAGAGACCTGAACCGTCCAAACAGACCTTGATTGGCGCGCTCAGTACTCTGTCTTCGCTACTCAACAGCCTTGGGTCTGCTGCTAATGTCATCGCCGATGCGTGCAGAGACTCGCTGCTTCAAGTCCTACAGCACCCGAGTTATACTGTTCAGGTCAATGCATCTTCCTGCTTGCGCTCCTTTGTGTTAGCTTGTCCACTTCAGCTTCTTCCCGCAGTTACCATTTGCATGAACAGCGTCAGCCGCGAACTTGGTCTTCTGGGGGGTCCGCGACAGTCTCCACGACGGTGTGTTGGTCTTGCCAACGGTCTATCTGCAGTTCTCAGCACATCCACTTCCCAGCCACTTCATGGTTCCGTGGACGTGAACTCCAGAGTGTTATCACAAGCCACATCGTTGCTGAAATCTGCTAGCAATTCGGACCTTCGCATCTCTTCTACGCAGATTCAGGTCGCGTGGGTGCTCATTGGCGGCTTGATGACACTTGGTCCTAACTTCGTTAAAATTCATCTCTCCCAATTGCTCCTACTTTGGAAAAACGCACTCCCAAAACCTCTAAACAAGGATAACATGATTCAACGAAACGTGTTAGAGCTTAGCTTTCTAGCGCATGTTCGCGAGTGCGCTTTAGGCTCAATACTGACCTTCCTCGAATTCAACAGCCGGCTTCTTACTCTCGATGTAACGAAACGATTAGCTACGATGTTACAGAACACTACTATGTTCCTGAATACACTTCCTGCAAAGAAGACCACGGACGATGTTTCTCAAAGATTATCGCCCGCATTACAACTAAACGACTTTGACCTTATGGTGCGGAGGAGAGTGCTACAATGTTACACAAAGCTGGTAGATCTAAGCCCGGCAGGCAGCAGTGAGGTCCTTTTGCAGACTAATCTGCTCCCATTCGCCGTTTCAGCTTTTGCCGATCCCGACAAGTACACCTCGAGTTCCTTGAGCGTGTCCATTGCAAGCTCTGCAGGAAATTTCGATAGCATATGGGACGTTGCCGACAATTATGGCTTTGGTGTCACAGGTCTGGTTAGAGGTTTCGACATCACACCGCTTCCCGGAGAGCAGGAGAACGAGCACCCGCAACATTGGTCTACACGTCATGGTCCCGAGGCAATGATCGACCGCACGGTATGCTTCACACGGCTCCGCTTTGTGATCACCACTAACAGTGAACAGCTTCTGTCGCCTATCGGGAGCGCCCGTGAACATGACTCAATCTCCCTTTACGTTGGAAAACAGAACGAAGCATTTGACCTCCCCAATCCACCGGCAACTGAAGTTGTCAATTCTGCTCTGCAGCTGTTCGCCAAATGTCTACCTCTCCAGACACCCAAGATCCAGGAGAGTATACTCGAGCAAGTGACTTCTTTTCTTTCAGCCAGTAGTCTGCAGCGCGACGTTAACCGCAAAGCTGCCATGATGGTGAATATTGCCTATGCTCTACTGGGTACCCTCAAAGTAGCTGTTAAAGAGACTCGATCTTCGCCTGGCGATCTCAAGGGTCCTGCTGTAGAGAAGGTTATTCAAGAGTTGTTGCACGTGAGTAACCTCCAGCAAAATCATAGTTGATTCGCTAACATGTATCAGCTGTTCATTGTACTTCCGGATCCGTACGTTCGCAATATAGCCGGTGAGGCCCTTGGACGGCTGTGCAGTAGCTCCGGTAACGCTCTTACCACCACCGAAGTCAATTATCTGGTGGATCAAATCGTCGCCAACCGTGAGCCGAATGCGCGCTCGGGGTATGCTGTTGCTCTGGGTTGCATTCATTCGCAGTTGGGAGGCATGGCGGCAGGCTATCACCTGAAAAACATATTAGGCATATTAATGTCTCTTAGCAACGACCCACATCCTGTCGTACACTTTTGGGCCCTTGACAGTCTTACACGAGTCGCAGACTCCGCGGGCTTGACCTTTTCTGCCTACGTGACCAGCACACTCGGCATGTTGGCGCAGTTGTTTGGTTCGGACACCCACAATGAGGAGTCTGCTTCTCTTGCTTCATCGAATCTGGAGCTGGATCTTCCAACTCCGGCTGTTATTGCGCGATGCATTGACAGTACGATAAACGTCCTTGGACCTGACCTACAGGATGTCACTAAAGCACGGGACATGATCATGACACTCATCGGCTTGTTCAATGTTGAGTCTGACGAGTTGATTCTGATTGAAAGTTTGAAATGCCAGGAGCATCTCTCGCTATATGCTCCGGGTCATATGCATTTTGCACTTTACGTCAAGCAACTGCAACAGGCCATCGAGAGTCCTTCGGAAAAGATTCGAGACATGGCAGTGGACGGCCTGCACAATCTCATGCGTCGAAATACAGAGGAGGTGATTCGCACAGGTGATCCAGGCATGGAGGATCAACTATGGCATGTTCTTGACAGAGACCCAGAGCACGAGGTTGTGCGGAATATTATCCGCACCTGGCTGCAGCAGACCGGGCTTACCGACACAGCATCTTGGGTGCAGCGCTGCCACTCAATCTTAACCAAGACAAAGAAGGTTGCAGAGGCCGAAGAAAAGACGGAGACTAAGCCTAAAGGCGGGCAAACGGATCTGCAGGATGAGGAAGTCGCTGGATTTGCTGCCGCCGCGAACGCCCCGGGAGAAGATGGTGCAGCGGTACAGAAGAGCCAAGAGTTATTAAAGTGGCAAGTAAGAAATTTCGGGATGGAATGTCTCAGTGAACTACTTGCTATGATCACCAAAGAGGCAACCTTTCGAGATGAAGCAGCCTGCGTACTGGCTCTGCAGAAACGGGTGGCTGATGTTGTACGCATTGCCTTTTCCGCTTCCACTGCGGGTGTCGTTCAACTTCGAATTCGGGGTCTTAAGATCATCGATCAGGTTCTTAAGCTGTTTGGCAAGACACCGGATCCAGATTTTCCTGAAGTGACGCTTCTCGAACAATATCAGGCTCAGATTGGGTCTGCATTGACACCCGCCTTTGCTGCTGATTCATCCCCAGAGCTTGCAGCTGAAGCTGTAAATGTCTGCGCTACATTCATCTCTACCGGCATCGTGACCGATGTCGATCGCATGGGTCGAATTCTGAAGCTTCTCGTTTCTGCGCTCGAGAATTTTTCCAATGAAACGGAAGTGGCAGCCATCGGAGACCTAAAAGGACTCAGTTCCAATGCACAGGTTATGGTCAAAATGTCGGTGTTCTCTGCATGGGCTGAATTGCAGATTGCAAGTGCCGAACAAACATACTTACGCGATGTTCTCAAGCCTCACATCGCACGACTCACCCCGCTTTGGTTAGCTTCGCTGCGGGAGTATGCGCGTCTGCGATTTGAACCTGATATCTCATCGATGGGTTCATCATCACTCTCCGGAAGCTTGGATACCATTTATGCAGCGCTTAACCGAGAGACACTGCTCAAAGTATGTATACCACTTTAAGTCCCTAACTCTACTAATCTTTGTTCCCAGTTCTACCAAGAGTCATGGCTGAACCTCGTCGACGCAATTGCAAGTCTGATTGACGAAGATAGCGAGTTCGTGTTTGACGCCCTGGATGGCAAAACTGAATTCGATGAACCATCAACTAGTGATGGAAAGGTGGACCACCATATTAACTATCGTGCGGAGCCAACAGCCTTCTTCTTCGTTCTATTTGGCCTGGCATTCGAAGCTCTGGCTGGCCGCCCGGGCGATTTACAAGCATCAAAGGAGCAGATTCTGGAGATATTGCATGCGCTGAAAAAGATTTTGCGGCCGTCAGTGTCTGGACAGGCTATCTACCAGGAAGTCATTTTTTCCGAGACCATGGATATGCTCGATCGACTTGTATTGACAGAAGGTCTGCAAGTGCAGACAGTCATTGTCCAGATTGCTAGAAATCTCTGCTTAGGGCATCCTTCGGCCAGGAAAGACCACCGGTATGTTAAGACTTCCTGATCTGTTCACTGACGCTGCTGACATATGGAAGTGCGGGAGATGAGAATCTGTCAGATGATATCGAGCAGTTATTCGAGCTCACACGCATTATGGTGCTGGTTTTGACCGGGCTGGTGCCTAGTCTTGATGATAGCAAGAGCGCAGGTATGTCAACTTTATCCACAACATGATTCTGTCTTTAACACATCGTATAGTCCGCCACGAGCTCAGTGAAGAGGCAGTGGCGCTTCTCACCACCGCGCTTTCTGCGCTTGTCGATGCTGCCCAGGTGTTTCCCTCCATCATCAAGACCGATCTCCACGCCTGCATTCTACATATATTCGCGACCATCCTAGGCACCGGACCCTGCCAAGCGAAAGTGATCCCCCAATCCCTTCCGGTCTTTAAGCGGTTCATAACCAGCATCAACTCCCAAACTGAACCATCTGCAGAAACGAGCACGCAACTTCGTGCCACATTAACCCGCTTCCTTCAAATTTTGAGACAATCACAGCAACGCGAGTTTGACGCCGCGTTAGCTTGCGAAAAGAATACTATCCTCACCACCACCATCCTCCTCAGCTCCACCGCCTCTGCCTTTGCACCAAATGATCCTCTCATCACTCGATTCATCCAAGAGCTCTTCGATTGTCTCAACAACCGTCTGACCAGCAAAGTCGCCGCAGGCTGTTGCCGTAGCCTCCTTCTAGCCCCCAAGAAGGGTCCGGTGGAGACATCCATTGCCAAACAACTCCTCCCCCAGATTCTCTCCTTCCTCGTCAATCCTTCCCTTGACCTTGAGGGTCTCGATGAGTCGCGAACGACGCTCGCTACCGCACTCGTAGCGTTCATATCTACATTACCTACCCCAGACCAACGCCTCGTTGCCGCTAAGGTCGTAGTCCCTGCCCTTCTGGCACGCGTGCGCAAGGAAACCAAAGCTAGTGCAGAGACAGCTGCAAGATTAATGGAGCTCGCACAGGCGGATCAGGCTACGTTCCGCAGCGTAGTTGGCGCACTCGAGGCGGATGACAGAACGTTCATGGAGAGCGTTTTGAAGAGCGGGCAAAGTACTGGCCGGAAAGTGGAGAGCGTGGAGAGTGGTGAGCCTAGTATCGCGCTGAAGATGAACTTTGGGTAAGAAGGTTTTTTTGTGATAATCGTTGCATCGATGCCGTGTTGGTAGACTTTGCTGGTTGGGATGTAGATAGTGCGGAAGGGGCGGAGGGAAGTGATCGGATGGTGCAACGTATATACCTGCCTACATAATCTAATGTTAGGAATGCGAAATGAGTTCAAAATTCTCAGAGCGTGGCCTTGCTTTCTTCAATCATATCATGAAGAAACTTTCCTTCAATTCTTCGTGAGTCTACACTTCTTGTTGTACTATGTTTGCTCTCTTCATTTTTCCATTTCGTACGCGGTCTATCACCTGATGTTAAGGTTGATACGTATAAATCTTGTGCTTCCGGTAGAATAGACGACAAATACCATAGTATATCTAAAGCGATCACGGCTATATTCCGAAAGTCGAAATTTCCGTTTATGACCTGAAAGAACACATGAATAAAACGTCATGACGGCTATCCCTTTCATTCAATCCTTCCAACCACGAGCCCTAGCCCTTAAGAGAGGCACGACCACCACCGCATTTCCCACGACCCCATCCCATCAATCCGGCAACACCGCACCGCCCGACTCTCCTCCCCCGCCCCCAGACCCTGTATGCGCAATATCAACCGCGTTGCTAACCTCAATAAAGTCCTCCAACTCCTCACTCGTAGTCTTCAGCTTCTCCTTCACAGCCGTCACGCCCTCAAACCCCACAATATGCCTCGCAGGCGGGTTATCGTGGCCCCCAATCGCAGTCAAAGCATGCACCGTCTCGGCAATTAACGCAGACTTCACAACACTCGGCAGCGGCGCATACAAACTCGTTACGGAATCGCTGTTCAGCAGATCCCCGATCGTGGGTTCATGCGTGGTGGCGAGTGACGGGCTAAGTGTCATGCCTGTGGTCGGGGAAGCGGTGCTGGAGGTTGGGGATTGCGTTTCCCCTGATGCGTTGGCATCGGGATTTGCGTACGATGAGGAGGAGGCAAAGGTAGATGAGGAGTAGGGGTTGTTGACGCGGTCGAATTTGTCGAGGAGGCCTGAGAAGATGTCACGGGCTAAAGGGGCGGGGTTCTCGGCTTGGAGGTATTCGTTCATTGGTGGGGCCGAGGTCATTTTGTTGGTTAGGACGTTTACTTCCATGTTTGCTTGGACTATGGACATTTTTATGTTGAAGGGGGCGACTTCGTAGGCGAGGCTCTGGGTTGTTGTTAGCAGGACGCGATAGAAGGGGCATATGAGGATAAATGGTTGGTTTGGGGGAAGGAGGACTTACGTCGCAGTAGCCTTCAATAGCCCATTGGGAGGAACAGTACATCCCTAATCCCGGGGTGCCCAAGTGTCCCGCTGTTCGTGGATGATTAACTCAGTGTCTGACATCAAATCGCCAAACAATGTCTAAATATGTGGTTCTGAGTTTAGGAAGAGACTTACTAATCCCGGTCAGCATGATTATATGCCCATTCTTCCTCTCGCGCATAACTGGAAGCGCAGCTTTAATGATGTTGACATTGGCGAAGAAGTTTGTTTCGAATGTATCCTGTACGAGCGAGAGGGTTCGACTACTTTGGGATAGCTCTTCGACGGCACCGATGACGGCTGTTGCTTTTAGTAAAAGATGAGCAGAACGAAGTAGGGTTGGAGTTGGTTTACCCTCGCTGGTGCTACCCACTAACACGTCGACTCGACCGTAAGCCTCGACCGCTTCTGCGATAGCAGACTGACATTGACCAATGACCCTGGATGTGATATCGTTCAGCTTTTGTGGGTGACATACAACTAGATGGAGTAAATTCAGAATGACAACGGCACGACAAAAACTTATTTACGGAGATAATGACCAAGCTCATTGAAACCGGTGAATGAGTGAAGTCATCGAGAAAGAAACCTTTTTTTGGGGGGAGAATTTGAATCTCTTGTGGTAGATGGGTAGTAGCAAGGAGGTAATCACTAACCGTCCATCTAATCCAACAACTCTCAGCCTCTCTCTCCATCGCTCTGTTCTCTTCACATCCTCCAAAAATGCCCGGAAGTCTTCACTCTGGCCCTCTCTTCGCTCAAACTCTTGCGGTACCACACCCGCGACAACATAGTCCCCGTGATCCAGAACTTGCTTCGCCAACGCGATCGCGATGGGCGACGACCCAATAGTCATAAACCACACCCGCGGCGCATTGTGTGGGGGAAAATGTGGAGAACGAGGGCGTGCTGGTCTCGCGGCGTTGTTGGCAGCTGTGGAGGCATTGGTGGTGGCATTCGCTGGTTGGGTCATGATGGGCTAAGGGATTGGATGAGAGCGAATGGCGTTTTCATGATCTTTCGGCCGCAATATATATCTCTTTCTTCCCTTGAATAGTTTCTCACGCCCCGCTCCCCTGATTACATGGGATGGACCGGACGTGTGATGAAATGAACGCATTCTGTTTTATATAGTGCATCGGAAACTGTGGGGGAGTACGGAAGGCTCACTGCCTAACGCCGGTTGCGCTAGTCGATATGCGGCTTAGGACGCACGGTAGAAAAAGGCTAAAACATTTGGACGAGGCGAGCAGTCATCCATCTTAAGCTGCCAAGCTTCGGTCACGATTTTCCAACAACTATACCTCAATATACTTGCTATTGGAGGCCTTTGTTCTATAATAGAGTGCGTTTGCATACAGTAAGTCATCTGGCGTAGCTCACTCTTTGATAGCTTTCCATGTTTAATCTGCGTGTCTTTTCAACTCGTCCTCTTGCAATCGGCGACTGCCTTTGTGCAGGCCTTGCAAACTCATGTCTGACATTGCTAACGCTATCAAGTTTTCTATGAGTTACCTCTTCGTTTACCGATTTTAGTAATACGATCAATCTGGTTTTCGGGCATAGTCTAGAGACAACATCCATTCATCAAACGTTCTTTAGGCACATAGCCCTGGTCGAACCAATCTAGAACACGTTCACATCACATATAACGATGGTTATTCCAAGTGCTTCAGTAGCGCATCAGCGCCATGCCATACAACTGATATCTCGAGTTCTTTCGGTGCGTGCTGGCGCTTCACCTTTCACACTGATTCTTGATTCCTTAACTCAACGAGCTACTCCCATCCTGCGAGAGGTCATTCGTCGAGCCACAGGAAGAGGAGTCAAGGTGATCATGGTTTCTTTTGAATCCAAGGCGCCACCTGCATCAATATCGAGGCAAGAAAAAAGCAGAATGCGGTGGGTCAATGCGTGGGCAGAAAAACCAGAGAATCTATTCTCCGTAATCGAAACCGCTTTGAAGGAAGAGAAGGCCCAAACACAAAGTCAATCTACTCCAGCGTCTCCGTCAGTACCGTCAACGCCCGAAGTCTTGGTCGTGATAGACAACATACACGACCTTCTTACATATACCTCCATCCCGCTTCCGCAGCTCTTCACACTTGTTGCTGTCCAACATGCCGCCAGCCTCATCGGCATCTACCACACGGATCTCATCGACGCATCGCCATCCGCCTCACCATATGCTCCCGCACCTCTTTCTCTTCTCAACTTCACAGCCACTACTATATTGACTTTACACTCGTACGCACATATCTTTGCCGCCGCACGTGCAAGGTCTCAAAGTCTACCGGAACCCGTCTACTCCCTTCCTTATGATGGCGCCGAAGGTATCCTGGAGGACCTCTCCGCCAATTCTCCCGAAGGCACTGTACTGGATGCCGAGTTCCGACGAAAGTCTGGCCGATCGGAACGATACACGTATTTCTTGCGGCCAGCTGAAGACTCTGATTATACTCAGACTTCACCAATCGCGCCCCCTACGCTGCGAAAGGAATTTGTGGTCTTGCTTGATCAGGTGCCGTCTTACGCCGCAATCACGAATCCTTCTTCTGCAGCAGCCGCGAACAATGAAGATGAAATGGAAACGAGTTTTAATCTTGGATTAACGGAGAAGCAGCGAGAGAAGAGAGAGAATGTGGTGCTACCTTACTTCGATGCGCAGAAGGGTGAAGGGGCAGGTGAGGGAGGGAGAATTTTGTATGATATGGGAGAGGAGGATGACTTTGATGAAGAGGAAGACGAGATTTAGATTCTCAGGATGAGCAATATAGATACAAGATGTTCTGGAGCCAACATGACGTAATTAAAACTCATGCATCATTGTCGCGACTTTCCCACAGCGCGCGTTTTTCGTCGGAAATCAAGTACCGAGAGCATATTTTCGAACGACACAATTGCTCACATAGTTCAAGACAGGCGTAGATGTCTTTTTCCGTCAGTCGCTCTAGGGTTTGAAAGACATTAATGTCTCCCCGCCCATCATTTCCTGCTATTGTTTCGACTAGGTGTGCATGAGCGTTATATCCACTATCTTCAGTGCAGAGATATCTCAACGACTTGCACTCTGTCAGCCGCTTGAACACAGTTTCCCAAGTCCCATCTACCATCTCGACTTCGCACAAATCTAGCGTCTCAACTCCAGAGTCTAAAACCCCGTCGGAGGCCAAGAATTGCAAAAGCAGATCAGCCGTTAGTTTAACACGCTCCATGAAGATTGTTTTGAGCTTGTTTTGCACTGGTCGCCATTCAAGCGTTCGAAGATCGGCACAATGCGTACCCGAGAGGCCGAGAGACTCGAGATTTTGAAACCGACGGATAAAGTCGCAGAGAGCCTCCATACAGTCCAAATTGGCATACTGGCGCTGAAGAGCCGAGAGAGGGTGGTGTTCGCTCCCGCGAACTGAGCGCCTGTCGCCTTCGTGTACTACAATGTACTCTAGACTTCCGTCAGGGCCAGTCCCATCAATGTATTCCAAATACAGATGCTTGAGCTGGCTTGCGAGTGCGTCTGAGACTTTGATGTTACAGATATCGAACACGCATGGTAGCTTCAGTCGCAAGTATGTGAGGCATTGGAGCTTATTAATGGGATTTTCGAATATTCTCGAAACTGCGATGCGAAGCTTATCAGTCACCTCGAGGTTGGTACTGAGTTCATAGAGCTCTAATAAATTGATGCTCTCCATCGGGTCGTCGGGGTTGCAATACCAGTTTTCGTTTAGTTCGATGACTAGATGTCCAAGAAGCGGCTGAGATCAGAAACAATCGTATCGTGTTGTAGTTCACCTTCATCATCGATGCCATCCCAGCAAATGGTGGTCTTGTAAGGATCACGAATATTCGGGAGCTTTAGCCCGGATGACAAGCTGATGAGATGTCAATGACAGAGGTCATAGAATATTATCTACGCCAGAATACGGGGATCTTACTCGACATAGAGCTTGGTGACATAGGGAGCGATATTAGTCTCCTGTTTGATAATCTTCTCCGCAATAGCGCGGGCAGTGCCCAAATCCGCTACACGCAGAATTAGAGGATCGTGCTTGTAGAAAGTGCGAACAATCTCCTGACTGAAGGTTTTCGAGACTAGTCGCAAGTTCAAAAAGCACATTATCTCATCCCAAGAATTACGTAAGCTGTAAGTAGGCATTCCACGACTGATTGAGCCTTTCGTATTAGGTGAGCGGGTAAAATTTAATCTCCAAGTGTCTGGCTCATGATCATCGAATGGAGTCGCGAGATACGAGAAGATCTTAAGATGCAACCGATTTATGTCAGCATGTGAGGGCATTGAGTAGTTGGCTGGAGAGAATGGGTAACCGACCTCGCTATACAGCTCTGTTGGGAGTGAGTCAAAAGCAGACATCGTATCCTTTGGCGCATACATTTGGCGCATACAAAGCTGTCGATTGCATAAAGGCGTCAGTAGTGAAAGGGAATTTTCCCGTTCATGGGGTGTATTCATGAACATTGAACCGCCGCAATCCCACTAGCCTTGATACAGTAACAGTCTAACCCAATCCAGAACACGCACCGTTGCTTAGACAACGAATAGTATCATATGTTATCAGTGGCGGGTACATAGAAGCACCTGAACTTTTTATTTATTTTTGAGAAAATTTTTAGGTGATCCTACACACAGCAATAGGTAACAACAATTAATATACCAAAAAAACACAAGCAGTAACTATAGAAAATAAACAAACGTTGCCTTTACACAAGCTTATTGCAATAAGCAAAAGCAGAAATTAGGGGGCACCCCTTAGCACTAGTCTAGAGCGGGCTAGTGCCGAGAAACCAGTTCTTTTCCACCCACAGGAGTCCTTTCCAATACCATAACCATCATTCGTACCTCAACAGAGTAACGATAAAAAGAGGTTGACTGAAAATACGAAAAAGAGCTTCAAACTCATTCTGAAACGACAGACAGCTATGACTGCAACGTGCACTTCCAAAACCCGACCGGAAAAAGAAATTATGTACGGAGATAAGAACAACATTTGAACGAACGGACTGAAGTACATTTTGGAGCACGTCTACCAGAATTTGGCAACCGGTGAAACTGGTTGACAAAGTAGATCCTGTTTCACTGAATCTGTTATTCGCGTTATCACCACCACCACCTATCATGATCATGCTTCCACTCCCACCAATCCCACCAGCTCCAACCATCGTCATCGTCGTCATCATCGTCATCGTCGTCGTCGTCGTCGTCGTCATCATCATCATCAGGATCCTGTGTAGGTGTCGGTCTCGGTGGACGCGTGGTACGAGTGGGAATGGTTCCAGATGGGCTAGTTGAGGTACTCGTGATGATGGTGGTAGGTGGCAGTATACCTCCAGTTCCTGTTGGGAATGGTGGTCGTGGTGGTCCGGTTGGAAGAGAGGGAACAGTTGGAGTCGGCATAGCAGTTGTAGAGTTCAAAAATGGCGGCGTAGGTATCGATAGCGACGGAGGCACCGGCGCTGTAGGGAAGGTCAAGGTCAAGCTGGGACCACCGGTTGGAAATGGAGGGAGTGTAAGAGTTGTTGTAGTGTTTGATGATGGGATAGATGTTGTGTTCAGCGTTGGTGGTAGTGTTGTTGGAATGGAAATCGTGGGTATGGTTACTGTGCCATTGACTGAAGGGAGAGGTATGCTGATAGATGGTGGTCCAGTAGCGTTGATTGATAGCGTTGGTATGGTGAATGTAGACACAGTGGTGTTGGCTGAGGGCAACGCAAAGCTAGTAGAAGAACCGGTGGCATTGATTGAAGGGTGAGGGATACTGAGTGAAGGCATGGTAGTGTTTAGTGGTGGCAGTGAAATCGTGGTCGTGATAACGGGCGGAAGTGATACTGATCCAGTAGGAAGAGGGAGAGGAATACTGGGGGAAGGCGTGGTGGTGTTCAGTGGTGGTAGTGAAATCGTGGTCGTGACAATAGGCGGGAGTGACACTGATCCTGTGGGAAGAGGAAGGGGAATGCTTGGAGGCATGGAGCCCGAGGGCGGCTGAATGGTGGTTCCATTGGGAAAGGGAATAAGAGTCGGCGCAATGCCTGAGGGTCGACTCCAGGTGGTATTCTGTGCAGCCGCCATCGTATACACACTGCACGTCAAGCTTAGACTGGAGACCCTCATTTTGAGTTCGCCCTCTAGACGCTACTCAATGAAACTGATAATCAACTTGCTCAGGAAAAGTCTCGCGGAATCTCTACACGCTCCTTTATACTCTTTGAACTAGCTAGGCGAAATGCCGGTGGACCGAATCGTCTTACCTGAGCTGGTTCTTGGGGTTTATAGCAATTATATCCTTATTGTGTAACCCAGTTTAGGCAACGGATTTCCCAGTCCGTACGGGCGAATGGTACGCGAATCTGTTGAAGTTCATCGAGTGAATGGGTAAGAGTGCATGCATGGCTGGCGAAATATCACGTTTTCCTAACCCGTTCCTCTCTTCGAGAACAATCATTTTGATTGTGTGGTCGCAGGGGTCTGCATAGTTTTGATGATGTTGAGATGCACGCATGGTTCCGAAGTCTGAGACCGCCTGCATCTTTCTTCCAGGAGGCAACCATAGACATCTTTTGCCGGCTGAAATTTGTTCATTTGAAGGGGTCTGGAAAGATCGTCAGCGCGACTCTAAAATTGTCTGGCGGAATGGTTTCTAGATTCCAAAAGTAACTGACTGCGCTTCCACGGTAGAGGCAATCAGGTCTTCTTCTGGCGCAACGCAATTTACCAACTACCTTTCCAGATATCCCCAAAACTCTTTAAGAGCATCCGAACAAGGCTACTCATGTAACTCAAATTAAGCTTAAAAGCATCTGTCCGAAAAGCGCAAGGCTCCGATGATCGCACCCCGAACACAGTAATATCATCTTAGCCGGATGTTCAAGCCAAGCCCGACTTGCGGTTGTGCCTTAATTCTGTCAAGGTACCGCAATCTACGAAAAAAGTACGCAAATAATTACGCATCAGTTGAAGACATCGTATTCTCGAAATTCGAGCCCAGCCTCAACTGCCGGGTCATGCAATAGCGCAACAAAGCACCCACAACGTGCGTATCTGTGCCACACATCAAGCATTCCCGGATAATGTGCAATGAACTGGTGTCGCGGGCCGACTGTATAATCGTCATGGGGATTTGCTACCATGAGGTTTTGGACGTTCTGTCATTCCGAAACTGCATCACACACTTGGCATTAGCAATTCGAGACTTTCCGATGCTAATTATCCCTTTTGTGTCAGAAGGAATTGAATTAGACTGTAGAATCTAGAGAGTCTGTGCGGAATACTGCCTATAACAGGAGCCTCCAACAATGCAGGCTGCACCATATTGGGAGAATGCATGGCCTAACCCACTTCTGACGTGTCGCTCCTGTACTCCCAAATATCCCGATGTACAACGACGCGAAATGTCTGTTCAAGCGCCCTCCCAGCTTAAACACAACTTCGTTCGTTGTGTAGAGGGATCGTGCAATTCTCGCCTGTTTCGCGAACCTGGCCGCGGCATGTTGAGGAATGATATATCTCCTCCGTAGACAAACATCAACGGCCCCTGCATTAGCTCATCAATTAAAATGGTGGGAGGAAGAATAATCGAATGCACTTGGTGTTTGGCTGCACAGGTGAGGCGAGATAGCCGGGCATCAGCCCGATACGTCTAGTAGTATAAGAGAAGTGATAGCATACGGTATTCTCAAAAAAGGTGAGCAACGCCATCGCCTTGGCCCTGATGACCGAAAAAAAAAGTTGTAACCGCCTCACGGATGAGTGAGTGCACATGTGACCACTGGTGTGACCTTACGCGCCTTCCGATTGGAGCGGCTTGATTCACGTGGTGATCAGGTGAGAGCGCGAAATCGCGACGCGCACCTTCCTCTACTGCCCACTTACATCACTTCACAATTGAGTGTCCTGACTTCATCCCCCTCCTCCCTGACTTCAGTCCCGTAGGTGATTAATTGCATCTTCTGATGCATGGGGCATTTGCCTAAGACCTCACCTGTGGTCTCGCGCGGCTTCACTTCCGCTTTCACTTCCACTTGGCACCAGCCCAAGTATTAGCTCACGCTACAACCATATACCAGACTTACGTCTACTTCTTGTCGAATCTCTCCTCGAGTACGCGCCATGGCGATACTCCCATTACACCCAGGTCTAGAGGTGACTATTGCCGTTGATGGCAAACAGTCCAAGGAGTACAACGCTGGCTCGGATACAACCGTCAACAAACGATTCATTGAGGCAGAGACCGGCAAGACATTTGGGGTCAACATCCGGTTTTCGCCACCTTTTCCTCTACGCTATGCGGTCGCAGCATACGTAACTGTAGATGACAATCTGCGAGAGAACAAAATCATATGGGCGAAATACCTCTACTCCCCACAGGGATTTTCCATCGATGGGGTAAACTACCATGTCAATTCTCGGGCTTATCTGAAGCCATTCCGCTTCTCGGTTCTCAAGAGCGGTAAGAAGTAGGATTGGATCATACGATGCACATGACTGATAGATTTTAGTGGAGGACAGTGGTGAGCCGCTGACGGAAGATGATGTCCGCAAATTACAGTCAGTAGGCATCATTACTGTTGAACTTCTATTCATTGATCGAGTCGTCCCCAATTCCGCGAAGCCTCAGGATATACTCGTTGAGAAGAAAGCATTGGGAACGTACAACGAGAAAGCTGCAAAGGGAAATGTTATATCGCATGCCGCGAGGTAATTCAATCTTCAAAGTGACAAATGCATCAGTTTTTAACTCAGATAGTCTCAGCGAGGCCCAATCTACCCAGGAATACGATAGGATAAGTGGCATCCAATACGTAGACAGCAACATACCGTTCGCCACCTTCCATTTCCATTATCGCTCCCTGGGTAAGCTTTCTTCAAGGTAAACTTTTAAGTTTTCACATTACTCAACAACGGTATAGAAGCATTGAAGTCACTCGACATCGTTCCCCGAACCCCTGATCCGCCAAACCTGATGGACGTCGACGAAGAACATCTTCAGACACTTGATCGAACTGATCTGCATCGCATGATACATCACTGGCAACGACAAGGCAGGGCTCGATCCTCCACGCAGGATGGCGCTCTACAGGATGAAGGAAGACAACAGAGATCTCAACGGGAGATACAGTCGAAGAAGTCTGCCATCAAGAGCGAGGGATCTGACTCCAACATCAAGACAGAGGATAATAGCGAACAGCCGACCTCTCGACCTTCAAAGCGCCAGAAGATTGGAAAAGAACGGGTCGTGGAAGGACGTATTGTCATCGAGCTGGACTGAATAATGGATGGCTGGAGTGGAGATTCATACATAGGCTTGAGACCGATTTTGCGTGGATAATCGCTCTCATTCCGGGAGCCAATTCATGCATCCAGGAGGTCTTATCTTCTTCCGAACTACATTCTAACGGGTTTTCCTTTACTATCGGCGGGACAACTGAGATCCGCCCAAATTCAGAACAGGTCTATGCCACTTTATTTTCATATTTTCATATATGAATTCACGATGTATGCATATATAAAGGACTCCATAACATCTTTAAAGACATAAGTGAATGACGCGGTCGGTAGCAAAGCACGTCCCCTTGATCCAAGTCGATACATTAAACGCGGTTCCAAGACTACTTACTAATGGACTCCCATTCAAGTGATCAAACACGTATGATCAGTACAAAAAGGTTAGTTCTGACCTTTGGTGGTGATATGTCATCAACTTTTGTGTCAGAAACTGCACTTGTTTTGCACCCGATACATCCTTCAAGTTTCCACCATACCCGATTGGGATATTATGATGCAGGATAGATAACCATGTATAATCTTAGACTCGTAAATCACCACACAGCATTTCCAGAGTGTATTTATTAAACGAGGTGTTTGGCTGCAGTTGAACTCCTCGTGGATCATTGCTCTTGTATCCAATTTCTATCTTGCCTTTCAACAGCCGCGAACATCATAAGCTCAATCAACCAAAAAGAACATTGTTTCATCCGTGACCGTCGACGATAATTATGCCCCCTTCCAAGACTGTCTTCCTACTTGGGCCTGGCTACGTTGGTCTCAATATCATTGACAATCTTCTGGCCACAGACTACACCGTAACAACACTTGTACGCAAACCCGAGCTGGGCGCCAAACTCACTTCGCTCGGCGTCCACACGATCGGAGGAACCCTTGCAGACAGTGATGTAATTACGGCTCAAGTCGCAAAACATGACCTCACTATCAACACGGCTTCCAGCGACGATCTTCCGAGCGTCGAGGCCGTTCTATCAGGTCTCCGACAGCGTGTTAAAGAGGGACTACCCACTAAATTGATCCACACAAGCGGTACCGGAACCTTCCTCGACGACGCCAAAGGCGCATACAAAAGCGATGTTGTGTATCGTGATGACGATCCATCTACGATAAACACTATCCCGGACACGGCACTCCACCGCAACGTTGACCTTGCCATTATCAAGGCCGCGCAAGAGTTCGGCGACAAAGCAAAACTCGTTCTCATGGTTCCTCCAGTCGTCTACGGATTCAATCCAAAACATGAACGCCTTTCATTGGCCTTTCCGCGGTTGATAAACTACGCGTTGAAGCAGGGATATTCGGGGCAAGTGGGCAAAGGCGCAAACGTCTGGCACAAAGTACACGTTTGCGATCTTGCGAGGGCGTACATGACTCTCATCGAATATCTTGATTCACCGGCTTCTACTGAAGCAGTCTTGTCAAATCCATATTTCTTCACCGAAGACCAGTGGGGGGAGTTTACGTGGAATGAGGCAGCCGAACATGTTGCTCGCATCTTGCATAAAATGGGCAAGATTCGCGATACAGAGATCAAACCTTTCGAGAAAGAACATTACGCAGATGCTTTCGGGGAATTTACTGAATTTGCAGCTGGGGGGAACTCGAGGGCCAGAGGGGTCAGACTTAGGGAGTTGGGATGGACGCCTGTCGAAAAAGATGCGTGGGCCTGCTTGGAGGAAGACGAGATCCCATTCATTATTGCATCGCAAAAGTGATTCGTGGAGGTTTTTTTTTTTGGGTTCTGTATGTGCGAATTCGGTGGTCAAGATCATTTTCATCAAATATATTGTCATATAATGTCCGTCTTCACAAATCTAGATGATTATATTTGTGTTGTTCAGTGTGTTGAATAGAGTCGTACCGTAAATCAATGGGTAGAGAATCCGTATGGCATTTCTCACCCAATCTCTCAGTGGTCACTTTAGCCTATATGTTATTCTATCATACAGTGTAAGGCTCTTCGCGTAGCGCTGCACGAAGAATACACCGTTCTACTAGTGAATATGGTAAGATCGAAATTACATATCATTCATCATATACTACCCAGGATTACAGCAGAAAGTCCACATATAATCGTATAGATATTTGAATCGATGAAGAATGATGCAAAGATGCTGAAGATAGCCGGTTGCGAACACAAGTAGGCGATTCAGAATTATACCAGGCAGTAGTACCTGAAAAGGATCAACGGTAACGTCTACTTTCAGGTCCCACCTATCAGTGCGAAATTTGGGTGGATCAGACGGACGCCATCATCTCGAAGCTAAAATTTATTTCGGTCTCTCTTGATTCATGCACTGTTGAAACGATTTCTCGAATCTCAACATGCAAACGCAATTTTGCAAGTACTCGATTTTAGTGCATAGTCATAGTTTTCCACTTGTATATTCGTGATTTCGCCACACATGAAATGCGGTTCTGATGACCATGATCTTAGGGCATATCAAATCACCACATTTTTTTTGACAACCAAGCGTCTTGGATGCTGTTGTACTTCGACCTCATTCTCTGAGAGAGAATCAAACTGCGAAGTGGAGTTACCCCGCAAGGCGAGACGGCGAGGAGACAGGGGCTCCACGAGTTGACAGGGGATCACCACGGAGGACTCTAACCTCAATGGGCAGGTCAAGTACCATCGGGGCCGCTGCGCACGCAATCTATCTACGCCGGGACTTCTGTTTTCTTGATGCGCCGAATGCTAAGAGAAATTGAGGATGTTTGATGATGTTTAATGAAGATGACCAAGACATTTCTTCGCTAGATTTACCAGTTCTAGATGCACATCCGTGCTATTCGAAGCTTGGAAACATGTCTCGAGATCGTTGTGCATGCTTCGCCTTCCTGGTCTAGCTCACCGCCCGATCGTTGGTCTCATTTATATTGCATTGTCTTGATCAAAAGTACGGGGATGTTTGTTGAGTAGTTCCGATCCGATGGTACTGGAATGGACCGAGGCTGTCGCGACGGAGCAAACGACTATACCGATACTATCTGTTAAGCAACCTGCAGACGCACTGCAAGATGGCCTGATCTGATAAGCTGGAATCTTCATTTAGCTGACATATAATCGGAAGATGGCCGGATTGGGAAAGTAGATATCATCGCAATCAGCAAAAGCGATGTTGAATGAATGCATTGATCGAATGCATCTCTTGAACGTGCAGACGTTCTTGCTCCGGGAAGGATGACTGCAAAGGCAGGAGAAGTCGGAGTGAAGCTCAATTCAGCGAAGAAGCCGAAGAATTGACTAAAATTGTCTGTTATGCGGGGGGTCATCGTGATCTTTTAGCTTAATTCTGCAAACCATCAAGCATATAAAATTATTGCGCAACATGTATAAGTACTTGGAGAATTCTACTCCAAAGATGAGATAGCATCCATTCGGGACATCCAGATCATTCACTCACTTTCAAACTACATCAAAAGAAGTATCCAGTCTTTCGTTCACTACAGAAACATCACCATGAAGGCCTCTTTCATCGCCGCGCTCGCAGTAACTGCAAGCCTCACCAGCGCCGCTCCTACTGTCGAAAAACGTCAATACACCGGCAGCACTTACAATCAACTCACTGATGGCTCTGCCTGCCGACCCATCTCAGTCGTACGTCTTCACTCCATACTTCTTCTCCCAATTCCCATCTCTGGATCTAACATCCGCAACCTCAGATCTACGCCCGCGGCACCTCCCAACAAGGAAATGTCGGCGATTCACAAGCCGTAGGACCCCTCTTTTTCAATCAGATCGCTTCACGCGTCGGTGGAACCAGCCAGATCGCTATTCAGGGTGTCACTTATCCCGCCAACGTTGCCGGATTCCTGGCTGGCGGTGATGCCGCTGGCTCCACGACCATGACGAACCTCATCTCGCAGACCGCCTCTAGATGCCCTAACACCAAGATTGTTCTGTCTGGATACAGCCAGGGCGCTCAATTAGTGCACAATGCTGCTCAGAGAACTTCTTCGGCGAATGCAGCCAAGGTCGCTGCCGGTAAGTCGTCTACATTTGCTTAAAAACCTGTGTTAGAGCCCGATGTGCTCTTTCAAATAGCGCGCTAGACGGTACGAACTTTATGCTAACTGTTGATTTCCAGTCGTTGTCTTCGGTGACCCAAAGAGGGGCCAGTCTTTCGGAAGCATCACTTCCTCAAAGGTCTTGACTATCTGCCACTCTGGAGATAACATTTGCGAGGGTGGTGCCAGCATCACGCCTGCCCACTTGAACTACCAACAGGATGCCGGCACTGCCGCTTCGTTCGTTGCCGGAAAGGTCTAGACCATTATTTTATGATTGATCTGAAAGCCCAGTTGGAGCAATTTCTCGATTTCTTCAACATTTTTATTTTATTCACGGGATATGTGGTGGATGAGCTTCAGCATGGTTTCGTTTTCACCCTTCTTCCCCCCATTCATTTTATCTTCTTTTAACACGAAATTGTTGCTCAATGCGTTTCAAGCTTGTGATAAGTCTTTCAGATTTATATCGGTCTCTTTCGACATTTTTATTTTCTGCAGTTTGCTGTACATATTTCTCCTTTTAATGAATCTCTCTCTCTGTTTACCCTAGTTAACACAATCCAAAAGTCGTAACTCCGAGAAAATTATATAGCTAAATGCGAGTTGATCTCTATTGATCCCCTAGGAAAATGAGAAGTTGGATTTTGACTTCACAAAATCAAATCCAAAGCTAAGGTGGATGACGGATTTCCCAGTGCCTAACGATCACCCCTGACTACTTGACTACAATTTCCTATTATGCATAACTTCCTTACCTCATGTTTTGGTATCGTCTGTCTTTTTGTAAAAAGTTTTGAGACGAATTTCGTGCACACAAAAGATTACCAATTTACTGGACATATCATAATAGATTCCACAATCTCCGCCCTTATACAGGTGACCAAAAGACATGATTATCGTCCATCTGCGAATTTCTCTGATTCAAGGAAAGATAATTGAACTGTCGAATTGAATGTATATACAATTCCATCCATCAGGATCCTACCTACAGACAACAACTACTCACTTCTAAGCCGAAAACTGCCACCAATTGAAATTCATCAAGTTATCCGACCCACTCCCCGTGAACTTGAAAAATACATCCTGCGTCCCCGTAGCCCCACTAACGGGGCAAGTAACCGTCGTCCAGGTCTGCCACCCGCCCGTCGCAGCAACCGTGCAAGTCGCTACCGTAGTCCCACTCTGACTACCCAACCTAACCTCAATCTTTCCGCCATTCGTAGCGGAAGACACACGAGCTGTGAAAGTCTTGGGACTCGTGGAGCCAAACGCAACGCCCTTGAGCTTAATGTAATCGTTGTTGTTGATGTAGCCAACGTTGATCCCGCCTTCGCTGCAAACTTCCGTCTTCAGACCCGACGAGAAGGCCATTGTTTCTGCTTCCTGGCGGACGTAGGGATCCAGCGTGCCGAGCTGTGGTGGTCCGGCCGTGGACATGGTGAGGGTTGGAATTGTGCCGTCGGAGTTGTACGTGAAACGTTCGACGGATACAGAGCGCTGGTACCCGCTTCCACCGGGCAACGCGCCGTTGTGGTAGAAGAAGTACGAGTTGTCTTTGTAGTCGATGATCGCGGGGTGGTTGGTGAAACTTGCGCCTGCGCTCGCCATGACGAGGCCGCGGTATGTCCATGGTCCCGTGGCGCTGGTGCCCGTGGAGTAGCGGATATCTTCTGAACAGCAGTTTGCGGCGTAGATCATGTAGTACAGGTTATTGCGTTTGTAGAGCCAGGGACCTTCTTCGTAGGCTGTGGCGCGGGAGTTTGTGCCGCTGCGACGGGGTCCGAAGCTGGAGGTTGAGAGGCCGACTTTTTGGATCCCTCCGCTGTACGAGATCATATCGGCGTTGAGCTTGACGTAGAAGAGATCGGGGTTGCCCCAGTAGAGGTACGCTTGCCCGTCAGTGTCGATGTAGACTGTGGGGTCGATTTGGCCGTTTTCGAGAAGTGGTTTGCCCAGGGCGTCTTTGTAAGGTCCTTCGATGGTGTCGGCGACGCCAATACCGATGGACATGCTGCCTCCGCTGCGGGTCACTGGAACGTAGTAATAAAATTTGTTGTTGCGGGCAATGACTTGGCCTGCCCATGCGTTGGCGCCGGCCCAGCTGAATGTTGTCAAGCCCATGGGAGAGCCGTGGTCGCGCCAGTTGGCCATATCGGTTGTTGAGTATAGACGCCTAATTTTGTGGGTATGGGGTCAGTAAGTCGAAATACTCATATCCCCACTAGGAGTTTTAAGATTGAAACACCACTATGTGATATATCTAGACGTTTGTTTGCAACAAGATATCACTTACCAGTCCTTCATGTTGTACGTGTTTGACCCATCTTCGTCATGTCCAGTGAACATATACACAGTGTTGTTGACGATAACAGGCGCCGGGTCAGCACTGAACAGCGTCTGCACAATGGGATTGTCCGCCCTAACCACACTGACACTGCTCAAAAGCAAGCCACAGAGCAGCGAAGCCTGCGACATCCAAGATCCAGTAAACCCCATCTTGACCAAATCCTTGAAAGCCGAACGTTAGTTTGGCGCACGATAGCAATTGATCTAGTTCCCAACCTCAAAACAGAGATCGACTTTCAGATTCGCGATGGAAAAGTTGAAGAATTGTCTCGACCTATTGCACCGTCGCAATATATCTGGATTCCGCGGTTATCTTAAATAACAAATAAGGCTGTATAGACGTCGCTCCCCGCACTTTACCCTCTATTCATAGTGTATATTTAATTAGGCGGGTGGACCGCTTAATCCCTACAACCTCCAATTTCGCGTCAATTGAAATCCTCGTCATGCCGATCCCCTTAACTGTGGGATTATTACTCTCTATACCGAACAGATGCGGAACGCCACTTTCCTCTACTTCTAATCCTGGTTGAGGTAGTAAGGAAAGAATTACGCCGTATGTGTATACACTTTTACCTGGTTAGATGAACGATGGTGGCGTTGAATATGTGGAGATGTTCCACGAAGGGCGGCGGAAGGTAGGGTCGGAGGTTGTGCATCCTACTTTTCGACAAAACGACGCATAGGGTGATTCGAGAGAAGCTTGTTCTGTAGAATCGATAACATGATGTACCCCGGAATTGTTTATTTCTCGCTCACCTGACTCCTCCCCCCGGCCACCATAGCTCCATGGTTTGCGCGATGAGGAACAGCCACCGGCAAAATCTTTTGCCAGATACTTTACCATGTCCCAGAGAACTGAACATGGTCCGACTGAGAAATAAATCCCCATCGTTCAAATTGCCATTTCTGGCTACTAGGGGAGAAAAGATAAATAAACCCAGTTCACTAAGGATATACGCCACCAAGCTGCGCTAGTGTGATTCGGCAGTGAACGATGAAGCAAATACTGCCTCCTTGATAGTGAAAACAGTAATACCCAAGGTCTAATATTTGCCATCTGTCAATATACTTTACGATCGATAAGATTCCCCCGCTTTCCAAGAGTAGCGCCGCGCCGGCCGCTAACGTCTTCTAGAAGCCCCATTTTCTCGTATCAACCAATCTGTGAAAAATGATCAAAGGCGGTACGAAGAAATATAGAGAGCGGAAGATTTGCCCATCTTGCGCTCTCTCGTTCTGGTAAAAGCTTCGATTTAATGGTCTGTTTCTCCGCGCTTTTAATTGCAAGAGCCAAGGAGGAGGGAGGGGAAAGATGACGTCCTTTTCCTTTTTTTTGTGACGTGGTAACGATGCCCCTTTACACAACAATGTCGACCGGGTCTATGGGGCGCATCTTGTTGATCACGATGATAACTCCAAAGCCAACCAAATTGGAACACATCCCTTACTGGCAGGAGCTTACCGGTGATTTCAGAATTGAGAATGACCAAAAATGATATCCCGTTCACGGTCTTCCTTTGTTTTTTTTTTTCATCTCGTTTCTTGGTATAGCTCTGTGTCCGAGGAGTTTCGAGTGTCTGGATCGCATACCCTGCTATATGAAAAGGAATTCGAAAAACTATAACCCTGCGTCATGTCCCAGGAGGAGGAGTGTTGCTTATACATCGAGCCTGGTCAGTTTCGTGGAAACGACAGAACATGTGTTCTGCTTGGCGCTCGTGGGTAGTTTTACCTCGTGACTTTCTGCGTGCCAAATGCGATAATGATATAAAAGACCTAGTACATCGAGCCCCGAGAGTAGTAAAGTCATTCTTTGTAGTTACAATCTAGGGAGAAAAGAGATGACGGGACATTTATGACATCAAAACGGCTTTCATCAGAAAACCCCAAGTTCCTACATCGAGGAAGTGACTTCATGAATAGTACTACAGATAGAACCAAAACAACATCTTCCCACGCAGTCTAACACCGCCACAAGCAAGTCGGAGTATACTCGACGATTGAAGCATCTAACATTAAACCATATTATCTCTATCTTAATTGCCCCTTAAAATGACAAAGAATCCTTTTACATCCCCCCTGCCTTCTCTCTCTCTATATATATATACACTAGCTGATTAGATTAAAGAAAACTGAGTGGAGTTCCAAAATTCGTGAAACGACTACATCAATTTCCCCGCCATTTTGCGTCCAGCTGAACAAGACCGAGATCGGGTGCGTCCGTTATTTCGGTATCTATCTCCGGTATACGTTCTACGCCGCGATGAACGATGCTATCCAGCTTCGACTATCACCGCACTGACCAGAAGATGCAGCTAAGAACAACAATCTGCTGTTCTTCAGATGGAGGAATTCGGAGTCCTTGTCGTGTCGCCTGGGCGTTCCTGATTATGGGGATATTCCAATTTTCGATTTTTCAACCCAGCGAACTTGTGGGCACTATACTCATCATGACACTCTCCTCAGTGACCCCGAAGACGAAGAAGAGTCTAATGACGAGCAAAATTCTGAGGAGGAATGGTAAGGCCACGATTGACGCGGAGAGCTTCTCGGACTTGACTGCTTACCGGGCACATCACAAGAATAGCATGTGATTTGATGTATCCGGTCAAAAACGTCCTGAGGGACCTCCTTCAGTGAGCAAGTCATGTTTCAAACACAGTCACAGTCACAATCATCATCACAAGATCAAAGTATAACCAAACAATAAAAGCACATCCAAACAAAAACTATATCGAATTTCTCATTTCCAAGCCCCCTTTCCTTCCTCCCTAACAATACTCTCCCTCTCCAATCCAACCTCACCACTTCTTCAACGCAAAACTCTTCAACACAACACTGCCTCCCAAACTCTTGGTAGCATGATTGAAAGCGGCAAATCGGTACCCTGTGAAAAACTGCCACGTATTCGTCATGCCAAACCCGCCACCCAGCTGCGTCCAGCTATTCCCGCCATCAACGCTATACAAAAACGTCGTCGTCCTCGTCGCGCCCCCGCTGAACGCAGGCGTGATATCAGCCTGCACCCTCAACCACACTTCTGCGGTTCCAGAAGGAAGCGTAGGTCCTGTCGCGGCGATGGTGCCGGTGGATTTGGTCGACCAGTCTGAGTTGAGGGAGAGGTTGTTGACCATGACGATGCGCGCGGAGGACCCTTCCTTGTAGATGCCGATGTAGGCCGCGACGTCGCGGAAGAGGGCAGCACCCGCGCGGTCGCCGTCTGCCATTTTCGAGATGTCGAAGCGGAAGGTGCCGTGGGATTTGGGGCCGAGGATGCGGTGGGTTAGTGTGTTTCGCGCTGTGAAGAGGTCGTTTGTGACGGTGGCGGTCGAGAGCTGGATGCCGCCGCCTGAGGCTGGGACGGTGAATTTGGAGGTGTCTGGGTTGTGGTTCCATTCCCATTCGTGGGAAAGCGACGAAGAAGTGAAGGAATCTTCGCGTTCGGGGCCCGGCACGGTTTTTGAGGTTTCGACGGGGGTTGGGTAGGTCTGGCCCCAGCCGTTGTTGACTTTTGTGAGGACCGGGAAGCCGTCTGAACCCCATGTTATTGGAGCGGAAACGGGGATGCGGCCGCCGGGGTAGGCGTCCATGAAGCCCATGTAGTACCATTTGTTGTCTTTTGTGCCGACGATGCCGCCTTGGTGGGCGAAGCCGGCGTTGGATAGGGGTCCGGAGATGCTGGCGACGAGGACGCGTTGGGTGTACGGGCCGAAGGGGCTTGAAGCTTTGAGGACCCATTCTTCGTTTGCAGGCCGCGTGACGAAGATGTAGTAGTTTCCGTTGACCTTGTACATACGGGAGCCCTCGATGGTGACGGAGCCTTTGTAGACGGATTGCGAGCGGACTTCTGAGCGGGCGTCGGAGCTGAGCTGCGCAACCTGAATATCTGTGTTTCCGTACGCGACGTAGACTGTGTCGTTATCGTCGAAGAAGAGGCCGCAGTCGTAGTAGCATTTGTTGAGGGTCGCGCGGAGAGACCAGTTCCAGTTGTTGACTTCGCCGTTGTTGGCTCCAGCACCGGAATTCGTCGACGTGTAGACGTAGGTTTTGCCTTCGATGCATCCGATCCAGTAGAAGGTGTCGTCGGACTTGCGGTACTGCAGACTGCTAGCCCAGATTCCCTTGACGTATGCCCGGTCCGTGGCACTGTTGAGGTTGTACTTGCTCGCGAAGTCGAGTCTAGGCACACTGTGCGAGACTGGCGTCCAGTTGACCAAGTCGTAAGATTTCAAGACCGGAGCTCCGGGGGAGAAGGCGAAAGTCGACGAGGAATAGTAAAACACATCTCCTACACGGAAAACATCGAGATCCGGGTGATCCTGCCAGAGAACAGGGTTGTTAAAGTTGGTAGCCCTCGATTGCAATTCAGGCTGGACAATGGGCGTAGCACTCGCTGTCCAAGCCAGCGAAGCTCCCAACAGCCCCAAGATTGAAAAATGCATCTTCCAAAAAACACAAATATAACTTTGTGTAAAACGGTTCGAAGATAAAGAGTCGCAGCTTTCCGAGTAACCAAACAACCTCAAAAAACATCATGCAACGAGCCACGGCCCCAAAATTTATATGCACGCAAATTCCCCAAATGCCAGGGGTGGCAAACTCACCCCAGGATATAGAGCACATCCTAGCGCTAACTTCTCCGCACGAAAAACATCATATAAACCACCTCTCACGATTGGCGCAGACAAGACCGTAGAATTTCCCCACAGTGGTCTCAGCGGCGGAAATTTCGCCATAGTGCACGTTATTGACCTGGGACCAAGGCTATTAATGTGGTTTTCCAAGGTCGAGTTCGCGATGAATCCACCAATAGGAGGTTTCAAAGTAGGCGGATAAAGTGCTTTAGTGTACAAGTGGTTGTTGTAGTTTAGCCGCGGTGCCTGGCATGCAATTATCTGATCATCTTCTGATGAACGAAGAATGTAGAGCGGGTATCAGTTTCCTGGCATTGTACAGGTTCGCAAGCCTGTCTGTGTCTGCACGATCGAGTGCAAGCTTTTCCTAGGCAGTATTCTCCACGATCGATCAGTTGTTCATGCTCCGTAAATCTTCCGAGGAGATGGTAGTGCTTATTCTGAGATATTTTACTAGGAAGTGTCAAATACTAAAGGTGGCCGTCGTTTTCTGTAAAATGCAGATTTAGTCTCGGACACCATGGAAGACAGAACTTTACGCAGCTAGGCCTTTCTTGTTAAGCGTTATTTCCTACAGTTCTTCTTCGTTGCTTGGGATGGGTTTGACGCTGTGATGAGCCGCGCAATTATATGCTCAAAAGAGAGGAGAGGAGGACGGTATATGCGTTGTCGTATATTGTGCGTATGCTTTCTCCCTTGCTCTTACGGGAGATCGAGGCTGAAGACGCTGATAAACTAGTGTCTTCCTCATCTGATCTGCACTTCACGTACAAATAGCAGAGATATTAAGCTTCTCATATCAAAGAGCGAACTTGTCCATCGTATATTTTTCAACGAATGTGATTAACATATCTTAGTAGGTATTCATGTTTTACATGCTGACGCCATGCTGGCCTGGTGGTGATTAAGAGAGAGAGGTGGAGGGACGTATAACATCCACGACCGCAAATAGTAGAATAACAACATCTATGCCATTAAAGGAAGAAAAGAGGGTTATAAACACAAAACAAAAAGACACCGAACAACATAGCAACCAACCAACCGACCGGGTATCTCGACTTTGAAACTTTTCCTTCCCACCGATGATCTCCGAATCCAATTACATTAACTCGCCATCAGCTACTCCTCGAAAGACACCCTCTATGACTTGAAGTGAGGGGCGTTGAGGATGAGGGCCATGAGGACACCACCAATGGTTCCGGCAACAGGGATGGTCATGATCCAGGAGAAGACAAGGAGACCAACACGCTGGAAGTTGACAGCGCGGATGGTACCGTTGCAAAGACCGACACCGACAGTGGCACCAGTGATGCACATGGAGGTGGAGACGGGAAGGGAGTATTGCGAGAAGACGAGCACAGTGATGGCGGCACCCATCTCCATGGAGGATCCACGGGAAGGAGAGTGGTAGGTGATCTGCAGACTATGTTAGGACTTTCGAAAAAATGTAATACAGAATAGGATGTACGTACCTTGTTACCCATGACTTTCATGATGTTGTAGCCGTAGGTGATGAGACCCGCAGAGATGGTCAGAGCAAGGACGGCAATCTGCCATGTGTCGACAGGAGTGTTCTTGCCGGAGATCTTGCCGGTTTGCCATGTGTAGTAGATGACAGCCCATGGTCCCACAGAGTTTCCGATATCATTAGCACCGTGCGCGAAAGAAGCAGTGCAGGCGGTGATGATCTGGATGAAAGAGTAGGCGAACTCGACCTCGTTGGGATACTTCTCGGCGGCCGAGTAGACACGCTCCATACGGGCACCCTCGGGGGTACCGTGAATACCACTCTGGGCGGCGTGGATATCGTAGTGGAGACCGTAAAGAAGAGCGACGACGCACATGGCAGGGATGCGCCTCAAGAGAGTGAGCATGTTCTTCTTCTCGTAGATTTCACCGGCGCCAATGGGGTTGTTGTGAAGAGTGCGCATGGCCCAGGCAAGAGGGCCGCGGCCCTGGCGAAGCTTAGCATGGAACCTCTCCTGACCCTGTGCCACGAGCTCCTGGTAGGTGAGCTGTTGGTTCTCGGAGTCGTGGACGGTACCCTTCTCGGAAGTGGCGGGTCTAATGGCATCCTGTGCGCCCTTCTTGGGGTCTTCCTCGTCGCTCAACGAAGGAGTGTTGGACTCGGCGGGATCATCGTGCTGAACAACGGCGTAGTTGGGAACGAGAACCTGGCCATCGGCGGGAGCAGGGCGCTTGAAGAGAAGAGGGCCCTGGAAGACATGGTACCACTTGAGGGTGTGGTCGCGGTTGATGACCTTGCAGTAGATGTAAGGGACGAAGAAGAGGGCGGAGAGAAGGGCGAGACCAAAACCAGTACCCAAGCAAACCGAAGCGATGTACCAGGCGGGCTTCTTGTTGAGACCGAGCTTGGGGGAACCCTTGTAGACGACGGAAAGAGTGCAAATGGTTCCGGCGATGAGGAAGAAGAAGGGAGAAGTGTAGATGGACCAGGGAACGGGGTTCTTGCGCATGTGCACAACAACCTTGATGAGCATGAAGATGCAGGCACCGAAGCTGGCGGCGATGGCAGGAGCCATACCGAGACCAGCGAAGATGGCACCGAGACCCTTGCCCTTGTTCCATCCCCACTGAACCCGTTTTGCGCCAACCGTGGCGACACCGACACCAGCAATGGAAGAAATCAGAGAGTAGGTGGAAGAAACGTGAGCAGAGTTGCGTGTGCACCACATGACCCAGGTAGAGGCACCGACGAGAGCGCAAGTAAAGGCCAACATCTGGACACCGGCATCACCCTTGAAGGTGTCGGAGGGAATGATGCCGTTCTTGATGGTCTCGGCAGTTCTAGCACCGACGGCAATAGCACCGACCATTTCGAAGATGGTACCGAGAACCATGGCTTGACGGTAGGTGATGGAGCGGGAGGAGACACTGGTGGCCCAGGCGTTGGCGACGTCGTTGGCACCGTTGTTGTAGGCGTCGAGCATGGCGAACATGGTGCCAATGGCGAAGACGTAGGTATATTGCTCCATGACCATCTTGGAGGCTGTTGCACTCGAAAGTGACTTGTTCTTCTTGTGGGTTGGCTTCTTCTTTCCCGAGGGGATGTGCAAGCAAGAGTCAAGAGGGGGAAGGCTGCTGCACTTGAAGAAGAAGAGGAAGAAGAAGAAAAAGAGATGGCAGCGGGGTTGAGGCAGCTAAAGGAAAGGCTGGTACTGAACAGGAAGAAGAGCAAGCGGTACCAGGGGCCGATGCAGCAGAGTTTATAGTCGGTCGGGAATCTCGTGGTGGAAGAGTGGACGGGACAGGCGATGGCGAGGCCCATGGGCTGGACCCAATGGGAGACTGGAGCGGTAGCATGTGCATATGGTAGCAATTGGGGTGTTTGATGCGGCGGAGCGATTCCCAGCAAAAGGTGGCATTGATATCGCACGGTGGAGCGCGAACCCTGGACGGTTGTCGTCTAGACGGCCGGGGGGGTGTGCGGATTCGAGACCAAGGCGTTCAGCGATGTTGGCGGATATGCTTGGCAGGCTTGGCGGGGAGACAGCAGCGCGGCCAATCAGCGGCTATAATTGGAAAACGTGCAACAGCCAGCGACGCTTATAGCAACGTCAGGCTTCACGACGCTGCCACGCCCACCACGCGCGCGCCGGAGGAGGCGAATGGGCCCTGCTCGAAGCAGTTGCAATGCCGGGCAGTGGGCCGTCTGGCTGCGAATATGACAGGCCCATCGTTCGTGTCCGAGGCGTAGCAGCCCGTCCAAGAATGCTCTCCAGGTAGGAAGGCTGCTTGCTTGCTTGTACGAGGCGCATTGCCTATCTGTCCCGCTGCTTCTGCTGCTACGATGGGCAGCTGTACAGCCTGCGGTTCCGGTGACTCGCTTTCTTATATTGCTTCGAGGCACTGCTGCTGTCAGTACGCGTTGCGTATCTGCGGGGGACTGACGCACTGCTACTTCATGTCGACGATACAAGACAGAGCTCGCGCGATCAACCATCCCTCCCCCGTTCCCGAGCGGTCGCCATAGTATTGTTGGTGCATGTCGGCTAGCCTGGTGGTCGGATACATCCACTACGGTCCCCTGCCCAGTGTTGCTTCCACCCTCACTCCCCACGCTTGACCTCTCAGCACCTTGATCGGCCTCGTCATCCACCCCATCGCCTTCTTCTTTTTTTTTCTTGTGCGTCTCACAAGCACTCGATGCCTGTGCTGTTCGCCACGCTACTCAAATCTCCTTATTGCTTGTCGTTTTCTGGCTGCCCACCCACTTTTGATTGTACATGCCATCTGTGTCGAGTCGTCGCAGGGTACACGGTTCAGCCATCGGGGATTTGCAGCTACCAGTCCGCAACTCGTCTCCATCTCCCATCCTTCTACGCTTTTCCTTTCGCCATGTCCGCCGCCTGTAATACCACTTGGCCGCCCCCACGTGCATGTGCACTCGAGGCCGTGCTCTTTTCTATTCCCCAGACAGGAATACCAATTGCCCATTTTCCGCCATGGTTCGTTTCCGGGGCAGACATGTAAAGACTCTGCGCCGCCAAATGCCTGAGTCCACTTAAACCCGCCCGGTCGGTAATATCTTCGACAAATAAATGTCCTGTGGGTCTGTCGCGCGTCGCGTCGAGCTAGAGTGTCAACCTTGGAACCAGAGTGTCGCCCTCTGTCTTGTCGCTCTTGTCACCTCTCGGCGCTGTCATCCCCCCAAGGCATTCTAAGAAAACATGGTCGACTTGGAACATTGCTTGGTCTTTGAATGTGATGTTGAATTAAGCTTGCCCTCCACATCACCTGTGCAGCCGTTTGGCTTGAACCTGACCTCAACTTTGGGTTGGGAAAACGTCAAAAATTCTGGGGGTGAGTGCGACGCTCAAAACATCCCTCTTGTTGCCTGTAGGGCTGGGTGACGTGGGACATGGCGCCCAGATGCCGCCCTGCTAGCCCAGAATAATTCGCTCAAGCAGAAAAAGAAAAGGCCATACATAAAGGGTCTCGCTCGGTATTACACTCGGTCGGTGCTCGCCGATGCACAAAGTTTCATCTGGGAAACAACCACCCAAAAAAGAAATCAAGGGGACTGTCGCGCCAGGGTGGCCAGCCAGTCAATACACTATTTCCAGATGCATGTGGAAATGTACTATACTCCGTCAGCCAACCACATGTCTCATGCTGCTTGTTTTCTTTGGACCCTCTATTCCCTCTCTCATCCTCCCCCTCGCCCAAGGCCACATTCACACATGATGTTCGTAGAGCATGGGTGGTAAGCTGAACTGCCATCATCGACAGCTTAATCCTTCTTTCTGGCTCGTTCGTCGCAATACAGGCGCGGGAGCCCATGTGAACGCGGTCATCTGCCAAGTCCCATGCTGGCAGATGGCGTGGGTGCTCAGTCCGACTCCTGCTCTTTTTGAGCGAGCGAATCCCGTAAGCGTTCTTCCTGCTTTCGCCAGTGGCTCCCTTCTTCGTAGTCTGCAGAAATGCCAAGCGCCTTTCGAAGGCGTTCACTCTCTTCGATCTTGGCCTGGGCCAGATCGTGCACCTGATGGACTTTGAGGTTGCGAGCATCTGGCCCGCCGCCACCCTTGCCGGCTTTTCTCTCGTCATCGAGCTTTTTGCGCAATGCGTCGCAGCGATCATCGATCTCGTCCTCGTCCACGCTATTATCAATAATGTCAGCCACCAGCGCCTTCTGGAAAAGAAAAAGAAATACAAGAAAAATGTTGAAGGCGTGAATTGCGGGACCATGCCGGTGTCACTCACCCTTCCTCTTCGAGCTGGTCGCGTAGCTCTAGCACCTTGACTTCAATTTCCCGCTTGCGATCGTGTTCTAGAATCTCGGGATCAGGTTGTCGCTGACGGTGTTTTGTCTGCTCCCAGTCCTTGGGATACGGATCGCCCTTGTCGCGGTGCCTCAGCAGCGACCTGTTCTTCTGTACGTAGCCTGATGTTCCGCTTCCACGTGGAGTAGACAGACCCACGTTGGAAGACATGCTGATGGGTTAATTCGGGTTTCGACCGAGTGATGCTTGAGTGTGAATATATTCTTCGTTGATGATGTTAACTGCAAGATGATCAGGGTCTCTGTGCTGGTCAAGATGGCAGTCCTGGTGTGGGTGGATGACGAAGAGTTGAAGATGCGGAGAGTTTTCGGAAGTGCATGTTTAAGGCTTAGCGCGAACCAGCAGTGACGCATAGGCGAAACCCCGCCGCGGTCGCAATGCTCCTCAGCCGACGCCGACTGACAGTCCTGCTACTGAATTTATACCATTCCATTCATTCTGTGGTATGAAAGTGAATACTGTGACTAATCTGCTGTCTTGTAAAAATACGCAATGTTTTGTCTAATGTTTGTCTGACTGAACCACACTTCGGAGGTGGTGGCGGCTCCTCTCGTCGTGACTCATTTTTTACGTCCACCATCAATCACTACAGCTAATGGAATTCCTCACCCAACACCACTACCACCACACCTACTTCTCGCTTTCTAACCCGACGACGACGTCGCTTGAGAAGATCCCGCCATGACTGACCCGCAGGATGCTACCCCTGATCGGCTTCCTTTCCCGCCCGTAACAAAATCACACATCCTCAATTGCTCTTTCCACAGCTGGTACCCCAAGTACATACAACCCCTCTCCACCAAGTACGGCAACCAAATCTGACTCTAATTGGCAGATATCGCTCCATCACACCCAAAGCACGCCTGGTTCCACTTCCGGAAGCCTTCCTATCCTATCTCCGTGAGGATGGCATCATGCTCCCGCCCGAGGACGGAGACAATGCGCAATGGTCAGATTCTGACAGCGGCATTTTTTCGGGCGCCGACAACGAAGCCAATGTTGACCAGGAAGAAGAGTACGACCCTTCTGCCAATTGGCGGGATACTCACGAGGCTATCGAAGCCACCATCGAGGAGCTAGGTGGCAAGGTTGCGCCCAAGCTGAACTGGTCTGCCCCAAAGGATGCGACGTGGATTGCCGTGACAAATAGCATGGAATGTCGTACACCAAATGACATCTATCTGATACTCAAATCGAGTAATTTCATCACCCACGACCTCCAGCATGCCTTCGACGACACCGATGATCAGGGAGACACTCCGAACTCAGACCCTGTGATTCCGTATCATCTCGTCTTGCGCAAGTGGCTCACTCTCAACCCCGCAGTCGAATTCCGTTGCTTTGTCCGTGATCGTCGGATTGTCGCCCTCTGTCAACGGGATTTGAACCACTTCGACTTTCTTTTCAAGATGCAGGATAAGCTCTACCAGGAGGTTCAAGACTTCTTCGACACTAATTTGCGCGATACCTTTCCCGATCCAAATTTCACGTTCGATGTCTACATTCCCCCGCCGCATAACCGCGTTTGGTTGATGGACTTCAATCCCTGGGCGCAAAGGACAGATCCGTTGTTGTTCAGTTGGCTTGAAATCTTGACGCGTCCTGGGCCGGGTGCATCCCAATCAGAGCCAGGAACTGCACAACAAGCCGCAGCCGATGAAGACGACGTCGAGGAGATTTTGAGACCAGAATTCCGCCTGGTTCGGAGAAACGATCCGGAAGCCTACGGTATCTCCTCACCGCAATACAGCGCGCATAAGCTTCCTAAAGACGTGGTGGATGCGAGCAGTGGTGGTGAAGGAAACCTGCGTGAGTTCGTGCGGCAGTGGGAGGAGGCCCAGAAGCTCGCGGAGCAGCAAAAGGCCGAGGACAGTGAGGGTGACTAGTTTTTCTGTTCAATTTCATCCCGTCTGGAGTCACGGGGTTGGTGTGGGTGTGGATTCTTTTGCGTAAACCAATTTGTGTACTTGCTCATACATATGTATCAAAGATAAGTCCTCAGCTTCGTAGCTTCATGCAAACACCTAATTTCATGGTTATATTCAAGAAAATTCACTCTCTCATCTCGATCATAATTCATCTTCTCAATCTGGTGTGCCAATGTCGAAAGTGGGTGGGATGGAGAGGCCAGATGACTAAGCGTGATGGCTTGAACTCCGTGTCAACAGCGATGCTTCAAACCAGCCTTCAGTGCAGCGGGTATGGCTTCTTCCGCAGCGCCTGACCCGCGCACCTTCGAAAGCTGGGAAGATGCTTTTCAGTACCCAATTCCCGTCATCCGGAAGCTGGAGCAGCAACTCCGCTCCAGCGCCAATGAGAATCGTGAGAAGCTGCGGTCGCTCGTGGGGTAAGGGACGCGGCATTCTGGAAATACGTGCAATGCTAATTGTCCGGTAGAGCGAGCTATCGCGATCTCCTCGACACGGCCGAGACAATCATCGATATGGAGGAGAATATGGAGCAGGTCGAAAATAAGCTTGCGAGAATAGGACATAACTGTAACTCGCGCAACATCGAGCGCATCGCAAGCAATGCGGGGACCATGGAAGCACACAAACAGGGTCGCGATTCGGATCATTATACCTTTGCCTCGCAACTGGCAATTTTTCGTAATTGCCCGGTCGTCATGACGAGGTTACTGAAAAGCGACGGTCCATATCTGCTCATTGCCAAAGTCCTCGTCGTTTCGCGTCTATTATACAAGTCGCTATCTCAGTCGAAAAGCAAACCGCCAATCATTGAACAACTATGGGACCGCCTGCTCTCGATTCGTCGCAAGCTATTGAGGAGGATAGACAAGCGTCTTGCAGGCACAGTGGGGGACGTATCGGCCCTGGTGGAAAGCATGAGCGCCTACGCCCTAGTCACAAGCTCGACACCGACCGATGTTTTGCAGCACTTTCATAAGATGCGGTTGGAGAAAATGGTTAGCTTGCTTCAGCGAGGTCATGACGAATTGGCCAAGCACGGGATCAGCGCTCTTCGACTGTGCATTCAGACTTGTCAAGATACGCAAACTGTCTTCCCACGGCGTTTGGCCGACTCTCTTGCACGGCTCAAGGCGCAACCACTTGTTCAAGATCCCCATGTACGGGAGCTGTATGAATTGAATCTGGATATTCACGATCGGTGGATAGGAGACGAGGCACGCAATTATACACCATGGCCTCGTCACGATGAGTTGCAGCGTGCGGATGCTGAACGTATCATGCACCAATGGTCAAAACAAGCCATTTCCATGTTTCTTCAAAACATCAAGAAAGCACTCAAAGAGGAAGGAAGACTGAAGGAAGTCGCGTCGTTGCGCTCGGAACTCATTGAAACATGGATCATGTCTGGCTCTAGAATGGCAGGCGTCAAGTCCGCCAATGTGCTGAACGACCTTCGTGACAGTATGAACAGTCATCTTGAAACCATTATCCGTGCCCGCACTCAGAATCTCAAATCTGTTGTGATGACAATCGCAAAGACACTCGAGTCCTGGCCAGTAGACTCCTCGACCGGGTCAGACGTGTCACTGTGGAGTACAACAGCGACACCTTCGGATCTATCGAATGGTGCAGCAGCCTTCAAATCTACTATATCAAATATCCACCACGGCCGCAACGAATCTGTTGTAGATGTCATTACCAAATTCGACGACTGGATGCAGTCTGTGTTGGAAGTCAAAGGCATCGTGAAGTCGATGAAGGAAGCGCGTTGGGATGATACGTTTGCCGACGACGTTGATGATGAATCGGATGACGAGTTCGGGGATTCGAAACAAACGCTGCTCAGCGATGAAGATCCACGTTTACTTGAGGAAGTCACCCAAGAAGCACTGGGCGGTGCGCTTCAAAACCTCGGCAAGAGCTTGGGCAGCATCGTCGAAGGACTGACCGAAGACGAACAAGACGGCGACATACAGCAGGTCTGTTTCGTAATGAGGGTGATGCGGGAGATCAGTGAACGCATCCCAAAACTGCGATTACAAGACAAAGCAACGCCGCTCAAAACTCCTTTCACATCAGTTCTGCTAAGTCCATTACATTCTGCGCTAGCCAAGCAAGCCGTGCAACCTTCTCTAGCACGGTATGCGAAATCTCTTGCAAAATCGACTCGAGCAAATTCCAAAAGCCAGATCCTCTGGGAAGGCAACCCGCCTTTGCCAGCCCAGCCATCTCCAAGCGCTTTTAGCTATCTGCAAGCCCTCAACCGGACAATGGGCAGCTACGGAAGTGATCTGTGGGCTCCAGCCAGTGTTTCGACCCTCAAACAGACCGCCTCAGATCAGATATCTGCTCTCCTCAACTCCCATATCGACTCGATCGACAAAATAGTCATCAAATCAACCAATACCGATTCAATCTCAAAGACCGATGAAGTAGCACCTTCAGAAGAAGGCCCCTCTGAATCCACAACGGCCCCCGATGGCGAGAAAGATTCACCCGAGTCGACAGCGGCAGCAACAGCAACCGATCCCTCGCAACCCCCTCTCCTCCTCCAGCTCAAAGACCAGAAATTCAAACAAGCCCTCTTCGACGCACTCTACATCCACCGATTCCTCACCCACCCCAACCCTATCGCCTCGGACCCCGCGAACACGCCTTTTGAGAAGTTACTCCGCGATGCGGCGGAGAAGAGCGCGTTAGATGAAGCTGGCGTTGCGAGGATGAGGAGGAGTGCGGCGGAGTACGCGAAGAAGACTTATCTGCTGTTTGCTTTGCTTGCTTGAGGGGTGGATACGTATGGAGATAGTGTAGATGGATATCTATAGAATCATAAACTTTAACGCATGACTTCCCACTATCAAAATTCCAACCCGCTACTTCTTTCCTGCTATGCATCATACAATACTTATATCCATGAACCCCAAGAATCCCCTACACCTATACTACAGCTTTAGTTCGACTTTGCACAACGTATCAACGCTCCTCCTGCTCCCCCTTCCTGCCGCGACCCAAGCGGTGCGTTGATTTCATCGCTATTTTTGTTTCTCCCTCTCTCTTCTTTGGAGTCCTGTACCCCCTTGCTCACTGATCTGCTCTTCCATCTTTTTTTGCGATGAAATGGAATCGAAGAAAACATGTAGAGAAGGTACTCTGGAAGGGACGTCGATCATGATGCATGCGTTGGATGTAAATGGACTGGGAGTGAAAGCGATGTACGTATCTGCGAACTTCAGACCTTTTTCTCATCTTTCGACGGAGTTGATTTGGATCGTTGAATTGTGGTGTTGTCCGCACTTGGCTATTTATAATAATAGCTTATTAGTTTTATAATAACTACAGAACATGTTGTCCTGCGTAGAGCTTAAAGGCAGATTTAATATGTTTTTTAAAACTAAGTGTTTGTGTTGCATAGAAATGCGATGGATCACTACTACGCTTAGTACGTATCTGCGGAAAACAAACCGCCCTCCGTTCGAAGGTATGATTTGTATGATATATTAATAGGATCTAGACAGCCTTGCCGCTTACTTTGATGCTAACGGTAGGCAGTTAGTATTCCGGGATGGGGGGAACGGTATAAATACCCCGCAGTTCTCTCTATTGCCAGCGATACGGCAATACATATTCTACTTCCGACACTTGACGAATACTATGGATCTGACTCCCGAGCAATTATCTGTCGCGCGGAAAACAAAAAATCTTCTTCGGAAAGTCGAAACAGCTGTTCGAGACTGGCCGTCGGTGCATACGGAGCCTTGGGTGCAAGAGTTGTTCAATTCCGCTGCGGTGAGCGATGAGTGCATTGGATGCCCATCGACAAATGATTCGATGAAGAGGTGCGACCTGAAGCAGCTGGCAGTTCTGTTCCTCAATAGAATATGTTTCGGTTGTGCGCAAATTTTTGTGGCTGTGTACGAGATTCTCGTCAACGTGGATAGAGATGACTATTACTATCTCTTCTCGGAGATCTATGCTTACTCAAGGATTTCTGATGATGGATCCTTAAAGATTCTCCCCGCGACTTCTGAGAGAATGCATAGCATGGATGGGACCGAGAATATGGTTTACGAAATCGTTTACATTCAGAATAGGCCAGAAGATGACATGAACGGAAAGTTGAAACTGCGTCATGATGAGTTTACCAAGTATATGGACGTTTCAGCTTTCCAAAGAAAAAAAGCTCTGTCTTGGGATGAGGGAAAAAGAAATGCTCCAAGCTTGTGGTCTGATAGTGCGATGAGATGGCTGCAAGGACGCATAGACACTTGTCTCAACATGCATCCATCCTGCCAGTCGCGTCACGGTACATGTTTGCCAACGAGGATTCTTGATGTGAGCAGAACTGCGGATAGAATCTTTCTCGTAGATGGCGAACTGCCGGTCTCTCGATACATCTGTCTGAGTTATCGTTGGGGCTCTTCAGAAACTAGTCTCCGGACGACAACAACGAACTATGATGAGGACAAGGCAGGAATACCAATCTCTTCGCTATCTTTGATGTTCCAAGATGTTGTGAGGCTGGTTAGGCATCTCCAAGTGCGCTACCTTTGGATAGACTGCCTGTGCATAGTACAAGACTCATTGGATGACTGGGTACAAGAATCTAGCAAGATGAGCGACGTATACGCAAATTCATTCATGACAATTGCTGCGAGCTCTTCTAATGGTGAGAGTAATCGCCAGCTCATGGAAGTAGACCCGGAATACTGCGGTTGGTTTCTGCCATCGGGATCTGACATGCCACACCTCGTTCGCCGTTCAATCGACCACGATCTTTTCAACGCCAGCGATTTCCAAGAACGAAATTTTGATCTCTTTCCCCTACTTGCGCGCGGGTGGGTGTACCAAGAACGGGCTTTGAGCCCTCGATACGTGCACTTTGGGCAAGAGATGGGTTGGGAGTGCAGAGAATGCACTCGGTGTGAATGCGCATTTGCCTTTGATGACAATCGGTGGAAACTGAAAAACCATTCTTCTACTGATGAAGAATATCCAGGGAGTGCAGCTGAGGCATGGCATGCGCGCGTCGAAGGGTACAGTGGTCTGCAACTGACCGTCCCCCAAGACATCTTCCCAGCTATCGGCGGAATCGCCCGGAACTTCCCGCGTAGTCATAAAGGCTTGGGGAGATACGTTGCAGGTATGTGGGAAACCACTATAATCCACAGTCTTTGCTGGCACAGCATTCATCCCGATCAAGCAAAACGAGTAACCCCGTGGCGTGCTCCGACTTGGAGCTGGGCAGCGATGGAAGGCCCCGTTATATTCTTCCTATTATTAAAGACTTCTTATGAGCTTGTTTCCATAGAATTCGAGCTCCTTGGGAAAGACGAGTTTGGTGCATTGAAGAGAGCTTCAATAGCACTACAAGGCTTCGTATATCTCGTTCCGACGGACGGTATCGACGGGAGTGATATGTCACCTTCTTTCGGCTTGAAAGATGTTTGGGGTAGATGGGACTGTGACATGGATCCTGCGAGGACCGAGATGATCACTGCGCATAGTCCGATTATTCTCTTCCTCTTGGGTGAAGGCGGTTTGGGCGGGTGCCAATACTTGATACTCGTCGAGGTCAGAAAAGATGTCTATGAACGCCTTGGCTTTTTACAAGCGGAAGATCCTGACGATATAGAATACTTGGAAGCGCACAGCAAAAAGCAGCAAATCACAATCGAATGAAACCGAGCCTGTTTTGCCAACCTCTTTGGAACTCAGCCCGCTGGATTTCCAGGATACTGCACCTCCCAATTCCAAGCGTTTGCTAAATCAGGTTATATCACACTCTTTGTTTCTTCTTCTTCTTCATCCCTTGATCGAACGTCGTATACAAATGTACTCTCATTAGTCGAAGCAAGTTATCAAGCAAATGATTAAGTTTCTTCAAGGATGAGGATAATGATGATGAGGGTAGTGGGAGAGTTTTGTGAACACGTGCAATTTGTTTCTTCTTATCCATCTATCTAATCATCCTTTCTGGAACTGGAACTGAAGCAGCACAACCCACAACGTCTAACCACTAAATCTCTTTCTCTTTCTTTCTCTTTTTCGCTTTCTAGCTCTAGCTCTAGCTCTAATGCCAACTCTCGTTCTATATGCGCGTATATGATCGATGCTACTATACAACATTCCAATCGTTGGGTTGCTCCCTGGCCCGATGCTGAAAGCAAAGTCCTTTTGTGGACCTTTTTGTCCCTGCCTACCTTTCATCAAATTATTCTTATTGGTATTTTTGAGTGTATGAATCACTGTAACTTCCAATAAAAAGAATACAAGATAAAAACTCAAACATTCTAATCTTTCTATCTCCAAAGGAAAATTTCTCCCGGTATGTGGACTAGATATAACAAGGTTTGATGTTGATAGTTGGGGTATAGTATTTCTTCTCTTGAATCCTTTTCCGTCTTTCCGTGATTCGTTCTTGATGCTCTGTGGGGGAGGGTCGAAGGGTAGTATCCTTTCCCGACCGGTTCGGTAAGACTCCCGCTTCTCTAGTAGAAGAAACAATATAAAGAAAAAGACCTAGAAATCTATATAGAAAGACAAAGCGATGAGCGTGTGGAGGTTGTGCGCTTGGGATAACTGCGGGAAAAGACGATTGCAGAATAATCCCCCTTCACACTTTCTACAGGGAAGACGCCTCGATGCTTGATAACCGACCCCTAAGGGAAAAGAAGAACAAAAAGTAGACACTGCCTTGAACGCCAAAAATTCCCAACAAAGTAGAGAAAAAGAAAAGAAAATCCGATCCTACGTTCTTCCCAAAGCCGCCGCCCTATTCTCCTCAACAGCCCTTAGCTGCCTCTGCAAGCGATCAAGCATAACAAGCAACGAGCCACTCTCCTCAAGCAGCTCATCAGCCCTCCTCCTCTCATCCTCGCTCGCGCCCTCCCTCTCCACACCGGCCCGCCCATCCGCATCTCCATCCCTCAGCGTCTCGGCAACAAGCCGGTTGAACCTTTTCACGGGATCGTCTTCGTCGTCGTCGTCGGCCCCTGCGCGCTTGGTCCCGCGCTGTGCCGCGATCTCGGCACATGGCGAGAAGGCTTGCGCGGTGCTCTGGAATTTGGTGAGCATTTCGTCGTACTCGGCGGACGGGTCGCTTTGGGCAGTTATGGCGCCGCCGGCGCCGATGAGCCAGGTGTCTTCTAGTGAGGAAGCGGATGAGGGAGAGGGCGTGGGGTCGATTTTGACGGCGGTGCGGATGATGACTGAGAAGTCGCCGGCGCCGCCGATGTCGAGGTAGCCGAGGACGCCGGAGTAGATGCCGCGACGCTGGTGTTGCTGCTGGGGGCGTTGTTCTTGTGTGGCGAGGAGTTCGCAGGAACGTTTTTTGGGCGCGCCCGTCATGCTTCCTGGTGGGAGGGACTGCACGAATGCGTCGTAGCCGAGGTATTCGGTGGGTTGTTGGGGAGTTTTGGAGGCGGCGATGTAATCGGTCGGCTCTTGCCATTCGTCTGGAGTCTGGGGTTTTTGAACAGAGGGGGGGATGGCATCGATGACTGAGACGAGCTGCCAGAGAGTTTCGTATTCCTCGACCTGCATGAGTTTGGGGACGTGGACGTTGCCAGAGCCGTAGACGCCGTGGAGTTGGTGGCGGACCAGATCGACGATCATGAGGTTTTCGGCGCGTTCTTTGGAAGAAGACAGAATGTTATGGGCGATTTCAGTGGTAATGTCGGGCTTTTTGGCGACGGTGCCTTTGATGGGTCGACATTGTGCGCTCTGAGACCGATCCCAGCTGATGAATCGTTCAGGGGACGAACTTAGGATGTGGACGTTGTCCATGCGCATGAATGCTGAAAACGGGGCAGGATTCTGCAGTGTCAAGCGTTTGTATAGATTCCACGAAAGACCATTATCTTCTGCTGTAGAGAGTCTACATATGCGAGGTTTCCGGGCCCGGATTTGGTTCGTTGCTGTGAGGCACAGTTCGTAGCTTTGGCCATCTGCGATGACTTCTTGACAAGAGGCGACTTTGCCCAAATATTCTTTCTGGTCCACCACAAACTCTTCACAGCTAGAAATGTACGTGTTGAGTGTGTCGTCTCTCTCAAACGGGTTCGGTTTTGGCACAGGCGTTGAGCTTGGTGTCGATTCAAGACTCTTCCTGGCGCTAGCTTCGTATATCTGATCCCATGTTTCGCCTACCCATTCATGGTCATCCTCACCTCGAATACTCTGTACGTATGCCTTCTTCAGCTGATGATCTACTACGATACTACGGGTGACATAGGCGAAGCAAGCGTCTGGGTATGCTGCGTCCGGTCCGGATTCCACGCCTATTGTTTGCAGTCCAGCCTCGTAAGATGCATACCCCATCAAACCTCCCCAGAAGGGAGCCCAGGTGGGTGAATTGGGACGATGCTGAAGCTTCAGGCGCAATGAAGTCATGAATTCCTTTATCCATTGCCAGAAATCTGTCGTCTGCCACTCGCGATATACTTCTCCGCATCCGTCCAAGACTTGCATCGTACGCGATCCAGAGTAGTAATGTATTTTCAAGGTTTCTTTTGGGATAACCAAGCCGATGATGCTGTATCGGCCTGTGTCAGGATGCATCGGTCTGAGATCATGTAGACCCGACTCCAAAACTATAGACTCGTTACGTGAAATGCCGAAATGCTCGACAATGTCTGAAATAGTCAACCGTCCGCTCCCAATAGTTTGGCAATGAACGGTGGTAGGCGGTAAGCCTGGTATCGATTCCCCATCACCGTTCTCTATAAGTGAGACCATTTCGTCGGGAGAAAGGCCAACATTCTGGTGGTAGATATTGGCAGTAGCACCAGCTCCAGATTTCGTAGGTAAGGCAGCCACATGTAGTTTTCGTGGAGATACATTCACCGTTTGGTTGGCGGCTCGCTCCCTCTTCCAAACTTGCGCTTCCCTCCACCAATTTTGAACAAGTCGCGTCCCTTCCTCATTGGTACATATAGATTCGGGATGAAACTGCACTCCCCAAAATGGCTTGTTGATATGTTTAGCTGCCATCAAGACTGCACCGTTGCGTTTACTGTCAAAGTCCCAAGCCAACGGCTTTATTTGCGGGCACGCCTCGGTGGATTCCCATAGTTCGGCCGGGTATCGGACCGCTTTTTTTGTTTGCATGCGATGCTCGATTAAAACCTGCAACGAGTGGTATTGAGTCGTAGACAGTTGCTGCACCCCTTGAAAAATGGACTCTTGATTGTGCAAGATGTCGGCGACAAGTCCATGTCGAGGCTCGTTGAGTCGTTGGATATCTGCGCCGAACGCGAGACACATGGATTGGAAGCCGAGACAGACACCGAGAACCGGAAGCAGATCCTCATCTTGGAGCCTCCACAGTTCTCCCATCAATCCAACATCTTTTTCACATTTTGCCCAACCAGGACCCGGACCAGCAACCACACCGTCAAAGGCTTTCAGATAGCGTAAGAATTCCGGAGAAACGCAATCTTGGGATACAGTTTCGATAGCATCGATAGGGCACTTGATGACTTCAGCATCAAGACACTGTTCGATTTGAGCGACAATGTTATTCGAGAAAGAATCGTAGGCGTCCAGGTAGAGGACTCTTGGTCGTCTACCAGGGATACAACCAGCGGGTGCCATGTCGAAGCGCACGTGACAGTGTTTGGCGGTACTGATCCTCGTAGTTGGTATAGAGTAAAGGCATAAATATGCGCCGATTGTGTAGTCTTTGCTGCGTGTCGCAGGCGGCCAGCGGTCGTTAGTTATTTAACCGATTGTGGTTCTCGATATAGACGTAGGCAGGTATGAATGACGGAGCCAATATTTGGAAAGGCCGCGGAGCACTTGAAGGAGTGTTTGAGTGTTGAGAAGGTGAAAAGATGGAGACAGTCTGAAAATTCGAGCACAACAGGACAGTATATGAGAGTTTACAAGGAGTGTAGGTAGTGAGAAGATAGTTCAAGGAGAGATGACTGTTTCTTTGAAGAGTGAGGAGGAAACAATAGAAATGCAGCTTTCGGCTTGTCTTATCGCCATTCCGACCGAACGGCAATCTTACATTTCAGGGTCCACACTAGTCCATTAGTAGACTAGCTGGAGATCCGGTCCAGCTCACCTCATCTTTCTCTCCGTGGGCACAAGCATGAGACATTCTATGAAGATTCGCCGTTTTCCCTTCATTAAAAAGGTGCTAGACATGGCTGTTACTCTCTAAAACCTCTATATCTCTTTGAAACTACTATACTGCACAGCTGCATTGATGTTATTCCCGATGGTACAGCAATGTGTGGTGTCTGCAGCGTGTCGACCGTTCAGGGGTTGCAGACGTAAGCGAGGATCTGTAATCTTCTATCAATGCTCCGAGCTGGACCCTGAGTTCGAAAGGGATTTTGCCACCGCTCGACTGTTACCATAAGAGTTTGGACTTGCCGAGCGCGCAGCAAGGATCTTCGAGGGGAGCACGCCCCGTTCATCCGATTCGTGTCTTCGGCTTGTTTCATCGTCGGGCCTTCCCCCTTCTTCTTCATCTTCACGTTCCACGTGCTCGACTCCTTCCGCATGGGGAATCGTCGCTGTAGTAGCGCTCTCGTCCTCGTGCCTCTCAGCCTCGGGTTTGCGTACTCGGCCAGCGAATAGGAGCAGCAGAAGAAGATCGTATGCGCCCTTGAGAGAGCCTGCGACCACGAAAGCTACCCAAAAGAGTTTTCGGTCGGCCAGCAGTCCGGTGATCCAAGGCCCGCCGCTCTGACTCAGTATCTTGAGAATGTTGATCACGCCCATGACCGCTGTTAACTCTTCTGGCTTGACCACCATAGAGATGAACGCTGATCGTGGCGCCTGATCCATACTGTTCAGGACGGCTCGCGCAACCAGGAGGCATATGGTCCAAGGCAAGCCAGCAGGAGCAGGCAACAGAGCGAGGAAGATGGAACTGGGGAGGTGTGTGACTACCATTGCTGGAATGAGACCGAGCCGTTTGGCTACCGAAGATGCAAAGACGTTGCCTACCGTAGATATGGTCCTGCAGCAAGAGTAATTAGATCGTATATTGCGGAGTGATCGGATGGAACTATTTCTGCCACATACCAGGTAGCCGACATGATGCCACCGAGTTTCCCCTTCTCGAGCTGAAACTTGCGCTCTAGATAGAAGTTGATTAGAGAGAAGGGCACCATTCCACTACCAAGCGAGTCGAGGAAGAAGAGACTGCATAGCTTTATCAGAATCCACCATGTAGGCTTCGATATGGTGCTGAGAGGATTTCGGGATCGCATTTTTGGACTTTTTTGAATCGTCCGAGTTGTATCCGTGGAAGTAGTCTCTTGATCGGCTCCGTTCAAGAGCGAGTCCGACTCTTCGTGCCCACCCAACAAAGGTTCCGTTTCGTCGACATTTGGCTCTTCATCTTGCCGCTCACACTTGTGACTCAAGCACAAAGTTAAAAGAGCTTTGCCACAACCAATTCCCGTGTACACCCAGAAAATGGCTCGATAAGCATCGGCTGTGGTCCAACCCTCCAACTCCAATAGTCTATCCACAACCTGACCACCCGCCACCAACCCACTCGAAGTCCCCAACACAGCCATGACTACATACCAAGTGAAAACATCGGCCCGCTTCTCTGCAGGAACCAAATGCGCCAGCGTCGATTCTTCGACGGCCTTAAACGGACCGATCTCATTCCCTGTTGGGCTGATAACGCCTAGAATCGCCGCAGCAAGCAGCGCAGCATAATGGCTCGTTAGGGCGAACACGGAGCCAGATACCGCCATGGCAATCGCGCCCATGAACATGGTGACACGTCGTCCGAGCGCATCCGCGACAAGCGTTAATAGCAGGCTGATGAGAACATCGCCGAAGAGAGTGAGCGTCATAAAGAGGCCTATCGACGTGTCTGAAAATCCCAGCTCTTCAAAGTAGAGGGCGAGAATGAGCGCGACGGCGCTGTAGCCAAAGAGTCGCAGGAAGCGGGCGAGGATGATAATGTAAACGTCCTTGCCTGCCGTTAACATTGTCTTGACGCCTGTCTCGTCAGATAACCAGAATAACGCTTTCGAGATGCCATGTTGGGATCCCATGGTGAAATTAGGTGTAGGTGTGGTGCTTCCTCTCTCCCGAAGAATGAATGAAAAGGCCGTGAAAAAGCAATGCCGATGTGAAAATGCTGTGCATGTCAGATGTAGGATGCAGTATTCAAAGAAGCGAGAGTCATTGGATGAATTACACAAGTAAAAAGGTTGTTACTGGTAACGAATGGGCGGAAAGTGTAGGGACAATGATCGCCCATCATCACGGTAGACGTCGTGTTGTTGCCTGTTCGATGTTCGATGCTTAGACGACTGCATCGGGAAGGTGCCTAATTTAAACTCAGCGATTCCGATCACCATTCCGACATGTCTGAGAATTGAAAGTCGATGATTAATATCGTGGTTCTCGAGATTTCATTGTGGCATCATGGGTTACGGATCTCGGTAAGTAGAAGAGATAGATATATTCACTAATGAAGAGCCCAAATGAAACAAAGAGATATGGCAAGGAAAAGCCAACAATCGACACAATAGAGCCATGATGGCAGTCTCTTCTACTCTGTCCAATTTCACGACTGCCAGGCCTTGCCGTGTGCCCATATTGTTCCCTCCCAGAATGCACAGAAAAGATCACTACCGAAGCCCCGAAATGGCCAACCATGAAATGGCAAAACAACCCGTCTACGGCATGCAGGGGAGTGGAACGGCGGAGGTGGACTGCGTATCGCTGTCACGGAGAGCAACTATAACCATGGCCATTAGGTACCGGATCTGTGCTATAACACCCACGCCTTAAAACGACAAGATGACTCTCTCCCGCACATCTTCTAGCAGCAGCCGCCACCGGAACCGTTGTTGACACCCTGGCCAGGGCCGATGGGCACTGTGGGCTTGTTGTTCGCAGTTGTGGTACCCATGCGCTCCTTGATTTGGCGAGCCATGGTCAAGAAAGCCTGCTCGACGTTGGTAGCGCTCTTTGCCGAAGTCTCGAGGAAGGGAATGCCGAGGCTGTCCGCGAATTCCTGTTACAAACAATCAGTCATCTTGTATGTCGTATCTGATCAGTCTGGTGTAAACGGACCTTGGCAACGGTGTACTCGACGACCTTCTTGTCCGCCATATCGGACTTGTTTCCGACAAGAAGCTTGTTCACACCCTCGGTGGCATAACGGTCGATCTCCTGCAGCCACTGCTTGACGTTGTTGAACGAGTCCATGTCGGTGACATCGTAGACAACGCAGATGCCGTGGGCACCACGGTAGTACGAGGAAGTGATGGTACGGAAACGCTCTTGGCCGGCGGTGTCCCACTGTCGTTCGGTCAGCACATCATGTTCGTGAGGCTTGCGAATAGAATACATACGATTTGTAGCTTCACAGTCTTTCCGTCCAACTCAATGGTTCGGATTTTCTGTACCCAGGTCAGCGGCTGTCCAAGAATAGGCTGAGCAACAAGGTAAATCTAGAAAAGCACGCACGAAGTCGACACCGATAGTAGAGATATAGCTCTCGGTGTATGTGTCATCGGCGAAACGGAGCAACAAGCACGACTTTCCAACACCAGAGTCACCGATGAGGAGAAGCTTGAAGAGGTAATCGTATCTGTGTAAAACAAAGGTCAGCGGGGGTCACCATAGGGCACAAGAAAAGGGAGATGTTGGTCGTGAAGGGTCCGGAAGCGGTGGAGCATATAGAGGTAACTCTGTTGAACATGTGTTAGCAATGTCATGTATAGATAACACTCCCCCACAACGCAGCAGCCCTCTTTCTACTCCGTGGGCCCTGTGGCGCTGCGAGCTGGACCGAGGAGGCGGTTACGTACCACTCAGGGTTCATGATGGCGGTGGCTACCCTGTCGGCGTGGATGTGGTGATGGTGGTATGAAGGTGAGTACGGTTGGAGTGCGCGATGTATATGAGTTGTGGCAGCGGCGGTGAGGTCGGCGTTTGGGTTGGTTGCGCAGTAAGTTGAGGCGATGTGCGAGAGTTGGTCAAGGCGGCCAGTAAGCCGCAATTTCTTGGCAGCAATGGGGGGTCACAAGCACAAGCTTCAAAGGTCGTCCGGCTGGTCTGGATGTACGTACTTCACACACATCATCAACACACTGTCTGGCCTGTACTTGCATCACGTTGCCCGCTTACTCTTGCTGCCTTGCCCATTCCCATCGATAATAATGACTTTTCTTTTATCTCGGCTGTGACTGCCTATCAGCTTTCAAACGAGCACCTGCCATTCAATGCGCCGCACGTGATACGTAAACGCACTCAAGCACTGTGCTAGTCTACTGACCAGCACTTACATGTATTTTTTCAACGAGTGTCATCCAGACTCTCACTATCAGCAGTCTGTAGCTCGAAATCATGTGTGGACTACTAGGCTTTGAATTTGGATTTATTACAGGTACTGGAATGCTAAGATATTTGAAGTAATCTAGATATCGATAGTGGATTTGAACAGTTCGAATATACCTAGGTATGCACACCTGGGCATGTGTACATAATTCACTGAAATATGACGTGATTCGATCCCTGCGTGCACACATACCTACCCAGGTAACTATCAAGGTACCAATCAGTGTACGTATTTGGAATCGAAAGGGTTCAGATGTGTACGTACATATGTACTCTTGGGAATCCCACCTGACTAAGTAGTCAGTCATGTCGAGCCCCTACATGTATCCATGTCCGTCCGAATTCACACGGGTGTACCTGTACGGTATCCACACGTATTGTTGCATGGCTGCTCCACAAGTAGCATATTGCGGAAGATGAGGTGAAATGAAGGGAGAGATGATTTGGTTATTACATTGCTATTTTAAAGATCCAGCCCGCAGTATAATGAAAAGGCAACGCAGCCCGGTGATGTTCCGTCGAGCCCCCCGTTGGCGCCTGTGTCCAAAAGCCCTACTATTGTACATCGTGAAAAGTCTACTCATAGACAAACGCGTTTACATCATCTTGTTGAATGCGGGAATGAGCGTCTGTGCCAGCCAGAAAGAGAACACCAGCTTGGGTCCCGTCATAAGGAGCTTGGGGGTCAGTCCCTTGAAGAACGAGGAAAAGCCCTCATTGCGCATCATCTTGGAAACGATCTTGAAGCCACTCTCGGGGTTGTCGAAGTTCCTGTTCTGAATCCTGGTCTTGATGACGTCTAGGGGAGCGGAAACGATGAGGGAGGCACTGGCACCGGCGATGGAAGCAACGAAGTTCTGTCCCCAGGAAGCGGCATTGTAGTCCTCCAGCTTGTAGAGGTACTCCTTAGCGGCGGCGGAACCACCAAACAGCTATTGTGTATGTTAGATAATGTCGCAATCATGCATTGTCCATGTGTTTTGTAACATACCGCGAACGACCCAGGCGCGTTACGTGCAGCAGTCCAGCCCCATCCTCGGTACAATCCAAATCCCTCGTCTGCAATAATCTTGAAGAGCCCGCGGCCCCTAAACGCCTCGGGGTTAGTCTGGCGCTTGATCTTGAGCACATCCAATGGCAGAATAACGATCTCGCCGATTCCGATAAGACTTCCGGCAGTCGCGTGCATTATCGCCTTGCCATTGCCCTTGCCAAATGTACGATCGAAGCTGTCGCCGTGGTTCTTCGCGAGATAGTCCCTAGCAAAAGGTTGACCTCCGTACTTGTAAACACGTTGAAGAATCTGAGGTTTGTCAGTGCAATGCTCAGACCGTTCCAGGTGGATCTGGTACCTTGTAAGCCGCGGCGTATCCTAGACCAGGGAACAAAGACAGGAAACGACCTCCCACCGACGCACCCGCCTTGTCCTTGAAAACGACGGTATTGAGTTGGGAGGCGGTGGTGATCTAGAAACGATGGGGTCAGCGATGGGGTGGAGAACCATCCGGAACCAAGCAGCAGTACCTTGCCGTAGTTGCTCATCAACCGCTTTGCGGTGGTGTCGACGGGATGGAAAACCATAAGTTCCGCGATACCAGCACAACCTGTACTTGATCAGTATGTTTGGTAGATTGCCGGCAGCCATTGCGGATGAACATACCGGCGCCCAGCATACGTGCTGTCGTGGATTCCTTCTTGTAGTCTTTGGCCGATGACTTGGGGTTGGCGACATCTGCGACTTTGGCCGCAGCATCTGATACTGAGGGAGCCATTGTGAAGGTGTGGATGCGGGAACAGACAAAAAGAGTGGCTCAATACAACGGGATGGAAAGGATGAACGACGAAGAAGACTCGAGGGTATCAAACAGGCACAGCACGAGAGCAAGGTTCTGGAGCAACAAAAAAAGTTCAGCGAAGCTCACTCGCGAACATCGGAGGGGGTGCGTGCGTATCCGCTAAGCCTACTCGAGCTAGAATGACAACATTTGAAGATAGATGATGAGTTCGAATAAGTACGAGCACTCCAACTACAACACGGTACAATCTGGTGTTTTCCAAGACAATATTCTATTGTATCCGACGGAGCGAGCCGGTTCTCTCGAAACGCCCGCCCTACTGTTCTGGGTTGTAGTACTTTCTCCAGTTATGATTTTCCTTGAATCCCAGCACATCGCGAATCTTCTTGTTGCTCAACGGCGCCTCCCACTCGCCCAAATCCCTCGTGATCGGGGTATTTGGACACCATTTTTCAAGGAACTGACGAGTCGGAACCGTTGCGGTGATGGTATCGTTGGTTGCATTGAAAACCTGGAAGCCAAGTCCATCCTTTTGGATGCCCAAATCGCAAATTTGGCCTAGATCTCGAGCGTCTATATACGACCAGGCATTTCTCTTGCGCAACTTGGGATCAGCAATATACTTTGGAAAGTCTCGCTCGTACTCGTGAGGTTCTACGACGTTTCCGATTCGAAGAGCATATATATCGGCATCAAAACGGCGGGCAAAACCTCGGGCACATCTTTCGCCAACGAGTTTCGAGATGGCATATGTGTCCATGGGATTGACATCGGCATCTTCGTCCAGCGGAAAAGAAGTGTAGTCCAGGTCGCCCTGGCCAAAACACACCTCATATGTGGTCTCGGACGACGCTATGATGATTTTCTTGACCCCGAGTTTGCAGGCCGCTTCAATCACATTGTAGGTCGACGTTACATTGCCTCGAAAGCACTCGTTGTCTGGAACCAGCATGTTTCTTGCATAGGCGGCAAAGTGTACGACAGCATCAGGAGGGCCTGCATTGTGAGGACCTTCGTAATCCGCGAAACCATAGTGCGATGTCAAGGCGTTGAAGCATTGCCCGGAATCCGTCAGATCGGCCTTGAGGGTGAAAACACCTGCATCCGGGTCGGGAAAGGGCGTCAAATCGATGTTGAGAACTTCATACCCCTGTTGTATGAGGTAAGGTATGGCCGACCTGCCGGCTTTGCCACTACCCCCAGTAAAGGCTATGCGTTTCCCAGACATTATGTATGGCTGACTGGTATGTACTGAGGCAATTTTCAAAGGTGGAACAAAGTCGGTTGATTGCAATTGGGTCCAGACCTGTTGGATACAAATATTCGACGCGATCGCAATCTTGGTGACTGAACTTGTTTATATGTTCTGCGTAGGATACACATGTGTACAAGTTTATAATTCGTGACGTACTCGTGGGAGGGGAACGGGTTACTGGGGCGGGGTGCACGCCGGGGTATCTACCGCATTCCTGTACAGAGAAAAGAGCAGCCAACCCAGACCCGGGTAGTGTAATGCTTGTCGTCATAATGTTCGGTGGGACGAACGGGTTATTCCTGGGGGTTGATTATTCCAAGGGCTGATCCACTGGCAGCAACGTGATTGCTCCGCTGTTGCTCCGCTGTGCTGTGCATGCTTGTACAAAACTTCCACTCCACCCCGGCAAATGCTTCTCCACCTTTCCACCACCTACAACTACCAACTACCTGCAGCACTAACATCTGCTCACTAACCCAACCGACCTACAACCACCTGTATGCACGCTCGCCTCTCTATGATCGCACATTCTTACTCATGACCTACGGTCCCATGCGAAGGCTATTTTCCTCGTCCAGTCGCGCTCAACTCTCTCCACGATTCGCATCCACCTCCCATCTCGCCGCGCCCAGGCTGCTTGGCCTCAAGCAGTACCTGAACCAGCGCACCATCACCGACATCCGACCGCGACAGGCCTCAGTAGCGCGGAACTGGTTTACGAGCTCTTCAACATGTCTTTCTCCTCAGGAAGGCAGTGATCACCCGCCACCGAATGAGCGCAACGTCAAGCTGGGGAAAAGTAGGTCTCTTCCGCACATGTTCCAGTCCCAGTTGGATGATCACTACTGACACTACTATTTTCCAGCCATCAGAATTCTCCACGAACGTCTTCCGACGCTGCTAGTATCTCCACTTCCGCAAGATATCCTATCACCGCAAATAAGCCTCGCGCTGTTCCCGTCGACACATCCCAGCCTCCCATCCGTCAGCGGAAAGCTTGCCTACACAGCCGCATTATGGACAGCACCAGTGGCGTGGGGACGGGTGCCAGTACTAGGCGATGTCAAGTTGAAGATTCTGTCTGAGCGCATGGTGAAAAACGGGGCATGTGATGGCGGGGAAGGTGGCCAAGCAAAACTCATTGTGAAATGGGAAACATGCGGGAAATCAGACAGAAAAGATAACGGTCCTGTGAGCGAAGCGGTGGAGAAGATGATGAGCATAGTAGGCAGAGGAGACCGGCAGGCTCACGACAAATTCTCGGGCTTATTTTTGTTCGAATTCGACGAAGAAGGAAGGGTCGTCAAGCACACAATCGAGCATGTGGAAGAGAACGGCGAGTGGGAGAAGCACACAGCCAAGGTGGTCAGCGTAACGGACTGGCTGCTGGGTCGCGCATGGGGCCGGCGAGAGGAAGGGAATCCGAGTCTGGCCTTCTGCAAAGCGCAATGTACAAGGGCGAGACCTGAAGGCATAGGCCGGCCCCGAAAAGATGCATAGCGCAAGGGAAGTGGCAACGCGAGATGGGATGGATGGGTGGATGCCTCAGTGACGTGACACGAGACGACGACGACGACGAATGCTTTCCTTGGACGTCGAAGCAACTTGAATAGACGTATACTACTGTACTATACCATGTAAACTCCCCTGTAGAAACAAACAATCAAGCAATACACAGATTCATGCACTCGCTCCGAATCAGTACACACATGCATAGGACGATGGAGCTGAGAAGAGGAGCACAGTGTGGGGGTGCAGTCCAACGAAAAAGGCCCACGAAGCCCTCTCTCCCCACAGCATCGGGAGTGCGTGGATTACGCATGCCCCCGTCGTCCCCCTCTCGAATCATCCATCCACACATCCCAGTGGGGATGTCTTGTATGTATGCACGCCCATGCACAGGCAGAGCGCGCAGCCACCCAATGATGCGCGTGGTGAGCTAGCCTTGTCAACCGTCCCAGCCATCTCATCGGTCCAGGTAGCGGCGACATTGAGCAATGGGAGCGGAGAGAATCATGGTCGCTTGCCTGCCACCCTTGAGTCGCTGCACTCCAAGTAGCTAGCCAGAAGAGATTCAAAGAGGGAGAGAGGAGAGAGAGAGAGAGAGCAAACGGAGGAGGGCGCTGTTCTTTCTCGTGTGCACTTGCTGTACATATTGCTTAGCACTCACTAGCAGCGGACTTGCTGGTGCGTGCTCCTCTTCACTGCCTGGGTATTCCCTACCTGCCGCTGCTACTCCTTCCGGGACATCATCATCACCACCTTTCAACACCACTCTCCGCCCTCATCCCTCCAAAACACCCTCTCTCTCCCCCATCGCCGCCGCATCGCTTCATCAGCCGACTTGCTTGTTGGGCTGCATACTCCTCGCTGCCTGCGCCAGCTCGGCCCCCTCGAGTTTCCGGCCTTGCTCCCCCTCCCCGCCCCAAGCAAGCTCCCCGGCTGCGTCCATCGCTAGCTGCCAGCCTCCTCTCGACCTCCATTGCCTCTTGCTGCCACCACCATCACAACTATTGCCACCACCATGGCCGATTTTGCGCCAGGCGGAGACTCCGGTACGTTGCACACACACACACACCGCCGGCACCCCAGCTGCGCCCCTCCTCGAAATGGGAGCCAGATGCATACGCGCCGCAGCAGCTCTCTACACTTTGGTACTACCAGCCAGCTAACCTCGCTCCACCAGTCCTCAACCTCAGCCCCGAGGAGAAACGAGCATATCAGTACCTCTTCCAGGCTGCCGACACCGAGAAGCTTGGAGTCATAACGGGCGAGGTAGCCGTCAAGTTTTTCGAGCGCACAAAGCTAGCACCCGCCGTGCTGGGCGAAATATGGCAGATCGCGGACACCGAGAACCGTGGTCTTTTGACGTCGTCAGGCTTCTGCCAGGTCCTGCGACTCATTGGCCACTACCAGGCCGGCAGAGATCCCACCCCGGATCTTGCCTTCAAGCGTACGTGCCGAATGAATCCATCTGTCCTTGCAAAAGCTTATCTGACTTGCTGTTGTAGCTGCCCCCATCCCCAAGTTTGAAGGCTTGCCTCTTCCCATCTCCCCAGCTGGCACCGCCGGGCCTAGTTTCTCACAACCTCCTGCTGGTCCTCTACAGCCCCAACTGAGTGGCCTGCAACCCCAGCTCAGCGGGAACGGTCCTATTCGCGTGCCTCCGCTGAACCCGGTCAAAGCTGCCGAGTATGCCGGCCTTTTCGAAAAATCGGGTGCCGTCAATGGCCTGCTATCTGGTAAGTCTTCGTGGAAGTTCTTAGCCTTCGTTGTGTCTCTCTAATGCCTCTCTGTAGGAGAGAATGCCAAGCAAATCTTCGAAAAAGCACGCCTACCGAACGAGACTCTTGGTCGCATATGGAATCTGGCCGATACTGAGCAACGAGGTGCTCTGATTGTCACTGAATTTATTATTGCGATGCACTTGCTAGCATCCTTCAGGACGGGCGCTATGAAACAGGTGCCTAATACACTTCCCGCCGGTCTGTACGAGGCAGCCGCACGAAGGGGTGCTGGTGGACCCAATGCCCCAATTCCTCGACAATTCAGCGGGCAAGGCCCGGCGCAAAGTCCGCTTCGCTCCGCATTTCCCCAGTCCGCGCAGACTACCGGCAGTGACTGGGTCATCAGTCCCCAAGAAAAACAGTCTTATGATAATTTGTTTTCCAAAGTCGACACTACTGGACGTGGCTTCATCACTGGAGATCAAGCGGTGCAATTCTTCAGTGACTCTGGTCTCCCCGAAGATGTTCTAGCTGGCATCTGGGATCTGGCTGATATCAATTCCGAAGGACAGCTTTCGAGAGATGAGTTTGCTGTATCTATGTATCTAATCCGTCAACAGCGCAAACCAGACCGTACGCCTCTTCCGGCATCTCTGCCTCCCAATTTGATTCCTCCGAGCATGCGCAACCAGATCCGAGCGCCGCAGCCACCCGGTCCGCCAGAACCGCAGCCCATGAGCCTTAATCCCAAATCGGCAGCAGACGATCTCTTCGGTTTGGATGCATTCTCTACGTCCGCGCCTGCGCCTGCGCCTCCCCAGCTTCAGCAAACCACAGGCGGGTCGAATTCTTTCCCCAAGCCTTTCGACAATGACCCTTTTGCGAGCAAGACTGCCTCACCAACCTCGCCCCATCCGTTCCAGCCGTCGCCGCGTAACCCCGCCTCTACCTTCAAACCTTTCATGCCCACATCTTCATTCGGTCAAAATCTCACTTCCCAGTCAACAGGTGCGTCCACAGGTTCTGGAACGCAGCAGCGCGCTCCACCATCTGCCATGGACGACCTTTTGGGTGAGAGTGATCCTGAGATCAACAAGAAGCTAACTCAAGACTCCACCGAGCTAGCCAATATGTCTAACCAGATGACCACATTGCGCACTCAAATGCAAGAAGTGCAGAACAAGAAAGGGGCGACAGAGGGCGAGTTGAACAATGTGACAAATCAGAAGCGAGAATTGGAGGTGCGATTGGCGCAGTTCAAATCGGCATACGAGAAAGAAGCGAAGGACGTTAAGGCGGTCGAGGATCGTTTGGCTCTTTCACGGAACGAGACTCGCAAACTCCAGCAGGATCTTGCCGTGATTGAAGCAACCCTTCAGGATCTTCAGAATCAACATCGTCAAGTTGGAAGTGCTTTGGAAGCAGATCAACGCGAGAATATCAGTCTCAAAGAGCGCATACGTCAAGCTAATGCTGAAGTTGCTGCTCTTCGTCCACAACTCGACAAGATGAGGAGCGATGCACGACAACAGAAGGGCATGGTAGCTATCAACAAAAAACAACTCGCTACCAACGAAGGCGAAAGGGACAAGATCAAGAGCGAGATGCATGATTTGAGCAAATCTGCTGAAGAAGCTCGCAGTCCACCCGCCGCTAACCCTGCTGTTGCCAGTCCAGCGGGTTCTACTGCCAGCCATAACACCAACCCCTTCTTCCGTAAATCGCCTCAACCACAGAACGAGAACACAATGTCTCCCTCCGGTTTCGCTCGTGAAAGTAGTCCCCACAAGGACTTCGATAGCTTGTTCGGATCTTTCCCCGCTCCAGCAACCAGCGCTCCTCCGGTCCAGTTCCGCTCAGATAGTCAGAACCAAGTCCCCAACTTCTCTGCACCCTCTGGGCAGTCCGTTCGCTCTAGTGAAGGTCCCGATGTGCCTACCCCATCCACGTCTCCACCTTTGTCTTCCTATCAAGAATCTCCACGCACGGGTGAGCCACCTGCGCCGCCGGAGTCGCGTCAGTTTGGCTCTGCGTTTTTGCCTTTGAGAGACACGGTTCCTCGCTCCGACTCTTTTAGTTCATCTGTCAAAGTATCAGCACCGGCTAGCAGATACGGTGGACCCGGTGGCCCAGGCAATGAAACTCCGACCATCTCGAAAGCTTCGCCTGCCGGCACTCCCGTACCAGAGAAGCCTGTCCCTGAGCGCACTGACACCGAACGCACTGACTTCGATAACTTCTCATCCTCTGCTTTCGACCGGAATGTGACGGCTTCTCCTGTGGCCAGCGTTACTAGTGACGCAAAATCTGCCTCCAAGGGCGAAGATCGCAAAGATACCTTCTCCGCCTTCGGAGGACCTCTGCCGGGCAAAGAGCTCCCTGGAGCTTTCCCGAGAGATACTAACTCCCCACTACAACAAATGCCCACTGGTGGAAGCAGTTTGAGCGAACAGAACAAGGCTAATGGTCGTGCGGATCCGTTTTCCAGCTCCACAGACCAGCCCCGCCCGGGCCAGAAAGTTGACTTTGATGCTGCATTTGCCGGCTTCGGTCCTTCCCGACAGAACACTGCCGATACTAATGGCACAGGCGGACCGTCCCGAGTTGCTGCGAACAAGTTCAACAAAGAGTTCCCCCCCATCGAAGATCTTGCCCATGACGACGATAGTGATAGCAACAGTGAACAAGGCTTTGCTGATAACTTCACTTCAGCATCTCCTCAGCAGCACCGATCTAGCGTTGGTCAGAGCCAAGCTCCCCAGGCGAGTGTTGTGGCCGACAAAGATGATGACGATCTCTATGCCGCGCCGCCAGCAGCTCCCTCACGTCTAGAGTCTACAACCAGCGTCTTGCCTTCTCCAGGAGCAGCCAAATCCCCACCGAGCTATGAAGCTTCGGTTCCTCCTAAATCTGGCTCCAACCAATTCCCACCAGAGTTTGGAGGCCTCTTGCCATCCCGCACCGATCCCATCTCTCCTCCCACGTCGCAATCGCCCGAGAAACCTTTCAATGCTTCTTCTGGGGGACAAGGCGCTGCGCTCTTCGGCGGACCATCTTCCACTAAGCCATCAACTGCGTCACCTCCACCTACCGATACACCAACATCTACAGTCCCGTCAGATGCGTATCACTCTGCTGTGTCCCACCCGCCAAGTGACGCGAAAACGCAGTCCAAGTCTGCGTTCAATGATGATTTTGATGCAGGCTTCGATGACTTGACGGATGCCAAAGAAGCGGATGACAAGGAAGCGGATGATCTCTTCTCGTCGCAACACCGTGACGCATATGAAAGTTTTGACCCTGTTTTCGACTCTCCTGCGGCTTCTAAATCCAACACTATGGCCTCCTCTCAGCAGACACATACCGGTACGGGTCTTGGTGATGATAGCTTCGGCGATTTCGAACATTTGTCCAAGAGCTTCGGTCAACCCGCCGCCCCTCAGCCTACCGCCTCTAGCCAGGACTGGGATGCTATCTTCTCGAACATGGAATCGTCTCAAGACAAGAACCCGCAACAGCCGTCTGGAGATCTCGGGAAGTCGGTTTTTGATACTCTTGATCGCGAAGAGGCTGCTGCTTCTTCTTCCAAATCGCCAACATTGCAGTCGCCAACCATGCCACATCTCGGCCGTGCCATTAGCACCGGGACCGAACACGATGATCCAATTCTCAAGAAGTTGACGGGAATGGGATACTCACGCAACGATGCTTTGGGCGCCTTGGAGAAATTCGACTATGACATCAACAAGGTATGATATTGAAGGCTTGATCTCACAACGCAATCAGATGATCTAACATATCGTAGGCTGCGGACTACCTGTCGTCACAGTAATTGCACCTTGTCCTATAATTCTACATTCGTCTTACAGTAACACGATGATGTATTCGTTGTAATAGTTGATTTGCAGTGCCAAATATTGTACGACTATTGATCGCTTTCTGCATAGCCTGTTTCGCTCGTTGCAAGCAATCGTGACGACTCCCCTTCAATCAACTTTAACTGTCAGCGTTGGGTTTTCTTCCTTTCAAGGCAAATATAGCGCGCATCCCCAGACATAACAAACTTGGCTTTTTTATTCATTGTCGCAGGACGCGGTACGGCATGACATGGAATGGCATTCGTTATTTGAAGGAAATGTTTGCGTGTCGTCTTCACGATACCGCTTTGGTGTGTGTAGTGCATTGCTTTTGATGCACATAATTCATAGTAATACTTCATAGTGAGCTTGCTATGAAAAATTTCATTCTCTGTATTCTCTTGTCAAGAAGCATTTTCCTTCTAGCTCGGCTCCTAAACGTCCCAGTGAGATCTCATTCAGCGCGTTTTCCTACTGCTGACTGATCTACTGAGGCACAATGCATGACGCGCAAGCGTCTTTCAAAACCCGCGCACGTGGATGGCGAAAATGATCGAGAACATGACGTTCCTCTCCGCGCGTTTGCCCGGCCTGTTCTCGGGTTTGTTTTGCTGCGACTCCATTGTTCGCCATGCGCGCCCGGAATCTCGGATCCCTAGTGTGCCTAGCGTTTAGCTACTTATGACGTCTGCTCAATGGGGGACTTGAGCTTAGAACCTGATCACTCTTTGATTCGCCTTGCTCTCTCGCGACTGACTTTACAGGTCTTCAGTTGTTCTCTTACAATATCATCGTAACAGAGTTCCGAAAGATTCCGTCTCGACAAAAGGGTATTTGACCGAACAAAGAGTCCACGGGACATCCATCCAAGCATCGAATCATTATTGGCATAGAAGTGTCTCGGAAAGAAAGAAGACTTCCTATTTCTTGGGAAGCCAAGAGACCTTTGATTCGAATCGAAAGCCTCGTGGGAAAGCGAGGGAAAAAGCGACACAAGGCTACTTGATTATCTCCAAAGGACTCTCAATATGGCGGACTACGCTCCTCCACCGGTAAGGACTACTGGATGCTCCTACCTCATCTTTCTCTCAACTTGGGAGGGAATCCAACCGCGCGAACATCTCATGCTAACTTTCTTATTAATTCCCAGGGCCCACCCCCACCAAAAGTCCCTGAAGGCTGGAAAGCCGTGTGGAACTCGCAATACTCAGAATGGTTCTTCGTCAACATACATACCAAGCAGTCTCAATGGGACAAGCCCACCGAGCCAGCGTACCCTCCTGGTGAAGCGCCGCCCGACGGCCCACCTCCCTACCGCGGATCTTCTCCAGGAGTCTCCGACACAAAGAAAACCGAGTCTACTCTCGGTTCCAACAACCCATACGGCGCATCAGCAGCTGGCAAAAGCGACTTCATAAGCTCTGACGAGCGCCTAGCCCGAAAGCTTCAGGAGGAAGAAGAAGCGCGCGCCAGGGGAGGCGGCGAATCCAGCTCGTACTACAACCATAACTCCAACAACGACCCGTCCAGCTACTACGGCGCACCACCAGGCGGTTCGTCTTCTCTATACCCTCAAGCCGCTCAGCCACAACATGAAGATCGCGGTAGCGGAGGGCGTTCCAAGTCAGGGTTTTTGAGTAAGATCTTGGGAGGTGGGTCTAAGCACTCTTCCTCTTCTCAAGCGTATCCGCCACAGCAGCAGTACCCGCCTCAGCAACAGTATTACCCCCCGCAACAAAACTATCCTCCACAACAGCCGTATTATGGTGGTGGAGGGTACCCTCCTCAACGCCCTATGATGGGCGGCGGCGGGATGGGCGGAGGGAGACGTCCCGGTGGAGGCGGAATGGGTATGGCGGGCGCTGGTGCGCTTGGGTTAGGCGGTGGGCTGTTGGCTGGTGGGCTGATGGGTTCCGCTATGGGAGATCATGGCGATACTTATATTGAGAATAACGATTATGGGGATGACGGCGGGGACTACGGTGGAGATGACGGGGGTGACTTTGGAGGCGATGACGGTGGTGGAGATTTTTAGGTGAAGATTTATCTTTGGTTTCTCTATTCGTGTTATTTGCTTTGGCCTTCTATTCCTCTTGTATTGTTAGCTTGATTGTCTCGTTTCAGGACAGAAGTATCCATATGCCTATCACTATGTAATCTTTCCATCTCTCTCCAATCCTGACCGATTCTCGTATACAAATTGGCATTGATCGTAGCACATGAAAGAGAGTCTGCAAATAACAATTGCCCCTTTCTTATGTCCAGTAATCAGTAGGACATAAAAGATGCACCGTCCTATTAACTCAATACCTCTTTGCACATATTGCCGCATAATTATAGGTTTTCTTGAAAAAATAAATATATATATATTGTTTTAGGATTACTAAAGCATCTACGTTGTAGTATATATACGTGTGTAGGTGTTTATTGCAGTACTTGCGTCGTATTTGAGTTGCTTATGTTCCCCGACGTGCCCCTCTCTTCCGCGAATCTGAGCAGAACTCTAACAGAGTTCAACATCTGACCTTCAAACCCTCTTCTCGACACACCATTCGCTGCCTACGTTCTCACCTTGCAGGTGCGACTGCATACAACATGGATAAGGCTTTCCTGGCTAGCCCCTTATCATCCAACTCACCCACATGCCTCAATAATGTTAGGCAATGTCCCCTGGCACACACCTCCTCCATCCCAACATCTTCAGAGCACCAACTTCCAACCACCCAAGAGAATAATAAGGCAAGACACTTTACAAACCCAGCAACTGGAGTACTCTTCACTGAAAGAAAGAAAGAAAAAAACCTGACAATGCCCTACAACAACGACGAGCATGTGTTGAGGTTGGTCACTGAGAGTTTGTTCAAAGATGAACCAGCACCATCGAAGCCCGAACAACAAAAGCAAGGCATGTCGATGAAGGTACAAGTTTTGATACACATTGCACTCTTCACAACTCTTGCATTTCTCTTCTCTCCGCTTGATCTAGTGGTCAATCCTGATGCTTGCTCATGTGAGTTTATCTTCTGTTCACTCGGATTTCTTTTTCCCCGTGTGAACGGGATACGCATACTGAATACAATCAATGCAGGCCAAACCCCCAAACCCGATACACATCTCCACCGCTTCGATGGTACTTTCGATCGCTCTTCTCCGTTCAAGGGCCCGCCTTCGCCTGAGGTGATTGCGGAATGGGATAAGATTATTCCTTGTAAGACTTCTTCCCTTCACCTCCTCTTCCTCCCCTCCCGCAAATCCTCTCTATCTTCTATTCCCGGAATATATTGATGTTTTATGTTGACGTGTCCGTACACAGTGAACATGATGCGCATCCCCGAAAGCGAATTCGCCACATTAAACGCCTCGCCCCACGCCGTGAAGATACCCGAGAAAAACGGTGGAGGAAGAGTAGTCATGTTTGAAGCGATTCATATGCTGCACTGCGTCGTACGTCTCCCTCTCTTTCTCCTCCCTTTCCTTCGCCACATCTACACCCAAACTCCAACTAACCCGTTACCCCAGAAATCCCTATACCAATCTACGTACCCGTCATATTTTTCTTCTAACCCAGCTTACTACACTCCTACCCCTTCGTCGACCGAGGAAGAAGCACAGCGCGCGTACATCGATCACTGCGCCGATATGCTTCGTCAGAAACTAATGTGCGATGCGGATCGCACGTTGATTACTTTCAAGTGGGTTGACGGGCTTGAGAGGCCGCAGCCGGACTTTGATGTTTTGCATAAGTGTAGGGATTTTGGGGGGTTGGTTGAGGAGGTTGGACGGAGGAGTATTGACGTGCCTTTGAGGGGGGAGGTGGAGGGAAATGAGTAAAGGGTTGGCGGGATTAGGGGGCATCGTGTGAAGGGAATTGCAGAGCAAGGAGTGAGAAAAAGGACGAAACTACGTCCCAAACTCTTCTCTTGAGTTTCCAAGCAGCGTCTAGATTTTGCTCCTATAAGGTTTACTATGTCAATTCAGATGGGAGAACGTTGCTAATGCCAATTTGAAGCGCATCTGTCATTCATAAGGAAAGATTATTCAAATTTCTCAGGTACTATAAAGTCAAGTCAGGGCAATCTCCAGATAGTATCTCTATGGTACTTTATAAGTGAATAGCTGTTTATCTGGTCGATTTCATAATGAAGCATCTCGCCCCACCCTTCTTTCATCGCTCGCCCCCACCACACCACCCCAATGACGTAACTTTTTTTTAAACCCGCTAGATAGTGTAACTTCACTGAAGACCCTTCAGACAACTACGAACAGAAAACAATAACCGGAAAATTCTCATCGTGCATTATTATACTCGAGTGAACCATCAAATCATCTCCGGATACCTCGATCCGCCAAGATTCTTCGTGGCAAATTGAAAGAGCAGGGCAGCCGAGCAGTGGCGAAACTCGCAACGACAACAACGATCAAAAGCTTCGGCACCAAATTGCAGGGACCAAGACAAGATATCAGAAAATCGAGTATTTGGGGTTTGACAGCTGGATTTCCCGGGAAGCAAATCATGGGTTCTACACAAGACGACACTCAGCAAGGGGCGAAGAAGATTGTTATCGTCGGTGAGCTCACTATCTCCTTGATTGTCCTCTCACTATCTCCTTGATTATCCTCTCCCGTTATTCTACATTTAGTCCCACTTCAGAATATGAGTACTGACAGACTCTTGATCAGGTGGTGGTATCATCGGTAGCACAACGGCTTACTATCTCTCGCACCACCCCTCATTCAACCCGTCTAGAGGCGACAGCATCACGCTCTTGGAAGCGACTAAGATTGCAGGTGGCGCGAGTGGAAAGGCTGGTGGTCTTTTGGCGCTCTGGGCGTATCCGAGATGTATTGTTGGTTTGAGTTATCGGTTACACAAAGAGGTAAGTTTGATTTCCCTGTTTCGTTCCGAATGTGTCTTTGCCTGCAGAAAAAGTTGCACTTGAGAAGTGAATTACAACTTCTTAGTGTCATCACTCTACTGTCGGTACCTATTATTTGTCTTTGTGTTGTTCATGTACATTATTCAATAGAAATTCGCTAACATAACCTTTTCAGCTTGCGGAGAAGCACAACGGCTCTGAGCGATGGGGCTATCGCGGAGTGAACTGTGGCCAACTTGATATGCGTGGCGTTTTGTCACCTCCACAATCATCATCAGGGAACACCAAAGCCGAGACCGATGACTCAGCTGCCTCCAATGTTTCCCTTCAAAAGCGCTCAGACAAGGCTCTTGCGCTTCTCCACGCCGCAGGCATACCCAAGGATCTCGATTGGGTTGCCCCCGAAGGAGTCCAAGGCTACGAATCCATGGGCGATCCCAGCACAACCGCACAAGTGCACCCCTACAACTTCACGACGAGCATGGCGCAGCTAGCGGAAGAGAAAGGCGTCCGCATCGTCTACGGAAGCGCAACGAAGATCGAAAAAGCCGGAGGCAAAGTGACAGGCATCTCTTACCGTCCCAAAACCTCATCTTCAGAAGACCAAACAGTAGCACCAGAAGAAAAGCTAGAAGCAAACGCTGTAATTCTGACCGCCGGTCCATGGACTCCGACAGTCTACCCTTCCGTCCCCATCTCTGCCTTACGCGCCCACTCCGTCACCATCCGCCCCTCCCGTCCCGTCTCAGCATACTGCCTCTTCACCTCCATCTCTCTTCCTAAACCCAACTCCAAGCGCACTACAACAGCAACCCCAGAAATATATGCCCGCCCTACAAATGAAATCTACGCTTGCGGCGAAGGCGACACACTCGTCCCCTTACCTTCCTCGTCATCCGAGGTCGAAACAGACATCTCCCGCTGCAACGACATCGTCACGCAAGTACAAGCCATCAGCCCCGAGTTGCGCGATGGCGAAGTGTTGGTGCGGCAAGCGTGTTATCTACCAAACGTGGATAGCAGGAAAGGCGAGGGACCGATCATCGGGGAGTCTTCGAAGGTGAAGGGGCTGTTCATTGGGGCTGGACATACGTGTTGGGGGATTCAGAATGGGCCGGGGACGGGGTTGTGTTTGAGTGAGTTGGTGTGGGAGGGCAAAGTTAAGAGCGCGAGGATTGAGGAGTTGGGATGTAAGCAGTTGGGCGTGTGAGAGTGATGCGGTATGGTATCTGATGTGGATAGACGAAAGGTGAGCGGTTGGAGGTTGGGTATTCTTGGGAGCGGATTGGGGGGCAAAACGGCACGATATTGATTTACATGGCTGTATATACTGAACAACCAATTTTGTAAGATTCCTTTCGCACTACTCATCTATAAGTTGACCCTCTCGGTCTCAATACCATGGAGAATTTAAACTCAACATTGAAATCCAAACCTCAACTTCTGCCCTGGCCATTCCAGGATTTAAAAAGCAGAAACACTTCTTGTCAATCAACCATCAACACACAATGCATCCCCACTCCATCCCCCTAAACCCCCTCGAATCAATCTCAATCGAGAAAAAAAGAAACAAAATACCCCCAAAACCACCAACCCATAAAGAGTAAATAAAACACCGCTCATGCCTACAGCTCATCCATAATCCAACTCCCTTGCCTCCCTTCACCGTTCGTTCCCACCCCTCACCACCCCCACCAAGAAAACGATAACAACCCCCTCCCCCATCCCCAGCCAACAACTCCATCGATAATTGGCCCTCACCCCTCCATCCCCCCTCATGTACTCAGATACAGTAAGCAACATATACCGCGTACCTCGGAATTTTCGGTCATTGGCGATAAACCCAGGATCCGAAGCGGGGGTTGTATGAGTTGGTGGGTGCGCGGGGAGCCGTCAGATGTTACGGCCCAAGGCCAAGCTTGATTTTTATTGACTGGATGTTTGATTGATTGATTGACAGAGTGACAGATGGCACGGCCCGCGCGGGTGTTCCGGGTGGGGCTTTTGAATGTTTCTGCTTATAAGGGTCTGTTGGGGAGTTCTTTTTGTTTTGGTTGGACTTCTTTTTGATTCTGGACTTTCAGTAATTGAATGGAATTGAATAGGACTGGATTTGTGATAAGTTTTGGATTTGAATTGTAAGTCGATGTAATGCTACGACGTAGGAGGGAAGTCACATTTGGGTATATTTTTCCAAGGAAGCTGCTAATTCGGAAGTCTAAAAAGAAGATTCTATAAAAGACATCTCGACTTTCACTTCTCCATCCATCCTGTAGTTCACAGAACCCAGTCGTACCCACAACCGCCTCAAAACGAATAGAGAAGAATATCATCACAACAACCATACAACAGTTCCGAAATCAATCATCCACCATACTACGAAAAAAAAATGACTATCCAACCCCCGACAACCACGCCCTCCTGGCAGACCCTCTCCACCAAAAAACGCACAACCCTCCACTCGCTCCTCCCTCCCTCAACCATCCTCCCAAACACCCTAATCTCAACGCTCCCATCTACATCCCCCACCGCCCCCGCTCCACCACCCTTACCAGTCCACTCCGCGCTCTCTATCCCCGCGACCTCCGATATCCTCACGCCGCACGAGCTCGAAATCACATCCGCGTACGATGCGACGGCGCTCGTGGAGATGATGAGCACGGGGAAGCTGAAGAGCGTGGATGTGGTGGGTGCGTTTATCAAGCGGGCGAGTATTGCGCAGCAGGTTGTGAATTGCTTGACCGAAGTTATGTTCGAGGAGGCGATGGAGAGGGCGAAGGAGTGTGATAAGTTTTTCGAGAGGGAGGGACGGGGAATGGGGATGCTGCATGGGTTGCCTATTAGTCTGAAGGTATGTCTTTTTGTTTCTTTGTCGTTTTTTCTCTTCTGTATGCCTTTTTGCATGGAGATTGTTGGGGCGGAAGAGCTTGAATGGTTTGGCAAAGAGGATAGTTGGGCTTCTTTTCGTCATGTTTCTACGCATTTCGGGATTTAGAAAACGGTTGTCATTTTTGATTTGGAAGTGTCTTATGTTTGGATCCAGCTGACCGTGAAAACAGGACTCCTTCAATGTCGTCGGCACACACACCACAATCGGCTACATCGACTATCTCAGCCGACCCCCCGCTACGACAGATAGTACGCTGATCACGCTCCTACGCGCTGAAGGTGCAGTCTTCTATTGCAAAACGAATCTCCCCCAGACCATGATGACAGCAGACACGCACAACAACGTCTTTGGACGCACACTGAACCCGTATAACCTCGGCTTCACAGCTGGAGGCAGCACTGGCGGCGAGGGAGCCCTCATCGCCATGGGTGGTAGCATCTTGGGACTCGCGACGGATATCGCGGGAAGCTGTCGAATTCCTGCGCTATGTTGTGGGCTGTTTAGTTTCAAGCCGACCGCTGGGAGAGTTCCATTTGGGGGGAAAGTGGCGCCGGGTCGGCTGGGAAGTCCTTGTCCAATCATGCCGGTTATTGGACCTATGGGACGGAGTGTAAGGGACGCGGAGCTCATCTTGCGGACGATGATCACAGACAAGACGTGGGAATTCGATGCGGGTGTTTTGGGGGTGCCTTGGAGAACGGTTCAGCCTGTGGCACGAACGTTGCGGTTTGGATTGATCAGAGGACATGAGAAAAGGCCTTTACATCCACCAATTGCGAAGACATTGCATACAGCGGCCACGCTGTTGAAGGCTCGCGGACATGAGGTCGTGCTGTTGGACCATTTGATTCCGGATTTGTGGGATATGTGGACTCTAGCGTGTAAGTTCTTCTCGTTGGATCCGAAGAATACGCCAATGGAGATTTTAAAGACTGGAAACGAGCCGAAGGTACCTTCTGTGGCGAACGCTCCTATGGAAGATACGTCGGATGGGTGGAAACCGACCTTGGATGAACTCTTCGACTTGAATGTGGAGAGGTTCCAGGTGTTGAAAAAATTCCACGACCTCATAGTAGAGCATGGACTAGATGCGATACTTCTACCGGGCTATCAGGCCACCGCTGTCCCCCATGATCAGTTTGGCGAAGCTATTTACACTGCACTCGTGAATATGCTTAATGTAAGTTGCCAGAAAGTCCCGTCTCAAATCTGGGCTGACAGAATCGAGTATCCGTCGGCCATATTTCCTTTCTTGAAAGCCGACAAGGCTGTCGATGCATCGTTCGCCAAGGCTGACGTGACTTATGAGCCTCCTTGTAAGTGCTCTTGACCCCCGAGAACCCAATGTAATGAACTGAACAAGCACAGATGAGCCCGAAATCTTTGAAGGAATGCCAACCCATATACAAGTCATGGGAAAGCCTATGCAAGATGAAGAGCTTATAGAAATACTCAAAGTTGTTGAGAAGGTTCTGGCCGACGTTCCCCTAAAATGATGTACGGGTCAACAATAGTAGACTCAGGACAGATTATTTCGATTGTGTACCTGAAGAAATTCTCTACATGAATTTGAACGCTGACGGCGTCCATGTGTTTCGATTACAGTTAGGAATAATGAGCCAACTCAAGTGCAAGCTCCTCTGCGTGAGCCGCCCTCATTTTGAATGAGATTTGATCCCTCAATCTTATGATTGTCTCCTTTCGCGCTTTTGATATGGTGACATGCTACGGCGTCTTCGGTCGTAGTCTCTCGAACGCGAGCGTGAGCGGCGGCGGTCATCTCGTCTTGATCGGTCGTAACGGTCGTCTCGACGCTTGTACTCACGACTTCTCGATCTCCGTCTATGTCGCTCGCGATCGTCATCCCTTCCCCTGTCCCTCCTTCTCTCACGCGAACGAGATCTATCCCGATACCTCTCACGGCGGTCTCTTGATCGACTTCTCGACCTATGTCGTCTCCTCCGGCTCTTATCGTCATAGTCTCTGTGTCTTCGCGATCGCTCTTTCTTCTCTGTAACCCGCTCTTCCTTGTCGCCATCCTCTGCCTTTCCTTCTAGCGCTTTCTCGACCTCGGCGTCGTGTGCTTTTGCGCCCAAGGGGGTCAGATTGGCGTTGGTGGAAGCCCTATCAGGGACCGGTAGACCCATGGCGCGCAGCATGGCGTCTTCTTCGGCTTCTTTGATTTTTCGTTTCTCTTCGGCGAGCTTCTCCGCCGCGGATTTTTCCGTTTCGCCATCAGCATCGCCTTTGGCGTACCAGTTTAGATCACGGCCTTGCTGCCAGCGACCAACCGCTATACGGTGTCAGTATTAAGTAGATTTGGTTAGGTAGGGACGTGGGTGACTTACGCGCCATCAGGGAATGGCCGAGATAGTTTTCGCGCTGAGTATCCTGCTTGACATCTTCCCATTTGAACTCGGCGCGTCCACCGCTGTTGCGCTGTTAGACTTGCGAACTTTGTTGATTCAGTTGTGCCAGACTTACCGACTTCCTTCCTTGCGCACTGTTTGTAAGAGATCCATAGCGTGTAGATTTGAGTTGTGAGGTGAAGGGGTGAATGTTTCGCGGGCGAGGCTACGACTGCGGAGTAAAGGCGGAGGTGGTGGTATCGATAGCCAGCCACCACTCGGGGGAGCTTGGGCCCAGGCCACTCTTGCTTCCTCAACGCCCCGCAACATCTTTCACCATTCCTCTCGACAGTGTCCACACAACATCTCTCATAGCACGTCAAAATGGCACCCGCGGTCCCACCTCTCGATGAACAAATATTCCAAAGCCCCGAAATTCTCGCTGGCCTCCCAGGCGGGAGCATCAATTCCGACTCGATCCTCTGGTATTTCATGAACAGTCCCTTCTACGACCCAACCTCGAACAACAGCGCCCTGTTCAATCAGCTTCGCAACGACCCCAATGGCATGGCTATATTGCAGGACCGCCGTGCGCTCGAGGAGCGTCTTCGTGCTGGCTTCCCAACCGGCATTTCGTACGTCGTGGCCTCGGAGCCCTCCACGCCCGCGGAGCCGTGGATCATCCAGCGACAGTTCGTTGCTGAGAAGGGCGGCCCTGTGCAGATCCAGGGCACATACTATACAGCAGGAATCCAGATCTTAATGGCACCCAGCCTTCTGGATGTCATAAACAGCCGCTTGCTCAGCGTGAGCACGCACATGGCCGAGGTATTCGAGGAGAGCGAGAAAATGAACCAATTCGCCCCGGGGACCGCTCATTCCTACTTCCCGGCGCGATACGATGCGACCGGTCGAGCAGCGACAGCGAGTCGTATAGGAAGTCGGGTTGGAAGCCCGACGCTCGCGGCCACAGATCCCGGCACCGCCGTGCCTTCACTCTCCCAATCCCAATCCCAATCCCAGCCCACGACGACTGCCTTCTCCGACGCACAGTTCCTGTCTTCCCTGCAGCTCACCAGCAGCTACTACCACGAGTTCATGGACGAAAACCCGCTCACGGGCGAACCAGGCGCCTTCATCTACAATAAAACCTACGACGCGGTGCTCGCCGAACAAGCCCAGGAGCGCCAAAAGCAAGAGCAGAAACAGCAGAAACAGCAACAGTTGGCAGATGCGGCCGCCGCCGCCGCTGTCGTAGCCACAGCATCCGCGAATACCACCACCAACGCCGCGTCTGCCGCAATGAAGACGGAGCCGCATAGCACGACCAACTCGGCTGCTGCGACCCCCAAGACAGGCCCAGTGGGTACCCCTGCTGCCCTCGTCGCTGAAGCGCATAGTCGCAAGGGGAGTATCTCAGGCACCAAGAAGGAGAAGCGGAGGAAGAGCAAGGGGCTTGGAAGTCCTGTCACCCCGACCGCGGGGAGCCTCCCGCCGAATCTTTGAAGAGAGAAAAAAAAGACTTTTCAACTCATCGACAAATTCCACTGTCCTGCCCTGTCCTGTCCTATCCTATCTTCTTCTTACTACGCCCCCCCTTCTTTTTTTTCCAGGCTCATCGGCGCGCGCTTGGGTCAAATTCTGGGAGGCGTTTTTTGTTCGTCTTTTTATTTCCACGGTAGAGTATGTGTGTAAAAACTATGATACCCCATCCCCACAGACTAGTCTGATTAATCCCATCCTTGATTTACGATGTTTTTTTATTCTATTTCTTAAACTAGTCGTGTGTGCACACGCATGTGTCTCTTTGTCTATGAACAAGTTCGGTTTGATGATGTGTGATTTGTGTGATTTGCGTGATGTGAGTATCGCGATCAAAATGCGTGCGGGCAAAACTGACTTGGGATTTTGACATGTAAATAGAATGAATGGCACGAAGAGCAAGAGGGTGATTGAGATGGCTTTGAAAATATTACAATATGTTTATTGAGAAAGGTGAGCAGCTCACCAGTCTATTTTTTGACATGTACTTATATACAAACACTTAAAGAGTAAGATTGACCCATTCTACTGTCTCCGTCTGCTCCCCCCATACAGTCAGTCAGTCAGTCAAATCCCCCAAACAACTCAAAGCACAGACATCACCATCACATCTCAATGCACAAGAATAAAGGTTAAGTGGGTAAATCCCGGAGCTGTCCTTCCCTTCCTGCCCAATCCCAAAGGAAAGAGCAGAAGAAAGAGGAAGGAAGATCCCGACGGATACGAGTCTTGACTAGCTAATCATCCCTCCCTTGCCTAAGAGGAGAAGAAAAGAGGTAAAAGTTATAAAGTGAAAGCAGCCTGGTGATCGAAAAGGAAAAAGAGAATAAGGAAAAAATATGCCACACATGATATCGAGTTTTTTTCCTCCCATCCACCAATCTTTTCTTCTCGGTTTGCGCCTTCCAAATGTGATCGTGGTCTGGCAGAAGGAGAAGAAGTAAATGCCAGACACACAGAGAAGAACGCCCGCTTTCCATCCATCCGAGCCCTTCGAGGTGTAGAAAGTGGTTCCAGTTTGATCATTGCGCTGCGTCCCCAGCCCAACCAGCCCAGGTGGGAGAAGTTCCATTCTGATGCATCCGGTAACAAAGGAGAAGATACCAAAAATGTGAGAGAAGTATAGTTGTGAAAAGTACAGGTAGGGGTTGAATGCAAGTATATGGGGGGTATCGTATCGATTTGAGGAGAGGAGAGTTGAGAGTAGGAAAATGGTATCTCTAGCGCTACAAACTGTGTGGATGTATGTTGGATGGAGGAGGGCGGGCGGGAGGGGTAATTCTATCGTTTTCTCCGAATAAAGTTCTGTTGATGAAGTTGAAAAAGGAAAAGGAAACTAGGCAAGGGATGAAAAGTGTCAAGACTACAAGTGGAGGTCATTCCAACCTCCAACCCACTCCAAATCACCAATGTCATCCGGAGATGACTCTCGGTGTTGGCGCCAGTCTTTGTTGATGTTCCAAGGATAACCCTTGGGCTTCTCGCGAATACCGGCATTTTCATGTTGAGTCGGACCCCAGTGGATCGGACGTCGCCAGCTGCCAGTCCTGCTGCGCTTGCGAGCAGAGGCAGGCGTTGGCTGCGGCTGCGACTGCGATGGCTTATTGGGCGATGGGAAAGGCTTCTGCGGTTTCTGAGGCGTCTGCGGCTGACGACGGCGGTCGCCAAGGGCAGCCCATTTATCAGCAGCAGAACGCTTCGGGGGAGGAGAGTACCGCGCGGCGGCCGGAGTGTGCTCTTCAAAGATGAAGCCAGTGTGCTCGCTAACGTGGTTCTCGACGCTACGGACTTGCTTGGGCGATCGGCTCCTGCTGTTGTTGACAATGGCAGGGTTCTTCATCTCGGATAGACCGCCACGAGGAGTGGAGACACCGGAGCCGCTCTCAGAGAGAACGGTGGGCTCCTCGAGCTTGAAGCTGTCGGGTAGGTAGATGTTCTCAACCTCGGCGAGAGCCTCCTCCTCCTCCTCGTCCCAAAGGTCACTCCAGCTCTTGGAGATCATGTCACGCTTCTTGCCGAAGACCGATGCCATGCTGGAGAACGGGCGGCCACCGTTGACGGGGAGCGAGCCGGAGATGGGCATGGGCTTGGAGCGAGCCATGGAGATGGGCTCCGAAGACTTGTCATCGATGGACTTGAAGGACAATCCTAGACCAGAGTCGACGAAGGAGACCATCGAGGCATTGTCAGGCTTGACAGCGTACCACTCACGATCAGTACGGGAAGTAGCATAAAGGTCGTCATCGTAGATCTCAGTATCCGGGATAGCTGAGAGCTGACGGTAAGGCTGGGGTGGAGACATGGCGAGAGCCTTGGCCCAGGGGAACGAACCTCCATTGTCGAGCTGGGGAGTAGAGATGGAAGGAGTGCGGAGAGGCTCGCGGTTCGCGCTGGCGATGATGGGATCGTCGTGGTCCTCATTGCAGAAGTCGTCGAGGCTCTCGTCATCGGTGGTGAAGCTGATGACGCGAGCAAGAGCCTCCTTGACAAGAGACAGGTCGCGCTTCTCAGGATCGACAGCGAGGCAGTGGACCAGAACCTCGAAGGTGTCTTGAGACATGTTGGGGAAGACATCGAAGAGGCTCTGACGGTCGAGAGCGAAGTCGGCGTAGAGGGGGTCAGAGGTGGAGGGGACAGCAAACGGGTTGCGAGAGAAGAGCACATTGAGCAGGCAGATACCAAGAGCCCAGATGTCGGCTTTGGCGGTCGAGTAGCCAGCACTGGTGGGGTCGTACTGCTCAGGAGCCATGTAGCGGTCGCTGCCAACGGCTACCTCATAGGACCAGTTGTCGGTAGTGGCAAGGCCAAAGTCGCCAAGTTTCATGGTACCGGACTGAGTGAGAAAGATGTTCTCTGGCTTGATGTCGCGGTGGTAGATACCCTTGCTGTGCATGAACTCGACAGCACTGACCAGCTGAAACATGAAGTCGCGGACATGCTCCGTCTCCAGGGGACCCTTGCCCAGGCGAATGGCTTCGTAAAGGTCGCCATTCGGGCAGAACTCGAGAACCATGTAAATGTGGTTCTCGGTTTCGAAGGACTGGAGCAAGTTGACAACATTGGGGTGAGAGCTGATGCGGAGATGAATGCCGAGCTCCTCGGAGCGTTCGTCGACAGCGAAAGCGGAAGGGCAATCGATGGCGGCAGTACTCTTGGTGACGACCTTGATGGCAACCGGTTCGCCGGTTACCAGGTCCTTGGCCTGGAAGACCATGCCGAAAGAGCCATGGTTGAGGGGAGAGATGGTTTCATACCGTCCATTGAGCACAACGCCATCGTGAAGTTGATTTCGCATGCACTCCATAGGTATTGATTTCGAGGAGGGTAATGGACAGCTAGCCAGGAGACTCAAAGAGAATACCCGATGGCGTGAGGCTGCAGCGAGGAGAAGCGAAGCTCAAGAAGCGAGAAGAGGAAACTCAGGAAATGGGGTCGTAATCAAACAGGGGGGGATGACAGCCGTCAACCCAAGAAGCAGTGTAAAATGGATAACAATGAAATGGCTGATGATGGTCCGATCCGGGATGGGATAAAAGTAAGATCAAAAAACAGAGGAAACGTCGTCAAGTAAAACAGGCAGCAGGTTGCAAGTGAGCCGCTCCAGAAGAACCGTGATCAAGGAAAGCGAAGCCGTTGGTGATATGCACAGGGGGGGTTCCGTCGGCTGGAAAAAACAAAGAAATGTTCAAGAGAATGTGATGCTCATTTGTTGCGAATTAGTAGTTTGTTTATATGGATAGAGACCCGGATCAACGAGCGGTCAGAAGAGGGAGCGATGCGGATGGCGGAGGTCCTGGACCGTCCTAAGACAAAGAACGAGAGGGGTCGCTGCGTGAAAGAGTGGGAGATTCGTTAAGACGTGGAGATGCTACAAGGAAGACAGGATGACTGTCCCCGAAGGCAGGTGGGTCGGTCCGAGGTGTGAGTCGTCGATGGTTGTGAGTCAGCGACGGCTCGCACAGCTAGCAGGGGGCGATGATGCTAGAGTTGGCAGGAGAGAGGTAAACAGACGATGGCTGACGCGGGTGCCGTCGAACGTTGTTGTTTACGGAGGGTATCGAGGAGGAGCTGTTGAGTGGGCGTGACGCAGAGCGGGCAAGCAAGACGGATGTTGTCGTTGCTGTTGTTTGTCTTTGTCCGTTGGGGGCCCTGATGGGACGTCACATCAACAAATAGCCGAGGTGGAGGTGGTGAAGTCGAGAGAGCAGAGTGTGGATGGACTGTGAATGAAGCAGTCGATGTAGGAGTTGTCGAGAGATGGATGGAGCAGTCGAAGTCGTGTGAAGCTTTCGAAACAAGGCAGCAAGAGCGATGGCGGAGGTGTCGAGTAGGTAGGTAGGTAGGCAGGTGAGGTTGCGTGGCCAACGAGGAATGCAGGAAGGCACGAGAGGGAGGGAGGGAGGAGGTTATTATGGTAGATGGATGGATGGATAGATGGAGTAAGAGATTGATGAGTAGGTGGGTACGAAGAAGGAAGAGGTGCTGAGGTGCTGCGAAAGCAAAAACGACGACTTGGAAGGCGACAATACAGGAACTACATAAGGCTTGGATGTGAGGTAGGTAGGGTGGAGAAGGGCAGGAGACAGCGAAGCGGGACGAGGAGGGCTTTCAAGGTAGAGCCAACATGGTCAGCAGCGCTACGCCGGGAGAGGCATGGCGGGCGATTGATGCAAATTCACCGCCTTCTAAGCATCTATTGGGAGTAGCGCTGGGGGCAGGGACAAGGGGGCAGAGGGCGGCAGGGGTGGCTGCATGACCTTCTCGCTTTGCGACTTGACTTGAATAGAGCGAGAGACTGGACAGAGTGGCACCTCTCGGGTCGAGTCGCTCTCTTTCCACTGCATTCCGTCCTGTTCCACTGTATTACCGCGGTTTGCTGTTGATTATTAACACCTGCCGAGTCTCCCGTCTGCCTGCCTTGGATTGACGACCCATCGATCCATCCAGTACATTCGTTGATTCAAATCATTCATTCATTCATCCGCCGTTGTTCGCGACGACGACGACGCATTCATCCATGATCCATCGCGTGCTGCCGGGCAAAGTCTTACCTGATGCTGCTGGGCGCTTGTTTGGGTTTGGGGAGGGCGTCAATGTTCTTTGTTTGGGCCAATTCGCAGGCAAAGTCAGCCTGTTCCAACTTTAGAGCACCTGCGCCGCATCGCTAGCATACATACATACACTCGTATGTAACGTATTGTACAGTATCTGTGTACTACTGCACTGCACAAGCAGTGTGTCCATAGGCTGTTGGATAAGTAGGCACATAACAGTGTCTGTGTAGAGTGTGCATGGTACTGTCATAACTGGACACGCATACATAATAGTACTCATACATGGACGTGTATGAATCGTGCATAGTGCAATCGAGTGCGTGAGAGCACGCCACTCCCAACAGCAGCCAAACATTTTGCGAGCAGTCTCCCCATAGTCTGCTCACTCTGCCTCCGTCGCTCTATCGGCCACGACACTCTTGCTCAATTCCAAACGTTGCCGCTGAAACGTTCGCCGCGTGCAGCATAGCACAGCGCAGCACACCATCCCTTGCAACCATCGCACAATAGCCCCGTTGTAACGGAAACCGGGTAATGTAATACCACCACCACCGCCTTGCATCATTCCCGCTTACATAACTGGCTGGCAGGGCGGATGGAAAAGGCCGAGGGGCGGAGTCTGGTTCGCGGTCTGGCGCGAGGCCGCGCAGCTCTCCAGTGGCAAGCCGTCAGTCTCAATGAGACGATGACACATGTCACTCGCGGAGAGGAGGATGAGTAACTGGTAATAGAGCAGACATGACGACGCAGCGGCCATGGTCACAACATGAATGAATGAATCCATTTTCATCAAGCAAGCAATCAATCGTCCGTCCGGTCGTTGGCCTTGGAACAGCATCATCATCATCATCATCATGGAGCGAGAGCGGCAACGGAGCGCGACAGGTGTCCGTCCGAAACGAGGCCGAGCGGATTACATCATATCTCCTCCTTCTTCCGCCCATGCTCATCATGCTCATCATCATAACCTTCATTTCCTGCTATTCTGCCGCAGTGACTGAGCAGTAACAAGGCGCTGATGGCGGTTCGTTCGTCGCCGTCATTTCTCTTCGTCCGTCCGTCTGCCCGTCCTTGCTCGTTCTTATTTCAATTGTTTTGTTCTGCTGTATCGTAATAATAAACATGCAAATAACTTACGCATAGATAACAAACAACTACCCGCTTGTCGTTAGCGTTTCAAGTGGTGGCTTGGACGGGCTTAGCGCTCGGAAAATGAATGTTGGCAGCCTGCAGGTGGTCGTCCCCGCGAGTTCCATTCTGGGCCAGCCAGTCCATCCAGCCAGTGTGTGGTCGAGGGCATTCATCCATCCACTCTCCATCCCCCACTTTGTTGTTGTTGTTACATATACACACACCCACGATGCCTGAACCCCATCTGCCGCATCTGCTACTACACATGATACACATGCTACTCCACACTTCTTGCAGCCCATAACGCCATCGTCATGCTATGGCCTCGCCATGCCATTACTTATCAACACGCCGCCCATGTTTCCCACTCTGCTCCCTCCACGTATCTTTCATCTTTACCTGCGACCAAGTGGTGTACTTGGTCGTTGACGTGCATCGTGGCCACCGTACACTGGAGGAGGCGGCGGAAGCAGGGACGGAGATGAAACAAAGTCGGTGTGGAGGGCCATTGTGCGAATCACTGGGCAGAGCGACCCTTCTCTCTGGCCCTCTGGCCTCGCCGTTGAGGTTGCGTGTGTCTTGTCCGTCCCGCTTCGGACCTCGCAGCCAGTCGCCTGCCTCGACGCTCCGTCAGCACTCTACTTGATCCCTCCTTGGCAAGGGACGCTGCTGCTGGCTGCATCCTGCACTGCATGCATGCGCGATGCTGCTGCTACTGACTGCTGCCAGCAAGTGCAAGCGGTACACGCAGCCAGTGGATCGATGGGCACGGGGTGGTGATGGGTCTGCGGTCCGCCATGGATGCACCTCCAGGCTCAAGCAGGTACAGACTGGCTGCTTGACATGGCCGCGGTACCTGAGTACATGTACCCGCGTGGAGACGATGCCCACTTGCCTACATCCCCCCTCTCCTGCCATGGCTGGCTCCATGGCTCCGTTGTTTGTTTGTTGTCAGTACATACACACTGCAGGAGACGCGATGCTTTGTTATTCCCGTTGAGCTGCGCGTGCATCAACAACCCATCTTCTTTCAAACCGCAGTAATGTTGATCTGCGCCTGTATGCATGTGTGTGTGTGTGTGTGTAATAGTAGCTGTGCATTCAAGGGTAGAGCAACAACGGTAAGCAGTGCGGCAGCTTGCCTCAGCGCAACCACAGGTCCACTCGCCCAACCATCTGCCACCTTCTCTGCACGTTGAATCGAGATAACTGAACACGGAGAGAGAGAGAGAGAAAAAAAATTCAAAATATCATTATCATTCCTATAACAAGGCCCCCATAGCAGAATCGATCCCGTTTCGGCCATTGGCATGTCTGCGTAGGTGGTCGCTTGACCGCCTATCTCGACTATCGCGAAACTGGACCAACCAGCGCGCGGTTCGGCACACCCATTCCCCCCTCCCAAAGGCAGCCAATGTTGAAAATTGGCGAAAATTTTCCCTTCCTTCACCATCACCACAGATTGCAATCAACCACTTCCACACCGCTACCTCCAACATCTCGATCTTCCCGTCTGAGAATCCAAACAGGAATATGGCAGCTCGCATGCCCGTCGACGGCGCGCGCTGGAAGGGGTCTCGCGTTGCCCTCCTTGATATCGGTAGGTCATGTCCGTCGTCCGTCGTCGTCGTCGTCCAGATTCCTTCGCCTGGATCCACGGTCGGTGCCAGGTCACGAAGACGGCTGCTCGCTCGCTGGCCGGGCACTTGGCCATCACGCGCGCGCGGTACCTTTTTCTTTGTACACATGTTCAGTCCGGTACATGCTGTCACAGGAACATTTGCGCACGGACGCAGGAGCGAGCGAGTACGAGACTACGAGTACGACTCCATCATTCCAACTCTCCAGTTCTCTCGAGCGGCGTAAAGAAAACAACCCACGCCATGGAATACGGTACACCAAGGCTGCACCCAAGAACCACCCTATGCCGTCCGTTACGTCCGCTGCGCCGCCATGCATTGCATTTCCCCAGAAACCAAAATACTCTCCAACCGGGTTCTGGCCAGCAGCCTCAGCCAGCCTTTGCGCCACCAATGCACCCAAACCTTCTTGCTGAGCGAACTAGTTCGTACCGTTCCAACCTTGACTGACTGAAATCCCCACCACCACACAGAAGGCACAATCTCCAGCATCTCCTTCGTCAAGGACGTCTTGGTGAGCTTTTCCTTTCTCCCTTCTTAATCTCCTTATCTTTCAGCTACAGCGCCCTGCATCTGTCCGTCTATCGCTAGTCTGTCTCCGCCGTCTGCCGACTTTTCTTTGTTTGTTGCTGCTGCTGCTGCTGCTGCTGCTGCTTTTCCTTTTGTTCCCGCCATTGGTTGTCCTTATCCCCCCTCCAACGGGCCTTTTCGGACTCCTTTTCCCCGCATTTGAGCGCATGCGTGCGTGTGACTAAAAGATCATCACCCACCAACACCCCTCGAGTCGACGCAAACCTGATCCGGCACTGCTTTGCCTAGTCCCTCCGGCTCTTCTTGTCAAACCACCTGCATCCGACGCCGTTTTCGCTCGTTATCGTCCTGGTTCTGTCTCTTGCATCCAATTTCCACTGCATTCCCCGGCCCCCTTTTCTGCCTTTGTCACACGCCACCAATGGATTCCCTATGCTGTGTGACCTCTCCGGCTTCTGTAGCTCACCTATCGTCTGTAGTATCCCTATGCGCTCAACCGCCTCAGCGCTTTGGCACGCGACTCGTGGAACGACCCAACCTTCCAAGACCTTCTCGTGAGCGCGGGGTTCCCACAAGAGACGAGGCCGGATCCTGAGACGCTGCTCGCTCACGTGCAAGATCTGACGCGTAGAGATGTCAAGGCCACGTATCTGAAGCAGCTACAAGGTGGGTTCTGGGTCCTACTTTCCTTGACTGTCCGTTTCCTATATCAGTCTTGTTGTTCCAGCATCTTCCTTCTCTTCACCACTTGTCCACGCGCACACAAGGTCGATCCCCGGTCGATCACCAACACGTCGAATCGCGTGGATGCTTTCCCCACAATTCGCGCTACTCTCTCTCTAGTATCTCCCCTCTTTAGTGGGGATTGGCCTCACCTGGGCTGGGTCGGGAAGTGTCACCGAAGACTGTACTCCCGCGATACTCGCCCCCTCCATCATCGCATACGTTCACCTTGTGCGCTGTCTATCGTTAGCACCGTTACTATTGCTATCTATACCTGCTTACGCAGTCCTTATCTCCCCACATGCTTCGCTCTTTCCCCCTGTGATCTGCTATCTTTGCTATGCTTCAAGTTTATCAACCCGCGCTGTTTTGTCCTCAGCCCCACTAATGAGTAACCAAATCGATTAGGCAAGCTCTGGAAGACTGGTTACGAGAATGGCGAGCTCAAAACTCCACTGTTCGAAGACGTGATTCCCGCCTTGCAAGCCTGGAAGGAAGCCGGTAGAACGCTGTCCATCTTTTCCTCTGGCAGTGTTCAGGCCCAGCTGCAGTTCTTCTCCGTCGTGCAAGATGGGTCCTCGACACGCGATCTGAGACCCCTATTTGCGTCCCACTTTGACCCAACAATAGCTGGTTCCAAGCTGGAGGAAGCGTCGTACACCAAGATCTGCAAAGAATTAAGTCAAGACGCTGCCAGCGTGACCTTCCTCACGGACAATGTGAAAGGTACGTCTTATCATCTCGGCGGCTTTGCTCGCTCTCTCGTCGGCGATTTCATCATCAATCCACTCTCTCGTTCTCTGTTGTCGAATACCTGCCACGCGTTTCAAAACTCAGGGCCACATTCCCCCCCTCCAAAACAGTCCCCCCTCTCTTCTTTTACTTGAAACACCACATCACCCCAAAACCATCGCCTCGCTTTTTGCGCCTTATGTTCTTCATATAGAAGGCACGGCCGTGTTTTTTGCCTAGGAGCATGCCTGGCGAACGACCCTCTTGGTCCCGCACATCCCAACACCCAAAACGTCGCAACCCGCTCGGGCATTTTAAAGATCCTCGCACACGGGGTCCGCGCGCATCCATCTATTCTGTCGTCATCGCGCACCGCCCAATTTATCTTCCACACATTCACACACATAGACATGCACGCAAAGCTCCAACGCAGCAGCATCAGGACGCCAAGTCCGTGTCTGCAGAACAAAATCCGCCGATCCCCCTCCTTCACGCACATACACCTCAGAAACCCCGTCGCATAATCTCCGATCTTTTGCCTTTGTCTCATCTATAACCCCAATCAAACTTACCTAATCCCTCCCCCCACCACCGTCATCCTACGTCTTTTCATATCCGCTCGTTCTTGTCAATGTTGATCTATCTGCATCGGTCATCATCATCATGATGGCAATGATGTCCCCAATGTCCATGCGCTTACATCTTTGGCGAACAAACAGAAGCGGAAGCTGCGCATCTTGCGGGCGTGTATGCCGTTCTTGTCGAGCGACCGGGTAACGCGCCATTGTCCGATTCGGATAGGGAGAAGTTTGCTGTCATCAGCAGCTTGGATGAACTTGTTTTGTAGGGGGTGCGTGCGTGCAAATCATGAATGAGTTTGGAAATTCGACTCGAGCATGGCAAGGCAGAGTGGCAGATTACATTCACGCTCTCCCCCTCCCGAGGAGAGAGGAGCGAGGGGGTTTTAGCTTTGGGTAGTTGCAACATAGTAACCCCAATCAAAAAAAATACATAAGAAGACAAACCTTCTCCAGCCCCCTCACATTTCCAGATCTACTTTCCATCTTTCCATCTTTCCATCTATTTATCTATTTATCTGTTTATCTATATATACGCTTGTTCACTTCCCACTCCCCTTTGATCCCATTCTTCTTCTCGTAACGCGTGAGGCCGTACCAGAGTAGGCGCAGGATTATTAAAGCTATCCAGTATTCCTTGCCCTATAACGGTTCTACTAGAAGCCATACCATCATGTCATCAATCTCGTATCACGGCGAACCTATATTGAAGCGTGATGATGAACTTTCGTTCTTCCTCGTCCATCCGATTCCTCTACATGTACTTTTAGCAACATATATATACAACCTTCTTATTACCCCCTTTTAACTTTGATTCTTTTCTCCCCCTTACTACTGACTATCCAAAAGGGAGACGAGAGAAACATGATGACCAAACAACTACACGAAATCCCGTGTTGAAATGTAAAAAGATGGGAGAAAAAAAGAGTTGAAGGAAAGAAGGAGGAGGAAAAGGGACAAGAGGAGAAGGAGGGGCTTGAGTACTAGTACCAGCAATATAGAATAGAATATAGATTCATTTATAGGAATAGCCATGTATGTTGAGGAATAATGTGTGTGTGTGTGTATCTAACATTTTTATATAGTAGTCTTCTTTTAAAAACAAAAGTTCTAAAATCAAGAGAAGGAACATGTCTTTTTTTTTGGGGCTGTACATTTAGGTCAAGAGCACACATTTTCCAAAGAGAGATGAAAGAAGCAAAAAAAGAAGACAAAAAATCAATTTCATAGATTTCTGATTTACAGTATATATGTAGGAGAGATTGAATGATGGGATTTAGCTCTTTCTTGCTAGCCTAGCTCAGGAGGGATACACAGAAGAACTTGAACTCAGCTAGGATATATTACTTGTAGGTTATTTCTTTTCTTGTGTGTGCGGGGGGGTTTATTGTTGAGGGTTGGGTTGGAGGTATAATTATAGAGAGAGAGAGAGTGAGTGAGTAGGTAGTCATAGCTTTGCAGGTTACATGTGGGGATTTAATTTATAAAAGGGGAAGAAGGGCTAAGTCTTGAGATTTATATTGCTTGTATTGTTGTTGGATGTAGGTTGTTTTTGATATATACAAGTGTACTAGCACGCAAAAGAGAGAGAGAGAGAGAGAGAGAGAGAGAGAGAGAGGTGTTAGGGTATTATTTTCTCATTGTTATTAATTTTTTTTTCTTTCGATTCTGAAATACACAACATGTCCAATCTATCTAGCAATATCGCGCCGATGGGGGTCGATTCGATTAATTGAGACAAGGGCTAGTATGCTGTACTGTACCCCATATGCCGCCTCAGTCGCACTATAAAGAGAAGAAGAAAAAATAGAAGACGTAGTTGGTTGGCCCAATGTATCTATCCTCCACAACGCCGGCTAATTAACCTCCCTACCCCCAAGAAAAAAAAATCCCGCTTGGAAGGAGAGAGACAGAGAGAAGAGAAGAGGTCTGTCGAAAGAAAGCAGCGTATGTACACAACTTGATCAGAAGAAACGCCACCAGATGAAGACGATGATGATGAAGGCTAAACCGCCAATAGGGCCATACTATTGCATGGAAAGTCAGCCATGGTCCAACACAAAACGATGACAATGCAAATGTGTGTTCTAAGCGACGCATGGATGGATGTGTGTGTGTATGCTTACCTGCTTGAGCAGCAACTCCCAATTGATCCGCACAGCAGCCTTTTTATACTTCCTACTATCCTCCCTCAAGCGACTCGATATATCGCCCATGCGCTCCAGACTATCCCCGCGATACAGCAAATCCTCGATATTCTTCGTCATGACCTTGGTAACGTCCTTCAACTCATCGTTCAGCTTATCCAGATTCTGCGTCGCGCGCGAATCCTGATACGTAGCTTTGGTCTGCTGGATGTAATTGTCGAATCCCGCGAAGGCGTACGGGCGGAGGCCCGGCGCCAAGTACTTGTCCTGGGAGTAGACCTGCGTGAACTCCTTGTCGAGGTCCGACAGGTATGTGAAGGCGAGCTTGCGCGGGTACGAGCGGTCGCATATGCAGAGGAACACGAGCTCGGAGCTGATGAGGTAGTGGTACGTGTATGATCCGGATTCTATGCTTGCTTGGGGTTCGGCGTTGCGGTTTAGGCGGCGCTGCACGAGCTTGACTTTGTTCTTGACTTCGTTGAGTTCCGGGTCGACTTCGCCTGAGTCGACCGAGGCGACGAGGATGATGCCTAGGAATGTGTTAGGGAAGGTCTGGAGGGTGGGGATGGCGGGGATTGGAACTTGCCGTCTAGGCGCGAGATTGTCGTGTGTCGGATCATGGTTGTGGTGTTGTGGTGTTGATGCGGTGCTGCGGTGCTGCGCGCGGGGGGGGGCGATGTGTCTTGTCCTGGGATTTTTGCAAATATAATCTTCAAGGGGGAAGCTTTCAGAACTGCGATCAAGTGGTTTTGAGAAGAGCCGGGGATATTTCGAGAAGTGGAAGAAAGGATACGTGTTCGAGCGTAGAGAGGCCATTACATGGCTTCCGCGAGCTGTGCTGAATGAAGTGGTGAGCTCGGGCCACTTTCGGAACTGCAGGTCATACCAATGCAGAAGCAGAAACATCTGTATCACCACAATCCCGCCTTTAAATATTAAAAAGAGAAGGATCAAATAGGGCGCTCTCGTCGTCGCAAGCTGCTGGATACTCTGATTCGATCACTCTACAAGCCGGCTCCCGCTTGAATGTTGTAGCACTGGGTTTGTTTCCCGCCTGAGCCTATGCCTGAGGTCGTCATACCGTTCCACGACCACCCCTCATATCTTGCGCATGGATCAATATGCTGAGAGAGCCCTCCACCAGATCTCTACTCCTTTCCTTTTCGATTCGGGGTTATAATTGAGTCAGCGCAAGATATCGAGCCAAACAAAGATTTTCAGTAGTTCTACTGAGGGTCACAACCGACCATTATCGTGGCCATCGGGACCGGCTGCAGCCTGGATTAGAGACCTCACTCGAGTCGAGACGCCATCTCCCACCTCTGGTCCGGACGCTTGCCTTCTCTAATTGGGAGGGGGACATTTGTTTGTGCCGCCGTTCGCTCTTTGCTCGCGGTCAAAGCGTTCACTCAACTCTTCTCTGCTGTCAGTTGATCACCTGACATGGCTCTCCCCGTACGGTATGTTTTCTAGTCCCCCCTCAACATCTGCCATTCAACTTGTCCCTTCCCACCTACTCAATCCTTTCCGTGTGACCACAACTACACCGTGCACAAGACATCGCAATCTGTGTAGGAACCCCGTCACTTCACCTCTACTCTTGTCTTCCAGCAACCTATTGTACTTTGCTATTGTACGTTGCCTTGAAGGGTTATTCACCCAATCACAATTCGGTAAATTTGTTTGCTCTGACCAGCGGCAACTCATAAGCGGTTCGCTCTTATTGTGCGCGGGCTAAGAAGACGTCCTGCGCTATTCAGACAATACGATGGTCACAACGTGAAGCCGGCCGCAACCTGCGTGCTGACTCTGTATAAACAGGTCTCCCCCGCCTTCCCATCTCTTCCTTTCTGACTCTCAACCTTCTTCTTCTTCTATACCAACAACCAGCACATCAAAAGAAACTTCTTCCCATTCAATTCTCCCGTCGCAATCGCGACCAGAATCCCATTACCAACGCACTACGAAAGCTCCAAGAACACCCGCCAATACCAAGTTCGCCATCATGAGTTCTGTTCAAGGCGAGAATTCAGAGACTTCTCCTCTGTCCTCTCCCGCCACTTCTCTCGATACACCTCCCAGCGCATGGTACGGCAAGAAGCTTGCTGAGGCAACCGCCGAGACTGCCACTGTCAACGCCATCGCTCAGGTCGACACCCCCTCCGGCAAGGGCAACAACAAGAAGCGCCGTCTTTCATCTCCCGTCAAATCTAATACCACCCGCACCAAGAAGCCAAAGGTGACTCCACCAACCCCAGTCTCATCCCGACCTTCCCGCGTGCGCAAAGCTCCTGTCCGCTTCGCCGAAGAATCTGTCTCTACTCCACCCAAGAAGTCCCGTGGAACTGCAGTACCCCGGAAGCCGCGGTCCAAGGTCTTCGATCCCGAGTACGTGACTACAAACCCCAAATCACGCATCACCAAGACGGATCTTTACCACCTTCTCATGGAACCCTCCGCCTGGAACAACCTGACTGCTCCCCAGCATCAGCGCGTCATGTCTCTGCTACCTCCCTCGGCTTCTTTCCACCCTGTTTCATCTTCCAGCTCTGCCTCCGGCTCTGGCGACACCCCTCTGTTCCCGCGCCCTGAAATCCTCGGCTCATGCTCTGACATGTTCCGCACCGATGTGGCCAAGTTCCAGGAAGAGCTTGAGGCTGGCCAGCTTACCAAGACCTGGCAGGCTAGCGCCACACAGGCTATTCTTGACCGAGCTGAGGGCAAGTTCGATGTCTGGAAGGCCGCTGAGGCTGAGTTGTGGTGGGGTCAGAAATGAGATTTAAATCTGGCTCTGTCAGACTTGTCTCCCTCTTATATGTGCTTGTTGTCTGCGCTTGATATCAGTTGCAAGAGAACATGAAGCACGTTCAGTAACATGGTGGTATGCGATTTGCATGAGGTCTCATTTCCTTTTTCTTTTTTCTTTTTCTTTACTCATCGAAGATCGACTACGAGGTTTTTCTCTCAATTGTCGAATGCATCACAGGCGAGGAACAATAGATCCCCTGCATCTTTCTGTCTTGTCTGCTTTTCCTTTCATCATCAATACACATACACATCTGCGTCGGTTCTCGGCCTTTTGAGCCCCCATTCTCACATGGAGAATATCTACCGGCTCACATCCACATACACATGGTTTTTCTTTTTTCACATCATAGCTGAAGCGAATCTTCAGCACAGCGGTTTCAGAAGTCCGTTTGCTCTCTTGCTTGTTACGATTACGGAATTCTCAGCAGATGGGATCGCAAGTGGGCTGGACCTGAACATGGCGCTTCTCCTCATTCCTTGATATATGGAAAGGAGAGTTTGTTTGATTGTTTTTCTTTTTCTTCCCCACTCGAGGATGGATGGATGGATGAGTGGCGAGGAAGGTAGCTAGGCTGACTGGCTATGCAATTATGAGTCGACTTTGTTCACGATATTTTGTTGTTTGTTGTGACGTGATAATTATGTCTTCGTGTGCAGTCTTGTGATGTGTATGCTGAGGATGTACCTGTGCTAGTGCAATTGTCTGTGTAGGGATCAAGTAGATGCTTGAAGGGTGTCATGGTGATTTGGTGTCTGTGAATAGATATTTATTGGAGGCATATATATGTACGTGAGTACTTGCGCTGTACATGAAAGATGACCAGACAAAAAAGCAAAGAAACACACCCGCAAAATCCTCAAATCGACGGCTAATCTCCATTACTCCATTGTTTTCCGTTTTATCCTCCCTCTCACCAAATCCGACCCTCCGTATCCGAAAGACAAAATGCTCAAAGTTCAACTCTCTCCTCCTCATCCTCAAACTCCGTCCGATCCTTGATAGGATCCTTCTCAGCATCCCTAACCGACTCCAAAAACTTCTCGGCAGCCTTGGGACTCGTCGCGAAAAGGTGATCGACAACCAACTTCCGCGGTGTCTCCCCGAGCCACTGAAACAGGGAGAAATCCTGAAACTTATCCGCGCGGAACAGCTCCAGCATCTCCAAGGGCTCGTCGTCGCTGAGGTTTTCGATGAAATGGCCCATGTTGCGGGGCACGATGCCGACGTCGCCGGCCTGGTAGTCGAACGTGCGGGCGTTTCCTTTGCCGCCGAAGATGGTGACGCGGGCGCGGCCGCTGATGACGAAGCTCCACTCATCGGCGTTGGGGTGCCAGTGCATTTCGCGCATGGCGCCGGGCTCAATGTCCAAGTGCGCGGCGGCGATTGTCTTTGAAATGGGGAAGTTCGTCGAGTCGGTGATGCGGACGTGGCCGCCCGTTGTGTTGACGGGTTCCTGCTCCAGCATGCGGTGGGTGAATTGCAGCTTCGACTTCTTGTACCCTTTGCTGTCGCTGGGGACTTCGTCGTCGATGGCATGCGGCTCGCGGCCTTTGAAGATGTATTTTTCGGATTGCGGCGTCGCGTCCCAGACTTCTGGGGCGATGCGGAAGTTTTCTGCCAGCACGGATTTGGGCGTGTGTGCGATCCAGTCTGTGAGGAGGAAGGTCGAGTCTTCGGAGAAGTGGCCGTCGTCGAAGATGAGGAGGAATTCGGTGCCGTTTGGGCTGAGGCCTTGGAGAGAGTGAGGGTGGCCTGAGGGGAAGTACCAGAGGTCGCCTTTGTTGAGGTCGTCGACGAAGCTGCCGCCTTCGGTGTCGAGAGCGGTGATGCGAACGGATCCTTCGAGGACGTAGGCCCATTCGGCTTCCTTGTGCCAGTGGAGTTCGCGGATCACGCCTTCTTCGAGGCGCATGTTGACGCCGGCTAGCTCTTTGCTGGTGGGGAGCTCGCGGATTGTGGTTTCGCGTGTCCATCCGCCTTCTTCGATGCGAATGTGCGAGTCCGAGAAGGACCAGCGCATGTTGTCCATGGTTCCATGGTCGGTGGTGGGTGGGCGGATGATGTCTGGGTTTTGGCGTTCACGAGGTTTGTTCCTCGGGCCTAGGACACTGGCACCTTTGCCATTTCTCTATACATGAAGTAATTAGTGAATGGACGTGATGATGTATTAATGAAAGCATCAGCATTCGATCTGAGTGAAGATGAAAGCAGGGAATAACGACTTGAATCCGTCGATACTCGTTCAGAACTGACTTACCCATGGCAAAGGTTGAAGTTTATCTCCCGTCGAATCGATCTTCTTGTCATAAGGATCACGATGATCCGGGGTATAAGGCTTCCGGTGCGATGCGCGATGCTCTCTGCTCCCGGCTAGCGGCTGCTGGTCATCGACAGTCAACGGCGCAGCCAAGGACGGGCCGCAGGTGCCCAGCAAAACAAGAAGCGACAAGAGCTGCATCGTGTATACAACCACAACAACGGCGATGGACTTTGAATCTCTTCGAGGAGTTCTGGATTCCGGCAACAATTGATGCGGATAGCCGAGCCTTTTATATCAATTTTCGCCCATCTCGAATCGTTCTACGGATCTGACGGGATTTAGCCCTCAATCTGCAAGCCGACTTCCCGAATGACGACACGCGCTGGCCTGCTATCCCATCCGCCTCTTTTCACTCGTGGAATCCTTTCTTCGTCATTCATGTACCTGGCCTTCTCCTCCCCTCGAAACGTCCTACTACACACATGCAGCTGCTGATGCATCGGTGACTGGCTGCAACCAACAACCCTCCGCCTCTATCCTACAATTGCCGCCTCTTGTTTTGCACCCTGCACGCGCCGGCTCCATCTCGACCTCTAGTATTTGATACCTCACCACTCCCCTCGTTCCTTTGACGCAATCAACGCGCATCTGCATATTGAATCCATCATGAACAACATCAATTCGCGTCAGATCCGAAGCTCGGACGAAGAAGCTCCGCTTCTCGGTGGTAGCGCGGGACGGCGCTCGGATTCCTCTCGGCTGGGGTCACGCCTGTCCACCCACCTGAACGCGAATGTGAGCAAGAACTGGGCGGACCTGGTCCTGCTTGGGTGCTACGTTATCACGGGTCTACTCGATAGTTCCGCGGTATCTATCTGGGGCTCCTTTGTGAGCATGCAAACTGGTGAGTACCATGACGCGACGTCGCCAATCAACGCAATTCATCGATTAATGCCCGATTAGGAAACACTGTTTATCTCGGACTGGGATTGATTGCACCAAACGAGAGTGTTCGCTGGATTAAGGCTTTGACCTCCATAGCATTTTTCTGTCTGGGGTCTTTCTTCTTTGCTCGATTTCACCGGTATTTTGGGTCCGCCAAACGCTGGGTCCTCGTTGCTTCATACGGCCTTCAACTTGCCTGCATAGTACTTGCTGCCATCATCGTCACGGTTGATGCTAAGACCGAAGGGCTCCACTGGCAAGTACTTGTGCCACTCGGCGCTGTCGCTTTCCAGTCCAGTGGACAGGCCGTCACGTCCAGAGTTTTGAAATACAACGGGTTGACGAGTGTGGTCTTGACGAGCAACTACTGCGACCTTTTTTCGGATCCCAAGATCTGGAGCCTTTCCAATATCGAAAGAAATCGACGAGTAGCGGCACCAGTATTGCTCTTGGTTGGAGCAATGGGAGGTGGGCTGTTTGCGCATAGCAATATTGGCATGGAAGGTGCGCTTTGGACGGCTGCCGGGTTAAAAGCGGTGGCAGTGGCTGCTTGGATATTATGGAAGCCTGAGGGCCAAGGGGAGTGAGTTTTTATCCGTCGCGCATAGACGACTATTTGATGAAACGGGGTGCGTTGCATCCAGAACAGCAGCATTAAAGTGCTACTGCTCGGCAGCCTCGACTCATCACTTGCCCCTTAAAACCCTTCACGCGCTATAAATTCGCAAATTCCAATTTCGGTTTCAAAAAACAACACGATTCGTCGCTATAGTGTATGATTTCAGTTCTAGTAATAGGGTTGCCAAGCATAGATGCCAACGTAACCCTGTGTATACCGAGTCAGCGACTTATCAAGTCGCAATTCTCAACTACAATGCAACAACATTCTCCAACCATCCCCGTAGAAGACCAAGAGCTTCTTTTGACCTTCCCTCGCCCGCCACCAGGACCACCCTCTCCGTACAGAAATATGCCCAATAGTCCCGGGCCGATTCGAGCAGCCGATTTTGGCTTTATAGCTGTTGCACTCTCTCGCGATGATGCTAGCGATTCGCTTTACGACTATCCAGAAGAGCCGTACTATGGTAACGAGAGGCCGAGTACAGAGCCAGATTCAACAATGACGAGCGGCGAATTCCAACTTGTTCTTGATCACCCTTCGAGAATATTTGCACCCAGAGATGTGATATCTGGGTACGTTTGATCTCGCTTACCAGGCAGCGATCTTCATCGACACTCATTTGATCACGAAATATTAATGTCCGGTTTATGTATAGATATATTCTGGGTTGGGACCCATCTTTCCCACACCTCACAATTATCTTAGAAGGTCTTATCGAAACCGCACTGTATCGGGACAAACTCCACTATCACGACCGCACGCCTCTTTTACGCCATGTCACCCACTTGAAGCACAGACAGAACGGCCAAGTCCAACAATTTGCAATCACCATCCCAGAGAGAGTGCAAGAAGGCCTTTCTCTCCTCAACAGATATTCACACTCCAACAACTGGACACACGACTGGTCCTTGCAACCCCCCTTCGAGCACACACCGAACCACCCTCTCCCACCAAGCATTACCGTACCACGCCTAACCTCTACAAAACTGGCCACATCATACTCCAAAGCCTCATACAAGATAACATACACCCTGACCGCTGTGCTATCTCCAAACAGCAGCTCTCCTCTAGCATCTTCTCCACCCTCGCAACCCCCTCAACAAACCACCCAACTCCCCCTAACTCTCACAACTCTCCGCCTACCTCAATCAAAACTTACTCTCCTCAAACAAGCCCTCAACACCCTCTCAACACCCCTCTCAGTTCAAACGACCCAACTCCTAAAACCCAAACGCCTTTCTCTCCTCGAACAACTCCGCGACTCCTTCCCAACAACCTCCACCCCGACCTTCCACTTCCGCGCCACCCTCTCCCTCCCCACTCTTGCAACACCCGGCGCACCACTCCCCCTTGCCATCCGCGTCGCCGTCCTACCACCCCCACCAGGCAGCCACGCGTACACCTTCGCGATCCCAGACATCACCGTCACACGAGTCGACGTCAGAGTGCGCGCATACACCGGAATCCGCTCCTCCTCCCCTACCACATCTCCGCCCTCCCAGTCCTCCCCTCCCTCCAAATACCCGCCCCAAAAAGACGGACAATTACCCTCAACGACATTCCACAAAACCGTTCTTCGAACTTCTCACGCCCTTCCTGCTACCGCGCGGTTCTGCCCTAAGGAGGGCGACTTCGAGGGCCAGCAGTGTGTGGTTAAACATGTGATTTTGCCTAAAGAGGAGGCCACGCCGGGGTTTAAGACGTGGAATGTGTGGAGGGGGTATCGGGTTAGGTGTAAGGTTGGGTTTAGAGTTGTCGGGAAGGATGTTGGGACCGTTTGGGAGGGGGATTTGAATGTCGTTGAAGATGAGGAGGAGACGGAGGGGGGATGAGTGGGTAAGTGAGAGTTGGAGATGATGAGGGGATAATCGAGCGAGGGGGGGTTAGAGGTGGTCCGGGGCGTTGTAATGAGGTGGGGGTGGTTCGTATGCGGGTTTGTGTGTATGTATTTCAATGTATATATAAGTGTTCTTAATATAAGGGTATAGTAATGTAGATCGGGATTGTTGAATATTATTCTCTCGTCCGCCGTTTCGATCGCGAACAAGACGCAGTAACGGCACATATCACGCCTTAAGCAGCGGAAAAAGAGAAGGAATTTACACAACTGAAACTCGTGGTCAGAAGGGGGTATCTCAGATATATTCAAATGCTGTTACTTCTGGTTGGATAAAACCACTACTCATCTCTTTTCGACCTCTCCTTTCTAACATACCGCTCCTCCAAGAACCCCCCACTCCTACACATCTCCCACATCCCCAAACAACCCCGTTAATTCTCCCTATGCTCAACCCCCTCATCCTTCCCCTTTTCCCCCACCACACCCCCAACAACCGAGCTCCTCCTCCTCTCCGCAACCATCATACCCTCCTCCGTATCCTCATATCCGATCAGCAAATCGCCGTGCTTATTGAACCTATGCGGCATCTCGTGGGCGACCTTGACAACGTCAAACACGCCCGTCGTTTTATGGAAGATTTCATCCATTTCCTCGAGGGAGCGGTACGCGGTTTCCGGGAAGAAGAAGTAGACGGAGGGAACCATGGCGGCGTTGATGACGGCGAAGATGATGTAGGTTTTGTAGCCAATATTTGCAAAGGCTACGGGGGTTATCATTACGACTAGGAAGTTGAAGATCCACTGAATCGCGCGCGAACACATAAGACGTTAGTGGCTTGGTTCATGGTAGTGGTACTTTTCGGACTTTTCTTCGTTTTGAAGGGAGGAAGGAAGGAGAGGGGAGGGTGATGGTAGAGGGAAGAACTCACGTTAGCAGTCGTCGAAATGGCATTCGCCGGCGCGCGGATACTCAGCGGCGTAATCTCAGCAGGATACAACCACGTCATGCCCAGCCACCCAATCGCGAAGAAGGAATTGAAGACGAAGAGGAACACGGCGGCGGCGATGCCCATGCCATTTGATACGTGGCTGGTGGTGCCGGCTAGCACGGCCATGGACATCGCTTGGCCTGCTGCGCCGAAGATCATGAGGGAGCGGCGACCGAATTTCTCGATGGTGAAGATGGCGACCCAGGACCTGTTTGGAAGAAGGGTGAGTGTGTGTTGGATGAGGGTTGGATGAGGGTTGGGGGAGGGGAAGGGGGAGCACGTACGCCATCCAGTATTCTGTTCCGTTGCAGGCGGCTAGGAGACGACTGAGGAATGGGGACATGCCGATGTTTTGCTCGAAGATTGTGGCGGCGTAGTAGGTCTGGGGGAGATGGTAAGTCAGTGGGATTCAAAGACGGTGCGGTGGGATATTTGTGTAGGCAAGCATATCATTCGAAGTTTCCGCGTTATTTGTATTGGACTTATACGTACAATGATATTGATTCCCGAAATCTAGATGTAAAGTTAGCATAATCTCGATGAATACGCATTTCGCGGTTGTGGAATCCATACCTGCTGGAACATCTGGTTAACATAAGCCAGCGCAGTCCTATGAAAATTGCGACTCCGATTCATCTTGAAGCAATCCCTAAACCCACCCTGCGCCATCTCAAACACCGTATCCTTGACAGCCTGGAAATCACTCTGGATCTTCTTGTCATCTGGAGGAAGATCGCTGAGAGCGCACAGGACTTCCAAGGCGTCTTCCTCGCGGCCCTTGAGAATCAACCATCGAGGCGATTCGGGAAGACCGGGAATTGCGATGAGAATGAAGAGGGCGAGTACGATTTGGAAGGCGATGGGGAAACGCCATGAGATTGAGCTGGGTTCGAGGAACGAGAAGCCGAGATCGAGCCAGTAGCTGAGCATAACGCCGAAGACGATGAGTGAGCCCTGCACAATGTGTTAGTTTACGATACAAGAGTCTGGGTATTGGTGCCCTCGTACTTCTATCATGACCATCTGACCTCGTCTGTGCGATTTCGAAGTTTCTGCTTGCCACGTTGGTACACTGCAGCTTTGTCAGTACAGTGCGCCCCTTCCACTCCTCGAGCAAGATGTAAACATACGTAGATGTGTTCATGCCATTTCCGAATCCCGTAATCAAACGCCCCACGATAAACTGTGTGAGTCCGAAAGAAGATGCCTGAAGGGTAGCTCCGATGACCATAATGGCGCTGCCGAAGAAGATGGTGCGTTTACGTCCGAGCATGTTTCCTAGCCAGATAGTGGCTACCGCGCCGAAAAAGCATCCCAATGTGTATGCGCCGACCGTGATACCCTGAACATTTGAAGTCTGGCTAGGGTTACTGCCTGGAGGTGGATTTGCGACATTGATTTCGGGGAAGACGCGGAGAAAGGAACCCAAGGTGAGCAAACCACCTGTGACTCCTTGATCTGAACAAACAGTTAGTGGGATGATTCGAAAGCTTGAGAGATTGGAAATAAACAACGAACCATATCCGAAGAGGGCGAAATCAGTGCCGGCTATAACCGCAATAGCAATGTTAAGCTTCGTGCCCGTGAGGCCGTAGAATTTCTTCATGACGACAATCTACGTGTGACCGAGGCAAAAAGTAGGGATCGGCAAAATTGTTGGGGTTTTAGGAAGTTAAGCTGAGATTCACCTCGCAACCGAGATTCAGAGGGATCATAAGGAACACACAAAACAAAGTATTCAAAGAGCCAACGCAGAGGATCACCCAGCAATGTTCCAAACAACAGATGGTTCCTTGTGGATACTTATACTCAATTGCTAGTTAGCGTGCAGCACCGGCAAAGCTTTGCAGCGTCTTGATTGAACCAAGACGGCACCAGTTTGCTTACCTTGGAAGACAAGACCCATTCATGACGTTGAGAGTGGAGCGCCCGCCATTGATTGCGGAGAGAACACTGGACCGAAGAGCGGCCGCCCCACGGGGATGTCCGCCTTCGACAGGGCACGTGTGGTGTGAATCTTTTGCTGGCCATGTACGGATTACCCGTTTGGGCGATACCGAAAGACGCCGTGTCGAATGGGAGTTGTTGGAGGTTTCACGGTACTACAAAACTCCATGCCATCTACACACCAAAATCCCGCCACCGAGAAGACGCCGCCCCGTTTAATGACGCGGAAAGGGGACGCTGCGCTGATGACAGGACGCCTTACGACTTTTAGTGATGTTAACCTAGGGTCGAGATTGTGATTCGCTGCGCATTGGGATATTTGGAGGAGGTGAAGCGACTATTTCATGGTTCAGCATCTTGTGCGCGTATGCATGCGCCAGTCTTGGCCTGTGTGCAACTACAGAACTTATACAATAGGAGTATACCGCGGGAAATCAACAATGACAACTCTCGCTGGCTCCGGCTAGTCATACGAGTATTATGTGAGAGGTTGAAATCGCGATCCCGGAATTTCTACCCGAACGCTGTTCTCGAGCACTGGAGATGATTCTCTTAATCACTTGTCTCTCAACAGACTCTTCAGCATTCAACGGAAAACAGCTTTACCATTATCAAAACTAGACATTCTAACGTTGTTAAAAAAATACCTTTCTACCCACGAGCCACTATTCCCCTAATCAATCCTATAATCAACCACATAGCCACTCACGCCTGGCGTAAAGGACGAACAAAAGACCGAATATCCTCCGTCATCAATTCAGGCTCCTCAGCGGCTCCAAAATGTCCACCCTTGGGAAACATGTTCCACTGGCGCAAATCCGTGTGCGCAGCGACCAGAGATCGTGGCTTGTGCATCAAATCCTTGGGGAGTGAAGCGACAGCAGTCGGTACACTGATCTCAGGTTTGATATCGTTGACCAGTGCCATAGTCATGGGAAAGTTCGACGCTCGACAGAAAAGTTCCGTACCGACAAAACAATTGGTGAACCAGTAGAGTGACAAATGGGTAAGGAGAGTGTCCTTGTCGAACTTACTTTCCACATCTCCATTGCAGTCGCTCCAGGCGCGACGACGTAGCAAGATCCAAGCTGCCATCCCGACCGGGCTGTCGTGCATAGCCCACGCCAGAGTCTGCGGATCAGCACTATTGATCAAAACATGAACAAAGTCGCCAGGCCCTCTCTTCTGCTCCCCAATCAACTCCCTCTCCTCCTGCGTAAACTCCGCCGGATCACCAGCATCATGCGGAACTCCCGGCAGAATCGGAAACGAAAGATGAACACCCATAATAGACTCGGGATGCGCGTGCCCAAGTCGAGCACTCACAAACGCCCCCGCATCACCACCATGAGTGACAAACTTCTCATACCCCAGCCCTTTCATCAACTTCACCCACAGCTCCGCAGTCTCAGCATACCCAACCCCATTCCGCCCCACAGGACCCGAGAAACAGAACCCAGGAAGCGAAGGCACTACGACATCAAACGCATCTTCCGCGTTCCCCCCATACGCAGCGGGATCCGCAAGTTTCATAATCACATCGCGGAAATCCCAGAATGTCCACGGCCATCCATGATTCAGGATGATAGGAACAGGGTTCGGTCCTTTCCCGCGCACGTGGATGAAGTGAATCGGCACACCGTCGATTTCAGTGCGAAACTGTGGGAACGCGTTGATACGCGCTTCTTGGGCGCGCCAGTCGAAGGTGGTTTGCCAGTAGGAGATTAGGGATCGGAGGTAGGTTCCGTTGACGCCGTAGGACCAATCTTCGTTGTCGAGTTCGGGGGCCCAGTGCGTGTTTGCGAGGCGAGTTTTGAGAGCGAAGATGTCGCTCTCGGGGATATTGATCTTGAAAGGGGTGATTTCCATTGTCGGAGAAGTGAGGGAAGTTCAATGTGATGAGTTGATGGAGATGTTTGAATGAAGGCGCTGGTTTGTGTCTGTTTGATAGGCACGCATCAACTTGCTTATATATTGCGCAGAGTTATATGCTCGAAGGAACGAGATGCTTCGAGAGACATCTTTTCCTTTCGTTCAGGAATGATCCAGAGGTTTCGCGAGACTTCTTTCGTGTTCGAATCAGTAAGACTCACTACACAGGTTGGTGATTCGCTACTCTGAGGTCGAGCGTAAAAGCTTGGAGTTTGATGTAAGCGCTAAAAGTGCAGCGTGCTTAACTTGACCCAGCATTTGACTAGTCACTCACACAGTAATCTCCAAGTCCGGAGAACACAATATCTTCTCGAGGATAGTAAATGAATGAGATACATACCGTTCAAGAAAAGAAGATAAGAATCTGTCAACACTAACAGAAAGTTGTTGTCGAAATGTGGCGCGGCGAGGGAGTCATCAAATCAGAGAATATTGACAGCACAGCACGAGGCGTAAATAATGCAGCATATTTCTATTTCTTGCCAAAATTAAAGAGAGAAAGACTTGTAAAGCTGAGGGCGTCCCGGCGCATTTCTGAAAATTGACCCTGATTCCACCGTGCTGGAACATCGCGCGATCTGCCCTCGAGTTCTCAAAGAACAGAATAAAAATAATAAAAAAAGCAAACACAAACAAGTCTATACCACAACATTCAACTCAAACCGGGATGATGAAATCGGGAATACTGGTAGGATAGTGACTCCAAGATGATAGATATTGTCGATCATCCAGGACCACCCACCCTAAACCATCCTAACAGTTCTCACTCCCGTGAACAAAAACCCTGAATCCATCGTCGAACCACTCAAAAGCAGGGTTAAAAGCATTATCGTCCTGCCACGACTGCGGCGTATGTCCATAGCACTCCTTGTACTTTGAATCGATGATGTCGCCCAACTGTCGGCTCGGAAAGGCTTCGTGGTCGTTGCTGCAGATGAAGGCTCCGGTGCCGCCGTAGCATGCGATGCGCGGGCAAGGGCCGTTGCGCTGGACGGCAATCAGGGCATCGCCGGCATCGCGGAGCTGGTCAACGATGTTTGCGACGCGTGGTTCGGTGAGTTGGGGTTGGGCGGCGTTGCATTCGAGGTTCGTAGCGGAGACGAGGGCGGTGGTTGCGAGGGCGAGGAGGATGGTTGGGAACTGCATTTTGAAGGTTTGGGAGTTGGGTTGGGATCTTTTTTGAATAGATTGTTGTATTTTTGAATGATTGTGTTAATGAATGAATGAGTAGTTGATTGATGCTGTGGTGAATTGGAAGACTGGTGGGAGTACTGCACGGTTTATATAGGACTTTGTTGGCCAGAATGGACTAGTTAAATACCTATATCTGTTGTGGTTCTGAGGATGAGAGAGATTGAAACTCTGGTCCTCAAGCCACTGTCATTGCGTTCCTCGTCTGCTTGTGTTGGTGGTTGACATCCCTCATTCTCACTGTACTAAGGAGGTGTAGCATAGTTTCTGATTCAGCTGACCTCATAACCTTCTATTCTACTCCACAAATATGTAGCCGCCTGTTAACTCGGGTCTTGTTAGTGTTTTAAAAATACCGATGCGCCTGAGAATCATGCACCCCAAAGGAAAACAGGCGAGGTGAAATAATTGCTCGAGTCGGGTGTGACGTTAGGAATGATACTCCGTGAGGCCACGTTATGTTCGCGAATGCGTTGGACAGCGGGAATACAGCATCATATTACGCTCATTTTTTCAGAGTGGCTTCTGGTTATATTTAGTGATCTCAGATTGGTTGCGATGCGTGCATAGATGATTCCTTGTTCTTCCAAATGGACCGCCCAAAACTATTACTCGCGACCATATTTCACTCACTAAGATGTAGACAGCGTGGACTTTGCATTGAAATCATTTCACTCTTGAACTTAAAAGCGCTATATGTATCTTTCATTAGGCATAAATTCGTTAAGCTGTGTCTAGAGAACTTTTGAAATACTCCATGGGGTATCGTTGCTGTCAAGTACATATTGCCTCCCATACTGTACGCCTTCAGATTGGGCATCATATTTTTGACCACCATTTTCCCGCCCCTTTTTTACTTGAGCTCCCACCAGGCTCCTCGCCTTCATTTTGATCCCAACTGCTTATTCGTAATCGTTTCTTCTTCGTAGAAAGTGTTGGAGAGGGGCCCTCTTGATACGTGTCCAGTGCCTCTACACTGTCAGCCGGAGGCAGCGCTCGAGTATGTCCCCTCCGTATTCGCTCCAGCTCTTCCACTTCTCTCTGCACTTGCCGTTGAGTGGATTGCCAAACATTTTCGTACGTGTTGTCTTCTTCATCTGACTCCGTGAGGGCCCGTGTTTCTGAACGATTATCGTCACCTCTCATGAGGTTGTTCATGTTGATGCCTGATGCTGTCGAGGTTGTCTTTCTTGTACGCGATCGGGAGGTAGAAATTCCTCCATCGTACGAGGAGTCGTTGTGCGGAGGGCGCGGGGACGCTAAGCCGAACCGTTCGAGTATCCGCTGGAAAAGCGCGCGGAGGCATGGGATACAGCAGGTAGCCAATGCAAGTAAAGCTTCCGTAGAACTCAAAAAGCCAACGCGAATCGCATTGATGATAGGATTACCGACGAAGAATCTTGTTAGGTAGTATGTTTTGACTGCAGCAACGATACCCGCGAAGAGGCCTAAGCCCATCAGAACTCCGAGGATGATGCGTTCACGGAGTGGGAGTTGCACTTTTCGTAGGAACGATATTGGAAGTAGTGCAAACAGGACATCTGTTATTACGTTGATGCAGTTGATGGCTATTGCAATCCCTCCTTGGGCTTCCATGGAGAGACATTTGGCTTTCGGTCTGATCGTGAAGTCCCAAGCTGCACGAAGAGGTATGCACTGTAGTGCTTGAGACAAGACGCTTAGTATGCACACGACGACAAGGACGCCGACGAAAAACCACAGAAAGTTGCGCATGTATCGTGCTTGCTCGAACCGGAGGAGCATGAATGCGACAGATAATTTGGTAAAAGCTATGCCCAACATCCAGAATATCTCTGCGATAACTGCGAACATAAAGGCGTCTTGGAAATCTTGGAGTGATAATTTTGTCGTATCTTTGTTACCGAAGTCATGCTTCACGGTCTGAAGTAGAAGAACGGTAGTAGTTATAACGCAACACTGATTCTATTAGTTAGTGCGACGAATGCTGATTCTCTGCTGTGAACATACATACATATGAAACTACAGCAAAGAGATCGTCCCAAGACACCCGGAATGCTGGATATAACCTTGTCCATATTCTAGCTGTGACTAATGTCGACGTGATTATCATCAGAATGAAAGACGTTCCAATGAAGGCACGCGCAAGAACCCGACCGGAGTTGGCTACTGGCTTGAAGTCCATGGCGGCAGAGCGTCGCAGTTGCGACTCCCATGAGGGAGAGAAGAGATCGATCAGAAGTTCGTGGGATAAAGAGGCGTGAGGTGGAGACGAAGAATAGACAGCACGTCCCCGTTGTGGGTTGCCCAGCGTACATAACCGATCCGCAGCTCGGGGACCTGTCGAAACCGTGGAGCGATGACTCGCGTATGCCCAAGTGCGGGTCGAAATGACGAAAGCATTTGATACACGTCGCAGGGTTTATGACTTATGTACAATTTACTCTCAATTTGCAATTTGATCAGTTTTCGTACTGCGACCATAACTGAAGCAAATTCGGTACATGTAGTGAAGGATCACGAACAGTCTCCACAAACAGAAGCCACACACGCACGTCAGATTCTCACCCAGGCACGAAGAAAATTATTGTTCACCTCCGCCTGGGCGTTGGGCCGTATTCCGACACGCTAGTACCATGACAGCTTCGCGTGGCTGGGGACTGCTTTTCGTGGGATCGATCGTACTTTTTTAAGTTCCGGGGAAACGGTAGGCAAATCTAGATGCAACAGCGGGATGGTGGACCATGCGTGATCCTTAAAAAAGGGTAAAAATGAATAGCAATTGCCCCTCACAGCAGTCCTTACATCGTTGAACTCGAAATTTCATGAGCTTGTAAACTATGGCAAGCAATTGATGCATCGCTCAATACCAGTTCGATTCTTCAGTTCTAACTGCCCAGTGAAGGAAAGGGTGCCTCTTCCCTCAAACGAGGTGTGTGTCTACAAGCTCATTGTGTTCACAAGATTTCACGTAATTTCTTAGAACAGCAATTGTTATGCTAGAATTCAAGAGGCAGCCTAAGGTCGAGGTTGGAATCACGCATAGGGTGGCCAAACTATTTTTTGCGCGATCTAGTTTCATGCTAGGTATTTCATGGATGCATCCCCACTTAAGTATCACGCAAAAATGATGCCGTCTTGGCATCCCTAACTTACGGTTTGCCTGGTGTCAGTGACATGCCGTGCGAAGCACATATGCCATGCAAGGTATTTCGGTGATTTTGACCTGCCATGCTCACCAGCTGGAGGACGATCGATTAGATTTGTATCGTATGAAAGTACATTAAGAAGTTCAGCCTATGTGCCATAAACAAGATAAAAGCCATAAATCCACTGGACACGCTAGGAGACAGAATCAAAGCTAAGTTGTAGGAAGGTACAATAAATTCCCCGGTTGTCAAACCACAAGTGACTCACAATACACACCATCTGCGGAGCAGAAAGTATACGTGAAATCCATCGTAGCTTCGGATTCTGGTCCACAGGGAGAGTTCAACCAGCTCACATCCTCGATTCTTCGCCATACAGGGATCGTTTTTATGTTTTGCAACAATTCCATTTCCCCTGATCCACTTTCTTCAATCTCGATAATACGTTCGATTACCCTTGCAGTAGCTGTACTTTCCCAAGCCGCCTCACGTATCGGTCGCTGTCGCAAAATGCTTATTGCCTCGCGCCGGAGCCTGGGATGCCGACATTTAGACCCAATTATAAATAGTACAGGGACAATCCCAGTTTCTGGTGTGAAGGTCGGCTGCGATGACTCGGTATCAACTTTGGGAACGGCTGCCACATCACGCGCCAGTGTCATCGCTTGTTGAAACTGGGGTAGGAAGTCATCGTAATCCATCTCTCTGCCAGATCCGCACGTATTGAGAAGCAGTCCAGCAATGACGTACTGCAGACGCATCAGCGATATGCAGGAATTTGTTGCGCACAAATAGTCATGCTGTAGCATGTTTTCGAACATGCTCAACCACATCCGCAAATGAACCCGAATCTCTTCTTGGAGTGACGAGTTTGATGTCACTACCTCGCCAACTGAGTATATCTGCTGTTCTTGACTTGTGTACCAGCGCAATCTCATTACCCTAGCAAGCAAGACTTGGAGAAACTCTGCTGCTTGATCGAGAGATTGAAAGACGGTACGGGAAGATGGAAACCAAGACATCACTGATATTCGGATGTCCAGTGGATTCCAGTCCGTTATAAATTGCACAGCCTGGGTATCAAGACGTCGGATCTGATTTGTGACCTGAGACACGAGCATGCTGAGTTTTGAGGCTTCAAAGTCGTGATAAGCATCAACATTATCCCTCGCCAAATTGATGGCATTGCGCGAGAGCTTTACACCCTCTGATAAATGTTTCATTGCTTGAACGTCATCGCCTGCGAGGTGGTCGAAGCATATGAAGAGGTAGCATACTAGAAGAGTTATAGCTATCGCTTCTGTGTCGCTGCTACTTCCATGTTTCAATAGAAGTTGGATGGCACGATTATAATAATCAAGAGGAGTCTGGTCGTCCAGCCAATTCTTCAGAAACTGAGATTTTGGCGCGCCGACAGTACGATTGCGGTTAAGGTATTTTCTGTGAATTGAAGCCACTGCCAGCGCGGCATAGCGTACTGATGGTACTGTTTGCGAGAAATACATTAGGGTGTGGCGCCATGGTGTGCTGGGACGGTAGGCATTCAAATGCTCGATCGAAATGCATTCAAAGAAGATCATTGCCTCCCCTTGATCAGAGCTTCTCACTGGGGTGATCATCAGGGGTCCGGTTGCGTTGAAGCTCAAGTCGCATTCTTTCGCGTGCCAGTTGTCGGTTTGACACGTGACTTTCGCCGCGCGTGGTTGGTGATTTTGGCTGACCCGAATATCTCCTTCTTTCCTAGGACCGAGGGTGTATTCACTGTTTACTTCACAGACTCGACCTGTAGAAGAACACTTCAGGCATGAAGGTTCATACAGATCGCATTTGATTCGTCTTATTCTGAGAGCACGTTCAGACGTTAGATTTCAGGATACTGAAGATGTGGATGTTTCCTCACAGCTATCATAAGATCGGTCCAAGACTCACTTACTTGCATGTTTTGCAGCCTCTTCTTGATTTCGGAGCCCATTTCCGGGGCTTCTTTCTCCAAGCTTGCTTGGCTTGTTTAGTGATCTCATCTGTCTTACGGTCCATCGTTGTACGCGGCAGTATGCTAGAAAGAATGACAAGAGATGATCAACCCTTCGTTGTTCGTACACCGATGATAATAACTTTCCCTAACTTCTGTACGAACTCGAGAGAATGGTGAGTGGCTTAAAGAAGAGAGCAAAGACGCATATCTATTAGTCCGAACATAGAACATTACGTACGCAGCAGAGGCAGAGCGATTGGTCGGTTCGTACAAGTGGATACATGAACTAGCCAGATGCAGACTAGTCTAGACATTCGGAAATGAACGAATGCACTGGAGATTTTATATCACGTGGAAGTCCATTCGTGAATTCACATGTTTACAGGAGAGCAGGTTGAAACGTTGCTGGAATTGTGGTAGCTTCACTACAAGCTGTGCACCTTTGTAAGAGCGGGTGTCCATCTTGCCACGCAAAAACCACATTGATGCCGGCGTCTGTGCTCCAATCCTCATACTGTAAGTTGTTTCGAGATCTGTCGAATGTGCCCAGGTGTTTCTCAATGACGGCGATCGATACCTACCGGTATATTTGAAGTTGACCATAAAAAGAGTTACCCCTGGAGTAAATGTACTGATCCGACTCGTTTGCGACGAGATGTGGCATTTGCTCTAGAGAAAAATGGAATGCATGTCTGCATACTTGAACCCTAATTCAATGGGCTGAAATTAAGAAATAGTTGTAGCAGTGTGAGCTCTGCGGGTCGGGGTACACAGTAATTGACATTGATTGGATGGTTCGTACAATCAGCACATCCGGATCGGAGGATTATAGCATTGGGCCTGGGGTGGGGGCCGCTAGTAATACGTGGCTTGCCAGTGATGTCCAGCAGTACTGCCTTCGTCTAGAGATCTAGGTAGTGCTGGGGAACTAGTTCTTAGGATGATGTTAATTGGATGGTTCGCATAAATGGGGCAGTGAGAAAACGTGCGCCTTGCGCTATGAGCACCGCGAGTCCGTAGGAACAATGCAGCCACAGGAGACTTCAACGTCATGAAGATCGAGGCATGTCGCTTGGCGGGTTTCGAGCAGACTTTACTATATGTATATATATGTCTTCTGGTTTCCTAGTGTCCACGCTGAACATCATCACTCTCTCTCCCGAGACACACTTCAATCGTCTTTTCATCGGCAGTTTCGGACAGCAACATGTACAAGGATTTACTCATATTTACATTGTTCACGCTCGCTAGCGCCGATGGCTTTGCTGATGTGAGTCTTCAGTCTTGCCAGATCTTGTTGAACAATGTTTATGAACCGTCTAACGAATTATCTAGATCCAGCCCTCTACTAACCTTACATGGACGCCTTGCTTCGACAGCTTCGACAGCTTCGGCTGTGCCAAATTGAAAGTCCCATTGGACTACTCAAATGAAAGCCTCGGAACTACCTCAATCGCATTCTTGAAACTGACCGGCAAGAATGCCACAGTGAATTCACCGAGCATCATCTTGATACCTGGTAAGAATTGATCACCCTCAGTTTGAACGGATAAAGAAACTCCACGTCGATGGACTAAATCGCTCTTAGGTGGCCCGGGTGGATCGGGAGTTGATCTCTTGACTTCTTCTGCGAGCTTTGCAGAGCAGGCCTTCGGACCTCAGTATAACATCATATCTTATGACCCGCGTGGGGTGAACAACAGTGGCTTGACGCTTGACTGTTTTCCCGGAAATCTTGAAGCGAGGACGACCTTTAGCCGGCTACATACTACAGGGGTTACCAACGTTTCTACGAATTCGCTTCAAGAGCAATTCTTCTCGAGTACTATTTACGGAGACTGGTCCAACAGTGCTGTGAAAACTCATTCGCCTTATGGATACTATGTAACCACGCCAGCCGTCGCAAACGATCTACGTACATTCATCGAAGCCGAGGCCACAATGCTCGGTCAACCGCCCTCAGAAGCCAAACTATGGGCTTATGCCATCAGCTACGGCACTGTTGTTGGCAGCACGTTCGCTTCCATGTTCCCGGATAGGGTTGAAAAAATGGTACTTGATGGTGTCCTGAATGCGGAGGAGTATTACAACAATGACTGGAGGCAGAACGTCGATCAAATGGACGACGGAATGGCAGAGTTCTCAAAGCTCTGTCATTCTGCAGGCCCAGAGAAATGTTCATTCTGGGGACCGACTCCAGCTAATATTACATGCAGAATTGACCAGATTCTTGATTCGCTTAAGCACCAACCCGTCGCCATCAGCGGAGTTCCAAGTGGGACGCCAGCCATGGTCACCCACTCAGACCTCAAAGCGCTGTTCCTCGACTCTCTCTACTTGCCCATATCAAAATTCCCAGCCATGGCAGATATTTTGCACCAAGTCGAGAGTGGAAACGTGACCAGTTTAGTGGGCATGTTCTCCAATCTGAATACCACCGTCGATGCTCGTCTTGCTATCATGTGCACGGATTCATCTCGGACTAACAAGCTCACGAGCATTGACGAGTTCAAGGATTTCGTTGAGTACACGACTTCCAAGAGCAAGTATCTGGGCGATCTTTGGCCTATATTCCAAGATCCAGTCCTGTGTAGGTCATTGCAGCCAGAGTTGCCGGATAGCATGTTGGTTCAAGGTAAGCAATGTCCCTTATCTATTCTATTCATACTGGAAGACTAAGTCAAGCTGACTCGATGTATACACAGCCCCAATCAGTGCACAAGAAAAGCCCACATCATTCCCAATACTATTCACCAGCAACACCATTGACCCGATCACGCCTCTGATATCGTACGTCTCCACTACAACCAGGTCTCACATGCGTAAAACTTACTAAAGCTGTCTGTTCTTCAGAGCCCGCACAATGTCATCGCGATTCGCTGGATCAGTACTCCTGCAGCAAGAAGGTATCGGTGTAAGTTTGCGCCTACCCTCAAATCTTCTGACACGTGTCCTTACTTACGATGTTTCCTTCCTTCCCAGCATACGGTCATTAACCAAGGAGGATCGATCTGCTATTTTGGACATGTCCAGATGTACTTTCAGGGGGTGGTGCCATCTGCTAACACTACATGCTCGATGGAGTTGACACCTTTCGTGAACGATCCTGTCGTTCCCTAGCAGGTGGAGTGCTTCTTTGGTTTCTCTTGCTTCACACCCGGTTTATTGGGATAATCCTCACAGGAGGCGAGGCTGGCTACCCAGCTACCCTAATTTGTGGCTTAAGGCAATGAAGGATCAGATTGAAAGTTCTTTAGACTTAATATGTAATGTAGCATCAATACCAGCTTTGTACTATAGAATACCGAGATTACTTTCTTCATTTGTTTCGCTATCTGTTGAACCGCTCTTAGCTGCCGTAGATCAAAAACTAAGAGCAATGCCTATTTCGAATATTCCTTATAACGCTGTTCCCGGGTGGAGCAACCATCAAGAGTGAGAGAGTATTATGGATATTTAGACATCCGACGATAGGAATAAAAGATATAGAAAATTCAGCTGCAGATCATTCGCTGCGTCTAGTGCTGTACCAACACAACAGGTCCCTCGTAGTGTTTTCTACCTCGCAGAACATAGTCCACTAAACACAGGATGGAAACACCCACGAACATCACACTTGCCCAATTGAAGCCTTCCAGTGTTGTCGGAGTAGATTCGGGCCAGAAACACCAGAAGAAGGCGTGCGTCGCATATAGAAAACCTAGCGCATTGACGACAACGCCCCAACGCCCAAGAGACCAGCGGCACTGAATAAGCAGTTCGGGATGTCGAACTCGACGGTAGAGAACGCAGCCAATTGAGATCATGTAGGTGATCATCACGGAGACGACGTTGAGCGAGATAACTGAGCACCGTTAGATTTATCTTGCGTTCTAGTAGTCATGCAAAAACTTACTGGCGTTGAAAGCAACATCCGAGCCGATATTAATAAATGATAAAGCGATTGTAATCGCAGTTGTAACCGACACCGCACGCGCGGGGATCTGTAATTTCGCGTTCACTGCCCCAATCCAGTGGCTAAACGGCAGCCCGTTATCTCTCGCAAAAGCCCAGGTTTGACGAGAGGTCGATAAATTGAAGCTCAATGTTCCCGCGAAGATGAGTACTGTTGGGATGACATTGAGGGCGACAACGCCCCCTGCAGGCACCGCCTGACTGAAGACCCAGATGTGAGGATACCCTGTGGGATCATCAAGAGCAGCGGTGACATCGGTCATCATGAACATGTAGCTGACAAGAAAGATCATTCCGAGGGCGCCGTTGAGGAAGTAAGAATTGACCATGGCACGTGGGACTGTTTTTCCGGCGTCCTTGATTTCTTCAGACATATGCGCCGCAGCATCGGTGCCTTGCATAATGGTTAGTCGCAGTCGAATAATGTTGTATTCGGTTACTCACAGATGCACGCATAGATGGCGGACACTTGACCGACCATCAGTGACAGTCCCATGGAGTTCCACCCTCCACTATTCGTAAATTCAGTAAAAGTTGCCTTCGCCGATAACCGTGGTGATAACACCCATAGGATGATGATAATGACCAAAAATCCGACGATGTGAAACCCGAACATGACGTTTTGGAAAAGTGGCATGAATCTCTCGCCCCAGATATTGAGGTACCAAACGAGAATTGCGACGGCGATTACCATGAGCGTTCCTTGCCAGTTGGTGGGTTCGTATTCCGGATATGCAACGACGGCGCACGATTGGATGAGCGTGCCTACAAGGAACGGTCCTGATGCAGTTCCTGCTTGCCAGGAAAGCGTTGACATCCAGCCTTTCATCGAACGGTCAGCCATCGCAGCATATTACAAAGGAAAAATCTGTGGGTACCTACCAGTAAAGTAGCTCAACGGCTTCTGGACACTGGGTGGCGCAAACTCAGAGACCCAGTGATACTGTCCACCAGCTGTTCTGCATTCATGTTAGTTATCAAAGTGGCGGTTTTGGACCCTCAAGAGGTTCATAACTTACGGAGCCATGGATGCCATCTCCGCGAGCGAGGCGATGACAAAAGTCATCCCGATAAACGTCCACACATAGGACCAAATTAACCCTGCTGGTCCCCCGTTTACTAGGCCTTGTTGTGTTGCAGTCATGAGCACCTCCCACGTTCCTTGGATTATGACGGTAAAAGCTAGAGCGGACAGTGAACGGTAGTTGCGCTAATGTTCGTCAACATTAAAGAAACGTTCAATCAGAGCGACAAGTAATGGGATACACACTTTGAGCTCCTGAGTTTTCCCCATTCGCATCATATTCGCCTCATCATCCGCCGTCATGTCCCTCAGAACCGCATGATAACTTTCTGTTGAAGTTACATCGCCTTGATTGTCGTCCCCAGTCTCCGCTGTCGCGTTGTTGTGAAATCGTTTTTCAGCATGCCGCGCCATTTCGAAGAAATCTAGCTATCGAACGGCGGCTGTAGTGCGATTGTCAAAGAATCAAAGACGAAGAGTAAAAAAAAGAAAGAAATGACAAGTGAAAAAAGATCCGGAACGGCACACAAAAGTGCGCTAGGCTTCAAACATAACGAATTCCAAAAGTCTGCCAATCTTCGCGTCTTGGGATTCCAGACGATACTGGAAAAAGGGAGGCCTAAACCCCTACACTTTCGACTGTGGGTCGTCGCGAAACAGAGCTACCAGATCAATTCAGGGACTAACGTGCCTCGGCACGCATATTCCCGTCCTCGGCGACCTTATAGTGTACGTTGGAGATCACCAATTGAAGCCAATTTAGGATCTACAAACCTCCCGTGGGTTTGTGATTGGGCAATGGGGCTGTGGGGCGATACCCTGATATCCTATTACAAACCCGCTTTTCGTACGTGTAAGCATTGCCCTGAGGGTAGTCATTGCAGAAAAATCTTTCAATAGGCAATGCAACGGCAAATGTTGTTTGTCGGTGTTGGGGGTGCTGCGCTTTTGAATTTACCGGTCTTTACTAAACCTGAATTCCATCTAGTGGCATCTCGAAGAAGGGGATCTAGACAGACTAGTCAGGGGCAATGTCATTAATATAGCAGGGGCATTGCCGCATATGTTGTTTTACACTTCCATACCGTACTGGTGATCTCATGATGTTTGGTGGCGAATGGCTTGTGATTGTAGGTGGTTGTGCTCGATCAGATCATTGATGGCGAACGACAACTACATCTTGACGTTTGCACTTCTGCATGTCTGGGCATAGGTATGCTCGCAGTATTTACGCTACGCGCAATGCACTTCTAGTAATCTTGGAAGAAGGTATACATGATTCCGAGGAGATAGTGAGGGGTCCCGAGAAGCACGCGAGCTGTTGTTTCTGAGGCGAGGTCACGTTGTCTGATTTAAGTTTCGTATTTCGGGGAATTTATTGCGTGTTCGATCAAGAAAATCCTTGGATTGCATATTAAATGAAGGCTCATCTTTTCCACTGAATACATGAAGAGAGATGCACTCTGGTTGTGCGAATGGCTTTCTACAGTGAAGGAAATACAAAGGTATGAACGCAAATCACTTACGCGTGCAGCAGCTTCTCAGTCAGTATCATATCCCACCCAAATTGCGCTCCAAAACTGCCTTCAATTGATAGAACCTGAAACACTTTTAAGACGGTTCTCGCACGTGCTCCGCATTGGTATCTCGAGGAGCCCCGTGCCCAGAATTTCTCGAACCTCCGTACTTTTGCGCCATCTATGACATCACACATCGGAATTATCTTCAAGCATACGAAAAAAACACCTAGCGCATCGCTACTGTGCCATAATAACCAAACTTGTCATTTGTAGTGGTGCTGTTCACAATGTTATACATGTGTAGCCCGTTCCAGGTCCTCACCACTAGCGAGTTTGCGCAACCCGCTTCAGATTCATGCCATCGCCCAAATCCCAAAGAACCTCAAATCTGGAATCACCATATCGATTGTAAATTAGGCTACAAGGCATGTATCCCAAACAGGACCCAACCCAAAAAAATCTATAAACCCATCTCAGACCGAAGGCAAACAACGCCCAAGAATCAAAGATAAGCTCCCACAAAGAGCAGCTAAGACATGGATCATTTCTCCAAATCCTGAGATTTCCATTCGGCGCTGTTCTTGACTTGACCCCAGTTACCGACTTCGCAACCATTCCTCTCCTTGATCATCTTAAAAGTCCTCATACTGAAGTAGCAAGTCGGCGGCTTTCCACCAGGTTTGATGGGAGCATTTTGATCCATCTCACCATCCTTACCAAATTTCTGGTAGCAGTCGAGAATCGACTCCTAGTACTTCTTCAGGGCATCGCCGCCGAGTCCCCATTTTTCCATTTTGTTGTAAAGGTCGTCGTTGGCTGCGTGGACGTCATCTCTCTTCGAATCCGTGCTGCCGACTTGGTACAGACGGCAGCATTTATTCACCGCCAGCGTAGTTGATGGTGCGCGCACCCTTGCCGTCGCAATTATTGCCACGGTTGTCGAGGGTGAGGTGGTATCTCTCGCTGCGAAGCTTCATGTCAATGAGCTTGTATTGGATGTTGGTCGCGGCGGTCGCCATGATGGCTTTCAGTGATTCCGAGTCGTTCTCGAGAAGCCAGATTGGGTTGTTGAGGAACTTGCCTAAACCCGTCTTCAAACTCCCCGTGTTTCCGAATGCGGGCAGTGTGTCCCATTCTGTGACTTGCTCTGATCTTCCGAGGAGGGTTTCTAGGTTGCGTTTGAGGGCGTCGGTCATGGACCCGAAGATTTCGTCAAGCGCGCTGCTGAGGTCGGAGCTGTCTATGCTATCATTGGGGTTATTTTTGGCTTTTTCGACTTCTTCGTTGACGGTTTCAAAGGTGTTGAGGACGTTGTCAAAGAGCTCGATGCCCTGCTCCAGTCTTTCTGCTGAGATTGGACCCTACAGTTATATCTGTTAGATTTGATTTGAGACTGGCATAGATTAGGGCCGAGCGTATTAACTGCGCATTTAACGTAGTAACGTATATAACATCCTAATAATCTAGTAGATATATACAGGTTTGTAGTATTAAGGTTAAAAACTATAGTACGCTTGTTACCTTCTGCTACAAGAGCTATAGCAGAGTTTTGATAAGGCTTTTTATATCTATTAACCCTGTCTTACAATAGCACCCACCCTGACACCTACGCCGCGCGACGAACCCTTCAAAATCAACGTTGAGACAGATACTGCTTTGCTACAGTTCGTTTGCTTGAACGTGGAGTGGAGCCAAAATGCATTAAAGCATTCAAAGTACGCAATGGCACTGCCCCTTGCTCTGTCTCGGCCCGAAGGCATTGTGGAGCTCAAAGGCAGTACAATGTGCCACAGCGCTTACCAAGTTGCTGGAACCTGTTGAAAAAGAGAGCGCTTCGGCTATTTCCCGAGTAAATTGTACCATTTACTGTTCTGTGCAGTGGCTATGCGCCGGTCAAGACCAGATGAAACATCGCACATGACTTCTGACTGAGTAGGGTTCTGGTCGCAAGGTGCCAACACTGTTGTCTTCGCACCATGCGCATGATAGAACTCCAGGATAGTATCCGCGATACTGATCACATGCCTACGGCCTCGCGTAGACGAAATGACGCAGTGCCCGTAGACGTCCACATACTCTGATGGGTCAGGCAACGCTTCGCCAGGTTCGAAGCAGCATTGGTATTCAGCAACATGAACAGCAACATCAGGAAGTTGAGTGAGCAGTGCATCAATCGCGACAACTCCGGCTGCAGTGCCTTTGCAAAGTACGGGTAGATGGACTAGCTGACACCAAGATTGAGAGCCCGAGGGAAATCCCGGAAGGGTGAACGGGTAGCAGATTGCTTTCGTCCTTTCTAAATCGTTGATGGCGGATAGTATCCGACCTGCAAAGTAATCGATCCCGTATGCAATTTGAGTTAGGATCTGCGCGCGAAGTCCAGGTGGTCTGGCGTTGATTTCGATCAAATGATACTGAACATCATCGCTAGGGTTCGGCGAAGTGGGCACTAAGTCAATGGAACCGTTGTCACTGCGTAACTCCATACTAGATCGAGAAATTCTTGCTTCAACGTGAAAGACACCATCCGTGAATCCCAATGCTAGAAGATCCTTCGAAATGGCATTGAAGATGGATTGCTGTTCCTTTTGCGGTAGTATGGACGGCGCTCTCATTCCATTCTCGAGAAAGTTTGCAGACGTATGATTGGCCAGGTCGCCTTCACTGGGTGGCTCGTCGACAATCTCCTGAAAAAGCACTTTGCCGTCAGACATGACCATATTGGCATCTATTTCCGGACCATCGTAGTAAGGCTCAATGATGACCCCATCCTTGTATTTCGGACAGATCTTCCGAACTGCCAGAAACAGCTCCTCTTTGTCACGAGCCTTTTGAACATATTGAGAGTTCCAGCCTCCAGTCCTGGGTTTCACTATCAAAGGGTATTGCGGACTGAACTTCCCACTGGTAAAGAGGGAAGCCAAATCATCTTCGCTTTTTGCATTGGCATATTCATGTGAAGCAGCGTGCAAGCTTCGGGTAATTTCCTTGTCAAAAGCTGCTTCATAAGCCGACGAGGGACAGGTCGGTAGGCCGACAATCTCAGCAGCGCGGGCGACGGCAACGAGATAATTATCCGAAAGGGTGAAGATTCCGTCAATAGTTGCGGGATAAGTTGTGATTGCATTCGCGATTCGATACGGAAGGGATTGGTCTTCGCTCATGTCTATCGTTAGAAACGCTTCGCGGAGTTGGTTGTTCTGTGTATTGTCTGCTTGCAGCCAGTGTTTGTCTTCGTCAATGATGACCAAAGAAACTCCCAGAGCTTTGGCAGCGGAGTATACGGGACGACCGACGCGGTAGTTAGGTCGCCCTCTAACCAGAGCGACTCGGCGCTCGGGAATAGGTTGAGTAGACAGCCACGGATATGATAGCCTGCCAAGAAGCTCACGCTCTGTATGTTCTAGATAAAAATTCTGACCAATCTTTGAAAAGATGACTCCCACGGCAGTGTCTAACATGCCAGACAGATTGTTGCTAGTCTGTGATAAACCCTCGAAGGCGCAGTACTGAAGTGGTTTTGAGAACGACTGGACTTCAGAGTTTCGTTGGACCTGGAGCATCTGGAGACGTATGGACAAAAAGTCGGATCGAACTATATAGCCAGAAGTATATGGCAAGACGAATGTGAGCAATCGTACGGAATCCGGGTCATCTGAAAGCTTCGCTAATTGGTCATGTATATATGCGACAGCCTGGGAGCTCTTGATTTCGTCTTGAATGGATTTGGACGAGATAGCATTAGGGTACTGCATATGAACCTTGGGGCCCAGTTTGCGTGAAGGTGCAGCTATGAGGACGTAAACGAGGTGCAATGCATGTATGTGGTTCTGAGTAACATCCGGTGCTATCGTTTGCCTGGCCCAGAGAACAGTCGGTGATGTGACTTCCATTGCAGAAGCTTGAAGAAGGCAATAAGGACGAAAACTTGCAGAGCTTGATAGGCTTTCGGCAATCTTTATAAGTGATTCATATGAACGATTGAGTACATAAGGTTAGACCGTATGCGCATCTTCATATGTTGTGCACATAACAACAACGCATTGACTCGTCTCACCGCCTGCGCAAATGAGAATGGAACTTATCTGAGGACGAGCATTAGACGGTGAAACAAGGCGCATGATGTCAGACCGATTGGCGCAACATTGATTTTGTTTGACGGAAGATGGGCCGCCAGTTATGAGTGTACAGCTGGAAACGAGTATAATTCCTTCTCTGCCATCAGGGTCCTCATACCAACAACTCGTATCACCTATGTGAGAGGCGCCAAGACTCCAGGACGTACCATGTTGGCCTCCATTCCGATGTTCGGATCATATAACGGTTAAGTCTATGTACATGGAACGCTGAATGTGCTTATGTAGGTTTTTTGCGAGCAACCCACGACTGAACTTTATACCCATTCATGTTGAGGGCTCTCTCACTCGATCCATAAATACCAGCCATCCACCTCACTTCTTTGCTCGTTGATGAAGTCTCCCCGCATGTGGGCGCGGTGTTACGGAACTCAAATCCTAGCTCTTCGGAGACTTTGATGATCTCATCTAGCGACAATTGTACCCAAGGGCCGGTACCGTAGAGTAAAGGTCCCGAATTAATCCAATAACCACCATCGTTCAGAGTCGCGTGTATCGTTTCGAGGTAGTTCAAAAGATTTCTTGCTGTATCGATGAAGAAGTGTGTCACGATGAAATCGTAAGAGCCTTTGGAGTCTTGAAATGCTGTTGTGAAATCGCCTTCAACCAGTAAGACTGAAGTCGTATCAATATGTTTGTGCGGGAATGTAACGGGTCTTTGCAGGTCCGCCGTAACAGCGTGGTGAGACCAGCTGTCGATAAATGGATAAACAACATGCTGACCGGCCGCGGGTTGGGCTTCGAGAAAGCGATATGCAAGATTCATAAACATTGACCATTCGTTGATCGTTACATCATACCCTAGAACGGCTTGCCATCAGTGTACTGAGAAACAAGGGTAGAGAGATGAGTACGTACCGCCAAGCGCAGCAATATCATAGCCGAGCCGACCCAGTCCAGCCCCTGGTAAGAGAACCTTCGGTGGGGTTTTGAACCGCAGCGCCAATGCTGGAGCATAGAGACCGATGGTATCGAGTATGCAGCTGTAGGTCCTCCTTTCATGATCACCCTCATGCGACCAATCCCGTACATAATGTTTTAATGCTTGGCTTACACTGACGCGATCTGCTCCCAAATTTTTAGTTTCAGCCTCGCGGATATAAGCTTCCAGCTCATCCGGCGCGATATTGTAAAAGTCAAATGCCGCGCGTAAGATCTGTTGGCAAAGCTGATCATTTAATTGAATAAGCTGCTTGTTCATATCCAGCTTTTTCGAATATTGTACGGTCCGCTCCAAAATCTACAAAGAAAACAATTAGATTCATAAGGCTAGCAGCTGTCTCTAAGACCTACCGTACTTTCTTTTGATGTTTTGGTACATGACTGTAAAGGTCTCTCCAACGCTTGAGTTCTGCCAAATTGCGCTCCTCGTATCGCGCAAAGCTGTAAAGTGCTTTGAACAAACGATTCCGTGTGCTATGCGAGTTCTGCGAATCTCGGTTCTTATCAAGACGTTGAAGAAGTCTCGACTTCTCTCTCTGATGCCTCTCGGATGGTCTAGTGGAGATGGATTGTTGCAGCGAAGTTACGGTTGTGATATGGGTCTCGACAATAACAGCTGAAGATGCGCTCTACAAATGGAATTAACCAATCGATTGCGACACTGATGTTCTAGGCCAGCAAGTCAGAGTGCCAAGGGTGAGACCCTACCGTTGATGAGCATGTTAGTGAACCATCGCAATGTTGCGCTCCAACGTTAGACAAGGGAACAGTTGAACACCCCAATAAGAGAAAAGTCACAAAACGCATAATGAATGCTGAAGGAGGCGGTATCAATACCTCGCAAGGATGGCGAGGTGTTCTTGTTCTCACCTGAGCACCATAGTTTCCAACACGTGACTTAGCTTCCAAGCTGGAGTGGCCTTCATCAGTATGTACAACTCCGTCTATGGCTTCAAAAACGAGCAGGCTACGGGAAATAGGCACAAAATTTCTCCACTTTCTCTACTTGGCAGACGAAATTCTCTCTTCATCTTTCCAATAAACCCTTCGATTCTCACATCGCGATGGACAACATGGTGCTCAAAACTTGTCCAAGTCCCCGCCTCTTATACTTGGCAAACGCGGCACGGAGTGTAATACGGATTTTGGGTCTTATTTTTTGGTTTGGATCCTCGTGTTAAGGCCACCATTAATTGGCATGCATAGGTATAAGATGGGGTGTTTGTTCCTTAGGATAGTGGCCGTGGCTCAATCGCTCTCCAGTGATACTGAAAATCTTCCGTCACTCATTCCAGTCTTTCCAGTGTTTCAATAAAGCATCGCAAAATCCCAGAATGCGTTTCTGCAATTCCATTTTGATAGGTCTGCTCTGCAGTGCCGGTATCACTCTTGCGCAAACGCTGCCACCATCCCCAACCGCCTCGGTAGACTGTGAGCCTCACGGAGATCACTGGTAAGTGACACTCTTGCTTCACCATGAAATTTATCATAATGACTGTTGTCAGGCACTGCGACGGGCCCGCCTCAACTGGGTCAATCTCATCCGGACCCTCCTCAAGCGGCGCTGCGTCTTCTGTTAGCAGCGCAGCTGCCCTACCACCTAGCCCAACTGCATCCAAAGACTGCGAACCTCATGGCGATCACTGGCACTGCGATGAACCAGAGTCATCCCGAGCCCCCAACACTGGAGCGGCCAAATCAACTGAGGCTAGTCACTCTGCTGGTGACGGGGAATTGCCACCAAGCCCCACTGCCTCCGTTGGATGCGAGCCTCATGGAGACCACTGGCATTGCGATGGACCGGCTTCTGCTACATCGGGGAGCGCATCGACATCTGGATCTGCATCGGCTGGCGCATCGGCAGCGGGAGCTTCTGCCGCCCCGAATAATGGTGCGGCGGATCGATTTGGTGGCCTGGTAGCTGTTGCTGGCGGTTTTGCTGGTGCGGCGGCTTTTGTGCTGTTGTGAGGAGCTTTTGTGCCGCATGGAATATGCGATGATTAAATTATGAACTTAGTTGTGAGGACCTTGCTTGTGGGTCTCCAATGACGGAAGTATTATCCCATTCAAGGATCTCCAAAACAAAGGCCCAGCATAGAAAGATTCATAGTCATATCTGCCGTTGATGGTGGGGAGTGTAGGAAGAATTTCAGTCTTGTTGCACGCGTCTGACTAGGGTCAGGGTTAAATTTAAGTGCGAGCGATTTTGAATACTACCACAACAATGAAGTAGACAAAAGAAGATAAAAGTCTACAGAGATGAAATGAATTAATTTAACTGACTCTACCTTTAGTCACGCCTATATGCATCCGCGCTATGCTGCTTTTCACCTTTTCAGGTGATTGGCCGTATGCACCACTTTATCAGCTTGCCAATAACTCAATAAAATGTCTCGTGTTCGAAACAAATTGGGGATCACGAGCCAAACCTAAAGTTTTTATTGACGTAACATCATGCACAACCTATCGCGTGCAAGATCTGCGGTTGCATGTATTTGAATAACTCGGACGCGTATCACTCAGACTGTTGGAATCACATACGGAGAGGTTCACAATGTTGCTCTCGTTAAGGAATATTGTTTCAATTATGAGCTTGGCTCTATCTAGTGGCGCATTTTCTCGTAGGAAATTTCCCCACATAAGAAACCTCACACTAATGGCTTGAAGAAATGTCTACCACTTCTCCAGCAAGCAGTTGGCCTACATCTCCGGCGCCAACGCATGCACCAATCCCAATCGCCAGCGTAATCCCACTTCCATCGGAATACTCACATATTGCAAAGCAAATCGTCGCATGCTGGGATTCGAGTATATACTACTCATTCACAAGTAGCTTTCTCGATGCCCAGATCAGTAGTGGACGAGCACACTTATCCTCCACGTATCCAACGCCCATTACTGAGACTCCCACTCGAGTCGTTGCCTACGGGACTTGCTCCACGGACTTTACCTCACTGACCACGCTCTGCGACGGTTATCCTCGTGCGTCGACATGCAATACTCAATGTTGGTTTACACGAACCGCAACTGAGACAGATACATTCACTAGATACGGAACGGAGTCGTGGATAACCCCCAGTTGGTCAACTGAACTAGAGCGAATCGTTGCTCCAACATGTACGGTTGCTGCAGATCTAAGCCCTCAATGCGCAGACCTAGCAGAGGCATATTCCTGGCGTGTGTCACGTACCAACTACAGTAGCACCGCAATGCAAAACGCATACATCTCGCCCTTTCCACCTGGTTGCAAGGTACTCGTAAAACCAACCAACCAACCGACACCTTCCAGGCCGAAGTGCTCATTCAAACATTCTAAATATTCGGCATGGTTCTGGCCGACCCCATCCCCTACTGAATCCGGCGCATTTTGTAGCCCTGCTGCTATTACTCCGCCAAGCCCGCCTCCCACCCCGTTAAACACCGCAGTGATTTCCGGACTCGAGGTGACAAGCCCATACCTCTACCAGTTCATAGAAAATGTAACGATATATACCTACCGAGGACAAGCTTCCCCAATTGGATCTCATACCACAGGAGACCCTGTGTACGGAGTATCGACCTCTTTGCCTCAAGTCACATACTCTGTACTCCCTGAATCAATCCTCTCCCAAAAGTCGTCATGCCTCAAGTCCGTTAGTGGTGGACCGCAATGCACCGTTTCATTCCACCCCGATTTCGTACTTCAAGACCTGTTCACCGTAAATGCGACGAGATATTTCAAGACCCTACCAACGCCAACAACCGCATCCGCCGTTTGTCAGAACTGGTATGGGGGGAGAATTGGAATACCGCTTACCGACGTAGCGGCCCAAAATGGAGTGGGGGAAAACTGCCAGTGGACAGCGGAGTACACGCGATATGGTACGACAACCACTGTAATTCCTCAGGATGTATCTCTTGCGGATGCCGCGGGGTATCAGTACAAGCCTATCCTCGTGACTACCCGAGGAGGAATGAGAACCGAGGTGGCGATCAAATCGGAAACCAGAGCTCGCGTGACGAGTGGTCCCGTGCCGACTGGATCGCGTTAAGGGTAGCAGTGTAGCACATATATCGAGTATTTCTGGGATCAGTAACTCGCATCAATGTTAGACTGTGCAATCAGCACCTCCTCTCAATTCGGTCTCTCACTCATCCTCACCACATCTCCCGCAATTCTCCTCTCTTTCGTAATTCCCAACTCCCCAGCCACCCACTTTCCGACCCTCCCCGTCCACTCCCACTCGATTCTCACAACCTTTTCTGCAGCATCTTTCTCCACTCTCGCCGGTGTGGAATTCCTGATTGATATTTCCCCGAGGTGCGGTAGCAATTCCCAAGCCATGGAACTCGCCTCCTGTATGAACCTGATATGGGATTCTGTGTATCTGCGCATGGTTTCGTCGCCGGGGTAGACGCAGCCGAAGTAGCCTCCGTTGTCCGCTTCGTCGGGAAGGTGGAGGGTTTTTATGGATTGCGCTTTCCGGAGGCCTAGGGGGATAGCCTGGGAGCGTATTCGCGGTCAGGTCTCATGATACGTAGATGGTACGACCAGGTACTTTAACGCCCTTGACACTACACATACTTTAAATCTATAAATTTTTACTGGTTGTTAGGACATCGTATACGTTAATACGTCAAATGAGCAGTCAATTCTAATACATTCATATGATTATATCAAACCTATTAAGGGGGCCGGATGAGAATCGGTTCATTGCATGTACTACTAGTAGTAGAATCGTGAGCGGAATGGAGTATTAGGGATGTACCCATCAGCCCCGGACTCCTGACTTAGCTCATCATCTTCTCGGCGCCTTATCATGAAGCGTCTGCCCGGCGGTCCACCTACACGAGAAAAGAACGGGTTTTAACGCCTTTTTTCTTCGTTTGAGGATGCTGTGTCGGAGTCGATCCGTTTATTCCAGACCGTATACACAATTGCAGCAATCTTCTCATCAATCTCATCCACACCAGCGCCTCCCCACCCTTCCCCCCAGATTTGGCGGATTCTTGAGATATTCTGTCGGGTCGTCTTCTAGTCCATTCATTTTCATGATGCAGTGCATCGTTGACTTCTTCATGTACGACCCAGGGGAATTCCAGTTGAAGTCTTCAAAATCGCCCTATCTTTTCCCCACCCCTTCACACAGACCCGTCGCCGTCGCGCGATATTTATGATAGCCAGACAAAAAGGAATCGTTTACTGGGACGGTTTTTATTTTGGAATTTGAGGGTTCTGTCATTGAGATGTTTCTTTTCGAGGCCGGGTATTCCGTCAACCGATGGATCTGGGGTTGTCAGCTTGTACGGCTCCAGGTCGGCTTCGAAATCAACCTCTTGCTGGGTCTCAGGATCAACATCGCCCTTGTTGGCGGGTTTGATCATAAGGGAGCTATTGTCGCATCAGGATGTCACAGCTCGGGAGGTTAAGTATACTATCTATTACTCACAAATGGAAGGCTCCAGTAGATTCTAAGCAGCTCTTATATTTGCGAAGAAAGTTGCAGTACACTATGCTCCTGTCATTGACTGCGCATTTGATGTAGTGACGTATACGACGTCCCAACGATCCAGTGGAGATGTACGGATTTGAGATATGTGTGGTATGCTCCTGTTATGTAACATCCCAATGCAGCAAAACAAACGACTGTGCCTCCTGCGCCTCAGTTAGCGTTCCGTCTGACGTCACGATTCAACATCAATACTCAATCACATCGTTAACGGTTTACCTTCTATGCAGACTTCAGCAATCAATACCATCTACTTCAAAGTCAGCCTCGCTCGCTATGGACACACTCTCACAAGAAATCATCGACCAAATCGCTAGCTATCTGCATTGGCCGCGTGATACTAGAGAACAATTACTTATCGTGTCTAAAGCATTCCAAAACTCAGTGGAACGAAAAACCCTCGCAAAGTTCTACCTTAGACAGGGCAATACAGACAATTTCCTACGACTTTATTCTGGGGAGCGGATACGCTATCTTCGCGAAGTCAAATTTACATCTACGTTTCCCACGTCACAGGGTGACCGAAATTTCAGTGAGGGGTGTCGCGAAAAGCCTAGCGATCTGCTCGAAAAAGATGAGCTGTTCACTCGCCAGATTGGTGTCCTCTTCTCAACCTTGAAATCCCTTGAAGATCGAATTGGAGCCGAAAAGATGGCTGGGAAATTACGCCTTACTATCTTCCCACCGAGGAGGTCTGTCGACTGTAGAAGATGCCATCATCGCGTTTGTGTCTGTTGGCGTGTTCACTTGCTCAACCCAGGAACGCTACCCCAGCTCTGCTCAATCCATACCCTCAAATTCAAACATAGAGGCTGGTGGTCTACTACAGGCTGGAGTCACGACTCAGACAGTTTGGACTATCAAGTCCCCTCAAAGCTGGATCTGCGGATTATGATCGACATTGCTTCAAAACTTTCAAAACTTGAGCGATTGAAATGGAAACTAGACATCTTTTGGGATGAAATGAACTCAGCCAGGAGAGCCGAAAGACATTATATGCAGGATTGGGCGGGACCTCATCGAGATACCCGGCACGATTTTGCGAAAGCCATAGATTCTGTTGAACTTCCCTCATCCTTGAAGCACGTAGACCTCGACTTTCATCGCGGGGCCGAGGATTATATGGATCAGAATGAAGTTCGGCCAAATCTTGTTTTGCCTCGACACTACGATTCGTTCAGCAGTGGCTTACGAATGCTCTCTTCTCAACTTGTAACTTTGTCCCTCAGAATCATTGCAGATCAGACTTTGTTTTGGCCTACTGATGAAAACGCTCCAAATTGGCCGAATCTGAAGTATCTTCATGTAGAATTTACCCATTATAGTCCGTCTGGGACTTGGTATTTTCAAGGTCCTCAGGGCGAAGGGTCCGACACGTCCCCCGGGTACGAGATTACTAAAGCACATTATGAGCCGATGGAAGCAAATTCGACGGATAATGAATACGACACCAAGACGCGTGTGGGTCGTTATGTCACACACACCGACACGCAATTTCGAATAGTACCCATCGAAAGAACCCTTAACCCTCTCCTAATCTCATTCGCGAGAGCAGCCGCTTGCATGCCCTCTTTACGAAAGGCTGTTTTGTGCACATGCCTTGAATTCAATCCTCGAGACATATACGATTACTATAATGACTTTCTAGAAGAAATCGAACAGAAGGGGGGAACCAATGGGGACTGTAATTTGATGGATTGGGGTATTGCCTACGCTAAGCCAGGGGAAAACATTCCAATAAAGGGAATGGGGCACACAAATTGCGCGTCGAGGCAATTCTGGTGGATGACGCAGGACTGGCGACCAGATACCACACTGTGTACATTGATTCATAAAATTGGCGCGCAGCAGCATGGCAAAGAGGCAATAGATCACTGGGCGAGTGATCAAGGACACCCATGGGACACCGGAAGAACCTTGACCCGTGGTTTGTGAAGTTTCTCGGTGACCCAAAAAAACAGTTGGGTAACTAACTAAATCCCCTTTCCTAATTTAAATGTTCTCGACGTTCACTAGCGTGCCTTTGGTCATCTATTGTCACGCAATATAGACGCTCATGCAATGGTGTGTGATGTAGTTTATTCAGTAGCTATCAGTTGATTCTAGTGATACCTGAGGCCTATATGTCCTATGGGTCTATGCTCCCGATGGGTCACGTGCCCATACTCTCGCATCTATTGACATTTACACCCACCCCCATCTCCTATCTCATCTCTACGCCTTAGCTCCAAGGATTAATTCAGAGCTGATTGCTTCTGCACTCAATCTTGCGTTGCCTTTCCTTTTCCCTTCTTGCCCCCAGACTTTTCCTCGTCCGTTTTTGGCTTGGTTGCTACCGGCTCGTTGAGGGATGTGCCTCTCGACGGAGCGGGCCTCTTGCCGGAGTTCTTCCATGGCCCGGTACCAAGATGATCTTTTTGCTCATCCCATTTTCCCTGAATGAATCTAAGTATTTGGCATCGTTTCTCCTCTTTGGTCCCCGACAATCCACCTGCATCTTGTTCTTCCTGTTCGCCTTCCGTTTCCTTTGTACTTTCTGTGCTTTTTGCCCTTTTGAACTTCTTTCGCTGTTCAGTATCTGTGTTATCTTCTGATTGTGGTAGGACCCTGTCGCATTCGAGTTCAACGTTCATCTCTTTGACCTTTTTGTCCATCCAGATTCTAAGACCAGCAATGGCAGCACTCCAAGACGCATCCACATATGCCTCCCATTCTGATTTTAAGTTGATGTCTTTTGGGTTGAATCGACCTTTTTCCATGCAACTGAGCTGGTTCCCTACTTGTTTAACACGATCTGCCATACGATTAGACTGAAGTGTAAAGTCTTTGAGAACCTCGTCGTTCAAAAAGTAGAAGGCAACCGCAAGACCGTCTCTCAGGTAGCCCAAGGCCTCATCGGGCGCATTCTTTGCGTCAAAGTGTCTTCTTTGACCACATCTAGATCAGAGAACATCTATGCACATATGTTAGCAAGTGTTCAGCATGCGACTTTTCGACTGTATTTGAACTTACGTGCATCTTGATCACACCGTTTGGTTTCCAATCAAGAATCACAAATTCCTCCTCGTAGCGTCCCTTGGATGGATATGCTTCGGCTAAAAGCTCAGAAAATGTCCCGCTTAATACTTTTCGGTTGCCGTCTTCATCATCCACTTCGATGTCGAATGTCGGTGGCTTCGGTGACTTATTACCCTTACCCTTACCATCTACATACTTCTGCAAAACATCGCAGACTGGAGTTGTTTCTCCGATCTTGTTTTGGAGGTGATCTTCAAAGAAACTGGCCACGGTTTGCCATTCCAGAACGTGCTCAGTATCTCCTCGTCCTACTTGCCCCACCTCGTTAGCTTTTCCCTCGTTCCACTGTAGAATGTTTTGCTTGTCGAATCCAAACAAAGTTACCCCAGGACGACTACTTTTCTGTACAACAATCAGATCATGCCTACTCCAGTTCATGTGATCGCACTGACCAGTTCTCCAGCACGAGGGTAGTCGTTCGCTTTGAGAAACCCATTGCACAACGTGACCTTCTTCTCACCCCTCTTCTCTAGTGATCTCGAAAAATTCCTGATCAGCTGGAGCATTACCGACCTACCAGTAAGCTTTGAGTCGGAATCCCGTTTCCCAGCTTTCGACACCGATCCCGTCTGCTTAGACTTTTTCCCGGATGTGGTCCCGGTGGCTTTGCTTCCAGATTTCGATTTAGCAGCAGATGTGAAGGCTGCATTTCTAGGCTTGCAGTTGGGTCCTGTTGATGATGTCGTCGCAGATGGTTTTATCGAGGACTTGACTGAAGACTTTGCCGTTGACTTTACGGACCTCGTTGCTGAGGACTTTCCCGATGATTTCACCGACGATTTTGCTGTTGACTTAGGAGGAGATGTGGCTGATGATTTTGCGCCTGCTGTCTTCGCCGAAGACTTTGCGGAAGACTTTGAACTCATTGTTTTTGTTGCCTTTGTCTTTGCGGCTGATGTTTTCAAAGCTGAGGTGCCTTTGCCTTTTCCTTTCGAATTGCCCTTTTTCCCACGTGTTTCAAGCTTGGTAACCAATCCAGAGTCAACTCCTTCAATTGCATAGCTGACGCCATGACTTTCTGTAGAGCCTCCGTAGTAGGAGTCTTCACTGCGACAGTGCTCGACAATAAATTCCAAAGAAGAGACACAGTCATCGATGTTAGCAGCTCCAATGGCCCCAGAGTGGCTGAGTTTGAATGGTGCAACGCTGAATACGCCGTTGATGTTGTCTGTATTGATCCACCTGGTACAAGCTCGATGCATGGCTGGAGGCAGTTCTCCGAAAAAGTTCTCATTCGAAATCTTCACATCGAAAGAGATTCCCTTCCAGTCGCAGCTCGCTGCTCGAGGTAGAAGGAAATTGCCGGAAACAAAAGTTCCCAAAAGTGCCGCTAGGGCTAAAGAATGTGGGGCCCTCATGATCGTAGAAGGTAAAAACGAATGAATCCTTGATTGGAAGGAGTGTGGTTGTTCAAAACGAATGTGTAAATGGAATGAATGAATGAATGTGGTGATCTGAAGACGATGTGAGAGCTCAAGGCTATCTTCTTAAATGGTTTCCATCATCTGCACATAGTTCTGTTATCTGTATATTCATTCATCACTCCATATACCAACTCCATATGTCTCGGATTAGAATTCTGTACAGGTTACGGCGTGGTTAGGCATATCACAGCAAGCTTGCAGCTGTGCCGTCAACATTTCTTCCAAAAGTGGCCGCCGTAGCAGTAGGCAAATGAAGGGATGAGTCTGAAAAATCTTTTCCCACAGCTTCTTCAGGACAGACATTAGGTGGTCTATGGGTTGGGGGCTGAGTCCTTCCGTTGAGGTGGTGCAGCCATGCGGCGATTGTTTTGTCTTGCGCCCCATTTCGCGCCGCTGACTGACAGAACACGAAATCCAACAAGGACTTGCATTGTGGTATTTCAAGCTGTGCTTCAGTACTTAGATTCAACGAGAGACCAAAACTTGATCTAAATGCTATTTTTTTGGGAGACCTACATGTAGATCTCGATCTCAATCTCAATGTTTGGAATTGAGTGGAATAATGTTCCTAACATCTACCAACCAGATTTTGTCCTGCGTAGTCTCATATACACATTTTTGTACGCATTTGACGTGCCGCCATCAAGCGATCTTTATCAATATACTAATGCGCCGTAAACGGACATCGTTCATCATATGCAGGGTCCACTCATGAGATGATGTTTAAAATCCATGACTTGGTGACGCATCGGTAAGCGATCTACGAACACGTCTGTGCCTGAAGCAAAAGTTCATTCTGTAGAAGCACCCAAGTACAGCTCACCCGATGAACGTGATATGAGGCGTGTGCTACTACGGCGCAGCACGGACTTCGGGAACATAATGGTCAAAACAATATATACCGCTGCATCAATTCATCCCGTTTTACTGCTCCGCGGAACGTACTTCGACGGCGCAGTGACAAATCTATTGTTGATTGGTCGGCTCATTGGCTCCACCGTGAAAACGAAATCGAGAACGGGGCCAGGAAACAACACAAAGTGTGGTTAAGGAGTGCATACGGCCCAGTAAAGCGTCTGCGGAAGTTCGGCACTCCCTTCATTCAATTCCAAAACGCTATGTTTCGCTCAGTTCTCATCAGTTGGCTACACTCAACTCATGGCGGAACCGGTGGAAAGGTACATTCATCTCCTTCGCTGTGGCGCTCTGACCTTTGACTCCAAGCCGCGATATTCCAATTTTATCCAATGAAACTATTAATCTCTTAGGGCTAAAAACTGACAATGTCGCCATGGAAATCCGGAAACTGAAAGATCTGCTATCGATTAACAATGAGCTAACAGCAAGAATGTACAACTGAAGTGTACTATGGTCAAAAATATTGCGGGAGGATCATAAACCCCGAGCGCCTAGACCCTAGATCCATCAAATGCAGCGCTTAGAAAGCGCTTACGCGGCGGGAATATTTGAATCAAAAATCCTTCATGGACGGTAACCTTGAATCTTATTGTATTGACTTGATAACATCGTCATACAACTCGCAACATACTAATTCAGCTACAAAGCTTACATTTTTTGTGACGTACCACCTAACTCACTCCTTCAACGGATTCCATAATCACATTTTTATGAACCACAGCATGCAGAGGTGAGCCACGTTATTCCTTCTAAAATTGTCCTTGACGACCATAATAACCTCAATATGACGTGCAATCCTACGACGTAAGATCCAAAAGAGGATTCTGGTATGAGCGCGACTACGAGGCAGATGTCAATATGCTTACACATGCTGGGTTAGAAGCTTTTGCACACGCCCAACATAACAAACACGACAAAGCCGTCGCAGCATTGTGTCTTCGAGAGGCTGCAAAAGTAATGCACCTCTCTATCGCTTAGCTCAGCGAATGTGAGTTGTTATAATAGGCTTTAGGTCTGTCAGGATCCAACTGAGGACGGTTGCGAAATTTCAAGCTCACAAAATCATAGTAACACTAGAGCTTCCGGCGAACGCTTGTTCGATGATATGGATTTAGGCGCTCCAGTAAGATAGCCCGGAAAACATTAACAACATAAGTAGTTCATGTCAATCTTCAACACATTCTCTAGCCGCATTACACTACAAACACCAACGCTTCCAAACGTCAGAAGTTATAATCACAGGCTCAGGCAAAGTAGCGTTTCTCCCGTGCAGTCAATGCATCTATGCCCAAACAAAACAAAAGCGATTTCCTTATTGACGTTGACGTGAAAAAAGAAAAAAAGATAACTAAAGGATAAAACGAAAGGAGCTCACAGAGCCTACAAGGGGGTATTTCATATCTGCTTAAAATCACGACTCTCCTGTACAACAAAATTGCTACCATCCATCTCATGTATGACATCGCCCCGCGTAGCAGCCTTCCCGCCTTTCCCATGATCAGCATCCATCTCGTAGCGGAGTGGGCCGGCGGGAAGCTCGGCTTGGTTACGGAACGGGTACTTGGAGGCGTCATCGGATAAGAGGAGCCTGGAGGGTTTTGAATCCAACTCGGCACCGCCGCGAGAACCGGGCAAATCGCCCTGGTCCATTTCGTACTTCTCCCGAGGAACGGGAAGTTCGGCGCCCGGTATGTCTCCCTGGACTTCCTGTGGGGGTGGTTCATGTTTGGCAGACTTTTGGGTGGATTTGCGGCGTCTGTACCAGAGGAAGGCGAGGGCTAATAGAGCCAGGACGAGTACGCCGATTCCGGCACCTATGCCGGCTTTGGCGCCGGTGGACAAACCGGAATCGTCTGGCTGAGAGGCAACGCCTTCTGTGTTGTTGTTATCGTTTGGGTTGCCGGCTTTGGACGGTGTTGAGATGGCGATGATCTGTTGTTCGGGGGTCTTGCTTTCGAATTTGCTCTGGTAGACTGAGAAATTCGAACGTTCGTAGTCCGCGATGACATAAGCTTCCTGTAGAAACGTGCGACCGAGAGTGTACTGGGTGTCGTTGGCCGCTCTGCGTATTGGGAAATAATTTGTAGCATTTTCGTAGTAGGGATGCGATGCTTGTAGATCGAAAGCACCGTATGGCATCTGAATCGTGACTGCTTTCGCCACGTTATTGTCGTTGCCCAGATTGAAGGTTATTGTAGGTTGTAGCTCGGTCAGCTTATCATGCATAGTGTCGTTTACCAGATACAGATCGGTGTTGGGATCGTACGTAAGACCGAATGCCTCGGCAAATTTATCGCATGCATCTCTAGGAAGCCAGATATGGGGGACAGTAGAATCGATCAAGGTAAGTGTTGAGGAAGTGAGAAGACTCCGCGATCCAAGTAATGTGTTCAAGGCTGTAATGCGCTGGAGTCCGACACTGAGTACGCGGGAGTCGTCTGTGCTGAAAGAGAAGGTCTGGTCGTTGGGTGTAAAACGAGAAGCGTCGTAACCACCTAACGTGAGACTACCGGGTAGTTGTGGTATCCGATATGCTGCGCCAGCTGTGTATGCGAATGAGAGACTGGGGATCTTATTTTGGTCTTTGAGAGTCCGCATGAAAGCTGGTTGGGGATTCTCAAAGTCTGTGAAATTGGAGGGCTTGACTCCGAGGCCGAATAGTCCCAGGTAAAAATCTTTGGTTGCGATGCCAGCAACCACTTGATCGCTCAGTTCAACCCCTCCGGAGTTCTGAAGCATTAGACCCACGTTGTCGAGCCCAAACAGTCCGTTTTCCTGGATCCCCAATCTATCACCTAGGTTTAACGTGTATAACCCAACAGGTTTCCACGTCGACGAGGCATTTGTGAGGAATCCACTGCTTTCCTTGCCGTTGAATGGCATAGCACCTCTTAAACTCCCACAGTCGGTCGGATCTGATTCGATACATCCTTCTGGTACCGGTATAAATGTCTCATGCCCTGAGGTCGAAGGCACGACACGGAAGTTTTGCTCGGGACTCCCCACGCGCACAATAAAAGTCGACCAGCGCCCATCATTCCCGTCCCAAGATTGTGAAGGCGCATAAACAAACGGCTTGGGTGAATCGTCTCTCCTGCGATTAGCTTTAATGTCGTCCATACTTCATGAGCGCTGCTAGGATTCGAAGTTTGGCGAAAAGGAGTGGAAAGGAATGGTCGCGCAGGCCCATAGAAGTGGGTTACCTGGGGCTTAGGGTCTTAGCGATTGTCGGTCAGCCCGATTATGCACGCAGCTTGGTTCTTGGGCCCTGAGCGCCCGAGCGTACAGCACGGGTGTTTTACTGGAAACATTCGCGTAGAAAATTTAGCCAAACGTCAGTGCGCGCAGTAGCCTCCCTGACGACCACGATGATTCCTCATTGTGCTGTGTAGTCATGGACCAATCCAACGTCAATACAGTACTCCAACGCAGAATGTAGGCATTGTTTACAGTGGCTAAACGGTCAGGGACAGTGCCCATCAACTGCTAGGCATCATAGCGCTTACCTTACGCGTACCCTCCTTCGCACAGCTATCCGATGATACCGTTCGTTGAGCTGGACTACTACGGAAAGTGATTGTCCCTGATGTGCTGACAATTTGATTTACACAGTAAGCAGTTGTCTGCAAGAAGCCTAGATACAATATCAGATTCTCGGTCCTGAGATGAGTGGCGCATCACCAACTGGATGCGAGTTTTCAATGCGGCAGCAGGAATGATACTTGATCAAGATAGGAATTTTGCGATCCTATTGAAAAGCATGATGGATTTGACCGCACACAGCTTGAATGTGATCCAAGGGTGAGGGAACTCCACTCCGCCAGGGATAGGAAAAGTGCAGTCATCTGGTCTTCCCTAAAAGGGTAGTTAGCATCGCCAAGTTCTAAGCCTCATGTAGCCCAGTACGCTAGTCATCGTATGGGCTAGCCTTCTTGAGTTAGTCGAATAGTTGGCGGCAAAACCATGCCGTCTCTATGGCCAAACTGTTTTCCAGAAATAACTTACAGCCTGTCGCTTCAAACACTGGATTTACAGCAATATGGGCACGGCATCACTAGCCGGATGGCCTAATGTTTCGCTCGCTGCTGCTTCAAATGTGATAGGCGTGAAATGTTTGCCAGATCCTCATCATGATCCCGATGACAAGTCAGGTACGGGTCATATAGAGTATATTACCATAAAAGGGAAAACTCAGAGACTTGGGTCATAGATACGAGCAGGGCTGAGTGGACGAGGCAAAGAATTTAGTCTCACTAGCAGTACTACCCTGGTCTGGGCGGCTGATGGGCAATCATCATTTGGCCCCTGGCTCGGCACTGCGTAAGCTGGCTGTACTATGTAAATATCTCCGGTGCTCTGCGCATTTGGATCTGTAGGACAGCACTGCAGGCCCCCTTCATAGCTGTGTGGCACATCAACCACCCAACAAGCTCACCATGGTCTCTCAATCGACACTCTCTCGTGGACTGAGTGTGTTGCTCACGGCTCAAGCTGCATTGGCCCAAAGTAAGTCAAGATCTCTCGCGTGATTCCCGGCCAACGATGTTAACTTCCGGAAAGCCTCGACAAGAGTAGGCTTGAACGCTACGAGAACGACCACAGCGCCCCAGAGCTCCATCACAGAGTCGGGAAAACTATGTTGCGAAGTTGGGGTTCTGACCGTCGGCCTGAATTTCTGGTGGACTGAGACGATAACTGCAACGGCGGCCACTGTCCTCACCCAGTATTTGCAGTACAACAATACTGTGATCACCAATACGACAACTATCTACAACGCAGGAGCAGTGGAGAACGCTACCGCACCTGGGGGTATCATCCCCACCCAAGGTTTCCTAGCGTATTCGGCCAGCTTTATAGGCACGCAAACCGCTGTGGGCTTCCCATTCACCACTATGTGAGTATGATATCGTGAAAAACGAACCCGACTACAGCTAAAAAATCACAGTGCTTCGCCAACTCCCTTCGTAGAAGCCAAGATTCTTGCTCATTTGAATGGCACGCTCACCACCATCAGTGGCACACCTCGATGCGAGGAAACTTCCAGGGGAGACGCGGTATTTTATCAACTCGAGACTGGATATCCTTTCGTCGAGGATCCCACTACTGTTCATCTTTCGCCGGCTTATGCAACTCCGAGCGACAACGGACTGATTGATTACTGGATCTCACAGACTCCTTCGATCACTAATGTTCTGCCTGATCTTCCATCTTGTACTGTACTGGGGGGCTCGGGTCAACCTTCGGTTCACATTCCAGTGACTGCGCTCACCCAGCATGCATCAACTACGATAAAAATGAACGGCCCACCTCCATCTCAAACTAAGCCGCCTTCAAACGACCCTCCGCCATCTAATAACCCTCCGCCTTCCAACAATCCGCCACCATCGAACAACCCTCCGCCATCAAACAACCCTCCGCCATCCAATAACCCTCCGCCATCTAACAATCCGCCACCTTCTAACAACAACCCACCATCTAACAATCCGCCACCTTCTAACAACAACCCACCTTCGAATGGTTCTCCTCCATCCAACAACAACCCACCTTCGAATGGCTCTCCTCCATCCAATAACAACCCGCCTTCGAATGACTCTCCCCCATCCAACAACTCGCCCCCTTCGAACGGTTCTCCCCCAGAGAATTCATCCCCCAACACACCCAATCGTCCACCTACGCCACAAAACCCCCAGGACGATCAGGCACCAGCCGCACCGGCCCCTATAGTCATAACGATGCCCGTAAGCCGCCCAACCGCGCAAGCGCCAGCACCTGCCCCTGCCCCGGTCCCAATCACACTCGAAAACAACCAAGTCATCACTGTGCAACCCCCAACTCCATCTCAAAGCGGTGCTCCAGTGGTAGTCTTACCCGGCGGCAATACCCTCCAACCAGGCGAAACAACTACAATAGGCTCCCAGACAATTATCCTACCACCCAGCGAAAGCATTAACAACGGAGGCGGTGTCGTTAGCGGTAATCCCAATACCCCTGCCAACTCAGCAGCAGCTCCACCCGCAATCCAGATCATCGACGGAAGCAGCACGCGCGTGGTTCCCCTGCCAACGTCGCAGCCTCAGGGCACCATAGCCGCCCAAGGTGCTATCACGGCGGGCAGCTCAACATTCACACTCACACCTGTTGCACCTAGCACTGTCACTGGCAGTTCCGGAGATCGAGTGAATCCCGGAGGCGTTGTCCTCCCCAACGGAAGCACTCTAGCGCCTGGCTCAACGACAGTCGTGGGCGATATGACTTACGCGGTTGCTTCGGCGAGCGCCAGTAGTGCGGGTGCGGTGGTTAGTGTCTGGAATGGCGTGACGACGCAGGTTACTACGTTGCCTGCTCCTACTGCTGGATCGACGGCCTCGGGGACCATAAGCGGTGGTACTGCGGCCAGCACTAGTGGAATTGCAAACTTCACTGGTGGCGCTGTGTCTCAGCGCTTGTCTGGTGGGTTGATGGGGGTTGCTTGTGCTGCTGTTGGTGTTGTCTTTGGTGGTGTGCTCATTGCTTGATATCCATTCATTTCGATTATTGGATGTTGAGATGTGATAGTTTAATGTATTAATGAATTGTAAATAATGTCAAAGACGTGGAGACTAGAGCTTCGGCTCTTGGTTCCTGTGTCGTATAAATCAATTGATCTTTATTCAACTGACTTCACCGTTCGCTATATTGTCATCTCGCAGATGCATCAGCCTTTCAAATTGCCTGGTGATAATAGAGCACTTCGGACACTGTGTTTTGGATTAATGGTGACGAACATGCGTACAATTGAAGTATCGTTATACGAGTAGGTTTGTCACGTGACACCTTCACCTCTCGATCTTACTCGATCAACTTTCACGGATGTACAATTGTGCATGTTCGTATATTGCCAATCATCTCTTGGAAGATGCCGATAGGAGACTTATCTAAAGATAACTCCAAATTCAAGCTTCAAGTGTGGATTGAATGCGATCCAATATCTATGGGAAACGAGCGGATTCTGTCAGACACATAAACGAAACGTCTACTACTAGATCCTACCCTCCTCCTTCTCTTATCTTTGAATATACAAGTCATCTCTAATTATTGTCTACTTCGATTGCTCCATCTGGAGAATCTCGAGCATATAGGAAAGGAGGCGAACTGGCTTTGTTATCCAAAATCTTGTACAAGCTCTTACGGTTGATATATCCGTGAACCTACGAGACACTCTATTATCGATACATCTGGGCTCGTGTTATACACCTGAATAATCTGCATAATGGATACAGATTTGAAGACTGGAAGTTTTCAGCGCTTGGTGATTTCTGCAGCGAAGAAAGCCATATGCGATTATAAGCTCGATAGGATTTCTAGAGTAATCTATGAACTCAATATATCTTTCGTACTTTCAATATTCATGCCGCGTCTTGTTGACTACGGTGGAACTCATCGGGCAATTACGTCCCACAGCCTTTCGTGAAGCATCGCAAAGGAGCTGTGCCAGTTTCTCGAGACGATGAAGTTGTATTGTTTCTCGGAAAACTGTATCTCTTCAATCAAAGGTAGTCACACGCTCTTGACTCATCAGCAATACTCGTGCCGGGCTGGATATCAGTGCGTCATATGTACACCATCACAATCCGTGTTTCCCGAACCTAAAATGTAATAAAAAACGTAAGCACGGGATTTCCAATGAATCGAACACTACCCGAAAAAGAATACAAGCTAGGCAGTACAAGAAATGAGGGTAATCATGCGGTGGTACTAACGGAACTAAAAAGGTCCTGAAACTTTGAATACCCCGACGTACTAGACTTAGATCACGGGGGCGCACAGCCTTTTTTCCTTATAAGCGGAGAAGATTTCCCGGGGTAGAAGCGTTGCGGCACTGCGTGCAACTCTGTGGCGGAGTTTTTCGTCAAAGTTTATGGCTACGCCGTCCGACTGCAGTCACTACACGCCGTCTTACGTTATCCGGGGCCTCACGAGCCATTCGTGCAACTTTATATCAACTTCACAATCAAGCCTCTGATGGGGTCCGGATAATATGCTGTGACGAGGAAGCGTGCCCGATTTTACTACGGAGAGTGTGTTCTGCAAGCTTACTGCAATGAAATCTATATTTACGTAAGACATCAATAGTTTCCATTGCTGACTGCATGCTGCTTGCCAGGTATACCATGGTTCAATGTCGATGCGAAAACCACGGTCCCGTGAAAACAACAGTGATGCAAATCGGCCCTTTTCTATACATAAAACACCGTTTAATAATCAACACTTGTACAGTATGAACTCATAGCATCTATATTTATCAACGTCCTGTCCATTGCCAACCTTTGCATTGCATCTGGTGTGTCTACTGCATACTACTGTACAACTTCTTGCTACTACGTCCTAGAGATTGAGCCCTTCTTAATTATCCAGGACTATTGAATAATTCCATCATCTTGCAGACGTCAGCTCTCTGGAGCAATTCCCACTGCCGGGTCTTGGCCTCGTTAATCTGAAGTTAGACCATACCCGGCGGTAGAAGACAGATACGCGAATCCTAGATCTAAACCACCCGATGACGTGAACGTAAGCGAGGTTATATTGAAGTTCCATCTATCACCTGCCTTGGTACATGGCAAACTTGATATATCGCCGTGTGGGACAAACGCTCTTGTCCATGTACCCATGCTGACTGATTTGATTTGTTCAATATACTTCCCCGCCTTGGGTGATATACTAGTAATGGAGACGGAGTTTTTTCAAGAAAATGGAAGGGTTATAGCGGGTAAAATATATGATCGAATGTTACAGATGCGGAGACTGAATACTAGATATATATCTTGTGCTCTCTCTATGTCATCCGTGGAATCGAGAGTCAGTCTCACTTGGTATAGTTCATACACAACATCCCAAGAAATTTCATTTGAGTACATCTAGCGAATATGAAGCTCATAACGTCTGTTGCGCTATCACTTGCGAGTATCTGCGCGGCGGCTCCAGCACCACCGGTACGTGAAGAACAGCCATCTCTATGCCTCTCTCACAGAAAAGCTGATGCTAACTTACAACGCAGACAGGTGGTACAGGCCCATACAAATCCGTAAGATTTCTCGAGATCTTCTAAACTAGTATGCAGTACTAACCACGAGAGCCAGATCTATTACGAAGACCCATCCCTACCAGAACACACTATCTTCATGCCCGCCCAACCTCCAACAGACAAGAAGATGCCCGTCGTTCTCTGGGGCAATGGACAGTGCTACGGCGACGGTCTCGCATACGGTGGTTTCCTCTCCCAAGTAGCGAGCTACGGCATCGTGGTCATCGCCAACGGCTGGGTGTCAACTTCCTCGCGGAACAAGTACCAAGGCGACATCACCAAGAACTTGGCATACCTCACCGACTCTATTACATGGATTCAAGGGAAAGCGGGACAGGCTGGGAACTTCAGCACTGTGGACGCTGCTGCGCTCGGAGTTGCGGGACATAGTTGCGGAGGATATCAGACGATTGAGATGCGGAAGGATTCGCGTGTCAAGATGCTGGCGCCGTTTGGCTACTTCACTGAACAAGCACAGTGGGCTGCTGATATCAAGGTTCCCGTTGGCGCGTTTGTTGGGGAGTATGATACTTCTATCGCTTTGCCACAGCTTCGAGGTGGCTGGCCACGTTTGCCGGCTTCCACGCCGGGATGGTGGGGAACTTATCCTAGGACGGACCACGGTGGTACTTTCGATCAGGCCAATGGGGGAGTTTGGGCTGTGAGCTTGGCTAGATGGATTCTTTTTACCTTGACGGGCGATGCAGAGTCTGGTCAATACTTCAAAGGGGATGGGGCTGGTCAGGCTGGGTGGACGCCGATCACAAAGCAGAATCTGGATTCCATCCCTGTTTCTTGAAGCTGATCATTTCCTGGAACAAGTACTATAAGAGAATCTGATAACACGATCTTTAAAGATTTCCTTGTTGTTATGGTGCTATATAATTGAGTTCGTCGCACCATTTATGGATTTTTACGGGCTGAGTGAGCACTGAAGTCAAAAAACTGGCGTTTCAAAAATGGTATTTCAAAAAGGCGGGCCAACCAGTAAGAGCCTTAAGTTATCCCGGTCTGATCAGATCTCCTAGGTTGCTGAAGATCGCCACATCTTCCTTTGATCAATGTGACACTAGTTTCTTGTGAGATCTTCTTGATTCTATTCATGATAGTGAACCTTATGAGTACATTCTATGAACATCCAATTCAATTGCTTTCACCATGTTTAGTCCTGTCGGGCTGGATCAAGCTGTATGCTTCCCACGATTCCATCAATCTCCTTCAAAATCTCAGGGGTAAGTTTGTCCAATGCTTGAAGCGCTTTGCAGTTTTCGACAACCTGCTCCGGACGCGACGCACCGGTGATGACAGAAGACACGTTAGGATTCTTCAAACACCACGCGAGCGCCAGTTGCGATTGAGTGACACCGAGCTTCTCCGCAATCGGCTGGGATATGTCAGTCAAGATCTATAGTAATGACGAGAGATAGAAGACTTCCTTACCTTCAAATTTTTCGCTTTCTCAATCATGTCTTGCCACTCCGATTTGCCATATACGTCGTTCTTCATGTAGTTCAAGAACTTGTCGTTACCCTGCGCAAGTCGTGATCCCTCGGGCGGAGCATCTGGGCTATCGTTGTATTTACCACTCAAGACACCGAGTCTCAAAGGCGAGAACGTCGTCAGGCCAATGCCGAATCGGCTGTATAGTCTCTGGAATTCGCCTTCGACCTTGGACCTGACGAGCAGATTGTAATGAGGCTGCTCAGCAATTGGCGCGATTAATCCAAGCTGTTTAGCGATTCCGCATGCTTCAGCGATCTCGTCTGCGGACCACTCGCTGGTACCCCAGTACATGGCCCATCCTTTCGTTTCGATCACGTGATTGAAAGCACGCACCGTCTCCTCCATCGGAGTCAGTCTATCGGGTCGATGCGCGTACACGATATCAACATATTCCAAATCCAGTCGCTTCAAGGAGGCTCGGAGACCCTCGATGATGTGTTTCCGCGAAAGTCCGTGGTTGTTGACAAGCACTTCGCCATTTGCGCCGCCCCAGTTGAGTTTCGTGGAAATAACAATATCGTTGCGGTTCCAGTTGTACTTTTTGATGGCTTGACCCATGACTACTTCGGACTGACCGCCGGCATATGATTCGGCCGTGTCAAAAAAGTTGATACCGCAATCGTAGGCTTGCTTCATGCAAGAAAATGTGAGCTCTGTACAACATTTTTAACAAACATGGTCTCGTCTCAACTGGCGAGGTTTCTAGTTACCATTTTCTACATGGCCACCAAAACTGTAATCTCGATTAGTTTTTTGTGCTTGCCTTGTTTGCGGAATTATTCATAACGTACGTGAGCCATCCGCCCAGACTGAGAGCAGACACATGCAATCCTGAATTGCCTAAGCGGCGGTATTGCATACCCGTTTTTCTTGGTTCTTCCCACGCCATTTTGATGAATCTTTCTACTGGCAGACTTCAGAGTAAGGAACTTCGCACAAAGATTCAAATACTCTCGATTCTGAAAGAAGAGTCATTCATCAACAAAATTCCTTTCTTCGCGTCCAAGACCCCTCCAAACTGCTGGAATTGGGTAGGCCCTGCAGGAATACGGCCGAGGTGCCGCGGTCTTTGACCCACCCTCCCCATCAGGCTAGGACCATCACGATCTCGGAGTATGCTCCCAGATCCAGACAAGCTGCATAACTTACTTTGCGGAGATACCCGTGCTATGTTAAAACTTTGCGGGGTAACGTCATCCACTCTGTGGATGGCGTGATTTGATGTTGAACGACGAGTGCTGCGTGTCGGAAGGACTACTACATGGAGGTACGTAGAACTTCAAGTTTCACCAGATTGACATAGATGCTCTGCACAAAACCACCAAACTTATTTCAAAAACTATCTCCGAATTTTGCGTTATGCTAAATAGCAATGATTCCCTTGGTTGTCTGCCAGCAATATTTATAACGCAAAGCGGAAGTCCAAACGTCTGTTTCCCTCCCCATCACGCGAAGCAACATCGGCCTGATACGCAGTCTTCTCCTCGGCGCTCAAAGCGGCCCACTTCTTCTCCTTTTCCTTGTTCAAACGGACCAGTGTCCACCGCTGCACCACCATGACAACTAGCGAAAGTGCGCAAATAGCCACTAACACCTTGTTGCCCGTCTTATAATAGGGGCCATCCCACTTGCGATAAATTTGCGACCCAACGAGTGAGCCGATCTGGACGATGACATTGTACGTGGCGGCTGTGATGGCTCTTTTCTTGACGTCGAATGAATTCTCCGAGATCCAAGATGAGACTAGGGGGTGGAAGTAGGGGTATCCCGAAATAAGAGTAATGAGCGTGAATCGTCCCCATTCGCGACCGCCGTCAGGGAGTGTTAGAAGCGCAATGAGCAAGGGCATGATCCAGATCTCGCCGAAGACGATGTGTAGCGTGCGCTCGTTGAAATAGTCGCTGCTGTATGCCAGGGCCAACATAGTGATGATCTGGAGGACCGCAGATGGGACCGTCAACATGTTGCTGTTGAAAGTACTGAAGCCTATATTCAATTCGTCAGCACTCGGGAAAATTTTATTTGAATGCGGTAAGTACGAACCAATACGCTTGAGTGTGAGAGTCAGGTAGCCTTGAACAGGAGCAGCGGGAATGTAGGCAACAAGGCCGATCATGTAAAGTCCCCACATTGATTTGTCGCTCCACGCAGCGCGGATATCTTTCCACTTCGCCGGCTCGTGAATGTTCGTGAGTCCTTTAGCTGGATCGTCCCGGAGGATTCGCTACCAAATGTCAGTCACGGTGTATCGTAAATAGCATAGAGATTCTCACATTGACCAGGATAGTTTCTTCGCGCTCATTGAACCAACCCTTTCGCCAAAGCGGAGTTTTGGTGGAAGTAGGCGACTCCGGAAGCCAAACGTATGAAACCAACGCGATGAGGACAGTCAGAACACCCTCGAGGAGGAACAACCAGAACCATCCGGGCTTTCCACCAATACCCCGCATTTGCAGAATTCCAGCAGCCAGAAGAGCGGAGATGACGCGAGCGACATTGAGAGTTGACCAGAAACAAGCCAAGCGCATAGCCAATTCCTTGGATTTGTAGAAATAGGTGGCGAATAGAATCACACCCGGAATGAAGCCACCCTCGAAACCACCGATGAGCGCTCGACAGATGTAGAAAGACGCGCGATCGTGCTGCCAGGCTTGCCCCCATGAGACAGTCCCCCAGCCCAACATCAGTGTAGGCAAAACCCATTTGAAGCCATACTTCTTGATGAGAAGCTGCACTGGGAACTCGGCGGACATGAAAGCCAGGAGTTGAATAGTGTTTCCGTTGTTGTAGTCGTCGGTCGTCAGACCAAGATCGTCAAGCAACTTGTCGGCAGTGGCGTTGGATACATTTCCTCGGTCGAGCTGCAGGCCAAACATCATAAGACAGAGCCATGGAAGTAACAGAAAATCGATCTTGCGCACGATACTGCGCTCTTCGGCTTCCGTCCATGTTGCACTGGGGTCGAATCGGTGCTTTCCCTCGTAGGAATCGTGGGGTGGAATGATATCAGCGAGTTCTTGTCTGCCAACTTTCGCAGGTGCTTTTAGAGACCCAGCATCCTCGCTGGTACGAGTATGCAATTGGGTGATATTCTCGATATCGTTCCCCATTTTGAAGGGCGGTGAAGCGGATGAGAGGTCCCTCCAGTATGGTCTGTGGATGGTGGAAACGAATATCTTGGATCTTCGATGGAGCTGCAGAAGAACGTATGGAGCTCACTGTAAAACGAAAGTCGCTTCTCAACTGACGCTCTTCGAACTTCGTACGCGTTATTGGCCCTTTATGGTAGTTAAGATTGCCATACGCAATCCACGCCAAAAGAACACAATTGTCGAGTTCCACAATTAGGGTATTATGGCCGCGCTGACTTCCTCGGCCTGGAGTCTCGATCTCGGTGAAATTCCTCGGTTTAGATTGCCCCGCTCTTGAATTATAGGCTTGCACGGCAGGTCATGCAGCATGGGATGATTCTTGGGGATCAGTCTGCATGGGGTCTAATAGCCGATGACGTGCTCGTCCGTTCGGAACCCATCCCATGACCCCAGTTCCTGCGAATCCCATAAAGCGTCAAACGTCCGGGCTCACTACATACAGATCTGTGGCTGCGAATCCTGCGGAATCTGATCCAGAATTCATATTATTTTGTTCCTACCTTACATCTTCGTCTTGAACTCATCTCACAATGCCTTCCGCCAAGCGCTTACGCGAAGATGACCACGAATCTTCAGAGATCGTAGGTGGCCATGAAGATGCGCGGCCAAGACTGCTCGAGCCTTTAAAATATTCTGGGACTTTGGACAAGTTTAAGCATCAGGACATAACGCCAGTGATCGGTAGGGAATTTGAGGGTCTTCAGGTCACTGATTTGCTGAAATGGGGCGACGAAATGATAAGAGACCTTGCCATCACAGGTTCGTCGAGAGTCCATCATTGCATCGAAGTCAAACATTTGGCTGATCTGAACAGTATCGCAGCGCGGCGTGGTTTTCCTTCGAGATCAGGATGTGACACCGATACAAATGAAAGATCTGATGCTGCGGATCACCGAGCTTGCCGGATGCGTACGTGACATGGCAATCTTCAAGAAGCAGTGTCGAGATTCTAACTATCCTCCAGCCATCATCATCTGGTCTACACATTCACCCACTCACTGAAGAAGGCTCCGAACTGGGTGACCAAATCTCTGTCATTGTATGCTACTCGTATAACACCACCACGCCCATGATCTAACCAAACATATTCTAGTCCAGCGAAAAGCAGAAGAAAGGTGGAGGTCTGACACACCAACTGTCGGATGTCTCGCGTTTTGCTTCAGCGGGTTGGCATACGGATATCTCCTTTGAGAAGGTTCCCTCGGATTATGCTATGCTCAAGATTCACACCCTACCAGCTACTGGTGGAGACACACTATGGGCGAGCGGTTACGAGATTTACAATCGTCTTTCACCCGCCATGCAAGAGTTCTTAGAAGGACTCACGGCTACTCATGACGCAAAATTTTTCCTGGACGAGGCAGCGAGATTAGGGAACCCACTGAGAAAAGGAATTAGAGGGCATCCTCTGAACCAAGGGGATTCACTATATGCAGTGCACCCAGTCATTCGGACAAACCGTAATTATAGCCACAAGACCGCCAAAAAAATTCATAGACTAACAGATTTGCAGCTGTAACTGGATGGAAGTCCGTCTACGTGAACAAAGGATTCACAAAGCGCATCCATGGCATAACGAAGGATGAATCCGACCTCTTGCTACCATACCTCTTCAACCTCGTCACACAGAACCATGACGCACAAGTCCGTTTCAAGTGGCGGAAAAACGACCTTGCTATTTGGGACAACAGGAGTAACTGGCATTGCGCGACGTACGACTATGTGGAGGCGCGCAGCGGAGATCGTGTTTGCAGTTTGGGCGAAGCGCCTTATCTAGATCTGAGGAGTAAAGGGCGAAGATAAACTTTGGGGCTGTAGCTGATATGATATGAACAGTAGGGTGGTTCTTGTTTCTAGTGATCAGGGCACAGCACTTACTTTTGAGTTGTTCACGTACCTCTTTTCTGGTGGTGGTGAACAACGAAATGCATAAACATCAAGTGTGAATGTAGCAATATCATATTGCATTGAATTTGCCTCGGCAACTTTAAATTTATCAGATTCAAGGCCATCGCAATACGCCCCCGTTATTACTAACTCTGGTTAGTCTCTAATTATTAGGCCCAAGCTTAGAAACGGCGCAGGAATACCTCATCTTCCCACCTCAAATCCACTACTCTAGACTCATCCACATCACCACATTCCACCACAATGACCTCCCCCTCGGGACGAAGGCTTTCAACCGGCGGAATGCCTCCCGTGAAAATTCGCTTCCACGATATTACCGAACAAGTCCCCAGCCACGACGAAACACTTTGCTACACCGCATGGGTTCAGGAAGACTTTGCGAATCCCAGCGATCGATATTCACCGTGGGACTTCCCTATCAACGATAAGCGTCCTCAACTATCCCTTCAAATCTACGACATCACGCCCGGATCGGATAACCCTGGTCATCTAGAAAGCCTCGCCCACTCACTACACGAGGAAACTTGGGAAGACCGTGAGATGATGGGTCGTGGTGAGCGTGACCGTATTGACGTATGGGGGATGCCACTCGCAAGTGATATGCCAGAAGAGGAGGTGATCGAAACGTGTAGAGCTCATGTTTCCGCTGAGATTGCTTCGAGGGAGATGACTGGAGTGTCTGATTTCCATATTCCGCGGTTGGAAGTGAAAGGGGTGTGGAAACGGGCGATTATCATCATTGATCGTCCAAAGGCCCTTTGGAATGAGGGCGAAGGTGGGTTTTTAGCTGTTTATTGGGATAGGCGCGAATCTTATGGAGATGATAACATAGGGCAAGAGGTTGAGACACGTCGTTATACGCGTGATAGGCTTGGGAGTGCATTGGAGGATTTGAGGGAGGTTGACCCTAGCGATATGCCGCAGGAAGTGACTGAGGATGGTTTGGTCCATCACAAGATGACTGTTCAGTTTTAGAATGGGAATGATATTTTGATTGCCGGTAGAAGAGTTCCAGTGGATGTGATGTCCAATCCTACTGCGATCGGATTAAAGTGAATCTATAGAGGATCAAGGGACTGGTTATAGTTGGTACGCTAATGCAGGTTCGATCTGTTGATGACAATGGCCCTGGTACAATAGTCTGTTGATGACAATGGCCCTGGTACAATAGTGTCCGCATCGCGCCCAAATCCCACGCGTCGAATTGACTCTGTCGGGAACAGGACCCAAACTTTGTGTACTCAAGCATATGCATTTGCGGTTACGCACGTATGCATGCGCTTGGTTCACGACGATTCGTATGCGATGCTTTCAATGAATATTTTGGGTTTCGTGTGTGCCAATCACGGCAGAGACGACAGCACACATGACCGAAATTCCAGAATCCTAGTCATGGAAAAACCGAACCATACAATCAGTCGCGATTAAGAAAAGTCGTAGACAAAGCACGGAGCGGACCGTGGATTTTCTACGACACGCCATATTATCGTGTTCAGCCCCGAGGTGGATCGATCAGCCCATGTGCGCACCACCACAGCATCGCAGTCCTCTAAGAGACTGGCATCGATCTAGCATGCCAGAAAATAAAATATCGTCGCCACTTTATTTTAACTGTTCTCTTCAACGGATTTGAAGAAGATGCCAGGCTGGAAAACAGTCGTCTTCTTCTCTATTCAAGCATTAATGCTCGCTTTCTTCCTAAATCAGGATCCCAAAATGGCCGCCAAACCACCTTCATCAACAAAACCTTGGGCCGATGGCCCTTGTGCTTTGATCACGACACCGCAGTATGCCACTAATAAGGTTTGTAACGGTTTTTTCTATGATCGCATCAACCCTGGTCTTGTCCAAACTCTGACAATGACTAGACCGATATATTCACGCTGGGCGCGACGCACATGGCACATATCCACAATGCGATTCTGCGTGGATACAACTCGATATATCAGCAAGCGCCACACGTAACCGACGAAGACAAACCCGAATTCATAGGTTACGCGCAAACCTGGTTCCGCTTCGTAAAAAGTCATCATGACGATGAAGAGCAGGAGTTATTCCCGCAGGTGGAAGAAGTAGTGGGTACATCAGGAATATGGGACGCGACGCATAAAGAACACGGTAAGGAGAAAACCGGACCCCATACTCTCCGACATTTTGACAACGAGGAGAGTGGTGTACAAAGATGAGGATTCTGACAATGCGACGAATAGAAGCTTTCCTAACCGGACTATCAAACACCAACGATTATCTCGCTCAACTCGCCGAAGCATTCGACTTCGACGGCTTCGAACTCCGACGCATAATGTCGACTTTCCAAGAGCCATTCGCCGCACACTTCCATTCCGAGATCAAAACGATCGTTTCTTTCGCCGATCTACCTACCGCGCCCGAGCCATCTTCTGTCAAGGCCACGCAGGCCGCCGCTGTGTTCAAGAGCTGGGGTAAGAAGACTGTGATGAAGACGGGGTCTACTGAAGGCGTGCCTTTTCTACTGCTCAATTTGGATAAAACGTATGAGGAAGGAAAGTGGGCGGCATGGCCTCCTATGCCAGCGCCAGTGAGGTGGGGTTTGGTGAATGTGGGTGGGGCGTATCACTGGGGGAGGTGGAAGTTTGCGAGTTGTGATTCTAGTGGAATGCCGAGAGAGCTGTATGCGTTGCAGTTCCCGGAGAATAAGAAGTAAGGAAATTGTATGTGGTGCATCATATGAATGAAGAAGACGAGACATTGTATACATAACAGCGAAGCGAGCGAAATGTCTGTCAATGCACAGTCACATCCAGTCATTAATTTATGTGTAAATATTTCCCGGTCCAACGTATTTGAAACTGCAACTATGAGCATTTCGATTATCGATGAAACTATACAGATACACGAGGATGTGTAAACATTTGATCATTTGAGTGTTGAGGAGCTAATGTCCATCACGTGATTGCTGCGAAAGACGCGGACCCTTGGTGATGTCAGTGCGTCGGGACCCACCAAAAATAGAAATGCCAGCGCGTCGCAAACAACAAACAATCATATCAACAAGTACAATATCCATACCTCCCCCGCCCACCATTGTACCACCCCTCAACCACCGTCGTCATCGCCACGCGATCCGTACGCCGTCCCTTGCAGCAATTACCCGCTTCACTTCCACAGACCCTTCTGCACTTGCATTCCTGCTGTAGACCCACTCCAAACTTTCCGCTATGCCGAGGGTTAAGCGCCACAAGGCCGCTAAGGAAGTGGTGACTGAAATAATGGACGATAGTCAGGGGAAAGGAGAAACAGTGGAGCATATTGAGCAGCATACATCCACACAAGAGACGAACGCGGACGTGGACATGGAGGATTGTATTGTTGTCGCACCCTATGTCCGACCGTCCAAGTTCAGGGAGGCTACCATGAACTCTACAAATTCGATACGCCCCCCACCCGACGAGCAGTGGGCAGAACTGGGGATTGACCATCTTTTGGAAGGCTATGATCAGGAGAATAGTGCCCGCCCCTCACTGCATGCTGCAAGGAAGGGTATGCCTCGAACCCAGTCAACCTCCGCTGTCCCTACCGCATCGGATCCAGAGCTCGCTTTGAAGAGAGAGCCGAGTGCAGCTACAACTCGTGAAGGCCACTTTGGGCGTATCTCCCGAGCTGTGGCATCCTTTTTCCAAGCTGCCTCTTTCTCATCGCTTGGGAAGCGCAAGGCTGGACAGGATACCGCGGAGACCGATGCCACTGCAGATGTCGATCGAGGTGATGCAAAGGAACGCGCAGAGGCTGCATATGCCGAAGCCATGGCTCGGGGTCTCTTGCCCACACCGAAGGTGTTTGTGCGTCCGGTAGCAAGGGCGCGGACGCAAGGTGTCTCGCGTGAGTACCTTCCCTTCGCATCCCAAGCAGGCATTGCTCATCTATTAGAAGCACCTGTAGTTCCAACAACGAATAACTAATAGCTTTTCTAGCCCACTCAACACCTCATGGCGTCCCGGCTACACCCAATGCCGCCCATCTCGTTCCCCGCACACCAACACTCTACAAGTCCCCCTCGAAGAAAGACTTCCAGAAACAGAAGAAGCTCAACAAACGCGTCTCCGATCTGGAACACAAACTTTCCGAGGCACGAAGGGAGCTCGCCATGACCCTATCCCCCGAAAAGGCGCCTCCCCTCCCATCCATCCCCTCCGATATCATCTCCCCACCAAAGACCGACCCGCCACCCATGAAGCGTTTCTGGCACGACAAAAGCGACGTCCCTGAAACCTCGCCCGAACCAGCCGGCACAAACCGCGTCATCAAAAAACGCAAATCCAGAGGCCACTCCGACGACGAATACAAACCCGTCGCCACGGACTCTGACTTCTCCCACGAGGGCGCCGGCAGCGAACACGATACCAAGCGAGGTAAATCCACACCGTCGAAACTCCGACGCAAATCCTCGACGCGCTCAGTCAAGAAAGGCCCGCAGGTCGTGGTCGAAGAAGTCGCGTCGCAGGAAGACGTTGTGATTGTGGTTCCCGATGACCGTGTCGGCGTCCCGCCCATCCCGGCTATTCCGCAGAATGTCGATGGGAGACGCGCTTTGCCGAGACGCGATGGGTATGGCGGGTTTGAGCATGAGATGTTCTAGCGCTCATGACTCGTCTGTGGACTGTGGAAGAGATTGGATGGTTGTATATAAGTTGCGGCTGGGTGAATTTCCCCTCCTTTGGCATAAAGAGGGATTATATAATTTTTTGGCGATGTGGCGTTTTCATATCATTTTTCTGGGTCATGGTCAACGGGAAACATTGTATCTAATTTGGGTTTCCACACTCCTTTATTTTTGTCTACGGGGCAAAGGGAGAGAAAAGTCGGACAGATGAAGGACGCGTTGATATGTGTATATTCCCTCTTTAACTTCATTCTTCATAACTTACTTTCTGCGCCTATTTTTTTTTTTTTTTACCGGTCGACTCATTGATTTCTGGTGATTTTGTGGTTTAGCAATGAAATGATTCATACACCCTATCTTTCCCTCTCCCTACATGTTTGTCCTCACTTGTATGTTTTTACTTTTACGAGATCAAATGGACAAACAATCAAACAGACAGATAACTTGAACAGATAAGTTCACAAAACCGAATCAGAAATGCAACAAGAAAAGGGAATTCTAACATTAAACTCCAAATTGCGTAGAAACAGATAATCCAGTTACATCAAATCTGATGTTTCTGTCTACATCTTTTCTTCTTTTCCTTCTTTCCTTTCTTTCCCCCTATATATATATATATATTTACTCGAGTTGGACGATTGTTCGAGTTGGAACGATGGCGCTCCCCACGAGATTGAGATTGCTCAGCTACATAGACAATCTACTTGCTTCTAGCTAGGAATCAATCAAGCGATTACTCGGTACATGTCACAGGTCATGATATACGCATAATCACGAGCGAGCGAGCGAGCAAGCAGAAATACAATTAGTTAAGCGATTCTATAATAACAGCGGACCAGGCAGATCCAGGGGACTAGGGGAGAGACAAGCCGTGACCGTGTTTTCTAAAAGAAGTTTATTTGATTAGAGGCCGAAGATTGATGTTTAAGAAAAGGGTTTTGACGAGACCAGATATATGAGGTGTGAGCAGAGACACAGAGAATGAGAGAGCAAGGAGGCGGGGAAGGGAAAGGGGAAGGTTTGAAATCAAGATCATCTTTCCTCATTTTTTTTCTTCAACTCTTCTTCAATTATTATCAACCACAACATGGAGACGAATCGGAAACTAATATCAGCAGTAGGGGAGATGATTGTGCGCCCCCCCTTCCTTCCTATTCCCTTGTGACTCTGTATTCCTTTCCACATACACACCACACGCGGAAAACCAGAGGAATGAAGAATCTCAAAAGAAGAATTGAAGACAGAAAATAAAAAGAGGAAAACGCCCTTCTTTACTTTTTCTTTCCATTTCTTCTCCCTGACCCCCCGAACCAAGAACGATCACACAGCAAGAAAAATAAAAAGGAAGAAGAAAAAGTAAAAGAAAAAACCCCTCTACATGACAACCCAAGAACCATAACCCCCCATCTATCCTTCGTCCTCATCTCCGTCACCAGCCTCACCGTTCCTGGGTTTCCTAACCTGCTCCGGACTCGGCGGACTCACAATCGTGATGGGCGTCGTGCTCCCATCCCCCGACGTAGTCTTCGTAACAGCCCCACCATCATTATTATCTGCATCGTCTACACCTTCACCGCCACCAGATAAGATACTACCTCTTCGTTCTCCAGCACCAGCTCCAGAAATCAGGCCTTCAGGAATAGTAGAAGGGCTCATGAGCCCACCGTCATCGCTGCGCGCGGTACTTGCGTTGCTGACTGTGCTACCACCCGCTTGTCGTCTACGCCGCCGCGTGTTCTCGCGCATAGCTTCGGCGTTGTCGCGACGACGGCGCATCGCGAGGTTACTGCTGTCCTTGGGTACGGCGGAGACGCCGCCCTGGAGGCCTTCGAGCATGGCGGCTGCGCGGTCCGCGACGTCGGTGTTGCTGGTGGGTGAGGCAACGGAGCTGCCGTCGACGCTTTCGCTGCCCTCGCTTGTAGGGCTGAGGATGTTTTTGGCGTCGGAACTGCCTTCGCCGCCTGTTTCACCTTCGTTGACGTTGATGCCGAGTTCGGGCATCTTTTGCCCTGACGCGACACGGACGCGGTGGCGGTCTTTGAGGAGAGCGCGCCGGCGAGTTTCGCGTTTGTCTTTTGCTTCGGGTTTCGCGTCGCGAAGTTTCTTGAGGAGGTCGTCGATGGCTTCGGTGCTGACTGGGGAGCGAGGCCCAGCATCGCCCGCGAGCGCTGACGGAGATAGAGGGTTGAGGCGCTGCTTGTTGCGGATGGACGCTTCGTTGCGTCGGTGTTGTTCTTCGAGGGCAATGTTCTTTTCCCTGGATCGCTATAGAGAAATGTAAGTATGTGTTGGGCGCGGTCAGATGACAAAGGAAAAAACGTACCTTCCACTCCATGACGAAGTTGGCCAGTTTTGCGAAGAAATCGCGGCGTGAGCTTTCGTCTTGTGGGTCTTCTCCGTAGAATGCGATAATGTCTGCATACTGCTTCTGCATATCTTCCAGGAACACTTGAAGTTGCTCTGCTTTTCGTCTTGCCTCCTTCATACTCCTCTGAACAATGATAGCGACCTTGTCCTCGGGGTGGAACTTGGTGGGGTCGGAGAGATTTCCAGCGTCGAGCGACATTTGAACGTTCTTGATGTTGTCAATGTACTTCTTAGCATCGGTCTGGAGCTGCTCGACGTTGATCTTCTGGGCAGTTATAACACCACCAATCTCATCGGTGAATCCTTCCCAGCCAGGGTATTGCTGTCTCACGATTCGCTCGACAAGGTCAGCAAAAGTTGACTCGTTCTTGTCATCCTTCAGCATGCCCAATCGAGAGAGGGTTGATAGCTTGAAACCGGTCGCTTGCTTGTTGGCGTCGTTCATGAAGTTACCAATATCGAGAATGAGACCCAAGACCGAGATCAAACTGGTGGAGCTTCGCAGACTGTCTGATACACGTGTGATCTCGAGCAGCTTGTTAGATATCTCATCGTATTCCTGCTCGTACGTTCGAGTGAGAGACAACGCCCTCATGCGGCCCCTCCAGTAGTGGTGCAGTTCGTAGGCTGTGTACAGATAGATCTGATCTTCTCTCGTGAGCTCATTTGGATCTTGTTCTCTCTTGCTTTCGGCGGCGTTCGGGCCAGTCCAGTCCTTGGAGTAGGGTGCCATAAGCTTGGCGACATTGTCCGGAATATCACAAAGGTCGTTCTTCTGCAGAAATTCCACGACAACCGGATCGTCCAGAATTTTGTCGTCACAGTGGATGATCATGCGGACGACTTCTTCAGCAGAAAGCGCAGAGTGTTTGGCCATACTGATTTGGAAAGTTTGCATGAGATCTCTCGAGATAATTTGCTTCTTCTCGTTCTTCTTGGAGGCCTTCTTGCCGATGGCTTTGATTTCCTTGGCCATGAACAGCTTCTCGACCTCGTCCAAAACACCCTTCTTCGAAAGTTCGCGGTATTTTTCTTCCTTTTCTTCGGAGGTGGCACCGTGAGCGGCCCAGACGGTAGTGGAAGGTGAGTCGACCTTGTCCCAGTGAAGAGCTTTGAGCTTTTTCTTCGGGCGAGGGCCACTCATATTCGTTGTTGTAGTTCCAGGGAGACCAGCCTTGGGCAGGAATCGGGGGCCCTTAGCACCCGGCATTGGGGGAGGTGGCGGAGGTGGCATGCTGCCATCCATTTGACCAGGCATTGGAGGCGGTGGAGGAATTCCGGGAGCCATCCCAGGCATGGGAGGAGGCGGAGGAATTCCAGGAGCCATCCCAGGCATGGGAGGAGGCGGAGGTATGCCAGGAGCAGCAGGAAATCCAAGCTGACCAGGAGGTGGTGGAGGCGGAGGTGGAGGAGGTGGACCATTAGCATTAGTGCCGGGCATAGGCGGCGGCGGGGGAATATTAGCAGGGAATCCAAGTTGACCTGGAGGCGGCGGTGGGGGAGGAGGTGGAGGAGGAGCGGCAGATGTGGATTCATCATTAGTAGACACTTCGCTGGCTTCGTCTGGGTTGAGAGGCTTGACTTTGGCGTTGAGTTCGTCCACAAGATCCGTGGGTGGTCGTCCTGGGACTTTGGTGGGCTTGTGCATTTGTATGAGCCTGGGCTTCTCGATGATAGCCTCATCATCGTCGTTCTCATCGTCTTCCGGAATATCGAGCATCGACTCGTCTTCGTTCTCGGTGGCATCGCCTCCGACAGGTTTTCTTCGAACGATGCCACTCTTGGCTCGTGACGTTCCGAGCGAGTTGGGGTCGACTCCGCTGAATTGTTCTGGTCCCGGACCCATATTGCCATCCATCTTCTCCCGAAGTTCTCTGAGTTTCTCACTTGGCTGGACCTGGTTAAGGTTACGGCCCTCGAGAGTTGCTTGCGTCTTAGCTCTTTGCAATTGAACTTCCAGTCGGCTCATGAGGTTTTCGCGATCCAGAATGCCTTGCATTTGTGTAGGATCTGTGGCGCCGAGACCCTCCTTGCCACCTTTCTTTGCAGCAGATGCAGCAACGTCTTGAGCATCCCTCAGCATCAGATACAACTCACGCGTTTCCAGTTCGTTTCGTTGCAGTTCCTGGGCTCGTATCCTCTGAATTTCGGCCAACTCGGACTTCATCTGATCGATTTGCCTGCTACGGACCGCAATGATGTTCTCTTGCTCTGCGAGTTGTTTCTGGAGTTTCTGAACTAGGCCATCTGCACCCAGCGCAAGTTGAGCTTTCATTTCATCTCGTTCGGCAATGGCTGAGTCGGCAATCTGCCTGGATTCAATCGCTTCATCTCGAACTTGACGTGCTTCTCCATCAGTGTAGAGCTTGTCGAGCAGTGACTGGACCGTAAAATTCAAACTTTGCTTGAGATCCATGTCCGGTAACCGACGGTCCATAGCGACATAACTGAGCATAGAATCCACGAGCTGAAACATCTTGAGTCGATCTTCGCCTTCAGTATCCCGAACGATAAGCAGATGTTGCATGGCAGAGACGAAGTAATCCTGGGCCCGGGTATTGTTGAGCTTGTTAGAGATGGCATCTGCAATCTGGATGGGATCGTTGAGATCTTTGACCTCGCTTTCCACGCCCTCTGTCATCGAGCTGTTCTCCCGCTCCAGATAATCTTCATAGTCAATGGCTTCGTTGTTCAGGTACCGTTCGATTTGCTTGTCAATGACTTCGTACTGGAAGCCCTCCATCTTCTGGAAAATACGCTTGATGCCACATCCTGTAAATTGTGCTCGGATGTGCATTCTCAACGGGAGATCGCGAGGGGCATCTACAACCATGTTGATGAGGAAAAGGGATGCAATGGCGTATTCCATTAGCAGGTTCTCCACGCCGATACCTCCGCTTCGAACTTCGTCTGACGCTCCCACCATGGAGCCCATCTTGCCGCGGCCGTCGACTGTGACCTCGACAACACGCATCCAAGCATCGAACCGGCCGTTTTCTCCATATTGAGCTTTGAGTGTGTCGAGAGCCTGCAACACCTTCTCGTGGCCCGCACCCTCCCCCCAGTGGCAAAGGAAGGTCAACACATCAGAAGTCAGTTTCCTCGTATTTATCCGGGAGGAAATGAGCGAGCTTGCAAGCGCCTGAATGATGGAAGGATGCGCCAGTGCGTTGTCGGCTCCGTACTTGTTGTTCATCAAAGCTTTCAAACACTTGATGATTTCGTACTCTCTTTCCATGTCATTCTCTCGCGATGGCATAGCATTTGGCGGCGGAGCTGGACCCTGTCCCTTCCTGCGGTTGATCTTTGTTAAGACATTTGTGAGGGCAATCTGCCCCTGTGCCTCGATGAAGCCTCTCACCCAGGCAATTGGCTGGGTTCGAAGACTGATTTCCAGACTCGACATTTGCTTGAGAGTGATGGAATTGTCCATGACCTTCTTCACATACCACTCGGGGGAGCCTTCCTCCTCGGCCCTTGCTAATATATCGGGATTTGCACCACTAGTGCCTACGTATGTATTGCGGTATGTCTGGCGTTTTCTTTCTTCGTGCTTCAGCTCAGCAAGTTTATCTTGGTATACCAATGTCCACTTCTTATCAATCTTATATGCCTCCATCTGCCGGCGAGCCTGCTCAGGCAGACTCTTCCAACCTCTCTTAACCATGAGATTCATGAATTCTTGCTCGACGATATGATCGGGAGGTCTTTGTATAGAAGCGCCATTCTGCTGAAACGAGGCGGTGGAGGAAAAGGCCGAGGGCTGCTGCTGGTTGCTGTGGTGGAGCACATGGCGGTAGGAATCGCGAGGGGTAGATACGGCGGTAGGGAGGAGGCTGCCTGCATCGAGGCCGATGGAGGAAAAGGTGGATTGCGACGGGTTTTGGGCCATGTATACGTTGGAACCGCGTGTTTTGGAGTCGTTGGAGTAAACACTCGCTTGGTCGGAGGAAGTGCGGGTGTTATTTGACGAATCGGTGCCGGCGTAGGAGGGGTAGCCATTGCTGGACCTTCCCACCGAACCCCACTGCTGAATGGACACACCACGGTCGCCAGGCTGGCTCGAGGCCATTGCATCGCTGCGCAGCGGTTGCTGCTGGTGCTGAGGGGGCCGCGGAGGCGCGGCTTGCGCTTGCTGGTAGGTGACCTGGGGCATTTTGGAGGCGTCGAAAATGGGATATTGGTGGAAGTCTGCACCGGAGCGATTGAGGTGATGGGGCTGCAGGGCGTCTCCGCCGCGAATGCTGTGGTTTGCAACGGCAGCGCCTGATGGGGGAGGGCGTCCGTCGGGGGTTTGTTCAAAGGGAATGGAAGAGTAAACGCCAGCTTGCATGGCCAGTCCGGGCTCAATGGCCATAGACACGGGGCGGTCTACCGAAACAACAGAGCTACTATGCCGATGGTGGCGCGATGGTTGCGAGCCTTGCGAGCTGCCTGGGGGGCTCTGGTTGTAGGAATTGCCTTCATTGCTGGCGACCTTGTCCTTGTCCTTGTGCCGCCTGCCAAAGAATTTGCCGGCGGAGCTTTGCCTACCGGCTGACATGGTTCTGTGTAATGGACTGGCTCTCTACTAGATGCGGCGCGCGACGCCAGACGTTATGGGATGAAGCAGAGCCAAGGAGGGCTCACGGCGCGAGGTGATGCGATGCGATGGGATTTGTATGGGATGCGATGCGATTGCGATGGCAGCGAATGACGATGGGTGCGGCGCGATCCCTATTCTCTCTCCCCTGTAAACGACCGTTTGTTCTGGACTCTATCCAAGCGGCCTGTCCCCTGATGTTGAGCTGGCTGTCCCCCTTCACACTCTCCCACGCCTCCAAGAATGGCAGTCTTGAGTCTATCTTTATTCAAACTTTTGTTTCCCCTTTCCTTACCAGCTTCTGGTGTAGGTTTCAGTCTCCTTCCTGCCTTATTCTCTATTCCGGTGGTTTCTTTCGTCTCGTCTCGTCTCGTCTCCGGTCGGTCCTCACAACAGTTTGCCGATCACGGGCGGCTCTTGCCCTCTCTGCGTGGTCCGGGCGGGCAGTACTTGGCTGGACGGTCCAGCGTGCCTTCGCGTTGGGTGAATAGGAATACTGAAACAAGGAGTGTGGGGACAGGGCGTGATGCGTGAGGCGTGTGTGATGCGACGACTCAATCCCCTGATGGCGACGGACGGCGGGGGGGAAGATAGCGGGTAGACCTAAAAGGGGTGTGGAGGACGCGAACGGGGGGTAGGAAAATCAAAAGAGAGGAAGCCCGTGGATTTGTAGATGGGAACTACGCCGTCGGTGACGGGCAGAGAGACGTAGAGTCTGCCTGGGTATCTACCTACTGGGATACCTGCTTGTCAGTATCAACGACGACGTTGGGGAAACAGAGGTGGTCGTGCGTGCTGGTGCGTGGGAGTAAAGTGGGCCGGCTATGCGGCGTGCAGGGACTGACCGCCAAAGACAGCAGAGTAGGAAGGTCTTTTATGCTATCCAGCTACTCTCTCGTTGAAGAGTGCAACTTCTTGGGAGTATGTCTATACATACATATGTACTCACAGCAATCGCCTCTTGTGAGACACATGATTTGTAGCTCTTACTCATACATATGTGCACTCACTATTATTATTAGGCCCGAAGGTCTGACTCTATGTACAGTGACTGCAGTCGTAGATATATCATCAGCTCGCCACATTTTCCTACGCTGTTACGCCTGTATACGCCCAGGAAATGTCCTTTTTCAATCGTGATGAAACTCATGTTGATGTTGTCTAAACAAAAAAAAAGGCAATATGAAATTATTAACTTTAGGGCTCCCGATACGGGGAATAAATAGAGTGCAAAAGCATGCACGGTACCGGTCGTCCCCTAACCAAACCATCTGGCCTGAGCGAGACAAATCAGCACCGAACCCCCCCTGTAAACCTCCGCGCCTCCGCCGCCGTCTGTTTGGACCTCACTCGACCCTCTCCCTCCCCCAGACCCTTCCGCCAACTCCCGTCGTTGTTGTCTTCAATCGAACAAGACTTCCTTCGTCCTTTGACATGTCTCTCGTTTAAACTGGCCGACAAAGCACAATAGCAAGCGCGTTACAAGCGAACCCCCGAGTTCCGGGGGGATATACCTGTCCCATCCAATCCCTACTTACTCAGGTCCTCGAGAAGACGCGAAAATAAATCACCGCACACATATCTTTACGTTTCGCACGCCATTCTTCCTTTTTTTCCTTTCGCGCCGCGCCGCTCAAAAATAAAACAACAAAAAAAGAAAGAACGCCCTCCAGTAACATACCCAGACCAACACCGCCGCCTAGCGCGGCAGCGCAGCGCAACACCAGGCAACTCACCCAACCTCCACTCCACCGCCAAAATGTCAAGCCTCACGCACATCCTCAAGGTCCGTTCTTTCCTTCCACCACCCTCCACCAAACCCCCAAAAATTTACCCAAACTAACAAACCCACCCCAGGCGCTCTTCATACCCCTAACAATCTCCCTCGCCCTCTACACGCTCCTAATCCACCTGCTCCTCCCCTTCCTCCGCCGAAACCGCCAACTCTACACCTCCTACCTCCCCCTTTCCTCAACAACATCAACAACGCCAACATTCCCTCTCTCCTCTTCTTCCAATGCTAGTGCGACAACGCCATCAACGCTGCGCACCGCGCTTATAAACCTCTTACTCCCCGCTGCGCTGCGACGTCGGTTCCAGAGAAGAACGGACACGCAGGCGGAGGACGCGGATAGTTTGTTTGACGATGAGGAGGGCGAGGGGATGATTGGGTTTGATGACCCCGTTAGTGAGAGGAGGAGGGAGGCGTTGGAGCAGAGGAGGAGTGTGGGGGGGTTTGAGGGTGCAGTCGGGTTTATGGGGAGTGTGAGGGACGAGGGTGGGGGGAGGTTGAGTAGGGAGTTGGAGGAGGGGTTTCGGGATGAGAGTGAGAGTGAGAGTGAGGATGGGGATGAGGAGGTTGGGAGGGGGAGGTGGTTTGGGTAGGTTTGCTTGTTGGGGTTGGGTTGGGTTGGTGTATTAGAAGAAGATGAAGGAGGCGGAGAGGATGGTTATATGGTGATTTTTTTGGTGTTTGAAACGGGATGTCCATGTTGATTACGACATCCCTCAAAGCGCAGCGTTTTTCTCTTCTGCACGTGTGCATCCTATTCTATTTCTTGTTCAAGTATCATGTTCATTTCTCATGTTATGCTATATACAATATTCATCTCCTCTAGAGACAAATCCCCCGAAAGTAAAGGGAATAAAAGTGATATAAAGACCAGACGTGCCGTACCGTGATGGAAGGAAAAACTTATCCATCGCGCAAAAGGTAGCAAGCAAGGAAACAAGAATCAGTCATCGGTGGAATCTCATCCTCTAAGCATTGGCGTGCTTCTTGCCCTCACGCTGACCGTACGCCTTGGTGGCGTAGTCGCCCTTGTGCACAATCAGATCCTCAGGCTTGTAGTCCTCGCGACCCGAGAAGTACGAGTCGAGGATAGCCTTGGTTCCAGCAGCGTAGCGCTTCTGCGCATCGATGGAGGTACCTGACATGTGGGGGACCATGGCGTTGCCTCCGCCCCATGGGTTCTGGGCGTAGCGAAGAGGGTGGTCCTTGGGTGCGGGTTGCGGGAACCAGACGTCACCACCGTAGCCGCGGAGGTGACCGGACTTGAGGGCATCAGCGACGTCTTCCTTGACGACGATGGCGCCACGGGCGGTGTTGACGAGCCAAGAGCCTTAACACATAAAAGTTAGAATTTCGTTCCTCTGAATGGATTAGGAAAAAGGGCATGACATACCCTTCTTCATCTTGGAGATGAGGTCCTTGTTGAACAGACCGCGCGTCTTCTCGTGAAGCGGGCAGTTGATGGTGACAACGTCACACTGTGCGAGCATCTCCTCGAGGTTCTCGACGCGCCTGCAGCCAATCTCCTTCTCCTTTTCGGGGGAAAGGGGCTGGTAGTCGAAGTAGAGGAGCTCCTTGCAATCGAATGGCTTGAGCCTTCTGAGCACACGCTCGCCAATGCGGCCTACAGCAACAGTGCCCACCACCTTGTTCTCGAGATCGTACTCGTTTTTAGCCACGGCCGCAACGTTCCAATCTCCAGAGGCGATCTGCTCGTGCGCGGGGACGAAGTTGCGCACAAGTGTCAGAATGGTCATGATGACATGCTCGGCGACGGAAACGACGTTGGATCCCGTCACTTCAGCAACGGTGACTCCGCCATTGGTCTTGTTGGCGGCATCAAGGTCGACGTGGTCGGACCCGATACCAGCTGTGACGGCGAGCTTGAGCTTCTTGGCCTTTGCGAGACGCTCGGCTGTGAGGTAACCGGGATGGAATCTATGTGGATCCCCCTGGTCAGCAAGATCTTCGTTTCAACGATCGCATTGGCTTGTCTTCATCGTCGAGTCGAGTACTCCTTATCCCGAAGTAGCCACGGGTAGACATGAAGGATGTAGGATGACGATGGCGTTGCGGGGCAAGCTCGGAACATGCGGGGTAGCTGCAGCTTCCTTCCGCCCCTACATCATAGCTAACAACTGCCGTTGCTGCCATGATCCAGCGCAGTGGAGTGGGATAGGAGTTCGGTAATCACACAGAAAAGAGGGGCAGCACATACGGAGTGGTGATGATGACCTCAGCGTCTACGAGCTCCTGGTCGAACTTTGAGTTCTCGCCTTCTTTATCCGAGGTGGTGACGAGAGTGTGACCCTGGTCCTCGATCCATTTGCGGATACCCAGTTCATTCTCAGTGGTTCCGAGGAGGTTGGGTTCTTGTTGAGCGTGCTCGCCGCCCTACAGCGATTGTCAGAAGAGTTCAGATAAGACAGCGTTTAATGGTGATTGTCGTGATAGTGGAGGCTATAGTATAGCTAATGGACTTGGTTGAAGACTTGTACTCACGTCGTAGAGAACAAGAAGAACTTTGCCCTGTTGTGATGCGGTTGCTGTTAGCGTTCTGGTGTTGTTGGGTTGACGAGCAAACGACGCTCCCGGTGCGAATCGAGAACCGGCGCGAGCGGAAAGGACAGAGGAGGCTGGGCGGGCAAGCCGAGAAACTGAACGGAGAAATACCATGATGAAGAAGGAGGAGGTCTGGTTTGTTGTTTGTATCAAAAGTGGCTTCGGATGGACTTAAGTAGGTGTCGAGGCAAACAAGGCGGTACGTGATCCTGACGTATCATATACATGTCAGCGATAATGTACGGGGGTACCTGGGAGGATCAAGCTGATACGAGGGGAACGGCTCACTTACCGATGCGTAATTGGAAATGTGAAGCAAGATCAAATCGAAGTTTGCTGTGCAGTGTGAGAGGGAATGGGAAGGCCTTGGGGTCTGTTACCTCCCGACTTTATATGTGAGACGTCAATAGGAAGCACTCACGAGCACTTCCATTCGACCTTCTCCTCCAAGGCCAGCCATCTCCACTTACACCTTCTAGCTTCCCCACCATCCAGCAACAACCTCCATGAAGCGTGGCAAGTGATACCGTCCAGCAAGGGGAAAACAATACGCAATGGCAGAAGGCGGGTGCGGGGTTGCAGCGAATCGCCGCGGCGGCAAGCTTGCTTGGTGAAGGTGGAGCTTGCTTGGTGATGGTTTGTTCGACCTGCGCATGTCCATTCAATCAATCCCCAGCCCGCGCCGAGTTGCCCCGTTTGGTAGGCTGAAGCTCAAAGAGGGGCACGGCAGTCGATTGACCGGTCGTCATCTCGTGTAGCCCACGAGGCCTGCGAGCTCTCCAGGGTTCCGAGAACCTCCCGATGCGGAACCGCAGGGTCACAACCCCTTCTGTTGATGAATCTGGTATATTGATACGTAGAGAGGAGACCAATTGGTGACATTGTCCATCAATCAGAGACAGAGACGATATCTTCTCGCTGAAGCCCAACGTGGCCTGGGGGGTAGGTGAGCTCGAGCTTCGAGTGCATGCTGCTGCACATCCATCCACCCGCACGATCTAGATCCGTACCTAGGCCTTGATGTCATGCCCCGATGCACGATCAGACGCAACGCGATATATACGTGTCCGATAAATGCGGATCATGTTCGCCCATGCTGCGGCCGCGAGATGTCTCCGTCGGTTTTCGGCGTTTTCACACGTTGATTCGCACAATGACCGGCCGAGCTTCGGGCTGATGGAGATCAATCGGTGATAACACGCACCAGCCCCGGAGAACCTCCGAGGCATAGGCGTTATCGTGGGTATATCTCGCTCTGCCCTTATAGCGACATCGGGCATACACGTCCATTGTTTGTCCTGCTTTGGGCATGCTTTCCTGGCTTCACGCTAAAGTCTGTGCGATCGTTCGCGACGAGTTACGTACGGTGTCTTTAACTGATTACATTCGCGATGGAGCATCGATGAAAGTTGTTCCAATTGCTTGGGCGTCCTGCATGTGGCGTGGAGGACTGAGCGTCGCCTCATCCAACGGTCCAGCTCTCGTCTCGCATCACAGTCCATCTACCAGACATGTATTTTGCAGAAGTTGGAGGTTTTTTCACGACAAAAATTATCATTGAATTGGTTCCCAAGACGTTGGGATCTATCATCTAATTGTGGACAAGAACGTGCAATAGCGGAACCGAAAACTGAATCTGCGCCCATATCCAACATGAACTGTCTGAATAGCACACAATCTCAAACACCATTACTTTTACATTCCGGGCATTATACAGAAACCAGAACAACAAAAACAAACAAAGACAATATTACTTAGGGCAAGGCAGAGCCTTCGTCGCGGACATTGGAGGATGACAGAATCCCTGATATCTAATCGCATTCGTTCCTCCACTCTTCCCATTGCTTTTCGAATCGAGGCGCGTCGCTTCCTTGCATGTACCCGAACAAGATGGGACCCTTTCGCCAACCTCGCACGTCGTTAGGCAAGCGTAGGTCGCTTTGACCCCACCGTTGCAATTGAGTTGCACTTGTCGACATTGTTTGCTACCACATTGTGGACGCTTTGGATCGCATAACGTGGGAGTCAGCGGTCCGTTGTTAACGGCGACTGATTTACTGGTGAGCTGGAATGCTGACTGATCCGTCCACGGTGTGAATGCGAGGGGTTCCAAGTCGAGAAGTCCGGATTTTTGGCTATCCGACGCCGGCGGAGGTTTTTCAGATGTCGCGTTGCGACCTGTGGGATAACCGGTAGAAGACTGCACGCAGAGGCTAGGGTCTTCCCACGTAGCATGCGCTACATCCCGCCAGAGCCTTGTCATGTTGTATGCGTTGTCTTTGGTGTAGTACAGACGACAGTCGGCAGCCAGATACTTGAACTGTAGCGGTGTCGGGTCGTCGGCGCGAACTTGGTCTCTGATGGTGACACCAGCATAACGCACCCACATACCAGTGTCTGTGCGGTTGGGTAACTTTGCGGCTACATCTTCTCTATCGACTGGGAACGCCAATCCTTCCTGGAAGTCGTAATCGATCTCGTCTGCTGAGTAGCTCACCGCACCTCGGCTACCACTCACTGCTTGCATCGGTCCAGGAGAGGGGTGACCACCCACAGCGATCGTACGAACACCAGCCTGGTGTGTCATGAATTCGACGAAAAGCGAACAAGCAGAAGCGCAGAGCCCGTCAGTTAGAATGACAATCTCATCAGGAGACCATTGAGGCACAACGTTGACCAGTGGAGCGTCCGGGTCATAGCCCCATGGAATATCACCGAATGCGGCATAATCGAAGTTCTGGTTAGAGAAGTCGTAGCGCTCTGCAGCAGAAAAGGTGTCGCCATTGTCAGGGCGCGGCGTATAGTATTCAGCCCAGCTGGAAAAAGTGCGATTGGTGGCGGCATTGAGGCGGTTGGTAGCGATCCACTCGCTGGCTCCATACGCGTAGTTTGTCTCCTTGTCCGTGCTTGGAAGGTCCCACCAGCCGTTGTAGGTTTCACCCAAGATATTGCCCAGCTCGTGGCTACGCTTACGGCTTGCTCCATAAGCCTCAATATTTGGGAAGAACATCCTGAAGGCATCGTAAGCTAGGAAAGTAAGCCCACCCGTGTTTTGTTGCAGGTCTATGATCACACGGGTCGCATTAGCCTGGGAAGCATTGCCAATAAAGTCGAGGATCGATTGGCGAAAGTTAGTGATATCGTCGCCTAATTGAAAGAAGACTGGAATGCTTAGTACGGCAGTGGAGTTGTCGTTTCCATCGAGCATATAGCCGGACACAACACCCTCCCCCTGTATAGCGAGGTCTTTTTGGGTGACGATAGGATCGTTCGGGTACGCGCCAAAGCTGGTGAAACACCAGTTCTCCTTCGAGGGATTTCCATCATTGCAGTAGTCTTGCAAGACAGAGGCAAAAGCATCGCTGTCCCCGTCATCATCCTCATTGTCTCCTCCATCCCCTAAATCTAAAGCTGGCCACCATTGAGCCTCTTCGTCATAACTATCCGGGAGGAGACCAAGTACAAAATAGTTGTAGAAGTCTCCACCAGTTGTAAGAGGGCCCGTATCGTTGCAGCCCGAGCAGTAAGCCCACCACTCATTGTTTGGCTCGGTCGTAGTGCCATTCATGTCCGCGAAAGTGAAATTGATCTGGGCACCTGGATAGAGACTGGCTGTCTGGAAGGTGCTCAATTGGCCTTGGATATCGGCTGCTGGACTATCCATGATAGCGTTCCAATCAGCGTGACGCTCAAGAAAGCCCTCCGAATTGCGCTCTGCAAATTGTTCCAGGTATTCCAACACGTCCACGCCGTTGATTTTGGTGATGTGCGAGGCTTTGAACTCCCCACCAGTCACAAATTCACGGTATAGATCGTCATCGATGTAAATCTTTGGTGCTTCTTTCCCATCACTAGATGCGCTCACAAGACCATAGGGGCTAACGAATGTAAATGCCGAAAGCGCTCCGACATCGAGATTTACGTGTGTATCCCGCAGCTGGGAAGTGAAGAGTTGAAGCTGAGTCTCGAATTCATATTGGTTTCTGTAGACACCTGACGTCACGTTTTGCTTGATACCAGCTAAGGTCTTTTTGACATCGAATGGTGGTCTTTGGTATCCTGTCGGCGGTGCTTTGAGGTATTCCAACGTCGACTGGAACTGAAGAGTGGTGTTGTAATAGTCGAGGAATCTAATCGCAACTGCTGGGTTGAACGGAATGCTCTGCAGGCAATCATGCGCGAGTGACGCGGGAAAGAAATTATAGTCTACGCACAATTAAAACTACTAAACTTTCGCAAGTTGGCCCAAACAATGGTCACAAACCGTTCTTGACAAGTACAATGATGTCTCCGCAAGAGGTGGAAACAGCAGGAGAAGGCGTTGTTGGCGACGGCTCTTGACGAGGAGCAAATTTACCCTTCAATGGCTTCGCCACAGCAAGGAAAGTGCAAAAGGAAAGTGCCAGGATCCTAATGAACGACATGGCGAACAGATGCGTTGGGGTCAACTAACGAGCTGGTGGTGGGAAAAAGGGCACGGCCGTGTCTTTATAGTGACAGACATGAGGATGAGAACATGGGTCAATATGCCTAACTCCTTAAATTGGTATCCTCAGCTTGAACTAGGGTGTGAATTAAGGTAGGACAACAAGACTTGTACGCCCCAGAAAGAAGGCGCAGCTAAAAATCGATGAACCACGATCTTGGTGCCTGCGCGCTATTGTTATTTACTGATACGAGTTTTGGCCCCCCAAGGACTGAAGAACGTCCTTCATCGAGAACGCAAAGACTATAAGCGATCGGACATTAGCATCTGCATGGTCGTTGTGATTGGTCTACTCGTAACTACTCTCCGAAAGAGGACAAACTCTCCGGTTCAGTCATCCGGGGTGGTGGTGTGTGATGATAAAAGAAGCGTCCCCCCTTCTGTTGTGCTACCATCCGGTGAGTCCAGCTATAGATCGCATCATGCAGTGACACCTTTCATCTACCAATCATCCGAGCCTGTGTATAAGCTATGTTGATTACCAGGGTGTAGCTGACACCAACAGTCTTATTTATCCCACTACGGCTGAATCTGCGTGGACGCCAAATCGGCCCCATGCCTCCTGCGCAACCGCCCAACGACGCCTCCAACCTTTAGTGTCCTCGTGTCATTCTCATCATCCAAGCAAACGCACAATTCATTTCGATTCTCCCCATTTCGCATCAGAAGCAGCAAGAAATGGCAGAGCCACTGTTTGACCCTTTTGCCCTGCGAAAACACACATTACACCCCGCTTTGAGCCACAACAATCTAGTGGCAGATGATGTCGTTACAGAGATATTCGATTCGTTCCTGCAGTCGCAGGAGTTTCGTGCGTGGTCCGGTGGCACAAAATCTTGGCAGCTAGAGGTCTTCGGAGATCCGGGGAGCGGCAAGGTAAGGCTTTGTCAAGCTCAGGACTACAAACGACTCATTGCTCTTTCTTGAAGACAACATTCGCTGCTATCGCTTCGACTCATCTACCACGAGTGATAAACGGCGCAGAAACCGCCATCGCTTCTGTCTCAATCTGCGATCGTGTCGATTCTGCTTCACTGAACTTTGTCGAAGATCTGTTCCAGTGCATACATGACTCGTTCGATGCTGGCTCCAACGAACGTTGCCAGAAATATCAGCGTGCGTGTGATGAAGGAAAGCCGATAGCTGAAAGGATCGAATGTTTGATCGAGGTGTTGCGCTCTTCTATTCCCGGACAAACCAAATTCCTCATACTGGACGGTTATGATCGAATGAACCAAGTTTTGCAGTTCACTGTTGATCAGTATTTCTCGCGTCTCCAGGAGAGCGGCGTGAGACTAATGACAACTTGGAGAGTCCCAAGGTTCTGCTTCCCTTCCAATGAAGAGTGTGATAGATGCGGATCGGACTATTGCAAGTTGTGGTGGGAATGCAAACAGTGCGGCGACTACTTATGTTATTATTGCATGGCTGAAGAGGAAGCTAATTCTTCACACGGTTGTGGAAGCGCAGACTTCAGAGAGACATATTCTCGCGTCAGCGCTGATCTAGGGGGAGTCCTGCCAGACGCCGTTCTAATCAAGAAAATCCAGCAACATCAAATCCACATGAACTCGGATATATGCCGGAGAATTATTGATCATATCAAGCTCAGGGCAGGAGCAAATATCACTGTGGCGTTGCTATATCTCGAGGACATTCTTTCTCAAGATAACGCTGCATCTTTTAACGCAGATCGCGTCAGCGATAGGCTCCCAAGAACTGTTGTCGCTTTTTTCAACGATGAGATGAAATTGATCGAGGATCTGCCGCATTCTCAGCGCTTGCCGACACTCGTCACTATTGCTGCTGCAACTGATAAATCATACGGCATAGGCATGGAGCAGCTTGGACCACTGCTTGAAACCGTTCAAGAAGCTAAAGTGGATTTGAGTTACCCTAGAGGGATCGAAGATGTTCTTAGATCAGCAAATGGGTGGCTTCAAATCCAAAACAAGAAACCTAGAGCTATTAGCTTTGCTTGTAGCCCTTCTTTCAGACTTTATGTTCAAGAGGACTACAATGATAATTTGAAGTCAGCCAAAGACTTATTCGAGCATTCTGAGGGAGGAGAGTCTCATAACGATACGAATAATCCCCCACCAGAAAAGTCCCCACCACAACCTAATGACAAGGCGGAAGAAAAGCAAGCCTCTCCAAATGTAGATCATGCGAGAGAAGCAGGGGGTTCCAGTGTGGATATGTCTACGGAGTCGAAAGGCTCGTCACGTGAGCCCGCGAAACAGGTCTGCAACTTCTGCGTAAGCAGCATATTCGAATCAACAATGTCATCGGGTCAGCACCATGTCTCAGCACGCTTGGCTAGATCAGCAGCTGAGGTGGAGAAATGCGCAATCTGCACTTCTCTATATCCCCACGAAACCTTGGACAGTGATTCAAATTGGCCACTGTACGCCTGGAGCTTGCAGACTTCACCACGCGCTAACTCCCCTACATTGCGATTCCGGTCCATCCATGGAGATCTCAAACCCCATGTGATCTCACTTACCTCCAGCGACGACTATCCACTTCCATCGCATGTTCGATTAGGCACAACTACAGATCCCGCGCAGAACGGTGGATACCAGATCAAAGAATGGATCGAGAAATGCGTCAACGACCATGCCGGCTGCCACGTGGAATCTCATGGTGGGAATCCTGAAACCCCGTTTCTACCAACTCGGCTCATCGATGTCGAAACTGGCGATGTCAACCTCGTTCGCCTGGTGGAAACGAAAGTCCCAGGCGTCGACATAAAGGGGCCATACTGCACCTTGAGCCACTCATGGGGGCCTGCAGAAAAAGCCTTCTTATCCACAACTGTGTGGAACATGGCAAAGCATCTAATCTATGGAATCCACATGTCTGAGCTTCCTGATAACTTCCAACACGCCATCGAGGTCACGCGTTTTCTTGGGATTAGGTATATCTGGATAGACAGTTTGACGATCGTGCAGAAACCGATGGGTGATTTCAAGGTGGAAGGGGAGCTTATGCATCAGGTTTATAGGAATTCATACTGCAATCTGGTTGCTGCGGACTCGTGGCATGGGTATCAAGGCTTTTACAGACAGCGCAATCCGCAAGCCACTCTGCCCGTGACTTATCGAGGAACAGGTGCAAATCGAATTCTAGGAAAGAAAGAGTGGGCTGTCGTTCCTACAGATATGTGGAAAAAGGAACTTTTGGATTCGTTCATATACACTCGTGCATGGGTGTTCCAAGGTAAGTTGTACTAACAGCGGCGATGTTTCGCCGGATGCTGGCTAACCTTCTACATTCAGAACGCATGCTCTCACCGCGCCTTCTACACTTCACCAAGAATCAAGTCTTCTGGGACTGTGAAACGCTCTCCGCTTGTGAGGTATTTCCAAACGGTATACCCTTCTCGCTCGATCACCAAGCAAGTACAGATCGACACTGGCGCGGTCGCCTAGGCCAAAGCCAGTCAGCCTTGACAGGCTTTTCCGGAGCAAACGACGATGAGAGCTCCTACACATTCTGGATGACTGCGGTTGAATCGTACACCAGTTGCAATATTACAAATCAGGGCGATAAGGCCATTGCAATATGGAGTATTGCGAAGTTGATACGCGATACTTTGCAAAACGAAACGTATGCTGTGGGCATGTGGTCACAGTTCCTAGAGGAACAGTTAGCATGGAGAGTACGTGATGTCGAGAAAAGCGAACGGGATCCTCAGCTCCAGAAAGATATCCCCAGTTGGTCTTGGGCTAGCGTCAAAAGTCGTATATCTCCTGCACATCGTATTGTAGAGAGGACATACAAAGCCAAGAATCATCAAGGCGGCGATTTGAACTTCACACTCAAAGAAACCGTCAAAGCTCTGGATGGGCAGCCGAAACAAGATAAAGATAGTGTACAGCCAGAACTCGCAAGCAAAGCCCTGGCAATCACAGGGCACATCAAGACCGGAGCGCTGTCGACTAAAGACGACAATCTCCGCCTCCAGTTCGTGACTGGTGATCAAAAGATAGAATTTGATGCATTCCTAGACGAATCGCTCGACCGCATAGATATCGACCTCAGCGCATGCGAATTCGTCATCATCGCCGCTACGCGCTCGCCCCTCAATGAGTTCTCTGCTGGTTTCCAGGATGACTCAAATGAAACTGCGCCTCCTCCAACATACTCCGGCTTTGGGATTCTCCTAACTAAGCGATCAAAGTGGTTTGAGCATCAGCAAGAACGTCTTCGTATGTTCAAAGAAGAAGTCGCGGGTAGAGAGATGGATAGAGGTGAAGGATGGAAGATGGAAGCATTCGATGCACTAATGTTGACGAAGCCAGCTGTTGAAGGTGAGTTGGTTTATAGAAGGGTGGGGATTCTGCAGTTCACAAATTGCACAGAGAGTGCGTGGAAGGAGTTACAGCGAGGTGAGGCGGTGAAGTTTTGGTTGGAATGAGGTGGACTACCTCTTTTCTTTCACAATCTGGTGTGCGCGTCAAGATAAAGCACATATGCACAAATTGGCGGATTTGTAATGTTTCAGTTTTCTAATCGATCAGCTTCATTTCAATTGCCTATCGAATACAGCTATTTCCCCATCTATAAAACCTTGACATCAAACTTGCCCGTGGCTTGCGGATTCCCCAGAATCCATGCAACACCCTCTTCAATGCAGCGATCCCAATCAGCACTAACTTCCAGCGCATCCCCAAATCTCCGATATCCATGTGGAACTCCTTTGAACAATCGAATATCGGTAGGTACGTTCGCTTCAGCCAAAGTCTTCCCATAGAGCAGCGCCTCATCCCTCAAAGGATCTAGACCAGCAACACCGATAACAGTAGGCGGTAAGCCTTTCGTCTCAGCGATAGTAGCATTAACAATATTAAGCTTTGTATCATCCACGGGTGGAGGAGGATCGACCTTCAACATACCCATGAACCAGTCAATCACGTTGCGCGGTAGGATCGGCGCATTCGCATTCTCATGGAGAGATGACTTCTCAGGGCTCACTATCTTCTTCAAAGGTCCTTCGTCGTATGTCCCAATCCACGCAAGAGCCGGAATCATGAGAATCTGCCCTGCGATCGGAGGCAGGTCCTTAAGAACATCGCTTTTACCCAAGTGCTTCTCAAGCACCAGACTCGCGCTGAGCTGCCCACCCGCCGAAACGCCCTCGATGATGACTTTCAACGGATCGCCGTTGATAGCTGGAGTAGAGATATTAGCATGTAGCCACGCAAACGCATCTTGCGCATCGAGCCACGCAGTCGGGAAAGCGAAGTCAGGCGTGTGGCGGTAGTTCACGTTGAACACTATGACTCCGGTTTTCAACGCCAGATCGGCGCATACGGCGTCTTCGCTGGAAAGAGTGCCGAAGAAGAATCCTCCACCGTGGAAGTGCACGCAGACTGGTAGTTTCTCTTCTGCGCTTTTGGCTAGAGGACGGTAGCTGCGGGCTTCTATGGTGGATCCGTCGCGGGTGGATATCGTGTAAGTCTCGATTTTGAGTTGGGAAGCAAGAGGTTTTAGTCCTTCAGCAGCGGTGTTCTCTCGTCGATCGTTGTTCGCCTTCTTCACTGCGTTGACATCGGCGTCGATGCCGAAAAGGTTCTGCGGGATGGTTTTTTCAACTGCGAGCCATTCGTCGCTTGGGCCGCCATACTGGGAGAAGTCGCACATTTTGAGTCAAGGCCGTAATTGTTGAGACAATATTGTTGTGGTATTTGAATGTCAAAGAGTTTGCGTAGCCACTCGACGCTCGGAATAGACTCAATGAACGAAAAGTGACTACGTTGCCGATCAGTAAACTCTCTTGAATGAAGTCTAGGCCAGATCCTGCTCGTTTTGCTTTACAATGCTTCTACCACGCTTGTGTGCTAGTCAAGTCCACTTACACTATATTGTTCGGGAGCAGCAGCTATGAGAAACTCAACAAGATATTTCCGATGCAAACAACAGAATAAGCTTTCGGTAGCAGCAGCCTTGGAAATCCTTCATGCATCAAAGAGAAAAGAAGAAAGACGGTTGAGATAGACTTGACTTATTGCCCCGCAATCACCCCGCGAACCTCGGCTTTCTGGGGAAGGTTGCTAGGTCAGGAAACACGCTATAATCAAGCCTTATATTCTTTATCCCGACTTCAAATGCCGATTCGCATAATCTGGGAGAAAGCCTCTGTGGGTCATAGCGCTCGAAAACAAACATTGCTGGATCGCGTCAGACGTTGAGGAAATAGTACAACAATGGCTTTTGAACGAAGGGAAGGTTGAACAAAGTAGTCCGACTGGTGAAATGAAGAGTGACATTTAACTGAAATTTAACTTAACGTCCCTTGAAACAGTGTTACTACTATTGCATAATCAGTGAATACCAATTTTTTCTACTACGAATTGCAGGTATAGTAGGGATGGCTAGAGTATGATTGGATGGCTGTTGCCTAAGTTCCACCCCGAGAAAAAGGCGACCAACAAGATAACCAATACCACAACTTGATCGCAGGATCAATAATGTGAGTAACATGTCCCACACCCCAGCCATCTTCGAGAAAATCAGCTTTCAAGTTGGAAAGTAAGTTTCCAACCCCATGCCAATCGCTTGCAACACCCCACACACATGTCCTACCCCGGCTACCTAATCTCCGAGCTCGGCGCCCCACGAAACCACCACGCCATCTTCGTCCAAACGAACAAGGACCTCTCGGGGTATATATTCCAGGTTACCGGGAATATTCAGACTGGTATGGAATTTGGACACCGAGAAGCCGAGAAGCCGGAAGACTCGATTTCGTTTATCTCCAAATCGTTGCTCGGTGCGATTGCAGAAAGCGACTACGGTCGGATCAGAGAGGTGGTGAATGAGATCCCGCCTCCGGGCAAGCAGTTTGATGGACCGAGGCGTATTGATGCGAATGTGCTTATCAGACGGTGTCAGGAGTGGACGAGTGATGCGATTCGGGCTTTGACGGAGGCGGGTGCTTTACAGGGGAGGAAGTGATGATGGAATGAACGGATGGTTACAAAATCTTGGAGGTCCTTGTTTACATACATATGTACTTTTCACGGTTCCTTCTTCACGACCTTGGATCGTTCCTCAAAACCAATTGCACTTTCTCCATTGCGAACAGACCTGTCAACAAATCATTATCTTGCGTCGGCGCTGATCCCCCTGTGCACTCAATAGTAATATTCCTCAGGCGTGGAAAATTGGCACCGCAGTCCCTGGAGAACTCCATAAGGTACCCCTCTATTTCATCGTCCCATTCCACATGTACAACCAAAGTCTGCAAAGACGCAGGTAAGATGGCTGCAAGAGGAGCGTTTTCCGTCCCAGGGTCGTCGCTCCACAGAGCTAGACCGGAAACATCAATGTGCTTGAGGACAATAAACCGCCGTAAACTTCCAATGGTAGGTATCACTTCATCGAGAGAAACAAGCCATTCAGATTCGGTGGTATCGAGAATCAAAGTTTCTAGGGTAGTTTGGAAAGCGCTTAGGCTATCGGAGAGACTTTGCAGATTAATGTTGCCTTCATAGTCCATTTGGCAGTTTGGAACTTTGTGCCATCGACAGGCGAATCGCTTGAGACGAACTATAGAGCCTATTTCTAGGCCCCGGAAAATGCTGCTATTGAGTATCTCGGGCGCCATATCGCAGTAATGGACTGCCATCTCCTCTATGATGTAATTCCCGTAGTCAGGCCAGACCGCGTCACTCATACCCGGAGCAGGAACCAGTGTCTGTGAAGTGATCGGTGTCGCGGCTCTCGACGCACGCACGTCGTAAAGCCTTTGCATCGTGAGATTTTTTAATGACGGATGGCTCCATGCATAATCAGTGATGAAATTTACACCGCTGTCCATTTGCCTATATCGCGTGTTCGCGGTCAGTACAGTCCGATTCTCTGTGGGTGAATGCACCATGAAAGCCTCGGAGGGCGCTTGTTGTTGCTTCCAGCTCAATGCATCATAGAGGTCTAGGAGAACTCACACATGGGTAACATTTCTGGTAAGCAAGATGACAGCAGTAAAAATAGCCGCATGCTTTCTTATATCGCGCATGGGTTTGCTAACTTCATCTTCAAGTTCGGAACGGCCAATTGCTTTCACGACTTCCAGGAACAGCTTTTGAGGGAAATACGGCATGTGCATGGACCAAACTCTTGTCGGCACTCCACCTCGTCTGGGACGCACGTGACACTCAACGTACTGTACATGGTCACGTAGTGAAGGATTGTCCAGTAGTGTCTGCGCAAATTTGGCCAAGGCACCCCAGTCATCTCGCGGGTGGATAAATGATTCGTAGAGCAATGGCGTGACCATCTGATTAAACCGCCGACAAGTAAGCGCAAGAGCATGAAGAGCCTTGACACAATATTTGTTGCGGTTCCTCCGGGCTAGCTCATCCGAAGGGTGTAGTAAGAGACCACGGACTACCAATAGACTCTCCATGATGAGAAGAATGATTTCGTTGGGCAGTGCTGGCCTGAGTGAAACTGACTGCATTTTGGAACCAGTGTCCGCGTTTATCGTTGAGATTGTTGAGGTGCGATGGTGGGCAAACCGATCAGGGTCAGGATAAGCAAGCGAACGAAGGAGTCACTAATTCCAGCTCGTATTTTATGCACGTAAGTATACTTGGTATAGAATAGCATGAATGAGTGTAGTGAGGTGTAGAGCGTTGATGAGATTATGAGCAGATTGTAGACACGATGGTGCCTTAGCATCTGGCACTAACCTAATGGGGCAAGACCAGTGGTAATCGGAACAACCACTTAGATCCTTTGCGCGAGTGCGAGATTACAAGATCTCTGGTCATGTTGCTATGTAATTGAAACATGGATGATGGAGATTTTCTGTTTGTGGATGTGACATACACTGATGATCGCGATGGCTTCAATAGACTACGATCGATTTTTCTTTGCTTCGCGGGAAACTTTCAAGACTTAGCATTTCTCGATCTAGGAAACCGATGTATCATGGTGATTCAAAGAGTGTATCTCAATATGCGCAGTTCAACGTAATTACTCATGTTGCCGGCGGATACATCATACATAGACCCAATTTCAGCTCGCATTGAAAGCACGGCAGCTATTAAGGGTAGAGGATACGGCGAGTGTTCTCCGACACCTACCTGCTCGATGATCAAATAGTCCGAGCGTGATATAAATCGATTTTTACGGTGGTGTCAGCACACATAAGCACGCCATGTATCCAATCGTGACTCTTACAATATTCAACTATGCATTTCCGTGTTGAGAATACATGGAATGGCATGCGTGTTAATCTGTAAATCCACCGAAGACACTGTTGTTTGTGTAGTGGGGTACATGATTGAAGTACTGCCAATGTTCCCTTGGCTTATAGATGTTTTTTTTCTTGATCGTACAGGATTACACGAGCGATCACCAGGTAATTCGGATTCAGCGTACCATGACCACAAAACTGTCAAACATAGATAGACCCCTGGACCCAGATAACCGAAACTGTAGCGAGTTTTGGTGTGGTAGCCGGGGTGCATAATGCGCAAGTTGATCGCCGAGGGACGAGGAAATGCAAGCCACCATGAATCGCGCAACTTAGCCCCGCTCTCTCATCATCCAGCCTTATCCCCCGTACCACGTACACTACACAACTGTACATTTGTACTAAAACCCGTATATAAATTCTTTGGAACGCCGTCACCCGTTTTCTGTTCAACATGTCACTCTGGCAACCAAGTCACTTATCGTCGTCATCGAACATGGCTCTACAAGGCGAACAAAATTTAACCGAAGGCAATAAGGCATATGCCGCCTCTTTTACGCAAGGCCACCTCGCTCTTCCACCGAGCCAGAAATATCTCGTCCGTATGTATTACTGATTGGAATAATTGAGCAACGAAGAAGATTACTGATCATCATAGTCACTTGTATGGACGCCCGTATCGACCCATCAGCAGCCTTTGGCATCCCACTCGGCGCAGCCCACGTGATTAGGAACGCAGGAGCCTCTGCTCGTGATGCTTTCCGATCAGTTGTCATTTCGCAGCAGCTATTGGGGACTACTGAGGTGTTACTTGTCAAACATACTGGGTGTGGTATGTTGACGTTTGACAACGAGACGGCGCGGGGCATTGTCAAGAAGAACAAAGGAGAGGCAGCGGCAAAAGAAGTGGAGAACCTTGACTTTTTGACTTTTCCAAAGCTGGAGGATAAAGTGCGCGAGGATGTGGATTGGCTGAGGAGTAAGGCGGTAGAGCAGGGAATCAATGTCTCGGGCTGGGTGTATGAGGTGGAGACGGGCAAAGTTAGGAAAGTGGTATAAGTTACGGGAATGCTTGTATCGCGTACGCTGCCGTATACTACACTGTCATTCCCCAAAAGCTCAACCCGCTGTTTCAAAGCGAAAATATCTGTTCAGTGACTAGTAATCTACTTTTTCTGGCCATCGCAAAATTTTTATACCGTCAAGCATCGTTTCCGTAGCCTGCTTCACGTCTTCTCAATACTCAAAGTGAAGTTTCCAACCGCAAGTCAGAAGTTCCTGGCTTGGAAGACACCGCAATTCTCCATCAGCATTTTCTCACGAAAATATGAATGAGCGGAATATACCCTTCTCAAATGTCTTCTCTTGTGCACTTGCCTGTCTTCGCCGTATCTCATGTGAGTCGAACCAGACCTAGTCAAGGAGTCTTGCTCAATATCATCACCACGCATGATATCTCATGACATAACATAACTTATGAACTGGTTGTGACTAAAGCACAGGGCATATGAAGATCGCAGAGCTTCTTACCGCCTGCTTCGGTTGTAACAGGCCAAAGTCACTTGCGGCATGTGATCGGGCACTCATGACCCCATATGTTTGATCTCAGATATATCAGTGGGACTTCTAGAGACAATTTCCCCCAGGATCTGACATCCAAGACTTCTTGGATGGGAATTCGATGATTGCATTTCCTCTACTCAAGAAATTTTGTGCAAGTAGCATTTCTAGTCAGTAGTGTATCTATCAATTCTTAACGACACGAATTATATATATATCTCAATCTCGTACATGCTTTGATACCAGATTTTCTTGGTATCGCAGAAATCACCACCAGTCCGGAATGAGCTAGAAACCTCTGGAAAGACCTCACATTATACACGTGGCTCCGGCTTTTTCGTGCTTCACCTCGTCCGAGCCACAGTCACCTCGAATTTCCAACAATTAGGCCGGCAAAACGTAATCCCGCTACTGATCACGTGCGCGCAAGCTTGCCTCTCACTTCCTACCCACGCAGTCGTCTCACCTCGCTCACCTCCACCTGAGCAGGTGCCTTCGCCTCGAATTCACACACCAAATCACCTTAAACCAATAGCCAACTACGGCTACTCCAAAAAAGGTAACACACGATCCCCCCGCCATCCCCAAGCCCTGCCCCCTTCACTAGACCCCTGCATTCGATGCTCGCTTTGAGCGACCTTTAGGGTAAGACTCTCTCATCTTCCGCCTCTGGTGAATGTACTCTGCAGACCGCCTCATAACAGGAGAACGTTAAGCTACCGAGGAAGCACTGATCATAGGATAAAAGCTCACCTGCAGGCTGCCGCAGTCTTGACGGAAACGCACGGCGCAAACAACCGATTTAAGTACGAGCCGCGTGGTATGGATCTTGCGTCTCCGTTTGTGACGCCCAAATTTTCGCCTATAGACCAGGTTGTAGACGGACAAACTGAGAAAAATGTGAGTATCATCTTTTATGTATTGCTCACGGGGTTTGTTTTCGTGTGTTATTGAGGGCATTCGCTGACTTTGGGATAGCCGGATCATCAAGACGTAACTATGTCTTCCTCTTTCGACAACGAGGCTGCGGGTAAGGCAGTCGAGACTATGCGTTCCGTCCAAGATCGCCCCACCACACCAGTTGTCAACCCCGATGAGATCATCCTGGACATCGATACATCTACTCCACCCAGCCCCGACGGCGAGATGGACTCGGCTGTCTCCGATGAGGACAAGGACAAAGAAGCTGGTATGTTCAAGACAGTCGACGATGATATGTTTGAGTTGAAACGAGCCGCTAAAGATACGACAGCTCCTGGGTCTCCCGTCGCCGATACCTTCGATGAGCACCAGACCCCCGGTGCCATGGAATCAACAACTCAAGACCAAAAAGTCCTCCCGGAGCCTGGCGAAGAAAAATCCATCGAAGCTCCCAGTGTCCCAACGGCGGCAGCAGACCAGACTGTTGAGCACAAGGCTGGCATGAATTCACTGGACGTCAACAATGAGAAACGTGTACCCGGCAATCCGACCTCAGAGAAAGAGGTATCCACGGACGAAGATCAGGAGCAGGGAAATACCGAGTCTACCGGTCCCGTTGAGCCAACTTCTCCACTACAAATCCCCAAATCTCCGACTATCAAGGTCACAACTACCACCGGAGAAAAGACCGCTCTAGTCTCTGATACTGATGTCGCTTCCTCCCCACCCATTGTCATCACACCTCCAACTGGCACGAACAGCGACAATTCTTCCAACGAGCATCTTCTCACGCCCAACGGCAACGCATCAATTCCATCTCCCGCTGCTAAGAACGATGTTTCCCTCAACCCCCGCGCCCCATCTTTTCAAAACCCGATGATGGCGTCGCGCTACAGCCCGATCAACTCTCCCCTCCCACCTCGACCTTCCGATAGTGGCGGCTACCAGGGCAAAAAGTTCTTCCTCAACAGGGACTTCCCCCATAAGGATGATTATAACAACAGCGGACGTGGTGGATTCAACAATATCAATCAAACCAATTACACGGACAATGAAACCCTTCAATCCGCCAACGAAAATAATCAGTATACATGGTCCTTGACCGCCACTCGAAGAATAAATACTCTCGAGGCTACCCTAATCAGGACAAGGAATGAGCTCTACGCCGCCCGTCGTGAGGCTGATGAGGCTATGCAGGAAGCCAAGGAGGTAAAGGAACAGGCTGCATCCGCTGCATCGTCATTTTTGGATGAGTCGTTCAAGGTGCGGATGGACATGTTGGGTCGTGAAGCTGCTATCAAAAAGATCACGAACCGATTGGCGTTCGAGGAAGAGCTGTCAGCCTGCATTAAGAAATATCTCATAGTCGGACAGAAGCTCCATTCCGTCAAAAGACGCGAGGAACGGGCCTGGAACAAGGATGATGAGGTGAAGTTGCGGGTCGCCGAGGCTCTCAAGGACGAAGAAATCGCGAGGATTGAGGCTAAGAATGACCTCCGCAAGCGAGAAGCCGACCTCGACACCGCGCTTAAGCAGCTCAAGGTCCGTGAGGATCATATCACGGCACGCGAGAAGTTCTTTGAAGAACAATATGCCTGGGACGTTGAGCAGCGAGTCACCGAGCGGCTGACTAGCCAGATCACTTTTAATGTACGCAATGAGGTGTGGAATGAGGCGTTTGACATTGGAAAGAAAGTGGGCCGTAAAGAGGGCAACAAGGCCGGCTTTGTACGCGGTTACGAAGCATCCCTCAGGGAGACTAACGTGCTGAAGCGGTTCCGCGACAACGAGATCAATGGGGAGGAGATGGAGACGGAGCTGGAGAAGCAATTGGCGAAAGATGTGCGCAGTGAGAAGAATGGCGCGCATGTGGAGAATGGAGGTGGAGAGAAGGATATTGAGAAGAAGAAGAGCGAGGAGCAGGAGGAAAAGAAGGTCAAGGAGGCGCTAGCTGAGCCAGTCGATCTGCTCGACGGCACCGTTCTGGAACCGCCACATCCCTACTCCCACCGAATCGGCAAGACCCACGCACAGATCGAGTCCGAGCGTGAGAATCGTAAAAAGGGCTTGTGGGGCTTCAAGGTCTCAGGTGCCACGCCATTTGATGGAGGCGACCCGAGTGTACCCAACATCATGGACCTATAGGACTACATGATGGACCTCTAGGGCTGTTCCGCATAGGCCGATCATAATGAAGTGGCGAAAACTGGGTGTGATGCGTCTAGGTCGATGGATGAAACACGAGATTAGGGTTAAATGTCAGTCCTGGGAAATTTGTGGAAAAGTTTCTAAATTCTCTGCTTCATGGGCAATGCTGGAGTTCCACCGGTCAGCATAGAATAACGGACCATCTTGTCGGTTTAATGAGAACTTACTTTTCTTCCCCGTATCCTCACACCTTAATATGTCTTGATTCTGCTCAAACACATTAAATTTATAACACATCGTCAAATCTCCAGCTGAAAATTAACTCTTGTACTTGCCGCAACCTTGAAGTGGCCCGAAAATTTAACTTCATAGCACACTATATGATCCGTGAACGCTTATATAGATGTTGTTTAGCCTAGTTATTCTGACATTTTTCGAAGAAAGTGGATTGGTAAACTTGGTCTTTAGCTACAGGATGATACATTGATGTGTTGATCTACGGATGGAATAGGGTTTTGCATAGAGTCCGTACCATTCGCTTATGTAGGGAACGCGAGCTTGACTGTCAAGCCTACAGTCCCACTCACGGCTCCATAAAGCTGCTACCAGAAGGTGGTATGTTGGGTTTTCTTGGATTCGTTTGCGGCTGTTGGAGATGGGCGTCGGGGTTCCGTACAACAGGACCATGACCACGCTCTCCGAGAACACGCGTGCGGAGGATGGGGCCATGAGAGCCTCCTCCCGGTTCCTTCTTATCACCATCATCATCGGAACCACCGACCTCCTTCCCATCCTTCCATTTTTTGGCGAAATTTTGCGCACCGCCTCCAATAGCTTTCATATCTTCGTCGACTTCCTCGTCGCCTTTCTCGCCCGCGACGTAACGTTCCACAGCAACGACTAGATCCTGGCCGTTACCTTGCTCACGCTCAGCTTTCCAGCGTGAAAACTCGTCCCACCACCAGCTGTGTGTCTCGCCGTCATCACCCTTGTAGCCGGCGATTTTTCGGTTCTGATCATGGCCGTCAGTCTGGACTCGAGCTGCCCACGGCTTGTCCACAATATAGTGAAGCACGGCGACTTTATCATCGGTCCAGATGTTGGGGTGCCAGTATCGCCACGTCTTGAGAGCGTTAGTTCGCCAGCTGAGACTTACCCAGCGGGCGTGGAAGACAATGTTCAGAAAATCTTGGTCTGGAAATTTGAGCTTCTTTAAGTCTTTCACGGGGGTATTCTTGAAAGCGTCGAGAACAAAAGCCTGGATTGATGAAGAGGGGTGGAAGACGAAAGTCCCGGAGTTGAAGATGCCTTTAGTGTCTGATTGTGAGTCTACGGGTGCGATAGCATCAGAATTGGTCAGAGGAGTGAAGGCACAGTTCTCCTTCTTCCACGATGATGGGGCCCAAGAGTCTCCGTCGAGATTGCATACACAAACGTGCGAAGCTGCGATGCGGTTGCCTTCATCTTCGGGCGCAGAGAGATACTTGTCACTGGTAGAGTTGAAAATGAAGGGGGAGGGGTTGGAGAAGATCATCATGTCGGCATCTAGAAAACAAAGCCGATCGATTTTCTTGCCGTTCACTTCCAAGATATCAAACACGCGAAGTTTGGTCCACGTGTCGATGAACCGCTCGGCGACCATGCCATGTTCTTTATCATCGGCGGCAGAGGTCGGTAAGCGAAGATGCTCGATTGGATAGGGAATGCAGTTTGAGAACTTAGATTCGGCTTCTAAGGCTTTGATCGCGGTGGAAGGAAAAGTTTCGGGCGTGTATAAGATGATGAGGGGCGTAGAAGGGGAATGATCATATAGAGTGTGCGATAGAAGGATGGCGCCCGCCAGATAAGAAGGGCGTGTGAGAAGAGTAGCGTAGACATTGAAACCCTCTGAAGTTGATGAAGGCGTCATGTTGGGTGGACAGGATGGAGTCAAGGGTCGTTTGTTGTTGATGTGGGTGTGTTTGCAAGGATCGGTGTCGTGTGCGGAATCTTGGTAGCCAGGACGTATTGAGCAAAGAGATGTAGGATATGATTCATTCGCGCATGCAGGTGAATTACCGTCCAGGACACACGTAGTCAAAATTTGGTTTCCTCAACTCGCGTCCACATTGCACGACCTGACGTCATGGACTCGCCTGGTCACATGACCTTGAATTCGTAGAAACACTTTAACATTCAGATGCTTGTTAGGAGTAACACATTGACAGTGGTTGATTGCGTTCGTGTGAGCGTCTCGAATCATTAACATAAAATTTGGGGGTATCCTTCATCCCAATTGGTCAGCAGAGCTATTATCCGACTTCTTCAATCTTCAATCCAATGTAAACCAGAAGCTGAGCTGCTTCCTTATCGTACAAAAAAAGCCCTCCAAACAAGGATACGATACACGTGACTTGAACGTGAGTAAGGCACCAATTCTAAGATGGTTTGCCGTCTTCCTTTGCTAGCGCCTGTTTCCATGCAGTCTCGAGCCCTGCATCTGCTGCACTGCTTCCTTCACCCACAGCGTCACTCATAGCGGACTCATCAGCCGCAGCTAGGCTCACTCTATTGCTTTCTACCGCAGCCGCCACAGGAACTTTTGTGGGAACAACCTCGGGTGATTCGAATTCGAAATTGCTTGAGTATACTACAGCGGCGAATGCTTCGAGATCACGCACTTGCTCGATGGAAGCCAGATACTCGTTGTTGGCTCCGCTACCAATGCTATGCGCCTGCCTACAGAACACAGCGAGAGAGCTGGCAACCTTGGCTTTGATATCATTGCCGACGATTTCTTGAACGCGGGCGGTACTCTCCGAAATAGGTGGGATCTTATAGGAAAGCTGGGAGATTTTGACGTCGATGAGATGCGAGAAAGCGGCATCTAGGAGCCGAGTGAGGACGCGCGAGAAGGTGGGAGAATCGATGATGTCCGAAGTCTCATCGAGAAGGCGGCGGAGGGAGCTAGTGGTGGTTGGAGATGTGGCTTCGGTAGAGGTCATACCGCTCTCACGGAGAACGTATTCTTCTTGGTCAGATGGAGGCAATAGGTACGCCAGCCATTTCTGAGATCTGGAGAATGTCAGATGAACAGTTGTCCTAAGTATTGGGGTTTGAACTCACCTCCGCTCCTCTTCTGTGGCGCCCTCAATCTTCTTCCTTACTTCCAATGTTAACTCGGAAAGCTTCTCAATGGTGATCTCTTCTCGCGGGTTCAAGGACCCGAAGACCTCCTTGACAGCCACCCGAACCTTCTCCATCAAGCTCAAACACCCTTTGTGAAGCAACCACCAACTGAAACTCAAGTATCTCCGATTGGTCTCGAAGTCGTTACCATATGCATGATCCAAGTTATCGTCATCGTGGTTTTCGAGACTGATGGTTGATTCCTGATTCGCAGGGGGTGGCGCGGCGAGGGAAACTACAGAGGCCAGATAGTTTCGGCGACCCAGCAGATTGAGTTGAATTCGCGTAAGAAGCGTGAGAAGGGACAACGTGTACAGAAGCGTGAATGCCCTTGTTATCGAACTGATCTTCATTTCATTCCATAACTGTGCCTTGCTCCTCTTGCTTTTACGCTCGCTACTTGTCTCACCTCCCCCCTCAATGCTACCTGTAGAGCTCGTGCCCTCACCTGCAATCTGACTCGCGTGAACATAGCTCTCGCTCTGGAAACTGGAGCTCTTGGTGTCGTCATCGGCAGTGTCAGCCACACTGGGGGGTGCGGAGCTGGCAATCTCGCTGGGGCCGATACTGCGGGCTAGACGCTCAGCCTTTTGCTTCTGCAACTCTTCCAGGACTTGTTCGACAGGGATGGCATCGAGGATGTTTTCGGTCGCGGTGGGGAGGATGGCGAGGACGGTGAAGGTGCAGTCTTCCTGGTTCTGTTCAAAGCGGCGACGGAGGCTATTTCGACCCTGCCATCAGCATTGGTTCCCACAAAGTGGTGGTACACAGCCTTGACTCACTTCTCCTTTGCGATACGGTCATCGCTCATGCGTTGGCGGGCCTCGGACAGCTTTCCCAGCACGTATTGCCCCGCGAGATAGCCAGCACCCAGCACGCCCGCCCCAATGGCGAAGTTAGTACGATTGCGGCGAAGCCATCGGCGAGTCGACGTGATCATCTCTGATCTGAAAAGGCAAACTGAACACGGTGATACCACCACGATGAGATGGTTAGGAAATGGTAACGTGGGCACGCGTTCAACTCCCCAGAACCGGGTGTGGTTTATCGATAGACAGCAATTGACCTCGGCCCAGCTCCGATACGCTAGTGCTGGTGCCAAGAGAATCGGGCAACAATCACTACAGATGTACAAGTCGGGCCGAGGCTTGATGAACCTACGTATAAACATCGATTTGAACAACACACAACTGAAAAATACGATGACGACCATCAGAGTAAAGGCATATCAGCAATAAATGGACGTGTATACCATCATCCACAAAATTAGCTTTCGCGGCTCCGCACATTCTTCAGACAATCACGGAAGGAGGTCGATTGCACCAGCACTCATATACACCCAATGGTGTTTGATTGTTCAAGAGATTGCATACAAATTCTAGAATGTTGAATAGAAGAGATTGAGGAAAACAAACCAAGGAAATATCCCATGTACACAGATAAGGAAAACCCCATTCCCGACCCTCCACTATTACATCCTCCGATGACTGCAACAGTTCAAGAGACAACAGATAGCTTGAAATTAGGTAGGACAAAGAAAGGGGTATCATAAGTAAAGGAGGGTGTTAAGGAAATGCAGAACGCAGCAAGAACCAAGCAATAAGAAACAAAACATGAGAAGGAGATCTATGGCAGTCTGTGGGTAGGGGAGATAAGAGAAAGGGAAGAAAAACCCGGTAACCACAACCTATGGTTCTGACACTCTGTCACTGGCTGATTTTCATTTTCATTCATGGAAAGCCGAATTTCTTGTTCCATTGTTCTTCGTTGAGGGTTCCCCGGTAAATGGCGTGTTGCGGGTTTTGATGGGCTTGATTGACGCCCGCAGACTCCCCACACCTTATGGTCAAGAAACGCTTCTGCAAGTTTTCTTCCTCGCGAGTCTTTGCATAGGGAAGCTTGTCAATTCTCATGTCCTTGGCGTATATCTCAACCCTGGGATTATCAACCTTGGGATTTTCGGTCGTATGTCCGACAAACTTTTTAGCGTCTTGGAAAAGGCTATACCAGGTGCCCTCTAGCCCCCACATCTCTTCTATTATACGTCTTCCTTCAACGAAGCTATCTGTTCCAATTTCAGCCAACACGAGAGGCTTGGTTTTTATCTTGGAATCGCGCTCGTTGCGCAGATATTGAGCCAATCGAAAGCAAATGTGTGCGAAGAAATGGATGTTGATGTCCTTCCAAACCTCTTTCCAGCCCCATCCCACATCAGACGCTAAATTGAGGTCATCTGGGTTGTCGTACTTTTTCTGAACCTCTTGGAGACCCTTCTTGATAACTTCGATGTTAAGATCTTCATCCACATGTGGTAATGTGTACTCTACCAATTCGAGGAGAACCGCTACCATCGCCTTGCTGGCAGGCATGGAATCTGGGAGACTACCGCCTTGTTCACAGTTGCTGTACGTGCCGGATTTTGCGATCACAACGCGTACCGGCGGTGCTGATTTCTTGAATTTCACAAGCGTAAACGAGGAGTCATCGGCAACCTGTGGGCTGACTTTGCCAAGCTGATACTCAAATGTTTCCACGAAAAAATACAAGGATACTTTCTCCTGCGTTGGACTTTTCTCATTGAAACATTCAAATGAAAGAATCTTCGAATCGAGACACTGCTCGTAGATCATGGATGTCACTTCCACTGCGGTCGTTTCCAAGCGTGACCTGGATGTTGAATCTTTTCCAAGGGTTAGTTTTCTCTTCAATGCATCAATCAGACTTGCGGCGCTTACCTGCTACCCTCATCTTGCCAAGTCCTTTCGCCAGATCAACCTCGGACCCCGGAACATCTGTGTTTGTGGACGATTCTCCAGTCTTCTCCTTCCCTTTCGATGGCTCTCCAGCCTTTCCCTTTTCCTTCGAGCGTGCGCTTTCAGGCATTATTTCAGTACGTGTATAGTCGAGATATGTAAGAAGACTTAAGATATGTAGGGATAGTGAAAGTATGTAAGAATGATTAAAAATATGTGAATGATGGTGTTTCGTGAAAGAGCACAGTGTGTTTGCGCCTAAAATTCTACAAGTCGATTCTTTTATATCGCTTGCTGTGGCAATTTGGTCTCATTAATTTAAGAGTCAGAGGTAGTAGACTCACAAAGACAATGGCACAGTAGCACAAAGTGATGGTGCATGTGGTATTTGTGTCCCATTATGAAACGTCAGGCTTCTGACGTGGAGGGAGGGGAGGGGAGAGGACGGTGCTCATCATATATCATCAACAGGGTGTTTCCCTAGAGACAAAATATTGCTTCATTTCCCTGCATATTTCAGTAATCACTAGTTAGGCTCGAGGTTTTGAGCAACACTACCCTAATTAATGTATCCTACGGTCGCTGATTGGTCAGGATATAACATTGAGTCATTTAGTCACATCACAATGTGTATTGAGTACTCTTTAGTTACCCAAAAGACGGGAAATCAGTCAGTTTTATGTCTTAGTGTATGACATGAGGTTCTGTCACTGATATTGCTGTTCAACAATAAGATCAGGGTTAGCTAGTACAACAGTGCTTTACTGAGATGAAGGCTACAGCAGCTTTATCTTGGAAAATCGAAACGCTTTGCAGTTCGTTCTTGATCATATTCCACTTAAGAAGCGCCTATATACATTAATATCTACGTACAGAAATCACGCTAGCACACAAAGGGAAAAGGTTGTAGAAACCACCGGAAACCAGTCTATGTATAGAGGAATGTCGTAGGCAAACAATAGACAGATTCGGAGATCAGATAAAGAAAGGAAAAGATAATGTGATAATATAACAGGATATTCAGCGTGAACGGCCACTGTCTCCACCCAGGGTTCGCGAACTCAAATCGAGAAGCCTTCAGCCAGCCCCCACTCCTCCGCCCATTCTTTCTTGCTCACATGGCCCCCGAATAATATACCTTGAATCTTTGGATCGCCCGACGCTCGTTTATTTGCTTCGAGGTGATCATGCGCAAGAGCCTCGTCACGATCTCGATTCGCTGGAGTGTCTTTGACATAGATCATCAACCTAGCAACTTGACCCGTCTGTTTATGCACTTTCTTGAAAACCTCATCTCAAACCTTTTTACCAAACCCAATCACTATGTTGGCAGAATAATAGCTGTTTGTGCAGATTTTGGCCAATGTGAATGGTCTGTGGGCTTCCAATTCATATAAATGTTTGCCAAAACTTAGATAGTGTGCATCCCTGACGCAGAAATGACCTATCAATATATCATTAGGTGGCGAGAAGCGAAAACCCCACGTCCCCTGTGTATTTGGTATCAAAGCCTGCTTGACCATGTGTTCCGGAAACTCTTTGCGGATTCTGTCTACGTTGACGACGGTTAGATCCCCTTCAAATCGATCTGTCATATAATGAAAGACGTGGCCAATAGTTTCCACTAATGCCCCCGCTCCGTATCCAATGTCGGAATCAGGCAAAGACTTGAGAATACCACGTAAAGGGCTTCTGGCCGTTGCCAGAGCTTTTAAGGACTCTTTGCGGACTTTTCCGGATACTTGATAGAGTGCATATTGTTTTTTTTTTTTTTTTTTTTTTTTTTACTAAGAGCACAGCTAGATGCTTTAGCACTTTTTCAACTGTGTTGCTCTCGTTGGGTTCAAGGGATTTCTATTCCTTTGTCAAATTATATGTATTTAACCGCAACTCAGGCGCCATGTCGAAGATAGGGAAACAACCTACACTCAGAGTCGGCTTAGTTACGATCCCGGAACATCAATCTCGTCGATAATTTCTTACCTTTGCTCGCCTTTGACGTATCCGTTTCCTTTAACTTTCCCTTTATGTTCGACGACGAGCTGGAAATGCTCATATTTATCTGCGATTTACACAATCTACCGGCTATTGAATGGTATAGTAATAGGTTCGAGTTGGATAGATCGAAATTGCCTGCGTGGTAAAGATATAGACAGTGAGGATTTTAAGAATGAGTTTTATTCTGTGTAGAAGCTCGTAAATGCCCAGATTTAGACTATCCAAGTCCTGTGGCAGATGACTGTAGGAAGTCAAAAATCCCGCTTCCCGAAGTCACCCTAGGGCTATACTCGTTGTGTTGCGCGGTACAATATTCCGTCTAGGGAGCATGAGCAACATAATGAACTAAGCGCTGTGCCGCTCAGTATGAAGACTCTTGAATATGTACCATGAATGTAACGGGGATGTGAGCAATTCGTACAAGAGCCATTCAGCTCTGCAACCCTGAATTTGAGATTAAATCAGAATTACCTAGCATAGTGTGGGTTCACGATCGCGGAAACTCACAGCAGCATGCATCAAAAGGCTACAATTGCCATGGGCTATCATGCATCCCGAGAAATCCCATTTTTGGTTCCATATTAAATCTACAACACCAAAGACTCTTTACATTGCATATTAGTATGTCATTGACAAAAGTATGCAGTCAGTATACAAAAAAAATGGCTTCATTGAAATCTATCTGTTTATGAATGTGGGGAAGAAAACAAAGTCTATCTGAGAAGAGTGTGAGTAAATTATTCTTGGTCGATATGGATAGTGTGAAAGAAATATTCTCTGTAAAGAAACCAAAAACAATCCACAACAATAGACAGAACACGCCAACAGACAAAGGAAAACAACTGAAGTTTCCGAGGGACATGAACCCATTTATGTAGAAACAAGTTACAATAAGACTACAAACAAATTGATAATTTTGAAGACAAAGGAAACATGCAACCAGCCTCTCGTCCACGAGATCAGACCGAGAAACTCTCAACTGACTCCCATTCTTGAGTCCATTCTTCCTGATCCAAGAGCCCGCCGTAGAGTACGTCACCTTGAACGTCCGGGTACACGCTAATCTTGCGGGGATTACGCTTTTCGGACTCCAAGTAATCGAGAGCAGCCTTCTCGGTATCGTTCTGTGGTTTCTGATCGCAGCCTCTAACATATACCATTACCCGGGAATCACGATTGATATCCATTATGGCAGAAATGTTGTCGAAAATCTTGTCCCACAGGTTTTGGAACTGCGCGCTCTGTTCGAGAAACGTCTTTGCTGAAGAGTAACTGGTTGTGCAGATCTTGACCAATATGAAAGTTCTCTCAATGTTGGCGCGGTCCTGACTCTTCACAAACTCAAGGTAATGAGCAATCCCGAGGCAAAAGTGGGCCATCATTTTGTCGTGCGGTGGTTGCAGTCGGAATTTCCAGATCTCTTTGTAGGGGGTCAGCTCGGCCCTGTCTTGTACCCACTCAAGGAAACGCTTTTGTATGGGGCCCGCATCTAAGACTCCCACATGACCACCGTATTTGTCTGTCATGTACAAGAGCGTACGGGTCAAAGTGTCGACTAGTGCTCGAGCACCATACGTCAGATCACCTTCCTTCGCCGGCGTGAGATAAGCACGCGGTGGATTCTGAACTTGAGAAGCCTGTTTCATTCTTGCTATGGGAGAGCACTGACTGCCCGGCTGAAACTCATAGTACTTGCTCTCAATTGAGATTGTTGCGCATCGGTTCAGTTCATTCCCCTTCTTGTCTAGAGTTCCGAGTATGAAGTGCATTCTGTTTACGGGCGGCGTCTTCGAAGTTTGAGAATGGTCTATATTGAACTTCAGTTCGTTTTCCTTCTTCATAATACAGTAAGGGCTGTCGGGAAATAACCTTCCACAGTCTTTTCCACGTCATCCTTCAAGTGGCTGCTTGCTTTGTTCGACACATTAGCGGACATTTCTCGTGGTAGCTCGGTGATATTCGCATTCCCCTTCGCTTCTGAGCGCTGTGTACTACCACTCATGGCTTTTTGCGTGTGTTAGGAACTTTGAGAACGGCTGGAGCTGCTAAGATACGAGTATGGTCTGCGAGGCAGTGTTGTGAAAGTGGAGACAAAGGTAGATGAATACTCTGTGGGAAGAACCTGTGAGCTCTTTATTATATATGATCTATTTGGTAGACGCTTTGACTGTAGGGAAAACAGCGCCATGCCTTTCTCAATAGTATCACGGCTGAATTTTGGTGTGCTACGTGACACCAGGCCCCGCTAATCTGATCTCATTATATAAAAGGAACAGAGCTCTGTACGAGTCTGTACGTTGTTCACCCAGTCGAAACAATCGATATATTAGGTGTATAATAGAGAAATTCGCTGCAGAAATTGCAGCCGGTACCACTGGAGTGGTGTGCGGTCGCGCATGAGCGTGATTCGAAAAGTTAGCGGCTCCTCAACAAGGCATACCACGTGGTATTTCATCATTATATGACCGTGAATATAGAGTGCACTAGCGGTCTACCCGTATCCACGTCACACAACCTCAATGACTCGCGGTCACTCCATTAAACCCTGCCCCAAATTGTGACTCAGAACCCATAAAGACTCAAGTCGACATTTGGGTGATTGACTAGAGTTTCTCCTTTTCCTCAGTCAGTTCCACGTACTCTTCTTCATCCAACGGTTCCAACCGACGGAAACAATCCTCCTCGCCGCACCTTTCGAACTCAAAATCAATACCGTCAAACCACAATGTGAAATCCTGACCCTCATTACCTCGCTCACTCCGGGGCAACGACCGTCCAAATCGCGTGTATCAGTCCAGACGTCAATGAATCTCAATTCATCACCCCTAATTAGCAAGTCCCTCTTCATCTAGTCATTTTGACGCCATTTCTGAAAAAAAAAACCCCCCTTCTCTCTTCGTATAGCGAATTCCCACAAAGTTGAATATTGAGAGCCGGCAAAGGGCGTGCGTGAGTGAACCATTGCATTTTGGGTGGCAGGACGTGTGGCAAGAACTCATTGCTTCAATAGCTGGTTAGGAGGAAATTACGTGGGAAATTACTAAATGATGCGAAAGAATGACCATCGTTGCATCAGGCACAAAAATAATGGATTACAATAGCTGATCTACCCACAATGGAAAGAGCCTCGCTCATGGTAAATAGACACATATGGAGCCTAAAGTTCAGGCTCCCAGCAACCGAATAAGTGGGAAAGCAGAGGAAAAAGCTTTGACAGTAATCATGAGGTCCCAACAACCACTGATACATGGCATCAATTCGACGTCCGTGTTTGCGCATGCAAATCACTTTCCTCTCGTGTGAGCTCAATCACGCCAGTTTGATTCCTTCCACCCATTCCGCGAACCACGTCGTTTTTTCCAACAATTTCACTCTTTTGGATCGAACGCTGGTCATGATCATCTGGTCGATGAGGTTTCTAGTGACTTCCCAGTCTGCCCCTTCTTCGAACATCTCTGTGCTAACCTCCGGGCCGACATAAAGAAAATCAAGATCGCGTTTTACTCCTGTAGCCATCAGTATAGTGCAGTCTTTGATGTCCAAAAGTTGATGGCGAAATGTTGGTAAAGCCCAGAAGTCGGAGGGAAAGTTGAACGCGATACGGATAGGGGTGTGCTTCGTAGTCATCCGAGAGAGCTTCGTAGTCATCCGAGAGTGTTTCGTAGTCGTCCGAGAGTCCTTTTGCGGGAGTTTCAACACATTATCTTGGTGTTTGCGACCATACTTGATGAATCGGGCGATCTTATCATGAACTTCCTGCCGTACGTCTTTTTGGTCAGGATATAATCGTTTCCATTCCTTATAAGAACGGGTACGCCAAATAAAGCTCACGGATGCGTATGGTGATATCGGATCAAATTCGGCGAATATGATTTTTTCATGGTACTTTTCCTTATACAGATCCTCAAACAAGAAACTGTCTCTTGAAGCGCTCGCTGGTTGTAGGATACACTCGATCAATTTCCGCACGAACATCGATCTACTCATGACGCAACGGCTGTATTCAAAGCACTCACGAGCACGCGTTTTGGCGAGAAATACGGAGGGTTCAGTGTGTTTTTGGTGAAATGACACGATCATGCAAGGAGTCTGAGAAGCAAGGGAATCGAGCTTCGACCGCAAGATGTATTCGGCTTCCTGATTGATCTTTCGGCATGTCGATAGAATTGGACACCTGGAATGGACTTCATGATGAGAGTGACGGATTCGGTCTCATTCGCGCATGCCGAGATTTTGATTTTGAGATGCTGTGTTTTGATCGGCAGGTATCCGTAACATATTTGTCGAACCTCAGTAGATAGGTCCATAAACCCAATCGATGGCGACTCTTCTGTAACGCGTCGGGGCGGCGAGGCATCTTTAAGCTGCAGGCTAGCCATTTTGAAAGACAGTAGATCTTCTCTATTGTATGGGTACAGAGGGAGGTGAGGCTTTGGGAGTACGAACGTAGTGAATTGTGTGGGAATGTAATGACCTGCAGAACACTTCAAAGTCGGGGGGTGTCTCTCAGTGTTTTATTATCTTTGTCGTTGGCAACAAATCATTCCGTGGTTCTTTCAGTCATCGAAGACGTCATGTACCATTAGTCAATGTGTAAGATTGAAACACTAGTGGGCGTCGGATGCTTCAGGTTTTCTGTGTTGATAACGGATGTGAAGTCATTGGGTATTTCCTATCCCTAGTTGCACAAATATGAGGAAGAAATATTCTCTAGTAAGGTTTCTTCGATGAGTCGCAATCTGGCCATTGCCATCTTTTCTGTCTTGTCCTGTCCTTGAACTTGGCCAATCTCAATAAGAGACTAGTGAGAGTGAAGATGATTCGCCCAACCCAGAGGTTCCAGATGACTCACGATCTTCATATATGGTTGTTGAGATAGTTCAACGACTCGCCCACCGTGGACGTGTAGGTAATTATCAACGTCCTGTTTGGTTCTCTCCTCTGTGGGTTTGTCTTTTGACGAATAGCAGCCCACCGTGCCAGATCGGTTGATCTCGATGCTCTTACACTAAGTACTTCTTGAATAATTCAGTCCCAACCTTAAGATCAGATAGAATATCTGCTCTACCATGGGATCGATCTGGCTGGAACAGAGAATACTATGATTTGCTTCAACATTACTTGGCATTCCGACTGCGTGCGAGCTCCGCACTGGCTCTTACACTGCATTTTTGATCTCGGGTTGGCAAAATTCCAAGCGATCGAGGTGCCTGGTGCCAGCTGCCCGCAATTAGCGAACAGGGTCACATGCGAGTGATGTGAGCAGTGTCAGACAAGACAGCGAACGATAAAGCGAGATGACAACCTCGCTCAGTCTGACCGGAGACAGACTGACCGGAAACCTAAAGGGTGAAGGGTGGTGCCTGCGAACCATGGCACGTTATGATCGGGACGATGCCAAGCAAGCTAACCCTGTACGTACTAGCTCCCGACATCGTCCATAATGTTCCCTCAATGACTATATGAACTTGCCTGGAAGCACTCAGCTCCTTCTCTTGAGTCCTCGTCATGTTTGCTTTACTCCAAACTTTCGACAGCTCATACGCCGTCCTGGTTACCCGTCCCCTCTTCACCGTTTTCCTCGTTGTGGTACAGACCACACTCATCCCATCGATGATTTTGCCTGAATGCTTCACCACCTAGACTGCCGCTTGCATGCCTGGTCGAGGGGCCAGAAACATATTACGAAGGTCACGCACAATACAAAGAGATCATACACGAGAATCATGCGACACCTTGCTACGTCCGGTACCCGGTGTCTTTACAGCTTCTAATCCAATTGACAGCGTATCTGCATTTGTGCCCAACGCTCCTACGTGGCTCCGCTTGATGCGGGTACACGTCCTTCATTTCTGGGGCCAATCACTGCGCCACAGCCACTAGTGTCATATACGTGTCGAAGACCAGCGCATTGCCTTCGAGGTGGCCGCCATCGCAGCTTTCCTTTTGCTTTGTTGACAGACGTTTCCACCAATAAATTAAATCATGAAGCTCCAGTGCATGCCTCGTTTTCGTGACGCGACACCGATGCCATATTTCAGTCATGTTGCTCCGTCTTTCCGTATGGAGTGACCTTTCTATTTCGAGACACCGTGCATGATTCTTTGACAACGCTTCGCTGTTCAAATTCTGGACCCAGCTGCAATGATGTAGGAGGGCAATCCTTCGTTTACATGCACCCTTCGTGAAACCCGGTCTCTTGAGAGGAACCCAATCTGAATCTAATCTACTTTCAGACCATCGGGCCCATGGGGCTATGTTCGTCAGTAACTAAGACTCATCATCTTGCCCCTGGGTGTTGTTCGCGTGCGCAATGTCAGTTTCTTGAGGATAGCACTTAGCTAAGGAGTTTAAATCAACCTCAATCTTATTTCGGTCTTCGTCTGGTTACAGGAGAATGAGCTTCATACATCGGCAGCATCCCACGACAGACGAATCGCCTCCTTGGGATGGGATTGCGTTCAGACTTCCCATTGATTCGGACTTGCTGGCTGAAAGTCTGAAATCAAAATACCCCCATCACAGAACTTTAAGACAGAGAAAATATCAAGCCACAATCGACTTTTTCCTGGGGGAGCTGAGTCAAATGCAGTCGAGAGACTCGATCTCAGTCCCTATGCTGAGATCGGGTGGTTTGCTTCTGAACGACCAACCTATACCGACGTCGGCAACGTTTATTCCGGCTGTTTCAGATCAAAGTCGACCACAAAGCGCATCTGAATGCACTTCTCCTTCAATCAAGGGGTCAAGCACCTCACCACAGTCTCTTGAATTTCTCAATCCCGGCTCTTCTCTGGCTTCGAATACAAATCTACAACCACCTACAACCACGTCATCGAGCTCTCACTTCGTGTGGAATGCGCACGATGGAAGAGCAGCGCGGCCGAAAACAAAAAGGAAGATGACGGTCGAAGAACGCAGTGCATATAAGGAGACTAGAAAACGTGGAGCTTGCAGCAGATGTCGCAAGCAGAAAGGAAAGGTACATGCTCCATTCTAGAATTTAGTCTTGTCCTACTAGTCTAACGTATATGAGTTTCATTAGTGTACACACATGATCGACGGGGACCCTCAACCCACAGAAAATGAGACATTCAAATCCGCTAAAAGGTGCGCAACTCCCATACGACGATCCAGGGCTGACTTTTTATGGCAGGAGAATTTCTGGAGAGATTGAACAAGATACTTCTGATGGTTTGAAGACCGTCAAAACAGAACACGCTTCTGATGTTCATCACCTCACGATGACGCAGCCTTTGGAACATGAATCATCAACTGTTATGCAAACGAGCGCTAATGTCGACGAGTCTGTAGCCCAGCTTGCGATACAACCATCACCCAAACAATGGGAGAGGGAACCTCAAATAGAGGCCTCGGCTGAAGTGTACGTACCTACAGACTTTCTACCGGATCTTCTCATAGGTTCATACGGAGTCCAACCGCAACCTGAGCCATGGCAATCTTATCCTTCTTTTCCCGGTTATGTGAGCCCCTCGGTGATTAGGAACCCGGAGGAGCCTTTTCCGGATCTTCGCAGTAACCCTGCTTTTCATAGAGGGATTGGGCTACCTCAACATACTGTACCCTCCGGATACACTAACGATGGACCCTGGATGGAAAATATGGAAACCCCTGATGAAGATTAAATTTCATCTTAACTAAGCTTTCCTTTTCTATTAGCCGACGTTGATATTTGGAGCCAGAACTTCTACCGGAAAGCAACGACCGATCCACCTGCCAATGGACCACCTCACAACATTTTTGAGCTCCACTAATATATACCTCCTGGCTTCTCTTGTCCATAGCCCGGACTTGCGACTAGGCGTGATAAGAAGTGATTTTCAAGGCCAGATCTGCCACTTTCTTGGATCTCTTACAATTTTCCCAATGATGTAGGATCTCATACGTACTTTCTTTTGGAATCGTGTACCAAAGCATCCAGTCAGCTAGGTCGCCATACCCACGATAGTTTCATAATGACATTCTTCCGGTGTATGGCCATCAAACTCCAGGATTCAGATTCAACAGATCCAACCACAATCCTTTCATCATCCGGGTTCCCAATGAGAGTCACCCCCTCCTAACATCAACTTTATCTTATCATTATCCTGGCCTGTCGCGCTCCCTGCGGAAGTTTTCACCATAGACAGGTATCATCAAGGAAATAGCCACAAACTAGATGTCGCTCGCTGACTGCAACAACAAACACACGCGTAAGCCCTCCTGCTTCGATCTTTCGTAGTCTTTCAATCCCCTATTTTTGATTCAACGAGCTATCTAAGTGAGATCTCGCCTGATCATTGTCTTCAACTAGTTTATTTCCTACTGCACCACCCCACTTTCAACTATCCCAAAAAGAAACCCCACGGCAGATTGTAAACGAACAACCACCACCAAGCACGCGCAACTAGCCATCGATCTCCTTGTCCCTCCCCCGCCATTCGAATTCATCCAAATGCAGTCCTCCAACAGGAGTATTTCCTTTATTTTACATTCCACCACAACTAGAGCCACACCTCTAGTCTTTCCTATGTCTTTCCTTCTTTTTCCACTCCAGTCCGGTCCTCTACCAAGGAAAAGCAAAAACCCGCCTCGGACTATCGACGAATCTTTCCACTCGAAGCCCGCCAAGACAAAACGCTAACGTTTCAACTGTACCAGATCTTCTCCGTCGGTTCCCACCGACCGCGAAAGCAATCGCAGCCGCAGCCACGAGTCCTCGACCAGTCCCACTCCCACCAATTCACGGGCTTTTAGTCCACCTATAACGACGACTACGACTGAATGATTTGCAATATACGTTAATTTACGTTTTCTTTTCGTGGGGAGGCGGTATTTGTTGTTTATGATGATAATGCGAGTGTGTGTGATTTCTTGGATAGGAGATTGACAACGTTCACGGCCGACTATGAAGTTTTTTTTTTTGTTTTGTATTCGGAGGGAGTGATTAAAACGGTACACTTCATAAATTAGTGACGCAGATTGGAATGCAGCAAGTTTATTGTGGGGCATGGTTCCTCACTTCATGCTAAAAATGCGCACTCGCGTTGTTCGAGATTAGTCTGGACCCGCGAGGTATATGTATTGTGTTTCAAGATCTTGTTAAAAATTTTGAGTTGCTACAGTCTTTGAAATATATCATCAAGCTGTAGGTTGGGATTGTTCCGTGCGATTCATAAACTGATTCGATCGCATGCTATATTGTTTAGATTTCATTGCGTCCGAGAGCAACAAGAGTCGACCAAGCGCCTATATGTAGATTTCTCAACAGCCGAAATGCTTTCCTTCCAAGGGAAGTCATCCTTATACTAAATCACCGAAAGCACCTCCTTCGCACAAGCAGCAGATGTTGCCGCCGCGTACGCCCGCCACTGCCCATTCGCATGCGAATCCGCATAATCGCAAATCCCTCTGATAACCAAGCAAGGAAAATAATTCAACACGCCAGCAGACTCTGACTCAAAACAAAGCACCCCGCCCAGATCCGCACTGATCTTATTCCTATCAGCCGAATCCCGAACAGGACGATTACTAGAAGCAATAGTCCCATAATGAACCATCACATCCTGCTGGCGCGATTTTCTCTGAACAACCGCGTTCTTGCTACACCCAGTACAGCCCTGACCACCCTCGTGTTTGTAATCTGGTTTGAAAAGAACATCGGGTCCAGCAGCTGCTCTAGAAAAAGCTTGGATCCGTTGGAGTTTGAGGACGCTTCCTATGAGGTTATTTTTTCCTCGCATGTGGTTCGCGCGCATGTTCGAAAGCGCGCTGAGGAGAATGGTAGGAGGATTTCCAAGATGCGCAATCGTCTTCGTGGTCCGTCCGTGTTCGAACTGCACGACGCCACCGTGCGAGGACAGTGGCTTGCTGACAACTACATCACCCAGACGGATATCTTCTTGGGTGGGAACGCCGCCGCCGATGCCGACAAGGAAGCCGAAGCGGATGTTGGGGAAGCTGTATTTCATGCGGACCGCAACTTCGGTGGACGAGTTGGGCGCGATAGTGCCGCCAGGTAGGCAGGCGATGACGACATTGTGGGTGCCGATTCTACCGCACTTGTATGAGTTTGTGTCGGTGGAGTCGGTTTGGGGTCGTTGGTGTTGCTCGTCGAGCATTTCCTGCGCCGCAGCGAGTTCGACAGCGAGGGCGCAGATCCAGCCTACGGTGTAGTCCTCACGACGAAGAGTTTGAACCATTTTGAATGAATGAGAAGATGTAATGTTTTCAGTTGGAAAAAAGTGGAACTTGAAGATGTAATGAGAAGAAACAGAAAGTCGATTGTATGCAGTGTTGAGGATAGAAAATATGCGAATGGGTCTGTCATCTCAAGTCCATCGCATCAAGAGCTCATCTTTATAGTTGATGGTTTACTCATAGTCGGATTTAGACTGAAACGCTACGGTTTGTTAACCGCGCGTGTTGGTGTTGTAGAGTTACGGATTGTGTATGTAGTTGTTTGTGAGGGCGCTTATGGGGATACAAGCGCCTGGGATATATGGATTGGTATGGATTGTGGCTCGGCGGCTGTTAGTGTTTTGACTTCGCGGTTGACATTTGAGGAATGGTAATCCAAACCCATCCAGCAGCTATTTGATGAGTGACTCGGCGATGAAATAAGAAAATGTGCATAGATTTATGAAGATAGCCAAGCGTCACATGCGCCATATCTTGCGTTAAGGTACTAGCCAAGCGTGCTTTTGGGGAGATACTCGTGCTTCCGAATCGTTTGCAGGCATTTCAATATCCCACACAACTGAAATTTTATAGGCACAAGTTGTTTTGCGTGCGAACCGCCATAGCTACCTTGCGCCCGAAATTATTTGTGAGCTTTCAAGAAAAAAAAAAACAGGATGGCCCCAGAGGAGAATGGCATAGAACAAGCGCAGAGTGACGAGTGCTCCTGGGTAACAAGGACTCTTGCGAGTTTGCAATATTGGATTTCGTCCGAAAGCCTTACCATATTTCTTTGATCTGAGATTCCGTCGAACATTTACCGACATCAGTCATCATGCTGATGCTTCGGGATGAAGTTGTTCCGACTTCTGACTGATTCGGACGAAATGATCTGGCGTAGATCGTCTAGAATTGAACAAAAAGCTAGCCTACAACGGCTAGCGCATGATTGATATCTTCAGTTGCCCGGTTTGCATGAAGGACCGAATCTGGAGTCGGCGCAACTTTGTGCTGGATGCCTGACAGTCTGTCATCAACTTCACGTGTGTAGTCAAGATCCTCTAATTTATAAGACCAAGGCGATTTATTGTCAACTGACAACGACAACATACAACCAGCAATTTCACTCTTGTACCTATTCATTCTGTATACGCCATCATCACGCAAGATTCTATTTTTTTTTGTTTTTGCAGCCCATCTCCCTAATTAAGTTCCAATCGAAATGACTCAGAAATCAGTATTGATCACTGGATGTAGTGAGGGCGGTATTGGCCATGCACTCGCTGTCGAGTATCAAAAGCGTGGACTCAAAGTCTTCGCCACAGCCCGAAATCCATCAAAGATAGGGGATCTAACGTCGCTGCCCAACGTAATCGCTATTGCTCTCGATGTCACAGACCCATCGTCCATCGCTGCCGCTGCTAAGACTGTTGATGCGGAAACAGGCGGGAAGCTCGATATACTCGTCAACAATGCTGGAGTGATGTACCACATGCCAGTTCTTGACATGGACATTGCAAAAGCGAAGCAACTGTACGAGGTCAATGTGTGGGGAGTCATCAGCACAACTCAAGCGTTTGCGGATATGCTCGTGAAAGCAAAGGGAGTTGTTGCCAACATAGGAAGCATCGCGGGACTTTCTCCTCTTCCTTTGCAGGGTAGGTTCTCATTCCCGGACGGAAAGCCAGCTGCGCGATGCGCGCTAGATCTGCTCAGTCAGCGAAAAGAAGGTCATCGTCGCTAACTGAAATTCAAGCTGCATACAACTCTTCGAAATCGGCCATCAACAACACCTCCGAAGTCCTTCGACTTGAGCTCGCACCTCTGGGTGTGCGAGTCCTGACTGTCCTCACCGGGGGCGTGACTTCGGAGATCGAAAATAATGCTGAGAAAGTTGTCCTCCCAGAAAATTCGTACTATCGCTCAATCGAAAAAGATATACAGCCCTCGTCGAACTGGACGGGGCTTCCAGCAGACAAATATGCAGAATGGCTCACAGACAAAACTCTGGATGGGAAAAGCACTGGCCAAATTTGGAAAGGAGAAAGCACAGGTTTAGTGCGATGGGTTGGACCATTTCTGCCCCAATGGCTGTTTGTAAGCGAGATCTCGACGGTTTTCCGAAACTTGGGCCGAGAACATAAATTGACTAAGTTGCAGGATTACCTACTTATTGCGCACACCAAAGGTTTTGGAAAGATGCAACCTTTGTAGATTGTGGCTTTACCCGAACTCCGTGATGTTCTTCACATAAACTTTCTCGGCATGGCCACTAACATCTATGGGTGCCGGATCTGTTCCGCGCGATTTGAAATACGCGGGACTATCTCCTAATAATTTACAAAGTGGGTTGCGATGTGGAATCTTGATGGAGTTTTGCTGTTTCAGAATCTCGAGATCATTGCTTCGGAATAGAAGTGTGGTCAAAATATTCAGCCCTCTTTACTCCGTTCGAGCCTAGAAGCTGGGCATTCGTAATGGTACCGATATCCCCGCGACATCACCCCTGGAATTGCTTGGTATCGGGTCTACCAAAGCGCGAGGGCGAGCTGTATAGCTTCAATTGATCTGTATATAACAAGATGTATATTGGATTGTTTGATAATTTTGTCATCTTCAACCGAACAACACTTCCCACTTCATTGCACCTCAGCTCAAACAAGTAAACAAACAACCAATCCTCCAATCACCCAATCACCCAAAATGACCAAATCTCCATCCGACGTCAAGATTCTGGCTACAGGACTCACCGTCACATCAGAGGTCGACCCCTACTTCCGCAAACTCTACGGCACACCCGACCAAATCAAAGCCAAGATCGACGCTGACATTGAAAACATCCGCGCCGCCGGCTTCCACGTCGAACTGAAATACGTGAGCGACGCCAGCCCTCAAGCCATGACCGAATCTGTAGAATGGCTACGAAACCGACTCCGAACCGAGAAATTCGACGGCGTGATGATCGGAACGGGTCTCAGACTTGTCCCGGAACAGACGGCGCTGTGGGAAGAGGTGGTCAATGTTTTCATCCAGGAATCGCCAAAGTCAGTCTTCATGTTCAACGATGGACCTGGGAGGAACTACTGGGCGTTGCAGAGGAACAAGGAGCGATTGGGTATTACGACGGAATATTGAGAAGGGGTGGTGTGCGGCATGACGATGGGGGCGCGTTAGTCTTGGTGGCTAGCGAGTAGTGCCCGCAACTTTGTATATATGCTCTCCGCTCTTTGTATTTTTAGCGTCGCCGAATCATTGTTTAGATGAATATCACTCGTTTACCGTGCTTTGTCAGCTCGTGCGCACTGACAGCTCATGCGCACCCACCCAATGCAGCCACCCATCTCTCAACTACAATAACTATACGAATATGGATCCAATAGACGCCGCGCTGGCCGCAATCAAATTGCGCGGACTAAGAGAATCCTTTACATACTTAGATATCGCAAGAAAATATAGAGTTGTATGTTCTACGCTGGCTAAAAGGCACTAGGGCACTACTCTCCCGCGCAGAGAGGGCTACAAAAACTAACAAAACCTTAACTAACACTAAGAGGCAGAGCTTGTACAATATATCAGATGTTTTACTAAGCAAGGGCTTCCTTCTACACGTTAGATGATATAAGGTTTTGCGTCCTGTATTGCTAGAAAGGAGGTCTCTATAAGGTAAGTTGATTAATTTGTCAAGCGCTACTAAGAGGACCTAATCACAAGCTAGACTACTAGCCTTGATAGGAATCGCCACAACGCTGATTTAGAGGCTAAATATAAGCTCTACTTTTAGCTTCTATATAAGAAGATTAAAAAGTATAGTGTACAACCTTAGCATACGTACAATATAGATAAGAAAGGCTTCCTCTTTAGGATCACTAGGCGTTTAAAAAGGGTGTTTAACAGACCCTTATTTTAGAGTTACTAAGTACGGCAGGCCCTACAAGATAGCTCTTGTGAGTAGATATTAACAATAGCGTGTATTTACGCTAACAGCTCTTACGTAGATCTTGCCCTTGTGTATAGATCTGTTACGAACCTAAGAATGGGGATGCACAGGTTATGAAGGAAGGTAATTACAAGAACACTCACGGTCAGCAAACAGGACACTACGTATGAACCAATAGACTTCGCCACCCCGCACGTCACGTGGTCCCACGAGTCTTGGCGGAAAGTTGCTGTGGGACAAGTCACGTGTGTCCCACAGGGTCCTACGAGATCCCACGATATCCCATCTATGAAACCCTATGGGACATATGGGAACTATGGGACAAAATATGTATATAGTCAGTAGACAAGAAGACCTTATGGTTCTTGTATTCACTCTAAGTTACAACCCACTTCTTGGAAATACAATCTAGTTGTTACTTTATACTTCTACCTTTGTTACTTCAGTGTTACCCGCTAGTCATCCGCGAAACCCAACCAGAGTTCTCCAAGATCTCAACATTGTGAATACCCTTAAGATGTCTAGCTTCAGTACCACTGACCAGCCTACCCTTACTCCCGATATGGACAACGACACCCCTGTCAGCATCAAGACCAAACAACCTGACACCTACTATGGGGAACGTGTCAAGCTTGAGGAATGGATCCTGCAACTCGAGTTGCTTTTCAAGTTCAATGAAAAGATCGAGAACGACGACAAGGCCACCTACGCTGCGACTTTTATGCGAGGTGATGCCCATAAATGGATCGCGCCTCAGCTCACCAAATATCTGGACGACGATATCGAAGACGACGAAAACACCACTCTGTTCGAAAACTGGGGAGTGTTTAAGACCAAGCTCCGCCAGGTCTTCGGAATATCCAACGAGAAAAATAAGGCAGTGCGTGAAATTCAACGCGTCAAACAGTTCAAGTCTGCCGCCGACTATGCTGCGAAGTTCCAACACTACGCAGTCCAGACTGACTGGGATGACAACGCACTCATGGCACTGTATCGCCAAGGACTCAAACCCAAGGTCAAGGAAGAACTCATGAGGTCTGGTGTGGTTATGGACACACTAGAACGACTCTACGAGGAAACTATCCGCATTGACAATGACTTGTTTGAGTTAGCCGAAGAAATGAAAGGGATCCACGGTTATAAATCTGCCTACGGAAGGACTCAGGAAGCTGTTCGCTATTTTCCCCAGGGAAGAGGCCGCAGCGTCCCTGTTCGACCCAGGGTCAGATACACCGAGGAAATGGACTGGACACGTGACGTTAATGCAACGTTTCCATCCAAGGCTGGAGATAACAATGGAAGAAAGAAGTATGACAAGAAGAGCAAGGACCCTAAGGGGATAACCTGCTACGGATGTGGTAAAACCGGCCACATAGCTAGGAACTGTCGATCAAAGAACAAGGTCACACGATTTGTCAACGTAACGACCAAGTCTTCATGCCCCGGGGGGGATGAAGGCGAATCGGAATGGGAAATCCTAGAACCCACGCCGGGTGAAGGACGACTCATGGTGGATGACCCAGATTCGGAAAGCGGTCCCGAGCATCATGAAGATGCACCACCACCTAAGAAACGTCGAGCGGAACGGAACGCCCGACAAGCTGCTGCAAGAAGCAGGAATGATCGACGAGAGAAGCGACGTCTACGTCTGACACAGCAGTTCTGGGCTGAAAATCCTACGTCAAGGAACTATGCACCACCAGAAGCTAAACAGATGTACATTACGAAGAATCCACGGGGATTCGGATCAGACTCGGAAAAGGAGTACTTATCTCCTGAGGAACCCGATAGCCCGAGAGGATCCATCGAATACGATGATGACGAACTCGCTAAACAAATTGAAGAACTGGATCTGCCGAACGAAACAGCAGATGGTAATTGGAAAACGAATCAAACCAAAACAGAAGTCTTAGACCTATGGGGAGACAACTACGTACAACATGTCTCAGAACACTGGCAAGATTGTTGGAAGTACGAGGAGGACAGCAAGAAAACCAAGAAACCTGAACTGCCATCCATGCGTCAACCTATGTACGACGTTGACTCACGAAACCAGAATCATGGACGACTACATTTCAGTGCTTGCATGTACGACCTTTGCTGGACACACCAGTCAGACAAAGGTGCTTCCTATTATCCAAAAAACAATCTGCACAAAATCTGTGGATACAATTGGACGAAGTGTCACAACGACTTCTGTCCCATCCACCTGTTCGATAAGAGACTTAGTTCAAACTTTCCAGGCAAGACACCAAAGCAAACAGTGGATATGCAGATCGCAATAAACCGACAATGCATCGGAGATAACACATGGCAAACCTGCTTATGCGATGATTGCGAACGCCACTATGACGCTAAATGCGCCAATGGATTCAAACCAGTTCATTCTTTTTTAGGGACACGCCTAGCACCAGGAATACATACAGAACCGTATGTTCAACGAACTCAGAGAAACTAGTTAGGCTATCGGTTGAGCTTAACGGACACCATTTCAGAGCACTACTCGATACCGGTTCTTCAGTCAATCTCGTGTCAAGCCACGTGGTTAAGAAAGCGGGACTTTCTACTCGAGGAAAACATGAGCAGTACGGTATTCGAGCAGTCACCGGGGAGCGCTTACCCAATGAAACTTGGGTCGATAAGGAAACTAACCCAACGTTTATGGAAATTGGTGGACACCGGGAAGAGATCATCCTAGACGTTTTGAAGATGGCCACCTTCGACGTCGTACTAGGACTCCCCTGGTTACGAAAGCATAATCCAGTGACGGATTGGTCCAAAGGGACACTTTCGTTTGCGAACTGCAAATGTGCACGCAGTTCAAAGCCTACGCACCGCGCGCCGCGAGTGGTAGATGAGAGGAGCGTTAACGCAACAACGCCATCGCCTAAGATACGCCCAGAGAGAGCGGTCGACTCCTTAGACACTGGTTGGGTACCAGGTCACGAGAAGAGAGTTAAGGAGACCAGCACAACTCCTGAAGTCCCTGTACAGTATCGGAAGTACAAAGCACTATTCGAGGACTTAGAACCTGAGCTTGAATTACCTAAGCATCAGCCCTGGGATTGCGAAATAATCCTCAAGGATGAATCGAAACTGCCGATTGACCCATTGCGCCCGAAATCCGAATCGGAGCTAGCAGCTATACGAGATTACATCAAAGAACGACTGGCTAAACGACATATCCGAGAATCGGAGTCGCCAGTAGCACACGAGACCCTCTTTGTAAATAAAAAGAATGGGAAACTACGAATGTGTGTAGACTTCCGCAAGACCAACGACAACACGGTAAAGAATAGGTATCCATTACCTAATATTGAAGAATTACAACATCGACTTGCGAAGGCCAAAATCTTCACAGCTCTGGACCTTAGAGACGGGTACCATCTGGTACGAATGAAGAAAGGCGAAGAATGGAAAACCGCATTCCGCACTCGTTATGGACATTACGAATATACGGTTATGCCTTTTGGACTCACCAATGCACCAGCAACGTTTCAGGCACTTGTGAACAACGTCCTTAGAGATCAACTAGACATTACCGTCATAGCGTACCTAGATGACATTCTAGTGTTCTCAGAGAACGAACACGAACACCAGAAACATGTGCATTGGGTGCTCCAAAAGTTACAAGAAGCAAACCTACGAGTACGACCAGAGAAATGCGAGTTTCACGCGAAACAAGTCAAGTTCCTAGGATTTGTTATCCGGGAAGGAGAAATCGAGCAAGACCCAGAGAAAGTCAAAGTTGTCAAAGAATGGCCCACACCAAAGAACATCAAAGAAGTACAATCGTTCATGGGATTCTGCAACTTCAACAGAAGATTTATCCAGGACTTCTCTAGGATCTCGATTCCACTCACACGACTTACGAGGAAGGAGGAAACCTTCCGCTGGAACGAAGAAGAAGACGACGCATTCCGGAAACTTCGGGAAGCATGCGCTTCTGCTCCAGTACTAATCATGTTCCAATCAGGAAAACCAATGAGAATGGAGACCGACGCTTCGGATCTCGCATTAGGAGCATGCATCACACAAGAAAAAGATGGAAAATGGCACCCTATTGCTTACTACTCAAGAAAGTTCACGTCAACGGAAGAACGCTACGATGTCTATGATAAAGAATTAATGGCTATTGTCGATTCAATTCAGCATTGGAGAATTTACTGCGAAAGTTGTTCTGAACTATCAATTTTCA